TCTCTTGGAGTCAAGAGCGTCTATGAGTGGCCGGCACCTTTACATTCGGAGAGCTGCCCATGCCCGGAGTCGGGCACCGGAGTTGTGGAGAGTAACTCAAGGAAAAGGGATGGGGATCCTCCATATCCACCACCACCACCACCACCACCCCAACATACCTGTTTAGCTCCGTGCATGTTCTATTATTGTCGTTTCTTTTTCGAGAAGCCAAAAGGACTGTGGCACGCACGCTGGTTGCCACGACACTGCTCGCCCCATAGGGGGATGGGGTTAACAAAGCTCACCGCCCGCTATAGTAATGCGACAAATGGCTCGCGTAGCGCCGCGTTTAGCGGGCAGAGCTACGGGTAAGCCAATGTCAGGGCGATGCGCGCGGCGCCAGGGACCGGTGCCAGTGCCCCGCCGCCTCCGCTGAGGGGCGCCCCAACGGAGGTCCGATCGCAAGGGGTACAGTGCCTTTCATACCACCCCAAGTGAGAATCCCGTGACTTTGGACTCTTGTCCGTGGACAATGAGCTCATTATTGAACCTGAATCGCGCTCATTACCATAACCGCGAAAGCACGAACTCGGAGCGGAGGTTCAACTCGGGAGTTCGTGGTGTTCCTCACAGGCGAGGTCGAATGGAGTGTTAGTCGGCCTTAGTCAGCCGGGGCTTGCCGGTGCGGCAGAACCGAGATTCCGGTATTGTTCCTCGATTATGTAATGCTATCGACAGACTTGAGGGCTTCAGGTTATCAAGGTTTGATTATATAAGTTTGATAGTTTTCTTGGTGTTGGTACATATCAAGTTGTGTGATTGTTTTTGTGAATACTGCGTAGTTGGTTGAGTTAGAGTGTCCCAGGTTATCACATTGATATTTGTTTATTGGATAATTGGCAACTCGAAGTCCACCAGCTTCTAGGACCTCCCCAAAGCACTGGGATTACGCATTAGAGCCAGTAAAGCTTTCAAATTCTTGTCTATAATACAATTTTCTTACTGTTTATTTTAGTAAAATACAAATCACTGCCTCACCAATCACTCTGGTTATTGCCCACTCTAAGTGAGCAGATTCACAGGGTTGGTATATCACGATTTACTCTATGAAACTCGTCTACTGCGACCCTATGATCAAGAAGTAATCCATAGTTAACTATTTCCCCGTTTAAGTCTGACACAATGAGTTCGTTCGGCTGAATAGAAGTTCTTGACTCTCACTGAGCATCTTCATCACATCTCGCGTCCCGAGCCGTCGGCAAGCGACTAACAGCGACAAAAGCGAGCCGCGAATATAAAGACGCGATACAAGCTCACCTGCAGCTGTCTTAGCGCCAGCATCGCTTCCTGTCGCTGCAGATGATCCTTCCCGTGCGCCGGTTCCAGATCCGGACCTGCAGACTCACGACGAATCGGCCTTGCCTCGGTCTCGGTGTTGACGTATCTAGAGCCAGTACATGAGATCAAGAGCAAATAGCATCAGAGACATGGGCCACAGCAAAACTGTCTCGTCAAAAACAAGCAGCAGTCAGCTTGGCATGGCCTGGCGTGTTTTATCAGAGTCCCCCCACGGTTAGGAGATAGGCCAGGACGCGTTGTTAAAACCGTGGCATTTCATCATCGGGCCTATACCAAAACACGGGACTGGGGGGCTTGTGATTCTTCAATCAACCTGGAATATGATGTGCCGCTCAACGTGAACCCAGGGCGTTTTTATTGATTGGTTATTGAGCGAGTTTGGCCAACATGAAATACCTCATACATGCTGTATCTGGCGAATCACTCTCACTCCAACAGGAGAATGAACCAGAATGTCCTCATCACTCAGATAGACAGCCCGAATCTGTTCCCGTGTAGAATGGCAAGTCAAGGTTGAGCTGCAAATGATTCATAGTATCTGCGTCACGCATCCCGGTTCAACACCCGTCTGGTCCACAATCTCCCGCAGAACTCTTGGTCCTGCCCAACGCTAAAACAAATCTTCCCAAAGGAGTGAATGTGTGTAGGACAATGCTTATACCAATCATGGTTAAAGATAACATTTGCCATTCCCGCCCCCTACAGTTGCAAATCTCGGGCCCTATCTCAACCCCGGCCAGAAGCCTCGGCCGATTTTGGATCACCTCATCCAGCAGATCCGACATGTCGATTTTCTGCAAAATTCTTGGAAAGTAGAACATCAGATTTCGGTATTTGCCCGTGTCTCCGTCGGGCCGCTCACATCATCATAACCGACAGACCCCTTTGATACAACCCCAGACCCGGGGTACGAGATCCGTTTGGCCGCCAACACTCCTCTCACTAACCTTAACCCTTTTCCTGTACCAGCCATCTTCAACAGGTGCAGCGTAAGGCTGGGCAAAACAAGTTGGAATCATTCTTAAAACCAGCAGCGGTAGTACCACCCCCCACCACCTCGGCCAACCACCGCCAATCTCCCGTCACCGACGTCGCGAATCCGTCCAATCGTCTAACATCAAATTTCGAGCGCAGCAGAAACCCTATCACGCCTTCCGGCTGCTCCTACTCGCTCGTTCGGCTAGAAGTGGGTCGTCTGCCGGTGCTCGCTCCTCTCCCCGATCAGTGTGAAGTCGAGTTCGCCTACGTACTGGTCTATTTGCCGAGCTCCAACTCCGGTCCACACCAGCTATCTTCTGGACTTTGGACGAAGATGTTACACTGGGCAGAATGTTTCCCTGAACTCCGCGCCGGCTGGACACACTCTCGCTCAACAATCCCGGCGTCAACCACCGTGTCGGACTATTAGTCAAGTCCGCTCCATCTCTGGCGTCTTTCGTCCCGTTCTCACACTCGCCAACTCTCAGGGCCACCCTCACGTCAAGCAGAAAAAACAGGACTGTCAAAACACTGCAGGTTTGTCATGAGAAGAAACCTACCCACCCACCCACCAACGGCTGTACCCATCGCAGATCCCCCCGGGGAAGGCCTCGTTCGCGTGTTTGCGCCACCTCGAGACGGAATTACGTGGGTTTCCGTTGGGCGTGCGATGGAGAAATCCCACACCCCTCAACTGCCGTAAGTGTGAGGAATCGAGAAACTAACTATGTACTTCCCGTTCTGTGTGAAACACACACACACACACACACACACACACACGCACGCACGCACGCACACACACATACAGATACAGATACACATACACACCCAGGTCACAAAACAGTGTCGCCTCGTAGCCCAACCAGTCGAATCGGGGTTTTGTTCGGCTTCTTGCAGCATGCGTTCCTCGGCCTCGGTGTGATCTGCAGCGCAGGCTGGGGTCTTTTTATTCCAGTAAGTAAACCGGTAATCACTAACGCCGCCGCGACGGCCACTTCGTAGAGGAACGCCGCAAAATCCCACCATTCCACGTTCCTGGGGAGGGGGGTTTCTCTTCCCCTTGGCTGTAAGCACCACCCGAGTCGGCCGATCCGTGCCAAGAAGGCATAGAACGATTTGTGTTGTTACGCCACGCTTCTACCGCTATGCTTACACTGCATGTTAGGTAGCAATGGGAAGCACAAGGCCGTAGTTTGTTTCCAGTATTCTCAACGCCGCTTACAGTGACGTCTTTGCTTTTGTCCATGCTCTCTAGGCGTACCCCGTTTATGAGTTGGCCTTTGCTTGATAGGGGATGTAGAGTAGACCCTTGTTCGCGGAGTATCCGTCGCTAGATATGAGAGCATAAGGCGGACGAGGGCTTCTGCTTATCGCTTCTCCTTACCCGGCGGGCATTTTCCATGCCTGGGGGGGGGGGGCACCCTTCACCTTGTTTCTCTACGACTTTGGATGGTTCCTCGGGGAGATACCCCCTCGATTGGACCTACCATACTTTTGTACTACAAACAAAAAGTACTCACTACGTGTACACACGGTCTAGAAACAAGAACCCACCCTTTTGACCTCGCTCGCCCCACCCAACAGCCTGGTTCAGGAATAATTTCAGACGAAGGTTCCGCGGCAAGGTTGGCTTGGTTAAGAAAGGTTGAGGCAGAAGAAACACACACCAAAATCCGTCATATCCAGCATTCCCCTCCCTTTCGCTTGGCGGGAAGGCTTTCTTAGATAAAGTTACATCTAAAAAAAAAAGAGATCGAGAAAAAAAAAATACGACCTATAAAGTTTTTTTGTAATCCTTCACATGTTTCCGCCCCCCGTCAGCGCATCCCTGAATTCCGCACAGATCATATGAGAGCTCCTTGTCTGTCACACATGTCACATGTTACCCCCCCTTCAAGCTTACGTAGTAAAACTATTACTACTACTAGTACAATTTTATGCGATATTTTTCATCCGATGAGTCGTTACCAGTGTTTAGAGACCATGCATGTCCCTGATGTCTTTTACGAGCGCTTTCATGCATGTGTCCTGGGGTCGCATACGAGGTGCGCTCAAACAACCCTCTCTCTCAATACGAGCTTTCAAAGCATTGGATTTATTCGTCACAGGGAGGAGATAGACACGTGAAGTTTCGATGACCAAGTTAAAGCTTGTATATTGTGCAAATTTCTTTCGTTTTTGCAGCAAAGGGTTCAAGTACATGATGCTTTCAGAAGCGAAGGCCCTCCCTATAATGACCAGTGGCCTGAGGTATCTAGTGATCAAGAGCTCAAAACGATATGTAAAAAACGAGGAAAAAAAGACGAAAATAAATCAACCTCATCGCTGATTTGTTTGCAAAACGCCATTAACCTTGAGTGTTTGTTTGTGTGTTTGTGTGCGTGTGTGTGTGTGCGTGTTTTCCATTTCATCAGACGAGGTATATGCTAGAAGCACCCTCAGGTTTGCTCCCCCAAAATGTGCAATTGTCGTTAGGCCATAGACGCCGATGAAGCAATTGAAGATTGTACAGGTTAAAGAAAGCCGTCCCCCCGGAAAATATTGACAAGTACCATGTATCCAAGTATATGTAAAATGAATAATAATAACATGGTAAGAAGAGAAAGTAGGGTTTTTTTTATTTTGTGGATGGGGCATTAAGAAGGAATGGATAGATGAATGTGTAAGGACTGGTATTAGACGCCTTAAGCGGTAGCAGTAGCACTGAGACCATCGACGTTCCAGTTGTTGTTCAGTGACATGAGTTTGCGTCTGATGCCATCGCCGATACGGTAGGTCACGCCCTCCTCGATGGCCATGACACCGTATCCGATCACCTCGGATGGCGTATCCAGGCCCATTGTGGTTCCATCACGCCGGGTGAGGACCGCTACGCCGTCGCCTCCGCTCCAGAGGTAGGAGATGACGGCCGGGTCCTCGGGTGTGACCTGGTCAATGGCGACAATGTTGCCGCTGCCGTGGGACTGACCGCTCGTGGCCGCATTGGAGGCGCCAGCGCCGCTGAGCTGCTCGGGGCTCTGAGCCTGGTGTTGCGAAGCAGGAGAAGACGAAGCTTGCGACTGCTGCGAGGCCTGTTGAGCCTTTTGGAAGTTGGGGTCGAGACGCGCAACGCTGTCGGCCCAGAGAATGAGAGTCGCGCGGTATACACCGGCAGGCCACCAGCATGGGCGGCGGTCAGCAGGCATGGAGCGCAGGAGGCGCAGGACCTGGCCGCAGTGGAAGATGGCCTCCTCGCGGTTGTAGACGCATCGCTTGTGGCGCAAGCTCAACTCCCAGTAGGAGCCGTCAAAGCCATCACGGCGAGCGAGGCGCTCGATTTCCGGGAAGTTGGTGACGGCGTTCAGGGAGATGAGGTGATAGAGGACCAAGTTGCAGCGCGTGGTGCCGCAGTCAGGGTTGCTCTTGGATAGCGACATGGTGAGTTCGTACCACTTCTGGAGGAGGGCCTGAACCTCTTCGAGGCGGAGCATGGTGCTCGCCTTGGTCACGGTGCGTGAAGTTGCCCGCCGGGTTGACATGACATCAGAGAAGCATGAGAGCATCTGTCTCAGATGGCAGAGGAGAGCCTGGAGGGGATGGAGGAGAAGGCGAAGCTGCTGAGGTGACAAGCTTCCGTGGCGACGAGAGAGGTTGTCATGGATGAAGTCCTGGAAGAGCTCGCAAAGAGAAGGAGTAAGGGACGGGCTTGTTAAGAGTTGAGGGTTCACGTTAGCAGTGCAGCCATAGATGTTCTGCACATTGGCGAACCATTGCTCCGAATTGGAAGAGAGCCAGAGAGATTCGGGGCTGGGCAAAGGGCATTGAAGGTCGGTGATGGCAAGCTGGGGCGGGGTGTCGTGGAACAGGCTGAGTTCTTGGTCGGCCATGACCCAGTTGTAAACGAGCCTGTTTTGCATCTCACGGTGTAGCCACGCCCGCCACTGCAACTCCGTGCTAGTTGTGCTGTTCAGAGTCGGAATCATCGATGGTTGAGGCTCCAACATGCCGGCGTGTCTGAGCATCTGCGTCAAGTTAGCATTCCGTAGATTGATTAGTTGGCAGAAACCGTGGCTGCTTACTGATAGATACATTCCCCTCTGTCCCATCGAAATGTCCATCAACCACTTGTCGCCACTCCAAGCACCGAGCAAAGTGAATAGCAAGGCGCATCGAAGAGCAACTGGGTCAGCCGACAACTCGACGTCTTTTTCGATTATGTCGAAGAGGGAGATACGGCACGTTTCTGTGAGGCCGGCAGCGAGATACCTCGCCTCCGCCATTGGCACATTCGACGCACCCTGAGCAATCATCAATAAAACGAGAAGGGTCGATGCCTGGTTGTTCAGGAGCATCTCATTAGGGTCCACGCATCCAGCGACGATGAGAGGGTAGTAGTATTGCAAGCTGCGGACGTAGCTGCGAAGGAAGTACTCGAGAATCTTAGTAGGAGGAAGCACAATGAAGTTGAATTCGCTCGGAGTCGCATAACCGGCCTTGGAGTAACCGTTGTTGAGGCCGCTGCGGTGAATCTCAAGGGCTTTCTGAAGGAACGACTGTGTGATGGCCAGCATCCGGTCGCGTGTACGAGAAGTGAGGGGGACTACAGACGCATCCGATGCATCCCAGTCGACCTTCTCGAGATACTTCTCCAGGGAGTTCCAGGTACCATCCTCCTTGGACTTCCGCTCGAGGCACTCCAGGTGAACGATGGCGGTTCTTGGGCAAGTACCTGAGTAGATGGGGGGGTTGCAGCGAGCGAGAGGCCACGAGTCTTCGGCGGCAATGACAACCTCGAATTCGGGAATCATCGACTCACTCAAGATACCCATAACTGGTTCTGTGGGCTTCATTGTTGTGTCGAAGTCAGCAGTGGACATGATGCTGGTGCTTCTGGTGTGAATGGATCCACGCGATGATGAAGCCGTCATTGGCTCGGAGGCGGAGGTTGAAGACATGTCACTCAACTCGGTGAAGCTGGGCATCGACATATCAGGACGCGCCATAGGCATTTGACTTGAGTACATGTCAAGTTCCAAGGGATATTCCGGCCACACCAGCATGTCTTGGTAATTGGTATCTGGTGTGATGAAGTCGTTGTTGAGCTGCATGAATTCATCGAGCCCATCGACTCGGCTGTGAGGTGAAGGGAATTCATCAGGACTGCGATGCGATTGTGGTGGCGAGCTTTTCTTCATGGCCACTTCAGCCATGCGAGGATCCATGGTTGCGATTGGAGAGCCTGTCGACATCTTCCCTGGGGAATCTTGCTTGGGCAATGTCGGATCCAAATCCATAAAGGCAACCGGCTGGGCCGGTTGTGGTGGTGGAGGTGCGGTGGGCATCATCTGTTGTTGGAAAGCAGCGCTGGCCTGGGCGGCTCTGACAGCTGCCTTGGATGATCTTCTCGCAAATCTGGCAGCACAAGGAAGGTTCTTCTCTGCACATCGCGAGCAAGGTACCCTCTTATCACAACCGGTCTTTGCGTTGGCGCAGTTCTGACAGGCGATGGGTGTGCGACCAGCGACGGTAGGCACGCCGCCTGGCAGGGGTTCCATGGGATCTCGTGCCTCATGATATGTTGAGTGATGTCTTTGGAGGAGATCTCTGTTTTGGGCAAAATGAGTGAGTAAAGATACCAAGGATGGCGCGGTAGCGGGGAGCTGGACTTACCGTCTGGCGAAAGAGAGCTGGCAAGCACTGCACCGATGGGGTTTGACATTGGTGTCTATAGTCCAGTCAGTTCAACTCTGCTTCATTCGAGCCTTTAGGTGTGAGGGCGGGATGGAGGACGTACGACTGGGAATATGTCTCTCCAAGTGTTCCTTTCGGGTGAAGGACTTCCCGCAATATGCGCAGAACACCATTGTGGCGGATTGCTGTGAACAGTCGCTGGAGGCGAGTGGGATTGGGCTTAAATACAAGATACCATCAAGCTGCTGGAAGCTAGGCAGATTTTAAGGCGTCCTTGTCTTCGCTCTGTGCAATCGAGGCCGAACTGAGATGCAACTCGCTGGAGGGAACAGTGTGTACTTCGATCGTGGTGGTCAAGACTGGCTCGTGTGTCTCTATTAAGTCGAAGATGTGATAGAGAGAGAGTGTGTGTGAGTGCGTGAGAGAGAGAGAGAGAGAGAGAGAGAGTAAGAAGGACGAGGTAGAAAAAGAAGGGGGTAATAAATTGCTTGAAGACGCAAAGTTCTGCAAGCGTGTTCGATAGTGAATGTGCTGGTCAGACTTCTGGACGAACTTGCATCCAAGATATTGTTGCCAACAATGTAAGGGAGATACGAACTAGATATGAAAGCAGAGGTCCTTTAGAATTCGACAGCAGAAACGTAGAATGGGTGGATGGTTTTCAAATATATCACGGAAGCAAGTCATGGACTAAAGGAACAACGTATGGATCAGGGCCGGGCGTAGCGGGCAGGGGTTGCATGGGACCCGTCAGCTCGGCGAATACGGAAGCGGTCTGGGCATGGCATCAGCTCTTCCCAGTAGAGTGGGAATAGCTTGGATGGTCAAGGTAGGTAATGGTGTGGGTGACGGGCAGTGGGATCTTGAGGGGCCGAGGCGGTGCCTGCTTCAGGACGAAAAGCAGAGTGAGTACGCACAGTCGTTGGAGGCAAGACAAATGGAGCATATGGAGATATACAGCATGGATCCTCGAGGCCAGGGTACGAGACTACTTGGTGGCCCGGCACTGGTTGACCCAGGGTGTTTAGTTTATGGCACTGGCACCTTGTAGGGGGAGGGAGAAACGGCACCGACGTGTGTTCAGCCACGATGGAACCGGTCTTGGAAGCATGGCTGAAGATAGAAATGACGAGAGTGGAGACTGCAAGTCAACGGGTCTGTGACCGGCGGTGGATAGAGAGGGTCCTTGGGTTAGGCTGGGCAGGACAAGAACAGCAAGAGACTACTTCCTACTACTACTATTACGACGGCAACGACGACGACGACGACGACAATGTACTGCCGTCTGTGATGATGTGGGTAGAAAGGTACGCAAGGCACCTGCTTGAGTACGGGGGTGCAGTAGTGGGTGCTATGGGATCAAGAGGGATCTGTGTATGTGTATGTGTACGCTTGCCAAGGTACAGGGCGGGCCGCGAGCACTCGTATTGCCTACATTTGGAGGCTATACTAGTCGGTGGACCAAACAACAAACGGCCAAGACCGGCGGGGAGCGGTGCGAGGTACTTCAGTAGTGTGTTGGTACCTGATTAACCCAGTTGAGTAAGCTTTATGTTTGACAGGGGCCGAGGCGCCGCGGCGACGGCGACGGGGGATAAAGGACGGCGATGGGCGTTGCGAGGCTTGGCCTTTAGCTAGTGGAGGGAGCGGGGGGTACGGCATAAGGTACATGGGTGTGTATTGAGAGAGGTTGGGGGGTGGCAGATCAAACAAACAATACTAGCACACAGACACAAATTGAGATGATCCTCGAGGGAGTAGGCCACCTGGTTGGGAAGCCTTGCAGATACGGTTTTGTTGCGGGGAGTTGATGATATAGGATGATACGGATGCAGCACAGAAAATGACATGGGATTATTGGATGTGGTGGCAGCCGACAAAAGACACCCAGGCTGGTAACTGCAAGAGAAAGCGAGAGAGAATGAGAGCCAAACGAAGCAAATTAAGTTGGGAGAGACAATGTCAGAGAAGGTAAACTGAGGCGTGTGTTGTGTGTGCGTTTGTGTGTGGGTGGGTGGAGAGATGAGTGTTGCCGACCGAACGAGTACGAAAAGCAAGGTTAAGAAAGCCAAGAAATCTCGACAGTCGCCCATGAGAGAGGGGGGGAACTTGGGCCACAATAGCCAAGTTGATGAGCTGGGGATACCATGAGGAGGGTTGTTGTCAATTCCGTGTCAGTATGCTGTCCACCTCTCTGGCCAGACCTAGATCTAGAGGGAGAGAGCGAAAGAGATTCAATCCCGGTCGAGCATGGATTCCCAAAAGACCCATGTTGGCTGGGATAGCACTCCTCGGAAACTGCCCAGAGTATAGAATGCGGGTGCGGGTGCTTGGTTTCAAGGTATAACGCAGGTCGACGGGTGTCGGAAGGCCATTGGCTGGTGCCATCTGTTTTTGCCTCTTTCTGACCTGTGCCAAAACTGACATGGTAGTTGAATCCTGAGCAAAAAATAAAATGCAAAGGCAAAGACGGGAGACATGTCGTCACGGTTCGTGTAGGAGGCTGGGCTGAGCCTGTGAGCCTTTGCTTCGGGGGTGTGGTGTGAGTGGGATACCTTGCTTTACTCTAACTTACCTTACCTGACTTATCCTCCACCCGCGGGAATGGCGCTGCGATTTCCTAAAACGGTCTTTTGACAGCACTAAACAGACGTGTGTTTTGTCAACATCGGCCGTTGGAGCCGAAATGTGGGCTGCGCGCGCATCTTTGTGTACCCCATAGCTACATCCACATCATGCTGTTTTGAGGCGGCGCAGAAACAGATGAAGATGCAGATGCAGACGCACGAAAGACCGCAGACGCAGGCGCAGGCTCAGTATCAGACTCTAGGGTTTTGGGGCTCAGGCGTGGGCATTGCGGCGGCAAAGATTGACGCTGGACCCGATGTTTGCCCTGTGGGTGAGCATCAGTCTCCAGGCGAAGCGACTGGCAAAAGACCAGACCACGAACGTTATTCGCTAATACCATGTCAGCCCGCATGAGATTGAGTGCGTATGTCCATGTACCACGGCCAGATCAAGGCTGACAAGCAACCACAACCATAAGGTCACACCAGCCGACAGCCCCAGGTCGATTATTGGAATCTCATCGGCGCGTCCCTCAGCGAATGTATAGATATGGAGTATCTGCATCAATTGGCCGAGAAGCGAGAGACAGATAGGCTAGCTGGCGATAGGCAACAATAGAAAACTCGGGTTTCGATAGGATGTAGCTGTCAATGATGACAGGCATTGCATATCGTAATTGGAATGCCATGAGGAGAAGGTGAGCTGGTGACAGAAAAAAAGGCCAGACCCGTACTTGCGCCAAGGGAAAGAGTCGATATCGGTCGACGATGGCGGCACTAGAGCTGCAAGGTTCGGTGATGGTCTAACGGTGAACGATCAGCAACCTGCGGGTGACGACGATCCTTCATTTGTGGTGCAGATAGTGCGGGAGACGGGGATTAGCCCAGGGAACGGGAAGAGACACTAGGGTAGCACCCAAGACAAGGAAGTGTGAGCGGCAGAATAGATGTCAAGGGGGGAGAGAAAAGAAGGGTGATGGAGGGTGGGAGAGAGAGTGGGTGGCGCTACGGTTGCGCCAGAGGGGTGAGAATTGAGATGATGGTTGTCTGGTGGTGGTGGTGGAGGAGGTTGTGGTGATTGATGATGGGGGTCGTCTATCACCGAGATACGGGGAGATGTGCAAATACGTACCTTTTACCCCTGTTGAGACTGCACCGCCTGGCCAGGTCCTTCCTTCCTTTCCTTCTATTTTTCCAACATCCTCTCCCACCTTACTCAGCCTGAGCTGACATAATACCATTCGGCTGAAAGTGGGTCGCTCTCAGCGCACGCTCCACCTGTTGATAATGTGGGGATTATGATCACCTACTATGAACGGATACAGCCAGGGAGGGTACGTACTGTTCTCGGTTCTTCTCCCAGCCCCTATTCCTTCTTCACACCTCACCTCTCAGACACACATACACAAATCCTCCACTTTGACAACTCGACTCTCTCACCACCTTCCTCGGCTACTCAGCCAAACAGCTTGCCTGCTTTTTTCCTTTCTAGCTACTATCATCAAGTTTGCTTTTACTGGTCTCCATGGGGCTTACGACGTGGCACCTCCAGACTCTATAGCCGCCACCAGCCATCGCAGGCTTAGATGATGATGCACTGCTCCACTGGAATAGCCACCCATACACTTCAAGACATGGCCCCGATAACCTCTTAACATACATGAGATTGGGATTGCGTCTGTTGAGCCCTATGCAAGCGCAAGGTGAATCAACATCTCGGCCAGATCTGGATCTGGGACTCCCTCGAGCCCTCGATGCGTCCACTCAGCACGAGTCGTGCCCATTGCTCATCTCCACATCCCGCCCTGCGAGCCTTACTCGTTGTTTTCTATGCCCTTTCTTTGTTGTGTTTCCTTTGCTTGTCGGCTGTCTCTAGACCAAGTTTTTTCATCCTTTGCCCATGAGCCTTATTTGGCTCGCGGCTGTCCAACACTAGGGCAATTTGAGAATACTGACCATCTGACCAACAGCTTCGACGATGTCCTTGCCCCACTTCTCACTGTCCCATTATCTGTGATGCTAACATAGCGCAACCATGGTCTATGGAAGCTCATCTTTCTGGAAACCTGCGGCTTCGAGAAACAACCCCACAGACTGACCCTGACTGTGCGCACCTAATCAATGAGAGTCATGTTCCTGCATTTAGACATGGATGAAACCCATCGGACGGCACATGGCATCATCACCACTTCGAGATGGTGACTCCAGCATTGCGAAATATTCCACATACAGAGGCTTCGAACGGGCTGAAAGAAACAAAATATCAAGAACAAATACAAGTCTGAGCGGTGTGCAACATTTGTCTTCCTGGCCAAGTCGTATCCTCGTGCCTCCTTCGATGCTCTACCTGAAGTGGACATGTCACCACTGCAAGACTGGAAAAAGGAACGCCTGGCAAAACCAATAATGGCGACGCAAGCAAAGAAAGCGGGCAGCAATTACCCGCAGCCACCGCCCGCTAAAGCGAAGCTCCTGACAATAGACACCGCTCGATCTGGTTTGATTAGCGCGCTCTTATGACGCCTTCGGTTGCTATGCGGCTAAAATGTAACGGTGGGCGCTGCATTGGACGGCTTTCGGCATTAATCTGGAGCCTGGCGGTCTTGAGGCTACATTTAATCCGCAAAGAAAAGTTCCAGAGTGAAATTCCCATTTTCTTGCTCCCGACCGATTCGCGAGAAGAGCCCATAGGACCCAGACCGACTGCCACTGCCCTAACCGAACAAACATCACCAACCAGTGCATAGTATCGTCATGATACCATCCATGAATCCACCCATTACACGCGGAGTTATGTACCACGTCTCCACGGATCTGCCCAGAGGGGGGGCACGACTGGGGTCGACAGGGTGGAGGACACCCCTCCTGGACGCCATGGTCAACGGGCAGGGATCTCCATGTTAGTTTCGGCGCCTCTAGGAGAGATTTGTCTCTAACCCTGTGGCCGAGCGGGCGAATCACGGGGCACATCTATTCGACAGGCATTTCCCTGGAGCTTTAATTTTCCGACCACCATTGGTCCTCAGTTCACGCAACTCACGGGCTTATGACCAGCGCATCATCTTGTTCTTCGCTCTATTCTAAGAGACGCGCTTGTGCCTTGCTGTAAAGCCAGACTACTGCTGGTTAGACCGTCGCCTAACATGATTGCCACGCCAGGAACCAAGTCGTTGGCAGTGGGGGCGAAAACTCGGTAAAACATCAAAGTACGAAAAAATCCTACGCAACATCACAATGGTTTTCAGGACAAGGGAAGCCCTAGTAATTGGTCGATTGTCTGCCTCTTCGTGCTCTCTCTCTCTCGACGTGAACGTACATGGTGGACGAGCCACTCTGCTGTCAGGTTGGCCCTGCCCAGTCTACCTTGAACTGCACAGTTACCTGTGCTACTTACTAGTAGTAATGTCTGTATTGTTTTTTTTGTTTTTTTTTGAGTTAAAGAGGGGGGGTGCTGCCAACTTCAGTTCCTATTTTGGGCAACTTGTGCGTGGTGGACAATGCGAGCTTTCGATACGATGATGACAGAAACTTCGGCTCTCTGTCAGACCCCGTTTCAGCATCCATCGGGATTGTAGCCTTGCAGTTTCTGAAGCCGCTATGGAAGCACACTCAGAACCTCAACATACTCACAGCCATGTTGGCAAAGTGCAACGCTTGGTAACCAGCTTTAATCCAACGGCGTCTTCGTCCGTTGTTCAGTGCCGCTGTGTCGGGGACGGTCATCGTTTCGCGCATGCCCAAGGGCTGCATGCAACTCGATGAGGAATCGGCCAGCTCCGCCATCTTCTGATGATGAGGATCCGATGACGCTTCTTCCTATCCCTTATGCAACTCAACTTGGGAAGACACACGGAAGTCCCTCGCTTTCGCAAGTCCCTCGGTTCCCGAAACTAGGAGTTTTCATCCAGTCATTGGCAGTCATCATCGCGCCCCGATTTGCAGCCCATCCAGTCGGCCTACCCGTCTGCTGCAGCAGGGACAACGTCTTTCATCGCATCTCCTATCCTCAGCTGTTTGTATCTGTGTTTCCAGCCTTGTTGTACCCGGCGATCCGGTTGCCGTTTTTTTTTTTTTCTTTCCCCTTCTCTCGTATTTTTCGGCATCTAGCATGTACGAGATCACTCTCAATGTTGAGATGATCCACGTTGTCAATACGCTCCAAAGAACGACTTCACTTATCCGTGGCCTGACGGTGGGAAATGGTGTGCCTTGGTATCTAGCTACCGCCTGCTGCTGATCTGTAGTTGAATTTTCTTATGGACCATTTCAGCGATCATCGTTGAGGCCGCCAAAGATCGACTCACCTCTATCTCTATGGGGACCTTGTTCTGCTTGAACAATACCATTCAGCCACATTGTGCATCCACTTAATACGCCCTTATCCATCACTCACCGCCAGCCATTTCGCGGGTTGTGTCAGGTCACGATATACGCTAACAAGCCAATGCACTTTCACCTGGCGGTAGCGCTACTCTATACTCCTTACCCGAGTGTGCCGGGCTCATTGGCTTCGTTTTGGCTAAGTGGTTAGGGCGGATTTCACTCGGCCTTTTTCCCACCAAGTTCCTAAAAAGGAAATAGGTCGTTCGTGTTAGGGCCTCTCAAACACTTACTCCCCATTTCTGTCAATTTTGCCTTCCTAGACAAGACAGGTTGGACACCATCTGATTGTTGGCAGGGCAGCAGACAGTTTGTGACAACCAGCCATGTTTGGAGTTGCGAGAACGACATAAAGAACAGGCCATTCCAGGCAATTGCGGGAGACATCGAAACACAATGAACGTTGGTTGGCGAGATTATGAACTTCAAGACCTTCCTAGCAAGGGAATATTGCGAAAAACACGAAGAGTGCACGGATCAGATGCAACCATGCAGAGGACATCAGTTGAAACGAAACAACACAATTTATCCCTGCCATTAGCCCACCAGCGGTGCATTCCGCTACATCTTGCAAAAAGTGTACGGTACGAGTACGCTGCAGCCCTCGTGTCCTATTACCTTACAGCGACTTGCGGCATGAATCGGCAAGTTTGCTGACGTGGTTATCTCGATGCCATCAGCGCACGTTCAGGACGCTCAACTTTTTGACATGCACGCATACAAGTACCAACGGCACTTTCCACAGTGATGTGCGACTAATCATTAAATGGAAAGAAAGAAAAAAAACCTCCTCTGCGGGCTAATTGATGCCGCAAGATTGTTGAGTTTTCTCTCTCGAGCCGAGAGGGCCTGCACCTGGAGTTAGTTAGTAGTGTGGGCAACTCGAAGCTACCAAACCAGAGACATCGGCAAGACCTGGTCTACCTCTGGGCAAGCTGCACCCTATCCGAAATATCTTACTGAAGCTTAACAAACTGTCATTGGAGCCTTAGAATGATTGACTTTGCTGGTCCATGATATACCGGCACGTCAAACGGCATGTTGGCGTACTCGGTTGGTATCTTTCAAGGTTGTCCCCTTCAGACGCTGACAACGGCGATTTTTCTGCCCGTTTCTGACATTTCCATGCGAGCGTGGCAGGATGCAAAGGGTGGACAGCCTGCCATCCCAAGACGTGACAACGCTGCCACTGGCGACAGCACATGATACAGTGGCAATGAGAATCGGGGAGGGAGATTACCTAGTGGGGAAATGTCAAGGAGAAACCTGACGCCATAACTTTACTCTTGACTCCTGTCAATGTCTGCTATCAAACAAGACAGGTCGTGGCACTCTAATGTGTGGCCCGGCTGGCCGAGGTCTTATTGGTTTTGCCGCGATGCCGTCGGCTTCTATACTTTGGCTGGCCGTATCAGAATTGGGGGTTGAACAACAGCCAAACAAAAGCCCACTCACTCATTTGTTTTTTTTCCTCTTGCGTCGGGGCTTAGAACCGAGGCCCGTATTACCGGGATTCCTGAGATCATTCTGACTCTTTCTCATTCCCGAGACTTGCGTGCATAAGTCTCGGCGGAACGTCCTCCTACTCGTCCGCTTCGGTTCGGTGAGACATTCCCTCCCGGCAGCCCACCCCATGTGTCTTGAGCTGATCACCGCAGTCAGCCATGCAAAATAAGCAACACCGATTGAGGAGGCTTTGCGAGGCGTGGGGAGAAGAATTGTAGGCTTGTATGGCTGGATGGTATTAGACAGTGATCTGACCCTGTGGCACTTTGCCATCTCGGCGAGTACTCTTGAAATGAGTCTATCGAATTGAGGCATGAAAGTGTCTTCAATATCTCCAGATGGAAAATTAGACGCTTAAACGCTGTAAGACAGCCTCAGTAGGATTTTTGATGTCTCGTTAATTCAGGCATATAGCACAAGAGCAGAGTCCCTGTGCTTAATTTGATATTGATTGAAGGGCATAGTTTCCTTCCAGGCTTGAAAAGTTTTCGTATCGTCTTGGAGTGGGATATGCAGGCAAAGTAGTCGTTTGCCAAAGGAAGCAGCAGCACCCTCGTCTGACAGGATACAGACGGGAGAGGGTTAAGGCTGCATTGCTCGTAGCCGCTTCTTTCACCTCGTGTGTCTTGACGCAACCGATCTGTCTTTCGCTCCCTTCTTTTCGTCTAGCATCGTCGCTTCGGTGCCTGTTCGCGTCGCGAGAGGGTCGTCTGCTCTGCCATCAGGAAACGCTTGGGAGGGGAGTGAGCCACCCCCTCGCAGGTTAGGTAGACCAAAGGGTCATATCGAAGGAGCCAAGCATTCGGTGGTCTGCAAGGTGCGACTTTTTCGCTCGACCGACGCCGGCATCGTGTAACAGGCGCTACAGCGTGAGCAACGGCCCATATGCAGGCCCCTTAGGGCCGAGCTGACCACCTCCTTGCTCTGCTAATTGGGCTATTTTCATCCTGGTAAGGCTGTGTCCCTTACCAGAACTTATTCATTGTCAGCCTTGCTAGATAACGTTGATGGGTGTGCTCGTCCTGCAGTAGTCTCATGACTTGGTGCGAATGGACGGCGTTGGGAGTTCTCCCACGAAGGACGGAGGGCCATGGCAAGGCTTAGGTTCTATTTAGGTTGCCAAACGTTATTCTTTTTTTCAACGGTCAGATCCGTCAACGGCGAAGCGTAAGTGGATGCGAGTGCATTAGGATCTTCGTGGGTTTTGTTGTCCGAGCGACGGCGGTTGTCGTGCCATGAGGCTACGCACACGCTTCGTTTGTTTTCTACGCTTGGAGTCGTTGGTGTTGGAAATCGCAAAAGCGAGGAAGCGATAACGATGTTCCAGTCGCTAGGTAATTCGATAATTTCGTCAATTTTCCCTGTCGGGATACGAGGGTTGTTGAGATGCCCGAAGGGGTCGGGACCGATGAACCAACACCTTTCGAGCAGGGCAAGGCTAGTCGTCAAGGGATTCTAATCCTGGCCGCTGTTATTTGATAAATCCAATTTATCGGTCATTCAGGCGAGACGTGAGAAGAATTTTCCAAAGGTTTTCTGGGAGCCCTGTAGATCAAGGGATGTTGGTACGGTCGAGAGGGTCGGACTGTCCGTAGGTTCTTTCCCGGACGACGGAGTTGGTGACTTCGGACCCCCAACTCAAGGGTCGCCGCGCTTGCGGCACACCCCTTACCGGCGCCACAAGAACTGTGAAAGCCATTGTCTGTCTGGGGAATTAGTAGGCGCGTCCCAGAAGTCCGACAGGACTTGTTTTTCGGCGGCTTTTGCACGACGGTCGATCGTCCCCCAGGAGATCGCCTTTCTTCGATCCCAAGCAGCCAGCCGTTCATGCACGAGATAGACGGAGCTCGTCCGTTTCTGTCTCCCTCCTCTTCCGTAACCCAGTTTCCGGATTCGCCCTTACGAGACAGTGTCCGATGGCACCATTTGCCTAGTGGAATACAGTGTCTGGACATAAATCAGGGAACAAAAGATGCTCTATTGCTGGGCGATTATGGTCAAACGTTTCCGAAAAGAACTACTACTCAGGGCGTCCGATTATACTGCCATATTCAGGGAGGAAAGGCCTGTAAAAATCCAGCCTTGCAGGTTCTGGTTCGCCAAGGTTTACGGAACCCGGTCCGGTGGCGTCGTAATAAAGTGCTGATCGTCGAGTCTGAAGCGCGGTTCATGTAGCCGCGATACCGACGACAACCCATGTCCTGGATGGGTTTGGCGCCAGCCTGACAGATGCTACGCGAACTCCTACCGATTTGTCTTTTTGTTTCTCGCTGTACCGGTGAAAAGGAAGCAGGATGGTGATAGTCAGCGATCGCTGGTTGTCTAGTTGATACTGAAGGGAGAACGCTCTTGGATCCGCCCCCTCAAGTTTCCTGATACGTATGCAGTTAGTCAATTGCCCGCTTCCGCCCGCCTACCAGTGCATCGCGGTCGACGGAGGCCGGTGATGCCAAGCAGCATCATGTCCGTCCTCATCTCTTCAACCCATGTCGCTTGCTAGATAGTCCGGAGTTGAAAGCGCTCCAAACTGAGTCAGATTCGAGTTGCATTGCATCGTGCAAGGTAGACTTCGGCCGTCTATTCCCTGGTGAACGAGATTGGAACGTAGCTATAGCTCATCAGCTCATCTCGCGGGACGGGATCCGGATATTGCATCATGTCGAGCTATCCCAGAATCGTTTGCCCCCTCTTTGAATCTGCATTCGGTCTTGTCCTCGTATCTTCATGCCAGTTGGAGGGAGAATTCATCTGGGATGCCCGTATGTAAGTCGATTGTCTGTCACACTCTTGCCTAATTGAGCAACTTGCTGGGGAGTAGAGCAGTCACATTACTTACCTTGCGGGACATAATCCATGAACTCCGCCGTAAAAGGATGACACTTTCTTAGTGTCTTGTCGCCCGATGACTATGTATTCATTTCGAGATCAACATCTCCGGCTTAGCATGCTTGCAGCGGGAGAACCCTTGCATCGTCCTGCTTGCCAATTCTGTTCCTGCCGCTGATCTCTTATACCGCAAAGGAAGCCATCCTACGGACGACCGACAGAAAAAAAGCGGGTAAACACACACTTGACCCATGGGCTAGGAACAGTGAGTCCCGGCACGGCGCTCCGGAGTTGCGAGTGTGGTCGTGCCATGGCTGCCATATGTTGTGTGGAGCCGCGAGAACTGACAACTGCGGCTAGTCCCAGTTGCTGTCTCTTCTTCTAACCATCTGTCTCTCTTGTCAACTGCAAGTCTTGCGACTGGCAACAACCTCCGGGGATAGATGCCGAATGGACATCCTGTCAGAAGACAAGCCCTGCTTCTCTCAGTCACATAATAAATCCTGGTGGACAGTAAGCTGCGTACGCGTCTTTCGGTCTTCATCTCATCTTACAGGTTGGAGTTGACTTATGTCTCTGTTGATTTCATTTCGTCCGGTAGCCGCATTTCTTGGCGTGGGGACTGACCCAGTCGTCTCGGTGATGTTCGTGCAAGTCCGTACCCGAACGTTCTGATGTGCCATGTGTTTGAAGAAACGTGGGAAATCGATGGCGCACAGTTAGAACTGTCAACCCTCGATCAATGTCCTCCGGATGACTGACATCTGGACGATGTTCGGATAACACGGTATCCCTAGTCGCCTGTCTCTTCTTCTGTCCCTTTGTGGAGATCTACGCTTACCCTAGTTAGCCCCGGGATACTGTTCAATTGTTTCTCTTGCACCGTCTCTTGACCGTCTCTTCTCTTTGGTTGTCGTGCCCATGATGATGACCTCGTCCGCAGGTCCGTGGTGCAGGACTTACGCAAAAACGATGTCAACCTAAGACTCTACCACTAGGTTTTATTAGACACCGATCGCCCAAACGAAGACGGTGCTTGCCGCCAGCTCTAGCTCTCTTGAACTACTGGATGAATGGTGGAGGGGTTAACCTGTCAGTTGTCAACAGCCAGTCATCGTGAGCTGTACTTGCAGTCCTGAAACGCAGACATGAACGCCTCAGGAGCTGTTCCTTCACACCCACTGCCGCTTCATTCCTCCGTTTTCTCAGTGCCAGACGACACTGCAATTCCCTCTGACCATACAGAATCTCAACTATACACCCTCGTGATCATCGATGCCGCGCGGATTCCCGGGTGCAGATGGGGAAGCAGTTTCTCTCTAAATACCTCGTCATGTTCCGTAAGGGGAACGAAGAGATAGAGATCCAGAAAGCAGGGAAACGATAAGTGAAAGGCGGGGGTAAAGGAGGCGGAGCTAAGAGGCTGTTAATGCAAGTTTGGAACCAACTTTCGACCTCTAGCAATGTTTGGACGAATGGGGATGACGAGTTGATGAGGGAATTCATAGTTACTGGGGGGTGGAGGTACCATACCGCGCTATATTACGGTGAGTCGGTGATCCTTTTCTTTTCATCTTTTCTTGGCTCTTTTTGCCGTCTTCCCATGTCATTCCAAGGAGGGGGAAAGGACCAGGGCTTGTTTCCGTACGTTCTGTCTCTTGTCCGGGGGCTGGTAACTTCTCGGGTATCAGCTAAAGGCTTGTTGACCGAAAGGCAAGGGATATATTGCACTAGCCTTGACCCCGTCGTCACATCGGTGTGCAGAGGATAGTTTAGGCGATGATGGGGCAAGATCGGCCGGAGTGTGACGGGTCTTTTACAACACGCCCCCGCGCGCTGCATCTTACCTATTGTTGCTCTGCCTCTCTCGTGCATGTTGCCCGTCTCCTCAGACTTCCTCACTCGCTCTCCTTTCCGTGTATATATCTGCAGTCTCTTCCCCTCCCACTTCCCATTTCTCTCCTTCAACCTTGACAACATACTCCGTCCCACCGTCCCCCGATGTCAGCAAAGACGACTTGCTGGTCATCATGCATTGCAACCTTAACGAAGGAAGTACTGCGTTGTCGGCCGACAACCATATCGACATGGTACCTGCCCAGGAATGGAAGAGTGTTGGATAAACTTCGAATCAGCCATGCACCGGAAGCAAATGACACCTTTCCCGGTCAAGACAGAGAAATCGGTACCAGGATACGCCAATACAAGGACGTTACCGAATGCACAAGAAGAAGGAAAGTTGGAGACAGCGAGACTTGGTCAGCCGGAAGTACTGACCTCGCCTTAAGTTGATGGAGGCAATATGGTCTGGATTTGGGATGTTATGAAAGAGGAGGAACGATTGATGGTAGGGGCAATGCTGAGAAACTTGGAGGAAAGAAAAAGAAGGTTTGGAAGGGATTGGAACAGTTGCCTCGATGTAAGCGGTGGATGCGAACCGAAAAATCCAAAATTTAACAATGCCGAGGACGACGAAACGGATGCCCGGGGTAGTCGAAAGTCGATACCATGTCTGGAGAGATGTGAGAGCCTAGGCCAGGCTGATGGGAAATAGAAAGAGCCTCAGTGGGAGAAAGGGTTGGCGAATTTTTGCGGCTTCAACATCGGTGACTGCCTCAAATGGGAGTTTGAAACCAGAGCTGCCGTTGATTATCCGAGGCTATCTGTGCAGGATCGGCAAAGATTCCTTGAGAGGAAGCAACGTATTGAAAGGTGGTTTGGAGGCAGGACCGGGCTTCGGTGGCTTGTAACCATATTTGGCAACTGCTTCCACAATACCGATGCCAACCACAGGAAAGAAAAGATGACATCCGCTACTTACGCAGATGTTCTGAAGCTTTATGCAAAGCAAGGTAACCATATGTATGAACTTGGGTAAGTATATCACCAGGTTCTGTATATGAAGATGGTTGGACAGATGGTAAGAGGAACTTCAACATACGATGAGAGACACAAACATGCGCAAACTCTCGTTGTTGATTGATGCGATGGATTCGAGTTAGTGAAGATTGAATCGGTGTGAACGACAACGGCTGTACAACGAAGAAAATGAAGATGGAGGGTCATCCTAACCGACTTCGACATATCGACTGGACGCTTCTTATGTCATCCTCATAACTCTCCCGGTTCCATCCCCGTCGGTATGATAAACATGCTAGGATAGGAATCCACTGAGAGCAGGAACAAAACTTTCGTAATGAAGTGGCTCAATAGACTTATACGAGTATGAGCAAGTCTATGGCATTCCAGAACCGTGGGCTACAGAGTTGACGGTGCCAGATCAACCATAGGTAGCACCGAGAAAAAGAAACCAATGCAGCTGCAAATCAGCACCAAACAGGAAACGATTATCCAGCAACACCAGCAACAGCAAAAGTAACATCGGGCGTCTCGACCACTGCTCTGCCGTCTGGGCTGATATTGGAGTTGTTGATATTTGTGGGGTTTCATGGTTGACCCCTAACGGCAAAGCTTCATGAAGGCTTAGAAGGTTCGAATGATAACCAAACGAAGTTGCAACTGGCATCAAACAACCAATGGCACGTTGCCGATGCAGTAGACTGAAAGACTTCCGATTCCAACAAATCTCGAAGCCTTCTAGCGGGACATCTAAGTTTGGTGGCAGTCGAAAGCAGGCCTTGCCTTAGATTTGGATAACAGTAATTTTTTCCAGACAAGCAGTGTCGCCAAAGCTACTCAAGGTAAGTCTCAACGAAAAACGCCTGCAACGGACCACCTACATGGGCACCGATGACTTTGCCGCCCACTCGCCCTCGCACGACACAGCCGATTAACACTTGTCGGCCGTCAAAATAAAGTAGTGATCGAGTAATGGTTGTGAACGGGGTTGTCGCCAAGTTTGGCAACATACGACTCACTGGGGGCTGTTTTATGCATCTTTGAAGTCTTTATGATTCATACCTATGTCATGATGGAAAATGCTCTAGTTCCTGCACAGGCTGCCGCATGGCGTCTGAGCGCGCTTGCGCTTTATGCTGCCAGACGTTTGGGGCGAGGAAATCGATCACTTAAATCTGAGGGGCCGCCTTGGGCAATGAAACATGTATGCCATGGACATACGTGCTTCAAGACCATGATCTCGATCACTCTGTTTCGTGTCGCTACGAAGGAAAGAGAAAAGACGAAATAAGAAGAAAGGCCCTTGTATTGTGTACCCGAACTTGCTGCCGTAGCTGCGGAAACTTGTCGTTAGAATGGATCCTAACTTTAGGACCCCTTTAGCACCATTAGTTATCCTTCATATGAATCTTACGCATATAACTATCGATTATGAGTATCCCAAGTTCGGGAAATGTGATGCTTGCTGTCATGCAGTATCACGTAAATGTGAAATTAAATGTTCGATATCATGCTTCGGGTATGTAATTGAGCTAGAAATATGTAGAGGTAGTTTTGCCTTAACTATTGGAGATTACTCCAAAAATTTAATGGGTGTGAGGTGTGAAGCAAATCATTTCATGTGTAGGCCTAGCTTAGTCTACACGTGTATCAGAGAGAAGCATTCCCAATTTATTTGATGCCGAACCTGGAAGAACATAGCGGTGATGAAAAGTGAGAGTGGAAGGCACGGACTCGGATGTGGTGGGGCATTTGATGACTAACCACGGCTAATCATTGGGTGAACCCGCACGCGCGGGTCGCATTTTGGTGGCAGCTGCCGCGATTTGGATGCTCCGAAAGCTCCAGTGTCCAATTCCAGTCGCAAATCTTTGAGAGCTTCGTCTGCCGGCATTGAACCTCACCACATGCCGGGCATAGCGTAAATTGGTCTGAAGATGCCAAGGTGGGTTGATTCGAGCTTCAATTACCTATCGACATGACTAATTACCATCATAGAACCCTGCAATAGGAGTATTGATCCCACATCATGAGGGCGCAAATTGCCCGCCATGTCTCCCGACGGGTCCTCGTTCCAAGGGGATGCGTTCCCGCCTGCACGATTCTTTCTCGCCCGACCTGTCGACATACGCAGCTGCCGGTAGCGGCAACGATATCTCTTTCCAGACGAGCCCCGCGACGGACCTTCTTCGGTATACTCGGGAAGGCCCCTAGACAGATTAAGAAGCCAGAGTATGAGCCTGGGTGGACGACGATATTGACATGGAGGAACCGCCTGCTTGAGAGTGTACGGCCTCCATCGAGAACGGAATTAGTAGACGCCTTTCGAGAACTGTTTACTTATAAACTCCGTTTCAACGTTGTCGTCAACAGCACCCAAGCCCTACACTGCCGGAACCTGCTGCAATACCTTCTTGAGAACAAGGATGACGAGCCAGGAGCTGGCTTGACGTTGACAGAACTGACAACGGCACGAGAGGCACTTTTGAAGCTGCCGAAGGAGGATACAAATGAGCATTTGGAATTTTCCAAGGCCTTATATGAAGCGATCAAGGCAGAGAGGGCGTTAGACCCGTTGGACCCTGGCGCAGCAGAGGATTTCGAGGCGCATATTGTTGCTTTGACGCTATTTGGAGCATCTACCGAAGCTTATACGATTCTTCAGGAGTACTGGCGTCATCTCCCGGAACTAGAGCGGCCAGACGCCAGGAACCTCTGGGTTAATGTACTACAGGGTTTGGCAGAGGAAGGACGTCAGACAGAACTTGTCAATGCGGTCACAAAGGCCCAGGAGCTTGGTGTGCCGTTCACGCCCAGTGTTCATGAGGTCATGACGACCTTTTATGCGAAGAACAACAATGCCTTGGAAACAAAAAAGTGGTTCTTGCGGCCGATACACCAAGAAGAGCGGCCCAGCGCTAGAACCTACAAGGAGATATTGCATTTCTCCGTCAGAAATGACCAGCGCGGCTGGACTGCTCCGATTTTCAAGAAGCTCGTTGACTCAAACCCCGGCAAGCAGCACTGGGATGTCATCTATCAGTGGGCAGTGCTTTCTATGGGTAAAGGACTCGATGACGTGAAGGGTATGTTTGAGGTTGTCGCGCGTCACAATCCAGATGATCCCTCCGTCCAGCCTGACACAGAGACCATCAACGGTCTCCTCGAGGTCGCTACTGAGAAGAACGATGCCTATCTGGCGGAAAGGCTAGTTGCCTTCTCTTCTGAGCTTGGAATCCCCCCCAATGCCAAAACCTACCTCCTTCAAATGGAATTCAAAATCAGAGCGAAAGATCTGTCTGGCGCAAGAGCAGCGTACATGCAACTTCCGAAAACTGAGCTCAGCGGAGAAGAAGATCTGCCGATGATCAACAAATATCTTCAGGCGCTCTGCTACCAGGCAACGCCGGATTTGAAGGCGATTCGCGAGATTTCTGATATCTTGGAGGAGCGTATCGTGACCTTAGATCCAGATACTGTCGTTGCTTTATGCACAGTCTTCCTCAAGAACGACCAACAACTTGAGGTCATCGATACGCTCTCCCTGAATGTCTTCCAGCACAGCAATGAACAAAGACGATCCATTCGCGATGCCTTCGTAGCGTACTGCTTGGATAGGAAAAACAGTACGGCAAGAGTATGGGATGCATACTCAATTCTCCGACAGTTTTTCCAGGAGACTAGCGTCGAGAGCCGTCTGGAGTTGATGGAGGCTTTCTTCAACCGCAACCGAACAGACATGGCCGTCCATGTATTTGGCCACATGCGGCAACATGTTAATCCTGATTTTCACCCATCACTTGACGCCTACATTCAATGTTTCGAGGGGGTTGGCAGATGCCCCGATTTGGACAGCTTGCGGCTGGTTCACAACATGTTAAAGATGGACACTTCCATCCAACCCAACACAAAGACGTACAACGCGCTGATGATTGCGTACGGAGCCTGCAGGAGGCCGAGCACGGCACTCGATTTCTGGCAAGACATCGTTCGCTCGGCTGAAGGCCCATCATACAACAGTCTCGAGATTGTGTTCTCTCTATGTGAAATCAAGGCCTTTGGCGACCAGATTGCCAGAGATATCTGGAACAAGATAGAGAAGATGGAGATTGATGTCCCCCCAGCTGTTTTTGCTGCCTATTGTGGCGGACTTGCTGGCAACGGCAATCTTCAGGAGGTGCAGAGCACAATCAGAACCATGAAGCGAGCTGTTGGGTATGGGCCTGATGCAATGACGTGAGTTATTCCCAACCCTTGACTTGTTTGTGGCCAAACAACTAACATCCGTGTAGACTGGGCATTCCCTTCAACGCACTGCCTGGGCAAGGGTTGCAGAGAGACTTCGAGGCATGGGCTAAGAAGCAGTTCCCTGAGGAGTGGGCAGAGCTAGAGAAAACCCGTCACTACATCACGGCGGAGAAGTTGAAGAAATTCAAGCTGCAGCGGGTGCTGAAGGCATGATCTGTACAAAAATATGCTAGAGAAGCTTCTTGTATCTGTACAAATATAATAGACGCCAAAGATGTTGTACAATTCATACACAGGAGGGTTACCTCCGTTTTTTGTGGACACGCCCGTTTCCCTCATGCGGGTCTTTTACTCAACCGCCAAATCCCTACTTCCACGACGCATTCAAGCGGAACTTCTTCTTCAGCAGCTCAGGGTGGTGGTGCACACTGGGGTGAATGCCCATACCAATCGCCCTCCGGATAGCCTTCGTGATCTTCCTGTGATTGACCGCTCGCAGTCCCGTTTCCTTAGAGTGCATGATGTGTCCGAAGGGGGTCATGAACTCGGAGATCATGGAGAAGTTCTGCAGGCAGCTATTTAGTATCCAAACAATGGTCTTGGCGGGACTTCAACAGCTTGCCATCGCCTAAGAGCACATACCCTGTAATGGTCCTTGGGGTTGATGCCCAGCATATCGATGACATCTACATCCGGGCGGCGAGGCTTGCGCCACTTATCCATTTCGACGGGGCTGAGGTCGTGGGGCGCGTAGACATCACCAGTGCGCCAACGACGAGGCATCTGTTTGAGGTAGTCGTCGCTAATCTTCTTCTCCTTGAGAGACTCGAGCATGGTGCGCTTGCGGGCGGCAGCACCTTCGGCGCGGGCCTTTCCACCTCTGTTGATGAGACCGCGAATACGGTCGGCCGAGTGCACTTGTGGCTTCTCGTCGAGGTTCAGGATGTTGGAAATGGGGTTTTCGGGCCCTGCGGTAGCTGGCGTTAGCTTAGGTATGTGGAAGAATGAAGAGGCATTGACGTACGGGCGACGACGGGGGTGGAGGAAAAAGGCCGCGCAATGCGAGCCACGAAGGCACTCGGCGCCGTGAAGGCCGGGAGAGACGGTAATCTGGGCGGCATGGTTGGGTTTTGCGAGGATGCAGTCGTTCAGAGGGCGGAGGCGTGGTCTGTCGCGCGGAGGTTGAAGCTGTCACGGTATTTTTTTGGTAGGCGGAACGGAACATCCCGCCCCACAATTACGATAAGGCCCCCGATAAGGATTTGTCCCGCCTTAGCTCTAGAACTTTTCTTTCCCAGACAACCTGCCTCTGCCGAACATCGCCAATCTGCACTGGGAGCTTTGCGACGCCGATAGCCCAGCATGGTGAGAAAACTCAAGTTTCACGAGCAGAAGCTTCTGCGGAAGCACGACTTCATCACCTACAAACAGGTACCGACGCCCATCCTCTTGAGTACAGTTGACATTCATCGGCGCAATGCTAACAACGGTGTAACAGGATGGCGACCATCGCGATGCCTCAGTGGTATAACGAACTCTAGCAGAGGATGTTTTTGCGACATATTTTAACTTTCTTGCAGGTACGCCGGTACATGATTCAGAAGCCTGAGGACTATGTGAGTATCATCGCCAATTGTAATTCATCAGCACGAACTAACGGTAATTGCTAGCACAAATACAACCGACTTTGCGGCGTAAGTTTACCAACGTTTTCCCCGACTCGAGACAGCCCGGAGACGGACAAATTCTGTGACGGAGGCTGATATATGGCCACGCAGTCCATTCGCCAACTCGCGCATAGACTCAGTCTCTTGCCCCCGGAAAGTGCGACTCGGCGCAAGCACGAGAAGTTGCTCCTCGACAAGTTGTACGACATGGGCGTACTCTCTTCGGCTTCCAAGCTGTCCGCCGTTGAGCACAATGTTACAGTGAGCGCGTTTGCAAGACGACGTCTCCCAGTCGTCATGACTCGCCTTCGGTACATAAGCCCATCAAATCAGTGAACCTTCAAGTGCACATGCTAACCATGATATTCAGGATGGCCGAGACCGTTCAAGCGGCTACGAAACTTATTGAGCAGGGCCACGTTCGTGTGGGTACGGAAACATGCACCGACCCGGCATTCCTGGTCACTCGCAGCATGGAGGACTTCGTCACCTGGACCGTGGGCAGCAAGGTCAAGAGGAACATTATGAAATACCGCGACAAGTTGGACGACTTTGAGCTCTTGTAACAACGGACTATTTTACTTTCGGATGCAAGGCCTGCCGCCAGGATGGGATCTGGTTTTCGACATTATCTGGCGGTGTTATGGAGTTAAGGAGGACATAAAACATTGTTTGCATATCGCAAAAGCCTGCACGGCAAGCCTTGAGTCAGCGATACCAGGAATTTCGTCAACCGAAAGAGAGGAGAAAAAAAAAAAGAAACTTAGCGGAAGCTTCTGACGGATAGTGGTGGCCTACGTAGAACGCAAAAGAACATGCTTCGAACTTGGACAGCCGTGGCGTCATTAATGCAAGTGGTTCATAGCCATACATGGAACTCATCGGCGGAAGTTTCTACTTTTGAGGTGACTTTGGTGGCGTTCATCTGGCAAATCCTGAGACGCCATGATTGCAAATATAACAATCTCCTTCTACTGTCAACTCATCAAGTAGGGACTGCCATGAGCAATACGAGCGATTCGGATAGGGAACGATGCAGAAACTCTAGAGTTGTGTCGCAGGAACACGATATGGGTGCTTGTGCAGCTCTGGTTGAGGAGGAGATGAACCCTTTGCGGAGAGATGAAACGGTTGCAAAAGTTTGGCCGTAATATCAGCTCAAGCAGTATAGGCCAGTTTTCGCATGAAATTGGGAAAAGACTGGGCAGTCTGAACGCAAAAGTTGAGTCTGACGCCGAAATGGGAAGTTGTTGAGACGAAAAGCCTAGTTGCTGTGGAAGACTCGACCGCAGACAGAACAATCGCGACCCAGGCTGGGACACCCGTGCTGTTCAAACCCCGGGATCCAATTTCCCTACTCATCACAGACGGGGACAACTTGAAATATCGTCGGAAGAGAACTCTATGAGGCTTGGTGTGATGTCTGCACGGACGTACTGAGGAAGAGACGCCGAGTTGATGACTAGATTATCCCCGTCTTGAAACAGGGGACATGACCAAGTGATACTGCGAACCATCGGCCTGAATTCGAAAGATCCGATCCTCACCAATCAGAGCCTGGCCACCGGCCGTTATCTGAGGTCATCGTCGCCCTTTCTAGGTCCGATGTTTTACACCGATCTTCTGAGGGTGTCCTCGAACATCAGCGCACGAGGTGGGGACTATGGGGCTGAAGGCAATGTTTTGGACGGATGGATCGGGGCCGGTTGACTTTTCCAGCCGCAGCTTGTCCATGTGAGCTGTTGGCGTGAAGTGTGATATAATAAATGTCGCCCCAAAGTACCGCCTCTTGGCTGGTACGGCATTCCAGGCGAAGCACTTACACACACTCTTTGATAATACTATAGCGCGCTGGTCGACTATCACACTCCTTTACCATACTCAGTCGCGAAAAACTCTCTCACAAAGATACGAAATAATCGACGACAATCTTTAAGTACGGGATCTCTTCTCAGCAAGGATTTTCACCACGTCCAATACAACTCATAATACACACACGTCTGTCACTCGCGACACAAGCGAGAAATCCTTCAATATGTCTGCCATGAAGTATGCCTTCTTGGCTTCGGCAGCTCTCCAAATCGTTAATGCTCACGGAACGGTGAACGGTATCCAGGCCGATGGTGTCTTGTAAGTGGTGTCCCGTGACCCTGGTCTTCTCCAGTGTCTCGTTTCGCTAACCTGCGCCGCAGCTATCAAGGATATAGTCCGCAGATGCAGTACCAGAAGCCTCCACCGCAAGTCGTTGGCTGGTCTATCCCCAAAGATTTGTCCAACGGCTTCGTTGCGGTGGACAAGTACGCGGACCCGGATATCATCTGCCATGTCGGCGCAGAGCCCGCGCCCATCGCCGCGAAAGTGACGGCCGGATCCAAAGTAACAGTGTACTGGACCGACTGGCCCGATTCGCATCACGGACCGATGATGGACTATCTGGCGCCTTGCAACGGAGATTGTGCAAACGTCAAGAAGGAAGATCTCGAGTTCTTCAAGATCGATGCCGTCGGCCTCGTTGACGGAGCCAAGGCGCCCGGAAAATGGGGATCGGATGACATGCTCTCGAACAACAAGTCGTGGACGATGACGATCCCGGCAAACATCGCTCCCGGACAGTATGTCCTCCGCCATGAGACGATTGCATTGCATGAGGCCGGACGAGAGGGAGGCGCACAGAATTACCCTCAGTGCCTTAACCTCGATATCCAGGGAGGCGGATCCGAGAAGCCGCCAGGAGTCAAGGCAACGCAACTGTACAAGTCCAGTGACGAAGGCATAAAGGTGAACATTTACAAGGATAACCTCGAGTATACCATTCCCGGACCGCCGGTCGTTGGAGAGCAGCCGAAGCCTAACCGACGACGAAGGGTGACCGTCATCTACTGAGGGAAAGGGCATCAAAAGGCAGTTCCTCGTCTGTACAACCTGTTGCATTCTTTTCTTTGCATTGTGTATTTGTACGGAAATTTTTATGTCGATCATGACGCATGATGAGATGTAGGGATACCATTCGCTTGGAATACCAATAGTTGGCCTGACACGCTGGACGTGCATGTCTTTTTCTCACATTGTTCGGAGCCTCTCCTGTTTCCCTGATGAATCTTGATCATTGTAATGTATATAAAGCTGCGGATAGACAGCGGTCCAGCATGATGATGTGGCCACGAGCAATGAGCATGTATGTATGTAGACAACATTGTTGACATTTGTTACTGGGCTATATACTTCATGAGCACAGGTTTTATAATTTGCTAATTCTTTTAATATGCAATACATTCTTCGATACATCTCTCATGTAGAGAAGAAATGTTTTGCTGGTTTTTCTGGGCGTCCAAGTCGATCGAGTACCAGGTTCTTCTTTGTAATCTCCACATCTCATCCGAGGACCCATGATCATCGCGTCCGAATTCGATTTTTCTTAACTCTAATTCGTTATCGAACTCGGTTTCACAAAACCAACGTGCTCCCGAGGCACTGCCGGGAGCCGAGTCCCCTTGTGGGCCTTTTCGATCCTCCTCCTCATCGGCCCCGACCTGGGCCTTTTGTCGTTGGCATGGCTTCCCCGGGTAGCCGAGTGGCCACAACGGCCGATCCTTGAGCATGAAATCTTGTTTTGAAGCACAGAGCCCCTATAATGGACTCACTATCACCCAGAAAACGTGTTAACATGCTCGCATAGCAATTAGTGCCCTGTTTTTCCGTGCTCGAACTTCCCTCGGCGCTCTCCAAGTTCCCGGTCTATAATTCCTCGGCTGTTATGTTTTGTTTCGGTGGAGCATTGGTCATGCAACGGCCTTGCGAAAAAAAAGAACAGTGTCATTGTATGATCTACCGTGTATCATCGGCAAGGGTCTTTGCCAGTTCGCCGCGGAGATCAATCCGATACCGAGGCAAGCTTTACGATCTGGTTGCTGTCGCAAAGCTCGGTTACTTGGTCTGTGGTCGGATCTCCGACTAGCCCTTACCACAAACTCGTCTGCCTGAACTTCTCATCTGATGGTATTTGCGATTGAACTTCATTTGGGCTGATGTCGGACTAAGGGTCTCCGTCCCTTTGATAGAATGTGTTTTTGCTCATTCATTGTTCAAGTCAACTCTCAATAATGCGACGACTTGGCGGTTGCGATATGTTATAAGCAGAGGCAAAAAGTGACATCTAGCTTCCCGGATCGGAACCTGTGATTTGAGACACCCGCTTCTTCAGATAAGCCGACGCTAGTTGTAAGCTCGCCTTCGCGCGACTCACATCATCCTAAGCTCGAGCACTCCGAGAAGCCTCGGCCAGAGGGTGTGTCACTCAACCTGTTGCCTTGAGCAAGTCTATAATTTAGACCTCGGCTGATGTCATGTTCAAATAGAAGACTGTGCGAACAATTTTCTTGAAGATAATAACGTGCAAGGAATATCATCAGTGAAAACCGCCTTCATCATAGTTTAGCGTTGCTTACCCATCACATAATGAATCTCTGAATAATAGAAAGATTGCCGAACTTCTCGCAGTATACCCCTTATAATGACAATATGAAGAGCCAGAGGTTGAACTCGCACGATGTTAATTAGTACTTGCGTTCCGATTCTTTTCCTACCTGTGAAGAAAATGTGTTTTGAACCATTGTTGCAACCATATTTTCGCCACGTGAGATTTTTGTTGGAAATCAAGAAGCGAATATGTGAAACTCTTCGAGTTCTTTCTTTATACGATGTGACGAATTCTAATTTCCCCCATGCCTGCCACTTAGTTGATGTGGCGCCTTTTCTGTTGAAACTCCGTTATACAAATGCTAATTGCCTATACCCGCCTCCAGTAACCATTCGCCTCGAAAAGCCGCTCGCTCCAGCCCGCGCGCCACCCCAGTCCATTTTGTTGAAGAATAACTCAAATCATTGCAATATGTTGAAGCAGCGAGAAACATTCCCTTACGCTTTCTCCGACTCCTCGCCGAACTCTTCGACGATCCAGAGGCAGAACTTCTCCCACTCAGTGGCCCATTGCTTGAGCCTCTCGGCTTTAACACCCGTGCCCAGACTTGCCTCCTTGATGCCCGCGGTCCACTGTTCCGGGGTCTCGTCCTCGAACGCGGACCACCTCACGCTGTTCTCAGCCAGCGAACCCAGACCTTCGAGCCCGACGTTCTCCCATCCCTGGAGCGCCTGCCAGTAATCATGCGACATGCCGGCCGTATCTTGACCCAGGATGGCAGGGTCGTCGTTGCATAGCGCACAGGGCACGCCGCGGGCCAGAAGCGCAGGTAACGGGTGGGACATGATAGACCCGCAGAGACGAAGGACCTCGTTACTGATGGGACAGCTCTCAATGAGAATGCGCTTGTCCTTGACCATATCGATGAGCAGAGGGTGCTTGTAGAGGGAGAAACCGTGGCCGATACGACGGGTACCGAGGAGTACCGCATCAAAGAGATTCTGGTCAGTCTCATCGCCGTCACCGAGGGTCTCACCCGCGTGGAAGAAAAAGGGCAGGTTGATTTCCTCCTGCTCACACTGCTTGCGGAACCAGAAGAGCTCGGGGAGAAGATCGCGGAGAGGGCGGCCCGCGTCTTCCTGTGCGACGAGGTCATAACCTGCGATCAAATGCGGCCAGGCGATTTTGGTGGCGATGCAACGTTCCATATTCTCAATAATGTCGTGCGTAGGCAGGAAGCGGAGTGTAGTCCAAATAGTGCGCAGGCCCCAGAAGGCGGCATGCGCCGGGTCGGATTTGAAAAGGGCGATTTCCTCCTCAATGACCTGGAACATATGGTTGTGGTCCTTCTCAGGCTCCTCTTCGCCGGTGCGGCAGTAGTTGAGAGGCCAGGTGAATCTAGGCAAGTTAGCGGATTGTGTTACCACTGATACTCAAGTCCTTACCTAAGCTCAATCCAGTAAATGCCATCAGCCAACAGTGAGGCCATCAGTCTCCTCAAGAAGGCGCGGAAAATGGGTTCGTAGTGAATCATGGTGTCGATAACTGAGAAGCAGTCGGCAAACTTGCGCCAAATGGCATCAATACCGTGGTGTTGCTCCACGTTGTCTGTCAAAGAAATCGTGCAACGTCCCTTGAGCCACTTGAGGAACCCTGATCTTCCGCCATCGGGAAACTCATCCGCCGTCTTGGTCAAGAGTCTAAACTTTCCAGGGACATAATCATCTGCCCAAACCGACGATTCGCTAGTCTCCTCGTTCCTGAATCGGAAGTAAACGCCTGAGGAGGCTAACGCAGACTTGTTTGACAGAGGCATATCCGCCGCAAAGTGCATGCCCGGCTCCTTCAGCAAAACGTCGAAGAGGAAGTCAAAGTCAACCATGGCGTCCAAATGAGCGTGGAGTAACGATCCCTTTGGCATTTTTTGCACGATGCGCCACAGACGGGTTGTCTCGAGGCGCGGCTTCGCCAGTGTGAACATCATGCCCGGGAAAGGCGCCAGGCCCTCACTGGTGGCCAGATCCTCCTCAGCCTGGCCGGTCCATATCGTCTTCTTCTCCTCCTCGCGAATGCGGGCAACGATAGCAGCTGCGCGACGAACGATCGGTGAGGAGTTGGCGCGGAATGATGCGTCTGAGCGAGATTTCTTTTCTTGAGCGATGAGCGCCTCACGACCGTTGAGGTACTTGGCCACAAAAGGGTCTGACGTCGATGGAATTTCTTGACGGATTTCCTCCCATTCTTCTGATGTGAGAGGCATGATGGGCGATGAGTGCGGGGTTGCTAATGAGAGGTAAGATTGCTTGAGATGTACGATGAACGGGCGAGGGCACTCTTTATGAACATATGTCATTCGTCGAAATTATGGATATGAAGGTCGCTGCGACAGACAGGGGACCGTGGTGTTTCCTCGTCCGGCGGTGCTGTGATAAAGAAATCAATGAGTCACCGACGGTTTACGATGGAATTAGGCGGTTAACGGTGGAGGTAAGCACCGCGGAGATGCTAATGGTCAGTGCGGTGAACCCCATCCGTGCGGCTCAGTCCGGCACTACCGACCCGGCAGGCTTGTTAAGGAAGGTGACCGGCCGAAGGCGGCGCTCAACGGCTCCGGCCTCCGCATGGGATAGGTTTCTAAATTGAGTCAAATGTCCTTCGATCACCGGCGGCATTATCACGATTACAAGACCACCTGGCCCCACTGGTTCTTCTGGAAGATTATGAATGCGCGGCGTCGAGTACAACACCGACTTTCTGTCAACTTTGAAAATCACATCTATACAGCCAACAAGGGAAATGAAGCAAGGCAAATAAACTGAAAAGTATAAAAGAATACCCCGGTATCATGTTTCAAATGATTAATGGAAGATTAAGAGCTTGCCTTGCTCCGAGTATAAGCGACCGTTTACATTAACTGCAAGCAAGTTATGTCATACTTCAGCTGAGCATATACGTTGTACTCCGCAGCCTAAGCAGGATATCAAAGATGACAAATAATTTGGTCTAACTGATAGTGAGCAAACAGCTGTAACATCTTATGGTTATTAGAGATATGTACGAAGAATCCATGTCGAATTGTGTGAATTGTGCAGCAGAATAATTGCATCGCCAAGCAATTCCTTAACTGTGCCGCTGAGGCGCATGCCCCTGAGGCTCAAATAATAAAAAAAACCCTAGACGACTAAAGACGCGCACGTCGAATGCCAAGTCCGGTATCACCAAAACATTACCGTAACCAAAGGCGGCATTTCATCTGCGGCCATGAAAGCCCTTTCGTGGTGCTTTCAAGTGATCTTACTAGTATTTTCCCTGCCCTCATCTTGTGAGTAATCCCTGAGGCCCTTTGCTTCCTTGCAGTACGTTTGACGCTATCATTTCGTAGATGCAAGCCGGGTTCATTGTCAAGGGCCCATCACCGTTCGCAACAGTGAGGATGCTGAAGCAATAAGAAAGTGTAACGTAGTGGAGAATGATGTTGTAATCGCCCTACAAAGCCCCCAAGACCTCGATATGAGTGGTTTGGAGGAAATTTACGGCACCTTGGGCTTCTATGATGGCTACATCAAGCGCAGCACCAACGTCAGCATCTTCTCTAGCACTTTGACCACAATTCGTGGCGGGTTTCAACTGTCCGAATCCAGTGTGTTTCGTAACATCAGCTTTCCCAGACTCAGCACTGTGGGAGGGGTGTTCAGTCTCTATTTAATGGACAACCTTGAATATGTTGATGTCACGGATCTTCACAGCGTCGGCCACATCAGGATCCATGCCCCTCAACTATCGACTTTCAAGCACAACGAGCTTCGCAACATCAACGGAGACTATTTCAACGACGATATTCTCATAAGTGCTTGCAAGCTTGAGTCGCTTGATAGCATCTTCAACAATAATATCAAAATAAGAAATGCCGTTGTCGCGAACGTTCCGAGTCTGAAGAGTGTTACCATTGGGTTCAGTGCGGCCCGCAAGCTTTCATTCGACAACACAAAAGTTGATGGCGAACCGTTTGAGGTTATTTTTGGCGGCAAAAATACGGAATCTATGCAACTGGGCGACGTCAGCATATCCGGCGGCGCTGCGTCGGTAAAACGAGATCCTGGACTACAGAAACTGACCGCGAGAACATTCACCGTAGAGTCAAACCGCTTGAAGCATTTGGATGTGCCTTTTAACGAACTCGGCGGGCTGTATGTCAGCCACGAGAACAATATCAAGTGGGTTTCCGTTCCAGAGCAGGCGAAGCAGTGGGAAGACTTCATCCTGGTCCTTTCTCATAATCCAAACCTGAATCTATCATCTGAATATATGGTGAGCGACAGTGGCGAGACTGTGAGATCTTGGTATTGGCCACAGAAAGATATGGAGGGGGTAACAATTCGCGAAACCAGCGTTTCGAATGCTTTCTTGTGAGTCGCCGCCCAAGTTATCAGCTACAATCTTCTCGTTAACACAGACTTAGTATGTCGTACCTTGAATACCAAAACGCTACCGCAAACACAGAGAATCAACCTAGATTGGGCAGTCTGATTATTGCGCCACAAAACTACGAAGAATTTAACTGTCGGCCATTTTTCGATTTGCACAACCAGGGCATTTTCAACTCTACTTCATGTCAAGGCACGAGCTCTGCAACCTCTTGGGAAATCATTTCAAAGACTAAGCTGGCAATTCTTATCTCTGCAGTTGCTTGTTTCATCAGTCTTTAGTTATTTCTTTCTCCACAACAGACGTTTTCTTCGGAACCTCAACGACGATGACAGCAGTGACTGTTCCTGTAGGGCCTTGAAACTGAAAGCAGGCAAATGAGTTATACAACTAACTGATTATGGTCTTTTCCTTTTCGCAAATACTTAGGTAGGCATACAACTACCGATAACCTAGCATTGGTGTGGAAGAATCCCCTTCCTACTCACTATCAACGAGCCCTTGGATCTTTCTCACGGGCCATTTCTTAGAACACCACAGGATGACTAGAGTGAGGATAATCTCCAGTCCAAAAAACATGGTGGCCATCTCGTACCCGATGGGGAACTTGGGCGCATCGCCGGTATTGTACACCAGGAGCGGCACCCATGCCTGAAATGTGAATGCTGCCGTCTCCACAACGCCGATGATGACGGCGCGATGCTCGGCCGAGTGGGAGCATATTTCGTTGATCCATGTGATAATCAGAGCCCCAGCCCCAGTCTCGAGGAAGGTGAGAATCCACGCCGCCATCATGGCCGGTATATTGTCTTCCGGATAAACGCTTAGAATAATCGTTCCGATCATAGCCACCATGCAGGCAGTTATGATAAGAGGCCAACGCAACCCGATCGCATCACTCGCCCATGCGTAAGACAAAGTGAAAAACACCTGTGTACCGTATCCGGCAGTAGGGATAAGGTTGACCTCCTCCGGTGTGAATAGGCCCGTGGATTTCAACCAGACGTTGAAGTAGGCGTAGATTCGGATGCCGAGGACATGAGCAATGAATATGGCACTGAAGAGCCAGACGGGCCAACCCTTTGCAATGTCTTTGATGGTGCGCCAAGTGAGTTTACGAATAGGTTCACGACCGCAAGCTTCCATGCGCCCGATGGCCATGCTTCGATCTTCCGGCTTGAGCCAACGGGCACGAGAAGAGGTTGGTTGGTCGGGGATTGCCCAGTATCCGTAAAGGCAAACAGGAATTCCAATAATTCCTGAGTGAAGCTAGTTAGCTCAAGTTCAAAAGGCTGTGTAAAAGCTTCTCACCATCAAAAATGAAGAGCCACTGCCAAGCTCGTACGCCATGACGATGATCCATGCCGGCCAACAGACCGGCTTGGAGGTAACCAGAAAACATTTGCGCCACGGCTGAAGAAGCTTGGAAGATACAAGCTCGCTTTCCAAGCTCTTGGGGCGTATACCAATTTCCCAGCAGAGTCATGATGCCTGGATATGCCGAAGCTTCCAAAAGCCCTACAAGGAACCTGAGAGCGCACAGTGTTTGCACATTCTTTGCTCCGGCCATTCCCATGACGATGAAGCTCCAGATGAGTTCGAGTGAGGGCAACCATATGGACGGCCGAATGCGAGTGAGAATCAGTTGTGAGGGCACCTGGCCGATAATGTAGCCGATGTTGAAAAACGTGGTTAGATAATTGAGATCGTTTCCGCTGAGATGTAAATCTTCCTTCATGCCGGAGACATATGCGTTACTTTGCCAGATATCAGCCTCACTGGACTCAAGATATATAGGGTTCGGACTGTTATACATACCTGACGTTAGTCTGATCGAGGTCTGAATGCGAGTTAGCTACCCCTGAACTGGTCACAATGCATGGCAACTTTAAAACATACATTTGACAAAGTACGCAACACAGCAGTAGGATAAAATCCACCAGTCGATCTTTGCTATGAAACGCCTTTCCTCTAGTGTCTTGTCCAAGCTATCCCAAACAATACCTGCAATCCTTCTACGTAGAGACTGCTTGGCTCGGTTTCGGTTAGGCTCCACGACAACGGAGACGTCATCTTTGCCGTCCTTCGTCGATGGTCGATCCATTTTGTGGCGGATATTACCTTCAATTCTCTATAGAATTTAGAGAGAGGCAAAGCGAGACATAATGGGTTCTATATGTGATATAACTTTGGTAACTGCGATTTTGGTTTATCCGGCCTTGGCCAATTCTTCACGTATGATCTATCGATATGGTTCGCCGCTGATGGCGTCAATCACCATAGTCGGAGAGGTCCCGACAAAAAGCCATTAGAAATGAACATTAAAACCAACCGACTCAAAATTGCCTCCTCAAAGGGCCAATGAAGATTTATGTTCGGATAGGTGCCGACCATAGGATGAGCCAAGCCCCGGTTCAAGCGGGTTGTATGCCGATTCCACGTGGCTTAACGCCTTGAGAGGTTCAAGCAATAGAACAAGCTACCTCCAGATACATGGCAAACAATCATAATGCTCATTGGAACCTCAATGTATCGGCTCTTGGCTGACAAGGTGGGTCATGTCAAAAGCCGGCATGGTAGCGAACTGTATCATTGATTCCACCACATGGCAAGCACAGCAGCCAATCGCACAGTTGAAATGAGGATATGAGGGATCAAGTTTAATCGATGGTTTGATTCGACCTCTTGATTGCGTTATCGAAGGATCTGCCGTTTGTGGGCCACGCTTCCGCTCTTGGGAATTATGACCGGACGTTTCCCGACGCGAAACCGAACGACAGTATCTCCGGAGTTGTCTCCGGCCCGTCACCGGTTGATCGCGTATGACAATGCAGTTAAACCATCAGGTATACTGAAAAGCTGCTTCCATCTTTAAACCCCTGGTAACCCAGAAAGCCTCACTATCCAATTCATTAAGTTCACATTTGGACCACGGTACAACAAGGCCACACAACCACATCTCCTGTTTACTTTCATAACGCGGCACCATGGTTTCCGAAACTGGTGCACGAGATATTTATGCCTCGGCCATCCACTTTGATGGCCTCAACATCGCCAACTGGTCCCGCGATGTCTTTGAATCATGGCACAAGGGCGGCATCACAGGCGTTTCCTGCACGTGTAGCCTGTGGGAAGGGCTTCGTGGTAGTCTCGCCAACGTCGTGCAGTGGAAGCGCTGGTTCGAAGAGCACTCGGATTTGATTGTACAAGCCCACAGCGTTGCCGACATCCGGGCCGCCAAGGAGGCCGGCAAAACAGCCGTGCTGCTCTCGTGGCAAAACACATCCGGCATCGAGGACCAACTAGACTATTTGCACGTGTTCCGGGACCTCGGCGTGCGGAAGATGCAGCTCACCTATAACACGCAAAACTACTCAGGCTGCGGATATTCAGAGGGCCGTGACAGCGGGCTTACGGGTTTCGGACGCGAAGTCATTGACGAGATGGCTCGCCTCGGCATCGTCTGCGATCTTTCTCACGTTGGACCACAGACTTCTGAAGACGTCATCCTGTATGCGCCTGAGGGAAAGCCGCCTTGCTTCTCGCATGTGCTTCCTGGGGGGTTGGTGGATCACCCACGCAACAAGTCGGATCACTTAATCAAGCTTATCGGTAGCAAAGGAGGTTTCGTGGGCTTGTCACAGTTTGGACCACACATGCCCAAGGGCAACGACAGCACGATTGACGACTATGTCGATGTGTTGGACTACGTGATTGGGCTAATCGGAGAGGATCTCGTGGGTATCGGATCAGACGCCAGTGAGGGACATGCAAGGCCAAGTGAGTTCCTGGAGTGGTGCAACAAAGACAAGGGATACGCGAGGCGGTTGACGCCATGGGGCAGCCAAAAGGTTGTCAAGCCTCTTGGACCATTGGCTGATCGGGCTGAACTGGCTGTGGCAATGGCAAGGAAAGGCTGGAGCGAGGAAAAGATGAGAAAAGTGTTGGGTGAGAACTGGTTGAATTATCTTGAAAAGATATTCAAATCATGAGCTAAGCTCAGCATGTGAAGTTTTAAATTGAGTGGAGCTGGCGAAGATGTCTAATCAATGGTAGAATTCCGAAACGATGCGGCACTGCATGATTGGGGGCCTTTATGGGGGACTTAGAGCCTGTTTGTATACTTGTGAGGATCGGGAATAAATGATTCCAGTGTGGACGTATACTGGATGATAAAAAAATATGCGTCTGCAAAAACATGCAAGTTATTTTACAAGCTAGAACTACTCATAACAGTCGTTTCCAAGTAGCTTCAATGATGTCGGAATCGAGGGGACTCGTCTCATCAAAAGATATTTCCCAATGGGAAAGTAAAGTAACAAATAAGTCTATAAACATTTCCATAGCCTAAATTCTTAGATAAAATGACAGACGTCAGTTCATTGAGCTTGCATAGCGCTAAATATGTTCTAAAGAAAGTTTGTTCTTCATCGGAGGACCCGGAGCAGACCTGGTGTTTCTCGGCACGCAGTAGTCGGAACGGCGACGACGTCCGCCGGGGCTTGGGGCTCACCACATTTTTCTTATTCTCATCTCAGCTCATCACCAAACACTGGACTGAATCCTAAATTATGAAATTATTTATCAACAAGGTCATTCAACGAGTAGTTGATAATTTCATTTAACATATGTGCCAATGCCCAGCCACTCTAGATGTATCACAGAGCCACGAGAATGTAAGTTCACTGCAAACGATGACCTGACATATCATACAACTCAATTCAATCTCTGTCTATAACATGGCCATATAGGTAAAAATCTGGATATCAGACTTGATGCCTGCTTAGAGTGCTATGTTAACCAGTTATCGGCCACCCTTTCTCCTGCACCTGCCCCTCGTCATTCACATCACCATCTCGGTTTCCTTTTTTTCTAAATCCACCATGAATCTTGCCATCAATCTCTTTCAAAAAGTATGAGTATGAGGGCTGATTCTATTGATAGAATACGTACTCTTCATTCTCTGGTACCCAAACAACCAAGGACCATACCTCAAGGAGACAACCCAGATAATCCCTCACAATCGACGCTCTAGTCCGAGAGTGGTAACTCTTCGAGTCCTTGAGACTCGCAGATGACCATCGGATCGATTTTGAAAATTCAATTCACAGGAATCTTACCCTCGGTTGTAGAACAAGGATCAACCCGCTGCTTTCCTCTGATCTAAAGTGTGCTTCCCTATTACAGAAATCATGTCGTAGCGCCAGTCACCACACCAACTTTTACAAAGATCCATGAACATGGTACACAACAATCAGAAGAAAGTCCATTTCTTAGAGTCAATCGACAACAAGCATTCTGCAAATCTCCCACATGGGCGGCTGATCTCGACACTTTCCGTCCTGTGCAAAACTCAATAACCTCCAAATCAGGTAAATCTCATCCATCCACGCCCCCTCCTCCACGGATACTCCCTTTCCCCAAATGGGAGATAACTTTCAAACAGGGTTGCGTCTCGAATGACACCCCAGATGTAGCGTGTACCTGCGATACAGAAGTCGACAAGCCGGGACGGTCCATATCGGCGAGCCTTTCCAGATCCTCTGCTCGATTTGGCATCCTCATCGCAAGTTTTTTCTTACACCTGTGACAGGCGTAACTAAACACGAAGGTGCGTAATCCGTTGACGACGACGCGCTAGGTAGATTCCGTTTCCATGAATACCGCCAATGATTTCTTTTACATGCCTGCCAAGCGTGCTTCACTAACTTCCACTAAGAAAGCCCGTCGTCAGTAGCAGGCACGTACCTCATGATGCGTCCTCCTCGTAATAATCGGCATAACATCGTAACGTAGCATTACCGCAGAATCTTGTAAACATGGGGGGGGGGTTTATCTCGTCCATCTATATGTTTTTGACCATCGCATCAACTAACAAACCATATCAAGTACGCTTCTGCTTACACCTGCAGCGCCGTATCTTCCCGGTTAGCATGGCTCCCCTTCCTCCACGCGTCCGTCGGATCCTTCTTCCCGCTGACGCCCTTTGCCGTCCCGACTTTACCCCAACCACCTCCGCCGGGCGTGTTGATGATGATCCTCTCCCCAGCCTTCATCGGCGCGCTATTCTTCGCGCCCAGGTTGAACCTCTGCTCCTCGTACTCGACCTCCTCTCCGTCGGCGTCCTTCCCGCCGTTCTTGAGTCTCTTGAGCGACTTCTCCCAGCTCCCCTTCTCCACGTTGCGCACCCAGATGTTCAACCCTGCCTCGCCGTCCTCTCCGCCCGCGAGCCCGTAAGGCCTGTACACCCGTCTCTCACTAAGAATAGACACTTGAAGCGGGATGCGGAACTCAATGTCTCTGATGACGCCGTCGCCACCGCGGTGCTGCCCGTCTCCGCCGGACCCCTTGCGGAGCGAGAACTCGCGTAGAATAACCGGGTAACGCCTCTCGAAAACCTCCGAGTCCGTGATGCGCGTGTTGGTCATGTGCGTGTGAACGCCGCTGGTGCCCTCCCAAGTCGGCCCCGCGCCGCTACCTCCGGCAATCGTCTCGTAGTACCCGAAGCCCTTGACCTCCTTTTCTCCCGTGACGTTGCCGCCGAAGCCGAATGTGAGGTTGTTGCAGTCGCCCTGGCTGGCTGCGCAGGCTTGGAAGGCTTTGAAAATGACGTCCGTCACGCGCTGGGACGTGAGCACGTTGCCTCCGACCACCGCAGCGCCGTCCGACGGCGAGAGTAACGACTTTGGTGGGATCTTGACGTTGATCGGCTTGAGGCATCCTTGGTTCAGGGGTATGTCTTCCGAGATGAGGCATCTGAGACAGTAGATGATGGCGCTGTACGTGATGGCCTGGGGCGCGTTGACGTTTGCGTATACCTCCGGCCCCGTTCCCTCAAAGTCGAAGACGGCCTCGCCCTTGTCGGCGTCGATCGTGACCTTCAGCCGAATGGGGCTGCCGTCGTCCATATAATCCGTCGCTTGCAGGTCCTTGCCCTCGAACCGCTCGCTGACCTTCTTCAGCAGGTTGCGGACGCAGAGCTCGGCGTTGTTTTGGATGTTGATCATGTAGAACTGCACCGTATCCTCGCCGTACTCCTCAATGAGCGTTTCGATCAGCGCGATACCCTTCTGGTTGGCCGAGACCTGGGCCCTGAGATCGTTGATATTGTCGGCAAGGCAGCGTGTTCCACTGCATCCAGGATACTTTGCAGGCTCGTTGTACAAGAGCTCCGTCACCCTCTTCTCGTCGAAGCGGCCCTCGCTGACGAGCTTCTCGCTCTTGATAGCGGCGCCTTCCTGGAATAGTTCCTTCGAGTGAGGCGGCATGCTGCCGGCCGTGATACCGCCAATGTCCGCGTGGTGCGCTCTCGAAGCTGCGTAGAAGAGAATCTTGTCTCCCTTATCGTTGAAGGCAGGCATGACGAGCGTGATATCCGGCAAGTGGGTACCGCCGTACGAAGGATGATTGGAGATGATGACATCTCCCTTTTTCAAGTTACCCTTCCAAATCTCAGCTTGCCGCTTAACGCATGTGGACATTGAACCCAGGTGCACTGGCAAGTGCGGCGCGTTAGCCACAAGGCCTCCGCCCGCGTCAAAAATGGCACAGGAGAAGTCAAGTCTTTCCTTGACGTTGGTGCTGACGCTCGTCTTCTGTAGAGCCCTGCCCATCTGCTCCGCAATCGCCATGAACCTGTGACCAAAGATGCTAAGCATGATAGGATCAACCTCACGCTCCCCATCCTTCTTTTGCGCTCTGTGGTATGCTGTTAGCTATATCGTCACTCAATTTCGTGCCACGACATACCCTTCGTCCTTTTTTCCTTCCTCAATATCAATAACGACATGCGTGTCTAGGATCAGAGCGGTGGCTTTCGGCGTAGCCACAATAGTCTGAGTCCCGTCCGCCAACATCGCAGGTCCCCGGATCGTATCGCCCGTGTCCAGATTCTCGAGCTTGTAAACGGGCGTGTCCAAGCGACCTTCTTCAAAGTATACCTGTTGGCTGTTGTGAGCCTTGCTTGCTTCCACGTCCTTGCGCTTCAGCTCCTTCAATTGCTGGTCCACGGTCTTCTCCGAATGCCGGAAACTCTTTCCGATACCTCTGACACGCACATCGTCAACAATGATGTCGCGGTCATCAAGTGTGAACCCAAACTCGTAGCGATGCTGCTTCACAAACGCGGTTCCAAAGTCCCATTCTTTGGCATCCTCCTTGCCGTCCGGTTCTGGCTTAATGATCATCAGCGCAGACTCGGTGCCGCGGTAGCGCATGTTGAGGTACTCCTCAAACACAATCTCCTTGTCCTCGAATCCCTGGGTGCGCAGCGCGTCGCGGGACTTCTCCTTGAGCTTCTCCATCTTGCTCTTCAGCTCGTCAGCCGCTTTACCGGGGTACTCCCACACTTTAGAGTCGGGCTCCTGGCGTTCGTCGACGACATCGGCCAACGCCATACCGTACGCCGATAGAACAGATGAGTACCTGTGGATGAAGATCTGCTTGATTCCCAGGGCTTCGGCGATGGCAACAGCATGCTGGCCACCCGCGCCGCCAAAGGTTGCCAAACGGTGCTTCGAAGAATCATGGCCCTTGGCTTCCGTGATGGACCTGATTGGTCTGGTCATTGTTTCGTTGGCGACGGTAAGAAAACCGTACGCCACCTCGTCGACGGTCATGTTCTTCCCAGCCTCCTTATTGACTTGATCAGTGAGCTCCTGCAGAACTTTCTTGCTAGCCTCGGGATCGAGCCCCTGATCCTCATTCTCACCAAAGATCTTGGGGAAGAACTCTGGAAGCAGACGGCCTAGATAAAGGTTCGCGTCCGTCACCGTCGCCGGGCCCCCCTTCCGGTAACACGCCGGACCGGGGTGGGCGCCAGCCGACTCCGGCCCCACCACGAACAAGCCGTTTTTCCAAAACAACATAGATCCGCCTCCGGCGGCAACAGTGTTAATATCCAGCTGCGGCGACTGGATAGTCACACCGGCGGTAGTTGTCTCGAAAACGTGCTCATACCGGCCCTCTCCGAAACGAGAGACGTCCGTGCTGGTGCCGCCCATGTCGAACCCGATGACGGGAACCTTGGTCTCCTCGTCGTACGAAGTAATCGCATACCCCACGACGCCGCCCGCCGGCCCGGACAAGATGGCCTTGAGACCAGTAAAGTTTTCCACGTCAACCAGCCCGCCATCGCTCTGCATGAATTCGCACCGGGCACCCTTGGCGCCCTCCTCCTGCTGCACGCTCCTCGTTCCCAGGCCGCCCTCGAAACCGGCCTGGAAGCCCGAAATGTACTTCTTGATAGCTGGCGTCAGGTACGCGTCGGCGCACACAGACGTCGCTCTCGACACCAACTTAATCATAGGCATGAGCTCGTGGCTGAGCGAGATATGCTTGAACCCAATCTCCCTCGCAATCTTGCCAACCAGCGCCTCGTGGTCGGGGAACGTATACCCGTGCATCAGACACACAGCCACGCTCCGGATCCCGGAATCGTAAACTTCTTGCAGCTGTCTCCTGATCCCGTCCTCCTCGGGGCGCCGCAGTATCCTCACAGCCTCCCCGGACGTCCCCTGCACCAAATCCTCGCTTCCGGCCTCGGGCGTCCCGGCCTTGGCCTTGGCCTCGGTCAAATGCCTCGTCGGGTCCTCCGCGTAATCTTCCAGCGTGACCCTCTCATCGACCTCCACAACCTGCTCATACAGCACATCGGGCTTGCGGATCGCGAGGTCAAAAATCTTGGGGCGGCTCTGGTTGCCGATGGCAAGACAGTCGCGGAAGCCCTTGGTCACGACCATGGCGATCTTCTCGCCCTTGCGCTCGAGGAGGGCGTTCGTCGCGACGGTGGTGCCCATGCGTATCGAGTCAATCTTTGTCGTGTCGAGGGCCTCGCCTCGCGGGATCTCGCGGCCGAGGAAGTGTGACATGATGCGCCTGATACCCTCGAGCGGCGCATCTTTGTAATTGGCGGGGTCTTCGGAGAGGAGCTTGATGATTGTCTCTTGGCCGTTGAGCTCGCCTACGCAGTCGGTGAAAGTGCCGCCGCGGTCAATGGCGATTCGAATACCGCGCTCGCGTGAGTCCGAGGTCATTGTGGTGGTTTTTAAATGATGTCGTGATGCGGGGTGAATTTCAGTTGGGAGGTGGCCTCAAGTATAGTAATGCTGTTGTTCACGATCCCGAAGTTAGCCCGTCATATCAATAAAGTTTGTCTTTTTTTTTTTTCTTTCTTTCTTAATTCTCACTTTAGAGTGATGTATTACTTTACAAGTCCCAATGGCCGTGGGTTAAACAGCCGTTGATCGGAGTCGAATTGGGAATCGATGACAAATGGGCGGCTTGTCACATCGAGGAGGGCGACGTCGTGCGATAAGATAAGGAGCTTGAGCTCCGCGCCCCACCACTAGTGTGAGCTACCCCGCCCTACGTAATTATTCGCGGGGGGTTCTCCATCTACTGATGGTGGCACTATCATGAACTCTTGTGGAGCTCCGCTATTATAGTACTACGTAGTTTGTAGGCGTCTACACTAGCTAACCTCGAAGGTTTAGTTCGTCTGATATCAGGTATTCAGCCTGCATAAATGAAAGGTCTACAGAAAATTGGGCTTATTCTACATCTTTCCGTGTCATGATGATGGGCTGGTGAATCTACTGATCCAACCAACCTCCTTGCATATCGTAAGAATCGTTTATTTTCCATAAAATATGTCCGTCAATTATTAAGTATATGTATAGTCTTGTTCTCGTCCCCATCCGGCCGGATCGCCCGGCTTTGGTTTCGTTTCCCATGATCTTTCTTTGAATGTCATCTAACCTTACAATGCGGCTAAAATGTCGCGCTCGCTTCCTTGTGCTGTTCGTACAGAAATTGCTTCCTCATCTTCTCGCCGCACCTGTGTATGTGTTTTAATGGGTCACCACCCTGACAGCCTGAAGCATCATTCCGAACATCAGGCCCCGCGCCACCTCCTCAACCTGGAGGCTGTCGAAAATACGCCCAAGCGCGTCCGTTGTCGCCGCTTGTCCCATAACGCCAGTCAAAGCAGCCGGAACACCACGTTTAATCAGCAAGTTGCGCGCCTTGATACGCAACTTCTCCTTTTCTTCATCCGTCATCTCAGCCGGCCACGCTGCCCGCTCCTCGTCTGTCGGCATCGTGTTTTCCCGCAACTTGCGCAAGTGATATCCAAGTCCCGTATCGCTCGTGTTGGCCTCAATGACCGACTCCTGCATCATGTTCTGAATTGAAATCAGTGACGGGTTGCCAGGCCGCAGGAGGAACGACTTTGCGGCGGCCAGCAGCGTCCTGCGAATGTTCCAGGCCGATGAAAGCGTGTACATCTCATTAATAATGGCGAAGACCAGCTCAACAGCCACGTTTGTTTCCTGCTCCGTTAGTGGAGAATGTTGTCTCGCTGGCTTGGGTTCCTTTTTGCCGGCCTGAGGCAGACTAGGGGAGGCAGGCCCGTTATTGCTGCCGTTGCTATTGTTGTTGCGAACTCCAGTAGCCTCAGTCATCTTTGATTGCATGTCCACATACGTAGGCGACCCGTAATCTTCAGGCATCTCGTCAGGAGGAGGAGGTAGGTGCTGAATGTGCATTACATCCAGGCTCGTCGACGACGGCGACCGCAGTGGAGGCGACTGTAGCGGTGCAAGGCTAGAAGCTCTACTATGTTCGCGACTGCCCGTTGCGCTTGGTGTGTTTCGCTCCCAGCGGTCGGAGCGAGGCTTCAAGCCATCTGCCTCCGAATCACCCCGAGGGTCGAAGCTGGGTCTCCTCTCCATAGGGGCGATCTTGCCTGGCTGAGTTGAAATGACTGAGGATCGCTGACTGTCGAGACTGTCGCGAGGCTTGCGTGGCCCGCTTCCAACGGGTGATGTAAGTGCCGCGTTCAAGCTGGTAGTGCTGTCCATCCTTGGCGGGGTGCCCGTTGACCAACGGTTATTGGTTTGTATCTCTGACAAAGACGATGCCGTATTCTTTCTTGCACCGAGACCAATGTTGCTGAACACTCCTGTGACGCCGCCAAAGACAGCCTTGCCTCCCTCTACGGCACCCTTGGGTCCCATCGTAAGTACATCCAACATGTTCTTGCCGACGGTATCCCAAGCCAGGCCGGACTTGGAGTTGCTGTGGCCATGGCCAAGCCCATTGTCCTTCTCCAAGAAGCGTTTCATACCCTCGCTCTCAGCGAGTGACTGGTACCAACAGGCATCCTTCACATATCGCTCCAACTCACCACGGAGGGAAGCTCTGGTATGGTTCTTCCAGTTGGGAAGCTCCGCATGTTTCTCAGTGAAGGCCGTCGCGCCCGAAATCGTAGCAATGCGCCTCAAAATCTCATGCAGCGTCTCAAAATCGGAGTAGCGCCGGACGATCATCCAGCCAGAGTAGTGATGCGACGATGGCTCAATCTGGACCAAATAGTCCCAGAGGGGCTTACTACGGATCCGGCTATTGTCGTTGGAAGCATCATCATGAAGAATGATGTTCGCATTGTGCAGGGTCAACTGGGGTTTGCGGGGGCTTTCGTCAGACGAATCCGGATCCTCCTTGGCGGGGGGCACGATCTGGTCGAAGCTCAAGAACTGAGACTGAGACGAGGTGCTGCTGCTGGCGACGTGCTTGGGCGACGGGTTCTGGCTCGAAGTCTCCGTGTTGGCTTTCGACGTCAAAGGCGAGTGCAGGCTGCCCTCCTTGTTGGACTCGTTCGATCCATTGGATCCGTAGGTTGACGGCTTATCCGCTGAAGACTGCGATCTGGGAGACACCTCTCCAGGCGAAGATACGATCTTGCCTTCGGGAATCTGCACGATAGACTCTCTCGATGCGTTGATGCTTTGACGGGATTGTCTCTTGGCCTCTTCCTCGGCGATCAATGCGTTCATTCGCTTCATCTCCTCCATGGCCTCCTCCATCTCTTCGTCAGCCTTGCTTAACTGCTTCTTGTGCGCAGAAGACTCCTTGCGGCGAGCTCTCTCCATATCCAAGGAGCTTCGGTTTCCCTTGGTCAGGGCGATGTTGCCGAGGTTTCCGTCAATATCGGCAAAAGCAGCATTGTTATTTGCATTGTTTGCAGCAGCTTCAGGACCGGTCTGCATGCCAACATCGATGGCCTGGCTAAAGTCCGGCTCGCCGGCTTCCAAAAGATATACGATCCAGCCGTTAATCCACTCAGGCTTTGAGCATGACTGCAGAGTCATCTCCAATATTACACCTGCCAGAATCTCCCGTAAGAAAACCCGCGCGGGATCGCAGTTGTAAGCCGAGCGGTCGAGGAAACCGAGAAGGTCGTCTGCAACGTTGCGGAACTTGGCGGCCTGTTGCGGGTGGTTTAGGAGGTTGGCCAAGTTCGAGTTTGGGTTCTCTTCTAGGTACTTGGAAATGACCTCAGCAGCCGACGCGCCGGGCTCGTTGTGCTGCTCGGTGAAGGCGGAAGATAGCTCGGAGAGAAAGACGATGAACATGGACGAGGAGTTCGTCATGAAATCGAGGAACGAGTCGGCAGGTCGCTTACGGTAGAGGTGGTTCGAGACGGAGAGAAGGAAGGAGTTGAGGAGCTTCCGGCAGGACAGGGGGAACGAGCGGTCGGTGGGTAGGATGGGCGAGTACCACCACTTGACATAGTCGCGGATGACGGCGTCCACCAAGCCAGTCAATGCCTCGCGAGTCTCTGGCTGGAAGTCGTCAAAACCCTGGATCAGCTTCTCCTCCTCTTCCGCATCATCCTTGGGTGGTTCAGCAATCCTTGTGATGGAGAGGCGCTCGAGAACATCAATGCCCTTCTCGCCCCGGACCGCCCGGGAGACCTCTGGGTGGCGCGCCTCATATGCGATGAAGGTCACAACACCCCCAAATGCGCCAACAAGCACAAGCCCAACCCTGCCGAGAATGAAGTATGTGGATGCTGCAAGACCAACTGCAATAGCGCCCAGGGTTTCCGGTGTTGCTGTCGACAGAAACTTGAGAACTTTTGTCAACAAATCATCATCTTCTTCTGACTTGGGTGTTTCTGTTGCGTTTGCTGCTGCTGCTACTGGTGTACTTGTTGTAATCGGCTCAGCCGGGATCGCAAGCTTTTGTTCAATCGCAGGTTCTTTAATCACCGGTGTCTCATTCGCAGGGGAAGCAGATGTCGTTGTGTTGTCGGCTGGCTGTTGCTTCTCGACAAAGGGAGTTGCGCCGGGTGGATGCACTTCGGCGGCCGGAGTCGAGTCCATGTTTGCTTAGTATGTCGTTATATTGAATTCGTCAGGAGCCTTATGCTCTCACATCCCTGATGCTAGAGTTAAAGGACAAAGCGTGCATTGAGCGAGTCGAGCAGCTGGGAGACAGAGAGAGAGAGAGAGCGAAAACAATTAAGCGAGCAGCTGAAAAATTGGCGAAGATGACATGCAGAGGGTGTAGGGGTACAGCTGCAGACGCCAGCTCAAAAAAAAAGGACAGGTTGGCCGTGGAGGTTCTGTAAGGTCAGCCACCAATACACACGGTAGGGTTTCGTAGCAGTGTTTCGAACAATTAGTTAGTAGGAGGAAAAAAGAGGCGTGCGTGACGGCGAGTGTAAAAAAGTGCTTGACCACCCTCTCTAACCATTAGACTCAGATCTCGGTTTAGGGGCCTAAGCGCAAAATGGATTGGGGGGAGATTGTTGACGTCTTGTCCAGCCAGCGCCAGTGGGGTATGTGACAGGTTTAATGATTGGCGCCAACCCCCAAAGGGCATTTTGGCTCGTGCGTCTACCACCGCTGTCCACTGTATTACCACTAAGAAGTACGTAGCAATGATTTGGCTCACAGCTGTGGAAGCTCTAGAATTCCTAATTTTAGTGACGGCCCCCTGCCGTCGGCACGAAAAAAATCCCCGTAGAGTGGTAATCTTTCTGGGCAGTGTCTTTCCACTCTGATCCCACCTCTATATTAATTCCGGTTCTTGGGCGATGATCTCGTAGATGAGCAAACATAAAAGGGGGCCTTATCCCCCCGGACACTTGAAAAGGAGAGAAAAACGGAGATACAAGGGACGGAATTTGGGGTTGAAACAATTCTCAAGCAGTCGTGGAAATAGTGTCCATCTCTGGGTCTGGGGGGGGCCACATCTTTTGTGAGCTTCAATGTGAGACGAAAGACGGATCTCCCCTGCAGCAAAGACAGGAAAAAGGATGGTCAAATTTCAGTATTGGTGCAGCAGGACTGCCATGTGTATGCACAAATACTAGTGCAACCGGTACGTGGTAGGGTCACATCAAGTCATTTCCCGTTCTGCTGGTGCAAAAGATCCTGGTCTTAGATTTCCATGGCATCCTTCTTTAACAGGTGCAACATCCATCACGTGTGTAAGCACGTGGTCTGGCGTATGTGGGGGGCCATCGTCATGCTTGGAAGTCGCGCCAGACCACTTTACTCGACCCGACCGCAACGCGCCTGCCAAGTGCTGCAAGCTTCATTTCGCATGCGATTGTACCTTATCTGTCTCATAGTCGCATTGCGAATTTCCTTCCACCCTTGCGATTTTGTGTCAATCATCTCACTATTGCATTAAATTCGCAGGCTAGTGCATCCGGTTTACTCATCAAACCACTCTTTAGTGTAAACGCGACGCAGCCATGCCGTTCACAAAGGGTACCAAACGCAGTGCCCCGCGCGAAACGCGCGGCGACTCAGAGGAAGACGATATCCTTACTTCCAAGCCCACCAAGAAGACCAAGACCTCCAACTCCGCCGGTGATGGCTCCGCCGGCGTCGATAAGGATGGGAATCAATACTGGGATGTAAGTTTCACACTTCATCGGGTTTCGTGTCCCAATCACTTTTCGTGTCGCCTCATGTGCGCTGACGTTCTTGCCAGCTCTCGAACAAGCGCCGCGTCGGCGTTTCTCAGTTCAACAAGACAACACTTGTCAACATCCGCGAGTTCTATGAAAAGGACGGCGAGATGCTGCCCGGCAAGAAGGTCAGTATATCAACCTAACTCCCCATCATTGGGTCCCCACCTCCAAGCTGCGACCTGTACTTACTTTGTCCGACCAATGCACTAGGGTATTTCCCTATCGGTAGCTCAGTATGAGGCCCTTGTAAAATCAATTCCTGCTATCAACGCGAAGTTGCGCGAATTGGGTCATGAGGTCGGAAATGCCGAGGAGGGCGATGGCCTCCCAACAGTGGTCGACTCCTCTAAGGCTGTCACCAAGGAGAACAAGTCGAGGCCGAAGAAGTCCAACATTGAGGCCACAAGCGATGAGGAGTCGAACTGAGTTTATTTTGTACCTTTTTCAGACGTGCTTGAAGGAACACCTAAGTGGTGACTGTACATGTTAACCGCATTCAATTGCCTGCTCCTGGTCATGAAACTACAGGAAGCATTTTGTGGAAGAAGATTGCGATACCAAACCCGTGGTAATATGGAATTGCGGTTATTAATTTGAGTCTAGTACAATATGACATTTGCCCTTTTTTGTCACTCTTCAAGGTCAGGGCTTGTAAAGTAACGCTTTGTTTGAACTACGGTGCCATCTCTGTGATTGAGGGTATACAGATACAAGCGCTATCAGCCCAGCCAAACGCCTCCTCAGCCAGGCAATCCCACCTTAACAGTCCGCCATGGCCGCCAACATTACACATCATTTTACTCGCTACCATCCGCTTACTTTCTGCCACGGCTGCTCTCTCCTTGTTTGTGGTGTTTGCTCAGCCTAAAGGCACGCAGGGCCGCTTCGTCCCAAGGTGTATGCTTAGGTTTACAACTTCTTGCATATCGTCGCACACAAAGTGGCCTTCCTCTAAGCTCCTCTCGTTGTTTTCCCTTGTTGCGAGTGTCTTCTGTCGCTTCCTCGCTCTTTATTTTGTTAGTGTTTACATTGATACTGCTCTCCCCGCCGATCCCTCTGATGGGAAGTTGACGACTATCCCATCCAACGTCCAGCTTGCATTGAGAGTAAGCCTGCCTCGCAACTGATATATCATATTCGTAGTTGTTCCGCAAAGAGTCACTTAGTGTCTTTGGATCTTCCTTAGTCACGTTGTCTCTCCACTCCACGACGCGCGTGAATAAAAGAGCTAGAGCTTGCTGCTGTTGCAAGGTTGGCTCACCTGGGCCAGTAAAGTGAACCATGAGCTTATTTCGCCATTGGCCGTTGTGATTGACGCCCGTCTTTGTTATCCTCAAAGAGGGGTCCGCTAGTCCTGCTTGAACTCCCAGATCGAATGGACCCCAATGCAAGTAGTAATCCATGTTGAGATGAGTCGGGAAGGGCACTTCGAAAGGCCCACAGTGTCGTTGTTTTTGCGTCTCCCGCCCCATCACTCTATTCCAGATATCCTCCGACATCGACGGCACTCCCTTTTTGGCTTCGAAATGTTCGTTCCATAGTTTCCTATAGTTTTCGTCAATGTCGGAGAGGCCCTGTGGTGTCATGAGCGGTTCACGTGTGTGGTAAGGAAGCTGAAGTTTGTGCCCATCGTGGTCTTCCATTTTTACTGTCATCAACGTCAGCCTTGATTCATCCGTCATAGTTATTGTTTGCTATACCCAGCAAATCCTATACTGCTCTGGTGGCACACCACCCAGTATACATTAAAGAAACTGGAGGACGCTGTCCGTCAAGAAGTAGCCGCATTGGAATGATAACGGTCTCGTGTAAACGGATTATTTCTTCCAGGGCCTTTGGGGCTATCATAGAATCGATACCATTACACACCTCATTCACTAGGCTTTCACGCTGCTTTTGCAGCCAAGATAAAGAGTCATCGGGTTCTTCCTCCGAGTCGGGGCCCAATGCATCAGCATTTTCGATGTCAATTTGATGTTGGTTGCAGTTAAGCCATTCAAAACCAGTGACATCAGTGAAGAAACTTCGAGACGTTTCGTGGGCGCCAGCCATACACCATTTCCTTTCCCATCGATTATGAGTGCCTTGTAGGCAGTATTCACATTCGTCCAGTCCTGGTACCGGACGACGCTTGACGGATCTGTAAGTCGTACAATCCTTGCAATAAAAATAAAGGTTTCCGATATTTGTGTTTATGTGTTTTTTGACTTTCGGGACAGTGAGATAGTTGGGGTCCTGTTGAGGCAAACAAGGTGCAGCCAGCCTGGGACTACCTTCTGGGGTGGGCAGAATGATATTGACACTGAGCTGGGGGGTCTCTAATTCAGACTGCTCTTCAAGCCCGGCTTGTTGTGGTTGTTGAGATGATTCACATGGATTCTGGGGCTCTGTTTCCTGCGGCGGTGTCTGTTGCTGCTTTTCTTTAGTCGAACAGGATTGCGCATACATTAGTTCTGACTCCGTGGGTTGTTGCAGGATTACTGCTTGTCTGCCAACACAGGGCTGTGCCTCAGGTTGATGCTCCGTCATGGTGCTAGACGACTCATTATGTTGCTGTTGCGACTTAGTCTGTCGGTTTGGCTCAGTCTGTTTTTTTAAAGAAGCCTTCTGGAGTCCAGTACAGGGCTGATGGCGAGAACCAGCCTGTTCTTGAGACTCTGGGTGCTGTGACTGTGACTCATGTCTAGTTTTTACCCCCGAAACGGCGTCCATGGTGGACTCTGGTGGATGATGCTCCTTGGATGGCTCCGGTTGATCTTGTTGAGCAGAGGCTTGCGGGGCTGATATGGATCTGATGGGCGAAAGGCAATGCAAATAAGGAGACTTTCGCGCAGGTTGGCCTAAGGCTGGTGTATCGCACTTTCTCTTGCAGGGTGGCATGATGAAACTTGATGCAGAGGGCTATGCCTGATAAAATTCCGACAATATTGAGAAGAAATAGATGAACGAAGTCGGATTAATTGATGTCGAAGAAAGACGACGCTGTCCAGTATGGAAGATGGAAGATGAACAACATGATCCGGGAGATAACAGACACAGTAATTTGGGGGATTACAGCCATGGCGCCTGCTTCCATGGAACATTACGGGCGTCACTGGGTAAGAGATGCTAGTCAATCACAATATGCCACTTCAGAGACGGCCAGAAAGAACAGGAAAGACCTGTTGCCAAATAGTCTGAGTTTCCTAACCTGGATTGTGAGAAGACAAGATTAAACAATGACCAGTTATACTTACCTCCGCACTTAATATATTTAATCAGCTAGGATAGAAGAGAGGCACGATTCCTGCCTTGAAATGGAAATATAACTAGTACGGGTAAGGACCTGAAGGGGCGACTGAGGAGCAGATACCCAGGCTGACGATTATAGCCATGAGCATACTCAGGAGGTAACCAGATCTTCAAACCTGTGAACAAAGTTATGCACGTGGAGTTGAGACTTGGACATGACTACTATAAAGTCTTACGGGGTCTGGTGCCTTCGTTTCGACAATATTTGATCTACCTGGGCATCCAATTCAGCTTCTGGAAACATCAACACTCTAGACACCTTCCACCTAAGCTGTGAATTGTGCAACGCCCGACAGATATCTTGCACAATGAAAAAGCACCTCAATCTGTGCAACACGGCGGTTAGTCGCCGTCCAAGCCGGAGAAAACGGCACAAACCCGACCTCAAACTCTTAGCACTCTCGTTACCGTTACCCCTAAGCCGCGGCGCTGCTTCATTCCGTCCTGAGCCCATTGTCACAGGTAAGAACCAGTGTGGAACATCGCAACCCCGGACGGAGATCATGCAATGACATCGATCTCAAGAAAGCCCCAGAGTAGATAAGCTATTTAGGACCCCTTGTGCGCCCCTCGTGGCCCGCGCACACCGAAAAACCCACCTTTGAATATTTGATGGAATACTCGTATACGAGTATTCAGTCTGCGCCTAGCGATATCATCGAATTTTCGTATAAACAGACTACACCTATTTGAAAGGGCCACCCTCCAACGCGTGTTTCTTCCCCATTTGCTTATCAATGGATCGCGCCATTTTTCCCGCCCTCTAATTTCGTCCCTAATCTTAACAAGTGTGCTAAGTTTGATGATCGTGATGCCGTCGGAAACTCCCCCAAGCTTGCTAGGTGGCAGCGTTTTCCCACGTTATTGCAGTGGATCAATCCCCCCCTCCAAAGCCCAACCCTTTTTAATCTCGCCAAACTCGCAAGCTAACACACCCCCTTCCCGATTTTCCGATTCGCAAAACGCTCCTGCATCCTTGCCATCCCTGCATCTTACCTTACTTTAGCTCCCTTTTCTTTCAACTGGGGTACCGTTTCATTTTGTTTGCGCCACATCTTCAATTTCAATCGTGGGGGCTTTCGGAGACTTGATGTCAGTGATGGACGTTGTGGCTTATCCACGTTCCTTTTGATAGCGAAGGATGGCAATCACAACGTCTGCTCGCTCGATCACAAACAATATCTGTCTACGACACGGCACAAGATGGGAAAACCACCTCCCTCTGCTGCTGTAGTATACCAGACAGAACCATGTCCTGCTGAGGCAGCCCGCCAAGACCTCGAAAACGCCCGAAGCCTCGTGGACTTTTTGCTGTGAAATACGACGCTGCCGGCGCCGAGACCGAAAGGACCACGCGGCCCCCCCCCTCGCCGATCTCGCCTCCGGCGCCACTGCGCCAGCGTACCAAGCTTCGAGGCCAAGACTTCCCGAGTACGTTCTCAAAGCCAGTGTGAGAGTGGCATGGCAGTGGATACCTTGGCGCTCCCGGTGCGTTCGTTGCGCGTCGGTGCAGATTGGAGAGTCCCGCCGGGGTTCGTGGGTGACGACGACATTTACGTTGCCCCAGATCTGCTCCTCGCGCTCTGCATCGTGAGAGGTCGTGTTGTACGAAGGTTGTATACGGGCTGGCGTATAAGGTGGGTTGTGAAAAGTCTGAGGTGGCGGGGTGCCCTTTGTCCACGAATGTGATGCCGTCTGTCTGCCTTGGCGTCGTTCAAAACCAGTTGTCTTGCATGTTGAAGCCGATGTGAATGTCTCCATACATACTTACTTGATCACGCCGATTGACAGGGTTTGCCTCGGCGAATCTATTCTGGGGAACAGTCTTGCCGTGAGTGTTTGATATTACGATAGCTTAGTTGAGGTGACCATAATTCAAGATGTATACTCGGAAATGTATCTGTCATGGAACTATGATGTATGGATTGCCTTGACTTCAGTTTTCTAGAGACGTGATTTCGAGATACACTTGATTGTTGCACAGCTGAATAAGCCTACTGGGTACTCCACCTGCTCATGACTCTCCGTCGAGCCGAGTTCCAAATTTCTACGGGCTGTCATGAAAATCACAGAAACCCGTTGTAGTTCTTGAAAATCGTCATTCTGCTGGATATCCCTTCTCCACTGTGACGTGCACCTTCAGGCACATCTAAAGCTCTTTGTGCTGACCTGAGTTTTCAACGGGTTCAAGCTAGTAGTGTGAGGTCCAAGTGTCTTGATCGTCATATGAAGCTTGACTCAGTCAAGGAGATCTTTATTTACACGATACAAGCTTGCTATTTATCGCAATTTCACAATCAAACCGGAGAAACTCAGCCCCGTCAAGAACAATTTCCACAATAGCAAACATGGAGTTAAAAAAATTACACTTGAAAGCCATGCGGCTGAGAATGGCGTTACTTGGCATCTGGACTGTAAGCTGGCACATCGCCAATACCACGACTTTTATCGCGGGCTGGCCCGCTCAAACTCAAAAAGAGCTGAGGCCAAAGTCGAATAGCTGAGAAGCTGAGACCCAAGGCCGACCTGGCATAGCGAGAAGGTTCACGGGGGACGGGGAACAAAAAATGATGCGCGCAGTGGTCGATGGAAGGTCTGGAATCTGGTGGCCGGGAGGTAAGGGAAATGGCAAAGAAACTGATGGTGTGTGGGAGAGTTGCGTGCAAAGTTCGGATTATTTTGAGTTTGAGCAAAGGTCATGGTGAAGATGGGATCAATCGCCACAGACGGGAAGTCAGGTTGCAACTCCCAGCAGCCACCTCGCTTGGGAAGTTGGCCTTGGCGGCGTTATCATGTGACGATCACACACAGGTGCCTCGGAAACAGGGAACCTGGGGTGATGTTCGAACATCATCGACAAGCATATGGTTGATCGGGGGAAAAAAAGAAAGACTATCTTTATCAGGAACGGCAAATAGAACTGGGTCATGCAAAGTACGAAACAAAATGTGAGAAATCAGGATTCGAAGAATTTGTTCTGGACGAATGCCGTGAGAAAGCGAGAGGATCCAAAAGGTGCAAAGTGACCGCAGCAGACCTCTTGAAGAGCGCCTGAGGCGATTCAGCCTCACTAGCGGGGGAGTGGAGGTCGTGTGGTGCAGCCACTCACAACGGAGATTTCGGTGTGGTGGTGTTGTTTCCGCGTGTTGAAGTTCTTTTGAAAACGGATGACTGGCATGAAGTTGAAAAGTCCGCGGATGAAGAAAATACACGAGTTGAGACGAGAGAGCGAGTGAGGCTGAGCAGTAACGAGATGTGGGGATGAAGCAGGAATCCGCCAGTGCTGTGTGCGGCAGGCCAGGCATGGGAGGGTGGAGGTGGGGGGGCTTGGAGGGAGGCGTCGTCACCTGGGAACAAAGTGTGGCGTTGCACAATGAGGTTTACCATGTACGTACAGTTTTGCAGTGCCGGACAATGCTGTATGCAGTATGCAGTAAGTAGGCTACGTACTCTTCCTCTACCTCTCTCCTTCTTCTCCAGTGTAATTTTATTTTTGGAGACGCATGCAAAGGTTAAGTAAGCGCCCCCCGCAAAGGTCCGAGGCTGCAATTGAGAGTAGCGATTCCCAGAAAGAGGGTAGGCAGTGTACGTATCTCTGCTGCTCCCCCTGTCGTTGAAGGAAGGCGCCGGTTACCCTGTCAATGGCTTCGGAAGTTGACCCCCCAATGGCTGGTGGTTCTCACCCCGGTCAATTAAACAACGGATCCCAGTAACAGTTTGCAACCACGGGAACGCGAATCGAATAGGCAACGGGACGGCTGTTACGGCACTTGCTGATTGCTTGGAAATATTTTTGGTGATCGTCGTCGCGGGTACCTTGCGTGCCTTTTCCATGGTGGTTGTTTGACGGGAGGGCTCCAAGATTTGGTCGAGTAGTAATGCTTTGGTGAGGTAATATGCCACATCATGTCAATTGCATTTAGAATTTCAGACGGATGATTGTTTAATTTGGCAACAGGGAAGACAAATAGGCAGACACACAGATGTAAGAGACAACAACACATGCGGATAGACAAGAATTGACACATTTAGCACCAACCTGAAATGCCCCAAGCCGAAAAAGAGAAAACCCAAGCGAGACAGATCATTATCGAATTTGCAGTGCAGTGCTGTGCTTTGCCGTCCACGCCGCTCGCCAATGCTGCTAGCACAATATAGTAACATGTGCCGACCAGACCGCAAGGCCCCAATCGTGGCCCGTCCTCTCAGCGATTGTGGCCCCCCCGCTCAGCCCGTCACACGCACTGCTGTCCCCTGTCATGGGCACTGGCATCCGCTGTCTTCTGGGACCCTGACTGCCCACCATGAGACCCCCCTAGCGACGTCACCCGCCCGTCCCCCTCGACAACCACCTGCAGAACTCAATTCTGAGGGACATTTATTTTGATCCTCTTTCGGTGAACATTCGACATGTGTGTTTGTGTATGTGGGCGAGGAAGCGAAAAATGGAGTAAAAGCAAAAAAGGTAGCCATTTCTTGTCTGTAGCGCTTTTATCTATTGGGCAATACCACGTTGCTCGAGGCTATTAGTTCCATTATGGAAAAAGAGGATCTATACTGCAAAGGCAACCGGGAATGGCATATAGTCAGCATCCCAAAAAATCCGCGCCGCGCCACATTTGGGGGCCTGAAACACGAAAGAAGCCCGGCCTTATCAGCAATAATGCAGAACCCAACGGCGGGCCCTCTACACAATAGCTCTCTTTATCTCTCTGTATCATCCCCCTATCCTGTCCAATCTCTGTCCTGCATAGCTTTAATCGTAAATTCGATACAGAGACGTATCTGTACTACCTATATTAGCAAAAAGAAGACAGTCAGAAAGCAAACAAAAATAAAAGAAGGAAAAGGGAGAAAAAAAAAAAAAAAACAGGAAAAAAACACACCAAAGATCAGCTCCCAAGGCTGACGGCGGAGCCCCTCGCACTCTTGGTGAGAACTAGTGTAATACCTGCGAAGCCTCCCCTCGTCGTCTCCCACAACAACCAGCGACCCCTGTCCATCCTTTCCCCAATCCTGGTTGTGTCGCAGTCTCGCCATCCACTCACCTGCAGACAATCTCATACGGCTCAATCACCTTGAAACCAAAAAAAAAAGCCGCCCCAACCCAGCATCTTTCGCTCGCGACGTCCTCCCTGATTCCATTTCCCATCTTTCGACCGAACACATCCCTTCTTTTTGCCTTCTCCCTCGCCCCCTTCCCGTCACTCCGAAACCCGTCAGGCGCATTGAGTTGAGCACCGACCCGGCTATACCGCCCCTTCTCGACGCCGCCTCCCCAGGCATACCCAAGCATTCTGGTCTCAAGGTTACCTCCCTGTCTGAATACCTAGCTTGGATTGGCTTGGAAGTGAGAAAGAGCAGCAATACGCACCACACACACACACACAACTACACACGCACATACTACTTACCACACGCACAGAAGGAGAGGGGGGAGAACAACCACCACGTACCCAAAAAGAGTTAAGCCAAAAAAGAAACATAAGGGCCAAAAAAAAAAAAATAATAAGGGGCTCTCTCTAAGCTGAGGTCGAATCGCCGAACCAAGACCCTCTCCATCCGACGATTGCGACACCATCTCTCTCCTGCGACTAAGCGTACCGATCCACCAGGCCCCGTCGATTTCTATTCCCCGACAACGCCAACCTACCTACTACCCTCTCTCTCTCTCTCCTCGACTTCCTCTTGTACCTATCCACTTCACACCCCCATCCCACTTCGACATCTCTTTGCGACGCTCGCCTTTACCTTCGCATCTCCTGAGTCTTGACCTTTTACTGGCCAACCAAGGTCCTGCACTGCACGGCACTCCCGCCAGCACAGCCAACATTCAGAAACACCTCCCGCTCTCCCCGGGGGGACAAGAACTGTCTACTTGATCCATATCGATACCCACCCACAGACTCTCCTGGTCACAAACATCAGACACTGGTTCCTTTGATTGAACCCCTCCCCTTACCATCGTAACCATGTCGTATAATCGTTTAGGCAAGTAACTTTGTTCCCCCTTTGATATTGCCTTGACCATTGGCGTCATTCATCCCACATCTGCCCTTCCCTCTACCGCAAAGACCCCCCCGGGAAAGAAGTACATACGCTTGTGCATACCTCGGACCGTTTCCTCGTCCGGTTCTGATCGCATTGTCTCTCACTGTCCAAAGATCTTGCTGTTTGCAGGCGCAGTCCACTGTACCTCCCGAATACGCAAACTGGTGTGGCGCAAGCTTTCTCTCTTTCCTACCTTTCAAGTTCCCGCTTTTCACTTTCTTAATATCAATCGTCCTGGGTCCTCTCCGCCTTACCGGACTGCCAACCTAACCTTCTCTTCACTTAGACGACGACTATTACAACGATCGCATGGACCCTCGTTACCATCGCACGCCTTCGCCAGGCCAGCCCCTCCAACAAGGCTACCAGTTGGAGGACAACCCATTCAACAATGCTCAGTACCAGCAGTCCCATCCGTCACATCTGGACGACCCTTATGCGCGTCAGAACCAGCTCGAGATCCCCGGCGCTCCAGCTCGCTTTGGCACCCCAAGTGACCATCTCCAACTGAACTCAGCAGTAAGTTTCATGCGCAGAGCTTCCACCGGCGACCTGGCACTGACAGCTCCCCACAGCACTCCGTTGACAACCTCAGCGGGTACGACTCACGGAGTCACCAAGGCGACTATGGCGTGAACCCCGAAGCGCATCACGATGCCTACTACAATCAGCCCTACGAGCCTTCCCCCCACGACCCCAACATGCCGTACGACCAGCCTACTGGCTACAGCGAGTATGATGACCACCGTCCGATGCTTGGCCACCAAGACAGCTCGCCTCAAGACCCATACACAGACGCTCCGACACCCCAGCCGGCTGGAGGCATCAAGAGGTGGAAGACTGTCAAGCAGGTGCTTCTGTACCGTGGAAACTTGGTTCTTGACTGCCCCGTGCCCCCTAGGTTGCTCAACCAACTCCCTCACGGCGAACGTGACGAGTTCACTCACATGCGCTACACTGCCGCTACTTGCGACCCCAACTACTTTTACGATGACAACTTCACGCTCAGACAGAAGCTTTTCTCCAAGCCGAGACATACGGAGCTCTTTATCGTCGTCACCATGTACAACGAAGACGAAATTCTGTTCGCCCGAACCATGATTGGTGTGTTCAAGAACATCGAGTACATGTGCAACCGCAAGGAGAGCAAGACATGGGGCAAGGATGCCTGGAAGAAGATTGTCGTGTGCGTGGTTAGCGATGGTCGTGCCAAGATTAACCCGAGAACAAGAGCTCTGCTGGCTGGTATGGGTGTCTACCAGGAGGGTATTGCCAAGCAGCAGGTCAACAACAAGGATGTCACTGCTCACATTTACGAGTACACCACCCAGGTCGGTATGTCGATCAAGAATGACGTCGTCACCTTGATCCCCAAGCAGCAGCCCGTCCAAGTTCTGTTCTGCTTGAAGGAGAAGAACCAGAAGAAGATCAACTCCCACAGATGGTTCTTCCAGGCATTCGGCCGTGTTCTGGACCCCAACATTTGCGTGCTTATCGATGCCGGTACCAAGCCCGGAGGCAACTCCATCTACCACCTGTGGAAGGCGTTCGATCTTGAGCCCATGTGCGCCGGCGCTTGCGGTGAGATCAAGGCCATGTTGGGAACCGGTGGAAAGCACCTCCTCAACCCTCTGGTTGCGACGCAGAACTTTGAGTACAAGATGAGCAACATCCTCGACAAGCCCCTCGAGTCCGCATTTGGCTTCATTTCCGTCTTGCCCGGTGCCTTCTCCGCCTACCGATATGTCGCTCTGCAAAACGACAAGAACGGGCAGGGTCCGCTGGAGAAGTACTTTGCCGGTGAGAAGCTCGAGGGTGCAGGAGCCGGTATCTTCACATCCAACATGTACCTCGCCGAAGATCGTATCCTCTGCTTTGAGCTTGTCACCAAACGTAACTGCCATTGGATTCTGCAGTACGTCAAGTCCGCTACTGGCGAGACTGATGTACCCGACACGGTCACGGAATTGGTTCTCCAGCGTCGTCGTTGGCTGAACGGTTCCTTCTTCGCTGCCATCTACGCTATCGCCCACTTCTACGAATTCTTCCGGTCTGATCACTCTATGCTGCGCAAACTCATGTTCTTCATTGAGTTTGTCTTCAACACGATTAACATGATTTTCGCCTGGTTCGCTATCGGTAACTTCTTCCTGGTTTTCAAGATCCTCACGACGAGTTTGGGCGACGACGAATTGCTTGGTAGGACAGGCGAGATTCTCGGTGTCGTTTTCACTTGGCTCTACGGTATTTCCTTGATCACCTGTTTCGTGCTCTCCATGGGCAATCGGCCAGCGGGTTCAGGACCTTACTACATCACGATGGTTTACTTCTGGGCATTTATTATGGTGTAAGTGCCGTCCATCAATCTCATTTGATCTCACAGCTGACCCTTTTTTGTAGTTACTTGCTCTTCGCGGCCGTCTTCATCGCCGTCAAGGCCATTTTGAAAGATGTCAACGACTCGAACGGTTTCAACATCTCTGAACTGTTCTCCAACCCCGTCTTCTATACCCTCATCATCTCCGTCATGTCTACCTACGGTATCTGGCTGATTGCCTCGTTGCTCATGTTCGATCCTTGGCACATGTTCACGTCCTTTGTGCAGTACATGCTGCTGACGCCCACTTACACCAACATTCTCAACGTCTACGCCTTCTGCAACACCCACGACATCTCCTGGGGTACCAAGGGTGATGACAAGGCCGAGAAGCTGCCGACTGTCAGCACCAAGGACGGCTCTGGAAAGACGGATCTGCCTGATGAGGCTGATCTTAACGCCCAGTATGAGCGCGAGTTGGGAGTCTTCGGCACCAAGTTTGTGGCGGAAGTCAAGCCTCCTACGGAGGCGCAGAAGGCGGAAGCCCAGATGGACTACTACCGCGGTGTCCGCTCTGTTGTCGTTCTCGCCTGGATGATTGCAAATTTCGGTCTTGCCGCCGTCGTTCTCAGTGCCGCCGGTCTGGAACGCATAACCCCATCCGCAAACAGCACCGAGGACCCGAACGGTCGCGCCAACATCTACATGTCTGTCGTGTTGTGGTCCGTTGCCGGTCTCTCAGCATTCAAGTTCATTGGCGCCATGTGGTTCCTTGTTGTCCGCATGTTCAGAGGTGTTTAAAAAGGATTTTTTCCAAAAACGGCTGCGTTCTTTTGAGAATGTCGCCACTGCATTTCTATCTAGTATGTTTTATGATGGCATTGAGTTTGTGAGCATTATACCCGCCCTTTCTTTCAGAGGAAGCAAAAGAAAAAAGAAAAAGGGCAAGGTGGATGGCGAACACGACTTCTGAGAGAGGGTTACACACTCTCATCATGTTTGGAGTACGACTCGGGAGGGGATGTAACTCTAATGACCTTTGTTCTTGTTGTGTTTTTTCTTTTCTGTAACGCATTGGGATGTTTCTTCGTATTCCGCCCCCTCTTGTTTGAGTCCCCTTCCCTCACTCCCCAATTTTTGTTTGACGCATTTTTGTGTTTTTGGCCTTTCTGATATCAATACGGAACCAGACGGCGTTTCTTTCTATTCTTCTGCATGTCCTTTCCGGTCCTTTTTTGTCTTTTGCGGATGCTCTGGATGGGCCCAGCAGGATGACGACCGGATTGGCGATTATAAATGGGATGGGGGAGGATGAGGAGGTTAGGGTTGAACAGAGGAGTCATAGACGGGCTGCTCTACGTAAAAAAAATATGATGAATGAGACAATAGAGAAACCCCCTTCTAGACGTTTATATTTCTTTGACTTGTGATTTTGAGATGTTTTGTTCGTGACGTTGTCTAGTACAATTTTTGAACATGGCTGTTGAATGCCTCGAGTTATTGTGAGTTTGGAGATTTGTGCCGTAAGGGGGTGCTACATGGGCGTTTGGTTTAGACCAAGTAATACATACCATGCGATCGATATAAGGAGTAGGTAGGCATTCACGAGTTGGTATGAAATGTTGTTCGTCTTAAGGCGTAGTAAACATGGCAATTGAGTCCCACGTTTTTAGAGATCATGGTGGTTCACAACGAGACGAGAAAGAAAGTAGTAGGATACGACGTTTTCGTAAACGAGATTTGGGAATCGTATTTACTCCTTTTAACTCAACAAGCCGAGGGTACTGGATACCGTAGGTAGATACATTTTGGTGGTGGTGGTGGTGGGGGGACGGGACACACCCAAATTAAAAAGACAAGGCCCCCCCCCCCCCCCTCTTCCCCATCCTCTTCAAAGCTAGCGAGCGTCCAAGAAACTTACGAGGCCACCTCCTTGCCCAACCTGTCCAGCTCTTGCTTGATGAACTCGTCGGCGTTGAGCATCTCCGTGCTGCCGTATACCACTCTCCTCCTCGCGCGGTCGCCGCCTGTCCGCGCGACCCACTCCTGCAGGTTACCGTACTCGTCCATACTGCCGCCGCCGACGGTGAATACGATGGCCTCTGAAAATCCCTGACGGCGCTGGCCGAAGCTTGCGCCTGTGCCTGCCGCCTGGCCGCCGACGTTCTGGCCTGGCAAACCGCCGGGGGCTCCCGAGGACCCACCGGCGCCGGCGCGGATGGAGCTCGGCGGGGGCATGGTGCCACGGGCATTGGCGGAGCGGGGATCGAAGTAGAGGTAGTTCTCCGTTTTGGCGATGGCGGAACTTGCTGCGGCGGAGGGGTCCATGACGGACTCCACGATCTTGGTGATGGTCAAATCGCGGTTGGCCGGCAGGAAGTTCTTGATGCCGCCGATGAGGGACTCGAAGTTGGAGGAAAGACCGGTGGGGACGCCGGTTTCCTTGAGGCGGTCGGTGAGACGGTTGGAGATGGAGGAGAAACGGCCGAATAGGTCCGAAGAGGCAGCCTGGTTTGTTTGAGGGTTGGAGATGGTGGTGAGCTGGGTCATCTTGGTGGTGGCGCGAACTCTGCGAGCCGTTGTTAGCATGGCGACTGCAAGGGATAGGGGGTGCATCGAGTGAGTGACTTACTGTCGGATATATGGGAGAGACGTCGTGTCTGCGCCAGCCTCGGTGAGGGCCTTTTCGAAACCCTCCCACTCGGCACGGGTGACGTCTTGTTCGGTGCTGAGGTACCAGATGACAAACAGTCTCAGCTTGTCCACGGGCTGGTCTCCCTTGGTGCTGTCCTTGAGGAGCTCCATGACTTGTGCCTTGGTTTGCTTCATGACACCTTCTTCTACTTGGAAGAAGTTGTCTAGCTGCCGGTTCTTGATGCCCGTCAGGAGTGCCGCAAGGATGTTCATGTGCATGTCGAGCACCGCCTTGCGCTCACGCAGCTCCGGCAATAGTGTGATGGCCGCCTTCAGATGCTGCGCGCTGGCGCTGGTATCGTTCTGCAAGTCCTCCAGGTCCGTTACTCCGGTCTTTTTCGTCACCGCCGCCGCGTCTTCCTTGTACCTCGTCAACTCGGCATCGATATCCTCCGCCACTTGCGGGAACGGCACAGCCGCGTTCTTGGCCCAGAAGAAATCGCTCGCCGTCAAATCGTAAGCCTTCTTGGTGGTTCCCTTGGCAGGGTTGTTTTCGTCTATGGGCGTCTCTATCGTGATTCTGTTCAATTTCATATTCAAAACATCATGGACTAGCGACTGGTAGGTCCATGAATGAGAAAGCATAGGTATTAAGTCGACGTTTCGGTCGAGAATGATAAGCACAGGGCGGGAGGTTGGGGTGCCGGCGGACGATGCTGGGCGGGTGTTGGAGGAGAAGAGGTTTTCCTTTGAGTTGAGAATGTGGTCGCGCAGCTTCCGGTCAAGCTTTGCCGAAATCATCTCGGCAGCTGCGCCCTTTGGGCAACGAATGATGGGAATGACGCCCATGGTGACAATAACACTGAATAGACCGCTGACAATCCTGTCCACCACTCTGTCCAGCTCTTCGTCGTTCGTTGCAGCACTGTTCAGCGCCCAGTAGGTGTGGTCTCGTTGCATACCCAGGTTGAAGAGATCCGGTTCGGCAACGATAAAGTTCAGGTATTGGTCCATCAGCTTGGCGATGCTCTCTGATGTGCCAGCAGTTATCGTCTGCTCTGCGAAGTCTTCGAGGAGGGGGCGGGGGATGGAGGAGAGGAAGTTGAGGTAGGCTGGGTTGTACAGGCCCTTTTGGAGATCGCTAGTGATGTTTTGTAGGTTCTGCGGCGTGGGCTCGACTAGGTAGATGACTGGTACGTCTGGAATGGCATGTCGAGAGGCTCTAATGTGCCTAAGCCGGTGTTAGCATGTCGCGGGACCAAGAGCGAAGACGGGGACCAATCTACATGTGCATAGTGATGCCCAGCGCTCGAAGATCGCTGACGCGAAGAACACTGCTGATGACATCTCGGCCGAGGTCATCGAACACGAGGACCTTCCATAAGGGATCGCCATCGGAGGTTATGATAGAGCCAGCAGGCCCAAGTGCGCCGCCATTGGCCTGGGTGGTGTCGGTCTCATTCTCGTCGATATTGTCGTTCAAGCTAAGAAGCTTCTTAAGTGCCGCTACATTAAACCAAGCGTCAGTTTCAAGCTTGACCAACAGATGAGAGCGGATGAGTTTGCGACGTACAGATCTGGCGATCGCGCAGCGAGTGGCCCTTCGCTGCCATGGCGATGGTGATGGTGGGGTGGGAGCTTCACAGCTCTAGCTAGCTGGGGGGGAGCTGGGGTTTCCACAGGCTGCGAAGGAACAAGTCACATAAAACCAATACCAAGGCAAGCAGAAGCTATTGCAGGTATTAGGCTACGGCTTCAATCGATTGTGTCCGGTTATCGCGTTGGGAAATTCGAGGATGATGCTTTGCTTGCGACAGGGACAGGTACGTACACAGCTCCAGCATCGGTGTCCTCAAAGTACCGTCGAGCCACATTTCCAAGACGATGCTTCTGGTGCTGGTGCTGGTGCTGGAGTGGATACGGTACAATGCTATGAGTCGGCAATACTGAGTCTCCGTGTTCCGACGGTGGGGATAATCGTTCTATGGAGGGGCTGGGGCAGCCCCCCCAATGACCTACTCAGGTACCCAAAACCAAACTATGAGCGAGCGAACCTCTCAGGTTGTGAGTACCTCTGCAAATTGGCTGTCCAAGCGCCCCAATAAGTGTTTTGTATATAGATGGTGCGCTGCCTTGATACACACAAGAAGCTAAACTAGATTTCGGGACTCTGGCACATGACCATATAAAATAGAATGGTTCTTCGTCGCTGATGCTCAAGATAGGCATTTCCCATCTGGTCATCTCTAATACATGTAGTTGCACGATCTGAAGGTACATACATGTTGAGTGTGCCTGAATTGGGCCAAGTCTCAGTAGGTAGCCATGCACCTGCGCATTGCCTACGTGTACTAGTTACTGCCATGTCCTGGGCTTTGTGTGAGGCTGGCCAATTTCTGCGCCGTAAGCGGGAAGGCACGAGGAACCTTGTCCAGTCACAGCCAAGATAAGTCATGCCCGTGGCCCCTTCCAGCTCGGACCCATTTATGCCTAAGAAGTACGGCCACAAAGTGACTTCCTACCTCCCTTTGGACAGGCCACCGCCAAACAATAACCAAGTTTTCCTCCTCCCCTACGACGACTCATCCGGCTTCTCCTCCTTCACCATCCCAAAATCACCGCCATTTCACAGACAGAAGCGACAGGAAGACGCGTCGGAAAGCCCACAGCGACCTTGAGCGATTCGGATTCTTCGTTTTGCGAAACTCTTAAACGCGAACAAGGGCACTTAACTTGCCTGATTAATTGTCGCCTTCCAGATCCTCTGCGATCGTTCCATTTGCCCCCTTCTTTTGGTAGACAGTTCGCTCGCCCTTCTTCCGGGCAGTCGGCCAACATGTTGTAATCTGCGCGCGATCATCATCAAAAAAGATCAAACCGCGAACCACGTTAAGGATCGCGAGGCCAGTTCTCTCAGACGCCAAAAAGGCAGGATAATCGCGGCCGCAAGGCAATCCATACGAACTGCAGGGTATGATAAACTTTTCCCCCGAGCCAAACTCACGCTCTCCTTCCACTCCCCCCCCTCCAAAATCACCTTGCCCCATCACCCATTACCCATCATCACCGGCACTGCCATCATAATCAGCGCACTTCATCCATCATTTATCATCATCAACGCCATCATCCATCCCTTTGGAGACACGCAGACATGGCAATGTTTGTATGAGTGAAATTCATGATAAATCCACTGGATTCCAACTCATCTCGCGCCGAACTGTTGCAGCGATGAATTTGCAAAAGTCGGATTGCATCAATGGGAGACGCAAAAACAGCGCGCGTGGAAATGTGGACAAGGACACGCACGGAGTGACCCTCCTGTTTAAAAACGTTCTGCAAAGCAGAACGCCTTGTTTCGCGGCGCGATGGATTGGCGGCTGGAACCCGTGCTGAGAGGAATTGGAGAATGGAAGACAAGCTGAACAGGCAGACTCAAGCGACGTTCGCACGCTGTCGATGCTGCAGGCCCTCACTCTTCTTCGTCTTCGCATCAATCAATCCACTCACTTCCACAGCTCTGGAAGACTGGACTACGGCCTCACCACTCAATATTTGCTGCGCAGTCTTGGGCTCGGTCCTCACCTCAGCTTTTGCCAGTAGAGGTGCAGGGGCGGGTCTTTAGGGACCTTTCTGACTTGCTCAGCGCTGTTAGGCCTCCACCTCAGCGGACTGTCGGCAGGATGAAGCCCACTGCAAAACAAGGGACCACCCAACACTGAAGACCACCTCACTCCGTCAAAAATGTCTGTCGGCTGGGAGACCACCACCTGGAAAGAGAGACAAAAAGACATCTTTAGGCTGTCAAATCACGTCAATAATCCCAGCTGGCATAGGCCTCCCTTCCCCCCAAATTTTCTTTTCATCTTCAATCCTCAGTCGAGATACTTCGAGCCACCAGTCCGTCGCCTGTCAATTACCACAAAGCCATCTCAATGCCATCAATCGGCGTTGGAGGTGGGCGATCGCCTCACTGGTGTCTCTAATTTGTCAACGCTGGACTTGCGCCAACCACAAACCAGCCCACAAACTTTCATCTGCCTTTGCTGGCCATGGGTCAGAGCCAAGTGGTTCTTTGATGACACTTTCACTCAATCACCGCGTCCTTCACGTCAACATCACCATTAATCGCAAGTCATTGCATATAAGTTTCTCAACGCTGACTGGCTTCACAGTTCGTTTATACGACACAGAGACATCACGATCGCCATCGCCATTCCCACCCATCAAAATTCAGATTCTCAGCGCACCACCACATCCATAATCCCTGCCCGGACGCCGCTTTCGGCCTAGCTTTGCTGTCTCCTCATTCGCTGCCACATCAAGGTAAGGTGAGCCATTGGCCGGCAATTAGCCGTCGGAACCCCGTCCTTCTCCACACTAGGTGCTTTGCCCGCCATTTTGACTGGGAGGGTACCCCAATGTCCAGGTCTTTCTCTAGACACCCTTAACAATCTTCACATTCCTCTACCACCACCCCACCTACCTCCAACGTTTCTTCTTCCAAAACCCTAGCGTCGTATCCTTGCTTCAGCCAATCAGCGTATACTATCGCTACCCCTTCGTCTGATAATCCGACGCACGGCCAATCCGGCCTGCATGCCAAACCAATCACAGACCGTTCCTTTAGAAGCTATGCTAATTGGCTGCAGCCGTGCAGTGCTCACTTCCTCTACCCAATGAACGTGTGAGGATTCGGCACCTCTCCCCATCATCACGTGCCCTCAGTGTCAGTCTGTCTCCAGCCCGACATAATGCAGAACTGGCAAACAAATGGCCAGGCAGGTTCTGCTCAAGGCCATAATAATAATATCTGGCCGGGTTCCTATGGCTTTTCCAATGGGTCAACCCAGTATGGTGCTACTCAAGACTGGACCCAGCAGATTCATAACCAAAATGCATTCACACATCTCGCACCTCAAGGGAACGGTGCTGAGGATAGTCCCTTCGGGTCATCACCCCACCAAGGGCATGCCGCCGTAGCGACTGATCATAATGGCATGTCTGCTCTGAGTCAAACCAACTTTCCCAATGGTCACAGTCATTTTGGCTTGGATTCGTCCTATGCTGATCCAGGCCAAGACGACCCTCTGGCTGGTCTTCATGATTTCCCCCAAGATATGTATGGCCAACAGGGGAAGACTGATTACAATGGGAATATTGAAAGTCTGAACCACAGTCATACGCCGGATTTCTCAAACCAACAGTTCCAGTACAATGGTCAGGCGAACCAACTTTTCAATGGGAGTGTCACTCAGTTCAACGAGCCTCAACTCATGCCTCAGCATAGCCACCAAAACTCCGCGCAATTACAACAACAACAGCAACGTTTCGACTCTATCCCACAGAACTACTCTCCCGCGCCCCAGGGCTACGTTCAATCGCCGCAACAACACCAAGCACAGCCAGAGAGAGTCTTTTCTCAATCACCGCACTCCTTCCAGGCCCAGCATGCTCACCAGCAAAACAACCAAACCTTTTCCAATCAAACCCCTCCTCCTTATCAGCCTAATCAGGCACCCCCTTACCAACAAAACAAGCTGATGCCTCAGCAAGTGCCCTATGCGCAACCTGGTGCGCCTGCCTTCCAACCTGTTGCACCAAAACAGATGGCCGAACAGGCACGCACACCTCAGCCTGCTGTTCAACCACAGCCACAACCTGTGCACCAAGCGAAGGCGATTTCAAATGCAGCTCGGTCCATCCAACCACAACCACAACCTCAACCGTTGCAACAGCATCAGCATCAGCAACAGCAACAGCAACAGCAGTACCACCAACAGCAACTGCAGTTACAACACCAACAACCACAGCATCAGCTGCCACCCCTACAGCCACATCACCAACCCATTGCTGCTGCTCCTGCAGTCCAGCCTGATACGCCACCTGTCGATCCTGCCGCTCTTCCCGACCAAGTGTCCGCAAAGAAGCGTAAACGCGTAATCAAGAAGGAAGCTGAGCCGGAGCAGGCAGACTCTCCCAGCGAATCTACAGTTCGTAGAGGTGACGATGGAGAGAACCTTATCTTCCCTTCGAGTACGGAGGAGGAGATTGCGGCCATGGCACATTTCAAGAAACGCAATGCCGCGGCCAAGAAACAGTTTCCTGCTATACCGGGAGCATCATTCCTCGTCTCATCTGGTACTGCCAAACTGCCGGCTCCCAAGAGCTATGACAGACTCGCCCCTCTCGTTGCTTTGCCTTCAAGCAGCGGAAAACGCATTCTTCCAGAACTTGTCTCTGATCTTCCTTGCGAAATTCAAGGCAAGTTTACCGACAAGTACAGGCCATCTGCGAACTTTGCCGGCAAGCCGGAGGATCGTGAGACTGAAGCCAGGGCTCTGCTTGATCAATACACACATGAGATGAAGCTTTTGGGTAACCGTCGGCCCAAGTATGCCGACTATCCATTCACCTTCCAGGAGCAGCTGAAGGCTGATGAAGCAGCGAAATCCAAAGCCCAAAGGAAGGCTCGGAAGGAAGAGGAAGAAGAGCGTAAAAAGCCCATTCGCCCTGAAACTCGACCAGTTGATCCGGTTGAGGGCGCTGTTTGGGACATTCTCGGCATCGTATACATCGACCCTGCAGCGACCAGAACAAACGCTCTAATTGCTAGCGCTGTCCAGGCACTTGGAGAGTTTTTGATTAAGCTTAGATCAGAGATGAACCGAGCGAAACAGGAGGCCGACCAGGCAGCAAAGGAGGGAAAGCCCGCACCTGTCATTGCTGAGTGGACTCGAAAGACGGACCTGAAGAAGGAAACTTTTACCAAGGTCTGTGAAGCGGCAGCCAAGCATGGCGACGAAGCAGTGCTGGAAAATCTGGGTGGTCACCAAAAGGGTATTTTGAGTTTGGTCAACATGTTGATTGGCTGCATCAAGGCTGCCGATTTCAACGGACCACTACCAAAAGCCTTGCTTCGATTCATGTCTAACATCAGCATGTCTAAGAAGGTGGCAGAGAATGTCAACTTTGAAAATATCCGAAAGCGTCTCGCGGACAAGGGTGATGATGAGGTTAAGGAGCTCGTTCGCACAATAGCGTCAAGGATCAAGAAGGAAACAGACTCAAACAACGGCGTCGAGGTGAAGAAGCCATCTTCGACGGCGTCAGTCAGCAAAGTGACCAAGCCGCCATCGAAGGCTGTCGAAGGTTCCCCTGCCAAGAGGGCCCGTGACGACGAGAGCGACTCCCGCGCTGTCAAGAAGGTGGCAGTTGAATCAACAAGCAGCACCCTAAGTAGCAAACTGGGCGCCAAACCGGCGGCCGGCTCTCTCCAGTCCAAGTTTGGTGCCTCGAAGCCCCGTCCGAACCCTGCGACCACTCTTGCAGGCAAGATTCGCCCTCCCAAGCCGATAACGAAGGAACCGACAAAACCGGAGGCTTCCAAGCCCGAGGTTCCACCCTCCACTACTACGCCAATGGACGTCGACAAAAAGCCGACCACGACAGTGCCCAAGGTGGAGGCAAAGGTGACCGTAACGAAACCTGCTGCGGCTTCGGGTTCGTCACTTTCCAGCATTGCCTCTCTGTTAGATTCTATCAATACGCCCAAGGCAGAGAGTCAGACAGCACAGTCGAAGGACTCTAGCAAGAAGGACTCGGCCGAAACGCCGGAAGAGAAGGCTAAGCGACTCCGCAAGGAGGCTCGCCGTAAGCTCAGGGTCACTTGGAAGCCCGAGACAGAACTCGTTCAGGTCCGCATTTTCCATAAAGAGGCGGCAGAGGACGAAGACAACATGACAAGAGATGCGGCGGATGACCGATCCGAAGGAATGATGCTCAAACAGCGGGCCAACTTTAACGAAGACGAGGATGACGATGATGAGCTGCCTTATCAACCCTGGGTGCCACCAGTTCTCGCCGACTTGTCTAGCATTGATCATGATTACCGTGAAAAGTCATACGTCACCCGCGGTGGTAATGTGGCATTTCGCACTGACGAGCAAAAGGCCATTGAGGATCGAGAGAAGAAGGAGCTTATGGTCATTTACACGGACGCATCGGACATTCCTCCTACTCCCAAGTCCCCGCCTCCCGAACCAGCAGTTCCCAACTCGGACGCTAAGATCGTGCAATTTCCTCAAGGCGAGTTGAAGTACGACGAGATCCATAAAAGATGGAAGGAGACGCAGCAGTTTGGCTGGGAAGCGGCGGTATATTATGCTCGCAAGCGTCTCGATGCCAAAGATGACCCTGCGACTAAGCTCAATTCCATTCTGGGTAACCTTAAGCCTGTGGCGCCTGCTGTCACTCCTGAGCCTTACAATATGACGCCGCCTGGGGAGAACGCCCAGCCGATCATTCTGCCCGCCACTGAAATGCAGGCTGTTCCTGCCATACCATTCGACGATAAGGTGCATAGCATTTTGACGTCCGATAAGATGACAAACTGGAGGGACACCAATCCTTTCAATGCGGCAGCGCCACAGACGCAACGACGTTTCGATTACCCGGACGCTAATACTCAAGCGGCTGCAAACATGATTGAAGAAGTCGTTGAGAAACTACGAGGACTACCCTACCCTGCAACCAGCCCGCCCGCGTGGCTGGCTGATGATCCAGAAAGGGTCAGGGAGTGGTGGGCTGGGTTCCAGAAGGACACTGCCGCTAAGGCCAAGAAGGAGGCAGATGACAGAGCCCGCACCGAGGCAGAGGCAGGCACTCAGCAAGCTGCTCCTCAAGCTCAAGATGGACAGGAAGCGTGGGCGGCTTACTACCAGCAACAACAGCAGTATGCCCAGTACATGGCTCTCATGCAATCAATGCAGGGAACTCAGGCCCCGCAGCCTGCTCAGCCCGCACCAGCCCCGACCGCGCAAGGCACACAATTGGGGGATGCTCAACTACAGGCAATCTTGGCCCAGATGGGTCAACAGCAACAACCTGCCCTGGCCGTGCCGCAGGGTGGTGCTTTCGGCCTCAACACGCAGGATGCGGGCTATCAGCAGTTGATGATGCTCGCACAAATGCAGCAACAGCATCAGCAGCCGCAGCAGCATCAGCAGTCACCGCCTGTCGAGCAACCTCCCATCGAGAACGCATCGGAGAACACGTATAACAAGCCTCCACCTGGACGGAAACTGATCGACTACAGCGACCGGGATACCCGGGAAGACCTTGATCAGTCACGCGGACGTGATAGGGACCGCGAGCGTGAGGGTAGAGGCAAGCAGGGTAAGAACCGCAAAGGCAACGCCCCCGGCGGAGCCACGCTTGCTCCTCACCGACCGGTAAACCGCGCACTCATCGGAACCAAGCCTTGTAGCTTTTGGCAGCAGGGCAAGTGTGCCAGAGGCGATAAGTGCACATTCAGACACGACATCTAATTCGAAAGTCACGCAACATCATGTACATACCCAACTTGAATGGAATGGGCTGGGCGGTCGAGTTGATTTCATTTGTTCAGTGTACGCCTAGCACTCGAGGCGGCAACGTGGGCTGTTTTATTTTAGGGAATGCATGGGGGAAGGACGGCGACGTTTCAAGTTTTGTTTTCGGCATAGCATTTAAGGTGTCCGGTATTAGCATTTGCATCGTAGGGGAATGACCGTGAAAATGGAAGGACAGGAACATGGAATGCATTCGGGGGGGAAGGGGTTATGCATTGTGAAGCGGTGCGATTTTGCATCACCATCCAGATTTATCTGGATCATCATATTGTACAATAGTTACATGCCGTCCACGAAATGACAATGCCGGCCAGTGGCCGCCACTTGCATTTATTCTTTGCCTTTGTGAGATGACTAGTAGGGTCCTATTTCTATGACCATTGTCAGTCAACCCTGACTTTTCCTGTAGCAATCACACATCTCAGACCTTGGAGAGGTTAGAGAGCAAGCCCAACATGCCGCCGAGATGTCTACTATCTCCCATCGTCTCTTAGCCCAACCCTCATCTGCCCCTTTCCGCCCCTGTTAGAGCGGAAGTAAAACGGCACAAACACGAGGTCCCTCTCCTTTCCCCCCTCTCCCCTTCCCAGAACCTCAGGAGAACGCTCCCACCCGGTCGTCTTCAACGCAAAGTACTCTTCTCCACTCTTGTCGTCGGCCCGCCACTCCTCCTCAACCTTTTCTCCGGCCTTGATGCCAATATCCTTGAAATGGTTCTCCTCCCACTCGTTATCGGCGTCCTCGACGCAATACACAATCGGACCCCTCGCAAGACTCAACGTCCGTTGGTTCGTGTACGGATGAGGTGCGACGTACCGCGGGGAGAAGCCGTGAATGTGGAGCGAAAAGACGGGGTTCTCGGCAACGTACGCCGAGCTGAGGTACAGATACCCCCTCTCCACGCCGGACTCGCCCCGCCGCGGCGTCGGCGTGAGGACGAACTCGCCCCTCGACCAGGCGGGGATGCGCAGGCGGATCTTTGTCGCGACGTCCTCGGCGCCCTTGAGCTGGAAGAGAACGTTGCCCTCCCACGGCCAATTCGACTTTTGCGAGAACCCAATCTCCTTGTCGCCGCCGCCGCCGCCGCCGCCCACTCGGAACTTCACCTCGGCGCTCGTGTACAAGTGCACGTTGACGAAAGCCTCACGCGTATCGCCGCCGTAATCCCACAAGTAACCCCCGAGACTGCCGAACAACCTCGTGACGTTGGGCGGACAGCACGCGCACACGAACCAGTCCTCCCTCTCGCTCCTGGCGGCGTCGCAGCTGGCGAGCTGGTTCTCGTACGTGAAGGCCCTGCCGTCGGCGCTCATGGCCGTCATGACGTTGTTGTAGAGACACAGCTCCATCACGTCGCCGTACTCCCCGTCCAGCGGCGCCACGTGCAGGAGCCTCTCGGCGAGCATCATCGCGCCCACCGACGCGCAGGTTTCGGCGTAGCATCCGCCCTCGTCGGGCCCCTGCGGCAGGAAGTAGTCTATCCCGAAACCCTCCCACTGCGCGACCGCCCCGATGCCGCCCGTGAGGTACATCTTCTTGTGGACCATGTTGGACCACAACCGCAGCAGGGCGTCGAGCCACTCGGCGGAGTTCGTCAGCGGTTGTTGGGACCTCACTAGCGTGCTGCTGCGGGAGGTGTGGTGGTCGGAGGGTTGTTGTTGTGATGATGATAATGATGATGATGATGATGAGAGGCTGAGAAGATCGGCGGCGGCGGTGAGGAGGTACATGGCCCGCACGGCGTGTCCTTCTACCGTCGTCTGTTGGAGGATGGGGAGGTGGGCCTGGCAGTACCAGAACGAGCGGTCCATGGGCCACGAGTTGGGTCTCTTCCAGCGTGGTTCGTCGCGCTGCTCGGCCTCCCAGTCGTAAAAGTGCTTGCCGTCCTGGCCCGTCGGGTTGCCGCGCTCCTCGAGGAAGAAGCGCGCGAGGTCGTACGCGTCCTGGCTGCCCGTCGCGGAGTAGAACCGTAGCAGGGCGAGCTCGATCTCCGGGTGGCCTGGGTAGGCGCGGAGTTGGTTCTCGCCGGGGCCGAAACGCTGGCGGATGTGGGCGATGTACTTCCGGATCGGCTCCATTAGGAGTTCGTTCCTGTAGTATTGGAAATGCGATAGTGCTGCCTCGATGAGGTGGCCTGCGTTGTACCTGTGTAATGGTTAGCCATGTGGTCTGGTCTGACGACTCTGAGTGAGAGGGATTAAGTAATGTACATCTCATGCATGTCACGGATATTAGTCCAGCGCTTCCCGGGCTCGACGACGGAAAAGTGCACGTTGAGGTAGCCGTCTTCGTGCTGCGCTGAGCGGATCATGTCGACGAGCTCGCGGACCGCGGCGTCGATCTTTACGTCGTACTCTTCAACTAAGAAGTAGCAGGCGCCTTCGATCCACTTGGCGACGTCGCTGTCCCAGAATAGGTGGAGGGGCGCGGGCCAGCGCGATTTGTCGTCGAAGATGGGGTGCCATTTCAGCTTGAAGCAGTCGTATTGGCCGTTGGCGCGGAGCTGTTCGAGTTGGGTGTGGACGGTGGTGCGGGAGACGGTGCGGCGTCGGGTTAGCAGGAGGGAGGGGCTCGTGAAGGTTGTTTCGCGGAATGTGAACTGCGGATTTGACATTTTGGTTCCTTTGAAAGTGTGGATGATAACAGAGGGGATGACTTTGATTGAGGATGGGCTGGGTGAGCGATGTCAAGAGTGAAGTAGACAAGTCTAGACTCTTGAGTAGTTATGAGAGCCGGGTTGGGCGGGGGATATAGGTGACTTCAACACCGAGGGGGATATTGCCCAGAAAGGAAAGTCGAAATTGATAAGGATGATGCGGCCAGTTCTTTCGCGCAGGGAGTACAGCTTCACGGTGAACTTTGCCGCGAGTCGTGGGTAGGAGAGTTGAGAGAGCAGATGGGGAGGGGATGTCAGTCACTACATCTTATCAACTTTCCGAGTAGTGAGGAATACGAGGAGGGGAATGGGCGAATTGGATTCCAAAGTCGACAATCGCAGCCAACCATCTCTCTGGAAGTCAATGATGGCCGATCTCCGGTGCGGGGTTAACGAAGGCCAGGATGCGGCATCTACACAAGGAACTCCGAGGTTCTTTTGCAAATGTTTAATTGAAACGGGCGAGTTGGTTAGCAGCATGACGAAGGTAACCTTCTCGAATTCTGGGTGTTACTGTCAATAGAAAGTGTAACAGCAATGAGAATGAGAAGGTTGGGCTTGCATTCACGGCATGACAAAGTTGAGGCCTTTCAGCATTGGTGAGCTGTTCCTCGTAATTCGTAATTAATTTGTTTTTTTTTTTTTTTTGGTATCAAATTAGAAGAGGTCATCAATCGCCTTATCGGCGTCCTTGCGAATCAGGTCGACCATGCCCTGGTTGTACGTGTTAGTATGTCTGTCGTGGCTCATAAGAGAGAGACTCAGTTCTCACCTCAGGCATAATGGGGTTGCCATCCTTGTCCTTCACATACTTGAAGGGCATCTGGGTGCTCTCATGCTCGTTAAACTTGAGCTCGGGGTACTCGGCGTAGGGAATCTTGTCCAGGGGAACTGCAAGGGTTGAGTGACTGTTTGCAATAACATAAAATGAAGGGTGCTAGGCGTACTCTTCTCCTCGACGACAATTCTGGTGACGCGGACGGCGGTGTCAGTGGTCATCTGAGTGGGACCCAGCCGTCTACCTTCAAAGCCCTTCTTCCTCAACTCGGAGGTCCGGTCTGGAGGGGGTTAGATGAATGTTCACATAAAGAATGGATGAAGAAAACAAAAATTACCTCGTGGGGGGTCATCGCCTAGATTGAGAATTTGAACAGATTAGCTTCATGTGAAATAAAGACGAGAATGAAAATAAAAAATAAAAGTAAAAACAAAAAAATGGCAAGACGACAAGCCGCGTACCCAAAATACCGCCGAAAAGAAAGGCGTCAAATTTTTCACCGTCCTCGGGGCTCAGATCGCTGGCGGCGGAGGGGTCAAGGAGGCACACGCGGGACTTGTCCTGGGCGTAGAGCTCCTCAACACCCCGGTTCTCGGCCTTGAGGGCCGGGACCTCCTTCAACTTATCGGGGACGACGAAGGCGGCGGGCAGGGAGGACAGCAGAAAGGTGCCGCCGGCGGCATGGGTTTCTTTGGCGATTGCGATGTACTCGAGTTCGGACCACGGCCCCAGCTCAGGGTCGAGATGCTCGACGATGTACGTCTTTCCCGAGGCGGCCATCTCTGCACTCTGTAGTGGATGCGTGTTCCAGGCTCTCTCTGGTGTTTTGGTCTAGGGGGGGTGTGAGTGTGAGAAATTTTGATACCTCAGTTAGACGCGAGGTGGTAGCGATAGGCCGCGTAATCGAGGACCAGTGGGCGTTCTATGGTGTGTTATGGGCTGAAAAGTTGGTCAAACGCTTGTTTGGAGTCATTCACCACGTCCTGGCTTGGGGAGAGAGGCGCTTGCTGGCGTCTCTCTCCACTGGGGCCTTAAGACATTCCAATTGAATTGCTAAAGCGCTTCTAGTTCTGCCCTAAGAAGAGACGCCGCAAAAATTGGCTTTGCACTTGGCAACGGCTGCCCCGACGGTTGGCATTTTTATTTTTGTTTTTGTTTTTTTCAATTCTATCTGGGGTTTATTTTCACTTGGAGCAGAAGCAAAGTTGTCATTGTTATTCTGTACAGTGAAGTCTTGTTTAGGTAATATTCTTCACTTTGACCGTAGTGTAATCATCTCCCAGGGATAAAGAACGTCTTGGCTCCTTTCCAATACAAGGGGAAATTTGCATCCATGGATGCCGGCAAGGGGAGGAGGGAAGTACCGATACAATCTGAATGTTGATGTCTCAGGTTCCAGATTGTGTACAAGCTGGGGGGGCAATTTGGGGATCCGCTAAATTGGTGTATTAGGTAAGCCAGACCCTGAACAAAATCGTTGGGCGATCTGTATGGGAATTCCGCACATATTGCCTGTAACCCCGACGTTCCGTACAATCTCGTTCTGGGCTGCTCCCTGTCTGGCCATTTAGGAGAAGACAACGAGGAGGGTGTTCGATCGACAGTCCAAACAGTAATGCCCTCGAAATTGATGGTGATTTTCCCATGTGTTGCATGTTTAGTTGTCATGAATGCCTCGGATAGTCTTCTGTAAATATACACACACACACGCACACACACATACTTCGTTGGTAGTACCTATAAACAGACTACACACCAGTATTTTAGCTTCCCGAGAGAACGCTGAAAAAGCAAGGTCCAAGGAGGGGAAAGGCCGCGCAGACCAGTACTTGTCCATTCCCTTTGGTAGGTTCACAACGCAAAAAAGCTGGGGCCCACGTCACCTTCAGCGCGAGCTGAGTGTGTGCCTCTCACCCTCAGAGTATCAGAGTAGCAGAGTAGCAGAGTAGCCCTCCGCCCCGGCCCCCCAGAAGCCCCTGTTTAGGGAGTGCCACAGTGGCCCCCTCCGTCCCTGCGGCATCTTTCGGCTGCGCTACTATCCGCCGAGCGATAACCAGCTAGGTGAACCCCCCCAGCTCCTACTCCGTACCAGTCTGTGCCAATGCCGCGCCAGCCAATTTTGGTAGGTACCTGGACCGAGCAGGGATGGCCGGATGGGCAAGAGGTTGCGCAACCACCGAAAGTCCAGAGTCGAGAGTACACCTTTCAGATCTGCTCCTCCCAGACAAATCACAGGACCGGCAGCAACCTTCAACGAACCTCTTGCATCGCATCCTTTTTTTCCCCCATCTCCCTTCCTCGACCTTCGCCCTCCTATCCCCCTCTCTCCAATCTCGAATTCCATTTCCTCTTTATTCTCGTCTTCTTATTATTTTTCTTCAAAGGGGGGAGAAGCCTACATGCCATCGCGGGTCGGATCGCACCCGTAACTCTTTTGTCCGATTCCCATCAAAAAAGAGGTAGCCTCGGGGAGGACACACTTCCCTAACCATGGCTGTCCTATCATTGATGCCGGCGCTGCTACTTGCGCTGGCATCATGGACGCCATCGGTGTTCGCCCAGAGCGCCGCCGAATATTTTGTTCAAAACTTGCCCGGCGCACCCAAGGAACCCTTCATTAAGATGCACGCAGGGTAAGCTGAACCTTCCCATCCGCCGCCCCCGTCCCTTGGACAAGGACCACTACCCACCCTCCCAAAAGAGCAAATGGCGGCACCGCAAAATGTGAATCTATCTAGCTAACGCGCCTTTTCATCACAGTCACGTCGAGGTCACTCCCGAACACAACGGAAACCTTTTCTTCTGGCATTTCCAGAACCAGCATATCGCCAACAGACAGCGCACCGTTATCTGGCTCAACGGCGGCCCCGGCTGCAGTTCCGAGGATGGCGCCTTGATGGAAATTGGCCCTTACCGCGTCAAGGATAAGGATACTCTTGTCTACAACAATGGTTCTTGGAACGAGTTTGCCAACCTGCTCTTCGTCGATAACCCCGTCGGCACCGGCTTCAGTTATGTTGACACCAACTCTTACCTGCACGAGCTTCCCGAGATGGCCGAACAGTTCGTCCAGTTCCTCGAGAAGTGGTTCGCCATGTTCCCCGAGTACGAGCATGACGACGTAAGTAACAGCATCGTACGCGGGATGCCTCGGAACATGTGAGCTGACGGAGAACAGATTTACCTCGCAGGCGAATCGTACGCTGGCCAGCACATCCCTTACATCGCGAAGCAAATGCTCGAGAGAAACAAGAAGCCTGGAACCAAGAACATCTGGAACCTGAAGGGTCTTTTGCTGGGAAACGCATGGATCTCCCCCAAGGAGCAATATGATGCCTATCTCAAGTTTGCCTACGAGAAGAAGCTCATTGAAAAGAGCTCCCCCGTGGCACTGAAGCTCGAGCAGCAATGGCGCATCTGCCGCACTTCCCTTGCTGTTGAGCATACCGTCGACTTCGCCGAGTGCGAAACCGTCCTGCAGGAGCTTCTTGCCGAGACGGCCAAGGTGAACTCCAAGGGCGAGCGTGACTGCATCAACATGTACGACATTCGTCTCAAGGATACTTACCCCTCTTGCGGAATGAACTGGCCCCCCGACCTGGTCCATGTTACCCCCTACCTGAGAAGAACCGACGTCGTCAATGCTCTGCACATCAACCCCCAGAAGACCACCGGCTGGAAGGAATGCAATGGTGCTGTCGGCGCCGCATTTAGAGCCAAGAACTCGGCTCCTTCGAGAGACTTCCTGCCTGATCTGCTGAAGGAGGTTCCGATCGCACTCTTTTCCGGCGCCGAGGACCTGATCTGCAACCACGTTGGAACCGAACAGATGATTGGCGACATGGAATGGAACGGCGGTAAGGGTTTTGAGGTGTCCCCTGGAAACTGGGCACCGCGTCGTGACTGGACCGTCGAGGGCGAGCCCGCTGGTTTCTGGCAGGAGGCGCGCAACCTCACCTACATTCTCTTTTACAACTCGTCCCACATGGTACCCTTCGATTACGCCCGCCGCTCCCGCGACATGCTCGACCGTTTTATGAAGGTCGACATCAGCTCCGTTGGCGGAACGCCCATCGACTCCCGACTTGACGGCGAGAGCGGCCCTGCCACCTCAGTCGGCAACATTGGCAACAACACCAATGTTGACCAAGAGACGCAGAAGAAGCTGGACGAGGCTAAATGGAAGGCATACTACCGATCCGGCGAAATCGTCCTCGTCATTGTCGTTATCGCCGCCAGCGTCTGGGGCTGGTACATCTGGCGCGAGCGTCGCAAGCGTAGGGGCTACACCGGCCTCATGGGCGGCCCACCGGCGACAAGCCAGAGATCCAACGCGCGGGGCTTGGAGGGCTTCCGCGACAGACGCACCGGTCGTGACGTGGAGACCGGCGACTTTGACGAGAGCGAACTCGATGATCTCCATGTGACGACGCCGACTACGACGGAAATGGACAAGGACCGCTACAGCGTTGGAGGAGACAGCGATGACGAGCCTCAGGAGAAGAGGTCCTCGGGCGCAGCGAACGGCAGTCGCTCAGCGAGGTAAAATAGGAGGAAGAACATTTGGACAGCTTGGAAGAAGAAGAGCTTGGGTTAGTTGGGCTAGTATTATCGCTCCTCGAATCAATCAATGCATTGGGAAAGTGTGTTTTTTTGGGCTCTTTTTTTTTTTTCTTCAGCGGGAAAGAAAACCAAACACAGGAGCCACGCCAAAACCCAGGAAACTCGCATATTTTATAAGCACGGGACGGAGTTGTGTGTGTTGTGTGTATCATTATTAGTATAGAGTCAAAAAGAAAAAAACACATTGTCTCTAATGAAATGTCATTTTTTTTTTCTCGTTCAATCACGGTCTAATACCATGTGGTTTAGTTTTATATATATATATTTACCCATCAGAGAAAAAAAGACTTTGAATGATCCAAGCCCGAACGACGAACGATTGGATCCATTCCGTTCCATTTCCATTTCATTTCAATCCTCCAACCTAAAATTCCGAGTACTAGTAGTAGTAGTAGTAGTCTTGGTTTTATTTTCATACGCCTCGAACACCCACCAAAGATATACAAGTATTTTTCCAACTTGTTAAGCGCCAATGTGCGTGCGTGTTATGTGTGTGTGTGTGTGTGTGTGTGGCATGACGATGCCCCCTTTCCCGCCCCAATCCATAAAGAAGCCCATCCACCCACCCGCCGCCGAATAAATGCACGTATACACAAAAGCTGGGAATATGTACCAGGCTGCCCACATCCGATGCCGCGGAAAAAAAAGATGGTCGTGTAACTCCAGTTGATCCCAGTGAAGACAAGAAGAGAGAGAAGACAGAGAGAGATAGAGATAAAGAGAGCCCTCTACAGTTGGATATCGTTGTTGAGGATGCGAACCTCCTCGCCGGGCTTGAAAGGGGGCAATCCGATGTAAGGACATCCGTCACATCTGAAGGCGTCGCCGAGGGCGCAGTTGCCGCAAGAGCCGACCTTGCCCTGGATGGTGAAGTCCACCTCGGCCAAGTCGTCAGCGCCCAGCTTCACGGAGGGAGCGGCAGCGGCTGCTGCTGCTGCTGCGAGGGCAGCGTCGGCGGAGGCACGGGTGGCGGCGTCTTCGGCTGCAATGCGCTCTGCGAGACCGCAGGTGCAGTCCTTGCAAGCGCGACGGCGCTTGCCTGCCTTGGGAGCACATTCGGGGGCTGTTTTTACCGAGTTGTTAGTCACATGTTTTTTTCTTTTTGTAATGGAGTTGGGAAATCATAGGGGAAGGGGTGGTGGTGTGACTGTGGGACGTACGAATGTTAAGAGGACGAGTGAGGTCAGCGTCCGTGAGAAGTGCGTCTTCGTCAATGAGCTCGTCATCGTCCATGTCGAGGTCGTCGCTAAAGTCAACGAAGCCAACGCCGGGTGGCGGCGCAGAGACGGGGGGTGCCGTGGTGGTAACAGTGGGCTTCTTGTTCAGAGAGACAGCACCGTTGGCGGCAGCCTTCTTCTTGCCGAAAGAGAGGGTAACGACCTGGTCCTCATCGTAGTCGGGCTTCGAGAAGCCTCCAGAAGCATTGACGAGACCAGCAAGGACGGCCTCGCGAGCGACGGCGGGGTCATTGGCCAAGTTGCCACCGTCCTGAGCACGGAGCTCGGCGGAGGGCTTGAGGGCTTCGGCGACGGAGGAGAGGACGGAGCGATCGGAGAGGAGGCGGGTCGACTCGACACGGGAGCCGTCGGCGTCAGTAAGGACAAGGACGAGATCGTAGGTCGAGGATGGGAGAGAGACCATGCGGGCGGCAACACGATCGAGCATTTGCAGATCGGTGGTGGTGCGGTCATAGGTGGAGAGAACCTTGCCGAGCTTCGTTGGGTGAGAGGCGATGGAGGGAGGAGCGAGGAGGAGAGTTCGCTTCTGGGGGGTTGTGGTGGTGGAAGCGGGCGTGAAGTCGAAGTCGGGGGTCATATCGAGGGTTACTACGGAGGGCGCCATTGTGATTGTTGGTCTTCCTTTTTGGGGGGGTCGCGTGTGACGTTGGTATTGGCGGTAAGGGTGAATCAGGCCAGAGGTAGTTTTGGAAAGATATAGAATTCACAAAATTGAAAAGACGTGAGGAGAAGAAGAGGATGTGTAGAGTTGTGTGGTGTGTGGTTGGGGTTTTTTTCTTTCTCTTAGATGGTAGAGGAGGGAGGTGATTGATTGATTGTCGGGGATGTCTCCTTGGGATTAGTCAAGACAAATTCGGAGGAAAACTGTGTAGCGTGGTAGTCGCTGTACTGTCCACGGTGCTTTTGCTTGATAAGCGCGTAATGATGAGGGGTTGGCGGGGTGGACACCGTAATCGGATATAGTTATCACACGGTATTGCGTAGCCGTGGTTTTTGGTTTGATTCCGTGGGGGGGGAACAGGGCAGCAATGGCAGCAGCTGTAGCAGCCAAAGGAGAGAGATATAGGTAGAGAGAGCCGAAGGGGTGTGAGAAGAAAATAGGACAACGACTAGTTCGGTTGGGTCACTGATAAAGAAAAGTTCCAACGGGTCAGAGGCAAGTAGCATTTACGGAGATGCAAGTTTCTCCATGTGCACGCAACCTGCGGCTACCCAGACATCTTTATCAGATCTTTGCTTACGGATGCGAAGAAGTCATTGGGCTGCTCTGGCAAGGTTTCCGATAGGGGTCCGAAAACGGAACGCACCCCGCCCCCATTTACGCAAGACAGAGTCACTCACAATTAAATCACCAGGCAGACCATATCACAATTGGAAGGGGTAGGTTACATGCCACCATGCTTAGGAAACCAGACAGAGTCGAGCAGGGGGAAAAGCGGGAAGGGGAAGGGTGGGAAGCGTAGAATGCTGACGCTGCATTACAATTACAGATCCTGACAATTGCCCAACCAAATGCCTTGGGATTTCCAATTTCTAACCCGTGGCTGCTTTCATTTTTTTTTTTACCCTTCGTAATTCCACTGGGATGAATACCCGCCCAAATCATCAGGTGGGCAGTGCAGACACTAAGCAAACAGACCACAGTGGGAAGACCGTTTTCCAGTGCTGACCGAATTTTATGTCACTGACAAACGCCTTTGGTAACCTTCTAATTGGCTGAGAAGCCCTGGCGGGGGTGTCCCCCCTGTCCCACCCGCCCGTTGCTGAATACGTATCCATCCAGTCCCTTGGTGCGTCTTCGGGTGCCTTCGGCGGAGTGCCTGTCAAACCTTCCTTGGCGATTCTGCGGACCCTGCCGGCGTCGGATCCTTTACTTCTTTTCAGCTCCAATATCTGTGTGTCATTTTACAGCTGCCATGGCTTTAGACCTGGCGATAATGGGCAGGGATGAGAGAGAGAGAGAGAGAGAGAGAGATGGAGTCGACTCTGTATCCGTGTATGCAAGAATAAACATGTGCTTGGCTGTTTGTAAATTGCCCAATTTTCTTCTATTCGACCCAACAAACCAGGTAAAGAGATCAGATACGGATAGAAATGCTTTTGATTTGTGATACACATGAAAAAAAATTACTCCGGATTCTATACCATCTGTCCAGAATTATCACCAGACCGGACCGTACAACGCCCCAAGCCAACTCCGTCCACATGCTACAGCATCTCACGATGGTGAACCATGCTCTCTCTCTCTACAGCTTGAAGCTACTGCTCGTCGCCTTGGCCTCCGCCTTGGCCTTGTTGCCGTCCACGTCTACAACCTCACCCTTGCGGTTGATGACCTTGACGCCGCCCTTCTTGAGGTCCGCGAGCGTATCCTTCTGCATCTGTGCCTTCTTGCCCAGCGGCTTCTTGGCGTCCGTGCCGCCCGCCTTGCGGATACGCTCCTTCTCCCTCCTGCGCCGACGCAGCTTGTCCTCGCGGCTCATCTCCTGCTTGGCCACCGGCAGGCCGTTCTTGGCCACCACCTCGCCCTTCTCCGCCGTGTCCTTGCCGGCCTTGTAGACTTCTTGAGGTGCAATCATGCTCTGGCCGCCGCTGACGCCCTGCGCCGTCGTGGGCTGGGCATCCTCCATGCTGATCGTCGCCGCGTCCGAGACAACAGTGAGCGACGGCGCCGCCGGCTTGGGCTTGTAGTGCCAGCTGCTGAGCGAGTCGAGACGCGCGCTGAGGTCCTTCCACATCTGCTCAATCTCCTTCTCCTCGCGCTGCAGCTTCTCGTCCGACTTGCTGACGTAGCCGTCGGGGTCGGTGTTCTTGAGATGCTCCTCCTCGTAGATCTCCGCCAGGCCCTTGCCAGACTTGGAGTCGTCAAGCTCGATGAGCCCGCGGCGCGTGTTCTCGGGAAGATCGGCGCCGGGTCTGCGACGGAGGACCTCGTCAAAGTCCTGCGCGATGATGCGGCGCTTGATGAGGTCCTCGATGCCCTCGCTCACCTCGGCCGTGATGACGGGCACGGGCTTTCCAAGGTGCTCGAATGCGAGGTCCTCCTCCAGAAGGGAGTTGACAGGTCGCTCGACGGCCGAGGCCTCACCTGTCAGTGTCCACGAACGCTTGGCAACCGACTCTGCTTCGAGTTTGCGGATCTCCTCGGCAAGCTTCGCCTGGCGTCTCTCGTGGGCTGATCTGCGGGACCGCGGGTCGCCAGCGGAGACGTCGGACAGGGCGTCTTCGGAATCGTCTCCGTGGTCCGACTCGTCGTCGAAGAGGTCTCTCTTGACGTCCTCCATGGCGCGCTCCACGTCCTCTTCGGTGACCTTCTTGGGGGCGAAGCGGACCGACTTCTTCTTCTTGTCCTTGGAGCCCTTCTTCGGTGGTGGTGCAAAGTAGTCCTTGAAGTAAATGCCGTTCGCGTTGAACTCCTCCTCTTCGCCAGCGGCATCATCCATGTCCTCGTCGTCGCTGGCGCCCTCGGGAGCGTTAAGATCCATGTCACCGAACGTAGGCCCGTCGTCCTCGTCATCGTCCTCCTCTTCTTCAACATCTTCTTCCATTTCGTCCGCCTTTTTCTTAGGTTTTGACTTGCTTGACGCGGCTAGCGGGTCGGCCGTCCAGTCGATTTCCTCTTCGTCGCTGGCGACGTCGGTGTTGGGGTCTCCCCGGGCATCTTGCTCTTCGAACCATTGTGTCTGCTTGTTGAAGTCGTCGATCGAGAAGAATCCGTCGTTGAGACCGTTAGGGTCCTCAACATATGTCTCTGATACGTCGTCGTCATCGTCTTCCTCCTCTTGTTCCTCGTCATCCTCCATATCTTCTAGGTCCCCAGTCAGACCCTCGACGTCGGACCCTTCCTCCAGGTCTTCCTCGTCGTCATCGTCTTCCAGGCCCTCCAGATCGGAACCAGAGAGCTCTTCCTCATCGTCGGAGCCCTCCTCTTCGTCGTCATCTTCAGATCCTTCCTCATCGGACTCTGCAAGGCTATCTTCACCGGCAACGCCGTTCGTGACAATCTCGTTCCGGTCCTCGAGCTCCTGCAGAGTTTCCTGAGAATGCTTCAAAGCGCTCTGGATAATACGGCGTGCCTGCTGCCAGACCTGGGTCGTCTCGAACCCGTCAACGTGCACTTTGCGGATCTTGAGCACATCTGCCCTCTCGCCTGCGTCGGCTCGCTTGCGCTTCTTGGTTGCCTCCTTTAGCAGGCGGAGCTGCTCATCGCTGATCTGGCCCGCAAAGGCGTCCAGCGTATCCTTGACAACCTGCAGCGAGGCAGAGGGAATCGCGGGCGGCGGCTGCAGGAAGGCGTGACGGTTCGCAGGGCCCAGGTTGTCAAAGAGGGCGCGCACTTCAGCGGTGCTGGCGCCGGACATGTTCGGGAGGTGCGCGGCCATTCCGGGCGCGAAGGTGAGCGTGTTGGAGGTCTGCGACGTAAGGGAGGAAGACGTGCTGCCGGCCGCCATGATGTGTCGTACGTCTTGTTTCGGCTGTTTGGCCGGTGCAAGATTTCACCTTCTTTTTTTTTTTTTTGGGCCCTGCACCTTGCAGTTCGAGCTGCAAAAAAATTTGGGACCCCGCAAAATGCCTGGGAATGGGCCTCGAGGTGTGATTGGCCAATGAAATCAGGATCAACTGAATAGCGTGCTTAGGTAATGGAGATCTTGTCTCTGGGTCTTGAAGTGTTGGTTCATCCATTGTTTCAAGCTTACACTTGGTTTTCTCGGCAAAGTTTCTTAAACCATACTTTGTCGGTACTGATTTGCCGTCATAATTGCCATTTAATCACCATTGCCTGGATCAAGAGGTGAGACATGTTCTGCTTGGCTCCATCGTCACTATCACTTGATGATTACTGGTTAAGAATGCGAGATGAACTTTAAAGACAACTCGACTAATTCGTCCTTCAAACTGACTCTATTTTTGTTTTGGGGTTTCCGAAGCTTATTCTAGCACTGAATGGCGGTTTATCCATGCTGAACAAGTAGTAGTGCTGTATGCAATTCTCTAGAGAGCATGCCCGTTGGCGGTCATGATTCTTACGCGTAGATATTGACACAATGATCTAGTACTATTTCTGGTAGGATCAATTTCATGTTGCTGAGTATATGCGTTCCTATCTATCATTATCATTTCTCTTCATGAACCTTGGTCCGGAGCTCCGAACCCAAACCGACTCGGCGGTAGTGGGGCCGAGTGGTATCCACTGTCGGTATACGCACTGCGAACATGCTTACTCAGCACAAGTACCGAGTCACTCCAACTTACTTACATTGGATAATTCTACCTTCATCAACTAAGCTATCTTACAAATGATAACTAAATATTCAGTTAGTGCCATCCAGAATCGCTTTGATTTCCTGTCACCTACATCCTAATTCTTACAATAGAAGTTCTTTTTTTGCCATATTGAACGCAACGAACCTTAGAACTAAACATTCATAAATTCACATGTGAGTTTATTCCCTCCACCGTTCAAGAGTGGGGTTGATATGCCTCATCATGACACTTGCTTGTGCGCTGTGTCTCGTGCCATCACTTCTACCATTCAACTCCGATGAAATAAGGAGGCAAGGAAAATACCTTGAAACAAAAATAATCCGCATAAATTTCCCCATTAGAAAACCGCCGAGTAAAGCATCGCTTAGGGAAACTACTAACACTGAGTCACAAGCAGCATCTAATGTCGAAAGTTGGCTCCTCGGACGACCCCGCCGCGGACGTCGCGGCGTCTCGCTCCGACGGTAAGGTTCATCTCCTGCTGGCCTCAAGCGGCTCAGTAGCGACAATCAAGCTGCCCAACATCATCCAGGCCCTCAGCCACCACAAGAACCTCTCCATCCGGGTGATCTTGACGGCTTCGGCAACAGAATTCCTCAATGGATCGACAGAAGAACAACCGTCACTAGCGGCCATCCGCGCCATGCCCAACGTCGACGGTCTGCATCTCGATGCGGACGAATGGGTTCAGCCTTGGCGCAGGGGTGCTAGTATTCTCCACATCGAGTTGAGGAGATGGGCCGATCTCATGCTTATTGCGCCTCTGTCAGCTAATACGCTTGCAAAAGTAGTCAACGGCTTTTCAGATAAGTAAGCGCTCATGATTTTTTTTTTTTCTTTTTTGATTCGGTGTGTCTTTGTACTAACTACTGTGCTGTCTCCTGCTGAGTGTCGTCCGCGCATGGGATCCCGAAGGACTGGTCGACGGGCGGAAGAAGAAGATTCTAGTAGCCACTGCTATGAACACTGCGTATGGCGCCCTCTTTTTACCATGGTTTACTGTTCTGTTTGTTGCTAATGATTCGAAGCATGCACGTACATCCCATTACATCAAAACAGGTCAAGGTGCTTGAGGAGGAGTGGAAGTGGTTTGAGGTGTTGAAACCCATGGAAAAGACTCTTGCGTGCGGTGATACAGGTAGCGGCGCGATGATGGACTGGCGGGAAATAGTTCAGATTACAGAGGAGCGTCTTGGGTTGAAGCCAGCAGCACAAGGAAATCATTAACAGCGTTGCCATTATGTAATAACTCCTCCACCGTTAAAGGCCGTTCATATACCATTGGGTGTTCATCACTAGGGTTTGATCCTGGGCAGTCATTACAGTTACCAAAGATAGGACGTTAAGAAGTTAAAACATAAGAGAAATCTGAGATAAGTTGAACTGTTTGTTGCTATTTAGTTTCTATGTTGGTAACCCGAGCATTCGGAATAGTTCACGTCGCTGGCTTGAAAAATCTGTGGTATATCTCACATAGCACCAAGCCTGCAAGAGATCATCGATAAAAAAGAAGGGACACAAAAATGAACGAATAAAGTAGAGTCACCACCAATGGCCACATATATATGCGTCTGGAAGGGGGAAATGATAATTCAGCAAAACGTTTACTTCTAACTACAAACACTGGTAATACCACGGCGGCGCAACTGCAGAACAATTCGAACCAGCCGCGCACTTGGTTGCGCCCGTGTAGTTCGACCCGCCGCACTGGCCATACTTTGTCTGAGTCTGCTCAGGCGCAGGAGGCTGCGTCGTCGACCGTGGCGTCGAGGAACTCCGCGACGTGCTCGTTGAAGTCGTCGATCGCACAGTAGATGTCGGCGGCGGCGGAACCCATTGCGTCACGGTCTCGATGACGGTGTCAATATCTGTTACTGTCACAACGGTCGTGGTCCAACTTGTCACAATCACAGTAACAATGGATGACCGGGACGAAGCTGACACTGGAGGCTGGGTGATGGTGGCAGTTTGGGTTATGTAGCTGGTGATTGTTGACGTGGATACAGTCGGAGTAGCTGGATTCTGTTAGTTTGGTAGACTCATGACATGGAATTCTTGACGAATGACTACTCACAACTTGAGGTACTGCTTGGAGAAGACCTCGTGCTTGAAGCGGAGCTGGTACTAGCCCTTGAAGATGCCGCGCTCGAGAATAGGTTGATCAAGCCCGTATACGCAGGTTTCTTCTGCAGGTTGCTGTTCCAAAGACAGGCGTCGCCCTGGCCGGGGAAGGTTTGTGGAACCCAAGAATACTGTAACTTTGTCAGCTTCCTCCCTAATCAAAATAAAATCTCAAAAGTGCCTTACCTGATCCGCAAAATCCCAAACAGTAATACCGACGCACTTACTCGTCTCAAGACAAGCCTGCGCAACAGTCTGGTAGTCTCGGCTTTGCTGCGCCCTGTCCGCATCAGAGGCCGGCAACCTCGGGTGGCGAATATCCAACTCCGTATATGCAACCTCGTCAACCAGCGCTGCGAAACCACTCAACACAGTCTTGAGGTTAGCCAGGCTGGGCGTCTGTCCAACGATGAAATGAGCTTGTAGCCCCACGCCGTCGATCCTTGCCCCGGCACTCTTGAGGTTGCGGACGATGTTGAGTGCCTCATTATACTTTGCGCCCGGGTTCTCAATGTTATAGTCGTTGTAGTATAGCTTCGCGGCCGGGTCCGCGGCGGCGGCAGCTTGGAAGGCTACCGTGATGAAGTCCTTGCCGAGGGCACGGTACAACGGGCTGTTACGGTATGCGCCGTTATCTTCAAGGGCTTCGTTTACCACGTCCCAAGCGTAACATTGGCCCTTGTAGTGCCCCGCTACATTCTGGATATGAGTTTGAATCACCCGTGTCATTGCGTCGCGGCCGTTGATGTTGTTCACTAATTCTCATCAGCGTTAATATTTCAACGAAGGCTACAGAAGTGAATTACCCCAGCTAGGGAGCTGGCTATGCCAGGCAAGGGTATGACACCGCAAGATCTGGCCAGCTTGACGCACTCGGCTGGTTACGGCGTCTCCATTTCCGTAACTGAACTGGCCTTGCGATCGCTCTGTCGAGTCCCACTTCTGTCCATTGGCAGGCGTCACTTGGCCGAACTCGTTCTTGTTCGTGGCGATGTTCATGTAAGCCTGGTTGTTCAGCCCGGGGTTGTCGACTGCCGTGCCAAAGTACTTGAAACCAGCGGCGACGGCAAGTTGATTCAGCTGTGCTGTCGCTGGAGTGCAAGCGACGAGTACCGCCGCAAGGATGCTAAGGGAATGCATCGGAAAAGTTGCCGTTGGCTGGCGTCGGAAACCCAAAGTTGACAAAAAGTAGCGCCCGAGAGCCCAGCATCAGTAGCAATATCTCTGGAGGCGCGACCTATGAATATGTATGTTGGCTTTGAAGTAGCCGCACCACATGGCTTCTTAGGCAGAATTGAAAACATTACAACGGTGTTGGCGACTTCATTTGGAAGAAGAACAATCGCTTGGTGTAAAGAAGCAAGATGCAAGACGCTTTGAGCTTGTAACGGATGTGAGTTTCCTCTTTTGACGTTAGAGGGTGCATTTCAAACCAAACTATGGGCTCAAATGATACCATCTCGACTTTGGGTGTGGTCCAAACAGGTGTACGTGAAGTGTCATCCAGCAACCATGGCTAGTGACGAACCTATTTAGGAAGCGGAGTTGTAAAAAGATAGCCTCATGAACTTCCGAAAGGAGAGAGTGCAAGAAGATTATCCTCACAAAGTCAAAGACCGTTCCATAAAGTGTCAACTGTGCGGTGGTACGCCATACAAAGTGGCCGCCCGTTTCGTTTAGCCTGAATGAGTGTGTCACCGCTAGTCGGCTGCTAGGCAATATGGCTCAATTACCGACTTATATGAGAAATGAGAGTACGGTCCACTGAAGGGTAATTTCATCCGGTAAGTAGACGTCGAATCGATTCTTGGAAAGCTTGAGGAGCCTGTTAGGATGGTTGCCGGTCATTCTGTCGCAAAACTGCATTCATAAACCATCCCGTTCGGGAGCGGCTTACACACATATCTGCCCCAGCCTCGGTAGCTGGACTTCCATGGCCGGCTAATAACATGAGTAATGAATTTCTTGGAAACTGAGATACGTGAAGGGATTGCCGCCTTGGCATAGGATGGCCGAGTCTGTCGATTGATACCTAGTGCAGCACACAATGATGAGACAGCTCGCTACCTCAGATGATTCGCCTCGATCATTCCGATTCTAAAAGAAATTCATTGGAAGGGCCCGGTTATTCGTAACTGGGACCGATATAAATGGCCTTTGCATACCGATAGAGAGTCATTTGGCTGCAGGCAAAATTCCATCTTCCCCGGTCTAGGCCCCCCCACTATCACTTGCAGCCTTCCCAATCAAGTGTATTTTTTCTTGTATGGTCGCCTCCTCAACTTGCGACTCAAAGTGCTGTTTGCCTGACTCAAACATGCACCGTAAAGAGGGGCCGTGGATTCAGTTTGGCTGTCGTGCGGCTCAAGCTGCTTACAGACCTCACTTTATTCTCAACTTCGCCTACCCAAAACTGCACTTGGATATTCCTGCAAGCATCCTAACCGGCATCGTAATCCTCATATTGATTCTCGTGTTGATGAGATCCTATACCTTTAGTAAGGCGGCGTATTCGAATGCCGTTTCCATAACACACTAAGCCAACTGATTCAAGTGGGGAATGAGCATCATACTAAGAGGCTGGTCTTTAGTTGGCGAGGCTCATGGCGAAGGGATATATCATGCGGAGGTCTGCCTAGCTATCCACTTGGAAGCGAAGCCCGGCATGTTCTCGGCTCAATGTTGCATCGTTCGGTGTACAACATAATAATGCATGCTTCATTCTACGTTCAAGGACTATGAGGCTGTGGGATAGGAACCGCCTTAGTTGTTGAGTCGATGCTGATTGGATTCCGAATACATCCCCGCGCTCTGAAGCGCACCGTTCGTGGGGGAAAGAGGATTAAGTGGTATTACAGATAATGGCTCTGACCATGGATGGCCTTGTCAAAAGTGCCAGCCTCATCATTATGTCTTGGGCGTGATGAGAGTGGGCTTGCGTTATGTTTAATTCGTCAAGTGTGAGCCAAGACTATGCTGTCTTGGAGCTCGCTCATGTTCGTGGACAGGAGATGAAAATCAAGCAGCACACCACCATTGACTCTGAGTAGATAAAGTTGTGAAGCCGGGGCGACGGATCATGAGATTAGTATTCATCGGCACTTAGAATACCGACAAATCCGGTGCGAACGACGCCGATCACGGCAGCCCTGAGAACCAGAAATCCGGGACCAACAACAAAAACGTGAAGGGTCAGGGTCCATCCGGACTGCTGAAGAATCCGAGATCCTTGGATATATACCATTTAGAGCAGCAATGGATGGCCCCTATTCATCGTCCCCGCATGCTCGCCTTGATGTCCAAAGCGACGATCGACGGGATCGGCGCCTTCCGCCGCCAGTGACCAATGCAGCCTTACCCTACCCACCAGGTCTATCCTTGAAGGGAACACAAGCTGAAAAGTAATCGAGAAAAACCACGAGGAGATGTTCCATCTCAGCATGTTCGCTGACGGCGATGAGAAGATGGACCTGCAGAAACCGCAGCGGCGCGCTGTTATTGGATCTTGCAGCGGAAGGATCCATATCCGAGAACTGACGAATTGAGAACCCCCAAACGTTTATTCGATGGCTGGCATAACGGCCGAAACCATCGCATTCCATTTCGTGGTGAATTTGAACATGAATGCGTTTAAGCGCTTATGATTCGCGGTTAGAGATTGCAAGGGATCGGTACAGGTGTGAGGCGGACTGTCATGGGTTGGGCGCTCCGTCCGCCTCACTTTTTCTGTCTATCTGCTGCAGGCTCACACCCCCCCAACCCCTAGGGTGGAACGCACTCCAGTTGGATGGTTCTCACTCGTGAGAACTTGTCAAGACAATGAGAGTATGTGGCGTTCGTCCTTGCATGCAGGAAGAGTAAAGGCAGGTTCTGACGACTGAGGAGTCGGAGCGGTGAGGATACCGACAGCTGGGCCTAAAGAGGCAGGAATGCAAAAGTGCGCTTCTTGTTGTGCCCTGGTGCAATAATATGCCTGGACAGTCGGATTAATCACTTGGATGTAGTGTACGAGGATTGGCACGCCCAGATGGTCACATAGTTGGCGAAGATAAATACCGTCGCGTCCTCCTGGTTGCCATCGTTCAAGAACAGCGTGCAACATCTTGTCAACCCCGGGATTCCGGACAGGCAGGTCATTTATCTCACGCCCTAAGCAACTGTCATGTCTTCGTCATCAGAGATGAACAGATACTGGATTCCCAGGTTGGACATCCATAAGAAAATAATTACTCAAGAGCTTCCTTACTACCTGGGGCCGGATGCAACGGTCAGGCCGTATACAAACGAGGTGTGAGCAGCTCAGCCATGATGATCGAGACAACTCTCACAGCATCAACAGGGAGAAGATGGTTTTCTCATCACCACACCTGGCCCTTGCCTGACAGACGTGAGCTTTGTCATCGCATCACCCTATCCTTCAGGGGCTGTGCCAAGTCGCTGACCACCGCTACTGTTCTCAGGAGCAAATCGATGATATCTGCAGGAAGTCTAAAGAAATGTGGGAGCGACAGGCCGCAATTAGGGCACAGGAGGCCGACAAACCCCTCAAGAGACCACTACATCAGCCAGTAGTAATATCCCGAGGGTCTAAGGAGTCATCGCGAAGAAGACACGAGGTACACCGGAGCAACGAGCGGCATCGACGTTACGATGATAGGCGACGCGAGTGAGGCCAAGCTGTTCGGTGGAGTCGAACGAAGTGATCGGAATCTAAGATTGGGCTAGATTTTTGGATCTAAGCACACAGACAACACAGGCGTTGCAGACAGCGGGTGAGCCCTTTCGTGCATAACGGCAGGAATTTGTGGGATTTAATGATTCGAGGCGTTACCATATGCGAAGAAGGTTTTGTTTTGCTGGTGAGGGGAACTTGATTTGTGTGGCCTGGTGGCCGCAGCGGACGGTGGATCCGACCAAACATTCGCTGTTTGTGACTGGTTCGGCAGCAGGCGTACGAAGTAGTATAGACTGGTCAGTCTGATTGGGACGGCAGGATTATTGTGTCTAGATTCGTCCAGCAACGGTTTGCCAACTGGCAGTTTTGGGGTGCACTGGTGACGGTCAAAATCATCGGTGTCGTCTTCCCATTGCTCCCAAAAGGTATGTGTATGCGAAATCGTTGCAAGAGGTGCACAGCAAAGTGCAGCGCCAGCGGATGCGACCAGCTAGCTTTTCACCCTGTCCAGATACCCAATTAGCATACGTAGTGCTTCCCCCAAATAAACATCATGCATAAAAGTCGGACCAAGTTGTCGTTGCAGACCAGGGGCAGTGCACCCGTACTGTCCGAATGTGCCTTGCTCTATGGGATGCGCTGAAGGCCTGGGACCACTAAAGACATTCGATCCGTACTTGACCTCACGTACTAAAGGAAGTATAATAGTTACCAATGATCGGGGGAAGAATAGCCCTTATCAGGTTGCGGTGGTTCGTGATATCGATCAACCAATCGGTGATGCAAGGCTGGCTGCGCCCAGGTGGTGAGAACAGCTCAGGCGTGACACGTCTGCCTGCTCACAGCGTGAGAAAAGCCCACGTTGACGTGTGCTCAGGTCAGGTGGCAGATGTTCAAAGCAGGTGGTGTGCCTCGCCTTGTCAGAATATCGGCTGCAGACTGATCCAGATATAGGTTCATGTTTTCGCAAAAGACGCTTCGTACCGCTGAAGATTGAGGGGCCCGGTAGACCAGAGTAACAGCGCTTGAATAGCCACGTTCTGCGGCTCGCGGGATGCTCCTTTGGCCCGCGTTCCCGAAGAAGTAGGTGTAACATAGCCAACAACATTTACCCACTCGCCAACACTAGTCTGCTCCGACGTGATTGTTCCGAGCAAGAGCTGGACGTCAATCGATGCACTAACATTGGATCCTTTGGGGAAGCCGTGCTCTAGGGTAAGCACAGCTGAGTCTGTCGAGTAGGAAGTGACACTGGATTCAAGTCAGCAGACGGATGATAATTGGATATACCAGAAAAGCTCCATGAGACAGTCGAAAAACGCTCTATAACGAATAATCAGGCGTAATGGGACTAGGGCATCTCACCATCCCAGAAACCGGACTTTTTCGCCTGCTGGTTTAGATGGTAGGTCTGAGAGGAGACACAACCTGGACGGCAGTGGACCTCTTGACATAATCGGTGCCGTGATTGAATCTGAGAAGCAAATGTTGTGGTGTAGTCAAATGCATAACTTCATGCGTCAAAATATAGTGGATTATTGAGTTCAAACATATGATGAGCGGTTGAAATCGGAGAGAATCGTGGAAGAGAGTAGGTGCCTTCATAGGTAACCCGAAGCTTCAGTTCGATGTGCCAAGGTCACAGTATACGAGCTTACATAAGGGCCTTTGATAAGAAGATAGGTAGATGTGATAAGGCACTCCCATGATGGAACAAGATCACGTGCCTCAAAGGTCATCTGACCGGTTGAACTACGGGTAAATCAGGCGGGCATTGTTGCTGGGCAGGCACCGTCATCGCCCGCCGCCCACTAAACGGCATCGCTAAGCCAGTCGGGAGGTTGCATCATACTTGCCTACCTGACCCAATCTCTCAGCCTTCTGTCTATCAACCTTGCGATTACTCGACCTGTTGGCCGCAAGGGCTTCGTCGTACATCATAACGCCTTAGTCTTTGGGTCTGCCAATACGCTTCATCGGTTCCACGGTACGTTGACGACGACTAGTGCCCACTTGCGTCCCGTTTCGGTACCCCGCCATCAAACTTCGGCCGACTGCCACGCAACCTGATAATACGGCTGCCTGCAAACCGATAGCTGCCTGCACACATCCTCGATACCAACTTAAGTACCTCGAAACGACATTTTACAATATACAAACCAAAAACCGTTAAGCAAACCTCATCATGTCTGGTGTCTGGGGCTGGTTTGGCGGCGGCGGTGGCGCCAAGAAGAAGAATGACGCCAAAGATGCAATCCTTGGCCTGCGAGTCCAGCTTGATATGCTGCAAAAAAGAGAGAAGCACCTGCAGACATTGATGGATGAGCAGGACGCTATTGCGAGGAAGAACGTCAACACCAACAAAAACGGTGCGTAAGCTGCTTGAGCGATATACCGAGGAGAGGTAGTGTGCTAACGAACTGTCATAACAGCCGCAAAGGCCGCTTTGCGCCGTAAGAAGGGTCATGAACACAGCTTGGAGCAGACGATTTCTCAAATCACGACACTTGAGTCCCAGATCAACGCTATCGAATCGGCAAATATCAACCGCGAGACGTTGTTGGCGATGGAGAAGGCCGGCCAGGCCATGAAGGGCATCCACGGCAAGCTCACGGTCGAAAAGGTGGACCAGACTATGTACGTACCGGGCTTTATTCTTCATTTCGTTATCGGCGATTACTTACACACTGGTTACAGGGAAGATCTTCGAGAACAGAATGCGCTCAGCGAAGAGATTGTCAACGCCATTACAACGGGCCAGACAGACAATATCATCGACGAGGATCTGGAAGACGAGTTGGAGCAAATGCAGCAGGAGCAGTTGGACGAGCAAATGATCAGCACCGGCTCGGTGCCCGTATCGGATGCTGTCCACCGCATGCCTGCAGTGGGGAACGGAGAAAGTAAGGAACCAATCCCCTCCGTACTCGGCCTAGATGAAGTAGCTAATAAGTACTGTCCAGTCAAAGGCAAGACGACTGCCGTCGAGGAAGACGACGAGGAAGCAGAGCTCCGGAAGCTGCAGGCCGAGATGGCCATGTAAGGTCTCTGAGTAGTCAGGTGATGCTGCGGGGATGGTCGAGAGCGGTGGCATAGCATTCCTGGTTTGGGAAAGGGCTTCTAGAGGCATGCATGGAACTGGGACGCTCACAGAGGTACGGATCGCAGGGTCAACTGCCGCGTCTCAGGATGTGATGCTGCACAACATATCTCGCAGTGCACATGTACACGTGCAATCGAACGCACACACACACGCACTACAAACGACAACAAACCTAGAGCGGCCGTGGGTACATGCATTCTTAGCTATCTAGCTGGTTCTTTCCCCCCAGACCTGATTATTGGCGTTGGCGTTTTGGGGTACTTGGGTGCCATTGAATAGGAATCTCGCGGTTGTGGAGGCTGATGGGAGTTTGACAAGCTTTTTCTGCGTTGCTGGAGGGTACTTTACAGTCTACGTCTACGTCCAAGTCTTCATAGAACACATATTGACCGTTGTTGAGAAGTTTTGAGACTTGGCCGGCTGCATATGGGACGGTGAACTGTAAGGGAAATGTCTGCCATCATGTTTTTTTTTCTTTCCCACGAGGCACCGAGTTAGTCAGCTTGGCTCATGCGCCGGAGATGCAAGCCGCAATGCAGCGGTGTCTTGTCCGGTGAGTGACGGGCGAGACATCAACGGCGGTGGTCCACCTGGACTCGTCGCAAGGCCCACCTGACCGGGACCGGGACAGAAACCATCGCTCACGTGTCTCGGCACACCGCCAGTCGCCTGGAGTAACCGATCGTGAGGATGAAAGGCGGCGGTCATCATCACCTGTCGCCTGCGTGCATCCGGTCATTGTTGAGGTGGTGAAGCACTTATCTCATGGGATTTGTTGACATTGACTGAGTCGTGGCAGATCCCGTATAGGGTTCAGGCTTCGACAAGTTGGATGATGCATTGTGTAGTGACATCGACTATAGTGTTTGCTCGGATATGCTTATGGTAATGAGGGTTTACGCCCTGTCAATGCGAGCATGATTTAACAAAACCTGTAGAGACTTGAGGCATAGCAAGGCGGTGGTCTATGGAGCGTTGCAAAGTCGGGGCGGTTGGTAGTGAGTGGTTGGTGCCTCTTGAAAATACCAGGGGGGGGCAGATGCTGAAGATGTGGGCGATCGGAGGATGAAGCAGAAGTACATCTCCGTAGGGCCCGGTATCAGTTTACGCCGGTTTTGGGTGGTGACGGGGATACTGATACTTGTGTCTAAGACTATCGAGACCCCACTTGAGATGTTTATCAGGGCTTTTAAGACCAGGCTTGTCAGGCACATTTCCACTGGAAGGGTGCCCTGTGTTTGCGTTTCCACCGCTTATCAGAGCGTATGTTGGCCCGAATCCCAGCCGGTTACAGGGCATGACCAGCATCTGGGCTCTGGTTCCAGCCCAACGGGACCCTGTAAGGTAACGAGAAGCCCTCTTCCTCTCCCAACGCGCTGGCAGTGACGTGACCAATGCTCCCTTCCCGAACGATCTTCCTGGGAGAAAGAAGGGTCAAAGTCGGTTTAACCGCCAACTTAATTTGATCCAATTTCCCCCCAAAGACTTTTCACCTTCATTTGGCCCTGGAAATATTAACGGATGATTACTATGTATTCTCGCGCATAAACAACAAAACAAACTCGATTGGACAATCGCCCGCTACCACACGTCATCGATTGGACACGGTATCGACAGCGTTCTAGCAACCTCGTATTCCCTGGTAGGCATTCTTAATATCAGCCATCGATATCGCGATGGCCTCATCGTGAGCTTCGTTCCTTGGCAGCCCAACCGGCAACCGTCAACTGCCAGCTGGACAAGCCCTCGCCAGGGCAAGCCGGATGTGAACTGGGCACAAACCAGCCATGTCGTTTGCTGCTGTGCTCTCGGCGCCCAACCAACCTCCCAATTCCCCAACCTGTGCGGCCCATCACACGCTTTTCTCTCACCCTGTCTCGTGCAGTAGCATGTCGTCGGACTAAGTCGGGTTCTCACAGGGCATCAACGGTACCAATAGCATCGGCCTGCACGGGCTACTCGGGTCAGACTGGACTACTGCACCTCCGCCTACGCTGTCGTTCGGGAGGAGCCATGCGGTTACCTCAGCCATCCATCGCGACTATCCGGCCCAACTTCCGCTAGCCGTTGACTTTGCCAGTTGCAGCTACAGCTACATCTTCCTCTGGCCAAACCTGTTGTCCATGCCATGCCACGCCTCCCTCGCCCTTTGGCCCTCGTCGACCGCGTGATTCTGAAAAGACTTTTCCGCAGAAACACGGCTTGCTGGCATGGCCAACGAGAGGAGAGCCCTGCCTTCATGTGTGTGTTTGGAGTTTCGAAAGATACATCAAGTGTTATAGTACTGTACTGTACACTCATCTACAGTCCGCTACAAACCGCCGCCCAACCCCACCATGGCGACTGTCGGTGCCACTGTCGCTGTCACTAAGTCACATCCGCCCCTCCCGCCAGCCCGCGGTCCGGACTCTGCTGCATGGATCTTCACAGGCGAGGCTCGACCAGGCGAGCCACGTTGCACGTCGCTGACCAGGGTTTAATGGCTGGTGAGGAAACCGCGCCCTCTCCTTCTCTTCTCGCCTTGCGAACCCCACCAACAACACGCCTACCGCCGCGACCTGCATCAGGAACAGTGGAAAGTATTTTCCCGCCGACACACACTTGAGGGACAGAGACACTCATCCGCAACATCTCTCAACGTGCCGGCTAACTGAATGGAGCCAACCCGCGGGCTCTCCCTTGCCCACCCGGCTTCTCGAACAATAACAACAATAGGATAGTTGGGTTTGGGGGACCCTCCCTAGTGATTTCAGGAACCACTCTGCTGTCGGCAATCGTTTCCTTGTGCCTTGATAGGCGCCGCGTCGCCATCAACAAGGATCTACCTGGCTCCAGTGGGCCGGCCCATCGAGCTTCCCTGTCTCTATTACCCGATACGGGCGAGTGCACTGGGCCAGACATTGACGACCAGCACAGCACAGCAATTATTAGCTCATAACCGCTGGGCGGATGGATGCTTGACACTTCACGGGCCGCTGTCACACAAAATTCCAGAAAATTACGCGGAAGAAATCAGAATAACCGGGACAGCCTATGCTCCTTTAGGGCAAACATCCCACGTCTGAAAATTCCTGGGCTGCTCATCGCCGCCGGCTTTCTTGGGCTTGCGTGTGATAATGGTCTCGGCTCTTTTTGCTTTTTGAGTTTTTTAGTCTCACAACGAGCCTCACACAAGACTTCATGAATCCACATTCCTTGCGGTGTGTGGGATCTGGCCTAGTGCGCAACCTAGACGGTAGTTGTCAAGCGACTTGGCTAACTCAAGTGGAAGTTGAAGGAAAAGGACATGGGCCAGAAAACACCAGCGGCCCAACGGACGAGTGCCGACGAAAAGGGACAAGACCCAAAAAAAAATAAATCAAAAAAGTATACTGCATATCCTGGCAGAAATCAACGACATTCATGCCTGCCCTCATCGAACCCGTCTCGTCATGCAAGTTGGCCGCTGCATCCCAATTGCATCGCCGTTGGGCAGCCATTATCCCTCCTCGCCTCATCTCCCCGTGCGTCCAATGTTCAGGTTCCTCCCATCTCCATCTCTACCCATATTACTCGCTTCTCATCGCATCACCCATCCATCAGTCAAGACCCCCTCAAAATTCCAAAAGCCGCACTCCCCAGTCAGTCCAACCCAATTGCGACGTGGCGCCAGTACTCCTCCCGCCTCGTTTGAGCCAATGGCTCCTGAGCACGATCGTTGATCACTTGGACTCTAGAGATAGCCCGAATTGGTCTCCATCCGTGGGGACACCGTGGGGTACCGCTGCGTCAGGGACCCCTTACTCCCGCACCCTGTACCCTGCCACCGGCCAGTGATGCTTGTGATGTTTGGCGACTGCTGGGAAAGCTCACCCCTGCCTGTCGAGACTCTACTTTTCCTCCCACAGCTTGACCCAATTGTGCGCGCCCTGGGGTGCCGTGGGCAGCTTGCATCTCGTCACTCATGATCCTTATTTCCCAACTCTATCCATTGTTAACCCGAAACAACAAACCTGTTGCTTCCTGGTTGCAACCATCATCAATCCATCTCTTGTCTGTTTACACTACTGCCGTCGTATCATAGGCGACGAGATACCAACGTATACATCCATTTGAGTCTCGCGATACCCGCCCAAGAGACCCAATCCTCTGATTCGGTTTGGGCACCGCACAGCAAGAACAAGTTTCAAGAACCTGATCAAAGATCAAGCAACAACTCCCAATCTCACCCTCCTCGAAGGCCAATCACTTAAGCGCCTCACGGCCTACATCAGACCATCTCCCCGGATTCGCATTGATCGTCTCAGATCAGGCAAGGACACCCATAATTAACAGGTCCCGGAAGCATGAATTCAGAAGATCCAGTCGATTTCTGCCCCTATCGGGCCAACGTTGGCTGGGGCAATGTACAGACGCAGGACTTCTCCAACGTCAAGTACTTCCAACCTTCAGATTCCGAATTGGAGAATGGTGAGCTACCCACCGAACCTATATGAATTCTGCACTGCCACCTAACCTGTTTTTTTTTTCCGAATTTCCAGAGGGCGACGTATACGCCAATGGCGTAACATATCCATCACAGCCAGCGCAGACAAGTAGCAAGAAGAGTAAAAAGAAGAGCAAAAAGGACAAGAAAGCAGCGGCAGCAGCTCAGTACTACGACGAAGAATCGATACCTTCTCCTGATATTCCAACTCCAGAAACGCCGCAAGAGAACGTTGTAGCTGACGAAGAGTGGGCGCCGCCAGCAATTTCCAAGAAGGAAAAGAAGAAAAAAAAGAAGAGCAGCAAGAAGGAAGAAACTGTTTCTGCCCCTCCACCCCGGCCCCCTACTCCGCCGGCAGAACCGGAACCTGAACCTGAACCGGAACCTGAACCTGAACCGGAACCAGTACGCGAACCAACAATAGAGGAGGAACCATATATTGAAGAGCCTCCTCTGTCTCCCAAAAAGTCCAAGGAGTCCTCCAAGGAAACCTCCAAAGACTCCAAGAAGGACAAGAAGGACAAGAAAAAAGACAAGAAGAAGAAGAAGGGCAAGAAGGACAGCGAGTCAGAGCCGACTGAGAGTTCCAGATCAACTCCTCCGCCGCCGCCCCCCCCGGTGGAGGACGTGAAACCATCAAAAATGCCCGAACCAACGGCACAGCCTCCCGAGTCCGTGGTCGAGGCCAAGGGAGAGAGCCCTGCAGTTGAGACTGCTCTGGAGAACGACAGAAGTGTCGGTGAGCCCAAGGTAGACGACAAGGCCGATTCAAGTACTGTCCCAGCTGCCGCCGCCGCAGCCGTTGCTGCAGCTTCAGTTGCAGCCGTTGCCGCGACTGCTGTAGCTTCAGACACACCGGACACTCCAGTCGCAGACGAGCAGGCGGATGCTGCGGTTGAAGTCCCGGCGGAACCAAATACAGACGCTGCGCCAGTTGAGGCTGAGACAAAACCGGACGCACCTGTGGAAGAGGCTGCACCGGAACCCGAGGTGACCGCCACTGAAGCTACCCCCGAGGAGCCATCGCCAACGGAGACTGCACCCACAGCTGTGGAAGAGGCAGTAGACGACAAATCAGCAGAACTAGCTCCTACTGAGCCAGCTACTGAAGAAGCTCCAGCAGATGCCAAACCTGAAGAAGCAGCGGCTGAAACATCAACCGAAGCCCCTGTTGAGCCTACAGCAGAGGAATCTATGTCATCAGAAGAGCCTGAAAAAACAGAAGATTCATCACCAGAACCTGCGGTTGAGGCGCCTGCAGAGACTAAGGCCGACGATTCTGCGCCGGATGAGCCACCAGCAGCAGCTGAGGCTCCAGCAGATGACAAACCAGTGGAACCAGTTGTCGAAGCTCCGACGGATGATAAGCCTGAGGAACAGGCAACTGCAACTTCTACTGAGGCTCCGACTGAGACAACCGATGAAGCTCCTGCCGAAGCTCATGTAGAGGAACCCGCTCCTGTAGAAGAATCTACGGCAGAAGTAAAGGCTGATGATTCTGTCCCTGCCGAGCCAGCTGTCGAGGCTGCAGCAGATGTCAAACCTGAGGAATCAGCCCCCGCCGAGCCAGCTGCGGAACAACCCGCTGAGGCTCATGCTGAACCTGGACCCGAATCTTCCTCGCCTGCTGCAGAACCTACAGCTGATTCCGCACCCGAACCTACACCGCAATCAGAAGTTGAAGCTCCAGTCGAAGCCAAAACAGAAGAAACACCTGCCGATACTGCTTCTGATGTCAAGCCCGAAGAGCCTGCGTCACCAGAAGAACCGTCAACCGACACATCAGCAGAAGCCAAGCCTGAGGATCCCGCGTCTACGGATGAACCAGCTATCGATTCAACCGCGGAGGTGAAGCCTGATGATTCTGAGCCTGCAAAAACGTCCGCCGAGGCCCCTGCTGAGACTGAGAAAGAACCTCCTGTGCCTGCAGAGGAACCCGTAGCTGAAGTCAAAGTTGAGAAGTCTGCGCCTGCAGACCCCGTTGCTGAAGCTGAACCCGCTGCCGAAGCTGAACCCGCTGCCGAAGCTGAGCCTGCCGCTGAAGCTGAAGCTGCAGAACAACCAGCGACCGAAGCTTCTGCCGAGGCCCCGACTCCAGTTGAGGATGAGACTAAGACGACAGAAACTCCCCCTATTGCGGAAACTGAGGCAGCTGCTGATGGTCCAGCTGAGGCTAAGACTGATGAGCTGGCACCTACAGAAGAAGCCGCGGAAGCCAAACCCGACGAACCCACTTCCACGGAGTCAGCAGCACACACTAAAACTGAAGCTAAGGCGGAAGAAGCCAGCCCCGCCCAGGAAGCCGTCGATGAGGCTGCAGTAGAGGCCAAGCCGGAGGACCCAGTTCCCGCTGAGCCAGCAAGTGAAGTCCCTGCGGAGGTGAAGCCCGATGAGCCGGCTGCAGATGAAACAACTTCCACAGAATCTAGTCCTGCCACGGCAGAGCTTGAGCCTACAGCCCCCAAAGAGGCAGAAGAGACAGTGCCCACTGCAGCCGATACTCCGGCTGAGAGTGCTACTGATCTGCCGCCCGCTGAGGAAGCCACGGAGCCCGAAGCAGGTTCTACAGAACCAGATACTGAAGCACCGGCGGCCGAAGAGACTGTCGCTGCCGACATTGAGAAAAAGGTCGAGGAAGCGGACACCGTCGTAACGCCTGCGCCTACAGAAGCCGAACCTAACGGGGCGGCTGCTGACGAAAGTAGCACCAAGGCCGAAGAATCTACCACTACGGAGTCGGAGTCAACACCAGCAGCACCAGCGGATGCAACACCTGCTGTAGATGAGGCTCCAGCAGAGGAAGTGGCAAGCAATGGCTTGGATGAAGCCGACAGCGCACCTGCTGAACCTACTGCAGCTGACGAAAAAGAGAAGACATCTACAGATGTCGAGACGGTTCCTTCCGAGGCACCTGGTGAAGAATTCAAGCCTGCAGAGGCAGCTGCGGACGCAGAGCCAACTGTTGGTGCTACAGAAAATGCAGAAATTCCTCAGACAGACAGTATTGATGACAAGACTTCTGACTCTGCCGATGCGACCACAGTGGCCGAGCCTGAGCCTGCAGCTCAATCAGTCGCAGTCGAAGACCCGCCTGCTCCTGCTGAGACTGAGGCGGATTCTGCTAAGGCTGCCGATGATACGAATCCTAACGAAGCCGAGGCTGTAAAGGACGCTGCTTCTGAAGCCAAAATTGAGGCTCCCAAGGAAACTGAGGCTGAGAATCCCGCACCAGCTGCAGCTGATCTTGAGTCGGAGTCTTCCAAGGAGGCAGAATCTGAGGCACCGGCGGATGTCACACCTGGTGCGGCAGAGCCAACAGCACCGGCAGAGCCCGAGGCTGCTAAAGCAGATGATGCAGATGCTCCAAAGGGTGATTCTCAGCCTGCCAAGGATGAATCTGTAACTGGCACTGAAGAAGCCGCCGCAGCATCTCAAGAAGCGGATCCAGAGGAACCCAAGGCTGGGGAAACCGATGCTGCCAAGGACGAGCCAGATACCTCCAAGGAAGTGGCAGAGCCAGAAGCACCCAAAGACGCAGAGCCAGAAGCCACTCCTGATAATGCCAAGGCTGAGCTGGCAACAGAGCCGACGCCTGAAGCCGACACTGCTGAGGAGGCTCCTTCCGAACCAGTTGCAGAATCTGCCCTTGAGACCGATAACAAGGTTGAAGTAGATGCTGCCCAAGAACCTGAATCTGCCGCAGAGCCTGCTGTCGAATCGGTTGCTGAACCTGCTGCTGAGCCCGAGCCTGCTCCCGAAGCTGAACCCGCTGCTGAAGCTGAGCCTGCCGTCGAAGCTGAACCTGTCGCTGAAGCTGAACCTGCCGCTGAAGATGAGCCTGCCGCTGAGGCCAAACCCGCTGCTGAGCCTAGTACCCCTGAAGCTTCCTCAGAGGATACTGCCAACGCCGCTTCTGAGACTGAGACCGGAAGCCCTAAGGAAATTGTCGCTGACGATGCAGAAGATGCCAAGGATACACCTGACATGCCGAAAGAGACAGAAACAGGGCTCGCTGAAGAAACTACTACTGAGCCGGCCAAGGAAGCTGAAATTGAAGAAGCCAAACCGGACGAGGATACAACTCCAGCGGCAACTGCCACAGCCACCGCAGACACTACTACCGATGATGCTCCGGCAGATGACGCACCATTGTCAACAGAAGGTATGGATCAGTACGAAATTATTAGCGACGGCAAAGAATATACCTTCCAGATAGCGAACCTCACTCCAGGGGCCCAGGATGCTAAGACAGAAACAGAACCAAACACTGAAAACGATGCCGCGGTAGAAGCGAAGGCAGAGGAGGCGCCTGCGGAAACTGTAACGGAGGAGGCAACTGCTGAGGCCGCCGTAGATGATAAGGAAGCTACCACCGAAGAGGCCCCCGCCGAGACGCCTGCTGGCTCTACCGAGCCTGAGCCCACATCCGAGGAGAGCAAAGCCGAGACAACGGAACCTGAGACCGCGACTACCCCTGAAGAGCCGGCTGCCGAAGCTCCTTCCGAACCTGAGTCAAAATGCAAACCAGAGACTGTAGAGGAGGCTCCGGCCGAAACACCTGCGGCTCCAGCTGAGTCTGAGCCTGCTGCTGAGTCCGAAAACCCGCCACCGGGTGAGGATGAGGTCAAGGAGCCAGAGGCTGGACCAGTTGGTGCTGAGCCTGCCACTGAGCCTGCTTCTGAAGAGACCAAGTCCGCTGAGCCAGAGCCAGAGCCAGAGGTTTTGGCTGAGACTAAGGAAGCAGACTCTGAACCTACTGTCACGGCTCAAGATCCAGAGCCACAGGCATCTGTGCAAGAAGAGCCTTCCTCCGAGGTTGGAAATGCCACTCCTGATGCCGGGCTGGCCGCCGAATCTAAGGATGCAGAGCCGGAAGTAGCTACAGAAGCTAAAGACTCGGAAGCAACTACAGAGCCTGCCGACGAACCTGCTGCTGAGCCTGTTACTGAGGGCGAGCCCGCTGTTGAGCTCGCTGCTGAGCCCGCTGCCGAAGTCGAAGCTGCCGTTGAGTCTGTTGTTGAATCCGCTGCTGAACCAGCTGCTGAGCCAGCTACTGGATCTGCTGCTGCTCCTAAGCCTGCTGCCGAAGATGAACCCGCTGCCGAACCCGCTACTGAGCCCGCTCCTGAAGCTGGACCCGCTGCCGTCGAATCTGCTGTAGAACCCGCTGCTGACCCTGAGCCTGCGCAAGCTCCAACAGAAACTTCCACCGAGAAGAGTACCGCAGACCTGGAGGTAGAAGCTGCTTCAGACGCTGACAATGTTAAACCTGATGCGGAGCCAGCTGCAGAGGCAGAGGTCAAGCAGCCGGAACCAGCGGACACGGAAGCCGCCGACCAACCTGAGCCCGAACCGGCCGCGGAAGTCAAGAAACCTGAATCAGAAGCTCTTGCAGAAGCGAACCAGCCAGAGAACGAGGTTGAGGCAGATACTGAGAAAAAGCAAACAGAACTAGAGCCTGAAGTGGCCGCGGGAGCTCCCGAGGCAGAGGCTGAGCAACCCGAACCGGCAGCAACTGCTGATGAGGATAAGGATCCAGACCCTGAGCCGAGCACAGAGCCTGAAGCCGCTCCTGTTGCAGAGGCAGGGCCTGCTCCGGAAACCAAGGAATCTGAACCAGATGCGGCGCCGGTCGCAGATGCCGAAGCGAAGAATCCTATTCCCGAAGCGGAGGCCACAACTGAAGCGTTTAAAAAGCCTGAACCTGAGCCGGCCGCTGAAACCAATGCAACTGAGTCAGTTGCTGAGGTACATACCGCTACAGAAGCCAAGGAAGCTGAGCCCGAGTCTGCAGATGAAGAAGCCAAGGAGGCAGAATCTGCTGCTGAAGAAGCCAAACGAACAGACCCAGAACCAGAGGCTGCTCCTGAACCAGGAGAAGCTACTGAGGCAGGGACTCAGGAGCCTGCAGCTGAAGCAGCCGCTGAAGAAGTCCAGGTGGTAGAATCCGAACCTGAACCAGCACCAGCAGTTAAAGAATCTGAAGAGCCAGAGCCTGCTATTGAAGAAGCTCAACAGGCGGAACCGGAATCAGAGGCTGCACCTGAGGCAGAAGCGACCACAGAGACGGACGTGAAGGAGCCCAAAGCCGAACCAACCGCTGAAGTTGAGCTCGCTACTGAGCCTACTGCCGAGCCTGCTGTAGAATCCGCTGCCGAATCTGCCGCTGAAGCTGAACCTGCTGCTGAAGCTGAACCTGCTGCCGAAGCTAAAGCTGAACCTGTTGCTGAAGCTGAACCTGCTGCCGAAGCTGAACCTGCTGCCGAAGCTGAACCTGCTGCCGAAGCTGAACCTGCTGCCGAAGCTGAACCTGCTGCTGAAGCTGAGCCTGTTGCCGAAGCTAAGCCCGTTGCTGAAGCTGAACCTGCTGCTGAAGCTGAGCCTGTTGCTGAAGCTGAACCCGCTGCTGAAGCTGAGCCTGTTGCTGAAGCCGAACCTGCTGCTGAAGCTGAGCCCGTTGCTGAAGCTGAGCCCGTTGCTGAAGCTGAGCCTGCTGCTGAAGCTGAACCTGCTGCCGAGGCTGAACCTGCTGCTGAAGCCGAGCCTGTTGCTGAAGCTGAACCTGCTGCTGAAACTGAGCCTGTTGCTGAAGCCGAACCTGCTGCTGAAGCCGAGCCTGTTGCTGAAGCTGAACCTGCTGCCGAACCTGCAGCTGAAGAGTCTAAGTCTGCAGAGCAAGAAACGGAGCCTGAGCCGGAGTCAGCACCAGCTGACCTGCCTGCGGAGTCCGAACTAGCTCCGGCTACCGAAGACGTAAAGGAGCCCGCAGTAGAAGAGAAAGACCCCGAACCTCAGGCTGAAGTTGTCGAGGAGGCTAAGGAGCCTGAATCGGAGCCTGCGGTTGCTCCTGCCGAGCCTGCTCTGACAGTCGACGAGCCACAACTTGATCCTCCTGCTGCGGCCGTAGAAGAACCTGCTGCAGCCAATGAGGCTGAGACAGTCGCCGAACCTAAAGAACCTGAGCCAGAGCCTGTCTTAGAGGATAGCAATGCGCCTGAAATCGCCGCAGCAGTTGCGGCAGCGGCGGCGGCAGCAACTGCTGCCGCGGTTGTAGCGGAGAAAGCAGCACCTGATGGTGAGAAAACGAGATCTTTGGATGTCGAGGAGAGCAAGGACACGGTTGGACCAATTGCCAGTGAAGAAAAACCAGGTGAGACTTCCCTTCCTTCTTCTGACCCTGATTCCCCGGATGGAGATGTGCGGGAAGGACAGGATGGCATAGATCCGGAAGGTGCGGACAACAATCTCCAGGAGGAAAATGCATATGTTGCCGATGTTGTGGCCGGAATTGAGGAGGACAACGCTGCTCCTGAACCCTCAAATCCCACCGAAGGCGAAGCATGCGTAGCCGACGAACCAGTCGATGCAAATGTTCCCTCCGCGGATTCACAAGAAGCCGAAGAAGGCCCCTCTGCTGAACAAGAGCCTGTGCCCACAGAGGATTCAACTCCTCCGACTGAAGACTTAGAGCCTGTCTCAGCTGCTATTGATGAAGCTGCCCCTGACTCTGCGAGAGAACTGTCGCCGCCAGTTGAAGAGGCACAGCCGACTGATACCGAAAATGACCCACAAGAACCCGGTGAAAGACCTTCTGTAGATATAGAAGCTGCGCCAGCCGACCCTGCAGATGAAGAACCGTTATCAACTGTGGCATCTGAGGCCAAACCTGAGGAAGCTACAGCCGAAGAGCCCGCCCAGGTCGATGCTGACGAACAAGCGGCATCAACGGAGTCCGCATCAGAAGAGCAAATCGAACCTCCTGCAGAAGTGGATGCTCCAGGTGAAGCGGCAGTTGTAGAAGATCAGGTCTTGGAGCCGCCCAGTACTGAAGATGCTCCCGCAGCCGAAGCTGCTCCCGAGGAACCTACACTTGAGACAGCATCGGAAGAAGCTACCCCTGAAGAACCTGCCCCTGAAGCAGTTGCGCCAGAAGAATCAGCTCCTGAGGAAACCGCTGTTGAAGAATCGGCACCCGCCGAATCTGAACATGCAGACGTTGAAGCCACTCCTGAAGAAGCCCTCTCAGTGGAACCAGCAGCTTCAGAAGAGCCTGTTTCTGAAAATTTAGTCCGCAACATCGCAGATCCAGAAACAGATGCAGCTCCCGATGAGTCTTCTCCTGAAGGCGATTCAGCTGCGGACGCCACTACTGATCCACCGGAGCAAGTTTCCTCAAACGAGCCTGCACCATCTGAGGCTATTGTTGAAGAACCCATAGTGGAATCTGCACCAGAGGTAGCTGATACGGTCAAAGCATCTTCTGATGAGCCGACACCGGGCGAACCGGCCCTTGAGTCTTCTGCGGAAGAATCAGAATCAGTCGAACCAGCCCCAGAGGCTACTCCAGAACAATCTGCAACCGCAGAGCCTGCTGATGGGGCTACTGAAACATCGGCATCGACAGAGGCTACTGCTGAGGAGTCTGAGCTCAATGAAACTGCACCAGAGCCTTCGCCTGAAGAGTCAACGGCGAAGGAAGCTGACACAGATGATCCCTCGCCCGCAGAGCCGGAAGTAGAAGAGCCAGTACCAGCTGCTGTTGGAGAAGTCTCTACTGAGGCCCATGCCGAACCAGTTCCGGCTCTCGAGGAAGCTCCTGCAGAGGACACACCCCCTGATTCAACTGCCGAGGCTCAATCTTCAGAGAACGCAATGCCAGCTACAGATGCGACCGACTTGGCACCTGAGGAGACAGCTGTAACCATTGAGGATGATAAGAGTTGCAACACAGATGCAATCCTAGTAGGCGCTGCCGCTGCTGGTATGGCTGCCGCGGCAGGTGTGGTTGCAGCAGATCATCTAAGCAAGGACTCAAGCCAAGGTGATACTTCTACGGAGCTCACCAAGTCAAATCTAGAAGAGGGCGTCTCGCGTCCAGGCTCCTCAGATAAGCTTACGCAGACCCTTGAAGGCTGCATTCCGCTGCCGGACTCTACGGCTGTTGTAGGGCCCAAAGGGCTTGATAGCGATGTGGACGCCAGCTTTGACTTAGTGCACAGAGAAGGGTTCTCGGACCAAGGAACACAAACAGACAGTTCGGTCTGGGGCCTAAGGCCCTCGACACCTGCAGTGGTCCTCCCTGATCTTTGCGATCCCACATCACCAGCATCCAGGCAAAGGGCCAAGGCTCTTAGAAGGCAGCGCAAAATCACAATTGCCCAAGCTGAAGAAATGGTGGCGGCAGCTGTAGTCATTTACGCTACAGCTCAGGCTCTCACTCCGCCAAACAGTCCTCCATCGCGGGCGGGCACACAGCTCATCAAGGCGATGCCTAGCTTTGAGAAACAAATGCAGATAAAGCCGAAGAAGGGTTGGCCCTTTTTGTCACGGGTCCTTCCAAGCCTTCTTTCCAGACGGAGGAGTACTGCCACTAAGGGAGCGGATAAATTTGACAAGTTTGATGCTAACCAGCTTACAGAAAGAAAAGAAGCAGAGGCTCGGGAGAGGCACCGCAGAAGTCGGCACTCTTCCCACCACCATTCGTCCTCATACTCTAGTCGCACCCGAGGCGACGATGAAAGCCGAGACAGCAGCCGACGCCATTCTCACCACTCGCATCACTCGCATCGACGACACAGGGCAGACAGCGAGCGATCAGGTACCAGATCTAGCGAAGCGGCCCCTCACACACCACCTAGAACTCCCAAGAGACAAGACAGTGGGTTTTCAGAAAGCCCCCAGGCAGCGCCTCATCGCCGTCATCGCAGTGAGCGCAGTGAGCGCACCGAGCGGAGTGAAAGAACTGAGCGAAGTGAGAGAACTGGTCGGCCTGAACGTACGCCTGAAGAGCAAGCTGCTCATGATAGACGTAAGGCTGAACGCCGGGCACGCGAGAGGGAGCGTGAAAGGGAAGTGGAACTCGAGAGAGAGAGGGAAAGAGATAGGGAGCGGGAACGAGAACGCGCGCGCGAACGAGATAGAGAAAGGCGTAGAGAGAGGGAGCGCCAGCGTGAACGCGAGCGCGAGCGCGAGCAAGAAGAGCGATCTCGTCGCAGAGGCAAGGAAACCGAGACACTTGACAGACCAGAGGAACCTGTCGAGCGCAGTCAACATCGCTCTCGCCGCCACAGCACATCAGAGCACTACCCGGAACGCACGCTCAGCAGAAGACAACCCAGAGAACCCTCTCCAGATAGAAAGGAGAAGAGGAGACTTTTCAGCAGCAAGAACACGGAAGGTGCGAATGGATCGACAGCCCCTCCCCAGGACGCTCCCCCAGCAAAGGACAACATGCCAATGGATAACGATGCAGGACTACAAGACGCTACCGCGACTCGTGAACTTCCTAAGCGGTCAGGCACGCGCTCCAAGCACCATGTTCGGCGTTCAGAAGACGGCGAGAGGGCCAAGTTGACCAAAGTAAGAGAGCAAGTCGCTGAAGAAGCTAGGAGAGCGGCAGACAAAGACAAGTCCCGTTCAAAGCACTCGAACGCGGATGATACTCGGCGTAGAACCCGCGATGATCCGAACCCCGAAGACTCTCGGCGCAAGGCCCGCGAGGAAAAACGCAAGATGAGCAAAGATGTTGAGGAGAAAGAGAAGGCGGGTGGAATCAAGGGCATGTTCAAGCGATTGTTCGCCTAATGATTTTTGTAATGATGCTACGACTACGACTTGTACGCGGATAGGATGAAAGTTTTTATGGACGTTGAGACTGCACACGTTGATGGGTTTACAGGGCGGGACGTTTGGGAGTTTTGGACGATTTTATGATTTCGACGATGGCTCATTCTAATGATTTAATCGATCCCATGAGTAATGTGTTAGGAAGCAATACATTTCCGATGAGCTTTGGCGTTTTATTCTACACGCTGTAACGATTCCTCTCATAATGTGATTATTACTGCTTTATCCACGGTTACCAAATTTTCGGCGGCCAAGACACATTTCCGAGGCTGAGGTTCAACGGAGTTTCGGAGATACAGAACGTAGTGATGATTCTTTAAGAAACCATCTCACCTTATACACAAACTTGAAGGTGTATAGAGTGTGATTATTTACTTCCAGGCTGAGTGTGCTGAATACAACATTTCTTTAATCAATGCTTGATTAGAAATTCAGAGTGCAGATATATTGTACATTAACACTAGTGGATCAGCCGTTCTCCGAGCCACCAAATAATTATGACTGGCAGATGCATGTTGCGAACGGCATGCGCGGACTTGTGTGCCTCACGGTCGAGGAAGCATCGGCGTAGCATTTCATTGGACGAATTAATGATGGGTTTCACGGCAGTACGGCAAACTATCAAGCTTCTTGACAGCTGAGGATGAGCGTATCCTTGCCAATCGTCTTATTAAATGCATTCCTCTACACAGCTGCATTGCTGGGATTCGTTCCTACATAGCCGCCTAACTGCATGATGCTTGGGTTCAGTCTCACCGTTCTGCTGCATCTCAATAAGATTTGGTGGTACGTCACATTGGCATGATTACGTCTACGCACTTGGATTTAGAGAACCGGTGACCTGTGGGAGAGTGACAACTCATTTTCCGTTACAGCTCTAATGTTAAGCGCAGCGATTCTCGGATATAGTTCGTGCGAGCTGCAGCTACTTTCGCTCTCGGGATTCCAAGTCTCCACCTATGCCCGGGGGCCGGATAAGTACGAGACCCCCCGGCTTCGGCGCCTATGTTCCCAAACAAGACAAATGACCAGAGAGCTGAATATGCATGTTTAGTTGTTTTCAGATTAGTTGGCCTAGGTCTACACGGGACCTGTAGGTGGCTGCTGGAAATAGCCTGTGGATGGCGATGGCTTTCATGTGCTGCGTCGCCTTGTATAACCTCCTCGAACATACGGTTACGTGACGATGGGTGGGCATCTTCATGGGATAAAGATAAAGCATGGCTGGGATACTCTCATCGGTTCAGGTTATGCCGGTAAGAGGGGCATTTCCGAGCTGGAATGCCGGGGATGTGTTCCTAATAAGGAGGCCAGGAGCGCTTCAAAGGTCAGCGGTTCAGCATTATTGACTCGAAGAGACACCGCGTCATTGTCTAAAAGTATTGTGATTCGAGATAGCCAGAGCATGGAAGATGATGAAGTTTGTAGTTGAAAGTATGTGGTCGCCTAAATGGCCACTTCAGTTGCTCTGTTTCCCTTACCTTGATTCCAATTGACTCTGGGGAACCCATACGCGAAGGTCAGTATATGCGGTGAGAACTTCAGTGAAAACCAATAAAAAACTTTAAACCCTTTAGATTAATATTGATTTCCGTCATGTACGAGCATGACTTGGCAACGTGGATCTAGCAAACGCCCTGGAAGCTAGCAGTTAAGCATACAACTGAAATTTCTTGCTTTTTTCATGCTCCCGTGTACCGAAGCTACCGAGTAGCGTATGGGAACAGCCGAAAAGGACTACTGACGGGTCATGCCCGTTGAATATCGATATTGATGTGAAAACACGGCAGGCAAAGAAGGTTATTCTGAAAGGAGGCGGGATGAGCGACTTCGGCAAACATCATCGAAAGAGTTACAAATGCCAAGACTATATTTCCTAATACGGTAACACAATAGCAGCAAGCCAGTACGTTGAAACGCTCAAGTCAGCGAGAAGCGGCAGGCTATTCGATACAGGAGTTGATGTTATGGAGTCTATGTTTAGTAAACCCCCCCTGCTCTCACAGTAAATTCAATACAACAGCGAAGGATTGTACTGCCGTCGTCGTCACCATCGTCCTCTTTATTGTCCCCCATGATATTGCCATGTCTCTTAAGGCAAGGGTTTCCGGCATGTTGTTTGGACGAGGTTGCAGTGTTCTAGGGGGTCGTTGACAATCGAGATGGAGGCTCAGGGCCCTGATTACTGGCACTAGGGTCTTAAGGGGCTTAGCGTCATGCATCGCGGGAACCGGCATTTGGTTAGCGCTGTGCACTGGCCATTAGTATTCCCATCAGAAGACAACCACACACACACACACACACTGAGGCTGCTAAAAGCGGTTGCATCCTCAAAGATGAGGCTTGCGTGGCCGCCCCGGGGGGGTGCGGGAAGAGGGAGGCGGCCATCTCTTTCGTGAGGTGTGGCCTTACCAATGCAATGTACTCTTCCCATCTCCGAATCTCCAAAATACTTGGCAACAACATCAACACCAAATCCACATCGCCCCCCTCTTCAACACAACCCAGCGCTAGCATCGAGCCCCGTCCCTGTCTATCGATCTGATCCCTCAGGGAACCACTATCGAGGCGTTGCAGGTTACCCGCATTATCTTGCTGTGTCAGGTGTTTTGGTGGATGGATACAACGACAAGCCAACCCGTAAGACGTCCATCATCACTCGTGGTAGCGCTTCTGCAGGTCCAGGGATCCCTGTTCCCATCGGAACTACCTTTTCACCCCCACATTCAACTCGCAAGGAACCGGAAAGTCCGTACACATTTCAATGGGTGCGTTGATGGCCTTCCCGCGAATGACGGCCCTACCAGGAACCCGCCATGCGGGGGATCACGGGAGCTTCTAATCAAGCATATTCGCAAACAATTACGGAATCAGAGACTACTCGGTAGGCTTAACTGGTTTGGGAATTGAGATTTTTCTCGCATTCGCTTTTCATCCACTCGAAATCAACCAACAACTCAATACGATCACTCGCAAATGCCCCTCTAATCATGTTGGCTATCGTTGCTATCGACATTCTGCGGAATGTCCGGTACGGGTAGACCGGGCCTCCAGTTATTCTACGAGAGTGTGCTCTCTCTCTCCCCCTTGTCTTCTGCTGCTAGACTTGGCGGGAGTACGCTTCGCTTTTTACTGGTCGTACAGACGAGAACAGGACAACTCCCTAGTGAGGGGAATGGCACAGTTCTCGACACGTGGAATCGCATGCAGAGAACCGTTACATCGAATACCAAAGGGAGGCGGTCGAAGCTACACGCGGGAAGTAGCCGCGACATCAAACATCAAACAAATCCCACCATTGTTGGACACCTGACGTTGCCTTTTTTCCGAGTCAGAAGCCCAAAAGGGTTTCTTACAGTATCGGACAGATTTTTCTTTCACCCTAGCTTCTTTGGTGTGCCCAGTCAGGCTGCAACCTAGTGGCTTGTGCTCTCAGGAGTCTCTTCTCCATGCTGTCCCCGCCCCATCACACAGAGCAGTCAACCTCCCTTGTCCGTTCGAACGCTCGACCCATATCGAATTGTTTTCTGTTTGGCGCCGTTGCATTTGATGACGTTGACCGCGGCCGAAAGGGGGCCGCTGTTTCCCCCGGCCCTGGAGGGATACCCTTGCAAAGCCACGTCTTCTCGGCCGGGCATTAGCGGAGGAGCGCCACAAATTCGGCCATGTTCACCCCTGTATTGAACATCCTTCACTCGTTTTGCCTGCCCACTCATTAGCTTTGACTCTTATCACCGTCATTGATTTCTTAACACAGCATTGCCTCCAATGAGCTTCTCCCATATTAATTGGTATCGGTCTGGTTGCTATTGGGCAGTCAGGAAAGAGAACCCTCTTTCAACTCGGACACAATGCGGCTCTATTACTCTTGACTGGACCCAAACTACTGTGCTCTCTCCATCTCTCCTCTTGCATCTTAAGACATATTTTAGTGTGATCAAAAGCGGAAACAATGCTAAATTATCTCCCCGCTTGGAGTTCTGCAAGGCAGCTCAGCTATGGGACTTGCCAGTACTATGCCACATTTCGTTCTGCTGTTTGAGGTCGTTCGTCTAAAGAGAAACCGTGTAGGGTGTACGGGGATTCCCCCCTTAACACCCCAGGGCTAATGCAACCGCACAAGCACGTTTCGATAGTTGCTGCTGGCTGACAGGACGGCTACGCGTCAGCCAGCTTGACCGTTTGATGGGGGAACCTGACTAAGATGCTAGACGCATCGTACCTTTACTACGCAAGCCGCCGGATCTGGAAACCGACAATGTCGTTTCGCTCACATTTCCGCCTTTGCCTATCCCCCACATTTGCCATCGTCTTACACTACTAGTACATCTCGTATCTCTTAGCCGCTTGCTTCCACAAAATGATAACGGGTCGAGATATGGGGCCGCTCGTTCACAGACCACCGCCTAGTGTGCAGTAAGACCGGCGTCTATGGAGACACATGCAGGTCATCCATCTTCCTCAGGGGCAGCATGTGGTCCGACGGATGTGGGATACTTTCTCCGACATCTCCTCAGTAGCAACGAGAGAAACCACGCATGGTGGCCAAGGGTTTCTTTCGGCAGCAGACCCTCTTCGGCTCTTTGCTTGGCATGAGATAACTTTTTCTTCGTATAGCTTCACGCTGGAATCTTTCTATCCACCATAGGGGGCTCCTAGCCGGGCTCTCTCTCGTGGCCGAAGACCGATAGCGTCTTTTACACCTGGTCACTGGCGATGGCCTCCTCCTATGTGGGACGGTTCCTTCGAAGCAGGGGGGCAGTCAGTCTCTCGCATCGAACTAGGACCTCATAGCGCAACGTCGAAGTTACGGTGCGAATCTTGGTTGCTTGTCCGCATTAGGAAATCTGATCATCGTTTACCGAGTTGAAGCCTGTGAGGGTATCTCGTCTATTCGTGATCTAAGATTATATAAAGACCAGACGAACCTTCCTGTCAGTGAACTTATTCTCAAGCACCATCACTCACTTCTCTAAGCTTGGTCTTCCTCTCTTGCCTTCACTCATTTTGGGCATATTGTCTCGTTCGTTAGACATACTCTCATTTCTACATTCGTTATTCTATAACATTAACAATCATGTACAAACACTCTCTTCTGGGGGCCTTTGCGGTCCTCTTCCCAGCCTTGACCTCGGGAGCCCCTTCTTTCATAAACCCCCTCGATAAGCGTCAAGACTGTGTTTTCGACTCCGCTACCAACCCTACCTGCTGGGATGGCACCCATGATATTCAGACGAACTGGTACGAGGAAGCCCCTCACACCGGTGTCGTTCGCGAGTACTGGTTCGACATCACCAACACCACCTTGGCTCCTGATGGTGTCGAGCGTATGGTTTTGGCCATCAACGGCTCTGTCCCTGGACCGACCATCATTGCTGACTGGGGTGACACTGTTGGTAAGTAATCGGAAACAACAACCGGCCAGCCACTTGAATTACTGACAATCATTAGTCGTCCACGTCAAGAACTCCATGCAGAACAATGGCACAAGTCTTCACTTTCACGGTATCCGTCAAAACTACACCAACGAGGCCGATGGTGTGGCTTCCATCACCCAGTGTCCGACTGCTCCGGGCGACTCCATCACCTACACTTTCCACGCGTCCCAGTACGGCTCGTCGTGGTACCACAGCCACTTTGCCCTTCAAGCTTGGTGAGCCTTGATTGTCCGCCACAAACCTCTTCTTTCTAACGACCCCCTAGGAACGGTGTCTTTGGTGGCATGATTATCCACGGCCCTGCTTCAGCACCCTATGATGAGGACCTCGGTACCATCGTCCTCAGCGATTGGTTCCACCGCACCACCGACGAGCTCTACATGGAGGCAGCCACCAACGGTCCGCCCCGTGCCAACACAGGTCTTATCAACGGCACCGGTATGTACAACGGCGCCGGCTCCCGCTTCACTACATCTTTCGAGGCCGGAAAGACCTACCGCATGCGCCTCGTCAATGCCGCTATCGACACCCACTGGAAGTTTATGATCGACAGCCACGACCTCACTGTCATCGCAGCTGACTTCGTCCCCATGACCCCCTATAACACCTCGGACGTCTCCATCGGTATCGGCCAGCGCTATGATGTTCTCGTCAAGGCTAACCAGAACGTCGACAACTACTGGCTCCGCGCGATTCCCCAGTTGGCCTGCTCTGAGAACGAGAACACGCTCAATATCAAGGGTATCGTCCGCTACGACTCTTCTTCGACTGCGGATCCCACTGGCGAGGTGCCGACGTACATGGACAGCTGCGAAGACGAGCCCATGTCCAGCCTGGTTCCCGTCAAGGCCCTCGAGGCAGGCCAGCAGACGTATGATGACACTCTTACTGTTGGCCTGCAGGTTGTCAGCAGCCAGTTCAAGTGGACTCTGAACAATAGCACGTTCCTTTCTGACTGGGGACACCCGAGTAAGTATCTCCGATTACGCCTGATATCAAAGCGGTACTAACAGCATCAAAGCTCTTGAGCAGGTGTTTGAGGGCAACGACAACTACACCACGCAGCAGAACATTGTTCACCTCGACGAGGGCAACGCCTGGGTTCACTTCATCATCCAGAACCCCATCGGCCTCGCTCACCCCATTCATCTTCACGGCCACGACTTTTGGGTCCTTGCCCAGGGCTCTGGAACCTACGACAGCTCCGTCGCGCTGAAGACCGTCAACGCGCCCCGCCGCGACGTCGCGATGCTTCCAGGATCCGGGTACCTCGTCATTGGCTTCTACACTGACAACCCGGGCGTCTGGCTGATGCACTGCCACGTAAGTCTCCCCCTTTTTTTGTCACGATATTCTTGAGGGACAGTCTAACTAACGGTGGAATGAACAGATTGGCTGGCACACTTCCCTCGGCTTCGCCCTCCAGCTCATTGAGCGGCCCAGTGAGATCGAAGCTCTGACAAACCGCGAAACCTTGGAAAACACCTGCAACAACTGGAACGCCTATGCTCTCCAGGACTCCGTCCATCAGGAGGACTCTGGCGTCTAGACGATAACTACACACTCTCTATAACGATAACGCGAACATTTCCTATGTGGTATTTTTTTTTTTTTTTGATAGTGCATTTTGACACAAGGAGTAATTGTCGAGGAGCATAGGACCGGGCAAACGTAATATTACTTATTGTATATAGTAATCATAATGCAATGGTTGTTATTGGAATTGTTCGTACTATACAGATGTGATGCAGCCCAAAAAGTCGGTTTGATTGTCAATTGAGAAACCGTTCAGGAAAAAAAAAAAAAAAAAAAAAAGAGGGAAAAAAAAATTAAAGGAAGAAGATCAAAAAAAAAGGATGAAGTTGGAATAGCCAAGCCGACGTTGACGGTACCGCCGAGCCGCAAGTCTGGGCCATTCTTGGTCCGAAGCTTGACACTGCGCCCCCCCGTTACCGGTGCAAAGAAGTGCCGAGACCACCGGGGCCTTGGCTAAACTTTTGCGGGGAAAGATGGGGGGAGGGAGGGAGTTTCTCCTCCTCAGTACCGCACCCGGACACCCCCCCCCCCCCCCCCTCCCTCCCGCACCGGGGACCGGTCGGTACGTGTATACACTAGTGGGAGGGAGGGAGGGAGGAAATCTATTCGCAGAAGAGCCGAACCAATCACCAATTGGCCGAAAGCAAGCCGTCTCGTCATTGTTTTCCCACGGCAGTTCGTCCCGTTTGAACGTTCAGTTGCCCTTTTCGCATTTATGTTTCTGTCGGATACCAACATCGAATGATGAGCTTCATCCGCACCCATCCTGCACTCGGCAGCAGCCTGTCATTGTGACCAGCCGTCGCTGAAGAGAGGCAGAGAGAGAGAGAGAGAGGGTGTCGTGCCGGTATGACTCTCGCGAATATATACTCCCGCTTCCCTTATTTCATTCATGTTCGGTTCTCTGACCCTTTTTCGTATTTGCCCATCTTGGCAAAAAGTCGGAGTACTCCGCCTTACCCCGGTCTCTCTCCCCCGCACACTTGTCTCTGGATGGAGTTCAAACCCATGTTTTTTGTTGCTGAGAGGGACGGACGACCACTGGGAGCGGTGGAGCGGAGAGTGCCCTTTTCCGTCTTGTCGGACTCGATGGAGGATAAAAAATTGTTCGATTTTGATGACCTCCTTCCCCCCGTTAGTCCCGAGAACGAGAGAGAGAGAGACAAGGTGTTGAATTTCTCGAGTTTTCTTACCAACGTACCTTGTAGCGAAGTTGGACGTTCATATAGTACATAGTAGTAGTTGGGTGACAGGGCGCATACATGCCATGCGTCGTTTGATCATTGATGCTACGTAACCGCGCTGCGGGTCTTTCTCCAAGCTTGCTTTGCTTTTCTCCAAGAACCTACTCTCCGCAAGCCTGTTTACCCTTTTGCCACGCTTTAGAGCATGGGACGACGATCCCATTTTTGGCCCCCCCCCAGCGCGGAAACGCGGAACTCACCCATAGGGACAGGTTTGTTGGGGGGAGGGACCAGGGAAAAAGAAAAAGAAAAAAGATTGTCGTCCATCAGCCGGGGGGGATAGATATTGCTCCAGCCGAATGAAGTTAATTAACACGACAGGTTACAGTCATACATCGAATCCTGAATGGCTGGCTGGGGGGGACATTAAGCTACCCCGCGGGGGAGGGGACGGTCATTACCCCGACTTGGGTAATAGCTGGGACGAAACGGCATCCACCCCAGGTATACTCTTTTGGTGCGTCGTCTTTTTCCGCGTGGGAAGATGGTCAGGGATTTGGATGCGGAGTTAAAGAGGTCGGTGTGTCCGCCTTGGTCTGGGTTTCCGAAGGCTGGGTTTCTTCTGGAGATCCTGCATGGATTCTTTTTTTTTTTTCTCTTATAAAGAGTTTCTTATAAAGAGGTCATCTGCCTGTCGTGCTTTTCAAACGCGGAGCGGGCACACTTGATAGATTCTCTCCCAAGGGACTTCTTGAACGGCTCATTTTGGAGTTGACAGATTGGGTATAAACGGAACCGGGACTCCTGCGCAAAGATAGCTTGCGACGATGGCGGATAGGAAGACGACAGAGGTGGAACGCACCTCGTTCCAGCACGATGGGCGATCCAACGATATCGAGGACTCGGCCCCCAAGGCCTCGGTCGAGGCCCAGGCCCAGCGTCGCGGTCTACAGCCGCCTCCCATCGTGGCGGCCATGACCCCCGAGTACCGCGCCGAGCTCGAGAAGAAGCTCAGACGCCGGATCGATTTGCGCCTGCTCCCGATGACTGTCTTGTGTTACATCTTGTACGTCCTTCCCGAACCCTGTTAAAAGACACGCCGCGAAGGTGAGAGAAGTTGCTTGCTGACTTGGTTTTGGCCAGGAACTACATTGACAGAAACAACATCGCCGCGGCGCGTCTGGCTGGCTTGGAGCGAGATCTCAATCTCGACCCCAACTCGAACCAGTTCCAGACGGCCGTGAGTATTCTGTTTGTGGGATACCTGCTCATGCAGGTCCCGTCCAACCTGTTTCTCAACAAGATTGGAAAGCCGGCGATTTACCTGCCGACTTGTGTAAGGACGAGCCATTCCATGATTACGTGGTGAATCACTGGAGGGACGAAGTAACTAACAACAAGACTCTCATAGATGGTCATCTGGGGTGTCATCTCTGCCGCCACGGCCGCGTGCCACAACTACGCCGGACTCCTCGCAGTCCGCTTCATCCTGGGTTTCGTCGAGGCTGCGTACTTCCCCGGATGTCTCTACTACCTCAGCTGTTGGTACACACGTGAGGAGCTCGGCCTGCGCACGACGATCCTGTACACGGGATCCCTCATCTCGGGTGCCTTCTCGGGTCTCATCTCGGCCGGTATCACGGGAAACATGGACGGCGCGCGCGGACTCGGTGCCTGGCAGTGGCTGTTCCTCATCGAGGGTGTGATTACGATTGCCGTCGCCATCGCCGCTTACTGGGTCCTGCCCAACTTCCCGCGCACGACGTCGTGGTTGAACGAGGAGGAGACGGCGCTTGCCGTGTGGCGACTCGAGGAGGACATCGGAGAGGACGACTGGACTGGTAGCCAGGAGCAGACGTTCTGGCACGGGTTCAAGACGGCTTTGGAGGATGTAAAGACCTGGATCTTGGTACGTATTATTCTAGCTCTCATCAAAACGTGTGGCGTGAGTGAGCGAGCGTCAAGTTACTAACACTCATGTAGCTCGTCCTCATCTTCTCCAACGTCGCATCCGCCTCCATCACGAACTTCTTCCCCACCGTCGTCGCGACCCTCGGCTACAACCGCGTCATCTCTCTCCTGCTGACCTGCCCGCCCTACGTCCTCTGCATCATCACCACCGCCCTCAACGCCTGGCACGCCGACCGCACGGGAGAGCGCTACCTCCATATCGTCTTGCCGCTGTGCGTCGCCATGGCGGCCTTCATCCTCGGCGCCGCCACCCACGCCACGGCGCCCCGATACGTCGCGATGATGTTGCTAGGTGAGAAGTCCCCCCCCCCCCCCCCCCCCCCCCCCCTATGAACAGCACTTCGTGAATTACGCATTAGCTGACTATTGCTCAAGTACCTGGCGTTTACTCCGGTTACACGACGGCTCTGGCCTGGATCAGCAACACGATGCCCCGACCGCCGGCGAAGCGCGCCTCGGCGCTCGCCTTCATCAACGCCGTGTCCAACTGCTCCAGCATCTACGCTAGTTACCTGTACCCCTCGAGCGCGTCGCCGCAGTACACGGCGGCCTTCGTCCACAACTGCATCATGTGCTTCATCGCCATCTGCGCGGCTACGGTTCTGAGGGTCGTGTTGACGCGGTTGAACAAGAAGCTCGAGAGGGGCGAGCACGTCGAGGGAGCGATCAACGCTGCGCCGGGAGAGGCGGCGGCGCTTGGTTTCCGCTTCAAGGTTTGAGTTGGGAAACGCGAAGTGGGAGACTTGAGGGCCCGCTGGGTGATGATAATACAATTGGAGACGGCTGAGATGGGTTGATGTCTGTAGGATTGGGATGTACAGTAAGCAAGGTCTCGATGAGTCCTTGTCGACATCGGTAGTTGTAGCGTTGCAAAGCGTTCAGCAACCATCGGGCCATGAGTATCCGTATGTAACCTTTTGAAGGCGATTGTGATGACTGATGCTTAGAATTGGGTTTCATGCCTAGTGGGTTACATTTGGGCCTCATCATCACACCCATTGAGACGATCCAATTACGGATGTGAGTGGCTCCAGTGTGTCATTTGTGTTGAGTTGACTCCCTTGATACGGATAAATGTACCGATGAACTAAAATGCAAATGCGGTGATGACTGGGCAACTTTGTGGAAAGCTTCACTTGGGATCCCATCTTGGACAGGGCAGATGATGCAGTTTACATTAGTGAACAAACGCATGACATCCCAAAATCGAATGGGAACAGCGCAAAACCCAAAAGCCGAAACGATCCATCAATCTCATCCAAACTCACTTTCACCCCCTCAGAATACGGACATCACCTGTTTCTCCCAAAAGCCCCAAATTGAGTTAGAATTTGATCAAATGCACTCGGCAGCACCAGCATCACCCTGTAAGGGTTTCCCGTCCTCGCCGAAAAGGCTTAGGGTTGATCTTCTAGAACTACTACTAGAGTTGCAAAGTTACCACGTCCGTTGGCGTTGGCATGAACCCGGAAGCAGACCGTGCTCGGATTGACCGTCTTCTTCGGATCAAACCCACGTTTTGGGGCGTGGTTTGGAGAATAGACTCGAGCGATCCGTCCCAAACGGGAGCAGCCGCCACTACTAATAGGTACGTACGGAGTATATTATTTGCTTACAAACAGAGTGTTTAAAGGTTCGCTCAAGCGGAAAGAAACGAAAAGGTCGACATTCGGTGTGATGGGACGATGATACTTTTCAACCTTCTTTCTGACATTTTATATTTTTTTTTCCTACTTATTGTAAATAATTCCAGTTTACTGAACCCCCGCATCGCTTGGCACCTTTCAGTCGTCCCAGTGAAACAAATCCCGAGTTTCGGACGCCCTCCTGGGCTCCGTTTGCCGGCGGCCGCCGCCCGACGCTGATGGCCAGTGGGACCGGGGGCGGGGGTTTACAGTGGGGCGACAGTGCTGAAGACCGTTATGGGAGGGTGTTCTTTGGGGGGTTTGTTTGTTTGAAAACAGGTGCCAAAAGAACGGATGAAATGGACAGAAAAAAAAAGAAAAAAAAAAAAGACACTTGTTATCTGTTATACTTAACACGGCCCTGTCTCTTTTTCTTTTCAAAAGAGGAGAGCGTCAACTGTCAAAACGTATTTGACATACAACGTACGGATCTCGGGCTGAAGGCTCCTCTCTTCCACCCCCTTCTGGACCTAGACTGCTCAGTGACCATCACTCCATCAGCATCCATCTCGGCATCAACCCCGAAGCTCCATGCGGAGAACAAACTCCACTAGCGTAGCCGTCTACAGTGGTGCTTTTCCTATCGACCTACCATACTGGGCAACTCCCATCAGATCTGGGCATTACGTACAGAACTTGTCTACGGAAATTTAAGGCAAAATTACACACTAGTGGCTATTGCGAGCCCATGAGCTAGTTTCCGCGTGGCCGACGGCATCACCCTGGAAGCCCCCTTGACCATCAATTACGCCTTGGCTCGGCTACGGTTATCAATCATACCGGCCCAAACCTCCGAGTTCGCAGAGATTCCAATCGCCTCCCGGTGACACGTCTACAATACTCTTTGGATATAGCCAATTGCTATTTATCACTACTAAAACCGACGGCCTTGAAAAACGGGGATTTTTTATTATTTATCCCATTGTGTTTTTTCCCTTCGTATCATCCAACATCAACCATCTACTTTTACCCCTCCCCCGCGCTCTCATCTCCGGCCATCATCGATTGCGACAACCCCGCACCGCACCGGCGATTCATCATGCCCCTCACCACCAACTCCCTCTTCACGCCTCAGGCCCAGGAGTTCACCAAGTTTCCCAGCAGGCGAAGCGTCGTTCACAGCACCAAGGGAATCGTCTCATGTACCCAACCACTTGCGGCCAAATGTGGTATTGAGATTCTGCAAGCTGGCGGCAACGCCGCAGTAAGTCTTTTGTCCCTTGTCGCAATGTTAATTAATCATGGTTATCACTGACACGTCATGAGTAGGATGCCGCCGTCGCAGTTGGTGAGTGCAACAAGCCAAAACGAGGCTCAATCATTATTAGCTATTGTGTGAGATACCATGAGACAAGCTAACGCGAATCCCCCATCTCAGCTGCCGGTCTGAACATGACTGAGCCGTGCTCCACCGGCATTGGTGGTGACATGTTCATCCTCTTCTACGACGCAAAGACCGGCAAGGTCTCTGCCATGAACGGTTCCGGCCGCTCGGCCAAGAACGCCACTCTCGAGACCATCCGCAAGGACCTCGGCGTCGCAGACGGCCAGCAGGGCAAGATCCCCATGAAGAGCGTCCACGCCGTCACCGTCCCCGGCGCCGCCGCCGGCTGGGTTGACACTATTGAGCGCTTCGGCAGTGGCAACATCTCTGTTGAGCGGGCTCTAGCTCCCGCTATTGAGCTGGGTGAGAAGGGCTTCCCCGTCTCCGAGTTGACGAGTTACTACGTATGTTTTACATCTCTCTTTACACCTATCCGAGAGTCTCCTAGTCAGTACTTGGAGCTAACATAAAACCCAGTGGAACCAAGCCGAGTCTCAAATCAGGAGCGCCTCGCCCAACTTCGCAGAGATGCTCAAGAAGGACCCCAAGGCCAAGGACGGCGTCAGGGCACCCAACCCCGGCGAGATCATGAAGAACCCCACCCTCGCCCAGACCTTCCGCACCCTGGCCAAGGAGGGCAAGAAGGGCTTCTACACGGGCCGCATCGCAGAGGAGCTCGTCAAGGTCGTCAAGGACCTCGGCGGCCACCTCGAGCTCGACGACCTGGCCAACCACCTCGACCTGGGCAGCGAGCCCGTCGACCCCATCTCGCTCAAGTTCAAGCCCGTCCTCAAGAACCAGGAGCAGACGAACGGCAACAGCGGCAACAGCGACTCTTCCTCCGCAGCCGGCGTCGAGCTCTGGGAACATCCGCCCAACGGCCAGGGCATCGTCGCCCTCATGGCCCTCGGCATCATCCAGGAGCTGCAGGCTTCCGGCGCCGTCCCCGCCTGGTCCGCCGAGGATCACAACACGGCCCCCTACCTTCACGCCATCATCGAGGCCCTCCGCCTCGGATTCACCGACGCGAGCTGGTACGTCACAGACCCCAACGTCGTCAACGTGCCCTCGGCCGGCCTCATCTCGCGCGAGTACCTCGCCGAGCGCGCCAAGCTCTACAACCCGGACAAGGCCACCGACAAGCTGCACCCGGGCGAGCCGCCCAAGTTCGTCTCGCCGGCGCTGAGCAGCAGCGACACCGTCTACTTCACCGTCTCCGACCAGCACGGGAACGCCGCCTCCTTCATCAACAGCAACTACGGCGGCTTCGGCACCTGCATCATCCCCAGCGGCTGCGGCTTCACCCTCCAGAACCGCGGCGCCAACTTCAGCCTCGACGCGGACCACCCCAACAGGCTGGCGCCCCGCAAGCGGCCCTACCACACCATCATCCCCGGCATGGTGACGAACCAGTCCGACGGGTCGCTGCACAGCGCCTTCGGCGTCATGGGCGGCTTCATGCAGCCCCAGGGCCACGTCCAGGTCCTCCTCGGCCAGATCGTCGCCGGCCTGACGCCCCAGCAGACCCTCGACGCGCCGCGCGTCTGCATCGTCGCGGGCCTGCCGGGCAGGGACGCCGACTTTGACTGGACGGTCAGCGTCGAGGAGGGCATGCCCGAGGAGACCGTCGAGGGTCTCCGCAAGCTGGGACACAAGGTCGAGGTCGTCACCGGCGCCGAGAGGGGACTCTTCGGCCGCGGCCAGATCATCAGGTACCACGTCGACCCCGTCGAGGGCACCGGCGTGTGGTCGGCGGGCAGCGACATGCGCGGCGACGGCGCGGCGTACCCGGCGTTGTAGCCCTTATGTGCTTTTCTGAATCTGTGTCTGTGTTTGTAAACGAGCGGAAGGGTCTAGCGAGCCAGTAGTATAGTATATAAGAAGAGTGGCACGAAGCGAGGGAGAAGAGACAAAAAAAAAAAAGACGTGAGCGAGGATTGGAGATTTCTTTTTTTTTTCATCCGGATATCGTAGACGAAACAAATACCACTCTATTTTCCCGGGACCTGTTCCGTATAGTGGCTGCCTTCCCTTTGTATGATACAATTGTACATGATTGATTGTGTAAAATAAAATAAAAATAAAAACGCTTTTCTAGAGCGCCAACGATTTCATTCATCTGTCCCGGTTTCTTTTTTTTTTTACTCCTTCTTCTCGCTCTCGGCTTCGACGAGAACCTTCTTCTCCTCGAGAAGCTTGGCGAGCTCACCGTTCTGGTGCATGGAGACGAGAATGTCGCAGCCGCCGATGAACTCCTTCTCGACGTAGAGCTGGGGGATGGTGGGCCAGTCGGAGAACTCCTTGATTCCTGTTGAAGATGCAGTTAGCCATCTTTCTCATTGTGGCAATTCGTTCTTATGCGGTCATACCCTGACGCAGCTCGGGGTCAGCCAGCACGTTGAAGGCGGCAAACTTGTTGGGGTCGACGCCCTGCAGGCCGAGGATCTGGATGGAGGCGCGGGAGAAACCGCACTGGGGCGTCTCGGGGGTGCCCTTCATGAAGAGCACGACGGGGGCGGCGCTGACGGCGTTCTCGATCGCTTGCCTCGTCTCGTCGGAGAGCAGACGGTGCTGGGTGAGGAAGGCGTTGGGAGCTCGGAAGGCCAGCGGCCGGGCGGCCGGGCGGGCGGCTTGCCGCACGAAACTCTGCAATACGTCCGAGTCAGCGATAGGTCTCTTGGAGTGTGGCCTGATTTGAGTATAGGGACGACATGACTTACTGAGCGGATGAATGACCTCGCGAACATTGTGGGTTGTGGTGCGGTGTGGTGTTGTTGAGGGGTTGATTCAGCGGGAGGCGATTGATGAGAAATGCGAATTTGTTTGTCGGATGGCAGAATGGGTGATGTAATAAGGTGTGCTCTCGGTGAAGAAGCTCGGGCCATGGTTCACCTGTTCACCGAGGTGGCGTTCCCACATTGGTGCCGTACGCACCAATCAGTTCATGGTGAAAGTCATCCATCAGAATGTGTGGACTTTGAACGTGTATTTCCAATTTAGCGTGCATTAGCTATGTTTCCACTATTAGACCTATCGTGTCCGACTGTTTGATTTGGTATATTTGAATTGAAGAAAGAATGCAAGCGATGGTACTCGCAATGTACAACGCCTCGCCGAATTGTACCATGTTTTTAGTGTAACATGACTTCAGTAGTTGTATTTTTTGTTATGGATTTAGATATTCAAAAGTCTCACGAGGTACAAGCCGTACTGTAACAACATTTTTTCATTTTGCTGTACTGAAACTCCAATAAGTACAATTCTAATAAGCCGCTTTGATGATGACTTACACGTTTACGACATTGCTGCTGCGACAGGAACAACATCAAATCTGATTGGTGCGAAAGTCCAGCGATATCGGCTTTGATAATTTTGGGACCTCTCAACAAGATGGTTCATCGTACTGAAAGTACCATGTGAAGGAAAACATTAATTCATTATCGTGTACGTTTCGATGATGATTTCTGCCCTGTTTTAGATTCGAGACCATATTAGTGAATCATGACACTCGCTTACTTCCAGCTCTGAATCATTTCTCTAAGCTCAAACTGTGATAGTCTCTCTAAGTTAAGATCTCTTTTAACAAACAACGACGGCAACTTTTTATCTTTTTTTTTTTCTATTTCTTTCTATTTATTCTCTTTGTTCGTAGTTCAGAGGCCTGCCGGCCTCCGGCTGTATCCGGGCCGGGCCGGTGCAAGCCGCACTTGATGTTCGTCTTATCAGGCCGGAAACGGCCACCCGGTCGGAGCGGGTAATTGTGCGCCCTTGAATTGACATTCCTTAGAGTCTATCCATGACCAGTTGAGCCTCACATGTAGAAACCAATAGACTTTGACGAAAGGCCAACAATAATCAAAGTAGCGTAATCGGCTTATGTCGAGCATTTAAGAACACACATCGTCCGTCTAAGTTGTTGCATCAGTATTCGATCAGAATCCAGCTTCCCAACCCCGCATCTCGCCAAGAACACCAAACAACAATCAACTCACCATATCTCTTCAAATCAAACCGAAAACCAAACAAAATGACGAGCCTGAAAGACTTCCGCGTTCTCACTTTTGATGTCTACGGCACCCTGATTGACTGGGAAGGTGGCGTACTCGCAGCTCTTCAGCCCCTTTTGGACGAAAATAAGAGGACAGACTTCACACGCAAACACCTTTTGGACGTATATCACAAATACGAGGCCAAACAGCAATCAAAGACACCAGACTTGCCCTATCACCAACTCGTTGCCACAATTCATCCCCAAATTGCCGAGGACCTTGGTCTTGCCGCTCCTACAGCTGAGGCCTCAAAGGCCTTTGGCGATTCAGTCGGCCGTTGGCCCGCTTTCCCAGACACCGTGGACGCTTTACGCCGGCTGTCCAAGTTCTACAAACTCGTCGTTCTCTCCAACGTTGATCGCGAGTCTTTTTCCCGGAGCAACGCGGGGCCTCTCGAAGGCGTTCCCTTCGATTTGATAATTACCGCTCAGGACGTGGGCTCGTACAAACCTGACCAACGCAACTTCAGCTACATGCTCCAAAAAGTCAAGGAAACTTTTGGGGTCGAGAAGGACCAGGTGCTCCAGACCGCCCAGAGCCAGTTCCATGATCATCACCCGGCAAAGGAGGCCGGTATCAAGTCATCCTGGATTGTGCGACCTGGTGCTACAATGGGAAATCGGGATGTAGAGATTTACGACTGGAAGTTTGACACTTTGGGTGAGATGGCGGATGCTCTAGAGAAGGAGTTGGCGTGAATGAGAGGATCTGAGATCAACTCTGGCCTGGTATATACAGATTTAGAACGGAGACAATGAAACGGACAAGGATTCAAACTCTTGTACGCAACTCGGAAGTGACTTGCTTCTTTGTTCGCTGACCTGGAGAAGTCAAATTGCAAGTGAGATATTTGACTGCCACTATAGCGTTCAGGTGCCTGCATTATCCCACTCGTGCCCCCTGTAGCAGCTGCCGCATTAGCAGGCAACGTTACGACAGTAACCCTGGCGGCCGAAAGCAACACATTTTACTCCTCCCTCGCCAATCGTCTCGGTACCCTTCAATGGCAGCCTTTCACCAAGATTCAATCCTAGGGGAACCAAATCCTATCGGAACTTCTTGCTAAACTCTCATCAGAACCATTTGGGGCCGTCGACTCCGGTCTTTAGCCACTGCGATTGGCTTCGAAAAACCTTCGAACCTCATTAGCCGACCTCCGCTCTGAAGGTGGTAATCACCTCATACCACACGCTCTATCCCTACTAGGTACTGTCAAATCATGGCCAAACGGAACCCCGTTTGGACTGTCTCGCTTCTTAATCAAACAAAGGTTATGTCGACCAACTCTGAAGAGCACTTCCAGGCACACTCCACTCTGTGGAGCTCAATTTTCTATAATTTACTCTCTATAGCGGCGGCAAAACCCCTTGTCAAGATGAAAAGTGTGCGCAATTTCAAGGACGCATTCGAGCCGAGATTCGAGCGACCATTTGTTACTCGAGAAGAGCTAATGAGGATAGGCACTTAGAAGGACTAGGACTCAAGTGAAGATGAGTCATGAGTCTATACCCAGAACTTGCAATTATTCCTTCAAATCACAAGAGCAAGTTTAATTACAATTCCTACAAATTTGGTGATTACAGACATAGTTGTTGAATTGGAGTCCAGTACCTGAGAAGCCTAGTTTTCTGCCAGTTGACGTCACGCGCCATGCTTGAAACGGCCGTCACTAAGCGTTGGAATGGTGACGCAGGAGCTTCGTTTCCTTATCCCGGTTCAAGTCTCATGTATTGGTAGGCGTGGCCGGAGTAAGTAGTACAGTAACCAGCAATTAACTAATCTTGAATACCTGGTGGCAATGAAACCATTTTTGTGTATTTTGCGAAGTTTGCGGAAACAACCCAAATCGTCCACAGGGGCGAAATAACAGAAGGTGAGGTAAAATGTGCACCAGCAAATTTTTTTGGTCGTATCTCGTGCTAACGAATCATTACCAACACTTGAGAATCTTTTATTAGTCAGTGGTTATTAACAGGCTTTGATGAGCTCCATGTCTCAATTGGAACGTTGCGCAAGTACGTTAAATCTAACGGTCGAGGTTAGAATCAGATTGCAATAGCCGGCTAGATTACACCCGGCACCTATTGCTTGATCACAATATCATACTTGATTCAAAACGAAGTAGACTCAAGTCGTTCTCGACTATAGTCTACGTTTGCCTCCCGTACAACCGTTCCTGGTGCCGGTCCGGCCGAGACCGGGACTGCCAAGGCTAACTCCACTAGCATCGAAGCGGGGAGAACGTGGGGAAAAAGGGAGTTGAGCTCAACTGAGTCAAAATGTCTCAATTACAATCCTCAACCCAGTGATATTGTGTCGCCTCAATAGCTGGGCAGCCTATCACATGAGAGCATACCCAACAGATTCTTTTTCAAATTCAAATCAGTATTGGACCATAACGCCCATCCAAGCAGACAATCATGGCAGACTTGCTCATTGGTTTCCCTGCACAAGCCCCTGCCAAACCATCAACGAAGATGCGCTTCGCAGATGTAAGCTTCATCTTGTTACCATACAACTTATACGTGCCCCTTCCTCCACATTATCCTAACCCCTGCAACAGGTGGCAGTGACAGCAACTGCAAAAGACTTCTCAGGCTTCTACAGAGGCAAGCAATACCATCAACCAGACTTCGATGCCGTCCTCGACCGCGCCTTGGCCGCTGGCGTTGAGAAGGTGATGCTGACGGGTATGTCTCTCAGCGACGTCGATACAAACCTCTCCATTGCAAAATCACGGCCGGAGGGTTCATGTTTTGTCACCATTGGCATCCACCCTTACCATGCCGCCGAGCCAGACGCAGAACCCGAAGGCGGCGAAGACGCCCATTTTGCCAAACTTGCACAAAGTGTTCGTGATGCGTTGACCCCCACTCCTAATGGGAACACTGTATTAGCTGCGTACGGTGAGCTGGGCCTTGACTACGACCGACTGAACCACGCCTCCAAAGAAGCGCAGGTCCGTACCTTCAAGCGCCAACTGGACCTTTTTGTCGCAGAAGAGTTTGACCTCCCGCTCTTCCTGCACTGCCGCGCCGCTTTCGACGATTTCGTAGAAATCATCAAGCCATACTTGCCCCAACTTCCCCGACGCGGTCTCGTCCACTCTTTCGTGGGCAGCGCAGCACAGATGAAGGAGCTGGTGAACCTAGGCTTTGATGTGAGCGTCAACGGTTTCAGCTTCCAGGATAAGGAGAGCCTAGAAATGGCTCGAGAAATCCCCCTGGAGCGGTTGCAGATTGAGACGGACGCGCCGTGGGGCGAAATCCCTGCGGGCTCAGAGGTCGCGAAAAAGTATCTTACCAATGCGCCGTCCCTGCCGCCGAGCAAGAAGAAGGACAAGTTTGAGATGGGTCTGATGGTCAAGGGACGAAATGAAAGCTGTACGATGGCTCGGGTTGCGTTTGTGGTAGCGGGGCTGAAGGGGATCACTGTCGAGGAGGTGGCGGAGGCTGCTTGGAAGAACAGTGTTGAGATGTTTGGGTTGGGAGAGAAATGACAGACTTTAAAAGGGGGGCGTGTAGATCATAGTTGAGCAAATGCAGCGATATTTCGAAGTGCTTGTACAAGCCTCTAAGTCTAGGACCGCAAGGAAGAAACATCACGTTAGCTAGTAGTGATGTAATTATAGGCTTTTATCATATGCTTGAGAATAACTATCCCCAAGATGCGACGAGACGTGCAGGCGGCACAGCCTTTGTGTGCCAAAAGATATGGGGACAATTGAGTTCAAAATGTAATGAGTTTGGGCGATTATCAGAAATAGTTCCTAAGAAACACATGATTGTATGGACCACGATTGAATTCGACTCTAGTCTTTCATCATTGTTACACGCCTATAATCCTTACTATACTCAACTTGCACTGATTCCAAGTTTGTAGAGAAACGGTACTATCATTTCAGTTGAACGGGCTTGGGCTTGTGGCTTGTTTTGTTTGACTCCAGACTGAAGTTGATCTCCACGCCCACCGACACGGTCCATTTCAAAGGCAACTTGTTGGTGGGTTTCTGTATCGTTTACGTTATCTTCGACACTATTCCCATTCAGTTTCTTTGTTTATGCCACAGTATTATCTAGGAACCTACTGTTAAGCATTCGGCGAGCTGGAAATCTGTGATAGGTCTACTGCCCATCCAATCGGTGCTACGTAGTATAACATAACCATGGGAAGAAATATCTGTTATTTCAGGCCAGAACTTGACCTTAAAGCTATAGCTCAGACTATCTCCGAGTTTTCTCACCCTTTTCCTTGCTTTTCTAGGTGAAATTGTTTCTGGACATGTACCCGACAAGAGACGTCCAGGTACAGCTAGATTGTTTTCCTATTGCTACTAGACTACTTTCGGAAGAATCTAAGATACGACTCAGTAGATACCCCTAGATAGCCGGCCGGCTATTAACCCTCATGCCACATACCCTCGGGAGATCAGCAGCAAGGGTTCATGACCCTTGCCTCTTTGGCCTCAATGTAAATAAAACCCATACATAAGGTATGTATCACATATCGCTTACTTACCGAGAGACCCGGGATAGACTTGCAACGCAGTGCAGGCATCAGAGAACGACAAAATGAACTCAAAGTTGCGGTGGGAAAGAGGTCTAGAAGACAGATTTTCGTACGCTCTTGTCAATATGGACTAATGCGTACCATGATCCAAACTATCTGTCGCTTCTTTTATGTTCAAACCCAACCACAGTTAACAATCCAATTGATCTGCGGAGATCATATTCTTTTCAATGTCTCTCTAGCTCAAAATAATTTGAAAACTTTATTATTAGTAGGTTTGTTGTTGTGGCGAAGGGCGTGTGGAACATAGGTTGAAGATGGTTGACTTCCTAAACAGGGGTTTGAGGCGAAGGGCGGAGATTTATATCCTTACTTCGCTTACGGAACCATGCTCTCCACGATAGTTGTTCTAATTTCATCCTAGTTCTTGCACTCCTGCAAATAGCCCAAGCCACCCGGCGCAGCACGCCCAGTATTCTCAAAGGACGAACTCGAGAGGCCACGAACAACCATCTCCTTTGCTGCCCTCAGCCATCACTCGGAACTTCAGCCCGATGTTTGCAATGTGCATATTTCCACTTATTCTCGCTGAGTCAGTCGAACCCTACGGATCCGGTAAGACAACCGCCGCATCGATCCCCTTGTCATCCCACAACTCTAGGGATACCAAGATGCACGCTGGCCTTGCTCTGTAATTATGTCTCTTGCAGCATTCACCTTCTGGTGTGCCACTGACCGCTTTCTCAGTCGTGCGACCGAACGCCCTCAAATATCGCGCTCGGTAGCGAGCGGTAGTCGGCATTCCCCAGTATAACGTGGGTTCGCTACGAACACAGAGACTAGAAGATTTTTTAGTTCGTCGCAGAAGTGTTCCTCCAAGGTTTAATCTCATAACATCCCTGCATCAATCGCCTCCTTTTACCTCTAGCGTAGACTTCAAGGGGGGTTAGTTCTATTGTGCAGAAGTATAAACACGATATTTCACAGTTTAGGGTGTCACCCGGTGAAATTCAAACTATCCTGAGAACGGTACCAATTCGTCGAAGGTAGTCGTAGCTAACGAAAAGTCGCGCGGAGGATATCAACTCCTATTTTTGAGAAATTTTCTGTTTGATTTGTTAGTGCTCAAATTAGGCTTCGAATCTACCTCGTAGTCATGTAGACTTCTAAGTGCACAATCGGAAGGTTAGCATTTGTGTTCACAGAGCCTAACACGCATGCTTCGATGTTCTAATACGTGCATCCAATCCCAGACGTGGAAACACTGTAGCTCAGAGTGAAATCCCCTTATAAGTTGGGTTAGCAGCATTCGAGACGAACGGCTGGAATTCTTTATCCTCGTGGGCTTGATGGTCAGATTGGCGACAGCCAGCTCCTTCATATACAACGTGATTATTTTACGCCTGATATCAACCTAAGACCCGTGTTTCTGAGACTACAAATCAGTCTTTCCTGTCGAGCATGCGTCTACCCTTGCCCAACTTTCTACTGTCTTTGTGCCTCCTTCAGCAGTGGCTCCTCCTTACACAGGGCTTTGAAGTCCCCGACTCGGCCAACCTCTCGTCTTGGGCCCTGCCATCATGCTTTGTAAGCTTGGTATTCCCGGTCTTTTTTCCTACCTTGAGTGGGTAGTGCTGTTGTGCCTGAATCTGGTTCGCTGACCATCGACCATCATGCCAGGCACCTTGCCTGCGCCAATGGTGCGGCCGGCCCTCGGATGGCCCTGGAATAATCAACGACACCTCGTGTATTTGCACAAAGGCCGTTTTCGACGCCTTTGACGCAGAGGAAGAGCCATGTATCACTGGAGTTTCAAATTGCAATTGGAAAGAATACTGGAGTATGTCACGACCTCTCCCTTTACGCATTAATGTCGAGTCTTGCGCCTTGTTCGCTTCAAAAAAAATAAAAAAATAATAGAGACTGACAATGACCTTCTATAAACATTCAGCTGGTAACCGTGTGGTACGTACCTCTCACCTCGAACTTATGCTGGAATGCTCGTTCCAGTGTTAACTCAGAGAGCACTTGAAAACCGAAATTAACATATCATAATCTAGTACTCTGACAAATGTGGCTTTCCAAAGATACCTGGCAAGTTTGATGGCCATTTCAGTTATGTTCCACATATATCTAGTGCCCTTGCTGTCGAAAGTATCTGTCTTGGTCTTCGTCTCGCCTGTAAGGTCTACCGTTTCGTATCGTGGGGTCCAGAAGACGCCCTCATCATAGCAGCCTATGTATGACCCTGGCTCTAACGAACTCAATAATGTACTGAGCTAACTCTCAAGCTTTTTCTTTAGCTCCTCTTTGTTCCTGTTTTACCAATTACCGCTATAAGTCTGTCCCCTCAGCAAACAGAACAAGTCCTCCGGATAAATCTTTATAACTGTACTTTACAAATCCCGACTCTGGATGCGGAACTAACAATGCTACTGGCGTTTAATTAGAGGCTCGAGTCAATCAGCTCCCAAATTACTGGAATCTCAACTTCGAGTACGCCGCTCTTTTTATGAAGGTCAACATCGCCTACAATATACTTTGCGCCGTTTCACTCGGTCTGGTCAAGCTATCCATTAGTTTCTTTTTCTTAAAGATATTTAATACGTGTAGTAGTAGATATAAACGAGTGTTATGGGCAACCATTGTTTTTATAGCTTGCTTTACCAGTTCTTTTGTTTTCGCGCAGCTTTTTATATGTATACCACCCTCGTGCTTATGGGAAAACTCAGGGGAACCTTGGCAGGGATGTAAGTGTCATGACTTTTGGGAGGGTGAAGGAGTATATCCGGCCATCAATGCGGCGTTGGACGTCTGGTGTAAGTATTCCACTCAGTACTTGCTTGTTACCCTCTGTTGCTGATTTCTCCCAAACATCTTCTACACGCTACCCTTGTAGCACTATGAAGAAAATAACTAACTTCTTTATCCTAGTGATAATTCTACCTATAAGGCAAGTTTTGAAGAGCCACTGGCATTGGAAGCAGAAGTGCTATGCGGCCGCAATGCTTAGCCTTGGCTTAATGTATGTCTCTTGCTCAGTAACTCCCCGAAGATTAGAAGACATCTTGACTAACACTTAATAGAACGCTTACTACAGCGATAATGCGAGTAGTAAGCGTGCGCGCTCGACTTGGCATAAGAGGTATGCAACCCACTTCTCAGTGTTGGCCTTCCTACGACAATCAAGAAATAGTACACTGTTTGAATTCAATTACATATCTAACTCTCAAAAGGGCCCGATCCTTTGGATTTGCAGCTCTGGTATGCCCTAGAGTCTATCACGGCTTTCACAGTGTGAGTCAATATCCCCTTGCATTGCGACCGCTTCCTACTCTTTACCGGAGCCCTCTGATAGCAACTTTTTCAGCTTTTGGAATCCTACTGGTACTAAATTTGAATACAGGGCATGCGTACCCTTCATCCGCCTGATGATGGTTCGTAAGATCATTCCCTTCGTGAAAGCAAGCTTTGCCTCCTTGTGTCTACCAGTCGAACAACGAAACACCTCGCAACGAACCATCATAAGGCCTCCCCCCACGAGGGATAGAAACCTAGACGAGACATCGTCGTTCTCAGAGACAAATATGCCGCAAATCACCGACGCCGGCGGGCTAATTTTTCCAAGAGAGGGTTCACAACTTGGCGTACCGCTTCAAAATGAAGGATCGCCTTCTGACAAGGTTAATTCATCCAACGTCACAGAATTGAACACCAAAGGTCAAGACAACAGGACTCTCACAGTATCAGTTCCGAATCCTACAGCATTGAGACGTTATGGCTTCGTCAGCAGGGCGGTAACTGTCACTACGAACCCCATTGCCGAGGGTGAAGAGAATAGCGGTTGGGAAAAGCAGCCACAGCAGGACGACAGATGGTCGATGTAGTAATAAACATGGAATAGAGAAGTCACATGAAATAACCTTCAAATTAAAAACAAATCATGCTGCTTCATTACAAGCCTCGCGCTACGAACATCTCTCGCTACCTACACTGCTCTACATGTTACTTCTGAGAACTCCCACCATCGTTGGAGACAAGTGATGAAAGCCGTAGTTGGCAAGAACCACCCGTTAATACCGGGAAGAGTTTCATGTTTACTTGGTTTTAATTCCTGTATTGATTGAAATTATCTGTCCATCACTAGTGTCTGCTATTGTCTCTAGCAGCCCTTACTTGGCTCCTTTACTTTGTACAAATTTCGTTCAGACTCTAAAATCCTGCTCGGAATAACGTTAAGGCGTGGACGGCCATTTTCCCGGATGTGTCGTTACATTTCTATCCCTAATTGATATTTCAAGAGAGAGCGTTGCATACTTTTGTATGGAGTCATCACGAATTACACCGAATACTTTTGTATTGACTATGAGTAAGAGAAATAGGTACATCGCATAACCTCCGCAAAACAAGGTCAGAATCAAAACCATACCATCAAGTTTTCCATTCTGTTCGACAATAACCACGCCCCAGTTAGCAAGTTCTGTATCAAAACTAAACCAAACACGCCTGACAACTAAAAGCAGTGGAATAATGGCGTATGACAGGTTCTAATAATGTATCGATTTTCAGGCATGAATCTCGTCGAGCTATCGTTAAAAGGAATCCCCATACATACGATATTAGCTTAGTAAGGAGTAGAGCTTTCGACAAATGCCTAGTTGTTACGGTCAGCTATCCGACAGTAGGGTCTGCTAACAGAAGTTGGGGATTGACGCTAGTAAACAGTATTGTCGTGTCGTAAGTCTGGTTCGTAGGTCGTAGGCTGTGTCGTAGATCGGTAGTCAGAGGCTAAGGTGATCAATCTTAGGCTCAACAAGTATTCGCAGTGAAGGTAAGCTGAAAGTATCCTGAGGATGAATACAAAGTTGATTGCTGAAGAGCTATGGAAGTCTGACTATGAGTCGAGCTCAGGTCATACTATATACAAGTCCGAACAGTACCCTTTGTTTGTTTTACCGTTCCTGATCCTGACGGGGTCCGTTCCTCGTTCATACGGATCCCGTATGTGCCAAGGACGGACTCCGTATTCTTGGCGTACGGATCTAATCTCTTATCTTATCGTTACGTGACTTGCACCATAGTTCTTCCGTTCCCGAGTGAGTCCCTGTTGTTCCCGTGATCCTGCAGTACAAATGTCCTGTTCTAGCCGCCCGACGCCCAAGTGGGTCGTTCAGCTGTTATCCTTGTTTACGGGTCGTAACATCAGGTCCTCTCTCCAAAGGTCTTGTCCTCAAGACCCAACATAAGTAGGTCGTTAGTCCCAGGTTGGGGATCCGTCAATCGTGCTTCCTGATTTACCTATGATGCTGACACTATGTCAGGTCGCGTTTCTGAAAATCCTGCGATTTCCACTCTTCGTCGTTATCGTCGTTCCCTTAACATTGCGGAGAACGGGTTTGAGGTCATGCCTTGTCGTCGCTGTCGGTCTAAGGGATTGCGCTGTAAAATGCTGCCCGGTTCCTTGGTTTGTGGAGAGTGTGTCGCGGTGGGCGGCACTCGTCGTTCGTGCAACGCTTCCGATGATGCGATCTGTCAACGTTCGTGTGGTTTTGGGTCCGTTTGTTTTTTGCTCGTGCTAATTCGTATATAGTGGAACGTCTGATGGTTGAATCTCGGCGTTTGGACGATGAGGAGGAAGAAACCGAGGAATTGTTTCGAAAAAGGATGGAGGCGCTGCAAAAGGCGCAGGCCGAAGTGAATGAGACACTTGCGAAGTTGGATCGTGTTCGCAAGGCTAAGCGAATAGTGTTCAAAAAAGGTCGCAAGGAGACCTCGGTGGTGGCTGAAGAGGGGGTAGCGGAGCCTTCTCTTGCCGAGTCTTCCTTGGTTCTTGAGGCACAGTCGGTGGGTGCTTTTGGTGCGGTAGACCTGGATGCCGTCTTCGGTGATTAGAATCCGGGTACTCCAAACTTCTTATCGGGGGAGTCTTAGTTGGGTTCGGGTGTTCCTAGGCGAATAAATGGTTTTCCTTGTCGCGGTCTGTCTGCCTCTGCTAGTGGTCTGACATGTCTGTATGGGTGTTTGATGCGTTGGTAACCAGTGTTGTCTGTCGGGGTTGGTGTCGCTGGCGCTGCTGGCGTCGTTTCTCGTTCTTGGTGTTGTTGCCAGTAGGTCGCGAGTTCGTCCTTCGCATTGGTGATGTTCTTGGCTGGTTCCCATGTGTTGTCTTCGTGACCATATCCTTTCCACTTGATGAGGTATTGGTATCCTTCTGGTTCTTCAAGGTGGTCGATGATTCGTTCGACTTCGTACTCTGGTTCGTTGTCTTCCATAATGATGAGGTCGTTTGTCTGTGATCCTTGTGGTGCTGGTTCGAGTAGCGAAATGTGGAATGTTGGAAAACACTTCATCGTGTCGGGTAGGTCGAGTTCGTAATTGACTGGTGAAACTTTTCGGAGGATTTTGAAAGGTCCGAGTTTCTTGAAATCTAACTTGTCGTTTGGTCGTTTCGTTTTGATGTTTCGCCGTATGAGATAGGCGCTATCTCCCTCCTTCAAGGTTAGTCCCTCAATCCTTCGTTTGTTGCTGAATCGTGTCATTCGTTGTCGTACAAATTCGAGTTCTTTTCGTGCGTTGTCTTGGATTTCCTTGATTTGGTTGGCTGTGGCGACGGCCTTGATTGCTGCAGACGTGCCTGATCGTGGTTCTCCGTATGCGGTTGGCTCGAATCCGTAGTTGAGGTAGAAAGGGGATTCCTTGGTGCTTTCTCCTACTGCGCTGTTGTAGGCGAATTAGGCCATTGGTAGTAGTACTACCTAATTGTCTTGGTTGTAGTTGACGTAGGCGCGGAGGTAGGTTTCGAGGATCTGATTGATTCGTTCTGTTTATCCGTCGGTCTGCGGGTAAAATGCAGTAGACATTTTCTGGTCGATGCCGAGTTGTGCGGTGAGTGACTTCCAAAATTTGGAGGTGAAGATCTTGTCTCTGTCTGACACAATTTCCTTGGGTACGCCATGGTTGGCGATGATGTACTTGAGAATCGTATAGGCGAATTCTTCGGCGTTGCTTGCTTCCTTGTACGGGATGAAGTAGGCGTACTTCGTGAGTCTGTCGACGATGACGAGAACGCTGTCAAAGTAGACTCCCGTAAGGGGTTCTCGAGACTTCGGTAGTTTGACAATAAAGTCGAGTAATATAGAGTGCCAGGCGGTTTGCGGCACAGGCAAAGGTTGTAACAATCCATAAGGTTAGTATCGGGCTGGTTTGCTTTTAAGGCAAACCTCGCAATCCTTAATTGCTATTGCGACACGTTCTCTAGTGACCTTTTCTCCATATTGTTGTCGTAGTTGTTTCCAGGTTTTTGTGATTCCTTGGTGACCGTGTGCTGGCCGAGCGTGGAACTCCATGATTGCTTCATCGTCCAGTCCGCTAGTCGAGCTAGCACTAGATCGTCTGGCCATCATCAAGAGTTTTGTAGCGGGCACGAGGTCTCCATTCTCGTTGTGTTTGAGAATCACCTAGGTCTCGTTTGGTACCGGGACATTGTAGTCCGGTCGTCGGCTGAGGGCGTCGGCCCTGCCGTTCTCTGATCCTTTCCGATAGATGATTCGGAAATTGAATTCTGAGAGGAATTCTGACCATCTGATTTGTCGTTTGTTGAGTTCCTTCGAAGTAGTGAAGTGGGCTAGGTTCTTGTGGTCCGTATACACAAGTACTTGGTGGATGGTTCCTGAGAGTTGGGGTCGCCATTCCTTGAATGCTTCGATGATTGCCATGAGTTCTTTGTCGTGGATCTAGTAGTTGAGTTCTGATCCGCGGAGCTTGCGTGAGAAGAAGCCACAGGGGTGCAGGCGTCCTTCTGAGTCTCGTTGAGATAATTGTGCTCCTAGCGCGAAATCTGAGGCGTCTGTTTCCACTTCGAATTGTTCTAGTAGGTTGGGAATCATTAGGACTGGTTCGCTAGTAATGCGGTCCTTGATTGTTTGAAAGGCGGTTTCCTGTTTTTCTTTCCACTCGAATGGTTGGTCTTTCTTGCTAAGGTCCGTAAGGGGTGCGTTGATTTTTCCGTAGAGTCCGATAAACTTTTAGTAAAAATTGACGAATCCGAGGAATCCTTAGACTTCCTTAAGGTTCGTCGGTGTCGGCCATTCTTTAACGGCTTAAACTTTCTTTTTAGACATACTGATATGTCCAGGAGTAATAGTGAATCCGAGGTATTCTACTTCTTGGGTGTGAAATATGCTTTTCTCGGGTTCAACCAGGAGTTTGGCGTCTTGGAGGGCTTGAAGTACGAGGTGTACGTGCTCCTTGTGTTGTTCCATCGTTGGTGAGAAGATGAGGATGTCGTCAAGGTAGACGACTACGAAGATGTCCACGTATTTCCTGAGAACTTGGTTGATCATGTTCTGGAAAGTGGCTGGGGCATTGGTGAGACCGAAAGGCATGACGAGGTACTCGAAATGTCCTCTGCGTGTTCTGAAGGCGGTCTTCCATTCTTCTCCTTGCTTCATTCTGATAAGGTTGTAGGCACCCTTGAGGTCTAGTGCCGTGAAGTAGTTGGCTCCGTGGAGGAGTCGTTGTAGTTCTTCGATTAATAGTAGCGGGTACCGATTTTTAATCGTCATTTCGTTGAGCATTCGGTAGTCGACACAAAGTCGTAGTTTTCCGTTCTTTTTTGGTACGAACAGGATTGGGCTTCCTGCTGGTGATGTTAATTCTCTGATATAGCCTTTCTCGAGGTTTTCGTCGAGGTATTTGTCGAGGGCTTCCATTTCTGTTAGGTTGAGTCCGTAAATTTTGTTGAACTTGGGTTCCTTCCCCTCCTTAATAGGGATTTCGTGATCGAAATTCGTGTGTTCGGGCAGTCCGGTTTCTAGTTCGGCTGCGAAGAGTTTTTCGTAGATTCTGTATTCTTCTAGGATAGACAGAAGTAGATCGTCTTTTTGTTCGAGATCCGTTTGCTTCAATGGTCGTGATGCGGCTTCTTTCGCCTTAAGGTAGCAGATGTATCGTTTTGCTGTTCTTTGGTGGGTGGATCTGTTTGAGGCCTGGGTTCTGCAGGGCTGCTCAGGGACTAGATCGTCGTTGTCCCAATGGAGTTGGCCTGTTCTCCAATCTATCCGTGGGTTGTTCTTTTCCAGCCATGGTATTCCTAACACAATGTCGTATACACCGAGTTCGGCAATGTCGAATTGGAGTTGTTCGTTTCGATCCAGGTAACTCATCTCGAGGGGCGCAGTCTCGTTTTTGATGGTTCCTCCTTCGTACTGGACTTGTTCTCCTTCTATGTTGCTGAGCTGGTACGTGTGTTCCTTCTTCTGCCATGGTAGTCGTAGTCGGTTCACCGCTTGGGGTGACACAAAATTCATTTCGGCTCCGCTGTCGATGAGCGCGATGGTTGTCGTGTCGTTGATAGTAACTGCGAGTTGCAGGTATACTTTCTAGTCTAGGGATGCTAGACAGATAGACCTTGTCGTTATTGCCTGTCTCGGTCCTTCATCGGTAGGCGAGTCTAGTTTTTTGACTGCTCTAGTTGTCTTGGGTAGGTGATGTGCTTCCCTTCTCGTCGTGCCTTCGTAAGGCGATTTTCCTGGAATCGGAGCCTCGGGGGGCTCGATCCTTCTTGTAGGAGTCTGTAGGCTTTTGCCTTTTGGGTTGCGTGGATGAGGCATTCGTCCGTTCGACATTCTTCCCACTTCATGTTTTTGTCGTGGGTGCACCTCATGGGGTATTGTCGGCTGGGGGTGAACGTGGCGATGTTGCCGTCGAACTTCCTGAGTTCCCACCCTGTGAGAGTATGGGCGGTGTAGACGTTTCGTAGGGGGGTGTTGTCGTATTTCCTGGGTTGGAAGTGGTGTTCGTATTTTTCTCCTATGTGCGTCTCGCAGTGGTCGAAGAAGCACTGGGCCCAAAAGAGGTAGCGATGGCTTAGGTCCGTGATTCTGAGGTAGGGGTGATCTTCGATCCTGAGTTGCGGGGTGTAGTGCGTCCTGGGTCCCATGTTTAGCACGCCATAAAGTTCGATAAATTGCTCATCATCGTGCTGATTTACTTGCTTGTGTGCAATGCGTTCGGGGGTGTTGTCCTTCTCGGGTTCCTCTTCAGAGCTGGTGTCGTCCACACTGGGGGTGAGCCTATAGGCGATCTCCGTCTGAGCACGTTGGCGGGCAACGTCACGAGGTTCGTCCGAGTCGTAGGGTAAATCTTCTCCTTCTCCGAACGTCCAGTTGCTGGTAAGACTGAGGATTTGTTGTTCAGTCAGGGGGTCGTGCTGATATTCAGGTTCCTTATCCGAATCTTCTTCGTTCTCGAATTCCCTGATTCGATTCATTTCGCGTTGAACTTATGCTTCGGAGTCTCTGATCCTTTGTCGGGTTTCTTTATCGTAACCCATAGGATTGTCGTAGGTGGCTTGCCTTGAGGTGATGCGTAGGGCTGACAAGCCTGCGGGTTCAAGTTGTTATACTCGTAGCCTCCCGTCAAGTTGTTCGGTGGTTTTTCTGATCATCTTGCTGTTGGCCCGGGAGGCCATTGCAAGGGTTTTGCTGGTGGGCCAGTGTCCTGTCATTTCTTTGTCGCTGAGGTGTACAGGGCATTTGTCGTCGTAGCATCCTGTCCACGATAGGGATGCGTGGGGTGTCTTAGTTGCCATACTAGCTTGCTTGGTTCGCTCGGGTACTGGCTTCCAGTTGGGCTTCTTGGGTTGTCCGCAGTCTCTAGCGATGTGTCCTATTTTTTCGCAATTATAGCACTTAGGGTTCCAAGGTTTCTTATCGTTGCTCTTGGTAGCGGCACTGAGGTCCATAGGTCCGCTGTGTTGTCCATAGGAAGTGCTTTGTCGGGTGTTGTTCCAGTTGTTGCGGGGTCTGTTGTCGTTCCGCTGGTTGTTAAACTTATGCTAAGGCTGCCATTAGTACTTGCGTCCTAAGTTCGGGTTTTGTCTTTTCTCTCCTCGTTCCTTTCGTCGTTCGTAGAGGCGGTTGTCGATCTTGATAGCATGTTCGACGTAGGCGAGGAAACTAGGGGGTGTCTCTAACTTGGCCATTTCGTCCTTAACGTCATCTTTGAGTCCTTGGTAGAAGGCGAAGACCTTGCTTTCGTCGGTCATGTAGAGTCTTGCAGCTAATCGTCTGAACTCGGCGGCGTAGAGCGTGGCTGACTTGGTTTGTCGCAGGTGTGATAGGTCTCGCTCGGCCTGCCTTCGCTCATCGGGGTCGAGGAAGAGGGATTCCAGGGCTTTAACATAGCCTGCGAAGCTGAAGAAGATGCTCTTCACCTCTTCGCTATATTTTTCGACCGGGTTGTCGAGCCATTCTTGTTGCAGGGGCTCGAACCAGGCGAGGGCTCTTCCTCGTAGGAAAGTGGCCGCGTGCACCACGCGTTCGGTGTCGTTCTGGAAAGTGTTGATGTGGAAGGCTTGGTAGGTCCGTACCTGAACCAAGTGTCCTTTAAGTTGTCCTGGGGTCCCGTCGAAGGTAGAGGGGGTGTTGAGCTTGAGGCGTTCGCGTCCTTCGACCGGGGCGGAAATCACGTTGGCGGCAGCTCGAAGGGTGTTGACTTCCTTCTCAAGTTCCTAAGTCTTGCGCGCTTGCTCCTGAAGTTCCTTGAGAGCAGTGGCGTTTTGGTTGAACATGTCGCGCATCTCCTTGAAGTCCTTGGTGGTTTTGTCGAGCTGTCGCTTGAGTTCTTCGGTGTCGTCCTCGCTGTCTGAGTCGTCCTTCATTTTCTGGTCCTCGACTTCCTGGGCCAGGCTCTGAGGAGCTTTTCCTCCAGAGGTGGATGAGGATCCGGGGGTAGGAGACTTGACAGAGGCGCGGGAAGACATTCTGTACTGTTTAGTAGGTATCAATAGTCAACTTACTGAACAGGAGCAATCAAAGTGTTACGGTCAGCTATCCGACAGTAGGGTCTGCTAACAGAAGTTAGGGATTGACGCTAGTAAACAGTATTGTCGTGTCGTAAGTCTGGTTCGTAGGTCGTAGGCTGTGTCGTAGATCGGTAGTCAGAGGCTAAGGTGATCAATCTTAGGCTCAACAAGTATTCGCAGTGAAGGTAAGCTGAAAGTATCCTGAGGATGAATACAAAGTTGATTGCTGAAGAGCTATGGAAGTCTGACTATGAGTCGAGCTCAGGTCATACTATATACAAGTCCGAACAGTACCCTTTGTTTGTTTTACCGTTCCTGATCCTGACGGGGTCCGTTCCTCGTTCATACGGATCCCGTATGTGCCAAGGACGGACTCCGTATTCTTGGCGTACGGATCTAATCTCTTATCTTATCGTTACGTGACTTGCACCATAGTTCTTCCGTTCCCGAGTGAGTCCCTGTTGTTCCCGTGATCCTGCAGTACAAATGTCCTGTTCTAGCCGCCCGACGCCCAAGTGGGTCGTTCAGCTGTTATCCTTGTTTACGGGTCGTAACACTAGTTAGTAGAGCTGCAAAGTTTACCATACCTGCAGCGACACTTTTGTGTCTAGCTAGCTCACTACGTCTCAATCTTTGTAACTTAGAAAGAGAATACAATCTCTTGGCGTACGAAGAGGCTCTGTGGGTAGCATTCGATTGGTCAGGTTATTTCATTGTATTGTCAGAACATTGACTGTCCTGTTTGCTATTTGTTAAAACCTTAGGTAAAAAAGAGGCTGCTTGGCCCTACGGTATAAATCATTACTTAGATAGAGTATTTGGACAACACAGTTGTAAAGGAGCCATAATTTGTTAATAGATCACTCACATCTGTGATGTATTAGCTGGGTCATTGTGCGCATAGAAGCTAAAGAGAAGAGCAGGAAAGCAGAGACGGGAAACAGAATCACTCCCTCTACTAGAGTGTCGTCTCACCAAACTGGCTGTCAGAAAAAGCTAGATACAACGCCTATTGCCCCAAAGGGATAATTCTGGCGATTGGAGCCAAGATAGTGACGTCAAATCAGATTATACACTGGAAACAAAACAATAAAGTTGCAAACCTTGTGCGTAACAAAAAGTTAAACCAAGGATGTTTCGAAAGAGAAGATCAACAGATATCACCGACTCGGGCCTCTCTGTTTCGGTATTACAGCTGGTCTCAACTCGCTATCTCAACGTCATGATACGAATTTGCCGAGGCATCGCTCCGTCATGCTATGGACTCTGTATGTAGAGAGGCGATACCCTAGTTAGCATCGTCGAGATTTTTGACGGATAAATACACCTCAAAGTGTTCTGACGAGAACTGGCAGGGATATGTAGCACAATCTGTCATCTCGAAAACAGTTTGAATTTTAGGTCCACGCTCTGATCTCATTTTCGACTCGCGTCCCGGGTTGCCGCGGTAGGAAACTGAATCAGTTTTCCTTGGATCGATAAGTGTGGCGTCACCGGGAAGGCTCATACATTTTCGCATTTTCTACTGTGTATTGTACTGAATCGGTCTTTGGAGGATGAGAAACTGAAGTTATTCCAAGCGATGCGATATGGGCTAAGAAACAACCGCCAACATGTCTACTGCTTCCACTACACACAAGAAGTAGAAGAGTATTAGTATTCTGTCGGTAATAGCCTACACTTAAAACAAGTCACTACGTTAGTTTCATACCAATGTCACTACTGACGTCCTATTCGCACGTATACGTATGACGCAGTCGCTGCTGTGCGCTGTTTTTACGACAAAGTACCAATTATTCATATGCAGTGCACTAGCAGTTTGCGCTATTATTCATGAGTTTCCTGCTATTTCTTTCGATCCTCATCAGGAGGTCGTATGATACACTGTTACTCGCGGTAAAATATTTCAAGATCTTTATTACTGGAAACACTGCACTATCTGCAAGTTTCCAACTACTAATTCTGCACTCATTCATCTTAAGGTATCAAGTTCTATGGAGGATTTACTGCCATTCGTAGATGCTTTCTCATGATGGACCCTCACTTCTTCTGTTTTAATAATGCCGCGCGGCGTAACTTGTCCGCGTTCCTCGTTCTGTAACGCTTCTTGAGATTCTTGCCACCCGGCAGTCGTCATGACTACCACAGAATTTCTGCCGTAATGGGTGCCCTGTCCGTATCGTTTCGTTTTCGTTTTGCCAGTCTCGAGAGCGTGCGTCTGCGACTTGCTTCGTGCGTAACTTCTCTGAGTAGATTTCAACTCGCGGTATAACATCCTCCTGCATATGGGTTAGAATGGTTATGAACGATAAAAAAAAACCTGAGACTAACAGAACAGGAATGGAGACTGCCATGATGGAAGCGGCAGGCTCGGTAAGAGTCCAAATTGTTAGATCGACTCGGTCGTATGTAATGTCTGTACTGGTCATATTGACTACCAATACCGCTTTCACAATGCCACAAGCTCCGGCACTGGATCGAGGTTAGCGTTGAAAGATGATGATTTGGAAAGGGAAGCTTACATAGCACCCAAACTCATTGCCACGGCGACTCCAAACCTCTCACGGCGCCGCATTGTCGCTCTCATGAGAATCGGCCATGGAAGGAAGGCCAATACGAAATCCAAAATGGCGGAATAGTCTTAATGATGCTGTCAGTACACAGACGAAGAGCACGTCTCAAAGTCTCAAAACTTACATGCAGCAAATAGTTGATATCTGACCAGATGCGTCTTGTTCCAACAAACCCCTGGAACGCTGCCATCCCAAACTTTTTCTAATGGCGTACATTTGGCGAAACCGAACATCCATACCAGGTTCATCGTGATGTTGATCGTTACGATGATGAAGATCAAGAAATACTTCATCCATGCTTCCGTGACAATTCGATATAGCGTAAGGGCGAAGGATGTTTTGCTCGTTGTCGTTGCAATGATTCCGAAGGTCGCGACGAGGATTGTGAAAAGGTTGATCTCCTTCTTGTTCTCATCGCTGATGGTCCATATGTGGCGGCCGAACCCAAGGGACACGATGTACGAATTAATGGATACGGAAATCGCCAAGGTGACCTTGATACATCTTACTATTAGGTTCGGAAATTCGCGATAGAGAATGACGGCAGCGGATCACGTACCCAAGAAACAATCAACATGTGGTCATCCCACCACAGGCCCCTACCACGCCAGAACTTGCAGTACACGCGGAGGAATAGCAGTACGGCACTCACACCAACCAACGTCCAAGTGGAGACCAGGAGCCGCGTACTCCTATCTTCATCATCCATGGTGGACATCACAGCACGCACGCCGAATGCCACTGGATTCTGTGGACGAGCACTTGAGCGTGCTCAGCAAGCTCAGCAAATGTTGCAAGATTCAATGAAAACGCATCGGAGGAAACGCATCGGAGGCGAAGGTGCACCTCCTCTCAGTAATATGCACGGCAACGTGATTTTTCCCTTCTTCTGATCGACACCCCTGGCAAGGGGGTATCCCAGGTTCTACAAAGCCACCTTCCTTCGAGCAAGCACTAGTTTTCAAAAAGTTATGGGAGACAGACCCGAGTTTTTCGCGCTATGTGACCCCTCCCGAAACCAAGGCGAAGGCTGCATGCATGTACGTGTGTGTATGTGCGCTAAGGCCAGATAAGGTGTTCCGGATAGAGAAACAATCTTCGGATGGAGGTTCATCTGCTACCTACCTTTCCTTAGTACTGTTCTCTCATCATCACCACGCTGCCCTCTTCTTCGCTTCGGTCGGTAGAGGGGGCAATTCCATGGGTCTTGGGTTGACGGGAGATTGGGTAATAATAGCTGGCGAAACGCCGGCGTCGGAAGCCCATTTGCTTACCTTTCTTTTTTCTTGTTTTTCTTCTCTGCATCTTTCCAAGCATCTACTCCGTACTCGCCACATACCGATATTATTGCGGGCAGTGATGAGGAACCCGGGAGGCGAGAGACATGGGTATGGATGTTTTGGAATTCAGCCGCTTGCCACCAAGTGGTTCGCGGTTCGAATTGCCTTTCCAGTCATTTTCCTTTTCTAGATGATTATTTTTCTTCTAGTCACATGGGTGGGTGTTCGCGCCATCTCAGGTGATTCTTCAGCAATACCCTGGACTGGTCTTTGGTTTTTCTTTTTTTCCTTTTCTCATTCGAGAAAAACTGCCGACATGTGCCTTGCATCTGTGTTGGTTCTCTCCTCAAAGCGCATCCTTCTCGCTTCAAGCCTGGCACCAAGGCCGGTAGTCCTCCACTCCGTCAGGCAACAATGTAATGCCAAGGTAATGCAGCCCTGGTCTTGATCAATATCACGCCAGGCCAAGAGATCCCACTCTTCCCGACCTAGCAGGGATCAGAACAATTAGCTCTGAACTCAAAAACGATGTGGGGTGAGGGGGATGGTATCCTACTGGTGCGTCTACTTATTCTACCCCGGCTGTGCATAAGACCGCGTCGGCCAGACTCTGTTAGCCGAGGTCAACCCGTAACAGTTATTTACCATCAACCAACACGAAGGTCAACAGTAGCGTGGTCTCACCATACTCCGTTGCTAAGCCAAAACCAGAAGCAGTAGTCCGATGTCCCATGGGGATTTCAAAGGACCCCTAGTATAACGACAGCATATAATTACGAAATAAGAGCAGGGGCCACGAATGCAATATCCTCACTTTCTGGACAAAAGTCCTCGTGGGAGCCATGTTGAGAGCCATGCAGCAGAGCCAAGCAAATACCTCACGTCAAAGCTTCTGCAGGACTGAACATCTCCGGACCCCAACGACCAGCCGAACGGGCTGGGTGTGGACAAGGTAATCTAATTCACTTGGGGGTCTATCGATGTAGAGCCGGTGATTACTATCCCAATCGGCTGCTAGCCGCGCCATGCCGCCTTAGCCGTAATATCGAGGCAATGCCACTGAGGGCTTCCTCTACAGGGATTTCTTGACACGATGACGCTATGCCTTAACAAATTCATACGGCTGGCTCCTGGCCGCCTTGGCAGGTTTGCAAGCTCAAAATCTTATTTGGCTGCGATTTGCATGAGACAAGCCATTTTCAGCCACCATCTCGTTCCTTTCAACTTCCAGAAGAAGTCCTTCGACGTCGTTGAAACTGGCCAGAATGCGTCCGAACGCAGTTAAACTTCTTCTGGCGTTTGCCTCGGGCTTGGGCCTGTCCGAGTGCTCCCCATGCCGTCCTAACGTTTCGTCTCCTTCCGTGCGCCTCTCTAACGGCACCTACGTTGGCGTTAGAAACGAGCAGTACGCGCAGGACTTGTTTCTGGGTATCCCCTATGCTCAACCTCCTATTGGATCCCTCCGCTACGCACCTCCTCAGTCTCTCAACGAGTCGTTCAAAGAACCACGTACCGCCACCGAATATGGCTGGATGTGCATCGGATACGGCTCTGATACCGCGAACCTCGGCAGCCCAGTCTCGGAGGACTGCTTGACCATCAACGTCGTCCGTCCGGCCGGAACGAAGCCAGGAGATGACCTCCCCGTTGGCATTTGGGTTCACGGAGGCGTAAGTTTAATTCTCTTGCCCGTTTCAGCCATATCACACACCAGTCACTAACTCATCACAGAGCTATGTCAACGGTGGCTCACGTGATCCGAGATATAACCTGAGTTATATCGTCGATCAATCCGTCAAGGATGGCAAGCCTATCATTGCGGCGTCCATCAATTATCGCCTGAGCTACTGGGGATTCCTCTTCAGCCAGGAACTGCAAGATGAGAAGGCGGGCAACATTGGCTTCAAGGACCAGCGTCTTGCCCTGCGCTGGCTTCAGGAGAACATTGCTCCTTTCGGCGGCAGCCCTGACAAGGTCACCATCTGGGGCGAGTCTGCCGGTGCCCGTGCTCTGGGCATGCAGCTGATTGCCTACGATGGAAAGCACGATAACCTCTTCCGCAGCGCCATCCTTGAGAGCGGTAGCTCTGTCGCCAAGTTCGTCGGTGCTGACGCCTGGCAGCCGTACTTTGAAGCCCTCCTGCAGAAGACTTCGTGCACTGACGCGAGCGACCGCCTGAACTGCCTGCGAGAACTTCCATGGCAAACTCTTAACGCCATCTTCAATGGCACGAACCCTCTCAACGTCACTGCCCCCCCTATCAGCGCCGTTATCGACGGCGACTTCATCACGGCGTCGGCACCTACCCTCTTGCGCGAGGGCAAGTTCGCCCCCGTTCCTCTGCTTCTCGGAAACAACTTTGATGAGGGTACAGGATACGCAAAGCAGGGCATCAACACGGAAGAGCAGTTCGATGCCTGGCTTGCGAGCAGCGTGCAGGCGGACGCCACTCAGGCCGCGGCCCTTAAGGAGCTGTACCCCGATGACCCTGCCGTCGGCATTCCCGCCACGGTCACCGAGCGTCCTACCGGAACTGCGTTCGGCACCCTGTGGAAGCGTGTCTCGGCCGTCGCAGGAGACTACCAGCAGCACAGCGGAAGAAGGCTCCTTGCCAGCACGTATGCCGAGACCGGAATCCCCGTGTACTCGTACCTGTGGAATGTCTACGTGAACGGTGTCCCATGGGCGTACGGTGCTACGCATTTCCAGGAGGTTGCCTTTGTGTTCAACAACGTCAAGGGACTGGGCTATGCCGCCAATCCTTTCGAGGGCAAGCCCGAGTCGTACGTCCAACTGGCGGACTTGATGAGCAGGATGTGGGTGGCTTTCATCAACGACATCGACCCTAACCTGCCCGCGGCGAACGGTCTTACTTGGCCCTTGTACACTCCCGCGCAGCCGGATAACCTGGTGTTCGATGCCAACTACACCAACCTGGGCTATGTTGAAAAGGACAGCTACAGGGCGACGGAGATTGCGTACATGCAGGAGAACCTATACAATTAATTTTAGGGAGCAATTTTTCCGCGATGTTAATAGAATAAGCCTTGAATAATATTTAAGAAGGGTTTCCTTGTCGTAAAACAGTCTCTCATCGCGTGGTAGTCCCTGAATACGGTTTTGTTCTGCTACTCAATGGCAGTTAAGCATATCGCTGACGAAACTTTCGCAGCTTGGGCCATTCTTCTTAAAACATGCAAACTGGCCATCATTGTCTAATCAAGATTTTCATAACAAAGTGTTTCATTAAAAGGCTCACAGAGCCTAGCAAGCAGCTTTGCAGAGCCACTCCCTGGGTAGCGTGACCTTTCAGTTCACGCCGTCCCTATTCTCACCCTCATCGAGACTTGATGCTCCTCGACATCGCACTCGGGCAGCGACAGTGGGACAAAGAACTCTCAGGCTTCTGTCGGGCATGGGGTAACAACGCGGGGATGCGTCTAAAGTGGCGGAAGCGGGTTTGCCATGGAAAAGGGTCAGCTGTCGAGCAAATCGATCTCTGGCCAAAGAGGACACATGGTCTTGACTCAGTCGGTTGTGGGGTCGGTGGGGGATTGTTACAGTGAAATTTTTAAGGTATATATGGGCACATGGGGTAGGAAGTTGTGGGTTTACCCATTCATTGCAATTTGCAAAGTCCAGTCGAGCCTACTCTCAGGTTAGGCCGAGCCGTCGCAAAATCAGCATCGGCGTCTTTAGATTCCACCGGTTTTCTCCGACCTCCTTATGTGCGTTCTCTTCCCTTCACTTACTACCGCGTATGTGTCAACCGTGGCTCAACCGCAGTCATTGGCATGGGTGTGTCGCCCAGCCAGAGAGAGAAAACGACCCCTGTAAAAATAATAAAGAATGGTAGATAAAATTGGGGAAGACTGGATCACGATGTAGATCCTTCATGCCTCACTCCAGCCACGATCGGAGGGGCACACGTGTATAATATGGAGTTGAATCGCAGCTCAAGCGGTGTCCTGGTCCCTGTTGTGGCTGGAGCGATCGTCTTTGAGATGTCCATCACACTCAAACTAAGAGGGTCTATAGGTTCACATTTCTCCGATTGAAGAATGGTGTCAATATCCACCGTGTAGATCTGAAGGCGCAGACAACCCGATTCAAAAGCATGGAATAAAATTTATCTTCCTTAAGAGCCTGTAAGGTTTTTTTCTGCGGAGAATATCGGGGGCGATATGTAACGTTGATACCTAATCCACGATCAGTAGAACAGGCTACTACCACGTAGCATTTCCTAAATTTAAGTATAGATATATTGAAGACATACAAACCTTGTGTTCTTTTAAGCTTGGCAAAACACTATTGTGGTGTGAAGATCTTATACGGTGTAATCCGCTTACGACTGATGGATGTTTGGCATTCGGGTAGGTTTGCGTGATTTTCGTCCTTTCAAAAAGACTGAACAGGGTGCTGGAGTAACCAAGTCGCTGATGGCAATGTCCGAACTTCCCGTAGCAAGGTTTGCAGGCTTTCTACTAAATTTCATGCTTTTAGATGATTATTCGTTTGTAGAGACGGAGGTTGCCCTCATCATAAAAGTAGCAAAGGGGGCAATCGTAAAGTTTCTGTTGCCTCTTGGTTAATCAACATGTTTCCTACTCATTATGCTGACCAGCAACGCAGTGCATTCATGACGTGTTCACCGCAGATTAAGGCTACCTGAGTTGCTAGGCAACTTCACTAGTCCACATTGAAATTATTACATTTCGGATGTGGAAATAGTCATGTCATGGTTCACCTCGAGTTATCGGGAAAATCATTGTGATTAAGGACAACTTTCGAAATCAATACACAACAGGCAATTGTCTAAATGGCACACCTCAGGCACAACCTGACTTATCTCCCTTAGTGTGCGAAGCGCATATCAATGGCCGTCTGCTTTTCCGCCTCCGAAGCTTCCGCGTACTTCCTTTCCAACACTCGGTTGCGCCAGATGTAGTACAACTTCATACCAATGAAAAGCAAAATGTTTGCCACACACAATCCAATCAAGGCTTTGTTGGCAGTATAATCTTCATAGAAACAATCAGTCAGTAAAGCCCAGATATCCCAAAAGCAAGATTTTCCAAGGTACTTACAGTAGGGTTTATCCTCGTCACGGTAGATGTTGACTGCTCCTATGCTACCTACTTGGTAGGTCATGTTGTACACAGCAGTAGACACTGCACGCGTCCCAACACTACGAGCATTGCGGCTCGTCATACCAACAAGTATGGAGTGAGTGTATGGGATCGAATTGATGCCAGTTAAAAGAACATATCGCACCCAGGGGCTAGCAGATTCGGGAAGCGCGACGAGCGCGATAAAGAAGGGGAGCATCCAGATATTGCTGCATGATGCAATGAGGGAGCGTTCCTTGAAACGTTCTGATAACCAGCCAAAGATAAGAACCTAACTTTGTCAGTTAGTCCCAAAAAGGTTTGTTGTTGCGAAGCTCACATTAATGGCGAAAAGGGCATAGCTAGGGATTGCTAGCATATTTGACTGGAACACAGAGTAACCCATCTCGCGCAAAATGAGGGAAAGGTAATTCGCAGTAGGCTGGAACGGTATCCAGGCGAAGATGCCGACGAGAAAGATGGGCCACAGATCAATATTGGTGAGCGCGGCCCAGAGGCCCTTAAGTGTCACGGCAGTGCGGTTGTTCATATCGCCCTTGGTAGGGTCGTCGCGGAGGATGCGGTTGACGAGTATCTTTTCTTCCTGTTCCGTCCACCATTTATTGGATCCGTCGGGGCGGCGGAACGCACGTGCGGGCTCGCAGACCGAAGGGGGCATGACGAAGAAGCTAACAGCCCCGATAATGACACATATTATACCTTCGAGGAGAAATCTGTACGAAGTGAGGATAGTCAGAACAAGTACCGGAACATTGGTTTTAGATGGAGACGGGAAATAAGTAGTTGTTAGACTTACAGCCATTGCCATCCGGCCCAACCACGAATGCCTCTCATGGCAAGAAACCCAGCAGCGAGGAGGGCGCCGTAGATTTGGGTAATAGGAATGACAGTGTAAAAGATACTAAGCCGTATAGGAAGCTCGTTGTTCTTGTAAAAGTACGAGAGATAGAGGACCATTTCCGGGATGAAGCCTCCTTGAACAAAACCGAGAAGAGCTCGGAAGGCCCAAAAGCTAGCTCGGCTGTTCATTGCCGCCTGTAGTGTGCATAGGGTACCCCATATTGTAATAATGGTAGGAGTGTACCTGAATGGGCCGACCTTTTTGCTAATAAGGCCTCCGGGAAGTTCGGCTGCAAGGAAACAGACAAGATATATCGTCTGGCCGGTATTATAATCGCTATAGATGTGTTGGCAAAGTGTTCATAGTAGTAGTATAGAAGAGAGGCACCAACTTGGTATTCATGTTTAGATCCTCAAGCTGTTCATGAAGTTTGTCAGCCTGGAACTTTATGACTAAGATAGTTCAGAGAACTACTTACCATGTTATCCGAAACGGCACGATTGATATTTCTCCGAACCAGATCGAGGCTTGAGAACATGACCCAGACCCAAGCCATAACTCTCCAGTCTAGCTAAAAATCACCCTGTCAGTTTGTAATGTTCTAGTTGGATACCTTCTGAAAGTAGACAGAGGCACTTTGCTGAATGGGCTCATATTGGTATACCTTCTTCTTGAGGCGCTTCTCCTCCTCCGCTGACCATGTAAGCGAAGCATCGAATCTGTGTCTTCCCTCATACGTGGCATTCTCGTAAATTTGTTGCCAATGAGCGGCGCGTCGTGGGTTAGAGAACACGTGAGGTTCTATCGAGCCAAGATACTCGCCGGTTGAAGGGGGCAAGTCGTTGCCTACGATATTGATATCGGTCTCCGAGCCGTTGTTTTCTAAGCCTTTGGAAGACATTTCAGGCCGAGTTGGAGGCACCTATGAAAGCTATGTCAATGTGTTCGAGCAAGGATGGCTGTCTTTCATCGGTGACCTGCGTATATTCTTTCATGACTACTACGGCAAGTATGTATATAAAGTTGTAACTCTCTGTCTTCTATGTGATGTTGCATTCCTATTCTCGGCAGTGATACGGCCTCTCTCTGCATCATCTGCACGACATTGCATGCATCTTTGATGATTCAGCAATTTCGTGACATGCAAGATCAGTTGCGCAATCTGCAGGGACGGCTATGTTACGGGTTAGAAGTGGGAACTTTGGGCTTGGAAGTGTTAATGTTAAAACGCTCACGTAGCAGAGACGAATCCTACGGCACAATGGCTGTCCGACCTCGGGAAGTCGCCGAGGCCTCTAAGGGAACTGTATCCAGGATTCGCCCTCCCTCGGGACTTATGCATATTCTTATCTTCCAATCGGCCATTTCTAAAGAATCTCTACCGCATAATAGGATGTTTACAGTCCGCCCTTTTTGTCTATCCCTGTATTTTGAGCGCCCCCGCCTACCGTACGTATGCTGAACCTTGGCCCCCCTCATCCAACGTTAGATACACAAACATTCAACTTCTACGTACTCTTGACATTCATCATCGTGCGTTCATGTCTTGAATCTAGATTAGCCCCTTTTCTTAGCCCGATCACGGTCCTTGTTACGGAGACTATTGAAATGACGCGATCAGGCTACCCCTTTACACCCAACGCCGACCCTCTTTACTTGTGAGTGCTACGAAGACCACGCGGGCTGGCGAAAAGTGCCGCAACCAAGGCAATGGCTGCGAAGCCTGTGGATGCGGCAAATGCATACCGGATACCCTCGTAGTAAACCATGCGGGCAGGGAGGCGAACCTCCACCGGAAGGGTCTTAAGGGCCGTAACAGAGTGCCGGATTTCGTCAATGAGCTGCGTTGTAGAGATTTCGTTAGCAAATCAAGTAAACAGATAACATGTAACAAGTAGAGGAGGGTTCAAGGGGAGCATACCCTCCACTTATCAGGAACGTCACCCAGGGCATCAGGCAACCGAACGCTCAGGGTCGTCTGGACGATGGCCGAGGTGATTGCAACGCCCCAGACGGTGCCCAGAGAACGGACGAGGTACACTGTTGAAGCCGACACGGCATGGTCTACAGAGGACGAACGTCAGTCTACTTCTGGTTGATCTCGATGCTAGGTTTGCTTACCGGCGTGATCAAACGATGCCAAAGTCGTAAAGAGAATGGCCGGATAAATAATACCCTGGCCGAGGTTGGCCGGGAAGATGTAGACTACATATTTCCACTTGCTGTCCTCAAACTTGAGAGCCGTTACCAGCGCGTTACCGAAGAGCATCAGAAAAGCTCCGGTGCGGACAAGCCAGACAAGCTTGCCCCAGCGGGACATGACGATACCAGCAGCTAGACCGCCGAGGGGCGTAGCCAGGGAAGGAATCGCGAGCCTAGCACCGGCTTTCGTTGCGGAGTCGAGCAACACCACCTGGAAGAATAGAGGGAGCATGAACAGGTACTACTTGACGTTAGTAATCTAACCAGTTTCGTGCTTGCCATCTCAATCGCCAACTCACCGCATAAGCCGCAAGTCCAGCGCAGACATTTGAAATTTGCGTGAGCACCGGGAGTCGTCCTCTAAGCATCCTCAACGGAATGACAGGAATAGCCCTCGTCCGCGCTTCCACAACCAAGAACAATGCAAGCAGCAGGACACTTCCCACCAAAGTCCCAATGACCACGGGACTGCTCCAGGGAAGCTCGTTGCCGCCCAAGCTCAACCCAACAAGCTGTACGGAGATGGCCACCACAAGGAGAAGCGCGCCAGAGATATCGACGCGTGACCAGACGGCTTTGAAGTTAGTTGTGTCGATGTTGAAGCCGCCCTCGGGGTTCTTGATGACCAGGAAACCAAGAACGAGTGCCGCAACAGAGATGGGGACCTGCAGGAGGAAACACCAACGCCAGCCAATGTGGTCTGCGATGGAGCCGCCGAATGAAGCTCCTGCTACTGCACCGAAGCCGAACATGCCATTCTGGAGGGCCTGGTACATTCCTCTCTTACGGAAGGGGATCATGTCTGAGTTGACGATCGTGGCTGGGTTACCTCGTCAGTCTTGTGCTTCAACTTGACTATAAGATGAGAAAAAGAAACAGTTAAGAACATACCCATTGTCATCAAACCTCCACCGCCGAAACCTGTCAACGCACGCATGATATTCAACAGGACCACATCACCCGCCAATCCACATCCAAGACATCCCAACCCGAAGGTGATGCTGCTGACGAAGAACCATATTCTCCTTCCAAAGATGTCTGAAAACCTGCCGTACAGCGGCTGGAAAGCGGTGCTGGTAACAAGGTACGAAGTTGTAAGCCACGATGCCGTGTTAGCAGCGTCAAACTCGGAGCTGATGACGGCGTACGTTGCCGCCGTGATGGTCCCGTCGAAGCCGTACAGGAAGACGTTGGACATGATGGCCAACTCGATCCAGGTAAAACCGGGGGGTGGCTTCCATGTCTCGCCTTCGGTGACAGCAGCACCGGGGTCTCGAAGGAGCGGCTGGTCTTCGCGAGGGGCCGTATCCGCGTCCGGATCGGAGTACGGAGGCGGCGGCGAGTTCGGCGCGGTAACGGCTCGTGCCCCCGCTTCCTCATCCTGGAAGCGGGTCCTGAGGGCCGGTGCATTCGTCATTGCTTTCTAGGCGTAATGAGATACCGATATATCTCCCACGTGGTAGTAATGGCAGTCCTGGTCTGCAGGGCAAATCTGAAGTGGGGATATGAGGTTGGGAAGATTTGAATGAGGTAGGGAACGGGAAGAGAAAATTTAGGAGGGCCCCATCACGCAATCGACGTTACCCTCACAGTCTGACTCTTTTCCCCGGGCTCACTTTAAATTCTTATTGACGGAGAGAAAAAGACCGGGGTATGGCGGGAATGACGATGTGCGAGCGATATTTTTTTCCCACGGTTTCATTGACAGATGGAGAACCGGCGGGGGAGGTTTTGTGACGTGGGGCCGGATTATGTCCGCGTGTGCCAGTTCCTGCATCGGCGGAGCCTTCGGTGCCGGGTCGGGTAGCCGACGTCAACGACCGGTCTTCCTTGGTTGTTGGAGAACGGGGGGTATCGCACCATAAGCATACTGAGCACGCAATCTTGCTACATACTTCTTATCTTTCTAGTACCTTGCTTTCCGATTCGAGATCGACTAAACGCATCCTGCCCCTGTCACCGTGAGGAGCTGGGATACCCCACGCTAGCGGAACATGGGCATTGGGCTTCCGGACCACTGCCGGGAGGGGAATAGTTGACATCATTTTGGAGTATATGCGACCTCAAACTTGACGCAGATGTAACTTCTGCAGGAGACTGCGCTGAACTCCCCCATTCAAATACTGGAGATGTTTGTGAAACCTGAAGCCAAGACTCTCCGCGGAGACATGCGGGTGCTCAAGAAGGTCGTAACTGAGCACGCAATGAAAGAGTTTTCATCGTGCAGCAACAGCAAAGGCAGTGGAAGCAGCAGAAGGGTTGCGTAATCTGCTTTGGTTGAACCTGAACACCTTGAAGAATCCACCCTGCGCCCAGGCACGAGCGGGGTCCCAAGATGAAGAGACGTCCGACATAGGAGGTACAATGCTGCATGTTGGAGGATAGAATGAGTCAGGCCGAGAAGCAGATATGCACCTGCGTTACACCAAGAAATGTACAAACGAGCTGTATCGTTATACCTCCTCAATGATGCCATACTTTCCAAATGTTCGGACGGAGTACAGGGATGGTGATGTCGCCATGTTGATCGTCTCGTGAGGAGACCGGCTTGAAGTTTGTCGGGCTTGAAAAGGGCGGGGGTATGCCAACCCCTTATTGCAAATCTCAGAAAATCCATCAACGCACTCTCACCAACAGACAGTGCAAAACCGTAAATCTTGGAATAAACCTGAAGTGGAGGAAAAAATCTTTCTCAAAAAAAAATCATTGATATCTAGGGCTCATGTACTTCACCAAGGTGAATGTACCTATTCTTCAAGATGGGTAACCCGACGGAAAGCTGACGCACCTAGGTTCATCCGACTTGCGCAATGAAGCAGCACTTTATCAACGCCATCCTCGCCACCTCGGCGCTGCTGACGCCCCTTGCGTCCGCCGACTGGCAGTTCCGCTCCCGCCCGGACCTCGCTCCGCCGCGCCTCAACATCACCATCCCGGCCACCGCGGACGTCGAAGAGGGCTATCTCTTCGTCGCTCCGTTCGCCGGTCTTCCCGACACGCCGACGGAGCAGCACGGGCCGCGCCAGGCCGGACCATACATCTTCCGTAACAACGGAGACCTGATCTGGTCCGGATATGCCATCTACAGCATCTGGTCGACCAATTTCCAGGCGGCGCGGTGGCGCGGCCAGGACGTGCTGTTCAGCTTCGAAGGTGACCACAACCCCGGGTACGGCCACGGCCACGGGCACATCACGTTCCTGAACCAGCATTATGAGACGATCCGAGAACTGCGGGCCGGCAACCATAAGCTCGTTGACAAGCACGAGTTCCACGTCGTCAATGAGGAGACGGGTTTGATCCAGATCTACCAGCCTGTACCCAGGGACCTGACGGCTTGGGGCGCGAAGCCCGAGCAGCAGTGGATTGTGAACGCCATCATCCAGGGTGAGAAGCAACCGCTTGTAGGAAACCATCTGCAGGAATGTTGACATTGCATACCAGAACTCGACATTGCCACTGGCAAACTCCTCTTCGAGTGGTCTAGTCTCGACCATGTCACGCCGGAAGGTAAGAAGACACCATTCCTCGCTTGAGTAGCACGCCTTCTCACATACCCCCACAGAAGCAATCCTGCCCATCAACCCCGGACAAGCCGGCTCGGGCTACAACAGCTCCGACGCCTGGGACTATTTCCACATCAACAGCGTCGACAAGGACACCTCGGGCAACTACCTGATCTCGGCTCGCGATGCCTGCTCCGTGCTCAAGATCAACGGCACCGACGGCACCATCATCTGGCGGTTGGCGGGCACCAACTCGTCGTTTGAGCTCGGGGAGGGCGTGGACTTTTGCTTCCAGCACCACGCTCGCTGGCTCTCGCAGGACGGCGACGAGGAGGTGCTGAGCCTGTACGACAACAGCGCGCACGGCACCGAGCACGGCGGCGGCAAAGAGGTGCATACGGCCCCGACGAGCAGCGGCAAAATCATCCGCGTCAACACTCGCACCTGGAAGGCGGAGCTCGTGCAGGGCTTCTACCCGCCTGACGACCTGCTGTCCAAGAGCCAGGGCTCGACGCAGATTTTGCCCGGGGGTAACGCGCTCGTCAACTGGGGATCCTCCGGGGCCGTGACCGAGTTCAAGGCCGACGGCACGCCAATCTTCCATGCGTACATGGACTCGGGCGATCTCGGTGTCGCGGTGGAAAACTACCGCGCTTTCCGGTTCAACTGGACCGGTCTGCCCACCGAGGAGCCCGCGATCGTGGCGCTGGAGAACAAGGATGGCACCACGGTGTACGTTTCGTGGAACGGGGACACGGAGACCAAGGTCTGGCGGTTCTACGAGATCACTGACGAGCACGGCTCTCGAGAGTTTTTGGGCGAGACCAAGCGCACCAGTTTCGAGACTTCGCTGCATGTTCCCGGGCGTCGGGTCACTCGCGTCGCGGCCGAGGCGGTTGATGTCCTGGGCGGCGTGCTGAGAGGCACCGGCATTGCCAAGGTCGAGCAGGAGATTCTTCCCATCAGCGCCGGAAAGGGCCGCAAGGTTCCTCACCCTCAGACTGTTGAGGACCAGCACGTTGCTGAGAAGGTGCTGGACAAATCCAAGAGCTTTTGGGAAGAGTGGTCCATTCTTCGAATCGTCGGTTGGCGCAAGGCCGGTGATCTCTGATTTTCACGTCTCCCAAGTTTAGCGATGTGGTATATCAGCCTGGAAATTTGATATGATGCCACAAACAGCTATAAGTCTTTTCAAGCCGAGCGGAGGCTTTACATGTTGACTGTTAGCAATGCCATATCAACCTATGGATGGTGGCATGTATTCAATGAGACGGTGTCGATAGCGGGGTCTTGTCAAGTAGTCATCCCGTAATTAGTCAACTCAAATCGACATCATTGAGAAAGACACGTGATAATTTTGAACTTAGACGGTCTTTATCAAAAAGTGAATTACCTGGTGAACAAATTTGCAAGTTTGACATACAGATTGCCCTGTAGTGGAGTTGAAGCTCGTGAGAGCACCGCAGCATTGATGGGGACGTGCACGCAACGGGAAACATGGCTGCTTACGTACGCAGGACCCACGTCGGCTGACACATAAATGTTCTTTCATCGTGAAAATTTCTCCAAACTCATCAATCACCTCTTCTCACCAACACAAAAGCCGACAACAACAATCGAGGATTAGACGGGTGTCTCTGTGCGACGCCAGGCGAAGTCGTTTTGCATCAGTATTATTCACGACTGAGACTTCTAGTCACTCGAGACGCGTCTGATCCTCGAGTATATGTCCAAGGTACGTTCCAGATATATTTCTTTCTTCATCAACAAAGCGCGCCTCCATCGTCAAAAGATGACAACTCAAATCTTCCATATCAATGATATCTATTTATATGATTATCGTTACACACACACTGAAAATCCTGATCCGACAATCATTTCATCGTCTTTTTGTTGCCTCGTCGCTGCAAGGCTGGTCGACTAACGATGACTATAGGCTGCTGCTGCTACAACACAATTTCATCTGGTTTGCTATTTACGGATTACATGCTCGGCCAGCCAGGTTTACCTGAGCGGGATGATCATTGCATTTATAGTCCAATATAATGTTCTTCGAGGATCTAGCGAGGCCCATTCGCATGAGTCCCAAAGCTTGTGACCCGTAGTTGACGGGCCTTGGAAGGCAACAATCTTGGTTTCCCGTGACACTAGAGCGCACCGCGCTCTCAACCCTCGACTACACTCTGAGATATACCACGCTCTCCCATGGTATCTTTCAATTTTGGTTTCGAGGAAGATGAATAGCTCTTCGGAGCAGAACCTAATACTCACCGCGGCGTCTATTACACTATGGAGGTCGAGGTCCACAAACGTGGCTCACATGCTTAATTATCCATGCCAATGTTGATATGTAACCTGATCTACTATTCCCTCTAGTACGCCTGTCTCTAAAGATGGCAGGTATATGTTACTCCTAGTGACGAGGGTTGGTACTCGGCAGATGCTTTATATCTGGGAACCATGGGGTACCTTAAATCAAACCGGCTGATAGAAGTCACCGTTATACTTCGTATCGTCGTGTTGTTGGCTTCAGGTAGCAATCAGTTCATTCTTATAGTACCTATGAACATGACAATTACTGTTCCTCTGCAACGTCTTCCAACTAGCGTCACCAATGATCCACCCATCAAGGAGCGATGCATCGGTACCGACGGTCGTTCCCTCCCGGCCGCAAATGGGTGGCTCTAGCTCCCTGTTACAGCACTCTATTTTCCGCCGAAACCGATTATGCCAAGTTGGATGATGGGCGACACGGATATTCGACATTGTTACGTCAGTCAGATGGAAGCCATTCATTATATCATGATTGGACGGCTGTGAAGCAATAAGTCGGCGATTACGCCTCCCTGCGGCACAGCAGAACATACCCATCTGCAGGCGTTTCGTGACATGCAGCTCACATGTGCGGCGGCAACCCCAAAAGCATTCAGCCAATAAGACATCCATCCCTTATGGCTACAACCACAGCCCATGGCCCGTCTATCCGTTCATCATGGACAGACCAACTCTGGAGATCTTGCCGCCGGAGATCCTCCACGGCATCTGTTCGGCCCTCCTCCAAGATGACAAACCCAGCGTCGCGGCCTTCTCTCTGACGAGCAGGCGCATACACGCTTTCGCCGCGGCAGCGCTATTCAGGACGCTGACCTCCGTCGTCGCCTCAAGCGTGCCAAAGAATCCGGATACTACACAGTTATGGACAACGCGACAGGCAAGCAGCCTGCCCAACCTTTTACGCACCGTCCTCACGAATAAAGAGATCGCGTCCTATGTAAGGGAGATCAATTTTGACACGCCGCAAAATAGTATCACCATCTTCGTGACGAGGAACGATGACCGGATTCTGAGGACCGCAGCGGACGGTGTCGGGCTGAGTCTCCCAGCGAGACTGTCTGGTAGGGAGGCCATGCAATGCATGACGGAAATACTCGCCATCAACACGCCCAACCTCCGCTGCCTCCGCTTCAGCTGTTCAATTATACATTACGGCCTCAAACCGCCCATGGCGCAGATGAAACCATCCACTGGGCGTATGCTGCCTCCTATGCAGATAATTAGAGCAGCAGCCATAGCTGCCGAAGGACACCCGCCGCTACTTCCCAGCCTCGTCGATGTGAGGATCAGGGACGTTGGCTCAGTCGAGTGCATCAGGCCGCTTTCCAAGCTGTCACCAAACATCAGCACGCTGCATTTGCATCGTGTATGTGGGCACATAGTTGACGTCTGGTTCGCCAATGTCAAGTGCCTCCAACTCACTGATGCCGACTTCACGGCACGGGAGTTCAAAGACCTGATAGGCGGATTTCCCGTCCTGGAACGGCTCCGACTTCAATATTTCTCCATAGACTGGGAGGACAGACAACGCCTAGTTGTGAATCCGCAGCAAGTCATCGAAGCACTCAAGCCGGTCGCGACACGCATGCGAGAGCTCAGACTGCGTTTCGCGCGCTGGCAGCAGAGACACAGGGACATCAACCTCCTCGATCAGCAATCTACAGATCATCCTGCCCCCGCCGGCCTGTTGACGTCTCTGGAAACTTTCAAGGCCCTGGAGCATCTCGACGTTGACGGGAGTTGCCTATGGGCGACCCGTTACTATGAAAAGCAGGAGACTAACCAGGCGAAAGTTAATTCATTGCTTAGCATGCTTCCACAGGGACTGTTAAAGCTCGAATTTGAAGGGCTTCGGGATGATATAGACGATCTCGATGATGACGATGAGGACGGCCTTTTGATACTTGCACGTCAAGTCAAACAACGCTGTCCAGAATTGCAACAGGTCACATATTGCTCCTCTCTTTCTGAAAATGTCGTCGAGGGGCGATTGCCAGCACTGATGAGGGCCTTTTCAGCAGAAGGCATCGCGTTCAGGTTTCTGGAGTGGTCAGCGAGGGTTGGCTTCTCGGAGTAGAGCCGCCCCGGAAAAGGTACGTTTGGACCAGCCAGCCAGATGGGCCGAAGCAATTGTATCGTCTGAGAATGTGTTCACCATGCTGGGGATCAAAGGGGCGGTCTGCCCTCAACCTATTCGGCACTATGACTACTAAGTGAAAGCTTGCCAACAGATGCGGAGGACACTAATGTTCTAAGCGCTAAATTACCGTTTTTTCTTGGTGGACAACGTTGGGATGTTCATCAATGTACCGGCTTCCCTCGGCTTTGAGCCTTCGGATCCGATACTTTGGTGCCACTCGGACGTTCCTTCAGCCTCGGTGCTGTGGCTTATTATTTGCTTTGAAAATCCTCAAGTAGTTGAAGAAAGGTTTTTGCTTAGTACGCCTTACTGACGCCCTTTTCACTGGCCACAGAACGGCGGCGGTGGGAGGGAGGGTTCGTTTGAGCGGCGCGGGAACAAGCCACGGTCTATCGCTTTTCGGGTTGTAACTTTACTAATATCCCAAGGATGCTGACAATAAGCTGAACACGGTGTCACTTGGCCGAATGTCGATAGTAGTTCTAACAGATCTATCCACGTCATCAAGAATTGGTAACAGCAGGTGCCTGTTGTTTGTGGAGGGCCTCGCTGAATAACCCATCAGGCTTGGACAAAGATACAGCGACTTACTACGTACTTGAATGTCAATGACAAGACAGATGAGAAAATTTGACCCACTTGCGGAAGTGATTGGTGGTGTTTTGCAGGACTTGGCGATATAATGCAGTTGCCTGCAAGCCAATGAAGCATCTGTAACAGTGTCAAGCCACGATGTAGGCAAGGAGTCATCTTCCTTGTACACGTCTCCAAGCCTCATTAGGGCTGGGAGGCCTCGGGATCTCTGGAACTCGGGGCCAGCAGCTAGCCACTGGGGATGGGCGGAGCAACGAGCCACGGTCAGGCTGCAGGTTATGGTCAAATGCCGGCTCCATGCAGGGAGACAAGACTGCGATGCGCAATTGTCGGTGTCGCGTTGGTCTAATGGTAAGCAGAGCTTGGAAAGCTCGCCTTAATGCAGAGAATTAAGAGGGCAGTTCCTGGAACCAGCTCTTGTGGAGCCAGTAACAGCAGCACAAAAGTAAGTTGAAATAAAATACCCGGCAGCTGGCGGGTGTCGCGGCAGATGAGCAAGGCGCACCCCGACGTGCGGCGAGGACAAGTGCGGGAATGGAGGTTTGGGCATTCGTCCATCTCCATCTTCCCATCTCAGACTCAGGCTGCTCCATTGTCCACGAGGCTAGACCAAGTCGTCCGGGTGGAGTGGTGTTCTTCGCGCTTCCCGAAAGGTTCCAGCAACGGGGAATCTGGGCATGCAGCTCGGCAATACAATTGGGCGCATCTGCCATTTGCCCCTCTGTGCCATGACGACACCAAGCTGCGTCGATGCGGGGCGCATTTGCTTTTCTCAGTATTCAGATAATGTGCAGCGGCGCAGCAGCGAAGATGTCGTAGAAGCCGTCTGAACTATCGGGGAGAAGCTACAAGAGAAGTTATCATGACAATGCTCCAAAGAGACAAGAGGCGGAGGTCATGAGTGAGTGTGAATAGTTCCCGAGTTCAAGGGGGGTTTAGTCGAGTCGCGACTCATTCGTTCGACCTACTACGTAGTAGGGAAAAAGGCTGCCCTGACCGCCGCGAGGTGCTATTCTTCTGAGACTCTGACCAGCTGTCATGGGCGACAGGGATGAGGGCGGATGACAAGGGCAGTTGGGGTATCATAGCCTGTCAAGGCCCTGAGCAGCCCACCCTCCCAGATTTCGGATGGCGTGCCGCAGGAAATCTGCCTGGTCACAAGGCTGCCTTGGCCCGTGGTTCTCGATGTCGGGACACTTCCATCGGTGGTTTTCATTATTTTTTTGTTGGGGAAAGGTGATTCTGACAGGTGTTCGCAGGATGCCTGTTCGCGTTCATGTCTTGCTCGTGGCCATTATCGACCATGGCAATTAATTAGTTGGATGACAGGGACGAGGTGGTGTTGTTGGATGCTTTTTTTCCGAGGTGGGTTTCGGCGGTTGGTCAGTACAAATGACGTAAGGCTTTCTTTTGTCATTTCGTTTTTTTGTTAGCCTCTCGATTCTATGCTGTTGGGGAGGGGAACACGATATAGATAGCTCAAACAGGCTGGTCATGGTGTCTTCAAGGTTCTGTGCATGGTATATCCATTAGTGAGCTCGAGTTAAGAAAGAGAAAATGGACGCAATGGTGTAGAAATACTACTTTGTCTTGCAATGAGAAGCGCCGAATTAAGCCAGGATAGTAGGTCAGTGTCGGAGAATGTTGTGTAGGATGGGATGGAAATAGCCAGCAGACCAGGGGGGGAGGGGGGTCTATTCCCTGTAGTACTGTGCATACTAGCAGTACGTATACCTACACAGTGGTATATGTGGTAGGTATGCCTTTGGGTGGTGTGGTGCTGCGGCGACATGGGAGACCCTTCCAGATTCTGTGCTGTAGTTACATTTTTCTCAGGCCTGGTTTTGACCGGACCGTGAGGGCACCGGGCTCTTGTTTTACGCCCTGGTCCGCGCCTTTGGACGCAGGATTTAGAAGCAGCCCCTCCTTTAGGGCCACTGAGTCTGAGGCATCGACCCCCCTGGAGGCCCCGTCTCTGGGTCTCTGGGGGTTCCTCGTTCAGTCCCGCCATCTCAGCCCAATAGCTGCCTGCCCCTCCACCTCTTCGCTTCGCTTCCCTTCCGTCCCCCCTCCCCCTCCCCCTCCTCTCTACTTTCTCTCGAACGCCCTCCTTCGATTCTCTCCCATTCTCCCGGGCACTTCCCTCCTCACTAATACACCCCCAACTGGTGTAGCTACTTCGTTCCATACAAAAGAAACTAACAGCTGCCCAACCCATAGCTGGTGTGATCCACCAGCCTCCCAATAAATCGTTCCTCACTACGTACTACCTTACACCAGGTGCGGATACATATGTACACCACTTAAAGCCCGTCACCACCCCTCCTCCGTCATCATCGCACATTTCTTTGTTCAAAGCCCCGGGCCCGCAACTGTCTATAGCGAGTCGTTTTCGCCGTTTGAAATTCGTCTGCCGTTTCCGAAAACAGCGTCGTTAGCACTTCGCTTCCATCGCATCTAGCGATGTCTGGAGTTTACAGAGAGTCGACCCGCTTCTACCGGGACCGAGCCGGCTCCTCTTCGTCTGATGAAGGCGGATACAAGACTACTACCGTCCGCCGTTACAAAGTGGCTCCGAAAGGCGTCGAGAGAGTCGAGAGGATCGAGCGCGAGCGAGTCGAGATCGAGGAAGATGATCGCCGATCCCGATACTCGGGCTACCCGCTGCGCACCTCGGGCGAATACCCCTTTGCCCCGGAACGTCCGCGCTCCGCCTTCGATTCCCGGAGCCAGGTGATTGAGCGTGAGCGCGAGGTCGACCCCTACAGATCCGAATCCCGTAGCATCTTTTACGAAAAGGACTACGAACGTGAACGCGGCCGCTTCGACGAATCCCGCAGCGTTGTCGAAATTGAGCGCGACCGCGACTGGGACCGCCGCTCGAGAGGCCCCTGGGACCATCACCACCACCATCACCATGACGACACCGAAGTTATAGTCGACAAGCGCATAGAGCGTCGTGAGGACGGCGACGTCAAGATTGAGAAGCGCATCGAGGAGCACCGGGACGACTATGGCGGAGCAGAAGTCGAGAAGTACCGTAAGGAGACTGAATATTACTCTCCCATCAGCCCCCCGCCCATTCCCCAGCCTGTCATCATCCGGCAACAAGCACCCGAGCCCCAGAAGATCATTGTCCAGGAGGCCCCTCCCCCAGCTCCCATTATTGTTCCTCGCCAGGAACCTGGCATCGTTGTCCTGAGAGAGCGCGAACAACCCCGTGAAGTTGTCCGCCGCGAGCCCCGTGAGGATGAGTTCTATTACCGTCGTGAGACGAAGGCCGTCGGACCCCACCGTCGGGATGAGCGTGAGTATTACTACGACCGCCGAGGACGTGGCCGCGATTACGTCAGTGATGATGAGGACTATCATTACAAGAGAACTGTCATTCGACGTGAGAGAAGCAATAGCTCTGATCACCACCACAAGCGCCATCTCGCGGAGGGTGCCCTTGCTGGAGCTGGTATTGCCGCCCTTGCCGCAAGCAGGAGGGACAGCAACGGTGAGCTCCCCAGCAACCGAGGAAGCAAAGTTCTCGCTGGCGCCGCACTCGGAGGTCTGGGCACTGAGATCATCCGGCGCGCGCGCAGCGCATACGAAGAGAACTACCGGGATGACTACTATGATGATCGTCGCTCGCGATCGAGATCCCACAGTCGCAGTTCTAGAATCAAGACTGGTCTTGGCATCGCCGCGGCTGCGCTCGCAGTTGCTGGTGCTGCCAAGTACTACCAGAGTAACAAGATCGAGAAGGAAGAGATGAGCCGTGGCCGTGCAAGAAACAGGGGCTACTCCGCGTCCAGCTACTCCTCTCACTCTCGCAGCCGCAGCCGTAGCCGCAAGAGCAAGAGCCGCAGTCGGTCTGTGGCTAAGGCTGCAGCTGCAACCGCTGCCGCCGCCGGTCTGGTGAAGCACTTCCGCAACAAGTCCAAGTCCAAGTCACGAAGCCGGTCGCGATCCAAGTCACGACTCAGGACCGGAGCAGAAATCGCAGCTGCCGGAATAGCCGGTGGCGTCGCCAGCAAAATCTACAAGAACCGCAAGGAGAAGAAAGACCGCGAACTAGACCGCGAGCTGAGTGATGAAGAGTATGAGGAGGAACTTCGGCGGGAGCGGCGAGCACGTCGTCGGTCTCGCAGCAGGTCCCAGGCCCGTTCTCTATATTCCGAGCCGCGCAGCGCTGATCCCGAGCTAGGCTTAGTTGAGTACGGAACTGCACCGCTGCCGTCCGAGCCGCCATACCCGCCAGATGACGGGTACGAGTCTGCAGCGAGAGAGAGGCGACGCCGGAGACACCGGGATGAATACGACGAGCCCGAGCCGGCGACCAAGCGGAGTAAGAGTAGACTGAGGGACATGGCGGCGGCTGCCGTGGGAACAGGAGCCGCTGCTATCGGAATCAAGCAGTACCAGAAGAAGAAGGAGAAGGAAGAGGACGATCGCAGGTCAAGGGAGAGAGATGCAAGACCCCGCTCCCGTGACAGATCGATTTCGCGTGACAGAGAATACAAGTCGTCACGAGACCGAGCTTCCCGAGACCGTGCTTACAGTAGGGACCGCGACCGCAGACGCGGAGACTCCCGAGGCCGTGAGTAGTCTTGAGGTGTAATAGTTGCCATGGCTGACAGCTTTGCAGGATATGAAGACGATGTTCGACCGGAAGGTTACTATGACGACTACAACCGTCCGCCATCTCCGCCACACGCATCCGGCGGCGCGTACTATCCGCCCCCGCCGGCCGGCGCCGCGGGCTTCACTCAGCACCCGAACATCTCGACTGCCAACCTCCGGGATCAGTACCCGCCGTATCCCCAAGACTACCCGCCGGGACCGCCACCGATGGGCCCGTCTCCACCGATGGCCACAGGCGGCGCCGGTGGATATCCCCCGCCCCCGCCTGCGGGAGGTCCTCCCCCGGCAGGCGGCCCGCCGCCGGGGACAAGGTTCGGCCCTGACCATGTGAGTGAAGACATATCTCGTAGCGCCTCACCACAAGATGCCCAGCGAGCCTCCCTGGGTCCTGAGGGTGGGTTGATCTGATCGTTTAATCTCATTTGTCGTTTATCGGGTCTGTGGCTTTGGGCTAACATGTCATAGATGGTCTAAAATGGCGACAACGTGTCAAGCAGTTCCTGCCGCCTGAATCACAGTCCAATACTCGCTCTCAGTCACAACCACCCACGCGGTCTCGATCGCCGTCTCTTTCTTCGGCTTCTAGCGTAGGCGTGGATAGACGACCACAACCGCCACACTCTGCCACGAAATCTGTCACATTTATCCCGTTGTCCCCCAAATCGTCGCAAACTCTGCATAGGCATCATCAAGAACAGGAGCAACATGCAGCGGAAGAGGTAGAGGAGGACAATGAGCCACCTGTTCTGAGCGAAGAGCAGCTGGCAACTCTTCGGCCCGTCCTCAACCGCCGACGCTCATCGTCAGATCCCTCCATGAACCGACCGCTCACCCGTCGCAGACGTGGAATAGAATCTCCTTCTGACTCGGATGGTGAGGTCGAAGTGCTTCCCGACCGTTTCGACGCCCAAGGGCGGCCTCTGGACAGCAGTGGTGCATTAAGATGGCGTCAGGGCAACTTTGACTTTCGACCTCGGGTGGGTAACGGCTGGCACTCGAGCGGATCGTGGGCCGTGGGCGGCACGGACGACGCCGTCGTTCAGCGGCTCGCAACTGACATTGAAGGTATGATTAGCGGACACGTCAGCTGGAAGCACCTATTGAAGGACGTAGTTGGCGTGGTGCAAGAGGTGCAGCACACGGGGGGACAGGGGAGGATAGACGACGGAGACGACGATGACGATGATCATTATAGTCGGCGACGAAGGAGAAGAAGACGAAGCGGATGACGACGATTTCACGACTCTTTTTTCTTAAAACTTCTTATCTCTCTGTCCATTTTCTCATTTCCTTACTTATCTCTTTCCTTGTATTTTTTTTCCTTGTAACGGGGTGGTAACCTATCCTACATGTTTGGAAACTAGAGACACGATATGACGGGAGAAATTCTAACGACTTACGAATCTGCTTCGACAAATGACGAATGAGATGGGTCTGATAGATATCTATGATACAGAATTATTTTTGTAACGGACTTACCACATTATCTTCTTTTGACAGTAAAAAAAAAAGGAAGAAAGAAACGAATCTTCACAGGGTGACAGTGACATGGCAAACACATCTTCAGCACATAGTCTTGCTTCTTCTTCTTCTTCTTCTTCTTCTTTTTTTATTATTTTCGTTTTACAAGTTTTACGGCCGTCTATAATTGTTTTACTCTCTCAATACACAGACACGCACACACACACACACACGTATCGTCTACATCATCATAACTCGTCGTGCACGATAGGCTTCTCCGGCCGCCCGCTGTCCTTGTGCAGATCAACGCCGACCTTGCCTCGCCACTTCTGGAAAACGCTCCAGAGGTCCTTCTCCATCCCGCTCTCCATCTGGTCCGGCAGCACGACCACATAATCCACGTACAGGTTGCCAAACTCCGTCTTGTGGTACACGCTGTCGCCGTCCTCGTGGAAGATGGGCATACCCTCGCCCTTGACCGTCTCGACGTGGCCCGGCTGCACCACCTGTCCTCTTTCTCTTGAAAGTCTCACGACGTGGCCGTCCAGGTGCGTAAGGTTGCGCGTCCACTCTCCCATCCACGCCTCGCGCACGGAGAGCACCTCGGTCCAGTACAAATCGTTGTCCTTGCGGCGGAAGAACGTGCCGTCCACCTTGTCAGGGTTGTCCGTCTCCAGGTCGGGCTCCTTCTCGGCAAGGGTGACGATGAGGTTACCGGCGACATAATCAGGGCTCGCGTCCGCCTCGTTCTCGTATACAATCTGGCTCTCACGTGCGGCGCCGCGGGCGACTGTGAGCTGCACTGCCGTCTGCTTGCGAACAACACGCTCGCCACCGCAGGTGTGGCACTTGTGCTTGATGCTCTGGCCACGACCGCCGCAGGCGTCACACTGCATCTGCACCTGCTGGTACATTCCAGGAGCGAGCTGGTGCTTAACAATTCTCACACCGCGGCCGCCGCACACGTTACAGGTGTCGACCTTGCCGTCGGAGGATCCTGAGCCGCCGCAGTCCTCGCAGATGTGTTGCTTGTCCCACTGGAATTCGGTGTTGATGCCGTTGTAGAAGTCGCGGAGGGCGATGCCGAGGCGCACGTTGACGTCCTGGCCGCGGCGCTGACCGTGTCCGCCAAAGTGGCCGCCGCCGCCGAAGAAGCGGGAAAAGACGTCGAAGGGGTCGTGGCGGTGGAAGCCGCCACCTTGTTGCTGTTGCTTCAGGCCCTCGTGGCCATATTGGTCGTAAATCTTGCGGGTTTCGGGGTCAATAAGAGCTTCATAGGCTTCGGAAACTTCGACGAATTTGTCCTTTGCCGTCTCGTCGCCACTAGAGTTTGTGTTAGTTAATTCGTGCTGCGACTCAGGGGGGGCCAAGGGATGTATGTGCATCGAAGGCAGGGGACGGGGGCGAAACTTACGGGTTCTTATCAGGGTGGTACTTCTTGCTGAGTTTACGGTAGGCCGACTTGATTTCGCGGTCTGAAGCAGACTTGCTAATGCCCAAGAGGTTGTAGTAGTCCTCAGCGCAGAGCGCCAGCTGGACGAAGCATAGGAGCAGCAGCAGCAGCGCTGCCCCTCGGAGGAACATGGTCGCCCCCGTTGGTGTAATTCGACTACTAGTGATGTAGAGCTGAGCAAAAAAAAAATGTTACCGGAATAACACGGCTTTTTTTTGGGCGATGCTGAAAAACTCCCCAAGTCCTAAAGGAGTGACTAAAATGGGGAAGAAGGACTTGTCGTGTATGAGGAGGAATTGGGCGAATACAGAGTAGAAAGAACAGGGTGTAAGAGATATCGAGGGCGCCGCAATCAAGCAGCTACTCAAATTGTAAAGTTCCAACGTGTTAAGAAGGGGAGCTAGGAGGTCCGATAAGACTTGTTATCGGATGAATGCTATTGGGCACTGGCCTTTGACGGTTAGCCCCACCACTGAAGGTGTGGAGCACGACGTTCAGACGACCTGCAGCGTGTGAGAGACACGCCAGGCACGTCAAAGTGGCTAAGCCAAGTTTGACGCCTTTGAATCTTCCCGTCTGCAACACTGACACTGGATTCCAGCTTCAGAGTCGGCCCTGGCTTCACCAACACCAAAGAGCGCCTACGATATTTGAAGCGCGCTTGTTGTTTTTTCTAGTTGAAAGCTCTGCATTGACACCTCCAGCCATGGCGTCGAAGAAGTACGCCTTCCTCCCGATGGAGGACGACGAGGTCGGCCCCACGAAAGTGGTCAAGGAAAAGAAGAAGCACAAGTCGCGCCACCGTGATCGCTCGCATGACAGAGACAGGGACCGCAGTCGTGATCGTGGCGAAAGGACGTCCCGGCGTCGCTCGCGCGAACGATCTCCCGCTCGCCCTTCCAAACAGTACCGTAAAAGAGACACGGACCACGATGACAGGTGGGCGGACGAGGAGCCGCCCTCAGATGACGATGTTGATGGTAACGACGACGAGCCTGATTTCCAAGAGTCGGCGTCGAAGCGCGTCAAGCTCAGCCACGACGACCGCGAACGAGATCGAGACGAAGACTTGTCGGACGGTGCGCGCGAGGAGCTGGAGCGCCAGCGGGATATCGAAGAGCGAGAGGCGTTTGCGAAACGGTTGAAGGATAAGGATGACAAGAGGTCCAAGGGCACAGAGAGCAGGAGGATGCCGGAGGGCTCGGACCGCAAGGCGACGATGGAGGAGCTGAGGATGAAGAGTCGACAGTCGTACCTTGGAAAGAGAGAGGCCGAGAAGCTTGCTCTGCTGCGGAAACAAGTCGCCGAGGAGACGGCGGAACTGAGGAGCGGCGCGCGGCTGTCTGAACGAGAAAAGGCCGAGTTTGCCAAGAACCGTGAAGTCTTGCGGTTGGCGGAGGAGCGACTCAAGATCGACGACCACAAGGACGGGTACTACATACCGGAGGACTACATCACCGAGAAGGGCAAAATCGACAAGAAGAGAAAGGAGGACGCCATGTACAAGAGATACGTGGAAAAGGACGAGTACGGCCAGGAGAAGTTCGTCACAGAGCACGAGGAGTGGGAAAGGGAGCAAGCCACCAAGGCCAAGGCGCAGATTCAGAGGTCCGAGAGGGAAAACGACGACTACTCCTATGTTTTGGATGAGGAGCAGTACATCCAGTGGAATCTGGGGTCAAGTTTGCCAGGCGAGGGCAAGCTGACCAAGGAGCAGCAGTTTTTGGCGGCACAAATTGAGGCCGCCGAGAAGAAGCAACTCTCGATTCAGGAAACGAGAAAGAGTTTGCCCATTTACCAATATCGGGACGACTTCCTCAACGCCATCAACGAGCATCAAATTCTTGTCATTGTTGGAGAGACGGGTTCCGGAAAGACGACACAGTTACCGCAGTACCTTCACGAGGCCGGATACACCAAGAATGGCCTAAAGGTTGGATGTACGCAACCCCGTCGTGTTGCGGCCATGAGTGTCGCGGCGCGTGTGGCGGATGAAGTGGGCGTCAAGGTCGGCCAGGAAGTCGGTTACTCGATTCGTTTCGAGGATAATACCAGCGACAAGACTATCTTGAAGTATATGACTGACGGCATGTTGCTGAGAGAGTTTATGACGGAGCCTGACCTGGCCGGATATTCGGCCATCATGATTGACGAAGCTCACGAGAGAACAGTCCACACAGATATCCTGTTGGCCCTGGTCAAGGATTTGGCAAGGGAACGACCCGACCTCAAGCTGCTCATCTCCTCCGCTACGATGAACGCTGAGAAGTTTGCGGCGTATTTCGACGATGCCCCAATCTACAACATCCCAGGCCGAAGATACCCAGTAGATATCTACTACACACCGGCACCGGAAGCCAACTACCTGGCGGCAGCAATCACCACTGTGTTTCAAATTCACACGACGCAAGGCAAGGGCGATATCCTCGTGTTCCTGACAGGACAGGACGAAATCGACTCCGCTGAGCAGCAGATAGCCGACACGGCGAAAAAGCTAGGGAGCCGCATCAAGGAGCTGGTTATCTGCCCCATTTACGCCAACTTACCCTCCGAACTTCAAGCCAAGATTTTCGAGCCGACGCCCGAAGGCGCCCGCAAAGTCGTCCTGGCCACCAACATCGCCGAGACAAGTTTGACCATCGACGGCATCGTCTACGTCATCGACCCTGGCTTCGTTAAGGAGAATGTCTACAACCCGGCTACGGGCATGGAGAACCTCGTCGTCACGCCCTGCTCACGAGCGTCCGCCAACCAGCGGAGTGGTCGCGCAGGTCGTGTCGGTCCCGGCAAGTGCTTCCGTCTGTACACCAAGTTCGCCTACATGAACGAGATGGACGAGTCCCCGATGCCCGAAATCCAACGTACCAACCTCAACGGCGTGGTGCTGCAACTGAAATCGCTCGGCATCAACGAGCTGCTCGACTTCGAGTTCATGGACCCGCCTCCGACGGAAGCCCTTATCGGCGCCCTCAACAACCTCTTTGCGCTCCAGGCGCTCAACCATAAGGGCGAGCTCACGAAAATGGGCCGACAGATGGCCGAGTTCCCGACGGACCCGATGCTTGCCAAGGCCGTCCTCGCCGCGGACAAGGAGGGCTGCGTGGAAGAAGTGCTCTCCGTCGTGTCCATGCTCAGCGAGGCGTCGGCGCTCTTCTTCCGGCCCAAGGACAAGAAGATTCACGCCGACAGCGCGAGAGCGCGGTTCACCGTCAAGGAGGGCGGCGACCACCTCACACTCCTCAACATCTGGAACCAGTGGGTCGACAGCGATTACTCGCCCATTTGGTCTCGCGAGAACTTCCTCCAGCAGCGCTCCCTCACGCGCGCGCGTGACGTACGAGACCAGCTCGCGAAGCTTTGCGAGCGAGTCGAAGTCACCCCATCAACATGCGGCTCCAGCAACCTACCGCCCATCAAGCGCGCCCTGACGGCGGGCTTCTTCCCCAACGCGGCCCGCCTCCAGCGCAGCGGCGACAGCTACCGCACCGTCAAGAAGAACGCCACAGTCTACGTCCACCCGAGCTCCGTCCTCATGGGCGTCGACCCGCCCGTCAAGATGCTCGTATACTTTGAGCTCGTCCAGACGACCAAGGAGTACATGCGCAGCTGCATGCCCATCGAACCCAAATGGCTCGCGGAGCTGGCGCCTCACTTTTACAAAAAGGGCGACGTCGACGCGATGGAGGAGAAGAAGATGCCCAAGAGCCGAAATTATGATCGGTGAAGCTTGTTAGGGTGTTTTTGTTTGACGGACGGACGTAGCGATTTACTTACCAGCCAGGGGGCGTTGTTTTATGAAAAAAGGTAGAAAGACGGAGGAGAAGTGGTTACCAAAATTTGAATCAATAAATGACGTTTGATGTACCTTTGCCATTCCCCCCTCTCCTCTCGCTCTGCAGGTGAATCGTTCCCAAGCCAAGCCATGTCGAGTTCGGCCCAAGCCCGTTCCGTCAATTCACACACACACACAACTCAGGCGCCTTCTTCACCGACGCCACGCCTCGTTCTTCACTGTTCCCCCCGTCCCTCCTTTTCTCATTCTCATTTTCATCCTCGGTGGAAGGGGAAAAAAAAAAAAAAAAAGCCCCACGTCGATAATGGCGTCAAACTTCCCACGGCCCGATCTACGAGGCTTTCCGCCATGGCTGCCCCTTCACCATCACAGGTTTGCTTACTTACCCAGCAGCCAAGACGTTGGAGAGAGTAGCTTCGGTCTTCCCACAGACAGAGAGTTAGCCGTCCCCTCCCCCCCCCCCCCCCCCCCCCTGGGCCACGCCCAAATGGGGGGGGGGGGGGGGGGGGGGTATGTATTTTCCTGCCCTCCCACGCTGCAATCCTTCAACAAACAGCCTAAAGAGGTGTGCCGTTGTAATCCACGCTAGAAAAAAACGACATCACATTCTTGGCATAAAAAAAAAAAAAAAGGGCAAAGACGTCATGGGACCAAATCATTCTCACTATTAGAATTTGATTTGGGTTCCTTGCTTTTTTCTCCTCTTCTCGCGATTCCTTTCAGCCCAAGTCTGAATATAAACTACAATCTTTGATTTCCATTCGCTTTGCCATAGAGGGGGTGGCTGTTTAACTAAAACAATAACCTCGCAATTCAAAAAAAAAGTCCAAATAACCCGCTTAGGATCAAAAAATAATTCCCATCCATCCCAAGTCCCGCTACGCCAGCCACACGTACATACTTCAGCAGTAGCAACAAGACCTTTATCTTTGTTTGGCCCAACTCCAAAACTTCCCTTCGTAAGAAGTGAAAGAAAAGAAAAGAAAAAAAAGCAGGTAGCAACTAGCAAATAGCAAGTTAACAGTATCCCCTCCTTGGTAATCCCATCGAGACAACCTGGTGTATAATACGGCTTCTCATTCGAAAGCTGTTCGTGCGAAAAGAAGAGTTTGTGAAAGCGAGTAAAAAAGTAAAATCCGCAATAGAACTTCCACTTTGGTATCAATGGTTTCTCCGTTTGCCTCCGACTCCGTACCAGTAAATCTGCAGCATTTTGCTACGCTTGATAATCCTTTGTTTTTTCAAAAAGGTGGTGCATCTCAGCGTGACGGTCCCTCAATCGGGCTCGTGGGCAAGCTTCGGACCCCGCTAAGATCCGTGCTTGCCGTGCGCCTGAGCGCTTGCGACATCGTCTCAATGTTGAGGTCGCCACTCATGTTCAGGTTGTGATGCGACGAAATGGGGCTGCCGATGGGCTTCCGGACCGGGGACATTTCCAGTCCCTTGACGGAGCCGGGGTTACTCGTCGGTGGGGACGTGGCCGGCTGAGACGATACGGGCGAACGGATAGGGGATGGCGAGCGAGCGTTAACCGACGATAGAGAGGTCAAGCCTGCGACATGGATCGAATCCCGGGAACCGGCTGCGCCGGCGTGTCCGCCATGTTCGGCCTGTACAACGTCGGCGAAAGAGATGAAACTCAGTCTGCGCACGTCGGCGTTCTCGAGCGAATTGTAATTTGATGCATCATCGCGATCGGCGAATGCGCGCAGCTCCTCCGTCCACGAGGCGGACATGGAATCGGGGTGGTGCGGGGTGCCGTTGACACCAGTCACGGCAGCAGCCGCAGGCTGGTGCTGGGCGTGTGTGACAATCTCAACGCTGTCTGGGTCGAGATGGTCGTCGGTAATGGCCTCTGATGAGGCGTCCAAGACGGGCGGGATGTGGTTCTCAGTCTGGATGTGCGACGGGATGGCGGGCGATTGCGGCTTGATTGACATATTATCGACATCTCGCTCAAAAATCTGGGAGCCGGCAGGGGAGGGCAGGCGCGGAGAGCCAGAAATGCCACGACCTGGCGACGATGGGTGCACGGTGGTAGATCTCGCGGAGGCCCTGGAGGGATCCCTTGACAAGGAGGGATTGCTGGTGACGGTCGAAGGCTGAGGCTTGGCGGTTGCAGACGTTGACGATTTGCTTGAGGCGTTCGAATCCTCCTTCTTCTTGCCCAGTCCGAACAAGCCCTTCACCTTGCTCTTGACATCCTTCTTGTTGGAATCCGTGTCGGGCTCATTATAGCTCGAAGGGCGAGGTGTCGCATCACCACCTATTGCGCTGACGGCGGCGGCAGCGACAGGATTCTGAAGCGAGATGTTGGCGCCAGTGGCCGGGGTTGGCTCCGCTAGACTCAGGCTCATGGTGAGATGGATGTAAGGTTTTCTGCCGTTTGGCGATGTGTGCAGTGGTAGCGTGGGTGTGTATGTGTTGTTTTGTTGGTTCAATGTCGTGCAGTTTGGTTTGCTTGTAGCATAAAGGTTTCCGTAGCGAAAAGTGCCAAAAAGTCGATGAGATTGTGTTCCAAGCAGGGACCCTGACGTTTTTTGACGTTATTATGTAGGCCGGGAGAAGAGGGGAGAACAGGAACTGCTTTTTGGGAAAACAGGTGGTGGTGGGGGGACAAATAGATTGGCTTGGTGACCCTGTGACCCTGACGTCGATTCCCGCGATCCGCCCTTTTTGGGTCGAGTACAAGGGAAGGGGGAAAGTGGAAGGGGTTCTGGTTTTGGGGCGTGTGTGTCTGCAAGTAGAGTGCGTGCGGTAAATTGTGGCAGGAGGTGTAGTACAGGATACAAAGTACCGGCGGTAACAGCAAGAACAAGGCTGGTGACGAACCCCTCACCCCTCAACAAGGTACAGAACGTAGTAGTGCTCGGTAGACAACGTCTGGACGACAGACAACCTAACGCTTGGAGACGGGGGCGGATGATATTATCGAGATGGACATACCAGAAGGGCGTTGAAGAATGAGGTCGAAAAAAGGGCCGAGACTGGAGTGGCCTGCAATGGACGCAGCTCTCCTAGGTGCGTGCAGGCAGGCTTGGAATTGCAAGAGGACTAGCCGATGGAGGAGAATGGGATGATTTACACAGGCGTTTTGTCGGTTGCTGGACGGACGGACTGGTGAAGGAACCCCAAGTCAGGTGGGTGTCACTCGTCGTTGTGCCGTTTCTGGCGTCTTCTGTCTCTGTCTCTATGTCTTGTGTGTCTCTGGACGCTCGCCTGTTCGTCTCTTTCTGGATGGATGGTGGTTGCTTCGCCTCGAAAAGGGTCTTGGGTAAGACGAGTGGTGAGTGACAGGATGAAGAGGGGCCTAAGCCGCTAGGTAGCTAGTAGTAGCTGGCCCAAAAATTACTGTCGATGATTGACAAACGCCCTGGAAATTCGCGCGCTTCCTCCTTGCAGGTACTAGATTGCCCAAGTTGGAAACCGTGTGACGCAACAATGGGAGACGAGGCAGTCAGATTGGCGGTTGAAGCTTGCTTGCCCCTGCTTGTAGCATGTGCCTTGTGGTTGACGGGGTGTACTGATGGACGGGCCCAAGTCTAGGCTGCTGTGGTTGCTGTGCCTTGCTGGTGACAGTATGAGTGGTGGTCGGCGGTCGGTGTTGTTGGTGGTTGGTTGGTGGAGTGAGTTCCTCTTTTTTTTGGTCCCCAACCAGATGAGTGGATGAAAATAGTATGCGAGGTCACAGGGGGTGTCGGCTGTTCACCAAGGCAGACAAGCAGGAGTGCGGATGATGCTGTCTGTTTGTATGTGATATAGGATGGGGAGAGCAACAAATGACTGATAAATGGCGAGAGTTGTCCGGAAGCAGGGAGAAGAAACGGACGGATAGACTGGGGGGAAAGGGTAGGAGGAAGTGGGAAGAAGAGAGAGACACGAGCGAGCTATTATTTCAGGCAGGAGCTTATGATCGGTCGGGCTATTCCTGGTGGTAGTTTTCTTTATTTTTCTTTATCATGTTTTTTTGGGTTGAATTTTTATTATGTTAATTCTTTCTGCCCCCTTCTCTCTACATACATCAGTGGAAAGTACTAGATGTTCCTGCTAAGAGGAAGCAAGTACACGGGTGCTGCCACTAGGGTCATCGTCCGCTAGTACAGTCATGTCACCCGTCAACACACCCTGGCAGCCCCGTCAGCTTGTGAAAGGGGGGAACCGTCACGCCCCCCGTAATATTGTTTAGAGTTTGGGCATTGACGTGATGCGCCAAAAAGTGACATGGCCGCCACTGTAAACCGTCATACTCTCGCCAAGTAAACGAAGACTATACTTTCTTCGAGTACACAACCTAGTAGCCTCATCAAGTATCCCCCCCTTCTCGGATCATCACAGATACCACCGATACGACAGATACCCGTCCAAAGTGTCCGCATCCAAGGCCCAAAAATCTCCTGAGCGCGAGTTGTCGTCCCGTAGCCCAGGCACCTCATCTCGCCGCCCAAGCTTAGCGTTTTGGATGCAGCCGAATGCCAGATGGTCATCCTTCGTTAGTCACGTCCCTTTTTGCCGTTGGTCCCGGGCAGCTGCACGACGGCCTGTGCTTTTTATTTTTATTTTTTAAGCTGATCTATCATGTAGCTAGCTGTCACTACGGAGTATACTGGGTTACCATAATACAATGAATGTATATACTCCATCACGACCTCGTCAGGTACAAACACATGAAGCCGTTGCTGGGGAGTGCCGATCTGGATCTATTCACTATCTGCTTTCTTTTTTTGCTATTTCTGTTCACAGCCTTCACGGAATTTACAAGTTCAGCGAATGGATACGCGGGGAAGAAACCTCGACTCCCTGAGCCACTGGGCGCGGACAGAATCCAGGTAAATGCGTGGGCTGACTGTCCGTGTGCTCACCGGCCGCAATCTGTCTGGAACGCGTTCCCCCGTCGCAGTTGCTTTTACCCCCCAACGCGTCATCGGTCTGCATCCCTCTATATTGGATTTGTTCTTCTTACCATGAAACCTCATTTCCTTTTTTTTTTTTTTTTTTTCACGGTCTCTCCCCCCTCGCCGGTATGATCAGCTCTTGACTCTTCTGCTGTCTTGCCCCATTCGGCCGACTATCGCCAAGTCACAGTCGCTAGCTCGCCTAACATCTGGAACCCCAGGACCCCTCTTTTTGGCTACTTTTAATTATGCGGACGGTACTCAGAGATTCAATGTCTTAGACCAGCGAGCGCCGCCCTGTCTTCTTTCGTCGGGCTTCCATTGTGTATCCCCTCTTCCCCCCCCGTCTGCATTATCGAGCCAATCCCGGTTCATGAAAAACGTTTCCGTTGAGTCGGTGATTGGGTACATTGCATAACGATCCCAAGGGTAAGACAAGAAAAAGTTGCCGGAATGGCGACTGGCTGTTGCTGGCTGTTGACTCGCGCATACATCTCTTGAGCAACCGAGTTGCGTTGCGCCGGACTTCTTGCTCTCCACAAGGCTCCCTGAACGAGGGGGACCTGGGAGATGATGTGGCCGTCGAACCGCCCAACCAACCCCGGCCTAAAGTAAACTGCCATCAACCCCAGACCCTTTTTTACAGAGGAGATATTCTGGAGCAGAGTAAAGTAACGGCCCCGTAAAACGAACCTTCCATCGAATAAACGACGCAGAAGGGCCTTCCTTGTTCAGACGAAAAAGGCCGCGACCATAAACAAATCAACTTCCATCTTGGCTCTGCCAACTTCGAGCCTACAATGCCATATCTTCCCTGTTTTCTCCTCTAACATCCTTTCCTACTTGGGCTTTACCGCTTCACCTCTTCGTCAGTCTCGCCCTGTCCATTGTGTCCCCACGGGCATCAACTAGTCAGCCCGTCTCCATACGCAGCAACGGAACAATTTAAAATAAGGCGGTCGGTTTGGGAAAATGTTACGTCGAATGCCGCCCGACGATGCAATGACGAACCCCTCCTAAACGGACCCTCCGAGGGGCAAAAGTGCAGTCACGCCCACTCGGCGAATCCCTGTGTCAATCGGGCTCCCGCCTCGCCTTGATTGGCGCCCTACGAGGCATATCACTTTTGTCCGCATCCGCATGAACAATGCCATGGCACAACGTCGAAATATGGATTCAACTACTCCGTATTATCCATCAATTTCCGTTGGGAACTTTTGGAATGCGCAGTTCGGAGGCTTGTCGCATTCAAGCAGCCCGGAAAGCCCAACGCCCAAAATGAAAGCAGGCAAAACGATAGATGGTAACTCTCCAGGATTCGGCCTTACCGCACGAAACAGCCTAGCAACGGGTAAGAATGCTTTCCCAAAGATGGAAATTCACGAGTGAAAACGGTGATATCAAAGTGCCCGGGTGTGCACTTTGCCACGCCGCGGCCGCCAATGCGCTCTCACGATAAGACTTGGCAGAGTTTGAAACATGCGTGGAACTTGACTTGATTCTGCTCTATTTGAATTTTTTAGACTCTGGTCCTGACTTCGGATTTTGATACTTTTCAGATTCGAGGAGGGGAAATGAGCGAAAGCTGTCTCGCTGATCAGGGGTTGGGCTAGATGGACCGCAGACGTCACCAGCAAGAGCTGTGTTTAGCTGGGCCACGCAACAAGCCAAGGTAAGGGAACCTTGGTCAGGACCCACCATCTCGGATCCAGCCGTGCATCGGCAATGCATGATCCACGTGCTACATCATGTGATTTGATCTATCGTCTTATCTAAGCAAAGTGCTCGTCGCCTAAGGTACAAGGCAGATACACTTTCCATTACCTAAGCATGTTCGGCTCCCTTTCGGGACAGCTCACCCCATACTCCTTACATAATCAAAATTTCCAATGGGCTCCGAAAAACTTCAATGTCCAGATCACCTCAGGGTCTGGCTGCACAGCTCCCATAGCACGCGACGACAAACCCCAATCCCCCCAACTCGCCGGCACCCGTCCCGAGCTTCAATCCGCCCCAACGCCGCCTCCGCGATCTCCCTCCGAAGCGACGCTGGCCGTGCTATCACACCTCGCCTACAATTCAATTGGGCCCATCTTTAGTCTCCTGACCCGTCACCTCTACACAAACACGCGACCATGGAGGCAAGGACATTAGCCAGGCCAGCAACCACGCTGGCCAGCCTCCTCCGCTCCCAGACCTCCGTCACCCTCGCCGCTGTGCCCCGAAGAGGCCACAAGACGACCACCCGCACAAAGAAGGCCCTCAACATCGGGCCCCATCCCGACTTCCTCCCTTCCTCGTCAGGCGATGCCATCATCGTCAACCCGCCCTCCGCCGCGCCCTCCGTCTTCCACACCCCTTTCAAGTTCCTGCCCTCAACCGATCCCCGCCGCAGGGCGAACCTCTCGTCGCTCTTCGCCAACGCCTCGTCGTCCTCCAAGGCCGCCGCGGCGCCGAAGCTCCCTCCCGCCCTCAACGTGCCCTCCCGCGGCGCCAACCCCCGTTACCACCTCACCCGTGACGACGTCGCCGAAATCCGCCGCCTCCGCGCAGAGGACCCCGTCCAGTGGAGCGTCGGCGCCCTCGCCCGCAAGTTCGACTGCTCCGAGACCTTCATCACCATCTGCACGCCCGCGCCCCGCGAGCACAAGGAGCGCATCGCCCGCAAGCTCGAGGCCGTCAAGGGCCGCTGGGGTTCTATCCGCACCAAGGCCCGCGAGGACCGCACCCGTCGCAAGGAGATGCTCTTCCGCGGCGAGTTGTAAATGGAAAGACTTTTTTTTTTTTCTATTCCATCTTTTCACTCGAAACATATCTCGGAAAGCTTTGGCTCTTTTTTTTTCCGTCTTCTTTTTCTCGGGCTTGCCGTAGCATAAACCTGAAAAGACGCTACGGTTGGCCGTGTACGGAGGAAGGATGATGAAGCGGGCGGCGGATAAAAAGGGCTTGTCTGTACCAACATTGGGGACAATAAAAAGAAACCAAAAAACGGAGGTGCCTATTTCTCTGTACCATCACGTCGTAAAAATCGGGGGTGGGAGATTGGAGTATTTATTTCACTCCGAAGAAGGGGGACAAATGTCATGAGGAAGACTGTAGGATATAAGAGAGAAGACAAAAGGAGTGAGCGATAGAGAGAGAGAGGTCTTCTCATCGCGGATGATGAGCGAAAAACAAACCCCAACCAACAATCTGTACAATGAGTATAAATCAAAAATTCCCATAGAAAAAAAACTCGTGTATAATTTTCTTTTATTTTTCTTCTTGTATCTGTACTTCCTACGTTCGCCATTACGTTTTCCAGTGACGCCTTTTTTTTCTTTTTTGGTTATACTACCCAAAAGTGCAAGAGAATTCAAAAGCTTTCTCTGGCACCGCGACGTCACTTCTAATCATGAACAAAATAATAACTAGTCGCAGCCAACCCTCTCAACGAGTCTTTAAGGAGGGGAGTTGTGTATATTCCTCTCTGGCCTCCCCTTTTACTTTACCTCCTCTTGCATGCTCATATCCATGCCCATTCGAGTTCATGTCCCTACTGCAGTGTGTATCCTCGCCGGTGTGGAAGCCGGCTATATGAGCCTATGTGAAAAAAAGGAGAAAATAAAAAAATAAAATAAAAATAAAACAACCCAAACCAAGGCCATCAATGTCATTATACCATTATAGTGAAAACTTCATGTCCAAAATCAACGCCTTCAAAGCTGCTGCATCTTCACGCCAGCCTTCTCTAGATCATCCTTTCCGGGAATGACCCTCCAGCACCAACCACACCAATTCCTCCGGAGGCCATTAACCTCTCTGGCAAGAATCTTGTGGTGGCTCTTCTCGTCGTCCCACTCGGGCACGCACGCGCCAACACTCACCATTCTCACGAGCTTGGTCTTGACCACGCCCCCGATGCCCTCTATTTCATGCCTCTCGTAGCCGGGGCCAAGCTGTGGACTCGGCGTCCGCTCATAGCGCACGGTATCGAGATGCACCTCGTCCGTGGCAGTCCACAACCCAGCCCCGCTAACGGCCGCGTCCTCTGCATCACAGTCTGTCTCATTCTCACGCTCCTTGGCGCCGACGCATGACTCCTCACGGCCGCAAATTACACCGCGGTCGCCCTCGCCGATGCCCGTACCCAAGCCACCGAGGACTTCACCGTAGTGAGCGCGCCATTTCCAGATGCTTTTGATACCGTTAGTAACGATTTGATTCGTGGAGGCCACAAGAACGGAAAGAGGCGACAAGGGTTACATGAACATACCGCTGATAGTCCTGATCGGCAGCGCGCATGCTCCGCCCGCATGGCTGGCAAAGCCATACACCATCAATGTCACACCTGCAGACCTCCCGTCGTACCGCGTCGTCGAGAAGCGAAGTTGCAGGGTCAAGCGCAGGGTTTACCAATAAGGCGATTGGAGCCTTGGTACATGGCTGGCACAGCCGACGATGGCGCTCACGGAGAGCCACCTGGGCCGGAGGTTTGATAGCGCAATTCTGTTTGCAAGGGTCAGCGATCAATTGTTCTTTGTGTAGTCTTCTCGGTTCCCCCAGAGCCAGTGCCGCACGTCCTTGGAGGAGAGTGGTTTTTGGCCACCCCTCTTCACACCAGTAGGGAAGCCGCTCTCGAAGAGAGGGCCAAGGACATGCGGCATGACATAGGACGGCATACCCTGCACACAACGGTCCCGCACCTGCGGCACCCCGTCACCAGGTCCCGGGCACAGCTGCCGCTCTTGCCATTGTAACTCCGGCCATCTTCCATGTAGTACCAGTTGCTCGCCCTCGCACGAAAGCGGAAGGTGGGCTCTGGGTCGACGGGTGCGCCCTCGTTAGAGCAGTGTAGCGTCGAGGAGAGGAGGATGTTGCGGTATTGTAGGAGACCTTGGCGGACCAGACGCGAGGTGCGTGCCAAGCTGTCAAGGCTGTTGAGATCGATGTGTTGCGCGATGGCCATGACAATACTGTAGACGCTTCCATATCAGACATTATTCGCAATTGGATTGGGGACGGAAGATGATCTCACGGGTAACAGCCAAGAGCCTCTGTAGCAGCACTCTGGAAAGTCGGGGTAGGCTCCGGCTCTGGCTCTGGCACATGGGCCAGAGGTAAGATTGGAGCTGGAGCTGGAGCTACTACGGCAGCCATTGTCGGTTTATGGAACTCACGGCGGAAGTCGTAGTGTCGTGATTCAAGGTTATCCGTTACAAAGGCGGCTGCGGCTGCTAAGCGACGGGCCTCAAGGACATGGAGAGGTTCGTCGTCCTCTTCGAGATCAACAAAGACGACCATGCTGGGCTATGGCCCCGGGCTGGTGGTATATGACTGATTGGGACGCACGAGCAATGCTCGAGCTTGCTTTGCCGCCGATCTATTCTCGGTTTCTGATACCCGAGCCGAGCTGGCTGAGCTGAGTGTGATGGCGTGGGATAGGAGGGGTGGGGTTTGAGATTACCCCGATGCCGCAAGCTGCGAAGTGTTCCCAATCGGGAGGTGGAAATGATGACGCAAGGGAGATCTTGGATAGACGCGGTGGGGATATAAAAAGAATAGGAAAAAAAGCATAGACACAGTAAACTAGAACACGAAGTACGGAATACACAGCACTACAATAGTAAATCCGCAATGTTCGGGTCCATCGCAAGTCGACAAGTAGTCGATGGAACACAGGACACTGAGAGATTAGTGAGTGATGGAAGGATGATGTTCGATCCTGCCGGCAGGGGTGTTTGGGAGAAAGAGAGAGAGAGATACGCCAGAGAGCCCGGGAGGGGAGCACGCAGACGCGCCAAATTGGAAGGTCCAGGCCCAAATCGGATCAGATTAGATCAGCTCACCTCAGCAATGGCCAACCTGAGACCTTGCGCAAAAGCACAGTTGGTAGCTGCAGCGCACAGTGAACCGGCCACCAGTACCTCAACTGATTAGCTTCCTGCCACTGGCCACGATAGTGTGTACTCGAGCACAATACCTTATAACGCGGTTGGAACTACGTTGAGGTACCATTGCAGTGCCATCACTATGAGAAATATACCAGAGCTTCTCCTCTCTCTCCTCTCCCTCTCCAAGCTCAAAACATACGCATTGGGAATGGCGACATGCAACTTTCCTAGAGTCCGTTCCTTACTAGCGCCGTCCACCTCAGTGGCCCTGTGACCCCGAGCTTGGGTCACCAGGACGTAGGTGCATTTGCTCCCCCAACGCGCCTGTGCTCTGTTGCTCTCAACCCCCCAACCGAGAACCGACACTGTGCCAGGCCCCATTGCGTGCTCTTCCTTGGCGGCGGGGTCGCCCCCGAAAGCCGGAGACGGGACACCCCACCCCGAGCCTTCGACCGCCGAGCCGTCTTCGGTAATCATGCGGCCTCCATTTCTTTTAGCTAATATTACCGATATCCCGAGAAGTAATATATATATTCATCACGCAACGCGACGCTACGCGGGGTTTTCTGCATTAATTCCCATGACACGTCAAGATTTTTTTCTTAATTTTCCTGGGGAATGACCCCTGATTTTGCTTCCTGCAGAAGTGTTCCCCGGCCACACCTAAAATGTTGGTTTCAACCTGGTCTTAGCAGGTCCGTATTCCGGCGGTCTAGAACCGATGCTGCACCGGCCCGGTAGAATTTTGAACCTGAAGACGCCATATCCCCATTCTATATAAAGCCAATTCAACTGCAAACTTGAACCTAGATTCGTGAACAACATTCAACATCATCGTCTATGACTTTCATTTCCCTTCCAAAAGAGCACTATTAAAGGGTCGACGTCGAATTCTTATTCATAGATGCCAGCTATCATACACATCTCTCGAGATGATCTCCTGATACCATAAAAGTATCATCAATTGCAATTGGCTTCACCGCCGTCGCCTCTGCCTTAAGTTCAAATAATTCGACGGCGGTGTTAGGTTGATAAGATAGTTAAATTTGGTCAAATGGTGTCAACACCGTAAAAAAACAGGTTGTCGATAACTCAGGCACCGAAGTAAACAAGTAAGCACGGTCACTAAGACGATCTTCAAGGCCAGTAGGTCACCAGAAGTAGAAACAAGCCCGACCAATGCGGCACTACCTAGTGAAGCATCTTTCGAGCCTATGCTTGTTCAAAAGTTGAACCAGCTAGGACAGCTTATCCTCAGATGGGGCAATAGCCTCACCTTGTATTATTCATTTCCCTAATGACTGGACATTCCGGTCTTGGACATGTCGCCAGATTCGCCCACAAACTAGTGTGACATTGTCGAAAGTGGTACAGAAAGAGGAGGTTGGAAACGTTGCCATGTCCCACTACATACCGAGACTTCCACACCCTTCAGGCAACTTCATAAAATGATGTGCTGCAAAAGTTTTCCAGACTGCCCCGCCCTACTGTGACCGGCCCTATCACATAACACGAAGGAAGCTTATGGCCGAGCGGGATCGGCGAAATCGCTGCTCACATTCAAGCGACCATGATGACGGTGTCGAGAGTGAGAAAAGTAACTTATAGACTTCCAGAATATGCATAGTAGCTAGCCGTCTACTTACGGCCAAACTACAAGTATCATCAGGTCTTATATCGCGCTTAGGTGTTGCACACGGCCTTAGGATGTCGTGAATCTTCTTCAAGCAAGCGCGATCATGCTCGTATCAAGGAAAGGAACCGGGTCACATAAGTGGAAAAGATTTAGCTCAGGCTGCTTCTGGTCTATTGATCACATGAACTATGGCAAGGCCCGAGCTGTGAGATCAATATCGGTGGCTTAGCATGCATGTTATCCTCCCCCGACTGACATGAACACCATGACAGGCTCAGAGAGAATACCAGGCAAATGGTGAAAATCAGTATGTCGCCGATCGCAACCTTTCACCGGTTCTGATTTTCTCAAACGTGGGAGTAGACTCTCGCTCAACTTTATCGACTCCAATATCGCACCGGGCTGGAAGAAACTTGTCACTCAAACGTACACCTCATGGCAATTTGTCAACATCGCTCATTGTGGTGTGTATGGTGGTTTACATTAGGTGATCATTTGAGACGACAAACATTGTGCAGGAATTCTGGCTCTTTGAGGAGCATACCTATCGGTTGTATGGCTCTGGCTTGCTAAACCACCGCAAAAAAGGCAAAAGAGAAACTCCTCGACGGGGAATTGAACCCCGGTCCCCGGCGAATCGTTAAATGACAAGCCGATATCCTCACCACTAGACTATCGAGGATAGTGGATCGCGTTTTGCGTTGTGACTTGCGGCCTGCGCAGAGCTCATGCAGGACCCGCAGGTTGCAGTGGAGAACGGTCTGTCTGAGCACATCGTGTAAGTCGGGATGAGAAGATTGAATAGCCAATATAGTTATCAAAAACACACTAAAGAATCCAAAAAAAAAAAAGGGGGTAACATTATTATCAAGATTGTTTTACGCATCTTTGTCATCACCTGCAACCAGAGTCGGATAATAGTACGTGGTGGAGGAAGTAGCATCATTATAGATATGATTTTAAGCATAGAGTTCTAATTGTCTACCTGACAAATTATTTTCCTGAGCTAGACTGAGATGTTCACGGAAGTCTTTCTGTGACTCTGTTTCTCTTTACGTTCTCATAAGGACTCACTCGCACAGCAGCAGCTTTCAGACCAGCCTCTAACGCCTCTGATTCAGGAGTCGAGACTGAAATAGAAAAGGATCATCAACTGAGCTCTCTACCAGAAGAGCTCTCCGTCTGTTAGGTGCTAGTATTGGCCCTTGGAGACTTATTTCTAGTGTTTAGACACGTAAGCGGTTAAGGGATGACCTAGCAGAGGCGAGGCAACTCACGGCATTTCGTGCTGGCTCGGGATACCGCTCAGCAAAACAGTCATGAATCTCCGTTTAACTTACTTCCAACGTAAATAGCTCACATTCACTGTAAAACCCATTCTAATGAGTCAATCGTTTGAGTTTTAGAATCATCGAGAGGCAGTGTTATCTAAACTTACTCAAACAGCACCCAGACAACATGGTTGATGTTCGAACTGCTAATGAGTGTAAAACAGTCTACACGATGAACCACTTTTATCAAACCAGCCATCGGATCATGGGTCTAGTCTGGTATCTCTCAGCGACTAAATTTGCGATTCGGGTTCGCCAGTGTGTATCCACGGTTCCTCTTCCAGCGGGTGGGCTTTTCCGTAACAGCCCGTCGTGAGCGCAGTCTAGCTGCGCCCGCCGCTGGCAGGGGATGCCATGTCTATCTCTCACCACACGAAGGCTCAAATGTCACCCTGAGAGAATGGAGGCAGTCTTACACGACTTGAATGAGCTGAAGTGACTGATCAGCTCATTGCCAGGCTCTTACACAGGCTCTTACAGAACATCTCACCCTCAGATACTTGGCGAGACGAGCGATTTCCAGTCACCGACTGTGGCTTGTATTAGACTTGAATCTGACGAGTGACAGAATACTAGATGCCGCATGTCTATGATCCCATCCAATTGCCATTGGTCTCTAATGACGTGTTGGGTGGAACGGGGAGGGATGGGTGATGCAATTGAAGCCGGCTGTGCCATTCAAAATCCCCTCACCTATCCGCAACTCCGGATCCTGTGATTCTAGACCCGATCGACCGTGGGCGCAGCCTTACCCTGACCCTTAGTTCATGCTGTTTCTCTCCAAACACCCCGAGTAGTGGTAACAGCGTGAAGTCTGGGGAGCGTAAGAGTATGGAACCCGAGGGTGGCTTCCCTGCTAAGTTGGTAGCCTCGACGCTGATCTCAGGGTCTAGACAACGTCTCGTGGTGTTAAATCTGACAGTGGCTGTCGCATGACGTTTGGACTAGGCGCCACTGCTCGTTTCCACAAGCTTGGGTGAAAACGACACATGAGGGGGAGACCTTTTCGAGGCGGTGCTCCCCCGTTACACCATCAGTTTAGTCTGTTTGTCATGGATGCTGCTATTCGCTGCTACTGCTGCTGATATTGAACAGGGAATCTGCAAGTTCAAACGTAGCAGAGTTTCTCCGAAGCTCCAGTGTGGTTCATCCAAGCTATGCGGAAGATCTTGGCTAGGGACACCTAGGCCTAGCGCTGGCGGTCGTGGCGCGGACTTGCCGGCAAGACAGGAGATGACATGAGACCCAGCATCTGTGACCTATGCTACGCTCTGTGTCATTCACACTCTATAGTTTCGGTCTGTCAGGAGATTGGGCAACGACTTTATGGGGAAAGAATGTAGTATCAAAGAAAAGCCGTTAGGTTTTGCCTTATGCAAGCACTTCTATGACTAGACAACTTGACAGGTTGCAGAACGATCGAACTACCGAATTTGGGTAGATCAGAGAACGACTGCTCCACGTATGGGTACCTGCCAAGGATCGCTGGACTGCTGCGACCACAAAAAAAGAAATATCCAGTCATTCATAACGGAATGGGCGCGAGAAAGGCCAAGAGAAGGATTCGCGGACCGCCTCATAGAAGCCGATGAAGTGTCTATGGTGTTGGTGAACTACATACTATTCCTGGGATGATGCTACAACGGCAGTCTCATCCAAAGGTCTGTTGGCCCCTTTTGTAATTTTAAACAATCAATTGTTTAAGCAAGGGAAGACGGTCGAAACCCCGTGTGTGGAGCAGGCATGCGATCTCCCGCATGGGTCGCACAAGCCAGACCTTATTCACTGACGTATTGCGGATCATAAGATTATCATGGTGATCATAAGAGAGATGCAGGCAGTCGAGGAAGGGAGTAGACGAGTCTCGCCTAAAAGGGGATTGGATAGGGGTTAGCAAGAGGTTGCAGTGATCCACGTCTCTAGACATGTGGCGTAATGAGCCATTTTGACAATAGAAGAGAGACATGAGCAAGCAGTTGGCCATTGGAGTGCTCTCTCTTGATGGTTTCACAGGCATACCACTGTGCTATTCGACAGTTTGATCTTGTGGCTTCGGAGAAATCACAGCGGAAGGCAAGGACCTGTGGCGTTGAGTCCACAATGGTACCAAATCTGCACGAAAGACAACTCCTGCAATTAGCCTTTTTGAAACCGGCGCAGGGGTACAAGGACCAGGGGAATAGATGGCATGACATCAGATGGAAGAATCTGGTTCGTGTGTGAGTGGAATGGCGAGAAGGCAGTCTTCGAAAACGGCCGGCCGAGAAAGTCCGCAGTCACAGAAACGGAAGGTGAACACCACGTGATCTGGGGTTATCGGTGAAAAAAAATCGAGAAGCGTGGGCCGTTAAAGTGGATATGAAGGTCGACAAGGCCAGAAAGAACGGAGACAAGGAAACTTGACGTTTTTCCATGGCACTCTTCAGGTGGAAAACTACGAGGGACTACGTACAAAAGAGGGAGTTTGGACGAGGCTGAGTTTCCCCTTTGGAAGATCAGCTGAAACAGGAACGGCCAGGGGTAAGGGGCCGAACCCATGCTTGGGATGAAAAGGGCAGGAAGGGAGCCAGGAGACGGTGCTGGCATCTTCAAACTCACCAAGTGGGGCGTAGCCGCCCATTATATAATCACGAATGGGGAAACGATACATCCCGATTGGTTGTTATTCTCCGATGACATTTGCGGCGACGTCCGATTGATCCTCACTACCCCCGTCAAAATCATGCACCTTCTCTCCCGGCGACATCCCGACGTCCATTCTAAGTCGTCTTGCACTAAAGGGGGCCGTTTTTTTCTTTCCATCCATCCCCCTTCTTCTGGGCACTCAAAGTGAACCTCAATTCCTCCACAACGCTGCCCCTGAGCCTCCATTCATTATCTCTTGCCCCAGGCCGGCACCTTGAACGGCTATGCAGCATTAGCAGAGCCTTTTTTCAAGCTTGTTGCGATTGGCTCACAAATTCAGACGTTCAAGCGGCTCCCCTGAACAAGCAAGTTCTTGTTCCTGGTTGTTTTTTCCTGAATCCATTTCTTCCATCTTTCCCGCCATGTCCACACCTTCCACCGTTTCCTTGGACTAAGCGGGGAGTTTACTTGCCTTGTTCAACTGTCGGGGATAGCCTCGTTTGCCTAGAGCTTTTTGTACAGAACGCTTTAGAGAAGAGAGAGAAAAAAAGGGGATGAAATTGAACGGCAGGAAAGAGGATCGCCAATGGTCGTCGATCTCGCGGGAACGCTACGGGTAGATCAGTAGCAAAGTTTACAATGCCTTCCATGCCACGGACGAAGTCGTCATGCTTGCTCTTGGAACTCGAATCTACTGTTGCATTCTACATATCGCATCATCATCCCATGAACTCAGTTATTGAGCTCCGCTTCAAAATGGCAGCAAGTGCAACGCAGACGCGTATTTTCTTAAGTCTGATATAGGCCATAACACCGGCTTTACCAGCCCGTTTACGCACTCTACTCCGTCAAGCGAACCCACAGACGTTGAGGTCTATACCCCGTCACCCTTGGATCTCCTCCATCGCCCCCGTTATTCCAACAACTAGCGCCTCTCTCAGCCCTTCACTTCGACTTTGTGGGAAACACTGATGGACGCTACTGGCTAACCTGCTCCTCCCAGTCTCTTGGTAATCCTGCCAGGGCAAAACCTCCGTTCGCACCCCCGGTGTCCTCCTCCACCCTCCTCCACCACCCCTCTCTTGTAATCGTAAACACCAGACGACGATAAGCTCATCCCCCTACCCTGGCCCCGCCGCCAGCCCGCTATCTGCCCGAACGTCTCACGATGGCTAACCCAAAGTGATGCTCAAGCCGTCCCACTGGAGGCTAGGAGGCTTGGTTCAGGAGGCGTATCCGATCTATCGAAGGGTGTGGTCCTTGGCATAGAGAGAGAGAGAGAGTGTGTGTGTGTGAGCCTCCTTTCGGCGTAAAGGATGAATGCTTTTAAAGACGGCTGCGTTTCCCGTCTCTGGGATGGACTTCTTTCTTGCTTCAGCAGCTTCAGCTCTCTATCCTTTCGTGCATTCTTGCCAGTTTCTTTCTTTTTTTTTTTCCCGTTCTTTTGAACTTCCTGTCATTCTCTTCACGGTGCTAGTCGCCCATTCTACCCTTGAAGGGCCTTGCTTCTGTCCATTCCTTGAAAACCAAACCCAACCAGATCCAACTTCCAAACACTTGGCAAACCGCTACACGCAAACGAGCCTCTACGATCCTTCATCATGTTGCTCAAACCCGCCGTTCTCGTCTGTCTCCTCGCCGAGCTTGGTCTCGCGCGTCAGGCTAAGCGACAGGATGTTGCACCCGAGCCCATCTTCACGAGCATCTCCAACTCTCCAGCCCCCGTTGTCACTGGCACCGGCAGTGCCCTTCCCAGCGCGCCAACGGGCATCTTCCTGAACACGACCATCCCCTCCGTCCCCAGTGTCACTACTCTGACCGAGGTCGCGACTGTCACCACGAAGGACTCCAACAATGTTACCATTACCGACGTTATTACAACGGGAAGAACCGTCACTGCGTCCCCAGTCACGGTCATCCAACAGCCGCAGGTCATCATCATCTCCCAGACTACCTTCTTCCAGTTCCTCTCGGCTCTCGGTGGTGCGCCCCCAGCCGTCAAGTCTGGTGAGCGTGGAGGTTTCAGGGTCGGCGGCCGCCAGTTCGGCCAGTTCCAGTCTGCCTGCTCTGCTGCCTGTAACATGCAGTTCACCCAGTGCCAGAGCATCGCCGGAAAGAACTTCCAGGTGACCCAGTGCCAGACTCAACTCATTGCTTGCCAGAACGCTGCGAAGACTGCCACCGTTACAGTTTCGGTTCCCGTCACTGTGACCCAGACTGTCGTCCTCCCTAGCGGCGGTGTTGTTTCTGGCATTGACGATGGCGGCTCCATCATCACCACAACCACCTTGCCCCCTGATGCAGGTGCTACCGTCGGCACTGGTGGCGTTAGCTTTGTGACCTTGACCGCGACCCCTGGAGCTCCTCCTGCCGCTACGCCCGCCGTCCCTGAGACTTCTGCCGTGGCCACCGGCGTTCCCCCGGCTGCTTCCGAGGCCGTCAGCTCCGTCGATGCTGTTGCCAGCTCCGTCGTCACAACCTCTGCAGTCGTTACCACCATTCCGGGAGAGTCTGGCCAGCCCCCTCGTGTCAGTACGGTATACATTACGAAAACAATTGAGGGTTCTGCTTCCGAGGCCGTTGGCTCTGCTATCACCTCAGCAGTAGTATCCACCTTTGTCCCCGAGCCCATTGTGTCCACAATCTTCGTGACCAGAACAATTGAAGGATCGGCCGGCGCTGAAGGCTCCGCTGTGACCTCGGCGGTCGTCACTACTCTTCCCGCTGGCGAGCCCGTAGTCTCGACTATTCTTGTTACCCGCTCCGCCGGCGTCCCCCCCGTCGCTTCTGAAGCCGTCAGCTCCGTCGACGCTATCGCTAGCTCTGCAGATGTTCCTCCTGCTTCCAAGGTCGTTACAACCTCTGCCGTTGTCACCACCATTCCGAACGAAAATGGAGACGAACCCATCGTCTCGACTGTCTTTATCACCAAGACACTGGACAACCCTGCCTCCGAAGCCGCCACATCTGCGGTAGTGACTACTCTTCCCGCTCAAGGACCCGTAGTGTCTACAATCTATGTGACTAGAACACTTGAGGGCTCGGCTGGCGTTGAAGGCTCTGCTGTTACTTCTGCGGTAGTGACTACTCTCCCCTCTCAGGCACCCGTGGTTTCCACGATCTATCTGACCAGATCTGCCGATGTTCCCGCTGCTTCTGAGGCCGTCAGCTCCGCCGATGCTATCGCTAGCTCTGCAGATGTCCCCGCTGCCTCCAAGGTCATCACCACCTCTGCTGTTGTCACGACTCTTCCTGCTGAGTCTCAGAAAATAACAACTGTTTATATCACGAAAACAATTGAAGGTTCTGCGGGCGCTGAGGGCTCTGCAATTACCTCGGCCGTTGTCACGACTTTGCCAGCTAAGGAGCCTGTCGTGTCGACCGTCATTTTGACCAAGACCCTTGAGGCTTCCGCTTCTGCTTCTCAGGCTGTTGGCTCCGCTATCACCTCTGCTGTCGTAACTACTCTTCCTGCTCAGGAACCGGTTGTGACTACCATTTTTGTTACTAGAACCATTGAAGGCTCGGCCGGGGCGGAGGGCTCTGCTATCACTTCGGCTGTTGTCTCGACGATTCCTGCTCAACAACCCGTGGTCTCGACCATCCTAGTGACCCGCTCCGCTGGTGTCCCTCCCGTTGCTTCCGAGTCTGCTTCCGCCTCTCAGGTCCAGAAGCCCATCGAGCCCATCACCTCAGTCATTACCATGACTCTTGCTCCTCCATCTGGTACTCCGCGCGTCAGCCTCGTCACAATCACGATTCAGCCCACCGCAGGTCCTTCCGGCACCGCCCCGGCCAAGACCTCCGCTCTAACCAGCACCCTGCCCGCCGAGACTCCTGGAGCTCCTCCCAGAGTCACTACCATTTTTGTCACTGAGGCTCCTCCTTCTCCCACGAACACCAAGCCCGCTGGACCTGTTGTATCCGTCGTAACTGTTACTGTCGGCGATATGACTGGCGTGGTTACGATGACCGTCCCCCAGGCTTCTGCCTCTGCGCCCGCGACCACCGTCCAGTCCGCCCTCCCCAGCGCCGGTGTCGGCGGTGGCAACGGCGGTGGCAACGGCGGCAGCGTCGGAGAGGAGGGCGGCGCCAACTGCCCCCCTGCCGTCACAGTCACAGTAACCCAGAATGTCACGTCTTGCGCCGTGACCCAAGTCCTCACTCAGACGGTTTCTGTAAGGCCCGCGGCTACTCCCAGCACTGTGGCCAAGCGCGCCGAGGAGAAGCGGGAGGCCGTCTACCACCCCCGTCGCCACGGTCGCCGTGCTGCTGGCTTCTGGTGATCTCGCCTCTGTCTAGTTTGACTTTGAGAGGGCTACGCTTCCTGCTACCCCTCAGTCACTGACTATCAAACAACAGCAACTGACATCATGGGATATCTGTCGAGAAACGAAACAAAAAAGCACAGGAAAAAAAAGTTGAAAAACAAAAATTCTGTACTTGATGCGGATGATGGCGCTTCCGGACTAGGAGGTCAGCTGTGCTGAGTCCTGGCCGAGGCAACCGGATACGATGGACGTTTGGATTTGGAGAAAAGAAAGGGAATGGTTTGGAGCATTGTTCTTTTTTTGGGGTCGATTTTTTCTTTCTTTCTTTCTTCTTGCAATGTACATGTTTGAGTCCGTTAGAGTAGATAGGGCCTGGTCCCAAAACGGTCGATATCCCACGAATGTCAAAGGATACATACAAATCTTAAGCGTGCATCTTGGATTGTGTTCCAAGTAACAGTGAGTTTCTAATCGTTCCATTCATCTCAGAGGTGGCACTACATCACACCCAATATCAGAAAGCGGAAATATAGCTCGAGCGCCCAGTAGCTGGTAAGACCTATGGACACAGGGCCGATCGATCTCCCTGCCAATTGAGCTCAGGAACATCATCAAGATTCTGGGTTCAAAGTAGTTTACTCAAGTGGTACTTACCCAAGTGAACGATGTTGAAAGAATTGAATCTTAAACCTGAGAACAGCAAAGAAACATTTGACCCTGATAACAGCTACACCACCAGCCTATGAGCAAAGCAACATCTTTCTCAGTGATGGCAGCGAGCACCCATCTTCAGACAGACATTCACTACGAGGGGCTCGCTCATAATCAAAATTCCCATTAAGCAACTTCTCTCTGCAGCTTTCTGGCTAAGGTGAAGCTAGGCTCTTCTTGAGGCAAATCTCACTTGTCTCAGGCCTGGCCATTGGCGTGACTAGATTGACTGCCAGTATCCAATTTGCATGAACCTGTCGACCGCTCCTACCTTTCTACTTTCCTTCCTTCCTCATAATATTTTTACCGTTGTTTTTCTTTTTCTCTCTTTTCTTTACCCAGCCTGTTGTTTCTGTACTTCTTTACTTCCTCTCCTTCTCACTTATTCTTTTCAATTACCTCTGCATCAACTTTACCCATCGTGATGGTTTCCTTCGCAGCCACAATCGCCTCTCAGGAGGGCTTACAGTTGGTTCGTGTAGACAAACATACCCCAAATGTTGTCACTACGGCCAACTCCTTCCACATTGGCGGTTTATCCATCGATACCCAGCAGATGATCTCGGAAATACCCGAGACGTCTCTTGAGTCTCTCAAACTTGGATACTTAGTCGGAACGAATCAGAAAATCGTTGGCTACTCTACATGGACTCCTCCGGCAGCCGGATCGGATATGACTAGTCATGCTAACACCTTGCTCTCAGTGGTCAACTCTCAGACCTTCCCTGGTGAGATTCGCATCACCCACAAGTACCAATTCGATGGCAAGAAGTTTACCTGTGCTCGCATCAAGATTCCTGTCACTGCTCTATGCCTTGATCCAGCCATATGCGCAGCAACCTCATGATTGATTATTGGAACTGGTATGTCCAAGGCCGAGCTACCACAAACACTTGCCCCGAGAAAAAAGGCGTTGGCTTCAATGCCTTGTGCCAGAGGTGCAACTGTCCTGGTCATAACACTGACGAATATGATAGGCAGGACAGGAAGAAGAAGATTAAGGGATATCATAGGGTGCTGATGGGTGAACGCCAACGACAACGGCAGCGCCAGCAACAACGCAAACTCTGACTCAACCACCCCAAACATCCAGTTTGACACCGTCAAAGTCGTCAATGTATGCGCTGGCATCCGTCGCACGCGTCACGAGATAATTAACAACCTCGAGTCCACCCTGGGCAGCAAGGCTAACGATCGCGCCAAGGAAAGGGCTGTCCGAGAAGCCCTGACCGGAGCACAGTCTAGTCACGAGCTACTTAAGGATCAATATGCTGGTGATCGTGTTCGAGTTCCCGAGTCTCAAGCTCTTGGCGACGGTGATGATTAAAATAATGTCAATATCGATGATGAGAGTGACAGCTCCGATGAGTATTAAGACGCCAATGATAAATGGTGATTGGGCTTGGGCTGGAGTATGGCGGTATACTAGGACTGGGATAAGTAATCGGACTAGAACACGGTGCCCATCAGAGCAACACAGGCGGGAACTGGTCGAAAGACTGGAAGAAATGAATGTACAGGTCGAAAGATAATCTTACTAAGAAGGATTGGAAGATGATGCCTGGCGGATGAGGGCAGGAAACCAGCCATCTACGATCCTCAATTTTAATCTCTTTGATCACTATCTCATCGTTCCTGTCTGTGTGTGAACCATTTCTCTACAGGGGAGATAAATGCCGTCTTTAGTTACTCCTGGCTGGCTGCCCCAAGAGCCAGATGAGTTGGCCGATGCCATATTGTGAAGTACCGCTCGGGTTGAAAACATTTGACGTTGCGCTGGTCCAGTTCAGACCGAAATAGCTTCGGAAAATTAAGCGTTTACTTCTGTATTTATGAATTGCTAGATCGGATCAGAGGAGCATTTTTGCCACTTTTTCTTCCTTGTTGCAATGTACGTGTTTGAGTCCCATTAAAGTAAATAGGGCTTGGTCCCAAAACGATCCATATCCGATGAGTGTCAAAGGATGCCAGAATAACTCATCCCAACCTTCCAGTGCGCCATGTCCTCATCTGTCTGCTATATATGCCCTGCACCAAAGATTCCAAAATTCAAACATCAATCCTTTGCTAGTCATCTGAGCCATCAATTGGGTCGTCATCATAGTTTGGCAGTGCCCGGATGTCTGCCCTTCCGTCACTGGCCTTCTTCAACTTCTTCGGCCTGCCTCTTTTCTTGTGTTTCTTAATTTCTACAGCTGGTTGGGGTGGTCTCCTCAAGCCGGATGCTGAGTTAGCTAATCTTCCCACGAAACTTTGAGGCTGGATGAATGTGAATGGTGAAACAAGATCTTCATCCACTTCCGAAGTAGGTGGTTGGACGGAAACTGAAGCGACATCTGCTGTAGACTCAGACGTCGAAGCCGTTTTAAATGACGAGGAACCGACCTGAGCAGTGGTCGACTCGGAAATCCGTGGTTGGGGGGATTGCATTTCTAACACACAGTGATTATGGTGGCGTGGATGTTGAGTAACATCTGTCTCCTCGGCCCGCACAAGAACAGATAACAGCCCAAGATCAGAGTCAGGAGAATATGATGGTGGAAACGGATTTCTTGATATCATATGATCGAGATATGAATCGAAAGGGGGCGTTGAAGTAGTGAAGCCAACTTCATCCTTCCTTTGAGGAACTGATGCGCCATAGATTGCTGCGACTTTTGTGTCTTTAGGCATGCTCGATGCTTCAAAGTCTTGACTAGGGTCACGTGAAACGCTGCTAGATGATCGTAAGGATCGTGCAGCATCTTGATTGGCCTTTTGGAATGCAGCCTCTCGAACCTCATCGATATCATCACCGAAGATAAAGTTCATCCAGTCTGCTTCGGTGCTTCCTAAAATCGCCTCAGTCACATTCGCGTGCCCGCTTTTATTGATACTGGGCTTATCTGATATGGAAGGAGTGTTTTCCGGTATGCTCTCTTGTGAATCAACCCACTTGTTCAGGCCTTTCTTATCAGACCGTTGTTTTCTCGAAGCATCCGGATCTCCTGTCACAATTGAAGTTTGAGGATAAAATCCACGTGTGTTTGAGTTAAAGCCTGCCGCTATTTCCTGTTTGTGAACCGAAGAGAGCTCAATGGCACGATCTAAATCCTGTAAGACCGGGGGATTGTCTTTAGCATGTTGCGTCGAAGGCGAAGAACTTATCGAGATCTCCGATGATTTTGAATCGAAGTCAGCTTGGTCAAAGGCTTCAAGATGTTCATTACGGATTGGACCTTGCTGTACAATCTTCGCAACTTGTTCATGATTGGGTGCCAGGTCTCTAAGCTCCCGAGGAGTGTGTCTCTGTATAGAATCGATTCTTGGTCCGTGAATAAATTCACGATTGGTATCTGGAACATCGCTGCCTACGCGTGGAACTTGGCTAACCCCTGGGCTGATACGTGGACCTACCGCAACTCCGACACAACTCTGTTGCTTCGCGACATTGGAATAGCCCTCCATTGCCGCCAGCATGGGCTGCCAAACCAGTTTGTCGTTTTCTGAAGGAACTACAACTGACAAAGGATTGTGTCCAACTTCACCAATTGTACTTCCGAAGGTATCAGACCCAATAACGCAAGGTCTGTTCCCTATGATTAGTTGACTGAGTCGTTGTGGAACTGGCTGGTGTATGATCGATGGGGCCTTGTCGATTCGCCGACTCTGATTGCCTCGCCTGAAATGTTTCGATATTGTTTGCTGATCGTGTAATGGTGACTGCAGCATCGCCGTTGAGGGAGAATCATCAGATACAAGACTTGCTTTGTGATGTCGTTCCTGCCAGTTACTTGAAAGAGTCATTTCGTGCTGTGACCGCGGTGACTGTCGATTATACATTGAATGATGAGGGTATTCCTGAGATCTATGTGCTTTCACACAGGCCGGGCCCCGCGAGCTATTCGACGTGGCTTTCTCGCTAGAGTATTTTCTGTGTGAATTGCCGAAGCTATGTTGACTCGAGTCCCCAAATCGAATGTTGTCACTTCCGATTCTGATTCGGATACTAGGGGCCCCAACATGTGCATTCATATGCCTTTGAAACCGGGGTCTTGATACCGACTCGAGAAGCCCATTTGTGCGTGAGGCATCAAGGTATTCTCCTATGGGTCTCTTGCCGCAGAAGCCCCAAATCTTATGTTTTGTCTGGCTTCCATGGGCAGGAAATTGCATAGACAGAGGCTTTTGAACATCAATGCCCGCCCAGTCCTTTTTCTGAAGCAGCCGTCTCCTCTTCGACTCTAAAGTCTCACTGTGGTTTCCCATGCGATGCCGTTTTCCGCTTTGGTTCATGGCTGGATGGCTTTGAGCTGTAGCCGGATTAGTAGTGAGGAGATGTTCCTGGCGCTGAGACCCGTTGGAGTTGCTGCTGAGACCGGACTTTTTCAGGTTGTCATACTGGCTCGGTTGAGGTCGGAAGTACGGCGACGAGTGTGAATGATTTTCCGCGGAGCTCGTCTTGGGAGGTATTGAAGGCACCGAGGGCCGCCCTTGAAGGAATGAGATAGTGCTAATATCTGGCCTTGAGGCCTCACGTCTACCGGACCGGATATTCGCGAAGTACTTTTGCTGCTTCTTCGTAAGATCCGACCGAGATTCTCGTCGCTTAGCATGACGAGCCAACGACCCTTCCGTCCAATTCATGGTCGTTGAGCTGGATTCCCTAGATTAACAGGTGACAAGCTGCTGGCCATCACAGACAGAATTCAAATGGCAAAGTAACGAGCACGGAATTTACAAACCAATGGGCTTAGGCGGATTCCAAATAAAACATCGGTTTCAACCGTCACAGAAGCAAGGCAGGCAAATAGCAAGGGTAGGCGTATATTCCATTCCACATCCTATTGCAGCTTCCCTGAATATCCAGATACAACAAATCATCATGTGACTTGCTGATATCAGTTTCTGCAGAAAGAACGACGCCGCCAGAGGAACCTGTGCTCCTGCCGCCTCACCCAGCCAACCGTACCGACCCCTAATTTGGACAGTGTGCATACAGGGCGTCTGCGCACTGGCGCATGTCCACAGTCTCAAGTCCACTGTTTTCTCCAAATGTGACACCCTCGGACTCACAAGTCAGACCCAGCCCCAGTCGGCTCACAAAACAAGTTACCTCTGACATTACGACGAACCGAAGCCATCCCATGCAATGGATCCAATCGTCGCCAAGTTTCCAGAACACCCTCCTGAGCCTTACCTTATCGCCCACCCGGTGGCTCTTCCCGGAACGACAGTCCGAAAATAAACATGAACCGCCGCCGGCCAAACACGAGTCTGACTCAACTTGGATCACTCACAACGTCGACTGCGCCCTGCTGTGGGCTCGTGTCGCTTGATGGTTCCCAATTCTGAGCAAGCGCTTGTGCTTACCCTCGGGTTTGGGCCATCGGCCTCCCCATGTGGCGCTTGCCGCGCCGATATGCATCCCCCTGAAAGAAGGGTATCGGCTACTTCCAGTAGACCAATACCCCCGGGGCATTGAACTTGTTGTCTCCACGATGAGTCGAGGCCAGCCCCAGACTTGCCGTGGGCCGTGGCCGACGTCACGGAAGCGGTCTTTGTGCCCCGGCCGAGGCCCTCGAGCTGCCTCTCTCGGCCGTTTTTGGTCTTGAACGAGGTCACACCTGTGGCCATGATGGTATCGCCGCCCATTTGAATCATCGAAGCCCCAATTGACCATCCCAAAGACGTCATTGTGATCTCGTGAGACTCTCGATTGGGGCCCTAGCATGCTCTCGCCCAGGTGCCCCGGCAGTGTTCAGCCAAGTCCCGATCGTGGCGGGTGGCAGCCGACCAATGAGAGAATAACTGTGTGTCAACGCCGACCACTCAGCGACGAGACCGGCCAATTCTCGTCACTCGCTGAGTTCGGACGATGGGAAATGACGAGTTTTCGCATGTGTTTGCGAAAAGAAAAATCATGAATGACGATATTGAAGACAATCGTTTGTCGATGAAGTTCCATGGTCATGGTGGTCGAAGGAGAGGTAATCGGTCGTTATGGGGCTTCGTCGATGGGATTGCCGATGTGGGATACGGACATCGCGGTCTTGTCCGGTCGGGACAGCCGTCCGCAAGCTTTTGCCGCTGCCGCTCCCTGCCCGGTCTCGGCGACCCTTGAGAAAGAGGCAAGATTCTGCACAGAGACCGTGTCAATCAAACGACTGCAACAAGAGCAGCCGAGCCCATCCCCATCCATTCACTCACTCCTCACCCCCCTCCCCGCCGGCCCGGCGCCCAAGCCCAAACGTGGGCTTGCTCCATCCACATTTTCCAGAATCCAACATTGCGGCGCTAGCCCGTGGATATGGCCCAATACCTACAGCAGGCCAGCCCTTTCTTTTGCGATGGACGGGGCGGTACCTCTGGCTGCACCTCTGGCACGCAGCGACCCCATGTCACCGCCGCGGCTCTCCACCGAGTAAGCTTGTCACCCGTCACACTCTTTTCACCGAGGCCAACGACACCCCGCGAAACTGTGCATCGTAGCAGGTCACCTGGAGTTGCGAATGGCAGGAGAGGTAAATGTGCTTAGCAGACGACGGCGTAACGGATGACCAGGACCTCTTGAGCGATTAATGCCTGTCTTTAAGGAATTGAGGGAACCGAAACAGCCCTTGAGAGAATTCAATTATTCTGCACAAGGGTAATGACCAATCAGAGGCCAACGATAAGCCTCAATGCAAAATGCGCCATCGAGCCACTAGCGTCCCACACTTGATGGTTTGGAGACACCCGAGATGGAGGTCTCCTGCAGGTCACATCTGGAGAATCAAGTTCCATAATGGAATCATCAAAGTTTTACTCGAACTTCCGCCTTGTAGCGGCAGCGGCAAGCGGCATCCTAGAATAGTAGTACACGGTTTCCAATAGTCGGACCAAGGACGGACGTGCATGTTGAGATTACAACGTTGGGGGTAATTATCTATCCATCCCGCCAACGATAGTATAGGTACCGCCGCGTACGGGTCTCACCTTGTCGCGTGCTGATTTGCGGGGGAGTGGGAGCCCATCTTGATACGCCGTATCGGAGGGGCATGTGTGATTGATATGACTGACTGGAGACTTGAGAATACCAACGACTGGTCAGAATCTCGATTTGCCCGGAGGAACAGAAGCTAGAAAAGGTGACTTTCGGTGACCCAAGAGCCAGAAGTATCAGAACAGCCTTTTTTCCTCCACGCCTGACTGGCTCCAGCTTTGTGCATGCTGCAGTCTCTTGGACGTTTGGGGCTGCATATCAGCCAGATATTCACTCAAGGATTGCAGGACGGACCACGGCAAGGCCACACCCATGTAGATTGTTCTTCCCTCCGGAGATAGCTTCGACATGGTCACTTCGTGGAGTCAAAGTTTGGGGGTTCGCTGACGAAAGGAAGGTCGAATATTGGCTGGACGGCTTATTTGCTACTAGCGATTCCCGAAGGTTTGGGCAAGACGGCCGTCCCGCTGTCGGAGGAAGAGCGCAATATGGGGGTTCCCTTGATTCCCCCCCAAATGACTCGAGATGTGTTGTAAACCCGTCGTCGCTCACAGGATACCGACAAACGATGCCATCGCACTAACCACTCAGCCAGATCTTACCTCTGAACTCTGGAGTAAGTACCTACGTCCAGACCAGAGCAATACCGACCCCACCTTTGCCCCTCGCCGCCGCATTACACATGGGTCGACTTATTCGATAACCCTGAGTGGGAGATGTGACGAAAGGCGTTGTATGGCTCCAAATGGGACGTCAAGATTCACATAAAGGTACAGATACCTTCAAAAGGAATTGGGGTCGCAGGACAAACCCCACCAGAGGGGGTTACAGGCGCACAAACGGAGACGCACAAAACATAAGACAATCAGCTTGGGGTGGTCTAGATATCACAGTCGGGACGGTGGTAAAATTTTCGTGGAACGATATGCCGCTTCGTTCGTTGGGAGACACCGGAGAATCAGATGCAGCCAACAACGAGACAAGACGCAGGAAACGACTCCTAGATTATGAGCTTCTGTGCCGCGAGCAGGCTAGCCCATGACAAGGGTAAGAGTGGGAGATTGATTGAGATGGGCATGGAGAATTAGCGCACACATGTGTGCCGTCGCGCCCATTTGCGCCGGGCGGGATAACAGGATTTGTGCGATAAAGGGACGTTTCGATATCGGGGCTGGTGAGATGAGATTATGAGTGGCTGGGCCACGATGTCTCATGTTCTAGGGTCCCTTAGCCGGGGGGGGGGGCTATTAGGTCAAGGCCACGGAGAGGTCAAGGTCTCGGTACCTCACGATACCCCAAGTGGGAGCGCACAAGGCCTTTGAGAAAGCAGCGCCAGGAATATGCAGGTTGTCGCAATATGGCCAGGCGATCGTCGGCGTGGAACCAAGGTGCAAGCGACGGTCTCTTCCTCTCTCGGGGTATTCACAACCGCCAGACGAGGGTCAAGGCCTGTCTAGTGTTGCGTGGCTCACCATGACCCGCGGGGGGGGAATGGCCGAGTTGACGGAGCCGGCTGGCTCTCATTGTCTAGCAGGTCTCAGCGAAAGTCTATGGGTCTTGTCGCCTGTCTCGGGAAGTTCTGGCTAGAGTCTGTCTAGAATACTGAAGGCTAAGTTCTGGAGTAGTGTACTTGCATGGGACGAAACGCAGGAACAAGCAAAACGGATGCAAGTAGGATGGTGAAAATCTTACTCATGAGCGGCCGTTTTAGTCATGAGTGCGTTCCGTACTGCTCTCTCCTCTCTCACCTCTCTCTTCAGGCGGTCTGGAGTAGGAGAGAAAAGCACTGACGCCAGTAATATCTCACTCACATTAGGCCCTCCGACTTGAGCCTGGAGGGAGAGCGCCACAGCCACCATCGCAACACTGGACCACCCGAGCAATTACCTACTGCCACTACTACGGAAAGGCAAGCAAGCGACAGCGACAGCGGCGGAGAAGGCGACGGCCAAGGGGGCTACTACGTACTGCGGTGGGCAGGCACTGCAGGCTGGCAACACACACGAGCAGATCCAAGGATAGCAACAGTGGGGCTCACCACGAGGAGAATTGTACCGGTACGTACCCCGCGTTGAGCGAAGGCGCATTCTCAGGCGCTTCCAGGCGCGGGATGTGGACGTAACTTGCTTGAGGGCGGTATCGAATACTTGAGGTACGGCAGTCCTGTATTGGTAGCTACGAGCGCTGATTGTTGGCTGCACAAGGCCCAGAAGCCGCAGGCATTGCTGCTGGGCCGGGTTGCCTCCGGCGACCGCTGACTGGCTCCCCTTGGGCCTTGCCCGCTTGCGAGGCATGTCGAAGTCATCGTCACACGTTCACACAGAAATTTTTCACTGACCCTTGGCTTGGGTTTTGGATTTTTTCATTTTTCCTATCAGCAACTTCTGACTCTTGGGGACTAGGGTTGACACCACGAAACCACCCAAATGGAGGCGCAAAGAGGAGCAAATCTGCACGGGGATGATTGAAGTCGACGATACCCTTAGGGGTGAATGATCCGCCCGTCGCATTTCCGTTTCCCTTGGAGACATGAAGGCCGTTGGTGCAGGAGCGCTGGGCCGGGCCAGGTACTCCTCGGTACGTATATTTGGTCATCCTGACGGTGCAAATGACCACGTCGATACGGTACCGGTAAGGAGCAAAACAATGAAAAAGCTCGAGGATTTGCGCCTTCCGTGGGACCCTGGAACACTGTGAAGCAAAGGCAAAGTAGCAAGTATCTGTGGTCCCCCAAACTCTAGGCTGACGGGCGAATGGGAGACCACTCGTTTCCGGGTCCACACCCCACCACACCCACCCCTCCACCCCACCGCAATCGATACCAAAAAGCCAGAGCTAGCCACACCCCTGCAGCCGCGATGGGTAGGCCTTATCTTGGGCTGAGAAGGAAGGAGGCCCAGTTACCCAGTTCTGTCAGTACGCTTCTGTACCGCCTCCATCAAAGGCCAAAGGGGGCAAGATGCGGTCGTCCCAAGTATCTCGACGGTACCTAGTGAGCCTGGGTACGCAATATACCTTTCAGATAGCTGGGTAAAAGCATCGCCGCCAGTTTGAGTCGCCCAGCCCACGCCTTCCACCTTTGACACGGTCAGCGAAAACATAAAACCCTCAACCGCCCCGGCGTCTGCTCTTATCGTATCCCCTTTACTTTTCCACTCATACTCTATCCCATCGTCTATTGTTTACCTAGATCCTTCAAGATCTATAAACCTGCTTGAACCTTTTATTTGATTTCAATTGACCCGCTCAGTTTGTTATCCAATCCTTTTTTCTTAAACTTTCACATCTCACACACAACCGCAAAAATGGTGAGTTCTCAACTTGGCAGCCGCAATCCGACCCCCCCACGTCATACCTTCCTATCGCGACCAGATCTTGTCTGCCCCTCTCCAACAACAACAAGACCAAGATCAAGAAACAAGAGCCATGAGCAAGCAACACATATGCTAACATGTATTTTCCCAACAGGCGACAGAAGCAGCTTTTGTGTCAAAGCCTGAGACTGTAAGAGGAACCCTCTCCCTCCAACACGAGCTGATCTCATTGATCACACCTCGAATTTCCTGAAACGGAAAAACACACTTGGGAACAAAAAGGAAAGAATGCTGACTTGCTCTCTCTCTAGTTGGCCAAGTACCTGAAGCTCGACCAGAAGGGCCAGATCATGGCTGAGTACATCTGGGTTGACGCTGATGGTGAGACCCGCTCCAAGTCAAGGGTATGTTTCCCCGATGAGCCGCCTCTCATCCTTTTCTTCCTTTTCGGTTATTTCCTTTTTGTCTCGTGTTGGCTCGACCTTGCTGGCGCGCCCGCATCCGGCTTCAAACGCTCGCACCGCTGCAGCTAGAGAATCCTTCTCGAAATGGAAAAGCATTTCTCAGCTAATGGCTTCGCGACGCGTTGCAAGTCATGGCCGGTTTATGCCTCTTCTCTATCTGCGGCGGCGGGCGCGACAAAGCTGGGGAAGCGGCCCCGTGTTTTTTTTTGGGATCTTCCCCCCTTCGGGGTGTCTCCGAAAATTCTCCCCCGGCCAGAAATAGTCGGGCTGATGCTGCAGTTGCGGCAACGGCAAGCACTGGGGCTTGGCGGGGGTCAAAACACCGCCTGCCCCGTGGGTTGTTGGGTTTGGTGGCGGTTCGAAGTACGTACCTGTTCAAGTCGGCTTTGTCTGGTTACCGGTTGCTTGCAGCCGGTTACTGGCTGCTGCTGGCTGACGGGATTCGTGCTCACGACTCGGTTCTGCAAGGAACCCCGCCCCACCTGAATGGCTCATCGACTTCAAGGCCTCGCCTTGCCTCCAGCTGCAGGGTTCAACGCCGCAACTCGGGTATTGCAGGTCTTGGGAATGTCAGATTGCCATCTTTACACCCACTGGCCGCCGGGCAAGACTTTCGCGCCGCCGGCGAGATGAGTTTTGGTGGGCATACACCCCACTAGCCATTGGGTCCCATGGACCCAAAGCCCCAAATAGGCCTCTGGAGAAACCCCGCCTGAATATCGTCAGTTCGACGACAGGGCGTGCCACATGATGTCAGCCTCAACTGGCCAAAGTTGGCCATGCGCCGAGCCTTCACCGTTCATAGCTTGCATCATAACCGCCACATTCGTAACTTTATGCTAACGATGCGCGCTTCTAGACACTCAAGGAGAAGGACTACACACCCGAGGATCTTCCTATGTGGAACTTCGACGGTTCCTCCACCGGCCAGGCCCCCGGTGACAACTCTGACGTCTACCTGAAGCCCGTTGCCGTCTTCCCCGACCCCTTCCGTGGATCTCCCAACATCCTCGTCCTCGCCGAGTGCTGGAACGCCGACGGCACCCCCAACAAGTACAACTACAGACATGAGTGCGCCAAGCTGATGGAGGCTCACGCCGCCCACGAGCCTTGGTTCGGCCTCGAGCAGGAGTACACTCTGCTCGACCTCAGCAACCGCCCCTTCGGCTGGCCTTCTAACGGTTTCCCCGCCCCCCAGGGCCCCTACTACTGCGGTGTCGGCACTGGCAAGGTTGTCCAGCGTGACATCGTCGATGCTCACTACAAGGCCTGCTTGTACGCTGGTGTCAAGATCTCTGGTACCAACGCCGAGGTCATGCCTGCCCAGTGGGAGTTCCAGGTCGGCCCTTGCGTCGGCATTGAGATGGGTGACCACCTTTGGCTCGCTCGTTTCCTCCTTGCCCGCATTGCTGAGGAGTTCGGCGCCAAGGTCTCCGTTGACCCCAAGCCGATCCCCGGTGACTGGAACGGTGCCGGTCTCCACAGCAACTTCTCCACCAGGGAGATGCGTGAGGAGGGTGGCATGAAGCACATCGAGGCCGCCATCAAGAAGCTTGAGGGTCGCCACAAGGAGCACATTGCCGTCTACGGCGAGGGTAACGAGAAGCGTCTCACTGGCCGTCACGAGACCGGCGCCATCGACCAGTTCTCTTACGGAGTTGCCAACCGTGGTGCCTCTATCCGTATCCCCAGAGAGTGCGCCGCCAAGGGCTACGGTTACTTCGAGGACCGTCGTCCCGCCTCAAATGCCGACCCCTACAGGATTACTGGTAAGTTACTCATTACTACGAACTTTTCACTGCATGGTACTAATTATTCCTTTCAGGTATTTTGATGGAGACTATTTACGGTACCGTCGAGTAAAGGGGATGATTAATAAGAGAGTGGATGGTATACCCCGTTCAAGACTACGCGTTGTTTTGAATATGCTTTTATCAGCGTGTTGCATAGATCACACTAGGTTATTATGGGTCAATGAGAATTAAAGAAGGTTCAAACATCTGTCACTTGCTTTACATATTTGTGAATGTTTTCGATGTTGTTGCGACGTCATTTACCAATGTGACGGTGATGCACGTGTGACCATCGTCAGTTTTGGCATTGAAAGCTGTGACATGCAACTGTCTTACCGTAACGTGGCACCGTTTGCACGCGCGCCGCAAGACGCCCGTCCGGACCCTTCGTGAGTTTAGGCCAAGACTTTTTACTCTAGGGAATAAGACAGGTTTTTAAATTTTTTTATTTTTTTTTAACAAAACGGCCGTTTGTCTACCTTTAAAGTTTGATGAACAATATTTTATGGTTTGATGCGCAGCCCGAAAATACATCAAGATCAGACGGAGTCCTCTCCGTCTGCTAGTTGAACCAGGGTTAAAATGATCTCATCGTCCAAAGGCACGAAACTTCACAAGCAGGTGGGCCGGCTTAGATTCAAGGCGTAGGGGACGGGCGAGAAACGACATGCGTGTGTGCGTCTGTCTGCTGACACATGACGACGACAAGCAAAAGCTTGGTTTCTTTTCGTTTTGAAGCGGTGAGCGGGCGGAAGGTTCGATGATGGATACTCCGTATAGCGTTCAAGTCTGCAGGCTCAGCGGGCGTTTTTTTGGGGCGCAAGTAGTAAGTAAGTAGGGTAATTTTCTTTTTCTTTTTTTCCCCATTATTGAACATGGGTTTCTCGGTGTTCAAGGGCGTGTTTTCCGTGTATAGGCCCGATGCCGTGTCGTTAGGGGGGAAAGTATATGGTTAAAGCAGCTGATCATTTGGCAGAAGTATCTTCTAGCCAAGAGTGGCTTGGGTGTTTGGGCGGCCAAGGATCGTGGGGGCCGAGGGAGGTTGTTTCTTGGGGTGAAACCGACTCATGGTGTTGGTTGGTTTCTTGGCATTCAGACTGGGTTTGTGCAAATGGAGGTATAGGTTTGTATATTGGACTTGAGAGACTTGGAACGCGAATTCGATGCGAGGTGTATGCCTTTCTTCATATGCGGTAAGTAAGGCTGAGTTGGGAGAGCTCAGAGGCTCAGTGATGTGGTGGTAGTATGAGATGGATAGACATTTTCAGGCCTTTTGGGGACCGGCTTCACATTTATCTTTTGTTTCTAGAACTTTTAGATAACGAATCTTTCCTATCCCAACAAGACAAGACATAAAACTGTCTTTGAATGTTTCTATGAGCTCAATACTCCCAATTCAGCTGTTTCCGAATTCCAACATGAAGCTTCAGGCCCCGCGGCTTATCTTATCGCGAACGTGGGGTATGCACTAGTCCTATATCGGACTAGCCCCAAGAAATTCTCAATTGAGAATCTTTTTTTTTTCCTGCTAGCACTCGACCTCCAAAGAAAATATTTACCAGTGTCCATCAAACGACGATACCCTCACTTTGCGCTTTTCCCAAGACTCTTTGCAGCCGCACCCGGGCACTCCTCCTTCCGGTCAATTAAAACTAAGAAAAAGAGAGCATCCTTCATCAGCATCCAAAATGGCAGCCCCCGTGGGACCTCTCCCGCAGGTGAAGCTGCCCTCGGGACCGTCCCCTGTGACGGCCGAGCAGCGATACTGGAAGTCGTTCAAGAACCAGCTGCAGATCCCCTCCCCGACGTCGTATCCGATCACGCACATCTCGTCGACCTCCTCTGACGGTCTGTTCGCCGTGACCACCGGCACCCGCGTGCAGCTCTACTCCTCGCGCACCCGCAAGCTCGAAAAGACCATCACGCGCTTCGCCGACGTCGCGCGTTCCGGTTCTCTGCGCCGCGATGGCAGGGTTCTAGTGGCTGCCGAAGACACAGGACGCATACAGGTGTTCGACACCAAATCGAGGAGTATCCTGAAAACGTGGACGACGCACCGCCAGCCCGTCTGGACCACGCGCTTCTCCGATGTGCAGCTCACGACCCTGCTGTCCGCGTCCGACGACAAGACGGTCCGCCTCTGGGACCTCACGGCCAACGACCCTACGCACACCTTTGTGGGCCACCAAGACTATGTTCGCTGTGCCGAGTTCTTCCCCGCGACCGGAAGCAATGGTAGCATGCTCGTCTCCGGATCCTACGACTCGACTGTCAAGATCTGGGATCCCAGGATAGGCAACAACTCGGCCGTCATGACCTTCAAGCACGCCGCCCCCGTCGAGGCAGTCCTGCCCTTGTCCTCCGGCACCACCCTTCTCGCCGCCTCCGGTCCGCACATCTCCGTGCTGGATCTGGTCGCCGCCCGTCCCGTGCACCAGATCGCGAACCACCAAAAGACCGTCACATCCCTCAGCCTCGCCTCCAACGGCACCCGCCTGGTGTCCGGTGGTCTCGACGGTCACGTCAAGGTGTTCGAGACGACGGCGTGGAACGTCGTGTCTAGCACAAAGTACCCGTCGCCAATTCTCTCCCTCCGTGTGCTGTCGGCGTCCGACTCCCTCGACCACGCGGACCGGCACCTGGTCGTGGGAATGCAGTCCGGCGTCCTGTCCGTCCGCACCCGTCTCACCGGTCCCGAAGCCACTCGCCAGAAGGAGCGCGAGCGCGAGATGGCGGCGTTGATCGCCGGAACCCTGGACCAGCACGACGCCCGCACCAAGAACAAGAAGCGCAAGGCCGCGGCGCACCGCCGTCTCGAGGCCATGGGCGAGGGCCAAGCCGAGGTCATCGTCGCGCAGGACGCCCGCGTGTCCCGCACCAAGGAGAACGCGTGGCAGAAGGCGCTCCGTCACGGACGCTACGCCAGCGCCCTGGACCAGGTGCTTGACCCGCAGGCCAAGGAGCACTCGCCGCTGGCTGTGCTGACGCTGTTGCTGGCGCTGAGGCACAGGTCTGCCGTCCGCGATGCGCTGGAGGGCAGGAACGAGAGGACTGTCCAGCCTGTGTTGAAGTGGACGTGCAACCACATCATCGACCCCCGCTACGTCAGCGTCTGTGTCGAGGTCGGCTTGTTGTTGGTGGAGCTGTACGCGGAGTACGCCGGCGCCAGCGCCGAGCTCTTTGAGGGCTTCAGGATGCTGAGGAGGAGAGTCGGTAACGAGGTTGAGAAGGCGCAGTTGGCGTGCGAGACGGGCGGTATGGTTGAGAGTTTGATGATGGGATCTGTCTGAGTCTGCTTTGCTTCTTTTCTCCCCTCCCCGACTTTTCCCACCAATTTCCTCGGTGGAGATGAATGTTGGACGAACCAGTCTGGTTGAGAATGTATGTTTGTAGAAAGAGTATGGAAGACAGAAAAAAAAAGGGGGCGAGGTTCGGGGGAGAGGATAAGATGGATGGATGGATGGATGGGATGAATCTGGTCTGTTTCGTTGAAGAAGGACGTCAAACTGTCGAATTCTTTCTTCGATTCTTTCTTCCTGGTCACTAATGCATTGCGATGGCGTTGGGGCGGATTGGAGGAAACAAAAAAAAGAGAACACAAATAATTGTGATATAGAATGGCCTTTACTTTACAGAAGAGGCGGGTTTCGGGTTGTTTAGAATACCCTCCGGGTCTCTCTGTCTCAAGCTATCATTCCTCCTTTTAAGATCCCTGCCGAAGTGTTTTGTCTGAGGTGATGAAGTGACTGTACCATACTGCGTGGCGGTCCATGAAGTGCCATGTGACGACACCTTTCTTGGGGGTGAGCACTGTTGACTGACATTTTCCGTCGGGTGATGGTTGTTCTTGAATCTGTAAACAACTGGTCATCAAAGAAATGAGGGGGGGGGTTACTGTAGACAAAAGGTAAAAACAAGAGACGTGTATTGCTTGTTCTGGGAAATATCAAAACCAAACTATAAATGGAATATGAGCGTATCTCCCCCAAAACCTCCAAGTTGACTATTAAGCCAAGCTGCAGGAAGTTTACCTCAGGCAACCTATCGTCAAAGCCAGTCCCTCCCCGTCTGCTAAAGTCGGCCAGAACTGAAAGACCAAGAAGCAAATTACCACCATGCTCCGCTTCCATTTGAAGCCAACTTGAATGTAAATACAACGTTCCAAAAATCCATGAATAGATGGCCCCTACAAGAGCTCATTTGGCTCCCAGAACGTTGCTTCAGACCTTGCCCAAGTCTGTTGTGACCATGAGCCTGTTCTCTTGCTCGGTAGATAAATGCGTCCCAGGCCTCTCGCTACTACACCCCATCCAATAAACAGTACCCTGGAGTCTGCTTTTGCGCTACTCTCATCCGTAATTGTCAGACTACCTGTAACGGCAGCATCTTGTGGTCCGGCATCAGCCTAGATGGTCGTGTGTCATCAGTTAATTCGAGGGTCTCGAATGCGCGGTTTTCCCAACTCAGGTACACGGTAAAAGATGCGAGAATATGGCTTTGGATAATTCGGGACGCCAGTGACTTTCATCACCATGATCCAGTCGGCTAAAAACTTGAATCTCGGCCCACGAAGGATCCGAGATGTTCTGTTCGCCAAAATAGCATAATCGTGCTCGTTCAGTTCTTCTTCGTCTTTCATCATCAGCGTGATTAAACTGATTTCAGATCGTAGTATCGGGTCTTTGTTCATGATTCTTGTGGCTGTACTATCCATTCCATCATCGGTAGACAGTCCCAGCAAAGAGGCCAAGGGTCTGAGAAGTTCATCATTCAGAACTAGTAGCCTGGCACCCATTGGCATCGCCTCTTGACGCTCAAAACGTCTTATCAGTCGGTCCAAAGTATTAAAACTGTACTCGCAAGTCTGCCAGACCTTGGTAGCAAATCTGATCCACTCGCTGTGTGTCTTTGGTGACTCGACATAGGCACGGATGCCTGCCGGTTCTCGGGGAACTCGTGTGACGCCCGTGTCGATATGAAGGTCAATGAATTGGTGAATGACGCATATCTCGTCGATTGTTAGATAATCAGTCTCAGCCCTGTCAAAGGCTGGCACAAGGCGTCGCTTCTGTGCTCCAGATGATGATCTGATCGGAGAGGGCATCGAAGGGTGGGCAGGTCCCAAAGAATCGTTCGAATGCTAGTCCATTTAATCATTCCACATGCTCCAATTTCGATTTCAGCTAGGTCCGCGTTGAAGTCTTTTAGCAACTTCAACCGCTTGTTGTTTTCCTTGGTTAGCATCTGGGAGACAGGCAAGGTTACGTAGTCGGTCCAACTTGAGAATCGTCCAAATGTGTGTGGAGGCTGCGAGGCTTCGGTCTCCTGCGGACTGAACCAAGATGCCATAGATCTTGTCTTCGGGTTGCCAGACGTGGGTGTGTTTTGGTTCCGACCATCCTCCTGTGCAGATCGAGTAAATGGCTCGCTAAAGGTATCGTATCGCGGTGAAACGTCGACCATCAACTGGTCTACTGAGCTGCTTTCAGCCTGTTCGGCTTGAGTCTCTTCCTCTTCCAGTTCACTTTGATCCCACTCGCCCACATCTCCACCTTCATCATCATCTTCATCATCACCCTCATTTTCGCTCTCCCACTCTCCATGTTCCTCTTCCTCTCCATAATCCTCTCCCACTACGTCTGTGCTTGGATTCATCTCGCCGGGGCTTGTTGGGAATTCCTCTTGGAGCATCTCCAGAAAATCTAGATCCTGCAGTTCAGGGTCGACAGGCATTGGGGTCTGGCTTCTACCACGGTATTGTCGCATTTTGTTGGAAATTTGGTACCAGAATCGGCTTTGGTGATTTGCCAAAACCTTTCAAAGTCGTCAATTTTGACAGCCAGTGGTTTCTGTGGGATTTTCAGTGTGTTTTTCCCCCCTCTTTCTGTTCTGGCTCTCTTGATTTGATGACAAACCGATATGTAATTCTGGGTATGTGCTTGTCTAGAAACTACGGGTGTGAGTGGTATCTTCCCGTATCTTTCGTCTTTCCCCTTCTCTCACTGGAGAAACGGCGCTTTTTGTGATTAAAACGAAGTAGGCAAACTGCAAAGGCTGCGCCGAGCAATGAGCTGCTTGTATGATAATTGGCCCCAAAAAGAGGTTTCGGGTGTAAGAATATAAAAGAGATGGTGCTGACTTTAGAATTGAAGTAATGATGATGTTGATGTGTAATCAAATTCTTGGTGGTGATGGTTGAGGAAGGGTTTGCCGAAGAGAAAATAAACGGCACGGCGCCTTCCGTTAAAGCGAATAACAATCGGGGAAGTTGCTATCGTTATACCCGAAAATGAGGTATAGATTAGGAAAAGTTATAAGATCGTGTCTGACTTTAGGATTGAACGAACGAGGCGGGATGCCTGAGCTGTGGATAGTATCGGTGCAGAGTTAAGTGAATAGTAGCGGTTGTTGTTGTTGAGTCTGAGAGATAGTTGGCTGGAAAGAAAGAGGAAGCTGCAATGAAAGTCAACTAGCAGGAACAGTCTGAGGCATCAATTACTCGTGGAGAAGGAGTGAACATATGACTCTTCCTCATTCCGTTTCATTAGCAAAGGAGCCGTGAACTGTTGATATGCGTCGACTGCAGTATGTTTTCTCTGTCTTTTCATAACTTCGTATTGGTTATCACCACCAAGATTCTAAGGGTTCAACGCTATCTTAATCCATGCGGATACGATGCGCCATGGTCATTTGTGTGCTTAGGTCTCGAAAAGATGTGCGCGGCATTTCACTTTGGCCACATTTTCATGCTGGAACACATGAGAATGAGGGATATACTACCGAGTTCATTTACCTTGTAGTCGAGATTCAGGGACTTCTGTCTTACGCAGTGGCACCAAGTATCGTCATGAACTGTTTCTACTTGGCGTCAACCTGGGTCATTTGCATTTGTCCAACGAACATAACCAAGCAGGCGCCGCACTACATCTCGAGATGAGCATCCATAGAGCTGAAATACGGCGTTTGAGTGGGCGAAAGCCGTGAAATTCCCATCTTACCTTTTGTCTTTGGTTGCTGTCATTGGCTCACTTCCTCTCTCACTCAAGAGGTTTGCAATGGGATAAAAATGACACAGTGAAAAATGAAGATAAAAGATGAATTCCGGCTTTCTACAGCATTACCAAAACAACCCCGCTGTCATCCCACCCTAGTCCAAGCCGTATTCCTTCATCCATTTAACAAGAATTATTCCAATCCTGAAAACGCAGAACGCCGTGTTCATTTTGTAGTACAATTACATCAACAAGCTCGTCATTAAACTTGCACCGTTATTCATAAGCCTGCCGCTAGTAATGTCGATGACGCCTGGAACGTCCAGCGCCAATGTCAATACGACTCATCTCTTGCATAAGAGCCCACTCGCTGTTATTGCCGCCACCGTGAGACGCCGGCATCGCTCCGCTCATAATGGGCAACGGGATCTTGGCCGGGATCGGGGGTGCATTGTGCATCCCACCGGGGGAGCTGCCGTACTGCGGCGCATGATTCTCGCTGGGGTAGTCCCAGGTGCTTGCACGCGGCAGACGCGGCGGTGTGAAGTCATTGATGTTGTCCTGGTAGTTGTGCGAGGAAATTGGCGCCAATGGGCTGGAACCCGCTGGTGATGTGGAGGGGAGAACAGAAGCGTGTTGCGTCCTTTTCTGCAGACGGTTGCGACCACCTGCAGCCGCCGCTGGCGAGGTACTCCCATACGGATCTGAGCTGTAAGTAACAGGCGAGACTTGAGACTGCGGCCTGCCAGCGATACGGAGCTGCCGACGACCGCTTGTCGGCGTAGGCTGGGCGCTAGCTGGAGACGCTCTTGACCGGACGGATGCTGTAACTGGCGTCTTGGGGCCCTTTTGCTCAGGCTCCGGCGCCCAAGTGTCCATTGGAAGATGATCTGAAGGGTCGATTTCGCGACCATCGTGGGTGATGATCTTCTCATCCGGATCGGGCCTGGAAATATCACTATTGGTGGTCGACACCGTTGGGTTGAGCGCATCGTAGGAATCCGGACCGAATGGGACGCCAGACAATCTGCGTTGGTCGGATGGAGGCGGTGCCGGGCTAACAGACTTGCGCTTGATGGTGTGGTGAGCTTGCGAGCTAGGAGAGATTCCACGTCTCGTGTGTTGCGGCGGAGGTTGGGGCGAAAGACCGCGTGCCCTATGTTGTGGATGAGGACTGTGAGAAACTCCTCTACGCACATCATGAGCGTAGGGCTGAGGCGAAACACCTCGGCCTCTCATGTCGTGAGCGTAAGGCTGAGGCGATACACCTCTTCCTCTCATGTGTTGAGGCGGGGGTTGGGGCGAGGCACCGCGGCCCCTGTTCATCTGGGCACCAGGGCCACCATATGCCATGGATGATCGATGGTCATGGTTCGGGGGGATATACGTCTGGTCGCTGTAACTCACAGGCTCACTGCCTTGTCTTCCGCGAGTTGGGGTCGTGGCACTCTGGCCGGTGTAGCGCCGTTGTTGACGTCGGTCATCGTAGATGCGGTCGGAAACCTCCTGAGCAAGGGTAGGGTCAACTCCTGGCACCAAAGACGCGGGAATAGCGGGCGCTCCGGGTGCTTGACTCTCACTTCCCGAAAGCTCAGATCGCTGCGAAGCGTATTGATTTTGACTGCGGGAGTGATGGTCTGACGGGCTCGGGGCGAAGTCTCGAGTCGCGATGGGAGAGACTTGCTGATGACGAACCATCTCGTTGCCTCTTAAATCTCGTGTGGATATCGGGGAAACTTGTTGATGGCGAAGCATTTCATTATCTCTAGGATCCCGCATGGCCATGGGAGACACTTGCTGATGGCGGACCATTTCGTCACCCCGAGGATAAGCAGGCTGCGGCGGAGTGTTGTAATGTGCAGGCGAAGCGTTTCCTCTCCCAGCGAGTACCAGCTCATCGCCTCTCGGCTGATATGCTGGCTGTTGCTGATAGTCTTGCTGGTAGTCCTGCTGATAGTCAGGCTGGGGTGAGGTGCTGTAATGACCTGGAGACACAGAACCCCGGCCGGCAAAAACCAGCTCATCACCCCGAGGCTGGTATTCTGGTCGCGGCGAGGTACTGTAACGCCCAGCTGACGCAGTTTCATCAGCTCTTCTATAATCAGGAAGTGGCGAGCTGCCTCGCTGGCGAGATCCCGCGCTACCTCTGCCGCCAATGTTCAGGGGCGCAGGTGTAGGTACCTGGTCATAAGGCTGGTCATATCCGGAATCCTGGTACTGAGATGATCGTGCGGTTTGCCGATGAGCAACCTCCATGGATTGAGCCGGCGGTGCCGGATTTTGCTCTTGGTTGAAAGCTTGTTCATCGTACTGAGGCACACGTGAAGTCCTCCGTGGCTTATTGACAGCAGGAGCGGGGGATTCCGGAACGTCCTCAACTGTTGGTTGCATGGATCTGTACTCAACATGCCCGTCGTAAGAGTGGTGTCTGGGGGCCCCAGAATCGTGGTAGTGATCATCAGGAGCCGGAAGCCCGTTTGTGATGGCAGGCGCCGAGTCAAAACCTCGGTACTGTGGCCGTCCAGGATAGGCAGCCGAAGAGAAAGACATACGGTGTGCCTCATTTCGGAGGACATCCTGTCTCATGGCGTTCGCTGATTTCGGCGGGGTATCGTATGAACCTCTCACTACCATATCTTGCGAGTTTCCGCTGTTGTGCCGGCTCCGATGAGCAGGCGGAGGCGGCGGTCGCTCATCCTCAACGGCAGGCGCATGTCTTTGGTCTTCCAGGAAGTAGGGATCGCGAGGCGGCGGCTCAGATCCTTGACGGTAATGTGCTCGATCGACGATATCTTGAGAAGAATAGCCCGGGCTATAACCTCTCTCGTCCTGTTGCGCGATAGGGCTTTCGTAACGATCGTGCCTCGTAGGCGTGTGTTGCGGCGTCACCTCGGTAGGGTGCGGCAGGGCGGCAGGAGACGACTGCGCGGACAGCTCTTGTTGACTGCTGCGCGGGGCGGGGACGGTCACAGGTGCAGAAGCTGGGTTGGTGTTGTACTCTACGGCCTGCAAAGGCGATTGAGTCGGTATGAGCGCGGGGTGCGGCTTCTTGGTGGGCATGGGTCTTGATCCTGAGAGACTTTGCTCTGGTGCTGGAGACGTAGATGAGCTCATCTCTTTAGGGCCGCGGGGACCGGCGGCGCGAGGCGGGGTGAGGGCTTGATCTTGAGATGGTGTTGCCGGGGCTTCGCCAGTGAAAGGATCGGAGGGCAGCGGTCGCCTCTTAATTTGTTTTCGGGGAATCGTTCCATGCGATACATGGGACTCGACCGGTTCGGCCTCGACGGGCTTGGGCTTCGCTACCGGCTTCTCAGGCTTCGGTCTGCTGTCGTAGTAGGTAATTTCCATGCGCACCTCGCCAGCGTATTTGCCCTTGAAGGTCAAGTTACGCCACAGGTCATTCTGACCTCCGCCAGGGACGATGATGTCTCTCAAGTCAATCCAGGTCTCTCCAATGAGGTCTGTCTTCTTGTCATCGTGGAATACAGAGACTTTAAGCTGATAATAGTCTGGGGAATCATGAACGGCGAAGCGGAGCTCCTGGTCCCTAAAGGTTGAGAGTTAGTTGATGGTGCTGGGTGGCGAGGTGAGATATCTGGGGGGGGGGGGGGGTACCATTTGGGTGTTTGTCCTCCTCGAATATCTGTCGTCGTCTTCTTTGCTTCCTTTCCGAGGCGCGCAGCGCAATAAGGGTCTTGCTTTCCAATTGTCTTGCGATTGGGCAAGTTTTTTGCGCGGTCGACAATGGCGACCAGAGTACCAATCAAAGGTCCGTCGACGCTGGGGTCGGCAAAGATGCCGGCTGTGTGCATCCCATTGAGGGGATGAGTTTTCGTTTTGGCCGCTGCCATTCTCAAAGGTTGCTGTATCTGTGATTTGAGTTTCGGTTCGAGTAGTCAATTCAGCTGTAATTGTCGACAATGCAAAGGAAATAAACGTGAAAAAGTGAGGCTGCTGACAAGCCGCGCGAAAACAGGCTTGGAGATATAGATAAGAAAAGCGCTGATGGATTGCGAGCTCGTCTACATTGGTCGCGAGGCTTGTGAGAGACGGGTATCAAAACAACAGTTGAGGTTCCGACATAAGATTGACGGCTGAGACACAGACAGATGAGCAACTGAGTAAAAAACGAAGACGATGTTGGTGATGGCGAGGGAGAAGGAACGGATCCGGCAGTCGAGTTCTACGCTTTCGCCGTGGAATGAATGGAAAACGGCAGCGATATAATGTAGGAGAGGAGGGGTAGTGGTATGTGAAAGCTGCGTGGGTTCGTGTGTGTGTGAGAGAGAGAAAGAGGAAGATAGAGAATGAAGGTGAGTTGAGTGGAAAAGAAACGAGACAGACACACACAGAGGTACCACACAGGCACAAACACTCTCACACTGCCAGAACAAGAAGAAGCGCAGCGCAAGTGGGATGGGATGCAGATGATGAAAGATGATTGTTTTTTGGCTGGCGGGCAAGGCAATGCAAGTAAGTCTAGCCATTGGGGTGGAAGTGGGGGGTGGGTTAGTGGTACCTGAGCAGGCAAGAGCTTGGTACCTGGGGTCTACCAGCGATATCCCACTAAATGGCGCCCTGAACCTGGGTGGTGTCCAGGTTGTGTCGGAGTATTGGTAGCTAACTAAGAGTGCAACCAGCAGGTAGCCTCTCCCCCCTTCCTCCTTCCTGTCCTTCTACCCTAGCTCAGTTGCAATGGACGACAAGACGACAGGCACCCCCCCAAGGTCTAAGTTTTGCGCCCTGCCTCACAGCTTCCCTGACAGGGCTGGGTGCGCTAAAGCAGAAGGCGCCAAGGGCTAAGGCGAGCCCGCACTGTGTGAGTGCAGGGGCGGTCCCCAGGCCGCGCGTGTGGTGGCTGGACGAATGAGGGGCGATCATTCTCCACTTTGGTATCCACCAACGGCCTCAATTGGGGAATATGTTGTGGCTGGTCGGGCTGGGAAAGAGACACCCGCTGTCATTTCCATCATTTTCCAGGCACCAAACAAATGGCACAAACCGGGCACTTTGATAAAGTCCTGAGACGGCTAAAAAACCAAACTTGGCTGTTGTGACGGAAGTGGAACCGCTGACAGATTGAATGCGGCCACATTGAATGGTTGAATGTCCAAATTTTGCAGAGGCAGGTGCGGTGGTGAATGGAGTATCAATCATCGAGACCAAAAATCAGAGAGGCTGGTGGATTGGACCTCTTTTTTCTTTCTTTTTTACCTTTTTTTTTTTTCTTACCTCCCGTTAGCCCCCGGCCCTGCTCCTCTCCCACTTGAGGTCGTCCGAGTCTAACTGCCCAATTAACGACCAAGGGTTCTATTTCTTGTAGAGCGGGTCTAAAGACATCATTCTGCTGCAGATGAAAAGAAGTAAAGAAAAAACACACTCATACACAATGAGGTTGATTTACCGTGACCTCGTACAGGGGTTCATCCGCTGATAGTTGCAATCTACAGGGGTTCTCAAAACAACCCTCCCGAAACCCTTTTTTTGCTTGCCTGTCACCTTGCCTGCGGAAACAATCTCGCTCGCTTACGAAGTGAGGCCATGTCGCGATCCCGCCCTCGCCAGACTCCACCGTCTAGGCCCCCCGGGAACAGGGAGTTCTATGTGGTATCGCAACTGTGCCACTTTCAGGCTACTTTACCTGTCACTGGACGTGTCGGGTCGCGGTTCGTCGACGTGACTCGCACCCTCGAGGTTGTAGACGACAGATACAGTGTTTAGAAGAGCAAACGGGATAATATTCCAACGCCGAACCGGGCCTCAGGACGAAACAAGAGGCCACAGCCGTTGAGCGGTCAGGCCTGCCACCTCTTGCTTTGTTGAGCATTCCAAAATCAGATGATTCTGCAGTCAAAGGTGGTTGTTGTTGGAGATTGGAGGTTGGTGTCCTGAGCTGGCAGACCCGACATCTCCGCTGTATTCGACGAGACCGCTCCGAGTACTTTGTACCTGTGCCTGATGCGCTCAGTTCCCTGCCAAGCTGAAAAGGCCTAGATAAAAACAGGCATCTCCCTTCTTCTGATTGCGGCAATATCAGTTGCAGTTGTGAAACTCGCCGTTCTGTCGACGGAGCCAACGACCGCAATCAACTCAATTCTCGCCTCCAAAACCACTGCGGGCTGGCGTTCCTCTCTGCCGCAAGCTGCAAGGCATGGGGCAGGGATATGCACATCATCCCGAACTGAGCCTCACTGGGTGACGCGCCCCAGGTGCAAAAAAGGCGCTGCCCCAATGGGATCGTTCGAAACAATTGATCGAAGTCGAAGAAGCGAGCCACATCGCCAGCCAATCACGCACTCCGCAACAGCTTCCAATGTCATGATTTCGTAGTGTTTCCGAACGGCCCCCCAATCAATCTGGAGCAACCGGTTGCGAGCTTCTGGGCTTCTGGGCTGATCTCCACTGCAGCGCCAAGTCCTCAACTCGAAAGCTGACGTCTCCCCACAACCAAAATAGAAGCAAGAATATTAAGAGAACCCAGTTCCACCTCCCTTTTTAAGCTTCAAATCACGATAGATCGTCGTGTGGAATTTCGAAGACGGCGGATACATACAAAGAAAGATGAATACGCCTAACGGGGCATACTTCATTCCCACAAACATTCCATGACGCCTTCGGCGTGGCCCGGGATTGTAGCGGACGCCAAACCGACTAAGTTTCTCGCGTGGTGATTACGCACATCCGTACGTCTTCCCGCATTCCTTCGTGACAATTCCAGAGCCCTGGATGCGTGGCCCCACGGGCAATGTCCATGATGATAAGCCCTCTATCCGTACAGAAGCATACCGAGCCGGGGTATCGGAGCTGTGCGTTTGTTTCTTGTTCTCTCGTCTCCGCGGCCGAAATAAGCCTCCTTGTAAGCCATGTCTCAGCCTGAAGAGGAGAGAAGCAACCTCTGAACTCGCAAGAAGAAACGAGAGAAAACGTCTACTAGCAGTAGTGCCGTGGCGCACCAAAAAGTCCTCAGGCCAACCAACGGCCAAGGCCTAGCGCACAGGAGAGAGTAAAACTTGTTAAGCCTTTAGCACACAGTATCCGTAAAACGAAGCCATCCCTTTTGGGGCGCTGTATAGTTCGTCCTGTTTCTGCGAGGGGCTGCATTCCTGCCATAGCAACCACCCAGACAACGTCTCTAGTTAATTGACGTTGCTGTGGAAGAAGTCAGTTTGGTGCCGTGATGGCTAACTGAACTATTAACTCCCACCGCCGCAGCCACGTCTAGCATCGCCGACAATCCGTAAATCAACACAATCTTCTCCTTGCTTCAGGCAGTGAGTATGAAAGACTTGTAGAGAATCCCACCCGACTCAACAAGGACCTGCGGTTCGTCTCATGCACTAGCAAGCATAGAGAAACACGAGGGCGCCAAGCGAGCCAAGTCACCGGGACGCGAGTTCCCAAACGTTTCGTTCCGTTTCCCGAACACCCCGGGCGCAAAAATCGGGCATGGAACCCCCTCCACCGGGGGTTCCGATGACGTTCACACATCCCGTCCCCTGCAAGTCCACCTTCTCCCCCTCATGTCCAGACCTTCTCGACAATTCCACATCCTGACCTTGATCTTTGGCTTCATCCGGCTGAAAGCAAACTGTGCACACTGTGATATGGATACCTTTGGGCATCCCCCTCACGTCCCAAGATGGGGGGGGGAGGGGGGCAATGGGGTGGGTTATCAACAAGAGACGACTGACAAAAGAAAAACAACTTGGAGATTAAAAAACAAGGCCCACATCTTCGTTCTTCGACAACCCCATTTGCTTCTCCTATTTCAGCCTTACCCAGCTCGGTGACTGACGAATCCAGGCACCAAGGTCTCGGAGATGAGCCCGAAGCTGAGGTGGCCCGACAGTGGGAACGAAAAAAAAAACTTTGGAGATCAAGATCAAAGGTAGGAATCGGCCATGTTTGCCGCGTCACAACACGATCATCGCAGCTGAATCTATGAATGTCACGCTTTCACTGGTGAAGGATACTGCTTGGGAAGAAGCCTAATAATCGACATCACACCACTCAACAGGTAAACAGGGCTGTCATGGAGAGCTTGGGCACCAAAAGTCCGTGCTAAACCAGCCTCACAACATACATGACGATTCACACACGCTCTTTGGGCAGAGAGGGGGGGCAATAAAAAGAAGAGTAGTGGAGTTGTGACAGCCCGGCCACGTGCGGCCGCCAAATTCATTTCATCGGACTCTGAGCTTGGTCCTTCAACCTGATCTCCCAATTCTATAGACATTCCGTCAAGCTGGCTCAAAGGCCATATATATATATCCCATGCATACCATAATGTACCTCATCCCTGGCGTTGCCTTTCAATACAGCACGCAGCGTCCAGGTTGACAATTTCTTTTTTTTCTCCCCCCCCCCTCTCCGTTTCCTAGTTGCAACAGCTGGTAAGTTTGCCAGACCATGAAAAAGAAGTTTTTAATCCCGCCACTCGAGGAGCTTCCCGACCTCCAAAACGCCTACCATGTCGCCCTGATCGAGAACAGCCACGATAGAATCAGAGTCGCAAATGTACTCATCGTCATCTGCTGCCTCCTGCATGCTCTTCACGAATTCAACCGCTCGCCGTATTGTTGTGCCTGCAGAGATGGACAACATCTCAGCTCGCGGCACCATTAGCCCGGAAATCTCCCGCAGACTCCGCGTGAAGTCCTCCGTGGCCAGTTTCCTGATCCGGCTCGGGGACGCCACGTTATCGCCAACGCGAACCCAGCCCGAGGCCGAGTCATACGCTGCCCGGAAGAGGTCCGCCCCGACGCTTCCCGTACATAGGGCGCCCGAGTCGGGTATATCGGTCCAGGGTACCGCCAGATCCAAGATCGTCTGTGGTTTCCTGAAAGAGGCGCCAATGGCACCTCCGGGATGGTTCTTAGAGAACACCTGCGAGACGCTGGAATGGAGTTCCTGTGCCGCGGCGATGGCGAGGGCATCGCCAACCGCCAGAGCAACCGTCGTCGACGTCGTCGGCGCTGAAACCCCAAACGATGCGGTCTCGCTCTCATGGACCGGAGCGGGCAGAAGAATGGTATCTGGCCGTAACTTGATGAGCTCGCACGTGTCTGGCCGTGTGTGACCCGTGAGAATGATTAATGAAGAAGGTTTGTCGAGGTGAGGCAAGAGACCGAAAAGCTCTGACGTCTTGCCAGAAAACGTGATGAACATGAGGATATCATGTCGTTGGATGATACCCAAGTCGCCGTGCAAAGCATCAATGGGGTTCAAAAAGACTGAGGTGATGGAGAGGCTGTTGAAAGTCGCCACCAGCTTGTTGGCGATGTGTCCGGACTTGCCAACACCCGTAATAATGAGCTTGCCCTTCTCGCCCTTGTGGCGCGTGATTGCCGCGACTGTACGGTTGAAGCCATCCCGGGCGACTGGATCTGTCTCATATAATGCCGCGACTGAGCGTAGTGCTGCGGCCTCTGTCTTGAGGACATGCGTTGCTGCGTGCAACCTGTCTTGCACTTTTGCACAACTCTCGTCCTTCTCGGGAATATCGTCGGGAGATCCTAAGCTGAGTTCTTCCAACTCTCCATAGAACTCTTCTTCCGGTGGTGATACGGGTGGCGAGGGAGGCGATGGGGGCGGCATTGAGTCGCAATGTGGTGCGCCAAGAACATATACAGCGCTGGTCTGCACCGGCATATGACGGTGGTCTCCCATGATTATGATATTGGAGACGCAACTGGCGAGCGCAATGGCTGAGCGGTTGCAAAATCTACCGTTCAAGAAACAAAATCGTCAAAGTCGTTATCGTTATCAACTGAGCAGAGTCCAAGTGCCACCGCGGTGTTCAGATTCGTTATGCACCTCGACCCTTAAAATATGTCGCTCAAGGGCTGCCAGCTGAGAGGCTGCAGAACCAGAAATAGCAGAGTCCAGTTTACTGGAAATTGAGTCGCGGGGAGCAGCCAAAATGAACAATACGGCTGTACCAAAACTCCATGACGTTGAGAAAGCTCACGGCCAGGGGTCGAAGGAAGATTTGACCGAAGCGCGCGCGCCGGTCTAGTTAAAGAGAGGGAAAAAAAAAAGGTCGAATACGTAAGTTTTGTAGAGTTCCAGAGGACCCTGCGCTGGAAGCGACCGCCCTTACCAAACTCACCTTAATTGCTGGTCCCTCCATTCGGGGCTACCCTTGACTTAGCTTCAAGCGTAGTGGATAAGCCGTCCCGATCCGGGTAGAATGAGTGGCCGATATACCCATCTTTGGTGCGGCATGTCGCGCGTTGGAGGGATTGCTCTGCATGCCCTGCCTCTGGCGTGATCGAATAGGGCGCCTTGACTGGGGCCCAATGGAGGGACGGTTGGTAATCAGATTCGGGACGGACAGTTTTGAGAGCATTGAACGAAACAAGCCTTTGCGCTTTGTGGGCGTAGATGGCGCTTTCACCAGTCGTGGGCGCCCAACCAAGTCGAGTCAGTCAGGGGCCAGAGTGTAATGAGCCAAGTCCGAACAAAGATACGGGCCCGATATGGCGTAGACAGCAGTAAGCTGTCACTCTTTCTTCCCAGCAGATTGGAGGTCGGTCGGTATCACAAGCAACCCCGACCCTGTTGGCCAAGGTGGGGTTCACAGAGTCTATGATCCATCGATATCTTTTTGAGCATATCGATGCGGCCAAACCCGGGCGATGATGCGTGCGTTTGGCAGATGCCAAAATCGCAGCCTTTGAATACCCCAGCACGCACTCCAATGGGGGAAAGTCCGTTGACCGCTAAAAACAGGACAAGCGCCCAGTACTCATGATCCCGTACGCAACCGAAGGTATTGTCAGGATCGGATCGGATTTCTAGCGGAGATTTCGGTTGAAATTTCATGCGTGGGCAGATCGCCGAGGGTCCATGGTACCCTGCCACAGGCTTTTGACAAGACGAAAAGGCCCGATCCCCCTACAAGAGATCCGCTTCAAATGTACGGAGTAGTTGGCAGCACTTCGTATTTTGTATTCATTCAGCCATCGAAGTCCTTGACCTGTTATCAATGTGACTTCAACCCTCATGAGTCGCGGCATCTTTGAGAACACTTTTCGGATCAGCATCTGTTGCCCAAAGGCCAATCAGATTCACGCCTCTCATTTCTTCGTAGGAAATTGCCAAGGAGGTACGTCTAAGCCAATCAGAAGAGTCATGGGCAACACGTCTTGGTGGACAGGAGCTGTCGCATTTTCATGCATGCCAATTGCGTAAATAGTGAGGATAAGGATCGCTGGGGTTTTCTTGAGAGCGACCACTGTTTTGCAGTTACATCTCTAAGAACCATATATGCTGATGGCCCAAGCTCTTGGCCATAAATCTTTTTCTTCGAAAGGAGGATGCGCTTGATCTGGAGATGAAGATATGGTGAAGAGAATGTCATCACTACCTCCTGTTGTTTCAATTCATTCATTTGCTTTGTAGCCTCGATTCTGGTCAACATGTATCTCCGGCCTGGTTATGCTCACGGTTTGGAGCCTCACTGCCCATGCTAGTCCGCGAAATGGACACTTCGGAATCCTGTCCCGGGCTAACGAAATGAATACACCTTGCGGCCGAAAGAATATAGAGTCGCTGATGTGAGACCAGCGGCGGACCCGGCTTGCAAACAAGGAGAGGCGAGCACGGCAGCGGGCAGCTCAAGCTACTCATACGTACCGAAACCATGAGGCTGGAGGGCCCTTTGTCGAGTTCCCGAAGAAGACGAGTTGTGTTCACACAGGCGGTAAGCAATCTAACACATGCACAATAGGGCGAACGCCTGGAGATCGGCGATTTGGCGAGGGTGCTTGTGCGGCAATTAGCCGCAGTTTGCCAAGACTCATACTACTAGCTGTATGACTGCCACACCTGGTAGCGTAGTAAAGACTATAGCAGAAGACGAAGCAAGTATGTGGGACTTGAGTTACTGGGAGAGGTTGACTGTACGCAAGTCTGAAGCTGAAAAATTCATTATCAGCGATAAAAGTAATTCTGGCTGGCCAGATCGCGCATACCGGAGCGGAAACGCGTTTGTGGGATGCGAGGGCACTAGCTAAACATCCATCGAACTGGGGTGGAGACTTTGTTCCTGCAATCGATGCTGATAAGCGTCTTGTTGGCTCCCCGCACGATTTGGTTATGGTGTATATGATAGCGGTTAGCACGGCTAGGCAGTAGAATAACGGCCACGTTGCTGCTGCCAGCCTTATTCCGATTTGTCTTCTTTCTTCTGACTACTTTGCCGATCGTGGATATTATTTGTTCCCATTCCTGAATTTGACGCGGAGGGCCGGGCTTTTTGGGAACGGTATCTGGATTCGATGAATAGCTTGAATGGGAGACAGCTGTGACGGGATGAATACAGGGAGAGCATCTCGGAGTATGGTCCGTGCAATAGCGAATGGTGAAGGTCAAGGTGAAGGACAAATGGGATGGCCCTAATGTTGAGTCAGCTTGCTTTATGGTTTAAGCAGGCAGCTGTCTGAGGCAAGTGTGGAGAATGGCCGTTAAGTGGTCAGTGGATGATCAACGGAATGGTAGATGGGCAACTGCGTTGGTTGATCAGGCAGGTGGCATGTGTCCTGGTCCATGCAATGCACCTGCAACTGCAGCTGTGAAGCGTAGCTACCAAAGGCAGCCTACCGCCACCCATTTCAAGGCAGCAGCCACCCCGGGCCGTAGTGTACCTCACTTTCGGAGAAGCCACACTTCATCTGCCACGCAAAAAACGGGTGTACCTTACCCCGGTCACCTCTTCCCTGAAGCATGTTACCAAACCCACCTGCGCACACGCGTAATTGAGCCACGGCCACCCACTGGACAGCTTACCGGTTCAGGGAAGCAGGTAGCGTCATAACTGCCGCCAGTCTGCCCACCACCAGCTACTGATAGGCACCCCCCAAACTTGGATGTTTCCCATCGAATTGCCTTCTTTTTCAAGGTACCAGCCAATTCTCATTCTCTCTTGTCTCATCCATTCTTTCCAGGCAGAAAGGAGGAAACGAAGGCAACTCAGTTTGAACTCCAACACCAACCGTCCGCTTTCCTTTTTCTTGTCATCAGCTGCGAATATGACACGGGTCTCCGTCTACAGCGCCGCCCTCGTGGCTTTTGTCGCCGGTAAGCACCTGTCTCTCCATGTCACCCCGATAGACAGGACGGGAGGGAGACGGGGTATCCACCGTGCATCGTCATTGTTGCTTCTGAAGCTTGGAGCAAGACGACGATAGCAGCTGGACCTGCCATGATGAATAAATGAAAGCCATGCAATCCTTAATGCTGACGGTTTATTTAATAGCCACGGCGATGATAATTGCGTCCATCACACTACCCCATTGGGTTACCTACTCCGTTACTGCGACCGATGGAAACGAGTTCTCAAAACACATCGGCCTGCACAAGGCTTGCTCCAACCTATACGATCCACAGTGTCAAGAGTTTCCAACCGAAGAGCTTTGTAGTAAGGATGGCGAGAGATATTTCTGTTCCATGTGGCGATCCGTCGGCTTCCTGGCTTCCTTTTCTACGATTATGCATCTCGCTTCTCTCGTCACCTTCCTCATCATTATGAGCGGAGGCAAGTACAAGCGCGAGACGGGCTGGAAGGTTCTCAGCGGGCTTCTGCTTGTTGTTGCGGTTGTTGAGTTCACACTCATGGGCATTGTGGTATGTTTATACAAACTTCATACAGAAACGAGCGTGAGACTGAATGTGCCTGCAGGCGTATCTCTACGATCACGACGAGCAGTTCCGCGTCCCAGGATGGGGTCTCGATACCTCTTGGATCCTGTGCACCGTAAGCGCATCGCTCTCGGTCCTTTGCGCCTTCGGGCTCGCCATTTCTTCGTTTATCCTACCGCCAGAGGAGGGCTATGAGTTCCTCAACGATCCGTTGCCTTGAGGACTATCTATGACTTGGCCGAAGAACATTAGAGGCTAGCTCCGCTTCATGGTCTTATGTTGTACGCATACATGGATACAGGGATAGGCGTTTTGCTTTTGTTTTGCATATCTTCTTCGCACGGAGCCCTTATTTTTTGAATGCTGCAAGCGGTCGGAATGGAGCGATGTATGGTTTGCATCTGGTTTATGCGCCAACTAATTAAGGTACTCAATATACTAGCAGTGAGTTCAACAGCCTCCAAACAACGCCGTCTCCTTTGGCCGTATCACAAGACATGCAGTGGCGACACTGATGTGATAAAAGATAAGCGCTTGGGGGCAAGTGCGGGGCCGGCCGCCGTCCCCGCATTCACATATCGTTCGTTAAACCTCCAACGCTGCGGCATTGCCCAAGTAGATTATATGAGCCCATCTCTGTCCAACAAGCAAACTTGGTCTCATTAGTTTGCATCTGAACCTCAGGCTTCCTTTTAGATCGATTTGAACTCTCAAAATCACTCACACCCTCAGCACACTCCAGCTGGCCAAAATTTCGTTGACTCATCGTCCACCATGACAGTCTCCGCGCAAGATGAGGGTCTCACACCCGAACAGCTTGCCTCCTTCCACCGCGACGGCTACCTCATCATCCCCGGCGCTCTCTCCCCGGAGACCGTCTCGGGTCTCCTCTCCGAGACCCACTCCATGCTCGACAACTTCTCCCTGGCCGACCACCCTATGACGCGCTTCTCCACTGGAGAGAAGGCCGACCACGTCGGCGACGACTACTTCCTCACGTCAGGCGACAAGATTCGCTTCTTCTTCGAGGAGGACGCCTTTGACGACGCGGGGAACCTCGTCAAACCAAAGGCCCGCGCCATCAACAAGATCGGCCATTACCTGCACGCCCTCTCGCCGCCCTTCGCTGCCGTTTCAGATCCCGCTTCTACGCCCGACGCCGGCGGCCCCAACAAGGGCAAGCCCGCGGCCGTGGCCCGCAGCTTAGGGTTCCGGGACCCACGGTGCCTGCAGAGCATGGTAATTTGCAAGCAGCCCGAGATTGGCGGCGCCGTCCCGCCCCATCAGGATTCTACCTTTCTGTACACGGATCCGCCGTCGGCTGTCGGGTTCTGGTACGCCCTCGAGGATGCGACGCTGGAGAACGGGTGCTTGAGCTTCCTGCCTGGTTCGCACCGCTGGGCGCCCGTATCGAACCGTTTAGTGCGCAAAGCCGGCGATGCTGGTACGGAGATGGTGGCTAACGACGGCCCGAGGTTTCCCCCTGGCGATGAGTACGGGGCGCACAGGGCAGCTGAGATTGGGAAGGAGGGCGAGGATGCGTATGTGCCCGGCGAGGTCAAGGCCGGCGACCTGGTGCTTATCCACGGTAACCTGCTGCACAAGAGCGAGAAGAACCTCAGCCAGAAGGGGCGCATCATTTACACATTTCACGTCATCGAGGGCGAGGGCACAACGTATGATAAGAGGAACTGGCTGCAGCCGCCAGAGGCCGGGTTCACCAGGTTATATGCTTCCTAAGGTAGCTTCGTGGGTATATCCATTGATAGCAGCAGTCTGCCCCAACAAAATACAAAAAATATTTTCCCTCTATTTGGGTTTCGGCTTTGCGAATGAAACGGAGAGGGTTGTACAATGTTCATTCGCGTATACCGCATTACTCTCTTCCCTTTTTTACCTCTTCTTGCCAGCGGACTTCTTCGTGTTACCTTCTTCTTCCGAAGAGTCGTCGTCGCTGCTATCGTCTGAGTCCTCCTCCTCGGATGATGATGAGGAGCTGCTCGAGGTCTCGGCGTCCCGCTGGGCAGCCTGGCGCTGAATCTCGGACTCGTTGTCGGAGTCATCCGAATCGTCGCTGTCGCTGCTCGAGTCGGAGTCGGAGTCAGAGGACTCGTCCGAGCTGGTGTCGTCCATGTTTGCCGTGCGCTGCTTGCGGCGACGAGGAGCATTCTGCTTCGTTCCGTCATTGAGCTTCACTCTCTTGTCGACGGTCTCTTCCTGGGCGGCCGCCTGCGAGGTGGAGGGGGTCTCCTCCGTATCAATGGTCATGGCATCGCTGTCCTCGCTCTCCGACAGCTCCTCCAGAATCGTCTCGGCGCGCATGCGCTTGATCACCCGCTGCGTGATGGCGACGTCGGTGGACTGCGACACGAAGCCGCTCTCATCGAAGCGCTTCCTCTTGCCGCTGCCTCCAGAGCCGAGCTGCATCAGGCCGGCAAGCACCTTCTCGTACTCGGATTGCTTCGTGTCCATGTCTGGAGTGCCTTCAGGGAAGCCGGCCTTGCCCTTGGCGGCGTCCTCCTGCTTGACCTCCGCCGCCGTCTCCCTCAACCGTGTCCTTGTGAAGCCCTTCAAGTCTTGGATGTAGTCGTAGAAGGTATTGATGTCGCTCGACGGGATCGAGTCGGGCTGGAAGACTCGCTTCATGAGAATGGTCTGGTAGTTCTTGTTGAACTTCCACGTCTCGCGGGATGACTTCCAGTTTCTCAGGTAGTCGAGGGAGGGCCTGATGTCGGCCTGCTGCTGCTGAGTTGCAGGCTTGGCAGCCTTTTTGCTCTTCTTCTTAGCGCTGGCGGCGTCGCCGGTCTTTGTCGGCTCGGCGGCGGCGGGATTCTTTGTGTCGTCGGCAAAGGTGACGGACTTCTGCTTCCTCAGGGTCGGGGGGGTGGCAGCATGGCCGTCGGTGCGGGTCCTTTTGAGGGGGGAGCTGAACGCAGGGGGAGTTGATGTGTTCTCGGGACGTTTCCTTTTGGCAGCGGCGGCGCTCGCCGCGTTGACGGGGCCGTTGGCGTCCCGGTCGTTGTGGTATCGCTGACCGTTGGGCCTCGATCCCTCGGTGGTGGCAGGGCCGCCAGTCTCTGAGCCGGATGCGGGCTGCTTGAGCTTGAGGCCCAATCGCTTCCAGGCGGGAATATTTGCGGACATGATGGGCAGCAGCGGGCACACCCTCTTTTTTTTTTCTGGCCCCTTTCAAATCTTTTTTCGGGTACGAAGGAAGGGAGGGAGGGGGGTACTAGATCGGAATTTGTTGTCTGCGTGTCTGGCCTGACAAAGTGAAGAAAAAATATGCAAGAATTGGGCCGCTTCAATGCTATCCACGTGTACTAGGCCTATCGAATTGGAATGCTATAGCCTTAGCACAGCAGTCCGATTGGGTGCAGCGCGTGGTGGTCGACACTGAAAAGAGAGTAACGGGAATGGTCGAACCTCAATATTTTTTTTTGCGCTCTGAATACCGCCCTGCCAATTTTTTGGCAGCGAGATGCGTTGTCGTTCCCGCTCTGAGCAGGGGTGCCCCGCTGTATCCTTGTCAGTCGAAATACGTACCGAAGAGCATTCCAAGAATGGCATTATGTAAGCCATGCGTCCACTCATTTAATGCCTCAGGATAATATTCTGTTACTGAGGACCAATCCAAGGCATCCACTCAGCCTTCCCACTGGAGCTTCCCAGTCCGTTGCCTCGCCTGCTCTAGGCAAGCTCCTGCAAACGCGTCGATATTCCTAGAGCTCCGTTAGAGCTCAAACCCCCTCTTCGAACTACCACCACGCCCATCTTCCGCACATCAACGAATCCTTGAAGCCCATCTCTGTCAAGACAATCATTTTCTAGACGTAATTTGACAACTCTCAACACAGAAACACCGCCAAGATGTCGGGTGCGTACTTCCATCACCACCGCTACCCCAGGTCGTCTTGACCCTGTGACCGTTCAACCTGGCTAATATGACTTTCTCCAAACAGGTGGCTCAGCTTATGACCGACACATTACAATCTTCTCCGAGCAGGGAAGATTGTACCAAGTCGGTATGTACTTACCTTTGCCCACCAGCCTACCGATTGCCCCTCCCTGCGGTGATGCCATCGAGCGGGGCCTGCGACACCTTGACCTGAACCAACCGAGCTGACGAAACGATGCCGATCAGAATATGCCTTTAAGGCAATCACAGCTGCCAACATCATGTCGATAGGTGTCAGAGGCAAGGACTGCGCCGTCGTCCTGTCTCAAAAGAAGGTGCCTGTACGTTGAAGCCACGAATGACGTTGCAAACGATGGATGAGGGACTGACCCCATGATAAGGATAAGCTCATCGACCCCGCCTCCGTCTCCCACATCTTCCAGATCTCTCCTTCTGTTGGCTGCGTGATGACGGGCTCCATTGCCGATGCCCGTGCCTTCTCTCAGCGTGCTCAGGGTGAGGCTGCAGAGTTCCGGTACAAGTACGGCTACGAGATGCCCGCTGATGCCTTGGCCAAGAGACTGGCCAACATCAGCCAGGTCTACACACAAAGAGTGAGTAAAGCCAAGATTAGTATGATGCGATTATGGCGACTAACCAGAAATCAGGCTTACATGCGCCCGTACGGTGTTGCGACGACGCTGATCTCATTGGACTCGGAGTTTGGACCTCAGCTGTTCAAGTGCGATCCTGCCGGATACTACATTGGCTACAAGGGCACCGCTGCTGGCCCTAAGCAGCAGGAGGCACTCAACCACCTCGAGAAGAAGCTGCGTAACAAGGATCACGCCCCCGGCGACTGGACAGAAGTTGTCGAGCTTGCCATTACGACGCTCAGTACCGTTCTCAGCATGGACTTCAAGAAGGGTGAGATCGAGATCGGTATTGTGGGAGGCCCCCGCGCGGATGGCAAGGAGGGTACGGACCCCGGTTTCCGTACACTGACTGAGGATGAGATCGACGAGCGGTTACAAGCGATTGCGGAGAAGGATTAAGGAGAAAGAGACAAAACCCGGCTGGTGGAAGCTGGATGCGGTCGGTGTGTCCGATGACGAGTCTCCTGGCGAAGTGGATTCGCCCGTAGACCAGATCACATATGACCTCCGCGGGGTATACAGATGAGAAATCGAGTTGGTAGTCTCACAAACCCAGATCCCCGCACACGATTGTACTACTAGCCAGCCTACCAAATGATATAGATCAAGACATTCAGAAGACGTTGGTATGATCATCCCAATGATGCTCAAGTCTAGACGAGTTTGATAGCCTTATGCCTTCGGCTGAATGCTGACCAACCGCAGCCGTGAGCAAATCGCGTCTGTGGCTTGACAGAGGCCAGCGGGGAGAGAGCTGACGTTGGTTGTCTCGGATGCCGCATATCAGGGAGATGCAAGACAGAAATTACCCGGCGAGACTTCCGTTTGATGGAGTTATCTGTATCGTTGAGTAGTTCCGGGGTGCGGGCAGTGAATTTCCCCGAAAGTGAGACGGTCCGGCACGACGTTTTCACAGGGCGACGATTGGCATTACGGTCAACGTTGTTGAGAAAAGCAGGGAACGGAGAGAGGGCATGTGGAGGTCAAGCCACCAAGGCCACGAGAAGGCTGAACTGACACGGCAAACTGCTGCAATGTAATGGACACGTTGGTTCTAAAGTCTCCTTTTCAACGTTCGTGGCCCCCACTGGCGGCATACATGAACGGCCTTATGAGGCCAAAGCTCCGAGAGCGAATGAAAGGCGGGAATGGCATCTTAGACACAGCTGGATGAATCAGCCTTTGAGACTATCATCCAGTCTTCATTCACAGCAATCGGGGTCCCACAAGGAGAATTCTCGAGTCTGCCTTCTGCTAAGTCACAATGGGCAGCAGTGACAAGGGAGCGATATGACTCTAATGCGGGTGGACGGTTCGGCCATGGTAGTTCAGCTGAATAAAACGTGCCAAATGTGTTCGAACGTCAAGAATAGCACTGTTTATTGGCCGCAGCCCCAGTTAAGCCACAGAAGAGTGGATTCTCACTGCATCCAAAAACTCCAGCCCGCTTCCCGATCCGGTCGCCAAGGATGGTGTGGAGTCAGCTGAAGACCCACCGACTTTACCTTATTCTTCATCCCTGTCACCAGCCCGGGGGAAACGACGTGGAACTGCACCATTTGGGCTGGCCAGACCTGTGTACTCTGAGAGGCTCTTGACAGTTTTTTTCGTCATCCTATCTTTTCTCCGCCGTCCCCCCAGCAGGGTCTAGGGGGGGGCAGCGAGTCCTTTTCCTTTTCCCACCATCACGAGCCTCACACTCCACACCCTCGGTCTTAGTCTCACATCCCTCGCAGCCCTCCTCAGGGTCTGTTGGGGGGACTGAGGCCCAAGCCAATTCTATCCAACCCCTTGGCTTGAGGTGTCCCCTGGCAACAAATCAACATGATGCCCATGCATGTGCAGCAGCCTAGACCTTCGACCCTGCAGCAATCGAGCATGCGAGTTACATCATCGCCAGGCCTCCCGAGAGAGCTTAGGGTAAGTGTCTCTGTAATAGCTGCGACTACACCATCTTTCGCGCCGGGAACCAAGGCGACCACGCGCGCCACCAGCTCGGCCGGGGTCAGTCTAGCTAGGCCTTGCAAAGCCATCCCAACTGTCAGGACCCTGTCGTATTTTTCCCGATTCGCCTGCTTGAACTATCAGCGAACTGGGGGCCAAAGGCCCGTTTGATGAAGGACGCAAGAACCATTGGCCAAACATGTTGAATGAGCTCATGCATGCCCTATGGGGCTCGTTCTCCGCCCGGGAACTATCCAGGCTGGAGTCCACAGAGCATGAGAGATTGCAGTTGGTGACGGAGCATGCCTTCTTGGCCCATTGACTCGGACTCTAATCCGAAATTTTCGTGATTCACTCTCTCCCTCCTTTGCTTCGGAGGCCGTCGAGAACGTACAAAAGGCCGAAGGTGTGGCGTCTAGTTGAACGTTCATGAGACTACAGTAGACAGCAGGCTCATCACCTTTGACGACAGCAAGCCTCTCGTTCTCCGGTCTGGCCCTTGATTTCTTATTACAATAATATCCTTTTGTTGGCCACTTTTCCTCCCCTTCAGTTGCTCTTAATCACCAGACTTTGCAAGATACTTACCCAACAACCAATCACTACACACAATTCTACACATACACACGCGCGCAAAAAAACTTTGTTCGCAATAATGGATGGATGTAGGTTTACAGCCAAAGGCGCCTGGGACATTTCCCTGCGTACTGGGGGTGCTCAATGGCAGCGGGCCTGACCTTTCCTAGTGAATGAACACAGAGCTATGAGAGTCGGAGAGGTCCTCTCAGACTTCCGAACTTTGCAGTATTACATTGCAGCAGCGCCAACGGACCCTACAAACATGAACGACTACTACACCGAGGGCTGGGCGGCCTTGCGCCAATGCGCTCTCGATGGGCAACACATTCTCAATTGCGCGGCCGACACCAGCGTGCCGCAAGTAAGCGGCGGGCCGCTGGAGCAGGAGAAGGCGGAGCTGAAGCAGTCAGTTTCTTGGTTTTTACCTATATATTTGCGTCGAATCTTACTGTTTTCCCAGGGTTTTACTTGATTCATTCGCCAGACGGCATGAGTGTCAGAAGATCTACCTACGACAAGCTGCGGCGCAGCGGTGGGTGGAAAACCGGGACAGTGTTCTGCAGGGCGGAAGTCCGAGCTCGAGGAACCAATCGCATTTGCGGGCTTGTGATCAGCAGTTGAGAGTTGTGAGTCCCAACCCGAGCCTCGTTACTTAGGGGTAAGGCACAGCTAATAGAGAGACTACAGGAGCTCACAATGATCACCGACGAAACTATCTACAGCGAGCTGCAGGCATCGGATCGCTCAATGGGTCGCTGGACGGCCGAAGACCCCAGTCTACGAAGCGTGCAGCGCTGGCTTCGCGCACGACAGCCTTAGACACGATTTACTCGATCGACGAAGAGGGATGTTTTTGACGAGATTATGCAAGTTTCATCATTTCTACTAGCATCCAGGAGCATTTGTATAAACGGCGTATGGAGGATATCACACATGAAGGAAGCGATTTATTTGATTTTCAGGTCTTTCTTTTGATTCGAAGTATACCTAGAATTTTCTTTTGTTTTTTCCTGGCAGGCGACTGGATGCGCTTGGCCTTGGGGAATTCTGGTTCATGTTAGACATGGACAACAGAAACGGAAATGATGGAAACGACGGACGAGACATGAGCGAGAGAATGATTGGAGTACGGTTCCTGCCCGGCGCAGAAAGATCATTCGCTTCTATCAGAAAATATCTATATTTCAGCAATTTTATGATATGGCCCCCAATACCTTCAAACATTCCCCACGCAGATGCCCGAGACATGGCCACACGGCAACGATCCAGCCTAAAAAATGTGCACAATACTTAGCCATGTGCCCCAGATGGACATCTCGCTAGCCTATAGACATGATATCAATATCTAGTCTTGCTGTGCACGCATAACGCTATCCCAGAAAGAGACAACACCATTCCGAGCATGGTATCTGTGCAGGTTAATAGGCGGCCAATCACGTACTCTGGAGCCATGGAACTGGGACTCACCCCGACTAATGACTTTTTTCTCAACCCACCATTCGCCAATCACAGTAAATAGGAAGGCCAAAGTGTTGACGATGGGCACCGTCAAACTCAGTTCTTCAAGTCCTGTTAGTACTCCACTACCCCTTTCTTTCCTCAACCCGGAAAACGGGGGAAGAAAAAAAATAACTAATAAAAAAACCACTCACCGGCCTGGCCAATGAGCAAAAAGAACCATACGCTCCCCGTCAAGTTAATTAGCAGCGGCGCGGCATACCGAGGGTTCCGCAGCAAATCGACAACGCCAAAGAAGGCCCCGTAGACACGGCTCTTGATCCAACTCTGCTTGACAGCCTCAGTCTCGAGTATCGGGTGCGGTGGCGGGTTGTGATCCTTGGCAGCGCGGCGGATGAAGGGCGTCGTGAAACCCCACGCGAGGCCAACGAGCAAGAAGCCAGCGACGTAGTTGATGGCCGCCGGTCTAGACTCCACGTCTGACGGTGATGTCATTTTTTTTTGCCTTCAGCCTGCCAGCCTTGCTCAGCAGATGGGGTTGTACGAGCTGAAACGGTCTCAGCGACAGGGCTGTAAAGATTGTGAGTTTTGATAGTATTTGTTTTCACGCAAATCCGCCGTGCCGGAATACCGGATTGTGATGGTGGTGATGGAGTGAAGTCGGATCGTGGAGGTGCGTGGGAGGGACAAGGGGCGGAGCCAGCACAGCCACGCGGCTGGTGGGTGCTGCCCCTGACAGCCGCCGCCAAGGGTGTGATTGGACTGCGGACTCTTTGTGGGGTTGAGTCGCAGGGATCTTGACGGCGGACGTAGCCGAGCGGCTGACTACACCACACCGCTTCCACGCCGGCACGATGCCGTCATCGTAGCGCGGAGGGTTTTGTTTTCTTCACTACTTTGTCGGTTCACCTGAAAGATGCATTTTCCTTTTTCCGCAAATAGGGGCTCACCACATTTTACAAGAGGCCTCTCGCAACTCATATTGTATAACAGCGCTATTTGATCTCATAAACCCGAATATCCCGAGAAATAAGTCTAGCCAGCTTCGTATCCTTTGGACCACTTCGTCTGCATTAGTCGGACGATAAGCGGTTTTGCGAATGCGAGTTGGACGCAGGCCCAGTGGCTTGCATGAGGAATTTTCTCCCCCCTCCCAGCCAGTCGCAACCCAGAAGGCCGATCAAGACGAAACAGGCGCCGAGTTGGCGGGCCTTTAAAGAAGCTACTGTGACTGGCGGCTGGACAGGCTTCTCAATCCTTTCGGAGCGATATCAGAACCTACAGGGGTTTATGGGACGATGCACCTGGTTCCAATCGCGAGCCGCATAGCCGAGAGCGTGCTTGCGTTACACCTTTGTTATCCACGATTTCCATACTTTCTATTCACACAGGGTTCGCGCTTCCTGATACGAGATGCGTAGCCCTGACATCTGCTGCGGCTGAACAGCGGGCCGGATTCAGAAGGGAGGTTGCTCCTTTTGAGATTTTGTTTACATCGGCAGTTGAGGTGACACTCGTACCTTTCAATCGGCATACAAGAGCCATCCAAGCGGTTTGTGCTGATGCAAACCTGGGGGTGCATCCGTTTGGGGGCTAATTAGCTGGAAACGCTAGTGCGTTGACAAGCGGCAACTGAGGACCAATTGCTCCTATGGGCAATACACAGGTACATAGCGAATGCCAGTCGGTCGTCAAAAATATGGAAAGAAAGTGGGATGAACTTGAAAAGTCCCGCCGGGAAGTCCTCATTATCTATTCCACTCGACCCTCCCATTTTCACCGGTTAGACTCAGTCCTCTCCCCTTCAAAGATCAATTACCACAGACATATGTTGCATTCCCAGGGGATAGAGTTCCAGCCGCAGGGAGTCTGTGCTTTCCTTCCCGCCAGATCTAGTGTTTGTCTTGCGGCATCGGGTTGTTGACATCATGACTTTCCGAGGCGATGAATCATCACCCTTTTCTCCCGCCCCGAGCTGGTGGGGCGAACAACCTAAATGAGCCGCCTCAACGACATGCCGTGGTTACAGGACCGCCAAGTCCGCCATTAAGTGCTCGATCTTTGGGGGATCTGCTGGGAATTGGCAGTAAAACACTGCCTGCCCGTTTGATTTCGACCCCGCGATTCCGAGAGCTAGGTCTTTGATCTTTGCTTTAGCCAATTGCGGTCTTTACGGGACATTACGACTCCCGAAAGATGCCAATTTTAGATTCCGATGTGGAATAATGCATCTTCTGGGCTGAAGGCATTCTGAGGAGAGTTTGTTCTTGTAGGTCGGCTTCTCTCCCAAGAGTGTGCAATTCCACTGTTCTCTATCTAGACAAGTTGTTAATAACAAGTTAGTAGTTATGGGAGCAATAAAATTTTCCAATTATTCAATCGAGTATTCTAATAAAGCTATGAATGAATTGACTCTCACTGAATCGTTCCTAGTAAGGCATCCGGCCAGGAGCAATTGCTCCAGGTGCACTACGTCAAATATCGGTCCTACGTTTCTTATTCTGCCCGACGTGCGCCGATCACCACCACAATGACGGCAAACTCCATCAATGCAGCACCAGTCAGACGGAGCTCGATTAAACGCCGAAACCAAGCTTCCTGGGCCCCTCTGGAATTAGCCAGTAATAGCAGCGAGAATAGGGCCGACGTATGGCATAGCAGCTTGATCTTGTGCATTAGCAGCTTCAAGCCGCGCACACGCCCCTGTTATTGGTCACCGAGCTTCTTCTTACCTCCTCTTTCCGCCATTTTGATCGATCTCATCTGATCCCACCTAATCGATCGAGAAGCAAGGGGAAAAGCTACTCTCAGGCGTGCCTGGCCTGAGTATCCCTAGTGTTCGCTCCCCTACCCGTTAGATGGCAGGTGTAGCACCATATGATCTGTAGTGCCGGCAGGGCGGTACCCTTAACTGAGACCACCATGACCTTAACCACGCCGCCGCATGAGGCTTAACTTTGACTGTAGCTCGAGCTTCCGATCAACCTAATTCCCCCACATTTTCACCCCTCTAACCACTTTTCCCCCTTACGGTAATGCCGGTTCAAGCTTGGAACAATGTATGGTCATGTAAGCGTAGCGGCGGTGTCGAGGAATAAGAAACGCAAGACGCCGGTGTATCGACTTAACTTGACCCGCCATCTCGATTGAGGGTCGGCTCTTCTTTCATCGACCCCGGAGACGTCATGACTTTGCGAAGGCCATCCTGCCTTACAGTCACAATCGAGTGAAATATGCTGGAAAAAGTAAGTGCACCACGGTTAGACCCCTTGGGCATTGGCCCCAGTAGTTGGATCCCGGCAGGGGAGGGTCCTTTGCCGGTTGCATGTTTAGCTTGGCTATCTGACAGATTGTTTGCTGGGTACCCCCGTGAGAGAAATGGACGTGAAAGTGGCATGCTGTAGGAGATCGATAGAATCAATGATGCCATCGACTACATCGAAGCCCCTTTGACCTCCTCGGCTCTGATGATACTGCTGCGGTCCAAGTGGAGGCGTGGCTTCAACTTGGAACTGAGCAATCATCAAGGTCCGCTTGACAAGGACATGTTCAGATTCTGGTGCCTTGAGAATTGTATAAGAAGGGGCCAACCCTCCAGCTTCATTCAACCTTTTCATTCTCATCAACATCACAACAAACAATCAAGCCTCATCAACAACTTCACAGCTCCAAAGCTCTTTCAACCACTTTTTTCAAAACCAAACAACCCCCAAACCAACCACCAAAATGCCCACTGAAGCTCAGATCGCCGGCGGCCACAAGGCTAACCTTAACAACCCCAACACTTCTGAGGAGTCCAAGAAGAACTCAAAGGCCGTCCTCGAGAACGAGTTCAACGGCGGCGATGTCCCCAAGGCCAGCGACAACGAGAACAAGAACCCCGGCAACGTTGCCGGCGGCCTCAAGGCGTATGTCTACTATTAGATTCCATATCACATCAAACGAAGTAGCTGACTTTCAATCAACCCAGTACCCTGAAGAACCCCAACGTCTCCGATGAGGCTAAGCAGTCCGCCCAGGAGCGCCTTGACAACATGTAAAGCGACGGCGTCTTGTATTAATATGGGAATCATTTCGATACCCCAAGCGGCATCCCATTGATTGGGATACGGAGTAAGAGAGCGAGTTTATGAATGAGTTATGCCACTGTATCTTAGTTACTACCATCTGCTTGGCGCGCGCAAGCATACAATGAGATCACTGTAAAACTCACTTAATCTTCTGTTGGAAGCATGTCATCGACTTTGCCTGATGCGATAACATCCTCAAAGGTGCGTGTGTGCTATCCTAGGATCTCCAACATCAAAGTGTGGAACAATAGTTACCCAGTGAATTTGAATGATTTCCGCAGGAATTGCGAGAGATTGTTTTTCCATCTGGATATGATAGGTTGCTCGTTTGCTGAAACCACAACAGTTGCAACTCCCCAAACGTTAATTAGCGAATTCCAGTAATGTAAGGCACTCGATAGTTCCCACGCTATAAAGTTGAAAGATGTGGAAAGTATCCTAGGCTTCGTGGACAGCACAACGCAAACAACAGCAGCAGGAATTAAATAAAGTATGAACAAAACTTAAATTACAAGTCTATAGGTCTATATCCAGGTATCAAATACATCACATGCCTGGGGCAGAGAACTCTACGCCCTTGAGCCCAAAGGCCCTCTTAACGCTGAGCCACAGTTCAAACGCCCCGAGCTTGAACTCGACTCTCAGGAAACCAACCCAAGCCGAGACCAGCCGGAATGCATTAGGCGGCCAAAACAGCGAACCGCGCTGCCTCAAATCTTCCAACTGCTCCTCAAACACCGTCCGCGTGCAGTATCGCGCGAGGATCATAAAGGAGCGAATGGGTCCTTGGCGGGTGTGCAGATTCTCGTCGAGACTGCGCGTGAGGTCGTTGGTCTTGAGAATCAGGAGAATGATGCGGGGCACCTGGCCAAGCAACTTTACGAGATCGGCAAGCAGACCCTCCTGAAGGGCATCGCCCATTTCCTTCTTCTCGTCAGGGGTGCGTGTCTGGAGGACTGAGCCCTCGCTGTTCAAAACGCTCCAGTCGCGACCAGTGATGGCAGATGCGAATAGGGGGAATTGGTCATCGTTGATGTTGGCAACCTCTTTGGCATATTTACGCATACGCTTCATGTCGCCGTCAATGACGGCGAGCCACATCTTTGCATAGGACCGCTGGAGGTCCCTCGGGATGTCGCGGTAGAGGCCGTGATCGTAGAGAATGATGTCGAAGTTGTGGCCGCCACGGAGGCCGCGACGGGACTCGTTTTTGCGAATAGCCAGGTTGCCACCGTGAGGATCACAATGCAGGGGAGCGTTGTTACCAAAGATCATCTCATTGAAGATGCGAGCGAGACAAGCTGAGACCTCATCCCGGTCAATGCCATTGGCATCAAGATACTCGAGATCATCCAAGCGGTGGCCCGACACTCGGTCCATGACCAGAATGCGCTGCTTTGCCCATAGAACGTCGGGAATCACAAGGGGGTGCTCCGGAAGCTGAGCGAAATGCTCCTTTGTTCGGTTGGCGTTGTGTGCCTCCTCTCTGAAGTCCAGTTCCTTCGGCAAGGACACATCCATCTCGGAGGACAGCCATTCAAGGTCGTATTCAGGGAAGAAGCGCTTAAGTGTCGAGAATGTGAATCGCGTTAGGGCCAGATCGAGAGAAGACCACTGGCCGAGACCGGGATGCTGAACTTTGACCGCCACTTTTTTGCCCGTTTCCTTGACAGTCGCAGTGTGCACCTGTGCCAAGGAGGCGGCACCAATTGGCTCGTTCGAAAACTCGGAGAAGTAGTCCCATAGTTCATTGCCAGTATCTGTCCTGAACATTTGCTCGATCGACTCGAATGAAGATACCGGGCACTTGTCTTGTAGGGGAATAAAGGTATTTGTCCACTCAGGCGGAAGGAGGTAGTTCATCGCACTCTGGACTAGCGTTAGCTACAGTGATCGGCATCTTGCCCATGGAAGGGGGCCCATACCAGGTGCTGGCCCAGCTTGATGAAGATGCCACCATTCTTCTCCAGAACCTTAAGTGTCCGGTCAGCGCATCGTTGATGGCAGTCTTTCAGTAGTTTCGATTGTAGTTCGGCGTCTTCTGTCTTTTCTCGTTGGTTAAGGGTCGTTCGGTAGCTGTATTGGCGTTAGTACAGACTCGATTCCAGAAATCGCCTCCCCACCACCGAAGGGTTCTCATACTCGTTGATGCAAACAGCAAGAGCAGCGGCGACTCTGCCAGCACGCTCTGCTGCATCGTAACCGTACTTAATGTCGTCCGTAAACGCAAGCACGCCCGCCGCCGCTGCACCACCGCCGGAGGCAAGAAGCAGGACACCGCCCCTCCGGCCGCCCTTCGGTGGCGCCCTTCCGGCTGAGGCTTTCGAGGATGTCGACGAGAATCCGCGATTAATAGTGTTGCCGAACCTCTGCTGGGTCGTCCTGCTAGGTTGTACCAATGGGCCGGCGCGACAGCTGGAGCAAGTCCATGGTGGTCGAGTAGTGAGCCGGCGCAACGGGAGCGAGAAAACGGAGAAGGCTTTCATCTGGAAGCTGGCCGGCTGCCGCCAATAGTCTGACAATCGCAAAAACAGTCCACGGCAACTGTCATTCTACGAGACGTGTGTTATGTTTCGAGGGGTCTCAGGGCGAGTTTGTTCGGTATGTAACTCAACATTCGCTACCGATAGTGGAGTTGTTTGTTCAGTCTAGGGATTGAATTGCTCGGCGAAAGGCCCAGAACTAGTCGGAAACCATGCCGTCAGTCAATTTCCAGAGACTTTTTTTTTTCTTTGCCATTGCGCCTGCCGCATCATTGGGGAACGGTGGCGCCTTTCCCCCATGCGGTGTGGTTTTCATTCGTCAAAACCAGGGTCGATCCTTGCCTCGGGGTCCGCTCGGGAACCGCCGGGATCGGGTCTGGCTAGGATGTCGACTACGTAGTAGCAGGTAGTAGACCGACTATGCATGTGCACTCACACCGCCCGATTCCGATACTTTAGGTGGATTTCACGTGTCACCACAAGCCACACACCTGTGGCGCGACCCCTAGTATGCCTTGTAAATCGCGTCCGAGTCGCGTTCAAATACATTATCAATTAAGCAGGGGAGCAATCAGTGGAAAGCTACCTACCAACACCAACACGCCAACTTCAGCACCATAACCCCACGTATTGCCTTGCTCTTAACCAGCTCCATGCGACAAACTAAGACTCCCGAAAGAAACAAAAATAGCACCATGTTTTCTGTCGCCGGGCCTGTTCCCGTCTTCAACGACCGGGCTTCATGGGACTTTAAGCCTGTATTCTCGTCACCTCTTTCGTCGTCGCCAATTCGCGCGTCATCACCACTTTCTCCTATCAACGACAACGCCCCTCGCCAAACACAGTCGTCGCCTATCCCACAGCCCAAGTTCAAGTACGCGTCGCGACCGACAAGACCGAATCCGGTAGTCCGTCGAAGGGAGGATGTGCAGGAAAACCGGAGGAAGGCCTTCCTTCAAAACGTTAGGCAGCGAGCTGATGACAAGACCTACCAACGGCGGGATATGGAGGGCACTGTAAGTCGTCATGCAACTTGGTTGCGTTATGGATACATAATGCTAACAAACGGTCAGATTCTTAAGTCAGAATGGGACCGTGAGTTACAACAGCGATTTTACGCCAAACAACTCGAAAGCGATGCGATATACTCCGAGGCAGAGATTGAAGATGCCGCAGCTCTTTCACAAAACCGTGTACCACAGATGCCCGACGATGCCGACGACATGATGGTTGATGTAATCGCACAGGAAGAGCAAGAAGAGCTTGACGCATTGCTGTCGTCGTACAGCCAGTGTTCCGAAGCGCAGGCACCACCGGACCCTTACAACCTCTCAGATGACGAGGATTATGACGCGCTATTTCTGAGTCTAGTGTCACAAGAGAACCATCCACCGGATGCCTCGTCTCAGGAAATGGACATGTCTTAAGCATGGCTCGCTAATGAATGGGGCTCCGGACGGTTGGTAGGGTTTGCATCGTGAAATTTGGGAAGATCAGGCTATAGGATTGAACTTGCTTTAGGCGTTGAAACGTGGTAGGCGGATGGCGTATTGCATTTCACATTGCTCTAACTTTTATGAGCACAAAGTCACCCCAGGTTACGAGTCGGATGGGAATATATCTGCCGGATCTCCGCAGCGGGTTTCCAATTATTGCGGATTACAGCTCTCGTCTGCGTTAAATGCTTCCTGTGCTGATGGCATGTCCCCGACCAGATCTGAAGGTGGCGATCCAGCGGCTTGCATCTGTGACATGTCAGTTGCGTCGACTACCATAAGGTGTTGGCAGGCTTACCTTCTGCATCCTGTCAACAATGTATTCTCTTTCCGCCGCATTTGAGTCTGAGTATGTCTTCTCCTCAAACTTGGCAACGATCTCTTTAACCAAGGCTTGCTGCTCCTCATATCGTTTCAGGTCCTCTGCTGGGGTCTTGTCGCGGTTCTTCTCCAGCCACTCCGGAAACTTATCATTCAGCTCCTTCATGGGCTCGTACAGAATGTCCTTGTTAGTGAGTTGCTCCATCATGCCCATAAGCATCTTGGAAAATTCCTCCTCACTGCCTCCTCCTTCAAGATTACCGTCTCCAAGTTGCTTCATCATCTCCGCAAGGAAGTCTTCTGTGGATGATTCTGCTGCAGCTGCAGTAGCTTGTTCGCCCGATGCTTGCATGCGTTCCATGGTTTTCCTGATAGTCTCTTGGAACGATCCATCTGCGATGGGGTCCGACGCGGCTGCTTTACTAGTGGAAGACGATGGCGGGGGTGGGGCTGCTGCTGAAGCTGCCGTTGTAGTTGATGCTGATGTTTGCGTTTGAGGGGGCTCAGATTCCTGTGCAGCAGCACTGATTTGCTTGAAGACGTTATCGAACTGCGCTTGCATTTCCGGCTTGAAAGCGGTTAGCTGATGCGGGTTAGATTAATAAATTGAGGCCAAGTTACGTTTTTCTCTAACTCTCCAATTAAGTCTGCCATGCCGGCCTGGAGCTGCTTCGCAAAGTCGTCGGAAGAGAGCATATCCTCCAAGGTCTTGTCATCTGTCACATCTTCAACAGCTGCAGGCCTTCCCGGCCCAGTGGCTGAGGGCGCAGCTTGTGGTTCGGGCTTCTTGGAGTCCACCTGCACTGCTGCGAAGTCATCGAGCATATCTGGTCCGATTAGCAGGTACTTTCTCCCGGAAAACGTCGTCTTACGCACCGTCCAGGTCGTCCAAATCATCCTCATCCGGGTCCGAAACATCCTCCAGCGCATCGACTGGCGGCTTCTTCTCGACTGCAGGTCCAGAGCTCTTCGCATCGCCGACGTTGGCCGGGCCCGACGAAGCACCCTCTTTATCCGCCATTGCGAAACGTCCCCGATCGTCTAGACCAGACGCGATAGGCGAGTAGGGAAAAGCGCAAGAAGAGTCAAGTTCCCGGATGAACAAAACAACAGGCTCCTTCAACCGGCAACACGGGTATGATCAAAATAGTGAGTCGCGGCCGGGAAGCGATAACGATGGTTTGACCTGAGAGCGCTGCGGGCAAAGTCAACCGCGCAAGGGCTGGAGTAGGAATTGACGGTTGTACGTGTCGGGCAGAAAGGCGGACTGTCAGATGAAAGCCGAGGAATCGGCTCTGAAGCTCCTAGTCTTGCATCTGGGCAGTTCCATTTGGCCCCACGCCAGATTCCCAGCACCCCGCGCTACAGCACCGCTGTGGTTTAGCTGACAGAGAGTGGGGTCTTTCCCTTTGTCCACTGAGCCAGTAGTGTTTCGCTCCGCGCCCCTGCTGCCCCTCTTCAGGTGCCCTGAGCTTCTGCGGGAAGGCACGACCTTTTGATGAGGGTACCACAATGTTGCACCTTCCTTTGGTAGCCACGCGAGGTACGTACCGGGGGGAAAGACCCCGAAAAAATTCCACCGCTTTCCAACTGAGGCGGGCTGCTGCATCCATTGAGGCAAGTGTGAAGTGAGGCGACGCCTTACCTCGCAATTTATCGTGGAAGCCTTGCTCTGCTACAGATTTAGCTCAAACATCCAAGTCCCCGTACAAGTTCTCTCGATCTTGTCGAATTCTTCTGCTTTTACGGCGGGTATAACGCAACTTCAACTGCAAGGGTCGCTACCGAGAGTGCACGCGATCAGTAACAAAACTGTGCATCACCACCACGTCTTGTCCGCATCTTTGCGCCCACGCGAGGCACTCGCAACATACAATTTTAGTTGTCGACAAACCATCCTAATTTGTCGTAGTCAATACAGCTGGTTCCGCGATGTCTCTGTGCCAGAACAGACTCCAGGAAGAGCGGTACGACCTTCTCTCGTATCACTGCTACCCATCTTTCGCTAACTTGTCCCAGAAAGCAGTGGCGAAAGGACCACCCCTTTGGCTTCTTCGCCAAACCTCAACGTAATGCGCAAGGCACTCTAGACCTTAAGGTGTGGGAATGTGGCATTCCAGGGAAGGAGAAAACGATCTGGGAGGGCGGCCTGTTCAAGCTTACCATCACATTCCCCGAGGGTACGTTGACTTGCGCGGAGACAGCGGTATAATCTCGCGTGGCAAGCCTTTGCTGACATATGTGCCAAACAAATAGAATACCCCACGAAGCCTCCCAAGTGTGAGTTACCAAAGACTACGATGCTCAGGTTTCCAAACTGACAAAGACTGCGCAGGTAAATTCGTGCCTCCCCTGTTTCACCCGAACGTATACCCTTCCGGCACCGTTTGCCTGTCGATTCTCAACGAGGAGGAGGCCTGGAAGCCCGCCATTACGGTGAAGCAAATCTTGCTTGGAATTCAAAACTTGCTGGATGACCCCAATCCGGAATCGCCAGCCCAGGCCGAGGCTTACAGTCTCTTCAAGAAGGATAAGGCGGAGTACGAGAAGAGAATTAAGCGCGTTGTGCGAGAGAACCCGGCGCCCTAGACGTGCCTGGTAGCATTGGGGAAATAGAATCACGAAGTCTCAACGTCATGCCCGGGGGCATGGTTTTGGCGTTTTTAGGGAATACCATGCGGTTTGCTTCTCTGCTTTGGACAGGTCGATAACGCTACACGATGGATTTGGAGGGAGGCAAGATCAGAGGGGCAAATACGGGATGGGCATAAACTTTTAATCTTTCATAGAATAAAAGCTTCTATCGCAACTTCTCTCGCGACGGCGTACTTACTACATGAGTTTGCCCCTCTCAAGATGTCCTTGACGGGCAGTGACTCTTACAATGGTGGGGCCCAACCCGTCAGTCCGTAGTGGGAGGCGCATCATATTACCGCCGCCAGCCGTTCTGGTGGGTATGTCAAGACGGAACTAAAGTGTCCCGGGCTCATAGTAGGTTAGGATTCGGAGGGGCATGCCTCCACCATAGCTTGCTTGGCAAGATACCTGGAACCCTGCCGGCGGTGACGAGTAAGTCTGGCACGTAGAAGACTCAATGGGAGCGTGCACATTACCAAACAGTGAAGACACACAGTTTCGACACGCTCGCGTTCCAGCGCTGCAATGGACAGATTGCTCTTCTGACAGCACTCTGGACAATTAGATGTGAGCATCTATCCGTTGTCGCACCTGTTCCTGCATGCCGGAAAGGTTTGCGGTCGCCGTGGCACCATGTGGTGGCTCTCTGGAAATAAGAGTACCACATCAACTCAGAGTTCCTGTTGGTCAGCAGGGAGTTGTCCAGTTTCTTATCAGTCTCTCAGGTTAGGTAATTCGAAGACTGAAGGACGCTGAGTGGCCAGGACGCCAATCGTAGGAGCCGAGATCGGCCCAGGGTAGAGCTGTGTTACACTAGCGTAGCGTCTGGTATTAGTGTGGCGCACTTCCTTCTGGAGACACTTTTACCAGAGGGACGTGGGACCCAACTCACATACGTACTACGTCGTAGTAGTAGCCAGGGAAGGTTTAAGTACCTCATCTTAATTCACGCCCCGGGCCTCTTGTACGTGCTGGCCGCTGGGCGACGGCGGCGAGCGAGGTGCTAGGGGCAAGGGATGTCATCGTATCAGAAGAGACTTGGGGCCGTTGCGGCAAACCGAACAGAAAAAAAAAAAAAAAATGGGTGAAGCGCAAGAAGAGTCATAATTCTTTCCCGCTCCCACACTTCTCCCGTTGCCTCCCACCTCTTTGTTTTGTATTTATTCTCCCGAGATACCTTTTTTGCCTCTTGACTCTTGAGACTCGTAGTTTTCCTCTTGACACAACCCAAACACAATCACAGCTTGAGACCGCGAACATGTGTGGTATCTTCGCCTGTCACCGGTAAGCCGCCCAGCCTGCAAGATTGTCCCTACATCGGCACTTTGGAGGGGCAATTGAGGTCCCCCTCCAAAAATTCCCAGAACCCCGCCATGATTTCATGTGAGCAGCACAACTGACTCTTTGCGCATAGTCATCCCGACGTCCAAAAATTCAAGCCGACGGCTCTGAAGCTGGCTAAGGCGTGAGTAAACTTCTCTCAAATCTCCAGGTGCATCAATTGACTCTCTATCTTGCAGTATCCGCCATCGCGGCCCCGATTGGAGTGAGTCTGAGTCACCGCGCGACATCGGTCGTTCGCGAGCCAAATAGAGTAGACTAACAAGTTTTCCCCCCTAGGCGGTAACGTTATTGCCAACCACACAAGTAGGTCGCTCATAATCGCAGTTGTCAGTGCCTCATCAATTGACCATTTTTTGCAGTCCTGTGCCATGAGCGTCTCAGCATTGTCGGCGTCGGTAGGTGACCCCTCGAATGCATCCATGACAATGGCTGATCTCAATCGCAGAGTCCGGCGCCCAACCCCTTACCAACCACGATGAGAGCATCATCCTCGCTGTCAACGGAGAAATTTACAACCACCGTTTGATTCGCAAGTCCCTGAAGCACAAGTACCAGTTCAAGACTGGTTCCGACTGCGAAGTCGTCATTCCCTTGGTGTGTTACTCATGCCTACCTCGTTCGTCGAAATTGGCAAGAACTCAAAAGCCCTAACCATCTTTGACAGTATGAGGAGTACGATATCGATGCCCCCAAGCACCTCGACGGCATGTTCTCGTGGGTTCTGTACGACAAGAAGAAGGACCGTACCATCGCTGCTCGCGACCCAATCGGTATCACCACACTGTACCAGGGCTGGTCCTCAAAAGAGCCTGATGCCGTCTACTTCGCTTCCGAGCTGAAGTGCCTGCACAGCGTTTGCGACAAGATTGAGGCTTTCCCCCCCGGCCACGTTTTCGACTCCGCTACCGGCAAGACCACAAGATACTTCGAGCCTACATGGTGGGACCCTGCCAGAGTCCCCGATACTCCCGTCGACCTGAAGGCCATCCGCGAGACTCTGGAGAAGTCGGTGAGAAAGAGACTCATGGCCGAGGTGCCGTATGGTGTGCTGCTTTCTGGTGGTTTGGACTCCAGTTTGGTCGCCTCGATCGCTCAGAGAGAGACTCTTCGCTTGAAGAAGGCGGCTTTGGAAGCCAACGGCGAGGCAGGTTCCTCGACTGAGAACCCCGAGACGGGTGACGGTATGGTCGGTATCGACGACGACAACAAGCTGTCGACAGTCACCTATCTTCCCCAGCTCAACTCCTTCTCCATTGGTCTTCCTGGATCGCCCGACAACAAGGCTGCTTTGGAGGTGGCCAAGTTCCTCGGTACCAAGCATCACGTCATGACCTTCACGATTGAGGACGGTCTCAACGCCCTGTCCGACGTCATCTACCACCTCGAGACATACGATGTCACTACTATCCGCGCCTCCACCCCGATGTACCTCCTTTCCCGTAAGATCAAGGCTATGGGCATCAAGATGGTGCTCAGTGGTGAGGGCAGTGACGAGATCTTTGGTGGTTACCTCTACTTCCACGCTGCTCCCGACAGGAAGGCTTTCCACGAGGAGACTGTTCGCCGTGTGAAGAACCTGCACCTTGCCGACTGTCTGCGTGCCAACAAGTCGACCTCTGCTTGGGGTCTGGAGGCTCGCGTGCCGTTCTTGGACAAGCAGGTGAGTGATAAGAACTAATCCGGCGTAAAGAAATCTATGCTGACATGTTTTTGGCAGTTCCTCGAGACGTGCATGAACATCGACCCTCAGGATAAGATGATTACTAAGGAGAAGATCGAGAAGTACATTCTCCGTAAGGCGTTCGACACCTCGGACGACCCCAGCGCGGAGCCGTACCTCCCGGAGAACATCCTGTGGAGACAAAAGGAGCAGTTCTCGGACGGTGTCGGCTACGGGTGGATCGACGCGCTCAAGGACAACGCCGAGATCCAAGTGACGGACGAGATGATGAAGAACCCCAAGCCCGAATGGGGCAACGACATTCCCGACACCAAGGAGGCGTACGTACCGTCCAATCTCCCGGAAGAATATTGAGAAATGCGCTGACACTTTTTGACTTGACAGTTACTGGTACCGTCTTATGTTTGACGAGCACTTCCCGCCGCATTGCGCTTCTACCGTCATGCGCTGGACCCCCACTTGGTCCCAGCAGACAGACCCCAGTGGCAGGTGAGTCACATAGTACCCATCTTTTGAGAAAGAGAGGAGGACCTTGCCAGTTGCTAACCCGTTGCATAACAGAGCCATTTCCATTCACCAGCAAAAATATGAAAGCGCATAAAGGGGCAATTAAAATCGGAGGGAGATACCTGTATCCTAGCAATTTACGTCAATGCGGGCCGGTGAGGTAGAGGCGTCCTTGGTTGGGTTTTGGACCACATAGTAGACCTCAACAAGATTTAGAGTCTCAATTGAGTCGGTTGATGTGAAAAAAAAAAATGAATTAGGTTGCTGCGATGTCATGGGTCGTGATTGCTGATTGCAATGTGTTCGTTGTATTTTTGGGATCTCCGTCTTTCTGACCAACAACCAGGGGCTGTATGGAAATGTCCTCCCCTGAGACCCCCTCTGTCTGTAGTGAGGGGCCTTGCTTGTCACGAGTTGGGTTTCTGGGGTTAAAGATGCGGCAATCTGGTGCCTTCCCCAACCTTAGGTCCCCCCCGTCAGGAGCCACTTGCCCAGGTTGCTCCTGCCCTGTGTGTGACAGTGAGTGATTGCCCAGGACGGAGCCTTTGAGTCAGGGAGTGAGTTGGCGAGTGGCCCACTAACATCCCGCAGTGATTCAGTAATTCTATATCTCTGTATTGAGACAAGAAGCAAGAGACGCCCGTAAGTAGTGGTTACATGGTAGGCAGGAGCAAACAGAATGTAGAAGGAAGGAAACCTCCACCGCCAGTTCCTCCCTGACATGCGTTGTTTATGAGAAAATAGAAGAGGGATTCCAACACCGCTAAACTACACAACCTCTCTCCAACCAGCTTTCACCGTCTTCACTTCTAATTACCTCACGCAAACAATCCGACCAACCAAGCAACACAGCTGGTCGCATTAAGCAACCCCGACCGCAGCCAGCAGCATCCACCTCTTCGCTGTTACCTACCCACGAACGTCCCATCTGAGCTCATTGCAATCCCAACAAACCAATACACTTCCCCCACGTGGGGCCTAATCCGTCCTAGCGCGGACCCGTCACAACCAAGCTCCTCCGGTCCGACTTGAGCCGGGAATCCCCGTCAACCAATTGATGCAACCAAAACATTTTCTCGAACAGCTCCGCCCCCAGCAGCAGAACATCTCCTGAAAGGACACCTGCATCCCGCCTTTTCGCTCGTCGCATCTCATCACCTTCACGCGTTTCCCATTGTCAACTCAATTTTTCCCCAAAGTCCTCTTCTCAAATCCAGCCATCATGTCTGTTCCTAACTTCGGAGACATCGCCAAGTCGGCGAACGACGTACGCGCTTTCCCATTCCTCTCCCCCTCTACCCTCCATCGGGTATTCGCGGACGCCCGGCGGAAAAAAAAAAAGTCAAGAGCTGTTTGGCTCATTGATTCCTGACCGAGGCTGTTCGCGGTGAGAAATCATCTAGCTAACATTGGCCCTCGATAGCTTCTTAACAAGGACTTCTACCACCTCTCTGCCACCACCTTCGAGCTGAAGAGCAACACCCCCAACAACGTTGCCTTCAAGGTCACCGGCAAGACCTCCCACGAGAAGAGCACCAACGGAGCTGTAAGTCGCGCCATTTCCATCTAGAATTACCTCAGCTAATCAATGCTTCCCATCCAGATTGAGGGCAAATACTCCGACAAGGCTACTGGTACAGCAATCACCCGCCATCGTTTGAAGCGCTTAAATCTTAGCTTGGGCCGAATATACGGAAAGCCTTACGGCAGTCCTGTGTCATTCGGCGCAAGCGTCCAGCCTGGTTTCGCACAGTTGCTAATGTTATACACTCGCACAGGCCTCACTCTTACCCAGACCTGGAACACCGCTGCCGCCCTTGACACCAAGGTCGAGCTCGCTGACAGCCTTGCCAAGGGCCTGAAGGCCGAGGGTGTCTTCTCCTTCCTTCCTGCCGCTGCCGCCGAGAAGCCCGCCAACAAGGGTGCCAAGTTCAACCTCACCTTCAAGCAGTCCAACTTCCACAGCCGTGCCTTCTTCGACCTCCTGAAGGGCCCCACTGCCAACATTGACGCCGTCGTTGGCCACGAGGGCTTCCTGGCTGGTGCCTCCGCCGGCTACGACGTCAACAAGGCCTCCGTCACCGGCTACGCCGCCGCTGTTGGCTACCAGGCCCCCACCTACTCTGCTGCCATCACTGCCAGCGACAACCTCAGCGTCTTCGCTGCTTCTTACTACCACAAGGTCAACAGCCAGGTTGAGGCTGGTGCCAAGGCCACCTGGAACTCCAAGACCGGCAACAACGTCGGCCTCGAGGTTGCCAGCAAGTACCGCATCGACCCCGTCTCCTTCGCCAAGGTTCGTATTCGCATCCCCGTGTTCACCTGAGAATATTTTCTAACAAAGGTCCGCGTATAGTTCAAGGTCAACAACAACGGTGTTGCCGCCCTTGCCTACAACGTTCTCCTCCGCGAGGGTGTTACCCTGGGTCTTGGTGCCTCCTTTGATACCCAGAAGCTTGACCAGGCTACCCACAAGCTCGGTGCCAGCTTCACCTTCGAGGGCTAAGTCTTTTTCGCTTATGTGTATTCTTGACGGGAAGATTTTCAATCTACTTTCCTCGGCCGCATTCATTCGGGAGGCTCCTGTCTAGTGTAGATTACTTGGGGAGTAATTGAGTTTGATCGACGGGGACATGACCTGATGCACATGGCAATATGATGTTGTGAAGTGAAGTAAATGTGTGTTCTCATGCGATTCATATCTAGCAATGATGTCTTTTCACCACTTCTCCGTCTTTCATGACTTCTTATCTTTGTTCCGACGTGGCCCGACAAACAACATGTACGGAATGAAAAACGAAAAGAACAAAACGCCGCTTACGGCCAAGAAGGCACCCACTGACGTCTCTTGAGCCCCGATCGTCACCTCCTGCCCCATGATTCTATGGGCGCGCCTCGAATCCTGACTCTGCTGCGTCTTGGTGTGTCCTCGCCGATCGAAATGCCCCACATCGGCATGCCTCGTATGGGAGTACGGATCCTGACCGAAACCCATACCCGGACGCTCTTGCTCAGCACCAGTCGCCCCGGGGCCAGTGTTGCTCTCGTGCGCCTCCCTCCGCTTCGCGGATTGATTGCCCCATCCTCCAGACCTGTAGAAGCTCGGCGGCGGACCGCGGAAGGTCGTCTTCCTCCGGGAGAGGCCTGACGCCGGACGCCCACCGGCAGGGCCGGTGCTACTGTGATATGAGCCGTGCCTGTGGGCCGAACGGGCGGCCGAGGGGAGACTACGATCGTAGGATGCTCGTTTTGCGGGTGTGCCAAGGACAGCATACGCTTCTGCTATCTCTTGGAACTTGCGGGATGCGTTGGGATCGTTGGGGTTATGGTCTGGGTGGTGGAGTTTGGATAGGGCGTAGAAGGATCTGGGGAGGTTGCGAAAGGTCAGCCCTTTTTTTTGGCCCAGGAAACGATCAGAGCATATATCAGCTTTGACTGTTGTGTCATCTTACTTTTTGATCTCGGGGGGCGAGGCATTGTGCGACACCTTCAAGATCTCATAGTAATTCAGCGAAGCGGCGTCATCTTGAAGACTCCGCGAGGTCGTGAAGGCGCGGGTTCGGAGCTGCAGCAGTTGCTGCGCTTGAGGTGGTGGGATCGCGCCGGAGCGGAGGGGACGGGCCGCTGCGGGTTGGAACCGGCGGAGGAGCATGCCTCATGCTTTCTTGAGCCCTCCGTATAGTTTAGAAATAACAAGATTCAATTGGCGATGGGAATTGGTATCATTGGAAGCGCAGCAAGGGAAACAGCACAAGAAAGGTTAAAGAAAAAAAAAGAGGGTTGGAAGTGGAAGGGTGGGAAGGGAATGAATAGAGGCGTCAAGGGTCCTCGCTCGCGTGCGTTTGCGCCTCACAGACGAAGTAGTGACGAAATGGAGAGTGGTCGCTCGGTCGGTGGATCGGAGCTTCTAGGGTCGGCTCCGTTGGAACGGGGTTTATGCAATTAGTGATGCGGCGTGGTGCATGGGGGATTACGCAGTGGCGTCTGCGACCTAAGGCAGAGTGACGTTGGATGAGTGGCACGAAGCACGCTCATGTCACTTATTCAATGTCAAAATTGCTTATCAGCTTATAATTCTTACTACCTCCTAAACTATTCGTTCTTCGCTATGTAACACGAGTGCCTTGTTAAATCAGTTAATCCCCGCAAAGCCCAACAACATTCCCTTGAGAATATCGTCATCCACTCCAAATGGTTTCTAGTCAACACCTTGTTACAAGCTGAATTGCCCTCAACTACGAGCGTCTTCGACTTTCCCAGGGTACCTATTTTAGCTTGTCCAGATAGAACTTTTGCTCTTATTTGGGTAATCATGATCAAATCTGGGAAAAGCAAAATGGCTGAACGGAACAGTAGCCCATCTATGGAATGTCCGCCAATGCAGGATGGATCCTATCGTCCATCCCTGGTTCAAGTTTTCTCAGACAGCGACGACTGCCGTCGGGCTCAAAAAATGATATATTACTTCAGTAATCTTCTATATACCACCTTAGCTGATGTTCGAATCTTTGTGAACGTTGAGAGTGACTCGAACTAACGAAAGCTAGCGCAAAGCACACCAAGTTTAGGAGCAAGAAGACGCGGTAGGTGTCTATTGGTATTATAAACATGTGGCCAGTTGGCGGATACGCAAATCTTTATCATAGTTGTACGATTGACACATCGTCAATTAGAACCGCAGGCCTTTCCTTAAGACTGTCAGACCAGGAGATGACGATCCCCAGAGAGCCGGGAATATTCTCAAGGTACCCCCCGTCGACGGTAAACTGATGCCGATTGTATCTCCCATGGCTTATGGTGATGTCGGAGCAGGGGAAATCGCAAGCGCCACATATTCTATTACGCGTGTTGGCAGTGATAGGACCTCCCTTCTCCCACTCCAAATAGAAAGAAACTTCCGTCGTCGGTGCATCAACCGGCCGCCCAACATAAAGTGTTATGAGATAGCGGTTCTCACTTTTGAAATTGGGTATGCTTGTGCGGCTATGCTGAAGAAATACGCCGCCCCCGTTGACCGAAACCACAGAACTATAGGCACAAAATTAGAAAAACAAAACTTGCGAGAACCTCCAGTCATGATGGATTTTGGAGCGCTTACAGAGCTGAGCAACCTGATGCTTGATAGCCGTTGGAAACGATACTCAGTAGGGAACCAGGCCCTTCCCAGCCTGTCGATCCGGATTCGAACCCCGGGTTTGTAAGAATGTTTCCAGCAACTATGAGAAACCATGAGTTAGTAAGTGATATCGAGGACGGCTTCGCGATGCCGACTTGAATTGTGTTCACGACTCGACAACAGGCGGGAACAGCCAGAAGCTGAGGCGTAGGCAATGAATATATACGAAACAAAAAGTGCAAATCACATACCATTACCTTCAAACTCGTTAGTAAGGTCACCAAGAACTTGATTGTAGGGAGGACTTACGATTTGCAACGCATCCGGGGTTAGTGGAGGAAGAACTGGGAGCAGGCAAGCAGCCATTTACACTGGAAGAAGAGCTTGATGACGTGCTAGACTTAGTGGTTGACGACGAGCTAGACGAACTAGACGAGGTGATGAGTGAGGAGCTAGATGAGGAAGTTGCGCTGACAGTAGAAGTACTAAAGCTGCTTGACACCGACGATGAGGTCCAAGAAGAGCTCGCAGTTGCTGACGAAGTGGTGCTCGAGGAGATTGGCGAGCTCAGTGGGATCTGTGCATAAACGTTGAGTCGGTTAGAGCCACCGCAAAGCTCGTTAGTATTGCCGCGACAGGGCATGTTGCAACCATCACTTGGAAGAGTTTGTTGGCCTCCGTTTTGGATCTGGTTATCACACCAGCACTCCTGACCATACTCAACACCAGCAATTTTATAACCTGCAGAAGCACAAGCAGTAATGCAACTTCCCACAGTCGTCCCAGCATGTCCACCAGGCACAGGCATGCCAACAACAAGAGCGCGGCCGAGGACATTGTCCTTGAAACAGCCCTGAGCGGTCCAACCATTCGGAATAGTGCTTATGCTTTTCGGCGTGGAGGTAGACTGGTAGATGTTGATGCGGTCTGGCCCACCACAGTACTCAGAGCTATTACCGGAACACGGCATACTACAGCCACTTTGGCTATTAGATGCACCACTCAGGATCTGATTATCGCAGTAACATTCTGTGGAATATTCAACGCCAGCGTAGGCATAGCCGGCGGCCTGGCAGGCGTTGGTACATTGCAGAACAGACATGAAGCTATCGCCAGCTGCAACTCCATAGCGATGACCAAGAACACGACTTTGGACGTTGTTGTTGTTGATGTTGTCGTTGTAACAGCCGAGTGAATTCCATCCTGGTGGACCGGGGTTAAAATTCGGCTTGCTGACAGCAGCATTTGTGTTGAAGACGGAGAGTCTATCGCCAGCCCCGCAGGCCTCAGTTTTGTTGCCGGTACAGGGATAGTTGCATGCTGTATCTGGTTGGCTTTCGGTGTTTCTGCTCAAGGTATAACCGCAGTAGCACTCGGAGCTGTACTCAACACCAGCATAAGGGAAGCCCTTGCCCTGGCAGAAGCGGATACAGGATTCTTGGGTCATGTTGCCGTCATCGACGTAATTAGCCAGGGATAGCTGTCGACTGGCAACATTGTCGGAATAGCAACCCAAGTAGCTGTATCCATTCGGTAGCTCATTGCTAATGACAACGGGCAGATCGCGTTTGACGGTAGACGCAGCGCTGCCCAACCCTGCGAGTACCAGCGTAATGCCTGGTACTGTGGCTAATGAGCGCATAGTCTAGATAGAGAAATGAACGAAAAATATCAAGCAACCGAAACAATTGAGAATGAACGAGAGTGATATTGGTTTCCAAGTCATGAGGATACTGGACCTGAAGACCATAAGTTTGTTTGCTCTAGATATCTAGTCACAGGCCACGCTCCTTGAATTTCGCTCAGTATTCACATGCCTTGAAGCTCGATGCACTAATTTTCACTATGAAAAGCCTCAAATACGGCAGCTTCGCCAAATAACTTAAGCCTTGATCAGATAATTGGTTCCTCCCGTAGCGTGAGGCAGTTCAAGCAATAGCTGGGAAAAAGGTAGCATCCCAACACAAAATACCATGGCGATAAAGCTTGAACCACGAAACAAAGTCTCTCTCATCACTGCGTTTTTGGGACTAACGGTTTACAGTTACTTCTGGTGGCTTGTCTCCCTTTATCTCACTATTAGTTTAAGTTAGCCATACGGCGATGCCAAGAGGCGCCACGTGGTTCCGAACTTTCTTTGATGACTGCCACAAAGGAACGCGGTCTGGACCCGTCTTGGGGCAAACTCGTGTAGGCCAGAAGGTGGCTGCGTAGACGTGGGTGCTAAACTATTGAACGTAATTCCAATGCATCGGTCCGCGCATGCCGGTATCCGTCTACCCGTAGCGAATGCCATCGACCACAGTAGATAATAACTCAAAAAGCCTAACATTTAGGGGCTGTTACTGACGCTGGGCAGATAATATTACCCTGCAGTTTATACAGACACTTATAATTGTGACTTACACGCATATACTGCTTGAAGCAGGTGCTGAGGGTGGTAAATACAACATTACACAAAAGCTGCAAGAAGCGCTCATCGCCATATATTTCTAGTCGAGGCAAATGGATAAATTGCAACAAATTGCCTGATACTTCCGTGTTCAACAGCATTCTTAAGCCAGCCTCCTGCGAAAGCGACGTTCCAACACCCAGCGCAGCTACAATCCCCAAATCAACTTACCCACGGACACGTAGCTGTACCTCAAAGTCCTCGTTGTACGCAAGGCCTCCAGACACTATATACCTTCCTTCCTGCTTCATGTCAAAGTCGAATCGGCGAACAATCTACAGGTGACTGATGTTAGAATGCCGCGCTCACATCAAAGAGGATCATAACAGCTCAGCGAAACTCACCTCAGGCAACAACTTATACATCTCCATCATTGAGACTTCCTTACCCAGACACACCCTGGGCCCAATCCCAAACACAAACATAGAAGCCTCCATCTCGCTGATTGTCTCCTTCGTATTGGCTTCTTCCAGCCACCTCTCCGGTCGGTAAACCTCCGGGTCCGGTGCGAAAAGTGTAGGATCCCGTTGCACGACGTATGAGTTGCTTACCATCTCTGCGCCTGCGGGTACCCATGTCCCGTCCACAACCTTACCTCCAGGTCCCGGCGCCAGCCTCGAGAACAGGTTCGGCGCAGGTGGGTTCAATCTCAGCGACTCCTTAATGCACCCCACGAAAAACGGTAGATGCGTCCTGGTCTCTTCGTATTGGACCGTTGCGCTGAGAAGCCCTGCTTCATCAGCAGCTTCAATCTCCGCCCGGGCACGGGCAAGGGCGGAGGGGTTCTTCAAAAGGAAGCGCAGCGTGCAGCCGAGCGCCGTGCCGGTTGTGTCGGCGCCGGCCTGTATCAACAGTGTGACGTGCGCGCGCTTTTGAGATGCGGTTAGAGGCTCTCCGTTGACGCGTGCTTCAATGCAACTATTCCACGGGTTTTAGTTGTGGAACAGCCAAAAAGGCAGTAGGACGGGAGCAACTCACAGCTGCATGAAATCAGGCTTCTCCTGTGAGAAACCCTCATTCGTTATCCGCTCCTCTCTCTCTGTTACCTGCCTGTCGGCCTGGGCCATTAAGTAACCCATCCCATTGTTGTCAGTTACGCTAGGCAGGAACAAATGTCCCCAGGATACTCTGTTAACTCTGTCGCGCAGCCAGCGGAACCGGCCAACGAAGCCGAACATGGGGGTGCCCTTACGGAAGCTTTCGAGCATGTGGCGCTCGTCACGTCCGTTGGCAACAAATCCCCAGGTGTCAGTAAAGGAGACCATGGTCATTATGTCGGCAGCGAATTGACTGATGATGTCGTCAGTAGACGTTATGAGAAGTGCATAGAGAGTGTGCTCACGCTACTTTGTCACAAAGCATGACGGGCTCGTTATTCAGGGCAAATTCCGTCATGCGCTGGACGAAGAGTTGAATGTGGGAGTCGAAACGCGCTTCCCAGTTGTTCTTCAGGCCTCCTATCGACCACTGAAGCCCCTTTGTCAACCATGATACTCACTGCTGAAGGGTAGGGGGGTAGTTACCTGGGGCCCACCGAGGGCTTTTCTGAGCGCCCTGTGTTCGTTTCCGTCAAGTGTCGTGAAGAGATGGGGCGGTCCTAGGGCGCCGGTCGCGTAGAAACGAGTCTTGGTATTGCATTTTGGATCCCAATAGATGTCTTTCAAGGCAGCAGATTGTGGGAACAAGAGGAGCGAGGGTGCGATGCGAATTGGTTTATCGGCTTTGGCTGTTAGGGGACTTGAGACTGTAGTTGAGAAGCAGACAAAACTCACTTCCATAGCGTTTTGCCAACGAGAGCATCCACTGTGGCTCGCGTTGAATGACTGATATGATGGCATTTACTATTGAGAACGATGCGGCGTACCATGGTCCATGATATCTGGATAGGGGGTGGAAGTATAAGTTGTAGATTATGCGGGAGGTCAGCGCCAATGCTACTGCAAGAAGTACGAATGCCCCGAGCGAGCCTAAAGACTGCCCTATGAGACTTATTAACGCCATAGGTGCGGTTTTTTGTTTCCTGTGCTGGGTCAACGACTTGAGCAAGTATGGTCTGAATGCACAAGTGGATTGAGTCGAACGCTGAACATATAGGAAATAGCAATACGGGGGCGGCTATGAGAAGATTGAGAAGGACGATGACGAAAACTTGGATATTTACCAAGGAATACCAAAAATTGCAACTGTAACGTTGCTAATGTAGATCTGTACGACTGTAGAACGACGAGCCAGAGCTGTCGAGACATTCATCGAGTATGATTCGAGACCACATCTCGAAGCAGTCGTCATATACCAAACAAACGTCCTGATTGCTTCACATGCAAGCTGTGTCATGCTATCACACTGAGACAAGCCGCGAAAATCTTCGATCATCTCTGTCGGCAAATCCACCAAGGTTTTCAATACGTTGCCGTGTTCACAGCTCATTGATCGAGGTCGCGATCGGAGGTGGAGGGTGCATGCTGCGGTTCGCCGTTCGCCATTCGCACACCATTATACGGCTATACTCCTCAGCGAGTTGCCCAATACGAACAGTACGACATCCTGCAGTGTCGGGACAAGCCGCTTGTAGCTGCCTAAAGTTGCAGACGATCTACACGAGCAGAACTCGGCCGAGAAAAAAAGACCCTTTTGCCCTGCTACAACTAAAGGTCAAAAGTCTGTTTACACCTATACAGTGCCTCACCCTAGCCCACCTAAAGCTTGGGTAAGTAATCCGTCGAGAAAACTTAAAATAAAACTATTTATTTAAAACATGCTTTTATAATATAATATTAAGACTATATATTAGATTTTAGTCTATTAGTTTTAAGTATTTTTGTTTGTTAATAATTTTTTAAAAATCATTAAAAACTTAGAATTTAGAATTATAGTAGAAGTACTAGTAAAAACAGTATTAAAAAAACTGTATTTTTCCCTATACTCCACTATAATTATAGTACTAAGAAACACCTTAAGTTAATTTCTTTATAACTTAGTAATAAAAGAATAAAATAAGAATATAAATAATAGATATTATTATTTATTATATAAAGTATATACTGTATAAGAATATCTTAATAATATTTATGTTTTGATTTTTAATAGAATTTCAAATAGTGGATATTTAGGTGAACACTATGTGGTGTAAACAGACTTTTGACCTCTCATTGTACATAACCCGGATGCAAGTCTAGCGCCTTCTCTGTACAGGTGCATACAACTTTGTTTCCACGTACATGAAGCGAGACACCGAGGATCCAATCATGGTATGAGTTTTTGGGGGCCCCGAGATTGTCTTGCATCTGAGTTCTTGTGAGTAGATAGGTGCTTGGCGAACTTGAGTCGGCCTTCTAACGCAAGCCCCAGACCATAAAAGAGGCAGGTAGTGCAGCTCATATCTCTACTTTGGGGCATATTATTCGACAAGGTCGGTAAGACAGAGGGAGAGAAGTGGTTTAGAATATTAAGAGATAAGAGGAAGTCGTTAGCCACCGTAGGTCTCGGTGGTTCGGTTATCGATTTCCGGTTTTAACATCATTCAACTTAAGTAGTAAATTTTCCTCCTAATGATCGTCGAAAAATCCTAAACTACTTGTCTTGGTAGGATGTAGTAGAGGCACAAGGTGTGTTGGTAGTCTATTGTTCTACGTAAATTCTTAGTAAGCTTCGGAGACATTTCGTAGACTTTTGGTGCACCGATAAAGGTTCAAAGAGCGTCCATTGTCCCCTGATTGTCGATACCGGACAGTAAGGTATCATCAATCATACCAATTATACCTTAAATTCGCGACTACTGTATTGATTATTTGTTTATTCTGCACCATTCACGCAGTCTTAGGCATACAGAAGTGTGCCGAAATCCATCGCAAAGATCCACATATCGAGACAACAATCATGTTGTCTATCCCTCCCAAAACCCTCCAAATTTCCCCCACAGCCACGTACAAATACTACTACTCCAAAGCCTCTAGACCAGGCCTTCCAACCGCACTATTTCTTCACGGCTTCCCCTCTACAGCAATCGACTTCTCCCCACAGCTTGAACACCTCACCTCCCGCGGTTATGGAGTTCTTGCACTTGATCTCCTCGGCTATGGTGGTACTTCCAAGCCGGATGACCACCGGGAGTACACCTGGCGTGCAATGAGTGCGCACATCGTTGCCGTCCTCGACGCAGAAGATATAAAGTCTATCGTAGGCGTAGGCCATGACCTTGGATCCTGGTTTCTCAGCAGGCTGTACCATTTTCACCCCTCTCGGTTCACGGGACTAGTGTTCCTCGACGTGGGATACGCCGCCCCTGGCCAGAAATTCGACGTGGAGATGATCAATCGCATGACGAAGCAGATGACGGGGGAGGAAAGGTTTCGTTACTGGGATCTCTTCACGGATGACGAGGACGTGGCGCTGATGGACCAGAATGTTGAGAGCGTGGTGTCACTCATGCATGCATCGCCAGAGGTCATGGCTGCGAACCTTGGGCCACCGGGTAGGGCGCGGGAGTGGGTTGCTTCAGGGCGCATCGCGCAGACGCATTTCTTTGGTGGAGAGGGTAGCAGTTACTTCCGGGACAAGGTTGCTTTATTCAGAGAGGGTGGATGGACGGGGCCAACGAACTGGTATAAAGCCCTAAGGGAGAACTTGTCGTGGGATGATGAGAAGGATATGCAAAAGGAGCTTGAAGTTCCCGTCTTGGTGGTCGGCTGCGGCAGAGACGAGATGACGTTACCTGGAATTCAGGACCAGATGACGAAGCCATGGGCGAGGGCTGGGTATCAGTTTGAGGTGCTTGACACGGGACACTGGGTCATGCTGGAGGACCCAGAAGGGACGAATAGGCTGTTGGAAGAGTTTCTGGGGAATACTGTCTGAACTCACAAGGTATGGTGTTACTGGGAAGCTGTAGACTTGAACTGGCTGTGTATAATGCCTCCTGGGACGTTCATGGTCAATGAAGTATTTGAAATTTGTCGTGATGTGAGTGTTTAGTAAGTTATGCCGTTAAAATTGAGCCCTTCAGTTTAGGCAACTGCGAGTGTTAGTGATCATTTCAAAATCTTGCCTATGTCACTCCATCATTGCCAGGTAAGAAACATGGATGCGCCAAAGATTGGGAAAACCAGAACACCGCGTCGTGTACCGTACGTGACAGGAGTCCGAGATCCTCCACGTTTAGTTCTAACCGCGCAGCAATCACCTCACCTCTAAGAGTACACACCCTCCCGGAATCAACTATAATCATTTATGAACTACCAGTCTATCGAAAAAAAAAAAGCAAGAACAACCATTACACGAAAGAAATAGTCTATGACGCCACGCTCAATACCGGTTAGTCAGGTCTATCCGGACCAGCAAAGAGTCGACTGCAAGCTTTTCGAATCCAGCCAATGAAATATTTTCCATAACGATCCGACGTTTCTACAATCGCCCGCCAGACAATCGAACCCCGGACTCCAAATAATACTTACTGAAGCGGGATTGAGCGCAGCAAAAACGTGAAAATCATCACCCCCTCACCCCCTACCCCTTCCCCCAAGCAACCACACCCCAGTCACCAAGTCTGGCCCAGAGGCTCGTATTAGCTTTGTCTGACTGATCGCGCAACCGATCATAACTTGAAGATTCCAGTCTTCTGAGCGGTTATCGATCTAGGTTTTCTGAGTCAGTCTTTTTTTCTTTCGCACACATTGCTTGGTCTTGACACACCTCGCGCATGCGCCTTCTTTCGAGACGATTTGGAAGATTTGCCCCGGTTATCAACAGGGGCAGTTGGGTTAGTATTAGAATCCCGAAAAACATTAGCATTGCGCTTCAAGTCAGTTTCTTGCCTTGCATGTCCCTGGCTGTAGTTGCCAGCAGCTCTAGACGACGAAGCCCCTCCGCCAAAGGAAGGGGCTGACATCACATAGTATCCAATACCATCTCCAGAATGACTTGGAATTCCTCCATAGTATTTGGGGCCATGTACAGGGCAACTCTCTATGCCCATCTGAAAAGTACACACTTGAGACCCAAGGTCGCAGTCGCCCTGGGCCCGTCCAGTATAAGCGTAACTCTCCAAGTCCCCGTCAGACATTGTAGACGTGTAGTTACGCGGCGCGGCATCCTTACGGCCTCCCATGATGTCAAATGTCCAGACCAGTGGTACAGTGAGTCCAGCTCAAAAGCTCTCGCCGAGATATCCCACCGGAGCCCAGTCGAGAGTCCGTCGTTACCCAAGACGCGTCAAGGTCCGTTGCGAGCAACAAAACCTTTAGTTGCCGACGTAACAAGATGTCTTCCAACGAGATATCCTCGAAAACGACCACTGGTTGCTTGAAGAAGAAAGAGAAAAGGAGATTTGGAAAAAAAAATATCATGGGAGAGAGCATCAACTTAAATGCATAAATCACCCCTGCCCCCCTGGCGAAATCACCTACACTGAGCTGACGTAAAAGCCGGGGTTGTGCGCCTGTGTGGTCTCTCGACTTCCAGATCTGGAAGTCGAGAGACCACACAGGCGCACCACACAACACGTTCTTACTTCCAACTGGACGGTGGGTGAGTCGGTTGCCCAATGCAGCTGCTCTAGGCCAGCCTCACTTATAAATCAGTTATCGTACAGATCACGGCAAGAATACGGCTACAAACACTTGAAATACTCGTTTACTCATTATAATGGACAAAGTGAAATTGTTCGTGTCATTTCGTAATCTCTTCTACTGTTAACCAGAGAGTCCCTAGCTCGAGCCTCCCCCAGACGCCCAAAACTCCTTATATAATGATACGCCCCTTGGCCTGATCGAACAAGACTCCAAAGCTCCGGGCGTTACAGTCAGAACCGCACACACATTTTACCAGTCATCCCTACTACTAATATAATTCTACTAAAACCCCCCCAAGTTTATGCCATCTTCTGCCGTTTGGGGTCAAGTGCAACTCCGCCAGCAGGAGTAGTCGTAGTGCCATTATTCGACACGTCCGCTAGGGCGGGCCTTCCTGCACCGCTGTCCTGCTGAAGTGGTCGCTTCATGGTTGGCGGACGGTACGAACCACGGTTAGCTAGGGGACTACCGGGACCACCCGGGGCACCAATACGGCGTGCCTGGCTGAATTGCGGATTTGCCATGCTGGCGCCTGCGGGACCAGCGTTTGCCGGCCTAACAGGTGTAAACCCCGAACCTTTGGATGTCTCGGTCTGTTGCTGTGTCGAAGGTGGAACGTGTTGACCGGTCCTCGAAAGAGGCTTTGAAGAGGAGTGATCTATGCCGGGGGTCTTTCGTATGGATGGGCTCTCTGCCTTGGGATTGAAGGCTTGCTGCCCGGCTGGCATCATCAGAGGAGTGTCAGCGTTGGTCCCCTGCAGAGCAGAGTCAGGGATTTGCTGTACAGCACGTGCAGAGAAGAAGGCAATGGGCTCGGCGGGGTTGCCGCCACCCGGTGTCACCATATTGCCGTTATTTGGCGGGGCTGAGGGTGCTGAAGGAGCTGTAGGGTTTGCAGGTGCACGCGGATGGTTCGGGGCTTGAGGCCTGTTGCCGTAGGCTGCTGGGGGTTGAGGGCGCGAATGTGCTTGGTTCGGTGTCTGAGGGGGTCGTCCTAGGTTTCCTGCTGATGTGCTTCTACCCAGGGGCCGGTTGGAGTTTTGCATGTGCTGAGGAACAGGTGCCTGGGCAACGCTGCCGGCCCTATCGTTTGGGCCGGTGGGTGCTGAAGGAAGAACCACCTCATCTGGATGATCACTCTCCACGACAGCGAAGTCTGCCTCGTCAAAGTCTTTGGTGTGTTAGTCGCCATAAGTGTAGATATTGGATGGAATCTCTTACCCCCCAATAGGTCCTCAAGGGAATCCGCCGTAGTCTCCTGTTTGATGGCCGCCGGCGGTAGCGCCGGGGCTTTGCCTTCGTCTTTCTTAGCGGCAAAATCAGAGTGCCTGTGTAGCTCGCCCTCGTTGAACTTTGTTGGGCCGACCTTCAACTTGGTCACCTTGGAAAGGTAATCTTTATCGTAAATGCAGTTGCCCAACACGTTGCCAAAATTCCTGAGTGCTCTCTTCAACGCGTCCGTGGTACCTTCTTTCTTGGCCTTTTCAAAGGCAGCAGCCTTGCCCTTGCAATTCTCAATATGTCCGTAGCCAATGTCCTCGTGGAAGGTACCGTCGCGGAGCGTGACTCTGACAATGACAGACAGACCCAAGCTGATCTTCATGGTCTGCGGGTGCTCATCAACAAAATCGACCTGGATGTTCTGGATAGACGAGGACCAGCCATTGAAGCCAAACACCTCGTTCGCGAGGGCGATGCATTTCTCGGCAGCAATGTAGTGCACCTTCTGGCCCGAGGGTCCGGCGCGCGCGGAGATGTATTCGGGGCCTAGCTGCTTCTCGAGGCGGCTCTGAAGCGTCGCAATTTCCTGGGCCGTGTATTCGCTCATACGCTTTTGGGGCTCCTCGAAGGGATTCTCCCAGTTGCTGTGTTGGTCGCCCGGGCTGCAGTACAGTAATTATTAGCTGGTGGTGGCGACGCGATCATGGACGTGAATAACATACGCGGGCATCTTGTCGAATGTTTGCCTCTTGCTTCTCGAGAAAGATTAGAGGAGGAGCAATTTCCAATGAACCTGGGAGGCGAATCCGAGGTTTTCGAAATAGGAATGAGGGGGGGTTTGTCACATAAACCAGGTATGAGCTGTCTGCCTAGATTGTCAACCGTCGGGGTGTGGCGCGTTTGTGTTCGCCGCTGCCTTCACGCGTCGAGCCAGCTAATGACGGGTATTCACGTGACTTGGATGCACTTAGATAAGCCGCTGGGGGGCTGCTGGGGGCCTCTTGGAGCGGGAGGCACCTTATCGATAATCAACAGTACCTGAGGGTTCGCTGCCACCAGGGCGCCTGTCGTCCGAACAGTACACTAAACCGTGGGCCCTCCACAAACCTACCCCGCCAAAGCTCCCTGGAGCACCCTGGACGAGGCGGCTCATGGCTCATCTCTCCATCAATGGGGATCCAATGTCACCATGACGAACCAAAGACGTGCACCATCTTTATGAAGTTTCAGGCACCCCCTAGCGCATGCATCACGGGATAAATAATCTCATGTAATTCTCATTTCATCTTCGGGAAATAGCTTAATATGCAATGTAAACTTATCATGGGAGGGGGAAGCCGCAGCTGATCTCGTCTTCGGTTACGGGTTCATGATGATCAGGCACGCACGGAGGGAGGGGTTGCATCAGAAAGCCGTCGAACCCCGAAAAAGCCAAGTTTGGCAAAGGCAATCGGATGCATGACTCCAGAAGGGTTGCTGTATGCACGCCTACTTGGCTGCAGTTTGTAAAACTTGCCGTGGCTGCCCATTGTTTGATTCGTGTCACTTAGTACTGTGGGCAGTTGAAACAGATGCACCTTCAACTTGCACAAAAACAGCATTGTAGTCGCATGGATCAAACATGTTAATACTCAGAATTCTTATACTGCCCCAACATATCTCAGTGCGTAATAAGGAAATCAACCTATTGCTGTAAAACAACCATACTCTGTCTTGCACGGCTCAACCACCAGACCAATTACAGCCTTATTTGTGAGTTCACTCCCATGCAAAATCTATGAGGCAGGGCCTTTTGCTGACCAATACTTATATACGCGCATGGATGAGAAAGGCTGTTCTTAAAACTTGTGAAGACCTCCCAAGTAGGTAGGTTTATGGATTGATTGCTGCCCTGGAATGCTTCCTCCCCCCCTTGACCCTTTAATAAAACCAAGACTACCTACACGTAGAATTTGTGACTCGATTTCCTCGTCGAACCCAATGTATCGGCAGGAAGACGTTGCAATTTCGTAACAACTGCATCCCTTGCGTGGGAAGACTCCGCAACATGCGACAGGAAAGGGATATCATCGATCGAAAAAAAACAACAAAAATAAAAAAGGCAAGAAACGCCACCCTCCCGTGTCCCGGCCCTTGTGACAAGAAAGTGTCCGCGGAAACCAAAAGTCTATGCCCGTTGCCGCCCATGCTGAATGAAGTGAGAAACATGGAAAATGAAGAAAAAGCCGTCGTTATAGTCGTTGTGATATGTTCAGAGAAGTAATCGACCGTGGCCGATGTTGTGTGTCGTGGTAATAATCCACCCTTAATATTATTCCATTTCCATGCCGCTTTACCAAGGTCCTACCCGTACGGGTGCGCCATAGGTTCCAGACATTAGTTGGTTGAGAATCGAATTCGGGTCGGAGGCGGAGTTTGCAGGCTGTCCATTGGAAGAGTTGTTGGCCATCCAGCTTACGCCCGCAGCCATAGCATTCATTGCCGTGCCCATGCGTCCACCCGAGATCTCGTGATGCTTCGCTAGGACCTGGTCCCATCCGCCGGTGTGCAGGCTGAGACCTCCACCGCGCTTAGCCGCCTCGTTGATAACCAGAGCCCAGGCCTTAGCAATTTCGTCATATGCGTTTTCCTTGTGGTGACGGTACTGCTGAGGTTCCCAGTCGGGGAGTTGATGGATGATCTTAGTGGCGCCATCCAAATATTGCAGCGAGACGGTGGTTTGGGTCTCGTTGGGAGGAAGATATTGCGGGGTGAAGTCGAGAAGGGCATCAATAAGGGCGGTCAACGGCGCCTTGACACGGTAATAGGTGTAATCGGGGCTAGTCTCGCCGTAAGGGATAGCGGCCTTCATCTTCTCCTGATACTCCTGCAGAACGCCGTGGGCAGCATCGACGGTTGGACGGGGAGCACTGCTGACGACCTCTTGGCCAATGTCTGGATGACGTTCGCAAATTCGTTCGAGAACGGTTCGCAGCTGGGTAGGATCCAATGTCTCAAGCAGTCGGGGAAGTGTGAGCGGGCGACCGACAAGTTCGTTAGAGCGGACCTTTTTCGAAGGTCGGGCAAGTTGTCTCGACGATGCAGATGGGGAGCTTCGAGGTGAGAGGGACATCTCGTCACCATCTTCGTCGGCCTTGCGCTTGCGGCTGCTAGCCATGTTGTGGAATGGGCTCACTGTTTCTGGGTTAGCGTCGGGATGCACGGCGAACAGCTCTTTTTTTTTTCTTCTATAATGAAGATAGATAAAGCATAAATTTAAATAAAAGAAAAAAAAAATACTTACAAGAGCGAGACGGAGAAATACGGTTGGCTTCGTGTGGATGTTGGAAGAGAGGCGGTTGTGGCGAGAGCAACACATTCATGTTTGAATTGATTGCGAACGATGGGTCGGTCGGTCGGGTTTCGGTGGAGAGAAAAGCCTGGGGTTTTGAGGCTAGATGACGACGACGGTTGCGTCCAAACAAACGACGACGACGACAACAGTCCAGAGACGACCAGAAAAAGGAAATCCTTTGATTGATAAAGTTTGGCCGATTGTGTAGGGAAGGCGACGAAAGGATGGTGTAGTTGATTGATGGGGTTGGTGATTGTTATGAATGGTGAGGGGGGAAGAAGGAGGATTTGTTTGGGGGGCAAAGGGGAGAGGAAGAGGGAGCGATGGAGATGGAGCGAAGCGAAGCGAGTGGGAGACGGTGGAGAGGGAAGGGAAGAAAAAGGGCACTTTGCCTTTTTCGCTGGGGTTTTTGCAAGTGCAAGTGGCACTTGGACCTACTGCAGCAGCTACCACCTTTGCTGGGAAGGGGGAACCAAGACCAGCTGGACCTTGGCTTTCTGCCCAACCCAAGCAACGTGCGTTGGCTGGATCCCGCCTGTTGTCTGCGTACCCACTAAGAATCTGCACTGCGGCTCCAGAGGAGATGCCAGCACTGGAGACTCGCCGCCCAGTGGATGGAGGGTGCTGCAGGTCGCCTGTAATATTAAAAAAGCAGAAGCGGTCAAGGGGGGTGGGAAGGGAAAGAGACTCCACCAGCGAACCCGATGGATGCCCTATGCCGAAACAGCAAGGGCGGGGCGGATGCAGCGCTGCAGAGAGAGATCGCAGACACGTAGAGATACCTTACCCAGTGTAGTGGTACTTCCGAGGCCATTAGCTGGATTGGTTGTTGTGACCGGGGGTGGGCAGCTGGCGGTCACTCGAGGTTTCGCCAGGCGACGGGCGGATCTCATTCGTCAAAAGTGGGCGGCACGTGAGTGGATGACGGAGGGCACCAAAGAGACGGCGCTGGCGCTTTTTTGGCTTTGATGGTGGGGTCCCTTGTCTCTGCAAAAGGCATTCGTCCTCTTTTTTTTTTTTTTTTTTTTTTTTTTTTTTGCAACACTCGATTGTCATTTCTCCGTTGGTGGTTTTTTTTCCTTCTCCCGCCATCTTTCTTAGCTTGAACCCACTTTAGCGTGCTTTGCAATGTCAACAGCGGCCCCTCTAGCGGCTGAACGTCTTGGCAAGCCTTGAGGCGCCGCCCAGGTTGATGACTTTCATTGCGGGTCGCGGGTGGCCCCCCCAGTCATATCTATCGTCAGTGAACCCCTCCAAGTCTGTGGCCTGGAAGTGTCCCTGAAAAGAAACCTGGAACTCCCTGGCTGGTGGGTGGATGCCCCTCACCGTCTTGGAGAAGAATTGCTTAAATCTTACTCTATTCATCATTTCTTGCGTTACATTTGCGCTTTGTTGCCTCGGGCTGTCTCCTTTCATGCCTGCATTCCGTCCCTTGTAAAGTAGTTGTTGTTATTACACCTGGAACAAAACAACACCATTGTAAACATGCCTTGCCAAAAGGGAGACCAAGTCTCAGCGCCCACGTCTCAAACTGGGAGTCTCAGTCACCACTCTTCCTTTTCGTTCCATTGCCTCTCCCGTCTGCTTCCTGTCTCTCCATCTGGAAGCTTACTCAAGACCATAGGGGAACGAAGATGCAGGGCGTAAATTTAGGCGGAAATACCAGCCATCTTGGATCTGCTTGGCACTAAACCAGAGTCAGTCCGTTGCAGCCACAAATGTGCAAAGCTACCTCCCCGTGCACCCTGTTCGTGTACCGCTACATCCGCCCGGCCTGACAGGGATCCATCAAGGTCAGCCTCGGTGAGTTCACCGTGGTGGGTCCACCATCGAATGCGTATCGCTTATCGCTTATCAGTCCCAATTGATGGACAAAAAAAATTTCGGGGCAAAGTCCATCGGAAAAGGGTCCCCGTTCGAGATTCTCAGTCGCTTCCAGCAACCGGCCGAGTATTCTTGACGTTTCTGGAGCGACCGCCCACAATCTCTAGGAACCCTAGATCATCTCTGCCATCACATTAATTACAATGGCCACCTCAGAAACCAAGAAGCGGTCCAAGACCAAGGAGGCCAAGGTTGAGGTCGTCGACGATGCTGCTTCCGTCGCCTCCTCCGCCTCCGAGGCTTCTTCCTCTTCGCCAAAGCCCTCCGATTCCAAGAAGCGCAAGTCCAACGTCGAAGAAATCGAAGTCGACCTCGAAGCCCCCGAGCCCCCTTCCAAGCGCGCAAAGCGTGCGTTGAAGAAGGGCAAGAAGCTCCCAACCAAGGTCGACAGCGACGATGAGAAGGAGGCCAAGAAGAAGAAGGAGAAGGAAGACAAGGAACAAGCCGCGAAGCGCTCGGAGCATGGTGTCTGGATCGGCAACCTGCCGTTTTTCATCACGGCCGATGAGCTGCGCAAGTGGCTGATCGCCAACTCGGGAGAGATGATCACTGAGGAGTCCATCACGAGATTACACATGCCCACGACCAAGCAGCAGGGCAAGGAAAAGCCGAACAACAAGGGTTTCGCCTACGTCGACTTCAACGACATTGCGCCCAAGGTCGCAGCCATTGCGCTTACCGAAGCCGAGCTGGGCCACCGCAAGTTGCTGATCAAGGACGCGACCTCGTTCGAGGGAAGGCCGAAGAAGGAGGCCGAGGCAGAGGAGGGCAAGACAGCAGCTGGCGGCAAGGCGGCCGCCAAGGAAGAGGTTCCCAAGAGCAGCAAGATCTTTGTAGGCAACCTGAGTTTCAAGACGACCGACGACGATGTGTACCAGCATTTCGAGAAGTGCGGACAAATTGACTGGGTCAAGGTCGCAACATTTGAAGACTCGGGCAAGTGCAAGGGTTACGGCTGGGTTAAGTTCCGTGAGCCGGAATCCGCGGGCTGGGCCGTCAAGGGCTTCGTCAAGATCAAGGAGGAGATTGAGACGGAGGAGGACTTTGTCGAGTCCAAGAAGAAGGACGAGGACGGCGACGAGGATATGAAGGAGGGCGAGGACGAGGAGAGCGAAGAGAAGAAGCAGAAGAAGCCAGCGGCGGACGAGCAGAAGGTCAAGACGAGAAAGTGGTGGGTAAACAAGCTGCTCGGACGCATGCTCAAGATTGAGCTGGCGGAGGATGACCAGACAAGATACAAGAAGCGGTTCGGAAAGGACGCGCCCAAGAGGAGACAGCAACAAGGCGAAGACGGCGGTGCTGCAGAGGAGACACAGACGGAGCGCAAGCCCCGCCCTGCTAAGCCCTCATCGGAGCTCAAGGCCCAGGATGATATCATGGTTGCGAGATTGACGGGTACGGCGGCCAAGCACACTGGTACCAAGATTACGTTTGATTAGCGAATAAAAGTAATTTGTTTGTTTGAACCACATGTTTCTCGTCGGGTTCTTCGTGATGACTGAATGGAAAGCATTGACTTCTGCGGGGTCAAAAGGGGTAATCAGGAAGTCACATTGGTCTCTTCTGATGCGAGTAGGGGCAAGCAGCGAAGCTCCTCGTGTTGGCACCTATAAGAGGAAGATGTAACATATTGGCGTGCTGGTTTCAGTATAGTCACCACCCTACACAACTCGACATCTTCGCCTGGCTATCAAATATGCCTTCAGACTTTGTTATCCAGCTTAACCTAGGCCGAGAGAATCCCATGATCAAACGTAGAAAACACAGTGCACCATCCTCATCGCTTCTCTCGTCAGTCACTGTCGTTAGATTATGTGTATGCAAAAAGTCTTAAGGCTACTCGAAATTCTTACGTACAGTCACACAACATTTCTCACATGCTTATCTGCATATGATTTGAACACCCATTTTACCTTGCCTGATACCAGCACTAGATTAAGAGAAACACCACAACATAGTTTCTATTAATTCCAGGTTTTATTTGATGGAAACTGGACTTGAAATAGCCGGGACTGCCCTACTCAAAGAAATTTTTGAACCTAACCTGAGAATGCGTCTAATGAATACACCAAAATCTAATTCTGCGTCGGCATCACAACGCTCGCCTTGGCAGCCTCATCATCTCCCAGCTTCCACAAGCTCGTAACCGTCTTGGTCTGAGTGTAAAAGTTCAGGCCAGGCTTGCCGTAGAAAGTGTTGACGCCGCCTCCCGCGATACTGGCCTTGTTTCCGGTGAAGCTGAACATGGGCAGGGGCACGGGGATAGGGACGTTGACGCCGATCTGGCCAGCTTCGACATGCTTCTGGAACCAGGTCGCGGACGCACCCGAGTTTGTGAAGAGCGCGACACCGTTGCCGTAGGGGTTCTCGTTGACGAGCTGTGTGGCCTCTGCAAGGCTATCGGCCTCGAGAACCACCAGCACGGGCCCAAAGATTTCCTCCTTGTAGCACTTCATATGCGGCTTGACGCCGGTTATGATGGTCGGTCCGAGGAAGTTGCCGTTCGGGTATTTGGAGGGACGGTATCCTCGTCCGTCGAGAACGACCTTGGCGCCCTCCTTCTCGGCGCTCTCGATGAGAGACTCGATGCGGGCAAGACTTTGAGGGCTGATGACGGGACCCAAGTCGGCACCGTCTTCGAAGCCGCCGTCCACCTTGAGTTGCTTGGCGGACGCGACGAGGTCGTCAACCCAGGAGTGAGTTTCGGCACCCGTTAGGACGAGAGCGCTGAGGGCCATGCAACGCTGACCGGCCGCGCCGAAAGCGGCACCGGTGATGGCGTTGATGGTCTGTTGCTTGTTGCTGTCGGGGAGCACAACAGCGTGGTTCTTTGCGCCAAGGTTGGCCTGGACGCGCTTGCCGTTGGCGGAGCCGCGGGTGTAGATGTATTCTCCAGCAGCGTTTCCGCCGACGAAAGAAATGGCCTTGATTGCGGGCTCGTCGAGGATGAAGTTGACGGCACGGTGAGTACCGTGAATGATGTTGATAACGCCAGCGGGGAAACCGGCCTCCTTGGCTAGTTCGGCAAGAATCATAGCGGCACCTGGGTCTCTTTCTGAAGGCTTCAGGACCAATGTGTTTCCTGTTACAGTAGCTATCGGAATAGACCACAATGGAATCATAGCAGGGAAGTCTGTTCAGTGACAAAAGGTTAGAGAAACATCTTATGCTGGAAAGACGGAAGAGAAACTTACTAAAGGGGCAAATGGCGGCAACAACACCAAGAGGCTCGCGATAGCTCCGAGTCTCCATGTCCTTGGCCACTTCGAGAACCTCGCCGGTAATTTGAGTTGTGATTCCACAGGCCGTTTCCGCAACCTGGAGGCCACGAAGAACATCTCCTCGCGCATCAGCAAAGGTCTTTCCCTGCTCAAGCGTGATAGACGCAGCGAGACGGTCCCAGTCTCTGCGGATCAAGTTCACAAAGTTGAACATGATCTGCTGGCGGCGCAAGATGCTCGTTGCCTTCCATTCTGGGAAGGCGCGCTGAGCGCTCTCAACGGCGGCGCGAAGTTCCTCATCGGTGCTCTCTGGAACGCGTGTTACGACGTTGTTGGTGGCAGGATCGTGGACATCGATCCATTTGGCTGCCGACGACGAGGTGAACTTGTTGTCGATGAAGTTCTGTGTAGGAGAGGGGTTTGAGATTTTTGAGTGAGTGGTCGGCCAGGAAGCATGGACGGATGCTGTTGTTGATAGTGCCCTTCGCGAGTTGGACACCGGAGAAGATAATGCGATGAAGGTACTGGGCTTGGTTGAGGTGTGGCGTATCGCCGACGAAGCTCTCATTGCCCTCATTTTGTGTGTAGTTGGATGCTTGAAGAACAAAACTGGCCAACAATGATGGAAGCTAGACAAGCCTCTTAAGTTGTTTGTCTTAGTGTACAGAAAAGCAATCGAAAGCTCGAATAGTGAAGCACTCGGAAGCTCTTCCGTACATAAGGCAGATGTATATAAATTTTTGCTTTCCAATTGAGACTGGACCAGCCATCGGGTAACTTCACCATAAGCCGAATCGAGCAATCTATTACCAAGTCCAATTGAGGGCTCTTCAAATGTATTGTAAAGTCTCGCCGAAGCTAGCCCCACACTGTCATTAACAACCGCTGGATTTACGACAAGATTCAGACAGTTTCGGTCTTAGAGCAGAGCAAAACAATTCATCATACCCGTGCTGACGACAGCTCCTCCTGCTGGACCCCTTTCTCAAATCGGAATCGGGGTCCGAAACGCAGCTAGCTACCACGAAACCATGAGATGCAATATCCCAGTAGTACTCAAACTATTGAAGAGGAAACACTAGTTTGCATGTGGGAAGTTTGGAAAACCTTTGGCTGTCATTTTGGGAAAGTGTCCGCGAGTTACCCCAAGCCATCCCTAACCAACCCCAGTCAACCCCACGAAGGCACAGATAAGCCAAACTGCAGGGATTTGGTATTCTCAGAGCTACTTGCCCAAATTGACCAGCTCCAAATCGCCGAAGCAGATGCTGCATGGTTTGACCGAAAGGTCTAGTTCTTTCATTGTGAGAGCGAAAGCGCTTCCTTGAGTACTCGTCACAAACAATCTGGAACAGGACCCCGACTTCATGATAGAGAACTAAAACAAGACTTACAGAGGCGGGAAGGTCAATGTCGACTTAGAATGTGAAGCCTGTTGTGGCTTGAAGGCATTTATTGACAGTCCAGGTCTCCTCAGTTATACATCGTCACTTGTCCTACCTACTCTGCCCTGCTCATCCGAATCCAAGTTGTTTTTTTCTTCCTATTCCAGCCTAAATAACGCTTTCACTTGTAAGAATCAGGGGAGTCGATACAATGGCGAATCGTGGCGCAACATGGGATCCGAAGGTTCATACCATCCGTGACCTGATGGAGTTGGGAAGCAAAAGGCTTCCCAAAATGTATAGGGATTACTACAATGAGGGTGCAATGGACCTTGTAACGTATGTTGACTGCCCAGAAACCTTCATCTATATACCAGAATGTCTCTGACCCAAAATTTGAAACAGTCTCCGCGGCAATGAGGAAGCATACAACCGGTACAAGATCCTACCGCGGATTCTTGTTAACGTGGTCAACATCGACCTATCTAACACGATTTTCGGCACAAAGATACTTTCATGCGTAGAAATTTTGGAAGATGTGATCGTGAGAGCTTGTTTCTGATAAATTTATCTCATGCGGAAGGTTTCATTTCCTTTCGGCTTCAGCCCTGCAGCCATGCACAAACTGGCGCACCCAGATGGCGAGGTCGCGACATCCCGCGCCGCTGCAAAAATGAACATAGGCATGGCCCTTTCATCTTACGCAACCGAGTCGCTCGAGAACGGGGTAGCACAAGGCCTGGGCAACCCTTATATCATGCAACTGTGTGTGCTTAGGGATCGCGAGACAACCATTCAAATGCCGCGGAGGGCCGAGGGTATGCCATCACTTGTCTGCCTTTGCCAGACCGGATGAAAACTGACGACTGACTTTGGACGATAGCCGCTGGTTACAAGGCAATTTTCCTTTCTGTGGATACGCCGCTCCTAGGCCGCCGCCTGAACGAGTATCGCAACAACTTCAGCTTGCCGGAAGGCGTTGAGTGGCCGAACCTCCTGTCAGACGGAAAGAGCGAGCTGAGCGGCGAGATCAGAGATGTGAAAGATGCGAGCCGTCACGATTTTGGTAAGACTAAAATCATGTAGAACCGATGCATAAAACCACTGACTTGTTAGATCCTTCACTTGACTGGGACAGCACAATTCCGTGGCTGAGGCAACACACCAAGCTCAAGCTATGGCCCAAGGGTGGTAAGTCTCCACAGGCACAATGATTCGCGAGAAAAGGATTGGACTTAGGGAGTCAATAGAAGGCTAATATAACGCGTGGTAGTGTACACCCAGACGATGTAGCGATGAAAATTCGACATGGTCTTGACGGCGTTGTTATATCTAACCATGGCGGCAGGCAACTGGATGGTGTTTCTGCAACGCTCGACGTCTTGAGAATTTGCGCACCAGTGGCAGCCGGCAGAATTTCTATTGCCGTTGACGGTGGTATTCGACGCGGGACCGATATCTTCAAGGCCCTCGCGCTCGGCGCATCACACTGTTGCGTGGGAAGAATTCCTATCTGGGGCTTGGCGGTAAGTGTATCACACTCGACTGCGTTTATGTCTCGTCACTAACTGTTTTGCAATACAACGGTCAGGAAGGTGTTGAGCTCGCTCTCAAGATACTCATGTATGAACTCAAGATTGCAATGGCACTAGCTGGGTAAGTTACGCAGAAATTGCACCACGATGCTTACCCGACTAACATGAATGATTCGCAGAGCTCGAACTATCGCTGAGATTACGAGAGGGCATGTTACGTATCTGAATGGAGACGGCGTTTTGGCAAAGCTTTAGTCGCAGCATTGGAATTGCTTGAGCGATTTTAGTCTGATATTACATACCCTTCAATATATTTACTTTCTCATCTTCATCAGCTTGACTTAGCGCCACTGTGCGCGACGAGTTATTGCATCTGACCTCGAACTTCAGTTGAAATAGCAACAACATATTGATGTGCGTGGTACTTGACCAGTGATAATGTAACATCTTCTGGCTATAAAAACTTGTAAAGCAGGATGGAAAAATTACGTCTAGCAGAGTTGTGCATCCCCAAATGTTCGGATTTTGCCCAGAAACAAGCATTTGGAACCAAGCAGCCAGGCTTGGTTGGCATTCTGCTCACAGCCTTGCAGCTAAAGCCACTGGTACTGCATCACCTTCTCACAGAACAAGTCACCTGACGGCCCTAACGGCCAACGCTCCCAGAAGGAGCCGGGTGAGCTTCCGAGTGGCAAACCCCAGTTCACCAACCACTGCTTGAGACCGACTTGATTCTTGGCTAATGATTTTGACGTAACGCGAACACATTGATACTGGCTAAGCATCTACTGACTTAGTTCTCAAGGAAGGTCTCCGCGAGTTGTCCCCACATCGCCGTCGAGCTTACCCCGCATTATCCTCGAAGATACATCCATAATCGCGGAGTAGCCTCCGATCCCGGGACCCGCTTGCCCCGCGTTACCGTCCTTCCCATCTGAAAGCCCCGCTACCCCGCCTCCATCATCGTCTCAAACCGTTACCTGTCTGATGCTGACGGAACAGGCAGGCCTACTCGACTCAAAGCCTAATTCGATGATGATAACCTCCTTCGCAATGGAGAAAGTATGCGCGTGTAGATTTTACGGTTGCGAAGAGCAAGGCATCCTGCGTCATAGAGTACCAGGGACCGATATGTGTTAGATAACTAATTTCACAAACTTGATATATGATGTTAGACCTGATCAAAGGATAACCCAGGTAGACCGGCTTCACATATTCCCATCACTCAGTGTCTCCATCTCTTTAAATCGTCTATCAGTCGTCTCCTTGTTGATTGCTCAACAGCAATTCCTTCTGAGCAACATCTTGTAATCCATAACCGTCAAAATGGCACCCTCTGACCTCAAGGGCGTCCTCGTCGCCCTCATCACCCCATTCACTCACGGCCAAAAGTCCATTGACACCGACGCCCTCGACGCTCACATTCAGCGCCTCATTGCTGCAGGTGTCCATGGTCTCGTTCCGGGAGGCAGCACAGGCGAGTTCACCGCCCTCTCGACAGAAGAGCGCAAGATTCTTGTAGAGCAAACCGTCAAGTCCGCTGCAGGACGCGTACCCGTCGTCGCTGGCATCGGCGACCTTTCCACGGCCCGCGCCGTAGAGCATGCCGTACACGCCGCCTCCGTCGGTGCTAGTGCTCTCATGGTCGTCCCTCCTTTCTATGACGCTCCCAACCTGCAAGAGCTCCGCGGGCTTCTCAGAGAGATCCGCGAGGAATCCAAGTTACCCATCGTCTACTATAATATTCCCTCCGCAAGTGGCGTCAAGCTGTCGCCAGCGGAGATCGGTTCGCTCTCTGAAGTTGGCGTAACGCACCTGAAGGACACCTCGGGTGACGCGCCGGCCCTGACGGAATTGCTGTTCAGCGCCGCAAGCACGTCGCGCATCACAGCGTTCAACGGCTGGGATACTCTGACCTTCTATGGCCTTGCCGCCGGCGCCAAGGGCTCCGTGTGGGGCGCGACCAACATCATCCCCGAGCTGTCAAGCGAGCTCTGGAAGACTGTGGCGGAGAATGGAGACCTTAAGAAGGGCAGGGAGCTGTGGAAGAAGATTTTCCCCATTTGCAAGTTTTTGGAGTCGCACAACTATGCGGCCGCAGTCAAGACGGGCATGGAACTCCGCGGCTGGAAGACTGGTGGTTTGCGGAAGCCTTTTGCTCTCCTCGAGGGAGAGGCAAGAAAGGAGTTGGCAGGCTTGTTGAAGAATGCTGGTATTGATGTTGTGGCATGATGTGATTTCAAGGCTGAAAACGAAGAATAATTTAAACGAGTCTTATGATCAACAAGAATATGATGTGTAAAACTATAAACGCATTCGCACAACGTGTCTTAAGCCATGTGTCACCAACAAACTGTAGCAGCTGACTGGATCTTTCAGTCATAAAAACTCGTAATTTGTTTTCTCAAACGAACGTTCACGTTTATTTATCCAGGTAAAGGAAACTAGCCTTTGCTTAGATGTTTGGTACAGTAGTTTATTAGTCAAATTATGAATGTTAATGGGAAAATCTCCATAGTTACCAGTATAAGTTGAACACTTTGGTGACATGATGCATCAATGTAGTCTAAAAGGTCTGCGTTGCTTGGATTATATCCAACTTATTGATTTCATAATCTTCTTTGTGCAATGACACATCTGGAGCCTGCATGTGACTGATTCAAAACACACGTTAAACCTCATTCTTCGACAGTAGCTTCAAGAAAAATCTCGTTTGCTTATATGTAGACTTTTTATGCTCTCAGATTCTTCTTGATCTGATCCAAATCATCTTCAGCAATTTCGAGTCTACAAGTGACATACTTTTCAAAGCCGCCGTACTTGGCCTTTACCTCACTCACGAAAAGTTCCCAAGTGCTCACTCGCAGACTGCAAAGATTATAAAACGCGGGAACATCAAGGCCGCTTTCACAGTTGTTGTCATGTTTCGCCCGTTCGAGTAGTATCTCACGGACGGGTTCAGACCCGATTCGCGTCAGCATGTAATCGAGAGTTACGGTCTGTTCGTCGGCACCGGCAAGCGACATCAACAAACCTGCCAAAATGCCGGTTCTGTCACGACCAACTTTTGAAACACTCAGTTTTAATTTGTGATTTCTTCAAGATGAAGGATTTTGGGTTTTGACATACGTGCGCAATGAAATAGAAACGGCTCGCCAGGGCGGTCTCTCACATGCTGCAGAACCACTTTCATGGTGGGGGCATAGACCTCCATCATGTCCATATACATCTTGCAGTAACCGCGTTCTCCGCCTCCTTCAACGAAGTCGCGAATGTCAATGGTATTGTTGTACGCGTTTGGAACCCATACGCTTTCAATGCCCGGTATGTGTGGCTCCGGGCATTTCTCCCGCTCGCCCGGCGACCGTAGATCGAAAATTGACTTGATACCTAACGTATAAAATAGTGCTTGCCTGCCTTTTTCGTCTATTCCCTCGAGAGAGCCGCTGCGGAAAGCAAGCCCCGGCCGGATGCGGCTGCCCGGAACTAGACCGAGGTCCCGAGTGTTGAATAGGCCGGAAATCTGTACGAAAGGAGGAGATGAGAGAATTGGAGCAATATCATCTTCTGGCACTGCTAACTGGACATCGGTGTTTGAAAGTGTGAGTAGCCGTGACACCGACGGGTCTGTATGGGATGCCATGGTAAGTGGTTGGATGGTAGAGGAGCGGCTTCTTAGTATGAGCTGGACCTAAGGAATAGAAGTGACGTTATCTGGGAGAAAGAAACGAAAAGAACTTCAACCATCTCGATGCCACATGAAAAGGGCAGGAAAGTTACAGAAATATCAAGGACAATCTTAGACGACGCGTCGACGCGGTCCTCCGCGGACGCCGATAGAATCCACTCATTGAGGCGCAGGCATATTATGATCCGAGGATGTAGAAAGTTGGCCGGAAACTACGGCCATGCCATGAACATGACTAGAAGCAATCTTGTCTAAATTTGTATACGCTTAATTGATTCTTTCAAAGCACTTGGTATGATCGCTATTTCGCTAGAGTTTTCATCAAATCTGGCCAACTCAAAGTCCAATCCCCCGTCGCCGTCCTCTGCTCCCATACGCTTTGAGCCAACACACTCGGCTTATCAACACCAAAAATAACACCCTGAGCATCAATCGACTCAAGTATAACCCGCCCTCGCTCCTGGAGGTCAGGCGTGGTGGCCTCACACGCGGCGATGAACCCAGCCCATCCGATGCTCGTCGCGAAATCGTGGTCCTCTGCCATCTCCTCGAGGCAGGGTTCTATAAAGTCTAGCGTTTTACGGACGGCATCTTGTATCACCATGGCGCTCATGTTATATACCCTCCGGTAAAAGTAAATGATCAAAGCTTGATGCATCGCCAGTGTCAGCGATCTGATGACCGGATGATCGACAAGCCTCGTGTTTCCGTTTGTGAGCTCCTGAGGCCTGCTGGGCCCGTTGTGTACGCCAGACGAGTCAAGCGACCAGGACCAGATCTGCTGTTCCAGCATTTTGATATGCCTCGACAAAGCAGCTGCGACACGGTGGTCGTACATGGCAATAGCCTCCAACTTTGACCTTTCGTTGGCGAAGCTGATGGTCTGTGACAGGAGAGTCATGAGAGACTCCGGCACGCCGTAAATATCGGGGTACATGGTGACGGGCCAGTGGCCTGATACGTCGAGATGTATGTCCGCGTAGCCCACTTCGGCGGGCTTTTCTCTGGAGATGTCCAGATCGGCACCCAGAGAATCCTCCGCGATGCGGAACTTGCGGAGCGAGACGGCCATCTCGGTTGCAGCCTGTGCTTGAGATTTTGTCGAGATTGCTTGACTGGGCTTGGAAAAAGTTTCAGTTGCAATATCAGTGCTTTCTGCAATGACGCGAAGGTGGGTGTAGACGTGGTGTAAGACGCGGACGTTGAAGGATCTGGGCATCGAAAGCCCGCGTAGGCGAATTAGACGCTCGGCGTCGAGTAGGAAGATTTTGACCGCGCGAGAGCCGTTGTAGAGTACCTAGAGACAAGAATAGTTAGAAGGACAATCCAGGATATAAAATAGACTGGATGGACCTACGGATACCATGGCCGTGGCAAGTATGGCCATGAGAATCTCGTTGTATTTCGCCTGATTTGGTTCATCAGACTCGCTTTGTAGTGCCAGTTTCAGATGTGACTGTGCACTCTTTTGATAGTCCAGACCTATTTCCAACCAATTGGTCGACGTCTTATGATCGTCCTTCAACGATCGATGCAAGTGAAAGGCACTCCTAGCCAATAATGTGCACAGAATACTATGCCTGGTGTGGGAAGTGGTGTTCCATAGGGACAGCTCGGCAAAGGTTTCAAGCGCGCAAGGTAGTAGCCAGAGCTGCCATGGTGATATCCTCATGCCTTTGACTGACGATGATGAGTCGATAGACTTATAATATCGTAAGAGGGAGGCGGCATGTGTCGGTAGGCATGGTGCCGCACCGGGTTTGTTAGTAAGAGGGGTGGGGACTTTGTGTGAGACGGACAAGTTGGCCTCGTCGGCTGATGACGAGCTTGTGACAATGTTGGATTCCTCCTGTGGTTGGGCCAACTCTTCTTGCTGAGCTGTTTGATCAGTGGGTAAAAGCTCTGTATGAGCCATTGCGGGCGTCCGTGGTGAGGTAGGGGAGAAAAAGAGATCTAGTGTTGGCAGAGAGCCGTCCATTGACATCATGTGAGTAAGACTGCCGGTGCCTTCACCATGCATCCACGGTTGGCTGAGATTCATCAACATGTCTGCTCCGAAGATGTCAAAAGGACCGGTTATGAAGGAAGGTTCCATTGGCAGATGGTCTTCCTGAATTGACCAAGGCTCTATCACGACTTCTTCGATGTCCTCATCCAACAAGTCACCATCGACTAGATCAGGCAAGACCTCAGTGGATGATGTGTTGGGAGAACTGTCGGAGTGCTGCAGTTGGGGGGAGGAAGGAAGCTTGTCAGACTCCCCGGTGGGGCCTCCATCGAACGCTCTAAAGACGCCGAAGGGTCCGACAAGACACACATCCTCTTCGACACCACGGATGACCTTTTCATCAAGATCGAGCACAATGTCGCCAGCAGAGCAGCCTCGCATACTCTCAACAATCTCGACGGCCATCGAGCTGCGCTCATCTTCGGTAAACAGTGGATATCGATATGATGTACCGCGGTGCGATGAAGAGGCATGTTTGTTCTCCGTGGAGGCCGAGCAGAGGGGATCCGGAACCCACAGAAGCTGGCCGTCATAACCCTCGCAAACCAAGTTGAGACGACGGCAGGACGAGCATACTGGACGGGCTTCGTCACACTTCAGATGCCTACTCCTGCAGGTGCGGCAACCGGTGAATGTCCTAGACCTCGGAACCTTCTTGGCGTTGCTGTTGGTGGATGATGTTGACTTTCCTCGAGTCGCCTTTTGGGCCTTCTGGTTCGTTGTCCCAGAATTACTGGGTCCCCTGCTTCTAGTTGAGGCAGGCATTATCGAAAGACTGGGGCAATCAGAAAGGCAGGTGAATTGGTTGCCTTTGCGCAGAGGAGCTGGTTGTTCAGAACGCAGGGCCGAAAGGACATTTCAGGCTTGTGTTCCCGACTGGCCTGATTCAATATTTGTGCTTTTTCTCACTTAAAGGAAAGTCAGCGGAGACAGGGCGGAGAAGAGGAGTCCAAGTATCGTAGGGGTCCGATATTCTTAGAGACAGGGCCAAGACGAGGTTGTGGCGATCACGGGGTGACATGCAGAAGCTGGAAAGGTTTACTCGAAGTTGATAACTTGGTGTTTGCCCCCCCTACTTTTCCAAACGAAGAAGGTTTCCGCGACGTACTTATCGGCGCTAAATGTAGTAGTGTGGGGAAGCGAATGCCGATAGGGTCCGGGCCCGTCTGTCTCGGTCTAGGGTGATGCCGGATTAGTTTCAAACCAACGATTTTCCCCCAAGTCTTAGTCATGAAATTACTTGACACTTCTTTTTTTTTAACGAGGTTAGGAAATGAATGTGTAAGTAACGCAATGGGTATGCCTTAGCGACGGACTTTTGTCATGATAATTAGCATGTTGTCAGCAATAACTCAAAAGGAGTTCCCACCCGACTGGTGAAGGTCTTGAGGGTTGGTTTGTAACTGTTCCTGCATCTTCAAAGCACCAGTCTAAAGGCAGAAACAATGTCTGGCATTCGACGTTCAAGACCACTTACGCTTGCTGCGGCTGCTCGGCGCCAGTATCAGCATGGCGCCAGTGTTCGCAGGTTTTCCGCAGCATCTTGCAACTGCGCTCCCTTTGTCTTCCAGGGCGAGCCTTCGAAGCCGAAGGTTGTAACATCTTCTGTGCCGGGGCCCGTGGTGAAGAATGGACTTGCGGAGTTGGAGAAAGTCTTTGACACTAGAAGTGCAAACACCCTTGTTGACTATGAGAAGTCAACTGGCAACTAGTGAGTCAACCTTACAAACTCGCCTACTATATCAAGATTTAGTGCTGATACGGCCAATGTTAAGTTTGGTTGATGCGGATGGGAACACCTTCCTGGACGTGTAAGTGATTCAAAAAAATCCTCGGCAATATTGATTGTGGTAAAGTAATGACGACTAATTATTTTTTTAACAGGTTTGCTCAAATCGCTTCAATTCCTCTCGGATACAACAATGCAGAACTCAACCGTGCCTCGAGTAGCCCAGCCATGGTTCGAGCGATTGCCAGTCGTCCGGCGCTGGGAAGTTTTCCTTCAACCGATTACGCAGACCTCTTGAAGACAGGCATCCTCAAGGCCGCACCAAAGGGGCTCAACCAGGTCTTCACGGCGACAACCGGTTCGGATGCCAACGAAACAGCGTACAAAGCAGCATGCATATGGAAAGGAACCCTTGAGCGTGGCGGTGCGGAATTCAGTGCCGCCGAGATTGAATCAGTCATGTTGAACCAAGCACCCGGAGCAAAGAAGTACTCGATCATGTCGTTCGAGAAGGGCTTCCATGGCCGCCTCTTTGGCAGCTTGTCGACCACCCGAAGCAAGCCTATCCACAAACTGGATGTACCGGCGTTCGATTGGCCTGTCGCGCCATTTCCTCAGCTGAAATATCCCTTGGAACAGTTTGCCGCTGAAAATGCCGCAGAGGAGAAGCGGTGTCTTCAGGAAACGGAGCGCCTCTTGGACGAGGCAAAGCAGACGGTTGCAGCTATAGTGGTCGAGCCTATTCAGTCGGAAGGCGGCGATAACCATGCTTCACCAGCCTTCTTCCGCGGTCTCAGAGAACTGACCAAGCGTAAGGGTGTCCTGATGATCGTCGATGAAGTCCAAACGGGCGTGGGAGCCACTGGTAAGTTTTGGGCACATGAGCACTGGGACTTGCCGTCACCCCCGGATATGGTAACCTTCTCCAAGAAGGCCCAGGCTGCGGGCTTCTACTTTGGCGATGCAAGCTTGAGACCGGATAAGCCCTACCGCCAGTTCAACACATGGATGGGTGACCCTGTCCGGGCGTTGCTATTCAAGGCCATCTACGGAGAAATCGAGAAGCATGGTCTTGTCGAGCAGACGGCCAAGATCGGAGGGCACCTATTTTCCGAGTTGGAAAGTTTGTCGCTCAAGTACCCGCGGCACGTTCAGAACCTCCGGGGCAAGGATCGTGGAACATTCATCGCCTGGGACTGCCCGCGAAGGGACGAAGTGCTGGCGCTTGCAAAGAGTCATGGCGTCAACATGGGCGGTAGCGGCGATTCTGCGATTCGGCTGCGGCCAATGCTCATTTTCCAGAAGAAGCATGGTGAGTTCTGACCTTGTTCACATACATCGCGGGAATTAGAAGAAGCTAACTCGGCATCGAATTACAGCGGACATCTTCCTGGACGTGTTGGAGGGCGTGTTTAAACGGCTATCGTAGGCGCAAGGGCTTATGTAAAAAAGACAGGGACAGATTTTCTCCATAATTAAGCTTAGAAATAAATGAGATGCTTCTCGAACTACAAAATCAATTCACAGCTCCTGGAGTGGACCGTCTGAATAGAATCAATGGCCATCAATTTGTCTGGAAAACGGGAGGTTTGCCGTGCCGCCATAAAAGAGCGGATTGTGCAATCCGGATTTGTAACAGGCAATTATGTCACTACCCTTGTTTTGGAAGGTGAACCCGAGCGAGCAAAGCTGATGGACGCCATAAGTGTATCCAATTGCGCATCTCCCCCATTTAGACATTTAAAGATTTGGCTTGACCCGTGTAAACTGAAACCTCTATTCTTCTCCAACACATCACTCAATTGTTTCAAAAAAGAGCAGTAAAAATGGTCAACATCTTTCTGTGAGTGGTGTCTTGTGACGCCCTAGTGTGAGTGAAGCGCTAACAGAAGCCTCAGAACTGGAGCTACAGGTTACATCGGCGGTACTGTTCTGTCACTGCTGTCGAAGTCGCACCCTGAATATGCCATCAGAGCACTCGTACGCGACAGCGCGAAAGGAAAGCTCATTACTGGCACTTTCAAGAATGTGGAAGTAGTCGCTGGAGACCTCGACAATGACACTGTTTTGTCCCACGAAGTTTCCAATGCCGATGTTGTTCTTCGTAAGTCCTTTTTGACTAACATGGTTTCCCACTTGGACCACAGTGCTGACAGAGCCTGTTCTCAGATTTGGCTTCCACCAGCCACCTGAAGAGCGTCGAGACAATTCACAAAGCGCTTTCTTCAAGAGCGGACCAGAAGCCATGTAAGTTACAACTGATATGCAGATTATCATGCAGTTTATCTAGGGCGCCGTGGAATGAAGACCTTTCTTTACTGACCTCTAAGCCAGCCCACTGGATCCAGGTTTCCGGTGCTAGTGTTCTAGCTGCCGCAGAACTCGCCGACAAGAACCGTACCCCTGGTGATGGAAGCGATCTCGTATTCAACGATCTCACTGGGATTGCCGAAATCCGTTCCATCATCCAGCGTCATCCGAGCCGCGCCGTCGATAACTACATCCTCAAGGTCGCCGCCGATGAACCGAAAATCAACACGGCACTCGTTTTCCCTCCCATCATCTACGGCAAGGGCCTCGGTCCTGCCAACACCCGCAGCGTGCAGATCCCTGCGCTGGTCGAGGCAACATTAAAACGCAAGCGTGGTGTGCAGGTCGGCAAAGGATTGAGCCGATGGGGCAATGTGCACGTTGAGGATGTGAGCCAACTGTTTGCCAAGCTGGTTGAGAAGGCGGTTGAGGGGAAGAGTAATGCGCAGGTTTGGAACGAGAACGGATTGTACCTCACGGGTGTCGGAGAGATTGTAAGTCCACCTTCGCAACTGGTACCCCTTCATGCAGTCTGCTAATAATGCTTCCTACAGTCCTTTGGAGAGATTTCCAAGCTTGTTGCTACTGCCGCCTCAAAGAAGGGACTCATTCCTTCTGATGAGGTCGAAGTACTTGGTCCGGAGGAAGCAAACACCGTACTTCCTCATGGAGCGGTGCTCTTTGGAACAAATGCTCGCAGTGAGGCACTGAGAGGAAAGGAAGTAGTTGGCTGGGCGCCGGCAGGGGAGAGTCTGCAGGATGAGATTCCGAAAGCCGTGGAACGTGAGGTAGAGAAAGAGACGCAGCATAGCGAACTTTGAAATGTTGGCAGACCAATATAGAAAGGGATATAGATGAACTTGATTCAACAGGATCTTAAGTTGCACCTATACTTAGCCATGTTCTGGTAGTGACACCACCATTTCATGCCTTTGTGAGGAATCTATCAAGGTAGTAGACGAAACTCTGGAAGCAGGGTTTTGGGCAATTGATGATATCTGCCGCTGCTTCGATGAATACTTGATTGTTAGTGGCATATGGGCTTCAATTCCCAAAACCCCCAACGACCTTGTGAAGAACTCCCCTTGGCCGAATCACTGTGGTCAGAGTTCAACCTTACCGTGGCATGGTGGTAATGACGTGTTTTTGTGATGGAGCTCAACGAGATTGTAGAATCCAAATCATCTAGCACGGATGGCCTACAAGAAGGACTAGGTCAAGACTTATTATCTTGCAATATTGTTTATTTAGAACGATTGGTGTTGGATTTGGGAAAGGTCAGCTCTGGCTTGCTAGCCGCAGCATCCAAAGCAGCCTTGCTCCCATTGTGACTACCTATAGCATATAGCCATGGCGACTAAAAGGAGTCTATAGAGAAGCTGAGAAGAATTAGATCAGTTTGGAAGTATGCATTGTTTTTGGAGTCTGACCTCCTTCTTCCAGGCTGCTATAGGAGGATTTTGCAATGAGACCTACAGCAACTCAGGTCAGGCTACTGTGAGCTTGGAGGCCCTGAAGCTACCCCTGCTAATGAGGGGTAGTTTCGGACTAAGAACCGCTATCGATGTCCTTTGCCCAGCATGGTGATGGTGGGGTTTCTACCCCTCTCTAGCCTATTCACCTGGCGCATCCTGCTCGCCCCTCATCATTGTGGGCCGTTCTGATGTGGAAGGTCTCCGCGACGGACTAAAGCCCCACGATTTCCTCTACTTCGAAACAGGACAATAACGAGGGCGGCGCCATGAGTATGAGGCAAGTCAATCCTTGGTGAGCCTGAATCATGCTCGGATGCCCCAAAACAAATCACTTGCTGAAATCTCCGTTCCATCTTTAGAACTCCACTGCGGGGGAGGGGCACCATTACTCCAGCCCCCCGGAAGGCCATGCCGATGTGCTGGGAAACTGTCGAGAATCGGAGGTGGTGGGCTCGTATCGAGGCCGAGCTCGCTGGCTTGATAAGATTAATCGTTTAACCTGCCTTTTATATGATGCACTGTCGGAAGGCCAATGCCCTCTGAAGAAATCCGATCTAAGTCCAGCACATGTTTTACTCCCTATCTCAACATAGCAATTTCTTCCAGCCTGAATTATTCATAGGCACTCATCTACCCGTCCTACAATCTGCCTTTCCAAGCTCCTTGAATCCAACTTCACAAAACCATGGGCGATCTCTCCATTGAACTCACGGCCCCCAATGGCCAGAAATGGTCTCAGCCAACAGGTCTTTTCATCAACAATGAATTCGTGGCATCATCCTCTGGACAGACTATCCCAGCTATCGATCCAGCGTAAGTACACTCGCATATTCCAGATAATCATCAATGGAAGACAAGCTAAATGCTTCCCATTCAGAACCGAAGAGGTGATTGCATCGGTCCACGCCGCCAATGCGGATGACGTCGACAAGGCCGTGAAGGCTGCCGCAGCTGCCCTTAAGAACCCATCATGGAAAGAACTGGCATCTTCAGACAGGGGCATACTCATGGCCCGTCTTGCAGACTTGATTGAATCGAACAAGGAGCTACTCGCAACCATTGATGCCTGGGACAATGGTAAGTTTGCCCTTTGGAATCTAACTGAAGCCGCAAATCATAATTGTGTAATTGTACAGGCAAGTCATACAACGAAGCACTTACGAACGACCTTGTTGAGGCCGTCGGTGTGATTCGCTACTACAGCGGCTGGTGCGACAAGATCTTCGGCCAAACCATTAGCGTACCAAACAAGTTCGCCTACACCGTCAGGCAACCTGTGGGTGTTGTCGGTCAAATCATTCCATGGAACTACCCGCTGTCTATGGCTACGTAAGTTCGCGATGGCTCTTTAGATACGATTACATCCTAACAAAAGTAGATGGAAACTAGGCCCTGCCCTCGCTTGCGGTAACACTGTTGTTATCAAGGCAGCAGAACAGACACCTTTGAGCATCCTGATTCTCGGTCGTCTTATCAAGGAAGCCGGATTCCCTCCTGGTGTTGTGAACGTCATCAATGGTCTCGGAAAGGATGCCGGCGCCGCTCTTGTCCAGCATCCTCTAGTTGACAAAGTTGCTTTCACGGGATCAACCGCAACAGCCACGAACATCATGAAGATGGCCTCGGCAACTCTGAAGAACATTACGCTAGAAACCGGCGGAAAGTCGCCGCTGCTCGTGTTCAATGACGCTGATCTCGAGCAAGCTGTGAAGTGGTCTCATCTGGGCATCATGTCCAACCAAGGACAGATTTGCACAGCCACCTCGCGTATCTTGGTCCAGCAGGACATTTACGACACCTTTGTCAAGAAGTTCATAGAAGAGGTGCAGAAGACAAGCAAAGTCGGCAACCAGTGGGATTCCGAAACGTACCAGGGCCCGCAGGTCTCAAAGCAGCAGTACGACCGTATCCTCTCCTACATCCAAATCGGTCATGACGAAGGCGCTACGATCCAGACTGGCGGCGAGAGGCCAGCGCACTTGCCCAAGGGCTACTACATCTCCCCGACGGTGTTTACGGACGTAAAGAGCGACATGAGGATCTGGCGCGAGGAGATCTTCGGCCCTGTCGTCGTTATTCAAAAGTTTGTTGACGAGGCGGAAGCAATTGCGACTGCCAACGATAGCGTTTACGGTCTTGGAGCTGCTGTCTTCACGACGAACTTGGAGAAGGCGCACAGGGTCGCCGCCGAGATCGAGTCGGGTATGGTCTGGGTGAACAGCAGCCAGGACTGTGACCCTCGAGTGCCTTTTGGCGGCGTGAAGCAGAGCGGTATTGGAAGGGAATTGGGAGAGGCGGGACTTGAGGCATACTCGCAGATCAAGGCTGTTCACGTCAACATGGGCAACAGGTTGTAAGGAAAAAGCGGGAAACATGTGAATTAGATTTGGGAGTTAGCCTAGGTAGCAAAAGGTCTGCCTTTTGAAGTACGTTGATTTGATTGTGACAAAATAAACGAATGTGTATTCACAATACCACAATTAGACATACAGTTCTTCCCTAAAATCCCATGAGAATTAATCTTCGCTATATATATACAAAGACCAAGGAGGATTTTTTTTTTTTTTTTTTTTTTGCACTATGTGTTCCCTAGCAGATGAGCATTTGAGAATACGTGAGCACACAAAGCAATCCTGGCCTGGGCTAAGTGTCTAATCGCTCTAAAATCATAACTGAGTCAAAGTTGCAACTACCCAAGTTACTCTAGGGCTGTACTTTACTAATACTATATGACTTTGTCTTTCTTTCCTCTTCCCTCACACAGATAATGAGACTTTGGCTATGTTGGTATCTACTTTAACAACCTCAAAGTAACAGTCAAGTTTAGTAATGAAAGCAGCCGGATTGCTGTAGAAATGTGTGAAATAATCTTTCAGCTTGAAGCTACAGGCAAATTAGAGAGATTGAACAAGTTGCTGGGGACTTAAAATGAACTAGACAGTAACATCCTTTCATTTGTAAGCTGAATTTTCCAGGCGCAGCAACTTGCCATTGACTCCTCCGCACCGTAACTTATCTCAGCTTCTCATCAGACATATACGGAACATAAGATACTTATTGTCTCTTGAAGGCAAGCAGGTAGGCTGGCAAGGAGGCAGTTGGCATGTTGCAATCTGATCTGCTTGTTGGGGAAAATGAGGTCGTAGTCAGAATTCTCGCAAACCACCAAAATGCCTTTTAACTTGAATCTGGATGTATTCAGTGGCGTCGTTTCCCCCGCGGAGGCTACCTCTCGATGATTTTAAAAGAAGGTGTGCGAACTATTTCAGTCTGTTGATAATGCCGAAGCTTATGCCTTCCGTCCTCTGCAACCAGTCTTTGCCGAAAGTTGGTACCATCCGCGTCTTTGACCAATTTTTGTTTCTTTGAAATCCTGAGAAGTGGTTTCCCGTTACTAGGGAGATTCATTTTCGAATTTGGAACAACTTTCATTAGGAGAGAATCAAAACCTGTTTGATGAAATTACAGCATCAACGTAGCATATCTTCAGCAAAGTAAGTCCCAAGGACAGCAGACATAATACCAAATTACGGCCAACTATTGGCCATAAACCCATAACATATCAGAATTTCCTGGGTACGCACAACGTCTATAATTATGTTATTAATCATTCTAGATGATAGGTAGAGTAAACTAGTGGTTTTCCAAGTCACCAGGTTGAGCTTCAAAGATGAAGCGATGTGAGATCATGACTTGGCCATTTCAGCTTTCCTTAACGCCACATATCCGCAAAAGGGTCCCAACTCGGATCTTCTACGGGGGTGTACTCCATCCTGTTGGCGATGCCTTTCGCAACATCCTTCCCGTACACTGCTCCGATCCACGCAAACGTCACATCAATCCCGGCGCTAATCCCCGAGGATGTCCAAACGTTCCCATCTTCCACCCATCGTGCCTTGTGTACCCAGTTAACCTCGGGGCGCAGAGCAATGGTCTGTTCCCATGACAGTTTGTTTGTCGTAGCCCTCTTTCCATCCAGCACCCCAGCACGCGCTGCCACGCCTGCCCCGGTACAAACAGTAATTAGGTGCTGCAGCTCTGGGAAGCGCTCCTTGATGAACTCAATGGCTGTGCGAATGCCGGCATATCGCGTGCCCTGTCCGCCGGGAACGATGAGCACGTCAAGAGGTGGGGCTGTCTGGAAGGTATGCGTAGGCAGGATGGTCTGGCCGAAATCGGAGTTCGCTGTCGGCGCCGAAGGGGCGGCGGGGATAGCGCCGGGCTGTTGTTGAGCTCCGGGGATCTGCTTCGTAGAGACGGGATCCAAAGACTCGGCAATGGTGTACAGGTTCATATCGTAGGAGCGCGACAACATGTTAAGCGCATCCAGGGGCCCGAAGACGTCGAGTGCCTGGAAGGCAGGGAAGACGACGATGCCGAAGTTGACCGGCTTTTCTAGTGGCTGGTCAGAAAGGGTACTGGAACGATCTCGCTCGTGTTTGAGCCCATCACTCACTGCCGCTTGTGAGATCACTGCTCTGAGACATGGTGTTGGGACTGTGAGTGAATCTCCTTATGTGGGATGAGTGAGTTGAGGCCGCTACGGTGGGTCTTCTGGAGAAAAGCAAGATGGCGATGTTACGGCCCCTTTGCATCATGCGTGACTTATTGAGGTCTTTAGAGAAACCAACTAGACGCAAATATTCACGACTCTACCTCAACGAGTCTTGATCTGGTCAGGATACGTTGACGTTATGCCCAAATAGGGAGACGGAAGTTATTTGCGAATCAACAAGGGCTCGGAGACCGATGAGACATTTACGTAAGGTGGAGGACTCCGAGAGGTTTGCGGGGGATTCGGCCTTATTAATAATAACGGGCAACTGTAGAGACCCCTACATTGCGCCATTCCAAACTCTAGCCAATTATACAAACTCTGCAATATTCAGAATCCCTTTAGGTCTGCAAGTACTTTCAACATGTAATGTCAATAGACGGTTCTTGAACATACAACCTTTTTGCCTTACGAGCAGATTTATGTTGGGAGAACAAGGAAGACAGTTCGCTCCCTTAAATGTGATAAATGTTGGAATAATTACACGGTTGGCTTATCAATAATTTGAACGAAACGCATAGTTAAAATGGGTTGAACTTTCAACATAAAACATTTCAGTATCGGCTATTCTTTTCAGGCCTCCCACACCCTCCTGCCACCGAACCATGTCTCCTTGACAGCTGCATTAAGCAAACGAGTCGCATCCCACTCCATATCTACAACAATAAAGTCCGCAAGCCTGCCACTGGCCAAACTTCCTGTTCTATCTTCAGCAAACACGCTACTGGCGGCGCCCCATGTTGCCGCAACAACAGACTCGCACAATCCTAGCTTGAAATTCTCATTCACCACCTTGGTGTAATTCGGGTTCCTTGAAGACCGTCTAGTAGATGCGACGTAGATGTTGTGCAAAGGCGCCCATGGGGAGGTAGGGCTATCACTTCCAATTGCCATCAAGGCACCTGCATCGGCGAACTCGCGATATGCAAACGCTCGCTTACAACGGTCCTCTCCCAAAAGACGCGGCCACTCTGTGAGGATTGAAGGATCAGCGTGCACCGGATGGATAGATGCTGTGAGACCCAGCTTGCCTAGCCGTTGAGCATCTTCGGGAGACGCAAGCTCCAGATGCTCGATACGGTGTCGCCGCCCAGGGGTTCCGTTTTTCTCGATCGCATCAATAGCCATCTTGATCGCAGCATCGCCAATCGCGTGAAGTGCCACTTGGAGGCCTCCTGAATCTGCTTCCTTTACGACAGGATTTAAGTGCTCGGGTTCCCAGATCGGCGGTGGCAGACCTGCAGGTGCGTAAGGCTGGGAGAGATAGGCCGTGCAAGCGTCTATGATGCCGTCGCATATGACCTTCACACCGACCACGCGTAAGTCTGGACTAGTGCTCAGATTGTACTGCTTGCTCAATTCAAGAGCACGCCGGACTTGTTTGGAGTTGGCCTCCAGATCTGCCGTAGGTTTAATCAGCCAATACGCAGCGACTCGTATCGAAATGTCCGGTTGGTCTTTTTTCAGTGTGACAAGGGCGTCCCAAGCTTCTTCATCCATGGCCATCTCCACAATGCTCGTATATCCCGCTGCATTGTATTCCTTGATAGCAGCCTTTATAGCTTGAATACGCTCTTCTTTAGGAGCAGAAGAAGCTTGAAATGGCCAAATGACAGACATCATTGCACCCTCGTCCAAGACGCCGGTAGGGTTTCCGTTGACATCGCGGTGGATGCTCCCACCAGGGGGATCCGGCATTTGGGCAGCCCCGAGTTCCTTCAATGCCGCCGAGTTGCACCAACATGAATGCTGGGAACTCGCATCGATAAATATCGGACGCGGATCAATATCATCGAGCAAGGAAGCACTGACACCATTTGGGGTCATTGAGTGCATCCAATTTTTGCAAAGAATGGATGGCACCTGTGGGTTGGCCTCAGCATAAGACTTGATTGTTGACCGAATGTCCTCCACTGTTTTGCAGTGAACCAAGTCTAGTTTCCGCAGTGACTGGCCCAAGAGGAGGAGGTGCATATGACCGTCGATAAACCCAGGGAGTACAGTGCGCTTCTGGAGATCTTGAACTTCGAAGCTGCTGGTATCCTCAGGTACGACCTCATTCCGTGTTCCAATGGCGCTGATCTTTCCATCTGTGACTAGCATGCTGTCCGCGAAAGTCGGCTCAGCATTGAGGCCAGTCCCAGCTTTACTTAGAATTCGCCCATTGACGAAAACGGTGCCCGATGCCATGGTTGTAACTTGCTCTGTAACTGTACTGAATTGTTATTTTTACTAATGGTGTATGTGTTGTGATGTTTCTGTAAGTTTTGTTAGTGGCTGAAAGTTGGAGGCAAGGGTCTGCAAATAAGATGTTCTGACATTTGTGTATCAAGGGAAGATGTGTCCGATAATGTAGAAATGCTGATATGGAACTATAAGAGAAGTAGCCACCTTTTGTAATCCTCAAGTCTCCTGTAGCCCCATAACGCATCTTGAAGTTCTCGTTTTGGTAAGGTTCTGGTCTTTTACCATTAGGGGAGACTCCCGCTTCGACCTTACTGCCCAGGACAAATATCCCAAATCAACTAGGGCAAGCCATCCAAATTGGGAAATTAGTGGATCTTCTCTCTTCGAGTTTCCTTCCCAGTAAACCCCCATTCAGTACACTTGAGCGTCTTAATTAGTGCGTGTCACGCAGTCAATTTGCCCACCACTTATGGGGTAAAAAAAGATGCTTCCATTCATTAGAGACTGTCTAGGGGTTATTGGGTTGATTATATAACCGTCTATTCGGTAATTACCGATTTGAAGGTTTTCATGCACAAAATGACATCCCCGTTAGTTTTATATGGGAAACAATAGCCGGGTGCATGGGTTGAATGCATGCCCCGATATATGCAGTGGTCCGTGTGACACACCCCCTCAGAGAGGCAACCTGTTGTAGGTTGATTCTCTGTATTCTCATTCAAATACAGAAATGATACTATTCAGAACTCCGTATACTTACTACCAAATTCCAGATTCATACTGCGTTCTTCTCGATCAAATGTTCAATATTCGCCATACCCAATTGGGCGATAAAGTGGTTGTGTTTTTGGGCTGGCATTGCTTTAGTCATACCGTCTGCCACCATTTCGTTGGTTGGAACCCATTGAAAGTCAATTGATCCCTTCTGTAATTCCTGGCGAAGCCATAAGTTGTTGATATTGATATGGCGTAATTTGCTAGTCGCTTGGGGTCTTTCAGCAATCAATAGTCGAAGAGTTTGCTTATTGTCGCATTGCATGATGTATTTATCATCTAATTGGAGATTCAATTGTTCCATGAGTCGAATGGTTGCCATATATTCTCTTGTGGCTGCTGTCAAAGCAGCAAGCTCAGCTTCTGTGCTTGAAGTGACTACTCTTCGTTGTTTGACTGCTTTCCAATGAATTGGACCTCCGAATAGCATCATCACATATCCTTGAGTGCTTTTTCGAGTGACAGAGTCATCAGCGAATGAAGCGTCTGAGGCGCAGTAGAGGACTCCTTTCCCTTTGCAATTGAACTCGATAGCGAGGTATTTGTTGTCCTCAAGATATTGTAAGCATTCATATGCTGCTTTCTGGTGTTCAGAAGATGGATTTGATAGGAATTCTGCTAGTCTCGAGCTTGTTCGAGCTATATCTGGTCTGCCAATCACTCCAGCATAGTTGATTGATCCAACCTTCCGTTGATAGTAGTTGATTTCCTCTGGCGTAGCCTGACCAGGACTTGGGACCAGGTTATCTATTGCCATAGGTGTTTGGCGTCGCTTGGTTGAGGTTCTGATCTTGAATTCTTCAGTGACCTTAGATATATAGTTGTCGAGACTCATCCATAGTTGACGGGTTTTTCGTTCTCTTATTATTCTGACTCCTAGGAAGATACTCAATTCTCCCATATCTTTCATTTCATACTCCTTTTTGAGTTGTTGAACTGCTTCTTTTACTTTGGTTTCATGCTTTTTATGGTATATAACCCCAATATCGTCCACAAAGTGGAATACTATGAAGTATTGATTGGTGTAGATACAGTCATCTTCTTGGAGTGGGATAAGGCCAAGCTTCTTGAATGATCTCTCCAGATTCTTTTGCCATAGCAGTGGGCTTCGTCTCAATCCATATAGTGCTTTTCGCAGGGCAAGACAGTATCCCTCTTGTCTGAATCCTGGAGGAAACCAAACATAGACTTCCTCATCAATTGTGGCATGTGTAAATGCGTTGACTGCGTCCAATTGAAGAGTCTCTAAGTCAAATCTCGCCACAATTGCCATGAGACTTCGCAGCGATATACCAGCAAGCGTTGAGGCATAGGTCTCTAGTTCATTTGTCGGTTGGAGATCTCCTCGAACACAGATCCTCGCTTTGAACTTCTTGAGATATCCTTTGCTGCCCTTATATGTGAATACCCACTTCAATGGGATAATTCGCTGAGTGTCTTGATCAATATTGCCAAGATCAATCATTTCAAACGTGCCCATTTGCCATAGTGATCTGTTCTCAATATTCATTGCAGCAATCCATTTGTGACTGTATTGGTGTTTGATCGCTTCACTGTAATTCTTTGGAACTGGTGGAAGTGTCTTTTGGTGTGGATTGCCTAAATCATCTGCTGATGCATCCCATTGATCTCTTCCTTTTACTGTATCCGTAGATTGCAGTGTGAAGTGGGATTCTCTTGCTCTTCTCAGTCTTTGTGATGATCTTGTTGCTTCTGGTGGCTGTTGATTTGTTTGACCAAGAGGGGCTGATCGATTGTAGATGTTGTGATTTCTGCTGCCACGAGGTCTTCCCCTTCTCGCTATGTTTGGGATTACTGTGGAGGAATCTTGTGGTATGATTTCTTCTGGTTCTAATTCTATGACTGGTGTCTGTTGTAGTTCGAGTCGGTCTGTTGAGGTTTCCTCTATGGTCTCACTTTGATCCGATTGTTCTGGAGTTGGCGATACTTCTGGAGTTTCTGGAGTCTCCCCCACCCCCTCAGTTGTTTGAGAATCTGACAGCTGTACTGTTGGTGATAGAGAAGTGGGTGTAGGTAATTGAAAATCCCCTGATTCTTTCTCCTGCATCGGTGTTGCCGGTGTTGTTTCTTGAGCGGCTGGATTCGAGGCGGGTAGTGGCCCGGTAATATTATCGCTGAAATCTTCTCCATCCCAGCCAGCTGTGTCTAGGTCTTGTTCAATTGGATTTGTGAATGGGATATCCATTTCTGTGAACTGGAATTCAAGTTCCATTTGGCTTAACTTGCTGGTATCCTCAATCCTTGGATCATACAGCGTGTTTTCGTCGAAAGTAACGTCTCTAGTTCTCATGACTTTTCCTATTGCTGGGATCCAGATTCTGTAGATATTTGTGCTGTCATAACCACATAGATAGCCAATATGAGCTCTTGGCGCAGTTTTGTTTGACTTTTCTATTCCTCTCTTGTAGTTTTGTGTCAAGGGGTAAGCTCTGCAGCCATATCGCCTCAAGTGTGCTAGTTGTGGCTTTTCAGCCCTCTTGTGGGTAGACTGTTGATGAGAGTTCAGCCAAGTGTTGACCAACCCCAATGGTGTCTGCCACTTGTGGCGTCTTCGAGGCAATCTGTTTGACAGATAAACTGCTGCTTTTGCCAGCTCTGGTGCCATCAATTCAGGAAAGCGAGATTGAAATCGAAGTGCTCTCATGATCATAAACACAGCACCTCCAGCTCTTTCTGCTGGGTTTTGAGCACCAGTGTACTCAGCTGATCTTTCAATCATATATCCATTCACAGCTGCCCATAGTTCAAACGCATTGCGTAAAGCAACCTCCCAATCTAGGCGTAGAATAGAGATTTTGATAAAGCACTGTCTCTCGAGGTATGCTGCTAATTCTGTCATAGCTTGTAGTCCCTCCTTTCGAGTACGAAGAGTTCTTATCCAGAAGAACCCTGACCAGCCATCGCTGACCAGCAGGATCACCTTCTCCCTATTGTATGCTTTGCTAAGTGTAAAGAAGTCGAGAGATAGATAATCTCCTACAGCAGTTGGCCAATGGTCTGGGTTTCTGCGGGAAATTTGGCGAGTTGCCTTCCCAACAGCACAGGCATCACATTCCACTTTTGTGATTCCTTTTATCTGTATCCCAAGAGCTGTTTTAAGTAGCTGTTCCAGTCCCTCAGCGCCTGGATGACCAAGTCTCTCATGCCACAACTTGGCTTCTGCTGATGATGTTGGGAGTGGTTGTCTTGTTGACTGAAAACCTTTGGTTGGTTTCCTTTCTACGGTTGGGCTGAATCTCACAGTCTTCTCGGTATTGCTGAACGAGGTATTGTTCAGCAGAGCTGGGCCAGCTTCAATAATGTATTGACCATATCGGTTTGGTGTTTTGAATAGAAGTCTGCCTTTTGAGTCGATAAGACCCGGTATTCCTGTTGTAAAGATGATCCCTTTTTGCTTCAGCGGTTCTGTCCCAAGGAGCGATGTTGGGTATCCAGGCACAAGCCATACATTTCTGACTTTGATCTCCTTGTTGTTGGATTTGCCGCCTTGGTTTGGTTTGATGATCATTGTGCCTTTCGCAATTGCATGTACATCTCCTCCTCCAGTGGTGAAGTCTTTTGTGACTGTGTAGTCGAGATCATGAAGTCTTGAGGAGTCGTTGCAGATGTGGAATCCTGTTCCTGAGTCTACTATCATACTGTCTGACAGTGGGAATCCTGAATAGAGACTTGCTTCTCCTTGATTGACGATAGTGACGAAAGATGAGAGTGATCCTTCTCCATCAGACACTTCTTGAGTATAGTGGGATGATGATTGTGTAGTGTTTCTCCAGTTTGAGGAAGATGTTGCTCGATCTGGGGACTTTTGAGACTGCTGATCGCTTGCCCCTTTTCGTAGTTTTTCAACTATTCTCTTTAAGTGTGGTTTCTTCTGGAGATACTCATTCAATCTTTCCAGTGCTTTCTTATTTTCTGGATTATCTTCATGATAGTTTGGGCCTCGCTTCTTAGGGTTGGCATGTTTGCAATCAACAAATCGGTGACTTTCGTTTGGGCAAGCTGCACACTTTTGCTCTCGTTTTGCCCCCTGTTTTATTCCTTGTTCGTTTTCTCCTTGCCAAGTAGCGAAACTCGTGTCTTTTAATGGAGCAGCATTCAGCCAGTCTGGGTGGAAAGTTCTCACCCAACTGCGGAAATCGTTAGCTTGCTCAATTCCAGCAGTCTTGCTGATCGAACTGTAGGTTGGGTCATCCTTGTATCGCTTTGTGAAGTCGTAAGAGGCAGATGTGTAGTAATCTGGTGCAATTTGCTTGACTGCTTTCAAGAACTCAGAGACTTGAGTAACTGGATCGCTGAGAGCAGGGATTCCGATTGTTTGGGCTTCATCCATGATTTCTCGATAGATTATGAGCCATCCTCCAAGTTTTGCTCTTTTGATTGATAGCATATGCTTGTTATATCTTTCCAATACCATTTGTTGTCTCCCAAAGTTGTCTGGCGCTAGCTGTTTTTCAAGAGCTTTTATGATATCCCTGACTGTTTGCTCCTTGCTGACTTGGCTGATATAAGTGGCTGCTACAGTGTTCATGATCCAACTGTGAATTTCTAGAAGACTTCGCCGAACCTGGTTGTATTGGTCTTTTTCTTCTTGATAGATAGCTTTTCCATAGCTGATAACGTTGCTATAGTTTGCTCGTTCTTCTTGTCTGAGGTCTTTTGGGTCTGGGAATTCCAATCTTGGCTTAGTATTAATCTTGGTTCCTTTTGGATTCACATAGTCCCAGACTTCATGAACGTTTGCCAGCATCTGTAAGTTGTTGAACCAGTGGTTCCAGTCGCTGTCAGTCTGTAGCCGCTGTGTGTATTTTGCAGTTTCCGTAGTTGAATTCATGATCTCTCTTGAAAAGAGAACTGGTCTCTCTCTTCTGATCGTTGTGCAGTTGATTTTTCGCCGTGGCCAAGATTGAGTTCGTGACTAGACACTTCTTGTTTCAAGTTGGTGATTTTGTCGATTGTTGCCTAGAGGTTTGAGGGTATATAGCCAATCTCAACGCCTCAATTCTCAACAAAACGCAAGACGCCCCCCCTGTCTAATGAACCTGCCGTTTAGTGTAGTTGGTCTAGCCACCCAACTTGTAGCTATTCGCAAGGACCGTAAGACTGGCAAGCTCCCCTTCGTGGGTTCAATTCAGGGTTGTGGAGTTTTCGCAATTTGTAAAAAGTCTTATCGGTTCCGTTACACGAAGACTATAAAGTGAACCACCTGTTCGTCTTATCTGCCCGAAGCTTTCAGAGGCATAAAATGAGCAACTAGGTGTCTCTTCCGTTTCGTAATTCCAACCCTCCTGGCTGCGTATCCGTGGTATGGTCGAGCATGAACTTATATAAGGTTCAAGTTAAGAGTCCTGGGTTCAACTCCTCAGATGTGGTAAGTCCCCCTGAGTTGAGATGAACTTTTTGTGATTTTTTGATAAGTGTTGATGATATGAATTGATGACCAGAAGTTCTTTTGTGATTGAATGTTTCAACACTTCAACGTTCAGCCTTGTGTGATTGGAATTGATGTTTTGTTTGGTGGACTTGACTGCCAAAGTCTCATGGGTCGGTAACTTCGTCAATTGAGTGCCCTTGTCTATGGCATAAGTCTGAACTGCTCCCTTCTAGAAGTCGGTTTTTCAATTGGTAATTGTCACCATGAGGTACTGGGCTCATAACTGTCACGCAGTCAATTTGCCCACCACTTATGTGGTAAAAAAAGATGCTTCCATTCATTAGAGACTGTCTAGGGGTTATTGGGTTGATTATATAACCGTCTATTCGGTAATTACCGATTTGAAGGTTTTCATGCACAAAATGACATCCCCGTTAGTTTTATATGGGAAACAATAGCCGGGTGCATGGGTTGAATGCATGCCCCGATATATGCAGTGGTCCGTGTGACAGTGCGCCTATGCTATCGATACGGAAGTGTTTAGTTTCCGAAGTCGGCACGTGAATGATGGGGTAGCGAAGCTGGAACCACTTCTTATTCTATTCGGCGTACTTATCTTTCTGGTAGCGTTAAGGTATTGAAGTGGAGCTGTAAAAGGCCTGGCAGATACCTGGGTGAGGTAAAATGAAATAGAGATGAAGTCGATTTGTGGTGTAAGCAAACGGGGTTGATAAAAGTTACTGCTGGGCCGATTTCAAAAGTTCAAAAACTCCTTTTAATAAGAATCATCAATGTAAATGCTCATAGCGGACTGTTTTGCTATTTGTCAATTAAGATGTGGGTGACAAACCAGTGATTGGCCACGTGAGTGGCACATCTGCCTCTTGGTGCGGGGTTAGAGCAGCTTGACTATTAAGCATCCCTTATTTGCTTTGCAAACTACCAAAAATACAAACATTTGGAAAGAAGAACGATATATGTTAGATGATTACATAAAACACAATCTGGTCTGAACGTTACCATGTACAAGTCCCAAATCACCTTTACCCTAGACACCATATGTCCCTGGTAGGTTTACAACACCCAGCGCTGTGCACACTTTTACTGATGACGTTAATATAGGACATACATCGCAAAGAAAAGGTAACAGTTAGATGAAACCAAAATGATGGTGCACTGCGTAAAGTAAAATGGCAACTTATACGCAATAGATTAGGAAAGGCCCTTGAGCAAGTCGCCGCCTCCCCTGACGCCGAAAAGGTCTCCTTCACCTTCGTCTTTCGCCCTTATCAGCTCAACCCGGAGTTCCCATCCGAACCTCAGGACAAGCGTCACTGGTTCAAGACAGAAAAGCATGACGCCTCCGATGTAAAGCAATCAGTATATGAGGCAACCATGTCAGAGCTTGGCGCCGCTGTAGGCATTGACTTCTCTTGGGGCGGGACTTTCTCAAACACTTTCAACGCCCATCGTGTTATCCAACACTTTCAAGAATCCAAGGGAAGCGAGACTGCAAACCGATTGGTCGACGCGTTATACAGTCGCTACTTTGAGCGCGAGCAGAACCAAGGCGCGAAGGATGTGTTGGTAGAAGCCTGCGTTGAGGCGGACATCAGCGAGGCCGAAGCCAGAGAAATTGTCGAGGACGAGACCGAGGGCAAAATCGACACAAAGAACATGATTAGAATGTCAGCTATAGATGGCGTCGATGCGGTGCCACACGTGGTCATAGAAGGAAGACGGAGGGATCTGACACTTATTGGGGCGAAGGAAGTCGAGGAATACGTCAAGGCTTTAAACACTATTATCAAGGAAAGCAAATAGTAGAGGCGGATAAGGCTCAAAACGTGCTTTTTGTTTTTACTACACCAACATGGATCCCAGTCATTCAATTTTACCCCTTGCCAAAAACCGCTCAATATCTCTCCAAAATCCACTGCCGCCTATCCTCATTGCTAAGCGAATCCAGTGTCTTCATCTCTTCCTCTTTCACAGTTGTATATCGTTCAATCAACTCTTCTCCAAGAAGCTCAACCAGGACCTCATCCTCAGCCAAGGATTTGAGAGCTTCTGGTAGGCTGGACGGAAGCATTTGCTCTACACCAAGCTCCTTGCGGTCATTCTGCGTCAAAGTCGCGGGGTCAACCTCGCAGTCACCCCAGACCAGCTTCTCGTTGGTCTGGACTCCATGTGATCCGGCACCGAGGAGGGCAGCAACCGCCAAGTATGGGTTCGCGATGCCGTCCAAACATTTGATCTCCCAATGACTGTCCTCGACCTTCCGTAAAGGCGTCTCTCTGTTCTGCGTGCCCCAGGTTACCCATCGGCCACCGGCCCAGCAACCATCTTGGACACGCTCATAGCTGACCGGGTTGCTGTACGTGATGGCAGCTATGGCGCGCAAGTGTTTCAGGATGCCGGCGTAAAACGGTTGATACGTCTCCGGCTTGGAACCGTTGGGCGAGGTAATGGACATATGCATATGAGCTGCAGTGCCACAAGATGTCGGGAACGGCTTGGGGTGCAGGGACATTCTGTACCCTTCAGCCTGAGCAATGCTTGATATCACGTCACGGACATAAAGAAGTGTATCCACTGCTTCCAAGGGCGGGACGTGTGGAAGCACGACCTCGAATTGGCCAGCAGCGCTTTCAGGATGAATCTGCTCGATGTAGATGCCCCTTTCATCCAACTCAGCGACAGCCCTTTCAATGACTTTGATGAAGACAGGGTTGTCCATCATACGGGAGGTAGACCACGCATGTCCGTCGTTGTTCAGGGTTCGGTATTTCTCGGGCCCGCTGTTGACTCGCTCCAGTAGGAGGAGCTCAATCTCGAATCCGATACTGAAGGTGAGACCTAGACGGGCACTGTTCTCAACCACCCGTTGCAGAAGAGATCGCGGGCATAAGGGCACAACCGCGCCATCTTGTTCTCTAAAGTCGCCGAAGACGCTTATGTGGCCTTCTCGGGGTCCTTCATGTAGCGAGGTGAAATCTGGATGAAGGCGGTACTCTCCGGTTCCAGATGCCCCCGGAACAACCATGTCGTTCTGTAGCAAGCCTAGGCTTGCCTTCGTTATGCTCAATAAAAAATCACCATCCTCATTCATCACCGATAAAACTTTCCGCATGGGAACAGCTCGTACTCGTGGGGTGGCTGTCATATCGTTCCAGTAGATGCGCAGGTACTGCGGCGGCTTTTTCCCATCTAGGAAAGCTTCCAAGATGTCCAAGTCGCTTCTTCCAGAGAGCCTTCTTGGGTTCAAAAACCCTTCATCTGGGCTGAATGGAAGTTGAAGGTGATAGACATGGTTCGAGTTATTGAAAAGAATATCTTTCACAAGCTTAGTGGCTTCTCGCCAGGTCATATGTCCTTTGCGGGCATACTCGCTCAACACCTGAGACATGTAAATCAGATGAAGACTTATGCAGAGGATAACAGTGTACTTACCTTTTCCAAGACTTCCTTCACTTGCAGCACTGCCAAAAGGTATGTCTCGGGGAACCAGTGGCCGTCAGTGCTCCAAAGGACCTTGGACCAGGGGCAAAGCTCAAGGATTTGTCGAAGGGCAGTCTCCTGACCGTCGCGACTGAGAAAAGGGAATATCTCTCCAATATCCGCATACACGTTGGCATAAACGCAAGCCAAATACCCAGCCTCTCTAACAAAGGGATAGCTGGCGTGTAATAGAACGATTGGTACAGTGGGATATTGGCGGATAAAGTCTTGTAAATGTGCCGGAGACGCCGAGGTCAGAGTAATGTCGTTGTCGCCGAGTCCAGTGTGGAACTGAATGGGTTTCTTGCCGGAGCCCTCGGAGTCCCTAATGAGGCACGCAAGTCGGTGAACTAGATACTCGTCCAGACCAGGATGATTGACGCGAGTGAATCCCTTTTCAGTGCTCTGAATGTAAGCCCCGTGAATACCCTCAAAGGCCTTTTGGGCAGCTGCAACATCCGGCTCTCTAGGGATTGCAAGACCAGTGCGGTAACATATAACTGACTTGAACCCGACGACTTCAGGGTCGGCAATGGCTTCCCTGATGCTGTTGTCGAACGCATGCAACGACTTTTCAAAAGTCACGCGAGCACTTTCAGCTGTTACCGTAGCTGCATCTTCCGCCAATAGATGTTCATTGATAATGTCGGCTGCGACCTTCTCAATGCGAACAATTCTTTTTGCTGGGCTGCGAGTGAGGTCGCTGAAGTACGAGTAAGGATAGACTTCATTCTCGCCATCCAATCCATCATCAACCAGCACGGATTCAATACCACTGAGGCACTCTCCAACCCACGCGTCGTAATCTTCGATGCGTTTCGCCTCAATGGCGTTAACCACTGCCTCCCAGCTTGGCTCACATCGAAGCACTTTGGCCAATTGCTTGACAGCGCGCAAGTGGGCGAGACTGGTCAGCGAAGCATGGATCGCGTCCCCGGTAGCTTCTGTAGTGATGGATAGAAGGGGATAACGACCAATAGCCTCAAGATCCAACAGTGGATGGGCGTGATTGTCGATAATGGGAGTTGTTTGGATGGTGTGGCTAAGGAGAGCCTGGCCAGTCAGCTTTGCGGGATCCATCGTCGCGGAGAAAGACCGCCAGAGAGGTTGAGTTGTTGCAGAGAGAATTTTATGGTTTCCTGGCAATCTTCCTACCGCGCGCGTAGATAGACAAGGCTCCCCTCAGCGATTGGCCCGGTCAATGAATGAATTTGGGGGTGGTTTGTTGGTGCAAAGATGCATTTTCCTGTGGGAGAGGGGGGAGGGGTAGGTGATATGGCACGGAAATGGCGTGAGATCTTATCGGTGCCCCTGCATCAATGATAGACAATGTCTCACAACAGTGTCTTCCACGTCAGCCGTTTGGTTGATCTCACTGAGGGGAAGCCGGCCTCCAATGTCGCTTTTAGGTAGTGTCACGGATAGAAGCAGTGTAATTCGTCGCCTCAATTAACTTTGGTACCCCGCAGCCATCATACAGTTCAGTTGCACGGAGTCTTAGTGCACAAATAGCCACTCAGCATAGTAGAAAAACACGTGTTCGGGGTATAGTAGAGACGGAATATTCGATTTATAAGGTGAATAATAGGACGAAGAGTAAAACTAGGTGCCGCTGACACCTTTGTAGCTTTGCAGAAGGGCACACATCCTCGCCCCGGAGCATTCCTAGCAGGACGGACTATGCATCGCACCACGGCCCGGGTGGGGCGCCGGAATGGTGCACCGACGGCTTCCGATAGGAAAGGCGTGACTAAGCGCAAGCAAAACATTACCACAAAAAGGAATTTACCATGTCACTAGGCTTGAGGCTTTTTCCCGGAGTGCAAATATTACTGTGCCAGAGGAGCCTGTCAGCTGACTAGAAATACGAGAGGCGTTAATAAGCTACATCAGGTTCCAGAGGAGTGCGGTGATTCAAACGCGCATGACGTTGGAATGAGGAAGTAGGAAACTCGATTTAGATTATGACGGTTACTTACCGAAGGTTTACTAGAGGCTGTGATAAGGAATTGGGAATTAGGTAGATAGTTTATAAGAAGTGGCAGGAGATTCTTATTACTGCACTAGCTAAGGTACTTACCTTATGTGGCCAGGGGAAGACGAGAAGTAGACAGCCCTAATGAACGAAAGTTGAGAAACGGAATAAGACAGAGTCCACGCCTCTACTACGCAAGAATTGCCAGTCAAGAGGATAAAACTGAAGGGCAAGGGCACGGAGGGAAATGTTTTGGAGAAAGGCTGCTGCGCCAAACCTGGGTTAAATGCTCTAAGAACGCCAAGATACCATTGTCCAAGATAAGTGCGATGCAATGGGAATGTTTGTCGACGTCAAGTACGACAAGGTTGCTGAGAAACAGTTGCCAGTTTGGAGCAATAAGATCATCGACGGTGTCGGCAGCAAAGCCAATCGTCGAGGCAAATGTTCAAAGATTCACAAGATAACTGAGAACATCATCAATCAAAAGAGATATATCACGGCGCGGAATTCTTTCCAACTGTTCAAAAGTGGGCTTTAGTAACCATATTTTTTACGAATCAAGTCTTAGCATGTTTGAAACGGCGATAGCACGAATATGGAGGTGGATGGTTTCTGGATCGACGGTTGCAAAATTTGACTTTCCTGCCTTTGACTTTGATGATTTGTTGTTGAAAGAAGGACTGATGCTGTGAGTATAGCTTATTTTGAATAAGGTAGAATGTGTTGGTTTTAAGACCAGTGGCATTGCAGGTGGCCGACGACATATCAACCCCGCTTCTTAACTTAATGCTATTACCGAGGCTTTATCCAGAAAACAGGACCCAGAACGGTCAGCAATCTATCAACACCGACAAACCGAATTAGCCGCAATAAAAAGAGCCTGTCCACGATAAATTATTGATAAATTATTGAAACGTCCAGATATCCTTCAATTTTTGGCGTTGCTTTACTTCGCTCGTACCTTTTGCCGCAGCAGAGCCATTTAGGCCAGCACGGAGATGACATCACGAGACACATCGGTTGTATGAGCATAGCCGAGACATTTCTCCAACCTCCCTGTCGCCAAACCCAGTTGCATGATCGAATCTCAAGCAAAATAGATATGAATTCCATTTGAGACCCTGCAGAGGCATTACATTTTCACTTGGCTCATAGCCCTGTAAATTTCATTTCGCTCAACACAGTAATGATGTCTACTCAACGCCTCTCAAGATTCGCCTTTCAGGCTCGACACCAGAAGCCGATCGAATCAGCGAAACGCAACTTCTCGTCGACAAAGGCACGATGCGGGTCGTATGAGCAGGACACCATCGCCAACTTGAAGATAGGAAAAGGGACAAAAGTCATTTACCAAGGTGGGCATATAACTATGTGCGACAAACAAAAGTTGAATTAACTTGAATCGTAGGGTTTACCGGAAGAGCTGTGTGTTCCGACGTAGTACTGATTATGTTTTGAAGCAACATCTAACATGTTGCAGGCGACGATAAACGCAAAAGACACTATTGAATATGGGACCAATGTTGTTGGGGGTGTTTCTCCAGGAAAAGGGGGACAAAGGCACTTAGGCCTTCCCGTCTTTTCCACTGTAAGAGAGGTAAGAGTGGTAGAACTCAGTGTGCAGCTTGAAATTGGTTGACAACGCAATTCGATAGGCAATGAAGGAGGTTAGACCGCACGCAAGCGCTGTGTTTGTTCCAGCACAATTTGCAGCCAGCGCCATCATTGAAGCCATCGAAGCTGAGGTACCCCTAGTTGTATCTGTTGCAGAACATGTGCCAGTTCACGACATGGCTCGGGTCCAAGAAATACTAAGAACTCAGACCAAGACTCGCCTAGTGGGACCAAACTGTCCCGGGATAATAGCGCCAGATCAGTGCCGTATCGGCATCATGCCGTACAAACAATACCGTAGAGGCATAGTTGGCATCGTTTCGAAAAGTGGAACTCTTAGCTATGAAGCTGTTGGCTCCACGACGAAGGCAGGACTCGGACAGAGCATTGTTGTTGGGATGGGAGGAGACACTATGCCAGGTACTACCCTTCTTGATGGCCTGCGGCTATTTTTTGAACATGACGAGACAAAGGGCATCATTGTCATAGGGGAAATCGGTGGTGAAGCCGAAATCAGGGCAGCCGAGGCAATTAGAGAGTATAAGAGGGCCACGTCCAACCCGAAGCCAATCATTGCCATGGTTGCAGGTAGAACGGCGCCGCAGGGCAAGACTATGGGACATGCGGGTGCGTTATTGACGCCGAGAGATGTGCCGGCGGATGTAAAAGCTAGGGCACTGGAGGAATCAGGTGCTGTGGTAGTGCCCCATCCGGGAGTAATGGGCAGCGAGATGAAGAGGCTTCTCGGCATTTAAGAACTCCCCGGTATCCTAAATCCCTATCCGAATGTCAAAAAATAACAGTCCGTGCCAATGTAGTTCTGCCAGTTTGAGTTGAGCATAGTTGCGAGATGAACATAGCCTTGTTTATCGTTTCTCAGCTGACAATTGTACTACCTAGAATGTGAAACGATGGAATCCTATCTTACTGATACTGCCAAAATCACGTCTGATGTCTCATAAAGACGAAGTCAAATATAATCTAATGTAGAATTGTCCGGCTAGTCTGATCTGCATCAGACTGATGGATGTACTTCTCATTTCTATGTTCTATCAACCCAACAATCAATACATCGAGTTATATGTATAAAGATATTAAGAGCAATGAAATTTTAAGGTTTAAACCATAATTATAACTAGGAGATCGGGTAGTCAGTTAAACAAGAGCGAAAAACTACGTATTTAGGTTGTTGGAGATGAGTGTGGACATCTCCTCCCGACTAAGAAACTAAGACCACATGGCCTAGTCACAAACCAGTGAACAAGTAGTCGCATGTGATGAAATTGACTTGGCTGGCTTTTTTTGTCGTCACTTTTGCATATGCTTAAACGACGTAAAGCCATGAGCGGAAATGCCAGGTGAGGGGTTACAATTCTTGTATGTAGCTAGGATGACGAGATGGATGACACTGTTAGCACGGCAAACCAATCAAACATCAACTATTGTAATATTACCAATATGCTTGATTCACCAAAAGAGTGACCATCCTAGTTTAGCACATGGATAATACGGGCCGGTGCAGAGAGTGTCCCATGTCGATGTCGGTGATCGGTTCTGTGGGGCGACGATCATCAGATTCGGAGCTATCACTCCAGGGCGAAGAGCGACTGAAATAATCCTTGGCAATCCATTTCTGGAACATGTAGCTATCAGTTAGGGAGCCATATGGTTCGATTGGTATGGATAATGTGATGAAATACGCTGGCATGACAAGCATACTCGTGGGCTTAGATGCCATGACGAAACGCGCCGTCATGACAGTATGATGATTTCACCCTGTGTCACTCTACCCCTGACCAAAACCAATCAAGAGGCACCCAAAACAAATACCATACGTCGACGACAAAACTACCTCCCACCTTCGCTCACGTACGGTTCGTTGTTCTTTTAGGTCGAAGGTCGGCCAAAATGAATTCAATCTGGCGACAATCGATCAGAGCCCAACGTCGTCTTCTACCGTTCCTCACCCAGCGGGCGTCAATTGCCTCTTTCGCTTGCAGAACACCAAGAAAGAACGGAGAACTTACACCCTCTATCCATCTGAAGAGAACAACCATGTCTATTACTACAGGCTCAAAGAATCATTTCGAGACCACATCTGGCGCAACCGATGCCGTATGGGTGCACCTCGATGAGTACGGCAACCGCGCTGGGGCTGATATCAAGCCGCTGGCGAGCGATATCGAGGCTGATGTCTGCATCATCGGTTCAGGAATCGCTGGCGTTTCTATTGCCTATGAACTGGTCACCCGCGGCAAGCAGGTAGTCATGCTCGAGGCGCGAGAACTACTTTCCGGAGAAACTGGTCGAACAAGCGGGCACTTGTCCAACGCTTTGGACGATGGATACCTTGAAATAAAGAAAAAGCATGGAAAGGATGGCGCAAAGGCTGCCGCGGAAAGCCACACTTGGGCCCTCAACTACGTTGGCGAGGTATCCCAAAAGCTAGGCATCGACTGCGAGTATCGCAAGCTGCCGGGCTACATGATCTCGCAATACGCACGAAATGACCCCAAACATGCCGAGGATTTGGAAGAGGTTAAACAAGAGGTCGAGTTCGCCAAAGAGCTGGGATTGGACGTCGAGTTCCGAGAGGGCTTGACTGTGAAAGGGTGGTCTGCTGAGCCCGGTAGGCCTGACCAACGTGACGGAGCTATTTGGCATGGCCAAGCAACATTCCATCCCACGAAATACTTGAACGGCATTCTTCAGTTCCTTCTTCAGCAGCCTAATTTCAAGTGTTACCCTCAAACGAGAGTCATGTCTGTTGATGAACCCGGCATTGAGATTCTCGGCATTGGAAACAAGCACGTTGAGGTCAAGACTCAAAATGGTCATATCGTCAAATGCGATCATGCCGTTGAAGCAACCAACGTGCCGTTGCAGAAGCTTAGCGTTGTTGCTGAAATGGAGTACAACCGTACTTACTGCATTGCGATCAGAGTCCCGAAGGGCTCTGTCGAAGATTGTCTCCTCTACGACACCGCGGAGGAATACAAATATGTCAGGATGACTGCTTGCGACGACAAAAATGACTATATGGTTATTGGCGGTTGCGATCACAAGGTTGGACAGGAAGATCCCTTTGGAAGATTTGAGGAGCTCGAGACTTGGGTCAGAGAACGATTCCCTCAGGCTGGCACAGTTGACTACAAGTGGAGCGGACAGGTCTTTGAGCCCGTCGACTACATGGCCTTCATCGGCTTGAACCAAGCTCAAAAGCGAACCTTCATTGTAACGGGCGACTCTGGCAATGGCCTCACTCATGGTGTCATTGCAGGCAGACTCATTGCGGATGAGATTGACGGCGCAGAGAATAGCTGGGCGAAGCTGTACTCACCGAAACGAAAGGCCTCTATCTTGGGATCAGCAGCGACCATGATTTCGCATGACCTCCAAATCAACAGTCAATATAAGCGGCTCTTGCAGTCAGACATCACCGACATTGAAGACTTGGTTCCAGGCTCTGGTGGCGTGTTGAACCCGAAGACGTCAAAGCCGATTGCTGTGTACAAGGACGAAAGCGGTAAGGTCACCAAAGTCAGCGCTTTGTGTCCGCACATGAAGGGTGTTGTATGTTGGAATGGAGTGGAGAAGTCATGGGATTGTCCGGTTCATGGTAGCCGGTTTTCAAAGGATGGCTTGTGTGTCGAAGGACCTTCCAAAGGCAACCTTGAGCCTGTAAAATAAAGATAGTTAATATTCTAATGGAGATGATATTAAACCGAAAGCCATTCTAAGCAGAGACAGAATTGTCTTTTTGCATCCGGTGCATTATATGTCTGTTCGAACCCAACTGTGACGTAAACGGTATAATTGAGATGCCAAAATTCAATTTTAAAACATAGCGGCCGCCGTTGTATACATATGAAACGTTTTTGGCGACAATGTTTTAGTTTATTTCTATTTTCGTCGATTTTTGTTATTTTCCCAATATAGAGTTTCATTTCTTGTTGTGTTGCCAATTAATAAGATAAGTCTTGTTATGAGTTATGGGATCAGTATAATACCAGTAATCTCTTCGAATGACGAAGAGTGAAAGTCTTAATGCAAACGAATAACTTACTTTTCTCTTGGTGGGAGGATGTAACCCAGGAAAAAATACCATACTTTACTTAAAGCTGCAAGGCGAACGTTCAGAATTTCATCCTTGCACAAGGACACAAGTCATAAGTGGTTAAAGACTCGAAGGACTAAGCAGAGTGAGGGAGAGAACACAAAAGGGCAACACAAACACAACAGTAAACAGGGAAGAATGGCTTTTTGTGGGGCTCAGCATGCGTTTTGGTTGATGGGAGGCGGCTGGGATGGTAGGATTAATATCAGTTGCTTGCAGATTTCTCAGTCATTTTCAAGTGTTGGGGACGTTTGTCGCGTAGAAGTAATAGTTCACTTGCAATTCCCCTCTTATTTTTATAGAGGTCCTCATCCTTCTCCTTCTCATCAGTATCGATTGCTTGGGCAACAGCCTCATTTGACCCCAAGTTTTTGTACACTTGAGACTGATTCTGTGATAGATGCGTAATACTAGGGTGCTAGGATGGGTAGAGAAAAGGGTTTCGGTGCGAAAGTCACTGACTTCATGAAGCGCACCAATCAGACCTGTCTAAGTCCCTCTATCGACAGACTAATCCCAAACGATCGTTCTTGAGCTGCGGAAGAGTTAAGCGGAACTGGGAATGAATACTACCAAATGCCTGGTTGCTGTAACTAGGGAGGATTCGAGGACTTAAGGGATGTCAAGCTAGCGCGGTCTAAGGAAAAGGCGGCAAATCAGGAAATGCTATGAAATGTCTTGAATAGCAATGTTTCGGATACAAGTCGGTCAGCTCGGATGGTGTCTTGGCGCCGCCTACCTGGTCCTCTTTTGTTGACCTGATGCACTTCATACCTTTCATCCACATTTGTGCCTCTTGATAGACATGGATCGAATACGGGTTAAAAAGGGTTACCATAAGATTGGATTCTACGGAGCTGCAACGTTTTGGGAAGCTGATGAATTGCTAGGGCATCAAGGAGGTTGGCGAGCTGGCAGCTGCATGATCGGGCCAAGGAAATAGGGATGAACGAGCCAACACTATCTCCCAGAAGAGCAATTTGTGGCTGCTACAGCAATGTAAAATAATCTGCCGAAAAGGCAAGCTGATTCATGTGCTATTGAACTCACGTGAAGAGCGGAGTCAAGACTGCCAGCGCAACCTGCATGTTGTACCCTGCCACCGCCATAAAACCCTTGGTAAAGTGAGGTTAATTCTACCCAGTGAGACTGAGAAGATACCAGCGGCAACTCTCATATCCCTTGCAGTCTAAGCTTACAGAGTCAGCCTCGGCCAGGCTGGAGTACTCACACTCTTGGTGAAACTGAAAAGAGACAGCACCACATTAAGCTAAGAATGTTGCGTATTCGAACCCATCATCATGAGTTATCCCACCATCCTGGGCACTTTCTTAGCCTCTTGGCCTTGGAGAAATCCATTTTTTCATGCAAGTCTCTTCCAGCATCTTTCTGCCTGTTCACCCTCCTCTGTGTTTGATAATCCTCCCTAACCCCTGTTTCTCGATTCTGTCTCGATCCCTCTCTTCTCTTCCTCCTTCCCACAGTTGTGACGCAGTAAAATCGAACAACTCTTCATCTATAAAGAGAATTATCTCGCATTTCTTGAATTTTGGTTTCATTTTCACCCTCACCATGGTCGCGATTTCAAGCATAGCAATACTCTTAGAGATTATATCTTCAGCAGTCGCATTCAACGCTGTTCGCTTTAGAGCAGCATCGCCCGCGCAAACACTCGTACCGCGACATGATGAGATCGGAGACTGGTCTGCCGCGCCTACAACGCCGCCTAACCCTCGGTTCGCGGCAATTGCCCAGAAGAGGGAGAATGGCGGTCCCACATGTGGTTACTATGAATTCAGTATGCCGACTCCATAACTACCAGGCATTGATTTAGTTAGTCAGCTAATATCATGTGTCTGCAGATAGTGAACCATATGACTGCTATACCAACCAAGCATGCGTTACCAGCGGTAGCTATTTCGCCTGCACTGGCGGATCGTCGCCGTACACAAGCTGTCTTGATGGTTTCAACTCGATTTGCTCTAGAAGCATTGAGGGACTCGGCACACTTTGCTGGTCAGCCTTGTGCCCCTATTGTATGATATAACGAAGTCAAACTAACGTTGATAATCATAGCAACTTTAACACCGATTACCCTCTTTGCGTTACCGCCCTGAAACCCGTCAGCTTTGGCAATATTGCAACAATCACGGGATTCCGGTGCGGTAACAACCACGCCAAGGGCAGAAAGCTGCTTCTCGAGACGACAGGCCGCTCGACGTCCAGCACCTCCAAGCTTACATCGAGTGACCAGTCCTCTGCAGTTATTGCGTCGACTGTACCGTCCAGTTCTCTTCCCCCAGAATCCTCTTCGTCTCCGCCATCGAGCCCTGGGCCCCCGGTAGGAGCCATTGTCGGCGGAACTATTGGCGGACTGGCAGTCATTGGTTTAACCGCCGGCGCCATCGCGTGGATGCTTATCCGTAATCGAAGGAGAGCCGACAACAATAACAACAACATTGGTCCTGGCGCCGGCGGCGCACCTACCATGACCCAGTCGTATACACATCCTACAATGCCCAAAAATGGAGCCCCCATAGAGGTGGTAGTATCACCTGTACCAACTTCCACGCATGATGCGTACAAGGGGCCGTATCAGCCCGCAGTCCGCTCAACTGTCGACTCGGTGGGCCGTGAGAGCTACTACCAGATTACCTCTTCCCCATCGACTTTGACACCCGTGGCGGAGACAGTGTATCAACAGCAGGCCCCTGCGCCAGCCCAAGGCCTTGATCCAGCGCCGTCGTATCACGGAACAGCTGAAAATTTGTCTTCGCGTCGCGTCTCTGAGGTGCCTGCCATCAACCCCGCAGGCGCCGGCAACAATGCTTCAGAACTTCCTCCCCAACAGTACAGACAGGCTTAGTGTGCAGGTTGTTGTGCATACTTACTTGATGGATACCCGTTGCGCCTTTACAGTGCAATGAATCAAGCGGCGATAAGGAGGCTGAAAGACACGAGATGAGGGTTGGGTATACCCGAGTATTCATTCATTATATACACTTAATACTATTACTCGATTAAAAACGACGAGGCTCCCCAAATCATTGGAAGCGCTGTCCGAGAGCATCATACAATGTCTGGTTAATCGGCAGCACACTGCCGTGTCTCAATCCGCTCGGGAAGTTGGTCCTGGAGCTCGCAGTCCAGCCAGAGTTGCTCGCAACGTTGTTCGTCTCGTACGGCCTGTAGCCATCGGCACCATAGAAATCAAGCAAGACGTGTGCGCGGCCAGTAACCTGGTTATCCCAGAAAGCAGCAGGTCCCTCAACTCCCGATTGGATAATGGCAGAGCTTCCGCCGGGGCGCGTCCAGGTGCCGAACAAGCCCGTCGTTGAGACCTCGACGAAAACAGTCTTGAGCGACTCGTCCTTGAGGAAGCGGACGAAGGACTTGCCGTCAGAGGACGTTGGCAGGATGTTGAGATCGATGATGTTGGTGGGCGACTTGTCGATGTAGGTCTTCGGGGCCGAAAAAGTGCGGAAGTCGGAGGTGTAGGCGTAGCGGATCACGATGGGGCCGGGGGCGCCGGTGTGGTTCGGGTCCGAGGCAGGGTACTGCGATGAGTAAGTTTCACTGGTCTAGGTCGAGCGTCGAGTCGGGGGGGGGGGGGGGGGAGGGGAGACTTACAAACTTGGATGCCCAGTGGACCAGGTATTGTCCCTTTGACGGGTCCCAGATGGCCTCGGGGGCCCAGACCATGCCGGCGCTGGAGTCTTCTACCACGACCAGACGCTCATTGCTCCAGTTCACCAGGTCAGTGCTCTCCCAGACAAAGATACCCTTGGATCCCTGTCTTTGGGCAGCGTCCCAAGTGGTCTGGAAAAAGGAAAGTTAGCACATTATGCACACATTCTGACTTCCGGCTAAAACGGGATTGCTAACCTTGCCAATGTCCAGATCTGTTCCGATAATATACCACTTCTTGCCCTTTTCGGCACCGCCGCCCTCGACGATAGCCGGGTCACGTACACCGCCAGTGCCCTTGGTGGGTCGGATCACGGGGGAGCCGGAGTTGAGAGCGCGCAACGATGTCGGGTTGTTACCATTGCTAAGGTAGAGGTAGACATATGGCTCAGCGCCCAGGAAGAAAGCGCCGAGGTAGCCCGTCAGACTCGGGTCCGCACGACGGGCAAGATCGCCGGTAAAGTCGAGGGATTGAATGGGTGAGGCAATGGCGAGGGTCGCGGCCAGGCCGGCACTCAGCAGGGCCTTGAAGGAGGGCATCTTGGCTCGGAAACTTGCGAACGGCCTTCAACTTTGAGGGTGAAAGATGAAGAGGTAGAGTGTCGTGAAGGAGGTGTAACAAAGTAGAAAGCCGTTCGGTGAGTCTGGGAAAGGGAAGGGTGTTTATCATGTCCTGTCAAGAGCCGTGGAATCCGGGGTAACCACGACGAAGGACCAAGCCATCGTCATAAGGTACCCGCTCGAACAAAGTCAATGTGATGAAGAGCGGGTTCGCGACATTGTTGCAGCGAATGGTGACGTGCTGCAACAGCCTGGATAGGAACGGATCGCAATGAGGCGGAGATTTGACCCCTGCCGGGCTAATAAATTGCAATATTTCACAATCCACACACACACACACACACACATGTGCGCACAGCATGGATAGCTCGTGACATTTTTCCTTGATGGAAGAACTGCTTCACATACCCTCCCGGCGGGGGCTTCGGAGCCGAGGTTCTCAGCTTGAGGGGGTTTCGCGGTAGCAATATTCCAGGTGAGTAAAGTCATGAGAACATTGATGACGGTAACGAATAGCGTCATGTCAGTCTGCCCCATGCTAGGCGCTTCTGCAACAGGGTTTCATTTACAGGGAAAATGAAGGCGGGGCAGCTCGTCCGGCCCCCTCAGTTAGGACATGTCAGGCACTGGCGTACGGCAGAACAGGGAATTTGGGAAACGCCGACGGCCTGAATGAGGAGAAACTGGGGTAGTCCCAGTGCCGGGAGATCTATCAGATGCTACGTAAGTTTATGTCTAAAGTAGTGTGGAGAACACGAGTCTCTCGGGGGCGACATCATTGGCGCGCATGTTTAATGACATCGAGCCGAGGAACACATGACATGAGTTGGCCATGGCCAGGACAATTCACGAGTTTGGAAAAGTCGAGTGGATATATACGACGATAAGTCCCCAAAAGTGTAAAATATGTACTGCGGAATAAGAATGGAGTATGTACATCTAAGGAAAATGATGAACTGCCCACGTGTGCTTCCCTGACTCGTATACCCTTCAAAGCTCAGAGGCACTGTCAAAATTGCATTAGCATCATCATCATCATCCACTGTGACTCTAAAGTCCCTTGTGTTTCTCATTGTGAAGAGAAATGTTTTGGATCAGCGGAACAGATCGACATACCTGAGAGTAATAAGAGTCCTTAAATGTGCACGTCAACCCCGCAGCACACTGGAAGCTCCCGTTCCACGTCGATCCACCGCATTGCTCGTACAACGCCCCACCCTTAGCCGTTGGCAGTGCCAGGATCTTGGCGGCGGCATGTTCTGACGCGACGACGATGTATGACGACGGGTTGGTTGTGACCATACCAGGAAAGATGCTGGCGTCAACAACAAAGAGGTTGTCGGTGCCGTAGACCTTTGTGTTGACATCAACCACGGAGTCGCCTCCGTTGCTGCGGCCGTCCCTGGTGCCAAGCTTGTTTGTTCCTAAGAATGGGTGTTAATTCAGGCCCCAGACCAAGACAGACTGGCCGCAAACAGCGCGGGCAATAAGGCTACGAGATAAAACTATACTCACCAATCCAGTGGTTTGCCCTACGGTTGGAAGGAGAAACCAGCATGTTGTTCACGAAGTCCCTGACACTCGTTCCTGCAGCGGGATATGTCCAGTTCAGGTTGGGCACGTTCTTGAGCGCGCCTTGGATGTTCTCGATGCCCTTAATGACAGCCTCAACATCATTAGGATCGCGAAGGTAGGGTACAGTTGATACAGCAGTGGCGAGATTGGCTTGGATTGTCATTCTGCCGCGGGAGGTGGCGCCGCGTCCAAGGTATTGGCTGATTGTAATTCCCTCTATAAATAGTATCAGCCTCTGAGGAAAGATGAGAGAAAGTGTTAAAAAGACTTACGGCCATCGGGAGTGCCGTTGCTCCCTTCCATACGGGCCGTGTATTGCATTTGACGGGTGATTCCATCAGCGCCCTTGATCTCCTCAAAGAAACTAAACAAAGTCAACATTTGGCCGTAAGATTGGTGGTTACTATTAACTCACAGTGGTCCAATGTTGGGAGCAGACTGCGCGAGAATACCGCTTCGTCTCTGGAGGTAGGCATTCTTGTCCGTCACGTTCGGGTCATCATACGCCTCGTAGAAGTCATAAAACTCCACAGCAGGGTGTGTGGCGACCGTGTCGGTCTGCAGATGTCAGCTCCTTTATCCTTACCACCACTCCAGAGCCTTGGCTCAACTCACATTGGTGTGATCCTCTAGGTTGTACCCGACAGGCAGGGTGATCCAGGAACTGTTCGAGATCATAGTGGGGCCGTCTGTAGATCCCTTGACAACCTCGAGCTGATCCCTCGGGCCGATACCACTTCGCATGAGCAGTTTAGCGCTGCCGAAAGTGCCAGCGGATACAATTACCCGGCCTGTGATGGGCGTCAAGTTGACAGTGCCGGCATATCCACCATCCAGGTACGGCTCAACTTCAACACCGGTGACGTGTCCACCGGTTCGCACTACGCGTCTGACAGCAGTTTTTGTCCAAAGCTTGAAGTTGTTACGCTTGCTCGCAGAAACAAGATACGTCGCCATCGGTCCACCACGTTCTCCGCCAGAGTACATGTAAGGCGTCTTGCCAAAGGTGCGGTTCTTGGAGTTGGGGTTCGCGTTGAGGTCAAGTTCCTTCCATCCTGCTGTACGCAAGCCATTGGCGAGGGCGTTGAAGCCAGCAGTGAGGTAGATCTTGCCATCTTGCGAAGGGGTGGTCGTTCCGGGTATACGGGAGAACACACGAGACGTGGCGGCGGCAACATCTGTCGACTTCCAGCCAGCAGGGAAGTTGTAATCCCAGTCTTGTGCGTATGGCTGCTAGGCGTTAGTTTTGTTCAAGAAAGAAAAAAAGGAGGACGGAGAATTTACCTTCCACCAAAGAGCCGCATTAACGGCGGTGCCGCCACCGAGAACGCAGCCAGCCATTTGATCGGTGTCTTGGCAAGCAATGCCGGCAGAGTCGTGCCAAATCTCATTGCAGAGACCAGGAACATCGAAACGTGTGAGGTTGGTACCTTCCAGCCACGCAGGCTTCCTTGTGCCGCCCCATCGTCCAGACGAAGGAGGGCCTTTCTCAATCAGCAGCACGCTTTTACCAGCTTCGCTCAACTTGTCGGCCAAGGGAATACCGCCCGCACCAGCACCGATGACGACATAATCCCAAGTTGTAGACGGAACGGGAACACCGGTAGGGCCTGGCACGGGGGTTGATGTCGCGGATGAACCAGGCACCGAGGTGCTGGAACCCCCGCAGTTACCTGTGACGGTCTTGGTTGCCAGTGCTGCCCAAGCCGAATAGGATGGGTTCGCGATGTTGGAATCGATGCTGGAGCCGTGGATGAACTGGTTGTCGTGCTGCGCAAGGCCAATGTTGGCAGGGCATGACGGGTTGGTTGGGCTGGTGAAGGACTGAGCCCAGCCCAAGACGAGACCGCCCGCACTGGTGCTGGCACCCCCCGTCACACCCTTGTGATCCCATTGGAAGCAGTTTTGGCAACGATATATAAGAGTATAGTGTGTTGCGTTAATTGTGGACGAGATTTGTGTCAGCTTTGCGTCGCCGGCGTACACCTCAGGCATGTCGAAGCCCGAGGCCCAGCGGAAGGAGGTGAGGATCTCGCCGTTGTAAGGCCAGGCCATGACAAGGAGCTTGTTGACCATCAAACCGCCGAGGGAAACACCGCACCAGCCTGTTCCCTGACCATTCTTGGAAGAGCATTGCTAATGGTTGTGTTAGTGGAGTATTTGGGTTTAGAAAGAGAAAGGTCGCGCACCAAGTAACCGATGAACTCGTTGGCATCGGTTGTCAGTGCGTTCTGTGGCAAAGCGAAACCATAGGTGATTCCGCCGACGGTTTGGGCATTAGTGGCCGACCAGGAGTTGAAGATGATGCCCGTCTTTGCGTCGGTGATGGTGGTCGGACTCGAACCCTGAGCCGCAGCTCCATCGAGGACTGTGGTACAGCGTTAGTTGAATGTATGTTTGGCTTGAGCTTGCAAGACCTACGTGGAGAGGCAGCCAAGAGGGCTGCCAGAGCCCCAGAACGACTGAAGAACTTCATAGTGCAGGACGTCACCTTCAGCAGAGGTCTAACCACCAAGCTCATGAACCTCAGATTTCGCTCCCAGCAGGTCAAGGGACAGCATTTAAAGGAACGGAGACTGCTTGATGCCTTGCGGCCTCCACGTGGTTGCCCTCATCTCACTTTCTTCTTTTCTGACATGTAGGATGTTCCAGATCCGGCCCGGTGGCCACATGACCAGGAAGCCCCGTAATGTAGCTGCGTCCAGTCACAAGTAGAATGATTGTGGATGGATGAGCCATGGTATGCAAATCCGCCGATAGGAGGAAATGTTTGCCCAATTCATCTAGAATGGTATTGTAGATATGTGATGGTGGGGCTGGGAGTCTTCCAACGGAATGTAACAGTACTGATTGCCTTTGTTGGTCAAGCCTCGTGACCAGGGTTTTTTAAAGTATGCTTAATCTATTAGAAGCGCCGGGAACTGGAAAACTAGACAACGGGAGATGACATTAGCACCCGAAGGGTTGTTTGCACATGAGACGAACTAGATTTGAGAATAAGAAACTGGCTTCAGACAGGCTGGAGGCACCCTCAATCCGAAGCAAGAGCGATTCTCATTGTTTAGAGGCTTCAATGAAGCAAGGAATCCACAGCGCCAAGTCTACGATATAATAGCCCCGATACCATGAAGTGAGGTTGAAAAAGGCATGAAGCGAATGGCCAGGAACGGGAATGCGGAGGCAGACGACAGCCCTCCCCCACGTTGAGCTACGGCAATTCGATCCGGGCTTCCCAATTAATGCGGGCTCCAAGGGGCGTCAGCTGGGCCCCCGGACGCTGGCGACCAGGGGAAGGTTGCACCGCTCAAGGCACTTCAAGGCACTTCAGTCTCGACAGAGCTCTTCAGTCCTGTTCTTCTGCCTCTCTCCCCCCCTGCGGAGTGTGCATAAGCTTGCACCAAGACACCAAGACAGGATGCCACGGAGCCACTGATAGATTCTGTGGAGACACTTGGAGGAGCTGTGCGTCTCATCCCGAGGACTTGGAGCGGTGGCACACATCCTGCAGCATCAAAACAGCGTGGTGGAAAAAATAAGTCTCAGTTCAGGCCGTGTTTGGGAAGGGTGCCACACGGCAGCCGAGTGACTTATTAGCGAAGCATTAATCAGCCTGGCCTCTTTGCTGATGAACTCATGGTATGCTTGGGTAGCCGGGCGATTGAAGATGCCGCATTTCACAGCGAGGATGGCAAAAACGGAACACAAACATTCTGGGCGCCGTGCCAGGTCATTTCGGCTCGCGGCGATGCGACGGCACGGTATTGCGTTGACCACGCTAGAGAAGAACGAATGGTTCGGCTTAGACATTGATTGGAAGACCAAGACTCGAAGACGCTGTTGGAGGTAGCACACGCCCAGCATATAAATTGCACCGTGCCTGGCAGTATGACAGATGGCAGGTTTTGACATGGGTGTTTTTTTCTTGTGGGCTGCAATAAGCAAACGGGAGGGAGCTCCGAGACCAGATATGTCTGTTTGTGGTTGATCGTTTTGTTGGAGGGCTAAGGCCAGGGCAAATAACAAACCAATCACAGTTAGGGTGGTTATTAGACTTGCAATGAATGGTCATGTAGGATGGGTGGCAAGCAACAACCGACTCATGTCTTGGTTCGGCAGGGTTAATATAATAGTTATTATCATCTAGGCCAGACCAGGTTACAACGATACATGATTTTGCCAATAGTGGATGACATGCAGCCATGAATGACCCGACTCTCGTGTGTCCATGGTTGACGTGATGTAGAATGCTCGGCTCAGGAACACACTCCTTGCAGGTATTACCGGGGGAGAGGAAGTTGGCTAATGAGATATGACAGAGATTATGGGGAGAAAAGAAGAAAGAAAGGAAACATAGGGATGGGACACAGGCAAGTCATGATGTGAGCCTAATGCTACATTGCACGCTACTCCTGACTGAATGTAACAGAAGTATTTAGCCGCCGGTAAATACTTTTAGGGCGTGCTACTCAGTATTTTGGTATATAGATAGAAAATCTTCCAAGTTTGGTGCAGCCGTCACTGGATCGACAGACACTCCCAAGATTGTCGCAAAAAAGCTCAATAATGCCTTTCTTGCCTGTATCTATCCTGATTAAGGGTGACTGAAATCTTATATATCTCATGCAACCAAAAATATGATCAGTGGGAGGCTTGAACTCCCGACCTTGGCATTACTCAACATTTCGGGTGAAATATTAGTACCACGCTCTAACCAACTGAGCTAACCGACCAGACTGAGTCTTTTGATTGGTTGCTAGATGTGAACGGTAGGACAATTAAGTGGGACATTGACAAGCGAGTTTCCCTGATCCACCGCTTACAATTCCTCGGAGATCTGACCCAATTAAAGACCGGATAATCACTCTTAAATGATCAAAAGACACATATAGTTGAAATGGAGTATCATATTTGTTTTGTTCAGCATGACAAGAGAAGTCTAGGAACTCTAGGACAAAAGAAATCTAGATTTGTATGGTGAATACCAGCAATACCCGCTGTGAAAACGCGTTCAAGCCAAACCGCCAGACAGAAAACCCAACCCAAAAGAAAGACGTCCCAAAAATAAAACAGGTTGCCCCGTAAGCTCTTCAACATTTACCGCATACAGACGTGTTAACCCTAAGAATCGAAGATGGCGCCGTAGGCAGGAATGCCCCTGCTCTCGAGACCGTACACGACTTTCCTCGTGACCTTTTGGTTGGAGATGATAACCACGGCCTCACAAGGACCCATCTTCTTGCTGCCGGGGTTTTCTATTTGCGCGATTCCACTCTGGCGACGGCTGCTTTCCCAGATGCGATAGGTAATCGCCACGAGGTCCGGGCGTCCCGTCTTCTTCGTATCGATAATTACAGCGTTAGGGTCGGCCTTGTAGAGTGTGTCAATCACGGCCTGTCCATAAGTCTCGGCCGGTCGCTGTGTAGACCAGATAATGCGGACGGGGTGGTCAGGCTTCTGGACAAACAGGCTCAGACAGGGACCGATACCGGAACCAGTGGCGATGACAATGCAAGGTTCGAAGAGGCCAGCCACGCGCAGAACACCGTACTGTGGGATACCGCGGGTGTAAATCTTCTTCGGCGGGTTCTTGATGATCTTGTCGGTCCAATCGCCGGCATTGGAGACGAGCACAGAGAATCCCTTCTTGCCAGCGTTGCTCAGGCCCTTTTCTCCCTTCTCGGCATCGCCGTCCTTGGGAGCCGCAGGGTTGGGGATGACGGCGAAGGCATGGGTCTCGCGGAGGGGTGCGTCTGCGAGGCGAATAGCTTGGCCATACTGGACATCGGCGTAGTTGAAGTTGAGCTTGACAACGTGAGAGGACATGGCCTCTGCCTCGACATCGCGAAGACGGAGACGGGTCCAGGGGTAGATGACCAACAGGGTGATTGCGATGAGCATCCAAAAGGATGGAGTCATGACCACGGAGGCGGCATACGGCACATTGGCGGCGATGCTATAGTCCTCGGCAAGCATCATGACAAGCGCCCAAAAGAGAAGAATGACGGACCATCCAAGGAAGCGGTGAGTACCCTCAAACCAGTTGTGCAGGAGGACACGAGCGCGTGGGTGGGCGAAGCCGATAATGAGTGCCAAGAGAACGCAGATGAGGTAGCTGTCGAGTAGAATGTAGGCGCGGAGAGCGGCACCGGGATTCTTAAACTCGGCCGTCAGGACGACGAGGAAGGCGACGAACCAGAAGAAAGCCGCAACACCGCAACCGCTGTGAATCCCGCCGTAAGAGTACACCTTGGCAAATAGTCGACGAACAGACAGAGGTGCCTTGGCTGGGAACAGAACGAAAACTTTGAACATGGCGTTGACGGTATGCTCGTTGCGGATGAAGAGAGCAGCGAGAATATTGGCTGAGACGGCGGTGGCGCATGTCTGGGGAGTAAGACGGGCAGAGGGGCCACTGATGAACGAGCGGATGATGAGGATGATCAGTGCTGCGATGTTGCCGACAAATGCGAGGGTGAAAATACGGCGATAAACGGACCCGAAGTTCCAGCGGATGTAGCGATAGGGACGACTTCCTTTCTTCTCAGGCACAACGATATCATCCTCATCATCGTTATCATCATCATTGGCGGGGACTGTAGGAAGTGGGCGTTCATGAGCAGTCTCAGGAACAACGAGTGTGCCTGTTGAGGAATTCCTGCTGCTGTTTGGGAAAAAAGCTTTCATGGGAGGAGTAAGGGAGTGCCCAGGGGTGAGTTGGACATCTTCAACAGGCAGAGTTGTAGAGGACGTCGATGCAGAATTGGAAGACATCTTTGTGTTGTGTTATCTGGTGACGGATCTAATACTCATGTTAATTGATCGGAAGTCCAGTCCCAAGTTATCGTGTTAACTTACAAGGAGATGCCGAGCTAAAGGTAGTCTTTTACGAGACGACGGAGACGATTATAGAAAGTGAGATATAGGAGAGCAAGGCTTAAGATGGAGATGGAAGGGTCTGAGAGAGTGTAGGATCGATGGCTTAGAAAAGAGAATAGTGCTTTTTGATTGCTTGACTTGTTGTAATTATAGAAGTAGGCCACAAGGGAGGGGGCCATGATGGCCTGATTTATACCCCTTCATGATGGCTTCATGTCCCATCGCATGCCTGTGATCCGAGGATTGATGCTGCGGCTGAAGATAGTAACCAAACCAAAATAGAATAACGCAAAATGTTGCAAGTGAGGCCGTGAGATCAAGCTTCATGCCATCGACGGAGAGTTTTCAGATAGCCAGCTTATGCTACGAATGATGATTGCGTCGACGGCTGAGGCTCTTGCCGTTTGTGAATTCAGCCAAGTCAGCAGCCTCGTAAAACTACAGTTGACCGTTGGCATGGCAGAGAACGTTTATTCTGTGGAGGAGCGAACTCGAAACGGGATAGATGCCCGAGACCATGATTCCGCCTTATGCAGTAACACGCCTTTCCTGGAGAGACGGGCTTGGCCGAAGAACGTGGCGCGTGGAGAACATCTTACCTGTTTCGCGGGTGCAGGAATTGCTCAGCAATCATAGCTTCGGAGGCTGAACTCCACTCCTGGGAGTAAGGTAGAACAATGCAGCAACAATTTTAGTTTAGCGCCAGCCCTTCCTTTCGCTCTATTTTGATCTTGAGGACGGAATATTCCGGCCAAGGAGAGCTTCCATTTGAGATAATCCTCTTTCTTTAAATGGAATGCAGCTACATTTCGGTACCAAAGAATGAGTCCGAGCAGGAGCCGGATTTGCACATGGACAACGGCAAATTTGGGGTTGTATGTGGCATGGTGTGTGTAGATGCTAAATCTAGACGTGGCATCGTACCAGCAAGCCTATCTACCTACGCCTGATTCAGATAGAATGAAGTGGCACGCCGGGAAATGCCGCGGTTAATTCTGACAGGTCGGGCACATTTAACCGTCTGCCTCCAGGCAGACTCTCAACCAAATTGGCTCAATCCCCGACAGATAGCTTGTTAAAGTGGACATCATGTCTCTCCTCATAATGTCACCGGAGACGCTAGATTTGTGGGTTAGGACATCGAGGGAGAAAGTCACTGATATTCTGTCCTTTAGATGTTGATAGTGGGCTCATGGAACATTCGATGGAAAAAGTGTCTCACCGGAAAATCACGCTAGTTCCCTTCTCGAAGCTGTGGCTTCTGGGCTGAACAGCGGCATTTTCTGGCTTCTCACCAACTGGCATGCATGTCTTCCCGGGAGTGTCAAGAAGATAGGGGGCACAATGCAGGGCGCAATGAATAAGCTGATGTAGCGATCGAGATTTGGTCATATCTCAGGATTCAACTATCTCAATGCCACACTGGTGGTGTTACGGGGCTGGGGCACCCAATAGCCAGGATTCAGGGAGCCTACAATGTTGTAAATCCGTCTGCGGCCATCAGCTAGTTCCACTGCCATAATGGGAGATTCTGTTGGCTACCGCTTGCTGACATCCGCAAATAGCAATGGTAACAAACAACGCGCCTAGTAGTGACAAAAAGGATAAATCAACGAATGAGAAGCTGCAAAAGAGGAGGTGAAGGAAGGGGGTTTTGTGAGCGGGAAGGGCTGAGCCATGTCCGGAAAGGCTTCTTTATGTGTGGCGCTGAAAGTTTCCGTAAGTGACGTAACGTCTCTCGGCAAGCCCTAGACTCCTCTGCACTGGAAATGATACTTATTGGCGCGATACCATTCGTGGCCGAACGGTGGCTGATCTAGATACCAGAGCTAGCAGTGTTAGCGCAGCAACGTTGGAGTCAATGACAGCCCTAATGATGAAGTTGTAGAGACGGAAATGTGAACAAAAAGTGTCCGCAGCTAGGAATGCCAAGCGCAAGAAAATTTTAAATCTATCGCATGGCGTTTAGGGAGGCAGGGCAAACTCTATATCGGCAACATTTGTCGATAACATCGTCAGATTCAGATGCAAAGCGTGGGATATGAGTACCACCGCCCGGGTAACGAATGCATTAGAGCCCCGAAATGAGGGCAATGGCTTGGCAGAGACATAATCACGAATCAGGAAACGTCGTGGAAGCTACTACAGAAAAATGGTACGCCTTCAATATCTCGGATGAGCTTAAGATATCTGTACAGCGGATTTGGTTGGTATAGTTGCATGCTAGTCGTTATTCAAAAGGGCACTGCTGCCTCGCTAACCCATTTGTGTCCATGACGTGAATGTTGGCCGTTGTCAGGGAGGGCAGATTTAGAAGAAAGGTGAGGAGATGGGGCTGGAATTTAGCTGTTTTTGGTAAGGGACCCATTGAGTTAGCGGCTGTGATGGGTTTATTTGCGACACATCTACTACGTAGCATTTTATTCCATGTAGTATCCATACCTTTACTTTGAACCCCAGGCACAGTTTTCTACGATCTCAATTCCAGCTTGAGGTAAGGTAATTACCAGTTCAAAAATTTCCGAGAATCGAAAATCAGCATTTTGGCGTCGTAAACCTGCGCCTGCACCGGCGAAATACCGGCGTGTTTCTGCTTGCACTCCCATGAAAGGAGTGCGGCTGATGGCCACTTGTCGCGATGATTCGATGCGATTACGAAGAGATGGACATGTTTGAGTCAGTTGCCCGTTTGTTTGAATAGGGCACCTCGTCAAAACTGTTTCTCTATTTGAAATCATACACACTAAAACTGTAGTCTTGGAACAGTGCAGTACTCTCTTGGGTAAACTTCGACATTGGCGAAGTAGCAAGGAGGACTGTATTGTTGCTATGATATTTCATGCTTGAACAAACTTCATCTTATCAAGCACCATTTCATCTCTGCAATATCTTTTCTCTTTCCGTACATTGACCCTTAGATACAATCATGACTAATGGGCAATGCACAGTAGCACACGCCCCTTAAATGCTGTCCGTGTCGTAGTAAGGGTCATCCGGCAAATAGGGAAACTTGCGGACCACGACATCGCCCTTATATGACCACAGGTCCACCTGAGTAGGCTCATAATCAAGGGCACAGGAATCAGTCTCGGCGCCGAAGGTGAACACATCCGTGGTGTTACCTTTGGAGTAATTGATGCGGACCATGTTGACAGTCTCAACATTAGGGCCGACATCGAAGTAATTGGCCGGCATGAACTGAATTCCAGAGTGGGCAGTTGTGAAAACAGTGGTTGGAAGGTCACCCTGCTTTCTGTTAGTCATCGTGCATCTAATCACACTACAAAGGGGAAAACTTACAGTGTGAGGGACGTGATGCATTCCGAGGTTAAGCCAAACAACCAGATCCGTTTGATTCAGACTCTCGCCATCAAAGAACGCGTCGAAATTAATGGGAGGGTTCTCAACATCCTGATTATTGTACGGATGACTGCTGCGCGGTTCGGTATCCTTACGCTTCGAGACCATAATGTCGTAACCAGCCCACTTGGCCGAGTTCTTCAAAATGTTTGAGTCATTGACTGTCAGGTGCGCAGCGCCGGTGTAAGGGAGAATGCGGTATGCGCGGTACTCGCCATTCTTGTTTTTCACATCTTGGTTGAGCACGAATAGCTGATCTTGGTTGTTGTAGCTCCAGTCGAAACGTCCTTGGTCTTCCGTCTCCACGAATTCGCGCTCAACCTTCATGGTGTTGAAAGCTTTGCCTTTGGACCACGGGTAGACTTGAGTGGTGGGCACTTGGTGCATCCGCTGCACGCTGTTCTCAGTGCCAAAGATATCGAAGTCGGCCTTGAAGTTTATGACATGGTCATGCATCGAACCAGATAGATTGTCGTGGATCTTGAAGCCATAACCCTCATTCTTTGCGTGAAACGCCGCCTGGATATAACCCGAAGCACGAACCTCAACTGAAACGGAGCCGTCCAGGAAGAATGAATAACTGAACATATAATCGTAGTTTCCGACGGTTGAAACAGAGCGGACTGTGAAGTATACGTTCTTCGTGGCAGTCACGTAGTCTTGGGAGCTGTGGCGGGCCATGGGGTAGTCTGCGTCGAACTCAAATAAGCAGATGCTGTTGAGATGAGTGTGGGTAGTCTCGGAGACGTAGAAAGACGAGTTCAGGTACGTCGCGTAAGAGGGGCAGTCATAGCCCTTGAGGAGCTCAAAGGCAAAGGGACCGAAACCATAATAGGTGTCAAGGTATGCTACATGGGACTGTGTGGGATCACTTCCTGTAGGGTGTTAGTAGTGTCATGTGAAGTGGAAAGCGGCAGACCTACCTGCGTAGTGGGCCAAGGCTTCCTGAAGACCAAGCTCGTAGAGAATCCTCTGGCCCTTGTACCGGATATCATAAAGCGCCATTCCTGTGTCGCGAGTGAAGCCAACATAAAAGCTCCAGCCCATCCATTCAACATATTTTCGTTCGGGATCGACAGAGTATCTCGCACCTTGAGGTGCGATAGCTGTCGGGGGTGCATTTGTATCCATTGGCAGAATTTCACCCTGTTGATCAGTAGCAGACCAGTCGCCTGACCAGTTGCCACCAAGTTTCTCAACTTGGCCGCTCCAGTAGGCGTTTCGAAACTCTTCGGTCGTTTCATAAAAGATGCCGTTGTAGTACCATCCTTCAACAGCCCATTTGGACGGATCGCGACCAGTGATGTCTGACATAAAGAACAAGCCCATAGGCATCATCGAGCCAACATCAAAGATAGAGTCAGGAATGCTCCAGAATGTATCCCAGCGCTGAACACGACCACCATCCTGATAATACGGGTCAATACCCCAGATGGAGAGCGTGTCATTTTCGAGGCCGAGGGCCGTGGCATTCCAGAGGTCCTTAGTGATATCCGCAACAGTCTTGCTGACGTCGTAGAGCCAGTCTTGCATAGTGTCGTCATCTGCGTCAAGGTTCCGGACACGACCGCCGGTCTTGCGTGTATACGGGTATTCAAGACGTTCCCACTTTGTAACACCACTGGTGATAGGAAGGGGGCCAACAAGTATATCTTGGTACTCTGGTTCTTCAGAGGCGCGGAAATCGATCAAAACATGAGCATAGCGGGGAGGTGCCGGGGCACTTCCATCGATGTAAGCTAGGGCATCGGTCTTATTAGGAACCATGAGTTCCACCAAGACACTAACGACGTTAGGGATAATCGAGGATAGTGATATGCTTGCTTACATGGAGTTGTCCCAAGAAGTGGCGTTCTCACTGACAGTAAGATTCAACTCCGGTTGAGCAAATAGCCATTGAGTGACACTGGCAGCTTCTACATTGGTCAGACCACCCCAAATATTTTCCCTTGGGGCGTCGACATCTTTGGGATTATGAAGAACGCAGTCTGCAGGCTCAGTTTCGTTGCTGAACTGACGCTTGCTGACAGCATGGCTGAGCATCTTCCGCCCATGTCCTTTGGCCCTTTGCTGCGCCCATGGGGCCTTCGGAAGCCCGTTGACGGGAGAGAAGAGTTCGAAGCTAAGCAGGTATAAGAGCAAAGCTCCCAAGCTGAAAGCTTGTGAATGTAAGGAGCGACCCATCATATCTGCTATAACGGTGTCTATCTTATTGTCACACTAAGAGTAGAAAAAGAAGACTGAAGACCTGGAGAGATGTAGATGTAAGTGTAGAGAAGTCAGAGCCTTTATATCTTCAGTCTTAATCTTCGTCGTTGCCATTGTCGTGGATGCTAAGGCCGGCACATCACCAGCACACAGTTTATCCGACATCGGTGAGTCCAGTATATGCAATCCATCTTGCAAGTCCCATTAAACTAGTGACTCCAGATGGAAGTGTATGCCAACGCCCAATTCCCCAGATACTGACTAACTTGTAATGGCAGGCCGAGCCGCCAGTAGGGGTAGATATCTACATCATTTTGCCAAGGAGAAGACGTTCCGATGTAACAGCCTTGCTACTGGAAGCACGATCGTGGTGGTAACTTAGTGCGCCCCACTGAGGAAGAGATATCGCTCAGAGTTGCTGGATGCGGCATCTGGCTCAGACTTGATGGGTAAAGGCTATGATATCGCGTTCCGCGGCCTGCGGACCGTCCTGACTACCGAAGCTTCTAGGAAAAAACTGGGAATTTAAGTGGCATCTCCCGCATATTCAACTGCTTCACCATACGTTGTGTGGAGAGCCCGGTGTGTACCATGTAGCAGTTGCTTTGCTCCATCTCATCATTGACAAAAACGAGCTAAAGCCGGTTAAGCTGCTCCATAGCAATGGATTGTTCCAATATATTGCCGCGAGGTTACATCTTCGGCAACATGACATGGAACTCGGAATGGAAGCTTGTTATCTGAAGATCTGGTTCCGGATGTCCCAGGCAAGGCTGGCCCTGGTTCGCAAGCTGGGAATGAGCTTCGACGTTTGTCAACCATGTGGAGAATTTGGGGTAGTGGGGGTTGCTTTAGAAGCTTCATATGGGGAAACCAAAGAGCCTTTCGGATTACGTAGTTATCCGATTGTTTTGTATATACCCACAGTTTGATTGTGATGCTTAATCATAGAACCACGTGGTGCTGATGGCCGACCAGGCATTGGTGAATTGCTAAACCAAGAACTACTTTGCAGGGTAACGAAGCAATGGCCGCTGGCAACCTTGAAGAATTATTGATGCTAATGCAGCCAGGGGTGATTCCGTGACTTGCTTATCTTTGAGTCCCGAGTCTTATCTCAGCTTATCCTAGCGATATCAAAATCGGATACAATGTGCATGATCCATTGTACTGGCCCCAAACGAAAGCGAACGAATGAAAATAACGATCCCTATCATCGGTCAAGTTATTGATAAGATTAGTTTACTTGTGCTGTAGAATTTTCGGATGAAATGTAGATCGCCTGTCTGTGACCCATCACAAAGGATCAAGAACAATACAGAAGTAAACTTACTCCGACCTCGCGACCTCGGTTCCCAATCCCAATATTGGACCATTACAAGCCCGTAAAACTACCCCGAAGACAGAATGAAGTAGTAATAGGAAAAGGAAGTATTGGAGCACGTGAATTTTTCGAAATTTCCTTTGTGGCTGTTAGTCCTGGGTTTCGGGAGCGCGAAGTCGCATTCTGGCAATAGACCTTATATCCGGGGGTCTGACGTAGCCATCGGTCGGGCTCAGGTCCGATGAAGATTGATGATAAGGCGGAATAGCACTCCGAAGGACCAATAGCATCAAACCAACTTTGACATATCTAGTAACTTGATTGACCATTCCTGACTGTCTCGAATGCGTGTTCTCCGAGGCCGGAGTCTGTGGATTTGTTTGGAGCGAACGCGAATCGAATCCCATTATAGAATTGCGGAACGAATCCGAAAGTGACAACCACCAGATTGCAGCATGTCCGAAAATTTGCTACATGAAGATGCGACAAACACCGAGTTATGCTGTCTACAAGCAGATCTTATCTTAGTCCTTGACTATCTATGGGCTTTTAAGTGGATTTGAATGACTTGATTTTATGGACGCATTTTCAACCAAGTCACCTGGAAGCCTTCGGCCTCTCATTACGGGATATAAAGCTTTGAAGGCCCCTGCGCCTTGGGCTTAACTGGCTTTTGGCCAACTTAGAGACAAAATCTCCTGATGAATATTACTGGATCATATAACTCACCTTCTTGAAATTGACTTCACTTTCTCTTTCAGTCAAGCGGGGGGGTTTGTCCTATTAGAGAGATTCTTCAACTTTGGTACTTGTCGCATCGAGGGTTGTTTAAGAATCAGCAGTGATTTTGTCGTGCCGTTTAACTAATACATCAAGTAAGTTCAACTAAATTAACCTCAATAAACTGAAAACTACTGCTGACTTTAAAATGAATGATTTTAGAAGAGAGTTGACCCGATGGGTCTTTGGCAGATGTCGTCGCCGACCATAAAGATGAAACCCTTGCTATGCCCTGATACCTTAGCTAGGTGAGTGGGACAACAAACCCACACTTCCCACAACTTGAGGATCTCGTGACATGAAGCTTCCACCGTCGTCGCCGACCATCAAGTAACCGAGCGTTTGATTGCTCACGGCCTCATTGGCTCAGTGGTAAAGCGTCTCACTAGTAATGAGGAGATCGGGTGTTCGATTCACCCACGAGGCAGATGCGAGGATGTCGCGTTGAGTTCACGCTCGATTCAGATGTTCTTTCGCCTTGTTGGCTCAGTGGTAAAGCGCCTCACTAGTAATGAGAAGATCGCCTGTTCGATTCAGGCATGAGGCAAGTTACTTACATTTTTGGCCATTAGAACTGATGTATTGTCCCGTCTTCTAATTTTGGAAGTGTTCAGCATGTTCCTGTTGAATGTCATTCACCTTCGAACTTGAACATGATGCTTTTCATCGAGGTAGAATGATTTATATTAGCCGAACTCTGCGATAGATTGAAACGTAGTTGACCCTTCATATGCAGCCTACCCTAAAATTCATCTAGGGCACGATGAAGATTGTTGAACCTTTGATTGTCCTAATGCATTGGGTTGATGACAACGGCAGGCCGCAACTGTTCTAAGAACGATACTCGGTTTCAGGAACCTGAAGCTCTTCCTTTCCTAGTTACGGTAGAATGAGTCGAGCATCACAGTAACAAAGGACATGAAGCCAACTATGATATTCGACTATCCTTCTCCTGAAAGTTTCTCACCAGCATATATCTACTGTATTATTTTCGTGTAGATGCTATGATTAAACCACAAAGATGGACTCATTACCACTTCGGTGTAGCCGACCGACCCCACCCTCTCCCAGATAACTGGTCTCTCTGGCTGGGATTGATACGTTAAGCATGACTGTTGCCGTAAAAGACAGCAGTTATTTGAAAGAAAAGAGATATGTAAGTGTTAGTCTGTGAGCTTCTTAAGGACAAAGGCTGATACTCATGAGATTCGCTCATCCTTGGACAGGTCGCAAGGCTTTGCGAGATACAACCAAGATATCCATTTGTGCATCGAGCTTATTTGGGCTTTGTCAGTGGACTGGTGGTCTAATGTTTGTCCCACCTTAATCACAGTGCCTTGCCTTGGAACTTAGCTAGGATGCAGTCTCCAAAACATAGCACAGGTTTCTCCACATTCCCCTTAGATCTACCCAATACTTGCCCTACCTACAGAGTCTCAGATTGTGAGTAATTCAACCTCGAATGAGCGAGGTATGGCAGCAAGAGGAGCGACTCACTCACTATGGTAGTGATTCCTGCACATTGATTTCACCAGGCAGAATAGGCTTACAAGTATTCAAGTAGCGATAAATTGTGAGATAAACTAAATAAAAAATCTAATGGGGTAACATAGAAGCGAAGAGAAGAAACCTGGATTGTTTTCCAGCCGCAATGCCTAAATAATAAAGAATAAATAAAAAAGACATGAAAAGAGCTTGATATCATCAACGTTTTCCAACCACACAAGGAAATTCAGTTGGCCAACCCGTTCTCCGTAGTTCGTACACTGATAACAAAGGGAATAAAGCGGTTCTGCTTTCGTAGGTATGTCAATCATTCAAAACAGGGAAAAAAAAAAGAGATGGAAGAAAAAAGAATCTGCCTCGACAACCAAGCAGTTACGCCTTCACCTTGCCATCCCAGAGGATGATACCAACCGACTCCTCCCACCCACGGCCCGCAGCGATCTCCATAACTGTACGGCCGCCTTCGTCTCTGGCCTCGAGGTCAACACCGCCGGCCGCAACAAGAAGCTTGAGGACCTTGGCGTCGCCGTTCTCGACGGCCTGCATGATGGCGTTCCACCCGCGGTACATCTTGTTGACGTCCGCGCCTTTGCGGAGGAGCATCTCGATGATTTCCGTGTCATCACCACGACACCTCCGCACGGCCTTGACAATGGGCAAGTGCTCTCCGGGGGCGTTGATATCGGCACCGGCCTCGTTGAGAAGGAACTTGGTAATCTCCTTGTTGTCCTCTCGGATGGCGCTGGTCAGCGGTGAGAAGACACCACCGTTCTTGTCCTCCACGGAAACGCCGGCCTTGAGGAGCAACTTGATGCTCTCGAGCTGGTTGGCAACGACAGCGCGCTCCATCAGACCCTTGAAGTTCCGCGGGTCGCTGACGGACGGGAGAAGCTTCTTGAGGATCTCCGGGTGCTGAACAGCCATGACTATTGGCCACTCCGAGCCGCGCACGTTGGGGTCTGCGCCGTGGGAAATCAGCTCGTCGAGCATTTCCATACGGTTCTCCTTGATGGCGGTGGTCAGGGGAGTGTTGCCATCATCGCCCTTATCGTTGGGGCTGACGCCCTGATCGAGGAGCCACATGAGAGCCTCCATGTTGTTGACTCTGACGGCCATCTCAATGATGCCCTTGGGGTTATGCAGGTCGTTGCCAGCGGCGACGAGGCGCGGCAGGAAGTGAGTGCGGAAGTGAGTGACACACTTAAAAGCAGGGTACTCGGCAGAGTTGAGGTTGGGATCCGCGCCCTTTTCGAGGAGAAGCTCGAGGATATCAGCGCGATTGTCGCGGATGGAGGTGCAGAGGGGGGTCCAGATGCCGTCCTTCTTGATATTGGGCGAGACGCCAGCCGCCAGGAGGACGCGGACAGACTCAATATTGTTGATGCTGACAGCGAGCTCCATGTTGCCCGGAGCCTTGTCGTTGTCGGCACCACGGGCAAGCAGAACCTTGAGACAGTCGGCTTGGTATGTGGCGGGCCAGAGCATGTGTTTGGGACCGGGCAGGTTGGGATTGGCACCGTGGTCCAAAAGGGCAGTAAGAAGATCTACTCTCGCAGCCTGGATGGCCTCGAACAGGGCAGTCTTGCCTTCCTTGTTCTTGACGTTGGGGTCTGAGCCGTAGTCGAGCATCATGTCAACCAGCTTCTTGGGAGTGTTCTTGTTCATTGAGGCAATAAGAACTGTGTTGCCGTTGGCCATGATGTGGTTCGGGTCACCGCCGTATGTTAGAAGCAGGTGAACGAAATCGATCTTGCCGTCAATGACGGAGATGGCCAGAGGGGATTCCTGGGATGATCCGGCGGAAAGATTGGGATCTGCGCCATACTTGAGAAGCATCCTGGCAATCTCGGTGGCGTTCATCTCGACGGCAGCAAACAGAGGACTGATGCCATCCTTGTCAGATGAATTGGGGTCGGCACCGAAGAGAAGCAAAAGGCGGACGCTTTCAGTGTCCTGAGCTAGGACTGAGTCGACAAGAACGTGGTTCTCAGTGCCGGTCTCGGGTGAGACTCCGCGGTCAAGTAGTTGCTCCACAAGCTTGTGATTCTTGCCCTGAACGGCGGCGATGAGCGAGTTCTTTAGGCTGGGGTTGCCATTGGCATTGTGGCGCGGTGTCCAGCGCGGCATCGTCATGGGGTCTGCCTTTAAGCGGACAACCTTGACCGGGATGCTGTCGGCGATAGTCTGGAGCTCACCGATCAGAGTCTCCGTGCCTGAAGACGATGGCGAGATGGTGTTATCAGAGTCACGGAGACCTCTCCTGTCTGAGATACGACTAGGAGCATCGTATGTGTCTGAAATGGTCAGGTCGTCTCTTGCGGATCTCCTATCCATGTTGATTCTCGTCGAAGTGGGGTGGAGATCATACTGGCCGTGCTCTGAGATGGTGATGTCGTCACGGAGCCTCCTATCAGGAATTCTTGTGGAGTGCGCACCATGGTCAGAGGCGCTGTGGTGGCTTCTGTTAGAGATGGATGTGCGGCGGCGCGGGTCTGGTGATAACCTTGTCTCTTGAAGCACAAAGTCCGCAGACATCTTCTCGACAAGAGAAGGAGGGGGAAGATGAGGAGGTTGGGAAGGGAGGGCAGGAAGCGGTGGTAGAGGAGGAGATGTCTCATCAGAGCGATCTGGCGTTGTGTGTTGAACCTCGAACGACTTGGACTTTGCTATCCGCACCGTTGAGTGAGACTGGCTAATGCGGTCCAAAGCAGCAGCAAGACCGGCGTAGCCGTTGCCGACAGCCTCATCAGTCTTTGAGTTTCCGAGAGACCATTGGAAGACAAGCGCACTCATTCTGAGCGCGTCTCTGGCTTTCCTCAACGACTCTCTCATTCTGAAGATCTCCTTATCGGCAAACATCATGCGCCAACCGCGCTGGATCCTTCCCATGGCGCCCTTCTTCTCATACTCGAGAAACTCAAACATCATGTGGTCGAGAACCTGGAAGTCAGAGTTCGTTTGGCGAAATTTTGTGTCAAGTTCCTTGATCATGTCGGCTGGGAACTCCTGATGGATGCGGGACGCCTCTGAGAGGCCGGCCTCGATCGACCAAAGGATGCGGCAGATGTCGAGAAAGTCATTGGCAAGGTCGCGGAAGCCATGTGGTTGATGCTTGACGTTGGTGAGGAACTCGAGCATGCGCACTGAAATATTGTTGCCAAGGAGCGTGGCCCTCGTGCAGAGGTCCAGGACACTCTCCTTGGGCTTCGGTTTGTTGTATTGAACAGCAGTCATGATGCCTGTTTTTTTGTGGTATAAGCCACCCTCGGCTTTACAGAAATAAAAGGGTGTGATCAGACGAGTTGGGAAAGTGGTGGTTAGATAGTTGAAGTGTATTTGTTCAATATCATGTCCAGGCCACACAATGTGGATGTGATGTTGTAGAAAGAAAGCAGGTGAAAGAATGTGATGGACGAGATCTCCCCACTTCAAAGAGCAACGTGGGAATGGGGGTGTTTATCAGCTCGTCCCACAGCAAACGTTTCTTTGATATGGAACAAAAAAAAAAAAAAAAAAAACAATCAGCTGGGCCAGCAGAAAGCCGAGGAGCCCCTCAGCAGGAGCTCTCGGACATGTCGAGGGCTAGTCGGCGGCCATCAATAGAGACAAGACTCAAGCGGCAAGCCACCGCCCACACCGAACGGGGCTTATTGAGGAGAGCAGGCATTGTCCCAGCTCGAGACCTGAATCGTGATTACACCAGGAAAGGCAAATACGACGCCTACATTGGATGGGATGGCAAAGCCGTAGTGCCAGGTACAAGGGACGTTCCAAGGACTAGATCAACGCTAGAGCAGTTAACCCCCCCAGAGACGACCGGCGCTAAACCAGCCGCTTTGACACAAAGAACCGGAAATCAAACAACAGTCTAGTCTGCTCTGCTAGGCCCAGATAAGACAGGAGACGGTGGCGGAAGTGCAAAGTGAAGGACACTGACATCTGCCATCACTAGTTGGCACATGGTTCAGAGGTAAGGCTCTTGAAGATGGAGGGCAGGGGGCTCGAAATCTTCAGGGGAGACGGAAGGATCATCTAATTGGAAATTTAAGACGGGATATAGAGGGGATGAGGGAAGGGGAAACCAGCAAAAAGAAATATGACAAACGCGTTTCGAGGAAAGTAAAAACGCATCCAGTGTTTCCCAATGCCTGCTACAGTTCTATCAACCCATGCCTCTTTAGCGTCAATTGCGTGGGGAGCTGAGAATGGCCCCGCTACGTGAGAGTCTCGGCCTAGTATCAGCGTTACTCATGTTCTCTCTCTGTCTCTTCTCTCTCTGTCTTTCTCTCTCTCTGTGTGTGTGTGTGTCTCTCTCTCTCTCTCTCAATTTCCCGACGTTGAATACAGTCTCCTTCAAAAAGCGGGTGTGGCCGAGGTGTATTTACTTTTTCTATTCTTCATCTTGGGTGTCCGTGAACGTGAAAACTGACCGATGCGACCTTGCACATTTTTGGGAATCAAGGCGAGGGGGAGGAGGGGGAGGCGATGCGGGTCACTGTTAGTGGATGCCGATCAAGTCTCCATCGAGCGTACCCGGCTTTCGTTCTTTGTGCTTGAAGTGCTTCCGTAGGGAGACACCTAGGTATAGAAACACGGACTCTTCAGCCAAAGAGACGTCACAATATCGCAATTTTTCGATATTCATGCGTGGTAGGAATAAACCATCCAACCAACCATGTCAAGTACCTTCGTCTTGACTACTACGCTGAAGAGCTGCCGACATTGGCATGTCAAAAAGAGCTCTGTGCGCGTGGACACCTGGGCATTAGCTGCAGAGAGGCCCGTTCACCTTCGGTACGTGGCTTTGGTGTGATCCAGGCTGCTGTCATATCAATTACCCAGTCAGCACGGCCAGTCTAGACCAACGGGAGTTCGGTTCGTTTAGAGGATTGCGAAAGAGAAAAAAAACTTTGATCAACGAATTGCGGGACTGAACGTCGTAATGACATGTTTTGGCGTCCGGGCAACAACTAGAGCTGCTAACTCATAGTAGCATGGTACTATCATACAACTCTTGTCACCTCACCCTACCTAGTTAGCTAAGCTTGCGATGATGCAGTATTGTCAACCGTCTATGCCGGGCTTGATTCGTCTGCCTTCGAGGGGAGAAGCTGACGGCTGGCTGAGAGGAACGATGCAGAATCCAACGCCGATGGGACAACTAGCAGTTAAGCCATTGCGCTTTTGACCCTGGATCGCGGGGAACAGCCACGATATGCCCCGCTCCAATAGGCAAAGGGGGGGCGGAGGATTGGCGAGATTCAACAGCTGCAAGGAGATTTGTCTAGCCGTGCGTCTGATCGACGCGAACAAAATCCACGGCCCACTCCTTTGGATGATGGGTGTGTGTCGACTCCTGAGTCTCTGTGCCTGTGCCTGTGCCTGTCCGTAGTAAATACTTCCCTCCGTTGGATGACAAACACGGTTACTTTGTGGCAAGCTGTTGGCTGCGAGCCCTGAAAGGGACAAAGAATACCGGTTTCTGGCTCATCTCTGGCATTTTTTTTTTCATTCCCCCACAACACGCCTTGTTGTCAGAGTTCTCTCCCCTGTAGGCACTATACAGATGCTCTGATATAGCCCGATTTTGCCATGGCAGCTCATCTTAGCCAGGCCCGCCTCATGTGCTCATTTCCGTTTATCTGGCTGGACTTCTGTAATGCTGCCACGGAAATGTTAAGTTTCTCTCGGGATGAGTCTGTGGGGGGCTGTTGGCATTGATATTTGGCGCCGTTAGTGGAGTATAGCGGCCGTAGATATTCCTATCTTGGCGCCGCGATATTTGCAATTGCTACCAACAGACTCGAAGGAAAGGGAACAGACCCGGATACAACGCCATGGTAACTCAGCTAACGATACGAGCCACATGGTAAAAGTTGGGCGGCCGTGGAGTTGTGATGAATGGGAACCAAACAGCACAGCTCAAAGAACAGCCGGCGTAGGCGCACAAGCCAACTAAACTTCTAGTGGTCCCCGAACGCCCTCCTGTGTCCTATCGGAGACTTGGGTACCACACCAACGGATCCCGCGCCAACGCTAGACCGTCCCAAAGACTGATTCCACCCATCTTGCCCGGTCTGGATTCACTCATTCTTCTCTGTCGCCCCCTTGGTATCGACCAACTGCCACTTTCCCTGAACAAATAGCGGCTACATTATACTTTGGCCGAGCCGGGTCCACGCGTCAACGCCTTCTTCAGTCCAGTGGGTGAAGCTAAAGTGGCCAGGGGGCGTATGGCTTCAAGTGCTGAGGGCTTTGTTCTAACAAACACATTACATATGTTCGTTTGTTCTCCAATGCGAGCTACCGCCTCCCACCTGGCTTGCTACCAGCTTTTGACCAGTAACATTGGATGAACCATCAACCGCTCGTTCTACGTTAGTGTTCGCTATAATCATCGCTGCTGAGGTATCATTCGCTGCGGCATCATTACCCGTATCCAGGAGAGGCGTGAGGTGTACCACCGCCCCCCCAGATTTCGGCGGAGAGCTGATAAATCAAAGCCCGTCGCTCTCACTAAGGCGCCCAGCTATCGATTAGCCACGTGGATTCGTACCTACCATAATCCCCTCGCTTTCGGGATTTACCATTCCTCTTCGCTGAACTCCTCAAGTCTAGTGTTACAAATGGCGCCTCATTGTGGCTCATTTTGAGGATGTTGCGCAGTTCATTGTCTTGGGAGATGTGCGTTGAGAATCGGATTTTGCGCCCTGCCCTAGATTGAGTATGGCCAAGAGTTTAGTGTCCGCTGCGGAGGATTCGTGTCAGTGCTCGTCAGACCGTCAGACCGCACTTCCTCGCGAGCCTTCATTTAAAAGTGGTAGGAGAGATAGTGCTGGCCTTAAAGCTGCAAATCTTCACTTTCATGCTCGTACCGTCCCCTATTTCTCGGTCTTTTAGTGCTAAAGAAAACGTGGGAGGCAGAAGGCCTCACCGACCAACAACGATACCAAGAAGCTAGACAAACTACCCCGGGGCGCCTCAGCGGCAATGACTTCTCTTGTGGTCCATCTTGAGTTGTAAGTGGTGGGGTAGTGTCAGATCAGTAACCCAGCTTTCTGGGCGAGGTACATGGCAAGCCGTCTCGAAGACAAGACATATGAGTTGTAGATCTGATGCCTAGGGCCCCAAATAGTCGACTATTGCGTGAATTAGCTAGGAGTCTAACAAAGTGGGAGTTCCAAGGTAGATGATTGTGGAGTTAAGTGCCCATTTGGGGAGAAAATGAGCATGTTAGTTTTGGATACAACTTGCATTGGACTTCATGCCATCACAGTGAGCCATACCACACAAGCTAATGATTTTATACTTTATTTACAAATGCCCTGGTAAAATAGTACACTTTAATCATACAGACTTAAACAACGGCAAAGCACCAGGGTAAATCGCAAAGGAGTACCGACAGTCTCCAGCATCTCCGCCCAACTCCAAATGACATGGGTGTTCCCTACCCTACAAAAAAGATCCCTGAAATGCTCCCTCTGGTATAATCGTCCTTCTCATTGCATCAATTATGATCCTGCCACCGCGCTCAACTGCAAAACTAACAGCGTCCCCTTTATTTCCCAAGAATCACGTCCGCTGCCTTCTCGCTTGCCATGTAAACAGGCACCGCGATGTAGTAGCCGGGAATCTTAGGGAACACAGAGGCGTCAACCACCCGCAGTCCATCCACACCTCTGACCCTGAACTTGGAGTCCAATACGGCATTCGCGTCGCCATCCTTACCGATAGGGCAGGTACAGCTGGCATGGTGTCCCCAGGCCTCGTTCCTCACAAACTCGGGCAAGTCTGCGTCAGTCACATTGGGCCCAGGCCAAACCTCGGTAAACCCTCCAGTCAAGGGCACCACGTTCTTGAACATCTTGCGCGACAGCAGCATGCCCTCCACGACCGCCTGGATATCCTTGGCGCCGTCGGCCGCATTCTGGAAAGAGTTGAAGTCGATCTGCGGCATGTCTCGCGGGTCTGAGGAGCGCAGCTTCACGGTGCCGGCACGGTTGCGGCTGTGCGCCTTGAGAGTGATCCACGACCAGTGGCGAGCGTCCTTGGTGCCATCGGCGGAGTATCCCGGGTAGTAACCAGGGAATGCCACCGGCGCGCCGGCGATAAAGAGGTCGGGGTCTCCCTCGGCCACGGTCGACTTCTTGACGATGCCCAACGAGATGCCGTTTGAGCCGTAGATTCCAGGAGAGCTCCCCTTGGAGGTGCCCTCTTGCCACTTCTTCAAGCATGGATCGTCGGTGCCAGAACGGAAAAAGGTGCAGTCCTTGGTGATCTGGAAGTCGGTGGGCGTCTCTCCGATGACGGTTGTCTCGTAGCGATCCTGCAAGTTGGTGCCGACACCAGGCAGGTCGACGACAACGGGGATACCGAAAGAGGTAAGCTCATCCTTTGGGCCGATACCGCTGAGCTTGAGCAATTGCGGGGTGTTGAAGGCGCCGGCGGACACGATGACCTCCGCGGTGGCGTTAACGGATCCGGCGGTACCTGCGGCGCCGCTGCTGGATCTGGGGTCTGCACGGTATAGACTCTGGCCCGTGAGGAAGTCGACTCCCACGGCGCGTGGCTTCGCTCCGGTACGATCGAAGCGCACCTTGGTGACGAGTGTGCTGAGCTTGATGTCAAGGTGGTACTTCCTGGTGCCGTCGGCGTTCTTCGCGTTGGCGGTATCCAGGACGAACTCGCGAGGTCCAACGCGCTTGCCGCTATCGACGGCGATGGGAACCTGGTACAAACCCTCGGAAGAGTCTCGGTTGGGTAGGTCGACGTTTAGGTCTCGGAGGAGGACTTCGCCAAGGCCTTGAATGGTCGAAAAGATCAGGCCGATGAGGTTCTTGCCCATGGCCGAGGCGGCGGAGAGAATGACGGTTAACAGCTTGACATCTTGAATGACGAGCCCCAGGTCGGTCACAGTTGTTGTAAGCCAACCGCTGAATCCATGCCCAATGACGCCGTTGGGCAAGTACTCGGCGTTTTCTAGGCGCTTGAAATACTGGCGCATGTTGGAAGCACTCCAAGAGCTGTCGCCAGTCAGGCTGGCAATGCCGTCCCAGTCAGACTTGTGCGGATACACAGTGATGAGAGCGTTGTGAGATCCGCAACCTCCTAGAGTGCCGGCTCGGGGGTAGAGAACACCGAGCGGTGTGGCGCCAGCGGGCGGGTTGAGGCCGACATAGAGCTCCCCTGATGACGTGCGATATGTCATCTTGGAGTCTTTCTTTTGGGCGTCGAGGTCGCTGAAGTGGTTGACGTAGTAGTCCCATCGCATGGGGTCGTACTCGGTTGACTGCAGGTTGAGTGCTGGCACCTGGTACGGGATGGAGTTACCCTGGTCGTCGCCGGCATCGATGAGCAAAACCTTCTTGCCGGCGATGGCAAGTCGGGCGGCGAGCGGCCCACCTCCCGGGCCCGAACCGACAATCACATAGTCATAGGACGTGAGAATGTCGGTTGACTGCCGCGAGTAGAGCTGTTGGCTGGGGCTGCAAACAGAATTCCAGTTAGCACAAAGTCAGATTGACACTGTCAGATGTTAAACTCACACAGCAGAAGCTGTAGCTACGATGTAGCTGAGCAGCGCGTTCGTAACTTGGAGAGTCCAGCGCATTTTGCCGTGAAGTTTTGAAGCAGGTAATCCGAGGGCTGTAGAACCGAGCAACTCAAGAAAACGGAAATCCCTAGATGCCAGCACCTCCCTGGCTTTAAAGAGTCCCCATGGGAATCCCCCTTTCGATCGTCATGGGCTTAATCGTGACACAAAAAAAAAACACAATCCCCGCGACTTTGATTAAACTTGCCGCCCCTCGTCGTCTATTCCCCATATCTGGTGTGACCTGCTGCTTCGCTGCATGCACATTCTGATCCTGTTCAATTTGACCGATGCTATCTAAGGTAACATGGCCATCATGCAGCACGAACTCAGCCTACCGTCGTCGGCCGAGAGAACGATTAAGGAAGGCAGTGTGGAAGCCCCCCCCCCCCCCCCCCCCCCCCCCCCAGACGCACACGGAGAGAGCGATGCCATAATTGAGAGAACACGAGTGAGAGGGCAGATTCGGCATCGTGCGAGGCCCCAGGGGGAGAGGGCCGCAAATAGGGCACATTCCGACGGACGTGAACTTGGAATGGCTATTGCGGAGAAGGATCAAATCAAACTACCCTGCGAATAGCGGCGAATCGGGCAACTCGGCCGATGCGGGTAGGAGGTCCGCGCATTAAGGGCAAACAGGGCTCCTTGTTTTGCGGGGGATAGTTCAGCCTTGATGGGAGACACCGAGCGCGCTGGACATGGGAAGACGAGGGCGAAGCATTCAGGAGTTGAATTATGCATTAACTACAGTCCATGCTCCTTGATAATCTTGGTTCGTTGGTCATACCTCACTTCAAATCCTGCAGGTTGACGAATTCAAGCAACCTTATACGAGGTGATTGCTAGCACTAAGCACACGAGCTAGTAGCAACATGACACGCGATTCATGACCCTGGGCTGATCTTGTATCAGTCACATTCAGCTACCCACCTAGCTCACTGAAAATTTGTGCCTTTTGTTCCAGACACCATCCCTGTCACTCCCTTCTCTCGATTCGGTTAGCAGCATCTCCGCTGCCGATCAGAAATGAGCTTCTTGCGTTGTCCCATGTATGTATCTTGCGAGTTCACCATTGAAATGTCTCAAAACCACTCATTAAATTGTTAGAGAGAAGAAGATTTATGAGCTGTGACGGCTTGAAATCGATATGTCCACGGTATCTCTTCGCTATGGTTGCACCTTTTCTCCTCTCCGCCAGTGGCTAGTAACTGAACATAGTAACTGAACAACTTTGACATATATCTGAATAAGCAACTTATGAAGGAATACTCTCGCATCAAAAATGTTCAGAGAAGCGACATCGCAAAGTAAAATTTTGAGACATAGGTCACGGCACTGTTCCCAGTGTTTTGGTCAAGCCAGAGTCTCGACTGCCGAAGTGAAAGCCTTCTAGAAATTTTATCATGCCATATTCCGTTTTCGGCGAACAAGAACCATCGCCATGCGACCTATTGCGCCATGTGGCTTTCGAGTGTTAAATCTTGCGCTATGGGATGTGGGAAGGGAGTCTTTATGTAGTGCATGCTGCTGTTCCTGCATGGCATCTCTCTTTGATTTTCGCCATCTTCATTTTAGCTTTGCCCGCCAACATCTTTAACCACTGGACGTCACATCGTCTTATTGTTAAAGAATGCAGCGAACAATATGGATCACAACGGCGGGGCTGTTCATCATTGTCACCCAAGCTACCGCCCAGGTCACCTCAAGGTCAAGCCCACCGTCAACAACAGAACTTCTTTCTACAACTCCGGGGTGCGCTGTAAGTAATGATCCTCGGAAATTTATCACACATTTTGAGTTGGTTGAGCGTTGTACTCTGTCACTTAGGAGCGGCCGCTTACACATACGGACACTATCTGACATAATTTCAACCATATTTAGATACCGTGCTTCGTCGAGGGGTATCACACTGGCAACTGCACCATAGGAGATCTGACAGACTGCATCTGCACCAACATCCCGTTGCAAGCTCAAGTGTCAGCATGCGTGCAGAAGTCGTGTGAATTCGAAGACCAAGTTGGTAGGTCTTTTGATATTTCCTCCCCGTCTAAGGCGGTTCCGTGGCTCAACAGCTGACATTACATTGTGACGTAGCCTCCGCTCACATATCGCAACAGCTCTGTCGCGGTTACCCAATTCCAGATCGTCGGAATACCTCGAGGATATTTTCTGACCTTTTGCCTTCAATCAGCACCGCAATTGTGGCTCTCCGATGCATAGCAAGACTGAAGGTTACGAGCCATTTATGGTGGGATGATTGGACGGCCTTGGTGGCATTGGTATGTGATGCTTGTCAACGGGCTCCGCAGGTCATTTACTAACATCAGTGATTGAACGGTATAGTTCTTTTTACTAGTATTATCCGCATGTGGATTCGCAAGTAAGTTGGAAAAACATATTCTAAAAGATAATTCTTGCTGATAAGAATACGTGCTAGACTCTGGGCTGGGGTTTGGTCTTCACTACTGGGACATAGAGCCTGGTAAAGGGAAAACCATCTTGCAGGCAAAGCCTCCCCATTAATGCCCCATCCTCAAAAACGACTACTGACGATTCTTGACAGACATTTTATGCAATGCAGATGGTGTACATATTCACGCAGTAAGTGCCACTCATTGGTATCATCAACTAGTGACCTTGTAGCTAAGTGCGGATTAGAGTGGCTGCTAAAACGTCAATATGCTGCTTTTACTCGCGCGTATTTACCACTATCACGAGAATCCACCTAATTACGAGAGGATTCATTCTTTTTTTACTCATTCACGGTCTTGTGTTTACATTACTTATCGTTTTCCAATGTCTACCTGTGCAGTCAATATGGGACCGCTCGATTGAAGGCCAATGTCTCAACATCTCAGCGATTGGCTATGCAGGTGCCGCCTGCAGCATTCTGGAAGATGTCGTGCTCTTTGTCATTCCGATTCCGGAACTCTTGAAGTTACAGTTAAGTAGGAAGAAGAAGATTGCTCTGGTCTTTATGTTTAGTGTGGCCTCGTTGTAAGTTTTCCCGGTAGAATATTCGGGTCGTCGAGGTGGGCTAAATTAGTACCACAGCGCATGCATAGCCAGTATGATACGTCTAAAGTACATGGTCTCGTATGCTAACACGTATGACGCAACATGTGTGTTAAAAATCACTTTATCGGATATTATATATAATGTACTAACTATCTGTCGCAGGGGATAATGTCGAAATCGTATTGTGGTCGTCTATCGAACTCAATTCTGCCATCGTTTGCGGCAGTCTTCCAGCACTGCTTCCATTGTTCAGAATTGTTTCTGGATACTTCAGCAGAATTATGACAACTATGCAAAGCAAGCATCACAGGAGACCAGAAGAACCAATAGATGAGGGCAAAGAGAGCTTTTCGCAGGCCTCCGGTACATCGTCCGAAGCAAGTTCTCCACAAAAGTCAATTCGGGCGAAGACTTTTGGAAACGTTTCAGCAGCGAATGATTTGCGGATTGTTGGTCATATGAGCGCTAGAACAGATGGCAGGGACGATTTAGAACACCAGGATTGGATCACGGGTAGGTCTACGTCTTGAAATAATGATAATAATAATTAGACGATCAAAATCATACATTGCGAGTTGGTCATGGCAGTGTACCTGTGGTGGTTTACCAAACCTAGTGATTGCAATTAGTATAACTAGTTTGATATGCCACTGCAATCTCTTCCATGGTTCAGCGCGTCCGCTAGAGATAGGCTTAAACCTTCAGGACAAATACCACAAATCCACTGGCTATTACGCTGAAGACTTCATTGATGTTGTATACAAACTTCGAGCTAACCGGTTCAAACTACCTAGTACTCGTAAGAAGGCTGTGCTTTCGTAACAAGCATTTCTACTTCTGCCTAGACATGTCGGTAGACTTGTCACTGCCGGAGCCGAAAATATGAATTAGCATGATGGAGTAAGAAAAACGCCTGTTTTAGGAGTGAACGCACCGCAATCCTTGTCGCCAATAGCAAGCAGTTGAGGAATGATTAGGATAATACAGACTTGTCGTCCTAGGAAGTGACAACGATACACTTGTTCAGTGGGGGAGGTATTCGCATGAGCTGACGAGAAAATAATAGGTAAGTGAACCTCAGCTGCCTGCGATAAAGAGCTCAAATTATTGTAGACCTGACTTCATTTTTCAACCGCTTAAGAGCCTACAGGTAGATACAAATATGATGGAGTGACCTCGGATTTCACTACAAATGATACAAAGATCATGAATGCCTCTGAAACTCCATCGACTCGATAGTTTTTCTGGTGTCTTTCACGAGACTACGATTGTGCTTGCACTCCTAAGATTCCAGACATCACCCTTGCCAGCCAATCGCATAATTTCTAAGGCAGATCTAGGCGCAACGCTTGCATGTGAACTACACCGAGCGCACATCGACGTCATCTGATCAGTCCGTCATTCTACACAAGGCGGGGATCCAGGATATCCGTAGAACTTAAACCCCTGAACTAACAAATGCATCTAATTTGTTCTATTATCCCTCCTTGTGTTTATTACTGATCTCATTGATTACTGCGACATTATGGATGCTGCCAAAATGAGCGGGTTACAATCATTTGAAAATGCTGGGCCAAATCTGCGCGATGACCAACCCAGCATTCCGCTTGTCGACCTGGCAGGGCTCATGACTGATGCCCAACCGCAGGCAGCGCTACAAGCGGGGAAACAACTGGTTGAAGCTTTCAGAAATGCCGGCTTTGCGTACATCATGAATCACGGAATACCGCAAAAGACAGTGGACTCGGCTTTTCAATGGGTCCGTTCTGCCAAAGATCTAGATTTCCATCGAACGCTAAATTCTGAATTTGATACAGAGCAGAGAATTTTTCGCGTTGCCATTGGAAGAAAAAGAAAAGGCACCCCATCCACCAGAAGGCTGGTGGCACCGGGGTTATTCAGGCGTTGGCAGAGAAAAGGTCACACAGATGTTGTTCGAAGCCGACGAAATAAGCGAGCGTCGAAAGATTCCCGACTTTAAGGAGTCATACGAGATCGGCCGTGAAGATGACGATCATCTACCCAACATTTGGATCCCTGAAAGTTCGTTGCCCGGCTTCCGCTCCTTTTTCAACGAGTTCTACGGGGTCTGCTACGAACTCGAACTTCGCTTGCTCCGCGGCATGGCTCTCGGCATGGGTCTGGACGGGGGTTACTTCCAGGGGTACCATGTCAACAAGGACAACCAAATACGGCTTCTGCATTATCCACCGGTCAATGAGCAGCAGCTGCTCATCGGAAAAGTCGAGCGGCTTGGTGCGCATACTGATTTCGGCTCCATGACGCTTCTTTTCCAGGACGAGGTCGGAGGACTGGAAGTTGAAGACCCTAACAAGGCTGGCTTCTTTAAGCCAGTACCGTACATCCCTGGGACGATCGTGGTGAACATTGGCGACTTCATGCAGCGATGGAGCAACAACACTATACGGTCGACAATGCATCGCGTACAGGCACCTCCATTGAAGGACAACGACAGCGGCGATCGCGTTACTCGGGCGCGATTTTCGATACCGTATTTCATTGGTGCAGATCAAGAGAAGACAGTTGACTGCATCCCTGGGTGCTTCGGACCAGACAGGCCGAAAATGTACGAACCCATCAATAGCCGGGAATACATAGAAAGGCGCCTGAATGCCACATATTGAAAATAGGGCGGGAAAATATACGACCACGTGGATTTCATATTTCTTAATTTGAGTATTGGGGTCCAAATAGTCTCTAGCACCTCGTCTACCCATCGAATAATCTTAAATGCCAAGCTCTATTCGGCTATACGATCCTGCCAGCATTGCTTTGCGTAAAGAATCTTCGTTAAAGAAGACCCTCTGCAGGCCTAGTATCATGCGTGCGTATCGATCTCCGCTCAAGGCTACCATCTGGTTGGCCAAACCTGCGTCGATCTGTAAACCCTTGGCCCTCATTTTGGTGGTGAAGATTGAACATGGTAGCATTCAAATCCCTTGGTCAGCGGCCTTAGCGCTCAATGACACGTAATAAAGTTGGCACTGCCGGCAGATAGTCAAGACTCTTCCGCGATGCGGTGAGAACAACGAGGGTAGCGCCGAGCGTTATCCGCTGTGGGGAGCTTCTGTGGCTTCCTCATATAGGAGGGACAGGGACCAGGGAATATTCCTCGTGGCCCGTGGGAACACGTTCCGCGCTCTTTTTGTTTCGTCAAAGCTTCGACTTCCTAATTCCTCCACCACTCGAAGCCGGGGATCCGACAAACGACAAACACATCATCACAACGACGACGAGGGATCAGAATGTGTCCCGAACAAGACGACGACCAGGCGAACGTGGAAGCCCAGCAGGAGCAGCAGGAAACGACAACGGCAGCAGCTGGTATCCTTCCGGCTGAACACTGGGTACAAGCGGCACGAGTCAGTTTCATCGGCGGGTCAGCCGCACCCCCAGGATTGATGACCACGATAATTGACGCATGTTCTAGGAAGCTGCTGAGGACGAAGACAACGACTCAGCTTTAGGTGAAGAGAATGCCAGCTCAACGGCATCCATCACGTCTACCATTCTCGAATATAGGAAGATTCATGGACGGACGTTTCACGGCGAGGTCGGAAATGCCCAATACTGGTTAGAAGCTTCATGTAGGGGTCAGGCGTCTCTAAAAACATGCTAACTTGTGCTGAAGGGGGAGCAACGATGAGCAGCAGAATGAATGTTGGGATATCAAGTAAGTTAATGCGCTTAAAACGGCGTAGTTCAGGCCATTTCAAGCTAACAAGCAAAGCCACCATCTTCTAACCCTATCATGCGGAGACCGACTTCACTTGGCACCCCTGGATAAGACCAAGGTACGATGCTCTTATCTACTACTTTGTTCAATCCTTATTTGTCTAATTGTGTTGTAGCTTAGTAAAGCACTTGATATCGGAACAGGAACTGGTAGGTAACCATTAAAGCTTACTGGAAATAACGCTGACCGACATGATTTTTACAGGTATTTGGGCCATGTGAGTGCTTACGTGCTATTTAGATGTGGTATAACGACTAATTATATATAGCGACTTCGCTGATGAAAACCCAGAATGTGAGGTAACTGGTACTGATATCTCTCCCATTCAACCCAGTTGGGTCCCCCCCAATTGCAAGTTGTGAGTCTCAGGGTGAATCAGTGCTTGAGCGAAAAGTATCCACTAACTCAGTATAGCGAGATCGAGGACTGCACTCGTGAGTGGACCTTTGCTCCAGAATCTTTCGACTACATCCACATCCGTTTCCTTGTCGGAAGTATCGAGGACTGGCCGGCACTGTTCAAGCAGGCCTACAAAACTTTGAAGCCCGGTGGTTACCTTGAGAGCTTCGAAGTTTCACCTGCTATTTTGAGTGACGACGACACTGTCCCAGAGACCAGTGCACTGGGCCAGTGGGGAAAGTTTTTCGAGGAGGGTGGTCGGAAAATGGGCCGCACATTCCGTGTTCTCGATGAGAATCTTCAGAAGACCTCGATGGAAGAAGCTGGTTTTGAGGAAATCACTGAGTGGAACAACAAGGTATGATACGGTTTCTGTTGATTGTCCACTTGCCATGGCACTAACCATGCTGACTTGTTACGACGCAGGCACCCATCGGCGTCTGGCCTAAGGATCCTGTCAAAAGGGAGATAGGCGAGTGGGCGCAGTTGACACTCCTATCCGATATTGAGGGCTACGTCCTCTTCATGGCTAACGTCATGTCTACTTGGTCCAGGGAGGAGATTCACGTCTATGCTGCACAGCTCCGACGTGAGATCCGGTCGGGTAAGTTGCATGGATATTATCGCCAGAGAGTTGTTTGGGGAAGGAAGCCTCTGGCATCTGAGCAATAGGATATGTGTATCAAGGTGCATCTGCTTTGATTAGCGCTAGCGAATTACAATAATCGGTACAATTGTGCCTGGGTGACGCTATACCCCGTCTGCAGTGGCGTTATTCCTCCATGAGAGCCTTGCTTTTAATCAACCCTTCTTTCGTCTTTCTCTGGGTAAACAAGAACATGAGCATGACTGATGCAACAACTAAATGACATATTCTTCCAGGTCACACTGTTTGCTTCAGCGTTTGAAGCTGGCCTCTCCGCACAATACCCTCAATGCTATCGATACGGTGAGACTAAGTTAACTGAGGAATAGAGATGTTTGAGGTAATTCATGCCCAAATTCCCGCCTTCACAGCCAGGGATACTTCCGGTACACTCTACTCCTCTTACGGAATCAACAGGGAGATGGCCACGCATTGGTCCTATGCGTAACTGATTCTCCAAGTCGCTACCAGATATGCTCAACATATTCGGTATGAGTGGCATGAGTTGACGGTTGCAGGATTAGATTGCGAAACCCAGAAGAAAACGGGTGGAATACACCAACGTATTGCTACAAACAATGTACCTGTATGTGGTGTCTATTTGTAAATCTCTTTTTTCTTCAGAGATAAAGGGGAAGGAATCCCTTTCTCCAACTTTGATCTATCAACAAGGAAATGAAGGAGGGCCAAACGACACCGTTGTTTCCTAGGTACATGGTTGCAAGATTCTCTCAAACTTGGTTAACCACTGTAGCCCCGGAGTTGACTTCGATCCAAACCCTTAAGCAGACGGCCCAACCAAACACTTTCGCTTTCCTGGAACGAGCCAGCAGACCTTGTCCTCCACTCCGGCCTCTTCAAAGGCCTCCTTCAGCTCCTTTCCATGCTGAGTAAAATGCGCCCAAGATTCATAGTGAATGGGCACAAGAATGTCAGCTCCTAGCTTCTTAAAAAGCTGCGCTCCCTCTTTGCCTCCCATGGTGATCTGAAGTGGCTCATCGCGTCCTGTAACGGGGAACCTGGCGTCACCAAGGTTCATCAGCGAAATCACAATGTGAAAACGCTTCGCAATCTCATCATGCTCGGGAAGCAGGATGGTGTCTCCGGTGAAATAGATGGCGTTAGGCAAACCCTCGGGGCTCATTCCGAAATTCTTGGTCGAGAGAACGAACCCAGTAACCTCTCCGTCAAGATGAACGCAAGGGACTCCGGTAATCTCCCACTCAATGCCATTGATAGCCATGATAACAGTCTCCCATGGCTTGATGCCCAAAACGCCTGGTCGAGGAGATAGATTCTTCGCTCCGTCTGGTGTGGTGATGACTCGGCGGCCATCCAGAAGCCTTCGACCCATCTCGTCCAAGTTATCGATGTGATCCTCATGGCTCAGAAGAACTACATCGATCACGGGTATCTTGTCGAGTCCAAGTGCCGGGCCTTCAGAGACCTTCAAGACAGTCTTTTGAGTCCCCTTCGGCATGACATCGGTGATGTCATACTCAGCGGGGGCTGGGCAGAAAACCGGATCGGTGAGGAAATTCACGCCGTCAATTTCAATCACAGACGTTGCCGTTGTGATATGAGTGATATGAACGGTGCTTCGGAAAGATTGAGGAACCATGATGTTGAATGAAGTCGCACAGTTTAGCGAATGATGAGGGGTTGAAGGTATTTGGATACTAGTATTTGATTCTTCATGAACTTCTATTTTTGAGGCGACGGTAAAAGTCTATCTCTTATACTCATTTTTCTAACAACTGAAAGGTTTTCACTGTCTAGTAAAAACCCATGATTTGTAACAAACAGTCAAACCAGTGACTAACTTTAGTCTTAGTGAGAGGAGATTATTGTGTTACAGGTTATTGATTTATAATATTTGACTGCTTCTTTACTGTATCCACCAAACGGCGGGCTCAGCTAGGGCTCCAAAGACAGGGTAGGTTTAGTAAAACATCAAAGTTTCAATCTACCTATAACCCTGGTCTATGGCAAACAGTGGAAACGATGCCGTCTTTGATTTTTAATTACTCAGGCAAATTTGGTCTCTAGAATAATCTGAGATCGGGGTATTCCGCTCACTCTCAGAACACGAAGAATAATTCGATTTAGAATTCTTCTACTCTTTCCCCTTAACCACAAAGACATACCTGACTAAACGTTTCCGGTGTAATTTAAACGATTTGTGAGGCTGCCATCACAACCTGATGGTTACATGGTTTTAATGTTTTTGCTTCTGACTTTTAGGCAAGCCGTTTACAATATCCCAACAAAAGTTTTCATTTCAAGTGTAGATAGTGATAATCAAGATCTAAAGCTGGTGCTACTGTACAACGATTCTCCTTGATCTCCTTGCCCCCCCGTCAATTTTTCGCTCACTTCTAGCGTCTGGAACTTCAACCTGATTCAATATTGCAGGTCTTGTCTCTTTCCTCCACATCCATGAACTATTTTTGTAGTATTACAATGACCAGATAATTGAATCACAGTTTGGTGAAGAGTTCTTTTCCCAGTTTTCGCCGCCGTATCTCTCGTGCTGCAGAGATGAAAATGCCTCCCAGTAGCAGTGCACTACCTGCAAAGGCTTGAGCCCCTACGTAAGAGCCACTAGATGAAATAATAACGCCAGAGATTGGCGACCCAATGAGAGCGCCGATCCCAACAGCAGCAAATATGAGTCCCATTCGAGAACCTAGTTGAGACAAGTCCGAAGTCAAGGATGAAACTGCAGCAGGGAATAACGCCTGAACACCGCCTATCGCCAAACTGTAGAACGTGACCCAAGCGTAGAGTCCGCCGATCGAATGAACCGCAATCCATGTGTACAAACATACTGAAGACGAGAATACCAAGATGATGAAAGTGTTAAGGGTCCCAATGTATTTAGCTAGGACGCCGGGGAATACTCGGGCTACAAACCCAATGCCGTTGAGAACGAGAATGAGGTCGAGAGATTTCGTGTATGAAAGACCGAGCGTTTCTTTTGCAAAGGAAGTCAGGAAGAAAAAAGGCACGAAAACGCCTAAGAATGACTGGAGTGAGTTGTCAGCGGCTTTTTCCTTTTAGGAATTTCACCACGGTTCTAGTTTCAGAGGCTTACCAAAAACGCGCCAAGAGTATATAGAGAGAACTCAGATTCCCGAAAGGCAGTCCAGTCGATGAATACACGTGGTTTGGCGGGCGGGATCCTTGTTCTAATGCATAGCATGGCAACAGCTAGTGTTCCTGCCTCAACAAAGCCAATTGATCTCATCGTCCAACCAAAGCCAACACTAGGGAGGAGTGTCCTCGCCATGCCGGGGTATATAAGACCGCCTGTGACGCTGCCGCATGCAGCAAGACCGAGTACCAGAGGTAACCGCCTTTTAAAATATGTGGCGATGACAGCCATGGTCGGTGTAAGCAAGCAACCATTGCCTAGTCCAATACAGATACCCTGTGCCAGCATCAGCTGCCAGTATTGGGTGCAGATGGACGCCATAAACGTCCCGAGTATAATCAGAGAGGCCCCTAGGTTTGAAACCGCGTGGAAATGACCGGCATCGGTGAGTCGTCCGCTGGCTATGCCACTGAAAAATAGCAGGAATACGTTTAGAGAGCCAATCCAAGAAATGTCGGAAGATGAACGATTCAGAGTTGAGATGTAATAGCTCTGGAAGACGCCGAATGATATAACCAAACCCCTATGATTTGAGTTGAGCATTCTTTTTCATTGATCACAAATATCTTTAGTTAAGTTTGGAAAAGCTCACCAGGTATTCATGATAACGAAGAAACCAGCGACAACTGTAATATTCCGTCATTAGCCTCTGAATTAATAATACCTACAGGTGTAGACTCACCAGACAGCCAGGCATATAGTCCTCCATCGGGAGGTTCAAGTGAAAGACAGTTTTCAGAGCTCGAAACTTCTCGCAGCCCAATGTCTTCCATAGTCTCTTCGCGGCCAGTAGCCTCTGGTTCATAGTTGACAGCATGGTGTGAAGAATCGTTTGCTCTGGGGGCTTCAGGAGCGTACGGTCCGCCTTGGATATTCCTCGGTGCAGACATACTGTATCAACAAGATGTACTTCAAAGCGATTGACGACTCAGATTGTCGCAAAAGACACTTTCGGGTGTGTGTAAAGTAGATCAGTGGATATCTCGCTGTGTTGGCGTACAGAGTCTAGGAGCAATTGTTACTCTTTGATACTCAATTTTGGATTCCACTTTCGGCTCAAAAAAATTACACATATCGGGCTAGTACAACTCTCCGACCCTATGATATGGGTCCGCATTGTACGGGAAGCCTCGGGTCCTACAATATACGCTAAACAATAAATTTCTTTTCACTTGAGCCTACTTGAAGGCACGATACTGAAGTCTCTGGATTTGTAATAGATATCTTTCTGTTACACTAGATTACACTTGGCAGGCTCCTGTTTGCTAAGGTTCAACTTCTCCATTAATAGCTTGGAGAGGGTAGATCCAGATGCCTACATTAGTAAGTAGCAAAGAAAGATTTACAATCCTGCTACTCACGCACCATTTTCTGATTAATCAATGACAAATCTCATGCTTGCAAGCGCAGTTGACTTGACTCAGCCGTTTGACCGTTGTACTGGGCCTGCAATTTGACAGCTTGCCAAACCCTTCAGGAATGACGTACCAAAAGACCATTTCCCAGGCCCACTTCTGGTTCTAGAAGCCAGTCTATATGACACATATTTTCTGTGTCCCCTTTTCCAAAACCTTTATATGACAGTGGGCACAGCCTTCTGAGTGTTCGATTTCCTAAACCATTTGATCTTGCCTCTAAACACACCCTTCTCGCTATCAAACCAAATAAATCAGAATGTCTTCCGCACTATCCTTCCGTCAGATTCTGGGTGCTCCGTCAACCTCCGCAACCACTCGTGATAGCGCACTCATTATCATTGATGTTCAGAATGAGTACGCAGTTGGAAAATTGAAAGTCAGTGACGTGGAAGTCTCTCGAAAAGCCATAGCCGCATTGCTCCAGAGATACCGCGACGATTCCGGCGAAATCATCCACATTGTGCACGACACCCCAAACGGGGCGCCTGTGTTCACTCCTGGAACTGAACTTGCAGAGGAATTTCCCGAGGTACGCCCCAAGAGTGGCGAGAAGGTGATTCACAAGCTTCATCCCAGCTCCTTTGCGGGCACCGATTTGCAAAAACATCTGGAGGCCACCGGCTTCAAGAAAATCGTCCTCGTGGGATATATGGTAAGTCACGCACTCTAAACTGCACGATCTCGATACTAATCCCGCCAATTTCAGGCCCATGTTTGCATATCGACGACATCTCGCGATGGCGCGCGTCTGGGATTTGATGTTGTGGTAGCTGAAGACTGTGTTGGTGATCGGGACATTCCTGGTGTCACTGCTGCGCAGCTAACAAAGGTTGCGTTGTGCGAAATTGCTGATGCCTTTGGTACTGTTGTGCAGAGCAAGGATATCAACTGAGGCATGAAATAACGATGTTCCTGCCACTCCTGCGTCCAAGTGCGCCCGAACCACCCGCCGCCCTAAGACCGTGCGATCTTGGGTGAGCAAGGCATCGTTACATCATCGTTGAGATCAACAGAGTCAAACAGCTGCTGCAGGAAGGGATATAGGCAGCTCCTAATGGCCATAGTAACAACCTTGGGGAAATAGAGCGCGTCAACCGCCAAATTTAGAAGGACTCAGACGTTTCAGAACCAAAGTGGATCTATGAAATATCCTTCCATGCCCAGCACCTCATCGTCGCCTTTGCTCCATCTGTGTCTGACGGCACCCGGCGGGTGCTCTTGAGCCCGGTGGTCGCCACCAGTTGTACGCCAACACGCCATGCTCTTCCATTGCGGATCGTCGGGGGAACGGCATTTTCCGAGTTGCTTCCATGTAATTACCGTCACCGACCATTGCTTGCGCTTGTAGCACCAATTGACTTTGATTTGAGCGTCTGTCAGACACACAGGACAGGATAGTATGGTACCAAGCTCCAGGTCAGCAAGGAACTTCTTGGGTGGCAAAGTCTTGCGATACTTTGCCTCGGAGCGGCAAAACGAGATTGACAGGGAGTCGTTAAAGTCGGAGCGTGGCTTGCCCCATACGTTGCGGTGATAACAGATCTCGCCGCCGTTTAGTCTGAAAAAGCGGTCAATATCATTCATATCCCCCGTCAGATGATATACTGTTAGGTCCATCAATAGGAAGAGCTCGTCGTCGATGATGCGTGCTCGCCAGCTGTATTTAACATGTACTCCTGTTGAATAGGAGGGTTTCTCCCCGTCCCTGTTGAGTATCTGAACCGGGAAGCCATGTGCGTCTCCGTATAGATGACGGTTCATTACCAGTCTGACGTGATGATAATATAGCCTCGCTATATTATAAAGAGGAGAAAAGCTAGTCATGAAACATAGCCTTCTAGGACGAATATCCCATTTCCATGTCGGTTCCAACCAATGTCGTCCCCATGGATGAAGGATAACGCACTTCGTGCAATACATAAGGTGGGGAATATCCTTTTCTAGTAGTGTAAGGAATGTCTTTTTTGATTCAATGCTTTGGAATGGCAAATGAGGAAAATAAGAGACGTAATATAGCCGACAGGTTAAAGCAAATGGCAGGACTGACTCGGGTTCCAGGTAATTGAGGATGAGGAGTATGATTTCTGGAGGTATTCTGAGGGTTGACGTTTGTTTCAACGGGCGCCTCAGATGCCGCAGCAGACGACGTATGACGCGTAACACGCCCATCGTGAACGGAAAAGCCAATGAAGATTGTTCGGAGTACGTTTTTGTTATGGCGGAGCTTTCCGTGGATGCGTTGCTGGCATTGGAAACACTTCACGTCGGCCCAGATGGATAAACCGTTGAAATTAAGGTTGCTCTTGAATGAGGGGCGGTCTTTGATGGGCGCATGACGGTCATCGAGAGGTTGCTGGCATAGGCGTTTTTGTTGCGATGGGTTCTTTTCGGGGCTATTTATGTGTTGGCGGGGGCACCTTTTGGACGCCAGGTACTCAATGGTGTCACACCTTGATAGCTTGTGTCGAAATCTCGTTCGTGGAGCTACATCAAGGTGAGTAACTGGGCGAGCCGATAAAGGAGTGTAGTGCCATTTGTGAATAGTTAGTCGTACAAAACATGAATCATTGGGGTATATTTCTATGCAAGGTCATCTCCATGCCTCCGCCGGTCGTCAGGTTTGACTTAGTTACCAACATGCATGATCAATCAGCATTTTGTTGATTGACTGAAGTCCCTTCGTATCTGTAAATCAAAATGGAATCCTTTCTCCTTGATAACTTGAACAAGTCGGCGGCACCAGAGTTCCATCCTCCGGTCCCTGGGAGCATAGGTCTCTATCATCTCGCAAGAAGTTTTCAGCGGGAGGATAACGGAACCTGGACCATACACCTTAAACTGGTCTTTTAAAATGAATTCGATGCTTCTAACGTTCCAGCGCGCAAGTCGAATGATCAAGTCCGTGCTCACAAGATCGATGAGCCCTTCAGCCCGAATAAAAGGTACGAGAGATGGGTATTTTGTGCTAAGTGCTATAATATTGTGGGCGCATATCATCTGGAACGTCCAAAGATGTGTGAAGAAATTGGCGGAGTTGATGTTCGCAAATTGGATTGTCATTTCGTCATTCTTTGGGAATATCGGAAGCCAATACCGGCCTTCAATACCTGCAAGGAGGGCAGCGCCATCCAGAGACAGACAAATTTTTGACAAGTCGTTGAATATTTGGCATACAATCGTTGCGGCTTGGTCCGGTACAACATTACTTAAGGCATCCATCCTTTCGAGAATGGAAGTCAGAGGCAGGGCTTTCGTGAACAAGCTTTGAAGTGGCGACGGCGGATGCCATGTAAAGGGTATTGTCGTCCAACAGGGGTCTGACAGGAAACTCTTTCGGCGACTTAGAAATGCTTGGAGTACCTTGCTAATGTCAGCGGCGGAAGACTCCAGTCTTAGATAACAGTCACCTACAAGAACTGGTCTGGCGCCCACGAAAAGTTGGTGTGAGTCGCCTGAAGCATATGTCTCGGGGCCTTGGAGACGCATGAGCCCGTCTATGCCCTTGGCATGGACAAAAGCACCGTTCGGGGTAGTAGGAAATAATGCCTGCTCTCATCAGCATGTTATGAGCAAGAAAAGCGCTGAATTATTGAGGAAAGTACCTCTGACACGAAGAGACACATCATGTTGGCAATGAGCAGGTTTGGTGCCGTGAGGGTAGACGTTTTTAGTGCATGCCTCAGTGATTCCAGAGCAGCAGCTTCGGCCGTTAATGCATCGGATATATTTGCCATGCCATGCTTACCTCTAGCAAGTATAGAAACTGCCAGTGCTTTGACCGAAGGAGCCAGATATTCGTCTGCTGCAGGAGTCCTGGCGAGCTGGGGAAGGATCTCAATCCAACCACCGCATACTCGATGCGAGAAGTCAAATTCTTGGGTAGGATTAAGACAAGATACTTCGGCGGTAGGACAGAAGTTTTGCACCACAAGAGATATAATATCCATCAGTGGCCATGGTAAAGAGCGAGATACGGAGTTGTCCTGGCAATGACTTTGAGAACCCTGTACCACAGTCGACTGCCGTCCACGCTTCTTTTTTGCTCCGCTCAACGAACGTCTCGGGTTAGATACTCTGTCCAGATGAGGGTCATAGACATGCGGAGTCCTAAAAATGAGGTCATAACTGTACCCCCCACAATGCCTGGCAGAAAAGTCGCATTGCGAGCAAGTAGGCCTTTTGCCATCGCACTGTTGTCACTTGTAAGCTTTCACCCAGCCGAAGGCGTCACGGCGCTCTCAACTCACCGCCAATTTTCTAATTCTGCAGGTATGGCAGGTTGTAACTTGCCTGATCTTCATTGTGGTGCTTCAGGTGCTCATCATTTAGAGGCCACGTACAGAGGAGGCTATGCCATTGCAATGGGAAAAGATCTTGGCTTGACAGCCCGCTCCAAAGGAGTTACGATAGAGTAGTGGACACCCAAATCCCTAACGAACGCTAAGTTGTTTTCGGTAACTAAACCCGCCAAGACTTCACGCACGGTCTGCTTTAGTGTCATGGCGCAGAAATACCCACTCCACCACACTGGGGAATTAGCGAGTGAAATGTCTTGGCGGGTTTTGTTCCCCTTTAAGGCTTCGTTCCTTATGCTACCCCGATTTATCTCCTTTACTTTCCGTATACCCGTATATGAGGCCTGATCGATTAGAAAGACGCATACGTAAGACCAGTGAGCTTAGTTGATTTATAAGCTCGAAAATCTAATTTTCTTTGTAAGCTGGGTTTTGTGCGTGGAGAGATCGGCTGCTTAGTGAGACTGTATTGGGGGGTTTAGCAGTTCGTTAGCGGTTGAACCGCAAAACACAACCACGCCCACAGCTGGCTCCATGGGTCTTCTGATTAGAGGCTTTCGCACCTCTCAAGAGGCTTGGGATAAGACTTCATGAGTGATTCGGTCTGATCAGAACAGTAGAGTGTCCCCGTCAACTTGAAGCTTCTCGCAGTGTGCTAGATTGTGGCCTCGACCCTCTGATCAGAGTGATCATAGATCTCCTCGATAGTGGTATCGTATTACGTGGGAGCAAAAGACTCTCTTTGCTAGATAGATTTGAAAGTGTTAAGAGGAAAATAACTGCGCTGCGTGCGCCTGCCAATGCCAGGGCTGTCCCGTCCAAGTTTGGTCTATCAAAAAGGAAGCTGCCGCATGCCTAGTGAAGCTATCTTTGCTGCCCTTTTGATTTCCCTTGAGTTACATAATTAGAAAGAAAGAAGTACTCCTGATAAAGATGCCACAGAGGTCTTAATCCTGTTACAATACAAGCCCGGGGGTAAGGGGAGTCTTAGCGCAAGCTAGAAACTGTCATGTGTTTCTTTTGAATACTTGGTTACCGGACACCGGTCATGATAGACATCGGTCATGAAGTTACTCTGCAAATTTACGTTTCAATTCAGGTGGACGAGACCAATTACCACGTGTGACTAGCTCAACAGTGTCTTTAGGCATATGGCTCGTACATGTTGCTGTTAGACCTAGGATAGGTCTTTAGCTGATTATTACCGCTTTTTTTGTCGCTTTGTCCATTCTTCGTAAATTGTAATCGCTCGGCCCAGCGTACCATGACCACCAGAGGATACCAAGTTTGTTATTTACGAGCATCCCTTACACATAGCGAGGCACAACTGCCTGATTCTTGAAGTGTCCGGTATGTTGGTAGTTTCACTCTTTTCATCGACCATATTTCTGCCACAAACTGGTTTAACCGTGGATAGTTCTTAGTCCCGTTTGTTGTCCAGATAAAAATTGAGCCAGAATTAACAGGCGGTGTGGATTTGAATAAGAAGGTTGCCTGTTTTTGGACTGTTCATAGTACTCACTTCGAGATGTTTATCTCCAAGCCTGAAAGCATCCTTACACGCTACAATGAGCCCGCCCTTCTATGCAACCTCGGTGGGTGTGGTGAGCTCCTCCAACCTGTGACGAAGAATGAGCCCGCCTAGGCCCGAACTTTACACTTTAGTATTGCCCCTTAAAAAGAAGATATCTTGAAGAATTGAGGGGGTTCATCACAATTCCCGAGGAATTCGACACCATGGCAATGTACGCAGCGATGTTGATTGATCTAGGACTGACGGCTGGCTCTAAGTTGAGACACGAACATGAGGCCTTTTGGAGACGCCTTGAATGGCGTTGTTATGCGGGATGTCGAGTCGCAGCGAGCGTCAAGACGCTTCATCAGTTGAAGTATTAGTTGCCCCTAGGAGCGTGCCCCTAAGTGTGGTCCCGTGAATGACTCTACAATTCTCGGTGGGAACTGTCGACTGTAGAGTCACCTGAGCACTAATACTGGCCTTGGGCTTGGAAGTAGCAAATAAATTGGCAGTTCGCATTGACTGATGTTTGATATGTTACCTGGACTTCTGTTTTGGTACTGTGCATTGCGTGAAACGAAGATTCCTCATGTCGATGAACTGAATGCGACGAAAGCTGTTAGCGGGGTCTTGTCTGTAGGCTTGTAACTGGTGTTTCCATTCTCAGTCTTAGTCTACTTGTATTATGTATCTGCTTTCCTGTTAACTCTAATGCTTGGTAAAGCAGCTAGTATCACTTGGTAACAGGATCCTGAGAAACTTTGATACAGTTATGCGAGCCAGAGCGTTGACAACCGTCATTGACCGGACATTTTCTACCTCTATGATAAAGCAGGAATGCACTTGCATTCTTTTCTGATTTACGCGTTTTTTGCTTTTTGATCTTTTACATAACCAAGACCGCGACTTCCTTAACTTTTGCGTGCTAGCGATTCGACATGGGTGTTGCACTAATTGTCGTAGCAAAGGCCTGCATTACGGTCCTAGAAATGCCGCTGAGAGTTAGCCAGAGCGTGAATATACAAGAATCTCTGCCGTGGAATTATGAGCTCCGTACTTCCGTTTCAAGGTCTTCATCCCGTTGTCCTGCATGAGCCAATGCAGGTTCAGTGACATGCCTGCACAGCTCTGGCGAAGGCATGTATATTTCGGATTTAAGCTATCTTTATTATTATAGAGCTACATTAAATAATCCCGAGATACTGCTTTTTCGACTCCTCGTGTGTTTACTCGTCTGCAGCCGTTAGTGGTCAATCGAAAAATGGTTCCAGGTCCGTTGTGGTGGGTACCGGGTACATGAAGTCCCCACGCTCCTTCGGCTTCCGAAGATAGTCGGCGGACATAGCTCAGTTGGGAGAGCGTCAGACTGAAGTATGGGTCCCAGGACCCATTGCAAACTTCAATCATATAATCTGAAGGTCGTGTGTTCAATCCACACTGGCCGCATCTTCACTTTTGTGCTCGCAAGCTATTTATTTTGAGTGCAACTATGTTTAACTTTTTACTTTTCTAGATTTACTGATTGATCATCTAACTTGTCTTCGGGGGGGGGACACCTAACATTTCGTGCACACTCTATGGAAATCCACAACAGAATTTCGCAAAGCACCGCATATAACGGCCACATTGGAAGTTGTAAGAATAAAGACAGGGTTCTCTTACCCATCTGCCAACTACATTTTACCTCAACTAAAAGGCATAACATCTCAATATACATGGTTAATTAACACTCGGCAACCTATAGATATAGACTGATGTTCTAGCTCCAACTCTATGGATTGATCAATCCACCAATACGATGCATGCAACATTAACCCAAGTGAGTCCGTATGGAAATTTTCGCCTCTTTTATGGGTGGATCACTTGGATGCCGGATTCATACTATCAAGAAAAAGCATGGTTTCTTCATGATCCCCTATATTTTATATAGTATGTAAGCGTGTCACCTTCCAGCTCTGTGAGACGACCCCTGCAGCGGATGCACCAACAGCACCAGAGGATTGGGAGTCACCGTGCCATTCCCGCAGATCTCCCCGCATTCTACATGTCGGTGTGCGGCCTGTTTCCCGCCACTAGCGGGTTTGCTTTACCAGGACTGGCGGATATTATCGCGTGGCCGTCTCCACGCTGGCGGAATTCGGTTTTGGGCCCAGAGTACATAATAGCGGTTTGTCGGCCAGTTCCTTCATGTCCGGGGTTCTGTTTTACGTGGTTTTCGCCAACTTGCAGTAATTTTCTTGAACGTCGTTTCTAAATAGATTCACTTTTTTCCTCATCGACTGGAAAAAATCCTGCTTTTCTATCCATCTGCTCTTCTTCAGTTGCGCTGGTGAACACCATGCCGTGGCCGCACTGGCTCAGGCCTGCAGCGTTCTCTCCGTCATGGGGGGTTACAGTGGCCTCCGGTTCGTATGCCTAGCTACATGCACCGCCAGTGTTCGTTTGGCTTAGTTTACCGGTCGGTGTCAACTTTGCCTGGCAGCTCTGGCAATGCCCATCTGCTCTCACAACAAGCTCTCGATCATCAGTCAACTTGTCATCATCGGTCTAAACGCGACAATATTGCCAACGAAATCGGGCGTTGCCAGGCACGAACAACGGTTTTCTTCCTTCCAAGGTCAGACATGCTGCAGTGAGGCTCCAAGTTGCCCTCAACACGAAGTGGCCTGCTTTCGGGGTCAAAAGATGATCCCGTAAATCTTGTCGTTGTATTCACGATTGCAGGTCCGCATTTTGTGGGACCTTTTCTTTCGCATCGCCGGATGGTTCACTCCCGTATGGGGTTTCCTTTTCTTTACAAGCCCCCGTGTGTTTCTTCTCGTTAAACCTGTAACTGACTTACTTGGTAGCGATGAAGCTTATCAATCATGTTAGAACTGTCCCGCGGGGCTTTGCGATACAAGCGTCTTGAACGGGAAATATTTCCGCCCAATCGCAGATGGCCCATATCGACGGTGATATGGCATATTTTCAACCGCCTCGCCTTCCGAAAAGATTGACCGGCACGGCTCTTTCTCACCAATGTGTCCTGTCCCGATGGCAAGAAGCAACCCAGAGGACAGACATGAGCGAAATATAGGTGCTCTGCTGCCAGAATAAGGCGGGGGGCCTAGCAGCATAGACCTTTTTTATGAGGGGGTATGATCTTAGAGACCGACTGACTGAGGGGTTGGTTATTATGGGTAAGGTAGAGAGGTGTCAAGAAGATGCTCGCAAATATAACCAGTCCTGGACACTCGGTGGGCAGGAACACAAAACAGGCAGTCAGAACTCAAAGGTTCAGCTCGACATCATATCCGACTTGGCCTACAACCTGCAGCTAATACGTTTTCGGCATACACACGCTGGGGTTGCATCAATTCAAACACAAGGCGAATACGGTGTGGTTTCCGCGTGGCGAAATAATTGCAAGGCTGCGGGAGCACCCGTCCTGTGGCTCTGGGCACAAGGAAGACGGCCCTTCGGAGACGACGGAGCTTTGTCTGCAGAGACATTGAGGACACACGCAGGACGCAAGTCGCTGCATCAGACTATTGCAGTTCAGGTCAACTTCAGCGAGGGTTTCCTGCGCATCGACGCATCTAAAGTTTCTCGAAAGGGTTTTGGATGACAGGAACGATCGGCGGACATTTCGGACGGACAAGGATGGTTTAATGGCGCGGCGCAACCCTCCTACAGCAAAAAATTGGCGTTTGGAGGGGACCCCCTCATTTCATCTTCTGGTGGACTGAGGGATGCAGCAGACTTAATTGGACAAAGGGGGCGGCCAATTTTGGAAGCGTTGCATTTCACTCATACCGATTCCATCAACATGAACCAACATTCGACGGGCCCTCGACCCGGAGAGTTATGCAGGCGCGGTATTGCAGGTACCAGCAGCGTGACATTGAACCATTGGATTTCCTCATCAGCATCAGGAGCTTCAAGGAACGCCGGCCAGAAAAGTCATCGGCTCGTCGCTCCGCACACCCACTGGTGGTCTACTCCGCCTCTAACCGTACATGGTTAGCTCAAACCCTCAGTCGGCCCAAGTATGCGGAGAAGACCCATATATGAGGGGCGCCCTCTGTTAACCGAGCCATTGAGAACGTTCCAATGGTTCCTGAAAAGCGGGGAAGAGGCACGTTTTGGACCAGTGTGGTGCAGTTGTGACTTGGGGGGAAGGAGGAAGGAGGAAGGACCAAGAAAGACCGTGTGACTTTCTGGTTTTGATCGCCGCATCCTGAGCATCAACGTCTTTCTTAATACTGGCAGCTCCGACCCAAACCAGACGAAAATCAAAAAGACCACATTAGAAGCTGTTGTCGTCGAACCGTTACCTCAAAGCATCTCTACAACCATCATCCGTCTCTCTCTCTCTCTATCCTTCTTTCTCTCTTTCACTCTCTCTCTACCTCCAAAAAACATAGCCTGACAATGAGATACTCAACAGCGTGCTCGGCCTGTCGGTAAGTCGTCAGCCGAACCTTTTTTCTCCCCCATGGATCCTCTCTCTATCTCCGGCTTCGTCCGACTTTGGAGATGACCAGACTACTTACTGGCGATATGGCAGCGCACGACGGCGGAAGTGCGAGGTGCCCATCGGCGGCGGTCAATGCACATATTGCGCGACGCAGAACATCGCCTGCTCCCGTGCAGGCTCCATCATTCAGCCCAAAGCCGTGCCTGTCAGCCCGCTTTCAGTGGCGACACCAAAGTCTCCCATCGTCACCGAGATTATCGTCGCCAGTCCCCCCGGCATCACTCCTGCCGCAGCAGTCGCCGACAAAGCTCTCTGTTTCGAGCTGGTAGAATTATATTTCAAGTACATTCACGATCAGCTCCACTCACTCTTCCACCGGCCTAGCTTCATGTTAGATCTGCATGAAGGCACTGCTCCGCTTGTGCTGGTCTACGGCATGATGGCCTTGTCAGCAAGGTAAGAACCCAGTATTTTCCTCCAGGTTTTGAATACGGGATCTTTGATCTGACTGAACCCAGATTCTCCCCAAACCCCATATTTAATGGAATTTCTCCTCTATCGAGAGGGGAGCTTTTCGCAAACGAGAGCAATTTGTTACTCAACCTGCGGGATGTGTCACTCACCAGCATTCAGGCATGCGTTCTACTTGGTGCCTACTCCATCGTCGAGGGAGAGGCAGGCGCAGAGACTGTCTTTTACTCCGCTGCTTGCAGGATATCCAACTATCTTAACCTTCCCAACCTCCCTACCCCTGACCCACTGCAGAGGGAGGTTCATATCAGAGGTAAACTTTGACATATATCTGCAGAGCTCTTTGACAGCTAAGGCTGACTTTCATAGTGTACTGGTCACTCTGTATGATTGACGTATGGTCATCAACCGGCGTTAACCTACCCCGTCTCATGGACCGGCGGATGGATGTACCGTTGCCAATGAACGAGTCTACATTTCTCAACATGACACGAGCGAACAACAACCACTTTGATTTCATCCTTTCGCCTAACAGAGAGGATTCGCTCATCGCTCAGATGATCAAGCTCAACAGTATACTTCTAAAGGTTAACGACGCGATCAAGTCCCTCACCTCGGATTCTACAGTCACGAGCATAGACGAAACCGTTTCTGTGCTCTCACAAGAACTAGATGCTTGGGAACTGGAGCTTCCTCCAGGTCTCCGAGACACCCCCAGCAATTTACACTCCTTCGCCGCACAGGGCCTGGGCCGCATCTTCATCGCAGTGCACACAGGCCACTACCACTACAGCCAACTGCTCTATTATCAATACCTAGATGATGTGCAGCGGTTCCCAAACTCCAACACCGCTCAGGTTTTTGCACGCAAATGCAAGGAAAATGCCATATCCATGTCGCGCATCATCGACCTCGCCAACACTACACCTGGTTGCGATGCCAAGTTCAACATGTTGGGCCACATCATTGTTATCACGTCATCCATCTTCATCCACACACTGTTGTTCGAGACGGACGAGGCCGAGATAGCTAATGCTCGCGCTACGCTTGAGCGCCACTTCAACACGCTCGTCGCACTGCGGGTATACTGGCCCGGTCTCGAAGTATGCTTTGTGCGTCTCAAGACATTCCATGAACTGTGCCGGAAGAGTATGAACACAAGCTACCGCATGGACCGTTGGATGCTGAGGTTCCTGACCGAGTTCGCGAGACCCATCGACGAGAAGGAGCGCGACGAGGATGGGAACATGGACCTAGACCGGTGGAGTGTGGGTAACATCGGAATCAGTCCTGAGAACTGGGCCTAAGCAACCACTGTTGCTGCCACGTGTAGACGGGTTATTGCTCAAAATCATAGCGTCAACCGCTGTGCTGCCCAGTGCAATCCGCTGGTTAAAAGGTTTCGCAACAGGGACCACTTTTACCTGATTGCACGTATCTCGAAACTTTCAAAGAACTGCCCACACGTAAACCCCGCAAACATGACTTGCGGTCTTTACGAACCCTTGGGCTCTCTCCATAGCGAAGCGGAGCTCCTCTTGAGACCCCGCATATCCACACTAAATCGGCTCCAGCACCCTCATCTACGATGTAACCGGAGTGCCATGCCGTTTCCAATTCAGGCATCAGGTAGCCAGTGTGCCACGACCTATTTGTCTATTTTTTTTTTTTTAAAGGCGTTGTATATAGGCAATCGCGCTCAGTCTCTAGCTGATCGCCGCGGTGCTCAGAGGGCATATTTCAGGCATATTTCAGGCATATTTCAGGCATATTTATCGGGGATCTAAAAATTTGGGGTTGGTCCCCTATAACCAAAGGACCTGCAGACACATGATTGACGTTTTTCACATGTAGCTGTAACAGTCGTTACGCATATAGGTGTTATTTAGCTTGCGTAAATGATATACCCTATGGCTTTATTTGAGCCATTCACTCTGCAACCAATGACAACATTTTGGGAGGCGCACTATTTGACTTCTTGCGTAACTGCCCGCTGCTCAATAACATCTTCTTCATCCGCCTCCTTGGCTGCCGTGATTCCGTCCTCAAACTTTGGATGGTCAGCGAAATGCCGAACCGGCACACCGTTGTGGAACATGCGGTCAATCTCTTCCAGACTGCGGCCCTTGCACTCGGGCACGCAAAAGAAGACAAACAGAGCAGAGCACACTGCGATGCTGCCGAAAATGAAGCCCACCTTGCTCTGCAGCGCGGCATACGGCGCATTGAGCAAGTACGGCAGCGTGAAGTTGACGAGGAAGTTCATAAAGATGTTCACCAGCGACGAGGCCCGCTGGGAACGGTCACGGAGTCGCAAGGCGGGGATCTCGGTGACGACGACGTAGGTCAGCGGGCCCCAGCCCAGACCGAAGCCGGCTCCAAATACCAGGAGCATACCGACCATGCCGGATTTATGGGCATTCGGCACGGGGGTTGGGACGCCCAGACCGGCCATGGTGTAGAGTGCCGAGGCCTGGACCAAGGAGCCGAGGAGAAGGATTTTGCTGTCGTTTTTTGTTAGCTCATTGCCTATTGCAAAAAGTCTTGTCTTAAAGAAATTGCGAAAAGATAGACGTACCGTCGTCCAACCCGATCCGTCAAGAACAGACAGGTGATGATCATTCCGCTCGTCAGAGCCGAAGACCCCAGCGTGACGTCGAAAGGGTTCAGCGTCCCCAGCGACTTGACCCATACGGCGCCGTACTGGCTCGCGAAGGCCTGGCCCGTGGCCTGCTGGAAGAAGGACATGCCCATGGCGATGGCGGTCCGCTTGAGGTTGACGCCCTGGAAGAGCTCCTTGGTGCGGCCCTGCTCGGGCTCGTCGCGGAGGGACTGCTGGATCTGGGCGAACTCGAGGGCGATGGCGTCGTCGGACATCGTGCCGGCGCGGAGGAGGTGGTGGGCTTTCTGGGCCTCTTCGACGCGGTCCCGGAGGAGGAGCCAGCGGGGAGACTGTTAGTGATGATGATGTGTTATCAGTAAGAGAGGAAGATTCCCTAGAGGCAAAGGTTCGGGAGGAACAAGTGGTTTCTTCTTTTTGTGGGGGAACTTTGCTTACCTCGGGGATGAACCAGATTAGGGAGATGACGATGCTGGGAATCACGTAGAAGAGGCCAAAGGGGATCCTGTAGGCGCGGCTATCTTGGAACTGCGATGTCCCGCGGCAGATTGAGTTGATTACAAGTCCACCGAGCTGTGTGCCATGTCAGATTTATGTTCCCCCGGAATCGCAGGTTCGCCGGATTTTGTAACTTACACCGATGGCCAGTTGATATGTTCCGACAACCATTCCTCGGACCGGAGCCGGGACGATTTCGGATTGGTATACCGGGACGACGGACAGCTCGAAACCGATGTAGACGTCTGTGGAGATTAGAAAACTTGCTTTTTTCACCCGTCCCTGGATTGACTTCTTACAGTTGAGGATACGACCCATCAAAATCTGCTCCTTCTTGGTCGCAGTAACTACGATCGTGGCGCTGATCAAGGCGTACACGCTCATGACGAACATGGTCGTTCGACGGCCGAAACGGGCGCTTGTTAAACTTCCAATGACGAGGCCTGAATCGTCAGTTGTCTGATTCGACCCCTTATTCGGGCTTTTCGTGGAGGATCGTGGAGGAGAACGTACCAACGGCAAAGCCAATGTAGTTGAGACTGTTCAGCAGCGATAGAAAGTACGTCGGGATCGCCCACGTCTTCTTTGCCGGGTCGTACTCGCCAAACTGCCGCTCAAACGCGTCCATGGCCTGCGTCGAGGTGAAGGCCTGGTTGTCGAAGCCATAGTTGAACTGGGACACGGCGATGAGGAAAACGGAGGCAAAGAGCTTCTTGTTGAAGTGCTGCGCCACCGAGCTGATCCCCATTATGCCGGCTTGGTTTCCAGATTCCGCTGGAAGTGTTGCTATACAGAAGAAGCAATATCGACAGAGCTGAAAAACAAAAAAGCACAAAACACGGTTGATGATCAGTGTTGATCTCCAGACTCTAAATCTCCCAAAAGAGAGCCATGGCAGTATGAGCGGGATGTAGGGGGGGTGCGTATTTTTATATGCTTGTTTTACACCTTTCGGCAAGTTGCAGCCAGCTCCAGGCGTTCACTACACAGCAACCTTTTTTTTTCGAGCGTAGCATATCATCGCCATGTCGTGACGATGAGCCAAGGACAGGGACCGAGACCTTGCTTGCTAATACCTGAAGCGCGCGCGGTGGAGATGCGAGATCACACCGACGAGGGTGGAATGGCTGGGGTCCGCAGATTCAGCGACGGCGGATGTCGCCGGGTGTGGGCCAAGTTGGATGGTGATTGGGCCGAGCGAGATCCGGCGAGATGCGGTTTGCTCCACTTGGGGTCCTGAACACCATCCGGGCTCCGTCTTGCGTGCTTGATGAATCGTTCCTGGGTACCCCCTTTATACCGCCGGATCAACATTATTTCTTCGCGTCTCTCCGGGTTATTCCCCCCTGCACCGTGCTGTTCCTTAGGAAAAGATTTAACGGTTCGGTAGCGCCGTTTGTTTTCACGACGCTGCTTGGGGTTTTTTTTGGATTGTTTGTGACATCCGGCGAGATGCGGTTTGCTCTACTCTTGTAGGCAAAGATACTATGTTTCTTTAAAAGCGTCACTAGCTCAATATAAGTTCTATTTTCAATATGGTATCTTTTGAATAACCATTATAGGGACTACTCATTGTAACCTGTTTCGCAATATTTTTGCAGTGTAGGATGAGTACTCAAGAAAAGGAGTTTTAATATATCTGCCGACTCCCCAGAACTGCCATTGGTATTACTCTTCAGCTTAGCTATCTATCAGCTGACATAAACTTAGTGACCCAACCCAATGTTGCAGTAATCAAAACCAACGGTAGGGTTCCAAGAGACGAAGCTGCAGAGGCTGATGCTGCGATGCCGAATGATGGTGTCGCAGATGTCACTGCCAACGAGATACCACTTGGTACAGCCGCACACAATAGATGGCTTGTGGGCGACGGGGTCAAGGTATTGCAAGCAGTGTTGACGCTACGGCGCGGTGGTTTTGGGTGAGGGGGTTGTGCCCGGCGGTTCCGCACGGGGAAGACGCTGGTGAGCAGTAACTTGTTACTCAAACAGATGCTCTTCGTTGAGGATCAGGTGGTCCTGGACCGACCCTTACACCAGAGACTTTGGATCAAATGCGTCGATGCCTGCTCATCGCTGTTGCCACGCCGCAACACTCGCGTCATCAGTGCTACTTCGGCTAGATGAATATGAGATCAAACCATGTTACTGAGTTGTGGGTGTACTCAAGAGATGGCGACCTAGAAAGTTTCGCGCTCCCCGCCGTCGGTGGAATCCGTCTGGGTATATGAGACGAAGATGACTGTTTTGAAGCCCGTGGTAGTACAGACTGTACAGTAGCTTGCGTTTGCTTCTTTTTCTTTTCGTACAGTGATTGCAGCAAGTGCATGTGCGGGAATACTCAGTGATTTCCTTGTGAAAAAGTGTAGCTTGTTGTGGCCTTTGCTTTTCCATCCTCCTTGGCTACCTGTTGTCAAGAGTTTCGAGATCTTTATTCTCAAGTACATTCTTTCTTATTTCTATTTATTCCACTCCTAACATTTCCGCCATGTTTTACTGCCTTCAAGCCTATGATATCGACACCAGTCCACACATGCTCATAAGTGTATTGAGATATTCTTCCCTGAGAATTCCTGCAGCTTTGTAGATTGAGTAATTCTCTAATATACACATGTCTCTGGACTATGATATAGAAAGTAGCTTGTTGTGCTAAGTAAAAGGGATGCTCTTGCAAGTTACTCTTTATGAGAACTAGTCCCCTCATGTTGAAGTATAGTATAAGCTTGAGAAAGTTTTCTAGTAAACCTATTAACTCCTGTGTTAAATAGATGTATGTTTAATATTGTTCAAAGTGCTTATTTTGCAAACGAGCTGATCTTCGGTGACTGTCAAACTATTTTCGTATTACTAGCTACACTAGTTGATGTACATTCATTTCGCTATCATTTACCTCCGATACGAACGGGAAATCTCAAGTATTCCGAGGACCTTGGTGGTTTCGCTAGTGCTCATCTGTTTTCCACTCGTATTTCTCCGGCTACTCCTTTGCCACCGGATTAATCATCTCGTTGCGTTTCTAGTATCCCCTGTACCGTATTGTTCCCTAGGGGTGATTTATTTCTTTGGGCACGTCTTTCATTTACGACGCTACCTGGATTCTTGGATCATTTGTGGGATCCGGATCCAGATAGCTGGACAGAAACCAGCTGAGCTCGCCACTCATGTCGAACTGCGAAGGAGCAACATAGTAATCCTGCGCAAGCTGATTCTCGGCGAAGCCGGACCATCTCATCGGGCCATCAAGACAAGAGTCTATCTGGCCCAACGCGATCGGATGGACCGAGGATGATTGGTAAATGTCGCTGGGGGCGTGCATCTGGTAGTGTGAAGATTCCCGTTCTGCGGCGTCATCCGTCATCGCGACGTCGTCCCCTTGGCTCGGGGCCAGAGCCCGGGCTGATAATTGAGGAGAGTCGGAATGCTGGATGGCGACCTCGTCCACCGTCTTGGCGTTTGCGTCGAAGCTTTGCGAGAGCGGGTGGTATCTGCTTAGGAGGGTGTTGCGTTGGACTTCGCTGCTGATGGGTGCCGCTGGCTCCGGGCTTTCGCCTGTGACGTGCCTGTTCTTCTTCTCGTCCTCAATCATGCTCTTTACGTCTTGCTGCAGCACCGCTATTATGGGCGCGATGTTGGACATGTCATCCAGCAAGGCGGCGTTGCTTTGGCACAGGTCATCCACCATGTCATCGTTGAGTTCGACGGGTTTCTTGGTGATGGGGTCGATGAGGTTGTCGTATAGGCGGTATCGACGGGCAGTCAGAATCGTCTTTGTACATTGATGTACCATGTTACCGTACCCAAGGCCGATGGGTAGACGAGTCTGCTTGGAATGCAGCGCGCCTTTAGACCGGAGTGCTTGGAGGTGCTCCCATAATCTCCCCATCCGCAGCGCATGAGAAATGGCCAGGGCCCGCCAGGAGGACACAAAATCCGGGGGCGCTTTGGCGATGAAGGCTGCTGCTGCACTCTCCCTTGCACGACCAGGGAGGCAGGTACGGTACAGGTCACAGCAAGTTTGCAGATACCACGAGTTCAGAGTGATGTAGGCTGAAAACTCGGGTGTAGTCGAGTGAGAAAACATGTTGAGCTCGCTAGGTTGAATATGTGACGGCATGTGATGAAGGAAGTTTGCCAGTCTCTCTTTTAAGTGATTCAATGTGGCGACCGCCTTGGCTACTACGGCAGGAGATGAATCGGATTGGCTTTCTAAGACGATAGCTTTGGTTGACCTGCGCGATGTTAGAGCAAGCTTGTTTTGGTATCAGGTATAACTTTACAAGGAAAGATGCATACCTAAGTATATCACAGCGAAGACTAAATAGTATCATCAAATAAGCTCTCGCCCCAGCATCATGTACCGCAAGTGCCTCGACACCATCACTTAGCTTACTCGTCTGCTTCAATAGGCCGTGGCGGAATGTGTGTTCGGGGTTGGGCAACGGCGTCCGCATCCACCGGTTCGGCAGGCAGGTAAACTCGTCGAAGCCTGCGGAAAGCCCCTTGTCCATCCACCAGACATGCCACACGAGCCGTCTTTCACACTCACGCCGAATGACGGTTGAAGTATCGGCGTCAGGCGGTAACGGCCTTTCATCGTTGAGCTGAAAAGACACACACAACCTGGCCGCAGTGCTGATGAGCAGCCATACCTTGCCGAATTGCCGGTATGCAAAGTTCTGAAACTTGGACAGTGCCATTAACTGGATATTTAGAATCTTGAAGACGTTGAGGTTGGCAAAGATGTAGCCGTCGACTTCCTTGGCCCACTGGATAGAAAGCACACGCGACTCACGGGAGCGCGACACAAATATTGCTGCTGCCGCGCAGATGGACGTGCATAGGATGGGGGGAAGTTTCCCGGCGTAGAACTCTTCCATCATCGACGGACGGTGGAAGAAGTCGTAGCCGAGGGGGTAGACGTGATCGAAAAAGACTTCGAGGTGTTGGCGAATGACGTCTGTGCTCAGCAGTGTCTGGTCAAGAGATGTATTGAGCGATGGAGGCTTGACATAGTTGTGCAGAGTCGACTCGGCTTCGTAAGACGCGCTTTGGCTGAGAGTGCAAGTGCTGGATGACTCTGGGGAGGCTGACTGCTGCGGCTGCCAACCTGTCTGTCTCCCTTTCCGTCTTGATGGTGATGAAGGGTACACGCAGGTGAGGTTGCGCCTGTTACAGTGAAAACATTGCGGACGGTGACCAGAGCACTTTGCCTTCTGGACTCGGCACTCTGTGCACGCAGCTGCGATGCGTCGCCGCTTGGTCCCGGCCTCGGTGAGCGTTTCTGTGGGCGTTAAAAGGTTGTGTGGATCGCCGGGCTCCGACGTGACTGTGGACTCTGGGTAGTTGAACGTGCAACCCAGCCGCAGACGGCGACAGTTCTCACATGGCTCTGGGCCTCCGGTGCATTTCACCTAAAAGCATGTCAGGCTCGATTGGCCGCGGTCTCGGATGTCGGAAGCGGAGAACGGGGGGCTTGTCTCACCTTTCGGCGTTTACAAGTCAGGCAGCGCGGCCTCGGTGGCCACGCTGCGTCAGTGACCGGATCCGGACTCGGCATCATGTGTGTATTGGGCTCCGTTTGTGTGGGTTGAAGAGAGGATCAGGCGGTCGTTCTCTGAACGTTACCACGGGCACCGCGACTCATCACAGGAGACGGCCGCGCAGAACGCGGAGCCCGGAACAGACCGAGGGTAATATGGTCCGGCATCTCCAGTTCTCCACCGGAACGAACTGACGTGCTCGGGATGCGGGGTCGTCCTAAGCCCAGTTTGAGAAAAGCTCGCCCACAAGGCTTGCCCTCAGGCAAATGGAAAGTCTCGACGAAGCCCAATGAGGGAGAGCACACCATCGCCGAGAGGTATGGCGGAATGAAACTCTAGTTCAATTGGATAAACAACGCCATCGAAAAGCAGGAGACAAGCTGGGGAAAACACAGAGATAGGATGCGGACTTGTTCGTGCTTCATCCCTGCAAAGGCGAATCCTGGAAATGGTTTATCCTCTTAGTCAGCCATTGGTCGCGGGGCCCTGCTGGGATCCTGAGGGTATTGAGATCACATACCACCAGATCATCCAAGACCAATATCAAATCAACGCCTTCGTCGAGCCATTGAGGCAATATCGCCTGCACCAGGCTCACTCTCATCTACAAATCCGTGCCTCTGGTACAATGGTGCGCCATCTTTGCTTGCATCCACATACGCCGCAACGCCATTTTCATCCGCAAGATCACTGCCCCATTTTACCAGCATTGAGCCAGCCCCTCGCCTCTGGTAGTCGGGGTGAGTCGCGACTGTGTCTAAATCTGGTAGAAGAAACACGATAAGCAAGAAAAATCATGATATCAACGAAAGTCAAACCGTACAATAATGCTTCTCTGTCCCCATAACACGTCGCCTTTCCTTCTCCTCTCTCTGAAAGAAGAGGTCGCACACCGAAGCTGGCATATCCTTGTTCCAGGGCGGGTACCGCTGTCCGCGGTCCTCGGGCATTGAGAGATCCCACTTCGCAAAGGCAGCGATACGTGGGCGGCCGTGGGCGTCTAATGTCTGAGGATCAACGACTTTGACATACCGCTGAAAGGGCTTATTGAGTAGGTCATTACGGTTGGCCTCGTCCCACCAACCGCGTACACCTGGAGTATCAGGCCATAGGCGCCGCAATTCAGGATCAGTAAACGCTGCAAACCAAACCTCGGTGAGAGCAGGAACGTCGTCGAGAGTTACGGTTTCCAGTCTGAGACCGCTTGTAGGCGCCATTTTTCTGAACGTCAGACGTGGCCGGCCGAGATGGGTATGCGTTGAGGCCACTAAGTAAGCATCCTCAATGGATGAAGGACAAGACAGCTTAGGTCGGATAGTAAGGTAAGGTAAGATAAGATAGGAATTAACGGGAGCTTATGTAATTACTCCTTTGGGGGCCAAGGAAGCCTAACCAAGGGCCTTAGTCATCCATATTTTCTCAGTGACAAGGGTATATAATTGGTGATGTCAGTACACTCTCTACCCTGTAGGACATTGCTCGATATAGTACAAACTGCAGATGAAATAAACATCTGATTTTTGATTCCCACTAGTAGATCCTATCCCGTCTTGCAGTAACCTGCTGCCTGCTTCATACTAAGGATAGTATACACCGCGTAAAAAAAAAAGCCGAGACCAGGCGGGCCCGTCCCGAAGGAGTCGATCAAACTTCCATAATTTTGTTGCCTAATCTCTGAATAACCGCGGATGGATCCGCAGGAGCGTTGGGGCAGATCTACAGATATCCGTATGTTGTTAGCTATCTTGTGAGGAGGTTTCATCATTATTGGCACCCATTAGCTATCGTCTTATCGCTGTGGGTTCGAGAGCAGAAAAATGACCGTTTTGTACCCGAAGGATTTCAAGGTAACCAGCCTGGGTGGGATACCGACCCCATGAGAAGACGACAAGTACTAGAGATTCTGAAAGCCATTTTCGGACGCGTACATTAACTAACACGGAAATGAATTTTGCTTAGAAACTGATTTTCCTAACATTGGCTCCGTGGAGAAATATATTTGACATGATTTGTGAGTACCTTCCCCATTAAAGTTATTGGCTCCGATTGGTAATCATAAGATATTTACGCAATAAATGTATACTTTTTGATTTAGTTCATGGCCAAGAATTGAATTAGTAGAGTAAATTTCACACTAGATCTGCAAGAGACGGCTTAGAACATTCCGAAGATGGTAGGATTGGGGAGTGCAGGTTTCCGTCTTGGCTGATCAGCTGACGAGAGACTCTCGAACTGGTACACAAGCTTATGGCATATCCGGATCGTTCGCCTTGCATCCACAATACAGGAATCATCACCCATATAGCGGAATGTTTGTCACGTCACAAGTCTTGGTGTGACGATTTACGTCATCCGCAGCATCGGCAAGGCGCCGGCCGTGGCCTTGTTGTCGAGCGGATCTTGCCCGTTCCTACATTCGATTTCTCCTAGTTCCACTCTACTAGAGATGCAGCTAATGTGGAAGTACAACCAAGCGCTAGCAACCTCGTCCTATGGACCCCAAAATGGTACTTGGGAAAGGATTCAAACCTCTATAACGGATAGCAAGGCGAGAAATCCACGTAAGAAAAATTGCACTCAGTATTTTCTGTTCTGACTACGGTAGGCACGAATATTATCCTTCATTGCTGGGTGCCAGAAATTAAACCACGAATAATGCTTCTACATGGCGAGCGGTGAAGATGTGTTTGTAATATTCGGTTGGCGTCAATGTTAATAGCTCTCTTACGCATTGGCAGTGATGTCATTGACTACCTTACTTATTCGATATGGGCCTCAGCTGAGCACTGTGATTGTTAAGCAAGCTCCAGCGACCACTTATACTGAAAGGTCAAATGTTCAACAAGCTAGGTAACCCTCACGTAAGATTACAGTTACAAAACCAGTAGTATTTTGCGCCCGCAAGCTCGAAGCTCCCCCCAATATGCATCCCGGGCTGTCATATTGGTGTTCTACTTGTGGCACACCATGCAACCCCAGTGTTACGGGATTCCGTGCAAGCCAGATGTGGGATGACCTTGACGTCCCGTGTTCAAGCATGGGGAATCAGAGATTATTCGTCTGTAGTGAGGCGGGGGTGAACGAATAAAAACCCGTAGTTCGTAAACGACCGCCAATCAATGCAAAATTACCACCGTGTGTCTTGGCATATGCATGCATTCCTTTGCCCGCTCCCAAGTCCTCCAGGGCGGTACCGAGAACGACCCTGTAGGGCGGGCGTCTGACGCCTTTTAGGATGCGGAAACAGCCCTATGATCCACAAATTTGGCTGCAAGCACGGCTTGGGGCGCTTTGATGACTGTACGGACCATGACAGTCTTGGATCCCGGGGGGAGGGGGGGCTTGTCAGATAGATGCCATTGGCTAAATCATTGTAGAAGGATGAAGCTTCAGGTAACCACCTGATGACTTGGACTCAAAGAGGACAGCGATTATTGTCGTGGAGGGTAAGGTATGACCGGGGGTGACGGATGCAATAGTGCCGTCGACCCCGTCAATCATGCCATCTCGTACAGCGGACCTGCGGGTTTTTTGGCTTCGTTGTCAAATTCACGCCGGTCCACCAGGTTTTTCGAGACCATTATTCAACGCTCATGCATTTGCCCGCTAATAATTGATTGGCTGGGCTCTAACGGGGGCCATCATTGATTCTGTCCTGGAGTTTACATCAGACCCCAGGCTCATAGACACTAATCGATGTGGACACCTACCTAGCAAAAAATGCTGCACTGCATACTGCCTAGTAGGAACAAGTGTCACGTTCTGCAGCCAGGCAGGCAGTAGTTATCGGTTAAATACGATGTCCATCCGGTGAGAGGTTAGACTGTCGGATAAGGGGGCTCCATCCAGGGATGGGTCCCGGGAGCCGATGATTCCAAAGCGCGAAGTAATTTTGATTGGTCTTCTATACGCGCTGCACTGACCATTACAGTTGTACCAGGGTTGAAAGCCTGCAAAAACAACCACTGAAAGTGTTATGACAGGCATCAAGAATGGCCTGGCATTGTTTTCTGCTGGTCTCGCTTGCTTCGGTTTGTCCCCATACCAAACCACATGATGTAGATTAGGTATACGTGTGGATTAGGGATACCAAGACCAGCACCCACAAAATACGGGACATTGGAAGCCGGTTTCCGTAGACTTGGTTGGGTGTTTTGGCTTATAGCTAGGCATAGCAAAAAAGAATATGCTAGAGCTTTTCCTTCACGCCTTGCCTGCATAACTGCAAACTGCGACGAGCAGGCCCAAGACTAGTAGTCCAATCATTTCAATACTAAATGTCTCTAAGAGCTTTAGTCATATGCGAGTTTAATTTAGACACGCTTACTGATCCAGGACACTGCAGCTCTCGTCTAACTCTGCACCACTGTGACAATGGTTTCCCCCATACTTGCAGGTAGTATTCAAGCTGCCTAGCCCCTATTTTGTCAACTATGACTTCCGAAACGGGCCTGGCTTGCGGGAAGATGTTGTAGGCAGCGCCTTTTCTGCAATCCCGCCGGTGTTAAGGAGCTGCTCCGTCGCAACCGAGTGGCTAGGACGTAGGAGGAGATCATGATTGTGTGTGGGCCGTTGGACTACATTAGTTCCATGCCAACACTGAGTCCGATCCGTATTGGGGAACGAGACCTGGATATCAGAGCCGCCACCTCGGGTGAGAACCGATGCATCTTCCCACAAGCATCCTGCTAGGTAGCATCATGTCGCCCTGCAGGTGTTGGAGCAATCCCTTTCGACGGTTATGACGACCAGGATGAGAGGGGGGTGGAGGCAGCAAGCAGAGTAGGGAGGAAAGGGGGGGAGCATATAGCCCTGCAGGGTTGAAGATGGGTATAGTCTGTCGGATTGACGGGGGTGCGACAAGATATTGTCCACCATCGCGGGTGTTCCTCATAGAATGTTGGTTGCATGTGGCTCAAGCTCCTCCTCGTGTAACACCAAAGAGGATCTCTTCACCCACTGACTGTCTCTCATTTCACGGCAAGACGCTAACTTTAATTGAACCCTCCAAGATCGGTTACCAGCTCAAAAGGTGATCTTTGACCTGTACTAGTGCCCCCAATGAGACGTCTGTTACCTCGGGAAGTGCAGCTAACCCCGCCGCCGCCAGCGGTGACGATTGGCTCCATCGGACTTATCCCTGCAAGTCCCACTGCGGTGGTGGAATCAGTTTGCTTCTTTCCTGAACATGCAATTCAGAGAGAAAAAAAAAGGGTGGTCTAGATATGCCCTCCACAACAACAACGACAACAACAGGGCTGTGTAGAGATGCTTTTCAGGCAGATAGTTAACTGTTGATATCATTGGTTGGATCGGGACGACCCGAATAGATACTGCGACAGGTGGGTCGACCCGTTTGATGATATCGCCAACTCCTGACTTCACTTTTTATATCAAGACATGGCGGCAATGTGTAAAATAATAATGGTACATAGTCAACTCACCTTCTAGGTCCAGAGATCTGCTAGACAACCGCGATATAATCAACAATCTTCTAATCACTCTTCCCAACGGATCAACTCTTTCAAATTCTCGTGTTTCACAACCTTTTTGAACCAATGGCGCGGAAAGGTAGTCGTAAGGTCCGAACTGGATGTCTGACTTGCAAGTGAGCGATACGGAAATCTTTGTGTCAAGGCGAACAAGAAATACTGACTTGAGACGGTAGAATCCGCAAAATCAAGTGTGACGAGGGCAAACCTTTCTGCAATCGGTGTACTAGCACTGGCCGCAAATGCGATGGATATTCCGTAGAGCCCGCTTCTGTGCTTCGATGGCAGCGTCCTCAAACGCTTCAGATCGACTCGACATCCAACGACGAAGAGTCTCGGGCTTTGCGGTATTACTGCGATCACGTTGCCCCGTTTATAGCCGGCCCTACTGATCCATACTTTTGGACCCATCTCGTCGTTCAGTTCACCAATTTTGAACCAGCGGTGAAGCATTCAGTCATCGCCATCGGCTTATTGTATGGAAACATACAAACCGGCGTGAATCCACACATGGATAGTTTAGCTCTGAGGCATTACAATGCTGCCATCTATGAGTTGAAGCCAGTAGAAAACAAGGGGCTAGTCTTGTTAGTTTGTGTGCTGTTCGTCTGCATCGAGCTTCTGCAGTCCAACAGCGAAGCGGCTATTGGCCACCTCAACCACGGCGTTGCCATACTGGAGAGCTCCGACACGGAGTCGGGTATTCGGGAGCACTTGTTACCGATATTCCGACGCCTGTGCTTGCTCCCTATTTCTTCCAGGGCCAGCAACAGCGAGGTCTTTGATCCCGAAATTTGCAGATGCCCGATCCCGACCTCTTTCGTCACATTCGCGCAAGCACAATCTACCATCGACTACCTCTTCAACCAGACGATGCAACTTGTCCGGTTTGGCGATGAATACCGGTTCGGGTCCTTGAGGCATCAGATTCCCCACGCCGGCCTACTCGACCGGCAAAACAGCATCCGCACATCATTACACCAATGGTCCGCTTTATGGGAGGACTTGGATTCGAGGTCAAAATCAGCGACCGCCCGAATCAGAGGGGGCCCGAGGATACACGCTTTGTTGAAATACGAAGTCTCATCCATCTGGGCCGACATGGCCTTCGCCACAGATGAATCCGGTTACGACCAATACCTCGAAAGGTTCCGCCAAATCGTCGACCAAACGTCCAAATACGCAGAGTCCCAAGCTGGCAGTCAGCCGCCTCACTTCCTCTTCGAAGCAGGTTTCACCCCGTTCCTATTCTTCATTGTGTCCAAGTGCCGTGCTCTGGACATACGACTCGAGGCTCTGAGATTGTTGGCAACGCTTGGATCACCCTGCGAAGCGACGTGGAACAAGGGCGAGCTTTACTGTATCGCTCGTCGGCTGATCGAGCTAGAGCACAACATAAGCCTCGACTCGTTCGGTCAGCTCCAGTACACAGAGCCGGATTCGTGCCTCAGACTGCCGCTGGATGTGATGAGAGTGCGGCACTTCGCACCCGTGAGCGGTGCCCAGTGGCAGTTTTCATTGCATGGTGACTCTGGCGGTAGCTCCAAAGTGAGTTTCTACATGTGCACACCCGCGAACACGCTATATCTGCATGAAGAGGTTCTCGGGTGTGAGTATTATTCTGATCTGTCGACTCTGGACGGGGCCTACGAATCGTATGCCAGCAGTCCGGGGAGCCTTGAGGGATGAGATATAAAAGTAAAACGTCCTTTATCGTTATAGAAGCATTTTTGAAGGGCGTTGGTACTAGGATTTCTTTTTATTGGTTGATGGCAAGCGAGTAGAAAGTTTACTTTATTTTACGGTTTTCGGTCGGTGTATTAGAGGTTAAGTACATCATAAAATGTCATGCGATACCCGAAGGGCCTGGCTAGATAGACGCAAAAAGCAGTATCCCTTCAAATGGTCCATTCTTTGAGGTTAGAGATTTCATTAGTGAATACACTTCTTTTTCCTGGTGTCTTATGTAGGTACATGTTCAAAATCAGTGGAGTCCCCCTGACTTCTTTTAATTAACGTAAACTACCGAGACTCAAAGCTGTGCTAGGGTGTCACTTCCCGGTCTCAGCTAAAGTGATCTGTTAACCAATGAACAATTGTAGCGATAGATATAGGTCTGCCATCTCTCTATCAGATTAAAATTTGCCGTGGGCAGGGGCTACAAGAGCAGTAACTCCATCATAGTATCCCCATACCAAACACTTGAAATTTGAAAGAAAATACAATAATACACATCTGAATAATGGTGTGAGATTAATAATTTTCTTGTTGTCTAAAAGATGAACGAATCGACGTCCTTTGATCCGGTCTTTACGTATCAAAGCCAGCGCATGGGGGACGTCACCCTATGGCCAGACCTCATATCTGACTTGCATTTACCGGAGTAATATGACGGGCAGCCCTCGGCGCATCCGGTGCCTAAAAAGTGGGCTACAAAAGAATCTTGCCATTTCGGGGCATTTCGGTCGGGAGGCCGACCGGCTTGCTGGGTTTCTCATTACAATTTTGGTACCCCGGTAGTGGAGTTCGTGCCCGAAACAAGCCAAGAACAGGTTGAGTTGGGTCTAGGGAGCTTCCGAACATGAGTATTGAGCTCAAGCGGGAAACGATGTCACTATTCTAGGGACTCTAGGGAATCCTTTCGACAGACTGACGGATCTTGCCAGTTTTATACATCCAAGCTTCGCATTGGCCATTGGCTCTTAACAACTTAACATTGGCCTTTCCTCATAATACGATGATCACCCTGGACACACAATCACAAATACTGATTGGCCTGTTGTCTTGTAATTCGATGGATTCTTTAAATGGGCATTTACTTGGCAGACATATTAGAGCCACTGGGCACTTTATATGGCCCCATTGTCACCCAGCTGCGGTGTCCGACGCTTGTGATGGAAGAAACTATACAACAAAAGCAGATTAGCAAGAAACAGTCATAGTCTTCCCTCTACAATGTCGAATATTCGCAATCTTGTTGTCTTGGCCCCTTCGATCGTGTGCCATGACGAACCCCATCATAGGCGAGAACAAATGTCACGATGACGTTCACGTTAGCTACTCTGCTGTGCTGAGGAATCACGATATAATGTTACCTACCATAAAACAGAAGAGTCAAGCATTCCCTGGCCAGCAGGAATTGCTTATATGGAGTTTTGTTTCGGCGGTAGTTACATCAGATGATCCACTCTGCTTTCTCGTCCCTGTTCTTCGCCGCGATTTGCTTCTGCTGACTCGTAGAAGGCCGTGTGTCCCGAGATACAGGGGCTGACAGGCGAAGACGTTGAGGGGAAAAGACTAACAAAGCTTCCCCCTGTAAACAGCATTTTGATTGACTGTTAAGTTGCAACCCCACATTCCCCTTTTCGACGCACCACAAACTGATTGCCATCTAGAACCAACTTGCTCCAGCCTCCGCGCTAGTACCTTGGGGTAATTTAATCCGCCAAAGAGAATCGCTTCTCAGAGCCGCTTGGTTCCAGAGTTATGAACCCGTAAGCCCGCGGTTTTGCGGTCCTTTGGGCACTGCCCAGCTCACCCACTATCTCTTAAGTTAAAGTTTTCAAGCTTCGAATTGCAGGTTCCATCAGCTTTGGTCCCCGAAGTGCCACCCACTTTGCTATTCACAGTGTCCACCAATCACATCCGGGCCTGGCCAGTCGTTGAGCAACTCAAACAGAAAACGATGTTGCCGTCATTACCGTCGTTACCGTTCTCAGTCGTCCGTTTGCTCGGAAGAAAGTACATAAGGGAGAGACGAGCCAATACTGACGCCAGACGCCCATCCATCCTTTTCGGTCCAGAATTCGGTTGATTTATTAACTTCCAGTCACTCTTTTGATCATTTTTCGTAACGATGAAGTCCCTTTTTACCACCTTTACATTCGTCACTGCGGCGCTGGCCGCTAGCCGCACTAGCGCTCCCTCCCGTGACTGTCTGGTCGTCAAGAAGGTCCCCGGAAGCGGCCAGTTTGGCACCATTCAGCAGGCCGTTGACGCTCTCTCGGTCAACGCCACAGGCAGCCAGTGCATTTTCATCGATCAGGGCGTCTACCCTGAGCAGGTCCTTGTCCCTAAGCGGGAGGCTCAGCTCAGCATCTATGGTTACACAAAGGACACGAAAAGTTACGCTTCAAACGGCGTCACCATTACGGCAGGGAAGAGTCAGAAGGACGGCCTGAACAACGACCAAACCGGCACACTCCGCATCAAGGCGAAGGACTTCAAGCTCTACAACGTTAATGTCGCAAACACTTTCGGCCAGGGTAGCCAGGCTGTCGCCCTGAGCGCCTATTCCGACAGCGGATTCTACGGCTGCCAGTTCACTGGATTCCAGGACACTCTCCTCAGCCAGAAGGGCAACCAGCTGTACTCGAAGTCTCTCATTGAGGGCGCCACCGACTTCATCTTTGGCCAGTATGCCAACGCTTGGTTCGAGCAGTGCGACATTCGTGTTGTTACTGCCAAGATTGGCTACATCACCGGTAATTCCTCTAGCCCTTCTCTTACAGCCGCCCTCTTTTGACACTGGACTAACCAACGATTGATTTAGCTCACGGCCGCCCCAACGCGACTGTTCAGTCCGAATATGTCCTGAACGACTGCAACATCGCTGCTGCTTCCAACAGCTCCGTTCCCGACGGCACCTACTACCTTGGTCGCCCCTGGGGGAAATTCGCCCAAGTCGTCTTCCAGAAGTCCAACATGAGCAGTGTCATTAACTCTGCTGGCTGGACGATCTGGAACAAGGGCGACAACCGCACTGACAACGTCCTCTTTGGAGAATACAAGAACATCGGCATGGGCTCCCTGGGATCTCGCGCCGGTTTCTCCAAGCAGCTTGACTCCGCTGTCGCCGTCAAGGATGTTCTGGGCAACAACTACAAGAAGGCCGGCTACTACGATGGCTCCTACATGTAAATGAGCTTGACCCAAATTGGTCTCCCGAGCTAGCAATGGGAGCGATACTGAGGGTCTGAGCATGCAAGAAATCTATCTTCTACAAAAAATTCTTCTCAATATACATCTCATCATTTTTAATTTGTGATACATTTTATCTCAAAGCTTCATTGACTTTTATCGCTTTATTAAGTCGTGATTGCCACTCGGACTAATCCAAAAGTGATTTTGCAGCAATTCCATACTGTTGGGATCAGAGCTAGCAGAGCGGGCGTGGGTGGAATTACAGGATAGAAATCGGTGAATTTGAAGAAAGCTTGTGCAGTTAGCTTATGTCTAGCCATGCAATATCCATGCTTAAATTGGTATTCTTGCGTGGGTTGCCCATGTCAGTCATGGCCCGGGATGAAACAATGGAAAATGAAGTACAGTTTCAAGCACATGGTAGATAGTGGCTCCTTCAAGTCAAAGCTTAGGTTACTTAATGTTCAACTGAACTGCAGCTTTGGTGGACCAGTTGGGAAAGATTCGGGTCCACTGGGCATATGGCGATCTGTTATTGCCAGTTCACCTGAAGTAAGGCTTGGCACAAACATTTGTAGTGACCATGTTTTGTTTGGAGTGGGTAGTGTACGGTCATGAGTATCATATCAACCCAAGACTAAGAACTTTGCTAAGCATGTCAGTTTATGACCCTCGGAATAACATACAACCTAGAGTAGAGCACTCAATTTCATGAGGCAGTTATATCAGTAGCTCCTCAGGGGGAAGCCTGTGGACTAAGAGCAATGCTTTCCACAGCGAGTCAAACATCAGACGGATCATGCCCAGACACTTGACGGCAGGTGAAAACCGATCAAATTAATTTTTAGCTGGCGTTATAGTTTTTTTTATCAATCTAAACTCAGGAGTAACTCGTTGAAAGTAAATCAGATAGCCTCGATTTGCACCCTTCTTAGCTTCCCATCCAGCCAACCAAATGAAACTCAATGACACGAGTAATCCATTCCTCTGTTATCCATGTTTTCAAACTGCACAAAAGATTCAAAAACTGTCTCGGCGACATAGATACCTCAATGCGAATTACGGTGGTGAGAGCAGCTGGCAACGTAACGGCCCATGCTGTACCGTCATGCATCCCTCTCATGAGGAGTAAAAGTGGAGGAACCACTGGAACTATGGACCTGTTGCCTAGCAGCACTTGATGGGAAATACAACTGTAGGTCGTCAGACCCCTACCTTCGCAGACACGGTCGCTGCCATGTTTATGTTTTAGATCGTTACTGGTATTTCCCCAACAAAGAGGTAGTAGTCATGCTTTAGAATCATATTGTTTGGTTTGCTAAGAAGGTCATACACCCTCACCACGAGCTTGAACCTGCGGTCATTCAACAATAAGGGATACCCTTTTTCTATCGACTAAAAGTATTCTATTGACGTTTATGTTTCCTGGATAAGGACACGTAAGACTTGTTCGGGGAGCAATTATGCTCACCCTCATCTTGCTCCAAGCTTACCTAAGCCCATTATTGTCTGGGTCCTTGTGAGATCAAGTACCCTGACCATCGTTTGTGGGTGTCTTTTAAGGCGCGCGTTACCTGTCCCATACTGCTCCGAAGGTTTAGTCCTTCTGTATGATGAATTGCAACAATATGGCATGTTCTTGTATCCATACATGTGTTACAGTTTCAACCGTGCCCGCAAGTAACACTTCTCTGTTCTTTACCAGGAGGAAGATGTCAAAACCCACCGTAACTTTATTTGCCCAGTCAGAAACATATCCAAGATTGGGCCAACAGTGAACCATTGCAGCAAAGACTGCATGTACCACCAATTCGACCCATCTTTCAAGGCAGTTAGCCCCGAACTGTGAATGTGAATGGTAATACTGCCAATAACATTCTTGTTACGAGGATCCAAGGTGAGCTTATGGAAATCCGAAGTATGCTCACGTTAGCTTATTAGTATCTCAGAATGATCAAAACCAACGGCACCATTTTTCTCGAGCAAGCTGGTAATGTGCTTTTCCGGGTTCGCCTTCTGTCCCATGCAAACTGCTCTAGTAACGAAACTGTCGCAATAGCCGGAACTCCGGGTTGAAGTGGCTTCGTCACCGGCAGACCTGCTGGCAGCCAGGATGCCCACGTCAGGGGCAGTCCGACAGACGGCTATAAGTTCCGCGGTCACCTTCTCCAGCACTTCTGCTAGAACTTCTTCATATAAATAAGACACAAGACCAGACACCAGTTTTCCCCTTGGAAGATCATCCCACTTTACGGGTACCCTTGAGATCCCAACAGAAACCAAAGAATAGAAGGCACCTGTCGATAGAAAGCGCAGTATTTTAAGACAAGTGATCCGTTGCAATGGTGGTCAGTTGCGTCTGTCGCATTCCTCAAACTGTCCGATCTGCGACTGTAACTCGAAAAGCACCCACGGGGCTACGGAACTCAACTTTGGCGAATGGCTGCAATAGTTAAGAACCCCTGATCGATTCATTTGCCAAAACAACTTGGTAGGTGATGCTTCCCATTACGTCTGAGTAAAAATTGACAGAATATGTGGACTGAAGAGATGGGGCTGTGTTACGTTGGTGAAGATCATGACGATAAACCGTAATCTTAATTTCGGACTTTTCCCCTGCTTTTCATCAACACATTCCATATTGCAGTTTTCAGACGGGTGGCTCCGCTGCGTAGACGTGGGGCGTCGCCAAGTCTTCAATAAATTCATGCGTTCGGTCGGCGCTTATGATGAGCCCGCCCGATCTGCAAATACTTACTGCACTAGTACATTACATGCGCTCTCGTAGGGCTATTGGCAGGCATGACAGCTCCGGCGAAGCTTCAAGGTTTCGGGACCGAATTGCAACCATTTATCCGGCTGCTGACAAAGGACTTTACTGTCATCGCATAGCGGTGAAAACGCTGACAAAACCTGCTGAAGCAATCCGTTGTGTCGTTTTGCGCTGAATGTTGCCTGTACTTGCACCATCAGTTATCCCTTCCAGTGTGGTAGTTTTGATGCTTGTAATTTTTTTTTTCTTCTTCTTCTTCTTTGTTTTGTGTCAAGCCGATGGCTTACTAGTTGCTGAAGAAGTGCTTTGTGCTCATTCAAGACTAGATGAAAGCGTCTAAGGGAAGGGGCATGGGATTTAAAATTTAACAAGAATTCAGATGACAGGTTCCAAGCCACGACAGACTAAAGCGAGTCCGAGTGCAACAAAGGGAGCATTTCCGGTAAGGTAGGAAAGATAGCCAATTAGCTTATTAATTGGAGCAATGAAGCGGTATCAAAAAGGCTGGATGACTGCGAAAAAAGGGGAGTAAGACGGGGAGGACGGTAAATATTTAGTCAAAAACCCCGGCCATTCGGCCAACACAAGTCCCGACCGCCGTGTGGCGTCGGTGCCCCCCACCAATGAACCAGGACCATGGGGCAGCCTTAGCGGACTTACCGGCGTATCGGCAGACTTTTCGACCACATCTGCCCATATCTCCAGGCGGGTTTTCCCTGACAAGGTTGCAAAAGGGGGCTACGAGGGCTTCAGTGCTCGCGCTTCGCGCTTACCTCCGATTCTTTTTGGCCGAAGGGCTTCTGTTACCATCCATGTGGACGGAAGCCTAACACATAATTAGCTGATGACGCATTAAGGGCCTCGAAGCTGTCTCCGAGTCCGTTAGACCGGGTTCATACCCGCAAACGCACTTGTCAGTCTAGCCGGGCTCCGCGTTTTCGTTGTCTAATTGATCGGGTTGGTAGTTCAACTAAGTGAAGTTTTGCGGGGCCGTCCCTTTTGCAAGTTTCTTTATTATAAACTCGAATCACACCACCACTCGTTCCAGATTTGACTTATCTGATCATCATCACTTTATCCATCAAGCATCGTAAGAACTTCTTACTTGGTTGCAACTTGAAGCAGCCCAATACTCTGATTACCTCTTCAAAATTATTTGTCTGGTGACTGGATAGAGCACAGCACAGATATCGTCATGGCATCACAACCAGTTACGGCGAGGACGTCTCTGTCCCAATGGCCTGCCGCCAAGAGAAAAGCAACCCTCATTCCCATGCTCATGTCCTCCGTCATGATTCTCGTCTTAGTTCTCGCAAACATGTCATACCTCTTCGGAACAACCATCGGTCAAGGGAAACGTAGTCACGCTCTCAAGATCCTTGCCGTCGATTTCGATGAAGGGGCCATCGGTGCAGCCGTTGCAACGGCCTCTCGAAGCCTTCAAGCCCCTAACTTCCCCACGATCGAATTCGGCTCTGCTTCGAAATACGCGACAACAGAATCGGTTAAGAACGCAGTCTGCAAGGGAGACTACTGGGCTGCGATTTACGTCCCATCGGGTGCGTCCACCAAGCTTGCCAACGCAATCAACGGCACATCAACCGGGTATAACGCCGCCGACTCGATCGTCTACACGTATAACCAGGCCCGATACCCAGCTCAAGCTGACTCGATCCTCCTCTCCGGAATTCAGAAGGTTGTTGGCGTCGCACGAGGATCATATTACCAAACCCCCAACGGCATTGCCGCGCTCACCTCCCTCAATGCCAGCAATCCGGCTGGGGTTACCGCATACCTGAACCCGATCCAGTCCACTCCTGACCTGATCCAACCCACTACCCAGGGCAGCCGAGTTCTCTTCAACACCGTTAACATCATCATCCCGACGCTAGCGCAATTCTTCTACATCCTCGCTCTCAACGGCATTGGGCTGAGCAGTGGATTCCTTTCTGGGGTCCGCGTCCGTGACGTCTGGCTGTTCCGCTTCGGTATCGGCAAGATCTACGGCTTCCTCACCGCCCTGACCGTGACTGGATATCTGTGGGCCTTCCGCGAGAACTGGGACGTCGGTAGCTTTGAGTTTGGAAAGACTCTCCTTGTCTTCTGGCTTTACATGGACGTCCAGTGGCAGGTTCTCGAGTCCTTGATCGGCTCGTTCGTGCCAATGCAGTTCATGCCCTTCTTCTTCCTGACCTGGATCATCATGAACATCGCAAGCACCATTGCCCCCTTCGAGCTCATGCCGGGTTTCTACAGAATCGGCTACGCTATGCCGGCGCACGAGGCGTATTCCATGATGGTCCTGGCATGGTCTGGCTGCGCTGACCAGACACGCGTCGCACTACCGGTGCTCTTTGCCTGGTGGTTGGTAGGCCACGTTGGATCTGTCTTCTCCATCCGCAAGCGGTGCGCCGATGCGGGACAGGCTGCTGCTGCTGCTGCTACCAGGGCGCAAGAGGATGACGATGTGACGAGACAGCGTCCTCACAGCTCAGATTTGACTTTACGGTCAGACGAGGAGCAGCTCAGAAATGAGAAATGAGAAGGGGGATTTCATTGCTTTTATAAAAGAGCGGAACCACCAGGTGGCGAAATGTCTATCGAAATGATCTCTTAATACCCGGCATATCTTGGAGTTTGGCGTATGATTTAAGAGATTTGCACTCTGTGGGATGCATCCAAGTTGTTTGTTTAGCATTGGGAATATTTGCAGTACGGCTCTGTTGGACTGGGCTTCAATGACGAGTCCTCTCACCTCACATCATGCTTTAAAATACATAGCGTTACAATAATAGACTTCAATCACGACTCATTATCTTTCCAACCTGGGCCTCGGTGATTTCGTAATCTCACTATCGATTTGTGCGGCAATCTTTCTCTGGCAAGCCAACTTATAAATCAACAAGAAAACATGTGTATGCCGCTCCTGAACAGCGGAAGAACCTTTACACCGAATCTCACGGCAATCTGGAATGATTTTGAACCAGAAGATCGTTCGATCTAGCAGCAGTCCGTACCATAATATTGATGTGTATTCAGGCAGCTTTAAAGTTACCTCCCCATAATTGGCGTACATATTGGTCCCTCTACTAGGTGTTTTGGACGCTCCGTAGTTTCCGTTCAATTTCTCCGTGCATTATTCGGTGTAATGCAATGGCCCGGAGGATTGCGTAATTCGTAATTCGGAAAGCCGGCACTGTCATATGCGCATGCAAGCCCTGTGTGATCAAGCCAGGTAAGCACATGTGATGGTGGTTGGGCTGATACGCGGTATCGTCGCGCTTAATATTGCCCCGTGTGACTACATCGTGCAGCGTCCACGTTCTAACATGTTACCCCCTGTATTTCCAGATACTGTCACATTTCACTTGCATCTGTATCTATGGTCACATCAGCAGCAGCGTTGCCCACGTTGACTTTTGGAGTAAAGGTCTTCTTCAGACTACACGGGTATGAAACTTAGCAGGCAGAACATGCGATTAACGACTTGATTCATTGCTTCATTACCCACATTGCCAGTTCATTCTCGTTGGATTTGATTTGTCTATTCTTCTCCTTGTTCCACCTGTCTCCCGTCACAGGATTCGTTCAAATGTCGGATTAGACAAGGCCACTTCTGCTTTGTATGTTTTACATTCAGCAAAGAAAGTATGTGCTGAGATTTTTTGATGTTCTTCTGAGTAATTATGAAGGACGCAACGTTTCGTAGACTTCTGTCAAAACAATGTTTCAACTACATCCGAAATCTCATCTAAATAAATCATACAGATGAACGTGAGGAAAACACAGCAAGCAACGATGGGTGGCAGCATCTCGCGCCCTTTCGCATTCGAAAGTGTGCAAAGTATGTATCTTAAAGGTGAATAAGTAGAGACAATCTGATGACTTACAGCCTCTGTTCCCATAAGAGACGTTCAAGGAGAAACGTGACCCCATTATTGGGCTGTTACATCACTGTGAATTTACGGGCCTTCTAAATACCAAAGCCTGTTCATGATTTGTGAGGTTGCCAGGTATTTGTGGTCGTGTTAGTACCCATTTCTACTCGCAGTCATGTGTTAACAGGTTGAGCCTATAAAAAATACACCAGCAACAGGATGTTTCGTTTTCATGCTTCATTTCCAGGATTGTATGACTTGCTGCCAGATTCAATTTTGAGCAGTTTTGGAATGGCATATTATCTACCATCTGAGTCTCAACCACAGAAACACAAAAGACTGTAAGATCTTGCGACAAACATGCAAAACTCTAGTAAAACCCACATCTTTGCGAAAAGTGTCGCGGTCGATACAGCAAGCAAAAAATGTGCAGGAACAATACCGATGCTTGAGTTTCATAGCTATGCGATATCTTTAACCCTTTTCCTGCTGCGTTATTTCTCATGCTTTTAATCATGGCAAAGGTGAAATTATACCATTTGGTATCCAGGCTTTCAAACAAACACGTCGGACTGAAGAACTTCCTGACGCAAAAAGTCTCCGTTGATGTGTCCGAAGACAAAAGTGATGATGATATCCTTACCCTGCTTGGGTGAAAGCAACAAGGTACTCATTAAGATAGAAGTTGGGTCATGATGAGTCTTTATGTATGCAAGCCTGTAAAATTTGCAAAAAGAATGACGAAGAATTTCCTTGGACGACCACACCTGCACAATGACGCTTGAACGAAAAGGGGCTGTGGCGATTGTGGCTTGAACACCATAGGTCAGCTTACTCTGGTGAGGCTTCCCATGCGCAAATTACCCCAAATAACAGCTCCACCAGAGGGCTGGGCACTTTTTACAACGGATTATGGAGCTTAAAAAACGACTGTTGTTCCTTTTGGGAGATCTATCTGCCCATGTTCAGTGTCGAGGAATTAGCGTCACCGGAATCGCCCCAATTGGACTCCGATATCAGTTAGCGGGGGTTGAGTCTAGTGATCCTTGATTGTGCCTGAACCATGATCTTCCAACCCTACAAACGATTCGGCCCCCATGATGCAGCGGTCCAGGTCCTGGTAATGGGGAAAAAGTCTCCATGTGTCCCTTCAAGCGAGAGTTGCTTACGGCCCCCACGGAATGGACGAATAGAAACCCTACCTCGTGTCTTGGCTTTGGTCTAAGAACATCCTACTTCCTAATACGGTAAACAATCTGGTCTCTAACCCTTGTCTGCTATGAGCTTCATGGTTAACGTACACTTTCCCTTTGCGGAAGTAGATGCTCAAGCTGCCAGGAACTTCGATCGTATTGTTTTATCTAGTTCCTCAAAATGAACCCGAAAACCCGGGAAAGGACTCGGCAGACGTGTCAGCCTTGCAAAATCGTGAAAAAATACTTGCTTAGCAATCGTCTCGACCGGTACAAACGGAGCATTTGAGCCTTGCCATCAAGCTTTGCAGGTTCATGATTCGTCAAACCCCCAGCCGTGATAATCTCGCGGGTCTCGTCGACTTGAAAATCATTCTTCTCTTACAACGGATAAAGCGCGTCCCAGCTTACTTGCATCACTACCGAATGGTGGACGACCTGCCACTCTACACACAAGCCGTACCGTAATCCACCAACGCCCCACGGCCTCCAAGAAAGTAAGGCGGCCGCCGCTCTCGATATACCTTCCTACGACGGTGGACCGTACAGTGTGACAGTCTTTCGAAAGCACTAACGAACCCTACCCTCCTGTGATTGGTTTCTTTTCAAGCAAAGAGGCCGTCATCTCGGGTGTGACCCTCCTCAAACTGCGTAAAGTGGGTTGCGAGCAAGGCCTTGTAGGGCTGAGGAGCCCCCTTTTCGTGCAACTTTATTCCCAAAAAGCGCATGTGCAGGTCTTTGCAGAACATTACATCCCGTGCCATAGCCGCGCTTGACGCATGGTCCTATCATCGTCTTGGTAGCGCTCCTCTTTGGGCATTAGCCTCGGACATCTCGACTGCCGGCAAGTTTGAATCTCGAATGCTTTCACTGACAATTTGACGTCCCTATGATATATAAGTCAGTAAGTTGCGCCTTCAAATAACCTCTTGTTCACCAGCCATACCTCTCTTTCAAGCAATACAAGCTACAATACATTTCTCCTATCATTCTAACATCTATTCTTTCTCTCAACAAGCTATCCCAACAACAACAACAATGCCTGCTCCTCTTGTCCCCGCCTCCGCCGTTGCAGCTCTTGCGGACCCTTCGAAGATGTGTCGCTGTGACCCGCAGCCGGCCTCAGCGAGCGCATACTGCTCAAAGTGCCTGCTTCCCAAGGCACCTGCTTCTGCAACGGGCTCTAAGTGACCATATCCATAGAGTCCTCTCAGGTACTACAATACATTGTTTCGGAGTAAGCAAGCTTCAAAAAGTTCTACCATACAAACGGGTCTAATTCAGAAACAGTCAGCCTAGCCGTGTCCTTTTTGGGTGTGGACGGGGCGCGGTTATAGAATTGGACGACAACCTCAGGGTTTCGATTTCGAAAGAGCTACTTGGGATAAGTGAGATGGGTTTAACCTGGTGGTTGACCAAGGTCCAAGGCTTCTACTCCGCTAGAGGTCCGGCCCATGGAGAACCAGAATACACGTACAGGTTGTTCGGTGGCTCGACAAGAGCGTTGGTTAGCTGATTTTTAATATCACATGGGACGAGCATCACAAGTGTATCGATCGTGGTGTCTTCTCCTATATCGGTCTTTTATTCTTTACTTCATACTGTCTCACTCTTTACCATTTTATTTGATGGGTTTGGTATACACGTAGGAACCTAGAATAAACATTGTATGGCTCACACTATTTTCACTTTTGAAGTGACATAATCGCTGTTGTTTGATCTGCGGAATAATTCGTCACGCTTAGCGTCGGTAAACCCTCTTCACGAGCTGGCTAGTCATAAGTCGACTGTTTGAACATATCTCCAGATACTCAGTTTATCGCAGATATGTATGGGTTGTCTTTTTAATCCCTGACCTCTTCGGATTCAATTATCAAGCTTATAAATGAAACCACTAACTATGTACTGAACCAAACGATCTTGGAATAAAAGACATCCACTAAACATGTTTGATAGCATGGAGTCTTCTAGATGTCGCAGGTACGCTTAAGGTAGCCAATTGAGTTTTGGTGGCGACATGAACGTGTAATACCAGATACGCCAGTTTCAATGCTCTACAAGATTCCAGTTCCATATTTGAAACGCGCCATTATAATGAACATGAGATTGCAGCACCTGGCTACGGTCAGTGCTAGACTGTTGTGGCGGGCATAACTGGTTGCTATGTGGTATAGCCATACAGTGTAGAAATTTAATCATGACAGAAGGCTATTTATTGCTTTGGCTGTTCTGAGTCGATACTTGGCATCATTATTTGCAGTCGTACTATTCTTTGTCTTTTTGGAAGCGTATGCTGTAGGTTGTAAATCTGTTTCCTTTGATATTAGACCTAGTGGATCAACAACATCGTACACGTTTACAGCTTATTTAAAACTAACATCGAGTTAGATCTGCAAAATGAATCTTCTCGAATCGGCGGCAAAATACTTTTGTCAAAAAGAGCAAAAGGCAACTCCTCGACGGGGAATTGAACCCCGGTCCCCGGCGTGACAAGCCGATATCCTCACCACTAGACTATCGAGGATGTGGATGATTCGTTATATCGTCCGGTGCATAAAATTTTATGTACCTATCACAACAGCTTATCCACATCTCAGCTCTCATTTCCCCAACTAAGTATTAGACCACGAAACCAATAATTCTGGTTTCCAAGATATCGTTACTCTTCTTCTGAACCCCAGCTGCTCTGGCTCATGAGATCTTCATTTTTTCTTGAAAATGGACCCAGAACATATCCCAGTCGAAGCAGGAGTTTGAAAATTTCGGTGCTACTGCGCTAACCTCAATTGCAACGTGAGCCCAGTAGCCTTCCAATCACTGGCTGCGCCACAGGGCAACAGGTGATTTTCGGGATAGTCGCTAATCTGACATCATTTAGAGCCTGGAAACTCGCAGGCATATTTAATTCGAAATTCAGCTGCCTGGACTGATGCACCCCGCAAAAAGGACTTGGCACCTGCACAGGCTTGCACATAAGTGCTTCAACTGCCGCAAATCACTAGCCTAGTGCTTTACGCATCAAACTTTCTTTCTTTCCGGCAATGAAACCTATGTGATGGACCTTCCAATGGATATGTTAGTTGCGGAATGTCAAAGGCTACAGTTGACTTTGGCACCAGCTGGTCAGACAGTGCGTCATTTCATTGCCGCTTATCCGGATGCGAAAGTCCAGCTCTCACCGCTGCTTGAAGAGCTGCTTGGTTTACCAAATGTGGTACTCAAGCTCGAACGAGACGTGGGGGAGTGTGCAGGCGAAAATGGACTTTTGCATATGATTCGGGGAGTCCCCGATGTCTGCATTGAAAACATTAGGCAGATTGAATCGGTTCTTTCAGAGCCGAGCCGACATGGCCGCGACGCCCTGAGAACTCTGGCCGAGCAAGCCACCGCCTTGGCATCTTTTCTTGTCATTGGTAGGAGGGCTTTGAACCTGGCTGTGACTGCACTGGAATTGTAAGCTCTTATCAGTACGGTTGCAGAAGCACAATGTTAATTGATATGTGGATAGGGTCAACAATTTGCGAAGAGCAGAGCGAAATGGGGAGTCGCCTCCTTATGAAGCAAGTTCGATTCTCCATGAGATTACGGCTATTCAAAACCTGCTCAATGAACAGACATCGTCTCAGCAAAATGCGAGGCTACTCCGCCAGTTGCATGGGCCCAATGGCTCATCTGTTAGCATTCAGCAACTCCACAACATCACTATCGGCGGCTTTCTGGATTTGCTCAAATCATTTTGCGAGCAGCAGTCGGGAACCACATCCACCTTGGAAGTAGCTCGGATATCGGTGGCAGGCAGCTCAACCTCAATACCACCGCCCAACATAAGCCCGCATTCGGAAGTTGATGCTAGATATCTGGCCCCAAACCTCCTGCCTGCAGCACCATCTGCTGTCAACTTCAAGCACATTGGCAAGGTAGTTATGAATCTCGAGAAAGAGCCCCAGGACATAAAGTTTATGCCTGGAAATCCAGCAATATTTGCTGTTTCCAATTTTCACAAAGATGTTGCCTTGTTTGACGCCAACACCGGCCAACGGAAAAAAGAGCTCAAGGGGGTCAAGGGAGTCCAGCTGGTGGTCTCGCCATCGAGCGATGTAATGGCCTTGACGGTGGAGCACCCCGACGAATCATTGCTCAAACAGAAGCCAATCCCATTATCCCATGATTTTGTTCATTTTCAAAAACCAGCCCTCTACGTTTTCGACACTCCTCGGGGCCCTGCTCCTGCAACGAGACGCTTCTTTCTACAATGGCACGACATACGCGCCTTCTCATTCAGCCCTGACGGATCGTTATTGGCCGTAAAAGGAGTGAAGAATCGCGTCGAGATCATTCACAGCGCCAAGGGATCTGGATACGGAGTTGTAAGGAGCCACACCGACGAAGTAACGCATGCAGAGTTCACCGCAGACGGAGAGAGGATTGTAACAATGTCAAGGGACGGGACTTTGAGAGTCACGCATGTTCAAAGCCTACGAAGTATTGCCAAGCTTGAGATGGATAATTGGAGGAACCCACTGCAGCTAGCAGTTTCCACCGTAGGCATTATAGCTTCAATATGGGGACGCACTGTGACGATTTGGGACTACGACACAGGTGTTATGGATAGCTACAACTTCGATACGGCAAGAGGCAGTGAAGGGTGGCCCTTGGCGATTTCACCTGACCTTCGATGGGTTGCGAGTCGGACGGATGACGGGGCAGATGTGACGGATCTCGCAACGGGTAAGGTCATGTACTCGGCAAGATTAGAAACTGGGTTTGTATCTTCAGCCACATTTTCACATGATGGGAAGTACTTAGTTTTCGGGAGATGTATGAACGGCCATCATGGGAAACCTGATTCTGGGGTATTGAATGTATGGGAGATTCAGGCATGATATAGTGGCAGAAGAGACACGCCCTTTATAAGGGTAGCTGCCTCCTTTAGCATCATTTACTAGTTGAAGCGGCGTTCACGAACAGTAGAGCTGCCTCTCCTATCAAGTGCGCCTGGATGTCATTTTTGCCAGGGGCAAAGTGAAGCCAATCAAAGTCTCTTAGGTTCACTAGTCATTTCTATTTTTGATGCGGCATCTAATACCCTATATTTTGGTTCGCTACATTTCGTCCTCAATGCAACACAAACAGCTGGATAACAGAGAGCATACACTCAATCAAGACCATAAGCAAGAATCAGAGCAGCAGTTTATCATTACTTCTATAATCTATCACGCACATTGGTAGAAACAAGATGACTGCGATAGGTCAAAAGATCAAAGCTTTATTGCGGTTGTTATTTCAGGCTATGAGAGACGGAAGAGTTCCTCAGACGGAGAATAAAAGTATCGCTGTAATAGGAATAGACGGAAGCACCCGAACAAGAAACTTTCTAGGGCCCCGGACAGTAATAAATGATAAAGTTAATGATTTATACGACAAAGGGACAAGGTCCAATTTCCGCTTGATCCGCACCGACGGTGTGAAAGGCTTGCAATGGCAGATGTTGCATCACTTCCTGAAAGTATACAGGTCAAGAGAAACCGTAGACATTCATCGTCAGTAATGAATCTCATGGTAGTACACCACTAGAATGTGAACATTTCGCACGGCGTTCAGAGAATGCGGCGACCCACAAGGACAGATATCCTGTCTCTCTTGTCGCATGGCTTGACCACGGACGCCCAAAGCTTAATTCAACCATTCTCCAGACTAGCTGAACAAATTAAAGGGGCAAAGTCAAGAAGTTTGGGGTATAGTACCACACAGCTGTCAATCAATGGTTGTGGGTAGGATTACCGGCTTGAAAGTGATTGGAGGAAGTTCTAATTTCCCTTTCTGTCAAGTGACGAAAAACAGGGTCCCACTTCGACAAGCTTTCGTTCGTTCTCCTCTATCCGTTCCCAAAGTTGACAGCTTTTCGCCGCTCTGTCAAGTGAGCTGAATCAAGCTAGAAAGATGCAAATTCTAACCCGATAGAGAAGGTTACTTATTGACGTGTCATTTCGTCGGCAGGTGCTTCCGTGACCCTTGGCTGCTGCTTAATAGAAAATAAAATCCGGACCAAGCCCAGAAGTAGAAAACTCGTATGTGAGCAACCTTTTGACGAACAACAACTAAAAATGGTTTACTTACTACCACTTATACTGAGTTGTGCCATCAGCGTAGCGGCAGGCGATGCGTTGCTGCCATCTCATGACCGGAACCCAGGAGGCGTATTTCAGAGGGCGTCTTGCACTGTGAGTCTTTTTGGAATGCTAGATACCTCAGATAGATCAGCAAGAGGTTCAGCTATGATGACGAGACACTGATATCTGTCAGCCCACAACTGCAAACTCTCCGTCAAGTGACGATGTACCATCCATTGTCGATGCCTTCAAGAAATGCGGCAATGGGGGCACCATAACTATTCCAAAAGGCACCACCTACATTATCGGCTCAGTGCTCAACTTTGAAGGGTGCAGCAACTGCGACTTCCAACTCGAGGGCACTCTGAAGGTGTCAGAAAACTTCACTTACTGGAACGGCAAGCAATCCATCATCAACATCAAGAACATTAACGGCGCTAAAATCCGGAGCCTCAGCGGCGCAGGCGTCATCGACGGCAACGGCCAAGGCTCCTGGGACAAATTTGCAACTGACAAAACATACGACCGCCCGACTCTTCTGTACATTACCGGATCGTCAAACATTGAGGTTTCTGGAATTGCGGTCAAGGATCCTCCTTCGTTTGGTCTTTCGGCGGCTGGAGGTTCCACAAACGTTGCGTTTTCCGATATCTCGCTGTCGGCCTTCTCCAAGTCATCCAACCTCCCCAAGAACACTGATGGCTTCGATATCGGCCCGGCGTCTCAAGTCAGGCTTCAAAACATCACAGTAAACAATGACGACGACTGCGTAGCGTTAAAGGCCGGTGCCAACTTCGTCGAAATTCGCAACATCACTTGTTCTGGTAGCCATGGCCTCAGCATCGGAAGCCTGGGCAAGAGCGCTGGCAGCACAGACTTTGTCAAGAACGTGTATATCGGCAACGCAATCATGAAAAAGTCAACCAAGGCCGCGGGCATCAAGGTGTACCCTGGTGGGAGTACACATGGCGTCGCGACTGTGAGCAACGTCACTTGGGACGGTGTAGTTGTCGACCAAAGCGACTATGCGTTCCAGGTTCAGACTTGCTATGGGGAAACCGCAGAATTTTGTACTTCCAATCCGCCAACTGCACAGATAACCGACATCACGGTGAAGAACTTTTCTGGAACTACTTCTCCCAAGTATAAGGGGGTGACGGCAAACATTAACTGCCCTGTCAAGGGATCTTGCAACATCAAATTCGTCGACTGGAAGGTTAAGCCAAGTAGCGGGACTGCCACAGTCGCTTGCGCGAACTCTAGCGGTGTCACTGGTGTGACGTGTTCTCCTGGGGCTTCGGGTTAGCTTCATTCATATCTGCACCTGGAATAGATTTCTGTGCTCTGTTCGAGTTAATAAAAAACAAATTTGCTGTCCTTGGTGTCTAATGTTATCATTTATGGGTACGAGACTGCAGCAGCTCAAGAACTATATAGTATGGGACCTTCACATAGAAAGTGCCTCATAAAATCATAATATAAAAGAGTAATGCGGAAGATATACTCAAGAACGTACCGCATGATGAGTTGTAAGCATCCGCTTATGTATCATCACAAGAGCGTTATTCAAATAGTACAGCGTTTACGTCGTTGATAGACTAGCCTAAGAAGTAAGAAACACAAAACGGCTGTAGGATAACCATCTGAGACACAAAATCTACGAAATACATTTGATTGTTCAGGAGCAAGACGTGAGTTGAAACTTGTAAGACTGCACACCCCAGAGCTGAATCTTTTTTGAAAGGATGCACAGCAGACTCGAAGCGACCTTGATAGAAAAGATCAAAAGCTCTATGAAAGAAGGCAATTAATTGTTGAAGATTAAAAAAAAAAAAAATACAGATCGAAGGTGAGACATTGTGCAACCTAGACGATCTCAGTAGGTGAACACACATAGATAGTCCTCCTCCTGCATGCCTAAAGAGAGTAACTTGACAGGTGGTTGTCACAAAACAACAGGACTAAATGAATTATTAATATTACTAAGATCTTTGATACGCAAGTGCCTTTTCTTGGGAGGCAGAATCATGAGAAGTCGTGAAAACCTTTTGACATGTCGTCCAGTGGTCCGGCTGGTAAATCGCCTCTAAACCGCTCATGCTCTATCGTCTCGTTAAGTCATTGCCCGAGCCTTGCCGGCAAACCATTTCCCACGTTATTTCTGGCTTCAAGCCAAACACAAAGGGTCTCCTCAGGGTCGTTACTCCACACTCGCCATGTCAAGCCCTATCCGAGGTGGCGGGAAGTGCACATTGGAGGCCAAAATGACAAAAGCCAATACCCTTGATCACGCGAGGATGATCTACAAACTATTACGGTATCGGGGCGGGGGCTGGCGGTGTTGTTCATGCCTACTTTACCCGGGGATATTTTTGTCACCTGCAGGTTGTCCAGCATATCCCGGGATCAGCTAGGCGCAGCACCTTCTCTCTTCAGTCGCCATCCCTCTCTGACCAGCCAGAAGGAAGCAATGATTGGCGTTGTCAAAAGAGCGAGTAGACCTCCAAATACGCCCTTGAAGACCTGCGGAGCCCATTGGCGATGGAAGTACCAATCCCAGTCGTCTCCGGTTCCACGCTCACCGACAGAGGTCAGGATCCCGATCGCCGGTAGCCAGAGCAGGAAAAAGGCAACGACGAAAATTAAACCGACACGAACAGCTTGATCGGCGACAAAAGTCGCCCAGCGCTTTGATCGCGGACCATCAACACGACTTCCGGTCTCGTTTCGGTGCAGAAGCATGAGCCATCGTAGCAGAGGACGAACCGGCTCCTTGACGAAACCGATGGGCCGGATGGCGCCGTTCCTCAAGTCGTGGCCAACGAGAATAAGCTCGATGAACCACGTAATCAGGGTTTGGATGATTATAGTGATCACTGCGTCCCCAGCAAGAGTATTGGGCAGCTGAAACAGACGAATGGGGTGGGTGTCCAGGTTCTGGGTTGAATACATGCCTGCAAGGAAGTTGACCGTTAATGATGAGTGTTGCTGTGCTTTCCCCCTCGGAGTTGAAGCTTACCATAGGCAATGGCGAAGTTTATGCCCCCTGAAAGAACAGCGGCACCGACCCCATCGAGTCCGAAAATGTAAAACAGTTGGTGGCCAGTTATCCTATCCGTGGGTTGCTTTGCCTGATGTGTGTTCTGACGGTCCCGAACGCCAGCTTCGATGTCACCTCCCTCATTACCCTCATGAACACCCCCAGGCGATGTTATGCCCTCCGAACCTTTTTCGTCTATTTGCCTCCAGAAAGGCATGATATCCAGCACTTTTAAAAATTGAGCGCGGGCCGCAACTCACAGACGGGATGGGAACTTCTTGCAATGCTCAGAGGAGAACGAGACCGTTTAGCAAAACAGACTTTTCGAACTTGCTTGTGAAGTATTACTGGAAATAGAAGGGGCAGAAAAAAAAAGGGTTGTTGCCAGGGTCCGGCAAGCTTTTTTCTTTTAAGGGGGTCCTTGATGAGGCTGATTCATGATCGGCCACTAATTTCCAGACCGACCAGGGAGTGTTGGTCGAATTTTGTTCCCTTTGGTCACTCAGTCAGAGGGTGTGGTCAAGGCGACCATTGGGGGGGGGGGATAACCTGACCAATTACCCACTTATTTAAATGAATTATGGGTCTATCTGACCAATTTTATGATTGGCTGTATTGAGGTGAAGTGGGTCCACCTGACCATGGAATTTTTAATCGGTCAGGTGCACGGACCAGTTACTGATTGCGTCCCACTACTGATTAGGGTGCATACCCCATATTAATATTTAAATCCCTATTCTATTCTGATTCGCTTCCTTTTCCCTCCGTAACCCTTTCAAATCGTATGCGCCCCCCCCCCCCCCCTGGCGCACCGATTCCTAATTACTTCCGAATCAGTTCAGAAATCCGACATCATGCCTTCATACAAGGATTCTGTAAGTACAATGGAATCGGTTTAGGATCGATTCAGAACTGATTCAGAATCAGGACGATTACAAGACCTACAAAGAAGGTCTTCTCCAGGGCGGCAAGAACCACCGCATGGAGGATCTTCCTCCCTTCGAGTTCAACGAGGTAAGTGATTCAGAAGCGATTCCACAACGATTCAGAAACAGTTCTGAATCGATTCAGGCTGGCGAAGTCAAGCTCGCCCCTGGCGAACTCTACTGCCGCTGGGGTGGTAGATCCAGCAGCATCACGTGCACCAAGGTAATTCAGAATCAGTTCCGGATCAGTTCAGAACTAATTTCGAATCGATTAGACGGAGCGGTTCTCGAGCGAGTCGAACCTCAAGAACCACATCAAGAAGCACAAGCTCGACGGGGTCCCGGCCAAGGTTAAGAGCCGCAAGTCCGGCGCGAACTCCGTCGAGGAGAACGATGATGCAGCTGGTAAGTGATTCTGAACTGATTCTGTACCGATTCTGAACTAGTTCTAAACTGATTATGAATAGAATTCTACGACCGCATCCACGGCATCGCCATCGGCGCTCGCGATGACAGCGAGCTGCAGACTCCTTCCAAGAAACGGAAGGCGCAGACCCCTCCCCCCCTTCTTGCCGTGCCCACGCGCAAGCGGGGCAACCAAACTGTGGTAAGTGATTCTCAATCGATCCGGAATCCTTTTGGAACCCATTCTGAATCGATTCTGCAACAGATCAACTTCGCCGAAATGCGTCGCGCCGCCGGCTTCCCTGCCAAGGGCAAGTGCACCCACTGCACCACTGCCCGCAATGCCAGTAAGTTTAGAATCAGTCTTGAAGCAGTTCAGAACTAATTACGAATCGATTCAGAATGTCCTCCCGCCCTTCGCGATCAGGAATGTGAGGTCTGGGCCCGCTTTGAGGATGATGAAGAAGATGAGGCCTGAATCAATTCAGGATCGGTTTGGAACCAGTTTGGGACTTCTTTCGGGACCGATTTGGAACCGCTTTAGAATCAATTCTTTATAGATACCCGGGGCGTTCGGTTTTTAAGCTTTTTTTAAAAAAAAGCATTTCTAAATCAATACAGAAATGATTTAGAATCGATTCTCTACCTATCCTATATGCTATCAAAGTCCTAACCTTCTCCGCCGCTCTGCTAACTCTAGTTCCTTTTCTTGTAGTTCAAGCTTCTGTTTTTCAACTAGAAGTTTTCTTGCTTCTAATTCTAATCGCTTTTCTTCTAATTCTAGACTTTGCTTCTGTAAGTCAAAGTCATCTTGTTGTCCCTGTCTGATTTCGTTTCTTAAGTTAGAAATAGATGTTCTTTGGAGAGTATTTGACCTAATAACCCCAGAAGATGAAGCATGGGAAAGACGAGGGGATCGATTCCGAATCGCTTCTGAAAGACTTCGGGATCGATTCGGAATTGAGGATGGACTTCTTGAATTAGTACCCCTTGAGGGACTAGACGTAAAGAGTCGGGTTGATAAAAGCCTTTCAACACGTTCATTATCTAGTTGCTCACGGGATTCCCTCTGGCGTTGGCGTTTAAGTTCTAAAATAATTTAGAAATAATTATTAATAAATATTAAAGTATTTTTAACTTACGTAAACGGCTTGCAGCTGTATTATAACGGCCAATAATAGAAACATCTTTCCAGGAAAGCCGGATTCCTAGTGTTGTAAACACTGTATCCTGCTCTAAAAGATGGCGATCGTATTCTGCACATCTAAGTACTTTTGAATTAGTTCTCAACGCATTCCAAACCAATTCCGAATCAATTCAGAAGGGATTCCAAACTTACTTCTGGATACATGTAAGTAATGGTAAATACCGATTACTCCAAGTATATGAGGCTTCATGTAAAACCTCAACAGTATTTGTATTAGGTATGAATTGACTCCAATCTGATAAGGGGATTTTAGAGCAGTTCTGATTAAGTCCAGCTGCAATTGTTTTTCGGGCTTTATGTTGAGCCCATGCTTTTATTTGAGGTTCAGCTAAGTAAATTAGTTCCCAAGTGATTCTGAAGCGATTCGGAAGCGATATAGAATTGATCCTTACTCTCAAATGCCTGACATAAAGCGAAGTAGTCTTCTGAGGAACGGCAGAATAGTAGGCTGCGCATTTGATTCCATAGAGAGTCAGGGCTACGGTCTTCTGTACAGTATGCCTCAATCCCTCGTTGGAAATGAATTAAACAGAAGCGTACAGAGCGTTCAACCTGCCATGCCCATGGTCTATGCTCTGGGTCACATTCCAGAGATAGATATTTCCCAAACCCTAGATAATTAGTTATAAATCGGTTCTGAATCGGTTTAGAAACTATTAAGAACCCATACCAATAAGGTTTTTATGGTCTTGATCAACTGTAATACCTAGTAGACCCCTACCATGAAGGTGTTTCCACTTGACTTTATATCCAAATTTCTTATAAAGTAGTTTAAACACAATTGTATACATCTGCTGATACATTTCTGTACTTTCAGAATTGGTAAAAACTCGGATAAGTGGAATTGCTAAAATAGTTAGGAATCTGTTAAGAATCCGTTCTAAATCGATTTAGAAGCGATTACGCACCTTTCGAAGATATCGAATTATACCATCCCCAAATAACCTCAACTTCCTCCTTTCCAGCTAGATGTTTATAGTTTGTATCTACCTGGAAAGTATTAAAAGCCTCTTTCTTCCATAATTCAGCTTGCTCTGCATGAAATACAATACATAGGTATGTATTGCCGTCATCATTAAAGTACTGAATATACTATAAGTAAATTAGTATTGAACCCGCTCAGAACCGATTCAGAATCACTTCATACCCGAATTTGACGCCTAGTTTGAGCATACTGGTATTCATACCAAATCGCTAGACGTGAACAGCCTGCTGGAAAGCTAATTGCTTCTTGTTTACGGATAATTGAGCGTAAGAAGTCTGTATTTGCTAGACTTTGATGAACGCTTGTAATAGTCTGGCTATTATAAGTATCACAGAATTCCTGAAGTTCGCGAGATTGTAGGAATGCATCTAGAATCAGTACTGGATTAGTTCTGAATCGGTTCGGAAACGATTCTAAAAGGATTCTCACTTAACCCCGTTCTAGGTTGATTGATCTTCTGGACTACCTGTTGCAGCCCAGATATAATACCAGCTGGGGCTCTAACTGGTGGTGGTGGTGGATGTAAATGGACCCCATGAGAAGTTAGAAGAATAACTGGGGTAGCTTCTAGATCAAGCGGGACCCAGAAGTTCCATTTTACTGAACACGTAATTTGAAGAATTGTTTCAGGAACGATATGATTAGCGTCTAGATTGATTCAGAATCAGTTGGGAACCCATTTGGATTCGATTCGATACTAATTTACTTACCGCATCGTGTAATTCTCCTCTTATTGCTAGCAAAAAGATAACAGCTATCAGTAGGGGAGCTTTCTTCTATACTTCCCCCTTGAAGTATAGTTTTGATTAGAGGTAAATATAGCTGGAATTCGATTGGAGGAAAGCCAATATAATGGTTTTCTCCTTGGAGACTTTGTGACCAGCAGATGCAGCGGGCTGTGATCTGGGAAGTTCCTGGAATATACTAAAGTGATTCCGAATCAGTTCCAAATTGATTCCCAATCCATTCAGAAAGGCTTCTTACCCCATACTCTGTATTAACTACTTCAAGACTACATCTTTCTGTAAACGGTCGGCAGGCGGTATGTTGTTGGAAACGTTTTATCTGTGCTTGTGCCCATCTATTTATAAGTATTAGTATATTATTTCTAAAAGGGTTCCGAACCCGTTCGGAATCGATTCTGAATGCTTACGAAACTGCTTTCCGTTTGAGATCATACTGTAGTACCTCTGTTCGTAATGCTTCAATACTTTGCAAGATTTCTGGGGTAACTTTCTGATGCTTCCAGCATGGAAGATTCTGATCGAAATAAGAGCATGCCTTTCCACCTGTACAAGTGTAAGTTGAACGTAAACAAATAGCATTTTGAAGGAATGCTGAAGTCGTCCGTTTTGGTGGGAATTGCCGGGCATGGTTGTACTGAATCTGTGATGTAATTAGTTCTGAAGTAGTTCGGGATCGATCCCGGATCGATTCAAAAGTAGTTCGTTTACCATTCTCCAAGGCGATTTAATATCCTCCTTATTTAAAGTCTTTATATTAATAACATAAAGGACTCCATTCTTACTTGTTTCTGGATATTCTATAAATGTAGGTAGAAAGATTACTTTTTGAGCAAGTACATGAACATCCCTGAGGCTATTATGCCCAGAACGGGTTGCCTCTGATGAAACAAGTGTTGGAGGTATTTCTGAATCGGTTTCGAGTTGATCCTGAATCGATTTAGAACTAATTCCAAAGTCGTTCTTATATATCCCTACCTCCTCATTTACTGGTAAGCCAGACTGGGCCTGGGCTGGTAGTTGATAGTAAAGATTTAAGTCTTCTTCAGCTTCTGCATCAAGACTAGTAGGTTCTAATAGAGGACTTATTCCCTCTAGGCGAGGGAAGAGATTTTCAATCGATTGAAGAGCCATTGTAAATCGATTCGGAACGGATTTGGAAGCGTTTAAATGTCGTATGTTCTTACAAAAAGTATGTCAAGGGTGAGGTTTCAAACCGCGCTAAGGAATTTCAACCTGACCATAGCTAACTAGCTGACCATGGTCAGCTGATCTCAGGGTAGCCCCACAAATCACAAAATAAGTGGGTAATTGGTCAGGTTATCCCCCCCCCCCAATGGTCGCCTTGACCACACCCTCCTCAGTCATCAGTTTGTGAGGCCAGCAGAAAATACAAGACAAGGGATGGTCAAGCGATAGTAACTAAAAAGCGCACTAGCAGGCCATCTATTGAATGGTATATGCGCAAAAACATAAAATATGTGGCCCGTGATCCTCGTCACCGCTCTACGAGTGGGATTATTTTGACGCACAGACTAATAGCGGAACTGCCGGAGAGCCACAGATTCCCATAATCGATTCCCATCCGAGCTCAACGTGATCGTGTAGGGCAATGCCAGGTGCACAGTCTGGCTTGCCACCGTCCATCAAGCTGATGTATGTCATTACCCATGTGTTGGCGCACGACCTTTTTGTCAGATAACCAACTTGAAAAGAGAAAGGATCAGTTGTGTGATGAGTGAATGGTATCCAGGCTTGAGTTTCAGCTAATCGTGGCTGTGCAGCATCAACAGCATGCTACCCAGTTTAGAGTTGTTCATGCGAAAGGGCGGCCAGATCAAGAATTGAGACAGGCAGTAAAAGCCAGAACCATATGCCACGATGGTCCTGGTTCCTGGGTGCTGAGGATGCATGCGAGCGCAAGAACCACAACTGCCAGCGCATTTCGGGATCGGCACACGGCCGCCACCAAGCTTTTTAGATGGGTTGCCCATGCATGCTGGGTGGAAAGCCCCGCAGAGAGGTGACTGATCGCCTCTAGTACGGATAGGGCTATCCCAGATACAACGGCTGTGGTGGATCTCTTCCGCGCCGACCGCCCATTGCCAACATTCATCTTTCAACATGGATTTTCCCCTGAATGAGCCCCTGGATAACCTCGACCTACCAATCACTTCTTAGTGCATGGAAACAGAGACAACGAAGCCACGGCGTAAAATGGTCCAGTCCCGTTCCACGACGCCTCAACGGTTATTACTCTGCGTCTCATGTTTGATGTGAGGAGAAACAACAAGTGGTTGAGCCAAGCCTCGCTCTCCTTTTCTTCTGTGTCCACGAGCGGAACAGGATCCGTCCGATATGCTGACCACACTTGTTTAAAGTACTCAACATTGAACGAAAAATACCAAACAAAAACCCAGCAAGCAAGGCCAATGACTCGTCTGCCTGTGAAACAATCGTCGTGCTGCATACATATATATGTGGCTGGCCATACCCGCTTGCGCCCCCTTTCCCCCGCCCCCAGCTTTTGTTCCACTTAGAGCCACCGTGACATAAGGAGGCAAAAAAGAAGAGAAAACTAAGCTACGACCCGTTTAAAGCGCGCAGAATAAGAACGAGATTAACGACAGTCATCACGGCTGAACATTATCCGCTGGACGAAACAACAGCACCTGTTTTTTCTCGTCATATACGACAGGGCCATGATTGTGGACGGTTACGAGTGTGATCTTGACGAAAAAACAAAGAGAGATTCCATGGATATTGACGAGAAAAGCACCGCCTTTTCTGAGGCCCAAATATCTGCATCAGTAAGCAGCGCATTGGCCCAAAACTACCCAACATTCTGCACCGAACAGCCCTGACTGATCCTCTTTTGCCGATCTAGCCGCCCAACACTAGGAGGCACACCATCAACACGTCAATGACAACAACAATCATACCAGAGCCGACGCCTCCGGCACACGATGCCCAACGCAGATTTTCTTGGTTCCCGCGATCAGCGACGCCGTCTCTTCGCAGCCCCACATACCGCCGGCGAACGCCGAGTCCGTTCGACGACGATGACTACTCTTACTCTGAAGGAAACCCGTTTGGCGAGGACTCGAGAGAAATGAACGGACACGGAGAAGGAGAGCGAAATCACGAGGAAAACCCTTTCGAGGATTGCGAGTATGAACTGCCGCCAAGAATGAAACAGGAGGGCACATGGACCAAGTTCAAAAAGGCAATGAGTCCGAAGCGGGCAATCAGTAAGTGGCGGTATCGTAAGGTAAAACATGGTGTCTACAGGCCCGATGACCCGGATCATGGTGATCGCGGGGGTCTGAACGGGCCGGTTTCTTGATGGGTTGATTTTTTCTTTTCTTTTTCGCGGAGTTTTCTTTTTCTGGTGGTTTTGGAAAATGGTTCGAGAAAACATGCGATGAGAGCAAGCTGGGGTCTTGCTCTCCCACGCAAACATGATACCAGGAGGCCACAATTTGGATGTTGGCGTGTTTATGCCTGTATTTCTGTTGATCACAAGAGCTGAGCTCTCGAAGACGATATCAAAAGACATTTCAAGATGAACAGAAATATATAACCTTGGAAGACTCCTGTTTCGAAGTTGGAGGCACGCAATATCGGGACAGTCGCTGATGCGCCTTCACCATTGACTTAACGGTCGTGTCAAAATTTCACTACCACTCGATATCCAAATCTTCCTGCAAAACATATGAAGTTGCATTAAAGTTGCGCTGTCGATTCAGTGGTTCCACGCCAAGTGACTCTCCGCTTAGGTTTCGGTCCTACAAACACCTGTCAATGTCTGAACATGGGTTGCATTAAAGCATGAGAAAGCTAATTTGATTTAGTATAGCTCTCTAGCCATGGGGCGGCGTTCAGATTTCTGGATTTGGTCCAATCTCTGGTTCCTCTTGATTAACTTTCATCTGCTACGTAGGTTAGACCTTCAGTTATCAAAGTTGCCTCGGATTATTTCTTGTCGGGGGCGGTCCGTTTCTCGTATGTGCAGATTCTCCTCGTGAATAGCTGCTCGCGTTCACTAAGAGAATAAGGTTCTTGGTACTTGCCTTGCATGACCGATTGAAGGATAGATGCCAAGGGTTCATTCATGCTTGCATATTTCACTTTCTTTTTGTCGCTACCTTCATGTCCAGTTTATGCTTCTGAATTTCGCACTTTTGTTATGTGCCATCAACGCTCTTAAGAAATGGTACGTTTAAAACCAGAAGTACATAAGCTCAGGATCATGAAACTCCCAAACGGGAACCTGGGTCTGACAAACTACGGTATCATCATGTTTTATCCTTTTTCAGATCAAAACTTGCACCGCCGAGTAGTGTCATTGCAATTTATCGATGATAACCTCTCCGTCCTATAGCAACAATTATGTTTCAACATTATCGTCTACCTGTCATATGACATCTAAGACTTCGGTGGCAGTGGCAAAACAGGCCATTCATAGTCTCTCTTGATCTCCGTCTGGAACGTCCATTCTCCTGGTCCAGTAACTTCCGTCTTCTCGCTTGCCTCGTTAGGTAGAATGATTTCCGCAGTGACACCGTACGGGAGGGAAACCTTGAGATTCAGAATCTCACCTCCCTGTTCATTCTTTGTCGTTTGCCACGAGCAATCTATATTTCCATAACGAGTGAGATGAGACGCAGAAGCATGCGAGAACTCCGCTCCGATAATTGGTGCAACCCGACACTTGGCCCAACCTGGCTCGAGCCGCTGAAGACCAGAAACTCTTTCAAAGAGGAACCTGGCAATGGCTCCAAAAGCGTAGTGGTTGAACGAGGTCATTTCACCCGGGTTGATACTGCCGTCCGGCAACATTGCATCCCACCTCTCCCAAACAGTCGTCGCGCCCATCGTGATCGGATACAACCAGGAGGGGCATTCCTTCTCCAACAACATGCGGTATGCGACCTGGACGTTTCCTGTAGCGAACAGCGCCTCGCAAACGAACGGCGTGCCAGCAAAGCCAGTTGCGATTTTGAAGTTGTTCTTCCGTACCAACTCAACCAGTCGTGTGCCCGCGCGTTCTCTTTGAGAAGGAGTTAGAATGTCCAGACAAATAGCCAAAGCATACGCTGCTTGCGTGTCCGAGACAACTCGTCCATTTTGAGTGACATATTCTTCATGGAACTGGGCCTTTGCAGCCTCTGCCTCTTGCTCGAATTCAGCCTTCTTAGCATCTTGACCTAGAATACCCGATATACGAGCAATCAGGTTGAGACTTTGAATGAGGAACATGTTGGCGACCATCCTTGCGTCCGTAGGTGATTTCCAGGGCGCATTTGGGGGAGCAGCTGGATCAAGCCAGTCCTGATTCCAATGAGTTAGCAATGTTTCTGACGTTAAGGATTTAAACATTCGATACGTACCCCAAGCTGGAATACAACGGGATCCCACAGATGCGTCGCCCCAGACTTGTTTCTCGGCAACACCTTCATCCAAGTCAACATGCTGTTGTATTGTTGAGCCAAGATGGACTTGTCGCCAGTCTCCTGGTACAACGCCCAAGGTCCAAGAATCGTCACGTCATGCCAGATTGCGCATGGGATTCGCCTGCACCAGATCGGGTCCGGCAGCGTCGAGTTCGGACTGACCATGGGAGGCACGCCATTAAGAACACCCTGGTCGTACTCCAGGTCGATGAGCCAGTTCTTCAGCATTCCGTAGCAGTCGTATATAAGCGAGGCTGTCGGCGCGAACAACGCTAGGTCACCAGACCAACCCAATCTCTCGTCTCGCTGAGGACAGTCGGTTGGTACCGAGAGGAAGTTCCCGCGCATACCCCAGGTTATGTTTTGATAAAGTTTGTTGAGCAGTTCGTCTGAGCATGAGAAAGATCCAACAGGCTTCATGTCCGTGTGGCATACAACTGCTTCAACCGAAGACATGAGGTCACCTTCGCCATGCCATCCCTCGATTTGGGCGTATCTGAACCCGTGGAAGGTAAATCGAGGTTCGTAATGTTCGCCTTCAGCTGCACCCTTGAGGGTGTACTCGTCGACGGCCTTGCAGATTCTTAGCGGCCGGGTTCCCAGCTCGCCGTTCTCCAGGACCTCGGCGTGTGAAAGGATGATTTTATGACCGCGAGGGCCTTTGATGTTCGTCAACCTGAGGTATCCTACCAGGTTCTGTCCAAAGTCAAGAATAGTCTTGCCGGATGGTGTCGTGATTTTCTCGACGGGCTTGACAATTTCTATTCTTCTGACCGGTTCTCCGTACCCAGAGGTCAACGCAGTAGACTCTGGCAAGAAAGGCAACACCAGAACTGGATCCCATTGGGCATCACCAAAACCTTTGTTGTTGTTAGGCAAAGACCAGCCAGGGATCTCAAGTGTGGCGTCGTATTTCTCTCCGTCGTAGATCTCGGCAAGTCTTATGGGCCCCTTGGTGACATGCCAGGATCCATCAGAACCTATTGTTTCCGTGTGACCGTCTTCGAACGTGAGTTCCAACTGAGCGATCAAGGCCGTATGAGGGCCCCAGATATTGCGATGGCCACCCGCGAATCCAATGCGGCCTGAGAACCAGCCTTCCGCAACTCGAACTCCAATACAGTTGCTCGGGTCGTCTTTGGATATGAGAGCAGTGACATCGTACGTTTGATACTGCAGCCTCCCCTCATACGTGGTCCAACCCGGAGCGAGAAAATAGTCGCCAACTCTTTGCCCATTGATCTCTGCCTCATAGACACCTTGAGCTGTGATGAAAAGGCGAGCCTGTGCCACAGGGCCACTGGTTGAGAACTCTTTACGGAAGAGTTGCTCGGGATCAGGTGCTGAAGTGCCTGGGCCCCAAGGGGCTGCAATACGCTTGCACTGCCACTCTTGTCTGTCTAGAAGTCCTACTTCCAAGGAAGATGGCTCGCTCCAAGGAGTTGTCTGATGAGACTCATCCCATGCTCTGACTCGGACCGAGATCTTCTGGCGAGATTGCAGTGGTTTCTCAAAAGGCCAGGGAACTAAGGTGGACTGTGAAGAAACTATTTTGGCCGTCGCTACATGTTGCTGTCCCTTGAGAGCCTCATGTTCGGACAGCTCGACTTCATATCCGGACTGCCTGAAGTTGGAGGGGGAATTACTGATCTTCCATGACAGTCTTGGAGTAGTCTCATGCACCCCAATCGTGTTTGGGGGATGGTAGTGCTCAAACTGGACATCAGTTACCGCAGCCATGATTTGTCACTGTGCCAACAGTTAGCACAACATCAGAAGGGGTTCGAGAAATTGATTACCTAGCTAGCTAAGATGAGATATTGGAGGAGTTGTTGGCCTTGGTGAATACCGATTGGGACATGTGCGTTTTCATGCGGAAAATAAGCTGCCAAACCCCTCAACCCTCGGTGCGCATTGCACCATGTCTTGAGATGCATGATGTCCTCGGGTTGTTCAAAGCAATAGTACCGAGCATCTTTGACCCCCAACGTAACAGAATGATCTACTTGGAGGGCACCTGGGCCGGACATGCAGATGCAACGCTGAGCTAGTGGTATCCACCCGTATCCGTACGTATTCCGTATAAATGCGGAGTCGTTCCTCTAGGATCTCGGAGCGGGGCAAAAGCTGAGTTGCCGTTGTCGGTATTTTTATGGGGATTTGGATCTTGTAGAAAAGTAACAATGGAGAAAGTCCGACATTTTTAGTATTGAATAACTTTGGAGAACGATGCGATCTAGCAGCCAATATGTGATACCAAGTTATGCTTATTTGCCATGGAATAGAAAACATTTGGATCTCAAAATATGTTTACTGGTTTAGAAGCATAGTCTAAGCCGCTAATATTGATTTCTTTCAAGTCTGGTTACTCTATGGATCCAAATAAAATCTGGTCGCATGCAGCCAGTTTGGTGTCATTTGATACTAGTAAACAAGCCTACCTTGGTTACTTATTTTATCAACCACCTGCCGATTTAGGTTGGAAAACCTCACCTGGAGCCTGCCAAGTTGAGGGACCTGGGTTATACGATATAGAATGAGCTTAGTGTGGGGTATTTGGTTCTCAACATGCACAATGCAAGGCACAGGTGTTAATTTAATCTTCAGAGTAATAGGACACAAATACCTCGGCATATCAACCTTCATCGTCATGTTTATCCAGATAAATGTTGATCACATACTATCTACCCAAATATAGAACGAGCTTGATTAATCGAAGAAAGACCATCTGTAGCCGAAAGTACGGATCCGGGAAGTCAACGGTGAAGTAGTTGGATGGCAAGGTATCTGTTGATGAAGACTCTAGGGACCAGAGAGTCTATACATTTATGGGCTTTATTAGGATATCTGACTTGCGAACTTACACTTTCAGGTTAAGCTTAGCCAGTGTTCTCATAACATCCTTGCATCAACCTTGTCAGAACTTGTCTAGTACGCCTCGTACTATTTGAGGATGGAGGTAATCAGCCGTTAACTTCGAATTACTACAGCTCGGCTGAAGTTCAGGGTCATTTGGCAAAGTGCAAAGGAATGCCTGATATTGCCGTATCCAACGCCAAAACTACATTATATGCATGCACCTAGATCTGAAAGAGGAGTAGCAACTTGGACGAAAATGCAGGGGATGGCATGGATTTGTGAAAGGTAACAATCATGGAGTTTTCAACCATTGATAAATTTCCTATTTTGATCTGATCTGAAATCGGAAATAGTCTCAACGTCATTCCTGTGGCTCGTTCCAGTCCAGTGAGTCCTGTCATATAGACTCGGTGGGTAAAGCAGATCCACTGAACGGTTCACTCATACACTATCATGCATTGGATCGCACTATGGGGACTCTCGCTTAGGGGCCCCAGGGCGCAATGAGATTTGCAGCACAGCCATCTTCACAAATACTCACCCCGCAAAATTGTTTGCCGAGGGATGCATGGGTGGTTTGTTGTAGCAACCTCTATGCGGCAACGTCATCGGTCATTACCAGTCTTCTGGTCAAATCCCCTAGTACTTTCAGAGGCACCATGCTTCTATAGATGGTAAACTAATATCTATTATAACTGGCAATTGGCAGGTTTCCTTCTATCACCAGCACCATGTTTGGCCTAGCTTAATGCACCCGTCACCTTGGCATCCTTCTTAGTGTTCGCTTCGAATCCCAATCTCAGTAGAGCAACCCCGTTAGCCAAGGCGCAGTTCTTTCAGCGCTTGTTACCTTCCATCACCACCGATCTTCATAGAAGTACTAGTGGTGGTTCCTGTGAATCCGAGCTTTATTTACAACTACCCGCATTTCATTTGACAGGATCTTGGGTAGCAATTTAGCGTATATTCGTATGCCGTATTTTCGTATCCCCAGTTTTAATCGGCACTTCCGGGGCTGACTAGCTGTCAATGTTGAAGCTGAAGACAAGAGTATAATCATAGAGTACTACATTGTCGAAAATACTATAAAGACCGCTAGTCTGCCCTGACTATGAGAATGCTTTCAACCAGGCTGCCCTCAGACGACCATCTCCCGACACGCCTCGCTGTTGTAGCCAGTTCACTCCTCCACAATGCTCTCAACTGCCATCGTGCTGGCTTTGGGCGCCACCATCTCAACCGCGCAGTCCGTGCCGTCGCCTCCTGCGCCGGAAGCTTTTCAGATTGTTGAGCTCCCACTCCCTCCCGTCGCTCCCAGCAACGATCAGGGTGCCTGTACAACGGAAATCAACCCTCGTGGCACTGGCTGTATCGCCAAAGCCGTAGGCGAATTCCAGTCAGGAGACTTCACCCCTGACGGCAACAACGTTGTTGTCAATGTCGAATTCGTCGGCGGCGCAGCGGGCAGTATCTACGCCGGCGAGCAGCTCATTCTTATCAAGGCTGACGGTACCAACTTCACTTCTGGTGACCCTTGGAAGTGCCTCAGCTGCGGCGTCCCTGCCGCCAATGCCGTCTCCCTAGACCCCCAGCGAGACTACCCTCACGTCTTCAGAAGCGGTACCAAGGCTCTTTGGGGCCACAACATCCTCGACTGCGGCGGCGAGCTTCTGGAAAGTAACACATGCACCCCGAACAACACGCACATTTATCCAATTCACTGGAATACTGCGGTGGATGGGTCCGGCAAAGGTGGCAGCCCACGTGAGATTCGCCTCCACCCCGACGATGTCCATATGGGCTGGAGCTCCTTTACCAACAATGGCGGCCAGTTTGCTTACTTTGGGCGTCTTGAGTTCAATGCCAAGCCTACCGTCGGAGAGCCCCTTGCTCCGCGATACGACTTGGTTGATGTGAACCTCCTTGTCGACCCTACTCGTTACGAGCCATACGTTGTCAACGGTACAGAACTGACGATCCGTGATGACACCATCAACGTTGGCGAGCTGCGCGGTTTCAGCGGCAATGGTGATGAGATCACGTACATTGGCAACCCCCGCGAGTCCAACAATATTGATGTCTTTGCTGTGCACGTCGAGACGGGTGTCGTCCGCAGACTGACCAGCCACCCCGAGTACACGGATCCCATGGCCTTCTCAGCCGACAACGATTGGTTCATCGCCATGGACACTCGTGGTACGGACCGCCAGATGTGGATGTCAGGCATGCGTGGAATTCCCCCGCTCATCGACCTCGTCGCGGTGACCGTCGCGTCCTCCACGCGCAACAACGGACCCCGGCGATTTTTCCAGCCCATCCTGATCGATCGCTACGGCGATCGCGGGGATTACTATGGTCAGCAGATCAACGCCGCGGGCGATGGCAGCAATGGCGCCGTCAACGACCCGAACTGGAACGGCCGTGCGGATCCTGCTTTCTCTCACGACAATACAAAGATCGTCTTCTGGCAGGCCCTTGTCGTTTCCCCTTCGTGCGGTGGAGTTAACCCGCTCCCCTGTCCCAAGTCTACTGCCCAGGGAGGACGAGAGTACCGAATCATGCTGGCTCACCGCACCAGCCGCAAGCCCACCAGCCCTGCTCCGGTGTACAAGGTTCCCGACCAGATTCCGTGGGCTACCCCTTTCCCCCCCGGCGCATCCACCCCGGATTCTTTTGGGGTGAAGCCCGGCAACTACACTCTTCGTGGCAAGGTCTCTGGCTCTGCGGACGTTGTCATCACCCCCGACGCAACCAGCGTCAGCGGCCTGGGCAGCGTGTCAGTCAACTACACCGACTTCTCCGACGACGGCGACCACATCTTGAACGGCCACGAGGACGTGACCGTCAAGATTTTGCTGCCCAACTTCTGGACCAACCAGGTGGACTGGGTTTCCGACATCGTTCAGACTGGAGTCGTGAACGCGACGAAGAAGACCGGCCCCGGTGGTTTCCACCTGATTATTGATGCTGAGCTGAACGTCTTTAACGCCAATGGCACTTTGACTACTACGATTGACGGTGTTGAGTACACGCAGCCGGCTAATGGTTCTTAATTACTCAGTTACTTAATTTTGTTAGGGGCCAAGATGGACGTGGTCCGAGTAGATACATAATTTACGTTCTTCATTACATAACTTATTCCTTTTCATTCTGCTGTTACTGCTCTGCTATTCGTAGCCTCGATTTCGGGTTGTCTGATTCGAACGTGTTAGCTTGGACCTGACAGACTTCCCCGATGGCCGCCGGGAATCCGAGAGAGGCTCAGCACCTAGGTAAGCAGAATCAAGAATATCTGTGAAAGACAAGCTCTTCTAATCTACCTTTCCAAGCCAAACCAAGAGCATAGCCGTCTTGGCAGGAGGATAAGTGGGAGAACTACAAACTCCATGGGAGAACGGTCTTTCTACGCCGATAATGCTACTCAATCCTTTCACCTGGCCACAAAACCCCACTCCGCCACTCTCTAAGGATGGTTAACATGAGCCCATGATTAGCATACCGCGCTCCAGATTCCTAAAATTCATTCAAAAGGAAAGACCTAGCAGAACTTTTTGCCAGTTTTGGTGATGACTTCAACGCTAGTCTGGTTCAACAGTGAGAAACCAATAGGAAACATCCGTATACGCAAATACGCGAGTCGCGCATGTTCCTTCCACTCTGGTGGGGTTACTTTGAACCAATACCACATCAGAACAACAATCAACAACCATCTAACCATATTAACAACCATCATGTGGTGACACATGATAATACCCCGCAACTAAGACGATTCCTGGAGAACAGTCGTCCTCGTCGGGAATCTTTGTTCCCCCCCCCCCAAGGGCCGCCATTAGCCCATGTAGTGTTTGCGGGGTCCCCATCCCCCCCGGATGGAACATCCCGTGTGTAAGCTCGGGGTATGGGGGAGTCTCCGAATACGAACAAGCAAAGACGGGGTCTTGCTGCGAAGAGTTTGGCGCAAGCAGTCCTTTTTCGGTCCTTGGCCGTGGCTCTCAACTCAGCTAGTGTTGGTCTGTCGGAAAACGGCGGATTTGATTTACATGGCGTGGTAAACACATTCTGTCCGGATGCCGCCGATGGCTTCTCGGCATCTGTCGGAAGTTTCGTGGTAATGCAAGCCGATCATCGCCAAGTAAAAAGGGAAAAGAATTATCAGCCGCATTTTTTTCGAGTTGTGTTTTCTCTTTTCTCCCAGGTTCCCAGACTCCTTCCCTTGGGTCGTTTGCGTTTCTTCAGCCTTCAACACATTTTTTTATCATGGCGTCTTCTCGTCCCGAAACGGGAAAACCGGCCAACGCTGTAGACTACGTCGAAGATCCTAATGAAGATGGAGTGAAGAAGGGTGATGCCACTGTTGACGCGGCACTCCGAGGACAGGCCGTCTCGGGTTATGAATCCCTTACCGTCTGGGAGACTGCGAAAGTCTTCAAAGTGGCGACATCGTCGTGCTTCGCAGCTGCCTTTGCTGCTGCTACCGATGGTTACCAAATCGGGTAACGCTCCCCATAGACCTCACAAGAGGGTGATTACCAACTAATGAGAATCTCTAACTGACTTGGACAAACTTATAGAATGAACGCCGGCATTGTGGCGAACAAGGGTTTCGTCCGTCAGTTCGCAACGCTCACCGACGCCACTGGAAAGCCATACCTCGACTCCCCCATCCTCTCGGGATGGAGCTCCATCATGTCCGTGGGCCAAGTCATCGGTATGACCACGATCCCGTTCATATCCTCCCGTTTCGGCCGGAAGATCGCCATGTTCACCACGTGGTTCATCCTCGCAATGAGCGTAATGGTCGAGAGCATCGCTCGCGCCTGGCCCGTCTGGCTCGTCGGAAAGCTGCTGGCCGGTATCGGCGTGGGATGTCTGCAGTCGACGCTCCCAATCTACATCGCCGAAGTGGCCCCCGTGCGAATCCGCGGCGGATTGCTGATGTGTTACTCCTTCTGGTGGACCGTCGGTACCTTTTTCGCTCACGTCGCGCTGCAGAGCCTGAACAAGAATGACCCGTACAACTACCTGAACCCCATCTACACGCAGTGGGCGCAGATTGGGCTCATGCTGGTCATTTTCGTCTTCCTGCCCGAGTCGCCGGCTTGGTGCGTGACCAGGAACGACGAGCAGAGGGCGAAGAAGTGCATGGCTTGGCTGAATCGCGGCGTCGAAGGGTTCAACCTCGACCAGCAGTACACGGCGCTCCTGATGACGGTCGAGCACGAGAAGGCTGTTGCGGCGGAGCAGAAGCGGGAGAAGTGGTACGCCATCTTCCAGGGTACCGACGGACTGCGCACGCTCGTTTCGCTGTGGACGAACTTGTCGCAGCAGTTCATCGGTCTCACCCTCTTCGCCACTTTCGGCACGTACTTTTTCCAACAAGCTGGCCTCCAAGACCCGTTCTTGATCAAGGCTATCACGTCGTCGATCAACATCGCGACTATCATCGTCACGATTCTTGTAGCTGACAAGCTGGGAAGAAGGTGGATTGGTTGCGGCGGTATCAGCGTTTGTTGGGCGGCGTGCGTGATCATTGGCATTCTGGGCGTCATCAAGGAGACCAAGGCCACGACGTATGTCTTTGTGCTTTTTGCATGCTTCTGGAGTAAGTTATCCCACCGCCATTCGGAATCGGACCCCCCCCCCCCCCCCCGGCCCGGGCTGACAGAGTACCCCACTAGACATCGGCATGACGGCCAGCGGCGCCGCCGGTTGGGGCTTCATTGGCGAAATCTCGTCGCAGCGCCTCCGACCTTATACCGCCGGTTTTGCGGCCGCTTGCACGGCGGTCATCGGCATCGTGATGAACGTCCTGGTTCCGTACATGGTCAACGCGAACAAGTGGAACTGGGGGTTGAAGACGGGCTGGTTCTACGCTGGCGTTGGCCTTCCATTCACCATCGGAATGTGGCTTCTCATCCCGGATACTGCTGGGTAAGTACAAAATCTGGATTTTAAGTCGTTGAGGAGTGATTAAGCTAACATCTTACGTTAGGCGCTCTGCTGCCGAGTTGGATGAGTTATTCGAGCGGAAGATTAAGCCGTGGCAGTTTCACAAGACACAGACAGCTACGCAGAACTTGGTCAATATGCAGAGGTTGGATCAGTAGTAATTATGATGCTACGAAGTATTCTAGAGTGGCCTTTCAGGTCGCCATTGAGAATGAATGTGTTATGGCTGGGCAAGCACCTATGAGTGCTAATAGGTCGCGATTCCGCAAAGGAACCATTCATCACAGCCTCTGGTGAGAAGGAAAAACGCTTTGCAATGATAAGACTGTATAATGATAAAGCCCTACGCGAGGGCCGGTTAAGAGGACATTTTAGACATGGCATGATAGAAATCTTCATGATAGCTTGGTATAACGAATCAACAAGATTTGGCTTGCATTCTCAATATATCACCATTAATTACTTTTGGAAACCTGTCGGGAGCATTCCGTAGATTCACGATAACCATTTAATAGCAAGTCAGCTCGAGCTTGGTCTGAATTCGAAATCGAGGCCCTTCCAGACTTTTGAGGTAGTGGAGCTAATACCTGGTCCGAAGGTTGGTTGGTCCACATCCCGGGCAATCTCAGTGCCGTCTTTGCCGTTGACAAGCAAAGCAAGTCAAACGTGCTTGCCACACGGCCTTGTTTCCGAGATTGCAATGCGCTATACTCCGTACTCAAGTAATAACCTAATTGAGTATCGATACCGGCTTAATTGTGCCGGCAGCCGATAAGCTCTGTGAATCATTGTTATGCTTATACAGCAAACTTACTTGATGATCTTAAGCAATGTGTATTAGGCTGTGTTGCATCTACCCAGGCGGGCCGAGGAGGTCGTACAGCATGGCCAATGCTATTATATGTATTCGAACAATCATGCTAGGTCTAAGCGGCGTGTATTTTGATCCAATAGCAATCTGCGATCCGTGCATTTTGACGTTTGTAGTCAATCGGCCGTCGTAAGAAGTTAATTGCGGTACACGAAGCAGGCCACCCGGCAGCTTGCAGTTTCTCTATCATTTTTTCAACAGCGACCGGAACACGGCTCTCTCAGCCAGTCTAGGAGACCGTCAGCATGATGGCATTGTTTCGCAATTCTAGTCGGTGAAGCCATCCCGCCCATGTCGATGACATGGGAGCTTACAAGATGGTGTTTGCTCACTTAGATTGAGACGAGAACGAACCACCTGAAGCCGACAGGCGCATCTCGACAATCAAAGCGAAGCAAGCATCGGCTACACGATGCCGTGGACATGCAGATTTCCAAGTGAGATATCAAATAAAGGGAAGAGAGAAAAAATGACCCTTTGGTCAATTTCGTCAGGTGTGTTATTTTCCGCGGGACTCTGCCCGACCAACGCGGTGCGGGCCAGGGGCACTTGCGGAGGCCAAGCTTTTGTGTCATGTAGCGGGAAGACGACGTACAGGGGGCTGGGGGCCTACGCCGGGGCAAGACCGATGGTCGTCCGTGCCGATGGTCCGGTATCCCTTCTCCGCCCCCCGTCGCAGATAGAACAGTCGCAAGCCGATTGTTCCTCCACCCCAGGAAAAGGACTGGTGAACTGAGTCAACTGCGATTATGGTGGAAATGGATGGAATATGGGACGAACTACAGCATCTGGATCTGGAGACGTGTTACGGATACTATCATACTCTATATTGTCTCTAGCGGTTCTAGGAATTACTAACATCATAATGTTAGACATGGTAAAGCAAACGAAGTCTAGCTTTAAAACAGTCATAGCAAATACTCCAGAGTCCAGAATGAACATTGCCGTTATGTCCAAGGGCATAAGCGGTGCTACCAGTCAGAAAGATTGCCGTTCTCATTCTATGTACACTCTAATACACGATGTTTTGATTCAAACGCTGACGCCATGACCCCAGGCGACGCGTCCCTGTGAGAATTATTGGCATAGTCACAGAGGACTGCTTGACCTACCCACACAGAACAGGGTACATGTGTGACCTTCACATGTCTAAGATTGGGTATCGCTGCAGCAGCGGCTATTCATCCGCCTCGTCCTCGCCAAGCGGTCGACAACAAGGCAGCGACGTTCCTGGGCAGCATGAGGGATGATATTAAAACCGGGACAGAACCAATTGTTCGTGTAAGCTGGAGCCCGGCAACAAGGCCGACCGAAATCACGCAGGCGGCTCGGGTCCGGGGACGAGGGTTGCAAAATTCGGGTCGGTGAGGGCAGGTTAATCTAAAAAAGGTCTGCGCGTGCCCAGAAAGGAGGATATCAAAATTACGAGGTACCCGGAAATCGATACGTAAGATTCAATAGGGCATTTTTGGGGGAGAGGAGAAGCACGCATCCAGAAGCAATGGATACAAATGCGGTATGTGGCTCCCGAAGACGGTGGGCGTATATTACAAGGAGCGGATAACCCGTATATTGGATTTCCATATGGGGGCCGATTCGAACGGAGCTACACAACGTCATCGGTTAACAGGGCACGCCCCTGTATCCCACTTCCATGTAAGTCGTTGAGCAGGTGCCAAGGTATCCAGGGGGGGGATATTGAATAGAACGAGGAGAATAGAAAAATACTAGAAAATCACTGAGAGGGCAAGACGCTCGGGGCAGGTCAGGGTCAACCAGGAGCCCTGGACAATGGAAGTTAAAAGTCAAGCTAAGGCAACCGTCCCCGTGGCTGCCATGGGCACAGCAAAGCAAAAGGCGATGCCGTGGAGGTAGAATTAATTGGTAGATTATTGGACAGGGGGTGAAGAGGGAAAAAAACACACTGAAAAGACGCTGATGCCAAGCATTAGTGGACGTGGATCCCGAGGGGTGGAGGTTACAGTTTCAGGCCATGCAAAATTTGGGTCCAGGGGCTGCTTCCCTGCCCCCCTTTCCAGCGAGTTTTTCACTGGAGCGATCGGTCTAGCGGCAGCCTGGTTGGTTCGTCTGGAACAGGCACAGCGGCAAGGGCCCCTGTCGATCCCCTGAACTACAGTAAGAGCCCCCTGGAACATACAGACACCACGGACATGAAGTCCCCAAAGGGTTGGTTGGGCCAGAACCTGATCTCATTGGTCAAGCCGCATTGGAACTGCCGGTCCGAGGGATATTCCGTGATGACTCAGCTATCCACCCACACAGAAAGTAGGCGCTGACCAGACAGAGTTACGGCTGCCTCCGCCTCACAAACATTAGGCGACGATCTCGAACAATTAATTCTGGCCAGCTGCACCCCTGAACAACCACATCAAGGGCCACTTCGGCGAGGCCACCACATGGCCCAACAACAACAGCACCAACGTCAACGCACAATTCTTGCATATCCTTGAACCCCGTCACAAAGTCAGCAGAAATGTCAGCAGCTCGGGATCGAGCTTGCTGCACAGAGTTGCGGATAGATTGCCCGACTACCACCCACCAGCCGTCAGCAACCCACTATCCGCCACATCCCAGTCATGGGCTATCCCAACTATCCAACATCCCTCCATCCGTACCTGCATTGGCGCCTCTCGATTCCATGAACCCATCTCCGTTGTCATCTCCATTCTCATCCACTGCCAACTTACACCGGGGACTACCATCTCCATTGAATCTCGCAAGATGCCTTCACCGTGGGCTCATGCCCTGAAAGCCAAGACTCGAACCGGTATTTGCTCAGCCCATCGCGCACCAGGGTAGGCATTAGCTCTCGCTTTTGTTCCATGGTCAACAGATCCCGAATCGAAACAGGCCAGGTCCAGATCCGCTGCTTCGAGAACAGACGGTCTGGAGGCGCTGAGAGATGAACGCCAAGCGCTGCCATGCTTCCTTCTCGTCTTTTTTAGATCCTCCACTATCCGCCAGGAGGGCGGCAAGCCATAGGACGCCCAGGCCCAGTAAGCGATGCACTGCATCCTTCGTCACCTCCATCTCATTAACCATCATACACCTGGCGCGCCTCCACCCAGTTTGCTTCTTTCGTTCCGTCTCCTCGCCGCAAAATACCCGCCCCCCGACTCGTCATCACCTCTAGGCATCAAATCTCCAGTTCTCCAGTCAATCGGTTATCGGCTGCCGCTGAAACTGGCTAGACCTGTCATCGCAGCAATCTGTTCGGTGATCCATCATGATGAGCCGGACTGTCAGGCAGTCAGGCGGTGCCACTGTCTCACTTCGAGACCAGGCATTGCCCTGCTTATTCCCACCAGGCATGGAGCTTTCAGCGCTACTGTAGAGTAGTATGTTGACAGAAGCAAACTGATCGTGGCACTGGCCAGAGTTTCCCTACGCTCAGACGAACCGCCAAGCTGCCTGCTGTCAACCATCCCAGCTCAGCAGCCTGTCTGCCCTGTCACTTCATTTCTTCTTCTCCCTCGCCCCTTTGTTTACTGCTTCCTTGGCCAAGGCCAAGGCTGGCTCTCAGACCTTGAGATCTTCTCGCTTCAAGCCCACTCGCTTGTTGTTGTTGACCAACACTGTCTGTGAGCATACTATAGCTTCAAACCATGAGTTATGATCTTCGTTATCGGTGCTACCTCATCTTCCCTAAGCCACTCCATCGTACGTAGCGGCCGTCCAAGCGAGTTGCTTGCGTTGCTTGCCGCGCATCCATCCTACCGTTTCTTTGCGCCCTAAATACGGGCCATCTCAATTCTCGTACGGCCTAGCCAGCCTACACTGTGACCTCGTCTGCCAACCCTGCAAGGCGGGATGCAACCAAGTCACCACCTTCATTTACGCTGAAACGTCTTGATTTCGCGACGGCTACTTGGTATGGCCACCCTCCCCGCTTGTTTCCTAGCCCTGGGCCTATGGGCAACTTTCCAGCGGCGTTGGCGTCGCCTCGGCTTCTGCTTGTGACCTAGATCCCGGGCCCAAAGACGGGGGCAGACGCCGGCCCCATAGCCCCTCTTCCACCCACTACACACTACTCCTGGCGTCCGTCATGCAGGGTGCGCGCCTCCTGCTTCAACGTCGAACCCCACCCGCCAAAGACAGACCTCGCGGCTTTTTCACAACACTGCTTCATACCATTAGTGTACCTTACCGACTTTGCCTGCCTGCCACCACCAGTCACTGGCAGCTTTGGATTTGCACAGGGAGGGGGGGGGGGGGTGGGCTGGCTCCTTAGACAAGGCCCCTGAACCACCTTTTTTTCCCTCATTGACGGAGATGGGGCCGCAGTGGTCTTAGCAAACCAGCATGGGATGAGAGTTGGCGCAGTCTCCTGATGGCCTGGTCGAAATTTGAACTGCACCCACGCTTACGCAGGTCCTAGGGCAACCGGGGTAACACACATCGATGGAGTGGTTCCAGGTCCATCTCGAGATATAAGGCTCCCGTCTCTTCGCCATTGCTTCACTCGTTTCCCTTTCCTCCTCACCCATCAAGTTCGCTCGCAGCTTTCCATTCCCACACTCTTTTTCGCTTTCACAGCACCTTTCTTTCATTTGCATCATTCACTCACTTCATTGACTGAAGTTGACCATCTTTTCGACTTGAAGTCTATCCACTCATTCCTACGAACCGAATTACACATCCCAACTTTTGGAAAAAAGCCCATATACATCACACACATACCGCAAAAATGCCTTCCTTCAAGACCTCCGCTGTTGTTTCCGCCCTTGCTGGCGCCGCCACCGTCATGGCCCACGGCCACGTCAACTACTTCACCGTTGACGGCAAGTACTACCAGGGCTACGATGTCACCTCTTACCCCTACCAGGCCAGCCCCCCTGAGGTCTACGGATGGTAAGCCCTCTTTGCGTCCCTGAAGTTATTCACGGGATCACAGCCATGCTAACGATACTTCTCAGGTCCGCCACCAACACCGACAACGGCTTCGTCGATGCCACCAGCTACTCCAGCGGCGACATCATCTGCCACAAGGGCGCCAAGAACGCCGCTCTGACCGCCACCGCCGCCCCCGGCTCCAAGGTCGAGATCTTCTGGGACACCTGGCCCGAGTCCCACAAGGGCCCCGTCATCGACTACCTCGCCCCTTGCGGCTCTGACTGCTCTACCGTTGACAAGGCCAGCCTCGAGTTCTTCAAGATCCAGGAGCAGGGCAAGATCGACGACTCTCTCCAGAACGGCAAGTGGGCTTCTGATGTCCTCATTGCCAACAACAACTCCTGGACCTTGACCATCCCCAAGAACGTCAAGGCTGGCAAGTACGTCCTCCGCCACGAGATCATTGCCCTCCACGCCGCCGGCCAGGAGAACGGTGCCCAGAACTACCCCCAGTGCTTCAACCTCGAGATCACTGGCTCCGGCTCTGAGGCCCCCGCCGGCACCCTCGGCACCGCCCTCTACAAGGCCAACGACGCCGGCATCCTCGTCTCCATCTACAACAACCTGAAGTCCTACGTCATCCCCGGCCCCAAGATCGACTCTGCCTTCAGCAGCGGCTCTGGCTCTGACTCCGGCTCTGACTCTCCTGCTCCCTCCGCCACCGCTCCTGCCGCTTCCGCCACTGCCCCCGCTGCCTCTGCCAGCGCCCCTGCTGTCACCTCCGCTGCTCCCGCTGCCACCACCTCCGCTGCCGCTGCCCCCGCTGTTACCTCTGCCGCCGCTGCCCAGCCCACTGGTGGTGCCTCCAAGCCCACCTGCGAGGAGAAGCGCCGCCGCCGTCTTGCGCGCCGCATGGAGCGCCAGCACGCCCGCGACGTCGTCCGCCGCAACTAAGTCTTGCGCGTCTAACTTTGAGTAAACCTCACTCCTTTACGGGGTTATAGCTCAGTCACGCAAGGCATGACGACATGACAATTGCTTTGTTGGAAAATTTTCACATGTATATATAAACAACACTTGTTGGTTTCGTGTAAAACACCCCCTTCAAAAAAGCCTTGGGCTTTTGGAATGATGGCTTCGAGCCTTGGCTCCGGCAGCGCCGGTGCGAAGAATCATATCTAGACGAATGGAAAGGGGCGAGCCGAAAAATGATCGGTCGTCCTGACATTAGTACAAACTTCTTTGCCTCTGCTTTTTTTGTGATTTGTATGTTTGTGTGAATAGTATCGTCTTGATCCTTGAGAAATCTGTAGGTTTCTAGATCGTCACCAGTCAACGACAGATCATGCCGATCTGTGATGGATCCACCCGTGTCATAGAGCTACTTTATTTCATGGTCCTGCAATGACACAACTGACGTTCCCCTGAAGCGCATCCCAGCGTCTTAACATACCACGTTATAGCTGCTTCGGGCCAATTCCTCGTCAGCATCTTCACATCCTTGATCGCGGACGCCGTTACCCCCCTCCCCCTTTCATTTGTTTGACCGGCCATCTTTTCCGTCGTCCGAACCCTTTTTTCCCACCGTGTCCGTCTGACTCGGTCTCGCCGGCCCGTCATCAACCGGCTGACAGAGTCATTCATTCCATGGGCGTTTAACACACTTTCTTTGTTCTGACTCCGTACCCCGTGCAATAACCGCAAACTCTATCCGACGATCTCTTTTTTTTTTTTTTTTTCACTCCGTGTCATCCCTGATCGCGCAACCAGCATACAAGGATTCTTATAGATTTAGAGTGTTTCGCGGGATAACCTAATGTGCCGAGATAAACCATGACACCAGCCACAGCTCCGATTAATATCCACCAGCCACACCTGCTCATCCTCACTCCCTCGCAGCCACATCGGTTCCCTATCCGTCTTGTCCCTTGTGGCTGGTGGACGGGCGTCAGCGAGGGGGGGCGTCCTGCAACGGCCATTGATTGGCTCTCCCGCGTGCGATCCTCGCTTATCTTCCGGCAATGAGGAGGTGGCATGTTCTTTTAGACATTGGTATTGATCAACGCCTCGACGGGCAGAGAGGCCAATCAAGGCGCAACCGTGCCTTTGGGATTCGGAGATAGCTGGTGAAGGATGCGCGGGGAGATCTTGATGTCCTTGTTTTCTGTGCCTTGGGGGGGGGGGGATGCAAAGTTTGGATTTTGGCGCCCTGCATCTCAGGTACGGAAATATGTAGGTATCTAAATTGAGGTCGTGTCACCAACCATCCCCCCGGATCATTGAACCAGGTCGGCGGATCTGCCCTTTTTTTTGTTCATGCTGTGTCTAGAACACGGCTGTTTCGACGATTTTTAGCATGTCAAGGCTACTTGTACTTCCTCTCAGTTTAGAGTAAGTTTATCAATGCGCAAAATGGCGAGTGTTTGGTAGAGGCAGTTAAACGGCGAGCGACCGTGTGAATATGAGTCTTAGTCCGAAACCTTTGGTCCAGCCAAACGTGGAGATTAACTGCCCACGCCACACGATAAGCCCACAAACGCCTCGCGGCAACATGTGGGAACTGGTTCATCATGAATGCATCACAGTTCGTCCCATTCTGTGTCTTATTTTTCCGTAAGTATCTCTCTCTCTCTCTCTGAAGAGTGATCTCGCGCGCGGGGGGCATAGAGAAAAGAGGCGAAAAAAAAAAATGAGGGCCATTATCTATAGTATAAGGTACCCGTCGTCCGCTGATTGCCCCGCAAAAAACCTCCTGCACGACATGTCGCTGCCTTTCTACTTCGAGGCAAACAGGTGCACTTCGAACAGTGTGTCCTAGTATATACTATTTTATTTCCGGGGGGAACACCTTATCTTATCAGCTGGGCATCATCATTCAACGGTAATGCCGGTTTAAGACGTCCCCTCTGGAAGCCAAAAAAAAGATGGGATGAGACGGGCATAGAGATAAGAGTCCTGTTGGTCTGGCCCGTCTTTGCAGTTGCGACGGTCCTTATCTCTTGGCGGGTCCCCCCCGGAACATACATACATACATACATACATACATACATCCCCCCCTCCCCTTCCCCCTCCCTTCCCCAAGCCCCTTATCTATGGTTTGTCTGTAGCCACTCACGGGACGTAGTAGACTTCGAGTAGGGGTTAAAGACGGCCACTGAGACGAGAGATCGATATTATTCATACTCATTGCCTAACGAACTTGGGGGGATCGCAGGGGGGGTTTTTCTTCTGATCTTCGAGTGCATGTCTCTTTTGCCCTTGGGGGAAAAGCTTGTCTCTGCACGGTGTTGCGGCACCTGAGAGTGTGTGGGAGGACAAGATTGTCTGGGATGAACGAGACGGAGGAGTCCCTGCTTGCCGCTTGTGTACATGACTATTATTGAGTTTTGAGAGATAAGGAAATTGAACATCTCTCGATATATCACTGTCGATGTCCCGCCCTGATCTGCTTCGTTTTTTTGATGACGGCCGTGTTGAATTCTGCATTCTGATATATACCCCTTTTTGTCTTTCTTCTTTGGTGGCACACATTGTGATAAAGTGACTTATTGTGTTATCCTCGTTTCGGTTATACCATTGGAAGTTTTGTCATCCTGATCAGAATCCGATATGGCGGACTCAATCATGGAAAAGGAGAAGAATATCACTCCTTCATCTTCAGAAGAACATGGACTAGGAAACACAACGCAAGAAGTTACTCTCACAAAGGACGGCTTCAGTGTCCATCCGCAACCCATCCAAGATGACCCCTTGGACCCCCTCAACTGGTCACCGTTCCAGAAGAACGTCATCCTCGCCATCGTCATGGCATTGTACGTTACTCCCGCCACCCCTCCCCCCCGCGGGAAGTGACTTTTTTTTTCTCACACTGACAATGATTCAAAACAACAACAGATACTTCATGTTCACATACATCACAACGACAACAGTCCCCTCCTTTCCCGAGATCCAAGAACAATATTCCCTCACCCTCGAGATGGTAAACTGGACCGTCGCCATCCCCGCTCTAGGCCTCGCACTCGGGCCTCTGATCTGGTCTTCCCCCGCAGACATCATCGGCCGCCGCCCCGTCTTCATCCTCGGAACCATCGTTGCCTTCGCCGCCACCATCGGAGCCGCCAAGGCTGATTCGTACGGGGGATACATGGCCGCCCGTCTCTTCCAGGGTTTGGGAGTCAGTCCCGCAGCGACTGTAGGTTTGGCAATCATCAACGACATGTTCTTCGAACACGAGCGCGGACAAAAGGTGGGACTGTGGGTGTTGGCCATCGATTTGGGTCTGCTCACGGGTCCCCTGGTGGGAGGCTTCGTGGACCTGATCGACCATTACTGGATCCAGTGGCTTACGGCCATCTTCTTCGCCGTCATCTTGATCGCCGAGTTGGCTTTCCTGCCCGAAACCCTTTACCCCAGGGATTTCATGCTGTCCAAGACGAAGGGTGTTATGCCTTCCACCGGTGTAAGTGATGAGAAGGACCTTGCGAGGGCAACTGTTGCCGCGGAGGAAGTGAATGTGCCCAGGACGAAAAAGCTCGGCTTTGCCAACCTGAAGCCCGTGCCGGCTATGAGACACCCCAAGCCATGGGACTCGGTCATTCGGTTCGGAAAACTGTTCATGTTCCCCGTCGTGCCCATCGCAACGGGCGTGTACTGCTTCGGTTGGTATTGGTGGGTGTTGTCAGTCATCACGATGATTCCCGTCGCGTACGCCGACTACTCGCCGCAGACTCAGGGGTAAGTGGACCATGACACACTCTGAACGGACGGGGGACAACCATCTGACTTTGGCCGCAGCCTGTTCTTCATCGGACTCATCGTCGGCACCCTCATCTCCGAGATATTCTTCTCCGGCAAGCTCAGCGACTGGCTCGTCGTCAAGCTGGCGAAGCGCAACGACGGCACAAAGACGGCTGAGATGCGTCTCTGGCTCGCATACCCCGCTGCCATCCTTACTGCCGTCGGCCTCATCGTCTGGGGTGTCAGTATTGACAAGGGGTATCACTGGATGGTGGGACAAGTTGCTTTTGCCCTTTGTAAGTCGCCACCACCACCTAGCTTCGTCTGTATCTGACACTTTACTAACCGATGATGTTAAGTCGGCGCCGGGATACAGATGGGCAACACGGCAATCTGCTCGTACATTGTCGACGCGTACCCGCTGCAGAGCATGGCCGTCATCACGTTCTACGCCGTCCTCCTCAACTTTAGCGCCTTCGTCGACCCCTTCTTCATCGCGCCGTGGGTTGACAACGTGGGATACACGTGGGCCTTCGCGGGGCATGCGATTATAACGGTGTTTTTCTGTATCCCTGCGCTTGCGTCCCTGCATTGGTTTGGCGGTTCTATTAGGGAGCGCTGTGGAGCTCCTGATTGGGTTAATCCGGAGTATGATCATGATGTTGTCGGAGATGCGTAGGATGTGTTTTTAGAGTAGTAAAGTTAATGCGATTATGAGTCAGTTATGTTTCTTGTGCCCGACTACGGCGCTCTCAATTTGTTCGGAGAAAGTTTGATTTGTCGGCGTTGAGTTGGACATTGTAGTGGGAATCCAAACAAAAGTCTTCTGGCCCGGAAGTCCAAGCTGATGTATCTGTAGATGTGAAAGTAGCTGAAATTGAAAAGGTTGTTTCAGAGCATGGCATATCCAGGCCACGGGTATTGATTTCTATGTCGTCACTATTTACTGTCGATTTCAATGTTTGCGGGCGATAATTTGTGTCGTGTTTCTAGGAGAAAAGTTTACATCTAGTACGATCGATAAGAAGTAGGCGAAAGAAGCGATATTGTCCTATTATGTATGCACATGCAGTGGGATGGTCGGTTTTGAGCACCACAAGAGCTTCCACTACGGTCCGTATACTACTAAATGGCGACACACTGGCCCGATATTAAAAGATGCGAAACGAGTCTAGAATTTTCCATGCCAAGGCACATCCATCACCAAGGTAGAAGTGGTGAAACCGACGTTGGCGTGTTTAGAAGCGAATCTACTTTAACCAGGAGTACTAGTCTCTGATCCTTGATGTATTTCAAGCTTTCAATCAATCATGGTTTAAGTTTTGCCCAGATTGATCACTTACAAACGGTCTGCTTTGTAGTCAAAGAACACTTGCGAAGAGGCCGTTGGTACTGCTCTAAACCTAACAGTTCTGTTGAAATTTGCATTTACAAAAGAAGGGCAAAACACAGAATTGATCAACTACGAAGGTATATAAGAAATCACCGCTTGCAACCCCAGACCGCGTCCGTATGCTCGACCACTTCGCAGACTCAATGCCCTGTCATGTCAGATCACAGCTTGCCAGCCTATCTCTTGCATAGGCCATTGGATATAAAACCTATGCTCTTCTCCAAGTACCCGCCAAATCTCTTCTATAAGATGAGAAGACCATCCCTGCATCCACCAACAAGCCTCTAGCGACTTCAGAAGCACACAGTAATGCGCGAAAATGATGAGAGCTTCTGGCTGACGCTGAATCAATAACTCTATGAACTCACTACAACATTGATACGGCCATGAAAGTACGTTCGATGTTTCCGAGACACCTAGGCTCTCGCCGGGGTCGGCTCCGTGAGTCGGATTAGGCACTGGCCGCGGCGCCAGGTGATGCCTGCAGAAACACGCTTCCAAGTTATCGATATTCTTCAGGTATATAGCTTCTTGGTGCGAATTCGCCAATGTGTTGCGGATCATCTGGCGTAATGATGATAGCTGACGGTGCTCAATAGTTGAAAGCCATGTGCTAGAGGATGGAAGGACAGATTCGCTACCGATTGGTCTGACTCGTGATGTTCCCTTCACGACCAACGGAGAGAGAGGGCCCGTCATGAGCTCTTCTGATGCAGAGTCAAAAATATGCCGCATCCCTCTAAACATGACGAGCCAATCTGCAATTCCGCTAGAGTTTGTGAGAAGCATATCGCCCACCGTTCTTGGCGATGCAACTGCGTAAAAAAAAGTCAAAATCGAAAAGATGTAGAGCGCCGAGGCGTTTCCGCTTATGACGTTCCGCAGCAGTACTGTGGCTTCTCGGAGTGCTGCTTCGTGCTCTGACTTGGCCAGAGCGATGTAATGTTCTCTTTTAGAAGGAGATAAGCGCGATAGATGTAACGCCGTGATGGCAAAGAGACCACGCATCACAAATCCATGGGTGAATCCGAGTTTTGGGACGTTGATGCGCCACACTGTCCGTAGAGCAACATCGGCCGACAACGAATAGCTGGTTAGAGTTGTGTAGGTGTGCAGTAGTTCCAGATGCACAAAGTTCATGTCCATATGCGATGCAAGTCCATTTTCGAAAGATCTTATATCGGTATTGGGTCTACTGAGCGTCACTTGTGGAGACCCTACCTCGAATACGCATTCGCTTGAGTACTTGATGCAGTTGCGGCATAACGGTTTCTGTTCGTCGCACTGTAATCATGTCAGCCTCGGCGTTGTGAGTAATATCAACCCTCCGGCGTACTTTAATCTTCCTGCGCTTACAGGTGCCGCACCCTGTGCGAACTTTGCGATGCCTTCGCCGAGGCCCAGTTGCATTTGACACCGGGCCGGACCCGACAGATTCAAGCATGGTCTGAGGTTGATTATGGAAGAAACTAGTACGGAGTCTCGGCTGCACCTAGGCGATGCAAAGACTAGCTTATGGGTCACCGCAAGGGTATTTGCGTAAATGATGATGCCGGTTGGATGGGAGCTTGTAACTCGGACCTGTTCCGAGATATTTCGTTTAGGATGTCGTACCGAACAAGTGGGATGCGAATGATCATTCACGTTAAATAGTTATGGTCTTATCACGTGCTCTAGCTTGGTTGAACAAAAAACTTGATACAAGAGCGCGGAGGACGGACGACTGGAGTACGAGGTTGATGACTTTTGTATACGCGTATTCGGGCTTTGAATTGCCTAAATACAAGTACAATTACTCCATTATAAACTGGGGTGACCATGTCATGTTATACCCTTGCAGACCACACAGCCTATGGCCATGGGCCTATCAAGGAATACGGAGCGACTGCACGGGCTCAAAATGAACTACCATTTGGCTTTCAAACTTTTGCCAACTACTTGACTCATATCCAAGTGATTATGAAAGAATTATACTTGCATCGTATTTCACAACGATGATCATGAGAGCCACGGTTTCGAATTACTTTGCCTTAATTGCTTTCAATGTGGAAATGCTAGCTAACTACGAGCGCTGCAAAGTAACTACATTCCGTGATATAAACTATTATGCAATATACTAGAAGCGAATGTTCCCGAATTGGCCTGAGTTTACAGGAGAAAGTGACTGCGCTCACTAGCCATAGTGTGTGCGTGGAAGGTTTTGTTATAGGGTATGAAAGATATCACCTCGGTTCATTGATTTTTGACCTTCGAATGAACCAAAACCCCCCAGATGGCCTAGTGACCACCGCCAAGGAAGGACAGTTGCTCCACGTGACCAAAAAAGCTGACATTTTGTCCATCCCACGTTCCGGTACCTTGGCCATAAGCTTCAGTAATGTTGTAGCCCTTATAACCTTTTCCTGCCGTGACTTCACCCTTGGCTGGATACTGCTGGATTTGAAAGCTTGCATTCCGAGTGGGCATATCGATTCGGAACTGACTGAAGTAGTTCAGTCCAGTTACAGGACTAACCCATTTCTCCAACGCTCTGGAAGTACCGGCAATCTCGACAACTTCGTGTAAGCCATCAGGATGCCAAACAGTCGCCCATGCACGTTCATTCAGTGTACCATCGGTGGTGGGCGCCAAGGTCCAGGTATGGATCATGATGCCATTGGAAAGGTACAGCCAGAATCCGAGGTGTCCTCCTGGAATTCCGAAGACACCACTCTGGCGCTCAAAGAATGCAAATGAGTTATCATAGTCGATTGCTTCGCTGCGCCCATCAATCTCAATCGTGCCATTAACCCGCATAGTTGGATTGCCCTGTACGTCGCCATGTCAGCTATGTTAACCAGCTCTTTTTCACTCTTGGTGTAGATCTTACCCAGTACCAAGAATACCCAGGAATAAGGCGGCGATAATCATCATGGTCCTTCACGAAGGAAGAGGGACCAATTGTAACACCACCGCTGCCGCCAACATAGAGATTCTTTCCGGTTGGATTAAAAGTCACATCAATCTTTACTCCAGAGAAGTCGCTGGAGTACTGCAGGGTAGTGTAGTTATCTCCGCCAGCTGGACTAGAGAAGTTCTGTGGGATGGATTGCAAGAAAACTTGATCATCACGGCCCACGCCTGGAGCCATAGCGGTACCTCCGACAGCTGGTGCCTCTAAGTTCTGGAGGTCATTCAACACGTAGATGCCGGTTGTCATGTTGAAAAAATGGTTCGGAGCAACCGTGACATGATACTTGCGGCCATCCGTAAGGGTTACCCAGAGGAGGAAGAAGTAACTGTTTAAAGGACAGAGCATTAGCGAGCCACTTTGACTAGCCTGAGTTGGCCGGCATCACTGACCTGCTAAGATTTTCATCACCAGGATCGAGCCATGCCATGTGCTTCCGAACATCATAGCGACCGACATTCGTCTTAAGATTAAGTTAGCTAGAGCGCGAGGCAAAGAACTTGAAAGCTGAAATCGTCCGTACCCCATCATTCTGTATAGTGCTAGGAGGAAACTGAGGCGGAGCAAAGCTAGGAATATCGATTCCCGCCACTGACAGCAATAGCGCAGAGAACGCAAGAACCGATCGCATGGTGGAAACTCTGGTCGTTTTTATGCCAATGGTAGGCTAAAATTCATCTCGTCTTTGTAGCTGAAGTAGGCAGTTAGAAAATCTTTTGACCAAGCAGGTATCATGGCTTTATATAATCTTGAATTTGCGTATTTCTACATAAGCCTGCAATGACTTTTATTGACCGTCTCAATGATACCATAGGACTGAGATCATGCCAGGGTGACCAAGTTTGGTTTAGCCAATCGCCATTCGGAACTAAACGAATCCTCGGACCGAGTCCGATCGCACCTCGTAACTTCTCCGAGTTGTGATTTCATAGGCCGAGTGACCTCACATGGGTTTCCCACGCCTTCAATCTCTGAGTATATTGCGGCATGTCGTAATGGGGATGACTAAACACGTAACCGCCTCGAAGTAACACCCTCAGTAAAGGTTCATTGTGGATCATCCAAACATCTCCAAGGATGTCCGACCTTGAAATTCCTTGAAAAGTGCTGAGCTCGCCTGCGCATCCTGTCTATCCAGGTGCTACAGACCTGTAAACAACGTCTTTTACCGTACCAAAGAGCGCGAAATCGGTGGTTGGGTAATTCTACTATGCAAAGCTACGACTTCCATTATAATGACAAATTTTCTATGTAACCCATTTTCTTCTTAGGTTGATGTTAAGAACCCACAACCAGTAAGTGATATTATTTTTACAAACTAATCACAAAGCGCGAATAGGGATAGTTTAGGTATAGGAGTTTTCTTGCGTGGTTTCCTCTGAGGAGAAGTTTAGCCTTTCCTAATGGAAGCTTTACTCAACAGGCGGCGACAGCCGGTATTCCCCAATATTAATATGGGGGATTAATTCCAAGCTGCCCGTATAATGTCTTTAGAAAGGGCGCCAAGACATACAGAGCACAGAAGGAACTATATTAAGTAGGATAGTTAGGCTTTTGTTCAAGAGATAATTTATGAACTTAAAGTTATTTCGGCTCATCAAACGTAATGTATGATAGGTAGATGCAGTCTCGTTGATGTAACAAAAGCAATAACAGGAACTGCTCCCAGAACTGGGATAAATATTCTCTGGATACAATCCCTGAAGGCTTTTGCCTGGGCTGATGTTGTCTTATTCCTAGTATGCATGTCAAACCGCCTCTTTCACGGAGGGATAATTCTTCACGCCCTTGCATGATATGTATCAAATGTTTAAGAAGGGGCCAGTGTTCGACAATTGATTGGAAACTTTGGCTAAAGTCAGATTCTTCATTCCTTGCAAGCGTTTACTAGTGAGTTGGTCTGCCTTGTGCATAGGTAATCTTTTTCATTTTCTTCAATAAGAAAAACCAAAAATAGCCCCACGTAACCTTGAATCACTTTTACAACAACTTTAAGCCAAAAATATTTCGTCTTCCCAAGGCAAGAATGCAGGAGCAGGATCTCCTTCCCCAGTGCAACTCGCCACGAGTAGCGGCTCAGTTGTGTTCTGCGACGAACCAGCATCGCTAACAACTCTCACACCAAACTCTCCAGGGCCGCCGGCGTTGCCGTACAAGATACGGTAAGGAATGTACTGGCTCGGCCCATCGAATGGCTCGACCGTAAAGCTGTGCAGGACAGGCACTGTGCTGCAGCATCGACTCGCGATGTCGCTGTTGCTGGCACTGACCGCGCCAGACTCGGCGTCGTCACCAACCCAGACAAGAACGACATCGTCATTTCCTTGGCTGATAACCGTGTAGTTGCCGGGCGTGGTGACCTCGATGTAGCCGCGGTGGTCGACGACATTGCATTCAAAGGTCGAGTCCTCTGGGCCCTGAACGCCGTAGTGTTCAATGGGAAGAGAAGCCTGATCGCCGGTTCGGAATAAACTGACGTTGCCGAATCCGGGTGTCAGGCCGGTGGCATCGGGGAAGCGGCCTTCGAGGAGTGCCTTTAGATCCATGTTTTGGGACTGGGATGAGTACAACACTCCACTGCAGAGACTGGAGCTTGGACTGATGACATAGATCGCAAACTCAAGACCCGGGGTGCAGGTAGGTGGACTAGCCGTAGACGAGGTACTTGTGCTCGACGTCTCGATGGTGCTGGAAGGCTCCAGTGTAATGGAGGTCGAGTCCTCCGATGTAGTCGTTGATGCATCGGAGGCACTGCTGACAGATGTGGGTTGAGAGCCGCCAGAAATGGTGGTGGCCGTGATGCCGTCAATACACTGGCATGCCGACCAGTAGGCGGTAACGTCAGGGCACGAGGTTGCGTAGGCTGGTTTAGTGCCCGTAATTACGGGGTCCAGCGAACCTTGACGACGGACACGGGCATATCTCTTGCGCTCTTCTGCGGCAGCAGCCACTGTAAACGTTGGCTCAGGTCTAAGGTGAAAGGTCAATTACTTTCACGCATATATGGAAACAAATTGATAAAGCTCACTCAGATGCGTCACCGACGTAAGTCGTTACAAATTCTGCACACCAAGAGGACCTGGAGGCAAAGGGAGGGCTCTGCCTTGCTGTACCAGCGACTTGACGACCACAGTTGTTGTTGCAGATCGCGGCGGAGACCAGCTCAGGGAGAAGGAGTACGAGGTTCAAGAGAGTAAGGGACTTCATTTTGATAGTAAAGGAAGAGAACTGTAACGGTGGCTTTTTTGGCTATAAGCTTTGAGTTTGACGATAACAAGTGCATACGGAGGTTAATGTTGGGAAACTCCCTTCTTTTATTTCTACCTGAACAAACCCTCTTTTCAAATTGACGCTATTAATTCGCATATACACCCTTCATTAGGACCCAATCGGCAAGAGACAGGGTCTCAGTAAGATCGTCAGAAAAATATTTCAAAAACTGTTAGCCGCGTGTTCCGGGAATGTGAAAGCCGTGGAATGTAGACGAAACACTAGGGACTTAGAAAATGCAAGTTGAGCTGAGTTTATACGGTATTTAAAGTCTCAGAGCTACATCAAGGTAAGGTAAATACACCACGTTATGTCTGTTCCTGGAAAAGTCTCCCTGGATCAGCCACTTTGCAAGGCAGATTACCCCTCAAGTTGGCGACGCATTTCATGACGAAATAGATCAAGACATAGAAAACTGAAAGAATGTGCGGCTGAATCCTAGCTTAACAAACCGGAAGTCTTGTACAAGACTTCCGGTTTGTAGGGGCGACTCAGTATCTTTCAACACCCATTGGTAGGACGGCCGGGAACGAACCAGAGACAGTTCCCTCGGCTAAGCAGGGATACGAAGCTGAGCCTGTTGTTTGACATTTATCAGACCATCAGCCAGCCAAACCTATGATACAAAACCGAGTTGAGGTACATATTACGAGTTTGAAAGCACCCTGGTGTACTTTCTCAGGTACGAGTCAACGCGATTGCATAGTAGTACCTTGAATAATTGTGTTGTCATCGGATGCGCTGGCACTTGCTCAGCGTAGGAAGAGCACCACGAATTCCAACTGACGCGAACTATGACATTGATTGGCCGCCACCTTAACCATCGGCTTTATTGGAGTGTGTGTAGTGGTTTCCAAGAAATCATAGTGCCCTCCCTCAAAAGCCAAGCAAAATTGTCAGTCACCTTAGAGTAAAAATCGAGCTGAATCTAATGCATCCTAACCCTGCATGGCCCCTCTTAATTACAAGTTTCTCTCATTGAAGAGACGAAAAGAAAGATTTTCTTTGGGTAGTAAAAACGGCAACCAGGACGCGAACACATACATTAATGGTGTACCTCGCAGCTTTAGTGCTCCTTCAACTCGCTAGATAGGAATGGAAGGATCTTCTAGGCTTTTTGATCGTCTATTGAAGTTGCCTAGACTTTATACTATCGTTTGCCGTGTTACTCAACGGTCTAAGTCATTGTAAGGCTTTCCATGTCGGGTCTTATGTGCAGACCAAACTCGCTCAGCTGCTTATTCTTACTCATCATGAACCTGATGCACCGGCTCAGTTCAGAACACTGATTGGTACCCCATGTATTGGTGTCATATCCCCGACGTCGGCTTGGGTCTCAACGATAGTTCATGTGCAGGAACGAGAGTAAGTGGCTTTTGACGCTAGAGAGCGCAGCAATCTAGTGCATCGGCTGCGGTTGTAGCACTTAACCTTTCGACAAGGCTCTCAGAGATCTCGTCCTTGGAAGCTTTTCAGAAATCCAACTCCCAGCAGCGCTTTGCATATATGAGCAAGGCGCAATATGTTGGAGTTGTGCGCTGTCAAGTTGCCGGTCGCCCAGTAGGATTTCGAAACCGTGGGTTCCTAATACCGGAATGGAAGACTGAACTTTTTGAGGAAACAGTCCTCAATTGAACGCATGTTCCCGCTTTTTCCAATGACGAAAGAGGGATTGTGATGTTTTACAAACGTGCACATCATATGACTCTTTCACGGAAAACGCGAACGAGTCTGAGGCAGTCTGGTCACTCACATTCCACACGAGTCTCTGCTAAGATAAAAGCTGATCATAACTTGTTTCCCCTAGCCCGTTGTTGATGGTGCATCTCATCAACCTTCGAATGACATAGTTAGGGTTGATAGACATTTTATACTGTCAACAATGGTGGAGACTCCCCTTTGGACCTTGTACTTTGTAACACTGCTCTGGAAGAAGATCTGGAATACTTGGTCGTGATCGGCAGAGCACTGGAGTGAATGCCCCGCAAGGATCATCTTTGTCGTATTGTCCGGCATTTGCTACTGAGCTAATTTCCTTATGAAAGCCGGATAGTCAGCTCTCCAGAATCCGTATGACCTTTACCCGCATTTGGTTCAATTTCTTTGAAAATAATTGAGCAGAGATGTCATACAGCTTCAGCGGCTGGACGTTGATGTAGACGGACAAATGTGGCACCGTGAATAATGACTTAAAACTGACGTATGACGAGTAAAAAGAAGGAATAGCGTATCATATATACATCGAATTTCAATCGAAATTCACTAGAATTTATTCAGTCTGTGTTGATTGTTCACTAGGATATAAGATCTATCTCCTCCAGTAAGGTATCCATCAAAACCCCAGAAGCGATGTTGACGCTTCTCACGTTGTTTTCTTCTTCACCAAACCATTGTTCAGGAATATTGTTACATGGTCTACGAGGAAGATCACCTTACACTGAGTAGATAAATACCGGTATGGCCTTTAGAAATTGAGCAATGGATTAGCCGCGTTAGGCCTAGTATGGCGCTAGCCATCCAGGCGACTGATGTCAGATAGCTCTTGTAATGGGTGATAAAGGATGAACTTCCAAGGAGCGTAGACTATCCTGTCGAGTGCTGCATGGCTACAAGTACAATTCTATGAGTTCGTTGTTGGAGTGGCACGCTGATCGTTACTGCCAGGGATTGAGTGCAATGGAGAGTTTGCGCCATCATCTTGGCGCCTCATTTCTCAATTTCTAAAGAGCATACGGTACCTAATCCGTCATTTCTTCCTGCCTTCGCCGCTTTCGAACTTTGGAGTCTGCTGTGGCGTTTATTGCTAGTAAGACGGTGCTCCATTCACTTGACTAAGTCCAATTGTAAGTAGAGGATACTAAGAGTCTGTTCACTGTTTGGGACGTATACCCAGTTAAGATTTGTCGAACTGTTGTCTTCAGAACCTGTGCACGATTAGAAAACCTTCTGCCATGAAATTAGGGAGCATACAGATGCGGACTTTTTCTGGGCGATCATATGCAAAGCACATCATAAAAAGGCGTGTACAAGTCCTGAAGCCCTTTGCGCAAAGCAAATACTATCCAAGCTAGCTTGTATCTGCCAACACCATGCATTTGTACTTCCTCTTTACTGTGGCTCTTGCAGCTACACCATTAATCAGTTGCACATCAACCGACTCTTCGGTTGTCGAGAGAGAGAGGCTTCATCTTGACGAGCATCGGAATGTCGGCAGTAAGCCCGACAATAATGCCCACTCACACCGCCGTCTGAGGAGATGGGGTCTCAGAGCAAGAGGCATAGGTAAAATGCGGATTCCTCTCTATGTGGGAATGCTTCCTCCTAATATGACTCTGACCATCGACAAAATCATCGAGACTAAACCTTCAGGGGTGGATCTCTGGGAGGAGGGAGTGCCAAAACTTCCATTTACCATCACTTCCGCCCAAGCGGAAACAAATCGCAACAAGGGCTGGAGAGGTGTAAGAATCGGCGATTTTGTATCCTCAATGTCAGGCTTCGGGTTGGGAAAGAATGCAGGTGGTGTATTTGACATCAGATACACCATTGCAGGTCGACCAGACGAAGCTGCAGGAACCGGTGTACAAAACATACAAGGCTGGCTCACCATCAGTACATCAGACTGGGGCATCTTGGGACGACCTGACACGACGAATTTCCAGTGGAAAGTTGGCGAATCCAGCGTCGAAACTTATGTTGCCGATACGCCTGACCTCACATATCTAGACGACACGGTCATCACTGTCGTCTATGTACCCGAGAGCAAAGAGTACATGGTTGGTGTTACCAACCAGGCAGATACTATTGTCAAGTTCATGCAGACTGCGGTCAAGGGTATTCTTACACTCCATGAAGTCGCCGTGGATGGAGTCATCGACTTGGCTGGGGGGCACGTAGCTGCTGTTGCCGCCGGTCTTGGCATGAAGGCAGTCTCCTGGGCTGCAGAAGAGATTAGTAGTGGGGATAAGTAAATGGCTCGGTGTATGCCCAAACGTCCTCTTCAACAACATTGATGAGATTGTGGTTCTGAGACATTGGTGTGAAGCCTCGTCTCATAACACACAATATCAACAAACTCATCATTAATGAATTGAAGAAATTATCGGCTCTTCACGTCTAAGTCAGCCCGCCTCAGCACCTGTCCAAATATTGGGTCTTGTTGGAACAACACTCTGACATGACCGCACGACCATGTTGACTAAGCCAGGAGGCTGGGTTGTCCCATGCAAGGGATAACCTCTGGGTGTCTAACAACTACCCACGTACAATAGGGACAGCTGTCGTTTCACCCCTTAGATAGAACTTAGAAGAAGCATCACGGAATTTACAGGGAGTATCTTTGGTCAGCCACGTACGTTGCAACGATCGATATTTGCCATATGGCTATATGCCATTTAACAAATTTACTTGTTGGCCCGATGGGTGCGCCTGCAGACCGCCGGACGTTAACACAGACTTTCAAGGATGCAGCAGCAATTAGGAGAGCGCTATCGGCACACATGTTGGACTTATTTGGAAAAGCATTCAAAAGCAAGGGCGCTCAGATCCAGAGGATCGTTGGGGCATGTGGTTGGATCTAGGTTGCGAAACTCCAAGCAAGTTTTATCTATAGCTAATCTGAGCATGAAAGAATGACAAATAGCAGCTAGGTACTATATCGTAGTTTAAGCAAATAGATGTAGACCGTCGTAAGATGTTTGTGCAAGAAACTCGTTTTCAACCACTGCGTATTCCGTACCCATACTTGCAAGTCAAGGGTTCCCTTTTAGATAGAATAGCCATTGGGCCCCCTTGCTATGTAAAAACTTGTTCCCACTATCATAAGCCAGCTTAGGATTCTTTGAGCCTCTGAGCTAAGCAACTTTCGTTTCCATGTTCGTTGGCGCTAAGAACAAGAGATGGATTGCCCCCGGTCATTGCATGATCCTTTGTGGATTTTCCCTTCCACCAGCCCAAGAACCCTGCAAGTATACCTAAAGAGCAGGGATCTAAGTTTTTATAATTTTTTCCACTAGACAGGGGCCCCAGCCTGCGAGCTCAAAGCAGGTGAGCAAGCTCCTCATCATCCAGCCGACTAACTCTCCGTCATCCGATGTATGAACGCTCAACTTGCCGATCATGGAATTTTGTTTGAGACCAACCAGTCTCTCTGGTCAAATTCTCGCAAGGAAGAGGCCCTTTCCCTTTTAACATCTGATTCCTTTTTAAGAAGTTCATTCTACCTTATACGATGTTAAGCTCTGTCGCACGCCGCGGCGGCGTAGCCATCTCCTACAGAATTGGCGCTTCAATTCGTTGCTCTCTTCGTGTTCATAACCATATAGCCCACCAACGCTGGAGCACAAGTTACCGGCCCTCGACCTGCACAAGCCTCCAATTGCACTTACCAGCAAAAGCATCGGGCCATAGCTGGACTGGCTGTGACTCTACCCAGGCCAAGTGTGAAGAGAAGACAGAAATGCAGCCCCGTATTTCTGCTTTCCACGGAAAGGCTCTGCCGCAGACTCACGAGGATTGCCCGCCGTACCACATACTCCGGGGAATAAGACATCATGAAAGCTTTGCTAGATCAGCAGAGGTCAGAGATTTCTGTTCAGAACCTGGTCACGAGAGATATGCCAGAGCTCGAAATGCTCGTCTCATTATGAGCAATACAGTGCCAGAGATGCTCTCCGAGTCAGTGAAGCCGTACTGCATATGGTATCCCGACACTGCTACGGAAGAAACGTATCGGGAGCTAGCTCGCCGCCATCCCGAAATGCGTTACCACGTTGGGCGAGCCTGTGCAGTTGCGGGCTACAAAACGCTATACGACGAACTAAATCTCCTACCCGATGTTTCGATTGCAGAAGAAGCCCGAGACAACGGCAACACCGATATCTTCGAAGCCATAACAAAGCAGCCTGTGAGGTACGCCGTCATGGATGACTACAAACGAACAGTCAACCTTGAGTCTCCGAAAGCTGGAGTGAACCTCAATGGCGACACCGCCGTACGTTCTTCGATACATAGCGAACCGCTCGAAGATGACGAAAATCCAGGTCAGTTCACTTATCGCTTTACTCACTTCGACATTCAAGAGGATGAGCATGTTGGCTTCAAAGGTTGGCCAAGCCCTGGGGTATCAATTTTGGACAGTAAGTATGCTTACTTAGCATACTCGCCACTACCTCGAGACTTGCCTCCTGTTAATAAGGATGTTCTAATCCTTATGGCAGCTTGGGATGGGAATATTGAGCGATATTCACGGCTACGGCGTCCATTTACTATCGACAATGAGATTTCAGCTGTTATTCGTGGTGTTTACCATCATACCACCTTTGCAAGATGGCTAGATGTGTGCATGGGTGAGATATTTCCATCTTCTGAGCTCGATTGGGCGGAGCACTATATGCGACAGGCCATACACGCACGATTTATTATGAATAATGATCTCTCAAGAATCGATGGTAGCGTTGATGGTGACGAACTTCCGGCGCTCTTCTGGTGGCCCGAATGTCCGCACGAGGACACCTTGAGAGAGTTGGCATGGCGACGCCCAGACTTTAAACATCAAGTCACTCTCGCCTGCGTAGCTGCGAACTACCCTTTCCTTTTTGATGAGTTATCAACCGACATGAAGCCGACTCGCCAGCAGTGGGAGGTTGCAATTCAGTCGCCGAACATGTACTTCCGAGAAAAGCTCAAAAAGCGAGAGGAGCGGGAGGGGGAGATTAACTTTAATTACGACAAGAACTACTTTCACCCAACACCGACAAGGAGCTATCCGTGGCCTGACGATGAGTTTTGGAGCAGGAAATACCTGCGATGGAACAAGGAAATGCCAAGGGGCTTCCGGGTGTCAAAATATTACCACGAACTCTTCAACAAACCGGATGAAGGACATTTCGAAAACTTTGACGATCCGGAGCCCGATCTCCTGAATGATACTCTCCAGGAATTATTCAAAGACTGGAATCTGTTCATTAGTGCCACCGATAAGGCACGAGAGGACGCGGCGGCGAGCAAGAAACGCGAATTTTTGTACGGGGAACCTGAGGACATTGAACGCCGCAAGTCACCAGCCCCTGAGCCTGACTACCCCAAGGACTTTGAACCATACGATGAATGGGCTAAATAGGTGGCTGCTACTTCCATCCTACTGTAGACTCTCAAGGGAATTTCAGTTCTTGAGGAGTTTTGATATGACTAGAGGACCAATAAAGCTTATCGCCAGTTAAATATGAAGAGTAGTTTCCCACGGTAAAGAAAAAAGTAATCATTTTATCTATTTGGCTGAAGTTAAGTCTAACTGATAAACAGTGGACTATCTTGTACTGACTAATGGGCGAATTGTTAAACCCTGCCCTGATAGTCATAATATCAATACAAGCCTTGAAATGGAAGACACGCCTTTGTATATATTGTGAAGTCATTTTGCAATGTCACTTTGTAGCTGAGCAACGGGCAGCTGAGGTACTCCCCAAGCTACACTCAACGATGTGCCGTCTCCCGTGCCCCGAAACCGCCTCTAGTTAAATCGCCATTGACATGCATCAATCAACTCCCAAGAAGCCTGCATTCGAAGAACACCCAAGCTCGGATAGACTCCTTATAGGAGAAGGGCAGCAGCAATGACGCTGAAGGCAAAGGCACCAAAGCCAGCAGCGAACTTGCTGGTTCCAGCAGTGACGACGTTAACGGGCTTAGTAGTCCCTGGGGAAACAACTGTGGGCAGACCGGTGATGACAGGGGGCTGGACAGGCGCCAGACCAGTCTGATAAGGAGTCTTGGTGATGGGAGGCTGAGGAACGACAACAGTGTTGCAAGAAGCGCCGTTGCAAACCGTCTGGGTGACGGGAGCCTGCGAGATGACGATCCCGCAGTCGGCGCAAGGAGGCTGGGGCTTGGGACAGTTGCCATCGCAGCCCTTGACGATGGTGTACTGGTCGCCGGACCACTCGTACTTGTTGAGTGCTTCCTTCGCGGAGCAGGACTCGAAAATACAGGAGTTATCCTTGCAGACGTACTTCTTGTTGCAGGCGTCGCCAGCACACTTCTCAACATAACAGCAGTTTCCGTAGCAGGTAACCTTCTCATGCCACTCGGCCATACCCTCAACAACGTAGCCACACTTGCCGGAGACGCACTTGACCCTGCGACCGCAGTCGAATCCGCTACAAGCCTCAGGGCGCCAGACGCCGTCGGTGTGTACGAGACGACGACCGCACTCGGGGCCAAAGCAGGGGAAGTCAAAGGCACAGTATTCACCGTAGCCGACAATCGTCTTGTAGCAGTCGTCACCAAAGCAAGGGATGTTGGAGCACTCCCCGTTTGCGTAAGGGTTGCTGGGCTTATGGCAGAAGGGACCCTTGCAGTCGTGGCAGTACGGACAGTAAGCAGTGGTGATGGTCGCGACGCGTCCGGTAACAGTGGTAGTAATAGTGGTGGTGATGGTGCCGGAGGGAGCACCAGGGGCGGCGCCGGCACGGACGTAGATGCTGAAGCGGACGACGGCCGAGATGACCCCGGGCAGCTGGCGCTTGGCCTTGAGAACAGGGTCGGTCGCCCGACCACCACAGCGCTGTCTGCTGTTACCAGGGCAGGAGAGGTTACACTGATCCTCGGGGGTCCTGATCTGGTTGACATCGTCCATGAAGTCACCGCAGAAACAGTCTCTGCCAAAGGTAGCCGCGTAACGCTTGCCGGTAGGGGCACATTGAGCAATGCAGCGGTCGTTGGTCATAGCCTCAGCAGACAGGGACAGGACGAAAGTCGGGAAGCTAGAAGAAGATCCGTAGCAGCCGAGATATGTGAATCCGCCGACGTTGATAGGGTTAATGGTAGCCATTCCGGAGGCTGTGGGGGCCATGGATAAGCTGGTGGCCGGGTCAGAGTCCGGGATGCTGACTCCCGGGCCCATGCTCGGGGTTGTGCCGGCCGACGTGGGGCTGCTCGCACCAGTGCTGGTGGCTCCGGTACCTGTGTTAGTGTTGGTGCTTGTGGAGGCCCTAGTCGTAGGGGTACTGGTGGAGATGTTGGTGCCTGTAGAGGTGCTGATGCCAGTGCTTGTGGAAGTACTGGTGCTGGTGCTGGTGCCGCTGGATCTGCTGGTGGAAGTACTAGAACTCGACGTAGATGAGCTGATAGGAACCGTGGGAGGGTTGACTTGGATAATTTGGGCGGTGTTGCTTCCCTGGCGACGCATCAAGCGAGCTCGGACCGTTGGACAAGGGACCGTTGGCAAGTCTCTCAAAGTCGAGCCACAGTAGCATTGAGTCCCAACGTAGGCGTTGAGCCTGAATGATAGCCCACAGGTGGTGACACAAGTCTGCTTTGAAGTAGCAGCAGGGCTCGTACCATCAGTGAAGGGAGACTGTCCAGCTGGGATACTCTTGCAACCCAAAGACGTGAGAAGGTAGACTACCCTGTTGCCGTTGGCATCGATGATCTCCACGTTGACCGACTGACCAGTTCCAACGTTCTCGAATGTACCGAAAGTCTGGATACCCTGGGCGGCGAGATTGGGAGTACCCGTGTAGCCACTGGCAGGAGGGTTGACTTGGGTGGTGGATCCGGCAGGGGAAGATGCGGCAGGCCCAGCAGGCGAAGTTCCGGCGGGTCCCACAGCCGAAGACCCCATAGACCCGGCAGGTGAAGATCCAGCGGGTCCGGCAGGCGGAGATCCTGCAACGGAGCTGGCCCCGGCCGTGGTGCTGGATCCGGCAACCGCTGTGGATGCAGGCGCAGTAGTGGACGCGGCAGCCGAAGTAGGCGGAGCAACCGTGCTGGTGGTCGAGGCAATGGTGGAGGATTGAGGACCACAGGTGTTGGCAGCAGTATTGCAAACCGGGCCCTTGGGATTGCCGGCACACATGGAGTCGTTTACACATTCAGGGCCGCAGGTGCCAATAGGATCACATCGAGGACCCTGAACGTTGCCAACACAATCAGCGTTGGTAACGCATGGTCCACAGGCGCTGGTACCAGTGTTGCATACCGGGCCAACGGGGTCAGTTGCGCAATCAGCGTTGGTTGTGCAGGCAGCCCAGGCGTTTTGGGCGCAAAATGTCGTTATTCCCAACAACGCAAGCCCGAAAGATTCCTTGAACAACTTCATTTTTGTTAAAAGAGTGGACGTGCTGGCCCTATGGCACTGCACTATAGTTCAGATTGAAAAGAGCGTAATGTGGTAAAGACAGTCAGGTAAAAATCAAACCCATAAGATGATCCTGGGTTGGGTCAACCAGCCAACTTATGTTTTGCCTTCAATCGTTTCCATTGTGTTCAACATCATTGACCAGTTCCAAGGAGTGTCGGCCCTAGCGTTCTTTTCACCTAGCATTCTCATGCTTCTTCTTTGGAACGTGACCCCAAGAATTCAGCCCACATCCGCATTCCTGATTCCTGGACTATTACCCTCGTCATTCTCACAGCACTGCAATGTAGATGCATGCACATCAGTGGCGACCGCAAACTACATAGCCTAAGGTGGAACATAAAGTAGCAGCCACATATGGAAAGCGATCGAGGCACTAAGTGTGAAAGTCAGGAACAGCTGGCCAGTGTTACAAATGGCAACAAGGGGCGCAAGTATAAACATTCAGGTTCTTAAGCTGTTGACTAACCATATTCTTAGGGTACAACTGCAAGATAAAAGAGCCAGAACTGAATACAAACTGGTCGATCAATCCATCAAGCACCATCGAAGCGCCTCGACAGCTGAAGCGCTGCCAGCATGTAACACCTATCTGACTTCTAATTCTTTGTAACCCAAAGGTCATTGGAAAAGGCTTCTAAGCACAAATGAGAAGCATTTAGCTTTTCTCTGCAAGCTACCTAAGCCCTATAAAATTAAGAGTGTTAACACGTAAGGACGGAGTACTGGAAAGCCTGAAATCTTGAGGCGTAGTACAGCCACGCCTTTAGGGCTGAACTAAAATCTGGGGCTGAGACATAGGTTGGCAAGTATTCCAACCCCATTTGGCAAACCAGGACTAGGGAATATCCCACAAGCGCTTGGCCCACCACGAATGCTACGACCCCTTAGGCATGCCAGAGCCAGAGGAGGCAACTTTGGAAACATTTCTGGGTCGTTTAGGAGTCGGCCAGGCGCTGCTTTGTTGGGAGGGGATGCTCAAATTCCAGCTTCGCCGAACCTCGCCTAGTTCGGTAATTGGAAGCGATCGCAATCCGGCGATAACGTGAAATAGACATACCATTCATCCTTTCACGCACATACCAAAAGTCCAATAAGATAAAAATCGACAATGAAGAGCTAGGCATAGAGTAAAATAAAGGGGAAACTTCTGCTTTCCACTCCCTGTTGAGTGAACGAATGACGGCTCATCTGTCTCAAATTAACCGTCTACCTTACCTTATTCACCAAAATCCTGTTGCGATCTCAGAAATTCTCTCATACGCATCAGTCAGCCGAAAACCTTACTATCTACTATAAAATGAGATAACAGCAGATGATCTCGATGTTCCGATAGGCGCGTGGCTGCTACGAATGCTGCGACCCTTAGACATGGCCGAACTACCTAGTGCATGGCCAACAAGCCAATGACACATCGTCATTCTCGAGGCCCCTATACAATACAGGAACAAGGAACTCGCTATCTTGACAGATCAGTTTCAGGGTAAACATTCGCCCAAGATTGTGCTTTTAATAAATTAGGGAGCCAGATGCCACAGTAAAGGCGCCGGTGGCCTTTTGCTATGACCACAGCCCGCACCTTCCTTTTTATCAATAGCGCTTTTTTGCCGATATTGACGGAGGAATTTCTAGTCATTAATTCGATATCTGTGTAGGCGACGTCATTGTTCACTTGTCCCAGAGGCAAGACGGTGGCGTCCTTCTTCAAGGAATGTCCGGTTGCCTGGATATTGGCCGGCCACCCACTGAACTTCGGTATACACCCGATAACAGAGCTTCGGATTGGCCCCAGGATGAAAGCCTAGAGAAAAAAGTTTGCCTCTTAACTGACTAGCTAGAAGCCTAGAAATACCAAAGGTGTGGAACCAGCGAAGAAGAACGGAAGGAACCCCTAGATTTGAACCGGGTAAATCCATGGGTTAGACCATCCCTCCTCCTGGTGTTTCGCTGACCAGTATCTTGATATTTCAGGTCTTGTAGACTTTCCCATGTAGATCAAGATACCCAAGAGGAGCTAAACATCAGTAGAAGCAGTCTGCCGCTATCAAGTTGCTTGTACGGTACATTCTTATAATTTCTGTGGTTAGGACAGTTCTTTAGCATGAGCTGCTTGTTTACCCAAGAAACTTATTACCAAAAATAAATTCGAAAGACGAACTGATGAAGAGAACAAGCCGAGCTTCAGGTGGCTTAAGGTATGTAAATTTTTGCCCTATGCCGGCCTACGGATGGACATGAAGGAGTCCGGGGATTCGTTGGACCTGACTTTGCCATTATCGCAACTTTCCGGCGTGCAGTCAGTAGTATAGGTAACTGCAAGGTCTTCCAGGCTCAGAACAAACGTATGCACAGTTCTTCACGGGGATTTCGCAAGAGGTAGAGGCACTGGAAGACATCGCAACTTCGATAATCGTCATGCTATTAGTAACAGCACGTAAACAACATAGGCCAAGATGACCTTTCGTCACGGAACATGTACTGATTAAAGTGTGGAGTAATGAAAACCGGGGTTTCATGACTTAACCCTTTCGGTCAAAATAGGAATCTCACGAGTGTGAAGCGGTGTAATAACTTTTCGCGTTCCCTGTTCTGGTGAAGAGGCATGTTCACATGTTGTCTCATCGGCTGCGGCTAGGCGACAGGTACATCGTGAGCCACAAAGTGGCCCATATTAGCTCAATCGTAGTCGATGGAATAGAGCCAGAATGACCAGATGGCAGCCAAAGCGCAGTTCTTTGGGAGAGCCCTAGCAATCAAGATCACAGTCGCAATAATCTAGACGCGACCAATGATGGCAGGACATGGGAGGGTGTTAGCGCTAGGATTTCGACTAAAAAGGTCTCGACCTTCGACCTGCGGTTCCCCTGAAGCTCGATGATGGTCGGTAATGACAAAGATTCCCTAGGCTAATAGCGTAGATTACTACCAACTGCCTCACAAGCTGCAAGTTAGGCTTGTTTCATCCCTATATTATGGCCACAGCCGATGGAAAGACATACACAAGGGATATTTTAGTTTGTATGTGGAAGCCGGCTAGCCTAGTAGCCTCCCTTACTCAACAAAACATTGATCGCAACATCTTCCTATCTATTATTTGATTGGTGAAAGAGCAAACATGTTAAAACCCGTGACTTCTTTAGATAAGACATACCAAAACGCAATGGCAAAAGTCTTTATAACTTCTTCATACCCCTGCCGATCAATCCTTTAGCAGCAGATAGACGTCATTCATCATCTTTTCATAAGCGGCGTTAATCGTCCTTGAAATGATGCGCTTGACCTACCGCACTGCACCTTCAAGTCGGCTGCCATCGCTAATGTATGTTCCTATTTGCTGAAAAATTAGCAAAAGCACTATCACTTGAAAGTTGAACACCACTGTTAAATGAGTCAATGATTTGAAAATGGACGGCCTGCGAAGATGCCTTGTTCGCCCTACTCAAGCGGGTTATCTTGTTCACCCTGCAAGTAACGATTAATCAGTAGTTGCACCTACCTAGACGACGAAGAAGGTATATGAAGTTAGGTGCAGCAATTGACCAAAAAAGAAGGAGAAAAACTATTTTAAAGTATCGAATTTTTGAAGCCAACGACGTGGTTAAGCCTCTGACCGCCCCATTAGGAAGGTGAATGAGTCCTTGCACACTGATCATCATATGCCAGGGATTCTGAATCCACCGCTGCCGACTCCGCACCGGTTTGAGGCCAGCGCCCGGGCTTATCGGCCTGATTGGAGTCTGTTCCCCCTCATATGGACTATCTCTTCCCAACATCATACACCAAAGCCATCGCGTCGACTTCAACCTCATCTCACAAGGCGAGACCAGTAACCGACTCAATCGACTAGCACAATGACGGTTCGCAAAACTCCCCTTATCGCCGGACACACTACCGGCCAGTTCAGCCGGCGACCGGAACCTGCGACTGCGATCCCGGAGAAACTCATCAAGCCTTGGAAACTGCCCCAGCGACACACCTATCTCTTCATAAACGCAAATGTCATCGACACGGCCGAAGGAACCGTCGTAGAGAACAGTGCGGTGAAAATCCGTAACGGGCTGATCGAAAGGGTGGGAGCCGATGCAGTAGCTAATCTGGATGATGCTATCGTCGTCGATCTGAAGGGTAAATATCTGCTTCCAGGCTTGATTGACTGCCATGTGCATGTCAGTTCAGTTCCCGGGGAGGCTGGTCTCAATGGCGGCTTCGACATGGATGCGACGGTCTCACACCTCCGCCAATCTTTTGTCGTCGGTCGTATTCTGAGCAAAGGCTTCACCACGGTCCGCGACACGGGTGGCGCGACTCTCGCATTGAAAGAAGCCATACAAGACGGCGTTTTCCCCGGGCCGCGCTTATTTATTGCCAATCAGGCGCTGTCCCAGACAGGAGGTCATGGCGACCGGAGAGGCGCTCACGACCACCAAAAGCTGTGTTGCGGAAGCACAGCCGGTCTCTCGGCTGTCGTTGATGGCGTTCCGGAGTGCATCAGAGCTACCAGAGAGCAGCTGAGGACCGGCGCAGACTTTATCAAGATCATGGTTGGTGGTGGCGTTGCGTCTCCAACCGATAGGATCGAGAATGTCCAGTTCACTGCCGATGAGATAAAAGCCATCAGCGAAGTTGCGCGGAGTTACGGCACCTGGGTGACGGCTCACGCGTACACGCCTCGTGCTATCCGCCACGCGGTCGAGAACGGCGTCACTGGAATCGAGCATGGTAATCTTATCGACAAGGAGACGGCGGAGTTCATGGCCAAGAGGGGCGTCTGGCTGACACCTACCCTTGTCACGTACGACGCCATGGGGTCTGACAAGTACACCGGTTTCCTGCCCCCCGAAAACCAGCGGAAAAACCAAGAGGTTCTGGAGAAGGGGCTGGAGTCTTTGCGACTCGCCGCTGACGCCGGTGTCACCATATGCCACGGGTCGGACCTGCTCGGGCCTTTGCAGGCCGAACAGAGTAGAGAGTTTGGCATCCGACAGCGGGCACTCAGCAATAAGCAGGTGTTACAGTCTGCGACGGTTAATTCAGCCAGGATGCTTCGGCAGGAAAACTTTCTCGGTCAAATCAAGGCTGGTTTTGCTGCAGACTTGTTAATTCTGAACGGAAACCCCTTGGACGACGTCTCCATCTTGGATGAGCCGGAGAAGAATGTACTGGCAGTTATCAAGGATGGCAGAGTCTACACAAGTCGCTGGAGCAAGTTGCCAGAAGACGTCAGCGAACCCCCTGCGCTAATTGAATAATCGTGTATATTTGGCATAAGTCATGATAGTACAACATGCATCGCGCGGCAGGCACTTTGCTTCTCTACATGGCGTGGTATCTATATTCTAGTAACTATCTCGAGCGCTGCCGCCCTTGCTCGTACGTGCCCTGCTCGGCCTTGACGGCATGTCATAGCTCTGGTCATGTTCTCGCAGGTGGTGCTGTGACGAACTATCCTCCACGAGAGTGAAACCATTCCTATCCTGGCCTCCTCCAGCCCCGTGACCGGAGTTTTCAGCCGAGGTGTAATACCTCGCTGTGCCCTTGGTAGAGTACTGTGACCGGCCCAGAAGAGGTCGGAGAAACGGTATACAGGCAAGCGTTATGCCGACACCGGGCTCAAGGGCACTGAAAATCAGGGCATTTGGGATACCAAAGGTGACGTCTGTGTACTTCAAGTTCGCAAGGTAGTATAGCCTTAGGCCAGACACGATGCATGTACTGTGGCAATCGGTTAGCTTTTGTTTATAGAAGCATGACTGAAACGGGAAAGCTTACAAGACGCCCAGCGAAAAGGTTGCAATGAGAGCGATTTTCTTGAACGTCTCAAGTCGAAGTCGCCACAGGTAAGACACAGGCATGATGAGCACGATGATATCCGTGAGCAGGTTCACAACTCCCAAAGTCCCGTCGGCCGCCGGTTGGTTGCCGCAGTTCCGATTTTTCAGGTCGAGAAGCCAGTTGTCCGATAAGGGGCGGCAGATGAAGAAGGCGACCAGAACAGCCACAGCAGTCCAGATGACAGTGAAAACTGTCATGACCCTTGTAGCTATGATCATGAGGCGTACGGAGAAGAGCTTAGTGTAGAGGAGAAGAATGGCGATCTTGCAAAGGCTGAGGCTGACAGCCCAGAGTATTTGCTGTACAACAAGAATCTGGACGGCCGAGACACATTCCATTAGTGAAACTGTTTTTGAAGAGTGAAACCTCGAGATCTTTTAAAAAGATCCACGGCTGGTGAAGTTTACTCCAGAGTATGACCTACCTGAAGGAATTTGATAATGGGTCCCCGTCCATACTTTGGAATGATCTCTCGAAACAGATATCCAACACCACCCTGCGTAACACTGACTATCGAGACAATTTGCAGAGCATGCGAGAAAACCTAGTTTCATGATAAAGTTAGTCTCCTGTTGATAAAACCTCAGTTGTAAGAGGCATATAGATCGTACGCAAGCTACAATGATGCAGTAGTCGCTGGCATCCAGCGCTCGATTCGCCATGCGCCTCGCCATCAGACGCATCGCGACGGCGATGGTTGGGATGATGATGAAAACGATGGACACCGCAACCACGGAGATCTGGCTCTGCCTCTCGAGCGGGAAAGTCGTGCTCCCATCCCCCATAGTCGTGTTCAACGGAGCCGCCGATGCCAACGGAGTCGGTGCCGCCATATTGCCTATTTCGCGATGTCGATGAAAGGAACACGGATCATTCTCCTTCGAAAAAAATTGGACATCGAGGGAGGATAGTGGAACACTTTTCAAGGCCCTTGGGAAAATCAGGCGAGATGGCCCATTTTTGATTCTCGCAACCGTCGCAACGGCCCATGGGCTGACATGTTTTCTTCTTCGTGGTTTCTGAGGGCAAGACACCGCCCAAAGTAGTCGATGGCCGTGCGCTATGGAAGTATTATGTGGACGTTCGTTGCTTTTTCCCCTACCAGCTGCACTGCTTATTGATGCAGAGTGCAGTCGTCGTGCATACGGGACAAGGGGCCTCCCGGTCAGTAAGTGTCCCCCTCCCCCCTCCCCCCTCGGGGAGGAGAATAGGGAAGCCATTTACACCGCGCAGCCGAAGGACGCCTAGTCTGGACCGGTAAGGCTAGAGTGTGATGGATGAGTTACGCCGTGCTTTAGTCGGATGAAAGGTAGGAGCGGCAGAAGCGGGTGCAAGGAACGCGCGGTGTGATTGATATCATCGGTACAGATACCGCGTCGGATCTGCCTCATCAACTGAAACCCCCATAGGCCAACTGTTGTTGTTGATAAGAGTTCCTGTTACGGTGCCATCACGAAAGCTCAATTCGGATGAACGTGCGATTGCCCACAGGGATCACCACCTTGGCTTACCTGAAGATGTGGCTACGTTTCTTCCGTACGTGGAACCCCCCCCGTGCTCAAGGTTCTCCAGAAGCACCGTTGCCCAAGACCTGGCGATGTTCTCGAGGGGGCGAGCCCGGCCTGCATAAGAAAATGGGTCTACGGACAAGGTGGCGAAAGCTCGCTGGCGAGCTGCTGCAGGGGGTACCGCACAGGGGTAAGGGCGGCTTTTTTTTTTTTTTATCTGAGCCTGGTCCTCGTTTCTTTTTCTTGCCTTGCCCTGTTTTGCTTTTTCCACACGTTTCCCATTCAATAGTTGTTCCTGGTCTTTCGGACCCAATGATTAGGGCTGCTCGCCAACCTCGCCTGTAGCCAGCATATCTAAAGCCATGCTGTCATCAGCCCGTTCGGACAACTCCCAAAACCTGTTAACCCCTCAGCTAGCCCCTCCCTCCTAACTACTACTAGTAGAGAGCCCATCGGTAGCTAGGAGGCCGGGGGAGACTCCCCGCTGCACATCATAGCCGGATAAGCCCTTGTTCCTGCTGGTAGTTGTGTGGTACACCATCCAAAAAAGGATCGTAGTCCGGACGGCAACGAACTCAATTCTGACTACTTGGGCCAATCTGGGCTGAGTGGCATTAGCGCTGTGAGAGGTCTTGCGCCGCTGACTTTCCATTGCGTTTTTTGGGCGGTGGGCTGCATCATGACCTGAACTCCGCATGCACTGGATCCCCATCATGAGGTGGCATCAGTCCCGTCGCCACTTACCATCGTAGACGACATGGAAAATATGAAGTGGCAGGTTCAGAAGTCTATCGTGCTTCTAGGCTTCATGGACTTCCAGAACGGCCCAATTCGGCTACTTTGGGTTACATCCGCAGCATGCGCAACCGCCGTGACCAGGGCACTGCGCAGTTCCGTCATTTGAAAAAAAAGTTTTCAAGGAACTTTTTGTCCGGCTCTAGACTTTTATTTTCTTTTGATTTGTGCGTATCACTAGATTGATCTTTTGGCTTACTCTTTTGAAGCATTGGCATATTCGCATGTCCACTGCCAAGCTTAACTGGGCCCTTACTTGGCCAACTCAACGGCTTTTTGGGCAGCCCTTCCAAAGTCAGCTTCGGTGTGCAATCCTAGGTTTGCCTCTTCGAGCTATTCCGTTTATCAGTGACGACACAGTCAGAAGCAAATGGTGTGACTTACAAGTTTCAGGCCTAGTTCCGAATTAGTACCTTGCAGCCGGACTACCATTGGTACCTTCAAGGGGCCCAACTCAGTCGCTGCTCCGATGATGGACTCCGCGATCATATCACCCCTTGTTATTCCTGTAAAGTCTCGGTCAGTGACGCGTTGGGGGTTCTCGCAGATAATGGTTGGACATACCGCCGTAAATGTTGACAAGAATGGCCTTGACTCTTGTATCTCGTAAAATGATTTCGAATGCCTTCACCATCGTCTCCTTTGTTGCTTGCCCACCAGCGTCCAGGAAGTTGGCACTCGTACCACCGTGAAGAGCAATAGCGTCATTAGTCGCCATTGCCAGTCCGGCACCGTTCACTACATTCCCGATATTGCCATCCATCCTGACATATACTAGTCCGTACTTTTCGGCCTCCACCTCTTCTGGAACTTCATGATCTGAGTCTCTCAATGCAAAGAGATCTTTCTGCCTTTTCGCAGAAGCGTCATCAAATGTGGATTTAGTGTTTAAGCAAGTGAAAGTCCCATCTGCTGATTTAACAAGGGAGTTGACTTCCAGAAGTGTTGCGTCTTTGCTCGTAAAGATCTTGTATAAGCCGTTCAGCAACGTTTGCAAATTTTGAGCCTCCGTTGAGGAATTTTTCATAACATCTGAAACTTTATCGACAACATCAGGTGTGACTCCCTTTGTCAGAGCGAACTTAATCGTATGAAATTTCTGGGTTTTATTCGTCGGTATGCTCCCCACGTCGGCACCGTCATTTCTGCGTACGATGATGACAGGGCAGTAGTTCTCGCGGTCGAACGTCATTGCCAGATACCATTCCTCGTGTAACTTCATATCTTCGGCGACAAATATCTTGTTGATAGATAAGCCACTACCGCCCGTTTCTGTCTTCATAAGGCGGTGACTAAGTATCTTCTTGGCCGCTTCTTCTGCTCCCAAGGCATCATTGACAAACTGGATACCGCTGTTGAATCCGGTGTCGAAATTGCCGTTAACCTGTCCCCCTTTGAGAATCTGCGACTTTAAAACGCATGGCACACCTAAGCTGTCAGACGTGACACCCGCTGATTTGGTGTTTCCAATAACTTACCGAGTTGTTCTACAATCGATCGTACTTCAGCGGGTGTTTGTGCTAACATTCCCCGCGGTACCGGGATTCCGTACTGTCACACCGATTGTTAAATAGGGTCTAGAGTTACTGATAGTGTCAACTGCCAAGACCGACGAACCTCTTTCAGAATGGCGTGCGACTGATACTCATGCAAAGTCAAACTTCGAATGAATTCTCTAGGAATCACCTAAGCAGATGTTAGCAACTTTTCTCTTCCGATCAATCATGGCGCCATCTCAAATGACCTGCCTTCCCAGTGCTCTTCCAGAGCTTCGGCATTAGACCTTTAGAAGCCATGGCCGTCGAGGGATGTGTTTGGACAATAAGTGATAAGGCCGAAGGGCACTGTATCACAGCCGGGGCGCCGTATAATTTAGCGTTGGGATGTGTCGCCTCAGATGCACAGGACGACTGTAGCTGGCACAAACGTGGTGATCTGGTACGTCATCAGATGAGTGAGGGGTCTGCGGCTCGGGCCGTTACAAGGGAGATGAGGGGCAGGCGGTTGATTCGGCTATCGGCTACTTGTTGAGCAGGGCCACAAACGCGTTGCCAGGAATCTTTGGCTTCCGTAAACAACAGTACAGCCAGAAAATGGGAGGAAATGGATTTTTACCGATTGAAAATTCGGTTATATTAATGTGTGATGTTGACCTTTTCGGGCCCATTGCCGCATTTGGGTTGAGAGACAAGTCACCTTGATTGTCCAGCGTTGTTTGCCTGGTACCTTAGTTGTAGTTTTTCAAATCTCCGCCCTATGTTCTTATAACTCACTTTAATTAAATGTGTTTAAATTGCTTACAGTGCAACTCTATTCAGGTAAATATCCTTTGTCTTGTTCTGCCGAATCACCATCACACTGACCATAGCTGTCACTCAACGGAACTCCAACGATAGGGTGCCGTTGATTCTATGCTTTTTTCCAATATCTGTCATTGTCTTTGTCATTGTTATACTCAAGATTCTCAGGTCTCTTGTCTTTAGGCCCAGTGCCCTTCCGTATTAACGGCTTGATGCGCATCGTACGGCACAATAGTACGAACCCGAATAATTGGTCGAGCAGGCAGCCAACTATAGTTCTGAGATGCTCTCAACAATGAGGACTCCATAAGTAATGTGCATGTCTCTCAAATCCATGCAAACTAAAACACAGACGATGGAAAGAGCCGGACGAATCAGCCGAACGTAATGTGTATTACAACGAGATGCGCGGTCTCCGTGGCAATCAGGCACCCCGCATCAACTAGTATGCGGGCTATCGGGCAGCAGATGAAACAAACCAAAGAGGCAAGGGAGAAAGACAGCATATATATATACCCTTACTAAGGAAGCCAGACACCGGACTGGCTACCAAAGACGCAAAAAAATCGTCAGGGATGGGCCTTCATCTACGCACCACATGTGCCAAGTCAACAGCGAGGAACCTGGCCAGTAAGGGTGGTGATGGTGGAGCAGGTAAAAAAGGGCTGAGGCGCGTCTGGGACTGCAGGGACGCAACATCTTGGGGGCCCAGGCCAGGCTCCAGTCAAGTGGTACGATGAACTGGCCAGTCCCAGGGATTTTATTGACCCCCCTCCAATTGGCCCACACGGCTTGCCATTGGGTTGTAGAACAAAGATCCATCAGTTTAATAGGTGGTGCCATGTTTTTGCCGAATTGAGATACAATGCCTGTCGCGAGTGGTACGATGTGATTTTTGAAGTAGTTGAGTATGGGGCTCTCGTGGTAAAGAAGAGACGTACATTGACAGTAGTACTGTGGAGAATAATGTGTCTTTAATATGAGCTTTGGGAGGTTATAGTAGCCTATGTAGTACAGCGTGGTAGTGGTAGCGATGGATTGTGGACGAGGTACGTGCTGATAGGATACGGTAGGGCACCTTGTGACAATGCTAGAGGATAGACTGGCTACTTAATCGTCGTGTCTTTAATTAAAATGCAACTGTAATGATGGGTGTTCGTTAAGAAACAAAATGAGAAGGCTCAAAAGTTATGACCAAAGCCGTCTAACCTGCCATAGCTTTAAGCGTATCAAATCCATCGTAGTCAGAAAAGAGTGACATAGGGCTCGTTTCACAGCGATTGCCGAAAGCGGATGAAGATGTGACTGTTGTGGCTGGACGAATGGCTGGGGGTGAGATGCATCAGCAGAATCTCATGAAGCTTTGTGATTCATGAGATGGTGGCACGTCTCACTAATGAGTCTAAACCATATGCCGTTGTAACTTTTGACTTGTAGATTTTAAACAGAGAATAATTGATCCTTTTATTTGTATTTCTTATAATGATTTTTTGCGTGAATTTTCTCAGACCAATTCGGAATATTTTACAAAGACTGATGATAGCAGTTTGGCATCGTTACAGCTCATAGTTACAGCTCATAATGCTTGATGAAATGCCGCAAGCGTAGGATTACATAATCATCCCATATCCACGGTACCGACGCACACAGCCGTGATCTGTTACCGACCCCGAACCCGGCGTCGACCCCTTCCCCAAGGGTTCCGCCCAATGAGGGACCCCCAAATATAATACACTCCTCTATGCAGATTTGAACCAGTCATAGTGGCGGATCTTAGTTGGTTGTGGACAAAGTCCCCCGCAACTACCCCGCACTAAGACAGCGCCAGCCTGGGAACAAGAATTACCCACGGCATCATTGTCCGGCTTTTTGTTTCTCCCAAAGCTCGTGGATGGCACGGCGCAGACACTAAAGTTTACCCCAAGGTCCCCAATCATGATGACCTTGTTAGCAATTTGCCGAAATCTGTTGCCGCACATCATACGACTCGTGCCCTCCTACGTGACCCTTTCATGTCTAGTTCCGGAGCCGTCAATTGATACTTAACTTCCAGGGTTTCCCCTTTGTGTCCCCTCGACGTGCTTTTTAATCCTTTCAAACTTCATCCCATCCGCTGCTCTCTCTCTCTATCCATCCATCCATTGCCCTTACCTATTCTCGTCGTCGAGTAAACCTCTGTGACTGACGATTCTCATAATCTCCCGAGAGCCCCTCAAAACAACCTTTCTCAGAAACAATCCCTCAAAATGGCCACAAACGGCGTTAACGGCAACCATGCCAACGGCACCAACGGTGTCAAGAACAACAACAGCAAATTCGACCCCAACTTCACACAACATGTCATCGACCTCATGAGCCCCGAGACCAAGCCCCGCCACAGAGAGATTCTCAGCTCCCTCATCAAGCATCTCCACGACTTCTGCAGAGACGTCGAGCTGAAGCAGGACGAGTGGGTCCTCGGTGTTAACTACATCAACTCCATCGGCCAGGCCTACCAGAAGAACCGTAACGAGGCATGGAGAGTGTGCGACATCCTCGGAATCGAATCGTGAGTATTTCCTGACGTCATGTTACGGCCCATCATCAAGCACATCAGTAGCTAACCACCCGTTCTCCCATTCAGTCTCGTTGATGAGATTAACCACAAGATTGTCACCGACTCGGGCGCCTCTCCCACCTCCTCCACCATCCTCGGCCCCTTCTGGTCCCCCGAAACCCCCTTCCGCGACCTCGGCGCCAGCGTCGTCCAGAACATGCCCAAGGACGGCCAGCTCACAAAGTTCCACGGCACCATCTTCGACGTCGATACCGGCAAGGGAATCCCCAACGCCGTCTTCGACATGTGGCAGGCCAGCACCAACGGCAAGTACGACGTCTTCGACCTCGAGAACCAGACGCGCCACAACCTGCGCGGCAAGTTCCGCACCGACGAGAACGGCGACTTCTGGTTCTACTGCCTCAAGCCCACCGAGTACGCCATCGACACATCCGGCCCCTCTGCCGACCTCCTCAAGATTATGGGCCGCCACCCCTACCGCCCCGCCCATATCCACATGATGGTCACCCACGACGACTACGTCGGTGTCACCGCCCAGCTCTACCCCCGCGACGACCCCTACCTCGAGACCGACACCGCCTGCGCCGTCAAGCCCGATCTCCTCCTGGACTTTGTCCCCGTCGAGAACGAGCCCAACGGCGCCGTGCTGGACGTCAAGTACGACGTCCGCCTGGTGTCCAAGAAGTACAAGCCCGACGCCCAGATGTTCAAGCAGAACGCGAACCAGAACAAGTTTGATTAAGAAAAAAAAAAAAAAAAAGAAAAAAAAAGAGAAAAGAAAAGGAAAGGAATTTGCGTGCATAATGTGCATAAACGGCCGGCTAGCTAATTTTGGGTTTCATGTTGTTCCTTTGGGCATTTTCCTCTTTTTTTTTTTTGGTGTCTTCTCCGAGTATCGGAGAGAGTTTCTGTCAATGTTCTTTGTATATCCCCCCCATCTAGCGACGACCATACGGCGTCAGCACAGCCCGCACAAAATAGATTCAAATCATGTTCAACAAAACGTCGTTTTACTTGCGCAGCATGTGACATTGTATTTTTCTGTAGTTTGCTTATTGGAGTGGATAATTCTGCAACTTGCGTGCGTTGACGCCATCGCGGGGATCCCATTACTTGGTGGTGGGGGGGGGGGGGGGCATGGTCGTAACGGAGACTGTCGGAGAACATGAACCCCTCCATTGCGAATGCTCTCTACATGCCCGAATTGAAGATGATTGCGATTGGCCTATCTGACTTGACAGACTGATAAAACTCTGCCAAGTAATGTCTTATCACCACCTTTCATTTCCAATAGACGTTCCCTCAGCTGGATGAAGATGAAAATTGGTCCTGGTATTGCCCCGCCGGCTTCCCTCGGAAATCTACGGCCTGCGCCACCCGTGCTCTGGCGACCTCCTTTTTGTTTTCCCGGGCCCAAATGCCGTGGCCACTGCTCCAGCGGGGGGGCGTGCACTAACCGGGGGGGTGGGGGATGGGGGATGGGAATGGGGGGGAGCCGTCTATTCCGAATCGGAGCCGCTCGAGACTTTCACGGCAGCTGCCTCGGTTGTTTAATAATAGAAATCATGAGCTGGGTGTTTAGATAATAGCATGAAGAATCAAGTGAGACTACACGAATGCGCAAAGATACAATAAGCTAGCTGGCTATCGCGCTCAAATGTCCAACATCTCAATATTACCCCTCATGCCCCCTGACATTTCACTAAAAAGAAGAAGCGTGGTGGATCCCAGGCCCAGGAACAGCGTCCCGATCCCTGTAAAGAAAAGTTGCCTACTCCGGCTACGCTACACTTCCTCCAGTCCCCCACATCAAATGGCTCTTCCGCCGTCGACTTCCATGTTGATGCCCGTGATGAACTTACCTTCGTCGGAAGCTAGGAAGAGACACGTGTTTGCGACGTCTTCTGCCTCGCAAAGCCTCTTCAGCGGAACGTTTTCAATGAACTTGAGCCTGTTCTCCGGTGTATCGGGCAACCCCGAGAAAGATTCGAACCTATGATACCGTGAGCTTTGGCTTCTGTGAGTACGATTTGGTCATGTTGTCATCTTACAATCCGGTGCCGCTGAGCAGCGGACAGACGGAGTTGACTCTGATTTGGTGACCTCCATACTCGGCCGCCAGGCCTTTGGTCGCCTGAAATTTGGCGTTAGTAGCTTTCCCTTGAAACGCATCGTGCTAATCCTACATTGGAGACGGCGCCCTTGGATGCGTTATACCACACAAGCCCGGGCCTAGGCCTCACTGATCCGATCGAGGAAATGTTGAGCATGACGCCGCCTTCGCCCTGCTTGATGAGACGAGGCATGAGGGCGTTGGTGCCGAGAAAGATGCCCTTGACGTTGACGTTGAAGACGCGGTCGAACTCGCTCTCCGTCACCTCTGCCGTCGGCTGCGAATGAGTGAGCACAATCCACTTTACCACGCTGGAAACGGCAACGCACCTTGTTCTTGTAGGTCGTGCCCGCGTTGTTGACTAGAATGTCAATCCGTCCGTACCGGGACTGCGCGGTGTCGAGAAGCTTCTCCCAGTCACCCGCGTCGGTGACGTTGGCCTTGAAGAAGGATATCGCGTCCGGCGCATCGTCTGCCACCCGCTTCCCATCCGCCTCGTTGATGTCCGAGATGAGGACCTTGGCACCTTCGAGAGCAAACCTCCTGGCGATGCTCTCGCCGAATCCGTGACCGCCGCCTGGTGTTTTGTCAGTGGGGACGTCTTCGTTTGTTCGTTAGCATGCATGCATCCGCTGACCAGTGACGACCGCGACCTTTCCGGCCAATCTTCCTTCTTGGGTAAAAGTCATATTATCGTGAATTATGAGACGAATTTTTAGTAGAGTCCCGCCGGCTGACTGCGAGGGACTTTTTGTTTCAAGTGGCGATTCTATGTGGTATTTCACTACAGAGGCAAAGCTAGTTGAAGCTGCGTTGCTCCCGTCCATCACACCACGCCTACTATCTCGACTTAAGTACCTATATGGGCCGGCATCACTCCTCGTCGTATGCTTGGACGGCCGTCGTTTGACATTGCATCATACCGAGGCGGGGAGTGCGGGGGACTCGCAGCAGCCCGGGCAACGAATTCCGTGTTGGAGCTCGGCTACCTGCCTACCAATGATCTCGGCGACTCTTTTTTCTCAACGGTCTATTGGAGGATAATAGACTTTTTTTCTCTCTGCTGTTGCCACAAACATGCCGTGATACGTGTTTGTTCGCAGTTGGGGTTGGAGAAGCTGCAAAAATGAGTCTGTGGTGATCACGAGGGCTCCCTGAATGAGACCGCATAACTGCTGCCGCACGTAGACAAATTTGGTTACCACTCTCCTAGACCCTCACAAACGGTTTTGTCTCTTGATTATGCGGTTTTCTGATATTTGATGCCGAGGCATTCAGCCGCAGATACCATTGGATTCGGACGTCACCATGGACCGCCACAATGACATTTATCAGCCCCAGCCGCGGCTCGGCTGATTCAAACCCTTTCCCGCGAGACCTTTGTCTGGGGTGGCTCACGGGAGGCTCAGACTCTGACAATTCTTTTTTTCCTGCTTCCACGTGTGAAAAAATGGCGTATTACCAAGTTTTCTATTCTGCTCATTGATTACATGTTAAAAGCAATACTAAAGAAATCTTTCAAAAATTTACATTTGCCATTTCAGGAAAAGTGCAAAGGAATAGTGACACAGGAAGAAAAGAATACAAAGCCATTGTCGGAAAAGCAAACGGGAGAGGGGAGAGCTGAGAAATGCAGCGTGTAAGCCCTACATCTCTCCTTTCAATGTCTTTAATAGACCGTCAGCCGCATGCTCGCCCAAGGCATCCAGGTTACCCATGCCCAGCAGCTCCAGCATGCTAATATTGAAGCCGAACGTGGCCCGCCACCACGAACGCATCTCGATAGCCACCAGCGAGTCCATGCCCAGGTCCGCCAAGGAAGCCGAGCCGACGTCTGGATCTCGTCGTCGCTTCGCAGGACGAGGCTGAACAGCTTCCTGCCGATCTCGTAAGCGAGCGTCTTGGCTGTCTCGGGGTCTTTCAGAGCGGCCTCGTCGTGTCTGATTGTCGCCAGCAGCGCTTTCATCGTGTCGCTCCCCGCGCCTGCGCCGCCTTCCCCGTCGCCGCTAATGTTCCGGTAAGCCGCCATGCGCATGTCCTTTTTCCAGAGGGCCCGGTTGTTCGGGCTGTTGAGCGGGATCGTCGACGCCAGGCCCAGAACGAAGTTGGCGTTGGTGGAGGTGCGGCTCATCATCATGGCTGCGCCCACGGCTTCCAGCAGCTCCGTCTCCTTGATCATGTAGGCGCCCGTCGTGAGCATCGCCCTGCGCAGGTTCTCGTTGTTGGAAATGACCCCAATGTCGTCAACGGCTCCGATGTCAACCGCGGCTACGGGTAGCCCCTTGCTGGACCGGTAGAGGGAGAAGGCATCGAGGAAGGTGTTGGCTGCTGCGTAGTTGGCTTGACCTGGCTGCCCGATGACTCCCGAGATGGAGGAGAAGAGAACGAAGAAGTCGAGGTCGATTCTCTCCGTTGCACGGTGAAGATTCCAGGTGCCTTCTACCTTGGGTGATGCAGCCTGTGTCCATTCGTCTAGTGTCAACTTGTCCCAGGCCAGGTCTCGAAGAACCATGGACATTTGTAGGATGCCTTTTAGATTAGGTGCAGCCTCGACGGCCCTCTGAACATCATCAGCCGAAACGACGCTGCCCTTGACCAGCGTAACTCTGCCACCCATGCTCTCCAGCTCCTGGATGAACTGCTGGTCCTCGTCGTTGGCTCCGGCACTTCGGGAAAGATAGACTAAATGGCGTGCGTTGTGCTCGACCATCCAACGGGATACAGCGCGGCCGAGGCCTCCCAGGCCACCGACTAAAAGATACGATGCTGATTCGTCGAGGTGAACCACCTGCTTTCTCTTCACATTGCTAGTGTCCATCCCAAGGGCACCGTCATTCGAATCACGAATCGAAATGACAATTTTGCCCATATGCAAACCTTGCTGCATGTACCGGAACGCCTCTCGGACTTTTGCGGCACTGAAGACCTCAATGGGCCGGATGGGAAGAATGTGGCCAGCCTCGTAGGCTTCTACAACTGATTTCAAAAGTCTGTAATACTGTTAGTCTTGGTAGCTTACACTGGGATAATTGTCCTTACTCTTTGCATAAAGGCTGCCTCTTGAAGCAAATCTGATCAAGGTCCACACAGCAGTAGGACCGATTAGCCAGAAAGACATCCATATCTAGCTTGCCGAAGCCGAGCAGATCCCTCTTTCCAATCTCAACCATGGTACCGAACTCGGCGACACAGCGCCAAGTGGCGTGGAGGAGATCGCCTGAGAGGGAGTTGAGCACGACGTCGATGCCCTTGCCTTGGGTAGCTCCAGCGATGCCCTCGACAAAAGAGCTGTCTCGCGAGTTGAAAATACGGTCGTGGGGCACGTTGAAAGTCTCCGTCAAGTATTTCACCTTTTCCTCATTGCCTACTGTTACGTAGATGTCGGCTCCAATCATGCGGGCCAGCTGGATCGCGGCGATGCCAACGCCACCGCAAGCACTGTGAATCAGGACAGACTAGAATATCGGATCAGGGGTTTGCTTTTGAACATCAAATGGCTGGATTCCACTTACCTGTCCTCGCTGAAGGCGCCCGGCGTTAAACAAGGCGTACATGGCCGTGGCATAGACGCATGGCATAGTCGCGGCGTCTTCAAGCGACAGACCATCAGGGATCTTTTGGCAGAGGTTCTCGGGGATGGTCACAGAGGTTGAGAAGGAGCCTCGACTGAACAAGAAGACCCTGTCTCCGACGGACAAACCCTTGACTTCCGGTCCAACTGCAGAGACAACTCCCGATGCCTCGAGGCCGAATCCTTCTTGGGGAATCTCGACGATGCCGTTGGCGCTCAATACGTCCTAGGAGAAACGTTAGCAGGAAGAAGACTTCTCATTATTAAAGCAAGTGAGTTGTCGTACCCTGAAATTCAAGCCGGCAGCATAGGTCTGTACTTCGACCAAATCGCCTTGAAGCTTCTGAGCATCCCGGCGAACCCAGTTTAGAGCAGCCAAAATACCAGGCTTCTTAGTTTCCAAAACTACGCGGCCACTTTCGTCGGATGAGAGCAGCTCTTCTTCAAGTGAAAACGGGGCAAACCGGCCAACATGTACCACCTTGTCGACGATGGAGTACTCATAATCCGGATCCACCTCGTCGTCGCCTTCAATGCAGTTCCCCTGGAACTTCTCAAAGACTTCAACGACGGAATCAATCGACGAGTCAAAATCATCCACTTCACATGTTGCAAAACGGACAGACAGCTCTGACCTCAATGTGCGAGCGGTTCCAAGGACCTGGGCATATGCTGGGTCCTCGCAAGCCATCTGGCAGAGTCGCGTCACCCAAAACAGTCGCGCACCGCTGTTGCTGATCGTCTCTACGAGCTTCTTGAAAGCGTCGTAGCGATATGTGTCGAGTTTATCGAAGAACGCCGAGTCCTGGTCCAGGAGTGCAATTACGTCCTCGCGCGCGGGCACCTCATCCTCGCCGAAAACTCGCCTATTCACTTTAAATCCAGCGGCCTCCAAGGATGACACGATGGGGTTGGGCTTATCGCTCTTGGTAAGCTCCAACAGTGTGATAGTATTGGATGCCGCCAGCACATCGGTGCCCTTATCGTCGATCGGCTTGACAATCATGAGGTTGTTGCGACGCAGCGATTCCTGCTCCGTATCGGCAAGAATCGCAGCTGTGCCAAGTCCCGCATTTCGCAAAGCAGTCTCCCAGTGCTGCGTGTTGGCATAAGGCTCTTCGGCCCGTCCGTCTTTCTCACCACTCCACCACCAGGGGAGAAGGCCCAGGATCAGATTCATCCACTTTGAGGTGGAAGAGAACTCGGTGAGCAGGAGCCGACCGCTCGGTCTGAGCAATTTGCGAACATTGGCTAGGCCCTCTCCCAAAATGGCAGATGTGTGCAAAATGTTCGTGGCAATGATGACGTCGTACTGCTCGTCACCAAAACTCTGCTCCTCGAGGTCACGATTGATGTCCAGCGTCGTAAACTGCATGTTGGGCGTGAGCTTGAACTGCTCTTTTGCGGCGCTCACCATGCCTGATGAGGAATCACTGAATGTGTAGGTAGAGTACATGACGCGCCCATCTTTCAGAATCAGGCTGTTAAGAAGCTCGCTAGTATGAGCTCCAGTATCGCCACCAAGCTCCAGAATCTTTAGGCTGGGCTTGCTGTGAGCCAACTGTTGGATCAGACGCGATGCGTCAAACCCAAGGTCGCGGAGCAGGTTCACTTGGTTGAGGCTGTTGTCCTCGATGAGCAACCCTAGAGGGTTGTCTTGGCCCTGGAAGATGGTTGTGATGCGGTTGGCCACCTTGACTATAGCGGCTGCTACGCCTGCAGCTGGGGTATCTTTCAAACTTATGGCCTGGTCTGTGATGGATTTCAACAAGTCCTCGCTTTCCACTCGAACACTCTTGGAGGCTCGCTGGTTAATCCAATCATTGTACTTTTTCAAGTGTGGAACCGGCGTCTGGAGGCCATTGAGTTGTTCTTGGATGTAGTAGATGCACTTGGATGTTATGTCATCTAGGGCTTTCATATAGGCGGCTCGGTCACTATCGTTCTCAATCCTGTCGATAAGGCTGGCCTCATCCATGAAATCGATTTGAGGAGCCCATTGATACCGCGCGGTAGGATGCGTATCTTTGGCGTCGGCAGAAGTCTCTTGGCCGGGAAGGGGAGACAAACAGGCGCCCTTCATCTGCAAAACAGCCTCCCCTGTGGAGTCAACGCACTCAGCGAGGCCAATAATAGCGCCGACTCCGTTGACGCTTGCTGAAGCTGAGATGTCGACATCGGTCTCAGTTCTGAAGACCTTGATTTCCTCAATCAAAGTGGGAATCACCATGCCATGCTTCTTGGTGTAACCTTTAGTGGCAGCTAAGCTGAGAATCTGCAAGCAGGCATCAACGATGATAGGGTGAAGATGGTACCGTGCCATCTTGCTCGTGGACTCTACGTCGAACTTGGGACGATACACCTTGGCTGCCGCTGTTGATTCAACGGTACCGGTCTTGATCTCTTGGAGCGCCTGAAAATTAGGACCGTAGCAGAGGCCAGCCTGTTGCATCATGTTATACGCCTTTCGGGATGCTATCTTTCGTGCCATCTTGGGAATGTCACGGCCAGAAGTCTTGCCGTTTCGTTCGAGCGCCTTGACTTGTCCGACACAGTGCCTAGTCCATGCTAGGCCGTTGTGTGATGATATGCTAAACTCCCACCATTGGCCGTCGAGTGAGTCAGTGAGACGGTGAGGTCGAAGCGTTGTAATGAGCTCAACCGGTTTGTCATCTGTAACCACAAGTGCTGTACTGACAACCACGTGGCGAAGCGCAAATCCTTCTTCGATGCCGCTGACTTGTCTGATGGCTTCAGCAGCCATGCCAATGTAACCAGCGAATGGATAGACAATGTCCTCAACGATGACGTGATCGCGAATCCAGGCAGAATGCTCAAGGTGGAACATATTCCTCCACGACGGTTCGATGTCAGTACTCTCAGCAATTCGGACCCCCAAAAGTTCGTGGTAGGGGAACTTGCGATGACGCCATTCTTTGGCAAGTCTCGACTCGTACCAGTAGCTTTCCTCATGGTCCCAGGCGTATCTGGGAAGATCAGGAAGATATGTGAGAGCCTCATCCTGTGGTTTGAGTTTCCTGAAGTCAATGGGGAAATTAAGTTGATGCAGTTTGCCGATAGCAGAGAGATAGCTCTCGATACAGTCTTGGTTACGCATCATAGAAGAGATGTAGGGTAATGAAGCCGAACTCTTGGCCATAATGTGTCGCAGGGGACCACCCATGGCAGCGTGAGGCCCAATCTCCAGGAATGCCGGCTTGCCCAAGTCTTTGTTCTGCAGAATATTGGTAACAGCCGTGGCAAAGAGGACAGGATTCTCCAGGTTGCTCTGCCAATACCAAGGGCCGAGTGTCTTTCCTTCATCCAGCAAGTCACCGGTTACGCTGCTATAGAAAAGACAGTCTTTTCTTGGGGCTCGACCGCTAACTCCCGTTAGAAGAGCCATGTACTGCTCACCCACCTCGGCCATGTGATATGAATGGTACGCTTTGTCGACTTTCAAGAGGCGCGCCAACACCTCCTTTCCGTTGGGAGGAGACTGCTTGATCTTCTGTACAACTGCTTCGACTGCTTTGGTGTCCCCAGATATGGTTACACTGCTGGGCGAATTCTCGCAGGCGACTGTGGCAGTGGTTCCCTCGAGGTAGGTTTTAACGTCATCCCAGCCCAAACCGATAGCGGCCATGGCACCGGCCCTGTTCTGAAGTTTAGCTACAGAGCCACGGTGGAAGGCAGTAACAATAGCTTCTTGGGCAGTCAAGGCACCCGACGCGTAAGCAGCAGCAATTTCGCCGCTGGAATGGCCAACAACTGCGTCAGGCTTGACCCCGACAGAGGCAAGGCTGTCAAGTAGACCAATCTGGACAGCCGTGCAAAGTGGTTGAGAAACCTCGGCAAGCTCGAGACGACTCTTTTTTCCTCTTTTGAGAAGCTCCGCCTCAATACTGAACTCTCCGCTGCCAATAGCTTCCTGTAAATATTCGTCGAGCTTGCGAATCGTGGTCTGGAACACTGAGTTGTCTTGTTGGAGCAATTCAATGCCCATGGCGGGCCATTGGGCTCCCTGTCCTGTGAAAACCATGACCAATTTAGGAGCCTGTTGTGGCGCCCTGGATGAGGGAGACGGAACAAAGTTGCCGCCTCCGCTCGTTATAGCAAACGATCTGTAGGCATGGTGTTCTCTTCCATTCGCCAGTGTGTACGCAACTTGCTCGAGCTTCTCGGGGTTGCTAACGATGAATGACTGATAGGCCTCGGTCATCTTCTTCAGAGATTCCGAAGAGTTGGCGGAAAACACAAGAAGCTGAGGCTCAGTCGTTTTGGCAGATACTTTGACGGGCTTAACTCCCTGGGACCTGGCCGACTCGAGGATGGCATGAGCATTGGTGCCTCCAATTCCAAAGGAATTGACGCTAGCTCGCTCATATCCATCTTCAGGCCAAGGGGTGGGCTCGTTGGCAATCTTGATGTTTCGCTCTTCAAATGGAATATTGGGGTTGAGAGGGGTAAACTTGATGTTAGGTGGGATTGTGCGATTCTCCAATGCCATGACTGTCTTGATCAAAGAGGTCAACCCTGAAGCTCCCTCTGAATGACCAAGGTTAGGCTTGACAGAACCAATGTAGACACCGCGCTCTGAGCCACCAAAAACGCGAGCCACAGCACCCGCTTCTATAGGATCTCCAATTGGAGTGCCAGTGCCGTGACACTCAACAAATGTCGTGTCAGAAAAGTTGGTGATACCTGCCCGGGCATATGCTTGTCTCATCCTTCGCACAGCTTTGAGTCAGCCCCGTTATTTTTGGCGAAGAAATCTTTGATAGATCGCAATCAAGGGTAAATCATTGGAGAGAGGTAACACTTACAATGCCTCATGAGCTTCGGTGCTTGGCAAAGAAATACCGTTGGTCCTGCCATCAAACTAAAAGCGTTCTTAGCCAAAAGAATAGAAGAGATATGAGAAGGGCAGATCCTACATTGGTAGCAGTTCCCTTGATGACCGCACGAATTGGATTCCCATCCCTCAGGGCGGCATCCAAGGGCTTGATGTAAACTGCACAAACAGCCTCACCACGACCGTAGCCATTCGCTTCGGATGAAAAGGTCTTGCATGAGCCATCTGGAGAAAGTACACCCTGCTCCGTCATTGCTTGCGTCATGCCAGGGGCCAGAATGAGGTTTACACCGCCAACGATCGCAGATGTGCAGTCACCTCTCTGAATAGCCGTGACTGCCTCATGCAGGCCGACCAGCGCTGCCGAACAACCAGTCCGCAAAGTCATACTTGTAAATTGTTAGTTAATTCCCCAAACTGGCTGGCTTTTGACATACCTGGGACCCTTAAGGTCCATCTCGTAGGCAACGTTGTTGGAGAGCATGAAATCTCCATATCCAGCAACTCTGTACAAGCCGTACTGTTGTGTATCCTTGGCAAACATCTCACACCAGTCTTCACCAAAGCTGCCAACATAGCAGCCGATCAAACCGCCCCGATAATTTGTCTCGCCAGCATCCTCAATACATTCTCTAGCGACCTCGCTCATCTGGCGCTGATGGGGATCTTCTCTTTCAGTAGCGCCTCGCACAAAACTAGAAAAGGCCCCATCACTTTTGCTGATGTCATAGTCGAGAAAATAGCCATACTCAGTCTTGACAGTACCTGGCCTACCAGATGGGTCGTAGAAGGCGTCAACGTTATACCGGGACTCTGGAACTCGCGATCGGGCATCTCCCTTGGCTAAGACGAACTCCCATAGCTGTTGCGGTGTATTCAAACCACCTGGAAGACGGCAAGCCATACCACAAATAGCAATAGGTTGGTCGTTATAGTTGGATGAAACATTATAGGGACCATTGGGTTGGCTGTAGGTTAAAGCTCCGTTGATAACCGTATCTTCATTGGTCGCAACTTCGTTGGCTGATGCGCAACCGTTCAAAGTTCCAAGATTGTCAACATGACGGCGATTGAGGTGCGTTGTATCGTTACTATCAGTGTTGCCGTTCTTGAGACTAACACCGCCAGTGCTATTAATAGCCTCAAGTGGCACCGTGTAAAAACCGCTGATCGCCGTTGGAGCCATCTCAAATGCTGTGTTATTGTAAGGGGAGACGTTTACCTGTCGCCAAATTAATCAGTCTATAAGAGTAGATGCAGATAAAAGTCTTTTGTGTATTAAACCTTCTGTTCCACATTCGATGTTCAGCGCCTTCATTTCTTCGTTTTATACCTAACAAAGCCTCATCTTGTTTCTGGCCCTGCTTGCTTCAGCTGCGGTAGGCTCCCATCCCGGCATCAAGCCTCCGTCTCCGTTTCGCCGCTGTTGGGGTATACAAGCCCATTGAGCTGCCACTTCATATCTTCGGGATAGAGTTACGGGATCCTTCCCGGATTGCGCCTCCTGTTCCGGCCCCGGACGTGGACAGCTTCCACCCATTAGCAAACATGCACACTTAAGGCTGAAAATAGCGTCTGCTTTAGTGTCCAATAAGGCTTTCTGTAGCACGGGATATCTCTGGAAAGCAGTAAGCATAATTCAGCCTGGCTGGAGATTGTGCTCAAAATGTACACGGCAGCGGAATCCGGCCTGTGTTCTAGATGTGACTCTCACAATCCAAATGACAGGGCTGAAGGGTTTGAAACATATTGGAACAAACGGAGTCCGTTACATTTTCCCATCGTAAACTCCTAAAGTTCCAGGCAGCAAGGGGTTTCCACAGCGGAAGAGCTAGGAAGAGGCCGGATATGCAAGGCGTTTGTATCGTAGGTACGGGTTCCGCAGGCCAGTGGCGTTCTCATATAACAACGCACAAAGTAAGCGCTTGAAAACATTCAGTCTTGGCAGCACTAACAAGATATGCTCTTCGGCTGAAAAATACTCAGCATCGAGAGTCCCCATAACCTGGACTATGATACCACATCTTTGCGTCCCATTATACCCAGTTGAATGGCCTAAGAATATCCTCTTCCGTGCCGGAAAATTGGGATAAAGTTTTGCTACGTAAAAAAGGTTCGGGGTATAGTTCTACCGCTCTGAACCTATTAGGTTTGGCTCTTATGTATGAACATTCTCCGGCCAGGCAAATGATCCAGCAGGTTGAAAATTAAAAATATCATGTCTGAGACAGAGATACATGTCATTCAAGTAGCGAAGGTATGCTGCTGTCTCCACCAAAACGCTGAACCATGCCAAGATGATCGACAGTGCTGAGCCCTTGCTCGGTTCTTCAGAACTTGAGACCTCACAGCGTAGGATGAAAGTCATATTTTCAGCCTCGGTAAGCGTTCAACTTTAAAGGAAGTTAGAGCCACTTTGGCTCATGCAGGTCACTGAACACCTTTGTCAGAAGACGCGACTTAGATAACCAATGGTGAAATATGCCACCTTCTGCAGGACCGCCAGGTGCTCACAGTTGCAATGTGTCTGCTGACGTCACTGTGAATCGCGCCTTGTGGCTTTAAGGTTTGTCTTGGCAATCCCTTTGGTGTTGTGGATAACAAAATGATCAGATATAAGCCAGCTTCACGCATTCATGGGCATCTAAGACAATATTGGACAGTAGAAAAAGCGGATGGACACCGTGCTTGTCGGTCATGTCCCTTCCGAGAAGACATAATGCAGGAGTAAGATACGCTACAAAAGGTGACCACACTATTTTGTATCATCCTGCCACTTCAGTGCGTGACGTGCGAGCCTCTTCCAATCAGACACCATTCATAGTACACTCTTCTTGAATGATAGATCGCATAGCATATGAGCCAGCCTTATGCCCTGGTTGCCATTAACCAGCACTACGTCAATGACAGCTCCTTCTTAGCATGAATTCATTTCCAGAAGCCCAACTTGTTTCATGGCTTTCGAGCTCGCACGTAGTCCATTGTTGTAGTTCAACTTCGGTATCTCCCAAATAGAAGCCTTATCGTTCCACAGCAGATCAGTTGATCAAATAAGGGTTTGAAGGTAAAAAGGCTGCATGATTGGATGTATGTCTCGCCACAACCAAGAGGCTAAATTCCGCCGCTCACAACGGTTCCAATAATGATTTAAGGTAGCGGCGAGAAGGCTAGCCCTATGAGGACCTGTAGCACTATCTCCGGTCGGCGACGCCGGTCGATAACGCTATGCCAAGATCAAGTCAAGAAGCACGCCAAGGGATTATTGCACGCAGCCTTAATCGTAGATCATTTCCCGTCGCAGAGCAATGTCTCTGCGGTTTCTACCTTGAAGGATTCATCCCTTCCAACAGCCACGAGCAGGACCCATGTCGGCGGGGTTGTTGTGACCAATTCCACACGTAGGAACTTACTTCCGTCCAAGTGGCTGAGTCCCTTATCCAACGTATAACCTTATTGGCTACGGAACGGTCCGCGAGAGCTGCCTCTTCTAACGTCGAGAAACGAAGAAAAGTCGTACAACATGCTTCCACGGTCCCTAATATAAGAGCGGGGTTCCAAGTTCCGTGCGGTCCCACAATGGTTCAACGAGGCCGCTAGTCATCGCGACAGTATTGACATAAAGTCTCTGAACTAGACAGTGAAGAAGACATAGATTCCATTAATGTTCGTTGGGGATTGTTCTGAGAATCTATTGGACTTGGCTACGTCACCATGTCACAAAGGAAACGATCCAGGGACGGCTCCGGCCCTGTCGAGGTGAGTTACTCCGGTCTCAATCATTCGCACTGGCAAGTAGTGGGACGACGATCATTGTGTTCGCATTCGTATACCCGCCTTGGCTAACATTCAAACTTTGGGGCAATGCAGGACTACCCAGATACCAGAGATCACTTAGGTATGTCTGCAACATTGTCCAATACGCCCAGGTGCAGATGAGAATAACTAACAAGTGAAACAACAAAGCATGTGACCAATGTCGTATCAAGAAAATACGCTGTGGAAAAGAACGACCTAATTGTTCGAATTGCAATCGAATGAATCTTGATTGCAATTGGTCTGGCCAAGGCAAAAAACCGAACCAGACCGTGGTCCTGTAAGTGATCTTTCCCTTACCCGTTGCCACACCCTCCCTGTCTTAGGAAATGGCTCTTGATTGCGACAAGTGCGTCTGGGCCGATACCATGAGTACAATAATATGCTCTGACAAGAACAAGAACGGTTATGACCGGGTAGTACGCGGCTGGTGATCTTAACTTTTCTGACTCCAAACCATACAGTAATAAATCCATTTCCACAATGGGAGAACGTCTTCGGCTCATCGAGGGAAACATTTCCGGCATTCAACGCTCTCTCCAGCGGCTAGACTTAACCATTGCCAGCCGACTTGGACTAAATAATGAAGATGTTCATGCATTTAGTGGCGTCGGCAGCAGTCCGCCTAGGTCCACATCCAATCAGGGCAGCAGCACAATAAGCAGTAGCAGCAGCTCTGTTGTTTCTGATATGTCCTCGTTCGGTTACCACATTGTACATGACGCACAAGGACATGAGCGTTGTGTTGGCCCCTCTTCACTTTTATCATTGATACACAGCATTGACGATCTTTCGATGCCAGAGGCCGAAGGAGCCGGAGCCAACGCGGCCACTGCCCGTGAGAAAATCAGGGAACTGGGATATAATACCAGCCAGCCGTTATTCTCAAACGTCAGTGACGGCTCCGCCATCAAGGAACCTCCGATGTTAATTGTCGAGGCCCTGATCGAACCGTACTTCGATTCAATTAATTCTCATTTTCCCATATTCACTCGAGAAGGCTTTTGCCGCTTGATGAATACCTCTCGTGCGGAGTCCAATCCCGCATTTAACAGGCCATTCGCCATTTGCGCCAATAACATGGTGCTGTTGACCTTATCAGCCAAGGCCTTACATTCTCGGTCAAAGAGCACGTCAACATCGAACATCGACCGAGTCACGGAATCAATCGATGTCGAACTTATTCAATCATTCATCAGCAATGCGAACCGCGCAATGGTCCAAGTAGAGCAATTGCTCAGCCCCCGATTGGTTAACGTGCAAGCTCTGTTATCCTTAGTAAGTAGCATCATACATTTTGTAAGCAAGGCACCTTTACTGAAACCACACAAGTGTTTTGTCGCCCAGATGTGGCTCTGTGAGGATGTGTTTAATCTTGCCTTGACCTTGGCTGCTCATGTGGCCAAGTCAATGGGATTATGCCAGCCCCAGGCCTTATCGACATCAAGATTGAGCCATGAAGAAGTTCAAGAACGTCGAAATGTTCTGCAGTGTCTATACTACCTAGACAGGGCAGTCTGTTGGAATAGTGGATCGTTATCCAATACTTCAGGAGATGTTGTGATGATGATTGAAGCGATGAAGCGGCCGGACGAGCCCCCGTCGCTTATGGACGCCAAGTTTGCACTAGCCCAGATCGAGGACGACTTGTACACAAGCTTCTATTCGAAGAACACATTGTTATGTGAACAGATCAGCATGAAAACACGAGCTATACAGGCAAGGCTGCAAGATTGGAGAGCCGTATGCAATCTTGATGAGCAGGATGGCGGAAACGGTGTTGCTCAAGTTCCTTGCTCAAGGCTTGAGCTGGATATATCTTTTCATTACGCTCGTATGAGGCTAATGTGGCCTTTTGTGAGGGAGGCAGAGGCGAGATCACTTCTACTCAGCGATTGTCGTGCAAGCTTGCTCCTTCTGCGGCAGCTATGGGATGCAACTTCAAAGCACGATCACTACCCAAGTTTCGCATGGTAAGCAATACCAAGAGCTGGAATTCATGATACGTTCAGAGTTAACTGTAGCTGCTTAGGCTCATTGTTTCATTTCCCACGAGTGTCATTTTCCAGTTCGCCAGCCAATTTGAAGACTCTCACTCATCAACAGACGACTTGGAGCTACTTAACTTTTTGTCAACCTCTCTACAAAATGTCTCTATGTTCGCCACTGAGAACTCGTATGTAATTCGATTCAATAGTTTTGTCCGAATTCTTGTACGTCTGGCACATGATATAATCGATGGCAAAACCGCAGGGTCGTCGCCAGAGCCAGTCATTACCAACATGTTTGAGTTACATACGAATACCGCGGTTACTGTGAAGGAAACGGCTGTGGGGCAGTCTCCCAGCGACATTCAAGGCTCTGGACTACAGACAGCGCCCATACAGGACTCACTACATCTGCACGAGGATTTGGATTCGTTGATGACCATGTGGGACAACGGCACGAGTACCTTCGCTGGTTTCCCCAGAGAAAATGACATTATGGTCCTTAATGACTTCTCACCTACTGCGGACAAAGGAATATGGGAGCATTTCAACCTTGCAAACAATCTTCGTGTGGACCAGATGCAAGACAAACAATTGGTGTAGTAGGGGATGGAGTTAATTTACGGTGTGGCGGCGTAACAGCCTGTACTTTAGGTGAATTACAGATGTTCATAGTTTAAGGAAATAACTTTAACCAAGAAAGCCATCTTCTCTCGCTACTGGCAACGAGGCGCCAACTTTAAATATGAAGTGACTTGCGCAACGGTATCGAACAGGTCTGGAACTAGGTAGTCAGACGCCATATTGATTTCGAAGCCACGAAGCCGGATCCCGTATTCCGCAACCCCTTGATTGGTCACTTGCCGTTTCATAAATAAACAGGCATCACATGATCGAGGCCGGCTATGCTACTTCTACATAGGTCTTAGAAAGCAACTATCACTCTTTGTATTTCAAGCCGGATTCGCTCCAACTGAATGACTCGTCGTGTCTAAGCCCGTAGGCGTACTACCTAAGTTAATGTGTTGGACGTGGGCCCCCAAGCTTTAGGTTATATTGAACGATTGAGGACTAGAAATAAGCACGCCGATGGTGTTTCTGTCTAATCTAGTTGGTACTAGGCTTGAATAGCAAACATAGCACAGGAGTGAGTGAGGGATGGCATGTTTACACTAGTTGGTTTAACGAACAGCAACAATCTATACGGGATCGCTACGTGTCTGAAGAACCGTTCATAGCAACAGTTTTTATTCTAGTTCTTGCATCCGGCTGTATCCACATTTATAATAGTGCATGTATGATTCATGTTATAGCTGTCAGCCATTCACGATCTTCATGTTATCATCAGATGAGAGGCCAACTTCTATTGGTATCAAAGCTAGAGCACCTGACAGCGTGAAATATAGCGTGTACCATTCTAACAATCTAATGATAAATTTGGACTACTTGTTTGTCAACTTAGCTCCACCTAATCGCAGCATCTTACTCGACAGAATACTGATCAAAACGAGGCGTCAAGGAAGTAATTTTGTAGACTTGCTGAGCTGCAGTGGGCAGCGCGCCCTCCTTGCCATTCTTCTTTATGTCGAGCATCTCCTTGGCCCAGTCGCAGATTGCATTAACAAGACCCTCAACCTGCTCGTCGGTAATACTTGCATGGAAAGCAATTCGCACACGGTTAGTGCCCTTGGGGACGGCTGGGGGGTCAACAGGGAAAACCCAGAACCGCAGAAGCTGCAAGTGAAGAGAGAGAAAATAATTGTGACGTGGCTCTGTCAGAACCGCAACAATATGCGATAAGATTGGCTGAGATTCCCAGTCCTCCGCTAGCGGGATATCAATGATACCGGCATTACGAACTTCTTTGTAATATCGGTTGTTGGTGATGGACTTGTAGAAATGGCGGATGTGCTCTTGGAGGCGCATTCGAGCCTATTGAAATTATTAGTTCTCGTGATGATAAGTCACTCATTAAAACATACTGGCTCCGTCTTTCCAGTCTTTAGGAGGCTGTATGCCGCCTTGATTGCGGCGAGAGTTGGGAAAGAGGCAGCCGTCGTGAAGCATATCGGCCGCGCGTGGTTGACCAGCATTGTTCTTACAGTGTCATTACAGAGAATAGCAGCTAGATTGTGGAGTTAGTTTGAAATTCAGACATGTGCCGAAACAAAAGTAAACTCACCGCCCGAAGCTCCTAGGGCCTTGGAGAATGTGTGTAGGCGAATGGCGATGTCCTTCTCAAGTCCAAGTGCGGAAACAAGTGCAACTCCTTTTTCACCAATGACCCCAGTCGCATGAGCCTCATCAACTATGAATTGGAAGTTTCCCTTCGGCAAAACCTCTTTTGCAGCCTCTACCATTTCTTTCAACGGGCAAACATCGCCGTCCATACTGTATACGGTCTCAACAGCAATGAGCACAACACGTTGCCCACGCTGGATAAGCGGCTCAGACTCATGTACCGTCTCCAGGACCTCACGGAATGATTCAACGCAGTTGTGGCTGAAGGGGAACTTGACCTTAGCCATGCAGCGCGACATACCCTCGTGAGCGCTTGCGTGTACGAGTTCGTCGTACACAATAGCGTCTCCTGGGCGGGGAATAGACGAGAAAATAGCACTGTTGCCCTCGAAGCCTGAGTTGACAATAAGCGCGCGTTCGGCACCGTGGAAAGAGGCGATTTCGTCCTCCAAGTCCTCGAAGTAGTCGCTATTGCCATCAAGAAGCCGTGATCCGGTGCTGCCGACGGTAAAGTTGGGGAACCGGTCCAACTCCTCAAGAAAGGCCTCGCGAAGCTGTCCAGAAGTGGCCAATGATAGGAAGTCATTGGAGGAGAAGTCGATGTTGTCCTTGCGTTTGCGCAAGGTGATGAGATTATGCTGGCTGCGACGCAAGTCAAGTGCCTCTTCAAGGTTGCGATAGAATATATCCTTCATCTTAGGGGCTCTGAGTTCTTGCGCTTGATTCCATTGCGCAATCTGCGTGAATACTGTCTCGTCTGCAGTTGAATTCATCATGTCTAGGTTGGAGAGAGAAAAAAGCGTTGAGCTTGAAAGAAATAGGAAGTCCGCGCTGATCTGATGTCCTAACTATACTCTAATAGTTGAATGGAAACCAGTCTTATGTAGTAGAACTCCTGCCGTGAGTAAATTTACAATCAGTTAAGTGTGCTAATATCGGTGTTTGGAATCCGCCATCCGGGCTCCGATGCCCGTCCTAACAACCGAACTGAATCGTGGGCGCGGTGTATGATGTCCGCAAGCGCTAAGAAGCATTCCGAAACTCAAAGTTCCATTTTGGTAGATATGTCTAGCACTCCGTATCATCCCTAGAGACCGCTTCAATATTTCCACGCTCCCTAACTTCGGTGCTTTGCAGGATATCGGAGAGACACACCGAGGTTCCGGGTTCTCATTGAGCAACGTTGTGTTCAACCTTCGAGAAGTAAACTGTTCGGAGCTTCATTAACGCGCTGTCAAGGTTTAGAAGTACTCGTTTTATCGCCAGCCCGGGGTCCAAAGTAGCACGATATACATGCCATGAAGAGACGGTGTCAGGGTAGCTATTTCTGTAGCTCACATAGAATCAAAGCTCCTTGAAGCATTTGAGTTTTGGCTTTGTTTGTGAAGAGTAGAAAGCAGACGATGCATGAAAATGCGGCATTTATATTGTATGTGAACTATCTTGAATCACCCAAGTAGACTTGACCAACTTGACGATGTCTCGCATCACTTTTCAGAGGTTTATTATCTCAAAACTGAGTTACAGCGCCAAAACAAGAATAGTATCATAAATACCTTTTTTTCTGAAGAATTGGCTTGAACAGTCTGATCCATCCATGTTATAGGTCCAGGGAAACTATTCTGATTCCGTTATAAACCCATGTTTCACCATTAAGGATTACCCAGAATAATCGTAAACCAAACGGACTGTGACGCTCTTACCGTTCTTCTCAGTGGTGCTTGACTGAGTAAAGCGTCTCTGGGAGTCGACCTCTTCTAGAGCCCACGTAGTAAGAGTCGACCAGCCTGCCTTCTTACTGCTGCTGAATTCTTCAATGACCTCAGTCACACCGGATTCACGCAGCCTCTGGCTCACGTTATCGTCCCTTGCCTCATCTATTGGCACAAACTTGACGTTTGTAACCAATGCGCCAAAGACCTGCGTTTTCTGATCGCGTTCTACACCATCCAGCACGTAAACATCCTCACTTTTGAAGTTTCCAGGTGTCACAGTTTGCTCTTGATGGAGAGTGGAAACTGGTGAACTTCCAGCTTTCTCTAGCAACAAGGGGCTTTGATTAATAACAAGCTTGATGCCTCCAGTGGTGAGAACCTTTCTGGTAATCCAACTGAGTCCTTGCTATGAGCCAAGTCAGTAGTGAGTGCGGTATAATCACTGGGGTCCTCCCAACCATGGCTAATGTGTCACTCAAGTCATTTGAGAGTGATCGATTCTAATAAATAAAGGTTAGTTTCTTCACAGTATTCATTTTTGAAAGTTTATCAACATACCACGATCCAAGTCCCAGTGAGGTCACGGATTGTCTTGGAGTCGGGAGCTGCCATCTTGAGCAGTTGATAGGAATACTGCAGAAAGTTCAAACCAGGATACTGGGGCGCTATTGTAAGTAGCAAAAGATAAAGAGGGCTGCACACACGACTTCTGATATTGGAACAAAGCTAGTTAAATACATTTGAAGTTTGGCTATTCCCAATCGGCCATAAAGCTACTGCAGCTTTGTGCCTAAAAAAGTAAAAGTCCGATGTCCCGGATCGGGTTCCGCACATCGAATCAGACTATTTACATGTTGCTTTCGTCTGTGATTCGTACACTCTGCGGTTCATGCCCCGGCCGTTACTTCCGAAGAGCGGATTCCGATCGCTGATTATCCCATCCGGCACCCGGATCCCGGTCTCCGTCATAATTGGGTAGAGCCGTTTTTTGACTTCAAGCAGATATCTAGATAGGCGTCATACTTTATTAACCTATGGGAACTTTTTAAAGCCTTTCTCATTACCAAATCCGTTATCTGCCCCGCTTCCTAAGTCACCCTTGGCTGTCAGATTGGAACCGCCAAGCTGCTCTGTCATAATGGAGTCAGATACCTCGTCAAAATCCTTTTCGTCTTACAAGCCACGTACTTCATGGCTTCAGTGGGTACTGCAGTTAATCTGGGGGGAAAAGCCGAGCCACGAAGATGCGCTGCATGGGACTGTTCCTATTCCAGGGCCACCGCGTAAGTGAGCCCCTGTTTGCTCGTATCCTTGCTAATAGTGTCCAGCGGTCCCTCTGATTGGTAGCGTGTTTGATGTTGACATCAATGATACGCTGAAGTCCGTCATTGAGATCATGAAAGATTATGGTCTGCGCGTCTTCTATCGATGTTAACAATTCAAGGCATCACTAACAATTAAGCAGGACCAATTATTCAATTGTTTACTGGATCCACGAGGGAAATCATCGTCGGCTCTCAAGAACTAGCAAATGAACTCAGTGATGAGAAGAGATTTTGCAAGGTCGTTTATGGTGCTCTTCATCACCTACGAGATGCTGGTGGTGATGGCCTCTTCACGGCTCAACATGGCAGCCATGAATGGGGAGTTGCTCACCGCATTTTACTGCCCAATTTCAGTGTATTAAGGATTCATGACATGTTTGACGACATGAAAGACATCATAGAGCAATTATGCCTCAAGTGGTGAGCATAACTTATTTGACTTTTTGCCTTCATAAATGTTACTGACATGACAGCAGGGCTAGGCATGGCCCCGAGACTCCTATCGATGCAGTCGACGATTTTACTAGACTTACAGTCGACACAATCACGCTTTGTGCCATGAATTATAGGCTGAACAGTTTCTATCTAAATGACGACATGCACCCTTATGTAAAAAGCTTGTCTAGAGTCTTGGTCGAATCAGACAAGAAAGCGCAATTTCCGAACGCAATCAACTCCATGCGCTTCAAGGCTCATGCCCGGTACAAAGCCGATATACAGACTATGGCTGAGATTTGTAAAGATATCATTCGCAGGCGCCGTGCTTCTGGAACAGATTCGGATTCCAAGCTTCTCATTGACTGCATGATTCATGGGGTTGATCCCAAGACAGGGGACAAGTTAAGTGACGAGGCTATTATGTGGAACTTGCATACATTCCTGATAGCCGGTCATGATACCACGTCGGGATTGTTGTCTTTCGCTTTCTACTATTTACTTGCGAACCCCGAAAAGATGCGCAAGGCGAGAGCTGAAGTTGATGCAGTTCTTAGCGAAGGTGAACCTATGGGGTTGAAACATCTTCCAAAGCTCCAATACCTCGATGCCATTCTCAAAGAAACCATTCGCCTACAGTCACCCGCTCCTGGTTTCCACTTAAGGCCGCTTAAAGACGGCGAGGTGCTTGGGGGTAAATATGTCGTCAATAAGAAGGACCCAATTGTCATCGTTCTTCACCAGTTACACCGAGATCCTGCTGTCTGGGGCGATGATGCTGAGCAGTTTCGACCTGAGAGAATGGAGCGTAATGAGTTCCAAAAGCTCCCTCCCAACTCGTGGAAGCCTTTCGGGAACGGTGCCAGAGCCTGCATTGGAAGAGCATTTGCGTGGCAGGAGTCTCTAATGGTAATTGAACCCCCGAAACACATCGTCGTTCTCAAAGCTCACTTCTCAGGTCATGGCAATGTTACTTCAACACTTCGACTTTGAGATGGATGACCCCAGTTATAACCTAAAAGTTCAACAAACCCTGACGATTAAACCCGAGGGTTTCAAAATGCGTGCTCGGCTACGTTATGGCAGAAGGGCTGGGGATTTATTCAAATGCCAAAGCACAGTACGACAAGATCCGACGAATAGCAGAAATTCGAAGTTAGGCAATCATTCTGGACACCCTCTTACGATTTTGTATGGTTCTAACACTGGCACTGGCGAGGCTTTGGCCCTCAGGTTGGCTGGAGACGCAACAGCAGCGGGGTTCCACGCTCAAACAGTTGTGGAAATGAACGCTGCCACAGACAAGCTACCCAAAAACCAACCGGTCATTATCATTGCGGCTTCTTACAACGGATATCCCTCTGAAAATGCGGAAACCTTTGTCAGCTGGCTGGGTAAACTTGCCCCGGGCGCCCTTGAAGGTGTTAACTACTGCGTCTTTGGCCTTGGTATGTGTAGACCTTGCAGGTTGTTATTACAGTAGGCTAATGATACACAGGTCATAGTGACTGGGTAGCCACATATAACAGAATTCCCATCCTAGTTAACGACATGATGCATCAGGCAGGGGCGCACAGAATTATTGAGGCGGAATATGCCGACATGGCAACAGCAGATCTATTTGCTGATGCTGAGACATGGTCGACAGAGCAATTATGGCCGACGTTGGCAAAGAGGTACCATGTCAAACCAACAGAATTATCAATTTCAGATATGGACCTCAAAGTCGAACTTGGAATTCCGGCCAGGCTGGCTACTCGTCGTGGTTTCTTCCAGGCTGCAGTAACAGATATTCGACAACTTTCTCACCCTAGCGTTTCTCCAAAGTTTCATTTAACACTCAAATTACCGGCTGAAATTCGCTATCAGGCAGGTGATCGGTTGCAGGTGTTGCCCAAAAACAACGCTGAAGTCGTGAACCGTGCGCTTTTGCGGTTCCAGCTCGATCATGATACTGTCCTCGTCATTAATAGCGCCAGGCCATTAAGCATACCAGTCGGCGTCCCTATCTCAGCAGCCGAACTTTTGAGTATATACGTTGAGCTTGGCCAGACAGCAAGCCAGCGAAACATTCGGAGCTTGGCCGATGCGACCCTCCATATCGACAACAAGGCCAAGCAACGTTTTATCGATGAAGCGGCAAGATCTCATCTTTTGGAACTAGCCGACAGTTCTTATGAAGATGAAATTCGCACTAAGCATGTATCCGTGTTGGATTTGCTAGAGCGTTTTCCTTCTATTGAATTGCCTCTTGCCAAGTTCTTAGCTATGCTCCCGCAGATGCGTCCTAGAATCTACTCGATATCCTCGTCGCCTGCAAAGGATCCTACCTCCAGCGATCTCACGCTTAGCGTGGCTAAAGGCGGCGTAGCAACTAGTTACCTAACGTCCATACGCCCTGGGCAGTTTGTGCACTTTTCGCTCTCCCCAGCTCCGCGAGAGTTTCGTCTGCCTGTTGCGCTATCGACGAAACCGATCATCATGATCGCCACTGGAGCCGGTTTAGCACCTTTTCGGGCTTTCTTACAGGAGCGCGCATTTTCTAAAGTTCATCTAGCCCCAGCTTTGCTGTTCTATGGATGCCGGGGTTCCACATTGGACGACATGTACCGCGCTGAGCTTGACGAGTTTGAGAGCTCTGGCATCGTCAAAATTCATCGTGCTTTTAGCCGTGATCCAAAGGCAACTTCCAAGTACGTCATGGACAGCATATATACTGAGAGGAGTGAAATTATTAGTTTGTGGGCTGGCGGAGCCACTATTTACGTTTGCGGTGGGAAGAAGATGTCGGACTGCGTGTTTGATATTTTGGGACCTATACTTTTCAAGGCCGACCAAGCAGCTGCAAGGACAAATGCGGATACAGTACAAGATTGGGAAAAACAACTGCCAAGAGAAAGATATGTGAGAGAAATTTTTAACTAGAAAGATAAAGTGACAGGTCGTGGTACTATAGGGTTGCGATTCTATCAGGCTTTTAGTTCAATAGGTATACTATGCTTTGGTTGTAGGGCCTGGCATTCAATGTAGTCATATCACTCAACGGGTCACTAATAACTTCAGTCAAGATCTGAATTTTCTTTGCTGAAGATTAACCTGACTTTACTAGAGAAAATCGAGCGGACATGTAGGCACTTGAAACAAGTTTATTCATACTACTCTTTAGAAATAGTTTTACAATGAACCATGTCGACAGTAGCTGCAAATTTAGGTATAATGGTCTTCCATAACAGAATGTTTGGATATCTCCAAAAAGAACCTTTTACATCTAATTCATCAGGTAATGTCTTTCTGCTCTATTTTTCGCAATTTCGTCCCGACAACAACTTTCTCAGATGCCACTACATTCTCCTCATCACATCGGCGATCTCTTGCTCCGATGGTAAGTTAACAATGACGAGATACAATACATCCTAGAAGGAAGGTTAGAACACAGTCATGAAGTCGTGGGAATTGGATCTTACCTTCTGGAAGAGACTTGTCCATCCATTACTTGAGCTTTTGCCTTCCTTATCTTTTTTCTTATCTGAGCCAATCTTCTCAGTTGGCTCAACGTTCTCTTTATCACTGAGGACCTGTTTGTCACCTAGCGGAGTGACCTTGCCTTTAGTAGACCAAGTACCTCCAGTCACGAATGCCACAATATCTCCACTTGCGGCCGGGTGATTTGGGTCGGCATATCGTGATCGGAATTCTGGTTTTGGCAAAGATTTGGCCACATTGAAGGTGGAGTTTTCTTCTTTCCACTTGGCCTGCGCACGCCTGTCCATGTAATCATCTAGCCAAATTTCCCCGCGGTCAATGGCGTTCTTTCTCTTCCCACTGGTATGTGTGTTCATTGCTGCTAATGTCTCTTCAGGGGATGGGAAAACGAGCGGCGCGGGCTGAGCTGAGTGGAAGGCTCCGCTGGAAGGCTTCATCCTTCCCTGAACTTGCTTCTGGAGCCTCCTCATAATCTCATCGCTTGATGTCTTCTGCCTCATATCTTTCACCTTCTGCACAAGGTCTGACTTTGGTGGAGGGGCAGTGACAGACCTTCCCTCAAAATCGACTGCCGTCAAAAGTTGGTCATCACCAGTCGCATCAGGTTTCCAAGTTGTTACCAAGCATATCAATCCGCGCGGCATGAAAAACTCAGCATTGATACGGTCGAGAAACTTTCCGGATTTGGTGCGGCTCTGTGCTTCCATCGTAGCATCGGTGGCAAACGCGACTGCAACGCCGACGAGGAGCATAAACGGTTCTGGCGTAGCCATTCCTGCTAGCCCAGCTAAGTTCATGGCGTATAAGTATGGGTTTGGTTCCAATGCCTTGTTGAACGTGTCGATGAAGTCAAGGAAAGTCTCCTGGTCGATGTTGGCGTCTGCCAGAACTGGTGTGTAGGCCCGCACAAAACCCCGAGCTCGCTTCATAGGGCGTCTTTGAGGCACCACTACTGGCAACTCAATGCTCGAGAGTCTGTTGCTTCTAGCAGGATGGTATGGATGTCTTCTAAGGAAAGCCTCGGCCAAGTCACCGGGCTCCTTCAGAGTTTTCGAGTTTGCCATTTGTGCATCTGTCTTTTGCTCCGTGTCATCTCTTTTCCAGATTGCTTCATTGATCTTTTCGGGAGTGGTTGTTGCCACAACCTGAGGCTTTCGACGCTCAGGACTCTGATCTTCACCCTCTGGTCCTTTTCTCTCTCGTCTGTAGTGGACAACTTCAGAAACGAACCCGACAACAGAGGCTGCCACTCTGACGACTCCATCAATAGGATCGTCCTTTCTGCCAATGGCATCCTTCGAACCTTTCCGTTTCTTTTTGGTGTTGTCATTCATCACATCTTTGACTGCATTGGAGGCGGCTTTCGTTGCCATCTTCTTGCCTTGTTTGAGCAGGGTGGAGTGAGCCATTGTTTTAGGAAGGTAGTTTGAAATTCAAGTATGTTACGAAAAATATTCTGAAATAATGTCGTTGCTTCTATTGATTGCAAATGTAGAATACAGAAATAAGCTACTTGCTTCAGAATCTTTTACCTGTAGTTGGGTTCTGATATAGAATAGCTAGATGATACTTAATCAGACGTATCTGGTGTTTACACATACCAAGCTCTTCGTAAATTATGTGCCATGCGGCTGCTATTGTACGTCAGATGTATCCCGCAACCCGCGGCCATATTTGATTCATCATCTACCAACGCGTTCTGTTTAACATCCCTCCTTGGCGAGGAGAATGACCAATGTGCTCAAACCACTCAATAAGACAGCTGAACGATCGACGCAAGCAAGTGTGGCAGATGATAACCCTCACATCTGAATCAAGACAGGTGTTTTTCGAAAGGCTAGTCCATCGCATTCGCATTGCTCGAGGTTTCAGATAAAGGCTTCAATCTCCTTCGCGTGGCGCTGCTGCGAATGCGGCTACATAAATCCATAGCAAGGCACAGGTGAGACCTTTACTTACATAAGCGGATGCGAAAGCGAGAACCCTCGGCATGTTCTGTCATTTTATTCGCTCGCTAGACGACATGATCGTCTGCAGATGTGATAGGATGTGATGTCTGCAAGGTAAGACACACACCGTTCTCGTTGGAGGCTTATCATCAAAAAGATGTAGCTGAATCTTGACTGGTCAGATTACTGGGGACGTTGGGATGTCCTAGGTCAAAATTTAGAAACATAGGCTATTAGGGAGCTAGGTACTCTAATTTTGGCTTGCCTTAGCGCCCTTTTCCCATTCCCGTCATCTTCGTGAGTGTACGTTCGCGGATTCCGGCCCAGAGATCATTTGCGGTCAGCCCTATAACCTTCAGAGGCTGAATGTAAGTCATTATGCAAGGCTCAATGTGATCATATCCTGTATATGAAACAAACGAATCAATCGTGAAGTCTCATTTTGCGAATCAGAATTTGTCAGATGGTATGTGATAGAAACATTCATTGTCGCACCTGCCTTCCACTGCCTTACTTTCATTCATTCTTGATGCACTCAATCATCTGACTAATTGTGTGATGACCTGTTGAGATGTCAGCTGCGGGACGTGTTTTTGCACCTTGAGCTTTGAATAACAGCCCGCCAGCAATCTGTTTCAAGATTCCAAGTTTCTTTAGTTACCTTCATCTGGATGTTTTCACAATAACATAGAAAGGCCATTGCTAAAGGATTCTTGGAATAAAAGTTCTTATTTCTTACATGTATCTGACTAATATACTGATGTGAGACCTTCTGAAAGGTCATTCCATCGAGCAAATATTAAGTTTAATCTATAACCTGATTGAAGACGAATGCTCCCAAGGCATAATCAAGCATCCAAGCTCTGAGCTTCGCACAACTGCTTGTAAACGCCTCCATATGCCCATAACTCCGCATGAGTGCCCTGTTCTACAATTCTACCACCACTAAAAACGCAAATACGGTTTGCCTCTTTCACTGTGCTAAGTCTGTGGGCAACAGCTATAGTTACCCGATCGCCTGCGTCAGACTCGGCCAACGCATTTTGCACAATCTTCTCGGACTCGGTGTCAAGTGCTGAGGTGGCCTCATCTAACAACAGCAGCCTTGGCTTTCTAATCAATGCGCGGGCAATTGCAATCCGCTGCCTTTGGCCACCGGAGAGTTGTGATCCGTTGGTGCCGCAAAGTGTGTTGACGCCTTCAGGAAGTGAGCTGACAAACTCCCACGCGTTGGCAGCTCGGAGAGCTTTTTCAACCGCTTCATCTTCCGATATGGACTCGGTTGTTGAAGACGGGCTAGAATTGAGGCCCAGTAAGACGTTTTCCCTGATGCTTGTTGGATACAGTGTTGGCTCCTGCTGTACCAAAGCCACATGAGACCGATAGGCGTCTGGGTTCATAGTGGCTAGTTTGACGTTGTCGATATTGATACACCCCGACGTCGGATCGTAGAATCGTTCCAGGAGCGAGACGATGGTGCTTTTGCCGCATCCTGAGGCCCCTACAAGAGCCACGAACTCTCCTGAGCGAATGTTAAGATCAACATTCTTCAGTACTCGAACGTCCGGTCGCAGAGGATAACTGAATTTGACACCATTGATATCAATAGTTTCGACATTTTTGTCAGGTACAACCAAACGATTCTCTTCAGTCTGCTGAACTGTTGGCTGCAGAGACTTCACCCATAGGTAGAAATGAGTGGCTGCTTTCCCCTTGGTGATGCCTTGTACTCTTTAGCATATGAACTACCGTTAAGGGAGGGGTTTCAAACTCACTGCTGGTGTATGAGAAAAGCGTGCTTGCAAGATTGCCTGCGAAAAATACGCCCATAAAACTGACGAAGAATTGATAGAATGAAATCTGAGCATCTTTAACAAGAGTACAGCCCCACCAGAATCCCAAAGCTAGGATGAAGTATTCAACGGATTGGGTGAAGCTGAACCATATCATCATGTGGAACAATGGCAGGGTGGATTGATGGATAGCTTGGTCCAACCCATCAGTGTACCGTTTCAAAACACGTCCTTCAATAGCCAAGCTAGAGACGGTACGAATTGCTAGAACGGACTCGGACGCAATCGCGGCGCTTTCAGAGAATCTCTTCTGGTTGCTCTGATCCATTCTCATCTCTAGACGAATGCGTGCGTAGCCTCCTAGTGACAGCGGAACGAGACCGGCGAAGACGCCAACGAGGCCAAGCTTCCATGATGTCGCGATTGAAAGTGTTGCACAGGCGACGATGGTGAACAGAGTTATTAGGATCAGTACCACATTGACGCTCATGAGTTCCAAAATAGCCTGAGCAACGCTGTCGATTCGGCCCGTCAGAGAGCCGATGGTGTTTTCCGGGCGGTCAAAGAACTGCATGTCTTGTCGTAGTAGGCCATCCAAGAGGTCTCTCCGGTACTTCACCAGCATCTTTTGGGACGCCGCATTGGTAGCGTAACCGAGAGTAAAATAGTTGGCGAAAGTACCAAGGCCCAAGATGAAGAACATGAGCGAATAGAAAGCACCTCGCTCCTCTAATCGATGAGGTTCAAATCGAAAGACATCCATAACCCGAGCCATTAAAATGGACTGTCCAGGTAAAGCGCCAGCTTTTAAATAAGATTAGATTTTGACGTCCCAACTTCCATCAATAAGCATGACTGGAAGGACTTACCGCCAAGAACACAGGTTATACCTATGATCAAAAAGTGCCACCTTAGCTCTGGGTTCTCTCGAACAAGGGACAACACTCCATTTATCAGTCCTCTTTCACGGATCTTGTCAAAGTTATACCGATCATTCAGGGATTGAGGCTGGGAGTCTTGCTGCTGCTCAACTGTTTTTGTGTTTGTCAACACATTATGAAGGTCGCTGTCTTCTTTCTCGGTAGCTGTTTCGATAGATTCGGTTTGCTCCTTTTGGGTTGCGTCCTTTTCCTTCACTGTGAGGTCCTGAATTTGTACAAGACGTGCGTATGTGCCTTCAGCTTTTATTAATGATTCATGTGTACCTTGTTCAACGATGTGACCTTTATTCATCACAACGATGTTGTCTGCATTTCGAATAGTTGCCAACTTGTGTGCAATGACGATGGTTGTTCGGTTCTTTGAAACACTTTCCAGTGCCTTTTGGACCACCCCTTCGGCATGCGGGTCAAGAGCACTAGTGGCTTCATCGAGAAGAAGGATTTTGGGTTCCGAAATTATACTTCTGGCAATGGCGATTCTTTGCTTCTGGCCGCCTGAGAGAAGACCGCCACGCTCTCCGATAATGGTGTCGTAGCCTTCGGGAAGCTTTTCTGTAATGAACTCGTGGGCAAATGCAAGTTTGGCTGCATTTTCCTGTAGAAAGTCCCGTGTCAATAGTGGTATTCAAGGTAGTACCTTTTGCTGGTTTGGAGGAGTGAGAGCCTGCTGAGGATTGGAGCACTTACAACTCTGTCTTGCTGTTCTTCCGCAGAGGCGTTTTCCCAGGGTGTCCCCACGAGACCATTAGCGATATTTTCAAACACAGTCCCATTGAAAAGAACTGGCTCTTGTTGCACCAGTCGAATGTGCGTTCGCAGCCACGTCAAGTTTAGGTTCTCGATAGGGATACCGTTCAACTTGATACTTCCAGATGCGGGTTCGTACCATCGCTCCAAGAGACCTACAATGGTACTTTTCCCCGATCCACTAGCGCCCTATATAGTGGATTGTATTAGCTCAATTGTCATTTGATTGATCAAAGCAAGGAGGTTCCAAGTTTTCCCTCATTACCCTGAGGACTTACCACAAGAGCGGTGACTTTCCCCGCAGGTATTCTCAACGTGAAATCGTCCAACACCGTAACACCTGGCCGAGCAGGATAACTGAAGGTGATATTCTGAAGGTCAACTTCGCCAGTCACGAAGGCCTCAGCTGGCTTTTCACCCGAATGCTGGTCAAACGGGTTCATGTCGTTCTTGCGATCGATTAGGGCGAATAGTTGTGTGGCAGCCGTAGCGGCACGTTGGAACGTGATCATGTATGGGGCAATGATCGTAAAGGTCAAAGTCGCAACAATTACAGACATGATTACTCTGTGTTTCTTATGATTAGCAAATGACGTATCCGAGTAATGAGTGGACATTATATGAGTAAGAATCACATACATGAAAACGGCACCAACGTCGGCAACCTCATTTCTGGCTATCATTTTGGTCCCCTGCCAAAAGGCAAGTCCGATGGCCGCATACATGATGGAGTATTCCATACTAAAAAGTGCGCCATAGAGAGGACTCTTCTTGGCGCCCATCTTTTGCGCCTTGTTGAGAAATATTTCATAATGCGACAGCAACCTGATTCGGCTTCCAAAAGCTTGAACCGTACGCAAGGTAGATATGAGGCTTTCGGCATACGATGCAGCCTCGGAGAACACATCAAGCATTTGTGTTTCGATTTTGGCCTCGAGAGTAGCCACAGTACCGATGACGGTGATGAGCGCGGGTGGAACGCACGTCAGTATCAATGTCAACTTCCAATAAGATGTGAAGGCGATAACGAAGGCAGAGATGAAAGTGCTGGCTGCTTGAACGCAAATCATCAACTTTTCGGCGACACCCGATTGTATAAGGTTTCCATTGGTTGCAGCTTGTGTCGAGACGGAGTTGGAGTTCATGTCGAAGAAGGAAATACTTTGGCTCAAGGCTGCCTGCAGAAACCGACGGCGAACATTGCGCACCATACGGAAGGCCGTATAAGTCGACAAAGTCATGTATATGTACGTACATACCATACGTCCTGCACCGATGTAGACGAAGTATAGACAGTGCTTGATGACATCGTCCATGAACTGTTCTTTTGTCGAGATGCCAGAAATGAAGTTAGTGATAACTGTAATCAACCGTCCCAGGACGAGGTTGACAAGAGCCAGTCCAGTGCCTGACACCGCCGCTGCGGCGACGGCGATGAGTTCCAAAACGATGTCCTTGGGGTCGAGATGGGTGAAAATTCGCTATACCGGTCAGTTTATGCTTGCAATGGCGAAGGAAATCAAGAGTCGACTACCATGTATGCCCTCATTGCTGACATCTTTTTAGGTTCCTCTAACCTCAACCTCGCACCAGATGATGTTGAATGTTCTCGTGAATGAGAACCACCGAATACGAGCCCCCTTGGGCTATCGGTAGCCGCGTCCTTGTCTCCTGCGGACGCCATAAAGTGTTCGGATACTTGGGCGATAACAAAGTAATGATAAATGAGTATGAGACTGGACTATGGAACGCTGACTGTATGGTGCTGAGAAAAGTTCAAACATCGCACACAGCAGCGAAATATCAGGATTAAAACGGAATCCGGACGCCTCTATTCTTTCTACTGGTTCTTTTGCAAATGCTTGGTATCGAAGAAACCACGCCACAATGCAATCGCTGCCCATGATCTCCTTTCTCCTTTCGCAGTCCGAAATACCCTCAATTCCGCTTAAACACCTATATGCCATATCCGCATTCGCATTCGGATTGTACAGTCGCCATACCAAGACAATCGGACAAGTGGCTGAAGGGTCTTACTTTAGCTTGAACACTGGAATACGTCAGGGTATTTAAGCGAGTGCGAAAGCTTACTCGGACAACGGCTTCCACGCCCCATTGGTGGGCAAGCCTCCCAGCCCAGTCTCATATGACATCTGATCCAGTCATGAGCGCCGGAATTCTTGGCATCTTTCAGGCGCGGTCCGCGGGCAGCGTCAGCGAGACCATTTCATTCTGGGGCCTGCCACCGGGTCCCGGGATAATCACGGGCACGGGGGAGCCCCGAATAGCTAACAAGCCACGGAGGACGGATTCTGCATCAAACTTTAGAGCCATGGCGTCGATTGGCCATCAATAAGTATTGCGATAGGCAACGTTCGTAGGCCAAAAATGTCACAGCATCTTCTACATCAGCATTCGCGAAGAGAAAGCCGCTTAACATGGGTTCTATCAATACTGAAGCAAACTATTCCATACCGGAGAGGTACCGGAATTTGCTGGAAGTGGTCGATGTTGTAGACAGCAGATCAGAGGGCGAGATTTTGAAGCAACTGAGCCAGCATGTCCCCGTCACGTCTGAGAAAAACATGTGGGCATTTTGGGATACGGGTCTTATGAATAGTAAGTCGTTGACAGCGGAAAAAGGTGCAAGGCACTGACGCCTGGCTAATGGGGGCCGTATGCAGCGCCGTTGTGGGCCCGGCGTAACGTGGTGGACTGGGTTCGGATCTGCGGACCGGAGTGGACCATACGTGTGCTCGACAACGTACCGGAGTCGCCGAACTACGTCCTCAAGTATCTATCGGCCGACCTGTTTCCCAAGGCTTTTGTAGATCGTACGATGGATGGCCCGTGGGCCGGGCAACATAGTGCGGACTTCATCCGCGGTGCGGCACTGTACACATACGGAGGGGTGTGCATGGACGTTGGCAGCATCCTAGTCCGTCACATCGATCGCATCTGCTGGGACGAACTCACCAATCCCAACACACCGTACCAGATTTCTCTTCCGCTGATTTACGACCAGGTCTGGGCGAACCACTTCATTGCGGCGCGGAAGGGCGACCCCTTCATCAAGCTCTGGCATGATCTCATCATCCATATCTGGACCGGGCGAAAGGAGTCTTCCGGCATGTTGAGCCATCCACTTCTCGAATTCGCTAAAGACGAGACGTTTGAGGTGGTCGATAACGCCAACCTTACCTGGGATTGGAAGGTGTCGCCCCAGACAGCAATGGAGTACATCTGGCAGGTCTTGGCCTGGGTCCGCCTATGCCTTACGAACGATGCCGGAGATGGCTTCTCGGGTGTCGACTATTGGTGTGACAAAGTACTTGTATTTGATACTGTCTGCGAAGACTGGCCCGGCGAGATGATCTTGGGCTTTGCTGGTAGTGGCCAGAAGCTACTTGATTTGCTCTCACTGCCCGTGGATGGAGACAAAAAGTACAAGGAGTCAGAGCAGTACAAACTGGCCGAAGAGGTGGTTTGGACTATTCTGACTAGCGCTAGCCTGCAAAAGGTTACTCGCGCGAAGGGCCTGACGCACTCACCACATTTGGGTACTCTCTGGGATATGCCCGAGAACACTGGCAAAGACAAAGCCCCCGGTACCTTTGCCGAGCTCCTCCGTTATGGGAGTCTTCATTTCCGCCAGACAAGAGAAAGTATTGCTACGCTTGAGCCGCCTAGACCCTCTGAAGCGGATATGATCAACAAAGGCCTGTTTGAGGTGTAGAAATACAGGCATAGATGGTTTAGGTACTGGGATCAATTCTGGCCGTTCTTGGTGGAACCGTCGGATGGTAATCATGATACATCAAGGCCCCGAAGTAAACTAAACATCAAGTACTAAAATAGTTTGACCTTATGTATAATTGCTCTTAATCATAGCTAGTTAGGTCTCTTGTATTGATTTAGGGTGAGATGGGCTTTCAATCTTCCTTATTCCTTCAAGTTCCCGTGCGGGGCCTACTGCTTGTAGTTGGTTACATGCCATTGCATTTCTCGTATCTGACTCCCTCTCTCGTATCTTGTGGACCAAAAGGGTGACATTTGTCCTATGGCGCAATTCAGTCAAGTTTCTTTAGTCAGACATGTTGTACACCTTTGAACGCGAGCATCGACTCTTAAAGTCTTCCCAGAACGCTCACACGTGCTATGTTTCCTTGGTATCTAAGGCGCAAATAACTGTGACGCTAATATGAATCTAAGCCCTTCGACCATGGCTACTTGTGCAATGACACGCAAACCCACTTAAACTTTCCGCCTGTCTTTTTCGTTGTCTTCTACGTCCACAATCCATTTATTTAGGTCCCACGGTCGTTGAGTCTGGTCAGTCCATCAACAAGAAAAGCAGAGCATTTCACCGTTTTAAGGGGTAAACAATGTACCAGAAACTAGTAATTTGGGTTCTTTTTATTCTACTTTCCGTACGTACTGTGAGTATCAGCGTCGGATAGCTCTTCTCAGAGCTCTTTCTTGTGAGCCTGGGCACACATGCGAGTCCAGGTGTATCTCAGAACCGGCCAGACCAAGAAACCGGAAAGCAGCCCAAGGATTGAGTCCACGAACCCCAGACCTCTCTTAGGGGACGATCCCAGCATGTTGCTCCACAGGACCTCTGTATCGAAGTCGCTAACAAGTGCAAAGTCGCCCTTGGCCACTCCTCCGACGATGTACTCAGCAATGTACTCGGCTGGGAGTATCTTGGTCTTCAGCTTCTCAATGGGGCCGTCAGACGATTCGATACGCTTCGTCAGCTCGGGCTTGGTCTTTTGCTCGTCCATGAAGGCGTCGGTCATGAAGGTGTTGGGGAAAGCACAGTGGACCTTATACTCGCAGGTAGGGGTCGAATAAATGGCGGCTTCCTGTCGGAGAGTGTCTGCTAGAGCACGCTGGGCGCACTTGGGAGCTACGCATTGTGTTCAGCTTGGTCACATCAGAAGTATCGACTTCAAACTTGGGCGAATACCTGCGTAGGCAATATAGCCGGGAACGTTACAGAGCGCTGCCGCACTACTAATGAAGATGAGTTGTCGGGTTTTCTTAGCCCCTATCACGGCATTGCTCTTGTCATCCTCGATCCACAGCTTCAATATGGAATGCGATGGGAAGACGCTAGTGAGGTAGTTGTTTTGCATGCATTGCTCCAACTGCTGGCTGGATAAGTCTGTGAAGAAGCCGAGCTGGGATACGCAGCCGCCGGCGACACAGTAAAGCGCGTCGGGAAGTCGTGGTTGTTCCTTGAAGACTTTTTCAACCTGTCTGGACATTAGGAAAGCTAAAGATGGCTTTTTGGAGTCATTCTTGCCTGTGCCGCGTCCATTAAATCGAGGGCTACCGCATTGATTTCCTGCTTCGGGCTGATTGCAAGCCGCAAGAGCTCGTTTCTTGTCTCCTCAAGCACATTTGGCCTGCGACCGAAGATCGTGATGTGAGCTCCTAGTGCATTCAGTCAGACATTTCTGCATCGCCATGGCAATTGGACTGCAATCATACCACGGACTGCTAGGATCTTGGCAATAGACTTTCCGAGTCCTGTTGAGCCTCCCGCGATGAAGATGACCTAATGTTGATTAGTCTTGCTTGCAGCCAAGAAGGATCCTTCCTTGGCTTACTTTGCCTGTCAAGTCCTGCATTTTGACTTGTTCTCAAAACTAGCTGCGTGATTTGTATGGTAGTACATCTCAGATGTGAAAAAACCCTGATGAAATATGCTCTCGTTATAAGTCGATCCTAGGCCATGTGTTGCTATCGGACACCGGGATCCGTTTATTTCGGCCGTGCGCCCCGAGTCAAATTCCCGTGCTCCGCGGTCGCCGGACGCTTTGTCCTCCGGTAAGATGCCCGTTACTGATGTCCAAGTATTTGGAACGGAGAATCCAGCCCGATATCTCAACGTTTCTATTTTATAGCGGACCACGGAACCCCCATTGCGGCTGCAGAAGGTTCTGCGGTTTGATCCGGATCTTTCTGAGAGTATTCTCGCGCTCGATTTGGTTCAATCTAGGGATGAAGTAAACCAACACACCTTTCATGTGTCAAAAGTGAAGTTACCTACTCTCTCATAAAATTACCTCCTCTCTCCAGGCCATAGCCAAAACTCTTACATGCCAAAAAGAGCATCAGGTGATTGTAGTGCGTCATCCCGCGTAGCATGCAGGAAACAGAGGCAGAATCAACCACATTCCCAAATGTCTGCGACTTTTTTTTTTTTTTTCTTGTGGTTGACTCAGTTGCTTCCCTCAGTGGAGCATGTCTCTCTCTGGTGCTTACCAGCAGTGTGGGCGAAGTTTACCTGGCTGGGGCTCACTATTCGGCGACAGGGCATTCTTGACGATAACGTCCCACACCCACTTCTGGGCACCCCCCACATTTGGGCACCCCATTTACACCAAAAACGCCGTTTTTCGAAATTCTATATTAAACTAAATACTTTACTTATTAAAGAGAATAAATATATATTAAATAGATTAAGACTTAATTATAATACTTAAGTAGCTATATACTAGTATTATTGATAATAAGTATTATAAATTCAAGGTTTAACATTTATAATACTAATTTACCTAGCCTATATCTTAATATATAAAATAGGTAGAGATATTTAACTAATATGATTAGAATTTTTAAGTAAGATATAGTAGATTTATATATTCTTATACTTAGTAAAAAATTCTTTAAGCTTAGAATAATATTTTAAAATTTCCCTTAAGAAAAGTTTCTATTATAGAATTTTAACCCTTAATTATACTATATTTACTAAAGTAATACTTTTAAATCTCTTTTAGATATAATTATATACTTTTAATAAGTATAAATATTAATTTCCTAGATTTTTTAAATAAGTATATATGAGCGAAAATATATTTTTCTAATGTTAAGGAATACTAGTAAGTTACTAGTATCTACTAACATTTTAAAGCTTTTAGTTTTAAACTTCTATATTATAACTATTATTATATTTAAACCTTTATAAAAAATTAGATGGCTATAACTATACTTAACATAGTTTATATATATTTTCTTTTCTTAGTAAGTATAGTAGTTAGTTTAATATAGAATTTCGAAAAACGGCGTTTTTGGTGTAAATGGGGTGCCCAAATGTGGGGGGTGCCCAGAAGTGGGTGTGGGACGTTAGCAGAAACTCGATCGGGAGCCAACATCTTGACAAAAAGCAAAAGATCACTCCTCGACGGGGAATTGAACCCCGGTCCCCGGCGTTTTGTCTGTTTGACAAGCCGATATCCTCACCACTAGACTATCGAGGATTTTGTGGATTACTCTCTGCTGAGATGGTAGCTGAGGCCCGCAAACGCCTGTTGTCAGATCCGCGCCCTCGGTTCTTGGCTGTTGGAGAGGGCTTGAACCGTTTTTCTGCCGGCGCAAAGCAAGTGGAAGTGTAATCCTTTCATATAGGTGATGAGTTATCTTGGCCTCGTCGGCTCATCAGCTCCTCTTTATGTGATATAATTGCAGCTGGCTGAATGCAGAAGTTGCGGCTCATTCAAAGAACATGCGGTATGTATTCCGAATAAAAGTACACCTGCTGCTGTTCACTAATAAGCAGTACATTAGGCAGGTTGTGCGACATTTTGAGCAGGGCCGGGGGGTGGGTGCCCCCGCAAAGCTAGTGGTTCAGGAGCCGAAGGTCATCAGAATGCACCGATTGGAAGCTTCAGTCTGCAATCGTGATTCTGAAGGGGAAGAGATCGACAAATATGATGCGGCTACGGAGCCGCGATTCTTGGCCCTTTTTATTTTGCTTTGGCAATAACTTTTTTTAAAGAATCACAAATCGGGACAGGCTATCCCTTCTTGCGGTCAATTGACGCATCAGGGTTTTGGTCCGAGCTAGTCTCAGTGCCCCAGTCGGCCGTACTGATTCTCCTTGTTTTCTCAGTCGTAAGTGCGTGACGAGAACACAGGGGACGCAGATCATCCGATCCAGATCCAAGTGCCGTGCGCTGCAAGCGAACTAGCAGAGGAACAGGCTCAAAACCCTTGAGACGATTTTTCTGGCGCTTGTCGGGCTGTTTATGGCAAAGGCCCTCTTGAGAAGCCGCTTTTGTACAAGAATCCCACCCGAAAGCAGGTCGAGATCCAGAAAACTCGCCTTGGCTTCAGTGATTCTCGCTTATTGTGGTTGTCTTAGCCAGCTGCCATCACCCACTACTCTTCTTGGTCCTTAGACATGGGAACACCTAGGCCGCTCGGGATGACGCCACACCATGTGCTAAAAGTTCGAATGTTCAAGGTATCTGCTGATTCTCTTTCACAGATTATGCAGTACCCGAATGATATAAACCGGGATGGGGAATGCTTCGTTGCACACATTTATCACTACACTCTCGCTTCTTTCAGCCCCAAGCCCAAAGTCATGCGTTTGTCACTCGTTGCAACAACACTGCTCGCCGCTGGCTCAGTAGCGGCCGTGAAAGACCGCTCTGATAGAGGAAAATTAACAAAGTCGACTTGGGTTATTGACAACCAATATAAGTTTTCAAGTCGTTCGTACTGGGATTTCAGTAAAATTACCGATGGGAAGCTTCCTGCTGGCTTGAAAATTAGCGACTACCCAGTGGACGGATACGAATATGTACCGCAGAACGTGGCCATCGGAGACGGTTTCCTCCAGTTGAAGGTCAACAAAGGGACCTTTAAATCTGGCGAAGTGACAACCTTGAGGAAAGTGAAGTACGCCTCCGTCCGCACAGTCGCCGTACTCTCGAATACTGTCGGAGTGTGCAATGGTAAGATCGACCGATCTCATACCTTGAACAGACATGTTGACGAACTGCTAGGCATGTTTTTCTACCAATCCGATACACAAGAGGCAGATATCGAGTTCTTGACGAACCCAAACTCGGACAGCAATGTCGATGCAGCTCAGGCGGCCGGTCATCGAAAGGGAACTCGGTACATCTGGCTTTCGAACCAAGCTGCCAGACACGGTTCATTGAAGACAACCTACCCTATCCCAGTGCCGGCAACAGCTACGTCTGCTGAGCACGAGTACCGGTTGGATTGGATCCCTGGTATGACCCGGTTCTTCATTGACGGTGTTCAAGTATGGAACTCGTCCCGCAATGTTCCCAGCGTAGCTGGTGTCTGGGTTTTCAACAACTGGTCTGATGGTGACAAGTCTTGGAGCGCTGGGCCACCTGGCCAGGACGCGATTTTCAAGATCAGGGAGATCGACATGTACTTCAATGCGGCGGTCTAGTTTTCTGCACAAAATGTGCTTCGTTGTCATGATATTTTCTACAAAAAATGGGGGCCACGATTCATGAGGAATGCCATGAAAAGAAAGGATGATAAAAAAACTTTGGTATTTTGGTTGTATACACAGCATTAATAATAATGACTTTGGACTGGGGGCCCTGGCCAATGATAATTCTTACATGGGATTGTGTAAAATGTGCACTGCGGATGCAAGTCAGTGTGTCACTCATTTGCAGCCAGGCGAACTGCCCTATAAATCCGCAGTCGTCTCGGGAAGCAGCTAACCAGTGGTCTGGGATGATGGAAAGGTACTCAGGCACGGGTTAAGACATGTCATTGCATCACTTGATACCATCCCAATAAGTTGGTACGATCCCAAGACACAGAGCATACCACTTTAAACTTTCCAGGCCGGGTGCAGCTTCCGGGAACAGAGGTTTATGTCGGAGGTAAGTGGGGCCGAGTTCGGTTGCTCAAATGCGGCATTGCGGGTCTTCAAAGTCAGCCGAAACTAGATAAATCTGTGTCATTTCCACATGATCAGCGCGGCGGTCTGTAGAGTAAACTTGCTCAATTGCTGGTACTAACCTGATAGTTGGGTTTCAGAAGGGGTTTGCGGGGTGATTCAGTGTAAATTCCAGCACAGCTGCATTCTACTCAACATGCTCAGCCTCTGTGCAGACCAACTTGTCTCGAGTAACTGCAATTGCCGCTCCTCGAAAAGTGCCTCGATTTACTTTTAAGCAGTTTGGAATTGAACTCTATACCTTTTATTTTGGCGTAACCCGACTAAGCACTCAAACTTTTTCACAGCAATCAAACACAGACATGTCATTAACAGCCACCACCTTTCCTACCATGTAGCATCTAGTCTTTTTGCCGCTCCGACTGCACACAAATGAAGGTGGGTCATTTTGCTAGAAGAGGCAAGCTGAATGATTGGCTGAGCTCCAAAAGACGTCTGTCAAGTTACGGCCTACGCAACAGGACTTCAATCGTCCGAACCACCATGTTGATCATTTACCTTGTGTTCATTTGATTTCATCCCAAGGTCGGGGACATATTGCTTTAACTCCCGCCCTACCCAAGTTTACTTTCTGTGGACCAGTTACAGATTTAATGATTGAAAGATCCTTATGATTCATCCAATTTTGCCTCTGCAGTCAATACTGATTATTGAATAATGACAAAGTATTCATCGAAAGTGTAATATACAAGCTATTGTACAACGGCTTTATGTGGTCTAAGTATTTTCAAGACTTTTTATTCCCATAGACTTCTCCATTCATCATGCATCACCAGCTTTCGGGGTTTCCGTGTGCTGCCTCAAGAACCTGTTATACCTCTCGTAGAATTCAGAAGTCTCAGTTAAATCTGTAAACATTGCAGGGAAGCAGTGTGGCAAGCCCTGGTAACAGTGAAGCTCAACATTCACTCCAGAATCCTCTAGCGCTTCAGCGTATGCAAAGGCGTCATCGCGCAAAATATCGAAACCGCCGCATTGGATGACTAGGAAGGTAGCACGTAAGCTTCACTGTTCGTCCAGAACATAATAATTGCCAAAGACTTACGCGCCGGGGGCAGATCTCTCAGAGAATCAGCCAGCAATGGTGATTGACGGTAGTCAGGATAGGGGTCGGGCATGTATGCGTCAAGAAATGTTTCCATCCGGCAAACATTCAGAACAGGATTGTCGTTATTCTGGATGTAGCTGCCAAACTCATATTTTTCCCGGGGGAAGAACTTGGGATGGCAGGTTATGGGGAAGTGCAGGACTTGAGCCAGCACGCCTGTGACGCCGCTGTTCCTGCATTCAATTGCAAGGGCAGCGGCCTTTTGATGCATCTGTTAGAATCTACATGCGACAGTTGCACTAGACAACTGAATATGACTTACAAGGTTAGCTCCCGCGCTGCTGCCGCTTATGATTATCTTCTCAGGATCCACTCCAAGCTTGCTCGCATTCTCTTTGCACTAGATAATGGTCAGAATGGTACCAAGGTGTTTATGAATGAGGTATAAGGTACCCATAGAAGACCGTCGTAACTATCGTTCAGCCCGCAAGGAAATGGATTCTCTGGTGCCCTGTTGATATTAGCTGGAACGTTCGTCTCCAAGATCAGTCCTCAGCACATACTTTCGATAATCCACACTGATAACAATAATGTTTTTGTTCGTGGCAGCGTAAACGTTCTCGGCGCCATCAACCTCATGGCGTCCTACGCATCCTCCTAAACAGAAGTAAACAGCACATGTCAGCGGACTCGAGTCGAAACGCATTGGAAAAAGCCATCTCAGGTTGCCTTACCACCTCCATGCATACGATACATCAGGACAGCATTCGGTCCCACTTCCGGCGACTTGTAGACTTTGAGCTCAACTTCGTGTCCATCTCGAGCCTTGAAGTGCATCAGCTCGGTCGTCACGTCTCGGTACCGATCAGGGCCGCCGGTAGGCATGACGGCGTCTGCGTCGCCGGCAGCTTTCCGGAAACTGGGAAAGTCTGGCTGCGCCCAGAGAGTCGAGTAAGCTGCATCAATAGCGCCCTCGGCTGCCTCGTAGATGGGATTTTTCTTGGAGAGATGGCCGAATTTGGGGAGCGCCTGGAAGTTGGCGTCCAAATCGACGTAGTCTGGCTTTTGTTTTAATCGCAACATGACTGCTAAAGTGCTGGGTGACTGAATAATGAATGCAGATATTGTGTGTCCTCTAAGCTAACTGAAATATGGGTTTCGCCTGCTTTTATCCTCGAAACTTCTGCCACTTTCAATCATCAATCTACTGGGTATCTGAGTACCCATTCACACTGAAAGCTTACATGCAGTTAGGCTGCTTGCACGCGATGAGCCATCAGTGAGGACGCAGCCAGGTGGATCAGTGGCTCGCCCAGAGAGCTGGCAAGCCAATCACTGTAAGGGCAAAAACGGCTCAGTTAGTCCGCCCCACCAACTTTCCCATACGTAGTGGTTGTTCAGATGGTGGTCACGATGAATCATATCCACTAAACCACAACAAGCATGGCGCGTGATAAGAATGCACTCAGCCATAGCAGTTGCAGCATACTATGCAGTGAAAGAAAAACAGTTGTTAAAGACAAGTCGCATATGAGCAATGGCTTCACATCAAGTGTTGGGTTACAGTTCCTCTGCACTTCACCTTAACCCACATCATGAAAGGGTTGCTCAAGGAAGCCCCTGCAATATGAGTGCTAAGTACCGGTGGAGCCAAGCAACAAAACAAAGAAAAAAATCGTCAAAAATCAAAGTACCCACTCCAGCACTCTAGGGCATACATCTTGGGATTCCAATTGACCAACGCGGGTCTCGAACCCGCAGCCTTCAGATTACCACACCGCTCAAGAGCGGATAGAAGTCTGACGCGCTACCATTGCGCCAGTCGGCCTGTTTCCCAGATATGATGCTCTCGAAAGCGGTTGTGGGGATGTTGTGCTCCATCCACGCAAACTGCCTTTGTTGCTTACAGTCTTCAGTGCTGTGAGTACGTACCGTCAAGCAATCCAGTCCTCTATCCAATCCACCACCAACGACCTGATGTCCTTCCCAGTGACTGCAGCGACAAAGATGATAGGGACACAGAGCTGTTGCCTCCTTTATCATTGATTATTAATATCAAAACTCTGGTCCTCTCTTGTGCATCAAATATCTCCGTTCGGAAGGTCCTCCCCCGCTGGTCTCTCAGTGCTTAAATGTTGCTTCAATTGGGTGCCCCCTCCCAACACCCATCTGAAGCACAGCCGTTTTAGACAAATTGTTCGTATCCATACAAGCTTGCCCTTTCTTTGTTAATTCTTCTCAGCTTCTCCGCCCACCCTCTTTCTTTATGGCGTTCTTTCTACGACGATGACACCTCAGGCGTGTGTCAGAGGCAAAAATGATATCCTGCCACAAAATGTCGACTTCTGAGTACAGGATCACCATAAAGTCATTTCCTTTTAGATCCATGTAACTTGGATGCCCGGGCATGCTCTGTACCGCCGCCGCATTGACATATAAAGTAGGACTAGTCTTGGTAATTTCTCTAGAAGATATTGTTCTGAAGATTACCCACTTTCAATCAGACGGCCCAGTAACCTTAACCCACAAAGTCATTGGTTATGGCAATGAAAGGCAGATGCAGTTTTGGCAGATCAAACTGGGACCCAGAGGAAGGTATGCATCAAAGCTTCACTGGAAGTGAGAAATTCAGAACAAGCTCACGAATCTGATGACATCGCAGGCATGTGACTAAACGGAGGACTAGAGCGTCTTTCGTTGGTTGTCTCATGTTGACTGACGGCCCATTTCGCAGTTAAGCACGCCATTATCAACTGATTTTCTTCCGCACTGAACGAATTGTACAGAAAACCAAATCTACATGAATCAAATACCCGGGCTTAAAGGAGTGCATGTCTTGACAATTTTGGTCTTGCTGGCGGCTTCCAAAGTGAGATGACACCGCCGCTCAGGCGATTCCCTGGAGAGCAAACATAACAGAATCAATGGCTGTTGGTAGGCTCCCAAGTAAGTTACGAAACGTGTCTGCTTTTCGTTATCGTCTCTCCTACGACAATCGGTTCTCCCGTAGCTTCGTTTTCAATCAATCGGGTGAATCTGCTCTTTTCTTACGCGCGTCCAAGTTTATGAAAACACAGGCTCTTATGACATTAACTCTCTGAATTGATGGGAAAAAACTAATTCTGTGGATACGGAGACGTCAAGAATGACTAACGGCTCAAAATACAATCAACCTGAACTGTTGACGGTCCACCACGAGCTGAAGCTTCTCGTTCCACCTAGCGCATCCTTTCGGTCCTCGGTATCCCTCCAGCTACCATTCCTTGCGGAAAGAAAATCGACTGAAGTACTCTTTTGCTTGACTGGTTAGCCGGTATTCCCGCGTTGGTAGCCTCTAGAGATAGACTGCAACGTACCTTCTGTTGCTGAAATCAAAAACAATTCGGGCTTTGGTAATCTCACATTCCTTTTGTATCACACCTGACAGGCTTTTGCGTTCGTGTTGCCATGGTCAGAAGTGTTATAGCCTAAACTGGCTGGAAACCGGACTGACTGTCTCGCGCTCCCAGGAAATCGGTCTCTATGACCAAGCTCAGCCGCTGTTGGCCTGTGTCTGAGCTGCAGCAGCCACAAAGTCCTTGATAATCTTGTCAGCCATCTGAGAACGAGAGGCGTCACCTTGCCGGAGGAACTTCCAATAAGCTTCCTTGAACTTCTCATAGACATGGTGTCCGTTGATGAGCTCAACCTTGTCGCTCTTCTCCGCAGTGAAGCTGGTAACAGCAGCATTACCAAACTCCAGAGCTTTCTCAAAAGCTGACAGGTACTCTTGTTCGAGTTCGGCTACTTTAGCAGCGTACATTTTCTCGTCGACCGTAGAAGAATCGAACTCGGCGAACTTGCTACCAGCATCCGTCACGCCTTCCTCGGCTGATTTCTTTGCGGAGGCTTTGAGGCCCCTCCTGAAAACTCCCAACGTAGTTGCAGTGAAAGCCTCAGCCACGTCCAGATTGTGTCTCGAGATAATGACCGCTAGGTTGTCGTTTCGGATGATATTGAGGAGCTTGGGGGCATGCTTGGCGTCGTACTCATCCCAGGCCTTTTCATGTATCTCAAGGATGTCCTGATAGGAAACAGGCTCTTGGGCATCCGCTTTTTCTTCGCAGTATGTCATGGAAGCCATGAAGGCGTAGTCAATAGTCGCGTGGCAGTCCTGCACCAACTTTTCGGTGACCTTGGTCTTCGTCTCCTGAGAGAGATTTCTATTCTTTAGAAAGGCATCGCCCATCCGGTCACAGACATCGGTATACAGGACCTGCATAGCCAGATTTGTTGGTTCTGTCCATGATTCACCTGCAGTTGCCAGGACTTTGACTTCCATAATGTAGAGCATTCTCATTCGGTTCATGGCATGATGCGGAGACAAGACGAAGAGGTTGAGTCCATGGCCAGGCAAGGGCATTCCATGGTGGTGCTGAGCAATGCGTTCAGCTTCTTCGATTTTGAATGCTTGGGAGATGTGAGAGCAGCGAATCATGAGGTTGAAAGCCATCTTTTGAAGACGGTAGGACATCGTAGCTAGGTGCTTGTGGCGAACTCTTTCGTAGAAGATTTGCGCAGCTTCCATGGTGGCCTTCACGTTGTCCTGGCTGCAAAACGCAATGATCTCATTCTTCATTTCGTGGAGAGAGCTTGCGAGTGCCTTGGCGATTGATCCAGCAATGAGTGCTCTGATTCTCTGGCATACGTTTGGATCCTCAAAGCATCGGTCGCGGACACCTTTGAATGGCCTCTCAATTATTTCGTTCATAACGGCCTCAACCTTTTCTGAGGCTGCCGCTCGGTGCTCCGTCTTCAAGTCCTCCATCTGTAGGAGCAGAAGAGGTTGGAATACCGCAACATTCGCAGCCATTTTGACCCAGTGAAATAAGTGATGCAGTCTGGCAAAAGAGGATGGGATTAGCAATTATCAAGGAAACACGGGAAATAGCTTGGATATGAATGAATGGGCTTGAAAATACTTATGCAGAAGTCGATATGCGAGGTGGTTATCTTCTTCCAGTCGCCTGAGAATGGTGAAATGGAGAAGAAGTGCCGAAGTTGTTGTCAATAAAAGGTGACAAGAGACCAGTTGAGCCTGCTAATTTGGAGATTTGAGAAAAGACAAGTTTCTTGTTTTATTTTTCTCTTTATTATTGTTTGTCGTCAGAGGTTAGGGCTGCTTATGCGAGCGTGACGGACAGTTCAGTGACATTTCTAACACGACCAGGACTTCCACCAACGAATCGTGGGTTAATCTCGCCAGAACTGATAGCTAGTCTAGGGGAAGGTGCTTATTCACTTAACCACCTGCTTCTTTGTTGCAAATGAGTTGGTATCTACATTGCTTCTTTCTAACTTAACGCGTCTAAATACCTGGACGACGTTGCTCAGTCAGTTTGTTGGAAGGATACAATGACTCTCTTTGACACTTTGACTAAGAAACCAAATGAAAAGTGTTACTGATGTGATTGTAATTGAGTAGCTGCTGTATTGGAATGCCAAATGAGTTACCTTTCATCACATACAACTTGAACATCAACACAGCACTATCAACATTCTCAGTACAGGCCATTGCCAAAACGTAAGTAATAATGGCATTCTCACTACCAACGACACAACCTTTACAAGCTCTCCCTCGTAACTTGCATCTGTCGTAATAAGCGACTACTGCAGCACCGTGATTGTGGGTCCACTTTTGTCACCACAGAAGTTACTCTGATGGGGGGTTGAAGTTGTCATACCTTACACCCATCGTTGAATAATAATACCAAGCTAGACATGCTGCGTTCAGTAGCAGCATTCATCTACCAAACCTAAGACATCCGTATTCAAATCAATTATATTCCAAACCTTATATTAAAGACGCTACCTTCCACTGAACTTGATTCATTAGTGTCCGTAAGAGGATGAAAGCACATGTCCTCGTTTCCGCTGCTTGATTCCGATGTCTACGTTCCGAGGGCTCGTTCGGCAGCTTTTAATTCCGATCTGACTGGCTTTGCCGGGAATTGCCAGTCTCAATATCGAAGATAGACATTGGATAACAGCTAATGGTCGCGCATATCTTGTGTAGTGTCCATCGTCTCATCTATACTTTGTTTCATCCGCCAAACCTTCGTGCTTTGACACTCGGCATCGAGACTTCCCCGCGTTCTCCACAAAGCCGATAACCTTTATAATAAATTCTACGCAGTACATCCTACTTATGTATGTGACCGATGTCAGCCTAACTATTCGTTGCACTGAAGGTTTTCCTTCCGCAAATTAGAGTGATTCCGAAGCAGTTCCTATCTACTGGCGATACTTCCGTTTACCATATCCCCATTCCGCTTCGTCTGGGTTGTGTTTAAAAGTAGCGCGTCATCCTTCTTGCATCAACAGTCAATTTATGTATTTCCTCACACCTGTATCTAACAATTACTCATCATGGCAACGGTTCCTCCATCACAGCTGGGGTTTGCACAGGACACCAAGGTGTTATTTTCCTCAAGTGGCCTGAAAACAGAAGCAAATGTCGAACATGTCGAACATATCCACCCCATTGAACATGGATCTTCTGCTAATGAGACAACGAACACCGAAGAACATACTGAGCTGACGAATATTGAAACCATGGCATATGTTGTAGAGGAAGTCAACGCAGAATTCAAACTGGTTCCTGTAATTCTTGACGGGATCCGGCCAGACGAGGTATTGATAGAAATGAAGTACAGCGGCATTTGTAAGTCAAGCAATTGAGTTGTACTAGAATACCGCGTGTTAAATTGCCCACTGATAACAATACCTAGGTCATACTGATGTCGTTACTCAACGAGGGGGGCTACCTTTTGTCGAATTTCCTGCTATTCTAGGCCATGAAGGTGCCGGGATCGTCAGAGCGATCGGTAAGGACGTCAAAATCAAAGACCTTGCCGTGGGCGACCACGTCCTTCTTTCGTTCAATAGTTGCGGCTCCTGCAATACTTGTACGAGCGGCCACCCAGCCTTATGCCCCGACTCCTCAAAGATCAACGTCGGCTCGGTGAGAATGAGTGACAAAAGTACACCCGCAAGGCTCGCCACCGACGGCCGGCCTGTAAGAAGCCAATTTTTTGGTCACTCATCCTTTTCCAAAATGTCGGTTGTCAGTGCCAAGTCCGTTGTCCGGTGTCCTAAAACGGCGGCGGACCACATGGAGCTCTATGCCCCGCTCGGATGCGGACTTCAGACTGGTGCCGGGACAGTCCTGAACATCATAAAGCCTGGCAAACAGGACTCCATTGTCATTTTCGGACTTGGTAGCGTGGGTATTGCAGCACTGTTGGCGGCACGGTATTTGGAGGTAGGCCAAATTATTGCTGTTGACATAGTTCCAGAACGTCTGAAACTGGGAAAGGACCTAGGGGCCTCTCACGTAATCAACTCAGTAGAGACAGCATCTGTGGTCGAAGAAATCCAGAAACTCACCAGCGGAGGTCCAAAGTTTGCTGTTGACTGCACCGGCATATTGGGTGTGATTGAAGATATGATACGATGCGTCAGACCCCTAGGCACTGCAGTTCTAGTCGGGGTGCCACCTCCCGCAGCCGAGATTAAGATTGACCCTCAAGCGTTCTTGTTGGGTAACAAAAGACTGATTGGGGTGATTGAGGGCGACTCATATCCTCCTCAATTCATACCCCAATTAATCGCAATGCACCAAGAGGGCAAGTTCCCTATTGAAAGACTGTGCAGAACGTATCCTGCGTCGCAACTAAACAAAGCAATTCAAGACATGCAATCTGGTCAGGTGAGCATCACATATGCCGGCCCTGTTATCCTGTTTCTCAGTGCTAAGTGTGTCGCAGGTCATCAAGCCAGTAATCAAATGGGACTAAACTCAGATGACACTTCTCTTTTGCACTACCTTATGGAAGGGGATTATTGAAAACTTCTGAGAACTTTAACCTTTTTGGCATCCATAGTTACACAGTTATATAGTGGTGGCCAATTTCTGTACAATAGTTCGCGAAAAGTGCCTCATTCTATTCCGGCTGTCTGATCTGTGTCCGCACGGATGAGGACTCCTGACGCTTGTACAGTCCGATCTGGCACTGTTATACCAACATACCTAAAGTTGCCATTTTGGCTCTTTTATTATTTTGAAGAAATATTTTCCTGCGGGGAGTCATTTGGGAAGGTGAATAGTGCCAGCTTAGCTGCTCCATCTTGATTCGCGGCTGCTCGCTATAAGCACTTCCTACATTTATACATACATAGTCCTTACAAGTGGAACAGCAGGCTTCATTTGAAGTGAGCTCCAGTTGTGTTTATCATTCTAGCATTTCAGCTCCACGTCGAGATAGTTCAAAGCTGACTCTGCGCAATCAAAGCCCCAGAGCCGTTATGAGTTGCTACTACTAAATACATTTACAGAAACACAGCAATACAGCAATCAAATTCTCCGCCCACTTCTTAAACAGGCCGAAGGTTGGGAGCAGAAAGAAAGCACCTCCCTAAGCTGGCCGGTATCGGTATAGTAGTGCTAGATCGGACTTTAAGCGCTAAAACTTCCCGCATTCGTGCAGAAACAAACCAAAGAGTTGAAAATAGGGCGAAGCCTTTTTCTTAAACTACCGTATCAAACTCTTTAGTGGCGCCTTGTTTGTTTTAGTCATCTTCTGCCTCGCTCCCTCACAAAAAGATTTGGATTAGCCGATTTAGTGTTCTAAGGATTTGGAGCCTCACACAACTCATCTCTTTACCTCTAAATCTTAGCTGCCCTATGGTGGTTACTTTCTCTCGTCTGTTGATTTATTCTCATTCACTTGGCAAGTTTATTAAGATAAAAGAGACTAGCCAAGGTCTGTGTGTAATTGCATTTCGTCCTGGGGTTCATTCATCCTAAGTTGGATCCCTTGTCGAGAAGCATTTCTGGACCAGCGGCGGCGATTCCAATGGCACTACACGCGTAAACTGTATCAATGTTGACTAAAAGAAAAATTATCAGTTATAAACTAGAATTGTCTGAACTATCATCTTCCCTAGTAACCTCTCAGTTGTTTTTAGCTCTTGGCTTGCTGGGCTAACCAACTTGGCAAACATACCCAGATGTGGTTTTGACTGTTGTGAATCAGCGTTCTGTAACTAGAGAGATCGCCAGTACCTTTGGCATACCTGGAATCTATAGAGAAAAAAGGCAGTACTAATCTCAGTTCCTTACCTCTGGCGAAAATGAGGTCATTTGGCATCCGATAGAACAAATTCCAACCCAATGATAATCGGCGAGATCAACGTGGCGGAGTTTTCTGGACAAGGAGGCTTTTTTCTTTGCAACCGGGGATTATTGAATACCTTAGGTTCAACTCGATTAGTAAACCAGTGAATTGGCATTTGCTGGTGTCGTAGTTTATGATGAGATAAGAGCCTACCGGGACAATATGTCCGATCGAGAAAGAATGATTTCCCACAAGGCCTGTTAATGTTGCGCTTTCTCCAGAGCTATCAACGTCATCCGTCTTGCTATAAGTCTTTTTATACGCCTTGGTTGTTGTCCCTCCTGCCAGAAGTCGCTATTCGTAGCTGCAGGGGCATCGATCGGCAGTTATGTGCATGCAGGCTTACAATCTCCGGAGCAACTGAGGTGAATCTGACTCTATGAAGTAGACATAGCCCCATTCGCATGCATTTGAACTTGCCAAGTTAAGTTGGAACCTATAAACTAACTAATGAAATCAGCTCACGCACCCCGCTAGGATATTCCTAGGGTGCTGCTATGGCTTGCGGATGCGAAGCGAGTTGCATATATTGATCTTACGTGCATATTCTTCCTTTTCAACCTACCGCGCTACTGCAGGCAACTCCGCTACTTCAGTCAGGCATCGGAAGGTTTTCTTTTCCAATTGAGCGCTCCCCAATATTTAAAGGATTGGAAACCAGCTAGATACCCAGCCATTCATCACTGCTGGGAGTACCAATACAACATCAGCGGTTCAACATGACATCAATTAAGCTCATCACCCTCGTGGCCAGCGTGGTATTCACAGGCGCCAACGCCGCATGCGCCTCAACTACTATTGCCCCTCCCAAGCCTACCGCAACAGCCCCTTGCGTCTCTCCCAATGCCATGTGTGGTGTGGAGGCAGCGTGGAGTGGAGGCGCCTTCGGCTACAAAGAGGACCTCGCTACCCCCGAGCAGTGTCTCGAGTTCTGTAACGCCAAGCGAACTTGGGGAGAATGTGTCGCCTTTTCGTTTTCAGACATAGGAAGATGCTGGATTCATAATATTCCAGCCTCAGAGGTCACTGTTGCGCGACCAGGGAGTGGATACTGGATCTGGGACAAGGAGTGCTGGGAGTGCGCCGAGCTCGGTCCCATCAGCGATGTCCCTACCCGGACAACCTCTGCAACGACCGCCACGGAGACTTGCCTATCACCTACTGCTAAGTGCGAGATCGAGGCCAGTTTCGTAGGCGATGGAGATGTCAGGTCTTGGGGGACTTATCATGGCTTTCCCGGTGGCGATGACGGCCCTTTTGGTTGCTGGGAGGTGTGTACCGATGCCCGCAGGCCGCCGCGCTGCAAGTCGTTCAGTTGGAATCCTGTCACGGGCATCTGCCAATTTTACAACTTTACGTTCGATCAGTCTCACGCACCTGCGCCAGGAAGTGGTCTCTGGGCATGGGACATAGATTGCTGGACGTGTGGTGTCAGTGGATACATGTGATTGAAGTGCACAACTTGTTTGTAAGGGGTTCTGGGATTGTTTTCTCACTCGTATAGAGTCTCGGTTCCAATTCTGTAAAATTTCTCTGCGGCACCGCTCTCAGGCTAGTTTAGTGGAATGGATGATAAAAATTTGACATTGATGCTGGAGTTCCGTTGTCCGCGGTTCCGTCTGTTTGGCTTAGCGGAGTAGTCAGTGATGACATCAACTTGAGCGAGGCGAAGCTTTTGCTTAGCGACTTTAGTGTCGCATTTCGTCCTCCAGATAATTCCCGCTTTAACTTCTATATGCCCCTCGTAATCTACCATACAAAGGCGTTCTTTAAGCTCGCAATGCCTCTCGTTTGCTTTGGATATATAGAGTCTCAATTACACCATATGCGAGCTCCTTGCTCATAGGCCCCTCGTTGAGGGGACCCTCGCGCCTCAGGACGAAACCATGGCGTGACAGGTCTACTTACAAGATTCTCTGCCGTCTGATTAATAGGATGACTGGGAACAGCGGTCCAAATACTTCTTCGATGAGGCGGGAAGACCTCTTGAAGATAAGGGTGACATTTGCACATGAGATAGGTGGTTCAAACACTAGGTGCAAGAGTCGAGACAATCTTGGGGTATGGACGTTATCAAGAATGAGGAGAAATCTACATTACTTAAACTTTTTCACTGGAAGCTCACTTGAAAGTTCAGGAAGCGGTCATTTGTAGAGAAAGCGCAAAGCATGGCTTGGATAAAAAAGGTAAGCTTTACCAGCGTACGAAGAGAGTCAGAGAGCGTATGGTGACTTTTTTGGCGCCATCATGCCTTCTGGGTAGGACCTTGACTAAATGCTTATAAACCGGCCGCCGAATTCAAGGCTATAGGAACGTATCTGTTTTATCGTTCAGAGGAGTAGAAGCATGGAGCCTCTACGGTTTGCTTTGATTACCACAAACATTCAGCAGTCTACCAATTGCGGTTTGGCGGCCTAGGATACACCATCTTCTTGTCAAACGCAGGCCCGAATATGGCATACAGTCATAAGCCTATCGTGGAGGACTATTTAGACCGAAGGGTCTGCGTGCATCAGATACCTCAAGACAGCACAATTCGCTAGGGAGATATCGGTGGATGAGATTGGGACGGACGCTAATGGTCTCTCGGACGAGGACTAGTCACGCCTGTAGCCACAGCGTCCACCTAACGGGAGGCTCTTATCAGGAACGGCTTGCCCACTGTTCCCCGGTTGATCGATGATTTTCTATTTCTTACTAATTGGCTTATGTAGTGGTTACACTTCTTACTCTGTTTCTCTACTGTTAGGCGTCCTATGTTTTGTCCCATTATCTTAGGTTTTTTCCTAACGGAAAGCCCTTTTGCAATGTAAAGCCATTATGATATCCTGTTAGCTTTACCTTTCGTTAAGCGGGATAATTTTCTAAAGCACAACTTGGGAAAGTTTATCTTTATAGGCACGTAGGATTTAAAAACTCTACTAAAATAGACAATTTCTAGTGACTGCTAGATGGTTAGATGGTTACCCCATTTTGCTAGGGAGGGGCAAAGTGTCAGCCGGATTATAGACCCGGGCTAGAACCATCGCATGCGTCGAGGGATGCTGTTAACTGTTGGACTGGGGAGCACCTGCTAAGCCGCCTAGAAGCTTACGTAGAGGCCTACGAATAGATTCCTGTGTGTACTGGCATATAGATTAATAGGTACTCTACATAAACTTACACAAAGGCTTAATACTCCGCTGACTTGTTTTATGTTGCGATAGTTGGAATACGGAGTCGTGTGGCACTTCCAGCCACACGCCCGCCAGGCTGAGAGGCCCAAGCCTCCCAGACCCACGTGACAGGCCAAGGGGGAATATCCCCACCTTCTAGTCAACAACACCACTTTCAACAATCATAAACCATCGATTAGAACCAATTTACTGTTATTTGTTATTGACGAACGGAATTCCGTTTCACCCCCTGTTTCACCCCCTGTGAAACCTACACTGATCAGTGGTAAACCTCACAGTTGCCATTAATTTGGTTAACTTCACAATTACCACTCTGCTACGGACAAACCGCAGATCAGCAAGGTCAACACCAGAAGAGACGACTTCTTGAACTGGATACCCAAGCCCAGGTAAAAGTAGGGATTTCGTGCTAACGAGAGAAGAAGCGAGAGTAACTGGGATCTACGGAAACCAGCAGAAGAAAGCTTCTTTTCCTCGAATCTACCAGCAATCCGATTATTCGAGTAACCTAGGGACTGCTACGCTCACCCTGGGCGGGATAAGGTTAATCGCAGCCAATTATCGCTGGCAAGAGCGTTCCATCACGCGTTTTCAATCACCAGAAGAAGAGACCTACCGAATCGACGGTCTTCCAACCTCTTCACGCCACAAGGGCGAAGATTCACGAATCCCACAAGGGACAACAACTTCCCCAACTACAACTATCCCCCACGCGCGGTGCCAATCACGAGGCGCCCGCTAGTTTCTCAATAAATCCCCAGACGAGGTGCCAACCGCGAGGCGCCTGCCACAAGAGACCTCCCTACCAGAAGAAGAACACGCCGAAAGGCGAGCGGAGACTACCGGCGGTAATCCGCCTATACAGCTATACGTATACGCCTCCGAGGCTGCGGCTTAGGAGAAACGCACGTGGTTGTGGGCGTCATAAGGCCAACTGTCCGCTAGATTCTAAACTTCCCAACAGTGAGGAGCGAAGCCCGAAGCGAGAAAGAGAGATTCACGAGAGAATCTACGGTAGAACTCTCTCCCTACCAATTCGAGACCTGTGTATACCCTCACACCCCTCGAGAACATCAGCGAGAACGGCGCCGACGGAAACAAACGACGAACCGACGAAAATCCCCGATTTCACGATTCTTTCCCCTTAGAATCGTAATATCCCGAATCGTCTTTTGACTCCCACTTCCAGGCCTGCATCTTGCACCAATCGCAGCTGACGCTGTTGAGGATTAGAATTCAAGATTCTAAACAGAAGTAATCCTTTTATACTGTCAGAATGGAGCGAAATTCACGAGAAGGATCGCCCGCGAGCGGCGTCACTGCCAAAAGCCAATCAACAGTCCCCATCCCACAGAGAATCGAAAGTATGATCGATCCAGCAGTATGGGGCAACTGGGCAATCGACCTTACAAACGCTAGCCCACAGCAACTGGGTTCCTATATGGGTTTCCTACTTGAGACCTATGAGAAGAGGAATCTCACGGGCCTCGAGCTATGGAACGAAGTTTCTCCCGATTTCGCCGACTGGTCAGAAGAAGACTTCCAGAACGTACCTCCCCCAATCCTACGATTCTTCAGAGACTATTTAATCGGTAACGGCGTCTACGTCGAAATGGATGGCAAGAAAATCTCGAAAAACGTGGCATTAGCCCTCAAAAAGGAAGAATTCCACTACTGGTCACCCCAAGAACTCGAACAAGGCGTCAAGAGATATCGCAACCTGAAGGCTCTGATAAAAGACCCCGAATTCCACGAAGAGATCACGAGACCGGCAACAGTAGCCAACAGCACAGGAGGAAGAGTCGAACCAACCCTACAGCCACCTCCTCCACAAGAACAACAACAGTGGCAACTACCGTACCGACCGCCACATCCCACGGTCTCTCCGTTAACAGACTTCCAACCATACGAGTCAACAGACCGTATCGGAAAGCAATTAACAGAATTCGCGAAACTATACCCCGACGATATGAAATACAGCGGCGATATGTACGATGTACTCGAAAAGAAGATGCCAGTATTCGTGGATCACTGTAGAATGCTGGGAATTCACACCTCCCAATACAACAGGGCACTTCCCCTAATACTGAAAGGAATAGCCAAAACCTACTTCTACGCCTCGATTAAAGTGATCAACCCACAGCCCAACTTCGAGACCATGATCAACCAATTGAAATCACACTTCGAGACTAGGGAAAGGCAACAAGCGTACGTTACGCAGTGGAATACAACTACTCTTCCCCAAATCATTCGCGATAACCCTGGAAAGACCAAATCGGAGTGTTTTGACATACTATGTGACAAATTAAGCAAGATTCAGCCCGGTTTGCCACAACAGGATCACAACGACCGATCCCTCCATACCCAACTTCTACACGCTTGTAGAGATATTCCAGAGTGTGCAATGGCGTTATTTGTACCGGCTGAGACGTACGAGGGACTTCGCAGCCAATTAATCTCGTCGATCGAGACAGCTACCCGTCTCAACCAACAACAATTCAACACAGTAGCCAACCCACCAGAGCAGTACTGGACCGACAGAACTTTCAACGGTCGAGGGCGTTATTCACGATACAGTCGTTCATCACGAAGTCGATCATCACGAGGAAGAAGCCGTGACAGACCCCTATTACCGCCAACGCCTAAGAAGTGCTACGTGTGTGGAAAACCTAACTGCTGGTCAACCAAACACACCACAGAAGAGAGACGAAAAGCGTACGAGAAGTTCAAAACCACCCAATATGCCCAGGATACGTCACTTCCAGCATATGGCCAATTTCTCGTCCAATACGAGGGTTTCGACGGGTTAGACCTACAACCTACCGCCGAAGACCCCCAGCAATACTACCACGTAACCGAACAAACCAGTGAAAGTGACGAAGAGGAAGAGACCGGCAGCGACAGTCAATTCCAGGTCACCGCCTATTTCACTACAACAGCAATTGACGGCAACAGGATCGCCACGATCCTAGCAGACCAGTCAACCCGCCATGCTATTACGAAAGAAGACCTCTTCCGCAACCAACCAGAACCGAAAGAGCTACCTTCGCAATTCACACTCGAGGGACGCTACTCTGCCCAGAACTTCCAAGGGATCATGCCCGACTCGGGCGCAGCAGGATTCTCAACCGCTGGCCACCCACAATTCGTGGCCCTACAACAAATTTACGAAGGAATTACGTTAAACACTGAGGCGGCTGGCGGCGTTACAGTGAAATTCGGCGATGGGATACCACTGGAGTCTATAGGGACTACCAAAGTGCCAACGCCGTTTGGAAGCGTCAAATTTCACGTTATTGAGACTAACACTCCCTTCCTTATGTGCCTAGGAGATATGGACCGATTGAAGGTCTACTTTAACAACGTTACGAATACCCTCATCCAAGGAAATAAGGTCGTACCTATTATTCGCAAATGGGGCCACCCATGGTTATTACTCGATAAGGAGAAACCACTCGCCTGGAACCACCTCACAGACGCTGAATTGCGACGGGTTCACCGTCGCTTCGGACACCCATCTGTTCAACGATTACACAAGGTGCTCCAGAGGGCCGGCCACCCAGTTGAAATTACGGCAATTGAGCAACTATCGAAAGTCTGCCATCGATGCCAAATGCACGCACCAGCGCCATCACGGTTCAAATTCACGTTACGAGACGATTACGAATTCAACTACGAGGTTATCGCCGACGTGATGTACCTTGAGGGTAACAGACCGGTCCTCCACGTCGTCGATACCGCCACGGCGTTCAACGCCGCCCGGTTCCTTGAGGACATTTCTGCGAAAGCCACTTGGGAAGCCCTACGCCTCTGCTGGATAGATGTGTATCAGGGACCCCCAGACTGGCTAGTTACCGACGCTGGAACAAACTTCCGCTCAACAGAATTCCGAAACGCGGCGAGAGGAATGGCAATTGAAATCAAGGAAATTCCCATAGAAGCCCACAACAGTATTGGGAAAGTTGAACGATACCATACACCTCTAAGGAGGGCGTACGAAATCATCAGAGCAGAAGACCCAACAATTACGCCAGAATCAGCACTTCAAACAGCAGTCAAAGCAGTCAACGATACTGCTGGCCCGAACGGAATAGTGCCAACACTCTTGGTATTCGGCTCGTACCCACGAATTACCGACGATTCGCCGCCATCTCCCGAAGTCACAAGGCGGGCGAAAGCGATTAAGAAGGCGACGAGCGAAGTACGCGAACTTCACGCAAGGCGACAGGTGGCAGAAGCTATCGCCACCCGCAATGGCCCTGATACAGGGCCAATTGTTAATTTACCGCTACGGTCGCAAGTACGAGTATGGCGCGAAAAGAAGGGCTGGACCGGACCGTTTACTTTAGCAGCCATAAACGGCGAAACCTGTACTGTCGATACGCCACGTGGTCCGAAGACCTTCCGGTCTACCGTAGTCAAACCATACTACGAAGATCCCGATCAACCACCTAATTCCATCGCCGCGCCAGAAGAAGAAGAACCCGAAGCTAAGATACCGCAGCAGGAAGTAGTACGCGACGAAATTATCGTCGCCGGCGGAGGCAGTGAACCGGACGAACCGCAAGAGGCACCGGAGCCACCGAGAAGACGCCCGGGCAGACCCCGGAAGAGACCACTGCCAATCGCCCACTTCACAGAGGAATTCAACGATGACCCGGATTATCAACAAATATTCCTATCGATTAAGGAGCAAGCAGACGAAGAATTAGCAATCAAACTACGACGAGAAGGTGTTATTACTACACCAGGCGAACCGTTCGAACAGTCAACTAAACAAGAGACCAACAGCCTCATCGCTAGAGGAGTGTTCAAATTCACCCAGTTCAATAAGAGAAGGCACCAGAACGTACGAATCTTCCGATCTCGTATCGTCAACGAAGTCAAGGGTAAAACAACCCTGCTGATGCCCTCACGAAGAGCAAACCAAATCGAGCCCTCGAGAGATTCGTTGATAGCAACACGATAACGATACGTATGGAGGGATGGGTAACAAGACCGTAACTACGGGAGAAAGTAGGGATAGGAGGCCGAATTGACGAGGAGACGGAACTGTATAGGGACAACGTATTCCAACCGCTTCAACACCATAAAAAGAGAGTTTCCAGTGTTGCGATAGTTGGAATACGGAGTCGTGTGGCACTTCCAGCCACACGCCCGCCAGGCTGAGAGGCCCAAGCCTCCCAGACCCACGTGACAGGCCAAGGGGGAATATCCCCACCTTCTAGTCAACAACACCACTTTCAACAATCATGAACCATCGATTAGAACCAATTTACTGTTATTTGTTATTGACGAACGGAATTCCGTTTCACCCCCTGTTTCACCCCCTGTGAAACCTACATTTTAACTTAGACATCCTCCCAAGTAAAACATATAAATTGCCAATTGCTTACAGCTTGGATTACTAGATAATGATCTTTCTCTGAGTCTATATATCCAATTTACTATTGTCATCTATCCTGTCTTTGAATAATCCACTCTACTGACCTCAATTGAAAATGTTGCTGCCCATTACCCTCATCCATTTACTTGGTCTTGTCTTTTGGATAGTCTCCGCTGACGTCCTACAACAAAACCAAATTTACTACAATTTAACCTTCGAAGAATTTGCGAGCAAGGCCTCAGAGAGTATTGCTCTCAATGCTTACTTCAATTCTCTAACAACAAACCGCTCTAACGCTAATATCAAAAAGCGTGCTGCTGTTGGTGGGGAATCTCAGAATGACGCCGTTACTCAAGGTATTATAGAAGAACTCGTACCAATATGTGAGGGACGATTTGGAGCTGGTTGGCGCCCACTATCCGGAAAATGCGTCAATAACGCACTGATACAACTTACTTGCGGCAATCCCAACATAGCGAATTCAGCTAATCCCATGGAACACCACTGTAAGCCACCTGAAATCTGCGCATCAATCGTGGGACATAATTTTCGATCTTCAATCGCCACATTTGCTTATTGTGGGATTCGCATCAACGTAGGCACCAGAGAGCAGTATGGAACAAATGTTGACTATGTCGGGTCGTGGTTCCCTGAGGCCCCCAAGTCACCTGGGACTTATAATGATTTTGTGGCAATGACAGGTGGTATTGAAGGAAGCTTCCTTTTCATTGGGGAATATTCAAACGGGCAACCACACAAATCAAATGCTCGAGGCATGTCCTGGTCATGCATTCAGTGCAGTGGAGGGCTGCTGAAAATAACTGCATCAAGGATAACTGCCGCCGCTGGGTTTTCAAAGTTATCAACGTGATCTTACGTGTACAGATCCAATCAACAATTTCAATTATATTAAGGCGTACTTTTGTAAAATTGTAAAAACTGTTTCTTTCATAAAGATACGAATTAAGCAAGCTAAGGATTGCTAGAAAGAAAATGTCAAGCAATATGTTAGGGCTTGCTCTTACATAAACGGGGGATAATAGGTTCTCGTATGATGTCTAGTATAATTCCTTGAGCTCTGGGGCGTATTAGGTGTTGGAACGAAGCAGTGGGAAGATATCCACTGTGTCATCTCCTCCCCCCCGCCGAGGGTCCAGATGAGCGACTCACTATCTACAACCAACGTCTAGACGCCCTTATGGGCAGTTTTAGAGCCTTAGGGTTATAATAGTGAAGTTCTATACTTGCTACTTATAAGTAGGACAGGCAACTAGTATAGACAGTAGACCTTATGCAAGGCTCCTAAAACGAAAGCCCTAAGGAGGGAATACTATACTTGACATAAAACCGATACACAGACGGTAAGGCCCTATTTTAAGTGCTGGCGGGGCTATGGCAGTAGGGTAGTTAGGGCTTCTAACTGGGAGCTTAATAGCCACACATAAAGGGGGGAGGCGGAGGACAGTAGAAGGGGGGTAGATTTTCAAGCAATCTGCGATGCAGTTCCTCATATACATGCGCTCGTTCAGCTCTCACTTCAACCTTGTCGTAACATGCTTCAGTCCCCACTCGTAGGTGCTTTCTACCAAGGGATGGTGCCATTCCGACCGGAAAATGTTGCAGTAGGTCCTCCGGGGCGGAGAAGAGCCAATTCCACAATCCTGCTAGCTCCTTCCTCTGGCGTCGTTCCGCCTTCCCTATAGTTGTTTAACTTGGTCTTCACTAGTCCTGGGCAGACTGCGTTCACCAATGCACCAACTTCAGCCAGAGTTTTGGCGTAATGGTTAGCAAGCCTGTTCAATGCGGCCTTGCTGCAGCTGTAGGCCTCGCCTCCGTTATTGTAATAGGGCCACGTCTTGTCGGTCGACAGAGTCATGGAAGCGAGACTGGACGATACGAAGACTACGCGCGGCGAGACGGTCTTGCGCAGCAGGGGTAGAAGAGCGTCGGTGAGCACCGCGGTACCGGCAACGTTGACGTTATAATCCTGGTTGAAGATCTCGCGCCTGGAGAGGCCTGGATTGAAGTCGACAGCGACACCAGCGTTGTTGACGAGGACGTCCAGTTTCCCGTGAACATCCTTAATGTACTCTACAGCCGCATTGATGGACTCGTCTGAGGCGAGATCCAACTGGACTGATGAGGCGGAGTGGCCCGTCGCGGTGATGTCTGCAGCGACTTTGGCACCCGCGTCAGCGTTGCGAGAAGCAATAATGATGTGGTGGTCCGGCTGTCTTGCTAGCTGATGGGCGACTTGCTCGCCGATGCCAGTGTTTCCTCCAGTAACAAGTACAACGACCATCTTGAAAGTTTGGATAGACAGAGATGAGTTAAGTGGAAGTCTGATGTTTGTTTGTGCAGTAAGACGCTGAGGAAAGTAAAAATCTCCACCTTGCATTATCGGATGTCATCGACTTTATATACGGCTGGAATATGATATTCTACCACTACTCAATGAGCCTTACTGTTACCCCTTGGGCGATTTGCAATACTCCATGCTATAAATTCGACTAGGAACCCAGTCCCACCCACGAACGGCGTCACATCAACCCGCCCCCTACAGGTTGTAACGTCGGAAAGCTCGGTCGGTTGAATATTCCGTGGTTTTCCCGCCAAGGTTTGGATTCTGACGACATGAGCGTCCACCGCTCGGAACCCGGGACGCCCGTACTCTTACAAACGTGAAAAACTCTACTGCATGTGTCTTGGTAATTTGGTTAATTGCGGAGCTCTGAGCCCAAGTGCGCTGTCACTTGTGGGGAGTTACAGCACTTGCTATTCCTGGCTAAGCCGGCGCACGGCCAGTTCGTGTCTTTGCTCTGCCGTGGAAAGCGAAAGGCCGAATACGCGATATATGCTCATGCTCACTTGGCAGGTGAGATATCTTCGTCGAACACTATTTCTCCACCTCTTTCCCGGCCTAAAGATCCTCATACGACCAAATAGCAATCTGATTGTCCTCAGATTCACCTGCAGTCTAGAATGACGTATTTTTCCGTTGAACTAACCATACGCTGGGACAGATCATTCTTTCTGCACCTTCGATCGATTTGTTTGTGCCTTGTGGACCCACCAACTCTACTCATTGCTAGGAAATCTTCACCGGATTTAGTCGCTTAACACCAGGACTGTAGAACTTAAATCCTAAATCCGGCCTTCTCTAAGCTTCTCGCATGCTCGGCTGATAGGTTTTATTACTGTAGTTTCCATCTAATCTCTCATTGATTCCCCTATGCTTGTCTGGCCTGCCTTCAGGGGGCGTTAATACTCGCAACGCTGCTGCGCGGCACTTGGCTGCCGAGGCCAAACGTTTTCCATTACAGAGTGTATTGCTTACTAACCCGCTCGTATTAGACTTTAACCATTCTAAAAGGTTACAATAAAGGCACATGTCAATTTAGATATATGCCTATGCCTCCAGGACTTGCCATACATACATACTGTCAACGGAGCCGGATTTCCACCATGAAGAACGACAAGTAAAGCCGTCTATACAATTATGAAACCACCTTCGTGAGGAATTTTGCCGCAGCGGTCAGAAATTCACCATGTGTCTGTAAAAGTTCAAGTTATAGACGATATAACCACTTGTGCATCCATCAACCTACATCTATTGGCCCAGTCGCCAGTACAACGAAACTGAAGAAGGTATGGCCAAAAAGTACTTTTGAGACCCGCGATCATTTATTCTTTCGAGAAAGCAGATTAACCCTCGGAATTACGATGCCTTTAAATGCAGTTATAGACCAGTAACTGCTTCCGGTTTGACGCTTCATCTAACCTCATTTTTGACGACGAGGCTCTCATCCGTGGCTCAAACACCTCAAAAAACTCACGAGTTTCTACGTCGTGTGTTTTATTGGTCAGGTTTGTAGGCTCTTGTCAAGCGTACGCCTTTTAGATGACGGAGTGCAGTGTCACCTCAGGTGCACGCCATCTGCCTTGCCAATCTTGCAGGCGGACGAACGCAAATCATCCATCAACAACGCCAAATGTATAGAACGACATAAGGTAGGCAGGGAAAATACGAATCCTGGTAAGCAATGAGTCGGAGGCCTGTCTCTCCTCCAGGCAGAGTTGTTCGTATTCCGCATGATGGTTACACTCAAGATTCATTCATGCATGAAGAGAGGCCTCTCATGACCTCCAACAAACCTCCAAGACGTTGGTCCTGTTTATTCTCGGATCTCGATTTGACATGAAGTGAACAGCGCGAGGTACTTGCAATGGAACGAGTTGCAACCTCTTCGCATAACCTGGCGTCCGTCCCGCGGGCCGTTCAGCTCCCTCACCGTCCCTGACCGCCTTGTTCAGGCTATCTTATTAGATACCGGCAAGATCGTCTTCGGAAGTAGGCTCCTAAACCTATGGATAATTCCCAAGGTGATCGCAAATCACCGCAAACATCTCAGACATGATCGTGTCTTGTAACATCCATAGAGTATCGTTCACCGCTCCGCCAGCATGTATACAATCAGCAGTGGAAACGTCTGGATTCTTAGAACCAGGCTTCCCTAATAACTAAATCGTCAACTCTACCTTGAGTTGCCAATCAATGCAAAGCAACCAACGAAATCTTGCAACCGATCTCCCCTCGTATGTCTTAGAGGCTGATCACGATGTTCAACCCCATCCCAAATTGTCAGCTCGGCTTACACAGCCCCCCGCTACACACATTTCCCCAAAGCAAACCTGCACTTCCTCCCGCTTCCCCCCCAAAAAAACAACCCGTCTTACACCTCGAAAATAGAACCCCAATCAAGACGGACACTATTCGCATCTCCAGAAAACCCATCCGTCGACCCTCCACAACGCCGTCTCCCACAGCGATCTCCTGTCTCACTCTCGAGAGCCCACCGAACGTGGAATACGATGCTTCGACCGCTCTTTTCTCATAACCCAGCCCCAACGCTTAGGTCGGCTATTGCCCATTAGGGCACGCGAGTGCAAGCCTCGAAAGGCTACTACATGCCGCTACTTGCGAAAAAAGACCACCGTGCTCACCGGCCGCTAGGGTAAGTCTTTTTCTTTCTCTTTTTGTTCTCTTCTCCAACTCATCAAGCCACGCGACGCAGCCCCCCTAAGCTCCGATTGTATGCATCAGCTGCCACCCCGCTCGCTCCCATTGGCCGGAGCTATTTCAGCTGTCAAGAGCTGAGCCTCCTCCGCCCCGATCTCGTCATCTGCAGATAGGCTTCTTCGCCAGCCGAGCTCCCTATTCGCTCGTAGGGCTGCCTCCGGCAGTCTGCCCTGCTCTCGGGACACATGACAATTCGGCAAACAAGTCTCCGCTGCAGAGCGCGGTAGTTGAAGGAGCTAAAGCTGTGCGGGGGAGAGGGTAATGAGGCCTGCCTAGGAAGAAGTGCAGGGCTGATTCGGGACGCTACCCGACAGGCGACGTCGGGGGACAGCTTCGGCGGGCTGTGTGTGTGTAGTGTGGTCAGTCTTTAGCTGCCTGCCAGCGAGGACGCTGTGGTGTGTGTGTGTCGATGTTGCTATTTTGAGAATCATCGTGGGTGGTTGATGTGCTTGCTGTAGGATGACTTTGCATCGAGAAAATGACCGAGCTAGGAAAGCCACGATGCTCAGCCGGAGAGCTGGGAGAATTCGGTGAGGGCTGGGTTACGACGTTTGACGCTCGGCTGTGAGAACCACGATGTCGATGAAAAAAGTTGTATATAAGACGAGTGAAGTTCCTCTCTCGAAGGTCTTGTTTGTCTCATCATCAGCAGCATCTCAAAAACTACCAAGACAAACATTCAAACCAACTTCACCTCTCCTACTTGAAACAATTCTCCAACTTTCTCATCTTCCCAATACTTTCCAAACCCAACAAACTTTCAAAATGTTCTCCAAGCTCGTCGTCGCTCTCATCGCCGCTACCACCGCCATCGCGGCTCCTCTCGAGGCTCCCCTCGAGGCTCGCCAGGCCCCCTCGACCTACTTCACCCCCTCTGCCACCTTCAACTACAACACCCGCGACGGTGCCATCTACCCCTCCGGCTGGGGCCAGATCTCAAAGTACACCGGTAACAACGGCAACGACATCACCACCCTCCTGACCTTCACCTACCCCGAGGGCGTCTCCGGCAAGAAGTGCCAGTTCTTCTTCTACGCCGACGGCAGCACCTACGCTTCCGGCAGCAAGAAGATCGACGTCTTCACCTCCAACAAGCCCGCTCCCGCCGGTGGTTCCCCCGGCTGGGGCGCTGGCGGCCCCGGCAACCAGCGCAACAACAACGTCGGCAGGCTCTCCGTCCCCGCCGGCGGCTACGCCACCTGGGACGCCACCTACGGCGCCTACCTCACCTCCCCCACGGACTGCAAGGCCCCTGGAACCGTCGAGGGCATCGAGCTCGTCGGCGTCTACGACAACGACTACGTCTCCTTCAACCCCACCTCTGCCCGCATCGCTTACAACTAAGTTGTGGGCTGGAAGAGCTTATTGAGTGTGTGTCTTCGATTCTTCTTGGCTCAATGTGAGCAATTTTTTGGATGCATTGGTCTTTTCTTTTTATTTACTGGGATTTTGGCACGGGATAGGCGTTTAGCAAAGGGTTTAAAGATATCATCACGGTCCTTCGGCATCGGCAGGGAAATGCATTCTTAGAATTTCATTCCTTTTGGTTCTAGCAAGACGAAATAAATGTTGCTTGGTTTTATAAGATGCCTGCTTCGCTGGCCAGTGTTAACCGTGACTGTGAGAAATATGTGAGCATTTAGAGTCAAAACATGGAAAATACAAGGTGTGTGCAAAAAAACAAAAGAGAAATGACCGATGAACGGTCGAGATACTGCCTCGTGGGCGAATCGAACGCCCGATCTCCTCATTACTAGTGAGGCGCTTTACCACTGAGCCAACAAGGCTTGTTGATTGGATGATCGTCATGGCTGGAGCGCCAACTATGTGCGCAGAATTTGCGCCGAGATTCTCCCGACCCACTTTCGTCACTCACTGTCACCAAGAGTCGCGGTGTTTCTTTCGGGCATCGTTGCAGTGCTTGCTGTCAAGGATAACGTAGGGTGTTGAAGACCCTGTGTTCTAGTCGCATGTTACATTTCGTAATCAGCCATAGCATGCCTCCGGAGGTTGTCCCGCGACGAAGTGGCCAGTAGTTGCGAGTCGACTTGAATCCCGTTCGATAGGACCTGGTGCGGAGCTCCCAAGGGTCTCCGGGGATTAATGGTGGAGATCAGGATCCGGGGCAGTGCAGTATCAACAGTCAGTAGGCGTCCATATTGGGGGAGTTGGAGACTGGAGGCTACTCTTAAATGGTCCGTATTGAGTCGGCTGTGAGGACACAGGTGGAAGAGCAGAGACGGGAAGCCGCATGGCGTTTCTTGGCACTTTGAAGACGTTGAATTGACAAGAAGATTATTGTTTTTCAGCCTTATAGGCTTGAGGGAAGCTTTGCCAAGGCCTGGTGGTTGAATCAAGCAAAGCTGCAAACACGGTGAAACGAATGGCCATCTCTGGGATATACATATTTTTCGTATGCACTGCAGCTTGGAAGATAACGTTTGTCTCGGTATCATCGGACGCAGGGACAAATGACAGCACAGAGTAGACGCCGTCGATCGCTGGGCGATGGATGATCCGTCGTCATCCGTTCGAGGAACACAAACTACTTTACATTAGTAATGAGCAGCTCGGACCCAACAGGCCCCAAAAGGAACTGATGTGACGCTGCTAAAAGGAGAAAACGAGAGAAATGAGCAGAGTTTTTGGAAGCGTCAATCTTCTCGGGCCGCTGCAATGCAGAAAATACGTCGTTGATGCAGACGACAGGCGAGACAGCTGAGCCACTACCAGACTTTCTCGCATCCTGATGGCCCCAGCTTTTTTTTTTTGCCAAGGGAACGCCCAGGCGCGTAGATCGCGGGAGGGCCAACGGATTCAGTGGGCGGGCATGGGAGGCACGAGGCTTGGGCAAGGGAGCTAGGAGAGCCAAGGATCCAAGGGAAACACGATCTGGGAGACGAAAAAGCTTGACTGTGGAGGGCTTGTTGTCTTTTTCTTTGGCGTTTTGAACGGCTCTTGTGTAACCGCCGGGATGTTGATGAGCACAAATTTTGTCGATCACAAACACTACTGCGTACCGTACCTATACTAGACGAGCACCCAGCGACACCCAGGGCGCCGAAAGCGAAAACGCATGACGGATAGCCAGTCCTCTACTCCGTTTTTCTAGTACATCAGACATGCTCCTAGCCCAACTGGCCCATATTTAATTACCATGTCCTGTGTATTAAGGAAGGGAAAAAAGGGGGGGGGGGGGCGGACAGGGAAGGACGCGCAATCTGGAATAGAAAACCGCTGCCGATTGGTGTAAGCTCGATCACGTGATACTGGTCTTCCTTTCAATCAGGGGGGTGTTCCGGGTGGTTTGAAGGTGTTGTCCTGCTAGCACGGAGCACTTACTACATACATAGTACTTACTACGTGTGGTAGGTAGGGCCGTTGGTGGCACGCCATCGCTGCCTCGTCCGCCAGCCATGGGCTTTTCCGTGGCGTGCATCTCAGGAGTAGGAGGTGCTGAATTCACCTGAAATACGAGCCGGGATCAATGGGTCCTCGCTACCCCTTGATTGAGTTTGCTCTCTGCCAACTACGTCGTATACTGTACGACACAAAGAAAAGAATGGATGGAACCCCCAATGGAAGATCGGGTCAAGACAAAAAATTGCTCGGCATCTGTCAGCCGTGCACTGCCCAGCATACCCTCCTATGGCCATTTATTACTGCTGTTACATCAGCTACACACTGGTGTAGTAGTCAGCGACCCCTGCTCCCCTAGCCCTGTCCTGGATCGCCAAGACCACGGGACAAGACGCTGGAAAACTTGGAATTTGCTTGTTTTCCCGCTGGCGACTTGGCACGCCTGGGCACTGCGTGGGCATGCCACAAAATCTACCGCCACGGAATCGTAGGGAACCACCCACATCGCGCAGGTACAAACACTACCACACTACACACACAGGGAGAGCGAATATGCGCACATCCTTGCCCACCTCTCAACCCACCACAACCCGCTCAAATGAGGGCGCTATCGACGAGCCGTCAAAAGCCACCGCGCCCAATTCTTCGGCGCTGAGATGATGTCGCGTTCCTGTTATCTTTTTGGTGACAGGCATTTTCGCGGCACCATACTCCCGTATCGCTAGCTGACGCCTGCGCCCCTCCAAAAGAATTCGAAAAGTAATGGTGAAATGTGACACGACATGACTCCCCCCTCCTCCAGCTAGATTTGCCCGATATTCTTTCGTAAGGACCCCCTGCTCACTCGACCATTCTGCCAACAGTGCCTGTACCAGTACCTTCCCTGCTTATTCCTGGCAACAAGCACACCCCCTTCTATTTCGCCCTTGGTTTGCACTTGCATCCGCCCAACCTTCAAAGTACCTAAACTAGCACCACCCACCCCCTTCGCTGTCACGCCGCCACTTTATTCTCCCCGACCCTCCTTCTATCCTTCCTCTTCAACCTCCTGGTCCATCTCTTTTTCCTTTTCTCCATTCCTCGTTTTGCCTCTTCTCAACTCCACCTCCACATCCGTCCATACTCGACGACAGACCTTCTCGCTCCATTCGACCCGTTTCTTCCCCATGATATTCGCATGATACAACCTTGAATCCGATCCCGCCGTCTTCGAGGGAACCGACTTTCCTACCCGGCCCTTTTTCCTATTTCCAACTTACTCCAGTCGCTCGCTTCTACCATTTACGCCATACGACAATCGTCAACATGAAGAATTCCCTCGTTACCAGCGCTGCGATAGCGCTCGCCTTCGCCACCGGTGCTGTCAACGCCGTTTACTCCATCGCCTCCAGCAGTACGACCTCCCTCACGCCTGCCCGGGTCACCCGCACCCGACCAATGGTGGCTTCATTACTGAGACTACTAACACCGCCACAGGTGACATCAAGTCGTCCGCCAAGGACCTCGCCTACGACCTCATGAAGTTCTACGACGGAAACTTGACCGGTCACACGCCCGGCATCTTGCCTGGTCCACCGCCCGCAGGTGATTACTACTGGTGGGAGGGTGGTGCTTTGTGGGGAACCATGATCGACTACTGGCATCTAACTGGCGATTCCACCTACAACGACGTCGTGATGCAGGCCATGCTCCATCAAGTCGGCCCCAACCGCGACTACATGCCCCCTAATTACACTGCGTCGCTGGGTAACGACGATCAAGGTTTCTGGGGCATGTCCGCCATGACCGCCGCCGAGAACAACTTCCCGAACCCGCCGACCGATCAGCCTCAATGGCTCGCCCTCGCCCAAGCCGTCTTCAACACCATGGCCAGCCCCGACAGACACGACAACACTTGTGGTGGTGGTCTTCGTTGGCAGATTCCCCTGTCCAACAACGGATACAACTACAAGAACAGTAAGACGCACGAATGTCTTGCACCAAGAATTTGATTGACTGAACCCCATCTAGGCATCGCAAACGGCTGCTTCTTCAACATCGGCGCCAGACTGGCCCGCTACACCAAGAACACGACCTATTCGGACTGGGCTGAGAAGACCTGGGACTGGATGGAGTCGGTTGGCTTCATCGACGCTGAGTACAACATTTTTGACGGTGGTCACGTCGAACACAACTGCACCGATATCAACAAGGCCCAGTTCTCATACAACAATGGCGTTTACCTGCTCGGAGCCGCCAACATGTACAACTTTGTAAGTGTCTGACAGATCAGAACGGGATGACGAACATGCTCTAACGTAAACTTAGACCGACGGTGACAGCAAGTGGAAGACTCGTCTCGATGGCCTGATCAAGGGCACCTTGAACGTCTTCTTCCCAAACAACATCGCCTATGAGGTCGCCTGCGAGGAACACAACACTTGCACCACTGACATGTTGAGTTTCAAGGGCTATGTCGCCCGATGGATGTCCGTTGTCACTCAAATCGCACCCTACACTGCCGATCAAATCCTCCCCGTCCTCAAGACGTCGGCCGAGGCTGCTATCAAGCAATGTACGGGACAGGCCAATCAGCGCACCTGTGGCTTCAAATGGAGCACGGGGACTTATGACGGCACAATCGGTGCCGGTCAGCAGATGAATGTTTTGGCCGCGGTGTCGTCCCTCCTCATCAACGAGGCGAAGCCGCCAGTGTCAAACACCACAGGCGGTACTTCGGTCGGTGACCCGAACGCCGGTAGCAACTCCAACAACGACCTTAGTGTCCACAGAACCCCGATAACGACGGCGGACAGGGCTGGCGCCGGCATCCTGACCTTCTTGGTCCTGGCGTCTGCTGCCGGCACATTCGGTTGGATGAGTTTCGGAGCGTAGAAGACGAAAGAGCATCGCTTGACGACTTTATTTCTTGTTTTATTTTCGCATGCAGTATGCTACGGCTCTGCTGGCGGGTTGCCGAGCTATAGTCGGACCCGCACTAGGGATGTATCGGCGTCGGCCAAGGAAGGCCAGGATCAAATGGATATCCGGCGTTGACTTTTCTTTTTTTGTGTATATGCACCATGGGTGGGCAACTGAACAAGACTGTTTACAAGTCCGCCCAGCGCTCCCTCGAAAGGGCATTGGGTAGCCCGCAATCGTTGGGAGCCTTGTAGTCCATAATGTAGCACGCTACAAGACATATTTTCCTAGAATAGACACTTCGTCGTTGCGACGTTGCAAAGTTGAACCGCACACGGGAGGAGGTTTTCTGATAATTCATCCGAGGAACCCCAGCTAGGACGCGTCGTCAAAAGCTTGGTGAAACCGAGCGCATTGAAGTTGGACAGCGCCATGACGCCATCTCATCCGATGTCCTGACAGCAAGAGGGCTCAGACATCGAACCTGTCATCTGCAGCAGCAAACACTCTGCAGACTACACACAGCATACCCTTCCCGGGTTTAGCAGGTCATGTTTCCCCGGCGTTACAGTTTACGTCATCTCGTTTTTGTCGTCTTATCCTGTGGCGGCAGCCGTTTCAGCGGAAGGGCAATGCCCCAAGCAACTGAACTGCTTGGCAGTGTGATGATTGACGAGAAGGTTTTGAAGATCCCGACCTTTTTTTTTTCTTCTTCCTTTTTTCTTGTTCTTCTTCTCCATGTTCTAGCCCAGTAATATTCGGCGTGCTAATTCGTTGGGACGTCTTTGGACTTTTTCCCATCTGCACCAGCCCCACCTCTGCCTCTTTTTTAGTACATTCTCCATATTTTCCATCCTATCAGCCAACCATATTGCGAGAGTCTCATCAGCCCACCCGACCATTCAATCAATCTCACTCACATGCACTCTCACTCACTCACTCACACCCACATCCAGCACCATCACATTGACGAAACACGCCTTCTTTACAAGTTAATCCAGTTTAAAGTAGCCGTAGTCTAATTTTGGCCAATCCCTCTCAACTGATTGGCTACATTCCCCCCATCTCTACGGCCATTCCGTTTCAATAGCACCGAGACCATTATTCACGGGATCCTGCAGCTATTACTGCTACTGCTGTCACACTTACAGACGCCGGACCCCTAATCCCTACACCCCCCCCCCCCCCCCCCCCCCTCGCAATGGCGATCCCGGACTTTACCAACGACGCCGTGTTCCCCGTGTTCGACGCCCTGCCCGTCGAAGACGACGCGGAGTCGGCCGGCCCGGACGCGAGGCCGGAATGGTTCCTCGTGGCGCAGGTGAAGCAGAACATGACCATCACGAAACCGACCGTCGTAGTCTCGGACCGCGGGGGCGACGAATTCGCCATCACCTTCGAGGACCGCGGCATCGATCTACGGCCCGTCAAGACCGGGTGGACTATTGTCGTGCCGAGGGCCGTCAGGACGAAGCCCAAGGAAGGGAAGAAGGGTTTCGTCAGGGTCGCCGAGGGAAAAGGCACCGCGGTCAAGTATGTGCCTGCTGACTTGGACAAGGTGGTTGAGCTGGGGACCCGGTTGAGGGCCGACAACGACGGGGCGGGGCAGAAGTGTGCTTCGTGCGGCGGCGGGGCGGAGGGCACGTTGAAGGCGTGTACCGGGTGCGGTGCTGTCAAGTATTGCGGCAAGGTGAGTTTTGTTTCCACCCCCTTTGCCGTCTGCGTTTGTTTTGTCGTGCGTGTGAGAGTGGTTTAGGGGGATGGATGTACATGCTAATGGGATGTCGCGTGTAGGAATGTCAGACTTCGGGTTGGAAGACGCACAAGGGTGATTGTAAGGCGTTGAAGGGTATGTTGAATGCGTGGGGGGCGTGATGGGTGGTTATGTGTGTTGATGGGTGAGGCGTTGGATGGAAAGATCATGAGGGCGGGCATTGAAGGGATGGTGGTGGTAGCTTGGCTTTGTAGAGTGCGCGTTGTCTCCGTGTGTGTGGCGTTGAGGATTGGAGCGTCGGTGTCTGGCGCTGTGAGTTGTTGCGGGTGTCGTGCCCTGTGTGTATACCGGCGGTATGAGATGGTTGGCTGGTTGCGAGCATACTTATCGTATGTTTCTGCTGCCTGTACATGGGTGGCGGTATGCGGACTTTAGTACTGGTGGTCAAAAGTCCAGAGCCATGTAGCTCGTAGTAAGCGTTTCCCTCGTGAGGGGCATCATCGCATTTGGGACTGCCCCAGGCGGTCTTCATCCATCTTGTCAAAAGGAGCAGTCCATATGCGATATAAGCTTCTTATTCAGCAGATTCGGTCTTTCTATGCTATGTCCTTGTTGATACCCCGTACCCATCACTTCTCATACGTCCTCAACACCGCCGTTGAATGGGGGTTCTGGTTCTTGTGATTTGCCCAGCTGCGCGTATAAAGCCTTGACCAGGGATCTCGCCAGCGCTGAGCAGTTTGTGGTGATGAAAACAGCCCGCATAGATCCCAAGGAGCAGTTATCAAGTTTGCCGGCACACTGATGTGAAGCTGTGATGATGGAGCTTTATGTATACCGAGGCATGCTACGTCGTTCTGCACGTTTGAGGCCATCAGTCGAAGCCGGAATATGAGACATGTCATTGACCACATCAGAGTGGTCGCACATGGATCAGCGGCAATACAGAGGATATGATTGTGTAGTTCAGCGGAACCTGGCTATTACGCATGAGTCTTATGGAGAATATTGGTTGATTCTTTACATGACATTTGTATTCCAGTACTTCGATTCAAGGTTTTGATAACTATACTGCGCCGTCTAGGCCTCTTTCTCCCTACTCAACTCATACAAAATGTCCGTCCTCATGGTATATTTCGTACCCTTGATAACATCATCACCAGAGTGATAAAGCCTGTTGTGCTGGAAGATGAGCACCCTCCCCGCCTTGGGGTCAACATCGACCTTCCTCTTCTCGTCATATGACAGGAACGACGTAGCACCGCCGACGAGATCCGCGTTGTCCTCGCCGACCTCAGCGACAGAATCATTGAGGTACAGATGCACGGTGTAGTGCGTTCGGAAGATGGTACCGTCCTTAGACTCCTCGCTGTAGGGGCCGTCGCAGTGGGCTGCGCGTGTAAGTCAAGCATCATGGAGGTATGAAATTGGGATACTCACGCCTAAAGAACTGGCCCTTTTGATACTTTAAAAACCGCATCCGTTTGTTGAACCGATTAAACCGCCACCCCGTCTTCACCCCCTTCTTGGTCTTTGTCATCCCGTCAAACCCGGCTAGATCGTCTTTCAACCCCGGGGCCAGCGCGCACCGCTCCCACAACCGGTCGACGATTGTCTGCTGGTCCCAGATGATACGGTCGCTATTTCGGTATTCCGGCTCGAGGATCTCCCAGCCGTCACCAATGTTGACCATGGCGGGCTGCCACGGCTCGTCGCCGTTTGGCCCACGCTCTATTACGCTCTGCTCTGCGAGCTCCTGGAGCTGCTTACATTCTTCTGGCGTCAGGACGTTGTCCAACACCACAGCGAAGCGATCGCCATTCTCAGGGAGTTTGGTCTTGGACCAGTCGATCCGGGTGAGGGTCACGGGCTTCGGGGGAGGGCCGGAGAGGAAGTGGGACGGAATGGGGACATCGTGGGATAGGTACGAGGTCTGCTTCGGCTGGTTTGGCCGCGGATCAGGCCGCTTCTTTGAGCCTCCGGAGATAGCAGCGCTTAGCGACATGGTGGTGTATGTGAGTGCACGTGTTAATCTGGAATACGCGACGGAGCGAAGTAAATTGTAGAGCATCAACCTGTGCCGCTGGAACTAGATTGAGGAAACACGAAAGTAATGGACGGGTTGCGAGGCCGGCTAATTTACAGTCATTCAGAAATGTCACTGCCTGGACCTGGTGTCTAGGCGTTGTGGATGTATTGGTGACTCGGTGGTGGCGTTTGTCGAATTGGCCTCAGGCGCAGCATCAATAGTAGAACACGTTTTACCTAAGGAAAAGAACTCGGTGTAAATGGCATGACTACAAAAAGTCCATTGAGTCCTCATTGAACTGGAATAATGACAGTTGGCAGGATTTGCCATGGGTGTTGCGGAGAGAATAAACATTGCGGTTCAATGCATTGGATGCCTGTTGCGAGGTCCCACCTATTGAAAGACTTACAAGTTTGCCTCAGCAACGCTTTTGGGGGGCTTGGATAGGCTGTCTGGGACCCTAGCACGCTAAAACGTGGCCAAGTCTCCAATAGTAGTGGCTGCCTGCGGCACCAGTTCGCCCGGCAGTTGCCTGTCAGCCTAGCCCTTACCAAAACAACCATGGCGCCATCTTGTTGGTTAGGACGACTGAACTTTTGGGACTTTGGACTTGCTTTAGGCTGAAGTTTCTAGGCAATAACAAAGTCATTCATCAAGGTGGTGTGCAGCCGCATCAAAATGATTTCATGGTGAAGCCCCTCGCTCTGTCTCAGCTAATAACATTCGATGACTTGAGGCACTTGAATTGCTATGGCCCCATTGAAATAGGACTTATCGTGAGTCTTACCTTTTAAGATGGCCTCAGCTGGCTTGGCATTCTATGAACACCCAATCGCTATCAGACGCTGCAAGGCCAACGGCATGAATCTTTCGAGTTTAATCGGATAGCTCAGGTCTACTTACCCAAGCAGAAACTCCACAAGACGTTCACTATACTTGACCTTTTCATCTGATATGTAGCTTCGATACACCACGCCTTGGTAGTTCCCATTTGTTTTCTTCATCCTCCATTCTTAAGGTCTTTTTGTGCGTCAGCTCGCTGAGGCTTTGTGTGTGATTTTGAATCGAGTTATGGCTCATAAGCGCAATAAGTACTGTCATAACTAGCTTACAGAAGTACCTTTGGGGTCAGGCTCTAGTTTCAGATATGCTGATGCCTACTCCGCGGCCTTCCCAGTTTCCCATAACAAGTATGGTACAAAAAGCCCATAACCCGACAGGCAGAACAAGGCAATGATAGTTTTCAGATTAAGGTTTTGTAGCAATACTAGCAACAAACCATTCTGCCCATCGGGGCTTTGTTATGGATTTCTATGATATTGATCATAGGCATCGATACAGTTGCCACAAGCAATGTATGGTCCCGCCTTCGGTACAGTTATTTTAGATGCATAACATTTACTGTCTCATGAATTAATGTCCAAAGGATATCTAGGAAACTTCATTGACCATGTCTATACTATGTTCGTGAATCATTATTGCCATCTAAGTAATGACATGCTATGTGTACCTCGGAAGGCCTCAAACATCCTCTCCGACCAACTTCTCCCGCCCTTTATCAGAAGTCTTGGCTTCCTCGGCATCCAATCCAGTCTTCGTCTCAATGTGATTCTGAGTCAACTCAATTTGCCGAATGAAGAACGTCGAGACAAACCCGATTCCCGACGCAACACAAAAGAAAATCCACAGTTTATTTATACTATCCGTTACAGCCGCCCTCACAGTAGTCTGCTGTATCCTTGAAAGCCTCTCAAGCAAGCCATGAGCCGCAATTGCTGATCCACTCGTGAACTTTCCAGCTACATCTTCTGGGATGCCAGCGCCAACCAACGTCGCCGAGTGTTGTCTCATTACGCTCTGGAAGATGACCTGACCAACGACAACGCCGATGCCGAGCGCAATGTGCCTGACAAACGCAAACATTGCCGTTCCGACGGCCACGTCCTGCTGTCTGACCAGCGCTTGCAGAGCGATAATCAACGCCTGCAGGTTCGGCGATATGCCCAGCGCGGCGACAATCTGGAAGAGGATGAGCTTCGGCCAGTTCCGATACGCCGGTAAAGTGATGAACAGCCCAAACGCCAGCGTCGTCAGAGCCATCGCCGCGCGAATGATCTCGTTGTACCGCCCCGTCTTCTTGATCGTGACGCCGGCTGCAATGGTGCAGAACGCCAGCGGGAGGGCCGTGGCGAGCAGCCAAACCCCAGACTGGATCGGCCCCGCCCCGAGAACTGTTTGGAAATATAGCGGGAGGAAGAAGGCGATGGCCGCGAAGCCGAGGCCGTGACAGAAGCAGGCGACGTAGCAGAACACCACCGAGACCTCGCTGAAGAGAGACCGGGGCATCAGGGGGTACTTCGCCAGGAACCTCTCGACGAGCACGAAGACCCCGAACCCGAGACAGCCGAAGAGAATAAGACAGATTATGGCAGGGCTATTCCAGGCATACTCTAGCCCACCGAGCTGCAGCCCGAGAAGCAACATCAATGTCGCTCCCGTGAACGTGACGGAACCAAGCCAGTCGATCGCCATGAGACCCTTGACAAGCGGCGTCTTGGGAGTGTGAATCTTGAGTATGAAGACGAGGATGAGCAGGGAAACGCCAGAGAGGGGCAGGTTAATCCAGAAACACCACCTCCACGAGATGTTCTCCGTCAACCCGCCCCCAACAAGCGGGCCGATGCCGCTCGCCAGCCCCCATACGGCGCCGATAACGCCAAAGTACGCGCCGCGCTCTCTTGGGCTGAAGAGGTCACCGATGATGATGTTCACCAGCGCCGTCAACCCGCCTCCGCCCAGCCCCTGCACGGCTCTTCCTGCCACGAGCATCGTAAGAGACCCCGCGAGCGCGCCCACCAGGCTCCCGACCATGAAGGTGACGTTGGCGATGATGAGAATCGGCTTCCGTCCGAAAATGTCGCTGACCTTGCCCCAGAACGGCACCGAGGCGGCGTTGGCGAGGAGATACGCCGCGCCGATCCACGCGAACCCCGAGTCCGATGCCCCGACTTCTCGGGCGATGGTCGGCAGCGCGGTCGTGATGATCACGGCGTCGAGAGCCGCGAGGAACACGGCGATGCAGAGTGCGAACATGAGCATCGAGGTCTGGGCCTTGTTGCGCATGGGCGTCGTCGTCTTGGCGATGGTGGTTTCTTCAGCCGTCGTGATACTCCCTTCGCCCCTGTCGGCGTCATTCTTCTCATGTTTTCCTCCTTCTTCCATGCCATGTTTCTCCTCAGAGGCGACCCTCTGCGATGCTTGGTCGACTTCAGCCGCCATGGCTAGAAATGATGAGTGATCTTATCAGGTTGGCCGTACAACATTTTTTTGGTCTGAGAAACCATGCGGGACCTGACTGATATACTACCTGCTGTCACCCCTTCATCCTTGACAGTAAGAAACAGGCAAGTAATTCATCATTCGAAGCCTTGTTGGAACCTTCGGGATGGTGGGCTCATGACCTGCGGCACAGGAAAGGCACAGTACAGTCCGTAGTCGCATTCAACTCACTATTTCACAGAATCCCTGCCATGGGGCAATCGTCTTCTATACGGCAAGCACGTTCTTCTACATGGACCTTTTTTTTTTTTTTTTTTTGGCTTCCTCTTTAGGACCCCACTGTCCATTCCACGGCGGCGATGTTCCCGGGCGGGCGTTGGTAGACGTGCAGGTTAGTTTACGGGCGACACGGCGCGTGTACGGCGCAGCAGCAGGTCGGGAAGAACCGCATTTATCGCCTTAACAGGTTATCGCCCGCTGCAGATTAGAGGCGGCTCATGGAATTCCGGCGTCATGGTTGGTCGGTGTACGACGTTCATGCCGGGGGCCGGACTGGAACGGCCCTCTCGTGCCTAGAACGCGACCAACGAGCCCCCTTGTCATCAACGGGATGATGTCCCCCATGTAGCAATGTAAATGATGTGCAATGGGAAGCTACCAACGACATAGAGTACAAGGCTGCTGTTTTTCTACGTCTGAGGTCTGATTCGGCGAGGCGGCTCGATGCCAACTGGCGTCGAGGTTGGTCGCACGCTGTTATCGTGGGCTGACGGCCACGGCCCCCTGGTTGCATATGTGGAAGATCCAATCTAATGTCAGCCCCCGAACCAACGACAAAGTCATGGAGGATCACTTCCGGTGTCGCTTGGAATGCCGCCACTAAGAAAAGCAGTTGATTTCGCCCCAAACTGCCCCCATTGCGATGTTGAGTGAGGCTGGAGTCATAACGCCAATCCTTGCCGTGTAACAAGGCACGGCGGGTTAAACCGCTGTAAGGAACGGGAGTACGAGGTGCAATCAACCGCGTGCCCAAAATGCGCCCGCTGCTTCCGCCCGAAAGGCTGGGTGCTGTGCTTCTCATAGGTACGATGATGCGGACGGCCGGCTTTGGGATTAAAGATGAGAGGATGGTTATGTAGCCCCTTCGTGGGCGAGTATGTACGCCTATGTCGTAGAACGTTATCAGTTACAACGAAGAGTCGGTTTTTATCTTGGATGTTTCCTATCGAACTACCAACCCCGTCTAGGGTAATGTCGACTCATCTATATGAATCTCGTATCTAACCCTTGAGCCGTTTTGTCATGCCTGCTAAGGGATCGGCATACATCTATAAAGTGTTTACAGCTTAGGTTGCACGGTTTCATACGTTAGTGTTATCATAATGAATCACCAGGTCCATCCAATGTCAATGTCACGAAGCCAGTTGTTAAGGGGAAGCCGAAACTTGATTCTTATGCTATGAAAAGAAAGGCCAGTCGACTACCCCCCCTTGCAGCATGCGGCAGAGCCAAACCCGAGGGTAAGGCACGCCGACCAAACAAGACGTCGTATATCGAAATCGAAATCGCAAAGCGCGCCCACGAGGCAGGCCAAAACGATAGCGCAGGAGCATTGTCGCCAGCGTTGCCTCGGTTCAACACGCAGTCCCAGCGATGGCGCAACGGCACTTTCGCGGTCGAGTGGCGAAGATCTCGAACGACAGCGTATCTAAACACGTATGGGGTATCATGGAAATGCAAACAAAAAAACAAGAAAAAAAGAAAAAAAAAATTCATCAGCTTCCTCCACTGTCGATCCCTCCGTATGTTCCTCGTCAGTTTGCTCCCCTGCCCCCTCCTTTTTTTTTTTGGGTTTCCCATGAGACGGACCAAAATGCGATAGCGCAGCAGCATTGTCGCCGGTAAACCGTCTCCAGTCCAATACGCCAATTCCCAGCGATGGCGTAGAAGCACTGTCGCCGTCGAGGATTCCAGCCTCGGTTCCCGCTGCTTTTCGCCTTACAGCGGGGTAAACTTGTGCCTTTCCTCGTATGAAGAGCATATCCAAACATAAGATGGGTGAATGTTGTGATTAGATGTAAAACAGAATGAAAAATTAAATAAAATCGAGAATGTGAATTGTGAAGAAGAGAGTGCAGGTTGAGCTGCGTCGCATGTGCTGGTGTGCCGTCATAAATGTCGGAATGTAGGGTGTTGAATATGGAGGCAGCTCAAAGTTCCATGCCACCATTGACCAGCTTGCGGCTGTTGGCAAAGTATCTAGGCTTCCTGACCCTGGTTGCCCGCGCCAAACAGCTTGCCGAGACCGCGCTCTCGAGCTTCGCGTCTTGCTGCGCCGTCTTCGATTTCACTGGATGAGTCAAGTGAGGCCTTCTTCGCCGGCGGGTTGCCAAAGATCTTGAGCAAAACCAACATGGCGAAGCTGCTAACGATGCTCATGCACAGAATTCCGATCATGGCGTAGTTGCTCTTGCGGTATTGGTAACGACCCTTGACGGAGTCCGCCGGCCAACCTGTGTACAACGCGTAGGTCGTAACAATACTTCCGAGGTTTCCAAGGCCCGAAACAAGTGCAGATGCTGCAGCTACACCGACTTCACCGTGACGGCGTTGGAAGATTTCGTTTGTCCAGGTCATGCAGTTGGGGACGGTCGGACCCAGACCAAAACCGACCATCAAAAGGCCACCGTACCGGGCCCAACCGTTATCCAGGGCAAAAGTAACAACTAGAAGTCCAGCAATCTGGATGCACACAGCGGCCGAGAAGATGAAAGGCCTGTGCCTGTGGAACCGATCAGAGATGGGCATAATCAGCAGGATGGCGATCAAATCCATCTGCTTCTTGTCAGCACTTGTCCAAGGATAAAAGTCAAAGTTACTTACAATCCAGATAGGCGCAAAGAGCAAGCTGACTTCGATGCTCGACGCGTTGGGTACGATAGACCGGATAATGACGGACCCATAGAGCTGCGTTCCAATGCCAACACCAACAACTCCAAAGTACATCATAGTCAGCGGCCAGAGACGCCAATCAATGAGGACTCGGCCAAGATCTTTAACATTCCACGGCCGGGGGTGGTAGACCCTGCGAAGTTCGTGGTAATGAACGATTGCGTCGTGTCCGGAGAGAGCCTCTGGCGTAGGCGGCAGCCATTTCATCCACGTGGAACGCTCGCGCTTCTGGCCGGGTGGAAGAGGACGGTCTGGAAGCCACCAAAGCAGGGAGAAACCCAGAACGATGCCAACAAGACCGTAAAGAAGGAACATCCAACGGAAACCGACTAAGCCTCCCATGCCATCCATGAGCTGGAATCCGGCAGATACAAGGCCGACGACAGCTGCAGAGAGTTGAGAAGCTGTGAAGTAGAAGCCGATTCTCTTGCCTGTCCGAGAAGGCGGGTAGAACAAGGTCAAGTAGTAGGACATGCCAGGCCACATGCCAGCAATAACGACACCAAGCAGGAATCGAAGTAGCCTAGAATCGTCAGCGGTTGTCGACGACTGTTAATCACGTCACGTACTTGACACTCCAGGCACTTTGAACGGCTGTGAAGCAAGCGCCCACGATGCTGGTAGCGATGACAATGCGGGCCATCCACACTCGAGGGTTTAGCCTTGCCATGACGATGTTAGAGGGGCAATCGAAAATGACATAGGCCACGTAGAACAGAGCTAGAGCAGTGGATGTATCCTTGGGGGTTAGTCCCAACACTGTCATCAAGTCATGACCTTGTGCAGCGTTCATGGTCTGGGCGATGCCGATGTTGGACCTGATGGCCGAGCACAGGAAGTAGAGCGTCCAAAAAGCTGTATAATCGTTAGCTTGAATTTCATGTTGAACCACACTGAGAGATAGTAACCTGGAATAATGCGAAGGTCAAGTTTCCTAGACATCGGTAAGTATGTTGACATGAAAGATTTGAGGACAATTGGAAGGCTTACCTGTAGACCTTTTCGACCGTCTCGACGTCGTACTCTTCCTGAACCTGGTTCGAAGGACCAGCTAGGGGCCCTGTCGACGAAGCAGCTGCAGTGCTGAATTCATTGGGATGCTTATCAGAGGCGCTACGCGCCTCCTCATCATATTCGTGAGCCATACTCGACTACGGAGCAATGGAAGTGCGTGCAACTAGTCTTTTCTGACCACTGTGATATTCGATGTTGAAAGTATGCCCAATTAATTCGATTGCAGTTGATTCCGGATCAGCGTTCTACGCGCCTACGAAGGGTTGAGTAGCAGGACGTTCAGTGATGGGTGTAGTGAAAGATTTTGAGTATCTGGGCGGGCGGCTAACACAGGCATTTTAAGGTGTGGTTTGCCGAGACCCTTGGGGCTCACCGGGGGCTGGTAGTGGGAACTTCCAAGACGCCTGCTAGAGCTCTTTTTTTCAGGTGGCTCTTGTCCAGCTGCACTAGCAGATCTGGGGTGGTGAAAAAGGAGCGATTTATCAAGCTACAGGGGCTCTGGGGGGTCCGTAAGTCGGCCGGTCGCCCAACAGAATGCATCGCTCCACCGCGGTTGCAGTAGCATCTGAGTGACTTCGGCAGGATTATCGGTGGGTGTTCGGCGTTGCCCACATTTCCGAGCTTCAGCAACTCCGGACTTTGTCACTAGAGCGAGTTCAGCTGTAGCGTACCACCGGATTGGACTCAAGATGGTGCGCTTTTAAAACAAACCTGACGATAGGGCATCTCAAATCAAGCTAAATCTGTTTGGCCCGACAGAAGGCGACGAACATACTGGTGTGTAAAGCATCTTTTCTACTTACAAAACTGAACAGCACGGCACAATCGACTTTCGTCTGAGTGGTTGAAGCTTAGAGAATTACCCTATATTAGAGGATGAAGGATAGCTGCCAACGCCGGATTGGTCCAGCTAACTGACAGCGTAAAGAGTGATGACGGAATTGTAGTGTAGCACTCAGTTTATTTGCATGCACGGTTTGGTGGGTCAAAATTTCATAGGGCAAAGTCTCGCCCAGCCTTGACATTTGCGGGAAACACAGCTTTATCGATTACTTCGGTTCGAGATAAACTATCAATATATTCCCGAACATCCCTACGCTTGCTTGATCTTTTTTGATCACTGAAGCCTGGCAAGCGTGCTTGGCCCTCGAGATTATCAGGCATCAAGAAGTCTGCCTCAGGAGCTGAGGGCTGCTCATCTCCCTATTCTTCTCCTCACTCACAACCCCACTTTCAGTCTCATGTCACGACCTCTCCCCTTTAATTCTGTTGATGGTGATGACCATCGACTACTCTCTGACTCCTGTCCATCATTGTTGTGTTTCATGGCTGTTATCAAGTCTTTTGTCAAGTTTGATCTCTTCTCGCACCTCAAATCTGTTGTTGCTTAGGAATTTCACCCGCGGGGTATCTGATACACATTGACATTATCCCGCCAACCAGCACCATTGTTTGCTTCAATGAAGACCTACACGCAATAACAGTTTCCCCAGCCGTTTCACCGAGAATATGGCAAGGCAGCCTATCAAATAATCCTCCCTCTGATGTGTCTACCTCTGATGTGTTGGTGGGGTAGTCATCCTATACAATGCGTCGTCTGATCGCGACCTCTCAGGCTAGTAGTCACCGGTCAAGGTAACAGAGGCGCAGTCCAACTACTCGGCCAGTAACCGAAGAGGAAGGAGGATCTCAGCGACCCAAGCCTATGGTTCGCAAACAGCATGGACAACGGCAAGGATCCTTGCACCATGTTTACTAAGGCGGTTCCCAGAAGGTACGGAGGTGTCAGTGATGCCTGAATTTGGCGAGCTCAAGTTGAGCGCCAAGTGCTCCTGACGCCAGTGCGAGCTGGAGCCTTTGTAAGAAAATAAACAAACGTAGGCAAGCTCACCAGAAGGTCCAATAGGTCGGTGACAACGGGCCTGGTCCACGTGTCTACGTGACATATCACCTGTCTTCAGGTGATTGATACGGAATTCACTTCTGTACACCCAATCGCCAAGCTCAAAAAGGCTGCCTATCCGAAGGGATTATTAAGAGGATACCTCGCATGTATTTGCTAACAGGATATTGAAACATGTCTGTCCTTCAGTGAGGGCCGCAGAAGCCGAGCTGGCTTCATCGAGGTATTCCAGTCGTTCTTGGCTCTCACGGAGCTGACATCAAGGCCTCATTGCGGCTGTGATTATAGACTTCAAAGTCCTATCTGCTCTACTGTGGCTCAGTACTGCGGGGATTACCAATAACACTCTAGAAGCACCTACATTAGCTCGGATGAATCTCAGGGGGTCAGCAAATAGGTGAGTCGACTTGGATCAGCAATGAGTCCGGGCTAACCAGATCTCGACACAATAAACAGGCATAGACTTGAGTATACCCGAGCATGATGCCAAGCGCCTTGTCTTGTGATTCTTAAGCACACAAGGCGAGGAGTGTGGGGTGCATTTTTTGGTTGGATGGTAGCCTTGAGGCCAACACCACGTCGGCTTGTGAGTCAGACGTACCTTTGCCTGCCCAAGATGGGGTTTTACGGATTTGAAAAAGACGAGTCACCACTCGTTGCCGCCTAAATCCGAAAAGAACTAATAAGGGTATGGAGGACCCCAGATGCGTTCAGGGAAGTGCCCCAAGCTTCTTTTTGCAGTGCATCAAACTCGACCGCGTCAGTTGTTTGTAAGTGGATTCCCTCACATGCTTGAAGCTTCTACACCCTTGGAGGAGTCATCATCAGAAGCCCAAAGTGGGTCATGTGGCTTAGGTGGCAAGTTTCCTCGAGGTCACGTGCTCCTCCGCTGATAAATCCACCTTTGTGGCTAGTGGCAGCAGCTGTCAAGTCTTCAGCCAGATTTTTCAGGCCAAACTAACTTTTCTGCCTTCCTTAGCATTGGAGCTCTCTCACATCAACCTGACCAAGCTACGAAAGCCGACGCGCGTGTTATCTTAGAGTACGCAAAGTACGACCTTAATATCCAGCGCCGCATCATTGCGTCGTATTATTCTTCTCTTCTACCGAGTTTTCGTCTTTTTGTGTCTTTTATTGCGGTATTGTCGCCGCCTAGCATCTGGGAAGTCGCGACTTTATTTTCTCACCCCCGGTCACGACATATCTTTTTCCCAGACCACCGAACCGCATTCCTCACCAACACCACCAAACATCAGTCAAGCTGGACATCGTATCGCGCTTCCCTCTCAACATGTCCGTCGTATATGAGCCTCGAAACTTCATGCACGACGGGTCATACCCTCCCATTGGTGATCCGGACCATGATCACAATGGCGACCCGACCGCGCAGTACCAGGCTACCGACGTTCCGGAGCTTGCCTCCTACAACCCTACACCCTCGATGCTTACGGACGACCGTTCACTGATGCCAGATGGGCTCGGCGACGACCCCGTGGGTGTTCCGGACCCCACTCGACTCGATCTCTCCGCGCCGCCGACGCTCGCTTCTCTCCCGTCGAATCTGCCGCCTGCCCTTCCCGAGCCTCTGCCTTCGAACAACACCATGCCCCACAAGGAAGAGGCCGAGGCCTCAACTCCCTCGTCGAGGGTTAAGTGTATACCCAAGCCTGAGCGTGAAGTTACGAAGCAACCGGATGGCAAGTTCTATTGCACGTTCCCGGGATGCACAGAGGAGACACAGGTCTTCACGCGGAAGTGCGAATGGAGGTAAGTTTATCAGATACATGATTCCCTACGCCCGAGACCCGGAATCATACTGACAAAAGTTTTTAACAACAGCAAACACATGGACAAGCACGAGCGACCCTACCGATGCGCCGCCGAAGGCTGTGAAAAGCTCCCTGGTTTCACCTACTCAGGCGGTCTCCTCCGACACGAGCGCGAAGTACACGGCAAGCACGGCGGACCCAAAAATACTGTTAACTGTCCGCATCCCAACTGCAAGCGTCATACTGGCAAGGGTTTCTCACGCCAGGAGAATCTCAACGAGCATCTCCGCCGTGTCCACACCAGTGACGGCTCCAGCACTGTCCATGAAGACATTCAAACAGGCAGCGATGGTGATAGCGAAAAGGGTCTAATGAACAGTCTTGTCGGCCTGGGCGGCGGCAGCAATAAGCGCAAGCGCTCTCGCAAGAGCTCGGACGCCGGCTTGGATGAGCTGCGTGAGGAGATCAAGCGCGTGCGACTGGAGAATGAGGAGCTCCGTCAGCAGCTGGAGAGACAGGGTCAGCACAGCTTCGCCATGATGACGCAGATCGCTGAGCTGCAGGATGCGCTGCGGACGAATCTTGACGGTACTGGTCTTGGCGCTCCCACTGCCACGATGCTGTAGGACTCTCATCGGGATTTGGGAGTATCGGCACCATCTGCGCCTCCGCCTCCGATGTTGCCCGAAAACGAGACGACACTTCTACACTATTTCCCAAACTAACTTCCCGATACGGCGTTACGACCACCTCTCCTCTTAGTCCGGCGGCTCCGATGTTCTAGGCTGCCACATTTTGTCAACCTTGTTCCGCATAATACACGCACACACACACACACCTTACGAAACAAGCATCGATGAGGCGTTCCGGGGGTCTAAGTTATATCACATACCTTTACTTCTTTTCCTGGGCTAGGCTCACACGGCCGTGTATACTTGTGCACTTTTCCTTTTTTTTTCAACGAGGGTTAATTATCACCAAGACGAAAGAGGCAACAGGCGTTACGCAGGACTAGGACAGCTGTTTTTGTATTCCCTTTTTTCCTTTTTTCTCACATTCACGGTGGCGAAGCACAAGAACGATGACGACTACTTTTGATATCCCCCTCTTCCACACCTTCTCTCGCAGAGCGTAAAGAAGAAAAAAAGTCATCCATTCTGGAGTTGTTATGGCGGTAAATTGGTAGAATGTACATTCATCCTTCCACTCATGGCTCTTTTCCCTCTTCCAACTTTTTCTTTCCCCTTCTCCGCCGAAAACCCATGTTTGTAATCCTATTGTCTTGAACTTTTGGTGTGTTCTGGTATACTGTGTAGTTAAATTAGACTGGGAACTTCGTTGATGATATCCCATAAACCCCCCAATATGACAATCCTCCTCTTCTCAACTAATACTTCACTTCACTTAGTTGAAGAAAGAAAGAAAATAGTGATTTGTAAGAGGCCTTCCTAATTTAATGTTATGCATATGCATTCGGGCCTATCGTCCTTTTTTAAATCTATGCCCGTTCCGTAAAACTTATGTATTGTTTTTTTTTTTTTTTAATCTGCAGGATTGGGGGGATGACGTACCCCTGAAAGTACTTTACGCGTCCAGAAACCGTCTACGTATTCATTGGGCGAGGTGGGAAATAGAAAACGCCTCAGCACGCGTCGTCACATGTAGTTTTTTTTTTTTTTTCTATGCCTCAGGCAGTTACAGAATTGCAGCCTGTGTTGTGCAGCGCGCGCGGGGGGGAGAGAGGGCAGAGAAGAAAGATCCCAACGGCCGCAGGATATATATGCAAGGGGGGGGTGATGATCTTCTGGCAGCTGAGTAATGAGGAGGGGAACTAACAACTGCGGAACGGGGGGGTTACGACTACGAGCATCGTGCGTTGCGATGCCTTTAGCATGGATGGCATTCGAAATTCCTTAAGACTCCAAGGTATTTTCTTGGACGTTGTGGTCTACCTTTCATGTTTTACAAGGATGAACTGGAAAAATCTGGTGGTGCAGAAGCACGGCCATGAACTCTACAAATATGGAATCGTAGCTGCACGCAATCTAGCACAGAAAAGCCTTTAAACTTCAAATACCTCGCCGATACCCTCAGAACCACCCCGTCGGGTCTCGACAAGATCCAGTCTCCAGCCCTCCCAGTTCTTGAGAGTACGCTTAATCTCCTTGATACGCTCGAGGCGGGCCTTGGCATCATCCTCCTGCGCGCGACGGAATGCGTCCTCGTCAAAGTCCACGTCGTCGTCGTCCAAGAACTCGTCGTCTCCCGTGCCCGTAAGCGCGTTGATGCCGCTCTGGAAAAAATCTCCAATGCCCCCGTGAGTTGGGTGCTTCCTGTGCGCGGACGGTGATGTTCCACGACTGTTGTTGAGATCCACATTCTCAAAGCCAGGACTCGTAGGGCCACCGATCTCTCGGCGCTTCTCCTGCCAGACACCGCGGCGGAGCTCGTGAACCTCGCTCTCGAGATCGCGCACCTTCTTCTCAAGACGGAGACGCTCTTCGTTTTCGAGCTCGTCAACACCATCATCATCCAGGCCGCCACCGCCCTCTGCTGACTTGCGGCTTCGTAGCCTGGTGTTTTCGCTTTCGAGGCTCTCAACACGGGCCTTGAGCTCGCTCACCTCCTTCTCCGCGCGTTCCTTCTCCTTGCGCAGGGTCTGAGTCCGCGAGTCCTGCTCCTTGTGCAACGTCGTCAGGGTCGTGACCTTTTTCTCGAAGCCGTCGGCCTTTTTCTCGGCATCGAGGCGGGCGGCAATGGCATCTGCGAGCTCGTGTTCAAGACTGCGGAGCTTCGTCTCGGCACTCGTACGCTCGCTGCCCTCACGGACAGCCTTCTCGGCGGTGCGATCGAGGTTCTTGCGCAGGTCAGTGAGCTCGCGCTGGGCTTGGCTGGCGGCCTTCTCTGAGCGCGCAAGCTTCTCTTCCAGCGCAGCGATCTGCTCGCGTTCAGAAGAGGTACCGCTAGCCTGACGGTCGACCTGGGCGCGCAACTTGGAGATCTCAATTTCCATCGTCTCGATGGTTGATGTCTTTGAAGCTAGCTGCGCCTCGAGCTCAGCCGGCGGCGATGACAGGGAGACAGATGGCGATGAGCCGTGGCGACCACCGGAGCGTGAGGCTTGTTGCTGCAGCTGTGAGTTTTGGCGCTGGAGAGCTTCAATCTCGGATTTCTTCGCTCAAGTAGATTAGCATAAAAAATCAAAATATGAAGCTGCATTGTAACACGTACCAGCTTCTCGACTTGTCCGTCTGAGCCCTTGCTCTCGCCTTCTGCCTCGCGGAGGTCTGCCAGCTCCTCCTCGACCTTCTTCCATCTCTTTTCTGAATCCGTGGCCTCCTTCGCAAGACGCTTGTTCTCCTTCTCTAGCTCTTCTATACGAGCGACATGCTTTCGATAGATGTCAGTCGCAGTTTCACCCTCAGGGTTTTGGGCGCCCGGCGACAGTGGACCAGTAGATACTGAGCCTTTCCTAAAGGAGGCTGATCTGAGCTTTGATTGTTGGGCCAGCGATGGCTGAGATGCGGTGGGGGATGCAGGCTGCTCTGTCACGGCCTCCGTCGACTCTGGCTCCTCTTTCTTTTCGTCTTCGTTCGCGGGGTCTGCCGGCGTGGTCGGTTCGGTCTCGGGTTCGGGCTCATCTGGCTTGGAAGCGCTGGGTTCGGTCGCTGCTGCCTCTTCCTTTTCTTTCTTAGAAGTTCCTCCGGCTTTCTTCGCCTTCTTCTTCTTCATCTCCTCCACCTAGCAAAGTGTGAACAGTGAGATAGTATATCAGGGCCTGGGCAAGCTTACCTTCTTCCTGGCCGCAGCCAGCTTCTCAGCCTTTGCCTTTGCGTCGGCGTCAGCCATGGTGTTTACGTGTCAATCGTGTGAGTTGTAGGTTGCTCAAAATGGGGGTTGTATTCCGAGGGAGCTCTCAAAGGGTCGTTAAAGAGCGTTGAGAGTTGGGAATGGAATGTATGGCTATCGCAAATTGGGTGGTTTGGTCTGCAGTAGCTTAGCTGTCCACTCGTGTCAGGAACAAGCCACATTCCATTGCTTGTAGCGGACAGGGGCACCCCCCAATGACGAACGCGTCCACAACTGCTTGGCGTCGTGGACGCTAGAGTTACAGGGGTTACCCTCTTATTGATTGAACGCTTCAACGATTGAACTCTAACAACAACCTTCCTCTTCAATGTGTGCAAAGAAGTCGCTGGTTTTGTAATTTAAATGCCGCCTCAACAACTATAGAGCTGTCAATTCCGAGAGTTATACTGTACGATTCGACAGTCGCGAGCGCCAAGCATTTGTCCTCGCTTGAGCGATCTACACCTACATCCCCACCAAGGACGTCTTTCAAGTAATCCTCGCAGTCTTCGTTCATGGCAATCTAGTCATTTCAGTCAATGACAGGTCATTCAGTGGAACATCAACAGCCGAGATGTCATTGACAGGGAGAAACCAGCGGACCCCCTTAAGGGTTGCTGCTAACATGAAGGTCCAGCGAACCACTTCCCCTGCACAGTTCTGGCCCACACGATGTGATTCAATGCGTTGGCGCCTTACATCTGCGCCGTAGAGCTCTAAGCGACCCAAATATTCTTTAGGCCAGACTTGATTGGCAACAGCCCTGTCGTTTCAGCTGCGCTGATGTCCAGCGTCTGCCGGCTAGAAGCCTGATATGGACGCAATATGCCCTTCGAGACAAAGTCTCCAGCACCGAGCCCCGGCCTGCCTAGCAGCCTACCTACGTAGCCAATCCACGTGGTAGCACAGCGAACAAGGGTGGTTTGCTCGTTAGGACGGCTGTTTGGCCCCCAGCAAAGCGACTTACCTCATTCAGGGTCATCGGAGCTGCTGCGGCAAAAGCCATCAGAGCTTTATGCAGCTCAATGGCCCAGAGTGTATAGGGAGGAGCTGACATAACCCCCAAACAATGCTCACCACACTCTCCTCCAACCTCCCAGCGCGCGCTGGAGGAGGACAACAACACAAGGTCGGTGGTAGGAGCCATGGGCCAGTGTGTATCGAGCGAAGGCAGCAGCACAACTGGCGCTGGTGTCAGTGCTAGTCAGCCTGAAGCCCGCTGTCAGGCACCTGGTTGCCAGAGGGCTACCGACCCAGCATCAAGATCGCGATACTGTATACAACATGCCGTGTGCAAGAAGCAGGGATGTACGAAGCCGCGATATCGTCGGGGTCCATATTGTCAAGAACACTTACGTGAGTGTTCCACTTGCCTGCTTCTTGGGGCCTGATTTCCTGACCCTGAAAACAGATACGTGTCGGACGTCTAGGTGTTTGAACGAGCAGGCCAAGGTTACTGATGTCTGGTTCACCAATAACCTGTGCCTCGTACATCAGCCGGAAGCCGTTCTCCAGACGTACTTCTACCAAGACGCTTCGAATCCCGAAGCAGTGTCGGGGGCAGAAGTGAATGGTCATCAACAGCGCACTCGCCGGCGCCGTTCACATCCAAAACCTAAACCAACCCCTACCTCGGTGCCTGAATCCCGCGACAGCTCTGGAGACTCTTCGTCTGAGTCAGGCGACGAAAATGCTATTGTGTCGGGCCATCAGTTGCCTGCAGTGATGCCTACGATAGAGAGAGATTTTGATGTTGAAGATGGCATTCTTCCCTCAATCATGAAGACATCGGAAGAGCACAGGGATGATATGCCCGCAACCCCTCGTCGAAGTCAGAAGACGGTCCACTTTGCAGACTCCCCTCAGCGACCCTCATCCCCTGAGAAGCGCTTTGTCGATACCACCAACACCGGGCCAAAGGAAACAACGAACCAGTCGTCGCCTCCTCTTCATTCCTCACGGCACCGCCGTCGTGTCGAGCACCGCCGCTCATCGCCAAGGATGTCGAGCAACTCTGTTGTCACAGCGGGTCATGGCCGCGAAAAACGACACACCCGTAGCGGGAGCGGTGGCAGCAGTAGCACCAGCAACGCCATAAAAACAGCCGACGTGAAGCGAACGACCAGGACAGGGGCTAACCGCTGACACAGGGCAGCAAAGATCCTAGGCATTGCGTCACAGCATAGCATAACCTACCAACACTCTAAAAAAAAAAATAAAAAAAAAAAAAAGCGTTTCCGTTATCATACGATGGCTTATTTTCCTATCATTTCGCTGCAACAGCCCTGTATCTGAGGTGGGGGTCGCAGCCCAAGATAAAGCCCTTGAGAAAAATTACAGTGTATTATTTCTCAACGGGCGGCAGAATCAGTTCCACCTTTTGGCGTCGGGCACGGCATTTGGCGGGGTAATGGCGGGGTACGGCGCGAACAGAGCGCTGCAAACTACTTACCTTCATGTCCGAATCACCCTCACCTTCTCACAAGCTTCTTCCTATTGTCTGTGTCACGTTGCTTCCAACCTCCCACTACTTTTCTTACAAACTCTCCCGAATCTGCCCTCCCCAAAAAGACATTTTCTGTCCAAAGACGTCCTCATTGACTCGTCGCACTATTGTCGTATACTAAAAGCCTTACCCACGCGTCATTACGAACGCACCAATACCAGTACTACCCGCGCATTGCCGCGCGCCCGCCCGCCCCAGCCTCCGCCCCCCGAGTCGACAATGGCTTCTCTCCCCTCCCAACATCCGTCGCTGGCTCTGCACCTCACAGACCGCGCACTCAACCCGATACTCACCTCCGCCCACTCCCAAACTCAACTCGAGGCCCTTACTTCCTTGACAACAGCATCCCTCACAGCTCATTCCGCAGCGAACCGCTTCTCTCTCGGCCCCGCCCAGCGCATCATTGTCGAGCACGGCCCTGGCAGTCCCGTTGTCTTGGCTTCCTTCCTCAATGGCGCAGATGCCCTGCCCAATGGCGGAGAGACCTCCGCTTCAGCTGCCGCCGCCGCCGCTGCGAAGAAGAACAACACACCTTCTGCCTCGAGGCCAGTCTCGTCGGGCGCGGCCACGGCCACAATACCGACAGCGGAGTCAGCGGTAGCCGCGAACGCAGCACGAGCGGACGCAACATCTCATACAGGCAAGCAGGGAGAGGACGCGGAGAACGCCGCGCCTATGCTTGTTGGGGTCGTCGTCGCAGCGACAGGCGAAGAGGCCATGGAAGCGCGTCGCGCCGCAGGCAGGCTTGAGAGGGTAGGCAGGGAATTCCAGCGGGAATGGGCTGCAGAAGAAGCAGCCGGCGACGTGGATGGCGGTGGTCAGTGATGGATGGGCATACCGCTCAGGGGGCAGGGCATTTCTCATTTAGTTGGTTTGTTTTGCATGTCTAGAACCTGCACAGCCAGCCATCCGCGAAAGCCGTCAAATCACGCACCTTACGTGCGTATATGTGTTGGGGGTATGCGGCCGGCACAGGGTGCCCGTAACGGCCAGCGTGTTCACGACATGACGCAATCTTGGACTAGTTGGTTGCCTGGCAAGCATTTGGCGTTGACGAGGACACGAGCAATGAGTCTATGGTCGTATGAGGATCCGGCATGGAACGAACCATCAGGGTCACAGGATAGGCGTTCAGGCAGTATGCGCGTTAATCATAATCTTTGATTTTGACGGTCTCTATATACCGAGCTCATTTTACCCGTAACGTCCATCATCGCGTAAAAAAATAAAAAGTCATCGCCAATTAACCAAATTCTACCCATTTATATAGCCGCTTTAAATGATCTGCTGGAAAGCACGGTTGACAGGAGAGCGAACGTTGGGAACGTTCTTCCAGAAGTCGACGGTGGCAGCCGCGCGCTTGGAGATACCCTCGGGGGTGAACTCGAACTTCTGTAGAAGTTGTTAGTACATGACATTGTTGTGGGGGAAAATGCGTGTGACTTGCCTTGTAAACGTCCTTGTAAGGACCAGAAGCACCGAAGCGGTTGATACCGAACTGCTCGTGAGAGAATCTCTCCCAGCCGAGAGTGCTCATGACCTCAACAGACATGATGGGGTGGCCATCAGGCAGGACAGAGAGCTTGTACTCCTTGGACTGGGCCTCGAAGACCTCAGTGCAGGGCATGGAGACAACACGGGCAGTGAGGTTGTACTTCTCCTTGAGGTACTTGACGGCGTCAATGCAGATGCAGACCTCAGAGCCGGTGGAGACGAGGGTGACATCGGCGTTCTCGGCCTCGTGCAAGACGTAACCACCCTTGATGGCCTTCTCGATGACGGAGCCCTCGAGCTGGGGCAGGTTCTGACGAGAGAGGGCAATGATGGAGGGGGTGTGCTTGGAGGTAAGGGCAACGTAGTAGGCAGCGCTGGTCTCGTTACCGTCGGCAGGGCGCCAGACCATGTTGTTGGGGAGGGCACGGAAGTGGGCAAGAGTCTCAATAGGCTGGTGAGTAGGGCCGTCCTCACCAAGACCAATAGAGTCGTGGGTAGCAACCCAGATGGCGCGGACCTGGGAGAGGGCGGTAAGACGGACGGCACCGGCGGCATAAGAGACGAAGTTAAGGAAAGTACCGCCGTAGGGCAGGATGGTGCCGTAGGCAGCCAGACCGTTCATGATGGCACCCATACCGTGCTCACGGACACCGTAGCGGATGTAGCGGCCAGAGTAATCACCGAGGCCAGTGGCGGGGGCCTGGAAGTCGACGGCGTTCTTCCAGCGGGTCAGGTTAGAGCCAGTCAAATCGGCAGAGCCACCAAGCAGCTCGGGAACAACGCTCTCAATCTTGCTGAGGACAGTCTCAGAGAGCTTGCGGGAAGCAATGGCGGGGTCGGCGGGGGTGTAGACGGGCAGAGCCTTCTCCCAGCCCTCGGGAAGCTCGCCAGAGAGACGGCGGACAAGGTCCTTGTGCTCGTTGGGGTACTTCTCAGCGTACTGCTGGAAGAGCTTGTTCCACTCCTGCTCAGCGGCGGCACCCTCAGCAGCGTGCTTGTTGTAGGCGTCGTAGACCTCCTGGGGAACGACGAAAGACTGCTCGGGGTTGAAGCCGAACTTCTCCTTGAGCTGCTTAATGTCATCGGCCTTGAGAGGAGAGCCGTGAACACCGTGAGTGCCCTGCTGGAGGGAACCGAAGCCAATGGTGGTGCGGAGCTTGATAAGAGTGGGCTTGTCCTTAGACTGCTGAGCCTTGGCGATAGCCTTCTCAATGCTGTCGAGGTCGTTGTCACCGTCGTCGACGGTCAGGACCTCCCAGCCGAAAGACTCGTAGCGCTTGGCGACATCCTCAGTGAAGGCGACGTTGGTGTCACCGTCAATGGAAATGTGGTTGTCATCCCAGATGGCAATCAGGTTGCCGAGCTGGAGGTGACCAGCGAGAGAAGAGGCCTCGCCGGAGACACCCTCCATCAAGCAGCCGTCACCGAGGAAGACGTATGTGTAGTTGTCGGAAAGGTTGAAGTTGTCCTTGTTGAAGGTGGCAGCGGTGTGGGCCTGAGCAATAGCCAGACCAACAGCGTTGGAGATACCCTGACCAAGAGGACCGGTGGTAACCTCAATACCGGGGGTGTCGTGAGCCTCGGGGTGACCGGGGGTGATGCTGTCCACCGTCTTTGGAAGGCGTAAGCAATTGAGCTGGGTTTTTTGATCACGAACGTTGCAAAATACTTACGCGGAACTTCTTCAGGTCATCGATAGAGACACCGTAGCCGAAGAGGTGGAGAAGAGCATACTGAAGCATGCAGCCGTGTCCGTTGCTGAAACAATTGGTTAGTTACATCTCCAGAATTATGAGTTTTCTCGAGTGTAAGAAGAGGGACTTACGAGAGGACAAAGCGATCACGGTTCAACCACTTGGGGTTCTTAGGGTTGAACTTCATGAACTTGTTGAACAGGACGTGGGCGACCGGCGCCATACCCCTAAAAATGAAAGTGTCAGTTTTCTGCTTGGGTCTTGCTCTGCTCGTAGCTCTCATAAAACACGGAGACTGCGGGAAATTACGTACATGGGCGCACCAGGGTGGCCGGAGTTGCTGTTGAAGGTGGCATCGACCTGCGAAGAGATCCAATGTCAGTAAGGTTTCAAACGGAGGTCTTCTAGCAATGAGGCTCTCGCGAGCTGCTCTCATCATGCCACCGACTGAAGGGGTACGGATGGCGGGGTAGAGACAAATCTCAACGGCAGCGGCGGGGTAAAATTTGGCGGGCAGGTGAGACTCACAGCAAGCAGGCGGATCGTGTTGATCGCCTTCCAGTCAAGTTCGGTGTAACCCATGATGTCTGATTTCTTTGTTCTTCCGAAAAGACAAGCTTGGTCAAGGAAGAGAAGATGGATGGAAGAAGGAAAAAAAGATGAGAGGCGGCGGGAGGGAAAATAAAAAGGAAGCCAGGGGAGGAGGGAAGGGGAGAGGCGGTGGTATGTGTATGTTTGGCCGCAAGGTAATTATTGAGCATCTGTGGGGACCTGACGTGGGAGTGGACATGGAGGGGACAGGTACATTCATGGAGGGGATGGAGGGGCAGACGGGCAGACCACTGACGCCGCACCTCACACCAAACGAGACGGCCACTGAGAGAAGGGAGGAGGTCAAAGGTCACCACACCGTGGGATACTTGGGGGGGTTACACTACAGCAGCTATTCGGTAAAATTCCAGCTGTTCTTTCTCGTGCGAAGGAATGTACTCCGGTAAATGCATTCGCTGAGTAAGGTACCCAAACTTGCGGCTGCACAAGGTGAGGAAGGTGAAGTGCCTGCTCATGCTCATGCTCATCGACTTACCTTACCTAGTGTAGCCCAGAAGTTAAGCTTTACCCATAGCATTGGGAAGATGGATTCAGTAAGAGCAAGAGGTACTTTCCGCCAACAGCTAGCGCCGTACTCGGCCCAAGTACCTCCAGCTGTCGGCGGCATGTCCGGCCCAGTGCCGCGTCCCCCAACTCGCCCAGTTGCACCTTACTCTTTCTGCTCCCAATCTCCCGGCTCAAGCCAATATTCCCAGGGCCAGCAACAGCCGGTATCATCCAAAAGTCACGCAAACTCATCACCACACACTATACCGGTACAAAGTCCCAATCCTGATACAGTCTTTCACATGAGAAGTGGGGGTACACTTCTGACAATTTTTTTATCGCTTCCCCAATTTTCCGGTCTTGTCCCTGGCCGGCCTGACGAGCAGTGCAGGCTTCAGCTCGTCTCAACCATCGAGAGAGCTGTGGACTGACATGCCTGGTTGCGTCGACTTGTCCCATTTGCTGCCAGCTCTTGCCCCTCTCAGTGGCTGGCCCAGCCCACCGCCAGCGTTCCTCGTCCTTACATTGGTGGCTTTCCATGCCCAGAGGTACACTCCCGGCCGCCTCCAAAGCTGCACTTCGCGCCGACGACTGCAATTCACCCGGTAACCCCTGGGAGGCAAAAATGCCCGGCGAGCTGTTGCTCAACCTCTCATTGTTGGCTCCCTTCGCCGAGTCCCCCGTCCGTCCCGACGTCGGTCTGGTGCCTCGCTAGGTAATCCCCCCTCGACGAATCATACCGCTTTGGACCGTTTGATCAACCTCTGGTCAACGGCTCAGTCAGCAACCACTAGACTTATCACAATTTTTTTGGTGACGTCTTTTCTACAACCACAAGAGTCAGGTCCCCTTGATGAGGTTCAGTTGATACCACTGTTGACTCGTGCGAACTACAATACGGCCTTGATGGATGATGATCCAGAAAACTGTCGTCATAATGCCCACAACGCTTCACAGGTTTGCCTGGGTCCCTTTCGGTATCTGGCCTCACTGCGTAACTTCGGCGTCTCCTTGACTAATCCGTGGAGACCTCTGGAGATGGCTGGATCGCCAGTATCATCTCTCCTTGGGTATCTCCGACCCACACTGGAGTCTTCAAGGCCGATGCCCCTCCTCTACCCGCCAGTAGGCTCGGTCTATTTATTCACTCATGATACTGCCTCGTCGGCCATAGGCCCATAAACCACCGGACTTTAAGCCTCGTCCAAGCAGCACTGTCGCGCAGGGAGAGCCAAGCGCCGAAAATACCCTCCTACTAGGTTTCTCCTGGGCCTCTTGTTGCGACCTGGCCTCGCTCGCGCGGTTTCAAGCCGGCCACGCGGATAAGCTCTGGCCCTCCCCCCCTCCTTGTTTCCCACCTGGCGCCCCCGGTCGAATCTCGTGCTGAGATTCAGTCATGTCAGTGGACCCTGACTGCATAATGACACCTTCGTGTCCCTCCTTGAGCCTTGACCCCTCTGAAATTTTTCTGATTTGAGGCCACAGCCTTCCTTCACTGAGGGATTGCCCCTCCAACGACCCCTCCATTGTGGCGTCGCCTTGTGTCGAAGATGCGCGACAACCGTGGCATGGCCAAGAATGAGAGTAAATACTGAGTCGATGGAAAACTCAGTTATGCAACTAGATAGGAAGTGATCAGAAACCCAGCATTTCTACTCTGTACCAAAATTCCACATTGGAAATAAAGGTAACTGCCACCGGCGCATGCAACGAGGGAAATCCCAAACTTCGGCGTGTATCAGAACGCGGAACTCGGGGGCGGTCGAATGCAAGCCGTGAGACCCGCGATTTCATGAGGGCCCTTTCAACCTTTTTTCCCCCATCGCCTCTTCAAAAAGGCTGAGACTCTCAACAGCTGCTCCGGAGCCGGTGAGCACGGGCCATCCGTCTGGGATACATCTAGTTTCGTATTTATCCGCACAAATCAAGGCGGCCACCGGGCCCAAGCTCCAGCTTCCCTGCGGATGACATCAAGCCTCTCCACCCGCATATCCGCCACCAAGCGGCGTGTATCCGTTGATGGGTTGAGATTTAGCGGAAGAAGATGCGAAAAAGTCTTCAGTTCGGGTTAACATGTCGAGACAACATTCAATCGTCTCATCTTAGCAGATTGCGGCTAGGCTCTGAAATTCAGATGAGTTCCAGCCAATATGCGCTTGGAGGAATGCCCCTGTGCTGAGATGAGCCTCAGCTGGGTCGCTTGCTGAAGCCCGCTGGCCACTAACTGCGTTCTTGGCCGCGAATTCAATTTTGGAGTATTACCTAGTCTGGGTAATTTCAAGCCATCTCATTTTTTTATCATATTCTGTACGGTGATGATGTGTAATGCGAAGGCTCACTCGCGCTCAGCTGTGAAAATGGGTTTTATGACCTTCTTAGTGTGAGGTGACTAGCGACGAGTGAGAGAGAAGCAGGCTATGTGGACCCAGCCCGATTGAGTTTTTGCAACCACAAAGTGATACTGCAACCTCAAAAGATAATCTCACGACAGTCCGAAGCCAATTCATCCTGTGCATTGACGAGCTTATTTGAGCCTCAATTCAAGCTCACCGTTCACCGCGGGCACGTCTGTTCGTCGCTTCTTTCGGAGCTGTTCCGCTCTTTTACCCCGCCATCCAGAAAAATACCCCTCCTCACAGTCGACCACTTCCACAACCACGTGAATATCAAAACCAAACAAGGCAAGATGGGCAAGAAGCCGGATCCAAAACCCCCCAAACAACAGAAGAAGCCGAAGCCGAAGCCCCAATCTTCCAAACCCAAACACCAACAGCCTTCTGCTTCCGAGGAACCAGCCCCGGCGTTGCCCCTCCCCCTCCAACAATGTCTCCTTACGACGTTTAACACGGCCTTCTCCCCTGTCCTCATCTCCGACTCCTTCCAGGCCCTCCTTCAAGAAGTGAAAGCAGCTCTCTACGCCCGCGATTTTGAGGCCGCCTTCGCCCAAGCCCGGCCGGAGTCGCTGGACGCCTACGCCGCCCGTTGGAGCCCCACCCGTGCGTTGGGGTACGCCTCCATCCTGCTCGACATCGGCGAGCATCTGGCGGAGGACGTTTGCCGGCCTGTCTCGGATGCCGACGGAGCTAATTCCGGTGGGGATGCCGACAGCGAGGATGCCGCTTCGGCCGGGGACGCGCAGAGGCATATCAAGATGGTGTCGATAGGGGGCGGCGCAGCCGAGATTGTCGCCTTCGCAGCGTATCTCTCCCCGAACCCCTCCGTAAAGGGGTCCATCACTCTACTCGACTCAGCGCCCTGGTCTTCGGTCATCACGAAGCTCCATGATGCCCTGACGACGCCTCCTCCCCTCTCAAAATATGCCAGCGCAGCTGCCAAGGCCTCTAACACGGCCCTCATACCGCAATCCCACCTGTCTTCGGCATTCGCACAGCAAGACGTTCTCAACATGTCACGGGAACAGCTCTCTGAAACGCTGGGGAAAGACGCATTACTGGTTACATTACTATTCACACTCAATGAGCTCTACACCTTGGCCGGTATCGGCAAGACCACCACCTTCCTGTTAAACCTAACCGCCACCATTCCCTCAGGATCTCTATTATTAGTTGTTGATAGCCCAGGAAGCTACTCTGAAACTGCCGTGGGTAAGGAGTCGAAGAAGTACCCCATGCAGTGGCTACTGGACCATACTCTTATCAAAGACGAACCTGTAGAGGGTTGCCAATGGGAGAAGCTCGAGTCGCACGACTCCATCTGGTTCCGTCTCGACGACTCCCTTACCTACCCCATTCCTTTGGAAAACATGCGCTACCAAATGCATTTGTATCGCGCCACGAGGCCCTGAACGCCGGAAAAGTCTATCTGCACACATCGATGCTTTATGCCCATACGAGTCTCTTCAACGAGTAGCTTATGTGGTCCAAGAAACCAGTACTCTGTCTTGCTTCTTCCAAGGAGATAATGTCACCCTTCTCGATGATGCTCTCGGTACCCGGCTTCTCTTTGCCAGGCTGGCTTAGAAACGCGAGACGTTCTATCTCCGCGCAAATGCTCACAACTTGTTGAATCTCGCTCATCTTGGGTCCATCGCCGGTGACTGCGGCGGAAGACTGAGAATAGGGGGCCTTAAAAGCAACCCTCCGCACCGGAGAACCTTTGGGACGTCCACCAAGCAGATTGCTTAGGGCAGATTGGGCAGGCTGGGCGGAATGGGGGTGTTGATGCTCCTCCGATTGGCTCGAACGCTCCGTCTTGTTGCGCTTCACACCCATGTTGGAGAGCGTTCTAGTATTAGTCCTGGTAATATCGTTCTTGCCCGGTTGGTACGACACCACGAAGCCTACGTTCTTCGTTTCATCCGTTTGTCCAGGGGAGACAGTCGAAATGATGTATGTGCCGAACTTGATGCCGACGACGTGCGCCAGGTCTATGCGCTCAAAGGACGATACTTTATCCAGATTCCAGTCGAACCGGCATAGGTAAAGGGCGGCGTCGGTCAGAAGCAAAACCACTTCCTCAAAGGGGAGCGACTTAAGATTATCGGACGTATGCGGGCTGAAAAGAACCCAGCCGCCCATGAACTCTTCACTCTCATCGGATATGACACGTTTCTGGGAAAGTTCGATAGCTTGCTCCCTCATATTCAAGATGGAGACAGCAGGATCTTTTGTCATCATCTCGGCTTCGAACTCTTGAAACACCATAGAGTTGACATTCCCGAGCAGGAAATCGATAGCGGCTTGGCTGAAATAGTCATTGACCATTCTAATGTATGTTAGCAGATAGAGCCGATATCGGGTCAATAGCCTCTTACCCGTTATAGAATCGCGTAAGTGAAAGGCCAAGATCATTCAAAGTTCCGCCAAGATTGCGCTTTTTTGTCCTCGTGTAGTCGCCCTTCATAGCGGCTGTAGACGCATACTGCTTCGAAACGGCGTCTCCATTGTCTGCCCAAAGCGTGTTGAACCATGACGTCTGCTGGTCAACTTGAGCACTAAGGTCAAACCCTTCCGCTTTAAGCTGTGCCTCTAACATGTATTTTCCAAATGAACTCTGACAGACATTCGTCCTGTCGAGACAATCCATGCAGTTAGTGCGCAGAACACCTTGCTGTTGTTCCAAAATACTGCCTCCCTCTTCAACAGTGCTTCCGAAGCTTTCCAGCTTGTCGCGAAGCGTATCCAGGAGTAGGCTGACATTTTCAAACTTCATTCCGCGGCACGCCGAATGGAAATCAAACCACTCGAACGGAACTGCCACGTCTTGGCCAGCGAACACTTCTTCGTTCAGTTTCTGAACTGTCTGTTCGTACTGATTCCCAACCGTTGCCTCGACACCATGCTTTTCTACCAAGTTGACAATCTGCAAGCCTCCATATTCCACCTTCAAGCGTTCAAAATGCTTCTTTGTTGCTGCGTAATTTGCTTCTGGCGAATGCTGGATCAAAGGCGCGGGCTTCAGAGAATATGGCGATTGCGTAAAGAACAAAGGGATACTGCCACGAATTTGAAGAAACGAGTAAATCTTCGAAGACTTTGCCCAAGAAGAGTCGGATAAGATCTGTTCCGTTTCGACTGCGTTCGCAACATAGCCTTGCTCGTCAATGCCTCGCCTAAGATATCGCAAACCAGCTCTCCGTGTAGACCGGCGAGAGATTATAGTCAAGAGGAACTTCTTTTCAGTAGAACGAAGATCGATTGAGCTCCGAACGGTTTCTGATGGCGGCGACGCTGGTTCGGAATTAGGCTGCCGGAACGCCGACATTTCTACTGAGTCTCCAAGGCCGTCGTCAGTCTGAGGGGGGGAGCTGTCTACTACGAACTGCCTTTGGCCGACGAAACCCTGCATCAAGGGTAGCAACAGAGACTCTTCTCCTGCCTCTATGAAAGGCTTCAGAGTATTCTTATTCCAGAAGAACACAGGATCGACACGATTGTGCAGAGGCACATCGTTGGATTGAGATTTGGAGCGGCTCGCCCAGTGGCGTGTGATGTCGATGTCATACGAGAAAAAGAAGCTTCTCGATGAGCCGAAGAGGATTTGGGTTGTTCTTAAAAGCTTGGGGAGCAAGGTAGACGCCGGCACTGGTTCGTCGGAATCGTCTATGGCCGACGCTGAAGCCGAGTTCGTCGAAGTGCCAGCTTGGTCGATGGAGCCCCGGGTCTGATCCGCCGTGCCGCTCCAGCCAGCTGTTCTTTTCCGATCTTGCGTCCAACCACTCCTACTGAACCATCTTTGTGCAAACCTTCCATAGCTTCCTCTCCTGCCGATCACATCTTTTGCGACGGTACTTTTAACGGGTTCAGGCCCCTGCTTGGTATCTGTGGCGGGATCTTCAACTTCGTCACCACTTGCGGGAAGCTCGACGTAGTCATCGCTGTCGCTATCTTCGGCAGTATTATCTACTTTACTCTCCTGCAATTGTAGTGCGGTCTGCGCGATAGCGTCGCTGGCGTCCTTTCGGGAGGCACATGGAGTGACGGCAACCTCGGTCACAACGTAGATTGGGTAGCCACAGATTTGAGCGACCTGCTGTCGCCTAGTGATCGTGATTAAATAACTAAGCTTCGAGACTGTGATCAATCCTGTTTATTGCGCTCCATGGTCAGCTTCGGGTTTGTGCAACTGGGACTCGGGGTTCATGCCTATAACTCCGAAAGCCTCAAAAGAGGAATGTGGCTGGGAAAGATCGGGAATCTGCTCTCGAGAAGCAGGTGTTATAGCTGCGTCACCGTATTTAATCCTAACCGGCTGCGCAGGGCGTTGTCCCTTTGTTACGAATGGCTGGATTATTAGGCCGTCAACAGCAGCACAGATGATAACCTTGCGTGCGATACCGGCCATTTTGCAATCCCCAGCCACAGGGCGACGTACGCGCCAAAATATGACAGCAGTTTCTGTTCAATGAGAAGTCGGAGCGATCCAAGCTATTAAAAATTGCCATAAAAAGACATGGGCGATTTACGAAGTTGCAGTCCGGATGTTCAAACATTAGCAGTGTTGAGGGGTGAGCACCCGAGAGAGGATGGGTCGTTTTGGCACTGGGAACTGCTGATGATGTCGCCAAAATCAAATATGTAGCTATGACATGGGTGGGCCGCGGGGTAACGTCAGACTGCAGTTTCCCAGCGCAAGGTCAGGTCACGCCCGAGACGCTGGCACGGTGAGTGGCCCGTTCGATTCATACAGCGCTCTGCTTTCACTGGGCTAGGCCGATGCTGCAATATCATTCGCTCAGAGGCTTCAGCACATCTCGAATGTCTACCAAATAATTCTTCAGCTGAGCAGTTAGGCGCACACATCCCTCCAAGCTGTCCTGTTAGCTCGTTTCGACTTGTGTGCCTCCCTTTATCCGCATTACTTCTAGATATTGCATTATGGGGATGGATTCATTTTTTCCTGACGATCTCGATTGACGGTTTGAGGTATATACTACATACAAAAATAGTGTAGAGCCCCCATGAAAAACTAGTCGACGCCTGTCAACAATTGACGCTGTATTTCAAGCATTTAGGCAATCGCAGTCTAACACAAAACCGAAAACTTCGAAAAAACTTCCATTTATCCAAGCCGCTGTTGCCCGTGTTTTGCTCCAACGAGTCAATGGCGGCTGTGAATCTCGCCCAATATCCTCACGTATGGCTGTCTTAGATCGCGAGTCTCTCGACCTTGTCCCTGAGAGCACGGATAGGACCGGCAAGCTCACTGCCCTCGTTGGAGGTAATGCTGGCAGCAATGACAGCGCGAGAGACACCGCAGGCACGGCCGAGGGCGGTCTTGGACTTGACGTAGACGTAGGGGACGTTCTTGTCCTCAGCCAGGAGAGGCAGGTGGAGAACAATGCTGAGAGGGTTCGTGTCGGCGGCGAGAACAACAAGCTCGGAAACACCACGGTTGAGGGTCTTGGTGGCCTCGTTGGCTAGAAGATGAAGACATCAGTGGTTGAACAGGAGGGAAAGGCTGGAGCTAATTTTCATAGTTCAAGAGCGAAAAATAACTCAGGAGATTGACTTACCGCCCTTCTTCAGCTGGCGGTAGTGCTGGCACTGCTGGACCATGTCCAGGATCTCCTGCTGGAGAGCATCATCGGCCAAGGGCCAGGCAGCGGACTCAGACATTGTTGGGGAAATGGGTGTCGAGGGATGTCTGTAGAGAAAGTCAGATACTGTTAACAAAGATAAGACTGTCTAGTAAGTGAGGCTACATACCAGTAAAGTAAAAAGGCAGGGTTCCTTGCGGTGGCTCGCCCTGGTAGTGAGGTCGAAATTCGTGGTGAACGCGAAGATCCAAAACTTTTTTTTCAGAAGCCAAAGAGAAAAAAAAATCCCACCTTCCCCAAGTACAGCGGCACTTTCCGTTGGGTAGTGGGCCTGGCCAGCAAGCGAAGGTGGGCCTTTTCGGATGATCTGAATCACCGAGAACCGTTCCCTCAGGTCTCTCAAGTCTTACGTAAGTGCACGGAGCTGTCAACGCGCCGCAAAACCTTGCAACCAACCAGAAGGCCAACCTGGAAACGAGATCTTAACAAGCACACCTCATCTCGAGCCGCCGCAACAGCAGTCGAACCTCGCCGCCTCAACCAGCCATCACCACAATCGCCCTCGCCATACCCGTCGCCCGTATCTCCACAACCTTTCGATACCCTCAAACTTCTTCTTTTGACTAGTTCTTTTTTGAAGCCAATTAACGCCGCCAAGATGCCTTCCGAACTCTGGTACGTCAACAACAAAGCCCGTGTTGCCCCCGTCCCACGACAGCTCCCTATCCATCATCAGGAGCTCCCAACTCCATCCATCTCGGGGCCCAATCCCCCCATCTAACTTGTCGATGTCTTTTCAATGCTCTTATGCTAATGCGATCATGTCACAGCCCCGTCTATTCGGTTCGTCATCCCTGTACATCCCGAGTCTACCATCCATGACGTCGTCTTTCCCCCCTTCTCTCGAATGAGCCATTTGGGCATCACCTCGGCATCGCGTCCAGCGACCATAGCTAACTTGCTCATAGCCCTTCTTTGGTGTCATGGGCTGCACCGTTTCCATCGTCTTCACCTGCCTGGGTGCCTCCTATGGTACCGCGAAGTCCGGTGTCGGTATCTCGGCTATGGGTGTTCTGCGCCCTGACCTGATCGTCAAGAGTACGCGAAACCGAATCCATCGAAAGACCACACGCGATGCGGTCTGGAACCTAGACTGTTGCTAATGAATGCATGACAGACATTGTTCCCGTCATTATGGCTGGTATCATTGCCATCTACGGTCTCGTTGTGTCCGTGCTTATTTCCGACGGCCTCAGCCAATCGATGTCCCTTTATGCTGGTTTCATCCAGTTCGGTGCTGGTCTTTCTGTCGGTCTCGCTGGTCTTGCTGCTGGCTTCGCCATCGGTATTGTCGGTGATGCTGGTGTCCGAGGAACTGCGCAACAGCCTCGTCTCTTCGTTGGCATGATTCTGATTCTCATTTTCGCTGAAGTTTTGGGTATGTTTGCCTTTGCCCACTGCGCATTTTAAGATAACTGGCTGACAATTTTGTTCCAGGTCTTTACGGCTTGATTGTCGCCCTTCTCATGAACTCCAAGGCCACCCAAGATGTTACCTGCTAAACGACAAACCCAACGACAAAGATGCTCGGTTGAACGGTTGACAAGATGTACTTAAGCCACAACCAGCACGGGCACGAATTTGCCACATTATGGGGCAAAGACAAGATCATCATCAGCGGGCGCGTCAAATACTCAAATCAACTCAAAGTTTAGCGGCATAGGCGTGGAATACGGTCAAAAATCACGAAATGCCAATGTTTTGTTTGGTCGGTCGAGGATTGTCCTCGATCAGGGATCGAACGTATATGTACGATTGTGCCATCACAGGTATGCTATCCATTTCTGGGGGGCGGTTGCTCAGCATAGACATCGGTGGTGGGGATGGAAATGTAGTCTAGGTTGCGATAATGCTTTCTTGCGTCTACTTATCATACTTGTTCCCTATGTGATCTGTTTCAGTACCGAATAACTTCCAAGTTGACATGATGCTTTTGAGTGAAAGGCTCAGTCCCCTTTTACGGTTCACAAAGTTTTGTGTTCGAAATGAAAGGTTACACATCCTTGGGAACCAGCGAGTTAACCATACTTGATTTTCATACCATCATAAGGGACTGTGTGTGTTATCCGTCAGTCAGATTTTAGAAAGGTCTGGGGAACTGCCAGGCCAATAGGCAACGATCGCAAACAACAGTAACGGAGAGGTCTTGTCTCCATGGGAAAAGAGTATGTGGAAAGTGATGGCCCGCCTGGAGAAGATTTGATAAGAAAGGAAAGGCACAAGAAGTGAGACCATCAAGCTCGACTGAAGATATGGAAGGGTGTTGATCGTGGCAACCGTCTTCCGCCCAACCAATTCTCACAATAGTTCGCTCGTTTGTTTATTGCGCTCAGGCAAGCAGTGACCACGCAAACTACATGAGGAAGAGATAAGGGAAAATGAGCCATATCTTTGGAATAAGCTCAGTCCAATACGTCGCCAAGAAGCCTTGTGCTGCGTAAACTGAACAGCCGGTGTTTACACAATGCCAGCGAAGGCCTATGCATCGCACCGCACCATTGTACCTCAAATTTTAAAGAGTCAAAGGAGCCGAGATGCATGCAAGACCAGTCCTCCGAGATCAGACGGATCAGAGACCTATCTTTCTCCACACATCTGATAGCCGACTCATATGTAGTCTTCGGTCAGTCACAAAAGGAAGGCTATCTTTTTTCATATCGTTTTTGAACATCACGATGAGAAAGTGTACAGTGGGAGTCTGTCTTAAAACAGTGTATTGCAGCGTGAGATCCATTAGCGATCCATCATAAAGAACGTTTCATTTCGCATTTATTTCCCACCAAAAGGCAGCCCCCTTATCAACCATTTCATGGCGTGAAGATCTGGTGGTGTTCAGATCACAAGGCATCCGCTGACGCAGACCTATGTATTCAACCAGACCCTTGCTTACAATGCTTTAAGCGTTGCATTCGCTCCACAGAGGGCTGGCTGAGCTTCTTCAGGTACTTTAGGGCTTCGCATCGGACGCTGACTCTCCAGCAGAACTTTCCTTCTTCGGGATCAAACTCCTAAGTGAAAGATCGTAGACAACATCCTCAACTCGCTTGACGTCGTACTTCACTGCATCCACACGCTTCCTAAGAATGTCGTTTTTGAGGTTGAGGAGCTGGAATCCGGCGAACAGATCCTTGACAAAGCTGCTAATTTCAACGGGCATGGAAAAGTCACCCAAGGTGACGGCGTTGGTGGCGAGACGTGAGAGTTCTTGAGTCAGGTCGGTGAGGGCAAGGAGATACTCCTCGATGGTCAGGTGGAAGGCGTCACGGTCCTTAAGGTTGACGGGCACTGTAATATGATGAGCTCTGTGTGTAAAGAGTATTAAAGCGGTCGCCTAAAATGCAGATGTTACGTACCCTTGAAGATCTCACCAACCTCCTCAAGAGTCAGCAGACGAGCGACTGGACCAGGCTGACCGTCAGAGGTAAGGCCACCGAGCCAACCGCACAACAGGACGGTGAAAATGGCGTTCTGAACCTGGCGATTCCACTTCTGGTTGTACCTATAAAAGTTAATATATGGCGTCCAAAGCAGATGATGTGGAGGCCTACTTGTAGTAGGGGTGCTTGGAGGCGATCTCCTGCAGCTCACCAATGACCTCAACCTCCTTCTGGATGCCGGCCTGTACGTCCGTCAACAAAGAGCCATCTGGTTGCAGCACACGTTAGCCTTTGCTCTTCTCTTGATGGATTAAGTGCATTTCAATATGCCTAGCGTCGCATGTGCCTGACAGGTGAGGACTCACACTGCTCACGCGGAGTGGCGTGGACTCGAGAAAGAAGGCCCTGAACGTAGGAGATGGCCCTGTCCAACTTCTGGATCGTCTGGCTCATCTGATCACGAACTTGCTGGTCCTCATCAATCTTGTTTTTGAGATGCTCGAAGATCTGAGGGTCCAGCAGACGGGAGGCGGGGACTTCGCCCATGCTGGTGTCGTTATCCATGGCTGGCAGAACTGAGCGAATGCTGCGAGGCTTTAACGCTGCAGAGAAGTGTGAGTAACAGTGGATAGTGGAATGGGAATCACAAAACAAGGACAACGGCGGCCGATGGCAGAGAGAAGTGGAAGGCCAGAATGGGGGATGAAGATACACGGGTGAAGGTTATAGCTGCTGCAGAACGTATATGTTCTGCCCCGCGATTCGCACCTTTTTTTTAGGGCGGTGTCGCACTGGAGGGGTAGACGCAAAAATCAGAGTTTTACTTACCTGGCAAAGACGGCAGCTCTAGTTGACGCAACAAAACAAGCACAATCTCAAGATATCAGCGGAGTCCAGGACTTTAATACAATCAAGAAGTACGTGATGTGAACTTTTGAAGGATGTCAGGAAAATCGTGCAAGGATCCGCAGGCGGTCATAGTCGAATTGAGGGCCGGAAAACTGACAGGGATCATCAAATGCGGCTCAAACTGACATCACGTTCCTAGCAACGTCTCAGCGACGCATATATCCGTATCACGGGGTGTGATGAACAAGTCTTCTTCGCAAGCCTAGCAAAGCTAGACAAAGCAATGAAGATCATGAATTGCGTCTCCTGGAGGCAGTGTAATACCAGGGACACGGCGGAAGAAGGCGTACAGCGAGCTGCAGAGGCCTCTCCCAAAGATCAAAAATAAGAATAATCACGATTGATCTCCATGGAGATCTTTCAGGGATTAAACTGAAAAGAACAGATACTACACTTGATCTAAGCCAAAAGGCAAAGAGAAGGTAGAGAGAAAAAGAGAAAACATCTAAAAGTAGCAGTGGGTGGGAGCAATTAAATACCTTTTTCTAGGTGGTCTGTGCATGGGCTCCAATCACTTGGGATAGTGCTACAGGCAGCACTGAGGCCAATTTTCAGCAGGCAAGAACGTACATGAATGTGAGCTGCCTAATCATTGTGTTCAACACCTTTCGTTTTACTGGAGGTTTTTCCGTCGTTACTTTTAAGACGGAAGGCACACCCAGCCAACCTGTTGACTATTTCCGTTTACGTGAGTAGTTGGCTTACGGTTCCAGGGCATTCTCTGGTCATTTGGGAAGCTATCCTGCCCCATTTGTGCACTTGTCGCCCTGTAGGTGAGTCGGTAGGCTTCAAAGTCGTAACGTCAGCAAGGGTATGGTCCTCCAACCAGTGACGTGGATGCTGTTTGACGCCTAACTTGTTGACACGAAACGAATATACAATCGGCTCACGCCAAAACGTATACTTGGTCACATTTGTAACCACTGTTACCTACCCACCAATACAGGTTGTCTGAAGTGGTGGCATGTTTCCTTGTGCCTCTTAATATTGGTATATCCATAGCCTGGTTAGATGTGACTCTAGACAGCACAGCAGAGGTACTCTCATTGCTGATGACCTTGTGTTAGTCAACTATACCGACGGCCATTTAATTGCACCTTATAGTTATTTTGACAATTCCTAATCTCACTAGCACATATCCGTGCGATTGACAGTAGTGAGTACCGCGCCCAACACGCCCACCCCTTCCAGGATGAAGCTTCGGAACCTGCAGTGGATTGATACAAGAGGACTTTGCGAAACAAATTCAACTCGTCTTCAAGGGGAACCCCGTCAACATCGTCATCGTCAAACAGGCATCCTTACCGGGCTGCGGACATACGGCATTTTCAACAACCGAATGATGACCTTGTCAAAGTCCGAGATTTCAATGATCTTATAGGACCCGGAATGCATGATATGCAGGTTTCGTCTAACAAAGACTGGGGGACTTTGATTACCGGAACCCATGTGGTAGCAAATGAGGGTGACAGCGTAAATCTCGGACTACAGCTGCAAGCTTCGTCTAGCAGCGGGGTCACCAACATGAATCCCAATTGAAGCAAAATCAAGCTTCTTATTGGTCTTTGAGCTAGACGAAGCCTGCATATGCGGGTCCCTGCGACCCATGAGCCTCCCGAGACGGTTAGAGTAAGTACATCCAATTGCTAGGGCTACACGCACAAACCGAAGTACCTCTAATTTCAACTCTATTCGTGACCCTTGACTACCAGCAGAAAGGGGCAAACACAAATGTCAACAAAATTTTGAGAAAGCAGGAACCAGGGCCCAATCGAGTCCGAGGACACGCTGCGATTTTTTGACTTGCCGTCCCCAAGTCTAACTTCCCGTCCTGCACGCCACCTTTGACGCCCTTGTGCTCGCCTGGTCGTACTCGGATTCCCGTGCAGACCGCCTCCGCTGCCTCCCTCCCATGCCTCACACGACATCTCATTGTCGCTAACAATCCGAATTGATCCTCGAACCCCGGCCGGCTGCGCTGAAAGATCCACGACCGTCACACGGACTTGGTTCAGCTACACGAGAGGTGCATGACCCCACGTTGAGCTTTTCTTTTATAGATATAAAAAGCTTTCAAGATGACGGGTCGATATTCGCTGCGCCAGACTCCCAGGTTAGTCAACAATCACTTTTAAAGTCTTTCCTTCATTAGTAAAACCGATTCAACTTTTGGCAATCACGCCACACGTCGCAAGCCAACCACGAGCGCGGACAATTATTCGACACACTGCCCAGGAGGCTTCCTCCGCAAACCAGCTAGCTAAGTAATTGAATAGGAAGAAGGAGCTCTTTGAGGGTATGGTTGAGACCCCTCGACGTGTTTCCTCTCGACGCAAATCCCCCGAGAACGAGCCCACCGCAGACACTTCCGAGTCCAAAATGGCGTCCCGTACTCCTCGTCGACGTGCCACGGGAAAGTTCCGTGAGGAGCTCGATGACGAGCCTATCGCCAATGGCAACACCAAGGTCGAGGAGCCTGTGGCCAACGGTCACTCCAATGGTCATGCCAATGGACACGCCAACGGACATGTGAAGGAGAAGCCTGCTGTCAATGGCCACGCTACCAACGGACATGTGAAGGAGGTGAAGGCTGAATTGCCGACCAACGGCCACGCTACTCCTACTAAGGAGGACACTGAGCGTGTCTACAAGGACGGCGAAATTATTGACGGTTGGAAGGTTGGCACCGATCCCAAGATTGATGCGTCAGGCGAGTTCGAGTTTGGTGGCAGCCTTGGCACACTCTCGCTCATGATTGGCTTTCCTCTTTTGATGTGGTACATGTGGATTGGAGCCACCTACTACGATGGCAAGCTGCCGACACGTGAGGAAGGCCAAAGTTGGGGAGAGTTCGGTCGCCATCTTGTTGACCTTGTCTACACTGGCGCATTCCCCTCTTTCCGTGCGTGGCGCATCTACTGGACCTTCTTCATCTTCGAAGGCACATGCTATTGCCTCTTGCCTGGCGTCTGGGCTTGGGGCAAGCCTCTGGCTCACGAGGGAGGCAAGCAGCTGAAGTACTTCTGCAACGCCTACGCTAGTTTCTACTTCACCATTGCGGTCATGGCTGTACTTCACTTCAGTGGGCTTTTCCCCATCTACACCTTTATTGATGAGTTTGGGCCCCTGATGTCTGTGGCTATCTTGAGCGGCTTCTTGGTTGCCTTTGTTGCCTACTTCTCTGCTCTGCTGAGAGGCGCTCAACATCGCATGACCGGCTACCCGATCTACGACTTCTTCCTCGGCGCTGAGCTGAACCCTCGCATGTTTGGTATCTTGGACTTCAAGATGTTCTTCGAAGTTCGCATTCCTTGGTTCATCCTGTTCGGTCTCAGCTGCGGTGCCGCTGCTCGCCAGTATGAGAGATACGGATATGTTTCCGGCGAAGTGCTCTTCCTGGTCATGGCTCACTACCTCTACGCTAACGCCTGTGCGAAGGCGGAGCAGCTCATTGTGCCAACCTGGTAAGTCATCTTGATATCTCGGAAACACAAGTTTAGCTAACATTCTTCCAGGGACATGTACTATGAGAAATGGGGCTTCATGCTCATCTTCTGGAACTTGGCTGGCGTTCCTCTCTCTTACTGCCACTGCACCATCTTCCTGGCCAACCACCACCCTTCAGAGTACAAGTGGAACCCCTACGCGTTGACCGCCCTGTTTGTCTCCTACTTGTTTGTCTACTGGGTCTGGGATACCACCAACAGTCAGAAGAACAGTTTCCGCGCTCAGGAGCGTGGCCAGCTCCTCAAGCGCAAGACCTTCCCTCAGCTGCCGTGGGGTGTTGTCAAGAACCCCAAGACCATTACCTCGGCCAAGGGCGATGTCATCCTTGCTGATGGCATGTACGGATACGCGCGCAAGATTCATTACACTTGCGATGCCTTCTTTGCTATCTGCTGGGGCCTGATTACCGGTTTTAAGTAAGGAAAGACTCAATTGCAACCAAGAGCATGTTTCTAATTAGCGTTTTAGGAGTCCCTTCCCCTGGTTCTACCCCGTTTTCTTCTGTGGTATGATTGCCCACCGTGCAGCCCGTGATATCCACCGCTGCCGCCAGAAGTATGGCGAGGCTTGGACCCAGTACGAGCGTGAGGTTCCTTACCTCTTCATCCCGGTAAGTGTTGCTGCCAAATCTCTTGTTGGTGTATTACGAACTGACATTCAATAGTGGGTGATTTGATCGATGTGCCCTCACCTCTTCGCAAGATGGGTATTCCGAAAACGGGCCTTCGGGCCATTTCTGTACATATATGCTTCGTCACCTTTACGGTGCAACTACCTTTAATAATGATGGGGTAATCGGAGCTGGTTAGCTATGAATGGAGAACTTGCAGGCTGCACACCTTGTAATGCCGGCATAGATGCGTTGTAATCACAGCGGTGGCGTTCTATCTTCGAAAACGCTACCACGGCCTTTCATGTATATACGGATAACGATACTTACTCATTTTTTTTTTTTTTTACTGTCAATTAAATCTAAATCAAATTATCAATTGCTTGTCGCTTAAAGTATCAGCGATACCAGTATTTGGTTCAATGTACGAGCAAAAAGACCTCGTTGGGTGCGATGACATTTCCTTGAGTAATCCGAGTGCTGGAGGTACTTTCACTAGGTGGTGATAATGATGTAGAAGAGGTCCTTTTCTCATACTACACATGCAATCTTGAAAACTCAACCAACGCCCTAATTAATTTAAACATTCGCCTGCTCTCCGTAGATATTTGATAATGTCCAGCCTAAGTACTCCGTATGGAAACTGCGGCTCTGTCTTCCACAAATTGGATCTCTTTTACTCCATGGTAATTAATGTCCGCCATACAGGTTTAAGACCATGCCATTAGCCTACCAGGTCTAGAGTCTTGGTGAATGTCTTCACCTGGGCATGTTTGACCTCTTACCTTGAGTTAAGTAATATCTAACCCGGAGCGTTTACTTGAGGGATTAGGGAAGATGTCAGCAAATCCCATCAATCATCCGATTGCGTGCACCGGAGCGAGTCGTGTCAAAATTTGAAGATGCTTTCGGGGATGCTCGCAGAGGGAGATAAGATATGCAGCGGCAAGTATTGTAGTATCTCTAGTCTTACAGGCATTGAACTATTAGGACAATTTTGCATGGGAAGGTGTTACGACGCGAGAGGCATGTCTCGGGTGCTATTTACCCGGGGGTGCAAGTACTTAGTTCTCAAAATTTTGGTGTCTTATATCAGCAAATCCTCGATAGTCTAGTGGTGAGGATATCGGCTTGTCATTGAACGATTCGCCGGGGACCGGGGTTCAATTCCCCGTCGAGGAGTTTCTTTTGCCATTTGTGCCAAAAATCTTCGTTTTTTTGTGTTTTCTTTTTTTTCTTTTAGTATCACTTCTTGATTTGTTATTTCTTTGCCTGTATTCAGAACTTACAGAGACATGCTCTTCTCTTATTGCTCTCTTGGCTCCTGTGTACACATCCCCTCAGTAGCTCTTCACTTATTTACAACCGCTTATACAACCTCAATCTCAACTTAATAAGCAAATCTCCAGCCTCTCTCTACGCCCGAATGCTCAGAGTAACCCTCCGCCTCGTCCAACTTCTTATTTAGCTTGACTGCACGCCATTTGGCCAACCAAGCCGAGACGACAACCATGACACAACCAACCAGCACCAAACCGCCTCCCAGGCGATAAAACGGCTCGTGAGAGCGCGGCCAAAAATAAGGGCTAAACCAATGACTGGACTGACTGATGCAGTTGGCGATAGCAATCAGCGCGGCTTTCTTGCTCCTCGGGGCCGGCACAACGGAAGTTTCCCAGGACAATTGGAGATTGAGACCGTTGTATGTGCCGGAAATGAGCAAGAAAAGACCAAAGTACCGAGCACCGATATTCATAGTCGAAATAAGTAGGGAACATCCAATGGCGCTGCCAATAATAGGCAGCACAACGTGCCAGAACGATTCTTGTCTGCGACCAGACGACCAGGCGCATGCACAAGCGAAGGCGTACGCAAAGGCATAGGGTGGCGCTTGAATGAAGTATGTGGTGAGTTCACCGAAATCGAATGTGTTTACAATCTGGCTTTGGTTAGGCGCTCGGCGTGTCCACAAATAAAAGACAATAACTGGGTGGCTTACAGAGGGCAAGAAGTCTTTAACAGCCTGTGCAGTAACAAGAGCGAAATGCATAAGACAGAAGATCCAAGTGAAGGGGTCCTTGACAGCATCCCGAAAGCCGTCCCATGTTCCGCCTACCGTCTCTTCTTGGCCACCATTGGAGCAGAGGATTCGATACTGCGCCATCTCGCGCTCGGCGGGTGTGAGGAAGCGGGTGTTGTGTGGCCAGTCCGGGAGAAGAGCATAGGCTGAAATCGCGATAAGGAAGGTCGCTATTCCCTCAATGAGAAAGAACCATTGCCAAGAGTGTAGGTTAGATACACCGTCCATTGTGGTCAGGATACCTGCGGCGAGGAATCCGGAAATGATGTTGGAAATAGTGTTTCCTGCATGCCAAATTGCCATACGGGTGGGGCTCTCGTGCTTGTTATACCAAGAAGATGTCACTGTTCAATGTTAGTGTTGCCTACATACTCAACTTCCGCGTCAAAGGTGTCTACTGACTTAGGGTGATACCAGGGAAGAATGGGGCCTCAGCGAGACCAATGAAGAATCGTAAAACAGCGAAACCGGGGCCACTGTATACAAAATGTTAAAGTTTGACTCCTTTAATTGGAAGCCATGATGGGCTGAGGGTGCTCACTTTTTCAGAGCCGGGGTACAGATCGTCGCTGCTCCCCATGCAAGCATGGTTGACGGAAGGAACCATCTGGGGTTTGCCTTCGCTAACCACAGATTTCCGGGTAGCTGACCAATAAGATAGCCGATATAGAACGTCGAGATACCCAAATTCCACATGGTGTCTGTCATATGCAAGTCTTCCTGCATTCCGGCCAATCTCGCATTGGATACATTGATTCGATCAAGGTAACTAGGCTCCGTGTTAGTTGTCTCCATGTTATAATGATTCAGGTCAATGATTTCGACCTAGGAAGTTGTTTGGACGGGTTGAACTTGCCTCATGAGAAACACTGAAGTTTAAAAAATTAGTGATTGATCCAGAGTTTACTGAGACAATGCTGTGTTTCTCACTTAACGTTATAGTTGGCATCATACGCCAATCAATCTTTTTCACGACACTCTTGTTAAGCTTCTCCATCTCTGTATCACTCAAGTCGCGTAGGAGATCGAAGCGACCTTGGATTTCGGCGGGCGAAACCTGTTGTCTCTGTACCACCTTTTCATCTGATGAGTACTGAGCACTGGGGTTCTCGACCTCATCACACTTGACATCTTTGACGGCAGTGTCGCCCTCGTGTTCTGATTTGGGGCTCATAATAGCTCAATACTCGATGCGCGCAAGACAAAGATGAGTTTAATGACAGCGGACTAGTTCTTGTCTGCTTTTCACGGCTCTTTTCCATCCATACGGGGTCTTTATATATGAAATTACGGCCCGAGAAAAATAATGACAGTTCTCCCCAGTTGACCAAGAGCATTGCGCCCTCTTGGCGATCTGGGGACTCCATGGGCAACCCCGCGTTTGGATGCACGCTCAAGCTAGCCAGCCTGGGATGCTGGGGTCTGTGATACGGAATCTCCACAACGATCAATTCTTCTTCCCGCGGGAAGGATAAGTTTGTGTGTATCTAACCCCTCACTCACTCGTGCCACTGGAGACGACGTCTATGGTCTGTTGCTGATGCGGGGATGACAGAGAAGCTAGTGTTTTACGAAACCAAGTCCCGCATGGTGAAAGCTACCTAAGGCTTTCCGGGCAATCTGTGTATTACTACAATCGGGGGAGTCGGTCCAAATCAGGTCTCTCGATAGAATGGTCATCACAACTTATGTTGCATTGAATCACTAAATCATGTTTGCAGGATGAAACGTACCTCTCACATATCTTAATCAAGAAGTACCGACTTATTGAACAGTACATAGTGTCACAGCCCACATTGGTCGATTTACAGTTGCGTATTTCTCTTTCTTGACTCGCACTAATATTGTGAACCCTGACCTCTACGGAGATTTACAATCACAACTCCTAGCTTAGTAATTTGCTTTTTGCGAATTTAATAGCGCCGCGACCTTCTCATAAACGGTGAAAACAATTCCTCCGCTCAAAATCAAACGTCCAAGTCTCATGGTGCTTCCACTCCAAAACCCTCGAGCGCCTCTTTCTGTCAAAACCATTCGGAAAGCCTCAGACATGCTGGCACCGCGAGCAGATTGAGCCTTGGTTTTGATTGTGTCAAATGGTTGCGTGACATAGACAGTAATGATTCCAGCGACAGCGCCAGAACTGAAAGTCACCAGACTGTTGTTGGGCAGATTTGCTTGCCGCGAAAAGTCTCTCAAAACGTTATAAGAGCCCATACGCACTGCCGAGGTTGCCGATTGCTTAAGCGTCGTTGAAATCAGACCGCGATAGACCTCTCTAAGCCCATGCTGCTTGAGCATTGAGTATAGGGCTTGTGTGCCACCTGCGTACTTTCTTGCGCCAGACTTGGCATCGTCAATCCTGCTCTCGGATTTTAGTAACAATAAATTATTTCAAATTTCCATCTTATAGAGGACAAAATTTGCGTGGTTGAATTTGTAGAAAATCATGATAAGACAGTACTCACAATGCAGTCTTGATACGTTCTGTTGGAGTCACTGCCACGATGCTCTCAACGCAACCTGCGATCATACCAGCCAAGATACCTCTCGTTGGTGTCAATTTCCCATTTTCATCCATCAATGCGTTTCTGATGGAGTCGAAAGACAAGAAACGAACACCGGCTTTGACAGTAGTTCCCTATAATAAGTAAATCACGGTATCTTGTGAAGAGTAGGTGTGATGGAAATACAATGATTAGAGTCGAACACCCAGTATAAATGGCTTTTGGGCCATCTTGTCTGATGACCTGAGAAATCACTGCAAACGGATTTCTAGAACCAGTTGCATAAAGCTGAGCTCTTGTCTTTGCGAACTCGAAAGGATACTTTTCCGTATGGTTGATTCTTAGCATGTATTGTAAGATATATCACATATGCATCTTGACGTACCGTAACGGCCGCTTCTACACCCCCAGCGACACCACCAGATATAAGTGATATAACGGGAGGAATCTTGTGTGTTTTGCTTGGATCAGAACGCTCGGAAAGTATGGGCTTGTGGCGTGTAATCGCCTGTTCCTGAATACCTGCAGTCATTGGCGTCGCGGATGTAAAAGAAGACATGGTAAATACAGTTACCAATGCTCTGTACTGCTTTTCCGGAGAGAGTTCCGGGAATACGGCTTTGGGTCAGAACACAGTTTAGAGAGAGAGTCTAAGGAGCTAGATGTGAGTTCCCAAGAGCTCTAGAATTCGGCCGATTTTCTTCAAACGGAATGAGAATTTACATAGGCTAATCAAGAATCAATACGTAATGGTTTCTCGTGCATCTCATTTCTCACACCCCAGCCCCCGTTTGTTCTGTCTCCTCGGAAAACAGGATACTTTCCTGCATTGCTTCCCGCGGGATATTGTATGCTGTTGATTTGTGCTTTGACCAATCATGTACCTTCCCGTCAACGGTGGCCAAGGTCTACCCGCGGGAAGTAACCCCACCATCCCCCAACATTCTGTGCCGAGGCTTCGCCAGCTCATCTTCTCTACCCACGGATACTCAAAAACAAATCAAACTGGCTTTAACCGCCTTCATATCCCATGGTTCGAAAACCGACAGACAATAGTACAGCAACGGGCCGTCCTCGTAGACGGGCCGTTGAAGCCTGCATATTCTGTCGAAAACGCAAGGTTCGCCTTCTCAGGAGTGGCCCCCCATGCTTCCCGTGGCTAACATCTTCCATGTAGATCAAGTGCAATAATGAGCAGCCGACGTGTGCCAATTGCAAGACTTATGGGAAGGACTGCGTTTACGAACCCCTGTCAATTTCCTCAAACAATCCGCCGTCCAACTCGACTCCGGCTCGTGATCGCGCTGAGCGTCGGCAGCGGGTCACGCCTAGGAAGCCAAAGGAATGGGCCAATGCCTCTTCAAGGCACACACGCCATAGCAGAGAAGTCGAGGAAGATCGTCATTCCCAATATGTTGATACGCCATCGCCTTTGCTTAATGATGTTGGTGTTTCGTTGGGGCCATCTGACCAAGCACAAACAGATCATCAATCTGAAGCACCAGCAGATCAAACCCCCTCTCACCGAACGGGAGTTTCTCGTATTGTAGTCTCAGCAAACGGTGTCTCCAGTTACCATGGCCGCACTAGTGCACTCTTTGAAGAAAACCCTCAAGAGCGAGTCTCGACAGTTGACCTACATCCTCGAATGCCAGATGAATGGATAGAGAAAGGTCTGGTGGCCGAAGCGGCTAAGCAGCGTATGTTCTCTTTACGTCGTTGTGGTTGAGTATTTCATAGAATTCTGTTGACAATTAGCAGGCCAACTGGAGGACTTCAATTACCGTGCCGGTACTCTCGATTTTGATGGTGTAGACCCTGAACTAGGGATGCATCTCCTTTCTCTCCATTGGAATCGCCAGCATCACTCGTTTCTGCTGACGTATCGACCGGCTTTCATGAGGGATATGGCGTGTAATGGGCCTTACTTCTCTAAGATACTTCTCAACGCTATTTATTTTGGTGCTTCGAAGTTTAGCCCTCGTCGAGAAGTCCGGAGAGATCCCGACGATGTGCGTACCGCCGGCTGGGCTTTCCGTGAGCGAGTTCGTAAGCTGCTTGGTGATGCACTTGACAGCAGTGACATCACAACAATTCAGGCCTTACTGGTCATGACAAATTCACTGTTTGCCCTCGGTGACGAAAGAAGCGCCGCCTGGCTGTATGCAGGTCTAGCGTTCCGCATGATTATCGACTTAGGTATGCATGTCGATGCATCAGGTCTGGGAATTACAAGAAGGTTCTCTGACGAGGATCTCGAGATAAGACGTCGGGTATTTTGGGGTGCATTTGGTAAACACACTACATGCCTCTCTCCCTTCAAGTCAAGTATTGAGCAAGTATCTAACGCGTATCAGTTGTCGACAAGATTCAGAGTCTCTATCAAGGTCGCCCAGCGTCTTTGAAGGAGTCCGACACTCTGGTCCCAATCAAATTTCTCGATACCTTTGAAGAATTTGAGAATTGGGCTCCTTTTGCCTATTCTGCTCAAAACAACAACTACCCTGGTTCTCCTGCTTACAGCGTATCGACTTTCACCTACCTGTGCCGCCTCTCAGTAGTGATGAGCGATATATTAAGCTGCATATATACAGAGAGAGCTTTCGACAAGAGCCCGCAAGAGCTCTTGACGATGCTTCAAAACCTTAGCTCGAAGCTAGCGGCATGGAAGGATGATTTACCGACACATTTGATGTTCGATCACAAAAGCAATCTTAGGATTCCACCGCCCCATGTTCTTAGTTTACAGTAGGTTTACTCTGATGCAACCTCGCACATGTTGATAATGACTTAACTAATCAATACTTAGCGCTATGTATCATGTTCTCACAATTCTCTTGCACCGCCCGTTTGTCGCTGATGGCCATCTCTATAATACCTCTCGTTCCATCTCTGTCAACTCATTCATTACTTGTGCTACAGCAGCCGACAATATAGTGGATGTTCTCCGTGTATATGACCAAGTTTTCTCGGTACGGCATGCACCATATTTAATTTCGTATGCCACCTATGTGGCGGCGACTATTCATGTACGAATAGCAGCGAAACGAAGCACTGAATCCGGCGCTCGTGAATGTTTAGAAACCTGCTTGTCTGTGTTTCGAGAGAATCAGGAAACCAATTGGGCTGTTAGAAGGGCAAAAGCTATCGTTGAAGGGCTGATGTCAAGACTCGGGGTCAAATTTGCTGAGCGCGACAGCAATATTGCCACCAACAACAATCCGACATCTAATACGATTGAGACTGGCCTTGATTTGGGCGAGAGAAGTCGCCCAGAGAGGAGACAAGCGGCAACACATTTAGTAGGGTCAAACTCAAATCCGTCTCTACCCGAAAATGAATCTCCCTCAATGGGATGGTCAGATATTGATGGCATTATTCAAACCTTTGTACGTGGGCAAGATTACAACGTAGGTCCGGTGGAGATTGGACAACCAGAGCTCCCCCCTCAAGTATTACCCCCAGCTACGGCAAACCAACAAAGCAGCGGTGACCTCACGGGTAATGTTGGGAACCCGTCTTGGATTCAGGGGCTGCCGGAAGGAGAAGGAGCTTCGGTCGATGACCTGCTTTTTGGATTCAACGGATCCGCTCTTGATAGTTTCTTTTATTGAAAATGTGTAAGATTAGCAATAACTGACATAAGGAAGAACCTTAAGTGTCTGATCCATGTTGCTGAATTGTTTATGGTCCCTGAGTGGATTTCTTGTTCGCGGTCTGTGGCAACCCGCAGTCACCATTCCCGCGGGACAGTCCGGCTCCCGCGGGTACAGACGGTGATTCAGCAGTACCCCTGACATGATTCTCAGATACAAAGCATCTAATCAACGAGACGTTCGAGTTATTTATGAATCAAAATGAAAAACCGCCACGAAAAGAAAACAATACCATTGTACTACTACCTTGAACTTGAACTCCATTGTTCAAATTGACCAAAATCTCCCGTACTTGCGAAATGGTGCTGGATCCCACACTCTAATTCATTCAGATGCGGTCCAGTATACCACCTTTCAGCAACTCAGTTCACTCTCGCAGGCTTCTTCATCAATTGCTTCACCATTCTCCAACCATAGTTCCCTTCCCTATCATGGCAATCACTCCGTCCGCATCGAAGCGACGTGTGAGGCACTCGCTCCCAGCAGTGTTAATGCGGGCCGGCACATCTAAAGGCCTGTTCATCCACCGCTCTCACCTACCTCCGTCAGAAAAAGAATGGGCAACACCACTTTTAGCCGCACTGGGTTCTAAATATAGTGACGCCCGTCAGATTGATGGTGTTGGAGGCGGTAGCAGTGTTACTTCCAAAGTAGCCGTTGTCGCGCCGTCTAGTCAACCTGGCATTGATGTTGAGTACACTTTCGTCCAGGTTGCCGTAGGAAGCGAGAGTGTCGACCTTAGCGGCAACTGCGGCAACATATGCTCGGGAGTCGGTCCTTTTGCAGTCCAGGAGAGGCTCGTAACGCCGCTGCCCGGGGCAAAGTCGGTGGATGTACGCATCCTTAACACCAATACGTCTAAGCTTATTGTGGAGACGGTGTGTCTTGACGAAGATGGAAACGTCGAGGAGGATGGAGATTGCCTTATTCCAGGCGTTAAGGGGCCCGGAAGTGAGATCAAGGTTGCCTTTGTCGAGCCGATAGGCAGCATGACAGGCAAACTATTCCCCAGCGGGCACCGGTCAGAAAGACTGATTGTCGAGGAAGTTACTTCGTTGGGCCCCTTCAAAGTCGAGGCGACATTGATCGACTCAGCCAACCCGTTTGTATTGGTTGACTCTGAGAGTCTACCCCCTCAAGTGAAGACTCAGCTCCCGGATTCACCCATGTCTCTTGAGGTCGCTGAAGCAATTCGTAGGCGAGGAGCTGTTCTCATGGGTCTCGCCGGTACCTTAGAAGAAGCCGGAATGGTTAGAGGCACACCGAAGCTCGCATACCTTTCCCGGCCAACTTCTGGTGGGCTGACCAAACGAGACGCAGACATCCGAGTGCAAGCATACAGCATGGGGAAGCCGCATCCCAGTCTGCAGCTCACAGGAGGTGTCACTTTAGCTAGCGCCATGATCATGGAGGGAACAGTGGCACACCGAATAGCAAGCCTTAGCATGACGCTACACAATGAGGGAATACCAACGCCCAGAAGAACACCGAGTCCTTCTGCAATCAAAACAGGAGACCTGTTATTAGATGAGTCAGAATCTCTACCCTTTCAAAGCGATGCAGTAAGCCGGATAATTCGAATCGAACACGGCAGCGGTACAATGGAAGTAGAAGCATGGGCGCGCCAGGGCGAGCATGGCCTCATTATAGATCGCTGTGTCGTTTTGAGAACTGCTCGAAGACTCTTCGAAGGGAACGTCCTGTATTATACCTAGATAGTCTTATAGTGGACCCCATTTAGTGGATACAATAAAGCAACAGGCGCAATCTAACTTCGTCTAACAAAATGAACGTACGACTGATTCTTTTTTCTTCTTTTCTCTTAAGAGCCTCTCTGATATGTGCTCTTTTACCAACGTGACTGCTTTCCAATAGCTGCACCCAGAAGTTCCTCTTCACTCGAGTCAAATGTTGACGAAAACTTAGTTGAGGCAGCCGTCAAAGATTCAACATCAGTTTCCCCTTTAAAGTGAACATGTATCAGGAAGGGTTTAATTTCACACCACTACGTTACCAGCTTGAACACATAAGAGACATTGTGTGATGATATTCTGAGACGCCAAGAGCCACATTGAGGATCAAGGCCAGGATGTGGTCAGGTGATCTAATATGTCTTGGTGACTATGTGACAGAAATTCACATGCTTGTTGTCTGTATTTGCCCAGAGATGTGTTCTATCACTCATAACTCATTTGCTCCATCGTTACAGCCATCCACACGAGCATGCCAAATTCGTCCAGACCATCACACCATTTACAGACTCGTGAGAAAATTTCTCCCTGCTCACATTCATTGAGTGTGCCGTTCCCAGTTGTACGCCGTGCTCGCCGGAGATCTTGCATACTCAGAGGCACTTTCTGCATATCGACCTCCGACTTCTTGTACCGCACGGCCCACTCGATATTTGAGACCGGCTCCCAAAGATATCTTGCAGCCGGAACAGCTACGTTATCATAACCACATGATTGTTCGTTCTTCCCACTGAAACTGACATCAACAAGGAGCTCTAAGCCGAAATTCAGACATGCGGTCCTTTGGCCAGGTTTAGCGACAACAACTTGAAAAAAAAATTCACCACATCATACCTTCGGAGACTTTCTCGGAAAACCCATTCTTTTCGATCCAGGCTGGCCCCATTAATCAAATTTGAGGCGAAGTCAGGAGCTTGACAACATAACCGTCTGGCTAACAACTATGTCCATTTCAGCGCTTAGTTGGTATTCCACAATCAGCGAGGGGTTGATTCTTACAAGAGGGGTTGAGAGAAGCATGTCAATGTCGTGCTTGGGGATGGAATCTCGGTCACGCGTTTGGAGCAGTACATATATTGTTAATGCTTGCATGGCTGCTAGAAGCCTATCCCTGCCGAAGGAATTGGACTTGTTCCATACAGTTAGCAACACAGGAAACAACGCTAGACAGAAGCCAAAGTTGGCTTACCTCTTTTCTAATCCGTTCAATCTCTTTGTAAATGTTTGCCCATACGAAAGCCTCGCTTCCAGGAGTTCTGGCTTCAAAGGATTGTACCAAACTGGAGCAGATAGCCAACTCCTCAGGTAAACACTGATGGTATCCTTGAGAGCTGCACTCAGATGGTGGAATTGTTCCATTTATTACGCATTGGGGGAAAATGGTTGGTGGTAGCCGCCCGCCCTTAGCCATCATTGCAGGATAGGAAAGGAGTTGACCAAGGAGAACTTTAGCAGTCAAGTAAGTGGATAACGGTTTCCTAACTCTTGGAAAAAGTGGTGTACGGTGATAAAATTTTGGAAATACATCCAACGAAGAGTCATTTTCAGACTGTGCGGTTAAATTCGACCGTATTCTGTATTGTGTTGTTTTGGGGCTTTGCATTGGAATTAAAGCTTTCTCGGGGTAGGTTTGGCCAGACCGTTCATATTGTTGTAGCCATGAAATCCCAACTGGTTTGTAAGGTGCCACCGTATTATAATTTGGGTTGTTGTGAACTGCTGTAGACGGCGTGTTTGTTGTGTCCTGGCCAGCCGGAACATTCAGGAAACTTGGCTCGCAGTCCAGAAAACTCAATGGAGACGTAGGGAACAAGGACGGCAATAGAGGCTCCCAACTCATCCAAGGATCCAAGGACGTACTTGATCGATCTTCAAGGTCTAAGACAGGAGAGGTCGAGATGGTCTCATCCGCCACGGCTGGTGCGAGTACATGTGTGATCGGATTAAGAGTCTCTCTGCTAGCTCTAGCACCTGAACTAGGAACATGCCAAGCCACGGATTGAGTATGGAAGTTTGATTGGTCTGCACATTCTTGGCCATTCCCACCAGCAGCTCGTAACATCCGAACAGTTGCTCGTTTTGGCAGGTGGTCGTACTTACAGTCCAAGGATCGTGCATCACATCGTAGACAGGGCGAGCCAAGAGAGCACCTCGCTTTGCTGGCTCGGCAAGGAACGCAGGACTTCTTGCGACTAACCATTGCATCTGGGCATTTGCTGTGGGGTAATGCAAGCTTGAACTTTGAGAAAGTTCGCTGCAAATTGTTACTTTCAGCTCTGTTTGCAGGCGCCCGAAGAAAGGGGCGGGCAACCATGGCCGTGGTGTCAGCACTGGACGGAGTTCCAGCCAATAAGGGGTCGTCCAGTTGACGACTCCGTGCCGTCAGGCCGGGAGGCCCCACTTCAAGTGGGCTGACCCCAACCTCAGCGTATTATCTCAATCTCCTAAACAAGTCCCCCGGAATTCCGACCAATCAGAGCTTAGCAGTTTCTCTACGCCTATACCGTAGCAAGATGGTATCTAGGAGCACCTCAATTATGCGTCAAGTGATGTATCTCCTTATACCAGCAGTCCTATGAAGGTACTTTACCTGATAGACGATTCACGTTAAAGGATTCTTATCCCTGAACGCAGAGTTCCAATGCCGCGGAGTTGGCCTTCAGCAACATGAGTTGTAAGTGCAAGAAAGCAGAATCTTCCTTTCCCTCTCAATGGCATATAAATACCCTTCTCCAGAACATTCGTATTCCTACTTTTCATATTGCTTTCACCAAATACAGGTTCTCTCCCTCCTCAAAGTTACTTTCATATTCCACACAGCCTACCCATCCTCAGACTGACCATGGCCCCCATTCGTGTCGGTATCATCGGTCTCTCGGCGAAGCCAGCAGCCCTTAGCCCAGGTGCCTGGGCGTCCACCGCATTTCTTCCAACATTTCAAAATTCCCCAGAGTATGAAATAGTCGCACTCTGCAACTCTTCTATCGAAGCTGCTTGTCGTTCAATAGAGTTCCATCAGCTTCCAGAGTCGACCAGAGCATACGGAAACCCTGACGAACTTGCAGACGATCCGGAAGTTGATCTCATCGTCATCAGTGTGGTGGTGACAAAGCACTTGGATCTCGCATTGCCTGCCCTGCAGAAAAGGAAGCAAGTCTTTGTTGAGTGGCCCCTCGGCAAAACGACGCAGGAGGCACAGCAGATGACGGAGCTGGCGAAAAACTATGGTCTCCAAACACTTGTCGGCCTCCAAGCTCGTGGTGATCCTGCGGTTGTCCATCTAAAGGCGATCATTGAGAGTGGTGAGATCGGCGAGATCAAAAGCACCTCTGTTTTGGGGACTCTCTTTCACATACCTCCTCAGTTTTGGGTTCAGGGCATGGAACAATATCTCGATCTCAAAAGCGGAGCTAATTCTTTCCACGTTGTTTTTGGACACTGTGAGTCTTTCGATTGCTCCTTTGAAATTTGTGTCCAACTATGATCCGCTAACCAATGTCGCGTTTAGTCTTAGACTCCTTCACCTACATCATCGGTGACTTTGATACCAATAGCATTTCTTCGATCCTGAAGACAGACACTACAGAGATGGCCATTTACACGCCCGATAGGAGCAAAGTGGCAATTCCGGCGTGCCCAAAAACCGCACCGGACCATATCTTGGTGCAAGGCAAGCTGAAAAGCGGCGCAACAGCTTCCATCAATTTCCGCACAACCCAAGCTACTTTGGATGGTGTTGGAATCCGCTGGATCATTACTGGCTCCAAGGGCGAGATCGAGGTTACAACGGCTGAGAGTAATTGGCAAGCCTACTCGCCTAGCAGAACGCTCAAGGTCAAAGTCTTTGGTAGCGAAACACGGAACGTGGACCTCCAGAGCGTCGACCTCGGAGTTGCTGCTAATGTTGGACGGCGTGGAGTGAACACAGCTCTACTTTTGGATGCGTTTGCCAAAGGCAAGCAAGATCAACTCGCCGGCTTTGAGGCGGCCTTGAAGAACCACCAGTTGTTGGACGAGATTTTGAAAAAGTCAGGGGTTAATTTTTGACATGTCGAATAGACATATATTTGACTGTGGGATTTGGACTTCCACCGCTCGTGAAAGTAGTGTTGAGTTCAGTGTGTCTAGTTTTCGTGCTTAGTACACACTCACTGACATCTCTATGCACAAGGAATGATTATGAAAACAATACAGCTAGTTTTAGATTGCGAAGACTCTTAAAATTTCACACATAGCACCCGTTGACAAAACACTAGTGGCAAGCATTGAAGTCAGACAGAGAGTTGGTTCCCTGACGCTAAAGTCAAGTAAGGGTGTTTTCGGTACACGAGCCGATCCCGGCGACGAAGCCCGAATTCCGGAGGTCGTGACAAATCGCTTCCGAAAAAGAGCGTCGGCATCGTATCCGAAAATCAACATCTCCAAAAAAAGGAGGCACGCAAATGAGAAAATTTTCTGTCTCTCCTTCTTCATTGGACCAAGAGAATTGAGATAGTAAATCAACTTGTTAGAGGTATCTACGTTACTGAATCAGCAGGCAAACACTCTGGTTTAGCTGCGACCCAGTATAGAGACCAGGGCAGCTTACAAATTCCGTCACTTGCGCCAATATCCAACGCGCTGTTACTCGAAGGAACGAAAGACAACTCCCGGAGAAGATGGTTCAAAGTACCGTGCCGAAGCCCGTCAGTGGGCAGACTCCAGCAAATCATCAAAAGCCCAAACACATCGCTATACTCGACACAGACGTTACAGTCCCAGCCGTTCAATCAACATACGGCAAGTACTACAGCGCACAATATATAAAGCTCCTCACAGCAGCCGCAAGCCGCCTTGACCTAGCCGGTCGCGTCGAGTTCAGTACCTGGGACGTCGTCTCAGGAGCCTACCCCAACCCCGCCGACGTCGATGCCATCCTTATCACAGGCTCAATCGCTGCTGCATATGACACTGACCCATGGGTCATTAAGCTTGGTGCTTTCATCGAAGAAGTCTATGCCCAACACACTGGAGTCCGCATGTTTGGCACTTGCTTCGGGCATCAGCTCATCGGCCAGGTCCTTCTTGGCCCGCATGGCGCTGTAGTGGAGAGGGACCCGAACGGGTACGAGTTTGGAGTGCAGACGATCAACCTCAACCACAAGCTCATCGAGGATTTCCCTTGTCTTAAGAAGCTCGGAAGAGTTGAGGAGAAGGATACTCATGGGCTTCGACTTCAGATGTGCCACGGCGATCATGTTGCGCTACCGAAACCCTCAGGCAAGCTACCCGGGTCCTGGATAAACATCGGAGGCAGCGCACATTGCCAAGTTCAGGGCCTGTATGAGCCGTCAAGAGTTCTGACTATCCAGCCCCATTTCGAATGTGACCAGCCTATCATGGAGGAGACTATCAAATATTTCTACACACCAGAGAAGGGCTTCTCTCCCGAGTTCCTCCAGAAGGCATTTGATGGAACAAGGAAAGAGGATGATGCTGGTATTGCGGCTGAATGGGTACTAAGATTCTTAATTAGTGTGTGATGCATCAGAAGAAAACGTTAAGATAGATAAATGGCCATCAACCGGCTTCTACTGCAGTTTAGTATGCGGGATCTCGGTTTGTTCTGATGTCCAATATTTCTGACAGTTTTAACCTGAATGCCTTCGCCAGTTGACTTTCGGGCACTTACACAGCATTTACAACGGCGTTAGAAGAGTATTAACTCGAGACATCACATTGACCGCCAGTCAAGTAGCGTACCAAGCCTATTGAATCACAGCAGTGTGGGAGTTTGCCCCTTTAAGCATATTTTTATGCTCCGCATTTGTTGAACAACAAAAGAAACTGCAAAGTGTTAACGTCATATCTTATTGGCAATTAGTGTGACAGACACACCACCACCACACAGCAAGTCTTTCGTGGGTTTGTGTTTTCCCACGGTGTATATGCACACAGACAACAAACGGCCACAGCACTGCGAGGTATCATAGTTTTCGAGTCATGTATTCTGTTGAACAACCAACTATTTACCTCCACTTCTTCGAGGACTCACAAGTAAACTGTTCTAAGGCTTCACAGGGGTTGGTTGGGTTTCATCCCCACATTTAGTTGTCACTATCCTCAATACCATGAACGGGGTTGACATCAGGGTCAGCCCATAGCACTTGAATGTAAAGTATTCACATAAACCTACATGTAGGAAATACCCTGGTGAATAGAGAAATGTAACTCGAGAGAATGGGAGTCTCTGATCAGGGAGAGGCTGTCATTGGCAGACCAATAATATCAGGGGCAGAAAAAGGTCATTTGCTAGAAGTACATAACTGGAGTACAATCTCGCAGACCATAGACTTATATAAATTGGCAAAGAGAACTTTCCTGCAGGTTTGAATGCTCTTGACGACCCGCAAAGAAAGTTATGAGGCACATTATCTTTGCAACCCATCACATACGACCATACCCATTGGAAAACTCGGGATCCCGTCCGCTCTCCCATAGATAAGCCAATGAGGGCTGGAGTAGTAGTCGGGTCGGTGACGACCGGCGAATGCCCGGTGTTGTATGTTCTTTTTGCTCTTTTTGTCACTATTCCCGTTCCGTTTAAGTAGTGCCTTTCGTGGTGGCGTCCTACTAGATCTTGGCTACGAAGCTGCCGGAACATAGGAACGAGGCCTGTAAAAGCACTAAAAGTTACCATCTTGCAATATCCAAGTTGAATACACTGACAATGTGCAGCCTATCCTATGGTGGCTGGGTAAGTTTGGGAAATAGCGGTTTTATGTTCTCGCGAACATCTTTGTATTAGGAAACAGGGGTCGAGCTGCGTGTTGATAATGCGGTCAGTGAATTAGGTTGTAACTGACCAGAAAGCAGTAACTATGCTAGATGTTCTTGTCAAACACACAGTGAATCACAGAAAGAGAGACCTTAGAGCATGGACATACGCATGTTATGGGTGATTAATCATTTCTCCAGAAAATCATCCAATGTGCTCATTTGATGACATAAGACAATAAACCCGACATGAGAATGGCCTCGCTTTCAGTGAAACCAAGGTAATGTACATCTGAACTTCATTTTGTATGCCCGCGCCTACGTAAAACTCCGTTCCATCCCGTCGTCCTCGCCAGCAACCACCATCCCATCGAGCTTGCGCTTGACGCCCGAGGAACGCCCAATGCGTTTCTAGTACAGGGGCGTGTTGTCCGCGTCTGCCAGCCATAGTGTTGCCAGATCTCGCGACAGACCCAGCCTCAAGATGCGAAGTATATCTTCAGCTGAAGCGCTTGCTGTCAATCCCGTCCTCCAGTCCCAACCGCGCTTGGTGTTGGCACGAGAGAGGCCGCCGCTGCCGCTGATCGAGCGGTTTAGCTGGCTGGCCAGCATGGAGCTACCGCTAAGCATGTAGCTGCTTCCGCTAAGGGAACCAGTACTCTTGCGCATCAGGTCGGCGGGCGTGGAGCCCTTCAGTCCCTGTGCCGAAGCCAGGACGAGCTTGAAAAACTCATCCGCAGCGTTGAAGATAGTTGAGTTGACCGTCTGAATATCCTCAATGGCCTTAAGCATAACGTCCATCTGGTCGAGAGTGATGATACAAGGATTTTGATTGATAAAGGGAAGAGCTTCTCCAAGCAGTGCAAGAATGAAGTCCTCGCTGACGACGGCGTCGCGCGTCTCGTCATATAAACCGCCGCGAATATTATCATCGGAACTGGCAATGACAGCGACCAAAGCGGAAGCCGCTTGTCTGCGAAGAGAAGCCGACTTGTGAGAAGACATGTCTGCCAAACCATCGGTATCTCGGATTTCGTAGTATTTCCGAAGAGTGGCGTATCCACTGAGTATGCGGCCAAGAAGTTGTGCTGCCTCGAGGTCTTGCTTGGCATATTGCTCCAAGGTTGTACTTCGCTCATTGAGGAGGCGGTATAGGTGGTCGTCTAGGTCGTTGGCAGGAGGATATACCGTAGAGTGAAGAAGAGAGTATGACATCAAGAGGTTGAGCACTTCACGAACCTTGCTCGGTCGGTGAGCAAGAGCGTAGTACCACAAAGCCTCTCCATATCTGTGTGAGCCTTCTGCGAGAAGCTCCGCATAAGTCTGCCAACTGTTAGCCAGTCTGTTGTTATATTCAAGGGAAAGACGATTCGTACCTCTGCTGTTTGCTCGGCATAATTGATCATGCCGAGGTCGTTTAGTATACGCCAGACCTTATCTACGGTGGCGCCCGAATCAGAGTCAAGCGTTTGAAGAATATCGCCAAGCAATTCTCCCACCATCTCCTCAGACTTTGCGGCGGAGTCCATGCGTCCCAGTACCTGAATTGCCATCTCCCAGCCGCTCCGAGTGTCAGATAGTTGATCGATGCCAGCAAGTTCTCGTGCGTAATGTGTGAGAGTCGTATCCTTGATGCCTTCCACCTCGTCTGCACTTTGCGGGGCAACTCCCAGGATATCGAGATCCTCCATGTCTAAACTGTCCATAGTAAACAAGTTAGCTGCCTCGGGCTTAGGGAGCCATTGTCCAAGCGATGCAAGCTCTGCTACAGAAGATGCAATAGGCAGAGACCAGGCTCGAAGAATGCCGATCACTGCAGCAAAATTCGACTCGAATGCTGAAGCAATGGCGACCTCGACAGGGTTCATGGCGTTGAAGTGAAATTCCGATTCAATCGCTGTGTGGAAGGCAAGGGAAAGGCGCTCGAAATAGCTCTCTGGGCCAGAGGAAACATCAGGCCGGCGCAGGCCTTGCGAACGAGACATGCGCAGACTCTTCTGTTGTCCCCGGCCCTCTTCCCACCAACCGAAGAGGCCAATCGTGGCTTCACACCAATCTTGTGCTGTCTCCATGATAGCATCAGGTGTGCCCATGATGATCTGATAGATAGTTTGGAGGTGTTCATAAATATCCCAAGGAACTTGACCCTCAGCTTTCCGTGCGAGGCGAGCCAAGGACGGCTGTCCATAGGAGCTGTCGTGACTATCGCCTCCGTATAGGCCCTTATCCTTGCCTTCCGCGAACCGCTGTAGTTTGTCCAATGAGCCCTTGGCTTGGATGCGGTACAACGTCCAGTCACTGCTAAAGATATCCCAGTTCTTCTTGTTGGCTGGGCACATATCAAGTGCCTCACACGTAATACCGACGGCGCGCTGCAGGTTCTCCAAGGCTTTGCCAGTATACGCCAACTCCGCCCGAGTTCCCTTTCTGACGGCTTCCCAACCAGCATTTCTCAGGAGCTGCGACGCAAGATTGACATTGCCGCGAATGAGGGCGCTTCGTAGTGTTGGCCAGAACAGGCTGTGGCTGGCTGGGCTGGGTCTGTGGCGCATCACTCTGTCGAACTGATCAGGTGAGAGGTTATGGTTATCCTCGATCCAGTTAAAGAGAACCTCGGGTAAAGGCGGCGCCTTGATTTCGCCGGATCCTTCGGCGAAGCGAGTGTGATGCATCTGGAGAACCAGCCTTGCAACGTAGGCCGCCTTGTGAAAAGGCTCGGCGTCGGGGCCAGGGCCAATTTCAGCAACATGTTCTCCTTCAGGCAACGGTAAGGTCTCGGAAAAGTCGTCCCAAAGCTCAACCAAGGGGTAGACGATGGTTGACAAGGAAACGTCAAGCTTTTCGGGGTCTTCTTGCGCGCCAATGCCCTCATCGTACAACTGGTTCACTAAATCCTCCGTCTTCAAAACCAACTCAGGAGACTCCGTTATGACTGTCATGCCCATCTGGTTGTACAGGTCCTTGGCAATCGATGCATATCTAAACTCGCTTCGTCTATTAGTTGATGAGCGGCGCATAGAAGAAGCACGGAAGATATCTTCGGCTTCTCTGCGTATGCGCTCTGTGGCCGCTGGCGTCGCCAGGAGCAGGAGATCCGACTCTTCGGCGCCGTCGATGCCATCGCCACCGTCATCTGAGTAGGTGAATTCGTCTTCCTGGCGTGTGCTGTGTCGCATGTTAAGGAACATGTCATCGTCGTCATCAGCCAGCTCTTCTTCGTCAGCTTCCGCATCGACGTCGTCCTCATCCATATCGGCCTCGAGATATCGCTCCATCTCTGCATCGACCACTTCTCGCTCGTCGTATTCGTCTTCGTCTTCATCATCCTCTTCTGAGTCGTCGGGTATCATATACCGGCCAGTCCGGTTGTCGTGGGCGACTTCGCGCTCGCCAGCGTCATATTCTTTGCTCAATCCCGAGGGTTGTCTGGCATGTTTCCCACTCTGTTGAATTGATCGGCCCAAGGGTTGCTGTGAAGTGGTGTCGCTCCTTCCGAAGAGGTTTCTGCTGGAGCCCGTAGTACTTGCGCCGCCAAAGCTGAATGGCTTCTGGTCGGTGGTGCCTCCTAGCAATGAGCTTCCGAGGTAGGATGCAGACGGGGCGCCAGCGGGGGTGAAGGAGGCAGCGGACGATGGGGGAGGGCCAGCAGGCGTGGTCGACGGGTTGTCGCCAAAGGGGTATGAAGAGCCTTTCTGGGGTGTTTGACCAGGTGTCGACGGCGGGGAGCTGCTCATCAAATCGTCAAAGCTGAATTTGTTAGGCATGGCGACTGGCTTCAGCTGGGCGACCTCAGGTCACCCGGGCAAGTCTTGTCGTCGCGGCGGTATGCTAGTAGGCGGCAACGAGTTTCAAATGAACAGACGGTGGCAGGGAAAAGCTGTGTTTAATCTGCCGGTATCGATGAGGTTGCCGGGTTTAATTGGGTACGGAATGATGGTCGGTGAGCGGGCTGGGTAGCGAGCTGTGGTGTTTAGCCTGACGCGCTCTTGCTTGATAAATTTTGGTAGGTCGCGATGCATGCCTGGCCAATGCGGAAGAAGCCGCACCAATGCGGCCCCCACTTTGACCAACCTCCTACCTCACACCCTTTCGCAGAGCATCCTAAGCGCTGGAGCTGGGGCTGGCCACTAAGAGACCGCTAAAATTGAGAGCTCTGGTTCCCGTGTGGCACATGGTATGGCTGTGCAGGGTATGGGAAAAAAAAAAAAAAAACATGGCCACCATCTGGATTCAGGTCGTATTTTTGGAAAGCTTCGATATGGAAAGTTCAGACGTTCCTCCACAACTCCGCAACTGTGATGACATGGTGATGGTTGCATTGCCCAAACAGCCTTTGCGGGGTAATGTGTGAATAACTACATCTTCCGATCATCTTTCTCTCGGGTATTCCTTTGTTACTATTAGATAACAGATCTCACTCATCTGACCATTTCCGGCTCTAATTACTATTGCCCATGCGGTATCTTACACGGCTTCGGCCTCGGATGTAGGTCCGATGCGGATAAGATATACTAGGATAGAACTACCAAGTCAAGCAGGATACTGCTGGACACGAAGCAAGGTCCGGACATATGTCGGACAGTCCAGGCGGCTGTGCTTTCGTGAGTCTCCCCTTAGTTCCCGAGAAGCTGCTGGTGCACTTCCCTTGGCGAAACGGAAAGGCATTGCGAATCATAGCCTTGGCCGTAACAATCGCCGACAGACCATGCCTGAAAGAGGAGGCTACCAGCAACTCAAAAGCCTAACCCCGACGGCTTAAAGTTTTGCCCCCCTCTCCAACCGCTCATGCAGGCAATGAAAATGAGGAGATGCCGGGACAGTGGAGGGGTTGCCCGGCTGGCCGTCCGGTTGCTGTCGTTCCCTCTTTCCATAGCTGGGCTCATCAGCGAGTCACGGTGAGATGTCGCTTGCGCTAGCAATACTCTTCTGTAGTGGCACACAAGGAACAAACGCTTGACTGACCGTCCAATGACGTACATTCCACTTGGAGATATGACGGTCCACTTGGAGACCTGCCCTCTAGCACCCTACCCAAGAAGTCGCGGCTGGCGTCAGTTGTGTTTTATCCTCCACTTTCTGGCACTCTGGCGCCTCATGGCGCTCAGTGACGGGCTTCTGGCCCCGCTTTTCCAGTCGTACCTCAGAATGTATTTTGTATCCCCCTCCCCGAACCTCCGAGCTCTTCCCCCCTCCTTACCTGTAGAAGCACAGAGCGGGGTGGGGTTTGGAGATCCAGGGCCAGCAAGCGGCAGTTCTTGTAATCTGCATCTCAAGATCCAATCTTTCCTCCTCCCGAAATAAATACCTGACCCTGCCCGGTAAAGCAAGGCTTAGTGCGTAATTCCTCTTCCATCAAGGTTCTCATCGACCCTCCCTTCATCACATAAAACAGCCCATCATGTCTGCCACTGCAGGAAAGGTATGTTTATTTGCTTGTCATGTTCCCTGCTCCTCTTAGTTGCCCTGCTTCATATTGCGGGGTAGCTTGGGACAGCCAGCAACACTACCATTGAAGCTTTCCCGATCACTCCGCTAACTCAATGACCTCGCAAACAGACCATCACTTGCAAGGCTGCCGTCGCCTGGGAGGCTGGTAAGCCCCTGAGCATCGAGGATATTGAAGTCGCCCCGCCCAAGGCCCATGAGGTCCGTATCGAAATCTACCACACCGGTGTCTGCCACACAGGTTAGTTGGACCATATTTTTCCCATACCCCTCTTCTGCCGTCAGACCCAACCTCGGATTTACCAACCGAGATGTCTGCTCCAGCTTCGGGAGAGCACCCGATCTACCAAAGTTCATAGACCAGCGTATCAAGATATTAACAACGGCCAGATGCCTACACTCTCTCCGGCAAGGACCCCGAGGGTGCTTTCCCCATCGTCCTGGGCCACGAGGGCGCTGGTATCGTCGAGTCCGTCGGCGAGGGCGTCACCAATGTGAAGCCCGGCGACCACGTTGTCGCCCTCTACACCCCTGAGTGCCAGGAGTGCAAGTTCTGCAAGTCCGGCAAGACCAACCTCTGCGGCAAGATCCGTGCCACCCAGGGCAAGGGTGTCATGCCTGACGGTACCTCCCGCTTCAAGTGCAAGGGCAAGGACCTGCTGCACTTCATGGGCACTTCCACCTTCTCTCAGTACACCGTCGTCGCCGACATCTCTGTCGTCGCCGTCCAGCAGGATGCCCCCATGGACCGTACCTGCTTGCTCGGTTGCGGTATCACCACCGGTTACGGTGCCGCCCGCATCACCGCCAATGTTCAGGAGGGTGACAACATCGCTGTCTTCGGCGCTGGCTGCGTCGGTCTGTCCGTTGTTCAGGGTGCCGTCGTCAACAAGGCGGGCAAGATCATCGTTGTTGATGTCAACCCCAGCAAGGAGGAGTGGGCCAGGAAATTCGGTGCCACCGACTTCGTCAACCCCCTCGACCTTAAGGACCAAACAATCGTTGACAAGCTCGTCGAGCTCACTGACGGTGGATGCGACTTCACATTCGACTGCACTGGTAACGTAGGTGTCATGCGTGCCGCTCTCGAGGCTTGCCACAAGGGATGGGGACAGAGCATCATCATCGGCGTTGCTGCTGCCGGCCAGGAGATTTCCACAAGACGTAAGTTTCCACTAAAACCATTATCAAAGCCTCCTCATATGCTGACAATGTGAACAGCATTCCAGCTCGTTACCGGCCGTGTCTGGAAGGGATGCGCCTTCGGTGGTGTCAAGGGCCGCTCCCAGTTGCCCGGCCTCGTTACAGACTACCTCAAGGGTGACCTCAAGGTGGATGAGTTCATTACTCACCGCAAGACTCTCGGCGAGATGAACAATGCTTTCGAGACCATGAAGCAGGGTGACTGCATCAGAGCCGTGGTCGACATGCGCAAGTAAGCAACGGCTCTGGTTGCACGCTCGTGTGTTTTGAAAGTTACAAAAGTATACTGATAGTTAATACAAAAAAAAAAGTGAAAGCGATATCAACTCTCTCTCAAGAACACGCGATTCCAAGCTGTGAAGCCAGGCGGATAGGCGAGGTGGTGCTGGTAGTGATAGACGATTACGACGACAACGACGAAAACGACAGAGTAACGCCGCTCAGCCTGTCCATAAGCGAAACCGTATTATACAGCAATGTTCGATAGCAATGCAACGCCGTGTCGTGAGAAGCACTCGTGCAAGTCAGCCAATGTGGTGAGGTATCTTTTTAAGATCAGCAATGTGATGTGTGTTGTGTTGTGGTCTCTTGACTTTGTGTGAGCTTTGATGCCAGTTTAATAGGAAAGGTCTAGACCGCCGCCGTTCAGTCCAAATTCGGCAGCCCGACGATCACTCGCTTCCGGCGGCGCGCGGCTCCGATAACACCCCTCAAGGCCCCCGGTCCCCCTTCCAGGCTTGTTCCCTCCCAGGTCATGTGCAGGCAGTGTGACACGCCTGCAGCGCACCGGTCTTGATCAGATCCGGGAGGGCGAGCGGACGCACAACTTTTTTTTACTTTTCAGCTGCGAACCCCCGTGGGCCCCCGGTGGCTCAGTGGCCGCAGCACCTTTTCCGGTTGCCGTATGGGGACAAGCTCCACGCGTTTATGATGACCCCTCAACTATTGAACCACAGTCCCATTGAATCCAACTTCTCGTGACTTGCGAGCTGACCGGGGTTTGTCATTTGAATAGGATGAGTAACAGCATACAGGGATGAAGGATCTCGTCATTGTTGAAAGAAGACGAAGCCGTGTAATTAATCCTCTCAACATCGCACCGAGGCCGTGTCTGGATATTTGCCCCCCAGTGCCCCCCATGGCCCTCATAAGACGAAAGTACGGGAGAAACCATACCATTCTCGCCAAAAAAAATATGTATAGCCAAATAACAATTCAAAAATTAGCAGAATCGGTATCTAGCGTTCGGATTATCAACAGTTAGACTGGCGGGCAACCGAACTTCCGGTGGCGTTGTGTCGCACTGCCCGCGGGATCGAGGTAAGGAGCAACGGATACAGCGCCACATTCCGGCAAGCGCCGAATGTTCGTTGGAATTGGTACTCATTCACATAGAAAGGGAAAAAAAAAAAAAAAAAAAAAAAAAGGCTCATTGAAGGCAATAGAGGGAGGGAAAAGGAGAGAAGGGGGCGGTTTCATTCATCTTTAGGCGGTGGCCTTTATCCTTTTCCTCTGTCACCTACAGCTTGCTGGCTGAGACATTGTCTTACATGTCGCCAAGGACAGCCCCCGTCTGTAGTGGTTTTTTTATTGCACATACTGCAGACTACCTTAGAAACAAAAGAGAATGGCGGTTGCCCATTGTTCATTGTCTGGATTGAAGTTGAGCTAACATGACAACGTAGAATGTCTCGGGGGGCCGAGCCGGCTTTCTTTGATGAGGGAAAGGGGAGCTGGCTGGTCTCGCTGTAGTCTCCGTGTGGCTTTTTTGCTTGTGTGTTTCCTACCAGCACCGTACGGAGTGACCGTACGTTTTGTTTCCTCACCTTGGATCCCCCCCTGATTTACATCCATGTAGAAATCGGCGGGATTGCGAAGGCGCAAAAAGCTGGGGAATCGGACGATATGTCAAGGACGGGCTCGAATTGGAATGAACCGTGGGGAAATATTACTTCCGCATCTCGGCTCGGCCAACTCACCGTCCCGTTTGGTGAGCCGGTTTAATTTGGGCACATTCGACTGGGGTTGGGTGGTGGACAGGACAGGGCGGTCCAGTGTGCGAGCTTTGTAGGGATTCACCCCCGTTAGCAGAAGAAAAAACAGGATTCGGGGGGAGCGCATTGATGGTTGATTTTAATAGGCAATCAAAAAAAGCCCGACTGCAATTTCGAGCATTGTGTGTCGATTTGTTAACAGTCGGCCAAATAAATCGACAAATGGCACCGGGGGGTCGGCTCGGACGACTTTAGGGGGTAGGGGATGTGCTGTAAATAAACATGTAAACACCGCCCTCGGCTCCATATTTAGGGATTATGGATTGCTTGAGTGCCTCAAGATCGGACGTGGAGGGATGGATCTCGTAGGAAAGGGACTAAAGGGACACTCGGCGTTTCACTCGCAGATATTGCGTGGGCTCCAGAAGAGAGTCGGGGAATAGGAATCAAGCCACATTTGAGACCAAGGGATTGCCAACTTGTACAACACATGCCTGCCACTTAACCCCAGACGTTGGGTTTATTAACAGTCTGAAATGTCGATCAGCGGGTAGACTCAGATGGATTGGACAACCTCTGTTGGTGTGTGTTGAAGGGGAGAGTTGAGAGGATGCAATGCGGCCTTGGGCCTCTGCGGGACCGCGAATATTACAGCCCCGTCAGCCAGCAAGTTGTTGGTCTCGTGAACGACTTCAAACCATCCATGCACGTCTACCCCTCAAGGATGATAAGATAAGACGAGCAGGCCATGCCACGTTCGACGATAGCACTAGCAGCAAACAGTGGTGTCGCTAGCAACACCAGGATTGAGGCCGGAAGTTCAATTCGTATTCAGTTAATCATCCGCCGCTCGCAGAGGACATACGAGCAGATGGCTACAGGCATTCTGTATCGGCCACCAAAGATACGATGTGGGCTGGACACAAATACACAATAACTACGACCTGCAGCATATGTCCATGGGCAGCCTCCCTACGGATATACCCCAGCCGTGTGAGTGAGTGACCTTCGCTGTATCCCTGTCGACTGGATACATTGTCGAGGCTCTCTCTCCGATACCCTTGCAACCAGCCAATGGCCACGCTCCCAAGCGACTGGATGCAATGGCTGCAGCAAGCCAGATTCAATACGGTAGGAGGTCGGGTTGCACGGCGCTAGGCTGGGCGGCACTGTTGTTCACACAAGTTGGAGCTAGTTTGATGCCACATTTGCCTTTTGACATTTCGTTTCCCCCATCCGTCAGAACTCAACTTCTGTTTTGGTCAGATCAGACCAGTGAGAAATACCCAGTCCGTACATTGAGGCGTTTCTTTCGAAACCTGTTCATCTTGCGGAGCCGAGCCTGAGACGTATGCAGGCAGAGCAGCTGGCCTTGAGCAGCGCACAGACGACGATAAACGCCCTGTGGTGGGCTCGCTGCATCGCTCGGTCCAGCGGCGTCTCCCTCTCATATGAAATGCTCCCGCCTTCCAAGTGATGACCGTCACGGATTCACATGGTGAAAAGGGAATGTGGATGTCGCGGATCAGTTCATTGAGTGCGCAGGCACTTCATCTCACTGGTTCGGAAATAAAGCTTGCCCGGGACACAGTCCCTGCGATAGGAGGGCTTGAGGGGATTCAACAAGCCAGTCAAAGGCGAGGTTGCTCCCTGTTGTTAGTGAGAGCAAGGACTTCGGGCCGGTAAGGGGTCGCAGGACGCTTATCCCGTCTTAGGGGCAACTTTACTTTATTCTTGATTTCCGACGGCCTTTGTTTTCACGCCATTGCTACTGCCGTTGGAAAAGCGTAAAGAGCCGATGAGAGCAGTGAGGCTGTAGTGGCTGTCGGAGGGGCGGTTCATCGCAGCATTTGAGGCGCGAAGTAGTTTGGAAAGGCTGTGGTGATGGTTGGGGTTGGCTAGGTTGGCTAGGTCGACTAGTATGTGGGGGAGACATCGGGCGTAGACGTGGAAAATGGGAACGAAGACGGCAAAGGGAGGCGGCGGCGGCGGCGACAGTGTCGACGACGACGACAACGACAACGGGCATGACAAGGGCAACAATGGAAGACAATTGATGAGGGTGCGACTGGCGATTCGCTAGAGACCAAGCGTTGACACACAAGTCAGTCGTTCATCGGTCGCCAGCCATTTTCGTAGCTGGTTACGAACAGAGGGCAGACCGAGCTGGGATGATTGCTGCAGGTGACGGTCGTGCAGAAGCCATGATCCATGGGGCCATGCGATGGCATTACCAGTGCCATGCGGCGCCATGTCATTGCCAGACGAGAGTACGATGCGGGGCCTCTAAGCTGATACCTACCATCCAGGGTGTGTCATGGTAGTAGTTGTACTATGTAGGTGGTGAGGAGTCGATCTGGCTTAGCCCAGCAAGTATGATGTCCATGTTGGCATCAATGTTGGGCAACGCACGCGTGGTGTCCGCATCGTCCGCATCGTCCGCATCGTCCGCATCGTCCGCAGATGGTCCGAGGGGGTTGAAGGTGAGCTTGTGACATGTGTGTGGTGGAATAGCCAACGGTTGGTAGTCCTGTTGCTGCTGCTGACTGCTGAACACTACCACGGCTACTACTATGGGGGAGAGATGCTATCTTGGTCAATCGGTTTGGGTACGAAGAACACTGTTGCGAATACCGAAGCCATTGATTATGTGTATAATAAGGCAGATGGGGTAGCCACAAGCATCGGATCGCCTGCCTTCCCTCCTAGGAGCCTCTGCCAGCGTTGAACTCCGTATGTAATCTGGCTGCACTTGCCTCGTCCATGCTTGCTTGCCCTTACTCGACTTGCACTTGCCGAAAGGTACTCCCACGTGCCTTGTGAGGTGGTGGTGGTGGTGTGTGTGTGTGTGGTCTTCCGCTCCTTCCTGGACAAGCTGCATTTATTGAAACATTTTATTTAATTATTCTTTTACTTTTGCAAGAGTAGGTAGGTACATACAGAGTCACAGTGTGGTTGATGATCTGCATCGGCAAGTGTGCATTATCCAACACCTTAAGACCATGATCGCTTCTGATGTTGTGTTTTACTGACTCGCACCCGAGAATTATTTCCTCCAGATTTCACGCCCCAGCAGCCGTTCTGATCCTGCCACTGGCACTTAAAGTCACCTCATCTCGCCAATCCTAAACCACCGCTGACGTATCACCTCCCCTTCTGCCCTGCTTGACCTTGGACAAACTCATTTTTCAGATTGAGTCCGGGAAGGCACGGTGTCTCCGCCCTGTTAGACGTCAAATCTCGCCATGTCTGTCCTTGCCAGCCCGCCTGCTCAATTTACTTGGGTTCTGCTGCAACAGTCATTACCACATTGATGACTATGTCTGCCAGCGATCATACGCTACTCTGGTACACATCCGGCGGCAGCGACCCATCGATCTGGGCATCTCGGACAGAAACAGAACGGAAGAAGCACAACACACATGGGAAAGGCGTAGTTGGTGCTCTACGGTGCGATTGAGCGGCGCAGGCCCAGTCCAGTCCAGTCCAGCCTATCTCGACGACATTTCACCGCTTTCGGAGCCTTGCAACACCGTGTCATCGGCATTGCCTAGGCGCCCATTTGACGCAAGCCAGTGCTAATACAGGCCTGGGTGGCTTTGAACCTCGGGACTGCAGAGCGCCCAGTGTCTCGTCTCGCCCTGGACCCCCATCCCCCCGTCCCCGTCCCTGTCCCCGCTGTATTGCACACTACTGGTCCCCATCTGATTAACTTGGTACGTGTTGGGGTACCTACTGTGTGGTGCTTCGCTGTGTCAGCGCCGCCTGGCTTACGCAGGCTGGCTGCTGCCTTTCCCATCGCAGCAAGGAAACATCCACTGTTCCGGCTACACAAAGGGCCCTCCTCGGTATCGTTACAAGTACCCAGTCCCTTTGTGCTTGTACCTGACCCTGATTGTCTTCACTCACTTGACCTTATACCCACAATCCACAATACCTGCATTTCCCATTTTACTTCCGATCGGTCATCACCTGGACCACCGCGGTCTGGCCATTGGAACCAAAGCCCTGATCCAGGCCTCTTCCCGCACTTTTTACTCTCTCTTTCTCTCTCTCTTTTGGCATAGAAATTTTCGTACCTGAACTCTGCAGTTGCCTCCTCGCTGGTTGTTCCATTGGATTCTGCATGCGGGAACGGAAACTGCCTCCTTAGCACGGCATGGCATGGGTGATACTGGAGACACCGCGGGCACGGCGGACCGCAAAAAGAATGGCCTGGCCGTGCATTGCAGCGTGCATTGGGGTCTTTGCTTTTACTATGTGACTATGTACAGATCACCGTAGTTCATGGAGTGGTGGTTGAGTTGCTAGCGCTGAGGTCACGCCTCCCGTCCGGAACGACTGACCACCCGGAAGTGCGAATTCTGAAATTGAAGTCAAGGTTGACCATGCCTTGCTTGCCTTGCCTGCCTCTCCTGGCTGTGCTATGTTGCTTAGGTCTCTGGTTAATCTATCCTGCATTGGCGCCGCCGATGGGGACTGGTAGTGCCCTGCATGAGTGTTGGCCTTTCCCGTTTTCCCTTCCCCATCATTCAGCAGGAATAACAGCCGTGGTCCGTCATCCACAGACGGGTACGGGTACCTACTACACTACACTACGCAGGCGCAATCTGGGGGGGGGGTGTCTGCAAGACGCCCAGTAGGCACGCCCCTCCTCCCCATCCTAAGCTCCACCAGCCACCCTGTCCCCTGCTATTCCTTGTCCTGTTGTCTTGTCATTGTGAGCGCTTCTCCCGCCTTCGACCTGGGCCTGGCTTGCCTGGACCTGGACCTGGCTCTGCTTATTAGATCATCACTGACCGACTGACACAATTCGCCTCCAGCCGCCCTCTCCTTCGACCTTTATTACTCACCACCATTTCCACATCGTCCTGACTTTCTTCTTTCCTTTCTCACTTCTCATCCGTCTCCTTGGACATCTCAGCCTCACCCTTTCGTCTCGACACCTTCCATTACCCTCGTCTTACAGCGAGCTCACCGTCGACAACCTCAACCCTACTTTCGACGCCTCACTCTTTTGCCTCGCTCAAACAGCGTCGCATCACCGTCTGACCCCAAGCACCTGACGATACCCCCCACGTAATCAACACCAACACCTATCCAACATGCCTCAGAAGAAGATTCGCTGCACCTTCAAGGAGTGCAAGGATGCTGCCCAACGCATTGTCGGAGACTGCGGCTTCTGCAATGGCCACTTTTGCGGCAAGCACCGTCTCTTAGAGGACCACAAGTGCGACGGCTTGGAAGACGTAAGTTCTAGTTCTGATGATGGCGAGTGCTTTTGGCTTCTTGGCCTTGGCACTGTACTACGAGATCAGGGACTTTTGTATTAACTTGTCTGGAAACGCAGTGCAAGAAGCAGTCTCACGAGCGCAACGCCGCCCAACTCGAGGCCGAGCGTACCCAGGTCATCCGTGGTGTATGAGGATATTCATCCATTCTTGATACCCATTTTCCCAACTCAAATCAAGGCGGTTATCTGCACGATTATAAAACCTCCGTCGAGATGCGTGTTGTCGGTTAAGAACCACTGGAACACAGCCTTGGTTTCAACAACAGCCGTTTGGAATTTGTCCGATTTGCGAGACGGACTCTACTACAACACTGCACGTCCCCCTCACCACTTTGGGACCTCTGCACGATATGATGGATTCTCTTTGATAACAGTTCCCGCGAAACTCGATGAAGTTCGCTCTCATCATGCTGAAAGCGACGGCAGTAGCGACGGCGGCGTTTTTTTTTGCTTGGATTCCGTCCTCACTCGCGTCCATCGATCTAAGGCGATCCTTTTTTCGTTCGCCCCGAGTCGTACACCAAGATGTGTATCATATCTCTAGCTTAGGATAGTTCGGCTTTTACTTCCTCCCGCACGGCGTATCGGCGCATGGTTTTTTTGAGCGGCCGCCATAGAGGGGACTGGTCGTCAAATTTTTGGATTTATTCAAATTGCATTTTTCATTCAATCTTACCAACATTCTCCTTTTCTTCCTAATGATTATTATGATGACTCTCTCATCGAGTGACGAATGTTATGGGGTGCAGCATGTCCGGCAGCCGAGATGACATGACTGGGCCGGGGTTCACTTGGGAAAGTTACCGCCATTTCGGCTGAATGAGACCACGGACGAACATTCCACGTCAAACGGGCCATGCCCCTCAGAACCTTCAGCAACAAGGCCAGTCCGGCAGCGCTGCAGAACAACAACATGTTTCGGCTTGGTCCTGTCGTCTTCCTTGTTCCAGGCTTTGATCCTCTCCCTTCTTTTTTGTCCGGTCTCTCTGCCCTTTGGAGAGTGCCCGTGGCACGCCATGCTTCACCTGGCCGTTTCCGTCATCCTCTGACTATGCGAGTCAGTGCCCGCCCAAACCGCTCAAACTGCCCTCGCCTCCGCCTCCGCCTACCTACGCCGTGTCCACGTCACACTGTGAGGTATACAAGAGGGGGTTGATGATGACGGCACAACACGGAGCACGGGGCACTCCGGCGGGCGAATCCCGGCGTATCTCCGATATCGTATCTACTGGACCTTCTTATTTTTTTGCCCCTTCTTCCACTACCTTCTCCCTCTCTGCACAGTGCACTGCTTGGCTTTTGATGACTCCCTCCCATGACTTCCGCCCCTCCTCTCAAATTCGGAAATCCACCGAACGTCTCGGGTCCCCTCTCCACCGACGCCCGAAGCGAGGCAGGCACGCCCCGGACGCTTCGAGGGGATGCCTCTGCCGTCGTCCCAGAACTGGTCATGTTGCATTCCCTGCGCTGACGCCCGTGAGCGTCGCAAGAAGTAAGTTTTGGCAAGATCTCTGACCTTCTTTTACATTTACTGGGTTAGATCGCCTCGTTATCGGGATGCAACCACTGCCACCATTTCCCTTCACCGCCTCCCTTTCCTTAACACACCCTTGCCGGCACCTCCGGTCGGCTCGCTTACTGCCGACTTCTGTTCCCCCAACTCCGACGGCGGCGCGGATTTGGGGTCGACAACCTCATTCACAACCTCGTCTCTCAGTGTCGTCTCATCAACGACTTCTTCCGTCTTAATTACAGCATCTCCATCCACCTCGATCTTGACCTCCCTGGCCTTCCGCCCCTCTATAACCTTCTTCCTCTCCGCTGCCTTGCACAGCCCGCTCAACCCGAGCTCGCAGTCACCGCACCGGCGTCCGACAGGCAAGCACACTGTTTGCCCGAAACCAACAAGCAACCAGTTAATCTCCCGCCACTTTTCGCGTGGCAGCCAACTCTGCAACGCCAACCTCGTCGCCTCGGGCTGCGTAGTCTTGTGCCAGCCCCAAAGGTTCGTGATGCGGTGTACGTGGACGTCCACACCGATGCCCTCGGTGCGGTCCCACGCGGCCGAGAGGCAAAGATATCCCATCTTGGGGCCCACGCCGGGAAGAGAAGTGAGGCCCTCTATCGTATCGGGAATATCATTGTTGAATTTGTCGCGGAGGATTTCGGCTGCTGCTTTGATGTATCTGGAGAGGTCAGCTCATGATCGCGCCCAATCCTCGCATTTCACGGTCGAGAAGGTAAGCTTTAGAAGGATGGCTTTTGACTGACTTAGTCTTGTTATTGTGAAACCCAACGGCCCATATCAACTCGTTGAGCAGCGCCGGTTCCACAGCCAGCACGTTCTCCAAATTCAATCCACCCTCCGCGCCTTCTTTGTGCGGAGGCAGCTCCGTCATGAGCCTCTTCATAGCAACGGCATTGACTGTATCTTTCGTCTGGCTCGACAGCATCAGCGCAATGAGAATGTGAAACCTCCTGTCGCGCTCAGAGGCGTCTGGATGAAAAAGCCTTTCGCAGCCCATTGTGTCGACGGCCGCGTCACGCGCCGGGCCATGGAGACGCATCTCCTTCACGGCATTATAGATTTCTTCCCAATCGGATGGGGGCTCGACTCGCAAATCCTCGCCTTTGATCACGCGGGCTGGTTTTCTAACTCTCTTGGCTTGTGTGGGTTTCGTGGGTGTCAAGATTCGTTCAGTCTCAGCCTGCTCGGTCTTGATCTTTTTGTCACCAGTACCATCGTCATCTTCTTCTTTCTCCACCTTTGTGACTCGTCTCCGTTTCCTGCTCCGCGTACTTGTGATCGCGTCTTCAATGTCATCGCCTAGGACTACGTCATTTGTCGCCGACTCGGTGGCCGAGTTGCTATTGTCGCCGGTGTATGCGAATCGCGCGAGGGAGGAGCGAGTCGTTCGTCGCGTAGGTGGCGGCGGCGATCCGGCCATCTTGTTGAACACGGCGGCCGTTTCTTTCGAGAGGCGCGATGCCCTCATTCTTTCCTTAGGACTCTATCCAATTAGCAACTCCCGTAATCGGTTCTCCGTTTATGGCCGACGTTTTTTTTTTTTTTTTTTTCCCTGTAGGGGGAGGAATCAAGAATCAAGGTCGAAGGCTGAATTTGGCTGAACCGACGAACCCGTCTCCTACGCAATTGACTTTTGCCTGCCTGAGCTCGTTTAAGACGTGCACGCCCCCCTCTACGTAATCGCAAAAGGGACCAACCCAAAGGGTCCGTTAAGAAAGTGGGTAGGGGAGCCTACCCCTGGAATCGTACTAGCGCAAGCCGGATAGCCGGGATGCTGGAAGTGGCCAGTGCGTTCGGGATGCTAAGCGAGGTGCGGCATCCTTGTTCGGGATACACTACCGGGGGATCGGTGTGGCCGTGGCTTAATAGTTCGCTCGCCATTAAGCATTGAGGACCCCCGTCTTATTCGTTTGGAAACACTTCATGGTACGACGTTCGGGAAGAATTATTGAGTGTTCGTGTCGTACTTTTGGATACGGAGGGACGAATGGGGCTGCGTCGGTGTGAGTATTGATTCGAATGATTGTCATGTTCATTGGCGGCGTGGGCGTGGCGGAATTGGACGTACGGGTATATATAGAGCAATGTTCATTCTCGTGTTGTTTACGGACTTTAATGGGAGAGACAGGTTTACAAAGATCGTGTATACATCGATTATCATACCGAAACCCTCCTTTGACAAGGGTTGCTGATACTGCTTTCCTATTCATATTCAGACGTCACTAACCACACAATTTCCGCCATGATCGCCCGGGGGTGCATGGTGGGCATATTGCTTTTCGTCTATTATTGATTCAACTTTACGAGAGAATAAAAAGGGAGCGTACCGTTGAGTCTCATCGATACGGATAACGCCTTCATCGTGGACCAGTTTCACTTAATCAAGAGACAAATGTTCCTAAACTCTAATCTGTGATGTGAGGTAGTGATGGGATTATTCAATGTATTAAAATACATAATGTTGAGATAAAACGATTAAAGAAATCTCCACGAGGAGCAGGTATTTACCCATCACGCTTGCCCGAACTCCAACCCCAATGTATCAGCCCATGAATCAGCTTAAATGACAAACTCCTCGTCCAGCCAGTGACGCAACACAACCCGTCCTTCGCCGAACGACTTTTTCTCCCACCGCACAATTATAGCAGCATGGCTGTGCCGGTCCTTGTGAATCCACACATGATACTTATTCCAACCAACCGAGTCGAGATTCTGAATCATCTGGAACTGGTAAGGCGCAAGTGCGAGTGTGGGCTGCGAGGGGATCGACATGCGCCGCTCCCGGGCCAGAAGCTGTGTTGTGCTGCGGTCCATCTCCTGAGCGTCCAAGTCGTCGTCGTCCGTCTCTGTGCCGAGGTATTCCTGGTCCTGTGAGCTGTTGAGTGTCTCGTAGACATGCTCGACCTCCTCCCGAATCTCCTTCATCCACAAGGGCCCACGGTACTCCTCGATTGGCACTCCTGACAAGCCTTTCTCATAGAGCTGGATGCGCTTAGAGGAGCGCATAGTCTGGATGACAGAGTTAAAGAGAAAGGCAACAATGCCGATGGGCACAAAAACGGTGATGGCGGCGATCAAAGGTATGCGCTTGATCCATTTTACACCAGCGGTTGCCACGGACGAGAAAGTGGCTGGACCGTCAACTTTAGGCCGGGGAGCTACAGGGTGCTTCGGGTCGAGGATGACATCTTCGTAGCCTTGGAGGTAGTTCACCTTTAGGTTATCCAGGTTCGTGTATGGGTCCGTTTTGGTGATACCAGTCGTGTAATGCACGGCGCTCTTGTCGTTAACAATATTAGTGTAGAGGGTGCGGCGCTTGAAACGCTTCAGCCCGGCAAGGAAAATGGAGTTGGGGTCGGCTAGAACGGCGAGGAGAGGGCGGCCCGTGTCGCGGAAATTGTCAATAGTGAAAAGTTGACGACCAGACATGGAGAGAGTGCGTGCTCCAAGAACGTTCCATAGGTGGTTGTGCCATCCGCGGAGCGGTGTGCGAACACCGAGGTGTGGAGAAGCAAACGTTACAAAGTTCTGGGCTGGAATCAGCAAGTGTCATTGAAACAATAATTGTGCCGCCATGTGCTCTCACCATGCATTCCACGGTGTCGAGAATGCCCTTGGAATGGAGCAGACCAACGGCATAGCGGGAAACAAGGCCGCCGAGGGAGTACCCGACGATGCTAAGCTTCGTGATCTTGCCACCCTTTTCCTCAATCAGTCGCAGCTCCTCCTCAATTTCTGCGCACACACGCTCGCCGCCGCGCTCGATACCATCATACGTAAAAGAGCCGCTGTTGCGTTTCGCTAACAGCAAGTACAGCTTGTTGGCCGAATGTTTTGCGCGTAAGCTTTTTGCAATCTGGGCCATGTGGTTGGGATTGCCCCAGAGCTATTCGGCCGGTGTTAGCTCAAACTGAAATGTCATGACGTAGTCGCAACTGCAGGATAGATTGCGAGCATAAATTCAAGTAGCAAATAGGGGGCAGGCAGTACGAACCCCGTGGACCAAGACGCAGAGATGGTCGGCCTCCACGGTTCCGCCGGTGTAATCCATTATGTAGTGGGATGAGATCAGGGACCGGCCGATAGAGTGTATGGAGAATGGCAACAACTTCTTTAAGAGAAGGAGATGTTTGTTGGAAAGGGATCCTCTAGTGGGACGCGCACCGAGTTAAATTCTCGGGGCGACCGCAAGAGAGTCCCTCCAACGGAAAGTCCGCAAAGCCCGACCGGGGCCTGAAAATCCGCTCGGTGGCTCCTCGAGGGAAATTCGATGACACTAACACTACCTGTAGAGCTGACACTCATGCAGCCAACAGTGGACTTAAAAGGGGATAAGGCAACCGTGGCGACGTGTAGTGGTGTGCCTTCAGTGCGCTATTGGTGCAATTGCTGGTACTGGTACCTTGCGCCGCGCGGCTCCGGGGATGGATTGGTTGCCTATCTTCCGTTGCAAACAGGTCGCTAATTGGGTCGTTATCGGCACGAGCACTCGACCCTCTGGAAATGGAATGCTTACACGCAACTACTACACAGCACAGACGGTTTGGGGGCTATGGTTGGTGACGGCACGCTGCAGGATTTCCTCGTGGATATTAGGCCCTGTTCTTAGCCGCATACAAACTGGAGGCGGCAGCTTGTTCGTCTTTCGTGATTGATGTGAAGACCGATCCTCAAACTATTGAATGATATATATATAACATGTAGATGAAGCTACAAGAGTTGCAAAAGAAAAGAATTGTGGGATACCAGCGGTTCATTTATGTCTGTAAGATAAGATAACCTGTCAGAAATTCAGCGACTCCTCACGAAGGACGCAGTTACGATCTACCTCCAGATAACGATCTTTTGATAAGTGATACAGATGGTTCCCCCATTGTGTCCTGTTCACCGCCATTGGTTTTCTATGCAACCGTTGTCCCGCGATAGGAAAGTCCATCCTCACGAACAGGGCTGCCCATGATTGTGTCCAACGGCTTTGTGCCACTAGCACCTGCCGGGGCTGAAATACCGGCGGCCCGTTATCAACGGCTGGCTGAATGGCTTCGTCACCAGTAGTTTGAATCGGCGTCACTGGGGCGTGGGGTGGTTGCCCAAGCTGCATTCCTGGCTGTAAAGCAAGTAGCTCAGAAGGGAGAAGCACTGGAGGTCGACCGTTATGCGCCAAGCAGTGCTTCCCATAAATGGATGGACGGAGATCAGTCTCTAATACTTTCAAGATAAGAAGTCTAGTACCTCGCATGGCTGACTATTCAGTGGACGGGACTAGTCATGCTGCTGCCAGAGGCAACGAGGACAAGAGGACTGGTACAGGCGAAGCCATGTTTTCTAGCATTAAATATTCTATGCGCTCATGATCATTATCCCTTTCAAGAACGCCTCTGTACTTCCATTCCTGAGCCGACATGGGATGGTAGATGGGATAGAGTTTACGTTCCTGAACTGCCGCGATAAGGCTCCAAGGGATCAGGCAGCCCCTTAAAAATTCACGACAGTAACAAGAGAATGGCACTAGTTCATCAGGGGCGGATATGGTGGTTCACAAATGACAGCAATCCGTTGCTCTGGGTAACATGAAGCGGTATTGAGGTCTGATACTCTCTAGAGATTTTTGTCCGAATGAGAATGAGGTAGGTGGAAAGGAAAAGAAAGGCATTGGAATAAGGAAGAAAAGAAAGCTCGTGACTCAGCCTGATTGACGATCCCCTAGGAGATATGTGACCGAGGAGAAAGGAAAAAGCAAGATGACGACGAAACCCCTGACTCCCGATGCCGTTATCATGTCCATGAATAATTTAGAAGCTGAAGCACGCAGTTGACGCTATTGGACTCCCTCCACCGACCTCTGGAATGAAGGCTTGTGAGATCTGGACCGTCGCGGGCCAACGCTGACCACTACCCCCACCCCAGCTCCAATCAGCTCAGCTGGACACCTTACCTAATCCGTGTGACGCTCGGAACCTCTCTTCATCCCAACTCCGACTGCATTTGAGACACATCAACCACCTGTGACACAGTCCCAAACCATTCCACCTTTATGCCATGAACGTTTTCGTTGTCTGGTGTGTGGTCCCCGAAAATACTTGATTGTCAACCCATCCAATCTCGCATCATTCCCGTGTCAGCCTCGCCCTGGCTATCTTTGGCCCGTTGGCCGGTGGCCCCCCGAATTCTCCGACTACGACGCCACTTTCTATCACTCAACAGCGGTTTTGGCTATGGGATCTTCGCACCTCTCCCCCGGATCTTCGAGGCCTTAATTGACGCGTTCACTCTCGTTCTGTCTCCATCTCCCTTATGAGCAAGCTGGGCTGAATCTTGCTCTCCGTTCAGGGCCTAGGTCAGGCTCTTGCTGTTGCTCTTGTTCCTCAAACAACCGTCCTAGAGCGGCACCTTCCTCTATTGAATTACATCAACAGGAACGGAAAGAGCGGCAAGATCGCTCCTTCTCCTGCTCTGTTCGATTAGCTTTTTTGTATTCTTGTATCACCACTGCCGTTGAAAGATCCCGTCACAATGTCCTTTGTCGACCTCAAACACATCCCCTGTCCCGCCGGAGACAAGTGTACTGCATTCCAGTGCCTCTTTCAGCATAAAGAAGACAGGGATAAGTTGGCTGCTGCATCAGCACCTACCGTCAGGCCGGGGACCTCGGTGCAAAGACTGACTGATGCCACGACGAATGCAGCCCAGGATGGCCCTCGAAAACGTCTGAAAGTTGTTCAAGACGTCAGCAGCCCGGCCCATTCTGCAAGAACTCCCACTCCTGTCAAAACCGCCTCAAAACAAGACACAACCGCACCAAGACCAGATGACACTCTGGCAGCTGTCTCTCGGCCAATCTCACCTCCACCTTTAAATCGGCAAGCCTCCTCCTCTCAGGCTTCTGTTGTGAAGAAGCTGACTCAAGCTCACCCTGTCGTTCCTTCTCCTTCATCTGACCCCAAATCCTTGAATTCCTCCAAGTCCTCACCTTTATATTCAAGTAATCACCCACCAAAACGCAAGCTTGATTCACTTTCTAGCTCCTCATTTACTGGCACTTCTGCCACCACTCCAAAAGCAACGTCGGTCTCAGACGACAACACCATCACTTCCCCTCACACTCCTCCAACTCCATCCAAGGAGCCACCACCTAAGCCCAGGAAACCTGAGGCCCTCAACCCTCGCTTGCTGAAATCATCACCTGCTAAGTTCGAGCTTCGATACAAGCTTGTGCAGATGCTATATCAAGAATATACTCGTCTCAACAACGAATTGAAGAAGACAGCCAAAGACGACGAGAAGCAACTCGTCCTTACAGACCAGGATCTCATCTGGAGAACCCTCGACGAAGAGGAGAGCATCGCCATCGAAAAAACCGCCGTTTACTCTAACGTAATTAAAAACAAAATCATGCAGTACAAGAAGATGACATTGCTCCAATGGAAGGAGGAAAGAGTTGTCCAACGGCGCCAACAGACGCAAAAAGGCCCTCATAAAAAGTCACAAGCCTCACCCAAGAAAGTGGTAACGGGCTTGACACCTGCCCAAGAAGTCCTACTTGTCCGTCGTCTTATCACACCCATTGACGGACTCGCCAACCACGGCTATGTCTCGTCTGTTCCTAGCGAGGCTGATGTCGACAAGGCTCGCCAGGGTCTTGAGGCTGCCAAGGGCTGGGAGAAATGCGATCGCTGTGAGAAGCGTTTCCAGATGTTCCCTGGCAGAAGAGAAGAAGACGGAGCTCTTGCCTCAGGCGGCAGCTGTACTTACCACTGGGGCAAGACATATTTCCCCGAGCGTCAGCTTGGCGACAGGTCCAAGCAGCCAAAGCGCTACCGCTGCTGCGGCCAGGCCGTTGGAGACTCGGCTGGCTGCTACACTACACCTCATCACGTCTTCAAGGCCTCAGATCCTAAGCGCCTCGCTACCGTCTTAAACTTTGCCGAGACGCCTGCCAACCCCAACGTTCCTTCCAATAGAGCGGTCTGCTTTGACTGCGAGATGTGTTACACTGTTTATGGCCTTGAACTTATCCGTCTCACGGCCACTGCTTGGCCTACGGGTGAGGAGCTTTTGGACGTACTTGTCCAGCCTGTTGGCGAGATTATTGACCTCAACTCGCGCTACTCCGGTGTTTGGCCTGAAGATATGGCTTCTGCTAAGCCCTGGACAGCCAAAGAAGAGGACCCGACCCCGGCTCAGGCAAAAAACATATCGAGCCCTAAGAAACTCAAGAAGACAATGAAGATTGTCTCGTCTCCTGAAGTAGCACGCGACCTTCTTTTCTCCCTTATCGGCCCTGACACACCTCTCATTGGCCATGGCTTGGAGAACGACCTGAATGCCGTTAGAATTATTCACCCCACCCTAATTGACACCGTCCTCCTCTATCCCCACAAGTATGGTTTGCCATACCGCCAGGGCTTGAAGATGTTGATGGATAATCTCCTCAACCGCAAAATTCAGGTCGAGACGGCTGGAAAGGTTCAAGGACACGACAGCGCAGAGGATGCTCGCGCTGCTGGTGACCTCGTCCGCTTGAAACTCTCAGAAGAATGGAAGAGTATGAAGATTAAAGGCTGGAAACTCGTAGGTAACGAGTTTGTTGCACCAGGTGGTAAGACCGAGGGCGACTACCATGGGCAGCTGACGGCGGAGTTTCTGGAGGCCGCTCTTTGAAACTGGTCAGATCACATTCATCATGACTTAACTTTGTTTTGGAGTTTCTGGGGATAGGGGATTTTCTATTGAGCATTGGAGGCGTGGATTTGTCTAATGATACCTACCCTTAATAATGGGGACTTTCTAATAATAATTGGGCGTTTCATGGAGTAAACATCTTGCAAACAAGCATAAGTGCTACCTTGAGATCCTTGAAAGATGTGGACCTCTGGTGTTTGTTTCACCTCTTGTCGTCCTACTATTACAAACTTTGTGTTCTGGATGATTCATTGACTTCGCCCTTCTCAAAGACATGATGCTATACCTTTTGCCATAGTCATAACTTCCCACCTCGAAGTCGATGGTTAATATACATAATTGCAACTACTTTTGGCAAGAATATTCCCACCTTGCTTCAGCCTTTGGGAAGACATGATAGCATAACTTCAACACATTTTAGTCCTCGCATGCTAATGACTTGTTTCTGCGTCTGTTTACTTCCCACGGTTTCTGCAACAATTCATTATCGCCTGGTTCCATCCCGGGGTGCCCATTAGAAAAATAGACGGCAGGGGTGTTAGTTGTACAAACCATTTCAAGTATCTCTCCAATAGATTCTTGAGGATAAATAATGACTTAAACTGGAAACAACTCGTTATTTAAGCCTTGAAATAGCGCTTTGAAGAAATTCATCGGCTTGAAAAGTGACGCCCCTATCGCCAACTTTATCTTTTGGCAAGCCCCCAAAGTATGAAATGGAGTTACAGAAAGCAGTTGCTCGGAATTGTTGAAGATGCCATTATCATCAATGCCCGCCGCTCCGGTACGGTTTCTTGCCATCTTCCGCTGATGTTGTTTGCTCGTCCAATGGCTGGTCAAAAGGGCGAGGAACAGAATCACCCAGTGGCAGAAGCGACAGCCATGAGCATTGATCGGTTTCTGACGAAATAGTACCTAACATGTAGCCAAGCGATAGACATCTGCTGAAGCACTGCAACCCATATCAAAGGCTTTCAGTCATTGGGCAGCTATAAGGCAGGGTTGCCGACGGTGAATGTATAACGAGAGAATGCTGGTCTTAACGAAAGACGTATGCAGTCCAACGATATTGAAGCTCTGCTGGTGCCTAAATAGGACGTGTTATTGAGGAATCGTCGCGACTAAACTTGATTTAGCCTGCTGCTAGCACATGCTGCATCTCCAGTGCCGATGCCCTTTATATTCCTTCAGATATATCTGGTTATTTTTTTTTTCCTACGTGCTACTGTAACTCATGCCCACTGTTCTGTTTGCGTTTTATCACATGACAGTTATTCCGGCGTGACTCTCGCATTTTCTACAATACCTTGAAGCATCGCCCAGGAAGCAACAAGAAGAAATGCGACGGACAGTCTGCAGTAGCCACATGAGCAGCTGGCCTAGTTTGTTTGGAACGATCCATCAATTTAACGTAGACTTGTAGAGTGGTCCGATATTTGAACAGGAGGCAGAATTCATTGCCCTATGATTACACTTATTGAAGCGGTGACTTGCCTTCAAGGTCTATAGTACAGCATCGCCATTTTCCTCATCCTCGCTTCCCCCTCCCCTTTTCATAACACTTTACGGACGTCCAACATTCAACAGCATTTGGCTTCCATTCTTGCCGCCACTAGGCAAGTAGGCGACGTTGGGGTTGCCAGAGAGGGTCTGGGCAATCTCTCTACTAGCCTCAATCTTTCTGATCTGAATCAGGCCGTCGCCAGCCTTGGCAATTGCCTTGGAAATGGTGTCGGCACTCTCGGCCTCACCCTCGGCGCGGATAACATTGGCCTGGCGTTCCTGCTCAGCTTTTTCGACAATAAAGCGCGCGCGCTCGGCATCTTGCTGAGCGATCTGCTTCTGCTCGACGGCCTTAGTGAATTCCTTGCCGAAAGTCATGTGAGTAATAGAGACGTCTTCAAGGGCGATGTTAAACTCGGAGGCGCGCTTGGTCAAGTCGGAACGAATACGGTCCGAGACGGCCTCACGTTGCGTGATTAGCTCTGCAGCATCGAACTGCGCGACAATAGACTTGAGGACCTCATTGCCGATAGAGGGGAGAACTCTCTCGTCGTAATCTTGGCCGAGGTTCTGTGAGAGGTGTCAGATTGTGGCCGTCCGCAAGATGACAAGTGAATAGAGCCTACCTGATAAATCCTAGGGAGCGCCTGAACCTCAGGTCGATGCAGCACGCGGAGGGTCAGGCTGACCATCTGAAGATCCTTGCTGCCAGTCGTTGTGGCGATGTTCCTTGGCTTTGTGCGCACGTCGAAGATGATGCTTCTTTGCAGCCATGGCACAAGGAAATGGGTACCCTCGTTAATCACTGACTCCTTAACACCCGATAGCCTGTCAAAAATGACGGCTCTGCTTCCGCCCTTGACATCGTAGATAGACGACTGCAGCACCGCGACACCAACGGCAGCAGGGACTGCCAGGCGGTACGCGAAGTTGAGGGCCTGAGCCATTGTTATTATTCGTGTTTCGGAAGATTAAGACAGGAAATCGAGAGTCGTGCAGTCCTCCGGCGGAATTCGCGGGCTATCCGGATGGCGTTAAAGTGTGGTGTTGGTGGGCGGTGGTGCTGGAGTAGGTAGTCTTAAGCTGTCGAAAGCTCCTCAGGCTGCGGTAAGCTCCGTCATGGAATTTTGGGCGGGTGAGTAAAGCCGACCGGGGTCGTCAGGGCGGTTGGTGCACTGGACCAGTGGTGACGGAGAGAAAGGCGCAAAATACGCTAATCCCTTTCGGGACGTGCGCCTCAGCTTTCGGGTTCGGCAGGAAGGGGACAAGATTTGAACCTCGTCTGATTTGACCCTTCATATTCCCAGCTTAACAGCACGACTCTCTACACCCGGTTGCACATCACCGTCCACCACAACAAACCGCCACGATGAGACCTACGCAAGCTCTTGCTTCGGGACCTAGTATCCCTCACGGCAAGTACGGCCAGTAAGTCACTGCCCCCGTTCCCGGTCAATTGGGCTTGAAGGAGAGCGTGCGGGCTTTTCCGAAATGAAAGCCGAGATGCTTCCTTCATTCCGCCTCTTCGCGCGACGGTTCCAATTGCTCTATCTGTGCAGCCTACTGACTTTTAATAGCCACCTCGGCTGGTGGGGTCACATTGGTACGTTTTTCTGCCACTTTTTCGATGTCAACGGGCCAGGACGACGCGGTTGAGCGATGCGGGACGGGCAGTACTTCGAAATCGGCTTTTACGATGACGAAGACGAGAAGGATGATGGACTTGCCGCCGACACGCCGCGCGACCGAAAAACAGGCTCTGGAAGAGTGGAAGAGGAAGGAATGACAAACTGACGGATGTGCAGGTGGCGAGAAGCAGAGAGGTATCATCACCTACGGCCTTTCCCCCAACCGCCAGAACCCCCTCGCCGGTGCCGCCCACGACGCCGTCTTCAACACCTGGCGCCGCTTCAGCGCTCAGGTTCTCTACGTCCTCCCTCCCCTGGTTGCCGGCTGGTACATCATGGACTGGGCTACTCACCGGTAGGTCGCTCTTCTACCTCTTGATGAAGCCTCTTGATTGCGCAAAAGCTTGGGCTAACGAATGTGCTCTTTCAGTAACCACTACCTGAACTCCAAGCAGGGCCGCGCTGAGTTCGGTGACTCTGAGGAGTAAATCAACCTCATTGACAACGGTGGACGATAAATGTTAGAGGTGGACCAACGATTCCCTGTGTCAAACACGTGTACATCAACTACGTAGAGGGGGCAATATGGAATAGAACCCCGATTTTTGACGATTATGAGCCCTTCTTCCAGCCTCTAAAAGCCTTAACATGGCTTGAAAGCGTATGATCCATGAATGTACAGCCTTGAGCATTTTTTTCCCAACTTTGACAGATAATCATGCACTGGACTCTCGCCTGTACCACTGTAATTAAGTCAGCCTAAATCATGTAGAGACTATCACTTGGCACATTGAATTCCTCATGTTAGTATTTGTGTGCATAGTTGCTTTTGCATCGCTGCCGTTGACAGCTATCATGGCATTTCCATCATTTTACGCTGACATTTGCACAATGACTGCATCTTCATTGGTCGACAACAGTCACGTGCATTGACCACCGAGGCTGACCGACACTGGTGAGCACTCGGCACGGATTTACCTATCGGCCGACGGGAGTCCACCGCCCAGCCAGGTCCCCGCCGAAAAAAAAGTTGCAACAGCCATTGGGGAAAAAATCGAGTCTCAAATCGATCAGCCTGAAGCTTCAGCACCCGCCACACTCGTTCTACGATTTCTCGTAAGAACGTCCATTCACTTGTCTCGTACCTTTTAATTCGTCTTATAAACCAGTCCGTTTTAAGTTTCTGCACAAAAACCGATACAATGGCCGCCGAGAAGCCTGACAAGAAGGAGAAGAAGGACAAGAAGCGCTCCGTGTCCGACGGTGCCATCTCCAAGTCCAAGAAAGACAAGAAGGATAAGAAGGATAAGAAGGAGAAGCTCGAGCGCGCCCTCGATGAGCACCTTCAGGCTGACGTCGCTGCCACTGCTGTTGCCAGCGGTGACATTGCAACCAAGGCCGCCGATGGCCTCCCCGTCGTCGGCGCCCTCGTGCCCTTCGCCGTGCCATTGGCCGACGAGAAGGCCATGAAGAAGGTTATGAAGACCATTCGCAAGGGTAAGCACCTTATTTTCTCAATCATAACAATTGATTCCTAAAATTCTTGGAATCTGGTACTAATTACCATCAACAGCCGCCAAGAACAACACCCTGAAGCGTGGTGTTAAGGAGGTTGTCAAGACTCTCCGCAAGTCCCCTGCTTCCGGCCCCAGCAACACTTCTTTCCCTGGCGTCGTTGTCATTGCTGGCGACATCTCCCCCATGGACGTTATCTCTCACATCCCCGTTCTCTGCGAGGACCACAATGTTCCCTACATCTTCGTCACCTCCCGTGCCGAGCTCGGTGCTGCCGCTAAGACTAAGCGACCTACCTCCGTTGTCATGATCACCGAGAAGCGTTCCGCCGCCGATGCTAAGAAGGCGGAGAAGAAGTCTGCGGATGCTGACGACGAGGATGACGGCGAGGATTACTCCGAGGTCTACTCTGCTCTCGTCAAGCTTGTGCAGAAGGAGACGGCGAAGCAGTCTTTCTGGTCATAAGGAGGCTTCAGGAACAGTGTGTTTTTGTAAACGCATGCATACATGACATGGTGGAGACGAGGGCCTATGTTATATCAGGTACGAGACAAGATCCTTCGGAGTGAGGCAGAGGGAGGCATTACCCTACGTGTTGACGGTGTTGGTTCATGATTGCAAAAAGGCTTTGTGGGGTGTACTATACCTTCCTTGCCTTGCGGCGCGGACATACGGGACTTTTTGGCTGGAAAAAGAAATTGGCGTTCTAACGGTGTTTGCACGAGTATAGTTGATACTCAATAAATGATTTTCACATCATCAAAACCTTCGTTGGAACCGTCAGGGTGCGAAGGTGCGGAGGAAATTTTGTGCTTCTCTACATGAGAGTACTTTTTGTGATTCCTTGTGCTGTCGAGCAGTCGTCACCTAGACGTTGCTGCCCAAGCTTTGCCTGTGAATTGCATGCTTCGTACGCCTGGAGCACATGTCAAGCTGTGCAAGTCACCGTGACTATGGCCGCATTTACCACATTCTGGTTCACTTGCAGTTGTGAACTCATGAAGTGCCAATCTTTGCAAGCTATGTCGGGCGGTAGCCCTATAGTCCAGACGCAAGGAACAGAGAGCGTTGTCTGCCTTTTCACAAATTGACGTGATTGGGCTAACAGAATGCAAGATTGAAGTAAAGTTGTTAATTTTGTCAATTAAGGGAATCATGGCCGAGCAAAAGTGGAAATAGAGGTACATGATGTTCCCTGGCCGATTTATCTCGACTTTCCCGCATTCCATGACCTCAACCTTTCCATCCCATGGGTAATAGCACACGAGCAGTCTCAATCATCGGAGACTCTCAATTCAATTCATAAGACATTAAAACCCTTTAGTCGAAGGGGTTGGTGCGGGTACCCCACCAGGTAAGGAAGACAGAGAGACCAACAGTCTCAACAAGCTTGGCGAGGACGCTGACGCCGACGGTGTCAATGGGACGCTTCTCAGCAAAGACTTGGGAGATGTACTGCCAACATGTTAGCTGGAACCGCAACGTTTGCAATTCAAAAGCTGGAGAGCTTACACCGGGAGCAGAGGTAGCGAAGAAGATCAGGCCGCCGAGGTAGGCAGCACCCTTGTAAGACAGGGTACCAGTGGCGTTAATGAGGGCACCGACACCATAAGACTGCAGAGCGGAACCGACGAGGGAAGTGCCCCAAGCGACGGCAGCTGAGTTGGCCTCCTTAGAACGGATGAACTCCTCCTTGCTGTTAGCAGCCTTGGCGCGCTGGTAAGTCTGGCCAAAGAGAGGAGTCAAGACTGTTAGGAAGAAGATTGGTCAGCTGGTGCGGGCCTCTCAAAATGGTGGTGTGACTTGGGAATCTGGATATCGCATACCGGCAAGCTCAGTTGTATGGTTGAAAATGGTGCCGAGGGCAATCGCCGAAGGCTTGACGGGGGGGAGATCTATTGGGAATCAAAGTCAGTAATCTGTTGAGCATCATTGCACATTTCCATTGACGATGCTTCGAAACGAAGACCCGAGGTTGATGAACCATGATCTTGATCGGCACGGTCGCAAATGGAGAGCTTGACTCCTTGCTCGTCTATCAAGGGTAAAGGAGTAGACTCACAGTGAAGAGACATGATGACTGGTCTTTGGGTATCTAGTGATGAAGAAATAGTACTCAAGTTCGATTGGGTTATGAGAGTGATGTAAACAAAGGTCTAGGTCAAGAGATGCGGGAGGGGCAGGCTTTTATGTGCTAAGGAGGCAAGCTATGGGTGTGAGCTACTTGTGACCTCAGCCTCTGCACGCAAGTGGTAAGGAGCCAGGCCAAGGCAAGAGAAAGTGCGCCTTCAACCTCCCGCACAGGCGAAACAAAGCTAGCTGAGGTAATGCAAGCCATAACAAGGTCTCATTCCCTCATCGACGTATGAGAATACCTCAGGCGAGGGTGATAGCTATGCGCACTAAAGGCGTAGTTGAACATGGTACATACAGGGGGGTGAAGGCATGCCATGCCACAGGAGCGAGCTTCTGCTTGCTTTCCTTGCTGCATGTGTGTTCCAAGCTCCAAAACCAGACCAAGCCTCTTTCCCCCGTGTGCTTTCCCTTTCCCCCTTCGTAACTTCAAAGCTATTGCCCATGTCTTGTCGTGGTGTCGTCACCTGTGCCATGATGTCACCACCGTCTTCCCCCGCTGAACCCACAAATGACCCATGGATCCACTGATCATTGGTCGAGGCCTTCTTGTGGGTCGCCTACCCCCGGCTAACTACCCGCCTCTAGCCTGTCACCTGGGATTGAGCACATCCCTCTCTGACCTGAGCTGTTCGCTTTCTCGGAGCTTGTCCTCCTCCTACGCAACAGTCGTAGCCAGGTCTGTGGAGCAATGCCAAAGTAATCTGATCGGCTTGAGAATTTTGGTGGCTTGTGCCCCGGCTAAGGCAGCGCAGGTTGACCGAATCGACCCATCATGTTTCCGATGGCTGGACCCACGAATGCGCCCCTTGGCCCGCCAACCATCGCCTGGTTCAAACTCTAGGCCTTATTTCTAGCCCTTTCGTCGATTTACGTAGTCATTGTATCATCTGTGTGTACATCGCTCTTTCGAACAGTCGATGCCCGAAATTACCTTCGGTAGTATCCGGGTGCACTAGCCCAGGAACGGGACAGATGAGAGACGCGGTTATTACGCGCGTTGACAAACGCATTTGGTGTTAACGATTACCAAAAAAAGAAGAAAAGGAAAGAAAAAGACCATGTCCTCCCGAATTTGCAGGGCTGTTGTTCCCTCAATGCCAGTATTGGCTAAAGCTTGGAAGCCTGGCATGTATTTCTGAAGCTGAACATCGTACTAACATCACGTCGTGTCTCCCGAACTCCTCACCCGAACCGTTTGTCAGAATTTCTTATTAATACAGCGCTACACCACGTAGTTGAAGCCGTCGGTGTTCGCTTCGCTATCCCCATGCCAGTACACCACATTTGTGTCTACAGTCCAAATGATTACGCCATATGCTGACCATCCTCACCTCCACGCAACGCAAGCAACGCTCTCACATCTGACACGTACTGCAAACCTTCAAGAAGTGGTACTAGGTGGAGTAGGTCGTTGTCCGTTGGGTCGTTGATCCATCCTTGGATAGGAATTGCGTTGTCTGCGCACACACAGGTTAGACATGCTTTAATGGGCGTTATCGGATACACTGTGCTGCATACCTTGATGAAACATGTAACTCAATGGACTATTGTCCAAGATCATAACTTTACTAAGATCTGGTTCGACTGAGCTAAGATCCTTGATGAACGCGCCTTGTCGGAATGTGCAATGTTGCCTATAGTATCGTGCCGAGAAGAACTTTCGCTCAGCCTCTAGCCAATCAATGACTGGATCAGCGTATTCCTGTACGGAGGCTGTGAAAACGACGAGATTGTACCATTTGCAAACCTCAAGCTCATGTCAGCATGTCATGTTTATTTTCGGTAGCTTTAACATGTCTTACCCGTCGCAGGAAGTCGTCACAATGCGGGCGTTTGTTAACCCAGTATAGAATTGGATGTTGCGGTCCGATAGATGTCTGGCCTCCAGCGCCCACGTATGTCTGGTTGAGCCGGACTTCAACCATGTGTCCGGTGCTCATCCGACCTCCCTTAGACATGCTATGGATCAGAGTTTCGTCGAGGTCCAAGATGAGCGTCTTTTGGTATTTGGGATCGGTAGGTTCGATGTTCAAGTATGAAGGTTGTCGGCGGGGGATCAAAGGTCGAGGAGGAGCTGGTGTCTTGGGATATCTGGTCAATGCACCAGCTGGAGATGTTGGCGATTTGAGCTGTGCGGAGATGTCGGAGCCACCTGATTCACTCTTGGGGCGTGCCGCAGCCGATTGCGTCTTCCTATGCTTGCGCTGGGGAAGAGCATCGTCACTGTGTAGCTTGATACGAATAGACCTTCGGGCTGGCGCGATTTCCTCTGCGGAAGACTTAGATCGAGAGTGTCGACTAGGGGAACCTCGGCGCTGGCGATCAGCATCCGACTCCGATTCTGAAGATAATCCTGAAGATGATGACCCTGATGATCCGATTGGCCTCGAGTAGGTAACGCCTCCGTAACCAGCGCTCCCTTGCCTCCCCGATTTCTCGTTCATATGGCTTGATTCAGCAAAGTCCGTTGCAAGTTTCTTACTGTTCACGCCGTGAAAACCGAACAGCTTCTTCAATTGAATAAATGGTGAAAATGCGCCCGTATCGTCATAGAGGCAGGCTATAAGGTAAACTCCAGGGGCGGCAAGTGTAGCCAGAACCCAACGAATCGAATTGATAAATCCAACAGCCATGCGCCGCGGTAGGGTGTGCCATGAAGTCGACCTCGATCCAGAATCTCTTGAATCGCCTATTAACGGCGTGGATTCGCTGGCGAGATCCATACCATGGCCATCATTGTGCTGCTCGTAAGCAGATTTCTCGAGCGGAAAGGTTTCCTCTTCGTGTGTTTCTCCGTGCTTCTCTACGCTCTCGCCGTCTTGCTGGTTGTCGTCAGACTGAACCGCTAGGCCAAGCGACCCCAATGAGTTGGACCGCGAAGCTACCGGACTTGGGGGCGGAGAGACGCGCGAGGTAATGATGTTTAGAGAGTTCATCTTTGACAGGATATATAATCCATGAGGCATGGGAATCGACGACAAGTGCGATGCGTAGGCCGGGAGTGCGAAAATATTCAAGGATCGGGAAAATAGGGGTATTGGTGGTCAGGAATGTTCCAGACGTTCCGCGATCAACGATGCGATGGGATAACAGTCGCGCCGGTTCAAATGGCGGTTTTGCGACAAGTCGAACAGCGCAGCAATCGAAGAAACGAGTGAATGGATGCGTGTTCGTCTATTACGTGTGTCGAAAGGAAGTCGTTCGTAAATCGAGGATCGGGTTCTATCGTCGATTGTGTCGAAAGGTCCCAAGCCTCGGGTAGGCCAAAAGGTATTCCCCCCAAATCCAAGGAGTAGCAGCAATCAGCTCGCCATGGACAAACAACGTGTTAGAAAAAGAAGCGCGAAAGTGGTGGCGCTGGGCGAAAAAAGGTTCGTCCGTCTGGTGCTAAACGAACGCTAAATCGCGATGTAGCCGTCAGCGCAAACCTATCGACTTGTGCTGCTGTGCTGGGCTACCTTTGACCAAGGGTAGTAGGAGGGGATAAGTGAGTAAAGGGTCGGTCGGGTTGTCGGGAGTTCGAGGTGTCGAGGCGGCCGGGGGTAATGGTTGAGATGGACGGTAACTTTTTTCTGATTGGAGGTGCCAACGACGTCCAGAGGGCCCGATCTGTTTCGCCAGACGTTCTTTGAATGGACTGGAAGCCGCGGATGCAATGTGCGAGGGGAGGGATGAGGGATGGAGCAGCTCTCAACACTCTGCAGGTCTGCTGGGTCGGGCTGGGCCGTTGTGACAGTGGTGGTACTGTCCCTGCAAGCTGACGCTGAGACGGTACTTGTGTGTCTAGGTGCTACTGTGTTATGTGCGGATGCTAGTGTTCTTGCAGGTGCAAGTGCTCCTGCTGGGGGTTACACTGCTTGCTGACCCTGACCCTTCCCTTGTGGGGGATGGAATGAAGATAGCCTGCTGGATGTTCACGTGTCGAATCGTTCGTCCATTTCGGTCTTCTTCTGGGCGTTCTATTTGTTCTCTCAGTGATTCAGTGGGCTCAATGCAGTTTTTCGGGGGGTCATCTACAGCAGGGGTGGCCAGCTGCTGCCAAGCGGCTACGTAATTGATGTACCTCAGTCCACAATCTAAGGTGTCTTTACTCCGTACCCAACAGGAAGTACAAGGTTATTGTATGAACCTTCAGGGCCTGAAGCTGCTCTGGGCCTTTTTTTCCCCCCCCTTCCCTCTTCTCCCTCTTTGCTCCGTCCTCTTTTCCCAATTGTCATACAAGCTTCGGGCAGGGCTTCTTCTTTCAGCTACCCCTCTATAAAATTTTATGGGTTTTTCGGCGATGGCTTCTGATCTGATCGCACGCATCCATCAGTCGATGCCCGAGCCATTGCGGCCGACATGTGCTCGTTCATGTGAAGAACCAACTCCACTTTTTGAGGTTGTCGTTGGGATCTTTGATTAAACAGAGGGATGGCATAAATCGGGAATTGCAGTATCGAGTCTATCACAAGAACAGCGTCGCACACCCGATCCACGCCTCGTATCCGTGTTCTATTGCCCTTCAACCATTCGCTGGCAGCCATGTCGCTTTTCCTCAACCGTAACTCTTACATGAGATCGCATTTATTCGTGCATAGGTGTCAAGTACAGCGTCAGGCGGACGAAGCGCAACAGCGCCCAATGCTTCTATGCTCATTAAGAGGATTGGCCACTGACATTTCGGGATGCGTTTTGCTTCAAGTAGCATTGGAAATACTGCGATGACCACTGCAGTCACTATGGCTTTAGACTGCGCTTTATCATTTTATTTTTTACTATATTTGACCATTTTGAATCGAGGAACGCAAACAGGCAACGTGAGATAATCTAAGCAGGATGAGATACTAGTTCCTTATGTTCATCGTAGATCCCTTGAAAATCACCCCATTATAGCAGAATAACAGTTGCGTCTGTTTCACGGTTATCATCGCACTGCAGTAGTGATTGTGGCTAACGAAAGCCTCGCAGCATGTCATTTCATAAGAAGGTAATCTTTACGACGCTTAATTTGTTTTGGTTAAAATCGATGATGAAAACTCAACGCTTGAGATCCTGAAAGAACACATCAAGTTGGCGGCTGTCGACTTGTTAGTGACTTTGTCATATTAGCTTAAGTTCAATCACTCAATCCAAACGCAATATCTAACTGGTGCACCTAGCTTCACCCTAGAAAGAAGAGAATTGTAGAGACGCTCACTGGATCGCACAACGCCCTAACGCATCACTGACAGAATGCTTCTAATCCCAACGTCACTTTGCAGAGATGGAGGGGCATCTGCTAGTGGGGCGGCTCATCCCATTTATGATTGGGAATACTCTACAGGCCTTAGAGCGGGTTGTTTCGGGCCGAGTATTGTACGACCAGTCATAGCCGCCCACTGACACCAGCTGCCCCCAAGAGAGCTGGTGTAGCCACCAGTGCCCCTCGAAATTTTTGGCGTGACAGGGGTGGTCTCCATTGGGCCTCTCTCCGAGCTTCATGTTGAGTCACAGCCGTTTGCGCACAATTTCCAATTCACCACCTAGGCCGAGCCAAGCCGGAGAGACGACCATTGAATTGTGCACTGCGCGTACTGAGAGAGCTGAAGATTCTCTAACCCTAATAATCAATCTTCTGCGACTTCGGCAACCCCGCGGCAGCCCCCAGCCATCTTGCGATAGCCCCGCGACTCCTCCCATCCTCGGCTCTTTCAAGCAGCGACTGCCACGTACCAAAAAATGGCTACTGTGAAGCCCAGCCAGGGGGACCTCGAGCGTTACCTCAAATCGCTCAAGGGCAAGCCCTTGGAAGCTTCAATTGACAGTCTAATTTCGTACGTAGCGTTCCTGTCGCCTATTGGTGTCATCATCTAACCAGTCCGTCGCAGGCTTCTGAAGCGAAGACAGGTTCAGGGCTCCGAGCTTTGCGCCGTCGCGACCGCCCATATCCTTCTCCAAGTTGTGGCCAAGTCAAAATGGTCCGATGTCGATCAACTTCTGGAGAAGATTCAGCAGATTGGTCTGCGCCTCATCGCCGCCCAGCCCAAAGAACTTGTTGTGGGAAATATTGTCAGACGAGTGCTCAGTTTGATCCGAGACGAGGCGGCGGAAGACCGGAACGAAGATGTCAGTGAGACGGCTACCGAAGCAGGAGCAACGCCGACAACAGCGGTACCAGACCCTTCCAAACTGGAGCACCAGTGGCCTCCTTCTACGTACACCAAGCAGGATGCTGGTGCGGATTATATCTCGAGCGGCCCGAGACCGGTCCGTCCCGGTGCTCTTACCTCTACCAGCTCATTTCACGTGTCCAAGTCTCTATTCTCCCTGCTTGAGGCATCTCCTCCAACAGATGCCAGCGCTATCATGGCTGGTTCACCATTCGGCAAGGACTCGGGCGCCTCGACTCCCCTTCGTGGACAGTCGACCAAAGTGCATGCTCTTAGGTCAGAGGTCATTGAGGGTATCGAGGAACTTAAGGATGAAATCAGCCAAGTTGATGACCAAATTGCTACGGCTGCTGATGTTCAAATTCACTCTGGTGACTACGTGCTCGTCCACCAGCCCTCGGCCACTGTTCAGAAGTTTATCCTCCGTGCCGCCACGAGGAGAAAGTTCACTGTCTTTATTGCTTCGGAGCCTACTCGTAGCTCTAACGAGGCTCCCTACGCATCATTTAGAAAGAAGCTGGGGGCCGCAGGTATCAGCTCAATTAGCATCCAGAACGGCGGTATGATGGCTTATATGCCACGTATCAACAAGGTCATTCTTGGTGCAAGAGCCGTCTTGGCCAACGGAGGTATCCTCACAGATGCAGGAGCTGGTGTTATTGCGCGTGCGGCTAAGGAGCAGGGCAACCCAGTCATCATCCTCAGCGGCGTCTACAAGCTTTGTCCAGAGAGCTACTTTGACGAGGAGAGTCTGGTAGAATGGGGCAGCTCTATGAGCCGTGTCAATTTCGCCGACGGAGCCATGGTCAACGGTGTCGATGTCCGGAGCGCCGTCAGCGAGTTTGTGCCCCCAGAGCTCCTCGACACATACATCACGAACCTGTAAGTTGATGTCGATCTTGCATGTTCAGGATAATAGCTAACCAGTGAGGATAGTGGTGCACACTCTCGTAATCATTTGTCGACTATTATCGCAGATCATTACAAGCCAGAGGACGTTGACTTTCACCTCTGGAGCACTGAGGCTGACCGATGATGTTGGACACGATTGAAACTATGAGAAACGCCTTGCATTTAACCCTGCCGGGACGCGACAGCAGCGTCCGCGGCCCTGGTAGTGATTCGTGGCCCCAAGGATGAAAGCCAAGGAAGCTTTGGGGACCTGACCATCGGCATGCATAGCCTGGCTCTGTACAGTACACTAATCCACGGTTTGGTCATACCATGGTAGCCCTTTGGCCATTCTAGGGCTAGGGCCGGTTGATTCGGCAGTACGGCGTCAAGTCGGAGTGGTTTTTACAGCAATACACTTTTAAGGGTCGGCGTTCCAACGGCGTGGGAGGCCCACTTGAGGGGAGGGGCTTTGGCTGGGGCTTGGGGGGCTTGGGTCGTTGGGTTTGTGTGTGGCAGGCCAAGGTGCACTTGGCAGTTCAGTCACACACCTCGGAGGTGTGCACTGCTGCCTTTCACGTTCGCAGGAGGGCCGCGTCAGCCATGGCATGCAGCGAGGCTTCTCGAATTTTGTGACTCGAACTACTCAGCTATTGGACTGAAGGGAACACGGTGAACACAATTTGGGGGTTAACATCTTTTTGGGTTTTTTGCGAACAACGCGTCCTCCTCGTACCTTTACTGGAAGGCCGCTGCGCCTTTGGAAGGCAGGGGTGTCCCTTAAACAAGCTTGATGCTTATCTTTGCCTGGCGGTGGGCTCGGCCGCGCCGCCTGGGCACCCGATGGGCGGGGTCCCCTCCTTCGGTCACTGACGAACTGTGGTTCGACAGGGACGCAGGTAAATAACTTGTACGTCGTAAGGCTACGCGAACAGGGACTCGGGAAGGCTACCATGAGGAAAAAGGTTCGTTAGGTTTAGTGGGAAAGCATGGGGGCTTGGGATGGATGCACATGCGAGGGGCGTGGATTGGAGGACGTGGAGGATTGAGTCAACGGAGTTTAGCCCAGCCCAGCCCAGCTCGCCAGAATGCCATATGATCCCACCGCATGCGTGTGCCGGCTTACCGATGATTCCTTGATCTTTTTTCTTGTCCTACTCATCATTCTCAAATCCACAAGTTTCTCTAGCAGTGGACAATTATTAACTGCATTTGACAACTACACTGACAGCAGACAAAATTTCCATCCTATCCCTGCGGAGTCATAGCTTCACCAAGCTCCGTCGCCAGCTAGCTCCAGGGTCATTAGTAACGACACCGCCCAAATAAATTGTCACCGTGAATGGCCATGCGGCGGGCAGATATTGACGACGTGCCGCCTCCACCGTATTCTGAGACGGACATCTACTCAACCGCCGGCCGTACCGCGACCAGCAATACCTCAAATTCACCACACATCCCGCCAAGCGCCGATGATGCTGCATCAAGGGTCTCATCCCACGCCTCGTCGACTCAGAGCGAAGTCATATTCACCCCGCCACTGACACCCCGCACCAGCAGCGGTCTTCACCAACCCCGTCATAGCCGTCACGACTCATTCTCCAACGCCAGCCTCTCGAACAATGCGCCTTCGACGGTATTTTCAGACTTCGCAGCGGCTTTTTTCGACTCCCGCCCTGCGCCAGTCCTCTCGCCGCGTGAACAGCTTGTTCATACAATCGCCATCACGCCAACAACAACCCCAGACGATATCCCCTACGCCTCAACCTGGGCCGCCCGCGATATTACGCAGCAGGATTGGGCGACCTTCACGAACTTCCTGATCCCTCACCACGCGGCAGCCCGCAATGTGGCCGTCATCAACCGCAAGCTGCAAGCTGAGGAGGAAGCGGCTGCTGCAGCTGCCGCCGCTACGTCCAGCGTGAATAGCATCAGCGGCCAGAGCCATGCATCCGCCCAATTAGAACAGATTCGCGCTGACCCTGAGACGGACCCTGGAGCTGCGGCAGCGACTGGAGGCCTAAGAAGGGAAGACGCAGAGGGCGTCATTACGCAATGGAACGAGGGCTTTTTCCGCCCGCGCGGCATGCTTGTCAGGCTTGCACCGGAGGTCGAGGAGCTACGTATGCCGGGGGCTTGGGATCAGTCCTTCGACAGAAATGTTGACAGTCCTGCCTCCGCCGGGTTAGGCGGTCCTACGCCTGTGCCATTCCCTGTTCATCCTCATCAAGGTCCGGTACAGCCGCAGCCTGCGCCTTCTGCATCCAGAAGCTGGAACTTCGCGGGAATCAGACTGAGCGAAGACGGTATCTCCATCGGAGACCGCTTTGTCGCGGACGTAAACGGCATTAGAATGGGAAATTTTATAGCAGACGAGAGAGGCATCAGATTCGGGAACAGCAACAACCATAACAATAACAACACCCCATCCCGCGGGCAACCATATGTCGGCCAGCCATGGCATCCTGCTCCGGGTCCAGGGCCAATGTTTGGACCTCCCGGTCCCGGACCATTTCCCCCGGGACCCCACGCCCCTCCTCCAGGGCCTCCTCCAGAACACCCCGGCTTTCCAGGACATCGCAGGGGCGGAAGCGGCCGCGGTCGTCAACACGGTAGGCATGCCTCAAACCACCGCCGCTCATCATCATCTTCCTCAGAATCATCGGATTCATCCACCTCTTCCTCCTCTACGACGTCTTCGATAGGTTCCTTGCCCGATTACGATGACCTCTATCCGGAACAGCTACCAGTCTACAAACAACGGGTAACAGACTGGCTCTCCCATCCAGACTTGCCCGTCACAAAAGCCGACATCACGCGCCTCCGGTCCGAGATCCGCTCCGCAAGATCAGCTGCGAGAGAGCAAGCAAAGAACTCTGACTCCGCAGCGGTTTCAGGAGCTCCTGCCATCGACGAGAAGGCGCTCAAAGCGGAAATCAAGGCTTTGACTCAAGAATGGCGCAAGCTCAAACGCCAGCAGCGTGCTGTTCTTAAGGAGAAGCGCCGGGAGCGGCGCGCGAGGAGACGGGAGGAGAAGAAGGAGCGCAGGGAACAGAGACGAGAAGACCGGCGTGTACGGAGGGAGAATCGACGACATGGTAGCATGGGTCATCATCATCAAAGCCCGACGACGTGGGGTGCGCCTCCGCCGTTTCCGCCTCCGGGCGTGCATGTCCCACCACCGCCTACAATGCCCGTTCCTCTTGTACCAATTGTGAACCCTCCCCAGCCTCCGGTCATGCACACACCCCCGCCGCCGAACGTTAATACCCCGGGTAGCTTTCCATGGGGCGCACCAGGCAGTGGTCCTGGCATGAGCTTCGCCGGGGGCTACCCCGGAGCTGCCCCCTGGAATGGGGGATTTGGTAGAGGTTGGGGAGGCGGTCACGGCCGTAGAGGTGGCTCGTTCAATGGCGGGTTCCCTGGCCCCTGGCCTGTCGCAGGCGAAAGAGGCATGGAACCGTCCTCACCAGCAACCCCAGCGCCACAGCCCCCTTCATCGCAAGCTCTCTTCCGCGCCGTCGAAGAGATGGAGCGAGACTTGGCGCAGAAGGTGGAAGAGCTCGACAAGGTCCGTGTCGAACAGGTGGCGGAGGAGACGGTGAACTCCTCCAACAGAGGTGGAGGGAGATGCGGAGGTGGGCGTAGTAGAGGATGGGGACGTTGTGGCAGGGGTGAAAGCTCCGGTAGCCAGCAGGCGGCACAGCGGCTGGAAGAGGAGATAGATGCGATATCTAGAAACGTGGAGAAACTCAGGGTTGAAGCTGATGCTGAGTTCGCGAGGGAACTGGCAGCAGAGGAAAGGAAGGTCAGCGGAGGGTGGTAAAGAGAGTAGTAGTACATACACATGCTGGGCCTAGTACATGATAATGTCGTGGTTATTTGGGAGGGAACTTTTGCTTCCATTTTCGTGAAACCACCGTGCCGTGTCTATTTTTTGGTCACCGTGCTATGATGCGCCGTATCCCGTCATAATCGTCTTAAACCCGTGCATCAGTACAGAAGGCTCGTCCCCTTGCGCGCCCACGCCCCTTTTTGAGTCACACATCCTTGTTTCCCAAGCGCTTTCGGACGCCTCGTCAGGCAGGCGGGGGTAATCCTGAACGAGGTCCTTTTGGCGATTCATCGAAACGTCTTCAGCATCGTCACTTTCCAATCATGGATTGCGGAAGAATGCTCTCCTTCCTTTCATCCAGAACCCCACTACATAGACCTTCCCCCATTTAATATCCACTCTCTTGCTGTCCAACATGGAGAATCGTGTTCAGACTCCTAGTTCTTGCTGCTTTCGTTCTTTTCAACCAGCTCGCCGACGCCCAAGCCACGGCCGACCTTGACCTTGCGCTTCTTCTCCGTAGCAGCGTTAGGGTCACGGCCGACATCACCGACGGCATCGCCCTCGTCAGCAGCTTCCGCATTTTCCTCCTCGCGATTGCGCTCGTCTTGGATCTGCTCGCGAATGTAGCTGAGGTCCAACTTCATACAGTAGGCGTCCTCGCCGTCGGCGTAGTACTTGTTCTCAACCTTCTCTGTCTTGAAACCCAGGGTATCGCGGTAGAGGTGAATGGCGGCCTGGTTGGAGACACGAACGTGAAGGGAGACATACTGGGCACCGAATGTTTCGACCATGGCGAGTTCTGTAGGTTTTGCGTTAGTCATGCGGTGAATTGACGCATCAAGGCTTATTTTGCACTATGACGGAGCCTGGTTTAACGGGGAAAGGAGGACATACGACTTTGACGCATCAGCTTCTCGGCAATACCCAGACGACGGTGGGTACGCATGACACTGAGACTGGTGATGTGGCCGTGCTGCACGCCGTCGGTGGGCTCTTCCTCCATCTTGGCCAGAACGTAGCCGACGATCTTGGGGTAGTCGTAGGGAGTACGCTTGGGGCGGGAGACATCGACGGCGACATAGCTGAGCTGGGGCCACGAGAGGGCATGGTAGAGGTAGTATTTAAGGAAGTAGTTCTCGGGCAGGTTCTCGAGGTTGGCGTGCTGTATGAGGGGGAGGTCGGAGGACTTGAGCAGACGGATATCCATGATGGGCGGTTTTTTTCTTTTTTTCTCTTAGGGTGGGAGACCCGGAAGGAAGAGCCAAATCTATGTGGTGACGAGAAACGAGGCTAGGTAGTAAGCCTGGGCTTATCTCGGTCAGTCTGTAGTTGGCGCGCAAGGCTGAAGGGGAGGGGTATGTGGTGTGGGTTGGGTCGGAGGTGAGCAGTCAGCGGAGAGGGGAGGTGAACTTTTAGAAAGGCCCTGGTCGTTGGTGGCTGCTGCTGCTGCCGCAACCCCACCATCGCCGCACGAGGCTCCGAGAGTCGCTCAAAGCTGCCCCGCCAATTACAATTGGCAGAGCTTCCAGTAGGTATTCTTACCGTCAACACACGCTTTTCTCATATGGCCTTACCATGCACAGCAGAGTCCGTTGGTTATTATCGACCTCTGGTTTTCGGCCCGTTTTTCTGATGTGAATGCCTTTGGCTCCTCAACGAATTCATGAGCTTTGCCGCCTACCCATTTCTCGGGGTGTTCTATTCCGGCAACTTTGCTAGATGCTTCGTTGGTTGCAATAATTACTTGAGACTGAAACAGTACCACAACGGCCAAATCATCATCCTGCGACAATTTCGTTGCTCTTCATATCTTACTATCTTTCATTCCAAAGCCGTAGCAAGCCCGTGTATCTGAGTAAAATAACCTCATTAAAGACTTCCTCTATTCAAAATAAGTCATACCGACGCTTCCAAAGGAGCACACACTCATGCTTCGGTTACAGTGAGTCTACCTCGGACTCTGTAACTACACTCCGACTTGTAAGTCCAAAAGTCATACTCGAAAATGAAAATGAATTCAAAACCCTTTGCAATTTCCCAGCTGCAAACTCATTTACCAACAACCCTCGGCATCACAACTCTTCCTTCGTGATGATCTAGAAGCAACAAGCCCCTTCAGCGCATCAAGCCCTGCCACAGGATTGGCGCGGGAGAATGACGTGGGGGGTTCCATCTCAGCGCCGTCGCATCCACCACCGCGGGGCAAGCTCCAGCACCTCCCCGGTATTACAGGTGCCAGAACAACTTTGGCGATAGCGGGGTAGCTGCTCAGAGAGCTTGTCTCGAGGGGCACCTGCACCAGGATCTTTCCTGCCACGAGGACGCGTTCCATTGGCGCTCAATTATCACCTCCAAACAGCCTCCGTCGGGTCACGAGAACTGTTAGCATTGCCGATTTAGGCACCGTGTTCCATAGGGTTCCAATTCTTAGCTCGGACTCGGGTAATCCCTAACTCGCCTTGATTTAAAAGACCTACCTTGTGGTCCCCGTCCACTTCCCTTCCTCTTGTGTTGTGATCTCTTAATCCTTTCCTCTATGCTTCTATACTCACGCAGTGCCGTCATCTTGCCAGCTCGTTGATCTCTCAAGATTATCTTACATACCAGTTCCAAGAACAAAACAATCATAACTGTTTAGAAAAGAGACACAATGGCTCGTTCTCTGGAAGGCAAGCTCGGTATTGTCACCGGTGCATCTCGAGGTGAGAAAATGCCTATCAAACCTCTCTTCAGTATCTGAAATTCCAAACTAATATGTCCCCAAGGCATTGGTATCGCCATCGCCGAGAACCTTGCTTCGAAGGGCTGCAACCTCGTACTGGGTTACACTTCCCCTTCCTCTAAGGCCCCCGCCGAACAGCTGGCCGCCGACCTGCGAGCAAAGCACAACATCCAGGCTCTGCCTGTACAGGCCGACATGGGCGACCCCACCGGCCCGCGCTCCCTCGTCGAGACCGCAAAAGCCCATTTCCAAAAGGACGGCAAGTTCCAAGTCGATGTGATCATCAACAACGCCGGCGTCGCCCAGAACAATCTCCTTCCAGACGTCACCATTGAACAATTTGATGTCTCCTATCGTGTCAACGTTCTCGGCCCTCTATTGTTGGTCCAGGCTGTCCAGCCCTATCTCCCTACCGACAGGAGCGGCCGCATCGTAAACATGTCCTCCGTGTCTTCCTCCCTGGGCTTCCCGGAGCAGAGCGTCTATGGCGGCACCAAGGCGGCGCTGGAAGCCATGACGCGCACATGGGCGCGCGAGCTCAGCGAGAACGCCACCGTCAACGCAGTCAACCCAGGTCCCGTCCTTACGGAGATGTACGCAAGCAACACGCCCGAGTTCAAGCGTTATATTAAGAACTTCATCGAGCATACCCCCCTCATGCGCGCTCGTAAGGGAATTGACTCGGACGAGTTGGTTGCCGATGCTGAGGAGGCTGGCGGACGCCCCGCTTACGTTGGAGAGATTGCCGGTATCGTGGGCATGCTTGTCTCTGCAGAGTCGGCATGGTGTACTGGTCAGGTTGTATGTGCCAACGGCGGCATGCTGTTTGGCATGCAGTAGAGCAGTGCAGTGTTATGATTGACGACGAATGAGGCGGTGCTTCGGTTTTTATGAAATAGACTTAGAGAATTGATTCCCCGATCCGCTTGAACTAGTCATTCATACAACACATGAATCCTCCGTGATTACACATTGATTAACATTGCAGTTGTACTATCTCGGTCCTGTCTTGTTCCGCTGAGCGTGAGATGGTTGAGGCAAGAGCTGCTAATTCACTAGCCAAAAAGTCGCTGAGTCAAACTCCCAATTTTTGCCCCGCCAGATTTGAAATCGCCCCTCCATCACACGTTTGGCCTCAATTCAACAAACCTTGACCAAACATTGCCAGTCAACAACTCATACATCATTAATATCAACCGGGGAGAAGGGAAAACCAAGACGGAAGAAGAAAAAGAAAGAAAAAAAAGGTCATGGCTTCAGACCCCTTCGACGACGTCCTCAACCTTGAGGAACAATTCTTCTCAGAGGGCTACAGGCAGGGAACCGAGGACGGCATCCTGGCCGGCAAGATCGAAGGCCGCTCCGTTGGCCTTGCAAAAGGTTACGAAAAGTTCCTCGAGAGCGGAAGGATACACGGAAAATCCGTTGTCTGGGCCAACAGGCTGTCTCTGCCACAAAAGACTGGGGTCGTTACCTCGTCTTCCGACAAGGAAGCTCAGCAGCAAACACCAACAGAGTTAAAGACTTGCTCACTACCACTCTTGGCACCCAACGCGAGACTGGAGAAGAATGTCACCGCAGCTTTTGCTTTGGTTGAGCCGGACACTCTCTCTACACAGAACAGCGATGATGCCGTCAATGACTTTGACGACAGATTCAAGAGGGCTCAGGGCAAGGTGAAAATCATTGAGAGGATGACTGGAGAGGGTTCTACAACCAAAGATGCGACCGAGGCTTCTAAGAGTACTGAGGCGAAGGAGCACTGATTTTTTTTTATTCCTTCGTTCGAGCATGGATGGCGTTTGTCGAATGTATGCATGAGTTTGCATAGGTGGAGGGCCAGTTGCAAAGTTTGTGCTGAGATACACAGCCTGGGGGAGGTATGAGGGCATGATGCAGCCTTTTGAGACAGATTTTGGAAACTTTGAGAAAAAAACGTTTAATGAATCTAGTGTCCTTCATATTTACAGCTGCCTCTCATACAGAAACCTCGTTCCACTTGCTCATGCGAATGTCCTGCAGGGGTAACTAAGCATTTGTCGTTAGCAATCCTTGATCTGCACCTGGAGAAACTAAACAAGCAGACTTACCCTTCGCCGTAGGACTGCTCCTCGTTGACCTTGTACTTGTGCACATCCCACTTCCCGCTCTTGAGGTCATGTCCGCTGGGGGTAGGCGGCAGGCCGTTGGTGAACAAAGTCTCCTTGCTGGCCTCGATGGCCTTGGCGGCGTTCTTCTCAAGGTAGGGTGCCAAACCCGTGGCCTTCGCCTCCTCCTTGGTAGCGACGAGCTGCTTCTCGCCCGCCTCGCCGATGAGCTCAACTCGGGGGTTTGCGGCAGAGCCGACGGACAGCAGACTGACAACGTCGGCCTGGTTGACGACGCTCAGGGCCGGGTAGTTGCGGCGGGCATCGCGCTTCCAGTACGGGTTGTCGGCAATGTCACCTGCAGGAACGGTGACGGGATCGTCGTAGGAGAGAGGGTCCAGGGAGCCCGGAGCCGGGTTGCGGAAGGTTGGGTTCAAAGGCACACCGGAGGAGCGGTTGGGGTCGATAGCGAGACTGCGACGGATGCGCTCCCAGATTCCGGTAGACTGGAGAGTGTGTTTCTGTCAAGATTCATAAAGTGTCAGCTTATGGACTAGAGCTATGGCGGGTGCTATTCAATTGCTAGTCAGGGTAGCAGAGTTGATATTGCTGATGATGGTTTGCCTTGCTTCGCTGGCAAACTGCCAATTGGAGCCACTCAATCGCCCGTACCTTGGAGATCTCGACAATGCCGCCAGCCGCAGCCTTCGCAACTACCTTGGAGGCCATTTTGGCGACGTCGTAGGCTGAGAGGAGAGGGGGTTTGGGTGTTCGATCGGTCGGTGATGCGGCGAGCTTGATGTTGGTTGTGAGCGACCCAGTACCCGAGTCGAGAGCGTGCTCCAGTTTCTGGCCGGCTACGTTATCCGGAGTTTAGCCGTGCGAAGCAATAGCCGTGCTTCAATTTGCAACCCAACTTTTAGATAAAGTACCCACTTCATCCCCTCGCAAAACTGCAACACGGAATTTCCGGGGTTCACTGCCCGTCGTTGCACAATTGGGTGCGCCGCCAGATTTTAAGAATGGCGATGTCACCGAGGTCAACGGAAGTGATGCATTTGGAACGGCAAAAGACCAACGCCAGTTAATCAAATCCTCACTACCTTGCAGATACAAGAAAAACCGTCCCATGTTCCTCCTACCAGCTGTTCCGGCTAAAAACTTGTGCCTATCACAAAGTTATACCTACATTGCTACACTATAACTACTCGTCCTTCTCATCCTTCTTGTCAGCCTCGTCGGTAACATCCTCCTTCTTCTCATTGTCCTTGTTCTCGCCGTTGGCTGGCTCTTCCTCGGCATCAGCAGCAGCGGCGGCGGCCTTGGCGACAGGCTCGGCATCGATACCGCTCTCCTCAACCAGCGCCTTGACGACGTCCACAGTGGCAGCGGGACCGCCGGGCTCAGCAGCGAGGACCTTGCCGGACTTGTCAACGACAAATACACCGCGCTGCGTACCCTTAGGCGACTTTTTGAATCCAATGGCCCCGATAAGGGTAGCCTTGGGGTCGCAGAGCAGAGGGTAGGGCAGTTTCTGCTTTGTCTTGAAGGTGGTGTTGGCCTTGGGCGAGTCCGTGGACAGGCCATAGATGGCTAAGCCCGTCTTAGTGAGCGGCTCGTAGGAGTCTCGGAAGAGACACACCTGAGTGGTGCCTGGGTTTCATGGCGGGTTAGTATGGTATTGGGGGGTGGTGAGGCATTACCAAACAGATATATGCTAGATCTCGCGGGATACTCACAGCCAGGAGTAGAGGCCTTGGGATAGGTAAAGAGGACAACTCCGGCCTTGCTCTTGTCAACAAGCTCCTTCAGAGTTGTCGCCTCGCCATCGTTGGTTTCGAACTCGCCGCCAAAGCCTTCGAGATCAATGGTTTCGCCCTTGGTCGCCTTGACCTTCTTGTCGGAGCCATTGGCGTTGACGGGCTTTTTGGACTCCTCAGCAGATGGCTTCGCGGGCTTGTCCTTGACAGTCTCCTTGACCTTTGCAGCTGCTTTTGCGACCTTGGAGGAAGCCTTCTTAGGGGCAGGAGCCGGAGCAGGCTCGGGGGCTTTGCGCTTGCGGAGCTCGACGGGCATGGCTTCTGTTTATAGGGCTGAGAGGCGCGATATAGGATACCAAGGATGCTTAAGAGGGTCGCAAAGGATGTGCGCCTTGGACAATGGTGTTGCGCTGATGCTGCGATCGGAATGCGATGGCAGTATCCGTTGAAATTGCAACAAAATGGGAGGGGGTTACGGGAGTCGAGGGAAGTTGAGAGGTAAACAGGAGGTTCTTGAGGATGGCCTCGAAATGAGCCAATCAGAGGCCACGATGGCCAGAGCTTCAACCAGGACCAGGGGGCTGATGCGATGCAAATGCACAAAGGTGCGGTGCTGGGTACTGCATTTTGCGCGCGGTGCGGTACACCAGGCCAGGTACATCATACACCCTAGCTCGGACTCTTTATTATTAAGCTCTGTCTGGCTGGTTGCCACGCGCAGGTCGAGGAAACCCAGCTGTTGTTGTCGGAGGAGGGTGCTGCTTATGGTAGTGTTTGGCTGGCTGGCTGGCTGATTGGAAGCTGACTGGCAACTGCTGTGGTTCAATTGCTTTGCTCCTTCCTGCCTGGAATCTGCGTGTCTGGGTCCCCCAACCCGATCGTTCCTTCCCCAACCACTACCAACGGCAAGAGGTAGATGGCAGAGAGGCAAAGGCAGAGAGAGCTGGACGGGGGTGGGTCTTGCTGTCGTGCTTTCGGCTCTTTCTCCCTGCTGCCGACCTCTCAAATCTGCTCCTCTTCCCACACACGCCCCGCCCTACATAGTAAGCTTTTGGTTAATGACCGTGCGTTCTCAACCCCGACCTGACCTTAGCCTCTGAGAGATCGCACGTTCTGGCGCCCTCGGGCTTGTGTGGGGGAACACCAGAACGGCTGGGCCAAGGGCGGGATATGCGGTTTCGCCTGTGCAGTACCCTCCATTGGCAGACCTTCGATACATTTCTGACCCTGCATCGAGATTGACATTGGCCCATAGACATTTTGTCTCATCCCTCAGTGGACGGAAGACGACAGTCTGCTAGTCGGCTAAATCGTTAGGCTCTTCTGCCTTACTCTACCAGTATACGTTATTTATTTTCTTGAAGGCAATTGACACCTACTTCATCTTATCCGTCGCCGCATCCTGCATATGACTAGACTTTGGGTGCTTTATACTGCATATGCGCCTCCCTCATCGATACTACCCCGACATCAGAAGAGTATCATACGGTTACCTACGTGTTCACCGTGGTCATTGGTCAGCCTCACCAGTTCCCCATCGTTTACACTCACTCTAGATGCCCCCTCTGTTGTGTTTTTTCGTCCTTTTTGTACCACTCCTTTTCCTACGAACATCTAGCAAGCGTTTTTTTGGTCAGCTAATGCAAAGCAACACTGTAATTCCCTGCCTGTCTTCCTGTCTTAAGTCATTACTCACCCATTGCCATCGGTCGCTTTCTGCGCCACTTTAGTCATGTGGCTTATCAATGTCCAAACCCTTCAGCTAGAGGAACATTTCAACCCCGATGTCCCTTTCGCAATCCTCTCCCACACATGGGGTGCTGAGGAGGTATCATTCCAGGAGTTCAAGGCTCTCGACGAATCTTTGTGGGCAAAGGCTGGGTTCTCTAAGATCATCGAGACTTGTCGGTTGGCCAAGTCTCTAGAGCTGCCATATGCTTGGATAGACACATGCTGTATCAACAAAACGTCCAGCGCAGAACTTTCCGAGGCAATCAACTCAATGTTCCGTTGGTACCAATCATCCTCAATATGCTTTGCCTATCTCGCCGATTTACACGATGAGGATCACTCTGACACATTCCTCGAAAATTTTAAGGCTTCTCGATGGTTCACCCGAGGATGGACCCTTCAGGAGTTGATAGCCCCTAGCATGGTGACATTCTACAATGCTTCCTGGAAACTACTCGGCTCCAAACAGACCCTTGCCGGTACACTGACATCGATTACGGGTATCGACGGTACAGTGCTGGAGAAAAAGGTCTCATTGAGAAAAATCCCGGTTGGAACTCGTATGTCATGGGCCTCCAACCGCCAAACGACTCGCGTTGAGGACTTGGCTTACTGCTTGCTTGGTATTTTTGATATCAACATGCCATTACTCTACGGAGAAGGGGAAAAGGCTTTTGCTCGCCTGCAGTCGGAGATCATGCAGGAGACGAACGACCTGTCTCTCTTGGCCTGGACGTCAGAGACCACGGATCCTGAGCGGCAGCAGGCATACAGTGGTGTGTTCGCAACTTCACCATCTGAGTTCGCGGTCTGCTCGAACCTTAAAGTAACAAATTCGCCTCAACTTCTAGATGAAGCCGAGGTTGTCGTAAAGAGGACCTCCTTGCAAATTGTAGCAATACTTTACATTCAAAAGCACGCCGCAGACGAAGCTGACACTTTGGACGAGAGGGAATACGTTCTATCATTACAATGTAGCGATGAGCGTGGGACCCCACCAACGCGATCTGTAATAGGTATTTACATTTCCAAAACACCGTCCGGGTTTCTGCGCCATAGACCGTGGAGGCTCAGCATACGTTCAGCAAACACTCTCTGGCCCCACGACAGAAAAGCCAGATCCCTAAAGCTTCTGAGGCAGATCAGCACCGAAGACTCTTGGAACATTCAAGATACTAGGTTTCAGCGTGCCGTATTTATTCGACTAGACATGAAGAAAACTAGTTTTCGAGCCCGTTTAGGTGCCGGTGAGGCGTCGTCAGCAATACCAGATGCTCTGTGGGATGGCCTGAACACTGTATTTCTCGACAGAAATTACGAAGAGTTTCCGTTCGCGCCTCGTCTGATACAAATCAACCTGTTGTATAACATGATGGGCCCACCGGTTGGGAGGCTGCTCCTTGTATCACTAATGGTCTCTCAAGTTCCATCCAAAGCTCCCGAACGTTGGGCTATACTGCTGAGTTACCAGCAAGATCCGTTAGGTGCTCATCTTCTGAGCCAACTCGAAGGATGGGACACGACTTCGGTATTGAACCATTCACTGTATACCACCGTGCAATCCACGATGGTAAAATGGCAATGGCAGTCGGATGGCTCTAACGAATCCATGCCATGGGCCGACCCAGCGGAAGGAGTTGCAACACCTAAGAGCCCCACCTCACGGACACTTGAGATTTGTAGAGGACGGCGAGTCATAGCAACGGTAAGCATTCTTTCTAACGACGCAGGACGGGGCGCGTATGATGTCTTGGTGGTTCTTCAGGACCTCAAGTGAGGGTCACAGGCCAATTGAAAGATGATTCTCTTTCACAGGGACAGTTGAGAAAAGGGCATCAAAACTCAACAGATTTGCTCAAATGTTCACAATTTCCACGTAGCGTAGCGACCCGCAGCGGACTTCAATATAGTATCCACCTAGTTCATCAACCGGTATCCGTCATAAACTGGCAAGATGGCCGAGCGGTCTAAGGCGCTAGCTTCAGGTGCTAGTCAAGTAATTGGCGTGGGTTCGAATCCCACTCTTGTCATAACCTTTTGTCGTCAGACGAGTTGATTTGGTGATTTTTTTGCGTTTATGAAACACTCAGCCTTGGGCAGCTCACGACACGTCAATGTAGTGGCGCTGGCTTGCCTCTCACGATGAAAACACCTCAAAGTGGAAACGAGTGAAGTACGCCAAAACTTTGTGACATTGGACCGCTTCCTTCACCAACGACTCTGGCTCGTCTCATGTTGATCCTGTTACGAATGGCTATATGTCCGTACCGCCCCTCTCATGAGAGCGGCCCTTCGACGGGTCAAGACAGGTGTAGGCAAAACTAACCAGCATGTTCCTCTAAGTACCTTGAGTAGTTACTGCAGAGAACCCCTTAGCCCACCAACTCACGACAAGAACCATGTTGAACCATGATTGGGCATGTAAAGGACAAGCCTTGAGCCTGCTTCAGCAGAACAAGTTACTTCGATATTGATAAAAGCAATGGTCAGCAAGAGTTGATCTAGGGCTTTAAAGTCCAAAGCCAAATGCCGAAACGAATCACTTTTATTTTCATGATGAAAACCACAAACGATCTAGAGTTCCAAGTTAGACCATCAAAGCATCTTCCTCCCCAGTGTTCTTCTCTGGCCTCTAGCATGACCCGTAAACCCTTGGAGTTTAGGAAGTATTTCGACTCACTATGAAATAAAGACAACAAAGCTGGTTTCCGTCTCATTTTAGCTAGAGATACCTTCTGATTGTCCTCAAGTTGAAAGTCAGTATGCTTTGCTCAGGTGTTTAATTGGCTACAGAAGCCAACTGAAAAACACGCAAAAGTAAGCATTTACGTCTCTCACAGCTGCATGACATCTATTCATTCGTTTTCACAAAGATACAACTACTTGATAAGTGCTAGATAATATCAAAAGCCTACGTATCTTGGGTTGTTATTGATCAGTGCCAAGCTACTTGCAGACATGAAATGCCCTACTTCGAGGTACAGCAGACACGAGGAAACCCCACGAAATTCGTGAATAAATCAAAGAAGAGTAAATGTTTACTTATGAAGTACATTTACTCCAAAGTACTCTGCGTCGACTGAAAACCATGCCAGCTTCCCTATATGCGCTTATCGAGCCCATTCCAGTAAATGCATATGTACCGCCTACACGCACAGTCCACCTCAATCAGCTCATCCTTCCTCATTGATGAGACCACATTCGCCCTCACTTACTTACACCCCACCACCCCCAAAACACCAACAGTAGGAGGATGAGGTGAAAATTCAAGATGCGCAAAGGAAATTTGACCCCAAAGGTTTGCTTGTTCCTTCAAACCGCCCGTCCGAGTTTTAGGTTTATCCACAGATGGCCTGATCCTAACCTATCTGCAGACGATAACCGCGCCCCTGGCGGCCTTCACCATGGCCTGCCTCCTCTTCGCGTAAGATCGCATCCTCAAACTTCGTCTCCACTGCCTGAGGAGAATGTAACGAAGTTTTTTTTTTTTTTCGTTTGTTTTTCTTCTGAAGGGGAAATCACTGAGTTCAAATCAGGTATACCAGCTCATCAATTCGCTCGGCGCGAGGTCAAGCCGTACGTTTCCCTCTCCCCTTCTGTCTCAGCAGTATCCCGCGCCTCACATTTCGAAATCGTATCATTCATTCGTTCTTGATTTCACTAACCCACCGTGAAGAGATATGGACAAGGAAGCGGCCAGAGCCAGGGTCATATCAACAGCAGCACCGGAGGCAGACCAGCGCCCCCGGAATCCGGTTCTTCATGAGAATAAGCCTTACAGGAACGATACACTTCACGCCGTAACGGAAGGACGAATGATTGAGGAAAACAAAGTCGAGCTGAAATTATGCCGGCTCATTTCTTGAATTTCTGTCCCATCATACGGGTCCTATGTACTATACCCCTTCACGCCCACTATCGATACCCATTTGAGTGTGCATCGCTAGAGACCAACAAACAGAACTCCGTGAAATTTCGCTGGTGTCTGTTTCTCCTAGATACTCCGCGCCCCGGCAATGTTTATGCTACAGAATATATGCCGCCCTAAATAAAACCATTTTGCCATGCTCCGTCAACTACCATAGATGTTGTAGTAAAAGAAAAGCGCTTCGTGGCGGTTTTGGGTGATAAGAATTAAGGGGAACGAGAGGGAGGTTTGCCTCTTGGAGAGGACAGCCGCAGTAGGTGCCATTTCGTGACCTGAATCGAGTTTGTCTATAACCTGGGTGACAAAAGTTAAGGGTATCTGGAAAAATCCCGTCCCCAATTCCTAATCTCAACAGCTTCTTTCTTCTCTCCTTCATCTGCTATACAGCACATGATTGTCTTGATAAGTATTCTCTGCCTTCCTCCCCTGCTTGCGTAGTAAATTTGTTGCGTGCGTCTCTCGGCTGTGAGCGACTTCGACAGGGAATCATGGTTCGGCTTCCCTTCCGAGCTTCCTCCTACCCTCTGCCCTTGCGTGATTCAAATGATTCATAACAAACTCGTACGTCAACATCGTCACCGTCGCGGCCGGCACCGCTCGCATCATGTTAGTGCCCATGCCAGCGTAGAAAGCCCTCCATCCTTCCTCTTTGAGGATTGTCCGGAAGGTGCTGACCACGCCGCGATACTTTGGTGATATCGGCTGTTGTGTCTTGGCATCGTCTCCCAACATCGAGGAAGGAACCTTGATGCCCATGCCTTGGAGGTATTCGGCACCTGCCACCGGTCTTCTTTGCGTTTGCAGTCTGGTCCGGATAACTTCATGCGGGTAAGTAGCGCTGCTTGCCATAATCTTCGACAATATCGAAGCGCACAGGATTCCCACCCACTGCGATTCCTGCGCATCGCCGTGTGCGGGCTCGCCCATACCTTGACCAGTGAATCTGGTTTTCAGATACTCATAAGCGGGGAACTGGACAGCTACGTGTGTAAGCCCCAGAAGGGCTGGCGTCAGGCCGGAGTAAAAGGAAAGAACGCCTTCCGATGTGTACATCTTGCGCGCGGCATCGACCGTCGATCGATAGTGCCAATTACTGTGCAACGTCGGCCTTGAAGTCGGTGTGTTAGACGACTTCGGAAACTGAGAATAGTGCTTGCCAGGATCATGTGCGACACTCTGCGACATCAAACGGGTCTTGATGACCCAAATCGGGTTCGTGACAATAGTACTGCTAGCACCGGCTATGATTGATGACCAGAAATTAATGAACACCGCATTGTCTGTTATCCATGTTAGCGAAGCTCTTGTACCCTTGAAACACACGGTCCCGCTTCCTTGGAGAGCTTACCATGGTGCTGCTTCAGCCAATCCTTGCTCTTGTTATAGACGGTAAACCAAACAGCCCAAGTGGGCAAATAACCCAACACTATCGGGCCGAGGCCCCTGTACATGCCGCGGATACCTTCTTCCTTCCATATTACACCAGCCGTGCCAAGCAAGCCGTTGTACAGTTTTGGGTGTCCGACGTGCCTCCCTTTAGCAATAGGATTGAAGCCGCCCTGAGCCTGCAGCTTAGTCTTGATGACGTCGAGCGGGCAGGTCACGACACCCGAGGTGAAGCCTCCCACGGCGCCAGCAAGAGCGTTGAACTGGGAATCGGAAGCATCTGCAGCCCATTTCTCAAAAAGGGTGATGGTTTTGTCGGCAGACATCGCAGTGGTGGCCTCTATGGTGGCTACCGCAGCCGCGCGGGCCGGTGGAGAGTAGGCTCGCGAGCTGCTGTAGTTGGGGTATGTCGAAGTTGGATAAGGCCCATATTCTTCTGGTGGAGAGTGCGGTGCGCCTCGTTGAGGGTCGGGGTGTTCGTCGTGAGACATCCCCTCACACTGTTGAGTTCGGTCGACGGTCAAAATCGTTGATTTTTGTTACTTAGTAAAGAGGAAACCGCGCCGGTTTCCCGGGATTGTTCGCTCTTAGAGAAGCTATGTGCTCTAAATGTGGTTGGGTTATCGAGAGTCGGTCAAGCGTGTGTAAGTGTCAGTCGATATGGGCTTTAAATTTTGACGGTATGTCGTTCGCAAGCTGTGTTTCCCTCTGTGTATTTGTGTGTATTGTATATCGTGGCCTGTGAGCGAAAAGCGGTTTGTTGCTGGACCTTCCCAAGTGTCCCGGTATGCGGGGAACGCTCCCACGCCGCCGTGACACTGAGCGACTAGCGGTTATCGCAGCCCATTGGCCTTGCAGAGGATGAGTGATCTAGCACGAAGAGTTAAAAGCGGATTCGGCAGGGTAACGCTCCCAAACATACGGGATTGGGAAGTGAGGGGTGAGGGCGGAGGCGGAGGAGGGGAGGAGTTGGTGAGAAGGTGGTGGTAGTTGTAGAAGGTAGTCTCGGTATGGTAAAAGCGTAGTCGGGGGAGTTGGAGATTGAGATATTGCGAAAAAGCGCCGAAGTGGAGTAGGACGGAGCACGAGAGCAAAATGATGCGAGCTGTCGGCTTTCTCTTTTGGCAGGAGGACCCAAGCGTGTCTAGGGTGCCAGTCAGGTGGAGTTTAGTGGTACAATCCAATGGGCTGGGAGGAAGGAGGAGGTGCAGTTGAAGTTGGAGGCACTGAATGGGAAGCGCCGGAGCACTGTGGCTGCTGCAAAGGGTCCTGTGCGATGACGCTGTGGGGGAAGTGCTTTAATCCCGACTTGCTGAGGCGTCCACAACTAAGACTGGCCGAAAATTGCTCTCCTCGGATATTGGCATCAGACCCGGGAGCTGCCGGAGGCCTTTAATTCTTGTTTGCAGCCTTGGGCGATCAACGCCATGTATGACGCAGAGCTGATTGTGCTGTTACAGTGAAACTTTACACGTGAACCTCTAATTAATGCTCCAGTTCAATATAGCTCCCAGGTGGCTGGAATGACTGTCTAAGCTCTGGTTCGGACCGTTGTGAGTCGGAAATCCAAAGATGGCTCTCCGACTCAGTCTCCAAAAATATGAATCGCAACTTTGCGTAGCCCGGGGGGAGCCAGGGAAAAAAAAGTTTCACACTTCTTGTCCACAGAATGAACTCCACCTCCGCCGGTTCTTTGCGGCTTTGGCTGCACCACAAATTCTCGTCCAGCAACAGGGTGGTGGTCTAGAGTGCTATCGTGAGCAGGGCACCTCGTTGGTAGTGCCAATTACCTCATAGATGCCCCAGGCCCAATCATCACGTCTGCTTTTGCCAACTCGTTCTTAAGCATATGGCCCGTGCTTTATCGTAGGCCGTCACCGCGCCACTCTTATCGCACTGCCACATTTTTTCTGTCTTCAGGTAGTGGCTGATGCATCTGCGACTGGGCGGAATCTCAAGGATAGTCACATGACCTGCCGTCCCGAATCTTTACGCCTCTCCGGCAAGCTCCACGATTTTCCCAGCGAGTGTGTACCAACCTCAGGCGATCCGCAAAACCGCTCCCCCGAGGCAATTCATATCGACTTCCACCCCGATCTCCTCTCCACCACACAGCAGACCGCCACAATGACCTCGATTGTCTCCAAGCGCCTGGCTGAGGGCATCCTCGCCCGCCCCTTCCTCAAGAGCCTTGCTGTCCCCTTCTCCAACTGGTACGCCAACGCTGCCGGCCACCGCAAGCTCGGCTTGAGGTAAGCGCAATTAAACACCCCAACGCAATTGGGACCCTGCGACATTGCCTCCCGGATTTTCGACTGACTGTTTTTCTGTTCAACAGATTCGACGACCTTACCGAGGAGGAGACCGACATTGTCCAGAAGGCTCTCGGCCGTCTCTCCCCCAAGGAGTCCTACGATCGTGTTTTCCGTATCCGCCGCGCCGTTCAGCTTTCCTACCAGCACAAGCTTCTGCCCAAGGAGGAGTGGACCAAGCCCGAGGAGGTAAACAACCTTTTTTTCCCGGACGAAATTGAAGACTATGGATAATGGAGGACTGACATGCTGGTACTCTAGGACATCCCCTACCTCTCCCCCATCATCGAGCAGATCCAGGCCGAGGAGGCTGAGAAGCTGGCCTTCGAGACCATGGAGGTCCAGAAGAAGCACCACTAAATCCAGGGGGGTGGGAAATGGAGAGAGCGCACGCCTGATGTGTAGTGTTAGGGAGGGAATCGCCCGGCCGGGCGCGCGAAAATTATGATGAAGCGTTTTAGACCCGAGGAGGATATAGAGAGGCCGGGCGGTTCGTGTACCTTATGTATAGACCTCGGGGGTTTATTTTGTCTGTCAATTGGAACACCCTGCTACAGTCCAAGGTTCTGCCCCTTACGACAGTACCAATTGATGACCTCTTTATGCGTTTGGATATCTTGATGACCCTCCCCCCGGTTCGGGCTCGCGGAAACTAGCTGACTAAATGGGCATTCTGATTGGCTCATGCTTTTAGGCCCACACAACTGGGCAACATCGTGAACGATCATGGCACATTAACGATATTAGTTTTTTATGATGCAGCAGCATACAGGATGATACGCTAGAATTCAGGGCTCGTGTATTTCTTACCCGCTAAGACGCCTTTGAGTATGTGCATTCTGACCATGTAATCAAAGTGACGACCTCCAACACATCCCAGCTCATTCATGTATTTGACTATAAATTACATAAGCGGTCGTCATCTAGTCTGTTGACGTTGCACCATTCGCCAGTATCCAAAGGGACATGCGCTTCGCGTTTGGAACATCTGCGCATGACAAACGTTTATGGCCTAATGGCCTCAATGTAATGTTTTATAAACAAAAGCTCAAATAAACCTCCTCGGCCTATTGTCCACTACCATCTCCTCTACTGCATCGTCCAGATTTTCTGTTCAAAGGTTCATACGTTGTAAAGGTTGTCATAAAGATATCTCACGCTGCAGTCTGGACCATTAAGTGAATTCAGCTGGCTGAGACTGTATCTTCGAGCTTAAGAATGTCTGACGGAGCCAGATGTTTGAGCCTTACATACAACCGTTCAATATCCAATGATCATACTTCTCCACACGCATCATCTTTGGTCGCATTCATTTGACAGCATCACGATTCAATCAGATTTGCTATCGAGACATGTCTGGGCACGAGGGAGATAAAAACCAACGACTCTTTTTGCTGCCAAACCGAAAACTTGAGCTTTGTTACCGAAAGCGCAATCGAAGTAGTGGAATAGTGGGTGCGGGCGAATAACACGATATAAAAACGGACACAACACTTACACACGTAGCTCTCATATAGATTACGAGTCTTAAGAAGCAGCTATCTACAACCGACGATTGATGAGTTTCGAAAGAAGAGAAGCACATCAATTGATTCAATGATCTTTTGAACTAATCAGCCGACACGCCCACGTGCTTTGCCTCTCCCGAGCCCCAGCTATTGGAAAACTCTCTACCACAATTTCCGAGTCTTCTTGCCCTATAGCCATTTACCTAAATTCCTTTGCGTTTTTGATTCATAATATCCCAGAAGTGGCGTCCCTTCAATGATACGTTCATGAAACTATGCATTGGTTCTCCACAGATATCAGAATGGGATGTTGCGGCGTAGGTATTGCTATACAACAACCGGGTTCCAAGACTCTGCTTACTTCATTGTCAACTAGTTGAAGCACCTCAATATTCTAGCAGCGTTCGGCAAGTCTATCCGTATTGAGACGACTACATTGACCCAAATACGAATAGTTAAGAGCATGGCAACAATTGCCAGCTCTCAATATGGCGAATTAATACAGGACCTGAAAGCATCCTGAACTCTTGAATGTCATTGACTGTCTTTTCTAAGCAGCATGAAAGTCTAATAGTCTACTAACACACAAAGAAGGTCTGGCCTCGAGTAAAGTAAGCTGTTTTCCATAGCCCCCAAGCAGCGAATGCATTCTGGGTTAGGTGTGACCTGACCAAAGAAGCCAATACCGTTAAGTACGTCGAATGGGAAGAAGCCGACTAACAAACATTCACAGCGCAGTCGCGGCTTCTCATGAGATCCAGCGATTTCCAGAGTCTCTGGAGTTTGTCTTGACTCGCAAGTGTTCTTTTTGCATGGAGTCTTGGCGAAGTGATAACTATCATCTCATAAAATCAACAGCGGATGTGGAAAAACAAATAGCTTACGAATTGAATATTATGTGCCATCCATGGCTGTACGAACGCCATTTGCGGTTGACAGGTGTGTTCCAAAAGGACGGATTCCTCATGGAACCGTCATGAAATCACGGCTGCGCGCCTGTCGTCATGGGCCCAGCATGCAGAGTGGAGAGTGCCTCAGGGTAGCAAATCTTGAGATATTAGACATGTCCATTCAATTCAAGCAGGAGTCACATTCGGACCAGTGAGGATACGATTCTCATCAGAGTATTCAAAATGTATAAATTACGCCTCTTTGAACTCCCGAGTTTCCTCATGCCCTAGATATCACACTCATTCGTCGAGAAAACTGCACCAAGCAAGGCCTCCTCCCAGTTAAATGCTGCATTCATCACCAGTCCAAGTCCGAGGCCGTAGGGGACTCTACCCTTCCTATAATGGGCGCACCGCATTCCCCCCCTCCTTATGCTAACAGGTGATATAACCAAGTCTATTATTACAGCGAAACATCCCCGTTTTGATACGGTATGGAATTGCCTGTTTTCTCCCACAAGGAGCACCTTTCGCCTCAATGTTCCGTTCATTTTTTTGCGTTTCGTGGCCAGCCGCGTCAAATAGTCGATGTCAAGCCAAAGAAAGAATGGTTTTTTTTTTGTTGGATATATGGGCAGCGGAAGTCGAACATGTAAGAAATCAGAGCAGCCGAGACATCTGACCGAGACTTGGGCCTTCCACTGGCCGTCCAAAGCTTAAACAAGCTTCTGGACCAGTATCGGAAATGCTTCTTTCCGTGGAACGCTCCTAGGTGTCGTGTGCGTATCGTTACGTAGTCATACAGTGCCGTGTTCCGTCAACCGCATTCTGCGGGTTAGTCGGAGAAATAAGTCGTACAAGCGAAGAGAACAGTACTAAAACGCAATCAAGTCGGGATCATGCGTTTCCGGGCTTCTCCTCGGTATCGATATGCCAGACAACGTAGTTGGGGAGACCGACAACCCTGTAGCCGGCACGCTTGGCCATCTTTGCGAATCCTTCCGTCTCCGCCTGGTTCTCAAAGGCGTAACATGGGAAGTTGATTCCTAATTTGTGTCAATAATAGCATTAGAAAAGTGCAAATCAAGACTCACCTGATCTGTGGACGTCTCCCTTGACGAGGATATTGACACCGCCAATGCCATCAAGGTCGAGCTCCTCATCCTTATTGTTGCGCCAATCGCCCTCCCTAGCCATATATCTGCGGCCGGTATCATACTCCTTGTAACCTATATTTTATTAGCGGACGCTGTTGAATCGGGTACTGATATCCTCACCCTCAGCGAGAACGACATCCTTATCCAAGGAGGCAGCCAGTCTGCGGCCCTTGTCGGATTCAACCCAAGAGTTGTAGTCGAAGCGTCCCTCAATGTCGCGGCCGTCACGGTATCGGTGGAACCAGATGTCTTTCGCAAATAGTTAGCTCCAAATTCCACCCGAGCAGTAGGGAGGGGTACTTACTGGGAACAAGAATGTCCGTGTCGTGGGCAACGAAGTCCTCAATAATCTTCTTAGGGCTGTCCTGAATATCGACATCGCGCCAGTAGACCCAGGAGTGCTCAGGCTTCAGAGCGGCAGACAATAGGTAGTTACGGGCACGGCCCATAGCCTTTCTTCGGGGGCCCTGGGCCTTGAACGAATGACGCTCCTCAACACTTTGGCTCAGCTCGAAGCCAAAGTCCTTTTCGACGATCATTGCGCTGTTAAAGGGAATCTTGTCAGGGCGGCGCTGGATGCGGTTCAACTCGGACGCAAGCACCGCGAGAGTATCATCCTTGGAATCACCAACCAGGAAGGCCAGGTCGATCAGGTGATGGGGATAGGTCAGTTCGGCGATCAGCTCGAAGTACTTTGAAAGATAGGGGGCAGCGTCCTTGAGAGGAGTAAGAATCAGGACACGCTCCTCGTTGGTGGCAGCCTTGCGAGTCGACTTGATGGGGTTAAGGTTGACGTGCTGGATGGAGGTATGGTTGATCTCCAGGGGCTCATGGTGGTTGAAAATGACGGGGGTCTGGAGGTGAGCGGCCCATGAAGCTTGCTCGTTGAGCGACATCTCCATGGGGGGCTTCGCGGGGCCCCAGCAGTAGAAGCTGTGTGGTGCCACATGTCAGCAAGCTCTGTCAAGTTGTCTCTTGCGGCACATCGCCAGATCGAGAAAAACATCACTCGCCCTGACGAGCGCAGACAGCCTGAGCCACAAATAATGAACATACCTCTGCATTTCAGAAGCTGACGTGCTAATGCCGCGCCAGAATAGCAGAACGAGGCCGGTGAGGACAAGGAGAAGGAGAAAGCGCGTTTTTGTGATAATAGCCCATATCGCTCTCGTGGGAGGTAGTCTGGCCTGGGCTGACTTCCAGTTGATTCCGCCTTTGGGGAGAAGCATGGCTCCTGTCGAAATTGGGGGTGGCCCTGGGACACCACCCTAAAACCTCTCTTTACAAAGAAAAAAAAGAAGAGAATATATGTGGCACGACGGGCGTCCCAAATCGCAGCTTTACAGACGTGACGGTGTCCTAAAAGTCGTCGGCGTCGTAATTATCGTCGTTGTCGTCACGGGAGGTAGAGCTGCGATTAGATCGCTGACGGCAGCGGCGGCTTCGGCGGGCGATGGTGTAGATCGCGCGGAGCAAAAGGTGACACGAGCCTCCCCAAGACGAGGACCGAATCGACAAAGTTCACGTCGGGGAACAGAGGCGGTTGATTGGGCGGTTTCGAGTCGTCCGATAGATGGCAGTCGTGGCAGCACGAAGGGGTGGGCCAAGGCTTGCGAACTCAAACTCTCTCCGTTGGAATTGAAGGAGCGAGAGAATGAAGATTATGAGAGCCCCACGGTTCTTCGGGAGTTGGACGTGTTGTTGCGCTTGGGGAGAAGAGAGGATTGGTTTGCGTCTTTCAACCAGGGGTTCTCCTTTTTTCTTTTTTTCTTAATTTTTTTCTTGCGTCTTTGAGAAGCGCGATGGTCTCGGCCAGAGTTTTTGTCGAGAACAGGAACAAAAGACGTTTGGGTAAGCCCAGCGGGAAGGGGAGGGAATTGGGAAAGGAGCCACGCCAAAGGCCCTCCGAAAAAAAAGGGTCAACTGGGAGGACAGGACCTGCCTGGTGCGGGAGGCTTGGATAGGAAAGGCTAAGGCAGGAGTCAAGGTATAGGCAGGCTTCAATGGTTAGGGAAGCGCAGGCCAGTGGCAGGGTACATGCAAGTACGTGGAATCTAGGTAGGCTCAAGAGCACAGATTACAGGTGCCACAGGTGCCGATAGGCACGGATTTTGTCAGATTGTAGGCGCATACAGGCAGCTGCCAGTGGAAAACCATGGGTGCGATGGGTACCTCAGATACCTCCAGGCCGACGCGCAGAAGATACAGTCCGCGGTTTGAGGATGGGAGAATACGAAGAAGCAGCCAATTATATTGCCCCAAAAGTTCAAGCAGGTTAGCAAAATACCGGATTGTAACAGCTGTTTTGAGCACGCGAGATTGCTAGAACCGCCAAGCGCTTCTGGACTCAGGAGAAACTGTGCCGCAACCCAAAGGTACCTTTTCCCTGCCAGGTGTTACTGGAGCTTGCTTTGCTCTTCATTGGGGATAATTTACAGGGCATATGTCTCCAAGCTCACGCCAACATTTAGACCAGGATCATCGACGTAGAACTCGGGGGCTGCTGCGCCTGCGTTGGATCTCCCCTCGTTCCATATCCATTATTCCATCCCCATTCACGATACTATCATCTTCAGATCAGCAAAGGGAATGACGGCGGCAGCTCTACCAGCGGATTTAAAAAGAAGAAAGATAGGCATTCCCATGACCAATTGAAAGGCTGTACTCGTAGGGTGGAAATGAAATCATCGCTCGCAGATGGAAATCACCTAAATGACACGAACGCCCGCCAAGGTATGGTTATCTCACAGAAAGGATAAAAACCTGCAGGCCTACCCCAGTGTTCTCCAGGGGGAGGGGGGGGAGGGAGAAGGAAAAAAGAAAAAAGAATAAGGGCCAGCCGAGGCTGCCCCAGCACACATCGCCCAAGAAATCCCCATCTCCGTCAGCAGGAGGATCTGGATGGCTGCATCGCAGTAAGCAAAGACTTGAAAGCGAAGCTTGAATTTTTCTCTTCTCATCTTTGCATATTGTCTGTTACCTGTCCAGGACACTTCCGTCAACCGCATGAGTGAACGACCTGAGCCATCCAGTTGTGAAGAATAGACAGGTCATACTCGTCAATTTTCCTGTCTTCCCTCGCAATTCCTCTCACTTTGCATGGCGTTGTGGCATTCAATACCTGGCATAGATAGCTCCACCCTTGCTTTTTTCCAATATCCGATGTCACGGCACTGCATACCGTCGCAGGAAGCGGTTCCCCGATGCCTGGCGTCAACTAATTCGTCCAACCGTTGCTCTCGCTTGTAGCACGGCACATTTCTCTTGTTCAAGCTCTTCGTGCATGCAGCACTACTGTACGGTACAGTGCCAAAAAGGGAGGTCAAGACATTTCTCTTCGCGTTTGCGTGTGCGTGTTCGAGTGCCCAGATTTTTCTTTGGATGAAGTAGGTCCTTTACCTAAATGAAGACTGCTCAGCGCGGACCTTGGCTGGACAGAGTCTCAGTGAGAGAGCATGACAACAGAAAAATCAAATCTAAAAGGGGGGCCATATCAGCACAGCCGTAGTAGATGTTCAGGTAGGAAGAGGGGAAGCCTGGAGGACAAGGGCCGTGGTCACTTTCTTCAGCATTCCACAATCTATCTTTCCCACACGCACACGCGCACACGCACGCGATTGCCACTGATCGAGTAAGAAAACTGGAGATGCTCGCCCAAGTTCACGCACCCTTTCGCCCACTTGATAATAGACACGGACAACAAGGAGGACAATGCTTTTCCCCGTTGTGTCGCCCCCGGGCTTCTGTCGCCCTTTCTCCTGTCTCCAGATCTTTCTAGGCCCATTCCAAATGGGGCCGACCGCAAGTCGTCGTCATCCGTCATCATCGCAGGCACGACGACGAGTCTCACCCATATTTCCCAACGTCGCGAATCTCAATCATTCACTCCAGAGTATGACCGCCGTAGAGAGGGAGGAAAGTAGATGGGAGTCCGGTAGATCTCCCTTATCTAACCAGCTAGACATGTTCATTATCGTTGTAGGGAAGAGCTGCATCAGCACCAGCCAGCACAAAGCAGCGACTCATGGAAATCAGCATGATGGAGCACCTTAGCGACTGGCCACTCTACGTCCCGAATACCCCATTAGCTGCAGGACTGGCGCGGCCGATTGACGTCGATCAACCATTCTAAATATATTTTGTAGCGGGCTAACAATGAGGGGGACAGAAAAAATGTAGGAGCCTTTCCGTTCTGCCACATCCCCAACCGACGAGTCTCGGCTGTGGGCTATGCACTCCATACATAGTAACTATAATCCTGTCTTCTTGATCCGATATAATCGGCAGCCATTTTGAAAACTTCAGATGGCTGAGCGTTAAGGTAAGAATCTGCAAGGGCACTGACAACTTACCCATCTTTTTTACTCTGTCTGTTTCACGAAGAAGAAACTCTTCAGACCGGATTAAGTAAGCTGACCGTCTGCAGCACCTCGCAGGGAGGTGTATGTCGATCCAGCCCGTGAGGCTAAACGTACCTCTCTGTCCTAAACGAAACGGCCGCTCTAAGTTTGGATGACAAAGCAAGGGCGTCCAGTAAGGCGTGGCGGCTGAAGTCACTCGCCGTCATTGCCGTTGTTCCTGCTGTGAATGACAACAACACCAATATAGTCTAAACTTGCCATTCCTGCAATAACACCCATCTTGGAATAGAAGGCGGATTGCAGACTCAACATTCGAGCCTCATGATAACCTCAAAACCCGCTCATCTGATGCCGATGGCCTTCGAATGAAGCTACACGTTGTTTGTCGTTCACTGAACTCTTACCAATCTGCACGAGGTATTGCAACTCCCACAAATCTTCAGATATCTTTGGTCAGTAGCTGGGTCCTTGCCTTAGGCCAGCTATTCCTAGACGGGATTTCTCATCACGCACACGTTCACTTGGCACCATATTCATCGTTGACATCGAGCAAGACCACACTAAAGATGGCGACTCGACGCTCAGCCCGGTTGAGTGCGCAACCTGATATCAAGGTTCCGCCTCCTCCGGTTATTCCTCTGCCCAAGCAAAGCCGAAAAAGGAAATCACACACAAGGCCAACTGAGCCAGAGGCCGGATCTGTCCCTGTCACACCCCCGAGAAAACGGGGTTCAAAGGCGACGGCTCCCGTTACTCCCGTGCTTCCACCGCCGACTACACCTACTCCGAGCGCCGTGGGCATCATTGCCGAACGGGCCAATGGCACTGCGAAGCCAAAATCCAGAGCAGTCAACCGTTTGGCCGATCCAAGGGCTACTAACGCTCCTGTCATCTCGCCAGAGACATCACGAATACTTGCCTCTGACCCCGTCGAGGGATCGTCGCCCTCCAAGGTCACCAACAACGATGTCGCAAGCGGTATCTTGGGGGCCAGGACACAGACGACAACTGCGAACATTCTCGAGGAAGCATGCCGCCATCTTATCCAAGTTGATCCACGCATGAAGCCGCTTATCGAAAAGAACCACTGCCGGGTGTTCTCTCCCGAGGGACTTGCTGAGAAGATTGATCCCTTTGAGAGTCTCTGTAGCGGTATCATCTCCCAGCAGGTCTCCGGAGCCGCGGCAAAGTCCATCAAAAACAAGTTCATTGGTCTCTTCACGGAGGTTGACGACGAGTCCAAGAGGAAGTTTCCTCACCCCTCAGAGGTGGCCGCAACCCCCATCGACCGTCTGCGCACTGCCGGTCTATCGCAACGAAAGGCCGAGTATGTTAAAGGGCTTGCCGAGAAGTTTGCGAGTGGAGAGCTGAGCGCAAAGATGCTCGCTGAGGCGCCCTATGAAGAGGTTCGTGACAAGCTCATCGCGGTTCGGGGCTTGGGACTGTGGTCCGTCGAGATGTTCGCCTGCTTCGGACTGAAGAGGATGGACGTCTTCTCGCTGGGTGACCTCGGCGTACAGAGGGGCATGGCGGCGTTTGTCGGACGTGACGTGGCGAAGCTCAAGGCCAAGGGCGGCAAGTGGAAATACATGTCAGAAAAGGAGATGGCCGAGATCGCGAGCAAGTTCACGCCGTATCGCAGCGTCTTTATGTGGTATATGTGGCGGGTGGAGGAAACCGACGTAAGCACCATGGAGTAGTTAGCCCTTAAAAGGTATCTTTCCCATCCTTCTCTCTCTCCTACCCCCATCAGCCCATATTTAGTCGTCCAGCGCATTCATCTCAAGTACCGCAACATTGCGGGTGTAATACTAGTAATTTGGGCCTGTGGAGTGTTTTGAACACGAGTTCCATCAAAACGAGATTACCGACCCTCTATTCTTGCCGATTTGGGGCTCTCAATGCAGCCCAGAAAATGAAGGCAGTCGCCTTCGGGTAAACCCTTTAGGCTGGGAACGAGTCATCTTAGTCTTTTGGGGACAGAGTTCAGCGGACTGGTTAACAACTCTCTTCGTATAGTTGCTAACCCATGTCAATTCAATTTCCTGTGACAAAGTTGGGTCGACCCCGATGCAAACAAGCTTTTGAATAAGTCCTAGCCTCCGAGCGTGACAGTTAGGATTAGACTTGCGCTTGAGGGTCTGTTGTCCGAGCCAGCAGCGCATTTGTGTCTGGAGTTGCAAGGCGTTGCGAATTGAACGACGGACGGCACGAGTGCCGCAAACAAATGGTATCACAGGCGTGGCAGGGCGACAGCAATATCGCTGCCGTGGTTCGGGAAGAGGGCAGAACAAGCCCATCTGCGGCAGGACCCAAGTCTTCTCCACGCGGGCAAGCCGTAGGGAACTCTGTAGGTTCCGAGCTTTAGTGCGCGCCAGCCAAGGATGTCAATGTTTGATGTATTGTCGCAGGATGAACAAGTCCATCGTGATAGGGGTCGGAGCTGGAATATCTGAGCAAAAAACCAGGTAATTGCGTCAGAGAGGCAGGGTGGAGCCTGTCGTATGTTTACTATCCCATCATGATAGGGCTAAGAGGAAGACATCATCAAAGGCGAGACCGAACAGGAAAGCTTTATGCACCATCATTTGTGGTCAAGACTCAATGCCAACAAGATTCTGACGAGGAATATTCAGTCAATCACCTGCCGTTGTTTCCCAGGCCCTTTGTTTGGCCACAGCCGTTCTTACCGTTAACGGTTGCCAGGAACGGCAGCCACGGCAGGGCCACCAAAAAAGCCTGGAAGCTCTGGAAGGAACCCCCTGCAGGTCTGCAAGATTGGGGAGCCAGGATGAGCGCGGATAAGCCGCGGGGAAAAGGGTGTGGCGCTAACACGATTGCGGACCAGGCAATCTACCCAGAAAGATGATGCGAGACAAGATATCGAAGAGAAAAACAGAACTGGCATGCGTTAGGATTGAGATCGGTATTAGCGATGTAATATTGCAATGTTTTATTTTTGGATTGGCCTGCTTCTTCTGGCAATTTGACCTCCTGTATTCGGCTGGACCATATTGGATGGCGAGATGGGTGTGGTTCGTTCCTATTCTCTGGAGCATGGATGAGGTAAATCTTGATAAGTAGATGGACTGGCCCGGTAGACATTGGCAGTCGGGGCGGAATATCCATGAAAAGCAAAAACCGCAATGCCATCGTGTCAATTCATGTCTGAATCACAGTCTCGGCACGGAATCGTGGAGGAACAAGGCCGGGAGGGAGCCGCTGACGGCAGCCATTCAGAGACAATAATGCTATGGTGTGCTGCTGAAGTCCGTGGGTCAACCCCATCAACTAGACGTGGACGGACAAGTGGGAGGCGAAAAGTCGTCAGCACTCGCCTCTATATGTTGGTACGTTCTTGGTACGGCTTTAGCGTCGGTGGAGGGAAATGTTGATGTGGCAATCAACACGAGAGCCAGGGGCAATAGATGCGAGTTAAGCCGACAAACGCACGAAATGATAACGATGATGGTGGTGTTTGGGTCATATGTTGGTGTCGGGTATGCAGTCCGGCTCAACCAGCTCCGCACTGCTGCACAATTGCTGCACAACTACTGTACGTGTACTACGGATGGAATAAAGTGGTCAGAGAGTTGTTAGCACTGATGTATCATGGATGACAGGAATACCATGTACATGGTACTACTGCTACTACTACTACCACTTCGGAAAGTGCAGAATGCAAAACAGACACTCTTCCCAACATGGCCACATCAACCTCCCGTCAGTGGCAGGCTATTGACGAATAGCAAGCAAGCAAGTATTGCAGAGTGTTCCAGGTCTTCAATTCCTGTCAGACGCGTCGCGCTATCTGCACAGCCAACTTTTCACTCCCGGGACTCGCGTTCATATACATGACTGGGCATGATTTAATTGATACCTGCGCTGCGGGCGGGTGCCAACCATAGGTGCCGATATTTGCATGCTTCAAAACTTGCTTCTTCCCGAACCCTCGTCAAGCCGCGGTTGGGTGTTGCAGGCCATACCAAGCCATGGATACATGCCCATCACCATTTGGATGGCCGAGCAACTGCGTCATCGGGTGTAGCGGACCATTGTGGTACCGGTAACCCTGAATTGGGCTAATCAATCGAAACGGCAGGCAGGCGAGAGAAACATTTTGTGGATGGAGAAAACAGCGAAAGGCATGGTCCTTCTTTTCAGCTTGTTCAGGTTGAACGGCAATCGTCGCAATGTATTTGGTACAGGGTCGGCACCAGTGCTGATAGCTTTTTCCTAGGATGCAGGCCGATCGACGATGGAGCTTGCGCTGGCCCTGCTCGATGATTCGAGCAGCAGCCTTTGGGGTTCTTTGTTGGTGTCCATTAGCCAGACACGCAGGGGGTGGAAATACAAGTGCAAAAGGTCGAACCGCAGATTGATTGCCAGAAGAGGCCTGGCTCGGGAGTCATGGTCATGATTGGTACTGGGAGGGTAAAAGTGTGGATTGAGAGCCCTTGAGTTGTGACACTTGTGAAGCTCGAGAGGAGGTCCCGGCCAGGCCTGGAGGACCACTGGCTGCCACTGAGGCGTTGGCAAATGTGCCTCTGATGGGCCTCAGGCGCTACTGACCCTCTCAGCGAAAGTCTCAGAGTAGTAACAGTGGGGACCGGGCGGTTTATCGCGTCTGACCTTGGCAAGGTTCAGCGGAACAACTGGAGAGTGGGAGTCCGTCGGCCATTTCCATACCCACATTCTGGTGTATTCAGTGTTACTATCTATGTCCATCCCCATTTTCTTACGAATGCCGGTCCTTACTATGCAGGGAATTGTGTTGCAACTTATGTAAGGTACAGCCAACCATTGGGTGGAGGCGACGAACAACAACAGACGCGCGCTGCACACTGATGATTGTTTGTTTTCTTTGCTTTTTGGTCTCGCTGTCGGTTGTAGGATTTGGGGAGTATATGAGCACAGTGAGCCAATACGTGGAAGGTTTGATCAGGGTCCTTCGGTTGATGGCGCATTGACTGATGAGTGTTAATAATGGCCTTTTTTTTTTTTTTTTTTTCCTAGTGTGTCTATGTGCAGAGGAGGCCTCGATTGTGGTTTAGTTTTCTCGCCTTACGTTTATTTACAGTTCATCTTACCTGAAATCGGTTGGCAGTAAAGTCAGTCATTAAGGGCTTCTTCCTCTTGAACTTAGGTTTTGGCTGACTGTTGCCCTTTAACGATTGACTTCGAGGCACAGCATTGGCATTGAGGCGGTCTTTTGTTCGACTTTTGTGCTTCCTGTGTCCGTGCCGGTTCGTCGTTACAGACGCCACACCCCCTCCATTTGGAAGAACACACCAAAGGCCCACTATTCATCTCAACCCCTTACCCCTGTGCTAGTGGCAGCATGTGGATGCACAAAAGTGGCTCTAAAGACCGAGCTAGGCCAGAAACCAAGACGTTCAAATCTCGCCAGGCCGGTGGGAAGCAGGACAAATATTGGCATAGCCCAATGGGTCCCGGCCAGTGTCATGGAATCGCTATTCCATCACCATCCGAGTTTTTATTGAATGTCTGGCCCAGGCTTGAGGTCTTGATCTCTTGATCGAGTCACAGAACGGTCCAGAGTCAGCCGGCGTATGAGGTCATGGAGACGAGAAAGGGGTAGCGAGCGGGAAATGTGGTAAGCGTGCTCATAGACGGAGGACATGGACTAACTAAGCCAAGGACGTCAGGGAAGTCAATTCAACCCACTGACTGCCGCTACGTTCGTATTGCCTTTCCCCCGTCATGATGAACAGACTTTTGCTTTTGGGTGCCAATGTCTGTCAGATTCTGAATGATTTGCGACGCTCTCCACCTGGGAAGTGTTGGCTTGCGGAAAGCCCGTGATTGAGAGCTGGCTTGGTGCCTTTTGCGAATCTTGACTGATTTCCCATGAGCTCCATGTGTATGTATAATGGTCTATGCAGCGGGTAGGTAGTTAATGGCACCAGTATCCGTATCCGTAGCTAGTGCACGACTGGTACGAGGTACCTGACGGTCGAGCAACAACCACCCATCGTCCGCCCTCTATTCGTATAGTCTACGGATGCTATCTACTAGTATCTGGAATCTTGACTGGACTGACTGCCCGCCTTGGCCTTGGCTCTCCGTTCAGTTCCTGACGGCCTTGATCACACCCACGCCGGCCTTTTCCTGGCCCCTGTCCCTGTCGTGGTTACTTTGTACCCGCAGTCTGCACCACGAATAGCAGCGTGAAAATTGCCCTGACCCCCCTCCATTCGGGCCCTCCCCTGTCTCCCTCTCTGCAGTCCTGTCCCCCTACACTTGGTGTGTTTCCCCTTCAAGCCACGCCCTCCCGTCCTTCCTCGACCTCTTCCTTCGAACGCACCACACAAAGAGAAGTCACATCCCTTCCCTCCCCAGTCCATTTTCTCCCTCTTCCTTTTCCGTGACAGCTTCATTCTGTTCGTTTTGACCTTTCGATTCCCGTCTCTCGTTCACCCCCGTACCTCCCCCAAAAGGTTCTCCTTTCTCGTCTTAAGCTTCCTTTTCTTTACCTCAGAGAAATCGAAGAACAAACATCCAAATTATAGGTACGTAACCGCTCTACCTTGAAATCTGTGGAACGATTGCAGAGAGAGGCGAGATCATGAGAGGCTGCTAGAGAGGTGGGAAGGAGAATCGAGAAACAATTCCTGCTGCCAATGCTCGGCAGGAAATCTGTATCCAATGCCTCCCAAAGCTTGGAATTCACCTACCTCCCCCTTTCCTCTCCTGTCTCTTTCCCACCATCACTTCTCCCTTCGTCACTCGTGTCTGCCCTCAGCACTTGCCACCGCCAGCCGATATCGACGCCTCCAGAACAAGGAAGAGGCTGTATTTTCCTCAGAAACACACAAGAAACACAAGCCCCATATCCTGTCCACTTGACCCTCAAGAGTCAAACTTGATATACTTCTCCCCCTTCTCATTCTGTTTTCAACTGCCGTCGCGCTTTTTGGACCATTTTGCTTCAGAGTTATCGACTTGAGGCAGCTCGTGCAGTTACCAAAACATCAGCGCTTCCCATCATCATTCTACTTGGTCATCATCGCAAAAGGCTTCTCCCGAACAGCACGCTGACCCAGACCAAATAGCGTCCAGATCAATCACAATGGTTTCCAAGCTCATTCCCGCCCTCGCGGCCCTGGGTGCCGGCCTCGCCTCTGGTAAGTCTAGTCTTCGGCCTGGCTGAAAATCACGACGACCTAACCTGTATATGCAGCCCAGAGCAACAACATCTGCGCCTCCAAGACGCTCACCGTCGATGCCGCCATGGCCACCAACATCCCCTGCGGTACCGTCCAGGGCTCCCTCAAGATTGCTGAGGACGTCACCGGTGCCATTCAAATCGTTGGCCCCCGAACCATCAAGGGTGACCTGATTGTCACCAACGCCACCAAGCTCGTCGGCCTCACGTCTTCCTCCTTGGCCACCATTGAGGGCACCTTCCAGATGCAGGGCCTCACTCTCCTGTCCGACCTCCAGTTCAGCCAGCTTGCTACCGTCGGCTCCATTGACTGGGTCACTCTGCCCGCACTCAGCTCCATCACGTTCGGTACCGCCGGTGTCACCAAGGTTAACAACATCCTCATTAGCGACACCCACCTCAGGAGCCTGGACGGCCTGAATGTCGCCTCCGTCGACAGTCTCCGCATCAACAACAACAACCAGTTGGTCTCTTACAGCAACCAGCTGGCAAACGCCACCAAGACGATCGAGATCAACTCCAACGGTCCCGACCTGGGCATTACCCTTCCCAACCTCATCTGGGCCAACGAGATCATCATTGCCGATGCTGCCAAGGTCGAGATGCCTTCTCTCGAGACTGTCAACTCCTCCATCAAGTTTGACAAGAACACATTCACGTCGTTCATCGCCCCCAACTTGACTCAGTGCACTGACGGCGATGTTTCCTTCATCAACAATGTCGAACTTAAGAACCTGTCCCTTCCTCTCCTGAAGAAGACCGGTGGTGGCCTCACTATCCAGAACAACACCCTCCTTGAGAAGATCGATGGTCTCCCCAAGCTTGAGCAGATTGGCGGTGCTGTTCTCCTCCGTGGCAACTTCTCTGAGTAAGTTTTTCTCGCTGCAGCTTCCGGCACATGCTAACACGGACTAGGGTCTCTCTGCCCGCTCTTGACGACGTGAAGGGTGCCTTCGACACCCAGTCTACTGGCAACATTGACACCTCCTGCGACGTCTTCAACAAGATGGAGGGCAAGCAGATTCAGGGCGAGTACACCTGCCGCAGCAACAACACCCGTGCCAACGAGGACGGCTCTAGCTCTGGTGGCAACGCTGGAGGCACCAAGAACGGTGGTGGCTCCAACAACGAGGGTGCTGCCGGCATCATCTCTGTCAACACCGCCATCCTCTCTATTGCCCTTGTTGGTGGTCTTGCTCAGCTCATGTTGTAAAGGACTGGCTACTGGGAAATAGGCTCGGATAATGGCGGCGTTCTCCATACATCTTTCACTGTTTGTGCAATTTTCTTTTACTGCAAATTCTGTTTTAACAGCTTGCGGCACACCCACGCATTTCCCTCGATTGGGAACCTCCTACGTACAGGAAAAACTCTAGACTTAATATTGGGACGATGGGTACTGATGGACCATACCCTCGTCTACTTTTCACCCCTTTATTTTGCGTGACGAAACAAAAGCACACAGGGCAGTCCGTCGCGTCCTTTCCATCAAAGCGCTTGGTTTCGACAAGCTTGCGCTTATTATCCCGTCCGGACTATGTTGGGAGTAGTGGTTGCCCGGGCTGTATGCCGAGGGTTTGGAGGCTTATGACCAGACTCAAGAAGGAGAACGGCAGACACGTGGAGAACGGAAGCGCGAGATTGATGCGACATGGAGTCGGTTAAGCAACGAAGATAGAAGGGTTGTTGTGTTTATTGAGGAACCATGATGTGTATACCTTTTACTTTCAAGCTTCTTTGGCCTCTTGCGGTGACATCTTTTTACGTAGTGACATGTGTTTGCCCCTGGACTAAGAAGTATCTAGACAAATCAACCCTAGGTAACGTTATCATGGCTCGCTGGGTTTTATCTGCTGCCCTTCTATAGAAACCGAAGGTTTTAACTACCGGCAGGCACTATGCGGAATGTTTCAAGGTGCACAACCAAGTCTTGTTTGTTTGCGCTATACGTTATCGGTATACTCCTCTTTCGAACTTCTCGGTATCGTAGAACTTGGGCACCACAGTATTTCCGTTGAATATACGCCCATCAAGCTCATTCACAGCCTATCGTTCGTCAGTCCAATCAGCCGTGGTATTAGGGGCGAAGAAAAATCTTCAACTTACACGAAGCGCAGATACTTGGTCGGTGAACCTGATAAATACCTGCCTGTTTTCGACGTCGATGTACAATCGCTCGACTCGCCCGTACTGCGTCAGAAGTTAGTACCAATCCCGGTATCCAAACAAACGAGGGAGATAGTCGTCCGCTTACCTTCTCGCCGCACTCCTCTCCGATCTCCTGCCCTAGCCCGCTCGCAATCTCGCCCTGTAAATCTTCCATATTGTCGAGCATGTTCTGCAGCACGATAACCTCGCTCATGGGCCCGCCGAACTTGTTCCCGCCTTCTCCTTCTGCGTCCTTGCGCTTTCCACCGAGGATCTTGGCCCGGTTGGCAGGGTCGGCCCAGCCGCCTCCCTCTGCGTCCGATTTCTTTTTGCGCTTCTCTACTTGTACCCGCAAGGGGTTGACAATACCAGATTCGTCGGCACCGAGCCCGGAACCCTTCGTCCAGCCGTATTTGGACATGAGGCGCTGGGCGAACCCTGCTTGACCTGGACGGTTGGAGCGAGGGGTGTCGGTCGAGTCTTCTTGTGAGGCACCGAGCCCGAGAGTTGGTGGTGGAGAGGCTGCTTCATCGTCGGGTTCTTCGGCGGCTGGAGTGTAGCGGACCGGTGCGCGAGATATCGTTGCTTCGTCTGGGGGTGGAGGGGGAGGACTTGGATCAGAGGGTGGAAGAGGTGCGGCGGATACAGACTTGGCTAGACGACGGGCATAGGCTTCATCACCTGTTGTGTCATTGGGGGGCGAGACCTCGGGTTGTGGTTGAGGAGGTGGTGAGCCAGGGGGCGGCGGTACAAAAGAGTACTCCGGAGGCGGCGCGAACTGGTCTATTGAGTGTAAGCCAACAGTTGACAAAGGTGTCGTTGCGCGACAAAGCGTCTTACTCGTTGCTGGCCGGCGATCAGCTTCCTCTTCGCTATCATTACTTGAGCTGCTGCGCCGGCGGTGACGATAGAGCATCCTCTTCCAGTCCTGGATCTCGCGGATGCGCTCGTCGCTGCGCAAATATTCATCAACGTTGGTGGGCTTTGACGGGTCGTAGATGTCGTCCCAATTCGTTTCAAGAGGCTGGTTATGGTTCTTCTTCTTCTTCTTGCGTCGGCCTCCGCGCTGGTAGGAGCGTTCGCCTGTGCCATAACGCCATTCGTCTTCTTCGGTCGCGGTCCAGTCTGCGAGAGTGCTCTTTGGAGGTGGTGCCGAGGTTGCAGCGGATGCTGGTGCAGCGGATGCGGTTGTTATCGCGCCTGGAATGGCTTTTGGGAAGCTCGGTTTGGCTGGTTTGGTGGATTTGGCTTGGGGTCTGCGAATGGGCTGGAAGCGAAGGGCTGGAGGTGTGTAAGTCTCTTGAAGATGAGGGATGACGGCTTAGGGGGGCTAGGGATACATGGATCTATGAGCTTCTTGGCCGCTGACCCGTCCTTGGAGTCTGCGCCGGCTGCATCTTGATTGTAGCGAACTGGCGCGCTGGATATAGTCGCGGACGAGGGGTCGGCGGCTGGGTCGAGGAGGTTTGCGTAGAGGGACAATCCACCTCTCGCGGGGGGAGGTGGAGGAGGCGGTGCCGCCATGGAGCACGAGAGCAGCCAGCAAGAAGTTCCTGATCGGTGTACAAGTTACCCAAGTTGTTTTCACAGAACACTCTATCGGTTGCGGTGCTGAAGACTTGTGCTAGCGGCAGCTATCCCAATCGTCGCAAAGATTATGACAATCCACTCTCAGCCTGGCTCGCAAGGCGGAGTTGAAGCTGGCGGGAGCTGTAGGCGGGCCCACCCGCGTCAAGGTTATGCTGCACCCCAAGCAAAGTTCTGTCATCAATGCGGGCCGGCCGATAGGGTTCTCCAGTGCCTTAGGCGCTGAAACCCACCTCCTGCGGCGTCCGGCACAGCGCCCAGCTTGCCGCGCAACCACATTTCCACTGCGTGTTGGGGGCACATCTGGGCAAGTGGGTTCGGGGAGGGTGCCCCTTTCACTGTACTATGTAGCCGGGTTCACTCAGTGGGCTGTTCGATAACGAGACACGGCAAAAAGGAACCGGGGGGACTCGGCTTGTCCCAGACTGGGCTTGGTGTCCTGAGCACATCATCGTCCTAGTCACTTTCTCCTACCAGGGGAGAATTATCCGTATACCCTCGGGTTTTTTGCTTTGCCTGTCTCCCAACATCACCCTGTACTAAAACATAATTTTGTTGATCCTCCTCCGTTGAACGGCACATTAGGTCTATATTTTCCGGCGTGTCATTCAAATACAATTGAGTCGCCATTTAACTCATATTGCTGCTGCATCTCTTGCGTTATCAGACTTGTTCATCTGATCCCTTACTCCGAATCTTCTCCGACCTCGCTTCGCTGCTGGTTGCAATCCGACTTGCCGTCGCTTCGCAGCGCATATAATCATACCCTGCTTCCTCCAATAACAAGGACTCATCCGTACATTCATAGAAAATGGCTCTGACTCTCCAAACCGCCATTAACGGCCCGGCTAACTCAACAGCCGTCATTGTGCCGTCGAAGCCTAGTGCTCTTAACGTCACCTACGGCGATCTCATCAGGGAAACGGCCAACTTCCAGGGCAAGCTCGCCTCCATCGGCATCACACACGGTTCTCCCGTTTCCATTGCGACTGTCAACTCATATGAGTTTATTGTCTCCTTCCTGGCTGCTTCCTGGCAGCGCGGCATTGCGGCGCCCCTGAACCCGGCCTATAAGCAGGACGAGTTTGAGTTCTACATTGAGGACGTCAAATCTGCCATTGTGCTTGTCCCGAAGGGCGCCTATGCTGCTGGTGCCCCCGCTGTCAAGGCTGCCCAAAAGTTCAACGCCGCCGTCGCGGAAACTTACTGGGATGAGACAAAGAAGGAGGTTGCTCTGGATGTCAAGGAGTTGGGCCAGCTCCAGGGCAAGGGACCCGAGCAGGTCTTGAAGGCTCAGCCTGATGATGTCGCTCTGGTTCTTCACACTAGCGGAACCACCTCTAGACCCAAAGTTGTGAGTTGGTATCCCTGTTACTGGTGAAAGTGTTCATACTAAGAGTGCAAAGGTTCCTCTCACTCACCGCAACTTGACTAGAACAATGAGTGAGTCCTCAGCAATGAGCATTGACCTTTTCAAGGCTAATACGAAGCAGAGAACATCCAAAACACCTACCAGCTTACGGATAAGGACCGCACCATGCTTGTCATGCCCCTCTTCCATGTCCATGGCCTTCTCTGTGGTCTTCTTGCGCCTCTGGCCTGCGGCGGCTCCATGGTTGTTCCCAATAAATTCTCCGCCACCGACTTCTGGGCCGACTTCATCACCCACAAGGCGAACTGGTACACTGCTGTGCCTACCATTCACCAGATCCTCCTTAAGAACCCGACGCCCAATCCCCTCCCCGAAATCCGCTTCATCCGCTCCTGTTCGTCCCCGCTCTCGCCAACCGTCTTTGCCCAGCTTGAAGCTGCCTACAAGGCCCCCGTCCTCGAGGCCTACGCCATGACCGAAGCTGCTCACCAGATGACCTCCAACCCGCTCCCTCCCGCTAAGCGTAAGCCCGGCACTGTGGGTATTGGCCAGGGCGTCGAGGTACGCATTCTCGATGACGAGGGTAACGAGCTGGAGCAAGGAAAGGAGGGCGAGATCTGCATCAAGGGCGAGAACGTTACCAAGGGTTATCTCAACAACCCTAGTGCCAACGAATCGTCGTTCACCAAGGGCGGCTTTTTCCGCACGGGTGATCAGGGCAAGAAAGACGAAGATGGATATATCGTGATCACTGGCCGCATCAAGGAGCTCATCAACAAGGGCGGCGAGAAGATCAGCCCCATCGAGCTCGACAACGTCCTCACCCGTCACCCCGCCGTTTCTGAGGCCGTCAGCTTCGCTATCCCCGATGAGATGTACGGCCAGGATATCGGTGTCGCTGTTGTTCTCAAGCAGGGCCAGCAGTTGAAGCAGGACGACCTGAGGAACTGGGTCGCCGAGAAGCTGGCCAAGTTTAAAATTCCCAAGAAGGTAAGATTAAACGCGATCCATGTGGTTTGAGAGCAGATATGCTAATAATTTAGATTTACTTCACTGAGACGATGCCCAAGACGGCCACTGGTAAGATTCAGCGCCGCATCGTCGCGGAGAAGATGCAGCTGCAGGAGCAGCCCAAGGCCAAGCTGTAAACGTGAGACTATGGCCCGCGGTAGACTATTAGACCTTTACACCTTAGACGATCGTGTAAAAGTGATTGTAAATCATTGACTCACATGGCATAGAGCAAGACGTATTAGAAGAATTTTTTTTTTTTATAGATACCTAGATGGATAGATGAGAGTGGGGTTTCCCATGTATACAAACACCATCGAATTAAGAATACGCAATGCGGCCGTATTAGCTCTTGGGCTCTTCAAGCAAAGCCGCATCCCAGGCCCATCCCCAAGGCTTTCATTTACCAATTCATGAAATAAATTTGTGATCCAAACATGGAGTTTCATCCATCCGTTCGCCCGGTCTTGCTCTGAGACCACAACCTACCAGTTTCCCAAACGCCGGATCATTTCAAAAGGGTGATCACACCTATCGAACAAAGCAGCATCTGTGCTTTAATCGTAGTGTCCACCCTCCTCCTGATCATCGTCATCAAGATCAGGATCTTCGCCCTCCTCTGCGTCATACAACTTCTTCGGGGGCTCCGCCGAGCTTTCAGAAACATTCCTGCGCACGATAGTCTTGGGTTTGACGGCGTGCAACTCAACCCAGCAGGACACACCTTCGGGAGTGTCCCACCTTACAGGCTCAGTGTTGTGCGCGGCAGCATCGTCCAATTTTGCGCCCTGCTCCAGGGCAAGCTTGCGCACCTCGTCGTTGGCGTCCGCGAGGCCAGCGTACACACCCAGGACCGTGGTAGAAGAAGCGATGTCGTCGCCACCGTCCTTGTAAAAGACCAAGGCTACGGCGTGCGGGAAGTCGCGGCGGCCCGTGGGCAGCGTCGCAGGGGCGGGACGCTTAGCCGGGGGCGGGGAGTTTTGGACGGCGGAGGTCGTGGAGGCGGTACGCTTGTGCGCGGATGTGTCCTCGACCTCGGACATGGCTTTGATTGTCATTGGCGGTGTTTCTATGTGGTCGTGTAGATTGGTGTTATCCAACAATATGTGTGAGCGATTCAATCTAGTTGTGTGCGTGTGTATGATGCGAGAGATCAATATGATATAGACGAATTTATGTATGGTGTGATGTGACGTGGTGTGGGTAGGTAAAGTATTGTTCAAGATATTTGCATGTCTTGGTTCGATTTGATGCAAGGGAGAAAGGGGATTGTAGAGAATGGCGCAAAATGTCGGTCACTGGCGGAATCGTTCTTATATGGTTCCTCCCAAGTCTTAGTGGTCGACTTTATGACTGATTATCACGGATAGATGGAGTGCGCCGCTCTTCCTCGGAGCTGTGTAAGCCCGTCCGCTTTCCTTTCCAACCCGGTCTGGCGGTACTGCAGTTCCTGGAAGCTGCTGGTCTGACATGGATCGATTCGAGGGTCTGTGGAGCGGGTTGGGCTTTACGCCGCAGGTCACAAGGACAGGCTCTCGGGGGGTCCGATGACCGGCGCTGCCGCCGCCGTAAAGAGTACCCGCTGCTGCAATTGAGTGCTGACGGGTTTTGTAAGGTGCCGTCAAGGGCTGATGAGGGCCTGAGGCGGCTCGGCGTTGCCAACGAGTGCGCGAACAGCGATGAGCCGACTGTAGCCAGCTGGCCCCGCCGGTTCCCCAGTATTGGGGCTGGAAGTTGGAAGCAAAGCTGGGCTGATGAGCACCAGGGACAAGGATAGGGGCAGTTCCATAGCCCGGCAGCGCAGGATCCTCTCTCTCTTTGGGATCAGTCAGTCATACATCCAGGAGCATGTTGTTCACCAATCGCCAGTCCTGAAGTCATCAAAGAAGAGGAAGAAGGAACTGCGTCCCCATTAACCGCCCAAATGACACGACCTGACCCACCTCTCCCACAACAGGGAGGGTTCCTCTGTCTCATTCAATCTAGGCCATAGCTATCTCATCTTGATATCACATCATTCCTGGAGACCGAAGAGACTCAGACTGACAGAGTGAGCGTTGGTCGGTGTTCCCGGGGCAGCTGCTGGCCTATATAAGTTATGGAAAGGCTCCAGTCATGCGTATGGTTCCTGAATTACCTGCAATATTCAACGCCATCACCAGGATGTTGGTATTGACACGAGGACCATTGCCTTGCAAGAGGATCCATCTTGCTACTCTCTGGGAAACTGGAGCTCTCCATAGGGTCACTTGTCAACTCAAAGGCATTTGAACGAGTTCTTTTCACTGACGTCAATTCCGAAGTTGTTTCCCTGAGTCTTATTGAGGGCATCATCAAGGTGGAGCAGAACGCCTACACGAAGTTTATGTGTTCGTTAAAGAGAACGAGCATACTCCTTGATACTTGTCATCGCCATCAACTTGTGACAGTCAACGTATGTAACTCAGACGCACATAATCCTGGATGTTTCTAGATTGCCGCACCCGGCGCACTGTTGTTGATCAAGTCGTCATCCGAACTCAAGAGACTCGAGTTCGACTTAGAGGTGCTGAAAAGTATTTCATTGGCCCATACCTGAATACACCTGAGTTTGCCTCGTCCTGCTCACCTTTCCCATTACCTTGGACTACCATCCTGCTGCCTGACGGTCCGCCGTGGCCAGCAAAAGAACACAAGACCAACCCAATGATACAACCGCTTATCCACTTACGCCGAAACCCATTACATTGCTGCTCAAGTCTAAGCCTCGGCCTGTTCCTCGGCCGCCACCCTGAGCTCATAGTTGAGATCAAAACACTCAGCAAGAAGTTCGCTAACACTGCCCTGGCCTTCCGGGATATCGTTGTTAATCATAAATTTACCGTCTTGGCGCATGTTGTCGATCGAATGAAGCTGGATGCTGTCAGCTAGCTCTATCTTAGTATGTATGCACAACGTACCTTCATACTGTAAGGATACAGCTCTCTGACAGATTGAACACCTCCGTTGTTCTTGACCTCGATCAGACATCTCTTGAGCGTTTGCAGTTGATTATAGATGGGAAGCAACGCCTCAGAAACCGGCTCGGATGAGATCATTAGGGAGTAGACATAAGCATAGCTTCTTCGAATCAGATAGAGCAGGGTCTGCCAACTTTGTCAGTGCCAATCCCGCCAAGCCGACAGGTTCACTTACTCGTTGTACATAGAGCTCGGCGGGCTTGCCTTCGTCGTCAAACCAGTTGCCGTTGACTCGACTCTCGTCGATCTTGTCCAGTTGCCTCTGGAAGTCGAACAGGTCCGCCTCCCGAAGAGACCATGCCTGTGTAATTGAGAGCTTCTCTAGCTCGTTTCGGATTCGTACAAGTACGTCGTAGGTGGCCTTGAAAGGCTCAGGTATCACTCCTTTCCTCTCAAGGACGATTTCTGACCACTTCAAACACTTCTGCAGAAGTTCGGCCACTTCGTCGCTTCCAGCCGGCACCTTTCCATCCAAACCCAGAAGCTTACCCTCTTTTCTCTTATCTTCGATTTCGCGTAGCTGGGCCTGAAGCTTCTGAACTTCCGATGGAGAGAACTGTGCGGAGTATTAGAATGAACACTCTGGACGGTAGAAATATAGTCATACCTTGGTTCGGGTGTTGGCTAAAGACATAGACCTCAAGATCGAAATAAGCTTTTCGTAGGTCTTCGGCAGAGGATCCTCGAAACGGTCCAGCCGCTTCTGGAGACGCGCCAACGACTTCTCACAAAGATCTAACCTATTAGATAGCAACGTGATGAGGTATGGCGAGTAGTCAGTCTCGGTAGACTTGACATTGTGGGCAAGCTTCTTCAGAGTGTGCGAGATGCTTTCGAGGTCCTTTGACGAGAAGAGGTCAACTTCGGTTAGGTGGTCGAGAAGTCTTCTGATAGTAGATGTTAAAGCGTAAGCGGCCGGGGCCTCGTTGTTTCGGCCAATCGTCATGAAAAAGAGCGACAACAGCTGGAAGCAGCTTTCTAGCACTCTATCCACTGAAGTGCGGGTTAGCCGTTGACCCCGCACAGCTGGGACGGTAGCGTATTACCTCTGTTCTCCTCCCTTCGGTCAGCCGACCGAAAATCATTGAGCTGACGGACCTGTTCAATGGTCTCATCGTAGAGCGGGATAACATCCTGGCTGCGAATGTAGGTGGTGCGGTCTTGCTTCAGTAGCTGCAATCTGTCGCGGATCGAGACCAGCTTGTCTAGAATCTCCTTCTCACGGGCGTCCCGTGGCGGAGGGCAAGTAGGGGTGTCCATCTCGCGTGACGTAATTTATGACGGGCGCTGATTGCTGGGAGGATTGTAGAGTTGGAATATGGGAAATTGTCGGCTGTTCACGATCATGGACGGCCAAGGTATGCACCTCGTGCGCTGAGTGTCAGTACCCTTGCAGTGCCAATGACCCAACATTCAAGGAAGCACGATAGCGGGGTCGTCGAGATTCAAGGCCGACAGCAGCCAAAGTCCAAAGGAATACTGATGCCGGTTTTAATAATGGTCCAGCTTTGAGTACTTGACTTGGGGGCAATCGGAGTTGTATTGGTAAGATAATCTGTGACAAAGGGTCCTCTGCCGTGGCATCCGCCGAGAGATATGTAAGTAGGTGCGGATGATGCTCGTCACACGTTCGCCCAGCTGGACAGGAATCCAATAGAAGCACGTCAACGCTTGTGATAGAGGTGGGGGGGAGGAACGACCGTGCTGGGAAAGTCAAATCGAGGCATCAAGGTGGGGCACAATCCAAGTGATACCGGTACAGTGGGGCAGACATGCCCAGGCTGCCGATCCGCAATCCTATTGGCTCGCAACTTCGGCCAATCAAAACCATTGCAGAAAACACCCCGGAGGCTGACTTTAACCGAAACCGCCGAATTGTTCAATTAGGTCTTCAAAGCCCTGCTAAATTTTGACTCGGTGGATGACCTCGCGATAGCATATTGACTACTCCTCTGACAACCACACTCTACATCCGCGAAGACATCCCTCAGTCGCAAACCGCCCAAACCAGTCACAATGTCGACCGCCGAGCTCGCTTCTTCCTACGCGGCCCTCATCCTCGCCGATGATGGTGTCGAGATCACTGTGCGTCGCCGCGAACACACCCCGCTACGAAATTCGAAAAAATAAGAAATGATCGAAATACTAACAGTACTGGTTCAATAGGCCGACAAGCTCCAGACCCTGATCAAGGCTGCCAAGGTCGAGGAGGTTGAGCCCATCTGGACCTCTCTGTTCGCCAAGGTACGACGCGCCGGACGATGAACCAACGACTTTCCGGGAATAGCAAAGACTGATATCAGGAACAGGCTCTTGAGGGCAAGGACGTCAAGGACCTGCTCTCTAACGTCGGCTCCGGCGGTGGTGCTGCTGCCCCCGCTGCTGGCGCTGCCGCTGCCGGCGGTGCCACCGAGGCTGCTGCCGAGGAGGCTCCCAAGGAGGAGGGTATGTTGCAACTCACATCTTGTCTATCTGTTACATCATCTGACAATTTCCACAGAGAAGGAGGAGTCCGACGAGGACATGGGCTTCGGTCTCTTCGACTAAGCGGTTTCCTACGACGATTTCCCTTTTGTACTTCAAATGCATGGTTCCGGGGGTTCTACGAATCGCGCGATCATAAAGGATTGGGTGGAGGCACGATATCCTGCTGCCTGGACAGAGTAGCTCTCATACGATAATGTGAAGAAGCTCTCTACGTGGAGTTCACTGGACATCCTAAAAAAATGAAAGTGGAATTTGGCGTGCTTTGATCAAAACCTGGCCACGAGCAGTGCCTGAACTGGAGTCTTGGACGCCGACATGATACACCAACATAGTTTGAGTGGGAATGGCTTATGATCCTAAAATTGTTTCCTGGGCGCAGCGACGCATGTGACGAGTGATAATCTTGCTTCTCCTATTCTCTACTTCCCCAACGCCAACTCAATTCATATCCCTTCCGCCGACTAGGTCTAGAACATCTATTTGACTATGAGAACGGCACTTGGTGTCAGACCCGCCTCCTTCAGAGTCTTGCTGAAATCCATGTGGCCCTGGAATGTCTTCTTGGGGAATGTGGTCGAGAAGCTGGTGACCTCTAGGCCATTCTCTGACTGCAGCATCTGAGCAACCTCGAATAGCGTAGTCTCTGCGGGGAGTGTCTTCATGACATTGCCGCCCGAGGTCTGTAGTCTTAGCCGTGCTTCATTGTGGTTTGCCGTGGTTTTCGGGATGGAGGGCGCTGCAACAGGACCCGGCGCGGGAGCTCTGCCTTCTCTTGCAGCCTTAGCCTCCTCCGCCTTACGGCGACGCTCTTCCTTATCCGCCTCAATTTTGGCCTTGATGCGGCGTTTTGCCTCCATGTCGTCGAGTTTCTCTTGGCGTTTCTTCGCAGCCTCCTTGATCTGCTCCTTGCGTTGCAACTCTTCTTTCATCTCCTGGCTTTCTTTGGTAGCTTTCATGCGGATCTGCTCGTTGCGCTTCGCGTCCTCTTTGTCCTGAACAGCCTGTTTCGCCTTCTTCTCCTTAAGTTGTTCGCGAAGCTCTGCCAGCTTCGCTTTCTTTTGTTCGTCAGTCAAAGGAGCGATCTCCTCCGTTGATTCTGAGAAATCAGTGTGTTCACTAGCAGAATATTAGCGAGCCAATTCAGGATGAAGGATTTGCACCAGGTTGAGAACTTACGTCTTGGTAGCGTGGTAAGAAGCGGTGTCCTGGGACTTGAAACGCTTGCCGCACTCATTGCAGACCAGTGACTTGGCAACACCACTCTCAAGGGCATCAATATTGGCTTGGACTTCATTCTCGTCATCTTCATCGTCCTGAGCCGCGCTGTTGGCTGCAGCAGTGAGCTCATCAAGAGGCTTGTCCTGGTTGGCCTCAAGCCACTCGAGAGCGCCGTTCACTACGCAACATGAGCATCGCACTCTATGGTATCTCCCATATGTTATAGACACTTACAGTTTCCGGTTTTCTTCACTGCAAGCTCAGCCCGAGCTTTTTCAAAGCCCATGTCGAGCAGCTGGTCGAGATCGCTTTGGGTCATTTTGACTGTCAAACAGGGAATGGCGGGGTTGTCGGGTGGCGGATGAGGAAACGAGAATGCTGTAGCTAGTTGAGAAGCCAAACGAGATAGCAGTTCAAAAGAAACCTAAAAGGGAAAAAAAAGAAAAAGAAAAGAAAAAAGATAACTTCTTGTTTAAAGAAGCAAATAGAGCAGTGAAAGAAAGCCGATAAACAAAAGATGTTTTCGTATCGTAGCTAAATGGCATGTAAAGACACGGGAAAGCTCTGGCGTTTCTAAGAAATGATGACCTGAGTTGTTACTTTCTGCGAAACGAACGTCATCTGCAGGTGCCTTCCAAGCTGTGGATAGAGGGGCTACAGTGGCTGAAGCAGGACGAGATGGGCAGGAGCCACCTCCCACCTTCCACTTTGCCCGAGGTTCCGTCCTACCTCAGCAATGAAGTCCCTGGGTTTTTAGTGGACGAACTCCCGGATTAACACCCCTGTCCCTTGGACTGTTTGCCAGTGGAGGCCCCAGCGAGAACCTCCGATTGACCGCTCGCTACCTCAGGCTAGGGGCTACCTTAATGAAACCTGGCCTGGAGGTCTGCTCTGAGCCAGGACAGCGTGCGCATCCTCCTATCCCAATCGAGCCCAGCCCGTTGGTTAGTTAAAGTGGTGTGTATTACGTCGTGCGCTCCCGTGCGAAACACCTGCTTTTTTGCACTTACCATTACCCGTGCCTTACCCTTCCTTCTTTCCTTCCGTTCGAACACCAAACCTTGCCCTTGCCTTACAACCCAGCGCTTTAATATCGCCCCGCGCGCGACATTCCTTCACGTCTTCTCCTCGACCCTCGTCTCTCGCAAATCTCTTATTACTATCCAGGCCGACGCCTGCGTTGAATGCGCCGAAACCCGCCGAGTCTCCTTTTTCGTCCCTAAGTGTCCGCAACGCCCTACCACCACCACCACCGCCACCATGTCGGTCGATATCGAGCCTACTGAGCTGAGCTTCAAACGTACGTCTGTGTCGGGAGTGCTTCGAATAGGCATGATGTTTATGATTTATCTCTCAGGGCCCTTCACTGTTGAGGTTTCTCAGATCTTGCGAATCAAGAACCCGAACCAATCCCCCATCGCCTTTAAGGTATGTTAGCAATACATTGGCCTACCGTCATGTCAGCAGCTGCTTAAAAGAGAAACCTCCAGGTCAAAACCACCGCTCCTAAGCAGTACGGTCCCCTGCATCTTTTGCAGTACTCGAACAGCGACTGACGACAACTTCAGGTACTGCGTTCGGCCCAACTCAGGTCGTGTTGAGCCCGGTCAGGATGTGGAGGTCACTGGTACGCATTTCGGACTATTGCCAGGTGGTCACATGCAACTGACCAAAACCAGTTTTACTCCAAGCCATGAAGGCGGAGCCGCCCCTAGACACGAAGTGCCGTGACAAATTCTTGGTTCAATCCGTTCCCATTACTGCCGACAAGGAATTTGCCAGCATTGCCAACATTGTGAGAACAGACCCCAACGTTGGTCCGAAGCCGTGGCGCACACGCTAATTGTAACTGCCCAACAGCTCGACCAGACAGACAAGGCCAGTCTTCAGGAGAAGAAGATTCGCGTTACCTGGCTGCCCGCCGACGACCAGTCGCCCAACGGACCCAGCGCCGCGGCCGTTGCTTCTACTCCCAGTCGTCACTCCGTCGTCAATGGCGTACGTCTTGTCCTCCAACCAGCACAGTCAGTTTCGCGTCCTTGCTAACAAGAGAACAGGATCATACTCCCGATGTTTCACGCGTTTACTCTTCTCCCGGTCAAGAAGCCGACGGTGCCAGCCCCAACGCTGCTGCGCAATCTGGAAGCCCTGACGTGAAAGACGACTCCGTTTCTGAGAAGGCGCAATCGACGGTCAGTGCCGCAAGTCACGTCGTTGCCAGCACTGCACAGGCCACGTACGATGAGTTGAAACAGAAGCTTCAGCAGGCCGAGGCCAAGATTGCCACCCTTCAAGATACCAGCGGTCTTCGTCAACGCGTGAAGACAGAGAGCGAAAAGTTGCCCAGTGCTCAACAGGCTGCTGCGACAGTAAGGCAGGGAACGGAGGGAGTCTCAGTACAGATGGTTGCGATCCTTTGTCTGGTCAGCTTTCTTCTCGCCTACTTCTTCTTCTAATGCTTCGAAATTCCTTGATATTCCCCCCTTTTCTATGGTCTTTCTGTTGGAGGATTCACGACAAGACCCAAACGGCAGACGAGCCTAGTATGCTCAGAAGCCAAGGGTAACGGCATGGCGAGAGGATGTTTTGGCGGTGAGATTTATGGTGGACATGAAGGAGGATCCATTACTGGCCTCTCTTTGACATGGAACGGAGTCACAAACACGCTTGTAACTATACAGTTGTTTATTTTGTCGTAACGGCCTGGCGTCCTGGACGCGAAGTTCTCAATTCGAGTTTTTCATTTGTCAATCAAGGCTACAATCATCGCACCATCGGATCTTTGGCACCGAAACTTATGAGCCTTTTTCTCTTGGCCACTGTCATACTTCTCCATTGGAGCTCGGGATTAATAACATCGCCTCCCTTGAGAAACTACCACCCTTTTATATCTCATGTCCCGGTCATTATTAAACAACAAAAATGCCCCGCCTGACGTATTTTTCCATATCGACAGGATAATCTTTAATCATGAACTGACCAAACCAAACAATACTTTACGCAGTAACTTTAACTGTCTACCCCGGCCGATTTTCTCCGAGACTCGTCACTCAGGCCTCAATCTCCTCACGTGTCCACTTGGCGCCGCCGCCAACCATACGACCACCCTGCTTCCTCTTGACACGGCAGGTCATGCCGACGTTTTCGTCCCAAATAAAGCGCCAAATGACGTACGTCCAGCTCTGGTGGTAGGGCAGATCCTCGTAGAACTCGCTGGCAATCTCGCGCAGCGCATGGAGCTTGGTCCAGGGGACTGCGGGGAAGTCGTGGTGCTCGTTGTGCAGGCCGACGTTGTAGGTCAAGAAGTTCAAGGGGCCGTAGTAAGAGAAGGTCTCGGGAACGGGAATGGTGTTCGAGGGATCGCGCTGGGCGGGCGAGACAGTCTCATAGACGTAGTGCTCGGCAATGAAGTGGCCAGCCAATGGGTGCAGGGAGCCAGCCAGGAACGAAGAGATGAGGAAGTACATGACGGCAGTGCCGCCCCAAAGGGAGTAGATAAGATAGTCGAAAGAAAGTTGAACCGCGATGTTGAGGTAGTGTAGCCAAGTCAGGGGGATGCTGTAGACGGTCATAGGACGGATTGCGTAGAAGAAGATCTGGAAGGTGCAGAAGAATGCCTTGCCGAGGATCGAGTCCAAGAAGACTGCTTCGAGGGCGGTAGGGAGATCAGTGTCGAGGCCGTCCACACCGAGGGACTTGTGGTGCGTCAAATGGTAAGGCTAGTTGTTGTTAGCCATTGTCTCTTCTCTAGGTTTCCCTGCCTCGGGCTGTTGTGTCATCGGTACTTACCCTGAAGGAAGCGCTGTAGGGCACGCCAATGGGCAGGTTCGCGAAGATGGCAAAGATGCGATTGGCCATAGGGGAGCGGAACGCAAGGTTATGGGAGATCTCGTGGATAGCGAGGAAAAGATTCTGGTTGGCAGTGGCACCAAAGACGTAGCCGACGATCCAGAACTTCCAAGACCAGAATGAGGCGTCGCGTAGGTACCAGGCCCAGAAGACCTGCATCGCGACGACGCCAGCGACTACATACTTCGTCAGGGGCTCCGGCCCACAGAGCTTGGTAACCTATACGTGACAAGAATGTTAGCCTTTGTAAATGGCGTTGGTCAAGCCATTGGGCCCATTGGAAGCTGGAATGGCGTCCAGGCCCGATTGCAGCTTACCTCTGGATGAGCCTTGATAATTGCCAGGCGGCGGGTGCGGTGAGGTTCCTCGGTGTAGGTCCAAAAGAAGTCGCGCTCCTTGGGCGCGGAGGTCGAATCTTGTTGGTCTGTTGCATCGGTGGTCAGCTTACCGGCCGCGGTGCCGTTGGCGGCCTTGCGCTTTGACGGTTTCGTCACGGTCGAAGCGGCGGACGAGGCCATTGTTGCGGTTCTTGGAAGCTGGGATGTGCGGCGTGACAGTGAACGACAAGTCAATGTAGATGGCCTGAGGTTTATTTGATGTTTGGTGTTGGTGTAGACAGAAGCAGTAAAATCTGTCCTTGTCCTAACCAGGAATAGGAGAGAGAGTGTGTAGAGGGGCAACGAGTAGAAAAGAAGGGAGCGGATCTGATCACCTGCTCAGGCGGTCATTGATATATAAAGATCGGACTAAAGAGAAACAGAACCGTAAAACGAACGAATCCCTTGCTCAACCGTAAATTTGTATTTCCCCTCTGGCGCAAGGAATCGAGCGTTGATGGGAGAAAAATCATGCCTCGAAAATGGCAAATCTCCTGATACTGGCTGTAGGGGGCCCCGAAGCGGTGTAAAGGTCGCCTGTGGCGCAGCGGGTATCAGTGGGGGAAGGGGATACCCTTGCCCCGCTGTGGCCAATCGTTCGGGGCATGTGTTTTGCGTTGTGTAGTCGCACGGATCCCACCAACAAAATCGATAGCTGTAGCCCAGCCAGACGCCGAATTGGCAGTCTCCTTGAGAGGGGCACATTGCAGAAAAAACATTGTCATATTTTGTTGATCCTTTCTTCTTCCCCCTGAACCACCTCAGCGGTTGGTCGTTGGGGAATTGGGGAAGTTCTAGAACCCCACATACCACCCTATTCGAATCCCCTGTACGTCTCTGTGTAACTTTTCTGGGGCAAGGAAATGCGCAGAGTTATCGTGCATGCAAGATTGATCATGTTTGATTTCCTTGTTGCCTTTATAGTAGTTTACCGTCTCATAACGACATCGGGATCTTTTTCGTCGCTTATACAAACCCTAATACGAGGTAATCAGTTGCAGGTCCTCATCTGACGGGCCCTGTGCGCCGTCCTGTTGTAAGGGAAGTCTGAGGAGCATGACCCTTGTCGTTTATTTGCGAGGTTCAGCTCTGTGGGCTGTTTGATCAGGTACGGATACGTTGTATATCAAGAATACGTGTACGTTACGTACCACTGTGAGAGAGCATAAACAGCAACACTTGATCAGATCCCGATCTAGCATTGAGGTTCGTGGGCGAGACGGGCGTTCATGCAGATCCCCACGTTTCTCCCGGTTTCTTCTCTGTAATGCTGTGGCCAGCAATTGAGCCGCGCATCGGTCAGAGACATATTGCATTGTCATATCAGAGTATTTACAGTCGTGCAAGGGATTGGACCGTTGGCATGCCGCCTCTGCAAGCTTATTTATCCGTCCTGGTTACCCAGATTTCTTTGCAAGAGCAAATTGATTGCGGATGAGCTTTCGGAGGATGATAGGCCGTGAAAGGGGGAGTTGCGAGCATACAAGTTTACTTAAATAAAGCTTGGAAAGGGATTTTTTAGAGCATGCTTTACTCTGTCATTCAGAAACTCCTAGGCGTTCAGGACTTTTAAGTTCATTGATAGCATGCGTCTTGTCATGATTTCGGCGCTTCTGGCGTCCATCACCACCTCGGCAGTTGCAAAACCTGAAAAGATCAGAGGTGTAAGGGACCCTATCTATCACTTGTATCTCCAGCCGTACCCAAAGAATGCGACGATCCCAGTGCTGGGGCCTGAGGCGTCGGCCGAGTCCTTCAATATCGCAGGCACCATCCAAAGCGCCAATTCAAGTTCATATTTGAACGTCGGAAGTGATGCCACGTCGTACAAGAGCCTCAAGTTCAGCAACAGCTCGGAAACAAATGCATGGGGGCTGGAGGGTGACGCGATAATTACTACCCGAAGTAGCAGTTGGGGGCGCCGTGAGTAACCTGGTATTCGGCTGCGCGCTTTGAGCAAATCTAATTTTTTGAGCAGAGCTGAACTTTCTGGTCTGTCAGCTTGATGGGAACTATTGGCAGCTGTACCTACAGACTGGCAGCGATGTGCCAAGCGGCAGGACTTGTAGCAACTATCAGACGATTCACCTACCTTGTCTTTGTTAAACATGTTTGTCAGGAGCCGAAGCCAGATAGCTACGCATCAAACGGAAAGCAATCCTATGAAGGTGGCAGTTGTATGACTGGCAGCCGGGGAAACCCTTTTCAACCTATGTACAACCCTAGGCATGATTCCGGTGCTTCGCAAAGAGTGTGAACAAGGAAGCCGTTGGCAGCCACAACAGACGCCACTTGGAAGTCAACGGACACTAGTGACGTGATAAACCCCGTTTGGAGGACTGTTTCAGATCGAACTATTTGTCAGGCGACGGAATGGAGAATGTCAAAAGTACCTAGGCAGCTTGCAATGGACGCATTGGAATAAGAAGACCTTAGTGAGATGGTGAGGAGAAAGGACACAGCCAAGCGTGTAGTTGAGGGCTTACCAGAAGGACAGAGGATGAACGAGCTATAGTGAAGATGAATAGAAACCTCTTAAGCACGTAAGAAAGGGGGTCGCTGCTGCCAATAACTCATCCATTCCGCGTGCAATCAAGAAACAAGCACACATACAATGGGTATTAGAAAGAAAAGTTGAGAAAGTCAGGTGCATCAAGATCCAGAAGGTTGTAAATGCAAGAACCAGTCTTGCTTCCTCTGCCACCCGCTTGCTGCGGCAGCGGCTAAATAGTAGCTTCACAAGAATGAGGGGAAATCAGAGATGTTATGTAGCAGTAGCTTAGAAAATTGGCCAGAAAACACCACAGCTACAACTTACCATCGTTCAACACAACGGGCTTGGTAAGACAGGCTACGGATGTAAGGGGACAACCGTGTGCAAGGCAGACGCTACTGCTTTTAGTTTTCATTAGAGCCCGAGATTTTCGTCAAAGTACAGATATTGAGTTCAGGTTGACGGATGATGGCAACATCAATCGTCCAGGTGACTCTTAGTAGACGCACTGGATGAAGCTCAAGGAGGGTTAGGTGAGATTGAAGAGGGTAGTGACCGAGATGAGGAGGTGCCTCATGATTGGCTGTCACATGCAGACTTCGCGGAGGGAAGCCAACAGTCAACGGCAGGGATGATATCACAGGGGAGTAGTATGGCACAAAACAAAGTGGAGGCGGCCCTTTTATTTTTTTTTTCCAAACCCCAAAGCACCTCACCTGCAAAGCACTCTGCAACGCTGCAATAGTCCCTGCGAAAGCCTCTGTGGTACGGAGTATCCCGGTAGGTCTGTCAAGGCCCAGCTTATGGACCAGCCAGGAGGGCCTGGCCTGTTGGACTGAGGACCCGAGGACCCCCCATCTGGACCTGCATTGGTAACGAAGGCTGATAGGGGCACGCGACCTGAAAAGGATGGATTTATCGCACCAATTTGCCATGGCTTGTATATTTATTTGAGAAGATAATGGTCCAGATTAGGCTTGGATGATAAAGGTGGCCCAGCTCTGGCGTCTATCTGGCTCGATAATCGTGCTAAGCTGGTCTCATTGTTGCCTGTCAAAATAGGAAGAAAGGGGAAAAACCCTCCAACCGTTGCCGTTTCTTTCTTGTTTCTTTGAGTAACGGGAGTGGCCGGCCAAAGACAGGAGAAGAAACGAATGGGGGAAAAGCTTTAGGCACTTCAACCTGAGAAGTGCAGGTTCACCGCCAGCACCCACCAACCACTATCCACCCCCGGTGCCAGGCTGGTTGGTTCACTGCCTTTTCGCTGTCGGCAGGTCAGTAGCGCCACGTGAAGATAAGCTAAGGCGGCTGGCTACCTTGCTGAACTTGGCGTCTTAGGCGAACAAGGCCACCACCAAGAACAGCCTTTGCCTTAACGATAAGCCCAAGCTCCAACTCTGGGTCCGTTTCTGCTTCCTGCCACCTCGCCCAAAAATATCCCGTCCTGGTCGAATTTAACCAGCCTGCCTTCCCTACGTCGGCCCGCCCTAACACTTTCTCCCCCCGAGCGAACGCCCACGTTCCACGACTACGACTTCATCTACAGCTACAGCTTCTGAAGAACCTGTTTTGCCCGTCCTGGATCGCTGCTCCCTTGGCTACCGAAAAACGAAACGAGCACTTCCCTACCTCCCCCACTACCAGCTCGGCCTCGGATTCCTCACCGTCTCTCTCTGCACACGAACATCTGTGAGCTCGTGCCCCCTCGAACCGAACGCGACAAGCACCAGCCGGCGCTTCTCCCCTGGACTCCCTCCTCCGACCGACCTCTCTCAAGTCGGTTCACTGTCCAAAGTGGCAGACCGTCGCACTACACAACCTCCTCTGTCGGCGCGGCTCCAGCAAGCCAGCTCGTCGCGCCGATGTGGTGGTTCTTCCGAATCATCGCCAGTGCCATCTTCTTGTTGAGCATAGTGCTTTCGATACCCGTCGCCTTCGATGTCGGTGGCAGGGACAGCGGCCTGGCATACAGCCTTGCCCTTTGCGGCTTCTACTTTGTCTACTCGGCCATCGCCGTCGTCACCCCCGCCGAGTCTCGCGTTCGCTGGGCGATATCTGTCATTCTCCGCCTGTCGCAATGGATTATCATCCCTGGCCTCATGATTTGGGCCCTCGGCCGATTCGCTGTTGATGCTGGTGCTACCAACTGGGTGGAGCGGACGCTACAGGGTATCACCACCTCCAAATCGACGACATGGGGCGAGTGGGTGTTTGGTGAGGGCGGCGTGGTCGAGACCATTACCTTGGGCGGCTGGGATAAGACGCTGCGGTACTCGAGCCCGGTCTTTCAACTGTTGGAAGGATTCTGTACTCTGCTCGTTATCCAGGCAGCGGGCCAGATCACAAAGTGGCTCGTGAACAGAGGACGGAGCGATACTTGGATTGTAAGTGTAAACCCTGTCATGGGCTTTGGACGTCCATTCCACTCCCTGTAACAGCCATACCTCGTTGCTCGGGATCAAACATCGCGTTCACTTCCATGCATGCTAACATTTATCGCAGATCACCCTGCTCGCAATTTCTGGCAGCGTTCTTGCTAGTGCCGTGTACTTCCTTTGGCGCGTAGCCCACTTCCCATACATCAACAACGTCGATGCGATCCTCATTGGGGTTACCATGACCTCGGCCTTCTTTCTTTGCGCGTATGGCATTGGCAGCGGCCGTGGAAACGCTCTCGAGTCATCTCTGCTTTTCGCATACGTCGTCCTTTGTGTCTACCAGATCTTCACCGATTACCTGCCCTCAGAAAATACCGAAGCAGACCACCAGCAGTCGTCGCAACCCGACTTTCCGCCTCTACCACCAATCATCATGGCCTCTTACTCTACTCTGCTGCACATGCTCGGCTCCCTTCCGCACACCGTCCACTCGTCACTTACTCTTCTTTACGCTGCGTTCCAAACCATCACCCCCTCAGTTATCATTTCGCTCGCTTTCCGACTGCTCGTCTTCTATTGCGCCACCCGTATCATTCCCGCAGTACGTGAATCTGGCGCCAGGGCTCTCATGGAGGAGCCCTCTCTTGAGGACTCAGACGCGGCGAACTGGCTCCTTGGAATCATCACTTACTTCTCGCCCTCGATCCTCATCGCCATGTACACCAGCCTGCTTCTGCAGCATTTTTCGACCAGCGACGGGCCCGACGGCTGGACGCTTAGAGGCGGCGACCCTGGCGGTAACGTATGGCGGTGGACGAATGTAGTTGCAACGATGACCCTGTATGCGATCGAGCTGTACTTGGGCAACGAAGACCACGACAGTGGTTTGACAAATCATTGGAAGCTGGACTAAGACGCAATATGATCAAAAGGTCTCGTGACATTTACTCCATATGAAGATAGGCGAGACACCCTGAGTGCTCAGGGACTAATGAGCGAGGTCTGTTTGAACAGGCTAACAGAAACCGGTTGATCATCGTACATAGGATATTTATGGCACATGGGCTTCGGGCACGGGAAGGGGATAGGGTAGGCACGATACGGCGTTCGGGGAGGAAGTCTGCATGCTCCAATGGCGAGTTTTTTTTATACTGCTGATTCTGCGGCTGGGCTTCAAGGGACTTTGACTACTGCCGCCTAGGGGCTTATTACTTATGCCTCGGGCCTTCTCATAGTATACTAGGAAATTCGTTTTCTAAGTCAACGGCTTCTATAACACTCTTGCAGCCCGTATTACTGGCTATATCGTGAAATGTTATAACTGAAAACTAGGAGTTATGTGGCAGCATTCGAATTCGCGGGTCTATTGGCGTAGAATGCCATGAAAGTGGTCTCCAAACAAAGGACTATTAATATGGATATCTGTGAACTGATTGTGTTATTGCTGTTGTTTTTGTAAAGATTCCTTGAGTGGAGTCTACTGTCTAGTTTCACGGAGAGCATCACTCAGTTGTACCAACCATAAATCTAAAAAATTCGGAACAAAAATTGCTTCTCAGTGATTAGGTTATACTTCTATGCCACCTAGGCCTTGTGATATTCGGCTATAATCGAAGAGCCTGGCCAATAGAGGCTATGACTAGTGAAGGTGGTGGCTGCGAAAACCTCAATAATAGTGGTTAACAACTCGGTTATATCAAAAGCAAAGCGTCTGTTATTTTGCCATGGTCAACATTCGAGGCCAGGCTAGAAATTTGCGGTGACGTGCCTTGTAAGCCGATGTAATTACATAGAAATGCATTACAGGATATATCTTCACCAAGGAAGGCATGGCTGTCATGGCCGATCTCTATTTTGGCGCCATGGCCATCACAACTACTCATTTGAGGCATGGTTAATACAGAGAAGGTTCGACAACACTTACTTGTAAAAGGGAAGGGCTTATGTATGACAATAAACAATACATTCACACCTTAGTGGAGAAGACTTCCACTGTGGAGGAGGATGAGGCAGTAAATCATAGACACAATGGCTTAAAAGTTGCATTGCTCGGGAATAATGGGTATCGCACGCACGCACCCATTTGCAAGTAAACCCCGACCTCGGTAACTCCCAAACTGCGCAACTTCACTTACAATCAACTTAGGCCATGCTAAAATATTACCAACAACCCTGATTCCGTTCAACGTTCGCCAATCTCTTCCCTAAACTACAAGCAAACTCACCTTCTGCGCTACACCCAAATCAGTAGCTTTTTCAACCAAGTGACACTCATAATGACAGAGCAGAGCCCCGCCCCTCCCACCGTCTCCAAGACGACAATCCTCATGGCCGGGCTTTCTGTGGACGTCTACGGACTCGAAGAACTAGCCTCTCAGAGGCCCTCTACCGTGTCTTGCCTCTGGATCTATCACGGCCGCGGTAACACCAAGGAGAGTTTGAGTGATTTTGCCAAGCGTATCGTCTCACGCCACGCTGCTGCTGCTTCTCCCGGCGGCAGGGGTTTTATTGCCCTCGCATTCGACGTAAGAAATCATGGTACTAGACTCTTGTCTGAGAAAGCGAACGAGTCCTGGCGGGGCGGAAACGCGACGCATGCGATCGACATGTATAGCATGGTTGCCGGCATGGTGAGTGATACCAAGCTCCTGATGGATGTCGTCGAGGGATACCTCAAGGTTGAGCTTGACGGAGATTGGGGTATCGATCAACACCTCGCGCTGGGAGTAAGTCTTGGGGGTCACAGTACGTGGCAGGCCCTTTTCGGCGAGGAAAGGATCGGGGCCGGGGTTGTTATCATCGGGTGTCCGGATTATATGGGTGAGTTTCTGATATCTGGCGATGAGGTGAAGGAGGAGAGAAAGACGGTAAAGCTAACAAGAGTGGAAAGCTCTGATGTCGGACCGCGCGCAAAGATCGAAGCTGTCGACATGGTCTGCCGACGATGCCGGCGCGTCGTTCCTGGGAAGCAAGGACTTCCCGTCCGACCTCGTTTCTGCGTGTCTACGTAACGACCCAAAGGGCATTCTGTTCGGCACCGGCCCCATCCTAGCAGCGCAGAGCCTTCCGGAGTCTGAGAGGCAGCGGCTGCGTGACATTCTCGACGCCCGTGTCAGGGGAAAGAAGTTCCTCGTCTGTTCCGGAGGTGACGACAAGCTGGTGCCATACTCCAAGGCGAAACCGCTGGTGGAGTTTTTTGAGGAGGCGACGAGGACTTGGTATGCTGATGCTGGAGTCACGTTTGAGAATATCGTGTATGAAGGTGTGGGTCATGCATTTAGTGAAGACATGATCGAGGACTCGTGCCGGTTCTTGTTGGCCGCTGTGGCTTCTGCTGGCGTGGCGGGAGGAAGCAGGTCCAAGATTTAGCACAGATGGCGTTCACCAATACCACGAACTCCAATCCTCCTTTCCCACCACAAGGCTACGATTCTTGACGATCTATTTTCTGCTATTTTTATTTAGGTTGCGTTGGACTACATGCTAAAACATCTCACCTTCTACGCGGCTTGTCCCTTGCCAGTCAGTTGTATCGAGCCAAAGTACATATATGTAATGTTTGCACTAAGATTCGCAACTTACATTGCCGTTTGAAGAGAGAATGCGTTCCAAGCAAATGACAAGCCCACTCAGGTGAAACATTCATGATCAGTTTGTTCAAGGAACGCATCATACCAAACAAGTCCGTACCCCGCCTAAACCGCCTTGAAGATGGAATCAATTTCTGAGAAACTATGCGATTACTACCAGATATTCTCTTTTGCTGAGACATGATGAATGGGATTCCATACGACTTGACATGTAAGGAAAGAATAGAGAAACGATATTGGTGGTTAATCCCAAAATAGGTTGTGTTTGCTATGTCTATGCAATATGTTAAACTCAAGTGTGCAGTTTGGGTTCAAGGCCATGCTAGATCTGGGAAAGCCTTGATTGAGAAAGGGGTTTGGCAGAGCATTGCGTCAAGGGATAAAATGATGCGATCTTGGACGTATAAGGGAAATCAAGGAGTCTCAGCTGGCACATTAAAACTGTCGAGAATCACATTTTCTGCAGGACTGTTACGTTCATACCTCACTCGTGGCCTTAGCCACATAACATGGAGTTAAGCATATGTGCATTTCAACTCTAAACATTAATATTCCCCAGTGAAGTGCTGTGGTTCAAAATGCGTGGCGACTCTGGGCAATCTTAAGCTCACTAGCATCAGCCATCTGGGGTGATTCCACATACCTGGTCTCAGGTCGGGAAAGGCGGATACGAATACGTCCGACAACGTCTGAAGTGAGTGTGTAGTATATCTGGGTAGAGTACTCCTATGCCCATGGCCTCTTTGCGTCGTCTACCAATGCCTCATGACCGTCCACTATCCTTGTGGCCAAACCGCTTCTGCGCCTTTCCTCATCGCTGATGAATAGCCTGTCCTCCAAACCCCATGGGTTTCTCGCTCGCCTCTTGCCAGCAAGACTCGGGCCGACCCCATGGGGATCGTCTGTCCACTCATCCACAGCGCGCTGCACGCCCGCAATAGCTCCTTGTTTCCCACACTCACCCTCTCCTTTGTCGGTCTTTGCGACAGCGGCAGCTTGCATACCTGGGGGGTTGATTCCAAGGAAATAGACCCGGTCGAGAGGAAATCCAATGGCGGTGCAGTGGCCATCGACGATGCGGGGCCGTTTGAATGCGTGGCTTACGATGGTGAGCTTCAGGGGCCAAGCGGAGTATGTGCGCCAGAAGAGAATGAGGGAGTGCAGAATGTTGTGGTATGAATCCAGGGCTAGCGTGTCCTCAAGGATGCGGGAGGCGAAGATGCCGATGGTTTCTGCGGAGAAGATGTTGAAATACCCATTTGCGGAGGCGAGAGATGCATAGCTTGCTGCTTCAGAGAGTTGGGTTTCCTTACGGGTTGGACCTCTGATGAGTGTGTTAGTTATGCATTGGAATGAATGTATGGTCAGGGTAAAATGGATGGTGGTGTGTAAACGGATGCAGGAAGGGAGGAGTAAGGTTAGACGAGACAAGCGAGACTCTTGCAGATTGAAGTTCTCTCACCCTGAAAAAATGAGCACGGCGGTTGGGTCGTCCCGGAGTGCAGTTAGGCCGGCCTTGATGTGTTCGATGAATGTCGGCGTCTCGCCGGTTTGGAAGTCGGCGATAAGCCACTCCGTCTCGGCGTGACCGTTGGCGAGGCCGCCGGTCCAGATGCCGTGACAGCAAACGACAACAAGGTGAGTGGGGTTGCTCATGACCGAACCGGGATGATTTGGCTGGCGATGGGGTTTTGAAAGATGCCAACCTGTTTGAACTACGCATTGGCTTCTGTTGTGGGTTAACCGGCAGATCATGTGATGCTGTGGCGGTGAGAACTTGCTTCCCCGTCTGCATGTTATGCGAAGCTTCTCGGCTGGTGGTATGGATGTATGCAGTTGTGAGATGGATTTGTTTCAAAACCGCAATGCAGCACGTCGCAGATGTGGTAGCTTTAGCACACCAGACTATCATAACGCCAACTTTGGCAATCAAGAGTAACGGGCAAATCATACATGTATTATCTCATGTCTCTCCATAAGCCCTATACACATCTCCAATAAGATAAAGACTACCGGTAACTACAATAGGCCCATTTCCCGCACAGTCAACTGCCCATTTCATAGCAGCAATGAGGTCTTCTTCCCCGTCAAACAGCTCTTTTGCGCCAGCATCAGATGCCATATCTCGCAATGTAGCAGGAGGTAGAGGCTCAACCCAAGGCATCGTCTCTCGTCGAGAGAAAGGGACGCAGGCGACATTGTCGCCAGGCTTCAGCAAGGTGCGAAACATACCTCCAGCATCCTTTCCATCTTGTTTAGAAACTGATACTATCCAAGTGATGGGCTTATCTGCAACTCGCAAACGCCGCTCGACAAAGGTAGAGAGTGTCTCTGCAGACTGCGGATTGTGAGCGCCATCAATTAGGATAGGCTTCTCTCTCCGCAATGGGTATTTCTTGCCGATGTCTAACCATGATAGTCTACCTAGATGGCTGACATCTTTCAAAATTGGCAGAGCCTGCTCAGCCGAGAGATTCAAATGGGGATAGGCAAGCTGGAAAGCCGTGATGGCGCAAGCCATATTCTGGGCCTGATGCGGCATTAGCTCGGACCGGTAGAGCGTTTCCAGCAGGCCAGTCTGGTCCGTGGTAAGGTGCAGAGGCGCCGATACGCTCTGGGCATGCTTCCGGAAGACTTCGAGAACCTCGGGCGGGTTGCTGCCATCGACGACGCAAGGCACGCCGGACATCATGATGCCGGCTTTTTCCTTGGCGATCTCAGGCAATGTGTTGCCCAGGAAGGCCTGATGATCGAGGCCAATCTTGGTAATGACGGTGACCTTTTTCCGCTTGAGAACATTTGTCGAATCGAGCCTGCCACCGAGACCAACCTCGACGATTCCCATTTGCACGTCGGCGTGTGTAAAAACTCCGAAAGCGATGAGGGTGGTCACTTCAAAGATGGAGAGCGCTTCCTGGGACGCATCTTGCGCCAGCCGGGCTTGCTCATCATCTAGGATCTTTCGCCGTACGTCGTTGTAGACATCTTGTTGAACGGGCGTGCCGTTGATCTTGATGGCATCGCGGGGCTCAACCAAATAGGGCGAGGTGAAGAGACCGTTTGAAATGCCGAAGGACCTGCAAAGAGCCGACAGGTATGTGCAAGTCGAGCCCTTACCATTGGTTCCGGCGACATGAATGGCTTCCCATATCTGAGGAACGCCTTCAAGGGCCCTCGAAATCCGGTGGAGGCCAAGGCTGATGCCTTTCATGGCCATGTTGAAGCGCCTCTCGGGATCTAGGGGTTAAGTTTCGGTACCTTTCAGCGGGTGTATTAAGCGCGGGCTATGGAAACCGCCGATATTTCGGCTCCAGTGCGGGACCGGAGGTCAGAAGACAGGGGTTAGTAGCCCAGCAACGGTTGGAGATGGCCAAGAGAGGGAGTCTGGTTGGTGGGGTTGAGTCACTTGAATTGCTGGTGTCGATAGATTCTTGAATTTTCAGGGTCCTGATGTCACCTTGGGCCCTGGGCACTATTGACGAATGATATGGCCATTCCAGTTCAACCTTCCTGCTATCGAATCGAAACGTGAACAGAGTGCGGGCAACCCACGCGCAAGGAAAGCACGAGCAGGAGCACTCGCATGCGTGACACGGCAGGTGTAAAGGTGCCGAGCAAATAGGCTGCTAGGTACGGAGTACGTACCCATCCTTTCTGTCGCAGCCACGGAATGGGCGATCGGATGCGAGGCATTCGCCGCAGCTGCAGCCAGTTGAGGGCTCTTGCTTGCTTCAGCCACACTCGGACCAAGCTCCAAGCTCTCCACTTTACGCCAAGGAGTTCCCGTGATTGGACCCTGATGACTTGCTGCAAAAGTGGGCGCCACAGGGGCTGCAGATGGTGGCCAGCCACTCACAAAAAAAGAAGTAAAGCGGCTATTCCCCAAAGACCTTCACTCTCATCCTTTTTCCTTTTTGCCTCTCCTTTCACTCACCATCCACGTCCCCCGTCCCAGTGCCCCGTCCCCGTCACTGTCTCCATTCCCCATTCCTTCCCCGTTCCCTCATTCCGTCCGCCGTCCGCCCCACGAAAAAAAAGCCTTTTGGCATCGCTTCGCGCTTCGCGAACCCATCGCGACCTCGGCTGCCCCATATCTATCAAAGACGTCGGTCATTGGCATCGGCCCCCCATCCCCCGCGACTCTTTTTGCCGTAATTATTTGAGCCATCTATTGCTGTTTACATCATTGCGCGCGACTGACAGTCAAAATGGGACTTCCGTAAGTTTATCCACCCCCTGCGCTGCCCTGGTTGCGCCGCGCCTGGTCGGACGTTGGCTCAATCTCAGCCCGCCCACCCAGTCGCGTTACCGCATCGCTCCCATCAATGCCTCCATATAAGTCCTCTCTCGTCTCTTGTCCATCCATCATCAGAAACACGCGCATTTTCTTGACAGCGAATTCTCGGCCGCCGTAATGACCGCCTCGATTTCGTCGATGCCGAGTCACACTCCAATCAACGTCGCATCTCCTGGCGATCTTATCTCATCCCACACTCGCACCCCCCGCTAATCTCATCACCTTCGCATTTACAGACTATTCGTCGCTCCTGTCGAGTCCGATCTTCCATCCAAAATCGGCGACAAGTCGGCAGCTTCGCGCCAGGCTCGCTCTTCCATTCGTCGCGCCCGCCGTAACCTGGACTCCCGTCCCTTTCGTCGACGTGCTGCTTTGCTTCGCGACAACTTTCCGACCCCCGGCCCGGACCCGATTCCACGCCCTCGTTATCCATGGATCGAGTCGGGAAATCCCCCGCCCCCCGAGGCATATGGCGTGCCACCCCCACGGACAACCCCGCCTAGCGACGCAGACCGTCCAACGCCGTCCGCTGAAACCAACGAGCTGCGCGAGGCTCTACGCGAGATGCGCAGTCGCGGCGTTGATGCTGGTGAGGCCAGATTAATATCTCTGTTTGGCGAACGCTGGGTTCTGGAGAACATTCCTCAACCGTCTCGTAGAAACCCTAGCCCTCCGGCTGCCGCTGGCGAGGAAGGCCGCTCCATGTGGGAGGAAATTGCACGCTCTTATGACGATGGTGTTGGTTCGTACGATTTCTCGACGGAGCGCAGGCGGCATCGCGCTCAGCTCGCTCGCATGTCTATGGTAAGTTGCCTCACTCGAGTGTTGCGAGTGTTAAGGATGTTAATGATCAATATAGCCTGCACCGCCCGTGGCTGCTCGTTTTGATCGCAGCCCCGAGCACTCGAGCTCGGCTAGATTGTCCGGCCGAACATCGCGCAACGATTCGCGGCCTCATCGCCCATCAGCCTTAACTCGAGGTGCGCGCCGACTGCGTCCACTTGGGCATATGGGCGAGAACCCAATTGCAGACGGCCTAGGTGATCGGAATAGGAGCCTTAGTCCTGATGAAGATGGCGTGTGGGATACTCTTCTTACCACGCTGACGCCGGACCCGCAACCCCCTAGTGCTGGCTCCTCATTTGCATCGGCTTCAGCATCAGCCTCAGCCTCTGCATCTCAATCCCAGAGCGCCGCTGCATCATCTCGAACATCCCTCACTGAACCTGAAATGGCCGAAGAGCCGCTTGAGCAGCCCTGCGAGTCTGGGCACGAAAACTCAGACAGTGATGTACAGGAAGACCCCCACATGGGCAGAGGCTGGCCGGAGCATTGGACTATGAATTATCCTTCGCGACACCGGAGATTTGTGGCTGACCTAGACGCCAATGACCCGAGTAGGATATCCTTTGTAAGGGCGGATAGGCCATTCGCCGGTCGCGATGACCAGGAAATGCGGCACCGCCGACGTCTCGAGCTTGCACGACATTACCGGATCGCAACGCGTGATCCCACCCCCCTACCAGAGTTTCTGGATGTAAGAGACTCAAGCGAGGAGCTCGGCGGCGCTCCTGGCCAAGGGGATACCGATGTCGATTTGGCATCATCCAGCCATAATCACACACCGAACGACAACGCACTACATGGCATGCAGATGATTATGCGCAACCTTGCTCGAAGGGAAGACATTCCTGATGAATGGTGGGCGGGTGCAGGACTGAGCAGGACCTTACCGGATGAATCTTGAATAGAAAAAGGGGCTACATACGATTTCCGGATTCAAATCAGGTTAAACACTTGGTCCAACCAACAAAAAGCGTCTGGCGGATTAAAAGTCCTATATGGGCGCATCGCTTTTAACATAAAAGATCGGAGCGGGAAAGGGTCAGACTCAGATATGACGGAGTTGCCGGTGCTTTGGGGCGGCATAGCTGGCCTGTATAATACGTGTATATGTTTAGCGAGAAGAGTCTCGTGGGCCGTTTGAGAGAGGACTTTCATGCAGTGGCCTGGGATCAGCCTGCGCAAGGTGTTCATTAGGGCGGGGAATTGGAGGTTTCACGAAAGAATGAAAGTATGAGGCGGCCGTCGGCCGTTCTCCGTCTAATAGACAGTTAACCTGTTCATTGTTTTGATCCGTAATGCCGGGCATGCCAATATTAAAACGTGATCAACCGGTAATGTACAGATGTGTGTGGTACTTGTCGAGTGTCTCAGTGAGACAGTGAGACCTGGCAAGCTTCTGAAGAGGTTCGAGCCCAAGCTCAATGTCTTGGTCTCTGTATTCCATGCGTCTTCTGCCAGCCAAATCGGGAGGTGGTGTGGGCCGAAGCCAAATTAGAAGGCACTGAGGAATGTGAGTTGCGAAAGTATGCTATAATACTTCGTATTTTTCTATGCATTTGTTCTAGGGCGGATGTCAGTGTGCGTCGGATGAGGCAAGCCATATAGTAGCATTTTAGGAAGACATGCTATGCTAACAGAGTGTGTCGTACCAATGACTTTCCATCTCTTAGCTCAAAGCAGACGTTCCCATCGTCCTTTAGGTTGATGCAGGTCGCCAGGCTGGCCGCCCCTCACATGTCATAACCTGGGTGCTAGGCTCTGTTTTTGACGCGCTGATCATTCGCAAATGGGCGCCAGCCTTAGTGTCTCCTCCCCTTGTTCAGTTCCGTCGGGAGTCGAACAGACGTAATGAGAGGGTCAATCGGTGGCCCAGCTTGAACATGGGGGGAAGGGAAGCTGAGGTAGGGGTAGGTACTCACCAGCAGGGGAGGGTTTGTTGACCTCTTTAGACGAGACACATTGTCACCATGCAACCTGAGCAACGGGAGCTCCTGGTCGCCGATTAGACCGCTGCTGACTCCTGTTAATGGAGACCGATCTAGTGCTTACTTGCCAGAATCTGACGTTGAAGTCATGAAGATGGATTGTTCAAGATGGGCGTTCGAGTTAGACGTGACTTGCTGGTTTTTGTGCCTGTGTCCGAGCCAAGTCCCAAGATGGAAAGGAAAGTCTGGGGAAGGACTAATGGAGATGGAACGTGTGTGTGGGCAAGGTCAACATACTACGTAGGCAGATATATCTGTCATTGTACTCAATTCACAATGTCTATCAACAATCTGAGCCCTGTGACCGAAAGACCGTGAGTGCTGCCCTTGGCAGCTTGGTAGCGGCCGAATGACGATGAATGTCTGTTCTTTTGTTTCCAGTTCAGGTCGGAAGACTTTAGCGGATGCCCTCGAGCCGGTGCGGGAGCATCCTGCGAGAACCTCTAGTGTGTGTGCCTGGCTTCTGGCTAGCGTATATGCTCACTAAAAAGTGTCAAGGTCCTAATCATGAAATGGGGAAACCACATGGTGGCCTTGGAAGGGGATGCCCTGGAAGGATTGAGACCGCTGCCCCGCTCGCCCCTCTTACGGCCATCCCGGCATAGTCAAGAGCCTGAGGGCCCGAGTATAGACGCCCAACGGGCCAATCGACGGTTTTTTAGGGCCTGCCATCCCACTGCGACTGCACCGATCGGCTGAGCTGAGCCCAAGGCCCAAGGCTGTGTGTACCGGGGGGCCCCAGTAGCGTAGTGGGTGTGATAGTGATGCGGTAAGCGCAAAGAGTGGCACAAGCGCCGACCAGTGGTTCTAGCGCAGCATTCCCATTGCTGCCCAGGTCCCAATTGTGACATTTTTACAGCGAAGGGCCTTGGAGTTCATTGCCAGTTCAGCCCAGTCAAATCTCGTTTTCTCGCGTCAGCAGCGACTCTTTCGTCCAGTCCTGTCAGTCAAGTCAGGCATAGAGTCTCTTGTCTGTTCTCTCTCTCTTCTCGCTTTCTGGCCCGGGCGCATTTACCCTCCAAATATTATTTCCTTTCCGTCGTGACTTTTTTTTTTTTTTTTTCTTTCGGGTCGAACCAACAAACCACCACCCACCCCGTTCCGCTCGTTTACCTGGAAACTGAACTGACCTAAAGAACCCCTCCACCGCCACCTGCCCACCATACCGAACGACGTTGACGACCACATAACGTGAAACGAGAGAAACGACAGAGATTGCCGAGTTCTTACCCCTGTACACTTGTTTTGAAGAGACCAAGAGAGGGGCTGTTTATGTTGGCTGGCCATTGCAACTACCACATTGTGCGTGTATTTCACCTCTGTGTCAATATCTGGAGATTTGGGTCTGCAGAAGCTCGACTCCATTCGACTCGACCTGGTTTCTTTTTCCTCGCCGCCGAACGCCCACCGATATTTCCATGAATTGGACGAAATTGCTGTGACGAAACCGAACGACCGAAAACTAGTAATACAAAAAAGACCCGAATTGCCTTTCCATCTACCGACTGGCATGCCGTCCTGCTTGGGCAATGTGCAGCGCGCCCTCCTACCCAAGCCGTAATCGCTGCCGCTGAGACCGCGGCACGAACCTCCATATTCTTCGAGCCGGAGGACCCGATATTTTTCTCGGAACTCCCTCCGCCTACCGTGGGCCTTTGGTCGGAACCTTGATACCGATTGCAAGAGAGAGGCTTGGTCTCGCACGGGGCTGCCCATCCGCCGGCCATGCCCAACCCGTCGCCGCCCTTGTCGGCCTCCTCATCTGTTGAGCGCCAGTACCATGTAAACGGCAGGGCAGCCGTGGTCGCCTCGCGTGAGAGGGGCCCAGGCACACCTAGGAAGGAGAAGCAGGGCCCCAGAGAGAGCTCCGCGTTGCAAGATCCAGGATTGAAGGACTATGTGCGTATACTTGACCAGTGGCGTCCCATTTGTTGGGCTCGCTAGGGAAAGACAGCTGCTGTGGGACCATATGGCTGACGATTATCACGCTATAGCGGTTGGGAGAGTGCCTCGGAAAGGGAGCTTTTGGTTCCGTTTACAAGGCCTTCAATTGGGGGACGGGCGAGGCCGTTGCTGTCAAGCAGATCAAACTTGCTGATCTGCCAAAGAGCGAGCTTCGCATGATCGAGGTACAGTTATTTTCCATCCGGGGATTTTTTGCCAGAAAGTGGCTTGTAGAGATTGACCTTTTCTAGTCCGAGATTGATCTTTTAAAGAACTTACATGTATGTGTTCTTGATGGAAGCAATATGTGGCGCTTGGACTGACAATTCGCCTAGCATGACAATATTGTCAAGTACATTGGTTTTGTAAAGTCGGCTGACTGTCTCAACATTATACTTGAGTAGGTTAAGCCCCTCATTCCACCCCGGACATGGCTGACACCAGGCGCAGGTATTGTGAAAATGGCTCTCTTCATTCGATTTGCAAGTCTTATGGCAAGTTTCCCGAAAATCTGGTTGGTGTCTACATGACCCAGGTCTTGCAAGGCCTGCAGTATCTCCATGACCAGGGAGTCATTCATCGGGACATCAAAGGCGCCAATATCCTTACCACCAAAGATGGGACGGTCAAGCTCGCGGACTTCGGAGTTTCCACGAGCACCCTCGCTGGTGGACAAGACAAGGAAGCCCAGGTCGTTGGCACACCTTATTGGATGGCACCTGAAATCATCCAGCTTTCCGGTGCCAGTCCTGCGTCTGATATTTGGAGTGTGGGATGCACAGTAATTGAGTTACTTCAGGGCAAACCTCCGTATCACAACCTCGCGGCCATGCCCGCGCTATTTGCTATTGTCAACGATGATCATCCGCCATTACCCGAGGGTATCTCTCCGGTTAGCCCCTCCCTACCTTCCAAACTGCTCAGTCAGCTCATTTTCTGACTTTTTTTCCTTTGTTAGGCTGCGCGAGACTTCTTGATGCAATGCTTCCAGAAAGATCCAAATCTCAGAGTCACGGCAAGAAAGCTTTTACGGCACGCATGGATTATCGGGTGCCGAAGAAGCGATGCGCCCGTATCTAAGGCGCCGGCCAATTTCAGTCAAGCTGTGGAGGAAGTAAAGCAGTGGAACAAAGCCCTCAAGTCCTCCGAGACCTCGCTCAGGGCGTCCACTGGTTCTGACAGTGGAGTTCCCGGGCTGCAAGGACATCCTGGGTCTAGATTCAACGCCAACGAACCGCTGCGTCCGAGCCTAATGATACAGCCGAAGGGTCCGTTAGCCCTCGCAAAACCGAGACGAACACCTGAAGCCTTCAGGTCCCCCGAGCTTGCAGGTGAGCTTTATCGTCTTCCCCGGGTGGTTAAACGGGGGACGCATATTGACTTGCGACTAGATGATGACAACTGGGATAATGACTTCGCCACAGCTATCTCACCAAGTGCCCTGCAACTGCCCCATCTGAAACCTCAAGACAATTTTGGAGGTTTGCTGTCTGCTGATAAACTCAAGGCCTTTGCATCAATTACGGATTCTCGCAACGATTCTGAGAGCTATGATGACGACTTTGAAGGGGAGCTTATGACTATCAAGGGGCCACGGTTTAACGATATCGACTACCAGGAGCAGACCCTTCGTCCCACACCCCGTAAGAAGAGCGACAAATATGTAGAGCCGATAAAGCTGCAATCTCCGCCGAAGCCTAGCCCCCGGAAACACTCTAGAAATTCGTCTCGTCCCAAGTCTCCAAGCAAACCGCAGCTAGGCCATAGCAAGTTCGAGATCCCTGCTCCTCCTGACTTTGCGTACCGAGAGCCAAACGTAGACGACTACTCAGACCTGTTCTTTGATAATGATGTTGTATTCAGCGACAACAAGCTGAACCCCTTTGTTAAGAAGGTATTTTTTTATTATTATTATTTAGATTGTGATTGTTCCCTGCGCGCAAGCTAACAGGAAACAGCAGGTGGACTCACCTCAACTTTTCCATCCTTCTGATCTTACAAGCTTGCCCCGCTCGACACAATCACCGTTGGTAGGAAGCTCAAGAAGGCCGACCGGTCAGAAGCTGCGCCCATCTGTGCTGCCGGATCGTCCCATGCGAAGAAGCCGGTCCTCCATTGAGATTCAAAAATTTGCCGAGGATGAGGGTGACGAGGACTTTTCGGATATTTTTGGTCCTGAGGATGCGGTGACAGAAAGAGAAGAGAGTGATAGAGGCTCGGAGGATGGTGGCCTCATGCTGCTTTCAAAACTCTCGAACAACTCATGGCTTGGAGACGATGAAGATGAGGACGACCCCTTTGCTTCCATGGACCCAGGCTGGGATGAGATGGACCTAGAGGCGAACATCGCCAGGGATAGACACGCGCGTCTTGCGGAGAAGGTTGAAGAGCTGGTTCGGTCTCTGAAGACGACCGAAGGGGAGGAGAGGCTCTGTGAACTGTCCGAAGACCTAGTAAGGCTATCCAAAGCCCGTCCACCCCAAAAGCCAGTCGCTAACGAGGATTGTAGTTCACGCTGCTATGGGAGAACGGTGACGTTAAGGATCTAATTCTTAGCGCTCACGGCTTGTTACCTATTTTGGAGATTCTCGAGCCTTGCACGGTCAAGAGCAAACAGCAAATGATTCTGGCGCTCTTAAAAGTCGTCAACACTGTATGTTACCTGTCCACAATACGCTGTCTTGCAGTCTGCTAATGCGAGTCTAGATCATTCTGGACGACGTCGAGATTCAGGAGAACTTGTGCTTTGTTGGCGGCATTCCAATCATCACCAAGTTCTCGGCTCGCCAGTATTCAAACGAGATTAGACTGGAAGCCGCTGCTTTCGTCCGCCAGATGTACCAGACGTCGACATTGACATTGCAGATGTTTGTTAGTGCTGGCGGACTCAACGTTTTGGTCGAGTTTTTGGACGAAGACTTTGACGATGCACGGGACTTGGTCTTGATTGGCGTCAACGGCATTTGGAACGTGTTTGAGCTCCAAGGACCTACTCCGAAGAACGACTTTTGCAGAATCTTCTCCAGAAGCAAGATTTTATACCCACTGGCACTGGTACTTCATAGAGTTCTCGATGAGGAAGGCGAAGACGAGCTCTCTGAGCTCATCGAGGGCCGAATTGTCAACATCTTTTACCTCTTTTCACAGGCCGAGAACTACGTAAAAGAGGTTGTGGCCGATCGTCAGGTGTTGAAGAGTAAGGCTATACTTGATTCTACAGTGATGTCTTGCTAATGTGAAATAGGCGTTTTGAAAGATTTGCGACGCATGACACCCAACCACCAAATCACGATGCTCAAGTTCATCAAGAACCTGTCGATGCTGTCTACAACGATTGAAACACTCCATACAGCTGATGCTATTGATTTCCTCATTGATGTTCTCAGCTACAGCATGAAGAAGGGACACAGCCACTTCCGAGAGATCTCTAACCAGGTCTTGAACACTCTTTTCAACCTGTGCCGCCTGAGCAAGGAGCGACAGGAAGACGCCGCCGTTGGCGGTATAATCCCCCTCTTGATGAAGATTATGCAGACCGACCGTCCGCCAAAGGAGTTTGCCCTACCAATCCTCTGCGATATGGCTCATTCAGGAAGCAAGGGCCGCAGATACCTGTGGCAAAACAAGGGCCTGGACTTTTACGTATCCCTCCTGGCGGACCAATACTGGCAGGTCACAGCCCTGGATGCCATCTTCATATGGCTTCAGGAAGAAACAGCAAAGGTTGAAAGCCATCTTCTTGACGGGAAGTTCACAGACGCAATTGTCGCCTGCTTTCACACAAATAAACTAAACTCTTTTGACGCCAACCTCTTGGAGCCTCTGCTGAAGCTCCTGCGATTGAGCCCCTCGATCGCCGGCTCGCTAGCGAAACCTGAGATGTTTGCCGGTATTGGCCAGAGACTTGGACACAAGAAGGCCGTCGTCAGACTCAACCTCCTCCGTCTTGTTCGCAACATCATGGACGCATGCGATCCAGAGATGCTCGGCATGGGCAACGGCAGCAGTTCTCTAAACATCAAGCAAGTGCGGTCCCTTTTCGATGCTATTCAAACGCTGGCGGAGAAGGACTCTGCCGTGCTGGTGCGCAACCTCGCGTCGGAGTTGGTCAAGGCAAACAACGAGAGCGAGCTTTACGATATGCCTTCAGACAGGAAGGGCTCATCTGGCTCGGTATCCTCCCGACGTTCAGGGTCCGGGCCTAGACGCAAGTCTTCATATACACCTCCTGGGCTGCATTCAGCCATGTCGATGCCAGTTACGCCCACGCAATCTCACTCACGTCACCCTCGGCTATCTCAAATGGCGTCTGGATCTAATGCCGCGTTCATTGAAGTTGCGGCTAGCCCACGCCGGACGGCTGTGCAGGAGCGGGAGGCTATCCTTTATCGTCCAAGGAGCAGAGACGGCGCCATGATGCTTCCCAGACGCGTGAGTGGTGATACGTCTGCGGGCATGCCTAATGGCCCATCAGCGAGTAGGAGCCGACTCACTCGACAATCCTTTGCGCGGCCTACCAGCTCTAGTTCATCCGGACAGCCTCCCTTGGTGAGACCAGAGAGTTCAATGTCGAACAAGGAAAACTTCAGCAGAAATCCGTCAGCCGTTTCCGCACCCGCTGCATCGCCAGCCCCCTCAACAAGTGCCGGCGGAAAACGACGCAGGGCCCCTAGTTCCGACGTTAAATGGCCATGAAAATTTTTACCCAAAAAAAAAAAAAACCCCTCGAAAAATCATTACAGCCAGCCGGCTGAATTCTTCTTTGTCCTTTTGCATGTGAGGTTTAACTCTTCACGAGGTTGAGAAACACATTTTTCTAGGGAATGGTGGCTTTCCTAAAGTCTTTGGCATACGACAATTACTTTTTTTTTTTTTTTCCAAGTTGGTGGAAGAGGATTGGGAAAGGAAGGGGAGGGGTTGGACTGGGTCGGAAAGACAAGTGGGAGATAATCATTCTTTTACTTCTTTTACGTTGCACATTTTGAAACGAGACGAGGCTGGCATGATCATGTGGAGAAGGGCGACGTAGTACGCATTCCACGTGCCTTGAGAGAGCTTCTGGATGGGACTTTTATCTCGTCAAGGTTGCCTTTCGGCGACAAAGGAGCGCATAGAAATCATTATATAGCAAGCAATTGCATGTCTTGGTGGCTTTATCGCTGCCTGTTTCTGCGCCTCCTACTTTTTTTTTATTTCCAAATTTCTCCAACATGTAAGTAAACCTATCGTTGGGCGTTTGATATATTTGTGAAACATTGGCCGCGCTTTCATGGCCAAGTCACCGTCCGCGGCTTTCTTAAGCAAGCCACGCATCGCCCTTGAGAAGCTCACTCCAGACCTGGCCCTCGCCCCTCGTGAAGCCCCGCGATTCCTCAATGTCGGCGGCGCCAAAGTTGCGCCCGTACAGGTGCGGGAAGCAGCCGTCGCCCGATGGGAGATCGTCCCACTGGATGCCCTTCTCGAGAGATGCGTAGGGGAGCTTGAGCAAGTAGAGGGTGTTTGAGGCCGCGAAGAAGCGGTCTGCTGTCCCGAGGACCTGTTCCGGCTGTATCAGTAAACTTTCTTCTACCGCCTTGGGATTCATGTAATGCAGAGAGTTGTTTTTAGTGTTTCTACAGGGGAAGACGTAGGACGAAAGAGGCGATTGAGAGACAGATGTAGGGGAATGAGCATGTTGAGTGAGACGAAGGAACACGGCGGGTGATGAAAGAGAAATCAGAAAATCGATTTGAAGAATGAACGTAGGCTCTCGTGAAGGCGAAGAAGAAGAATGGGGAGAAAAAGGGGGTGGGGGGTATGAATACCTGCTCGGCCGTGCTCAGGTGAATGAAGCCGTCATTGCGGTCCAGATCGGAGAGAGGATACTCAGTGGGCAGCGGGGACGGCGGTGCCTCAGGGACGATTTTGTAGAGGTAACGAGGGAGAATAGACGGGGCTGGCATGTTCGCTGATGGCTGCGTTGTATATCTAGAAACTACTATGGTTCAATTTGTCGGAGGTCAGAATGAGTTTTATTTACGTCTTCTGCTCAAGCTGCGTTTGAGAGGTTTGTGTGTGTGTGTGGTCGAACCTCATATGCAACCCCACTTTCTCCTCGGATGAGAAAGTACAGGCCCCCGGCTTACAAACAACGTCTACCGGTCTCAAGACTCGTCTCACTTTGAAATGCAACAATATAGGACTTCGTCAACGGCTTTTTGTTCTTTTACGGGGACATTCTTGGTCCATGTCCTATCATTGATTCACTCTCCCATCCCGTCCGTCCTTCCAGTCATCCCTCGCCAATTGGGGCTCGCATCACAGAGCCTTCCCGTACTACTTACTCACCCTTCCTCCCACTCCTATTTAAACCGCCGATAGATCATAAAACCTCCCCACAAGCAGATGGTTCGTTAACTTTTCCCTTTTCCTTTCCTCCGTCTTCTTCTTGTCTGGGGGATGGTGAACTCTTTTAACCAGACCGCAGGATGTAGTCAAATTAGATCGAGAATATGCGGTACCGTTTGTAGCAGTTCCCCCTTCATCTCTGTGTTAATTGTGCCCATAAGACTTCCAATCTCTGACGCCTGGGCTGCCGCTGTCTCTCATCAAGTCGTAGCGCCGCCTTTTGTTTTTCCCTTCATACCCATCCCCGCACGCGTCATTCACGCACCTTTGCCGCTGTCCCGGCTTCTATTCGAGAATTTGACCTTCAAGCCCTCCATCTTTTCCTGTTCAGACGCGCTGGTAGAATAGCAGATAGGCGACCTTATTGTCCTTGATGTTGTTTTTGATGGGCTTGCCCTTGGACGCGGAACCGACGCCATTACCGTTTGCAATAGCACTCCATTTTTTCTCGCCCTTGTCTCCGCCCTTCGCAACCTCTTTCCAGCCATCACCCTCGTCCTCGTCATTCATAGCACCGAATCGGTTAGTAGACGTATCCCGCGATGAAGGTCCTTGGCGAGAAGTATCTTTCACATCCTCTTCGGCACCAGCTTCGGCGACGTCCTCGCTGCGAACCCGACGGATGACAGTATCATCCAGTCGAATCCACTCATTTTCGTCTTGTCGTCTCACATCAACTGTGTAATGGCCACCGTTGGCTTGCTTGCCGTGGTGGTAGACGACGCCGATCAACTTATACTTGGGAATGCCCGCACCCTCCGCAACGAGAGCATTGCGACGTCTCTTCGAGAGGACCTCCGGTGGGAGCTGTAGTTCAAGCGGATAACCGACCTTTTTGCCGATCTTGGTAGTTCCCTCTGTGTCAAATTTGAACCGCTTGAGGTGGAGGATAAGAATAGGGGGGAGTGTCTCAATTAGAGTTTGCTTGGTCATGGGAGTGGCATCGCCTTGAAGCCTCTCAGGTACCGTCAGCCCCTTAATCGCATCGACAACATTGTTAATGTACGGGGCGCCGATGTCCAGCTGGAGAGATTGGAACGGCTCTGTGGTAACTGAATCCTTGACGCCGGGGCGACGAAGTTCTGACCGATACTGTCCACTGAACAATCGAGTAATGGGAGTCGTTTGGCTTGCTCCAGAAGAACGAGTCTCGACGGCCCGCTGTCTGGAGCCAACTTCGAACCAACCATCCGCCCCGTCGTTGGACTCCGCGGTGCTAGCGGCAGACGTAGGCCGAATGTCGGCAGCTCCATTGATCGAGCCGCTGGAAGACATAACCTGCGCACACTCCTCGTCGATAGCGTTTAAGACCAGGCCGAGAAACTCCTGAGCATCTTGTTGGTGTCCTCGCTATGCAATGTTAGCTTTAAAACCGGAAATACGGCAACGATTCACATACTCTCATATTGGCGAAGGCCGGAAGAGGCTGGATGGCCTTGTAGACAAACTCCGGGATGAAAGACTCGCCATATTGCTCCAGCTGCTCATTCTTCAGCTTCTTGCGCAGCTTTTCAACAGAGTCTGTTGAGTCAATAACACGGAACTCCTTCATGAACATGATCCTAGCAGTGGGTCAGTTTCCAGGTATGCCTGCTACTTACAAAGAATCACTTACATAGCATCAATTACGGGCGTCTCGCTCTTGAACTTGTGAACGGCCCTCTTGCTAACCTGGTCCAGGAAGTCATAAAATGGTACGCAGAAGAGAAGAACTTGCAAAACCTAGGGGTGGTTAGTAATACTATTTATACGAATGTTGGGCAGACTCACTGAATTCATGTAACACATGTTTCCGGTGTTAATCAAGCCTCTAGGCTCAATGAACTGGAACTTGGAAAGGCTGCCGGCGCGGAAGTCCTGGATAGCAGCAGCCAAAGAATTCGCGTTTCCAGCAGAGAAATTGGATGCGCTGCCATTCACCGCCCCATCTCCATTTGCAGCTGTACCATTGACTGGCAGTGAAGCAGTAGGACCATTGACGTTGGGCTGGACCTTGGGGGCAGCAGCAGCGGCCGCGGCAGAGAATAGCCCACTCCAGGTCTTGGGTGCAGCCTTGACAGGGGCTGCAGGCTGGGCGTCGACTTTTTGCTCAGAGTCAGCGGCATCTGCCGTCGAAGAGACTTCCGTGGGCTGCTCAAGGGAAGCAGGCTGCTTCGTCTCTTCTGGCTTATTGATACTCGCTGACTTTGTCTCCTTGGGGCTGTTCTTAGGAATAACTGGGACAACAGGAACGACGGGGGCGGCAGGTCGAGAAGTGCTAGAGCTACTAGTCGTAGGCCTCGCGTTTTCCTTGACAACGGCGACCTTCGGGCTGCCTGAGTTTGAGACAATAGTAGCCGATCTGTCACTCTCCTTAGGAGTCTCAGAGGCCGTTGACTCTGCTCTCAAAGTGGCAGTTTCAGAGTCGGCGTCCTTGGGGTTCCATACAACAGATTTCTTGGAAGCAATCTTCGACGCAGTTTCCTCCATTTGCTTGCTCACTTCTTTCACGGCTGCTTTCTCAGATTCGGTTGACTCAACCTGATCCGCGGCGCCCTGGCCCACCGGTAACGTGATGTTTTGCGCGTTTGTGCTTAGCAACCTTCTCCTCCGTCTTGACTTGGGCGCTCTCTTCGGGAAGGGTCCTTGCGTAGGTGGCGTCCAAGGAAGCTATGATTTATAAGCGACTGTATACGAAGATCTGTTATGGTCAGTGTACTTACAGGTGGCCGGAATGCCTTGGTCTCTTTAGGAAGGTCTGGGCTCTGGGGGGTCTGAGGAGTTTGCGAAGCAGGTGCTGAAGGCTGGAAAGGCTCTGCCACCGGCTTGAAGGATTCCACCGCAGGCTGAAAGGGCTCGGCGACTGGCGTCACGACAGGAGGCTCTGGAGTATGGTTTACAGGCTGGGGCTGAGGCGGCGGAGGCGATTGAACAGGCATGGCAGCAGGAGCGGGAGGCGGCTGGTAGGGAGTCGACAGAGCAGGTGATGGTTGAGGTGGTTGAGAGTACGGCTGGGGAACGCTCACGCCGGCCATGGGGACATATGGCGGCATCGCCTGTGGCGACCGGACGTACGGCTGCTGTTGCTGGTAGTGCATATAACCAGAGGGCATTCCGCCGTTCTGATACTGATGAGGCAGCTGGTGATAGTACGGCGCCGTGGCGTAGGGGTTCATGTAGTTGGTCGGATACATCGGCATGTGCTGGTATTGTTGGTATTGCGCATAGGTTGGCTGTTGCTGCATCCTCCGTCTATTGCCCCCTCCGGGCCCGCCACCCATATCAACACCACCAGCTCCCGGCCCACCACCCCCCGGCATGGCTTGCCCAGCCGGCAGATGACGATTGTTCATCCTGCCGGCTTGGGAGTCGTGTATTTGCAGTGATCGTCCACGGCTGGAACTATCACTGCCCTTTGACTCTGCGACTTTCTTCGAGGCGGTCGTCGGCGCGTTCGCAGCAAAGGCGTCGACGGGCTCGGTGGGGTTCGAGGATCGTTGTCTTTCGATTAGGTCCCGCGGTGTGAATCGTGTGGGTTGCGCAAGGCCAGAAAAAGAAGCCGTCAAACCCTGGGGTGGTCGTGTGTCGCCTCCTCTTTTCGGGTTGACGTTCGCGGGGCCGGAAAAGTACACGAGTACCCTGACTCAAATGTGGAACAGGGCAGAGGATGTCGCTGGGGGAGGTATTAAATACGCTGGCGAAAGGGAAAGCCGCCAAAGGAGGCGGCAACGGTGAATCTGCGACGACCGGAACGGAGCGGTAGCTGTTGGAGCAGCAAGTGCAGTTACTCCCGCCTTGAAGATGACACAAAAAATTAAGCAGCGCGCTGGAGGGAAAGGTTGAACTGGAGCTAGCAGCCTGCGGGCTCCGGGCTTTGTTGGCGCAATGCGATTATTGCCTGAGCCGAAAGCCTCGTGCACAGACCTTAAGTTGATCCCCGCACATAGATCATGGGCCCCTACTTCCGTAATTTGCCCGAAACCGGCCCCACTCTTATACAATTAGTTGGCAAGACCTCAGAGCTTCATGGAAGAGCTCAGGCAAGCTAGCACAGGATATCCTAAAATTTGCAGTTATTGCTTCGTTTTTTATTTTTGGATATGCTACCGCTAAAAATGTTTGACAGATCATTCATGAAGAGTCAGCTCCTGAAGCAAACCTTGAGCGCTATAATAAAGGAGATGTTGCCGAAAAACCACAGTCATTCATCCCTGAACACCCAGCGACCTCCTCCCCTAATAGCCTCCCGGTGTCTTTCTAGGATCATTTGTTTTTCCCGCTTTTCTGCTTCGGCCTTCTCGGCTTCCACCTCTTGTGTACTGGGGAAGTCTGTATTCCAGAATCCTGGAGGAGAGGACCGCCGAGCGTATCGGTGGCGATGCTTGCCCAGCTCGTTGGCGAGCTGCCAAGTTTTGGCTTCCACCCATAGCTCCTCCTTTTCCGCCTTGGACATTCCCCAAACTGTGCTTATTCTATCTCCAAGATAATCCTCGAAAAGCTTGTTGTCGGATGCTGGGGTGCGGTCGGCATTATTCTTCTGAGCCAGAGCCATGGCACGGAAATGTTTACCGCAACAGTTCATGTCCGTACAACCTGGCAAGCAAGCCCGGTCGTCTTTGCCCCGTACCACTTCCGAATATGCATAATCAGACCCACCGTTGAATTTGGGATTGATTTTGAAGTCATCTAGACGCAAGGAGGCTACAGGTCTCGATCGTAGAGCTGGCTTTGATGACGCCAGAGGGGCACCAACAGCTGCCCGGTTTCTAGCCAGGTTACGCGTTGGTGTAGGCCCGACGGTCTCATGAGTTTCTTTTTGATTTGATGTCGTGTCTCTTGACTTGTCCCTACGGTCTTTGTTGAATGGAAGGCTGCGTCGCTCGGGGAACAGAGATCCATCGTCCTCCAACGTATTCGTATCTCGGAGTCGAGGTGCTGACCGCACTATGGCAGGCGCCTGTTCTGGAGATGGTACGTTCAGAAGTGCTCTCAAACGACCAGCAGGTTGAGGGGTGCGGAACTGCCCTTCGACAAGCTCTCCGCGGCCCGGCTTCTTGTAAGCGAGACCATCCTCGGCGAGAGTTCCTATATCTGCGGCAAGTCCCTTCTTAGTTGGCTTTTCCACGATCTTCCTCTCACACGGGCGCACGGTTCGCGCATTGGGATTCACAGGCGTTAAGACCGCAGGATTGTCGAACGACCTTGTTGTCGGTGTGCTGATGACATCAGGTCTGACAAACACCGGTTCGGTGGTTTTTGCTCGTTCGGCATCCAAATGTCTGTTCTTTCTGGGGGTGTTAAGTCTTTGGCCAACTTCATCCAGATCCATGCTCTCTTGTTGCAGTTGCGTAGAAGGCAAGCCAGCCATAGCAGCCTTAGGGCTCTCAACCTTGACTTTGCGTCGTCCAGGTTCGTTCGTAGCTAAGTCATCATGGCGCTTCCTCTTACCAACATGCCGCTCGGAAACGAATACCGGGCCATCAGAAGATAATTCGGGCTTGATGTGAATTTCAGGAGCTGGATTGGTGGGCTGCCTCAAAGGTGGGAGAACAGGCATCTCGACATCATTACTGCCTTCCGTTGTTTCTCCTTCGGTTGAATCTACAGTGGACAAATCTCGAGTCTGATCGCTATGAGCTGGTGCGGTCCGCGGCTTAATATGTTCTTCTGCTGGGACTTCGGCTGCTGTAACCGCCAGGCGAGGTTCAGCTCCGGGGTCAGAAGAAAAGCTTGAAGTGGCAGCAAGGCGAGGCCTGCTAGGTTTTGATGCGGACTGGGTTGCATGTGTGGGATCGATTGACTGCCCGTGTCTGTCTTCGATTCTCTTGATCTTCGCCTCCAAGCTGGCCGCATACTCTTCCCATCGCTTGTTTTCTTCCCTTCTCTTCTGGAATTCTTCTTTCAAGAGTTTAAAGTTCTTGTCTAATGCGTTGTATCGCCGGTGAAGCTTGTGGCTCTCGCGCAAGACCTGTTCCAGGTCGCCTCCATTGTCAGAAGAGTCGGTCGTTTTCGGTTCTGTGTTGGTGGCTTGATCGTGCATAAGAGCACGTGGACGAGGAGTTTCCCTTGGTGATTCCGTGACTCGATTTTGTTGGTGGAATTGCAACAGTTTTGACCTCAGTCTTCGATTCTCCTCCTCTAGACGGTCCACCTCTTCCGTGCGAGTTCTTAGAATTTCAAGCTCCTCGATTAGGAATTCATGCGACTGGCCATCTTGTTTCAATCTCTTTTCAATCTCTGTTTTGTACAGCTAGTATCATAAAGTATCATGACGTCAATGTTGATTTCTACATACCGTTCTCGAGCTCTCTGCCGATAGTTTCGCGCAGCGCATTGAAAGCATTTTGTACGGCATACCTGCTCTCTGAAGAGAAGCTCTCCATGATGGCTAGCAGCGCTCGACTAAAGCATAGAAGCCGAATATCGATGCAATATAATCAACGGTGCTCGTTCATCCAACTTCACGTGTTACTCACGCGTGACAGGGAGGGCGCGTCATGGTGGCGCTTGGTCACGTGCAACTTATACAGTGTACACTGTATTTGGAAACTGTATCCAAGAAGGGACAAACGAACCACAGCTTCTCTCGAGTGGTTATTCTCAGACACGAAGACAATCCAAACGGAATTGAGCAAGACATGTATCGGAATGTCGCAGTTAACCTTTGAAATCTGTGGTCTGTAGGGTCCATTCTTGACATCGACATGTTGCTTATCCTCGACACCTGCGAACCACTTTCGCAGTGGCTAATGTAGAGAAATGGAGGGGCCTTAATATCGATACATGCCGATACCATCCAATAAGAACAGTTGAGTTGCCTTTGATTGAGTGGGTTCCTTGACTACCTCAAGTGAAGACTCTCTGCTCTGTAGGCCAAACGCCCGAGTCGCCACGGACCGCAGTCTTCCGACCCGGCAGCTATGTTACGTTCAATATTCCGGGTACATTACTGTTATGGTTGACATGCCAAAAGGACATCTTCACTGGTCTGGTGGCATTGGATACATCTAGTGCGAGCAACGCTGTCATCCGACGTACGTAGATCAACAACACCAATACAATGACCACTCTCAACCATTCAATGTTATTCCATTCAATAACAAGCTTTCTTAGGATTGCTGTATTCAATGCGGCACTAATGGCAATCAAATAGATAGCATCCCACGAAACGCGAGGACAGATCTCGCGCGTTATGAAGCTCGGTGAGGGGTTAGGCAAGAATACACATTTACGATTGGGTTTGGCCGGGCATTTCGTGCCGTCTTTGCGAAGGACACCTAGGTGGTTCTTTGAATTGGAGCCAAGCTTCGAGAAGTATTCTGCATGTGGAAGGCATCCTTTTCCGAATAGCCGATTGGCTTCATGAAGGCGTCCCCGCTGCAGTGACTAGTATTTGGTGCACACAGCTCATTTCTTTTCTCCTTCTTCATCCCCCCCCCCCCCCCCCCCCCCCCCCTGGTGGAAGACGTGACCTATCAATACAGACCGATGTGATGCCTTTAGACGACTTATTCGCCTAGAAGAAACCAGGGTGGTTCTCCTAACTGGCCAATACGGACTCTTTTTTTTTTTTGCTGTTATCTGCTCTTGGTTCTTGTCGCATTCCCCAAAACCAGTGCCCCAAAACCAGTGGCTTCTAATGCACCTTGATTGCAGCGGTATGTGGTTACATGCCGTTCAAATGCGCCTTGGACTGGCACCTGCGGCCTCAAGGTGGCCAGCATAATCTTCATAGACGTTGCACATCAATTACATTGCTCAGCGACCCGTTCAATTGCATTGTAAATGCCAGGCAGCTTCGATGTGCGCCCTGCGAAGTTTTCTGGTATTTCAACAATTATACAAGTGTAAACCTTGATTCCACATTTGCATTGACAAAGGAGTCAACAGAACGATGCGTGGTTGCAAGATGGGACGGCAAACCCAGTATACAAGACCTACCTCCCCTGCAACTGAAGGGACAGGTAAATGGCACAAGAGCCATTTTACCCGTGCATCTCTGTGGGATAGTGGGCTGACTGACTAACGAGAGCAACGAGGATGTGATTTAAACGTCGTTGACGGCCAACAACTGCTGCAGTACGCTTGTAACATAAAACATTGGAGAAAAAATAGCCCAGCCTGGTTTCCAAATGTTTATGCATAGATGTGCAGGACACTGTGCGGACTGATGGCTTCTCACTTCTCAAGGCCATGACCGGGTTCGTCTGGTGTGGTTTACTGCTAAAAGCTTACTACCAACCTGAAAATGGAAGAGTGGCCGAGATTGAGCACGGCAGATCTGCCCGGGTGGAAGCTGCATCTCGATGGAACGAACCAATCCTTGGACGGAGCCCGACTAAATGGCGTGGCTCATTTGGGTGCATGCGAGGCCTGAATGGATGATGTGAAACTCATAGCATGCGTGCGTTTATTCCTCCAGTGAGATATCGCGGATTGGTTTCCAGGCAGGAAGGAGGTTGAAAAATACGGAGCCGACGCCCAAAAAAAAAAAAAAAACCATACATGGGGGTGGGTGCCGATCTGGAGGGGCCGTCCAAGCCTCGGTCCAAAGCTGTATGAAGCAAGGCGTCCGTAATGCTATCCGGGGTCTGTGAGTGAACGTTTGAACGCGCGTTAAATGTGTGTGAGAAACGACGGCTAAGGGAAAACTTTACATTATCCGTCGAAAAGAAAAAAAGGAAGAAAAATACCATTTCATCCTTGATTTGAAGGCATGTGGTAGAGTTTTTCTTCAGCAGCTCATCCCACTCTTGATCTATCTTTGAGGCAGGGCCACTTAGAGGTAGGTGCTATCCCACCGAAGCACCACCAACAGTGACCGGACCGGGACCACGGGCAGCAAAATGTGCAAGCCGAGACCACGGCGAATGAATGCGCGGCAAGGTGGGCAACTGGATGGAGATACCTCAGGTTCACATTGAGACATGGAGTCACTTACACAGTGTGAGCTATAGTTGGTGGTCAGGGAAAAGAAAGAGATTTCCTGCATGATGGAGGGGCAAACCGACAGTCAAGTATCAGCTTAGCTCTGACCATCCTCAACCCCGTCCAACCCATAATCTTTCTAGCCTTCAATTTACCAGTCTCGTTTCTCTTCACCTTTGAAGATTTCTCCTGTTTTATAAACTCTGCGCAGTGGACTTTTCGAACTTGATCTATCTCCTTGGATGGGAAAATGACTGGCTTACTCGGTCTATCGTTCAGGTCACCAGGTGAGGGGCTCCTGTAAAGGCTTGTGACAGACTTATCAGAGCTTGCATACATTCAGCCTGTGATGAGGGGCCTTTCGACAGGGAGGGATGCAAGGGACGGACCCCTCGTAGCCCCCCGTAGGGATGGAAATGGGTTTAGCGAAGCTGGGGCGTCACATTTCACAGTGTCTGGCCTGCCACGGTGCCACCTACCAACCTTTCGGCGATTTAAATTAGTACCTTGCGCAAGGGACCCCAGTTTGCCCAACATGGTGAAGGCTCAGTATTTTTTTCCATGGAAAAAAAATAAAAATTCGAGAGGGGGAGGGGAAAAAATCTAGGGGCCACAGAAATGGGAAAATGTAACAACAACGAAAATAATCAGAAGTTCCATGGCTTGGCCCATGCTGTTAGCCCAGGTCTGATCATTTTGGAATCCTAAGTTAGCTGCCTTTAAGTTCATGTCCCTGGAGTTTAGCAGGGCACAAAACCACATTGCCATTTCCTGTGGGTTTTGCATGTATCCAAAGCAAAGCCTGGTCAATTTTCCCCCCTCCCGTCTTATCCGTCCTAACGGAGGATCTCAGTCTGGGAGGCTAGGCAAGCTTCGTCCCAGGTCATCTCAACTTTGACGAACCTTCCTTTGCTTTGGGTACCGATGCAGAAGATCGCCTTCTGTTGAGTTAGTTTGTGAACAGAACCCCTAGCCGAATCCAGGTTGTTTCCGGCACCGCACAAAATAAGCTGTGGCACTTATATACCCCAAAGTAACTGAAGGCTGCTCTTGCCTGTTTCGTGCAGCCGGCTCGTGGTCTGAGAGGTCTGAGGGAAACCAGTAGCACGGCACATAATCTCATTCATCGGCTCAATATTGAATTAGAGGCACATACTGGGTATCTCACCCTGCTCTCTTCTTGAAGTAGTCACATCAGTCTAGCCCAGCCAAGTCCAGCCACCAGCTCCAAAGTCAAGTCAACCCAGACCAGAGCAGGACAAGTTAAGCTGGGGAAACTGATAGTTGTCAGGAGTGGCATCCGTGTCAAAGAAGCAAGCTGCATGTACTGGCCAGACCTTCTCCTGTGAAGAGAGCGAACCAAAAGGAGAGAAGGCAAAAACACACAAAAAAACAAAAGTAAGTTGCTTGTCTATGACTAGGTAAGGGTACCATAGGGAAGGCAGGCGACAGAAACAGCAAGGGCTAGACACCTCGCCCTCCTTCTCATGCATCCTCCCTCGCCCTTACCTTCACCCTTCACCCTTATTACTGTTCGCCTCTACCTAGTAATACCGTATACCGCAGTACCAAGTGCCACTGCTACCGGGCTAAGTACTGCGACAGGCTATTCCTCGAAAAGCCTCTTGCATCGTTGATTGGACGCTACAGGCCATTTTTGCTCCGGCTCCACACCAAGGTAAGGCGGTGGACATCGAAAAATTCACTGAAAAGACCATTCCCTTCCGCAAACCACCGCTTCCTTCCCCCTTCTTCCCACAAACAACCTCCATCGCAAACAAACCTTGCAACTTTTACGCGACCCCTCCTTCCCTTCGAGCAGAGATTTCGACTCGATTTGCCTTGTGAGTACAGTTTCCTGTCTTTTTCTGCCTGTCTTTGTCGTCCTCGCCACGGCCAATGGTTATTACTACCGTCGCCTCAAACCGAACATCATCGACGCTTCTGCCCTCCTGCGCCTGAACGATAGCCAGTCCAGCAGCAGAAATACACTTAAATTCCCATCTCCAAGTTTCCCCACATCGCCCGCGCACACATGCCACTTGCCACCGCCCCCCCACCACGACCTCATCACAGCGCTACAAACCTTTCGCCTACCCGATCTCCCATCTCTCACTAAGGCTTGGCTTAATTCCTGCTGCCACTCATTTTCTCACTACAACACAACCCGCCGTTGTTCTGACTATTTTTCTCTCAGATCAATCAATACAATAACTCACCTGTCAACAACACCAACCATGGACTTCCAGGGATCCGCTGCTCCTCAGGCCCGCACCTGCTTCACCTGTGAGTTACCCTGATTTCATTTTTTCCCCCTTCTCAGAACCCCTAGCCAAATCCGCCACTTATGTGTGTGTTATTTTTCACACCCTCCACCCTATTGTATGGCTGTCCGAGTGGCTTTTGGCATTCGGGACTATCCGATACCATGTCCTGTCGTCTTGATGTCATTGGTTCACCGGATTTTCACCGCTTCCAACGTCTGTCATTGCAAACAGTTACCGGTGGCAGTTCATGCAGCGCCTCTCTGGAACCATTTCTCCTGTCTCATGTACCTAATGGATTGTGTATTGTGACGATTTCCAGCTGCCTCCCTTCAGTTGACTTAGCCACTGAAGGCGAGCTTTGGGAACAATGGCTTGGCTAGCTGGAAAGACTCGGCTGGAAGCTATCCCCTCTGTTTGTGTTCTTTCACCAAGTCTACGTGGACAGATTCGTCAAGAGCCCGCATGGAGACTACTACGACGTCCTACTGACAATGAGCTGGTGTGCCAGTGACACCTTTCCACTTCCCTACTTCACTCACTACATGACCAAATAAAGCGCAAGAGTCTGACCAGAGATATTTAGGCGGTGCTGCCGGTCACCAGGTATGCCTCGAGAGAGTGTGTAACCACGCCATCGTTCGACGTACTGACTAATTCTAGGCCCGCGAGTGCCCCAACCGTGGCGCCGCTAAGTGGTATGCTCTTTCACCCCCGCTCTTGATATCTTGAATACTGACTGGTCCTAGCTACAACTGCGGAAGTAAGTAACTGCGTCCGAATTGGACTGGACATGAAGGAGAGGATACTAACACTCCTTGCTTCAGACGAGGGCCACATGAGTAAGTCTTTGAGATGAGAAAAATTGTCGAATGTTGACTAACATCTTCCAAGGCCGTGACTGCCCCGAGGGCCCCAAGGACACCAAGTCCTGCTACCGCTGCGGCCAGGCCGGCCACATCAGCCGTGACTGCCCCCAGGGCGGCAACGTTGGTGGTGGTGGCGGTGCCTCCAGCTCCGAGTGCTACAAGGTTAGAAGAGTTCTTCCACGCCGTCAGGCATCGCTGTGATACTAACTCATGAGTTCAGTGCGGTGAGGTCGGCCACATTGCCCGCAACTGCCCCAAGTCCGGCGGCGGCTACGGCGGCGGCTTCGGCGGTTACAACTCTGGCGGCTACGGCGGTGCCAGCCAGAAGACCTGCTACTCTTGCGGTGGCTACGGCCACATGTCTCGTGAGTCCTCCTTGAATCGTTCCTTCGGAGCCTTGACTTATACCATTCTCAGGCGACTGCACCAACGGCTCCAAGTGCTACAACTGCGGCGAGAACGGTCACTTCTCCCGTGACTGCCCTAAGGAGTCATCCGGCGGCGAGAAGATCTGCTACAAGTGCCAGCAGCCCGGCCACGTCCAGTCCCAGTGCCCCAACAACTAAGCTTGCGATTGCGATGGATTATCGGTGACGACTTTTCTTGCCTCGGTGGCAAGGATCGGTTTTTCGGGTTACGGAGAACGATTCAACGACCTCGAGGCGAAACCACGGCTCACAATTACGATCAACTTGGCATTGCGGATGCTTTGTACATTGGGATTTTTGTTTTTTCTTTTTTTCTTTTCTTCCTTGCTCTATTGTTCACACGGCAAACTCTGGGAACTCGGCCTGCGGAAAAGTTTTACAACGGAACAAACGGCATATGAAATCACGGCTTTTTCTCTTTACGCACCATGATACACCTTTTCGCATTGGTCGTCGAAATCCGCGGCATCTTGCGGGTTTGGTCGGATCGTTTGGATGACGATTGCAGTCTGAAGCAAAGAAAGACAAAGCTTGCGCTGCCTTTCCTCTCTCCTCCCGGATTTTGTCGAGAGAGAGGAGGAGCAGAGGGGGGAAAAGGCGGCTCTTGGGCGGAAAAGCACTTTTCGGCCTCTGATAGATGACTTTGGGTCAAAGGCTTTTTGGGCAGACGTATGTAGTAGCCCAGTCTGCCGCGACCTTTTGGCAGTGTGGGTCGTATTCGGCGGCCGCTGCTGTTGTTAGGGCAGGGAAATGGAAAGTTTGCGTCGTACGCCAGACTTTTTTGTTGTTGTGCTTGTATGTGTGCGAAGTGAAGTGACGTCTCGTTTGTTGTCTGTGTGAAAAAAAAAAAAAAAAAAATTATTGAGAGTACTGCCTGTTCAGTGCTTGATCCCTGATGGACATTGCAGCCCTGAAACCCGATTTGAGGGCTCTCCGTATGTCGTCCCATGGGCTGGAAAATGTCTCCCGCTTGGCCTGTTGTGGACCACAGAGTTCTGATGTGCGTCGATGCTTGGCAGGGTTCCATTGCCGGCGGTCCCGCCCAAACGGGTAGACGTCCCTTCAGTCGTATCAAACTTACGATGCCGCTTTCGTACCCCCTGTCAGCATTTGTAGGCGCCTTAACTTTGCCGTGACTGGGAGGTGAGGGTGGGCTGGCTGCTGAATCGAGGCACTTGAATATGGAGAAACTGATTCGAACGCTGCTCAAGCTCGAGACGGGTCTTGCTTGACATAACGGGGGAAGTGAAATTGTATTGATTCGCTTCTCTACCTTTTTGGAAGAAAAATTACCCAGACATTTTACAATACAGTTGCGGTCCTCCACTTAACACAGTAGAGAGAAACCAGCTTATAACCTCGACTTGGGCATAAACTTCATGGCCTGCCTGACTCCCAAATCACCCAGGACCTCCTCCGCACCGCCGAGGATGGCGTCGAACTTGTACGTGCGGTGGAACATCTCAATGACACGGCCCATTCCCGTGCGCGTAAGGCCACGGCCACCCCAGATCTGGACGGACTCGTCGGCGATCTCGTGCGCGGCGCGGGTGCAGCTCATCTTGAGCAGGCCGATGGGGCCTCCGAGGTGCTTGGCCTGTTCCTTGTAGGGCATGTTGCACATCTGGAAGGTAATGGTCTCGAGCCAAGACTGGTTCGCTTCGGTGAGGGCGATCATCTTTGCGAGTCTGTGATGGACGTGTTAATAGCTCGGCTTATAGGGGAAACTTGAGGGAGAACAGAATTGGGGGTCTTACTTCTGGCGGATGACGGGCTGGTCAATAAGCCGCTTGCCGAAGACGAGACGTTGGTTCGCCCACTTGATGGACTCTTCAACCACGGTTCTGCATTGGCGAACAGTGGCGCCTTGGCACTCTGTTAGTATCTATTCTGAGAACCTGTCCTATTTCTGCATGTTAGATGACTTACAAGCCATGGTCCACCGCTCATGGTTGAAATTGCTTAAGATGACATGGATACCCTTGTTCTCCTGCCCCAGCAGGTTCTCAACGGGCACCTTGACATTGTCAAATGTTATATAAGTCGTACCGGCGGCGGGCGAGTAAGATGTCTTGATAGGCTTCGTGCTGACGCCTTCGCCTCGCTCTATAAGAAGCACGCTAAGACCCTTATCTGTCTTAACGCCGGTGACAAAATAATCAGAAAATACACCGTTCGTAATCCATTTTTTGCTTCCATTGACGATCTATTCATGTAAATATTAATATATAGAGCCCATGAGGCGATCCGGAAGGTGTGGTTTGGGGAAAAGATGGTGTTGGGGTGGTGATGGTGATGTTGGTGGTGGGTGGGGACTCACATAATGCTTGCCGTCTGGCGTCTTCACAGCAGTTGTTCTCAGTCCGGCGACGTCACTGCCGGCAAACGCCTCGGTAATGGCTAGACAAATCTTCTTTTTGCCGCTGAAAACCTCATCGGAAATGCGCTTCCTGAGGGCTTCCGAGTTGGCGAAGTTGAGGACGACGGGCAGGCCGATGGTAAGGCCCGCCATGTTACCGTCCTGGAAACCGCGGCAGTTGGTGCGTGCAAGCTCCTGGCTAAGAATCAAATCGTGGAAATAATCAAACTCCTCGCCCTTGACAGCACCGCCCAACAGTTCGACACCATGCAGGTGCTTACCGGGCCCGAGGCGCATGTGCAGGATGCCAGCCTTGGACATGCGATCAATAAGCTCCTGGGAGATGTACTCGCCACTCTCCTCGCATGCGATGGCCTCGGGAGTCACATACTTGTCCGTAAACTCGCGGATGGCGCGCTGGAAGGCGCGGTGGGAGGAGGAGTAGTAAGGGGACTTGAACTGCGGGGTGAGCCAGACGGGCTCGGCGTAGGGAACTTCTGACAGCTCGCCGGGCTGCTGAGCCGTGAATTGTGGTTTCTCGTTGGCTACGGTGCCGATGACGAGGGTCTTGTCATACTTTGTGAGGACCTCCTGACGATGGAGGTTGTAGAATTCGGTGGTAGCATCACGGCCGGCTACTTGGCGCAGGACAGATTCGCCGCCGGGATGGGCGTCGAGGAAGTCTGTGAGGTCATAGACCTTGGAGTCAATGATGCACCAGAGAGACTCATCGTGGTTGTTCTTGGCGACCTCGTCGCGGCTGTAAGTCTTTGCAGCCATGATGGGCGGTATCCTGTTCTTTGAAACGAGGGGTAAGTGGCTGATCTGAGTGGCTTTGATCTCAGGAAAAGGAACGCTCGACAGGATGGTGAATCAATCGTCGAGAAGGAAAGGATAGATGGCGTCAATGTGTAAGATGCAGGAGGAAATGGGAGAAGAAGCAATTTTCGAACGCTGTGTTTGGGATTTGAAAGACAGAGTGTCACATGTCGGGGTAGACTGAGTCGAAGAGCTGAGGTAGCTTTAGCTTAAGGGGGGGAAACATCGGTTGACGTCGGCCGGGGGAGACGGCCGCAGCCAGCCATGTCTGGAAGTTGCGCCGTGTAAGCCTCGGCTTGTGTGGAGTGTGGAGGAGCTCTAGCGGACGTGCTGATTTCGGGGTGAACATGATTGGCCAAGGGGGGGCTGGGGAATGAGACGGCGTCTGGGGAGGAATTTTGGACTTTCTGGGGGTGGTTGTCAAGCTTTGACGTGTTGTTGATCAACCATTTGGGGGTTCCAGAAAAAAGATGGGAAAATCGGACGAGATTACTGGGTAACCCACCTGAGAAGGAAGACGTGAGCAGAGTTGATGGCATACATGAGTTCCCATTTAAAATAAAAATAAAAATAAAAATAAAAAAACATAAAGATTTGGTAAGGTAGTTTGCGAACCACACGGGGCGGCCCCTGTTGAAGCTTCCACCCCACAGAAGGGAAATATTTACCCCGCAGAGGGGCGCATCATTCCCCCCCGTGAACACTACCTAATATGTTCCGAGGCTGGAGATCCCCTTTCAGCCTAGCATCTTTCCCTTCTTGGTGCAGAGCCTCTTCCATGAGCATTGGAGCCTTCAGGGGTGTTTGGGGGAACCGATCGGATGGCCTTGCATCGGGCTGAAGAGCGAGGTTGTAGCGTATCGAATCGTTGCGGCGATCCATCGGCATATCGAGCCTACAAAATTTGAAAAGAGCCATCAGGGTGTCTGCCAACAAGATCGTCAGCCACTTACCTGGAAATTGCTGAAGTGTAGGAATCGCAACTTGGTACCAACACGCTGGTTAATTCTGGTTTATACGCCTGATTTGACCTTGAATGATTATGGCACTTGTTTGACAGCATCATAGGAGGGGCAGCTACCCAAGATATCAGTATGGCCTCGCAGAGTTGGACACCTTATCAGCTGTCCACGTTTGCAGCCAGCCAGATCTGGTGAGTGAAGGCGAGAACGTTCGAACAGCACATAGCATCCTTCAACCCAGGGCGTGAATTTATAATTGACACGAAATGTATCAACTTTGTTTTCCGCGGTGGCGGCCATGAGTGCGCTTTCATGTGCGATGGTGATGATGATTATGACAGTGGTCAATCAACTTCACCAGAAATACTCCATCTCCAGTTCTTCCGGTTGTGAATATTGCTATACTGCTTTTTCTTAAGAGACCATGCAGTTGACGACGATCAAGGCGGTCCACTCCCAAGAAGGAAATAGAAGAAAAAAACGGATACCATAAGTTAGATACGCTGCATCGCATCTGTATGCTTGGCGTGTCCTGTCGTTGAGACCCCAACGGCGAACCCATAAAAAGCAACAGGTGAGTCACGACTACACGGGCAAACTAGTTTTTGACGAGCGGTTTACTCTCGAACATGATCATCGGTAGTTTTGATTTATTGGAGAGAAAGACGGCATAAAGGGGTGTGCCGCAGGTTGCTAAGGACTTGCTCAAACAGCCCCGTGACACTGTTCTGACGACCGGCTGTCGATCCCGGCGGACACATTGGGCGCAACGTGACCCTGTCGTACAGCAAGCACTGGCATATATTGGAGGTAGGTCCTGTTCGCAGAAGGTGCCACGCCGGAAAATCGACACCATGACTTACATAAAAAGGTTCGGATTGAAATTGACAAGACGAATCAGCGCGTTGCACTACAGGTCAGCCACGTCACTGGGTCCTGGGCCTGCGTCGTCCTCGTACTTGTACGTCCTAACGATGAGCGTTCTATTGGAAGCCACAACAAATACACATTTTTTTCGAGGGTGAGGGACCATCTATGATGTTCATGATGCAAGAGACAAGCAAGCAGAAAGTTCACATTAGGCCCCTTGAGGGGTGGGCCCACAGCACAACACCAGGACTGAGTAGCGGCGTTGAGGCCTAGGGCAAGACGTCTAGGGCGCACCTGATGGTGCCGTAAGGTGTTGGACAGGCTGAGAGGACCACCCCGTATTTAATGGTTTTCATAGATTCCACGGACGCACCGGGAAAAGCAGAACAGAATTCAAGTTCGAGAGAGGGGACAGGATCGGCGGGCGGTGAGCATCGTGACCCCGCGGATGAGGCTCCGGAACGGTCTGACGGGGGTAAGAATGGGCAAGAAGGGGCAGAGGGTCAGAAGGATGGCCTTTCGGACTAGATGTTGGTGCAGGATGCGGTCCCTGGTTGTGTAGGCAGGGTCCAATGGGGTTTATCGGGTCCTCTCGTGATCGACATGGGCGAGCGCCGCTCGATTGAGGAAAGGCTGCTGCGGTGCAGTGGATGGTAACAAAGATTTTCGGGCGAGGGAAGGCCTGAGAGGGATCGTCGGGTCCTCATGTGCGCATTCCACAATCCACGAATCTAGCGGCCAATGTTGAGTCATGGTTGTTGGTGACAAGGGGAGCCTTGGATGTTGAAAATATATGACGAGGAGAGGGAGTCAGTTAGTCATATGTTCAGTACAGTCCTGATGAAGGGTTTCCGAGAGGGCACACAGAGCTCAGAAGAGGGGAAGATGGGGGCTTAAAAAAAAAAAAAGGCACATTCAGGCAGACGGAAGGGGCACACACACACACACGCACAATACACGGCTGGCTTCCCGTGCCTTCTTTTTGTAGCGCATAAAAGAGCGGAGAAGCGGGAATGGGGATTTTAGTGGAGGGATGACGCTGCAGTGGAGCAGCAACAGTGAAGTGTCACCAGAGCCCCTCCGCCGTTGCAGCCACCTAACCTAGTCAAAAGTGTGTATTGTGTGTCCTGCTGTGGGTGCTGCCGGCGTTGCCCCTCCACCATCGGCCTCTCTTTCTCTTGTCTTGCTCACTTGTCAGGTCCACCGTGGTAGCACAACTTTCATTGCCTCCGCCAGTGCAACCTTGGCTGCGGCCGCCGTTCCTCTATCCCAAAACCCGGTCTTGCTGCTGCTATCGCTGCTGCTACAATTTTGTTCACAGCAACACCACAGCATCTGATTCCCTTTCTTTTCGTTTTTTTGGTTTCCCCCGTCCTCTCCTAGTTGGACCTCTGTCCTTCCTGGGCATCGGCATCCTGTCCTTCGTTCGTCGAAGCCTTCCTGACGGTATCCCGGATGATATCGAGGCTTAGCGCATTCGCCAGTTCCCCTGCCCGATCGCTCCTAATAAGATAGTAAGTCCATTCTTTTTCATTTGCTTAATTATCATCATCATCATCATTATTATTATTTGAATTTTTCCTGCCCTCGGTCCCCTCTATCACGCCCGCCCAGTGTCGTTTTCTCCCTCGTTTCCCCCGTTGCACTGCACCTCACCACTGCACTGCACGCCACCAAAACCAACCCCCCCCCCAAATACACACACCCTCTCCTCGTCAGCCGACGTTCGGGTTGCCCAAATAGGCGATGCAGCATACGATGACAACCCTCGCTTTCTGCCGGCCGGCCAGCTTTTGAAGGAGCCGAGAGCCAGCCGCACACCTGGACTGGAGGCACAACTGCCCGACCCCTCCCTAATTATTGGTCAGCCCAAGCGACCGACTTTATGCGGCCACTCTCGGAGCTGCTTCCTAAGTGCGGAGAGCACCCTGTGGCACGACAAGACATCCATGCCAGCTATTATTGGCTGCTTGAGGGCATCTATCATCACCTGCAACTCAACATCCCACTTGGCACAAGAGAAAGAGACCAAGAACTTGCTTGGTTGGTTGGTTGGTTGGTTTGCTGGCTTTACTGGGCTATGAGAGCAACAGACTCTGTGCAACCCTGCCCCAACCTCTCGCCTCGCCTTGCTTTGCTTTGCCTCTTCTTTCCTGTTCTCTTGCTCACTTCCACTTCCTGTTGGCTTATTTCTCTCTTGTGTTTGTTTGGTTTACTTGTTTAGGTAAGGTACTCTCCAACCCTCCATGGTGGCGCTCTTCCGGGCTCATCTGCTACCCTTTCACCTTGCAGACTGGCTGCACTTTTCGCCGCCGGCACGACTTGCTTTGGGTGGCATCTATGTCAGCTATCATAAGCTACCTGCCCACCTTGCCATACCCTCGCCTTCATTCTTTACCGTATCTGGACTTTCCGCGCTTATCCCTACCAGTGGTTGTGCATGTACGCAGTCCAGATAGCCGGGTTCTATATATCGACTCAAGTACCCATGATCTTCTCCTCTTTTCGACATAATGTTAGCCGCTGGTAGCAACACATTTCACCACGTTGCTCGTCTATCCCCACATCCTCAATCTACCACTCGACTTCTCCCCAACCCCAAATACCCTCATAGCCCTTCTTTTTGTCTCAGCTGTTGTTGGGTTCTGCCTGAGATCTAATTTGTTTCTTTGTGACTTCATTCACTCGTTTCTTTCCTTCTTCTAATCTGCCCCCCCGTGGAATACTGCCCCAGTGTTAGCATCTCGGCTTAGTTTGGCCTGATTCTCAGCTCTCCAAATATCTCACACTTACTCATCAAATACCCTCATTCACCAAACGCTACACACTCTCGCTACTCTACTCTACGAAGATGGATGCTTACTCGGTTTCATATCATAGCCCCTCCAACCGCAGCACTTCCCGTATTTACCAGGATCTTGAGAATTGTCGACTCCAGTACATCCGCGGGACCGGCCGAGACACACTGCTACTCAAATCACTGACCATGGATTCATTTGCGCGGGTAAGTCTGCTTCTTGCCAACCACGTGCCTAATGACGCTAGTGGGACGCTTCGGGCTGGGGCCGCACCTTGTCTCCTTGGATAAACGAACCCGCCCGACTCCCATGGCGGTATCTGTCGTTGTATCCAACGTGCAGGGCGCTGGCTACTTGTGTGTTTTCGTGAAAACCCTTTTGCTCATAACACCTCGCAGCGCAAACAATCCGAGTCAGGGCCCAAACCACACATCGCCATTGTCGGCGCTGGCCTCGCCGGTTTGCGCTGTGCCGATATCTTAATTCAATATGGCATGCTGGTGACTATTATTGAGGGCCGAACCCGCCTCGGCGGACGTGTAGTTCAAGACAAGCTACCAAATGGGTACACTGTCGATTTGGGCCCCAATTGGATACACGGCAGTGAAGATAATCCCATACTTGACTTGGCCAAGGAGACAGACACTACTGTTGGTAGCTGGGATCTACGGTCACACCTGGTTGACGAGACTGGCGTCCTCCTCGACCTAGAGGAGAGCGAAAGATATTCAAGCACCATGTGGGACATTATACAAGATGCGTTCCAGTATTCAAACAAATGCTCGGCTACCATTCATCCCGATGAGAGCCTTTGGGACTTTTTCCAGGAAAGGGTGGTTGAGAAAATACCAGATACGGAGGAGGATTACGCCAAGAAGCGCTCCATTGTTCTTCAAGTTGCTGAATCCTGGGGTGCCTTCATTGGAACTCCGGTCCAAACCCAAAGCCTCAAGTTCTTTTGGTTGGAAGAGTGCATAGACGGCGGTAAGCGATCCCCGTGGCAGAAACCCCGCAAGGATGGATAGTGTCCTTCGAAGATGAGACTAACACGTTGAAGAAAACCTCTTCTGCGCCGGCACATATGAGAAGATTCTGGAGAGGGTCGCAGAACCGGTAAGGCATAACGCAGATATCATGTACGATGCCAGAGTTATCAAGGTAGAGCTTAAGACGCCGGAACGACCAAAGCCAAGGCTTCATACTGATACCGGACACGTCCTTGAGTTTGACGAAATTGTCATGACAGCCCCCCTTGGCTGGCTGAAAAAGAATCTTCAAGCATTCGACCCGCCTTTGCCAGAGCGGGTCGAACGTGGAATCAAGGCCATAGGCTATGGGTGCCTTGAAAAAGTCTACATCACTTTCCCTAAGGCGTTCTGGCTCGCTCCAGGCGCGGACGGCCGGGCAGTGCAAGGCTTCTGCCAGTGGTTGGCCCCCAACTACTCGACCAAGTCAAATCCGAAGCGGTGGAACCAGGAGATTGTCGACCTCGCCTCACTGGGCGAGCACTCGCACCCAACGCTGCTATTTTATACTTTTGGCGATGAATCCAAATACATTACCGAAGAGGTGGCCAAGTTGAAGACGATACCGGAGAGAAACTATTTCCTTTACGATTTTTTCAGGCCGTACTACTCAAGGCTGCCAGGTTATGACGAGAAGTCGCCCGAATGCCGGCCTACCGGATGTCTGGCTACAGACTGGCTGCGGGACGACCTCGCAGGCAACGGCAGCTATTGTAACTTCCAGGTGGGACTGGAGGAGGGAGATAAAGACATTGAGGCCATGCGCGAGGGCGTGCCGGAGGGCGGGCTGTGGCTGGCCGGAGAGCACACGGCGCCGTTTGTAGCTTTGGGGACGGCAACGGGCGCCTACTGGAGCGGTGAGAGCGTTGGTAGGAGGGTGGCTGAGGTCTACGGGCGAGCGAGCAGCCACTAGGCGATGAAGAGTGACCACTAGGCCGGGATGAATATCGTCGACGTTGGTGGAGAAGAATGGGCGGTGTCGTTCCTGAAGGTGTGTTCATGTGATGGCTACGGTTTTTAGACTTGGAATTCTCTGGGTACGGAACGGCCGGTGGGTATGGCGCACTTGTGGTGCGTTAGACCGGCCATGACACCTGTCAGGCCGTGGAGCTACTTGTCTGGCTCTTCTTTTCAGATCAAGCCGGCGGCTAGTTTAGCCGTCACATTTGTTCAACATCTTTACTTGTTCAAGAAAGGCGAGGCTGGATGGGCCTCTCCGGCCGAATTTACTGAAAATAAATTTCCCATCTACTGCTTACGTACATGGAGGACTGTAGTGACATGCAAGTAAGCATTCCAAACTGAAACAGGCTCTTGGTGGACACAGCATTTACAAATGCATGCGGTAGCCAATACGCGGAAAAGATGAGGCTCTTTCAGCCCATCTGAGGAAGCTGCATAACGAGTAGCGCAGATTTGATGACTAGGGACTCATTGTGAGAGAAACAAAGAGTCCACAGCGGACAAAGAGGCTCTTTCATCACATTGAAGGGTCATGGTCTACACCCTGTTTCCAGATGTCTCATTTGGGTATACAGATTCCTGGGGTATAGCAGAGATAAAACGCAAGGCAAGGGTTAAGGGTGAGATTGACAGATTGATTAAACATCGGCAATGGTATCATCTTCATGCTTGGTCCCCTCATCAACTCAGGGGCATATGGTTGTCGGGTGTACGGATACAACAGAGCTGTCTGGCACGCAAACCGCCCATCGATTCGCAGGAATGACGACTTCAGCCAGCTGGCAGAACTGAGGGGCTTGAGGGGTAAGAGGAGGCATGCATGGCCGAAAGTGTTCTGCAAGGTGTTGGCAACTGGGAGCATGCAACCCCAAACCATGCATTTATGCAGTACTATATGGTAGAGGCGTACAGAGTGTGGCGGTGGTCACTGCCAGACTGCATCACACAGCCGGAACAGGTGCACGGTTCACTGCACTACACTTATGAGGCAGGACAGCCAGGGTAGCTGGATCGCATTCCACAGTGACCCCATCCTATGGCCCAGTCACAAGAAAGTGTCGCCCCCAAATCATGACATGCACCTCCAATCGGTGCCCATGCCCAAGGCTGCTTATCGATAAGACCAGGATAGGCACCCCCCAGACAACGAGTCAACTGATGAAGACCCCTGCGCACCCGGCTGGTGACGTGAACTCCAGCCAGAGAGTCACGCGCTGTTAGAGTCTGTGGTGTGGGGGGAAGCACAATCTTTAGCGCATTTGCTTGGGTGCTTGTGTATGTCTCCACGCCTCCATGACCGCCTTTGCCCCCCTCCATCTTCCGGCCCAGCCCAGCCCAGCGCAGTCCTGTCCTGTGCCTCATCATCACAGTCCGGCCGTTGCCTTAGGTTCCTCTTGACTCTGTTTATTGTTCCATACCCTATCGTACATTTCCCGTGTCTTGACCTTACCTTTCTTTGCCTATCTACCCTCCAGGTTGTTAAGAGGCATCCAGTATTTTGTTCCGTCTTTGCTTCTGGCTTCCTATCCAAGCCTACCCTGCTTGTCGGCCTTTCTGCCCCCCGAGTTCCTATCGGGTCTGTCTGTGACTTTCGACCTCTGACGCTGATCGGTCGACTATTCGATACCTCTTCCTATTAGTCTGAGTCCCCCCATAGAAAAACAACATATCGAATGACGAACGCACCATGAACTACGTCCCCGATTTGGACCGGGTGTCTTTTGATAACACGGCGACTGCAGCCTGCATCACCAAAGCTCGGTGAACTGCCCCACGATTTCAGTTGTAGAGCACCAGCCGCCACATAACTCCCTCCCTCTAAGGGCTTACCTGCCTGCCTTGCTTTTTCAACCGGGGATCGACTGTTTATCGAAAGGCAACAACTACCACACTTTACGAAACCTCCCCCCCCCTCCTTCGACAACCCCAGACAATATTGAACCGAAACTCCAGGCCCCATCAAGAGCTTCCAGCCCGAGGTTGGGGAACAACCACGACCAGCCAAGATGGCTACGATATTCCAGAGCTTCCGAAGCTCGACCCTGTCGAAGCGCCTGCTGATATATGCCCTTCGACGCCTGGAGTTGCTGGACGAGGAGACGTTGGACATGGAGAACCTGCAGTTCGCACTTGGCAGAACAACCACGGCCGAATTCAAGGATGTCGGCGTGCGCCTGAATGTATGTACCGCCGAACCCTGCCCAACTGGCGTCTGGTAGAGACGTTTAAACGTTTGATGGTTGACTAATACTCTTCTCCTGCCTGTTAGAAACTCGAGCAACTTCTCCAACTACCTGCCGCGTTCCAGATCCAGAAAGCAAAAGTCCTGAAGCTCAGCGTTACGATCCCCGTTGACTTCTACACGAGTCCCATAATCATCGAGATTGATGGTGTCGACGTTAGGTTAAAGGTATCCACCAGCGGCGACGACAACAAGACGAAGGCGGCGAGGTCGTCGGGCGAGGGGACCAAAGGACTGCCGAACACGGTAAACCTTGCCGAATCATTCCTCAACGAAGACGCTGCCCTGAAGGACGCCTCGCTTGCCGATGAGAAGAGAAAGCTGGAAGACGCTCTGGCGGCCGAGACACAGGACCTCGGTAGCTCAGTGGCCATGAGTGAGAGTTCTCTAAGCGACGATGGCAGCCAGTTTGGTACAGGCCAGCCGCTCTCCCTGCCGGGATTCCTGGCAGGCTTCCTCCAAGGCATTGTCGACCGCATTCAGGTGCGCATCCGGGGTGTAACATTTCAGATGGACGTTGAAGTGCCCGTTGAACCAAATTCAACAACCCCCGAGTTGGTCACTTTCCAGCTTGCTCTGGATCGCATAGATGTGGAAGGGGTTACAGCTGAGGCGCATAGTGAAGAGGGTGCCCCAACTATTGTACCCAAGGAGGGGAAGCGCCATATCGCCCTATCCAAGATAAGGGCGTATCTAATCTCGGAAGCCAATGTCTTTTCACAGTTTGCACGCTCGCCATCGGTTTCATCGCCCTCAGTTTCCCAGTCTCCATCGTTCAGCGAGCGTAGTGGCCTGTCAAGAGAGAACACTTTCCAACCCAGCCTGCACGAAAGCTATCTCTCCGACTCAGCAGATCTTTCCGAGGTTGACGATGCTCTGTTGCAAGATAGCGAGGAGGCCTTCAACATACCGTACGACTTCTCACCAAGTCAGCCGGAGGAGCCCGTGGAGGAAGAAGAAACAAACACCCCGCGAGCATCAGTGTATCAAGATTTTTCTCCTCGAGGACGTGTACCGGTGTCACATTCTACTGTATTTGGCGATGATGATCGTGCTGCCCCATGGGCTAGCTTTCAACGAGAGGCAAGGTCAGAACCATCGCTGCAGCCCATTGAGGGGATTACTTCAACTATGCTACCCGACTCTGGAGACTTGATGTCATCACAACACTCTAGCACCGCCAGTCACAGTTCGGGCCCCGCAGAAGATGAAGACCTTGCTCAGTCTCATGTCTTTACCCACGAGGAAGCTGAAAGCATGTACATGAGCGCATTCTCTCAAGCTGACCCTCAGCCTGCGGGATCACGGATGCCAGGGGGCTGGGACGCGGATTCGAGCCCCGAGGCCTCTCCGACGTTAAAGAAGGCCAGCCCAGCCCTGGGACAGCCATCACCACCAGCACCCAGACCTGCCGAAGCCAATGAGTCGCCGGAACCCGAATTCTCTGACGTCCCAGTAGCGCCTCAACCTACAAGCTCAACGACACCTGACGTGGTTGAGACCAAGGTCGAGGACGAAGTTGAACCCGTAGAGCCGGCAAACACAAGTCCCGAGCATGATGATTCTGCAGACGCCCCTGCCCCGGCAGAGGATGTTGCAACCCCGAGGGGACCAACTAGACTCGTAAAGGAGATCTTGTCGCTCAACAGCATATCATTATACGTTCCATCATTACATCAAAATATACATGTGCCTGCCGATGCACAGGCATCCGTCTTGCAGCAACCAGGGTCTCCAGGACTGGCCAGATCTGTTGCACCTCAGGTTCCTGGAGCGTTTTCCGTATACTCCACATCGCCAGAAATGAAATCGAGCATTGCCCCGCGGTCGCCCGGGCTCTTGGCACCGGAGCCACGGAACGATGGAGATGTGGAGGTTCATCTATCACCACTAGAGGTTCGCTTCGATGCGTCCTTGGCATACCTTCTCGCAGTCGTGGTAGGGAAGCTTATGGATGCTCTGAAAGGCAGCAGTTCTACACCTGCCCCAAAGGCAACTGCTGTGGCCAAACAACAACAGGACTCCTCAATGCCCGAAGTTAAAGTAGTATTTGAGAAGATCTCGCTGCACTTTCTCCATCAGCTGGGCGGTGTTGCTGATACAGCAGAGAGAATATTTGGCTCTAGTGGACTGCCGATGCAGCCTTTGATCCTCCTCCGGACGGAATTAGACAACCTTAGTATATCTCTCAAGAGTGTTAAACAATCGCTCGAGACGACCATCGATCTCGAAAAGTTCCGCTTCGGTTACGTCAAGGATGATATTGTCTCCTTTGACCAGAGCCTTCAGATGCGGGCGTCTGTCATGGACAAATTCCCTTCCGCCGGCTCCGACATATCCGTCAAGGTGATAAAGTCCCCTGACTCTACTCGGACGGAGGTCACCACGCTACCACTGCTCGTGCAACTCGACCTGCAAAGGCTAGACGAGACCTTCAGTTGGTTTGGCGGATTGAGCAGTTTTCTCAACATGAGCTCGTCAATGTCGTCCAGTGCATCCCCGTCAATTAGAACACCTGTACAGCCGCCCCCGAAACCCCGAGGTGTCCGGTTTGATGCCCCGATCAACCCAGACGACAAGTCAGCGGCGTCAGAGAATAAGATGGACATGAGGATCGGTGGTTTCAACCTGGAGCTCAAGGGCAAGGAGTGCAGCGTTGGCCTCGAGACCAGTGCAGTCAAGATGGTTAGTCGAGAACTTGGCATCGGATTTGCAATCAGCAAGGTGCGTCTTGCCGGTCCGTACATCAGGAAATCTAGACAGGAGCCTCCCATCTCAGCCGAAATTGGAGGCGTACGGTTCGAATATCTTGCGACACCAAAGGACAAGGACCTCGAACGACTGCTAGAACTCATCATCCCGTCCAAAGTCAAGTTCGACCAAGGTGACGACGAAATCATGGTGGACACTCTGCTCAGACAGAGAAGAAAGGGAGCCGTCCTTCGGGTCACGCTAGATCAGTTCAGTGTTAGGGTTGAGCGCATGCACCAGCTCAACTGCCTTCCCGCGCTGGGAGAAGAGGTTGCGCGACTGGCCACTGTAGCCAAGTATCTCCCAGAGGATGACCGGCCTGGTGTGCTACTCCTAGCTGAGATTAAGGAGTTGGGAGCTGTTGTCGACGTTGGAGGCAAGATTGGCATGATCAACGCTAACCTCAAGGGATTCGAGGTTGCCCAGATTACGGTACCCTCGTTGGTGGCATTCGGCGTCCACGCCATCTCTGTGAATCGCAACCATCGAGAGGACCTTGTGAGTTCATCAACGACATTACCGCCGGGGACGCTCACGCAAGGCCCCGTGCTCATGGTCCGCATGATCGGGGACGAGATGGAGCCAGTGATTAAAGTTAAAATGCGCGACGTTACAGTTGACTACCGGGTGCCCACCATCATGGACGTCTTGGGACTCGGTGAGGATGCTACCCCCCAGGATTTCGAGGCCAGCCTCGCTGCGTCTGTGGCCAACCTCGGTGAGCAAGCTCACACTGCTTTGATCGGCAAGAAGCCTCAACCGTCTCGATTGCCAGAACCTTCTCGGCCCAACAATAAGCCTATGATGGTTGATCTTGTTTTCCGCGATTGCTTAATTGGTCTCAACCCCCTGGGCCTTCCATCAAAACTCCTCATCGCATTGACGGATGCCCGGCTTCAAGTGGTTCTTCCCAAGGACGTGGATACCACAGCAACATTGGATCTGAACAAAGCCTCAATTCTACTCATTGACGACGTGGCTAACATAGGTGCAAGTGCCTCCAACGTGAATCGCCGGCAGTCTGCAGACATGTCGTCTCAGCAGGTGTCCCGACTTACTTCTCAAGGGTTTGTTAGCATTTGCTACATCTCGTCAGCGAAGGCCATCGTGAAGGTTATCGAAAGTCGAGAAGATGGTGAAAAGCACATTGATGTCGAACTCCGTGACGATCTACTTGTTTTGGAGACGTGTGCCGATTCCACGCAGACTCTCATCACCCTTGCCAACGCATTGAAGCCGCCTACCCCGCCCAGCAAGGAGAATAAGTACAGGACAAAAGTTGTGCCTGTGCAAGACCTCCTTGCATCAATTTCCGCGGAGGCGTTTGGAAAGGCAGAAGGAGACTATGATTTTGATAAGGACTTTGAACTCGCCCAAGAGCTTGGCGGTGACGATGATTACGACGTAGCAAGTGATGCCAGCCCGTTGCAAGTTGATTCACGATACTACGAGAACGCGGGTCCTTCAGATACCCTCTTTGACGCAGAGGGCTCAGTCACGTCGAATGCCACGACGACACAAGACACCCACGACGGCGTCTTGCTAACCAGCTTCAATGCCAGCGGGTCGGCCCACGTATCAGACGATGGAAGCGACCTAGTGATTCACGATAACTTTTTTGACAAGGGACCAGACGTGGACGGGAGAGCGCAAATATGGAACTCGTCCAAGAACACCTATGATAAAGCCCCCAAGGAACTCATCAGGAAGGCCCCTCTCAGAGTCTCTGTCCGCGATGTGCACGTCATCTGGAACCTCTTTGACGGATACGACTGGGAGCGTACGCGAAGCGTCATTTCGAAAGCTGTACAGGATGTCGAAGAAAAGGCCTACGAGCGCCGCCGACGTTCAGAGCGCACTGCGTTTGAGGATGATGCCGAGGAAGACGAGACGGTTATTGGTGACTTCCTCTTCAACTCCATCTACATTGGCATCTCAACCAAGCAGGACCCTCGAGAGCTTGCGCAAATGGTCAATCAGGAGTTGAACGACAATGCCACTGAGACCGAGTCACTTGCCACGACTGCCTTTACGACCGCGACAGGCCGGGCTGGTGGTGCTCACAAACCCAAAAAGAGACTGAGGCTGAATCGAAGCAAGCATCACAAAATCACGTTCGAACTACAGGGTGTCAACGTTGACTTGATTGCATTCCCGCCTGATTCGGGCGAGACGCAGAGCTCCATCGACGTGCGGGTACAGCACCTGGACGTCTTCGACCATGTGCCGACGTCAACGTGGAAGAAGTTTGCAACCTACGACCAAGATGCTGGAGAGCGGGAGATGGGCACTAGCATGGCTCACCTCGAACTTCTCAACGTCAAGCCTCAACCAGACCTCGCGGCGTCTGAGATGGTGCTCAGAGTCACGGTCCTGCCCCTCAGGCTTCATGTTGACCAAGATGCCCTCGACTTCATCACTAGGTTCTTCGAGTTCAAAGACGACAACGCACCTGTACACAGCTCACCCAGCGATATTCCATTTCTCCAGAGAGTCGAGGTGCACGATATTCCTGTCAAGTTGGACTTTAAGCCCAAGCGTGTCGACTATGCGGGATTGAAGTCGGGACGAACCACGGAGTTCATGAACTTTATCATCCTTGACGAGGCTCGGCTGACTTTGAGGCATACCATCATCTACGGCGTTTCCGGTTTTGACAGAATGGGCAAGATTCTAAACGACATCTGGATGCCGGATGTCAAGGGCACTCAGCTGGCTGGCGTTCTTGCTGGTCTTGCGCCAGTCAGAGGCATTGTTAATATCGGCAGCGGCTTCAAGGAGCTCATTGAGGTTCCCATCAAGGAATACAAGAAGGATGGGCGTATCGTTCGCAGCATTGGCAAGGGTGCGGCGGCTTTTGCCCGTACGACGGGCACCGAGATGGTGAAATTTGGAGCCAAATTGGCAATTGGAACGCAGTACGCACTGCAGGGCGCCGAGGGCCTTCTCAACAAGCCGCAATCAGACAACACATGGGAGGAGGCGGATCTCGATCCAGAGGAGAAGAAGCAGATCTCCCTGTACGCGGACCAGCCCACGGGCGTTATTCAGGGCCTCCGAGGCGGTTACTCGAGTTTGACACGAGACTTGAACATGGCCCGTGACGCCATCATTGCGGTGCCGGGCGAAGTTATGGATAGCCAGAGCGCACAGGGTCTCGCAAAGGCAGTATGGAAGCGAGCACCGACCATCATCTTCCGGCCGGCCATTGGAGCTACCAAGGTTATTGGCCAGACTTTGATGGGCGCAACGAACAGCTTAGATCCGCAGAACCGGCGTAGGGCGGAGGAAGTACGTAACCCCCCCCCCCCCCCCCCCCCCCCCCTTTTTTTTTTTTAGACGAGATGTCGGGACGTTGACTGACTTGTTTTGCAGAAATACAAACGGCACTAGACTCGAGTGGACACATTCGCACACGCGTGAATACATCAGATACCAGAACGGAGATGTTTCAAATGGCTTGGGGTTCACACGACCCAATACGACTGCATGAGACTGCATCATAGACTGGCGAAGGGTTTATTTTTTTTTTCTTGGGTTTATTTTCTTTCCCTTGGTTCTCTACAAATCGCGGGCACCAGAGAATGTCACAGGATGGGACGCTGAAAAAGAAATGTAAAAGATCAATTATACTTGATTCTTCTCTTGAACCAAACATCTTTCAACTTAGTCGGTCTGGTGTCTAGGTGGGAGGCAGTGGGATGGATACCAGGATCAGGTTTTTTATTTCTTTTTATTATTTTTGCTCCGTGGTTTTTATCTATTTAATTATTTTTAAGAAAGTGAAAGGGACGGAGTCGTGGGATTTGCGCCCGGAAGTGGGCATTAGGCGTTTCTAATATCAAATTCAAAAAAATGATTAAACCGGTGATTTGTGGTTTGAGTGCTTATCAAGCAAGAGTCTGGGGAGGGGTTGGTCCAAAAAAAAAAAAAAAAACGATGATGATTCTTAGACTGGATGTCGGACTCGGATGTGTTCAAGGCGCCGGATGATCGGAAATAGAATCCCCATATTTTTTTGGACTGTGTGTGTCCCTTTTCGCGCGCGCGCGCGAGCATATTTGGGTTTTGTTTGCATTGTCCAGCGGGTGGGTGCCGGGGTGATCACGTCAATGAAGAGCTGCAGGTTGCGATGCCTGTGATTGGCTTGTGCTGTACCCGTGGCCCCCCGTCGTCCGATCTAAGTTGAGGACATAAACTTGCAGGGAGAGGGGGGGGGGGGCATGTCTTTAGGACAACGGCCTTTGTATTTTATTTTTATTCTAGGTTCGTTTTCAGCGCGAAAGCGCGAGGGAGAAATGGGAAAGTAAAAAAAAAAAATTTATTTAAAAAAGTGAAAAAGACGAATCAGGCCGGGGGTGAGAATGCCATATGCGACGAGAAGGTTATCGGATGCTTACATAGGAGGAGGGGAGGGGTTCAGGGGACCTCGTCAACTTATTCTCGGCGTATTAGCAGCCATGTTGGAAACTCTGATAGAGTCTTTCATTTCGCCTATCACGTCCATCACGTTCTCTGTCTTGTCGTATGTTCCCAGCAGTTACCCATATCTAGTAGAGCTAGTGTTTATGAGCCTAGGTAGGGGAAGTACTTACTACTGTCTAAAGTACCAGTAGCAATACGTAGTAGAGGAGGGGAGACGCCCCTCTCTTGGTGACAAATCGAATTATCCTCTTCTTGTATTTTTATTTTTTTTTCTCATCTACTGTATTTCCCCCGTATCCATGCACAAAAAGGAGTAATTCAAATCCCCGTCAGCGATGCGAACGAAAGAAATGGTATTCCCAACCCCTCCTTATCCCTACCAACTAATCCCCGCCGGCCCGCTATGGTAACCCTCTGTGCATTGCTCCATCCGTTGTTTAATTGCTCAGCTTTCCGATTCCCAAATATCATGGCGTCATCGGCGTTCTGGCCGATCGGAATCCCTCGCTGATTATCAGCTCCGCGCTTTCCTGTAAGCTGAACGGGACCCCTTTCTGGGCTTAGAGTGTGTACCACCACAGACAAGGGGGAGAGAGAGAGAGAGAGAAAGAGAAAAAAAAAAAAAAAAAAACGAAATTCCCCGTTCCGTGTCCCACTGGTTGGTGGTACCCTCTCCTTTGCCTTACGAGGACACCTTGGCTAGTCTCTTTTGAAATGCGGAAAGGGTTTAGTTGATGCTACGGCGCAGTTTTGACTCGCGCGTTGTCGTATTCTCCGTTGAGGCTTTTGTCTTCCCTTCTCTTAATATTCGTGACATTTCCTCCCCTTTGACTCTACCTCCCTCTCATCTCACCTACTCCTCATCTCCAGCCTTCAGCTTCCAGCTCTCCGGGTAACTTGACAAGAAGACTTTCTCTGTTAGTCCTCGGTTTTTGCGCTGAACTGAACATCTCACCCTCCACCCCTCCCGGTTTTCCGAGTTTGGTGTCTTTTAATATACAATCTGGGGGTTTTTTTTTTGCCCGTTGTTCGCTTTTCCCAACTTACCCCGCCTCCACCATCGGAACTTGCCCCGCCGTGTTTGTTGTCGCGCCGCAGTCGCAAAGTCGCAAAACGAGGTCCCTGAAGTTTGTATAGTCGATATCACATCGCCGCCCGTCACCACCATAAACCGCTACCATGTCGGACGGGAAGCGCGCTGTTGACTCGGACAAGGGTTCGTTTCTTTCCCTTTTTTTGTTTTATTTTCCAGTTGATATGCAATTGGCATCCCCCCCGCGCGCGTCGTGATCCCGAGCTAACCCGAACACTGCCGAATACAGTCTGGACAACCCTCATCACAAACCTCGAATACCTCCCCGGCCTCCTGACTCTTCACCACTCCCTCATCAAGTCCGGCTCTCAATACCCACTGGTCGCCCTTTACACAGACTCCTTCCCGGAAAAGGGCCTCGCCGCCCTCGAGCGTCGCGGCATTCCCGCCCAGCGCATCGAGTACCTCCTGCCAACCAAGGGTCGGGATTACTCCAATGACCCGCGCTTCTACGACTGCTGGAGCAAGCTCACCCCCTTCTCGCTGGACCAGTACAAGCGCGTCGTGCAGCTCGACTCCGACATGTTGGTGCTGCGCAACATGGACGAGCTGATGGAGCTCGAGCTCGACGACGGTGACTTCGCGGCGGAAAACACCCCCGGCGCCGCCATCGGATCACCGAAGCGCCTCGACGCCGAGAGCGGCTACGGATCCGGTGAGGACCAGACGGCCACCGCTGACGCCACGAACCCGGCCGCGAACAACCCTAGCACCAGAGTCTTCGCCGCCGGCCACGCCTGCGTGTGCAACCCGCTCAACAAGCCGCACTACCCGCGCGACTGGACGCCCGAGAACTGCGCCTTCACGACGCAGCACTCCACCCCGGACGAGGCCCAGACCGTCTCGCCCGACCCCGTGACGGCCTCGCCCCTCGGCTTCATGAACGGCGGCCTCCAGGTCGTCAACCCTTCCAAGAAGCTCTTCCAGCAGATCGTAAAGCACATGGAGGACGGCGCCATGGACATGGACTTTGCCGACCAGAGCCTGCTCTCCGAGCTCTACCGCGGCCGCTGGGTGCCGCTGCCCTACGTCTACAACGCCCTAAAGACCCTGCGCTGGGACGGCGTGCACCACCAGATCTGGAGGGACGACGAGGTGCGCAACATCCACTACATCCTCGCGCCGAAGCCGTGGGACGAGATCGACGCCGATGGCAACTGGACCGGCACCGAGGAGAGCCATCGGTGGTGGGTTGATTATAACCGTGAGAGGCGGGAGGCGGAGAAGACAAAGGGTGTTGATGACGGTTTCTGAGCGTCCCCCTTTTTTTTTTTTTTTGTCTCATTTTTTTTTTTTTATAATATCCGGTTTGGTTTGTGTGGTGACCGACGTCAGGCACGGGCGGCATCAACTAGGAACAAAACGGCTTGTATTCTCTAAGTGAGCGAGCGGAGCGAAGGACGCTTAAGAATACGGTCGCTGGAGCGAGGTCACGTGACCTCGCGGCCGAGACGCGGCAGAGTGGGTCCGGAGGCCCGGAGCCAGCACGACACACCCCCCCAGACGGCGCGTAGTCGTCTGGAAAACCGCGCCTCGAGGCCATATCGCTACTATCGCCTAGATACAAGATTATGAGGCTATTCAGAGCCTCTTGTGAATATATATATAACAAAAGAGAGGTGTTGTTGTATTCGCCTCGGTCTTTGTGCTCGAAGTGATGTGAATATGGCGAAATTCGCCCTTGCGCGCCGCCTGGCGCAATAATCGCACTTTCCTTTATTCAACCGTCGTACTTGCCTCTTATTATTGCCAGTTGAATTTTCTGAAAATCCTGCCTTCTGATTGGCCCACAACGTGGGTTGCCCATCAGTTATTATTTCCTCTGCCCGTTGACTCTTCTGCAGCGGTTCCGGCCGTGGCCGAAGCGGCTGGTCTCCGTGCTGCCATTGACAGCCTTGTTGGAGGACACTTGCCGGCGGCTGTTCTCCCCGCGTACAACGTCCTGATGGACACGTACGCGGCCTCCCTCCGAGGTCGTTAAAAGAGCCCGCCCTACGGGGCGTAAGTACGCTTGCTTTTGCTCCTTTGGGAGCGTATCATGCTTCCTGGCCAGGGGCCAAGTCAAAATTTAACTTTCGGCCTCCGGGCCAGCATTGCTCGCGCGCACCTGTTTCTCTTCGCTTCTTGTGACTTGTGCCCGAATGTCTTGTAGGTTTAGAAGTGCCCTGAAGTGTTCGAACTTCGCTCGGGAGAGTGCTTTTGTGAGACCGTCTGCTGGCATCTCGTCGGTAGGCATATATACCACGTCGAACGTCTTCTTGGCATACTCTTGGCGTAGCCACATGTTCTGTATATCAACGTGGCGAAGGCGCGTTGAGATGCGTTCCTTGTCGCCTACTACCAGGCGAATCGTTTGGCGATTGTCACAATGGATCTTCCATACGTCTCCGAGGTCTAGTTCAATATCCCGAAATAAGCGTTTGAGAGCGATGGTCTCCTTAGCAGTGTTTTCGAGGCTAAGGAGTTCCGCTTCTGTAGTAGAAGTGGTAACGGTATTCTGTCTCGCGGCTTTCCACTGAATGGGACCGCCGAACAGTGAGATGATGTACCCTTGAGATGAACGCCGCGTCTCTTCGTCGTCTGCGAACGAGGCGTCGCCCGCAATTAGGAGAACTTGGGCACCTGCACCCCCCGAGCTACCGAAGCAGAGCGAAAGGTAGCGAGTGTGATAAAGATATCTAATGACTTGGTTCGCGGCCTTCTGATGTTCGAGAGACGGGTTCGTTAGGAACCTCGAGAGTATAGCGCAAGCGAAGGCGACGTCGGGGCGAATCATGATCGCAGTGTACAGAATTGAGCCGACCTTCTCTTGGTATTGCTTTACCTGGTCAGGGGTCGCTTCAGCGGTGTTCTTCTGGAGCGGGACGAATGGCAATGGTGTATGCGGCACGATCGAGTCGATAAGGTTGAATTTCTTCGCTACGCGTTCGATATATTGGTCGTGTGCGAGGTTAATTGTTCGCTTCTCACGGTCACGTATCACGCGAATGCCTAGATACCACTCGACAGGGCCTTGGTCCTTGAGTTCATACTCGGCTTTCACCCCGTTTATAACGTTTTGAGCAGCTTCGCGGTGGTCCCTATGGTATAAGACGAGGATATCGTCTACGTAGAAGAGTACCATCACTTTCTTGTCGTTTGAAGTGAAGAGACAGGGGTCTTCGCTTGCAGGCTTGAGTCCCAGGCGCCGCAGCGTTGATGAGAACTCCTTATACCAAAGGAGGGGAGCGTCTCGTAGCCCGTATAAGGCACGGCGGAGCTCGACGTACTTCCCGTTCTGTTTGAAGCCGTCTGGTAGGTAGCAGACGACAGGCGGGTCGTTCGGTCCTCTTGTTGCGTTTAGAAACGCATTGACTACGTCGAATTGGTCTACTTCAAGGTCGAATTCCGCCGCGAGCGCCATCGCTACTCTAAACGTCCTTGCTGCGAGGGTCGCTGCGTAGGTCTGTTCGAGAGGATGCTTCGCCTGGAGGTCGCCGCGGACGCAAATTCGTGCCTTGCAGCGGTCGAGGTAGCCGTCTTGATCAAGCTTGTAAGTGAACACCCACTTTAGAGGAATAGGTTTCGTAGACGCTTCGTGTTCGTCAATGATTTTCCAAGCGTCCATCTCCTCTAATTTACTTATCTCGGCTTGGGCCGCTTCGTAAAACAGGTTTCGGAGGTGGGTCGGCATTTTTTCAACACTTTTCCACGTTCGTGGGGGCTTTATAAGCTCATCTGTGTGTATTTTCACTCGCTGTGGAGTGACCGCTCTGGAGTGCTTCGCTTGGTGTATTGACGCGAAGACGAAGCAATGGAGCGTATAGTGGGCTTGGTTCGCTTCCTCCACAGCCTTCTGCTGATCAGGCATATAGGTATGGAAGAAAGTTTCCCAATTACGTTCCGTTTGTAGGAATGCGAAGTGTTGGGCGAAGCGAGGTGATCGTCTCGGTTTGCCCTGTTGTTGGCCGTAGTCCTTGCGGTTGTACACCCGCTTGGTCTTTATCTCGGGTTCGCGCCCGTTCCCATTATCCGAGTGTGGCCGCACCGGGTGAGTTGGGGAGTCACCCCCGAGATCATTACTCGAGTCGGCCTCCACGGCCGGTTCTCGTGGAGGTTCGTTGTTGGTCTTGACGTATATCACGTCTTCGACCGCCTCAGAGAGGGCTTCGTGCCCCGGGTCGGGAACGCCGGCGTCCATCGCTTCGGAGCTTTGTTGGCCGGTCGTTTGCCCGTCCGTCCCCTCCGGCGCTGCGGCCGGCTCAGGGGTCGGTTCCGGGGTGAGCAGGCCCTCTTCGCGTCGGCTGTTAACCGCGGAGCGTTTTACCGTTGTCTCTTCTGAGATTACGGTCGACGGCGCGAAGGCAGGTGGCAGGGGCTGCTCTTCAAGTGAAAATACGAGTTCGCTTGGTTTTGCGAGTCCGAGGAATTGGAGTCCTGGGTTCGCCGTAGCCGGAGGTTCCGAGATCTCCGTGGAGACTGTCTCGGCCACCTCCGCTTGTAAACTAGCTTTTGCATCGTCCTTCGAGTAGAACTTCGTCTCGTCAAAGGTAACGTTTCGCGTGATAATCACTTGATCAAGCGAGGGTATCCAGACTCTGTATAGGTTGTGAGCGTCCATAACGTAGCCCACCAGATATCCAATATGTCCTCGCGGTTCCACCTTGAAGTTACGTCTGTTCCTATCCGCTTCGCGGTCCTTTTTCAGGGGATAAGCCCTACACCCATACGCGTACGTCCAGCCCCAGTGGGGGCGAAGGTCGCGGGCGAGGCTCGCGCTGTATTGTGGTTGCCACCAGCGAAAATACTGTCGGAACCAGCTCTCTTCGACTTGAATTGGTGAGAGCCAAGCTCTTCGCTTCCGTGGTGACATATTGTACAGGTAGGCGGCTGCCATGACTGCTTCCACCCAGAGAGTAGTTGGCAGGCCCGCTGCGCTGAGCATCTTTATCGCTCGGGTTATTAATTCCTGGCCCGCTCGTTCGCCTCCGCCATTGGGTTCCTTGGTGTAGGGGGGTGTCTCTTCGATTTCAATCCCGTTATGCTGGGCCTAAAGTTGATACTCAGTCATTCCGTTTATCGCAATTACCGCGCGTTCTACGTCTTGTCTCAGCTTGCACAGGGTGACGCCTCGTTGGCGAGCGACCCATCGTTCGAAGTGCCTGAGAGCGTCGAAGACGAAGGTGTGCGATTTACTTACGCGCGGAAACGCGAAAAGACGACCGGTATATTCGTCTTTGATCACTAAGAGCCAGCGGTTCTTGTCAAAGCTTGTCGGGTAGTCGAAGAGATCCCATGAGACCCTATAGTACGGTCGAATTGCTTTCCGTTCAGAGGTTCGCCTCGAAATTAACTGTTTCGCGTGCGCTGTCGCGCAGTATTCGCATTCCAGACGCGTGGGTCCTTTTATCTTTACTCCTCTCACGTTTGACACCATTCGTTCTAGTGCGTCTGGTGCGAGGTGACCCGAACGAAGGTGCCATAACCAGGCGTCATCATACCTATCAGGTGGTTTACGAAGCGAGAGTCGAGCGGGATCCTGTACTGCAAGCACCAAATGGTTCACGATTCCTGCGTTACTCGAGGTAATTCGCTTCTGAGCAATATACTGGGAACCGGTCTTATATTCGAAGAAAGTAATGTTCATCTTCCTAACAAGATGCTTGACTACCACGCTGTTTTTGTACGTTCCCTGGCGAAGTGTGTTATCCAATCCGGAGTACCAGATGCCTGTCTTTCGGAGGAGTGCTTCCGAAACGATGTTAACGTGAAAGTTCTCTACGTATCCAACGTTATGGAGCGTAAGGTCTGCTGTGAGGTCTCCATCAGGGCCATTTAGTGCTTTTGGCAAGATCCACGTTCCCTTTGCTAGGATTGGGTACGAAGCAGTTCCTGAGTCGACTCTCTCGTCGCCGATGCACGTTTTAATAGAAGACGATTCAAGCAAGTCAAGGTTGTTAACAAGGTGCGTAGCTCCGCAGTTGTCGAGAACCGTGCTTCGTGACAGAACATGGGGTCCCGTCAGTGGGGTTGCAAATACGCTTGGTTGGTCGTAGTCCGAGTCGAAGTCGTCCGAAATTTCCCGGAGAAGTTCACGGCTGATCGTTACTGCGTGGATATTTCTCTTCAGTGTCACCTCTGACTCATTCTCCTCTTGCTGCGATTTCGCTTTAGAGCCGGTATTTCCTGACGACCTATTGCGAGGCGGCGCTGGGTTTCGGAAGCTGGGAGGTTCCGTCGCCCAGATCCAGCCTTTCCGAGCTAATTCGGCTCGGAGATCATAGTTCTCGGACTGATTGATACGCTTTCGAATCTCCTTGCACTCGTCCCTCGATAGTTTGTCCTGGGAAGGCTTGATTCGCCCGGTAAGGGCGTACTCCACGCGGGTGCACTCCAGGGGGTTTGCGTTGTGGGGTTTGTTGCAGGGGCACGCTTCGGATTTGCCTTTTCCTTTCGAACCGCTTTTTCCATCTGAGATTGCTTCGCTCGGGCGACCGGCAAGGGTAGCGTACACACCGCTTGTTTTACCCCGATTTTTGTCGTATAGGGTGTCCTCATACAGCAAGTCCTCCAGCATATCCCTGTATTCACTTACAGTAGGGATGCGGTCCCCCTTGCGCTCCATTTTGACAATTTCAGTGAGCTCGGAGGTCGCCCAGGAGGGGGCAAAACGGTGTCCCACCGCTCGAAGAAAAGTTTTCGAAGCGAGCGTTCCCTGGCTTTCCGGTATTCTGAATCGAAGCGCGCGGAGCAGTACTCGATGGAAGTCTCTTAGCCAGGTCTGGGGGTTTACGCTTGTGTTGGCCTTTTCCAGGAGGAGAAGGTACTCTTCGCGAACTGTAGTTTGACTGCTTGATTCGCTTGGAGCGTAGCGTTTCCGAAGGTACTGAATAAGAGCACGGAGTGAACGTTGGTTGTTCGCTAGGATCTCCGATCTCGCAGCGTAGAGGATGTCCTTGTCGACCGTTTCCTTAACCCAACGCTGAATAGAGTCGAAGTCCCGCTCCCGACGAGTTTTGAGGACGTCGCGGCCTGATTTTGAAGCGAGGTAGTTCGTATATCTTTCAAAGGTCCCGGGCGTGTTTTGCGTGAGAGTTGGTTGTGCTACAGGCTCCTGGAGTTCTTCCCCTGTATCGTCACTCGCTTCTGCCCTATGCTGGAGAATCGAATCGTAGGCTTTCCGCTTCCGATCATAGGTTCTACGCTGCTTTTCGTTCTGCTGCGTGATCCATGATTCGATCGAGAGTTCTTCATCGTCCTCTCTTGGGTCTGACGGAGACGTAGTGTCGTCTGGGTCTATGAGATCCCAGACGTCTGCTGCGTCGGCTTCGGCGTAGAGAGCGTCGTACCAAACGGGGAAGTCCCGGCGGCAGGTTAGCCTTGTCGTGCTCGTGAGAACAGATATCTGCGACGACATCTTCGTTGTAGAAGTTGCTGTTTGAAGCGAAATTTGTGAAGACCGTAAGGAGTTGATGGTGTTCCGCCACGAACCCTTCGTCTGGTTAACAGTAGAAAGGGGTGATGTGGTAAGCTGGGCTCATAACTGTGGTGACCGACGTCAGGCACGGGCGGCATCAACTAGGAACAAAACGGCTTGTATTCTCTAAGTGAGCGAGCGGAGCGAAGGACGCTTAAGAATACGGTCGCTGGAGCGAGGTCACGTGACCTCGCGGCCGAGACGCGGCAGAGTGGGTCCGGAGGCCCGGAGCCAGCACGACAGTTTGGTTGTTGGGATAGAGGAGCAATCCGTGTTCAATGCCTTTTTTTCTTCTTCTTCTTTTTATATATAAACATGATGGGGATGCGGGAGGTTAGACGCATTTTTGAGCGGTTTCGTCCTAGACGGAGATAATACCCTGGTATTAATCGTACTGAATCAAAAGACGCTTTTTGGAGCTTGGAGACGGTCTCGCGTATGAGGGCCTTTTCTTACTTCTTCCTGGACTCTTGAGACGTATGTTTGAGTTGTAGGCGTTCGTTGTCTAACGAGCCCATCTGTTCGGTGGAGAGAGAGTGGGCAGGCATTATTCAAGCTGGCTCATCGCCATGAGTTTCATGAGCTCTTTTCTGGCATTGGGAATCATTGGTGTTGACGTTCTCGCATGTCGCGCCTAGGCATGCTTGAGCAGGCAAATACCGCTTGCGCAATTATGTCTAGATTTGAGATGGAGCGTACGACAGATTTTATAACATTTTTGTTGTAGCAGAATCTTATAAAAGAAGTTTTTCTAACCGTGAAGCAACCCGTTCCTGGCGGATGATATCATATGTTATGATATGTTGAAAAGGGGGAATACAGATCTAAACAGACTGTTTTACTTGTGCTGTCTGTTCCTGCCTCTGACAACTGTCTTGTTAGCCTTTACGCTTCTCGTTTACATGTATGATTCCTGCTAAAGTCTGTTAAAGTCCTTTCAAAATCCACATGTGTCTAGATGAAACTGCAAGTCAATATTCCGGTCCGCTGTTGAGATTGTGTTCACTGACCGGAACGTTGTTCCTGCTTTGACTTTGGGCATCTAACATGATGATGATGGAAAGTATTCTCTTATTCCGTTGGAAGAAATGTACCGCTGGCACTTTATCCTCTGCCTCACTACGCCTCTGGCCCTCGTTGTCTGCTTATCAACCGATATCATGATGGATACCCCTATCAAAAAAGCACTTTGGGATAGCTCCTAGGGATTCGTGTCGGAGACGTCAAAGAGTAAGTCCATTCGGACTTCATATCCGCGTCTAACTGCCAAAAAGTACAGACCCAACCCCTTTTTTGCGTCCTTGAAGCGATGCGACTGCCGAGCTGAATGTTACGAGAGGTGCGCTGGTCTTCTACGTAGACCATGGCAATCGGAACTTTTACATTTCTATCAAAGGCAGACGACGTGATATGTTGATGTGAACAAGTTTCCTTTCATACTGACGAGGTACAGATTAGACTACCTGGACTTCACCAAACTGAACCCCAGGGACAAACCATCTAGGAGAGACAAAAGTACGAATGCATCAACTGATACTTTCACGATACTTTCTCCAGTCCTAGGCAAGCAAAGTAGGGTTTGCCGTCCGCGTTTCAATAGGCAACATCACACTCGCTCTATTCTCCCAGGAATGCCACGATACTTACACGTCTCACATGTTGTCCTTCTCGCAGATGGGATGAAACATATCATTGGTTTCAATATCCCTTGCCTGCGACTAATATCGATGGATGGCTCTTACCTCCAATCAGCAGCCAAACGACCGACGACAGGCAGCGCTGTTCGAATCTGCGTCGGTTACCCATTTGGCAACTAACCAGCCCTCTAACAAATTGCTGCGCCCCACGACATCCGGAGCTGGCCCGGATGGTAAGTCGGCCCCAGTCTCGGGCCCCGACAAGTGCGGATTCCTCCAAGGCCGCTCCATCGCGGGCCCAGCTCGGCGGTACCACCGTCACCTCGGAGGCCCCTGACCCTGAACCTGGTCAGGAATGCTTTCTACACCGATGACATTGGCCTCCATTCTTCCGAACCGCCTTCTATATCGCCACCCCTGACCACTCATGTCGAAGCATTGCGGAAAAGCCAAAGACATCGTCTAGCCTTCTTGGAGGCATATTTCTTTTCAAGCTAGGGTGTTGCTGACACTGCCAAGGCTCACATACAGCATGGACTGCTTGTCGAACTTCGGCTTTGAACCAGCTTAGTTCTTCCCATCATGATACGAATTGTACTACGGCATGCCTCCGAGACGCGGCAGCGTCCCACGCTCAAAGGCGCCATTATGGCACCCCTGGCGAGGCAGCTAAGCCCGCAAGATTCAGTGTTACAACAGAAGTAGCGGTTCTGGACCTGGCGACAGATTGCCGGTAAAAACCACCCTGTCTGTACGTGCGCGCCAGTGGCAAGCGGATTGGAGGGGAGTGAAGAGATGACGTTCCACGCCGTCGAAGATCCTCCAGCTTTGACGTCGAGTGAGAGGCCAACCACGTCGTTTCCGCAACCCCTGTAGCATCCGTGAGGACAGCCGGTGAGAAGTGGCCTCGTTAGTGGACAAGAAGGCGCGGCGTGCCCGACGATGCCCCGTGTTTGACCGGCGATCACGACCTACAGGGCTATGGAGGCTAAGGGTCTTGTCCTAGAGGTGTGTGTGGCCTGGGCCGCCGTACAATTCCAAGGACGTATGCAGCCGGTGAGGCTCGGACGTCATGGTGCCATGTATAATCATCTTCGCAGAGGGACTTGCTTCATACGCATACATGGTTATTGGCCACGACGAGCTCGTTGAAGAAAGGCCCTGGTTCCAGCAAGCCATAAATCGAGCGCGCGGCTTACACGTATGCTGTCTTAGCGCATGCCAGGCCATCCATGACTTGGTTCCCCAAACCCATGTAGTGGAGTGCAGGTGACTGCCATCTTGATGTCGTCCGTGTCACCTTGGCTTTTCTAGGGAATCATCAAACTGCCTATTTCGTCACGTTTGAATCTTGATCAGCCCCCGTATTCTGCCAAGTCCGATATGGCCAAGATATTGCTTTGGCCGGATACGACCAATCCGTTTACGGCTGCCCTCAGACCTCAAGCCCCCCTGGTCATGTCAAAATATGGCCATCTCGAGGCACAAAACTCCAACATAGCGACGAGCTCGGCTTGCAGGGCTGTTGTGGCGCGAAGCTTACTGCGTAGACGAAAGGAGCGATGCGCCATCAGGAACCATGATGCTGGGACGGCGCGGGAGCTAATGCAGGAGGTCAACAAAAAGGCAGCTGGGGAGGCGACCCGGTACCTCCGGGGGAGTTGCGCCCGAGCTTTGACTACTCTGATAGAACAAAAGCCGGGTGAGTTGGTGATTTGGCCAGCTGGAAAATTTTGCGGTAGGGACACGTTCCGGCTCTGCAGCTGAGAATGTTCGGCATACAGGCGATGTAACGGTACTATACAAGAGAGCATTCTCATAGCCCATGGATTGGTTGATGAGTACCACGGCGGAGAGAGGGGTCATTTGACGCATGGACATTTTATCTGAGCGGTGACGATCAAGTGGCCCCCGATGGCCTGCCAGTTGAGCAATGAGACGGCGCAAACTCCGGCGGGCATGAAGTGCCGACAGATTGATTTCGGCAACTCGGGCAAAGTCGGCCATGTCCGCCTCGTTTTGATCGCTGCTTCGGGCCCTTTGGAGAAGGTCGCAAGCCGTTTCGCATCAGGGATGACTACCAGGGTGGTTCACTTCATAGCTGAACCGCAGGGCTAGAGAATGCAACCCTCGAGATACGTGCGGTTTGCTTCTCCGCGGCGGAGTGGTTTTCGTTGGGCTTTCGATATCGTGGTCGACAACGGTCACGTTGACAGCGTGTAAGTTGACATGCAGGGGGAAGCCTGTTGCTTCCGCGGGGGACACATGACGGATTCCGCCCTTGTAACTCAGGGCAGATAGTATTGACACGCGTGCTAATGCATATGAGCACATCGTATGGGCTGCAATAGCGACCGTGACCAGCTCTGGATATAGAGCATGCTGGTATACTGTATAACTGCTAGACTAGCCGAACATAAACAGACGGCACCATTTTGGTGGCGAATACGTAGGCGACGGCGGGCAAAATTAACTGAACGTGATTTGCTTGCCCATCAAACTTCTGAAGGCATCGTCAAGTGCCTTCCTCTTACGGGTCTTCTCTTCCTCGTCCCGGTCGAGGGGGTCAGGAGTAGTGTCATCGTCGTCCGACCCCGGCAGCTGAGGCATCCAAGCTCGAATCTGTCCGTCCAAGTGAGCAGTGTAAACTGCACCGCAAGCACTGCCTCCTCCCATGATAGGACCTTTCTGAAGCCGGTAGCCCCCATGTCCGCGCCATACCATGCTCATGGTACGGTTTTTAACGTTAAGTCCTCCAATGCCCTGACTGCCGGCAACTGTGGAAGGTCCAGGAACGCGTAGTCGAGATACGAGGCTGCCCTCGTGTAGGTCCATGACGAGGATTTCCTGCTCGTTCGGCCAGAAAAGAAGATCCCGGCGGGTGGGATTTAGCCTTGCAGGTGTAACAAACATATTGACTGTCTTCGGTTGCCTATTCTGTATCATGGAACCAAAACTTGCTAGCGTGTTCTTGCCAGTGGCAGCATCCCAAACACGTATCCGACGGTCGAGACCAGCGGATATGATGTACTTGCCATCATCAGTCCAAGTTAGTCCGTTGACGCCCTCATTATGGGCGCGAGCTGAAGTTCGATAATGCGGCATTTGATCCCAATCTAGACCGGATGCTACAGCGTGGTTGAAACGATGGACAATCCCCAAACTATCTTCCTGATCAAGTTGACCAACGAGGCCAGCGGCGCGCCTAACATCCCACACTCGGACTTTTCCGTCAACATGACCTGTGGCAACAATATGCTCGTGACGAGGGCTCCACGATACAGAAAGGACAGCGCCTCCGTGGGCAACAAGAGATTGGACTGAGGACCCGGACTTTAGGTCGATAAGGCGGACCGAAGAGTGCTGGGTTGCGCAGGCAACCAGAAGATGGTCAGCAACAGGACTCATGGCATGGGTGTAAATGTTTGCGTTCAAGTCAAAGCTGGCCGAAACTGTCATTCTCTGAGTGGACCATAGTTTAAGTGAGCGATCAAAGGAGCTCGAAAGAAAGGCCTCGGAATCAAAGGGGTAAAAGTCCAAGTGCGTGATGCCGTGCTTGTGAGCGTTGCTCTCGTCGCCGACAGAGCGGGCAACATCAGCAATCGGCCTGAAGATGTGAGAGGAATTCGCGTTGCTGGCATGATGGAGATCCCAAAGTTTTACTGAACCGTCAGCGCCTCCAGACACGAGGCTATACAATATCTTAGTCCAAGTTTGTTGTAGTAAAGGTATGCAAAGGATTATACTCACATTCGGCCATCGAACTTGTCCAACGCCAAGGCATTTACTCCGATTCTATGGGCCCAGAGGGATACATGTCTACCCTCCTCCTCGGGTTCGGCACCCTCACCATCGAATCGGTGCTGAGGAGCAGCAGCAAAGGACCGCACGAGATCGGATGTGGTTGCTCGTGCGAATGCGTCAGGGCTCAGCTCGCCCGTTGAGCGGGCAAACAGACGGGCCTGCATTCATCTGGAATTGAACCACACAGTTGAAGAAAAGATGAGTGGTACCTAAATGAAGTATCAGAGGTCGCAAACTGGCAAAGGTGGCGTAGAAAACCTCCTGTTCATGGAATCCCGAAGTTACGGCGTGATGATGTCAGCCACCACATGGAAGCTCTGCACTTATCAAGTTGCACAAGGTAGAGAGAGATTTGGCTGTCCTGAGTTGAACCTATAGTGAGTTTTAGAGCCTGGAGAGCCTGGAAGGGGGTAGTTAGGCACCTGAAAGTACTTAGCAGGCAGCGAGCACTCGCATCTCATTGGGCCGCAAGGCCAATGCCCCACTTGTCAAAGTCTTTCACTGAGTAGATACCAATAATCCCTCCCAAACGGAAGGAAGGAAGGACTGTCGTGCTAACTGTTGTTTCCTTACTGAGAATCACTGTTCACCGAATTCTCAAAAACCTCATTACATAATCCTTTCCTTCTTTCGTAGCTCACTTTCCAACACCATTTGCCATCTCCTGGACAACATTTCTCTTCGTCTTCGGATCACCCTCCAAGCTAGCTGCCAAGGGTCACGTCGGTCGATCACCAATGACAGAAACGAACTGATTACCACTAGTCTTGTCCTGATACCCCAGGATTCGAAATGAAACAAGAAAACGAAGAGACAACTATAGAGGATGAGCAGACTTTGACCAGCCTGGGGCCAACACACCTGCCCCAAATGGAAGAGGCTAAGCGTTCTCAGCGCCATGCTAACGTCTACGATGCTGTTGCAGGCAAACAACCCCATTGCCCGTTCTTTATGCTTCACTGGAGTCGCTAACACTGCTCAGGGAGAATCACATATGAAGCAAACTTGAGCTCCGCTGTTAACCATGAGAAGGCGCCGTCCACGGAGTCTAGACCGCCGAGGATAAGCAGCCATTCGGTTCGCACCACTGCGTTGGCGCCGGAAGAGGTGCTCTTCCGCCGAAAGGCTGCGCCTGGGCGCTTTGCTGAGTTCGATGTTTACATGGCACATGAACGGAATCTACCAGATGGCGGCCGCGGATCCCTGCCAGATGCTGACCTTCTCAAAGCCGTACACTCTTATGCAAGCCACTTTTACTCTACTCTCGGCGGACAGCAGCGCAATGCATCCTACCATGTTGGCGCTCGAAACATTGACGAAAGAAGCATGGATGAAACCGCTCTACTTGCTTTTGGCATTCTAATCGAGGAGGCTGGCAGAGAGGTCCTGGGTAACAGGGGAGATATGGTCTTCACAGAGGGTCTAGACGTTCCCGCAGATGCCAACTCGCCGCCAGAAATCCGCCCTAGTATTGACAATGGTTCAAGCCAATCTCGTCCTGGAAATCAAATGCGAGTCCCAATGTCAGTTGGTTTCACCGATATTGGCTCGTGGAAGAGACCCTCAAAGAGACGGAAAATGACCGACCCTGACAACATCTAATATCCCGCAGGATCGCAACCTGCCCGACCTGTTGGCTCTAATGCATCATGCCATGCCCTTGTAATCGACCCGTTTGTCGGGCCTTTGGCTGTTGGTAGATGTTGCCAACTACCCGGAAAAACATGCCAGGCAATCTAGGATGGTCAAGCTGCCAACGCCGCCTGGTGGAACCCTCGTCATGGTGTACTGTTCAGTACCCTGACTTCAGTCAATTCATGTGAACCGAAGTCATGTTTGCTACTCATTATTAGAGTAGCAAGCGTTAAGTCTTGAGCGCTCAACGGACTTGCACATCTTGTTTCCATGGCTCAACTAACCGACGAGGGCCGGACTCAGCCGGCCAGGCCCATAAACTTGCCTAACCTGAACAGTAGCCTGCCAAACTCGTCTTCTTGGCACTTTGGGCTCTGACCTTTTCTGCCAACATACTTCGAGTTAATGGTAAACCATTCAACCACTCACTCCAACTCTGTTCTAGTCATCTGCTAAGTTACGGTCATTCCATTCTCTGGCACCATTCAAAAGACGTTTTTCGGCATTGTTTGCCGCCGTCCATTCTGTAATACACATGGGGGAACGGCATGAGAATCAGACTGGCCAAAGGTCTCTGGCGATCCCTCTCTCATACAGAAGCCATGACAGGAAAGAATGACCTTGTCACGCAAACGACATGCAGGTTCGAGTCGAATCCAGAAGAATGTTTGCTGGTTACAAGCTACTGTCCCACCCCAACTGTTTGTACGATAATCACAGATGGCTTCAAATGCTGCCAGCCGTGCTCTCATCCCTTCGTCCATTTATTTAAGCGGCTAAACGAATGAAGACATCTCTTAACGCGGGCCACTCTGTTCAACCCCTCATCGGCTCGTGGACGATACCATATCTCGGCCCTGAGAAGAAAAGTGACTGAAGGAACAATATCATGTTACACAAGCAAGTGTCAGCTAGTGGAGATGATTCGCACAATGCATACCTTAATCGCCCGGGTTGACCGAATATCCACCGAAGCTACATATTCTAATTGAGTCTCGTACGGACTCTGATTTCTACTCCACCAATATGACGAGGGTTGCGTAAAGCCCCTGTAGCGAGCACCGACATGTCAACGGGTTTCATTGACAACCAACTCACCGGTGACTGGATCGGGAAAAGTCTCCGAAGCGACAGGATCATCTACTTACTGCTGCCAGCATTGAATCTTCAAATTGTCAAGTATCTTGAAGATTGAGACCATGTCTTCGCGACAGTCTAGCCCAGTATACCAAGAATGATGCTTAAATTAGATAGTAAACCTTACGCTGCCTCAATTCTTTTCAGATTTTGCCCCGACGTCAAAGGCCGGCCCCCGATGGTAATGGAGGTCTTTTTATGCTTTTCAACCAAAAGACTGTGAAATATCCCGGCGCGACAGTACGATCAAACACAGCAAAGACAAAGGGAACGATAACGTAGTTCACGGAAACACAGTTCAGGCAACCTATTTTTGGTATTACCAGCATGCGACTTTAGGCTGCGGTAACTATTAGTGGCCTGCAAAAAAAAGAGTCGCAGGATGACGTTTGTTTCTGAGCGATACCTGCTCCGTCCCGTATCATTCTCGTTGTAGGCCGCTATCGTCTGCTCCTACATATGTTTTTGGGGGGCTGGTGGTACTCGAAGTCGATCTCGATTTGGTCCGGCATTATTGGGCTGCAATTACGTTTCGAGCTGAGGGATGGATACAGACCGTTCGATGACACGTATGGGATGTTTCCAAGCGACAGCCATCCAAACCGGTCGTCGCGCATGCTCATCAGTCCCCAGTAGGCCCTCCTGGAGGCCGACTTGGAGAAGGAACCTGAAATGGCTGTTGGCCAGCCAGAAAGCTGCCAGCGGCTAGCCTACTTTTCGATGTCTCTGGCACAAAAGCCTTTGGACCACGTTAGGTTTTCATGATGTCGGCTTCGGTAAACAGGCAAGCTCTGGTGCAAATCCAATAATCAGCGCCGATTAAGCGTGAGTAGCCGGTATTCGACATGAAAGAACTGCGACCTGGTACCACCGGAAACTCGGCTCAACATCGAGACCCAGAGTGTGTGGAACACTTAATCGCCGAACAATCTTAGTAGTTTACAAACCATTGAACGAGACTTCTTTTTGCCTTGCCTGGCCCGCCAGGATGTACTAAAAGAGGAAAACTTGCCTTCTGCGGTGGCGCCAAAGTTAGCGGAGATACCTAGGGCCTCACTTTAGCACAAGGCATCGTACAGTTAGTTGCTCACGAAAATTGGGAGCACTGTTGTTGGGCATCGAGATCAACATTTGACGACCCTGCGACGAAAGTTTGTTCAAGTATGTGTGAGTGAATTATGGCCCGCATTGACCACTGTTCCCTATTGAAGAGTTCTCACATACACAACCCATGGGCCAATTGATGGCATTGTTTACCCCTTATTCGAGGAACAAGCCAGCTTTTTGGTTTGATGATCCTTGGGGGCCACGCGATTTGCAAGGGGTGGTTACACAGTTTCGGTGCACTTTTTGTCACGTGATCAGCAATGCAACGATACACAGGTGTTTGTAGCTCTCGCCAACGCCAAAGCAGTCGGTGCCCTGCACGTCGCGGGGTTATAACTAGATTTGGAACACGGCAAAGGTTGGGAAGGAAAAATCTACCAGCAGAAGAAGGGCCAGTCGAACCGCCGCAGAGATGTGGTTGATCTCCAAGTCCTAGACAGCGATTATTGGCGACAGACTCAAAGCCTTCAAGCCATCGTGCGACATGAGAAGAACAGCTGTACCCAACACCCAACTACAATGAATCGAACTGTGCCAAGACAACATATTGAGTGTTTTTGTCTAGGAAACGAAAACCGGTTGTGCGCAATCATCGCAAGGTCAGCACCGCGATCCATTGCAGGGTAGTCGTTCTGGAATCGTCTAGCGTTTGCGGCCATTTGAACCAGCCAGCTCAGACACCAAATCCTCTCAAGCGTCGTAGATCATCGTATACCCAGTCCGCTTGATCCAAGGCTCTGAAGGGCCCACGGCGGCCTCACAGTCGTATAATATACGCTAATCATTACGCATATTTCTTACTACTACTTGCTCGTTCGTTGTTGATCTTCACCTTGTCTACAGCCAGTACCAATGGCCGAGGTTGAGCTCATCTCTCTATGACAACGGCCAGTTTCACCTCCTGGCTAAACGACCACACTGTCCGAGTACCCTGCGAGTCTAACGGTGTTCCAACCTTCTAAAGCCCTCGGCGCCAAATCTAAGAAGTCCTTACCCAACTCCAGAGAAAGATAAGGCATTCAATTGGATGCTGTCCTGGGGCGTCCTAGAACAGGACCTAAAGGGGATGGGAGACATGGAGCTCCTTGTCGTCGTGACCAGATTTTGACCTCTTAGCTTAAGGTCAAAAACTTCTTTCAACCGATGCGCCACTTCCACGTGGCACTTGGTGCGAATTCTAAGCAATGGTTGTCCATTGATTGGGGACACCATTAAGAGCCAGCTGGATACTGGAGTACCATGTAGTAGCCCTGATACAGCTTGGAACAATCGACGCAAGTCCTAATGACTGCATACCAAAAATAATGGTCAAGAAGCCTGCTCTAACCATTGTCTTTCATCAGACACAGGAATTTTGGATGGTTATTCAAATCTCTGGCGGGCCACTTCGTAGGCTTGCGCGAACCTGAACAAACGTATTCTATTGACCGATTATGACGAGTAATATTGGTCTTTGGGGCTCGGTGTGACGGGAATGACCTGATCAAATGCGGAGACTAAGGAGGGATCAAGCTTGGATGATGACCGAGCCTCTTACACCGCCAGCTGAGCCGATTCATCCAAGTCAGGCTGGTCCACCCAGGCCAACCCTTGTTTTTTTCACTGACTAAAGCATCCAAGGTTTGTGGGGTGCTTCCAAGCCACTGCCCTCGAGATTCCAGAACAAGACGCTCAGCACTCCGCAATCAGTTCAAAGATTCTGAGAACTGACAGCGGCGTAGTATGATAGGCGGAGCTGCATCACATTTTTCTCTGAGCAATCTGGCACCGTGGGATTGGAATCTGTACCTGCCTATTATTGGGCGCATATTTTAGGATCGTCGAGAGACCACTTCGTAAGTAGCCTGTCCTACCAAACCTTTAGTGCTTCGGAGTCTGAGGATCTTGAATGGGACGCAGTGCCGGTACACAGGACGAGATATCAAATCAACGGACTAGACCGTGCAGCGGTGGCATCTTGCGGGATTAACATCGCATCCTTTAGTCGCACGAATTCTCTACTGGAATCGCCAGAAGTGGTTAATTTGCAACGCTAGACGGGCGTTGAACTCTGTGGCACCGCTGCCGAGTCCTCCCAAAGGTCCCGAAGGCCCTGGTAAACCTTCGTCCCCAGTCGCGCCGTGCCAATTTCCGGATCTCCATCATTTCCTCGGAATGCTTCTTTAAGTAGTCAATGTGGTCACTTTCAGGCAACAAATCGGCCCAAACATGAACAAGTTCGAAAGGACCAACCAATATTCACATTTTCCTCACGAGGCGGAAATGTCATACCAGGATGTGATATTATAAACCCTACGCTTCTGGACAGATACTCATTGACTACACACGGAGCATGCTTGTTCGGGGGCAAGTAGCCATGGAGCCATGGAGCCAACCCATAAAGGACAAACTCTGGTTATCAGTCACACTGTTGAAGGCGGACCCTGTCAATCTAACAACTAGATATGTTCCCCGCATTGCATAGGCGATGGAAGATACTTGACCCTTTCGCCGATATTGTACTTCAGTCATCAGCTGAATCGTCAGTCTAGGTTCTGAGATGACGTTTAGGAGCAAATTCCGCGGAGGTGGCCGAACAATCCGACTCACTATCCCGAGAAAGTACGTTTGTGGAAGTCTATGCGACGGATATTGGATGTTGCATTTGCCAACGAGCTGGCCCGAGTGTGCTCTGTCTGCCCGCCGTTAAATGTGGAAGGCATCAACATTCGGTCTCGTGACGT